TTATGTCGTATTGAAGGAAAGGAAGAGTGGTATACTGGCAGCCAAGAGACGGCCTGGAAACATTCCCTAGAGTAGCGAAGAGGATAAATTTAATTGCGAATTGTCATTATGACTGAATTAGCGTATAACCTGATGTTTAGATTGCCTATATACGACTATTCGATTGAAACACTCTATCTTCGATGAATGCGCTCAGGTTTCATTGATGGCGATGAGTCGCACCATTCAAAAGAGAAAGAGCTCCATGTGTATTTAGCTACGTATGTTTCATAACTGCCTAGGTATTTATATATGTATGTACAGAATGCAAAGATTAACCCGACGTATTAGGTTTCTCCTCAAGTGAACCCTCCGGCAGGCGGAGGATGTGTTATTATTCTAGTCATCGTGAGTTGAGATCCCACTACTGACCCATCGATTACGTATCGTGAGTTATTCGTTAATAGACGCGTTTCCGAGTTAGCTGGTTAAGCGTCTTAGATAACACGATTTTAGAAATAGGGGTAATGGCCCCTTTACCTCCTGAAATCGGAACTAAGCGGACGTCCTTTTCAAGGCATCTCTACTCATATCTTAAAATATCTCGATGCTGTACTATTATATTGCATGGGGGATTTCTAGATTTTTCTAGATTTTGGCTTAACTTTGTACAATTCAAGGGATATTGAATGCCATTTGAATCCTTAGCTTCATTCGTGAGTATGGAAATAAAGTTCTCATTTTGTAGAGTGGCCTTGCTCCAAAGACGATGGTTCTAACTAGCTAGCATGGTGTAATTTTCGATGGAATGAGTGAATAACTGAAACAAGAAGATAGGTTGCTTCATTTTAAGTGGGATAATTCCCGCCGTCGTTGTTCCACACACCAAGTTCGAGAGGAGACATCTTTATGCATTTTCCGTTACTTATTGTATAGCGTATCCTAATTCTAGCATGTACGTACTATTATCTATTATGATATCGCGACTTTATGGCCTGTATCATCATCGAAACTGCGAAATGTCATACTGCCAAATAGGAGGCGGCGTAAATGGCGGTCGGCACCAAGGCAGACACCACTGCTAGAGCTATCTAGCTATATAGGCGTCATATCACGACGATTTTTTCGTGCTTGAAGTTACCTTATTTCACATATTTTCTTACTCGAGGCTCGGTGAATTGTTTGGCGATTAAATGGCGGCTTGTTGCACTAGTGTATCTCAACAACCTTAGAATTAACTTGGGGAACGGGGTGACTTTACCTCAAACAGAACCTACAGATGAGAAGGAACCATGAATCTCCTACAATTCCGACCCTTCATTTGTATGTAAGCAATAGTGACTTATAGTGTGCCAAACTGGTTCCGTATCCTCAAAAGCATAGTGGTCTCGGCGTCTTACGCTCTCCTCGGTTCTACGAACACACTTGGGGATTACGTCCGAAAGAAATCACTTTCGGAGCCGAAGGGCCTATCCAGGTAGATTCGGCCGCTTTGTCCTTGTGGAGACTCAGGGGAGGGGGACGGGCGAGTCAAAGATTGCCTACGCGTTCGAATACAGGTACGCTGGTAAAATACTTCCCACGTCATCTCAGAGAGGCCCAACAGCTCATATAGGTTCCGAAAGCGTGGGTGGATAGTCCAGTATGAAAGAACTCATGACGTTTAATCCATAGCCACGGAGTTATCTCCGTCGCGTGAATACAAGACTTTACTCGAGACAAAGAAGACAAAGAGTCTCTATATTCAGGTACCTCGTCGTAAGTTCTTTGCGAACTCCCCACGCAGCGACGTCATTGCCCTCCCTAAGACAATGGCTGACACTGGCGCGTGGGGGCGCGGCAGTTATCGTCAAAAATTTTTTTAACTTGGCTGTAGTCCGAGTCTGTTCGCCCGAAGAGTATCTCCGGGGCGGGTTGATTTCTTTGATTTTTGGCGTTTGGCTGTCGAAAATATAACCGGATCTAGACTAACACGAGAGTAATATCAGTCAGGTTCGCATGAATGTGTAACCTACATATAATTCATAGAGTTGCACGAAGAGTCCAAAAAGGGTTCTTATGTCATAGTAGTAACCGTAGAAGTGAAATAAACGTGCATGGGACGGGAGGAAGAATTTTTTTTGTGTATGATTCTGACACGAGTTCCCCAGATTATACGGCAGTTGAATAGCATATTGCGCGGCATGTGAAACGTTGAGTTGCGGGCGCATGTACAGATGAGGGCTATGCCTGCAAGATATGAGGCTCATACGGTGTCGTCACTTGTACGGGTTACAATGTACGAGGTTATCCGGGAACTTAACTCGGGTCAATTCCCGATGACAGCTTCATAAGGGTCCTGCTTCTTGGTTATAGTTTGCGGTGAACATGTGGCGGGTGCATTCGCGTTCGATAAGCTTTCAAAATGGTGAGATTGATGAAAAGACATACTTCAGATTTGAGGCGTTGTAACATGATGTCATTTGGTATTACGGGTCCCGCGCCGATGGTAACGAAGATAGAAGAATCGGCGGTCGGTTCTTTGTTCAGGCGACGATGATCAATTTTAAGGGTCGTGACGCGTTATCAAGAGAAGACCCCTTTATGCCACGAGGCTTGTTGCGTCAAGCAGAAAAAAAAGGAGAGATAACTCCGAGATGAGTTCCTACGGTTTCTTTAGTAGATCAACAATCATCATGAATTGTAGGGTTAATTTGGAATACGATTATCTTTCACCATTTTGGGATGCGTATCGACGGCGGGATTCGATTAAGATCTGACAATCGACAATCCGTGTTACCGCACGAACAAACGGGATTCACGGGATTCGCGGGGAGACGCAATTCCTTTCATTTTTTTATCTGTCGAGTCTCACCTTTCTAAAGCGCCAAGTTACTATAATATGAAAAAAAAAATATTCCACCCATATATTCATTTCATAAGTATTGGATGAGGGAGAATATTATTTGACCGGTGTATGAAGTGCATAGGGGATTCGTCATGGAATAATATAATGAAGAATGTTAAGCCGCATTATATCCATTTACAATGAAACCCACATACCCGGTGCCATCCCTACGCGGAAATCCCAAGCCTCCGACCACCGATGGAAGAGATATGCAAGGTAAGGTTAGCCTGCATTATTCATTTGCATTATTTCATTAATTGGCCCCGGTTTTCCTTTTCACTCAGGACAACCTTGGAAGATTATCTAATCGCAGAATTTCTCAATTTCTCCAATTTCTCCTGAACACAACTTTGAGCCCACCATCATTTTCTCACTCGACTCAATTACATGATCTCAACATGATCTATCGATCTATCTCACTTCCGCTAGTCCTTGGTTGGCCGGCGATGCCGACTAGGAGTTCGAAAAAAATAAGAGCTATTCTAGCTTCAAACGCCATTTTTCTAGCGTGCTTGGGCCCTCGTGCTTCCCATGTCAGCTGCTTCAACTTCTCTATGATTTTTACTACTATGAATCTCATTCCCTTGCGGCTTTAGTCTAGATCTTGGCCTCCTAGTTGGTCTAGATGGCTCTTTGGTTGGTTTAAAATAGCTAGCAACTCCAAGTTAGCTTGCATCCCCTTTTCAGATTGTCCAATCATTATGATGGAGAAACACCCTCCAGACGCCGCCTTTAGACCTACATGGTATCTACCGCGAATTCTGGGGTAATGAAGCAAAAGCTGCAGGAAACCAGCGTTGCAGCACGGGATGTAGCAGAAAAAACCACGCACGTCTGCTGTTCACCAAGTGGTGGAAGCTATCATTATATTGGCTTACGAAACTCCACCATTCGCTACACAAAGAGGCCAAGAATCATGTGAGGTTTGCAGGTAATTCTCCTTTTACGTCAGTCAGCTCGGCGTCGGAACCGACGAGTCTCCCCCTCAACACACGAAGCTCCAATACCAAGCCTCCGACTTCTTCGCAACCGAGGCCGTAGCATACCGAGAGTAACACTCGATTTTTTTTCGATTAACTCATCGGCTCACCGCAGGGACTTGTCATAGTTTAGACGGAAGAAACCATGTTGCGTGTCAAGCGTCATCCTTGGTTCAATTGCATTTTAATGCATCGCAATGCATTACAACACTGTGTTCAGCCACGCGTAGCCGCATCTGCGTCGCCTCCCGCCTTTCTTAGGAGGTACCTAACCTAACATACCCTACTCTACCCTACCTGGGTAAATCGTCTGGTCTCGTCTACATTGGTCAGTAGCAAGTAGTCATATTACAACTCGGAGAGTCGGTGGCCATGACCGGTCTGTTTGGCGTTTAGTAACGTACCTATGTAGGCAGACTCGTTAGTTTTGTGTGGCTTCGAATGCCGCCTCATCAAACCACGTTCCAGTCCCCCTCCTATGAGACTTCCGTGGTGACCCGGCGTAAGGTACCACCTGACAGCGAGTACGGCACTAGTGTACTAAGTCTCGCGCTGATCCGCGGTCTCTCGCTCTAAAGCAGTCTGGACCTCGGGACCCTTGAAAGACGAATTGCTTGTTTCGATCTTCCATGTCAAACGTTGGTGTGGGGCAATTCGTTATATACCTAAGGGTAAGTGACCGACAATGACTGGTGGTGAAAAAGACCCCTCATTGTTCAACATATAAACGTGACCCCCCCTTCGCTCCCGAATGCGGTAGCTGGTCGTATATGATATACCTATACATATCAATAGACCCTTATTCTTATATAAGAAATCCTCCAACCAAGACCAATCCAATATCTACTGCATATAATCCTCATCTGCAAGGCGGAGCCAACCAATTGAGTATCACACAATACGTACAGCCATCACGCTACATACCTCCTTTCGGGAGCGGGAATACTGCTTATACGTCTCATCCTACCACGAGGGCTTCTAAAGCCCACTCAATACATATAAACATGGTAACGAGAACGAGTTCGACCCAGAGGGTATATTACGATGCTCCTGTCTCCGTCATACCTATCATCACTTCGATACTTTTTCTCATAAGGCTCTACCATTGGCATCGATCACAATATTACCAATTATTGAATCTCCTTGATCACACGATGGAGCGAACCATATCACGTCTGTCCAATAAGGCTCAAGCTCCTACCACGTTCACCAAATTCAACGAACTCCCTCCCGAACTACGAATCAAAATATGGCAACATGCTATGCCAGATGCTAGAACTGTGGTAGTGAAGTCTCCACACACAAAACAAAGACAAGCTCCTAGATCGTTAGAGGAAGCTATGTCAAAAACACAATACCAAGATGAAACATGGTATTCGAATACACAAATACCTGCCTCACTACATGTCAACGGCGAGGCCAGACACGAAGCACTTAAACACTATAGGCTCTCTCTTGCCGTAGGAAATGCGCAACCACGAATATACGTCGATTTTACTCGGGACACTTTATTTTTCGGTAACTCCGAGCTTAAGCCCGAATGTTCCCCATTATGGAACTTTACACATGATTTAAATCGAGTAGAACGTCTCGCAGTTGTTCCCGAAGGTGCTTGGAGAGTCTTGCGTTGGAAAAAAGTCGATCTCAACTCGCTAGAAAAGATGATATTCGTTCACGATACGGAAAAATTCGAATTAGGCCCTCTTCCACAACTTGTCGAAGATGCGCCACAAAACGATGAAGTGGATCTACCAGAGGAGCAGGTACAACGTCTGGAGGAGTTGGTGTCACGACAGGAATCACAAGAGGAAGCTACAATAAACCCCATGAAGAAGCGGATGCAAGCGGCTCGGGAGGAATTGAACACATTGATGATGGTTCTACCGACCCAATGGGAAAAGGAGCCCGCAGTGGCTACTGCGGTGTTCAGAAAAAGTCGTGGGGATAGATGGCAGTGCTGATTTGCTGTTTTTAGTCTGCGACAGACACTCGTCAGCTACGCCATGTCTTAGCTTACGTTGTGCATCATGTCGTGCGCTCATCACACCCTCAGCCAACCAGATGAGAAGGAATACATATTTCTAGCCCAGGCAGTATATAACTTTCGAATGAATTTAACGAGGAATGACGATTAACTACTTTGCTATGATGTTAAGCGCAGTGTTTTGTTCTAACTTCCCCGCGAAATAATCGTCTGTCACGAACAATTCCATACTAAGAAGGGACTCGCTAATTCTACGATTACTTGTCATCTGTCTTAGACAACTTACGCAACCTGATTTTGCCCCTTGAAATAATGTCTTGCCTTATGCTGCTTACGTACGGGATGCTAATCGACCCAATGGGATTGTCTATTTTTATCATAGTACGAATAAGCCTATCAGTCAATCAATCTGAAGTAGATAAAACAATGTGGTGAAATCATAAATAGCAGTGGAAAGGAAGTGAGACGAATCTACGACATGCAGTACCCCGAATTCCAAATCAACAATGCGGTTTCCCGTCCCTTGATATCATATTCTTTTTTTCTGCAACGCGCAACGAAATGCAGGTCTATCCGATAGGTGACATGGTGCATCATGCACCCCTAAAGCCTGTTATAAAGTCATGGTATTTTAGCGGCCTAGGTACCTACATATGTCGCTAGGGAGGAAATAATTTGGAGGGAGGATAAGTATTTGAGTCATGTATGTTTCTTCCGCGCAAACCTTACACGCGTCCATCCCCGCATAATTTATAGGGGACTTAAGTATTCTTCCGCCCTATATTGTCTGTTAATTCTACTTGGATACATCACTTTTTTTTTCAACACTTCGAAAATAAATTACGTGTATGTAGGCTATCCACGCTACGCCTATGACGAAAATGACGATCCCTTATACAATGCTTCCTTGAATTTACTATACTATACTTCTTTACTTTGATAAATGTTTCGATCTCACACCGCCCCTTTTCAATGTGTGAAGACATCTCATGATTTCCTGATTTTCGGCCCCGTCCCGGTGGGATTTTTCGGAACCGATCCTTTCGGCTCTCCTTGCCTGCTTCAACCAGTGCCTCTTTTTTGCAGACCTGCGTCTTGGCTAGGACAGAGAGGATTCAATATAATAGGTAGGCTGAGTGGCTAGTGGTAGGTGAATAAGCAGTCAAATATATTCGTTACGCTTCGTAACACCACATCTCGTCCTACTCCCTCCTGTCTTGTCCTGTATATGGAAGGAGGTACATAGGAGGATTACATGTCCTCAGCCATCGGTGAAAAAACCGGCAACCGGCAACCGTTCCGGTCTGATCTCCGAATCATGTACTACAGAGGCACGGACAGATAGGTATATGTATACAAATCCTGAATTCCTCCCTCCATCGTCTCGTCCCATAATCATTGTGCAACACTCGGAAGTATCTCCCATCCTTCCGCCCCAACACCAAACCAAACTCCCGAACGCCCTCATATCTCGTCTCACCTCACTACCTAAAGTTTACTCCTAACATCACCGTCCCCGGCGCCGAGATACGATCCTCCCAACTTCAACATATCCACGGCACCCTGTACCATCTCCTGCACAATCTCGGCCGCAGGTTGGACTTCAGTAATCGAACCCGCGACCTGACCCATGATATGCGGGGCATCAATATCCTCAACCTCATTCTCAAGATCATGCTCAATCGGCACAATCCCCTTATCGCATAACTCCTTAATCTTATCCGGCTGCTTATGCCACTTCTCAATATACCCATTAATCCGCATCCGCAACGGCCGCCCCGTAAGCACAAGCGTCCTCTGCGTATCCTCATACGTCGCAGACACAACACTCTGTTTATGCTCCTCACTCCCATTCGCCTCCACACTAGCCACGAACCTCGTGCCAACCCAAACTCCAGCCGCCCCTTGCATAAGAGCCGCGGCTAACGATCGCCCGTCGTTAATACCACCCGCAGCTACCACGATAGCGGTCTGTCCGTTTAGCATCGGGGGTTTGTATTTCCTTGCTACGTCCACGACGGCGGGGATGAGTATCGAAGCCGCTATATCACCCGTATGACCCCCTCCCTCGCCGCCCTGCGCACATACCATATCAACGCCTAACTCGAGCGCTTTTACCGCGTGCCTTGGATGCCCGACCATATTCATTACCAGAATCCCTGCTTTGTGTAATTTATCTATGATCCGCTTCGGCGGTACTCCGACTGCACTAACGAATAACCGCGCCCCGGATTCGATCGTGATGTCTATGAGTTCGTCGAGTTTACCCCCCGTGTAGTCGTGGTTTGTTTTTCTGGCGGTGCCGCCGATTTGGGGGAGTGCTAGGTCGATGCCGAAGGGTAGGTCTGGGGAGCGGAGGGAGGATTTTAGATCGGCGATTATGGAACGGAGTTGTGCGGGTGTGTATTGGAAGCCTCCGATTACGCCGAGGCCGCCCGCGTTGGATACGGCGGCTGCGAGGGCACCGCCGGATACGCGGGCCATTCCGGCGAGCAGGATTGGGTGTTGGATACCGAGGAGGGAGGTTAGGGGGGTGGTTATGGGTCCGCGTTGGGGTTGGGGAGACATGGTGGCGGTTGTAGTTCTGGGTATATCTGAATTGGTAGGTACCTAGGTGAGTCTACGTAGATAGTGTATATACCTAGTGCTGGGGATAAGGTCGCCGATTAAAGAGTAAGTTTCGTAAGAACAGGTAGGTTTATATAGAAGTATATCCTATAAATCAAAGGTAAGTAATCAAGTAAGCTGATGATAGGCTATAAGAGCAATAGCTCAGCCGACGATAGAACGATGGATGGTGGAGTCGCGAGGAACTAGTTCGCGCCTAGGGAAGGACCCTGTATATTAAATACCCAGTATATCCAGTGGTCTCCCTTTGGTGTAACCGAATCCGAATCCGAGATTTCAGCTAACTCTCATCTGTAAGTAATTGAACTGCGAGGGAAAGATGAAATTGAGGGCAACAATTGGTTTCTTGTACGATTTGGTATAGTTAAGTCAGCTAGTTGTATTGAAATGAAATGGTTGGTCCCATCGTATCGAACGTTTGTTCATTCTCGGGAGCTAAAGCTCAGGTGGGGTAGGGGATATAAACCTGGGGTATGGCGGAGAGTTACCGAGGCATATCCATTTTGAGCATTGGTTTATGGAGGGAAGGGGCAAGATTGTAACTATACTCGGCATCCGGCTCTCGTTATGAATTGGAGCTACAGCGGATTTGATGATCTTCACAATTGGCGTCATGCTTTCCCATCTTGAAAACCAATAGCCTCTATACTATTGGTAGCGTCTTGAATAGGTACTGTATGTCCAAATTCTGGGTATTATCCGATGCTGCCAAGCTCGAACTCCTATAGCAATATAATACATCAATCCCATTAACCCTAGCCCGCCTATCCAAAATCAATGATGCCTTTGAATCTTCGAATGCTCTCTATATGAAATCTCCGTTCTTGCTTTCTTAACCTGTTATCTCCAGTAGTCTTCCTGGATCTATAAAGTACACGCTTTAATGCACACTTAGTAGTATAGCTTGGCTACTATTTTGTAACCAGCAGTGGTTTGCATCATGAACGCCACTCGCTTCCTCCATATGCTGTTGAATCGCAAATAGAAGCATAGTATCATGATACATCAAGGATGCCGTGGAGCGTCCTTGTTACGAGCCCATGTTCTTGATCCCATTAAACCCCATAGGGTCGGCACCAAAACGCGCGAGCAGAATATGCAAACCGTAGCAAACTAATTAATTAGTTCGGATTGAATCGTAACTTCGTGATATGCGCCCTCGCCATTATCGGAAATATGGCAGTCGTGCAGGGACAAAGCCACCTTGTGAGGGATCCTTCGGCGTAGAGGTGGTCGGAGTTGATATTGTCTGTTGCGGGTGCTCTTCTGTGGATCTAATCTTAGTACCACCTTCTTCGTCTGTATCTTCATCTAGAATGGCCTGTTCTGGCATGGGTACTTTTTCTACCCTGAGGATTTCTGATTTCACTTCAGGGACAGACTCGATCCGAAGATTCTCGCGACTTAATCCACGCCGGAGCGCTAGTTCTGCGGCTGCTTGCCTCTTTTTCTCCAGCACCTCGTCCTCCTCCCTTTCCAGCCGTTCCTCTTCTTGTCGTAGATCCTCTAAAGATGGCTCCGAAACTAGCGCCGGGCTCTCTGGTGGAATAGACCCTGAGCCGAGACTGTGCCGTAGGGAAGGTCTTGTCGAATCGATCGTCGTCCTCGAGACACTCCTTGGTAGCTTACGATCTGCGATGCGCTTCCCTTTGCTACTCTTCGTCTTATTGCTCGAACGATCATCTACATGATCAAGCGCAATAGTGAATTCGTCGTCTAATGGTACCGCGTCCTCTTCTCCTTCCTCGTCACTTGGGAAGAGATCACCTCTTGACCTGTACGAATCACTTGTATCCCCACTACCTACTGTTCCGCTTCGTGTCCTACTATGTCGCGGTGCTCCGTGTGGAATTGGTGTGGTCTCACTACCTCCTAATAATGGCTGACGTTCTCCGTCAAGCGTTGTCCTCGACGCTCCGGGGTGTTCCTGTAGATTCGCCGCACTAGGTTTGTATCTCAGGGTTCCCCCAATTTTGAACGGAAGACGACTTAAGAATCCTAAGGGCGCGGTGCTTGGGATAATGGTCGGGTCTTCTTGGGTACTAGGCCTCTTCCGTGTCCCATAACTCATTCCACGCTTTCTCCTTGGTTGTTCTTGAACCTCTCCTCCGTCTCGTCTTCTCCTCGTACCTGCGAGTAAGCGATCCCAATCTTCGCTTCGCCAGCCTCCGAGTAGGCCTCCTCCATCGTCTCCGCCTCCTAATTCCTCATCCCAATCGTCGTAGAAGTCAAAACTGTATTCGGCTCTTCCTTGCGCCCGTTGGCGTTCTCTCGCTCGTCGCGCTCGTTCTTCGCGGTCGCCTAGGCAAACGGACGTACAACTGTCGAATGTCGAGGTAATGGACGAGAGACAGGGCGTGACGTAGGTATGTCCGAAACTCCATATACCAGCAGCTGCATTTTCAGTAACTGTTTCGGTAGTATGTGAGATTTGGTTCCATCGCTGTCGTAGGCGAGGATCTTCGAGAAATGCCATTGTTCGTCGGATTCCTACAGGCTTTGCTTTTGTATGCGAATGATTTGCTAGGATAGAGGTTACGGAGACTTCGATAGTTGTCGTTCTTTGTTTTTCGGGCGATTGGCTATTCGGAGAATAATGACACAATAAGGCGGGTGGGGCTATGTAGCAGCTGAGTAGGCGTAAAGCGAGGCTCGTGTGCCGGACATCCGATCTAATTAATTATCTGTTCGTTTTCGTTTGTTGTATCAATCGCTAGGAATTACACGATGGAATGCGACGTTGAGGGAATTGTCGCCCATTTGGCGATGGAAGAGGGAGAGTGCCAAAATACTAAGCGACTAATGAACTGCCAATTGTGAGGGTTGGGTGGAAGGGTAGATTATGGGTTGATGCAGGTGAGATTGAAGTTTCCATACTACGTAAACTACGTAGACCCTTGAATAAAAACAGAAAGACTTCGCGCGATATCAGGGGGTTAAGTTTGAGTTCATGAAGGGATAGGGATAAGTGCCAATTAAGAACAGGATTGCATGAAGATTTATGAATAAAGTTGCGTTGGCCCCGACCCGTTCCTACATAAACTTCCTTATTTGCCTGTTCGGGCTGTCTTCTCTCAGTTTTGTCGCATCCAAAATTCAATGCCGGTTATAAGCAGCTAAAAATACAGCCGTAACATGGTCTATACGGTACCTATTATAAATGGTTAAGTTGAAATGACCTCATTTTCTTAAGTATAAATCCAAATCTCCAGCTACAAGTGCCTACCTAGGAAGCTGCTAAGGAGGGCACATGTGCACCTAAGCACCTAAGGATTTAAGCCTGGCTAGGTACTGCGGGGTGCTCTAGAAAACAGAGTTTCCTTAGCGCTCCAGGGGCTGTAATTTCAATTCACAGAAGGGGTTGAAGCCGCTGAGTTACCAGAGTCTGCAAGAGCACTGGGATCATGTACCTATGTATCTTACGTACTAAACCATTTACGGGTGAAATTTAGGCGGTCAAGTCAGGCAGTAATGAATCATTACTGGGTAGCTTCCGCATGCGACTCCAAGTTTGTTCTATCCGCTGAAATCGCAACACGATCAATTCCGTCAATTACCAACCCTTCAGTCCGACTCTTCAATAAACCCAAACATCAATTCTTCGTCACATCTTCTACCACTCCACAACCTCAATTTATTTGATCGGTACACAAATCACTCGGAATTGATCGAAGTTTTACGTGTTATCGCCAATTTGTACACGTCCTTTGTTCGCGCTTTTCATCAATATTGGATTTTCGAGGACGACCTTCTTTGTGTGCATTTTTACCCATATTCGACTTCCCCCTCCGACACATCTTCATCCAGCACATTTAATTCAACCACGGTATCTTCACCTTATCCATGACATTCAACAACTCAGATGTCACGATAAAGCGCAATGCTTAATTCCGAGAGCCAGGGTGGCTGGGGAGCCGGCGGCGCGCCGAACCCTCCTACCAACCGTAAGTTAAAATGACTTTCCCTTCCCAAAACAATTGCTATAGTGTTTGCCGCTACCGATCTACCGACCCTTCGGCGCCATCGAATCCTAACCTATATTCGACTCGACGAACCGATTAAACGGGCAACGAAGCATGTCATCGATGCGCAGAAACACGATGAGATAGATGGGTGTTGGGGGTGGTGCGAGGATGTCTGAAAACCACTGACTCTATCTCTTCCATTATAGCCTTTGCCCAGCCGGCAACTTCTCAACATTTAAAGAACCCATTTGCGAGCCTTCAATCCCAACCTCTAGCCCAAGCAAATCCGTTCTTGCAAAAGCAATCTAATGGAACGGGTCCTACGCCTAATCCATTCTTGCAGAAACCGCTTCCCGCAAACCCTTTCGCGCAAGCACCTTCGGGCCAGAATCGATCCGCATCTCCCTTTGGTCAACCATCGAATTCAGGATCGAATTCAGCCCCGAAGTCGAGTTCATTTGGTAAGCCTAGTTATGCTCCCAATAATAACACCTCGACATCAAACGCTCTATCACAACGACCCTCGTCATTTACTACAAAGCCCGGGACAACACCCACACTAGGCTCCGAGAACAAGCGAAAGATTGCCGAGTATGTTCAACCAGCATGGCCGAAGCAGACGTCGCAGAAAGTCCCAGAACCAGCAGAGGCTAGGTCAAATGCCTCTAAGTTTCAGCATAATGGGAAGAGAAAGAACGAGATTGATTCCCAGGGGAAGAATAAGTTTTCACGAAAGACACCTGATTCAGAACTTGCTTCTAGTCGCGACCGACCCTCAACTAGGAATGATAAGCGGATTGCCTCTACAAACGACAGAGGAACGGAGATCCCCAGAACTAGAGCGGATCCCGACGAATTCGCCAAGAAGATTACAGATCAATTAGCGAAGGATAATATCAAGCCTCCTCGATGGCCGCAGAATCCGGGAAGCTTCACGCAACGCCAGGCTGTAGAACGCCTCCGTGAAGCTCACAAAGCATACCGAGAGAAGGCGAGGAAGTCACTTATGCGAGCAGGTCTGATCGACGACCCTGATAAGAAGCGAAGACTGGATGAGGCGCTCGTTTTTAAGGGTATTTGTGAAGATATGTGCCCTGAGTGGGAAAAAATCACTCGTATTGTTGAGCACGATATCAAAGGGCCGGAGAAGGACACTGACGAGAATGGCGACCTGGTCCCTATGCCCGACCTTATGGTCAAACGACTTGCTCGCTCAGCTGCAGGACAAGATGCACCCCTCCCTATGGACGTCCGATCTGTCCGCGCGCTACGCCGAACATTGCGTTACTTAATCGACTTGATTTCGTCAGACGACTTGTTACCCCTAAAACACAGTTTCCTCTGGGACCGCACGCGAGCAATCAGAATAGACTTCTCTTTCCAGAAGTACGCCATGACGCCTGCTGAGACGAAGGATCAAATCTACTGTCTCGAGACGATCGCTCGTTTTCACGTTACATCACTTCATCTCCTCTCTCAGGATGGTCTCACCCCCACGGACTTCTCAGAGCAACAGGAAGTCGAGCAATTAGGCAAGACCCTGATCTCCCTAATGGAAGTCTACGATGATTGCGAAGAGCATGGGATCGAATGCGAGAATGAGCACGAATTTCGAGGTTATTTTATAGTATTCAATGCCTTTAACCCAGGGCTCATGGAAATGATCGACACTTTTGACCGACGATTCGGGCATTCTCCGAACATAAAATCCGCTAAATGCATATCGGAATGCATCTCGAACATACGAAGAATTCAAGGACCTCTAATGCCTGATGCGAACAGTCAGATGGCTGTTGACGCTATCACAGTATTCTTCGACATTGTCGCTAACCCGGCGGTTTCTTATACCTTGGCCTGTTTCGCCGAAATACACTTCAACGCCGTGCGTAAAGCAATACTGAAAGTATTTCAAAAATCATTTTCACGGCCACGATTCGGTCCGAAGGACTTGACACCCGCTATCCTAAAAAAACACCTCCACACTGATACAGAGGAAGAAGCCGTTGAGTTTTTTAAGAAGCACGGCTTCGACTTTGACGACGCTGATAAGCATCTCATTCTCAATCAAAGTACTAGATACATTGACGCCAGGGTTCCACACTCCTTTTCAGGAGACATTGTAGAACGTAAACGTTCAGGACACACCTTCGCTGAAGTTGTTCATACGACCGTCTTTGACGAGAATGTTACGCAACCAGCTGCAGGAGACGAAATTACTTGGGAGGACGAAGATGAGGAAAGCTTGTTTGTCAGCGACACTAATAACGTCTCTGCCGATAATAACGAGAGTCAATTTGCCAACGAAGAACAAAGCGAGTCGGGAAGTACCGAATCCGGAGTCTCCGCCAGTCCACGTCCACTCCCCCCAATGCTTGGAAATCATGCTGTTACCAAACCGACGACATCTGTTCCGGATGGTGAACAGTCAGTTCATGAGAGCGAGGGTAGATCCCGCAGTACGTCCTTCTCTAGCGTAACATCTATTTCTACAGAACAACAGTCTACCACGCAGACCCCGTCACAACCTTCCGGAGGTTCTGGTATCAAAGCCACCAGCTCCCCTTTCACCAGTCCGATGCAAGCCCCCCAGAAGCAATACGCTTCTTCGGTCTTTGCGTCGTCTAGTGGAGGATTTGGAGCCCAGTCCACATCTAATCCCTCCAGTACAATGGGTACTTCGTTTGGCGGTGCCACAAAAACTGGGCCTTTCGATGACACCTCTAAATCTCCTGCTTCGTCAGCTCCTAAATCTGCAAACCCCTTCAGCGACCTCTTTCGTGCTTCTAAGCCTCCTGCAGAGACCGACGCCAATAGGGCGGCTGGTCAAAATTCTGCTGATAATGCGAGTGGACAATCAGCATCATTTATCATTAAGAAGGTTAGATTCGGTGCCGATGTTTCTGGGGGACAAACAACTGCAAACAATGCCACTCCGCGAGATCTCTTCGATTTGCCTAACAAGAATCAAACTGATACGGCAGCACCAGCGAATTCGCCCAGCGCCGATAGTCCGTCAGTGTTCCCGCCCAAGGCATCGGATTCATTGAACAAAGGAGTGTTTCAACCCTCAGGCACTCCAACATTAGGGTCAACGTCTAAGGCCTCTAACTCATCTGAACCTACTACTAGCACAGTCCAATCTATAACTACCACTGCTACTACCCCCTCAACACTCACACAAGCCCAGCAGTCGAGCGTATTTGGAACTCAAGCACCGGCCGTCAGTAGTAGTCAACCTTCCATGATGCAGCAAATTTCAGGAATATCGTCAACATCCACTGCCAACTTATTGGCCACAGCGTCGGCCGACAATTCGCCCAAGGCGACGACAACAGCAGGGCCAACTGCGACGTCACAGCAAGTTACATCTACGAACACTGCATTTATCAAGGAAGCGGTCCAAGATGACGCTATGAGCAATTTTGCTCGTTGGTTTGTCAGTGGTGATAAAGGTTTATTGGAGTCGCACATTCAAAACCCTGTGTTTGAGCAGATACTCGAAGGTGTTTGGAACGAATTCCAAACTACTCTGGAAGAAGAAGCTATAAGAAAAGAGGAGGAAAAGGAGTTGGCCAAAGCACAAAAGTTCAGGGGTTACAGCCTCAAAGTCAAATACTTCTATATTTGGCATGAAGGCTTCCGTAAGCGACAACGTATCAACCGCCTGAGGGAAGAGAAGGAAAAGGCAAGACGATGGAACTTGCCGGAAAACGTGGCAAAGCGCGAACGCGAAGCCAAAAAGAGCCATGAACAAATTATTAAAGAGGTGAGGGATTCCATGGTGGAAAGAAGCCACCACATTGCGAACGAAGCCGCCCTACTGAGAAGATCTGCCGGAGCAAGACTCGAGTCAATGCAGAACCCTGAAGCAGTATTGTCCATACAGGGTTCTGGAATATCGAACTCTGGGATGAGTGCACAGAACATCGAGGACGCCTTACTTGCTACTGGCATCTTCCGAGGGGTTCAAGATGAGAAGGCTGCTGCTAGGTACGCTGCTATGGAGCAGGTCGAGAACGAGAAGGACGTAATTTTTGAAAAGAAAAAGCGACTACGGGTTGAGAATCACCGTCGTACTGAGCGTGGACTCCGTCCGCTCAAAGCATTACCCGAACCAAGAAACTACAAGGAAGGATCTAAAACAGCAATGCTTCGGGCGAGTCATTGCGGTAGTGGAAGAGACACCATGTCCATGTCGACTGGAAGTTTACGCGAATCAACCTTTAGCTCAAGTTATCGTTCTAGCCTCGGTTATAATACCGGACGAGTATCTAAGCCCCGAACGAGAGTTAGAAACCCACACTGGCGTCTCAGGGCTAACGGCCTTGTGCAAATGCCAAATGGGCAATACTTACACGAGTCGGTGGCTCTTCCATTACTGGAAGGCGAGAAACAAATCCCCGGATTCGGAAGTTACGGATTACCGACTACCGATTCTGCCGTCCTTAACGGATCGTCACCGTCGCTGCCGGGCAGCCCTCTCGACCAGCCGAACATATTTCAATCAAACCCAGCTAGCAGCTCGCCTTCAGGTGGTGGAAGTCAGAAGCGAAAGCGACAGGCAGATGAGGAGGATGTTATCCCGAATGGAAACAAATTGCATACCCGAAGCAAACGAGCTAGGAGTGTAGAAAGTGATAGCCAGACTGTCACAGATGCCGGAAAACACCTGGCTGATATTGCGAGTCTTCTAAGTCAGGTAGAAAGCAGGGTATGCAGTATCAGGAACGCGACGCCCAAGGAACAGATCTCCCCCTAGACGAGGATGGTCTTCTAAGGGGAAATGCACTTGGAAAATATGATTAGGGTCGTCATGAATTGGAGGTGAATTGAGGAAGGGAAACGATGTGTAGGAAATCACACCGAAATGTTTATATGCATGCATGGCACACGGCGTTAGGGAAGCAATCACCATTTGCAACGGATCGGAAAGCTGGACGGCGAATCACTCATGTTCTTTTAATCGCAAACTTTTGGTCCAGAAATTCAGGAGCCGATGGCATATTTTTTGCTTTTGCAAATTCTTGTTCTTGTTTTTATAATTTTTTTTTACTCGATACCCGCTCCCGTCCGACACATTGCATAGAAAGGGGAACTTTGGCTGGGAAAACTGGCTGGCTGGTAGATAACGCAGGCTACAATCAAATCAATCAATGATTCGGAATGATCAAAGGAATAGATGGCATGATACCGTACTAGGTGCTTATATAATCGATACATGACTATTGATGACTTATTAATATGGTTGTACAAACATCGTGTATTACTAAGCTGTAGTTTTATTGACCATGGATGATGTTGGGGAATGAGAAGTCGATTTGCTATAATTACTATTAAATCAAGCATCGCTTAACAGCAAATTGTGTAAATTCCATTCTCTCCCAGAACACTTAGAGTGTAATAGCGACCTCCTGTTATTGTTATTCACCACATCGTGATACTCCACGATAACCTCAATTTGCTTACTCATATATGACTAACTCATGACTAACTTATAAGTAAGTCATCGTGCAACATAGAGAGCTTACTAACACACTTACTCATCAACTTATTCATCAATCTTTTCATAGCTCAAAAAGCAAATCACATTACAAACATCTTAGTCATATCCAGAAAGCATTAATCAATTACCAGACGCTACGTAACCGCCTGCCTTTCCTAGCTGGCTACCATCCCTCTAAAAAGTGAAGCCTATGGGTATATGACCAGTCTATACCTAACCTCGATTCCAGTCTATCTCAAAATGAAGGGCGTGTGTATGTATGTTTGCGTGAATGTTCGCCTGTGTATGTTCGTGTAAATGTGTACGTGTGCTGCCGTGAATCATAAAATATTACGCTCCGCCTCTCCCCCTATCCTTGCTCCCCTGCCTTGGTTTTTCAGAAATGAAAGAGAAAAAAAAACGCTGGTCGTTTTGGATTAAACGATATCCCTATCTCGTTCCGATCGATCAGCACTTCTCCTTAGTGTCATAGAGCGACCGAACAAATTCCTATGGCTGCTGCGGCCGCCGCTTCCATTAGAAGGGACCTTATCCAACTGCGAACTGCTACCGACTGCCACACTATCCAAATCGGCCAGCTCCTCGTTTATTCTAGGAGGACGTTGGGTTATAGAATCGCTGGCCTTGCGTGCGACGAAAACGTCCTGGAAGACGTCACCTGTAGTATCGTGGGCGTGGGAATTCGCACGCCGACGGGTCGCAGTTAGCAAAGAAGGATCCACACTCTGTTGTCGCTCCTCGTAAGATGGCGGCTGAACGTTAGCCTGGAAAACGGGCCAGTCCTGACCGGAAATCTGGTATTGTCGGCGGGGCTGCTCGATACCTAAGGCAACCATTTGGTTCATCAACTCGATAGCGAACTTGTTGTGGCGAATGAGACGGAGTAGTTCGTTCTGGAAGCTTGTCTTGTGAAAGCAAATGAAATTGACCGTCATACAGTACGCATCCTCGAAACTTCGAAGTTCCGTAATGATCTTGCTAGTAAAGTCGCGCTTGTTGTCTAGAACATATTCCGTCATACGAGCCTCGAGTTCTTTGATAACACTTGGTGGTGTGCCATACTTCATTCGGAGTTCAAATACATCTGCCAATTGGCCACTGCGACGATGATTCAGAATGAACAGCGTATTCAGTAGCGAGTTGGGAGCTTGGACAATGTGACCTTCCATCTTCTTGAATTCGGTGTATAGAAGTGAGATTTCAGTAACATAGTAGTCGTCACCTCTCATTAGGGATCCAGTGTTGCCGTAAATCGTGACTCGGTCACCGACATCAAACGGATGCTTCACAAAAACAAAGATGATCGATTGAAGGAATTCCTGAGCGGTAGCCTGAAGAACCCACGCGAGACCCAAAACCGCCGTTCCCGCAGAAGCTAAAGCGGCTGCGGTAGAGGCGGATATGATTGAGATGAACACGATAACGGCGATAATGAAGATGATAAAAAAGAGAACTCGATCTAGTTTCGTAATAACTGAGTCTAGATCTTTCAGTGAGGCTGCGATCGCCTTCTTTTCGCGATGAACCTCGTCACAGAAAGCTTCGAGTTCATCCATCGATACATCTCCATTCAAGTCGCGGTCGAAAACGAAGAATGCTGCATCGGCGTCTTCTTTAGTGGGAAAAGCCGGGCTCAAGTCTTGTGGCATTAAAACTTCGGCACCGGGTTGCGCAAAAGTGCGGAATAGACGTCTAGCGAGTACCTGGGCAGAATTGGTATTACGGAGTAGTTCGGAGACGACCTTTCGCGGGTGATTTCGGTTCCTAACTTCACGTCCAGTAAAATCGCCAGCCACGCGATTTGCAATATCACCGACTTTGGCCATTGTGTCTCGAGCATTGTCCGAAAACATGGCTAGGGGCGTTCTAGTACCGGAGTCCTGACCCTGACCAGTCATAACCGATGTTTCCGGAACCAGCTTATCCTTAGAGTGTTCATAGAGATGAACAAGGTATCTATTTTTCATCGGTTAGCGACATTGATTTATGTATAAATTCACCAAATCAAGTTTAACTTACGCGATGCATTGCTTATTCGTTTCAATGCGTGACGAATATGTTCGCAAGTGGAAAGACTCGGCGATCCATTGCATTATAATCTTCTCGACCCAGTTTAAAATTGCGAGCACAAAAAGCGCGACAATAATCTTGTTGACAACATTGATCCAGTTAATATCTGGATATTGAGTATCGGCTTCGTCCGGCACCTTGGCTGGAATCTTGTGGTTGTTCAAGATGGGGAAATATGAGATTAGTACAGCAAGCATCCAAAGGAATAGGGCTGTGTGCAACTCCAGCTGTCGGCCAACGCCTCTCCACTTCTTAGGATTTCCTGAGCCCAGGATCTTAGCAAAGATACCCAAAAGGAACGGCATAACGGCAGTAGCTATTCTCGCAGCCCATAGAGATAACCAAACGACTTCGAGCCAGATACCAAACCACATCAACTGAACACCACCGGGACCACCGATAACAGCTTGTTGATCCTGAGGAAGGAACTTTCCAAGCAATATAGGAATTAACAAGATAGCAGTGGCGGGTAGACAATACAAAAAGTATCGAACCATCCGAGGCAAACCCTTAATTCCTCGGAATACTTTGTTCAGATGATTAGGAGGCTCTGGCGTCAACCCGATAGTAGGGGCCTGAGCTGGTTGGTTAAACACATCCTCCTTGACCGGTTCATGGCTGCGGGATTTGGAGTGAGCACGACGAAGTTCGATGGATTCTCGATTGCTAACTGCTTGCTCGGCCTGTAACAAGGTAAGATCATCAACCAGTCGAGTAGCTTGGTCCCTAGACTCGACCTCCGATAGGTATCCATGGTCTGTGTGTGTTCGGTGTGGCTCGCCGGGAACTTGAAGATGTTGAGGTCGGTCTGCGTGGTATCTCTCATTGTACTTTTCAGAGTCGCCGGCAGTATCTGAAACGGTCGGGGCGTGGGTTAACGTGGGTGAACCCTTTTCGTCAAATTCGGGGTGGCCATTCCCATTAGGAGGCATATCGAATAAGATTCCGCTGACTAGTGTCTATTCAATTAAATGGGCAAATGATTCTAAATGTAGTGCTCGGACTCCTAGCAATCGAAAAACGATTACTGTTAATTGTTGTAATGGATTATAGAGATTACGTAGGTAAGTTAATCAACGACAGTATAGGTCGTAAAATAAAAGTAACGAATGTCGAGTCAGTTCCCTTGAACACCTCTGTTGTAAAAATTGTGAGATACTGGCGAGGTGAATGTGTGAATGTGGTGGGTAGAAAGTTATAGAACACACAATGAAGTGGTCTAGATCTGGAGCTGTTTTCGACGATCCTAAGTTACCTATAAACTGGATCAAAGTCGGGGAAGCTTGCTTGAAGATCTGTAATAAAACTTTGGGTAGGCGGTCAGAGGAAAAAAGAGAAAAAATGAATGTGAATTGGTGGTTGGAAAAGCGAATGTATACTACCGTGACTACCGGGAAACTCGTGGAAGATGTTGAACCGAAGCTGGAGATTTTTCAGGAGAAGATCTTCGATGCATTCAAGATTTAAACATGACGCGAGGCCAAGGCCCACTTAGTGCCTTTAGTCCTGCTTTAGCTTTGTCCAAATTTTGATAGGGGATCCTCTTCCACTTCCTTAGCTGCTTAGGCACTTCTTAGGCCTATCTTGGCCACAAGGGGCGCCGGCAACTCACTACACTAGTGGCCACTCCTCACTAAATTTGAGTGGGGGTACCCTCCCGTAACACCTTCTCCAACTTGCTCAGCTGGAGAAAAAAAAAAAACACTGTGACCGCACGATGATAAGAAAAGTCCACAGTCACCGCATCAATTAAGTGGACTGTACGCGTGTATTTGGAGGTACAAAATAGATTGAAAAGGCATCGAATTCACTCTTTGGTTAGTTACTTGGGCAATTCTGATAAAGAGTAATTTCCTAATCCTATCTATAATCTATTTATAGACTTTTGTCTTAACTGTTTGTTTAAATCTTGATTGTTTGATAGGCTACTATAAGAGATCTAAAACTAACAGTCGAGATTAAAGATTGGGATGGTGGCCCATACAATTAGGTGTCTAACAGTGCTGTATTCAATGCGCGAATACCCCCCACACTACCTAGGTACCACCCATCAGCACTATGTAGGTCATTAATTACTAGCTCCTCCACTACAACCGACGGAGCTTGCGAACTCAAAACTCCATTCTCTCCGCTACAATGTCGTCATAAAGCTTGACTCTGCCGTGAATTGATAAGAATCGTATGAGGATTTTATAAAGTGATGCATTGTTAAAACTAAATAATTAAGTCTAAATTTGGAATATTTTATAAATGTCTGGCTACCTAGGTAGTTAATAAAGATAGATTCCAAAAGCATTATGTTCCCCCTTAATAATATCACATGTCAGTACATCTCGTTTCGTTTTAATTTATACAGTATATAAGACGGAATTAGCCATACTGTATCAGCATCCAGCACACACCAACGATATCTATCAATGCAGGGGCGGTGGGGCTCTGCTCTAGCAGCCCTGAACTTGTTAATTCTTGCCGGGAGTGGGAAGGGAGGAACGGACAAGCGGGAACATGCCTCGGATCCTATTTTAATTCGTGTTTTACATCATTAGACGAGAGCTAATTGGTTAGATCAGTTATTAGCCAAGCTACCTAAACGAGACAAATGCAGGCCTAAAGCAAGCCACTGAAAAGGCCATCCCGCCGATAGAGCCTCAACCAAACAAGTCTCTCAGTTAAAGGGGGCTAGAGAAGAGAAAAATGGTCGCATCGCACGATATGACATGTGCAGCTAGAATCACCGTTCACTATACCAACCATACATGTCTTAATCCAGCGAGACGATCGACGTGACGCAGCTGCAAGATACGGCACGAAAAGGACGAAATCTTGCTTTGGCGTTGAATTAGACGTTTATTGTCACCCTTTAGAGCAACGAGGCATTTATAAGATTAAGTAGATGGCTACTTGGGACCATCCAATATACCTTCTTGGGTATATACGAAGAAATCACATAAAAATATACAGCCATTCAATTTCCACCATCAACGCCAACTACGCCATCAAGCATAGTCGAAGGTGATCCATTGCGCAGCAACACACGAGCATACCCCTATTTTATTACTCTTGTACACCCTCTGACGTCAATGTCTTACCCGTGTGGGCTGAGTGCAGAATATTGTATTATCTCCTTCACATTAAAAGAGAACCCTGATAAAGTAACAAAAAAAGGACAAACTCCTCTTTTCAAGCCTCGGGACTTTCTGCTTACACTGCTCCATACCGGCCTACCAAACCGACCCCGCGATCTATCGTAGCCCCAGATCGGTTCTGACAAAAGTCTTAGTAGAGATCTTCCCAAAAAGACCGCTTCTCGCTTTTGGTGGGACACAAGCTGCAGGATAAAAAACAACCGGGTCCTCTGTCGTCATTTACAGCCAGTGGTTTTTCGGCTCTTCTGGGGATAAGATCTGACACGTTGCAGTGGACACTCTCGCGAACCATGGAAATAAATCTTCACCCGCAGCATCCGTGATGAACATCGTCATTGGACGCTATGATCTTTTTTTTTTTCGCACGTCCGTTGATACTACCAAAAGAACAGCGCAGGTTCAAGGAAATCGACGTCACTTTGGAGCATTATAGTAAATATTCGAAATACTGACCAATTGCTATTACATTTAGTACCTTCAATTACTGTCTATCTGGTACCTAATGTATACGCTGTAGGTGTAGCCTTACAGCCTGTTTAGATATTGCCTACCCACTAAAAGTTTCTCATTAGGTCTTACAACCCCTAATAAATCTCAATTCCACATCGTATGGTGTACCCAAATTCATCGCACAACAGTTCAAAATTGCATACATCGGGCGCACATGTATGCCTAAATATCTCGGTGCTTTTGATCACAGACATCATAGATTATATTTCCAAGATCTAGAGAATTAATTCCCTAATTGTACGCGTACAACAGCGTCCCGTAGGATTCCAAGTGGCTATGCCTGCAGCGATGTATGACAATCGCCGTACCGGCAATCTGGATCGCCCCCCTGAGCTTGGTAACCCCCCTGAGAATCTGCGGCTCTCGTAATAATGAGCATGTTATGCTTTCTTGCTTATTTCAAGGTTGTCCATCCTTGAGAAATATAACACGTCAAATCCAGCGATACATCGAAATTAGAGATTGGGCGCGTTAAATCTAAAGCTTTCAACTAAAATACAGTTTCTCTCCATCGCAATGGGGATCTTTTTCTGCCAAATGCTAGAGGAAATGTCCACTGCTAGCAGCCCCCGACAACTAGATTAACACATAAGCATAATGCCTAAGGACACTTCGGGATTCGCTAACATTAGACCATGATATCATGATACCATGGTATTCAATGGTGCTTCTAGTCCTTCAGTATAAACACGATTTTGTTCGCAATCCGCGCGGTAATTCTGGGAAATTCTTTCCTAACGGAACCTTTTATGCATTCATACCGGAAACAACACGAACCGAATTACTACCAGAAAACCCAATATTCTTAGGGTTAGTCTGGCAGGTTCTTCAAGACCAATTCTGCTCGTACACATTTGGTTTTCTTATGGTTTTATTCTTTTTCGACTTTACCATGTTATAATTATACCATCAGGTACAAATCATGCTACCATTTTAAACACATCTATAAATCCAACTTGCATAGAAATATAGACGTTACAGTTGGAAAGTAAGTGAATCGCAGTTGTTTCAACTAAATGCGCTAAAGCTTGGTATAGTGTAGGCTCGCTAGGCCTAAAGAGCTAAGGGTTTAATCTTCCAAAGGTTTCCAGCGCGAACAACCTCAATTGGATGGTTTCAAATCAAAACTATAACATAACGTAGACTGGCTCAATTGGACGCCCACAGGATACTGATGAATAAGTCATGAATTCATCGTGTAGTATAGAGGATGAGCAATTGTCAAGTTGTTTGAATGAATAGTGTCTGATTTTCGTAGCTCTGAAAAAGAAATGAACTTGGGGTTGTACAATAATTGTGGTATTAAGTAAGCCATACAAACTCTAGATTTTTGCCATTAGATAAGACTAAAACTTTAAGTCTCTTTAACTTCTATAATCTATTCCCATTTAAGAGTCCCACGTGTGTGTATTAGTAATTCGGACTTTAACGAAGTAAAGCAAATTCTTTGTGAAGGCATCACCATGCCGTGAGGCCTCAATGGACAACCAGGCCCCCCTGTCATTCTCGTTCCGCGATCGCGGCATGTTACCGTAGCATGGATCTCAATTATCGCAACCATAGCGTAGGGGTCTCTTTCACGATAAACGTCGCTTCCATCCAAGACGAGACCTCATCTTCTCACACATCGTCAGGATGACTGTAACATCGTCTAACAAAAATCCCATAAATTTCAACAATTCCAACGGTCGTGCTGACGAGGTATTAAATACTCGCGAAGCGTCGGATGAGGATTGGTCGGGTTGCTTGGCACGCGCCGGTGTGCTCTCGCGAAAATGGGGCCTTCGAGTTCAGCTGCTGCACGCTACACGCCACCAATTTCAATGGACCGCCGTCCAGAATGGCTAGGCATTTGTGCTAAACCGCGGGCGTTGGAGCTTAGCTGAATGATCAAAGGGTCTGCCCCCATGGTGGTGCGCCCTCTTGCAATGGAGGATCGCGAGGCAATTTGTCGTGTGCGACCTAGACTCTCAGCCGCCCGACAGCAGGTCACATCGGGTTTTTGTGCCCTCTGCCTAAGAAGGATTTTTCTGTTTCGCTTATAGTGTATACGAGCGGTTCTGATTCATTTGATGTATCGATTCTTTTGAGTTCTTGGATGTTGTTTTATCTTGATTTGCCTTCTTCTATCGTGTATTAGTCAACGATTCATCTCTGCGTGTTCCAAATCCTCTCATTACCAAGCGAGCGAGCGAGTGATCCCATTAGTACCGCGCGTACCTTTATATACCATATCCGACCAAAAAAGGCACTGTCGAGTTCGGGCTCGCTTTCTTCAAGCATGTCTCTTCCTGCGGGATGGGAATCCGATTATGAGAACGGCCGATGGGTTTACCGCTACAAAACAACGGGATTGACACAATACCATTTCCCACGGCCGGGCGACGAATTTCCTGAATTAGTAGGGCTTGGTTTCGGTCCGCTCGACGTTCCGTCTAATCACGAACTTACTGGTGGGCACCAAGTTGACGTACAAAGCACGCCGAATGGATTCAATCATGTTGAGTCTGAGGCAAGGCAACATGGGGGTGGAGGGAGTCAAATAGCAGCAAATAAGGGAGGAGGTTCGATGAGTGCTACTGGCTATTTCGATCCTGATATTGTCCCGTATTTCGGCGATGACGATATAAGTCCAGTCGGCGGCAATGCGACTCCTGGGCTGACACCACAAACTAGTAAAAGTGAACCTGTAATAGCGGAACTTCCTGAAGAATCTAAACACGTCCAATCTCCCGTCGGCTTTGTCGCCGAACTAGCTAGCGGCGAGACGGCAAAATGCGCAGAGGAGTTGGCTCCAATCGAATTAGACGCGACTCAAATAGCACCAGCTGCTTTGCAGATCAATATTCATCAGAATGGTCCGGCAGAGCTACCAACACATAGAAGTCCAGTCGAACAGAAGCAACCACCACAACAACCCGCCCAAGAGAATACGCAACCCGTCGATGACTATCCGCTATGCTCGGCTTCTTTCGCCGCATATCCCCCTTTAAAAACAGCCACGAGACCTGTTGACAATACTGTTCACCAAACGAATTCTTCGACTCAAGAGCAAAAAGTCCTCGCTTCTCAACGACCGACAGAGACCCAACCAGAGCAAAATAAATATGAGACGTGGAAACCTGCGGATGGAGTCGTCAGTGAGGAAATGAGAAATCCGAATAGGCAGTCGATGGCGCTTTCTGGTATATCGGTCCTTGAATCTCAGAATAGCGATCTTGGGCCTATGGACCAGAAGCGACATTCTCTTTCGGGACCTTTACAGTCTTCAGGAGGAACTGCCGATCTCCCTGGGATTTTGAGACCGCCGTCTGGTCCGAAGATGTCAACATCCGCACCTGCGACTCCACCCCAGGTCGAATCCTCCCCTATTCCAGCTGCCTTACAACCTGCCGCAGCGCCATTGAAATTGTCCTCGTCGCAAGACAATTCCCAGCAACAGCCTAATGGGCATCCTCGCCTGCCCGGATCCGGGGCAAGGCACGAAAGCATTTCTTCAGGCTCTGGAGTATCTGCCCTCAATTTAAACCCATCTCAAGTTCCGCCGGCGCTCAAACCGGCTCAAAGTCTTCCAACTCCAGGTGCTCAGGGCCCCCAACAAATGCAAGCGAATGATGTTCGTCCAGGTGCTCATAGAGTCAACACTTTGCCGGCTCATGTGTTGTCTCATACTCCTTCGTCTTCGCCCCCTAAACTAGGGGGACCTGGGATATACGTCTTTCAGGAAATACCTGCAGCCACGAGCTCAGCAGCACAACAACATCAGAACAAGCCACACGGCTCTGTCAATCCTAACTCGGGAAACCCAAACCAGCCTACAGAGCAATATCATCCCATCATGAGTCAACCACTCCCCGTCATTGCTCCATTATCCGTATCTAGACCCCAGAAGCCGGCAAGCCCAGACAAGCCCTCAACGAACTCTAGCATTTCCGACGGACCAAGGCCTCCCAATTCTCAGTCGCCTGCGCCGAACACGCTAGCTGGTACTCAGACCACTGCTACACCTAGACCTTCAGTACAGAACAATCAACATAATGGGATAGGTCTGATCCAGGGAAGTTCGGCTCAACCTACTTCTACCGCCCTTCCTTCACAGGGGATGAACATCCAGCAGCCACCACAGACAAATCATTCTGCTTCACCCCAGAGCTCTACTTCAAGTTCTCCAACCTTGCAACAGAAACTACCGCGAAAACCCTTGCTACCACAACGGCCCAATTCTACGACTGGAATATCGCCGGGGCAACAAATACAGGCACAGAATCATCGGCCTCAGTCGATATCTGGATCATCACAACATCCATCGCCAATTCCCCAGAATTCAACAATGTATGCTACGTCGCCAAATACTCATTCGCAGAGCCAACCATCCGTAACGAACGGGTCTAGCTATAGTCTAGCGATGTCAATCCAAGTTTCTAATGGAGCCAATTCCCCAGCTAGTGGTCAAGCTCAACCTGTATCTACCCAGGCCGCCGTACCTAACCCTCAGAATGCAGTGCAGAGGCCACAGGCGAATCAGAACCAGAGGCCTCCAAGCACCCAACCAGGAGCATACGCTGTCAGTCAACAGCCGATGATAGCAGGAAATATTGCAGGGCAACATAAACCACAGTCGCCGCCTCCCGCAGCTCAATCTGTATCTCCACTTCAGAGCCAGGTGTCGTCACCAACTTCCTCAATTATCTCGATGCATCGTCCACCATCTTCGGCATCGTCGCACACCGTTTTCAGTGCGCAAGGGGTTGCGGCTCAGAACCGTCCACCCTCCACTATTCAACAGAATCCATCTCATGTCATCAAACCCACAGGATTACAGGGCAACGCACAGGTTAATCAACCAGCTGGACCACCTGTTAATAATGCGTCAAAACCCTTCCCAATGCTACCTGGACAAGTTAAGCCGATGGCCTCCCAAGTTGGATCAACTCCTATGCCTATGCAGGCTCAACAAGTTCATCCTGCGCCGGCACATGCCCAGTATCCGCAAGGCCAGATGACGCCGATGAAGCCTCAGCAACAACCGCAGCAGCAAATGAATCTGCACATGGCACAGGTAGGAGCGCAAAGACCACCCCAACAGCAACACATACAGGGACATCAGATATCTCCTTCAGGGCCCGCAATACATGGTCAGCCAATACCAGCGGTAACACAACATGGACAACCCCGTCCACCTGTACATACAATGCCGGTCCAGCAACATATACCTGTAAATTTGGCAACACAAGTGCAGAATCAAGCATCGCATATACACCAGGGCACGGGTCAAGCCGGGCAATCACCTAACGGGCAATCGATAATGAATTCAACGCAAGGAACTTCATTCCAGCTCCAAGCATCTCTTACGACACAGTCCTCCCATACAGCAACATCACAAACGCAGGGGGCGTATGCATCCATTAATGGTCAGCATATGGGGCAAGGGCAGCAGCAGCAACTTGCCCAAATCCCTGGATCCCAATCTAGCTTGCCACCAAACTTCGGAGGCAAACATTTTGACTCGGCTCAGGCCGCTGCTGCCATAACCGATGCTGGTAAGAAGATGAAGAAATGGGCTAAAAAGACATGGAGCAATCCAGCCGTAAAGCAGACTACAGTTGCTGTCGGTGGTGCATTTATGGGCGAGTCGTTGGGTGGAAATGCAGCTGTGGGTGCTTCTTTAGCAAATAAGATATACGCTTCTACTCAGGGTCAACAGCAAAATGGCCAGCAACAACGACCTCCAGGGCCTCAACATGCCCATACCGCTCCACCTCAAGCCCAGAATCTGCAATCCCCGAATGCTGTGCATCCGAATGTGCAGGCTATGAATCGGCCACCATTACAACAGGGTATGCAACCTATGGGTGTTCAGACTCCAGGCCGACCGCCCGTCGTACAAAATCCAGGTACAGTGGGGCAGACAATGAACCAAAATGCCTTGCAACAGCAGCAGCAACAGCAACAGGCGATAATGAACCAACAACAGCAACAATACCAAATAGCACGACCTCCTGTAGGGCGTCCCCCGATTCCTCAGCAACAACAGCCTGTCGCTTTTGGTCAACCTGTCTATCAAGCTCCTGTTGGCCAGCCAATGTTCCAAGCACCTCAAGGCCAACAACCACTTTACCAGATGCATCCGAATCAAGTCGGCTACCAAGCGCCTCTCGGTCAACATCCATATCAAGCCGCTGGAGGCGTCGACCCCTATACAGCTATAGGTGCTACGATGGGAGGCGCCTTAGCGGCATTCGCTTCAAGTAAACCTGATTCGTCGGCCCCGGCTAGTTCCCAGCACCATACAACCGAGTCCCAACCTCAGGGACACCATGCGGAACAATCCGAACAGCACCATGAGACTCATTCCGAACCCCAACACGGAGGCAACTCCGAACAAGGTCATGCAGAGCAGTCTGGGCAGTATCACGGTCAATCGGAACATTATTATGACCCCTATTCTGAGCAAAATAAGACGGGTTATTCCGAACAACACCAACAAAGTCATTCTGAGCAACATAATAACGGTTACTCCGAGGAAAACCGCGATACACATTCCGAGCAGCCATCCGACACACAATTCATGGTAGACAACTCGAACAACGAAATAAACTACGCCCCGCAAGACACGACCGTCATCAACCAAACAATAATCAACAACGTCGACAACTCGGCCACTCAAATAAGCAACAACGACATGAGTTACACCGACAACACGCAAAATATCGATAATTCAGCGACGCAGAATAATAACAATGATATGAGCTATAACGATAACTCGGCAACACAAATCAATAATAATGATATGAGTTACAACGATAACTCACAGATGCAAAATGTGGATATGACGAATATGAACATGGTATACGCAGACTCGACGACGTATATGGATAATTCTACCAATGAAGCGAATGCGTATGCAGAGTCGAATTATGTGGATCAGTCTAATATGGATATGAGTATGGATATGAACAATGAAGTTAATGCGTTCGCGGATGCTTCGTATGTAGATTCTTCGTATGCCGAGACGGCGTATGTAGATGCTTCGTATGTTGATACTACGCAGGTTGGTATGGATATGGGTAGTGCGGAGTATATGGGGGATCAGACGGGTATGATGGGTATGGAGGAGAGTGTGAGTGTGGATGTTGGTACGGTGGATTATTCGGGTGGTGATTGGGGTGAGTGGTGATGATGATGTCTTGGTTTATTGGTTTGGATATTGGATCTTGAGCGTTTTCATTATGCATTGTATTGAGCTATTTGATTTTGGAACGATACCATTGCAGTATTTATCGAGTATATGAAAAAGAGCGAGCGAAATTTAGGTTGTTATATACTTTCAATACATCATCTGGTTGTCTGTCACCCCCTTTCTTGTTACACACGCCATGGCATGAACCACATCTAGTTACGCTCGAGTGAGCTACTTTAGGATGATTCATATGCTTGGAATTGGCTTCGTGATATATATTTCCTCTTCATACCCAGGTAAAGACAGTTTTTTGGTAATATCATACAGAATTCCCTCCTTACGCCAAACTTTGAGAAATAGTCTAGTCTAGGCAAAAATCTCCGCCACATACCGCGATGGCTCGAACTGCGCAAACCACGCAGCCTCCTCCCCGTCCCCAGTCACCTTCTCTGCTTCTGCCTCTACGGCAACCTCCCTTATAATCTTCCGCACATCACTAGCCATCTTCGAATTTCCACAAACAAAAAACTTCGCCCCTTTCTTCCACAATTCAACCAATTGCGCCCTCCGAGCCTTGAGTGCATCTTGTACATGCCCTCCCACCACATTCTCCACCCCTAAACCATCACTACTACGACTATAAGCCCGGACTACCCCAACAACGTCCGTCTCCTCGGCCTTATCTAATTCCTCGCGGTAAATATCATCTTCCGTCCCCCGACACCCAAGAAACAGCAATGTTTCGGCTTTTGCTCCGTCGGAGACACTCCGACGCGCACTAATCTCCTGCAGAAAACCCCGAAACGGCGCGTACCCCGCACCAGCTGCAATCATAACTATCGGGATTTTGTCCGACGGTACGCGGAATGCATCGCGTGCTTTTTTGATGCCGACGTATACTACGTCTCCTCTGGTAAGTTCGGCTAGGTATGTGGATGCTACGCCTTGGAACCGGGATGCTGAGTTAGAACGCGCTGGTTGGTCTAGGATGGAGAAGGTTAGGGATGAAGGCACAGTAGCTGATTTATTAGGGCTTGAGGTTTGTGATGTAGGTGGTGCGGATGAGATGGAATATGTGCGTAGACGTAATGATGGGACGAGGCTTAGGAATGTGCCGAAAGGAAGATCGACGTCGGGGAAGCGCTCGAGAAGGTCTAGGATCGAAGTCCGCGTATCGCGGATCTCGCTCTCGTAGGATTCTGTGGCGAGGCGTTCGAGCGCTTCGCGTGTTTTCGGGTTTGTGCTAGCGGCGGCTAGGACGCGGGTATCCTGCGTCTGAGTTAGTAAGAGTAAAAGGAGGAATTTTTCATAACGGACTGAAGACTGACCCTCGGTGTCGCAGGCTGCGCGAGCTCGACATGACAACTTAGTATATCGGCCGCCGAAACCACAGTCCCCTCTTGACTTATGCCGGTAATATTTTCACCTGACGCATAGGTAATCATCGAATCCCTCGATAGATGGAACCTCGCTAGCGCACGCTTTACTGTTGCCCATGGGTTAACCGGGAGAACTGTTAGATGATCCCCAGCCTCATATCGGGTCCCAGCAGGTAGTTCCAATTCGACATGCTGTTTCCTAACCAGCGCATCCGATGCCGTTAAACTTCTCGAACCCGTCACAAGTGCTTCGATGAGACCTTCATGCATTTCCACTCTTCGCGGTCGTTGTACATCCACCTTTAACAAACTCCGCACCAACTCCCCGTCGTCCCGCGCGTATCCTAACGCCGGCCAAAGTTGTTCACTAGACCACGTCTCAAGGTCAGAAAATAAATCGCTGACGGCAGCATCAGCGGTGCCGAGAGGCGCGATGCGTGTTGCGCCGGCTTGCGAAAGGAGAGTGTCGACGATTTTAGGAACATGATGGAATGTTGTCGTCCAATCGCGGTGGCCGCAGCCGAAGATGGCGTACTGAACTCCTTCTAGCGGAGATGGTGAAGTATTTAAGTTCTCTAGCCACTCGACGAACTGCGCGGCGTTATCAGCTGGTCGACCGTCATAAGACGCCGTCAATATAACAACAGGCTGGTCCGTCGGAAGCTTCCGCGTCGCGGAATCCACAGGTGCAATAGTCGCCGAGAAGCCCTTAGTCGCCGCATCTTTCGCCAGGTGATGAGCAAGAGCCTCACAAGTCCCAGTGTTTGACCCATATAGAAACGTAATCGGCTTACTATCCCCTTGCGTCCGCGACGTCGCAACAGAAGTCAAAGACGACGACGTCTTCAAAACCGGGCTCGAACCATGGTCAATCGCTTTCGCTAACTCTGTCGCATCTTCATAATGTCTTATTTTCGCACGAATATAAAATCCCTCCGGCTTCAGAGTCAGAGTTTCCTTGATCTTGAGCTTGTAAGTAGGATCCGCCATTTCTAGCGTGAAGTGCTGTAGAACCATGGATACTACCAACAGTGCCTCTTGCCAAGCGAAGGCCCGTCCGATACATCCTCGCATTCCGTTGCCGAATGGTTTCCAGGCATTTTGTGGAATTTTGGGAAGGTTTTCGTCGAGCATGCGCTCGGGCTTAAATTCTTCGGCGTCTTCACCCCAGGCCTCCTTATCTCTGTGTACGCCGTGGAGAAAACCCATAATGTGCTGGCCAGCCCGGATCAGGTATTTGCCACCGATTATTTCGTCCTTATCGGAGTATACCGCAAACGCGGGCGCAGTGGGTTGTAATCGGAGTGTTTCTCGGAGAACCGCGTTGATATAGGGCAATTTCGAAAGATGTTCAGTTGTAAGCGCATTCGTGCCAGCGACTTCGTCAATTTCTTGTCGCGCTTTTTCCAACGTTGAAGGGTTCGTTATCATGTAATAAAACGCGAATGAAAGCAGCCCAGATGTCGTTTCGTGTCCAGCTATTAGAAAAGTGACCATATTATCTATGATCGACTTATCCGACATACCCTTCCCAGTCTTAGGATCCTTCCCCATCAACATAGTGTTAAGAAGATCAGGTGCTGCCACAGGCTGGGCCCGTCTTTTTTCGATAATGCTTTCGCTAATCGATCGCATAACGTTGGTATGTTTTTTCATGTTCTTGCTAGCTGAGAATCGGATGGCATTGATAGAGTCCGGGTAACCAGATTGGATATCCGCTTCGTGAAGCGCTGCGAGCATGCTACCCACAAAAGGATGCAGCTTCTCACCGGCGTAGAAGCTATTAAAGCGGAAGCCCATCGTGCATAGAGCGATTGTATCTAAAGTTAGACGAGTGAAGTCATCAGCAACAAGGATTTCTGCTGTGTCTCCATGTCTGGCCCTTCAAATTGTGGTGTTAGCACATCCCTTGTTTGGATAGGGGTAAAACACGTACCATTTCAAAGCCAACTGCGACGCGATATCTTTCATCTGCGGAAACATCTCCCGTATCTTCATAGGACCAAATATCGGCATCAAAACCCGATGAGCGATTCCCCAATTTTCCTCCTCATTGTATGCTGTAAACAAGCCATCCCCAACAGCCTGTCGCATCTTTTCTATCCCACTGTGAACGGCTTTCTTAAAGCGCGATTCATCGCATAGTTCGTTCAGCAACGCAGCTGTATTCACGAAAATCACACGCTGTCCCGCGAAATCGAAAGCAATAGCATCCCGGAATTCGGGACGTTGTACTAACTCTAAGATCGAACATATCGGCGAGTTCACGTCGATAGAGAAGAGATTACCAAGAATTGGGACACCTAATAGACGTTAGAATCTGAGAAAATTCGAGACTGAATCTACTCACCTCTTGGTCTTGGCACTTTCATGCCCTTTTTTGTAGTAGTTTCTATCGCCATCGAGACTATACTATATAAGCACCGAATATGAACCAGGGGGAAGAGAGGGGTTGAAGATTATTGGCCGTTGCGTATAAATCCACGAAATCGCTAAAAAGCAGCTCGCTGTGTGTTAATATACATCCAAAGAGACTGAATATCCAAGATGGATTATATTCATCATAAGCAGATACAAGGGTTTCATGATGATACACCTAGCAGGGCGCTATACATTATAAATCTATTCAACCCTGTTGGCTTGTAAGATTGTTAGCCTATAAGAAGTGGATTCCGCGGACGACCGACACGTCAGGTCCACATTCGGTCCCCGACGGCCCCGGAAGCTGTCCGTGGCTACGGATGGTATTGAGTATGCGATCGTGGCAGTGTATAGAGTACCTAATACTAGCCAATCGCCTTTGTATTATATCAAAACATTATTGTCTCGATTGTCGTGGCTGCCTGTTTTATACGTCATCAGCGTTGCCGGGAAGCCGAAAATATTCCAAGCGTTAGTCTCCACGAAGGACTTTTGGAAGATCCAAGCTTACCTGGGGTCTTGAACCAATAGCACGTTTACGCCTCTTACTAAGACTATTCCCATGTTATTATCTGATTTGATCACTCGTTTCTTCAACAATCTAGAAATGGGTTAGTAGAACGAACTATCCACATAAGCGTTTTAGCGTGAGGTCCTAGCCCCTATTCCAAAGTTCCTTTACAGCTGTCATGTTAGTCGAATATTAAACTTCCTAGTATCGATCTAACCTAGAAGTAATGGTCGTGTCGGCGTATTTATAGGATCTAGTCTAACGGTGCCGTATTTAAAATGAACTAATGATCGCCTCTGCTTTCGTATATACTGCTTTGCCACTCAAACCAACAGTCAAACTTGCAGTGACATCTGGTTTACCACTGTATAACACTCATAACTATTCAATCCCTCTTAAATGTAAGGTCTTTCGGATCCTTTGACAACGCGACGGATATGCCTTTTACCTCCTTCTCCAGTTCGGCATTGCCTCGCAGAGCTTCGCCTTCAGGAGCCCAACCATCTAGGTTGTGAAAAAGCAAAGGTAGGCTAGAGCACTTCCAGACTGGCAAGTCGCTCCTGTTAGTCTGTATGACCATCCATACGACTAATATAAGACTCAGTACAGCCAGGGTAAACGGAAGTGCTATCCAGCCCCACCGAACCTGAATGTAGACTTTGGTGTGGAATACTTTTCCTGATGCTGAAGTGCTATTACGGCCGTATCGAAGAACTTCTGTTATAGCATCGGCGATATTCCGGGTTGTCTGTCCAATATCATCGGCTTTGGCAAAGATGAATCCTAGGTTTGGGGCGTCCGTTTGCGTATTGGGCATGGCGACGTCGCCGTCTCTCCACCCAGAGGTAAATATCCCATCAAGGTAGCTTATCAGATTCTGATAATCTACAAAATTAATCCAATACATGCCTGCCAAATCGGGAGTTGAGTTCCCTTTCAAGTTGTATATCTGGTTAGTATACGTCTTGTTGGCTATATTTGTGCTTCTGTTTTGGAAATTGCCCGTGTATACCAATAAGTCCTCCGTTGGGTTAGAGGCCTTCATTTCTCCATTTGTCATGTCCACTTTCTCAAATGTCTTTGCACATATGGCGATCATGCATCTCCACCCAATTGGGTCATGGAGCGTCAAAGCCGTGTCGGAGGCGTTTGCTGCCTTCGGTTTTAGTTGAACAGCATCAAAATTTACTAACGCTATATGGTAAGTCCTAGACGTGACAGGGCCCTCGGTAACTTCCCCGGGGGGACCAAGAGAATATTTATCGGGGGAAGATGTATCAACACTAGCGTTCCACATTGTGGGATTGGAATAGTTTATGTCGGGAACATCGGTGTATACGTAGCCGGAAAGAACTTGACCAGAGGGCATTCTGTAGTCGCATTGGTATTCATCATCATCGATTGAGGAGCAGTTTGTTTTTATTTGTTGGGTAACATTGGTGCAGCGAGCACAAGTACCGAGTGTAGTGATAGGAGGCCATGTGCAGTTGCCAGTTGGGCAAGCCGCCGCAGGCGGCGGCGGCTGCTCGGAGGCTGCTTTTAGGATCGCAGATTTCATCTGTGCATCAAGCGAAGTTACTAGAACAGACAACGCCAATTAGCACTAGAGGGCTGGATAGAATTTGATGAGTAATATATAAAACGAGATATTGTCCCCGAATGAAATACATAACAAGTGGTTTGCGAAACTGGTTTAAAAGGGCAGAGTGAGTAGATGTAAACGTACGAAGAAGATTTGTGGTATCATAAATATACGTGTGGTTGAAGAATCCGTGTACGCCTGGTTCTGGTCGCGAAAGGCTAGGAAATGAGAAAACCAATTGCATGAATGGGTCAATTAAAAGTGCTGCGATAACAACAACTGAGGCAAGGGAAGCAAGAGCAGACCGAATATGTTTCTGTCGTACTAACTCGAGTGCTCCTAATGGCCCTCTCGACGCTGCATCGAAGACCTCGAGGTCAATCAGGGGGTTTGCTCTCCCATGAAAATGCTGCCATTTCAACTGTCCAATAACCTCGGTGATAGCTAAAATCATGGAAGACTTAGCGATTGTCGCGATAAATGCTACTGTAGCAGTAGGGCCGATGCTCCACGGCCACTGTTCGAGGGATTTGTTGTTTTCGATAGATAGTACTGCGATTATACACTGGATGCTAGCGAAGCTGAGAAAGCACGCGCCGATCTCCCACATCCAGAATTTGAATTTCCGCTTTGAATAGTTGAGCTTGGCTTGCTTCTCAGCGGTATTCATTTTCGTCTCTGGTGTTGAGTCGCCTGCTGGGGGCGCGAGGAGGCTCTCATTAGCCGAGTTTCTGTTGTTTGAGTCCGTGTCCCGGTCCCGGCCCCGCTCATCGAAGCCGTCGTGTCTTGAATTCTCTTCATGCTCGTTTGGAAGTGCTTCCTTGTTCGACTGATGAGGGTCGGCACCGCGTTGGGGCGACTGCAAATCTTCGGAAGACCGCATTTCACCGTATTGATTCTGCTCTTGTGTTTTCGATTGTAGAAGTGTACAAGTGGGGGAAATTCGGCGACCGAGGTTAGGGCCTCCATTTTGGGGGCAGGCGGCCTAGGCTAATCCTTATAGCAATATGCTGTCACATTAGGGTGTCGATGAGATATGTTACCTAGGCGGCTCTTGGGCTGCTATCTAGTCGATTCGTTGACTAAACTGGTGATGCGCCCACTGGAGATGCTCCAAGTTTAAACGGATTAGTAACTATGTAGTATCAGGCTTTGCGGTGTGAACACTGCCGCTGCTGCAGGAGGGCCACTATCCCCATGTGATTGGACCGGGGTTTGGGGGATATTGATTCAGCTCTGATCGATTTGGGATACCAACATATGCGATTGCATAGCATCAACAAATCGACGTCCTAAACGTGGAGAAAATTAGGCAGTAGCGGCTAGCCCGAACGAAAAACCACGGTAGCAAAGAATCGATAATTGCCACTGCGTCTGAAATAGGAGTAGCTTGGCATATCATGCCATTTCTATTGGTATCATATCAATGTACAATCATTTTTTATACAATAGGGAGTAAACTTCGCTTCATTTCAGCTTGCTCAAGAGCTCTTGAGCCCTTTCCACCAAACTTCTGGCTCTGTTAAGCTCTTGTTGTCCGTCAATCGTATCTTTGGAAGATCGACCTTGCTCCAAGGCGTCGCCGATCACGGTTTCGACGCCTCGGACGGCTTTTCGGCCTTCTTCTCTTACTTCGCCCTCCCAGAATTTGCGCGCTGTTTCCCATTGCTTCTGCATGCGTCGCATGCTCCATACAATACCGACAGCGGCAACGGCACCAGCTTCGTAAAGGGTTGCTGTTAGGGTGCTGAAGTAGACGAGTACTCCAAGTGCGGTAGTGAGTCCTGACGTGCTAAGCGTTTGTAACATGAGTTTTTGCGCGAGCGCTTGCAACGCTGGAATAGTTTCCGTTTGAAGATAGCGTCGAGTACCGGGGATGTTTACGGGCCAAGGAGCCGTCGGTGGTGTAGTAGTCCCGATATCCAATTGCTTCGGCTCTATGGCATTTTCATCGGGAGAAGCTGGATTTGGGAAAGGACCCAGATCAAAGCCAGCTTCTTTCATCCTTCCAGCGAGGAAAATGGCATTTCTTTCCGAGTCCGATAGAAAGCGCTGACTAAGGATGTCATTGGTGAGCATCCCCACATCATCCACACGCCAAAATAGTTTCCACCATCCTAATTTGCGCCATCTCTTACTGGAGAACGCTAAGTCAAGCTGCTCTTGCAACTCGGCGTGTGCACTTTGTGCCCACTCGTCCAGGCTATTTCGTAGTATTATTAGAGAAGTCGGTGACGATGTGGTAGATAATGACGATCCAAGCTGGCGGGCTCGCTCACTTTCTATGGTTGCGAATGTATTCCTAAGCAATGAACCAATCAGCTCTTTGACTGGCGGCTTAGTAATCCCTTCAGAAGAAGCCATGATGTCGGCCTTTAGCCATTCGACCAATTTTGGGATGTTGCTTTGAAACCAAAGGTGCTCAAACTCGATGGCATTTTTGAGATCTTTGCGAACAACTCCCAGGCCAAGGTTCGCGGTCTCGATGTCGATTGGAGTAAACGGTAAAAGTGAAGTATCCGCCGGTTTGTATTCAGGTAAATTCACTGCAGTTGCGATCACATTTTTGCTCTCCAGTGTGGGCATCGACACTATCGATGCCGCACCTAGAATACCATCTGCCACAATCAAGGATTTATGGACCGGCGTCGTGATGGGGGTATATCTTCCTGTACTTGATGTGGGTATGTCGACAGATGGAACTAGTACCGAATCTTCGAACCCCTCTAAAGCACCTATCTCTTGCGCAGATAAAAAAGGGTTCGCCTCCATAAGTAACAACTCTAGATTGTGGCCATTAAGTGTAGCAGATGAGACATTGACTTCATGCAATAAACTCCCTTTCGTCGCTACCGACATAGACCCAAGCTCTTGAGGTATATCGGCTCCAACTCGTACGATCATCGGTTGCGACAGATCATGACTGTCGACCTCTTTCTCCCATTCTTCCTCAGCCTTCAGTGGATCCGCGAGCAGTAATCTTAACAATTGTTTCGCGGTCTGGCCGGACTCGGAGCCATTGGTCAGACCTAATATAGCGACCCGTATCGATTCATTGCCTGGTTGTTGCCGCAAGCCATTGAGGGCCAATTGTAAGCGAGAAAGATTGACATAATTGGAAGCATATTTCTGAAGTTCGAGGAGAACGTTCTCCAACTCCTTTCGAGAACTGAGTGCTGCGCGGTCGGTACTAATCGGCGTAGTCGAAGCAAAGCGACGAGGATTTTGCGATTTGCGTCTCGGACGTCGAACAGATTCGGCTTTAGGTCGACAGGACAAGGAACAAAAGAAACAGACCGAAGTAATATCCGATACCTGTGTCTTTAAAGAAAGAGGATTACGGCGCCTCATAGGCCGTAAACTTATTCGAGGAGGCATTCCAGCCTTCAATTCACGAAAATGAGCGCAGCGCAAAGCAAAGCTTGAGAAGCTTTTCTTAAATTTAAAGCTCGGACGGTTTGAAGCTTCTCTTCTAAGCTTCGAAAGCCCCCGGATTAACTCCGGATGCTGACATAACCGCCTAAGATTGAGTTTGATAGCGGATTTCTAACGGGTTCGTTAGCGTAGAAGCAGCGCTGTAATGAGGGGCATCGTCCCGCTAGAGTCTAAAGCCTAAAGCCTGGAAGCTTTATAGAAGGGAACCCCGCTAATGATTTACATGGCCTTTTCCTTCCCTGACACGTTATATCCAAACCTTCCTCCTACATAAACAAGGAGATACCCCCCGAACCAGCAACTACTTCTCCTTTATTCGACTCGATCTAATTCTGCTACTGTAGATATACCATTAATACACCCAATACATGCTATTTTACTTCTCTCTTTATACACCAACCTTATAGATACTCCGCAAGCATGGCCCAATCAACAGCCCACCGTCGGCTCTTACAAGAGTACAAGATGCTGACCAACAACCCGCCCGATGGCATCACGGCTGGCCCAGTCAAGGAAGACGACATGCTTCATTGGGAGGCCCTAATTCAAGGCCCCGAGGGCACTCCTTTCGAAGGCGGCGTCTTTCCTGCTGAGCTGAAGTTCCCGAAGGACTATCCTCTAGCACCACCTAAGATGACGTTCTTAGGAGAGATCTTTCACCCAAATGGTTTGTTACCTCCAATCCTTATATGGTAATGCCCACCGTCTAACGTGAACCAAACAATAGTCTACCCAAGCGGCTTAGTCTGTATCTCCATCCTACACCCACCTGGAGATGACCCAAACCACTACGAGCACGCATCGGAACGATGGAGCCCCATCCAATCCGTCGAGAAGATTCTCATATCTGTTATGAGCATGCTAGCGGAGCCCAACGATGAAAGCCCGGCCAATGTCGAAGCCGCTAAGATGTGGCGGGAGCGGCGACCGGAATACGAGCAGAAAGTTCGAGAGGGAGTCCGACGGATGCTCGGTCTCTAGGGGAGAAAAGACAAACCAGTTACCGTTTTCGAACTAGTGGCCAACACGCACCCTTTCAACGCAATCTCAAATCTATGTAGTCGAGCGCGACTCCATAAGCAATCATTCAATATCAAGAAAAAGAAAGCAAAATCAGGAATAGCAGCGATAGAAGAACAATCGGAAAACATATCCCTGGGAGGCGAACGCAAGATAAACGTATGGTGTGACGGACCCGATCACGCAGATGACTATTACGCAAATGGAAATTGGTTTGATGGGGCATATAATTCCGCCGACGGACGGCGTATCAACGAACTATATTCGACCGTCCTCGCTGAGAAACCGAACTTGGCAAATAGACGCGATCTAGACGAATATTCTACGAAAACCCAATGCTCAGCTGACTGGTCTGCATATGAAGATTCACAAGATGAAGGAAAACGGCGTGGTTTCGAAAAGATCAAACTAGATCCCGCTACAATAGCTTCACAGCATTTTGCTTTACACCGCCAAAGGTGATACATCTTCTACATGATCTGGGGTTGAAACTGGAGGTTTTCATTCTTTTTTTGAAGAAGCATGCATAGCGAGGTGTCTAGGTTCTGCATTTATTTATCCACCACTACTACACGAGTCACCGATTCATGAGATCATTACTATAGCGCTTGGAATTGATGAAACCGTTTAATTCATTGTATTATGTTTTAGTCATCCGTGAGTAAATGCTTCAAATCGTCGTCGCCTTTATAATAATTATCCTCGAACGCCTCGATATGCGCTATGCGCCTGTATATGCATGCTATGCTATTATATCAATGATTCTCGCAGGATCGTGATGAATGTGAATATGTTTTTCCCAAAACCAATCCATGCATGTTGTTAGAAAGGAACTTGACACCCAACTCCACGCTAGCATCCGCTAGACGGCTTTATGCCTCGATGGTCAGGTTGGCGCTATGGCCTTGGACCATAACCTCACCAGAAGCCTGTATCATAGTTAGCATCCTATTCTTCACCATTCACCTTATAATAGTAGGGAAGATACTCACACCAACGAGATACGGGATTGCAGCCCATAGCTTCCATTCACCAGCAGAAAAGGTATCCGGGATCGGGACCTCGACTGTGAATTGACCCAAAGCAGGCACGTTGTCCGGGAATATTTGGGTGTAGGAAATGCGCTGGCCCACGCAGACAATGTCGCCGCAGTCCATCTTAGCGGGTGCTAAACCCCATACGATGCCGAAGTCATCCCAGTTCTGGATGTAGTCGCTTGCTGTTAGAGTCGCGGTGATGTTGGTACCGGCTTTGGCAGACTCGGGGGCTTGGAGGTTGGATATGTAGGCTGAGGCGCTGAGCGGGAGGGCGGCCGCGATGGCGCTGGTCAAGAGGGTCTTTAGGGAAGGCATTTTGATGGTTTGTAAGCGGTGAAGGTTTGGTAGATTAGATATTAAGTTGAAGATTGAGTTATGTGGTGTGTATTAGTAGTTGCTGACTAGAAGTCTTGTTTGCGTGAGATATGATATGACCCAAGATCTGATCTTGATTTGCTTGTTTGATGCTTAGAAGGAAAGAGAAACTTTGTCTAGTTATCTATCCTCTCTTATATATACAAAGCCAGACCGCCACTGAGGAATATTCCGCCCCAAAATACACCATCTCCAGAAGTTCATGCGTGGCATCAGTCATAGCGGTACGTTGTTTGTACGATGGATTAATTGATGATGGTCCCGTCCATTCGGGAAATCCTCAATACGAAGTGATCGACGTAATTAGCTGACCCTACAACAATCCTAGACAAGAAGCGAAGTACTTTCAGCTCCCGAGGCTCCGCCTTAAATCCTAGCCTAAGCAGCCCTAATATATTAGCCTATGCTTTTTCTTTCTTCTCGTAAGATTTTCTTCCTTTCTTTTGAATGTAACATTGTATCTGTGTAACCAGCGTAGATCGTAGGTAGGCCTGAGTACATAGTAGTATCCACGTAGCCCATATATTAAACATCGACTTACATTCGCCTGTGCCGCGATGCCGGGTCGTCTTTACCTAGGTGCCTCCGTTAGGCCCGAGCTGAGTCGAGCTGACATATCAAAGGGACAAAGAAGATATCCGCATCATTCTTTACGTATCGTATTTCAATTCCAATAACTTCAATACCAACTATTTTAAGGCTCTCCAGATCTCACCCACCACGTTTGTACGACGTCATGTCATGTGTCCCAAGCGCACGATATCATAGGCTCAAAGCGACGATCTCTCGAATAGAAACTCCGTAGAGGCGTAGATGGAACAAATAAGAATCTTTGAAGAGCCTTCTTATTACCTAATAACGCTGTGGGGGATATTCGTGGCTTAGCTACGCCGCTATAATACATTCCTTAGTCGCCTGTAGATCTCGCTAAGCCAAGCACCCTAACGTCGCTAAGGTCCCTGTTCCAGCGGCATGGGAGGACGGGTACGACGCTTGATTTTAGTATCGTATCCCTGCGATGGAACCTAACTGCCGGGCGGCTTTCATCTACATACTACATGGCAGGACTACCGGATCGTATGTTAGCTCTCCCCAACATTTAGCTAGCTTTCACGCCGATGCCTTCTAAGCAAACGGAATCCAGATTATATCATCGTCATTGGTATTCGGCTCCGAAGTTCCCGACGACGAATTGATCTAGTGTTTCCTTTGAGCGATAAACTACACGCGCTGTAGCATAAAGCGGCCATAGCAGAGTCAGGCGGTCGCTATGTACCTAGGCAATAATCGGTGTTATTAATAAACGATCTAATACGAAAAACATGGTGTCCACGGACGTATTTTTCCATTGAAAACGAGCTCATCACTCGATCTAGTTAAATCAAGTACCTAGCCGCCCGCCCATATTTACGACGCGATTCATTCATTCATTTGCGTGAGGATACGAGCGGGACGGGAATGCAACGTGACTTCGAGATCAAGCCACAATCAACCAAAATGGGTATATTCCAACGTGTCAGCGCGGAGCTATGGGTCGATGGGTAGGGCTGAAAGATGTGACCTAAATAACGTGTACCCGATCGTGGCGCAGCAGTTGACCCGATGGTGAGACGGTGAGCGAGTTTCGCCGCATCGTAACTTCATCCATTCAACAACTAGGCGTCTAAATATTATCATGGAGGCTCGGGAATTTATTGTGCTATTAACAGAGCCGATGCTAATATACATCGTAGACCTAATTCCTTCTGTCTACGTTGAATACTCGGATGGCGTCGATAAAAGTCTTACGAATATCTACGGTCGCGTCAATGTTATTTTATCACAAGTCACAAGTTTAAGGTGGAAGGCAAATGATGGTGATCAGTCGTGTGGTCTTATTAATCTCGAGCCTTAACTAACTCTCAGTACGTCCCTTTCCGGTCGGGCAAAAAGCAACACGAATGCGTAAGTAAGCATCGTGGACATGATTCAGCAAACACCGTTACTCCTTCTCAGACACACAACGACATGATGAATAAAAGCAATTCCATTTCAGTTCCGGTCCTTCCTACTCCAGACACCCCGGTCGATGCTCAAGGGTTCAGTGGTTCCAACGCCAGTCCCAAGGCCAGCGGAACACTGGAGTGTTCACATTCTCATAGAGATAGTACAACATCCAGATCAGGAGTCCGATGCCGAACACAGTGGCGAGGCACATGAACACCAAAGAAGTTGCGTCATAATCCATAGTGACGGATTCGAGTTGATGACCTTGATGATAGATGTTGACAGGTGGTTTGATGTCTTGATGGGCAAGTCAGAGACTTGGCTGCGGTGCTTAGACTTGGTTGAACGAGATTCTTGCTCAAGCAGCTTGACTTCCTGAAATAGATGGTCAGTTGGATGGGATTTTCTTTAAAAAAAATATTTACTTACAGGAGACAGAGATTACCTGGATGAGATCAGAAGAGGTGGTGAACAGGTGGTTTGATTTGAAGTTGCTTGGTTTGTGTGATGTGGACGAAAGTTGCTGTGCTTGTTTTCGTTTTGGTTTGAGAAAGGGAACGAGAACTGGTGGACGTGAACAGGAAAAAGAATTTATGTGCAGGACTTGGACGGTCTCCGCTCTTTCACCTCCTTCCTCGACCGGCAGAAAATATCACGAAACGCACTGGCGCGCGAGAGCGGGTCCTCCGGTTGGAAGGGGTTGCGGTAGGTGCTCGGGGGTACCTGTGCAGTTGCCCACGGCATTGGCCGGCTGGTTCCGCTCCGTTCGGGCAACATCGGTGCTCCGGGGCACGTTTCGGGGCGAGAGAGCCCTAAAGGGCAACTCTTTCGGGGGTCTATGGCGGCCCTTGCTAAAATTACGGGAAGTCACATCTCGGTAGCACTCGTTTCAAGATCCTATGTTATGCTGGGCCCACCTGCACTTTGCGCATGTTCCACTCCTTCTCGATGTTCTGAACGCAGAATTAACTGTACCTACCTACCTAGGTGGGTAGCTACACGTTCAATTCGAGTAGGCACCTCCAGGCTTTGTATTTAGAGTACCTTCAGTGTGTTAAGTACTCAGGTACTTACCCTTTAACTTGGTAATTTTTTAGTTACGTATAGTCATCGTTGAGAGAGGGGTTTGTCCTCACAACTGTTATGTCAGCACTAAACGGACTTGGGTTCAGGTAACACAGACATAGCCCCTATATAAAGCAAAACGAGGACGCCACACCATTCCTTCCACATTATCCAGCTGAATTTTCTTGGTGCCAGCCTCGAGCAGTTAACCCCCAATCTCTTCCATACCTCGACACGAACTATACTCGAGCAAGAGACCCTCGTCCATTCCCGGCCGTTCATCTTCCGTGATACAATGGTTATTAGATTGATCGATACGAAATCAGGGGGGTTTGTTCTTTTCGAAAGAGAAGAAGAAATTCCTCCCTACGCAATTCTTAGCCATACATGGGTCCACGGGGAAGAGATTTCCTTCAAGGAAATGCAAGAGATTTCAAATGATCCCAACCATCCCGCGCGAGAACGGTCCGGATTCCGCAAGATAGCGAACACATGTTACCAAGCCCGAGGACATATGCTCGACTTCGCTTGGATCGACACATGCTGTATTGACAAGAAAGATCCGACCGAACTAGGAGAAGCCATCAATTCCATGTTCAAATGGTACCAGCAAGCAGCCATTTGTTACGTATACCTAGAAGATTATTCCGAAATGGGATCACTGGGAGGCTGCCGTTGGTTTTCAAGAGGATGGTGTCTTCAAGAGCTGATTGCACCAAATAGGATAATATTCTACGACCGGCATTGGGAGCGAGTAGGCGATAAGTTAATGCTAGAGGATTATTTATCCGACATTACCAATGTTGACAAGGATATCCTTCGTGGTGAACAATCCTTAGACACAGTACCAATAGCGAGAAGGATGTCCTGGGCCGCAAAAAGGAACACCGCTAGAATTGAAGACCAGGCATATTGCTTACTTGGAATATTTGATATTCACATGCCTTTGCTTTACGGGGAAGGTGCTAACGCATTCATACGGTTTCAAGAGGAAATAATCAAAAGGTCTGAAGACCTCTCTATCTTCGCCCCAGCCGCAGACGTCATAGACAGCCAGGACGTCCCAGCCCAGCCTTGCAACCTACTAGCAACGAGCCCCAAAGAATTCGCAAATTTTGGACAGCTCACTCCTACGAGGGGGCTAGATCTGACCGCACAACCATTCACGATGACCAACTTTGGTCTGAATTTTCTTCAGCAAGAACTTGGCGTGTTTGTCAGTTGGGAGGAGCCAATCTATACATTATCATTACAGTGCGAACTTGGACCCAACCAAAAGTTGTATCTTCGCCTGCAGCAGATCGCTCCCTCGAGATTCATACTGGTGAGAGGTTCGCGCGGATTGACTCAGACAACAGACTCCCCTCAGGAATTCTGGAGCACGGGGAGCATCTATATCTCAGCTAAATTCACGCCAGGTATCAAATCACTCATCGATATTTCGTCAAAGCGCATCATTCGCTTTACCATAGGGGGAGGAACCAAGATAGGATTTACCCCTGCCGACGACGAGAGTAGGCTTCAATGGGACCACAGCCGTAAAGCGTTCTTCCTCACGTCGCGTATCACTTACGTATCAGTGAAGTTTGACATACCCGGGAAGATTAACAATTACATATGTTGTTGTATCAACCGATCAAATAAATACGTCCGATTCTGGACCTCGGGAGTTTGGGGTTCTGCGGAAAGAGACTCTAGATCGGAACGCGATGAACGGCGTCGGGCTAAATATGGGAATAAACATGCGGACGAAATTCGATTAAATTCTACTATGGCTAAAGTAAAACTGCGAGAGGAGGAATACGGGTACTCTGTTGCGTTGAGATTCGATGACGAATAACGGTGAACAATAGGTACTATATCTAGGGACAGCTAGAATTTCGCGTGGCATACTTGGGTAAAAATCACGATGGGTGGTATACGGTAACGGTTTGACAGGCGAACCAATACTAACATGTATGTCCGTGCTATTATGCTATTATGATAGGTCCCCTGATATATATCCTACTTATAAAGTAATATAAATATTAAAATAAAAATAATACCCATAAGACCGTATTCCCTTGGCGTTAATCCGAGTATCGACGACTCCTTGATAAGAGGCAGTGGTGGCCCGCCAGTCATTATAACGGGATCAGGACCCTTCACACTCGACTCTTCTAACTCTGCTAACTTTTCCGACTTCTCAGGTTTCGGGGTATTCGCTGGTTCTCCCTCCGGCATCGTGTTCATGTCTTTCGTATCCTTCATATTCTTCGTTACCTCAAAATCCGGCATACCCACATTTTTCGCATCAACCGCCTTTAGCAACCCCTGAACCGTATCTATCGTCGCATTCGAATTCTTATGTCCCTTCTCTCCAACCGTTTTATCGTAAAGGTATTGCGCGATATTTTGATGACCCGCCCTCTTCGCGCGTTGATACGGCGTCAGGAGATCGCGATCGCGAATCTGGAATGGAACGCCTCCCTCTACTAACGTCTTAACCGCATCCATCTCATTAGATTCGACGGCATAACTTAATAAAGGCAACAGCGAGCCCCCTTCTGAGTTCTGGAAAGTGGCTTTATATCGAAGAAGTAAGAACGCGCAATCCGGCTTGAACTCCTCGTAAGTCGCGAACGCGAGAGGCGTTCGACCCAGCAAATCTTTCGCGTTGACGTCGCATCCGTTCTGGAGCAGGATCTCTATGGCGTCGTAATGTCCAAAGTCGACAGCATTATGTAGAGGTGTAAAACCCCAACGGTTCCTGGCTTGGGTATTGGCACCCCTTTCTAGGAGTAATTTCATGTTATCCGTCTTGCCGAATCGTGCTGCAAAATGCAGGGGTGTGTCTAAGTCTGCACCATCGATGTTGTTGATGGCTTCGTCGGCTTGCGGACCGAGGTCCGATAAGTATTTTTCGAACTCTTCTCTTAAGTAGCGTTGCGCGGCTTGGTGAATGGGGAATTTGTACTCTTCGGCGTTAAGGGTATCTACTCTTCCGGGATGGTGGGGATTTGCCTTGGGATCATTCATGGCCAACTCAAGCTCCTTCTTCCTAGCATTTCTTAGTAGAGAAAAGAGTCGATCTCGTTGAAGATCGCGGGCCTTGCGGAGTGGTGTTCTTCCCGTTTTATCCTCGATGTCCGTTCGCGCTCCATACTCGAGTAATATTCTGGCCACAGCATCCGAATTGGATTGTACGGCATCGTGTAACGGTGTTTCACCACCATCTCCTTGCACATTCGGGTCAAGGTCCGTGTTATTCAAGAGGTACCGCATAATTACTCCTCGTCTATTGATGGCGCATGCGTGTAGTATACCACGCCCGAGGAAGTCCTTGAATTTGTAATTCACACCTCGATCAACTAGAAGGCGGACGCATTCCAAACTGTTATCATCGGCGGCGCGCAACAGTGGTGGGCCACCATACGTATCTCCGGCATCCGAGTTTGCGCCACGGTCTAGTAATAATTTGACGATATCCGGGTACCCGTTCTTCGCGGCTAAACATAGAGCGGTTTGTCGACACGAGTCCATCGACTCAATAGACACCCGACCGTCGTTTAATAATACCTCAACAAGCTCATGTTGGCCATATAAAACAGCCAGGTGTAATGCGTTAGTGCGGAATTGATCAGGTTGTACTAATCCAACGTCAATATCCTTGCGCGTGAGTAGAAGCTTGACGGACTCTTCGCTTTCGTTCGACACGGCGTACATCAAAGCCGTCATACTCCGATAGTTCACGTCGAATGCGTTAATGGACACATCTTTCGCAGAAGAAACAATCTCCTTAATAACATTGACGTGTCGAGGGGTGTTTTGACTGCAGACCCTGTGAAGCGCAGTACGATTCCTCCCACAAATGCGACCGGGATTCGCCCCCGAGTGAAGTAGCACACGGACTATATCAGCATGTCCTTCCTGTGCCGCATACATTAGCGGAGTAGTTTGCAGACAGTCTTCAACATCGGTATCCATGCCCGTAGCTAGAAGAACCGCTACGGCGTCCGAGAGACCGAAATAGGAGGCGATATGCAAGCCATGAACACCAACTTCGGCGTCCCACCCAGAAGACGTTTCCATATCGTCGATCCACATTATCTGTGCTGCTGTCTCTACATGACCCTGCTTATTTAAAAAGTCAATAGCTAATTGCGCCGCTTTGGGGTTTTTCGTTTCGCGCGCGTGGCAGCCCCAGTTAGTCGCGGCGTATGTGAGGAAGGGATATTTTTGCCGGCGTTCGTCGATGAGGTTCTTATGATCGGGGCCAGTACATGCCCCGGACGAAAAGGCCTCGAATTGAAGATATATAAGGCAGATCTCTGCCAGCATTCCATGGCCGTTGTTCCAGGTCTCTAGACCGTTTTGCGCGATGTAAGAGCCTACAGTCTCGTGTGCAAGTCGGACGAAGCCAGCATGATCAATTTCGATGAGACCCGCGCACATCGAAGATAAGTGCTGGATATCCGATAAATCGTAAGGATCTACATCTTCGTCCCCAGGATTTACGGCAATAGCGTGTGCGAGAGCTTCTGTTGATAATAATTTTCTTGCTGTCGCAACTGTCGTGATGAGTTTCTCTAGCTTCTTGGCCCATCGGAGATTTCCGATGCGCTTAAATACGTTGTCGTATATGTCTTTGATGTTAGAAGGTAATCTCTCGAGAGCTTTAATAATTTCTCTAGCTGTTGTCTGTTCTTCTAGTGCATCCATGTGGAACTTCGCGAGTAGAAATCTGTTACGAGATTTGTTAGTATCATCTCTTCCTCTCACGTCCCATAAACCACTCACATTCCGTGCGCCTCTTCTCTCACGCGATCCGTGATGGTAGTCGGTAGATCGCTCGCCTTCCCTCGCGTATTCTCAATGAGTGTCGTGAGAACTTGACTGTTCTGGATTCGCCACGTAATGTAGGTATCGATATCCTCGGGATGCGCTGAAATTGTAACAGACCCCGGCCAGGCCCATTTGAAGCATGCTTTCTTCTCCGAGCAACCGAAGCATATATCATATTTATCATAGCAATTAATACACACATCACGATCGCAGTGTTCGCATCGATATGACGATTCCGCCCTCCAACTTTGATCATCTTGAACTAGCGGCACCTCCTTTTTCACTTCGACGAAGCTATCATCGCTAGGAGTATCTGAGGCTGCATCCGAAGCCTCTTTCCCTTCAGAGGCGTCGCAATTGTCGCAATAATACATCGTCTGGTTATACTCCTGTGACTCTTCAAAAATCCTATACTTGTTTTCGGCGGAAAGCTCCTTGAACCAAGTTGCGATGGACTGGACCGGACGAGACGTGACCATTAGTTGCGGGAGTGGATTCAACGATTCCATTGTCTGGAGAAGCTCAGTTTTCTGTTTGTCATTTGGAACTTCGTCAAGACCGTCGATGATTACGAAGGTTTTCTCGAATGAACCGAGCTCCGCAGATAATGAATTAATCAATTGACCCAGGCTTGGGCGAGATTGCATGTTTTTGCCTTGGGAATATTCGACATACATGTCTTTGATCGCATTTGACATTTCGCCCCTCTTTTCGACTACTTGGCGGAGGAAACTGGACAGTATGTTGTACGTCGAGTGCGTGTTCTCATCGTCGAAAGAACAATAAGCGACGATAACAGCAACATTTTCATCGTGATACTGCTCATGAAGTTGCTGGAAGATGGTTGAAGCCAAGACTGTTTTACCCACTCCCGGAAGACCATGGCACCAGAGGGCTGTAGTTCTGCACTCTGACCACCCTCGTACCTGAGGGTTGTTAAGAAACCATATTCCGGTACCATCTAGTCGTTGCCTTTGACCCGCCCTCTGCGACGCTCGAAAGTCCAAGGTTGATATCCATTTCAAAGCTGTGTCGAGTTCGGCGTTCTTGAGCGCATGGCGCAGATATTTGATATCGGCGCTATTTTCGAGACCCACCTTCAAATGAGCTCTAGTGAGAGCAACGGTGATAGTATCCTTGGAGGTTCGTAACCGTTCTAATAGCCTCTTTACTTCCGACTTTTCGAAGGGCCATTTCAGTTTCTTCCCGATAGTCTCGAGCGACTTGTGCGGGAGTACAATCTTGGCGGTAAGTTCCTCCAGCACCGCTTTCACCTGTTCGATAGTCCCTCCATGTTCAAATAAGGGTTTGATGGGGCCGATCCAAGCGCTATCTTCCGAGTCGTGCGAATCAAAATCATCCTTCATGCCCAACAAGATCTCATAAATGGACAGAACTTCGCTTGTAATTTCGGATCGATCTTTGCCTCCATCTTTAACATCATGAATATAGTGCATTACAGTCCATGACAACTGAAGAATGCCAATAAGACTAGAGGCGGTATCCATGTTGGATAAAGCTTGGTCGAGCCAAAGACAAGGACATTGGCAGAATGGATACTGATCCTCCTCCGACTAACACGCTAGTTAATGACTGATTTGAAGACGGTGATCGTGTATTAAGATATTGAAATGCATATCGGGCCGTTAATGAGAAAGGGGCCTATTCCGACAAGTCATCGTCGCATCTCCTGTTGGAAAACAGGGGAATATGCGTTTTATACAAAACATGATAGAATTCAAGATGAAAATTGACATGAATTCATGTGGACGGGAAACCGCCCCCATTGGGATCAATGTTAACCTACACATTACCCTGGCTCATCTATAACGCTAAAAAAATATCACGCACACGGTCCATTACTACTATGTAGGGATCTATGTAGGGGCTAACCTGAAACTGTGCATGGCACAACGACCCAGCACCACTTGTAGGATTTGTATCTAGTTGCTTAAATTAGAATATACCTTCTAGATCAAAATTAAGCTTATGGGACTCACCCATGTCTATGTCAAGTCGTATAAAGCTCATTAAAGACAACTCTATAACTGGCGGTAAACCATAGTATTGTCTCTACAAACTGAGTAACAACAACGACTATTATAGCAATTACTTTTTACCTACAGAGAAGTAGATTTATGAGATGTTCTCCGTCGATAAAAGTACAGCCCTATATCGTTCGTTAGTTAGTCTGCATTGTACACGACGGGGCGAAGGGTGGTTGGGAACATGAAGGATTCCTTCTAAGGCGGAGGCCTTACCGAAGCGAGACATCCGATGGTGCATCACGTGCCTCGACCAGTATTGACTCACGATGGTTGTCTCGGATGATATAAGCGAAAATTAGTCATGTATGCCACCTGCGTCATATAGGGGTTGGATCGGACGATTACTGATCCAGAATATCCCCGATCATGTTATTTTAATCCTGGCTCTGATATTATGAGGATACTGTCCCTGGATATAACTATTTGGGGGCCGAATTGCCATCTAATGTCCAAGCCATGAATAGTTGAGAGAGAGACGGCCTAAGTTTCTATGATTAGAATAACATAGGGGTCGCAATGGCATAATTCGCGGTGTATTCCAATGAACAAACGTGCTCATAATTATACGACCAAGGATCATTCCATGTTGCACCAGTCTTAAGGGAAAATCCAAGACGAAAATATTGCGCGGAAAGCTCTCAAATAGCTACAAATGTACCTGCTATTAGATCTAACTATCGGCTCATGGCAAATCCTGTGAAGCCAGGAATCCAATACCGAAACGAAGACCGAGAGTAGCGAACCTTTGTCTACTTTTATCTTCCCTGTCTCCAAGACACACCCCAAATCAGCACCGAGACTCCTTTTTCCGCCCGAATCCGACAAATTGCTAAAGAACAATCCTACTTAGACGAAGACGCGAGGCTCATTGTACGATCTAGTACACAGGGCAGCGGTCTGTTTGTCATGTCGAAATTCCCACTGTTCGAGACATCGAAATATCTACCGTAACCCGCCGATGAGTACAGCGTTATAATAAAAAGATTATCAAGCTCTGAGTTCGCCATACCTCGAAGTAACTAGTAAAAATTAAGCGGAACCAATTGTTAGCTTATGGTATTGTCTTCAATGGGCGAATTTCCAGCACCATAGGATTTCGATCGAGTCGCTCACAGTTCTACGATAGCAACAAGCTTCTAACTTAATTCAAGGCATGGTTCATGTCAGACGCAAGTTCTAGACTCACGAATATTATTTAGTATTAGATATTTCTACAAGACAAGGGATCTCTCTTATATGGACTCGAGCCCTGACAGCTAACCATCCTGGAGCTCCTCGGACGGCAACCTCGCCATACATCCCAAATATCCTCGTTAACATTACGACTACATCATGGTAACCAGACTTCTTCCAGACATGCTCCCTTTATCTCCTCCACCTAGGTACCTAGGTAGGCAGTTTGATCTTTTGTGGGTTGACATTGCTCAAGACGGATGACGACCGAGTCTAGCCGTACTCATCTGCTGCGCATACGAGGAAAGGGGGGGAAGGGGGTGATTTCCGTCGAAGAACCACGGAGTAAGCAGGCCAGCCACACGTATTAGCCCATGATATCTTTCGTCTCCCATGACAACCATTCCCAGTCCAGGCCATTTCACTCCAGCGTCCATCTTGCGGTGGCTTGCTATCGGGGTTGTCCTGTCAAGGACGATGCGGTTGATGTCGCGGTGTAGTGTGTCAGGAAAAGACTGGGATGCAGCCACACAAGGCTAACTCGGGTAGAAACAGCTCGGCGAGCCCTCAAACTCTCCACCAACGACGTGGCTTCTGACAGTAAGAATAGCCGGGTGCGTATGCCGCGCGAGTCTGCCACATGGCGCATTCCGGTTCCAACCATCTTGTTCTTTAGCTTTGCTCCGACCCCAGCACGTGGCTTTGCCTTGATGGAATTAGTCGAAAACACCAAGAGTTACAAGTGTGTGTAGGTGATGGGAGGATGTGATCAAGTAGTGTATGAATATAATAAGACCGAAGATGAGCTTACCTCTAGGGGCGAGAGAGAGCGTGTGTGAAGGGGGGAGAGGAAGAGAGGAATGGAGGAGCGTCCACCATCTCGAGACGATAGACGTGATCCTTTAGCTATGAAGTATGGATAAGATGCTGAGGAACCAGCACAAATTCTCGGACATAATCCACTGTCTTGCGTTTGAGGGTCAAATGTAGTATAGAGTACTAGAAGAGGAGATCGTCCTTATCGGGTTAGAAAAATCCAATGAAGTGATATATTTGGGCCGAGGAGGATGGGTATTCATCTGCTGCTTATGGGCCTTGGGATTGGTTCGTCGGGAACGTCTTAGCTGTGGTTGTTGTATTCGAAGTGGAACAAATGAGAATGAAAACGAGGTTGATCTGTGCTCTTATATATGCGTCGTTAGTTGACTTGATTATACGAAATGATGAGTCGACTAGTTAGGTACGGACATTTTATATCTACACGAGATGGATAGGTAGGTACTTGATTATGACATCCAAGGGGTGCCGTAGTGGAGTATATATACGCCACTCCAGATGTTCGTACTCATTAGAGTTGTAACAGCAAAACTAAACGTGCCTAGAGATTGGAATAATCAAACTGATGAGTCAAGAAAAGTCTATTTCTATATATGGTTTGTCATTACCAAATATTAGACAACTCATCCCCTAGAATTGTAGCTTTGGGTTTACTCAGGGGTAAGATGCTTTGAAACTAAATGTGCAAGACTCAAGGGCGGAAGGAATATTGCTCCAATATCGCACGGGTTAGGTATAGATACATTAGAGAGTTATACTTTATTAACCAGTAGATCTTATATAATACCTACGTAAGGTTGAGCATAAACTGAGTTATAGTGTCAATGTCACTATCGTGTATGTTTCTGAGTAACTAATGCACTCAGAGACTCAGGGGGAATTTGAAAGCTTGGATTGTCAAATGCTTTACGGAATTAGAGCGGTATATGAGACGAGTGTAGGCTCTATAGATAACGTGCGATATCATTCCTTTCAGTTTCTACTTCGAAAAACATCGCTCACCGTCTAATACTCGTCGAATTCCTTCATCTGACGAAGAATCCAACCATATTCATGTAGTTGAATATCTAATATTTGGGGTATCTGATCTATTGAATGGGTCGTCCTTTAGTTTTAAGTTGTTCGTAAAGATGGTCGTTTCTGGTTCATCATCTTCCGGTAGGAGGCGACGATGTCGTCTCTGACGGTTTGTAGTTCTTCTCGTCGTCTTAAACTTCCCGCGGCCTTAGGGATGCCATCAATCTCGACCGCCGCACCTCTAACGGTTAGCTTCTTCGGGGGCTTGACGGTAAACTCAGGCGGCGCCTGAACAACATCATGTAAACCGGCTCTCGTCTCACCACGCTTCTTCTTCAATGCCTCCCATGGATCCTCATCCGCATCTGCGACCTCACCAAGATACTTCGTTCGCTTACCCTTCTTCTTTCGTTTGCCGCCTGTCTGCGGTTCAAGCTTCCATGTTACGCCCATTTCCTCCTCTTCTAGTTCTTTTTCTGCCTGGAGTTCCAAATCCTCTTCTTTCTTCTCTTTTATCTTCCGGTCCTCCTCTCGCCATTCGTCATATAACTTGTGCATTTTCCTCTCTTTCTTAGTCTGCCATGCTTTCAATCCCAAGGGATCCTTGCCGTTCCTGACCGAATTGTTGATCAATCCGCTAATGGGGAGCGAAGCATCTACTCGAGCCGCGAATTCCGACATACGTTCGCCGGGTCGAATTTTAGGCAATTCTTTAATTGCCTTGGCCTCCTTGGCTTCAGCATCACCCTCGGCGTTTTCTGCGTCCTCGGTTTTCCTCTTCTTGTTTTTCTTAGTTGGTTGGTCCCCATTATCAAGACCTGAGCGTGGCCTCTTGCCTCCGGCAAAGGCCATCAATCTCTTGAATGCACGAGGCGCATCGTTCTTCGGTGCGGCATCTCGCTTTCGCTTTAGGTTCTTCCCGGTCTGGTTGGGGGTTTGTTTCTCTGCGTCGGCTTTTTGCGATTGGGATGTTACGGGTAGAGGTTTTGCGATTTGTGAAGGTGGGAGATCATATCTAATGAGGAAGATTAGCTAAACATTTGCGCCGGTCGGAATTTTGTTGTACACACGTAGAAGGGTCTTTATCCCTGCGCGTATGTTTGTGAGGCATATTGAATTATGCCCGGTTCTTTTCGCAAGTTGGTGAAAAGAATTGACGTAGGAAATAATTGTCGAGGATTGATCGGATCCTGGTGATGGTGAAGCTTTCTGAAAATTTCCAGCAGATAACGAAATTTTGGAGGAGACCCCACATTTTGGGCTAGACCTTTAACCCACTATTAAACCGCTAATCAGGTACGCTAGTCCCTTTAATGGGGCATGACGCTAGGTACCTAACCTCCAGTAATTTAGCTGAACGGCACAGTTGCGGCGGTACAAGAGTTACCTAAGCTCCCACCGCTGTTGGTCGCATTTGTTATCTTTCAACTTCAACTTCATCTTTTGAATTCGTCTGTGATTAATTAACCACCAATTTTAATGATTATGTTTCTCATGATATTGTATTTTTAATAGATAGCCCAATCTCATACTTCAGCCGACATACTCTAACCCAAGCACTTGTGTCGTTCCATCTATTTCCGCGATCGGCGTTAAATATATATTGAAAACCACCAAATCAGCTAATTACAGCGTACGACTACGCTAAGAATACCAATAGAGAGAGCCCTATAGATATGGGAAACGCTACAAGCCCCGAAGAGAAGAAATGGTCACTCGGTAATTTATGGAATCGACAACGAGGACCCGATTATGTACCTGTCGATGAAGCCGAGGACAATGAGTACACTAGCACAAGGAGAACGGATTCAACAGATGGTGCGAGAAGAACCACCCCGAGGAGGCGTCGTTGTCTATCGAATCTCACAAGTTGCAGTATATGGGGATTAGTTACACTGTAGGCGCTAGCACCGACAATATCACTTACAGCAAATTTATAAGACTAACAAGGAAATCAGAGCTTCTATCTTATTAATAACCCTCCTCCTCTCCATTGCTAGGAGTTTATGGGGTTTAGAAAACAACCCAGACTTGATATTCGGAAATTGGGGGAAGCCAGGTTCTGGAACAGAAGGGTTGGCCTGGTACCCTACAGATTTCCTTCGGGATGTCGTGCCCATTCGCTGTCATTCCCACAATGACTATTGGCGCACGGTACCGCTCTTCTCAGCCCTTCATGCCGGCTGTGTTGGAGTTGAAGCAGATGTTTGGTTGATGGACGATGGACCGGTACTCTACGTTGGTCATGACGAAGCTGCCCTGGCCATAAATCGGACGTTCCAGTCACTTTATATCAATCCCTTGGTGGACTTGCTTAATCGATCAAATCCACAAACACAATTTTATAATGAATCACGGCGCGGCGTTTTCGACTATGACCCCGAACAGCCAGTCATCCTGCTGGTGGATATAAAAACCGGTGGAAACGTAACTTGGCCGCATGTTTTATCTCAATTAGAGCCCTTGAGGTCAAGGGGATATTTGACTTATTTCAGCGATGGTGAAGTTCACCAACGCCAAGTCACGGTTGTGGGAACGGGGGCGACGCCATTCGATTTAGTTGTCAAAAATTCGACATACCGAGACGTGTTTTTCGATGCACCTCTAGAAAAGATGTGGGAAGATCCGGACGATCCAAATTCACAGCCTGCAGAAGAAGCAATGATGTACAATGAGACAAACTCATTTTACGCTAGTACAAGTTTCGTGGAAGCAATTGGTATTGGTGTTGGTGGCTTGTCTCAAGAGCAGCTCTACAAAATTCGCGGCCAAATTAAAGGCGCCCATCGGAGAGGACTCAAAGTCCGATATTGGGAAACCATGGGTTGGCCGATTGGATGGAGAAATATAATTTGGCACACCTTGATAGAAGAGGGTATTGACTTCTTGAATGTGGATGATCTTAAGGGAGCCACCAAGACGGAATGGTAAAATAGATTTTTGGATTTCAATACAACGGGCGAAATAAGCGTTCTATCACGTTCTTATGGTGCTATAGTACTTGAATCTTCAGTGACTGTACCAGCTGATTGTCACCCCTTTTCCCCCTATATAGGTCGACCCACCCCCGCTATCACATTACGTAAGTGTGCGGTAATTGCCCCTCCAAGTTTCCTAAAGCTCTGTAAAGCTTCCTATTCTTTAATGAATTTTGAAGCTTCAACTTAAACTATTCTTCAATTAATCATGTCCAAAACTGCTCTGGTAACTGGAGCTACCGGCCTACTTGGCCGTCAAGTAGTCCGAGCCTTCGAGAGGAACAAATGGAACGTTAAGGGGACAGGCTACTCTCGCGCTGATGGAATATCGGTTCTCAAGGTTGATCTGGTAAAAGCAGAAGATGTTACTGCTGCGTTGGACAATGTGAAGTGAGCCCAGGACCCTCCACACTCATGGTGGTTTTTTATCTAACAAACCCGAAAGACCACAGGTTGTAGTCCATTGTCAGTAATACCTAGTATTCGACTTATACCTCGCCGACAAATTCAAATTCAAATTCAAAAAAAACTGACTACTAGTCAGGCGCCGCGAACCGATTCCCCGATAAATGCGACAACGACCCTGAAGGAACCCGCGCATTGAATGTCGAAGCTACTAAGAGACTTGCTTCGCTATGCGCAGCCCATGGTATCCTACTCATTTACATATCAACCGACTACGTATTCCCGGGCAAACCCGGCGACGCGCCCTACGAAGCGGATGCTACACCATCACCCACGAACTTATATGGACAGACGAAGCTAGACGGCGAAAAAGTCGTCATAGAAGAATACGAACGAGCTGGAAAGTCGGGATTAGGCGTCGTCCTGCGGGTTCCCGTACTATATGGCGATGCTGAAGTGCCATCGGAGAGCGCCGTGAATATCCTCCTTGATACAGTATGGAAGGCACAAGAACAAGATGCTAAGATTAAGATGGATCACTGGGCTTGGCGTTACCCTACCAATGGTATGTGTGACACTCGCCCTATGAACGTGTCAGGTGTTGGTAGAAGCTAACATATTCGCAGTGAGTTACCAGGTCCTACCATTTCTCCCCATCCCTCACATAAAGTTTCATAGTGGAAGGTAGTGACCTAAATCCCTATGAGATATTAACATGTAGCAGACTGAGGATGTAGGGCGAGTGTGTCACGGTACGTTCTTCGCGCTTAGCTCCGAGTCCAATCGCAATTAAACCGTCCGTCGCTAATAGCTTCTTAGACATTTCTGTCAAATACCGAGGTTCCAATGATCCCTCGAAACTAGCCCATATCCTCCAATTTTCCTCGGAGGACAAGCTTACCAAGTATGAGATGTGCAAGCTATTTGGCGAAATCATGGGGCTATCAATCGCAGCCATTGAACCTAACACGGAAGGGAACGATCCCAACGCATCAGTACAGAGGCCGTACGACTGCCACCTCAGCACCAAGGCGCTCAAAAATCTTGGTATTGACGTGTCAACTCAAGACTTTACTGGTTGGTGGAGATGGAATGTCAGGGCCTTCAGAAAATAAGGGTCTAAGACATGGGTTCATATTCACATGGATCGTACGAAGGAGTCTGTAAGGGAGTCAGACAGTCGCGATTCTGGCCACAGCCACAATGCTTATTGGTGTCCAAGAATGAAGTTCCTGGTCATACGAGAAAAAAACACCCAATTCATCCATAAGGGATTAGGGATCAAGGCAGTCAAAACAAAATACAAGAAAAGGGAACAAATAAAAGTAACCTGGCGATTGAAAGCCTATATGCTTATTTCAGAAGCGAGTTAATACGACATTCCTTCATTTAGGTACGTCATGCTGAATGCCCACCTGGGCATCTATTCAAGATGTTCCATCAAGATATTTGACACGCTAGAAATTTCAACATTATCAAACCTCGTGTTCAACGGCTACCCCTTACTTTGATAAACGAGCGTCTTAATGCTCTCAATACCCGTCGGGATGTTGGCATTGCATTCTATGTTCTACTAATGAGCAAACTGCGCAGCCTTACCAGGTACACCCTCAGCTGCAAACAATATAGCCGGCTTTTCAGCTGCAGCGAAGTTTTTAATCGAAATGAGTCTTATTTGCTTTTTCTGCATCTCATAGGCGTTCCTATTGGACGATTGGATAAACAACCCACCCGTCGCCTAGGTTTTTTTCTTTCTTCTCTCGCTTCAACATGTCCCATTTCTTTGACAGATATGACGGTCTCAGTCTCGGAATGTTGTTACCAATTATAACCCCTTGTCTTACAAGATATCTCGTGCTATCCACATGTCGGAGTTGAGAGGCAAGGTACGATAATGCATTATCTTGTCATCTAGCCTATCAGATACAATAGACATTCCGTTCCTGGCAGCTTTCTCTCCACTGGGAGACCACTGGGAGATGTAGGTGGAACCGATTGTCCGCTCTTTACCAAATTACGAATTTTAACTTTTTAGGTGCCTGACAAGCCTGACAAGCGCTGTCCCTTTACTGGTTCTTAGCTGGGACCTAGCGAGTGATCGCTGACGCAATGCGGGATCCCCTGCATTTGAACAATTGGATTGCTCTGAAGAGCACTGAGAAGGAGGACCCCTGCATGTTGTAAATTCACGTCGTACATAGTACATACTTAGGTACATACATATATACATGCAACTGGGCCAAGATACAGTTTTAACTTTTTGGTCATACAAGTTAATTTAGCGGACTCGATTAGCGGACTTCTATTATGTATTAAGTCCTTGTATTAGGTCCTGGATGTTAACTCCTATTACTATTACTCCACAATGTTTAGACCCGATATGGATAGGACTGGAGGGACTTGACACAGAAAGTCCGATAGATATCCTTTTCCATTCCCTGTCATTTTATTATAATTTTCCTACCAATAACAAAGGTAGTTGATCCTCTCGGCAATCTACCAAATTTGATCAGTCCTTTTTAATTGACCCTGTTGTACTAAATCCTTTCGGGCGAGAGATCATCCTCATATACATCACTGGTATGGTCACGCGTGCGAAGAATTGACAAGGCCATACCTACACTAACTCAATTGGACCGTAAAGAGGCCATTATACACGCATCGTACATCGTCCGAGTATCGTCATAAACAAGAAAATAATATGAGGAAAAAGAAGAATGGGTTCTAAAATATAGATACAACGAGGCTTCGAGGGTCTAGCGCCGTTGTTTATGTTTAGAGCGCATCAGCTACTGAGCACCGTCGTATGCCGCTTCGTCATCTGTTTCGTTTGCCATTTGCGGACAAAGTCTGGATTTGCGCTTGGACATTTGTGCTTTAAGCTTGTTCGAGATACGATCTGTTGATTGAGCACATTGCGCACCTTGCTCAACATCACTATCATCTGTTTTTCGTCTTTACTACGGTCCAGCGGGTCGGCGGCACAGCTCTCCTTCGTTCAACTTGTTGTGCGCTCATTCTCGTTGTCACTCTACCTTTAAGCGGTTTGGTTCCACAGACACCCCTGGGGCCTGGCATGATGTCGACAGGGTCCAAGACTGCCACCATGCCAGCCACCCCATCACCGCCAAACTTCGTCTCTCGCATGAAAATTTCTCTCAACGATAGAGACAATCGGCGAACCCAAAGCTTAAGAGAGAGAGGTCCTTCGAAGACAACAAACATGGCGGACAAAATGACAAGTCAACATAGCCGCCGAGAGAGCAATGTGCAGCAACAGGGTTCCCCATCGGGAAGTACTATTGCAAGGTCCATGTCTCGCTACCGTAGACGGACAAGTAGCGTTACTGTCAACGTCGATGCAACCCAGAAAATTAATTCCGATCCACCACCCCCATGGGACCCTCCGATAGTCCCCCCTGTGCCAACTATACCACGTCCGTTAAGGACCGCCAGCAGCATAACACAAAAGGAGACAGATGTCCCGGCCGCCTCGCCCTTGCCCAATTCTCCTCCGCGACACCAGCTGCGCCATACCGAATCCACGCGACGGCAGACGCTGCGTCGAAGCATGGCCGACCAGTATCAAAGCCGACCTAGTACCGCCAAGAGCGCGAAAAGCGCCAGAAGTGAAGAAAGTGCGTGGCGGAGGCTTGCTAGCCGAGATGGACGGCGCAATAGGCACGATAGCGAAGCAGAGGAGGAAGCAAAGCGAGAGATTGCGCGATTGGAGGCTGAGAATCATCAGCTCTTAATTGAGCAAAAGAAGAAGGAACTCCAGAGGTTAGAGGTGCAATTGGCGAATAACCAAAAGACGACTCAATCGCAGTCACATAAACAAAGGAGCCCGGTAATTGAGAAATTTGTTCTCTTGACCAAGGGAAGGAAAAACAAAGATGGGTTATCCCCCGGGATCTCTCCTGCGTCTTCGACTACCAGTTTTGAGCCCTCGAAAATGGCCCCGATGGGTATAGAGCCCGGCGGCAGGGGCATTGTACCTCAAACAGATGCGCCGCATTCTGCGATTAATGCTGGAGATCGAGTAAGTGTAGAATGTCGCTTTGGTGACAGCGAATACTAATTTCAATTCGTAGAATGTTGCTGTGCGCTATAGACAACATACCCTCAGTCTTGAGGTTACGCCCGAGACGACATCAGACGATATAATATTTCAAACCTCCGAAGCGATGGGTACTGACGAAATCAATCCAACGAATTGTGTTGTCGTAGAAACCTATAGTGTATTAGGTCTTGAGCGACGTTTACGACGTTACGAATCCATCCGAGACGTTATGAATTCTTGGGATCGGGATACACAAAATCAATTGGTAGTTACGTTATCGGATTCCGAAGAACAAAATCGGGAACTCGACATCGACTCAGCCCCGAAACGCAACGAGCCACCTCAGGGTTTCCAATTATATATGTACCACTCAAATCGCCCTGGAAAATGGAACAAGAGGTGGATCGCCCTTCTTGAGAACGGACAGGTCCTATGTGCGAAGAAGCCGAACGCAAATTCTACGGATAAGGATACTACAAACCTTTGCCGTCTATCTGATTACGATATTTACACACCCACAGAATCGCAGATGCGACGGCATATAAAACCTCCGAAACGATTTTGTTTCGCTGTGAAGAGTCAACAGAGGACGACTGTGTTCATGAATACCGAGAACTATGTGCAATATTTTTGTACAGAGGATCCTCAAATCGCCGCCCAGTTTAGAGAAAAGGTGCAGAGCTGGCGTAGCTGGTACCTGGTTGGCCGTATTCCAGTGGCCCCAAAAACACCAAGAAAAATCTCAATTAGGAAGACCGACGACAAACCGCCTCAAATTACTTTACCTGCAATTAGCCGCACGCCAAAGAAAACGGAAAATGTTGCTACCTTAAATGGTCATCGTCTCCGGGTGTCGGTTGATGAGACGCCTTATGCGATCGGTCAATTCGAACCGCTTCTTGACATGAAGCGTTTTGATAAACGACTGTCTCAGTTCGGCAAGGATTTCTTGCCACCTCCACCAGTGCCAGATGTATCAACTATGCCTAAGGAAATACCAGCCCATCATCTTAATTCTGGTTCGAAGCGCGAGAAACGTGAGAAAGATAGTAGGAGCGATCTGAGGTTAATAGACTCAATCCATTCGGCTAGTAACGACGGCTTCACTGGCAGCGGGCTTCTAGGCGGAGGGTACGAAGAGCGTAAGCGCGACTCGGATAGACTGGATCGAGGGCGACAGGTTTCAAAAGATGATGGGTTCATTGAAGGCCCTTCACTTCTCAACAGAAAGTCGGAACCAGAACCGGGTGCCCACGGTCCTGACTCACCTTCCTGGTTCCCGTCCGCCCTTGAGCATTCCGCCAGAGCGCGCAGTATTACTTCATCTTCTTCCTCTTCTGCTCGACCAAGCACTTCCGCAGGTGTCGTACGCACTCACACTCACACGCACCAAAATTCTCATACCCGCAGACCATCTCTTTCCTCATCCTCTCGACCTCCTCTTCCTCTATCTGGAAAACCCCAAGCTCACGAACACCCCCACCCACTTTCCTCTCAACCAACTGGATTGTCACATTCGAACCGTCGCGATCGACCGAAGCCGCTAGTTAATTTAGAATCTGGTTTCCAGGAAGCACCGCAGTGGGCGAAGAACAAATCTGGCCATGGTGTCAAAGCCCCCGAGGGCACGGCCCACCTAATCGATCTTATCACAGTCCCAAACTCAAGCAAACCGAATGGAATTGACCCCGAAGTGCCTCCTCGAAGTGCTTTAAGGCGTCCCCCGAATACGGCACCCCTACCGGGTCTTTCCCGGACAAGGAGTAAGACTCAAGGTGCTCCGCCTCCGAGATCACCAATCAATGGAGACGTACCACCTGTACCATCTCTGCCCAAACGTGTCCCTGACTGGGAGCCGTTAAGGTCGCATCCACCACCGCGGAGCCGAGATCGAGAACGGACGAGGGAGAAAGAACGAGAGTACAGCGCCTATAATTCGGTGTCCGGTCGGACGGGCACCTTGAAGGTGGTTTAAAGAATATTATCATACCATATATGGCATATTTAATCCTAATACTACGCGGATCACGACGCATTTACTTTGTTCATCGGAGGATTTACTGCTTATATCATTATAATACCCGCGCCGAAATCATCTATCGCTAGAAAAAAGGCATAGGAGCCATCTACTTATTCATCTATTTGGGAGAGGCGGACGCATAGTCAGCGGGCATGAAGTTTATCATATATCATATCATCTCATTGTGTTATGAAAAAAGCGAGGCGAAGGGATGTAAGGGACGATGGATGGATAGGATTTGATATGTCTGCATAGTATGTTTGCACGACGATATTATTTGGTTTGGTCGATGACGATTTACGTCTTGACTGTTTGTTTACTGACTACTCGGGGCCTAGGTGCCGAGATACTATATACCCTATGTAATAATAATAATACTGCATAATCATACTGCATAATCATCCATGACTCTGGAGAAGTTGTATAGTAAAAGATCGACGATGGGTTGAGTTAGATACCAGCCGGGCATGGACCTTAATGGCGCTGATACCTACCTAGGTATTATCATCCATGAGGAGACTCTCAACACATGTTCATCGCACCTCGAACAAGCAACACGTACTCACAATGAAGCTTATAGAGTTAGATTATATCCACGTCACCTAGCACGTATGTAGAAATGGCTCATAGCATTCGTCACTTCGGCGCTAGTTATGTAGTAAAGGTCTACGGGTACTAGTGGATAGTTCCGGTCGACGTCTAGGCCCAGGTCTTGGTATATGTGGAAACGGGCCTCATGCATCGGGGAAGTAAGGATTGAAGGGGAAAAGGACATGGAGTAACTACTTACCGGAAGTTGATCCGGTCAAGCATTCGTATGTAATGATTGGAATGAAGTCATCATCATGACGCATAGGTGCGGCTCAGTCCTTTTGTATGTTTTAATGCGCGATTGGTGTGATATCTGTATCTCCAAACCCCCCGTAGATAGGGTAGTAGCAGATATGCACCACTCCATCGAGATCTCGGTCCCGATGAAACTGGCGACGGAAGTTGTGATATCACACGCATACTCGTCACATCTGGTTTCTTGAAGAATAATAGTTCTTGCCTAGGTAGGTTTTGGGATTGGTGCTTATGAAGATGGTATCCTATAGGATGGCTGCTTACGTATGGTAGTTCCCGATTTGTGGATGTGTGGAAGGGTGGAAGAGGGAGTGAGTATCTTATGCTGCGTGTTGGCGGACGGCTGAAGATGGGGTGCGTGTAATGCGACACTGGATGGCTGTTTCTGGGAAATTCGCCGTGGTTGCGGGGAGTTGTGATGGAGTAGTTGGCTTCATTGCAGATATAGACATGTCTGGGTGGGGGTTTGGTTGATGTTCTTGGAGGTGATGTGCAGAAGATGGATATAGGACTATAGAGGGTGTTATAACGATGTTATAAGGGGTGCCATCCTATGTGTAGTTGTGTTATAGAGAGCGAGTTATATGAAATTATACTATTATAGCTTTCTTACAGTCTCTCAGCGCGATTGAAACCCACCAACAAATTCTTGATACATCGTGACAATGTTTGGGCTAACTATGAACCCGTTTGTGGCTGGGTCGGTTATGGTTGTCGCGGTAGGTATTGCTTCATAATTGTGCGAGTATAACACGATAATACTGATGGAAGTAACTTCACTAGGGCATCTTGTACTGGCTTGGCTGGATTATATACTGCCTCTGGTTCCACCCACTTGCAAAATATCCAGGACCTAAAATCGCCGCTGTGTCTGGGGTAGGTACCCCCTTATGTTTAATTCTCGCTACTCCGTTAATCGTCGAGTTTCTAGGTATGGTTTATCTGGGCTTGGACAAGCGGGAGATTCCCTCACATTCTCGAGGGAGTTCATAAGAAGCACGGTATGCGCACCCCATGATCCACGATACACTCATCCTAGGTCACATTCTAATAGTATTGGAATCATAGGTGACGTAGTGCGCATAGCTCCCAATGAGCTATCCTTTAGCACGATCCAAGCCCATCGAGACATCTACTCGACCCCATCGAAAACACGGAAACCATTTCTCAAGTGTAGCAAGTTCTACAATAACGGGGACGCGCCTAATCTCTTCTACGAAATCGACCCGGTCGAACATGCTAAGATGCGAAAGATGCTGGCCCCCGGTTTCACCGGCGGAGCGATGAAGTCCCATGAACATGTCATACATCGCTACGTTGACATGTTCGTCCGCAAACTTGCCGAGCTCAGCGCCGCGAGTTGCGGGAAGGGTGTCGATGTGACGGAAGCCGTGCCTTGGTTAACATTTGATGTTATGGGTGAGTGTGCTCCCTCACCACTACCATACTGAATAGGAGCTTGCTGACAACACATGCTTCACACAATTAGGCGAACTAACCTTCAGTGAATCCTTCAACGCCGTCGCAGCCGGAAAAACACATTTCTGGATCTCGTTACTCAACGACAGCGCGTACGCCGCCAGCCTACCGCCTCTAATCAGTCGAGCGCCCGCCCTCGCACTGCTGATCCCATTCCTACTCTCCATAACCTCATTATGGAATCTGCGGAAGCATTACGCATACACGCTAGCAATCGTGCGGCGCCGCATTGCCCGTCCCCCTTCTTCGGGTAGTGATCTCTTCGCCCCGGTGCTAGAGCAGAATGGAGAACGGGTAAGTGAAAAATATCTAGTATCCCTAGCCCAAGCAATGATTATCGCCGGAGCCGATACGGTTACCACGGCTATGACGTCCGCATTGTATTTCCTGTGCACCTCGCCTAAGAGTATGGCGCGGCTGCGGGATGAAGTGCGGAGTTTGCGGTATGAGCAGTTAGACGGCGGGGAGGTTGCGCGGCTCGGGTATCTGAACGCTGTTATTGAGGAATCTAGTAAGCATTACTCCCTACATTTTTTCTCGGCGTTGATTATTGCCTTATTTTCCTTTCTTTACCTATAATCTGTCTTATCACATCATCATGATCATCATCTTATCCGTTCGGAAGTTATGGATCGGAGGAACAATAAGAGCGCATTGTAGTCAGATTCTATCTCACGGATAAGAAAAAAGCAAAAGAAAGGAGAAAAAGTAAAGTGATAGCGATTATTTGCTGACCGCAGAAATCGTTGGGATGTCTGCAGTGAGATGCTTCCCACCCATCGCCTTCGGATTACCGCGCGTCTCACCCGGCGAAACTATCGACGGGCACTTCATCCCGAAGGGTGTTAGAGTCTCGGCCGGCCATTGGGTGCTTAATCGGAATCCTTTGATTTGGGACAGGGCTTATGAGTTTATCCCCGAGCGATGGTTGAGAAATGATGATGGGGATGATAAGTTGCAAAATGGCGCACAGCCTGCGATTTTTCCCTTCAGTACCGGGCCTAGGAGCTGTCTAGGAATTGCGCAGGCTAATTTGGAAGTAAGGATCGCCTTGGCGAAGTTGGTTCATACTTTTGATATGCAGGTAGCCCAGGACCCTGGCGATTGGATTGACGCTGCTCGGATGAATATGATGTGGAAGAAAGCGCCTTTCATGGTGAATTTCATTCCTCGCGATGGGGGCGACTTTAACAAAAATGAGAAATAGAAGAAGGGACATACTTTGCTTGTCTAAAGACTGTAAAGGGTATTGTCAATATTTTAGTCTAGCTGAAGATCTAATAATTTCGAACAAGCCACTCGTGCTGTTTCAGATATGCTTTTTCTGAACGCTCAATTCGACGATAAAAGCAATGACATGAGCTTTTCCCTAGATTTGACCTCTTACTTGCTTCGCTTGTAGATCTTCTGGAGGAATGTCTCGAAGACACCCTTTTTTAGGCCTTCACTCTCATCAATCTGGGAGATTCGTTGTCTGATCTCACCCACGCTCTTCTCTTCGTAGTCTTGGTAAATCTTCTCAAGGTTCAAGTCGTTGTAAAGTTTCTTGATCTCGGCCTCGTGAGCCGTGTCTTTTCTGCCGTAGTGTTCCTCCAGAATCTTGCGCTGCTCGGGTGTCGCTATCTTCAGAGCCTGGTTGACTAACCAGGAGCACTTGTTGTCCTGAATATCGGTACCGATCTTTCCAATGTGCTCGGGAAGTCCGAAGTTGTCTAGGTAGTCGTCTTGAACTTGGAAGTATTCACCCATGGGAATGAGAATATCATGTGCTTGCTTTAAGTTCTTGGGGGTTGCGATGTTAAGCTGGTGTAGTGCTAGGGCAACTGGTAGGTAGAAGCTGTAGTAGGCGGTCTTGTAAATGACAATAAAGGTGTACTTCTCTATGCTGAAGTTGTCAAGGTTTACCACGTCTTCTGGAGCTGTGAGAAGGTCGCACAATTGGCCAAGTTCGGTTTGTAGTGATACTTCGTGGAATAGCTCAACCATGTCGATGTAAGCGGGATGAGATTTGAAGTGCTTCTTGAGCAAGGTGTAAATGGCAGATTCAAGTAGGAAAGCGTCGTTGATAGCGATCATACCAACACCTTCTTGGCGGTACCAGCAGGGCTTTCCACGTCGTGTGATGCTGCTGTCCATAATATCATCCGAGACGAGGAAGAAAGCTTGTAGGAGCTCAATCATCCAGCCCAAAGTAGCAGACTGGAAGTACTCCTGTTCGGACAATTCCTTGTTGAGTAGGAGAGAGACTGAATCGGGAACCGACATTCCACGGTTGCATTTTCCACCCAAAGTGTTGACTTCAAGGACCTAATATATGTTAGTAAGATATCATGGCGGGGGTTGAATAAAAGCCAGCAAGTTAGGTGAAGCAAAGCGAGCGACGAATTGACTCTACTGCAACGAAGGTAATATTGAATTTGATGAATTATCTCACCTTCTTGTACCAGTCTTGTTGCTCCTGAGGCAGGTTGTACTGTTTCACCCAATTTACCAAGTCTTCCTCGAGTTTTGGGAAGACGGACTCGAACTCCTGGAGGGTAGTTTTCTTCGCCATTGTATTTTATGGTAGATTTCCTAATTTCAACTAAAGAAATTTGAGGTATCAATGTTAAAAGATAGGGAAATCTGCTTCGGAATTGAAGGACTCGAGGGAATAAAAGGGGGGAATGAATGAGTATAAGGCAGAAGGTAGAGCGGTGGCCGATGGTGGAAGTTGTATAACCTAAATTTAATCGATAATGGGGATAAAGGTAGAGGGGCAGAGGGGCACCTGTATTCACCCCCACCTACGACCAATTTTACTTGGTCCCCATCAAAATTAACAGTCTTATTCCTCATTGGACAAGGGGCATATGCAAGCCTTGTAATGGCAGTTCCGTTTCCAGCTTCTACTCTTCCATAGATTATCCCCATTCATAAAGTGGCTTATGTAGCACAACATTTTCTATAATATTAGTGGGATTATTTCTACTCTTTTTAAACTAAAAATGTCTCAATTCTAATGTAGTTGGTTCTATTCATAATCTCAATTGTTTTTCGTAGAGGGGACTCTAGGGACTCTAGGTAGTATTAATGCCCAAATTTGGCCAGTGAATTTAGGATGCAAGGACCGGGTAGGCGCCTAAGATAAGAAGCATTGATCTTTTGTGCTATTTATCGTTATCTCTTATCGATATGTAGCTAAATCTGGATATCAATATTGACGTTTTGAGGGGCACGCTACTTAGCATCGATCCTCCTAGGAATTACAACTATTCCTCACAATTCCTTACACAGCTTCCATACACATTCTAGAGCTTTATGAAACTTCGAGGCTCCCAAAGGAATGAGGAATACCCATGAAAATATGTGATGCATTGATTCAGCTTTTGTTTGGGAGCAAACTAGTGCTTATGCATTGACATCCGACAATTGGTTTTCGACGCGGTCCCCGAGTTGTCGCGTTGGATTACACAATCGACGAAGGATCGCCTCACATAACGTAATATCGCAATGTCCCAACTCACTGATCGGGACAAATCCCAACTCCGAAATGCATTGCAAGAGGCCGTGATCAAATGTTCAGAGAGATGTTTATACCAATCCTCTAAATGGTACTATTCTCTCCCTTGATAGTATGATAAACATATTATGAAAGCTAATGCGATATACTTCTAGGGCGGCTGAACTTCTCAACGCCATCCCCGAAACCGAGACATCGCTTGACGATTCACAGCTTTCCGACGCTTCTAACGGATATGCGTCGACTGTACTCGCCCAGAATGTCGATCCCAACGAGGCTGCGCTTGAAGCCAAGGAGATAAACAAGTATCTTCTAGCCAAGTCCCTTTTCGATTGTCGAGAATTCGATCGATGTGCCTCCATCTTCCTACCCGATTCTACGCTTGCTGGGATGGTATCGTCGAAGGAGTCTAGCAATGCGACACCGAAAGGCAAGGGTAAAGGCAAAGTTACCACCCCTAGCAGTGCTAGAGTTAGTAATACCCATACGTTGCCAGAGTTGAGCCAGCGAAGCTTGTTCCTTGCTTTATATGCCAAATACCTCTCAGGAGAGAAGCGTAAAGATGAAGATGCCGAGATGGTGATGGGTCCGCAGGATATTGGTACATGCGTCAACAAACAGCTGCTTATAATTAGCCGTGTTCTGGAAATATGGTTCCACCAACGCAAAACGGACGATGAAGAAATTGAGGGTAGCCAGGGGTGGCTTGAATATCTTTACGGCATGGTTCTTGCAAAACAAAAGAACGATGAAGTAGCCTTGTATTGGCTAATCCGCAGCGTACACTTATGCCCAATGAATTGGGGTGCTTGGCTTGAGATGACCGCACTCATATCTAGGGTGGAGGATGTAGGTTATAACGTGAAGGTATCTGAAGTTGGCATCCGCTAATCCATTATAGCTGAATCGACTTATGCCTCGGTTACCGCAGAATATCATCTGCTTCATGTTCCACATTCACACCTCACTTGAGCTATACCAACACGACGCAAACCTTGCTAACTCCCTCGACCAACTACTCAACATATTTCCAAAGTCATCTTTTCTCCTTACATGCGACGCATTACTTTCCTATCATGCCAAGGATCTCGTGGCCGCCGAGCAACATTTTAGTCGCATCCTCTCACTATATCCGCATAGGTTGGATTCATTGGACCACTATTCTAATATTTTATATGTCATGAATGCACGACCGAAGCTTGCTTTCCTAGCCCATCTATGCAGTAGTGTCGATAAATTTCGACCAGAATCTTGTGTAGTAATTGGTAATTACTACTCATTACTATCCTTACACGAGAAGGCAGTGCAATACTTCCGACGAGCTTTGATGCTAGATCGATCATGTCTTTCCGCTTGGACGTTGATGGGACATGAGTATGTCGAGCTTAAAAACACGCACGCCGCTATCGAATCATACCGACGAGCTGTGGATGTGAATAGAAGGGATTACCGAGCGTGGTATGGGTTAGGACAAACGTATGAGGTCTTGGAGATGCATGCGTATGCTTTATGGTACTACAAAAAGGCAGCCGGACTTCGACCATGGGATGGGAAAATGTGGATGGCGGTTGGTTCGTGCTTACAACGCATGAATAGAAATCAAGATGGAATCAAGGCTCTTAAACGGGCATTGATCGCTGAGAGTTACTACGACACAGGGAGCAGTTTCGGCAGCGGTGGGGGAGGTAATATTCGAGACGCTCATATGGATCCGGAGATCCTGCTACAAATTGCTACTATGTACGACAGTATTGGGAATGAAGAAGACGCAAAGGCATATATGGAAATGTGCGTCGCTCAGGAAGATGGTGGGGCAGGCGACAGTCAAGGAGACAGTATCGCTATTCACAACGACTCGCCAGGCGAAGGGTCAGATGACGATGGCGACAATACAGGGCGTGGAGAAGGAGGCACTGGCGTCACGGCTGCCACTAGTAAAGCGCGAATGTGGCTCGCCCGCTTTGCTATGAGAACCGAGGACTACACTACGGCGGATCGCCTCGCTAACGAGTTATGCCAGGACGGCGTCGAAGTCGAAGAAGCAAAGGCACTTATACGAGAAGTTAGATCGAGGTTGGAGGCTAACGGGATGTGAGGGCCGTCTGCCGTATAAACCCCCATTATAATGTGCGCATGAATCACGAATATTAAATGACACCAATCAACCTACAGATCGTTGATGTTGATGAGGGGATTACGATATTCTATTAAATAGATGGATATAAAAGACATGGGGTACTAATAATTGTGTACTAGCTAGTTGCGCTCTGTTTACGAGGCACCATGGAGTTTAGCGAGCTAGCAGTGTCCCCAGAAGGAAATACGAAATAGTAATTTCGGGATGGGCATTAGTCACAACCACGAGGACCTCGTCCGCTTCTCACGAGTGGCTATTTGATTCATGAGTTTCTCACGGCAACGTGACATGTCGGCGCGACTGGGGCCGCGCCGAGACATCCCCCCAAAACGTCCATAAGAGGAAGCAATTGGGGAGCCTCGTATTTGACTCGCTAAATCAGCCTCGGGCATCATGTGGACGTTGGACTCACTTTCGCTTAGCCATAGGAGCGAACTGCCCTTTTAACATAACTCAATGCTCGCGAAATTCCACTAATTGACGAGATCAAAGAGAGATATCGGCGCATGCCCCTGCATCTTTTCCCCGTTTCCCACACCTTTTAGTCGCACCAAGCCATGCCGTTCAATGATAGACAGATGTATCTAGAGCATAGAAAGGAAGATCTACCCTAGATATACCTTCACAACTAATCATAGTATGCCAGCGCATGAGACATTCATCTGCCTCTCTTCTTACTCGATATCCATCTACATATATAGAAGATGCGCAGATACGGACTTAAGCATGCCCCGTTTTAGATGTTACCTGGATCGATCTGTAAGTGGTTGTAGTAGATATATAAACGATGATCGGTTTAATGGGCTGGTGGGTGGTACCATGCTCATCTCAGCCTGGCTCCATTCTGCGCCGCTTGGCTACCTTGAGTGTTAATCGCCGAGATGCGACTTAGGTATAGAGACGTATGTTATAGCTACGTCTATGCTGTCATAAATCCTGTTTATAAAAATGGCCGGCTGGAGATCGGTTCCTCACGTGTAAGAACCGGGATGATAGGACTCGGTTTCCCGACTTTTTCTTGTGACGGGGTAGGGAGGCAAGTTGTTACGAGATCGCTCGAAGCACAGGCTATATACGTAGCCCACAGACGTATCCGTAGATAGCTATTTCTCGCAGAATAGAGTGGGATAATGAATGTGCTTACTGAGGAGGAGCAAGACATGCGAGTAATACCTCAGCAAAAATCTGTACCAACAAGACGCCCACGGTCACAGCCTACCTAATTGAGAGACAATGTCTCGCCTGCGAAACCAATCCCAAATCCCTCTTCCCTTCTCATAATCAAAATTATTCAGGGATTTTCTTTTTCTTCCCAACAAGCCACCTTCCGTCTTCCCCCCAATCTAATCCTCAATCACATCCGCGGTCCGTCAGTTATCAATTAGGTACCTCCATATACGTACGACATAACGCCCAGAGGAAGCGAAAGCAGCAGATCGGATTGGATTGGGGATATACAATACCCCGCGCTAAAAACTACCTGCTCGACCAGTCCTTAGCTTATTATGTAGGATGTAGGATGTAGGCTGGTGTTGTGTATTGTATGCAGGTGCGGCAACGTAAATACGAGCTCTGACGCTGGTCTTGGCGGCGCACCTTTATAAAGTAGGAGGATCTGAGTGGCCTGGGTAGAAGAGCTAAGCTCGCTCGTCACATGCATACTGTTGCATTCCCGGATAACACATAGGTTCGAGGTAGCTTAGCTGAAAAAATTCGGATTGGCGGATTTCCTGTTTGGGGATGCAGCTGGATGGTATGGTATTACTACCTAACTACTTACATTCATACGTTTATATACTCGGATTCAAAGGAAATTGGAAGAGGGAGCGGGATCTATGACGATGGATTGGAATGGAGTGTTCAATCACTGTTAGCGAACTCGCAGTAGATCCCGATAGCCTGCCTACAGTATCCGTCAGCACTGCAGGGGAAGAAAAGGTGGTTGGGTTCGGTAGAGTGTGCCGCCGTCATACAGCATACGCAAAAAATCCCCTCTCACCATTCCCTAATCTCTGATAAGCAACGCAGAATAAGCCATCCGACGAAAGAGGAAGCGAAGAGAAAAAAATCAAGAAAATTTTTCTCCCAGAGAGGTATAATCAGATCCTTTCCTTGTGTGGAGGAGGCTTGCTGCAGGCCAATAGAGTCGGAGTATCTATGCTAACTTAGGCATAAGAGGCATAAGCTATCTTATGAATTTGCCATCGTATGTTAGGTACCTACAGTAGGGTACTGAACGCTCACTGCATATGTCCTGTAAGCTTTACTGTGACGCACGATAAAGTGGTGGCGAAAAAGAACTATCCCGCCTGTCCGCTCTGCCATGGTTCGAAGGGAACCAGCCATCTGTCCGAACTGAGGGGGCCGAGGGTTAGGTTTGTTTGAATGACAGATGGCTAGACGGCTGGATGATGCTAGGTAGGCAGGTACGCGAGAATATTAGATGCTTCAACGTGCGTAAGGCTACAGTAGTTAGAGGCAGTGTAAGTGAGAATACAGCGCCTAGTGCTGCACGTAAGGGAGTTGGCTTTAAGCTTAACTTGAAGTCTCGTGTGTATATCTTGTAGATAGATCGTCATTGGCACTTAATAAATATATATAATCTTAATATCTTCATCACGATAGCAATTTATGAGGAGCACCAAAGTCTCGGTTCTGGGAACTATCACTATATTCGATTCTATATACGATCGTCTCACGACGCCCAAATAATCGGGTAGGTGATTTTCCAAGGAGTGTGAGTTCTCGAGCATATTCAGCGTCGAAAATTAGCTAATATTGATGCGTGTATATACGCAAATTAATGTGATAAATACCATTTCCGCCCTCTCCCAATGTGAGCCATTTAACGTAATCTCGTTTGCCCCCATGAGGCCCACATTATCTCGTCAAAACATCATAACTAATGTACCAAGTTCCAAATGTGGCTCGGCTCAATGAGGGTATAGAACGTCGTCGCAAAAATCACTCCGCCCAAAATGCTTCCAAAACTCGGGAATCATTTGTTAACCAAACATTAAAAGTAGAAAAAAGGGTATCTGTAAAATGCAATAGTGTTACGAGGGTTAATCCCGTAATACTCCGTTTACAGAGCGAGAGCAGCAAGACCGGCAGCGAGCAGAGCGCCGACAGATCCAAGCTTGTTGGCAGCGGCAGTAGGAACGGTGGCCGGGCCGGTAGAAGTGGGTGGGACAGGAGTGTTAGTGGGAACTTCCGGAGTGGTGACAGGAACGCTTCCAGGGTAGGTTGGCGAGGAGGTCGGGTAAGTGATGTATGTAGAGCTCACGTTAGAGGTGGGGTAAGAAATGGTTCCCGTGGAGTAAGGCGCAGACGTAGGGTACGAGGTGTATGGCACGGAAGTGGGATACGAAGAGTACGGTACGGATGTGGGATATGAGGAGGGTGTGGATGTAGGGTACGAGACCGGTGGAGATGTAGAATAGGTGACCGTGCAAGGACAGTTGGTGACGGTGATGGTAGTTTCCGAGGTAGCAGTGTACGTCACATTTTGGTATGAGAAAGTAGTCGCGGACTATCAAGAGGTTAGTAAAACTAGTTCATCGGAATGAGGTCCTCGAGATGTGAAAGGCATTCTACACATACAGGGCAGTAAGTGGTGTAGTCAGTCTCTATGACGGTGGTGTAAACCGCAGACTCATTCCATGCCTTGACAGCAGCAAACAACCCAACAGTGGGAGCCAGGATCTGAATTAGCTTCATGTTGATCGGTGTTTTGACCACAATGGTATTAGCGAAAGAATTATTTTATAGCGCCGTAAATCACCAAGCGATTGGAGTTTGCGAAACGATTGTGATGTCAGTTAAGACTTGACAGGATTATACCCAGAAGGTAGCGATTGAGAGGTTCTGAGTGATATATGATGTTGAAGGGATGGAACCGGCGGGAATACATGCAGGACAGCCACCTATTTATTTCTCGCCTTCGACTTCAAAGGATAGACAGTGTGTGTGCATGGCAACCTGATGGTGGGTAATGACGAGCAGCCCGATCCAGCCGCTACAGCCCGCGCTTGCAGGCTTACATTAACAAAGGCTGGGGAGTTGTTTGGGTGATGCCATGCAGGTCGATGGCGGGCAGTTGCCCATATCGACCGACGCCTGTCCGGGGTCAAAAGCCACAAAAGTAACCAACCATACGACCCATAAACATCTACGGTACCTACGCCTGTAGCTATCGTAAGGTCCGACAGGTGATACGACAGTTTTTTGTCGTCTAAATAAGTGCGAATTACTATTTCAGTCACAATTCTTCCTGAAATGACTCGTCTATCTCGTAAAGAATCTTCCCGTATTGTGGAAAGATACGGCGAAGCGTCTTTAAAACATTTAACCCGTGTCTAAGTGACGATGCTAGATGCTGAGCTCAGGTAAGCTAGCTATCTGTCTAGCTCGATTAACGTGTAGATAGGGCGGCGGAAATTCATTGCACAATACGTTGCATCTAAGCTGGATACCATACAGGGCGAGTCGGCAACATTAGGAGCCCAAACCGTCGAGTAGGATGTCTAACAGCTATCCCGCTCTGAGGTGATACGAGGTAACAAGTCTCAAAGGACCGGGGTTACTCGACCGGGGGGCAGGAGTTCAGATGTCAGCGTATCTCCTCGACAAATAGCTCTTCGGAGCCTTTGTATGTATCGTGCGATAGATAAGGTAACGAGATAATCAGGCGGGGTTGGTGATGTTTAGCAGACGATTTGATAGGTTTTCGAGAGCCTCCCCTGCCTTTTCTGGTTTGTCTGGTTGATCAACAGAGGCTGACCAGGCCCTAGCTGATTGGATACGTCATATATATCCACCGTCGCCTTTTGGTAAGTGGGCTGGCAATACTGGCGGTGAGGGGTCTATACCGTTTGTGGCAGAACAATGCAACAATGGTACCGAAAGGGCCGAGGAAAACCTCGTGTTGCTGCGTTACCAGCTACCAGTCACCAGTCTAGCTGGGTTGCCAAGCCATCCAGGATATCAACGTTGCCTTTGCTCCCCTGTCAAATCTTTTAAGAGCTAGAAGATCCAGAGGCCTGGAGCTTACAACTAAACATGGATGTTTTCCAGACGTGGAATAGAACGAAGTTAGGTCTACTTAGTGAGTGAGCAGAATTTGCAATTGTGGAGTACGCTTTGAGCATTTCGAGCATAGTCGTAGGTTGGACCAATATAAAGATCCCAATCTGAGTTGTTCTTGTCAGATTGTTTCCTTTTTGAGAATTTACATATGTTAGCGAGAGAGAGGAGGAAGATGGGTAGTGATAAGAATGTTTAAATCGAGGGGAAAGAGTTTTGGTTAAGGTGGATCTGGAGGGGAGTGTTAGCTCCGAGGGTACCTTAGCAGCTCAGGTGAGGTAGCATCTAGGAAATCTCATAGCTCGGCCGAGACTTCCGCAAATCTAAAACACCCACACGATAATCTGTACCGTAGAAGGCAGGCACCACCTGTATTCGAATTTAGGTAATACCTGAAGATTAGGTAGAGAAGATAGCCAGAGATTACAGGCGCGATAAGGGCGATCATCTGAAATTAAACATTTCATTCCTTAAGAAATTCCCCCCAATTGCTTTTCTACCAGAAATTTCAATCACAGGTGAACGTAAATCTAATATTTCAGTAACCCGACAACGCCATCCCTCTAAACTTCTTTTTTGGATCATGGCTCATCGACTCAACGTTCAATGGCAAACATCGTCATCATAGCCAAGACACGTGAACCCAACAAAATGTTGTCATAGGGTCTATGAACAAAGAGTATCGTTTGTCTGGGATCCTTCGAAAAAGCTTGTCGATTATTGCAGAAGCCCATCAGTCGAATGTCATGGCTAATTCCCCGCCTTCGAGATATTGCAAGACATGAATGCAGGGGCCTTTGCGACCTCGGACAGAGCTGAGTATCAGTTGGCTTCAAAGTGGCCCGCCACCAGTTTCTTCCACCGCAGTATCTTGTGAGGATGGCTCTGCGAGGTTCGGAGGCCAGGCTATAGCATAGGGGTTTTCCGCTCTCCGCTCCAGGGAGGTTCTGCACGGGATGGAGACAGCGACCAACGATGAGAAAGTCGTACTTGGCTCTTCTTCGACCGGACTATGACGCATACGGAGTCGCCAATGGTATATTGCCACCGATATTTTTGTTACATCGTGGCCTTGAAAATTCTCATCGGTCGGACCTTGTCTTTCGGTCTTCCGCCGATGCTTATTGGACGCCTAACAAGCGAACGTGCTAAGCAACGTGTTGAGAAAATTTTCATCTTTTCAATTCTCACATTCCTTCTGATAGGCTGATGGTACTTAGGTAGCTAGTGCTATTATATCTTTGCTGACCATTATAGCACTTTTCACCGGCCACCCAATAACGCCCCCAAAACCTGGCTATTGACCGGCGTGATTGAAAATCTACTGTGGCCAAGAATATTGATCAGAACTATGTGACTCGACCGCAAAAAGAGGCCAGTCTACCATTTGAAGTCTCTTGGAGGATCGAGTTCGGAATTCACTTCTCGCACCACGAGCTGTTTCGTCTTCTACAATAAGGAAATTTGAATCCCTGTCACGGTCGCGATTGTCTGAATGGACTATGCATCGCGAGTTAGGGTTACTGTTCTAAAGATCGTGCAACTTTAGGCTACTACCAAGACCTCGCGCCTCACTCGCTACGAACGAATCCAACATCCTCGCTCTTCAGTGCCTAGTCTGGACATAGGCTTCTAGCACTGGTACCTTAGCTAAACATTCACAGGAATCCACTCTCAAGACATCATCTATAGCCTAACAAACAGTACTAAAACTATTTTTCAAGGAATAGCCAATTGGTGAAAAAAAGAAATTCAAGCCTCGATCTTGTTGAAAGGCGCTATATGAACGACCGAATACTGGCCGATCATTCTTGTGGTTGGCTACCGAACTATCGCTCTAGATGCAAACATCTTATCTCATCCCTCACCCGGCTCCAGCATTATACTCGCACGCCTTTGTGGATCACGTTGCATGTGTGGCAAAAGCAAATCAAGGCATTATCCCCTCTTCTAAAAATCCCGCCCGTGCGTGATGGTGTGAAGCCACGGGTCTTAGTGTCTAGCGGTCCGGAGTCGCGGGTACTTAGTTGATTGCTAAAGCGTTAGACCCGTACTTCGGTCGATTCCGGCTTCACACCCGATGTATTCTGGTGCCTCGGCCGTTATGGAACCACGCCTTCTGATCCACATTACCGTCGACCTTAACAACCGGTCTTTGCTACGTACTAAAGTTACTCACATTTAGCAAGCCATGAATTACTAATCTCTGAAGCTATTCCGAATCCTGATAAACCCCCCTTGCATTTTTCTTTGCTGCATCGTCTGAGTAACCCGAGGCTAGAACAACTACGATGTTTTTTTTACGAAACTCAAACGCATCTAGATTTTCTACTTGAGAATTCTGCAAGTACGGTGATAGCGTATTCTTGCCCTCGGGACCGTTTGACCGCATCCGTTCAATAGTTACGCCCTGCAGGTTGCATTAGTTATATGGCAACAAAGAGGGAATAGCAAATCGCCGTTACGGGATGCCCAGATTGGGAAGTCGGATCCTGGTCTGCGAATCCTGCTACATTCGCTGGCAGCTATTCGCTTATTCAGGGCGCAGTGGAAATTGCAGTTGTGCGCTTCTTCCGTGGTGCTTGAAATTGCTATGAACAGCAATCAATTACCAACTCGAACAAGTCATTTGACCATCTGCCAGCTGGATCCACGTATCGATTACTTTCGGTAGAAAGACTAGGTAAAGGGGTCCTCCCGAGGATAGGCTCCAATTGCAATGGTTTTCCTATTTAGCGATCTGGTCACGGAGGCCTAAATGCGGTGACACGAAATACCTCATTGTCAATTTGTCAGGCCAGTCACCCGAATTATCGAGGTAGACTAGACCCTCTCATAGTATGCCACATGGACTTATGTCAGGTACCAGGAACAAGATCTTAGTACCGACCAATCGGGTTCTAGAACCAGATCAAGTCAATTGGTTCCTGATGCAAGGTTAAAAAAATATTTTCTTGTTCCTGTCGTGTGCCAACCCCTGTCATCCTTTATGAATTTTCTTCCCGCCCTGATGGACAACCCACCCGTCGCATTAGATTGGTGGATACTATTGGGGGCTTTCTCCTTGAAAGCTGGCAGTTCTTAGGTACTTTCTAAATTTACACCCCCTCCATTATACGTCAGCCCTAAGGTTAACCAAGTTAAGAAATTCGCAGCTAATTGTCTGCCAAGATTCGGGGCTTTTGACCGCGCGCCTTGCAATGAGGTGCCGTTATTCGTCCATATTTTCTGGAATTGTTTAGTGGATAACAATATGGTTAAAATATCGATTGCTTTAAACATCTGATCATCGTTGTTAATGTTAGGGTTAAATGTCTTAGATGATATGGCGCGGCTAGAATGAATTGTTTAGTGTAAGGCTTTCTAGATAGGTTGTCTGACCAGCCGGAGTTGGAGCGTATTCTATCCTTAGATCCAGGAACAAGTCGTCATCATCCACTACCAGGTTACCTTCATAGTACTGTGGCCTCGTTGTCTTGATACACACACGGCCCCCTATGTGGATTCCCTAGATGGATCATGGAGTCGGTCCTAGACTCCCCGCTACTTGATACCCGCTCAATGTACTCGACACTTCTTCTATCATTGAATTGTTCGATTGGCTGGATTCAACAATGAGAGAGTGAGGGCACCAACAGACCGCCAGCGGCCTTTGTTTCTGCATACTATAAAAAGCCTTGTGCTATCCCACATGTCAGACGGTTTTGAGTCCCTCCTTTTAGGCCAACCACATTTTGATTCTCAGCATTCTCTTTGAGCTCTCTGTAGCTATCATTCCTTCCTTTTGAAGCTTTTCAGTGATACACTCATTTTATCACGAGGCTATTATATATACTACTACTAGAGACAACACAGTCCTTCGAAACTAAAACACAAGAAACGATTATTCTTCACTGCGTCGAAGTTGATCCCATAGTCGAACCCTCCTTTACGGCAATTCAGCTTCACATTAGCTTACTATCCTTGACTATCATTTCTATTGATATAGAATCAACAAACAAATAACCAACAAAATGCGCTTCTTCACTCAGATCGCCGCCTTTGCTGCCGCCACTGCCACTCTGGTCAGTGCTAACACGATCACCCTTATCAACCAAGACGGAACTACCCGCAATGCCGTGTTCACCACGAACTTGAACAGTGTGCTCCTTAAGACTGTCACTGTCGCGGGAAACTCTCAGCAAGTGGTTGATATTCCAGAGGGCTGGGCTGGTAACTTATACGCCGTCGCCCAGGGTGAGCCTGAAGTTCCCGGCATGCTCGCTGAGATCACATTCCAAGGCTGGAATGATTTCACGTACTTTGATGTGTCAGCCATCGTCAAGCCCGGTGACACCACCAACGTCAAGCAAGTCTACCCTAAGACTCAACTTGAGTCCACCAAGACTTTAGTATCGGGATGTGCCCTCTTCCCTTGCGCTACTGCCTACTACCACCCTGAAGACATCCAGACGGTTGTCACTTCAGAGACGGACCTGATCGTTACCCTTGGCACCTCTGACAATGTTGCATCCCGTGAGGTCAACCCTAACCTAGTCGCTCGCCACTACGCTCTAGGCAAACTGTCTCCTTAAGCAGTCTCTGACTGATTCATGTTTATTTTGAGAGCGCAATTGATCAACGACGATACGACGGTTCTACGGCTATGGTTTCCCATGATACCCGTTTTACTACTTTCATTTCTTCCCAACTGGCCTTGCCCTCGAAACGGGTATCGGCATTATAACAAACAACTTTGTGGGATATAGACTCAAGGGGATTCGGAGTTAGGTTGGGCGAAAGCAAGCGCTTAAAAAGCAAGGAGTAGGAGGAAATACCTCTCCATTTTTTTATTCACTTATATACTTCTTTTCGGGGCATACATATATGTACAGGAAAGGGATCTGAAGTGCTCATATCTCAAGCCTTACCGCTTGCTTATACGCTGCGAGCCTAGCTGCTCTGCGCAACGTTCACGAACCTCGACGGTTCGTGCTGGCAACTACAACACTTCTTTCCAACACCCTTGGCGGTGCAGAACATGGCACAATCTACTCGATAGCCAGGTTTCCCTTTCTTGTACAGACGGACAACATTTTTGACACTTTCTTGACACTCGCTGTTTTGGATATATATCCTTTGAAATTTACTCTTCTTGTATATACTTCATTTTTAGGGATATCACTTGCTCAGTGATCCTCGCGCAAGACAATTTCGCCCCGATTGTCGCGACGCGAATTACCTGACTACCATATATAAATTCAAAATGATTCAATGAACGAATTTACTCTTACGGGACTTTACACGTGACATAATCCCCCTTTCACACTACCTACCTGGGTATCTGGGTAAGCGATAATAACCCCCTATTACCTACGCGCTAGCGAGGTTGGTGAGTCCCGGGTCTAGCCCCGGAAGGATTGCGCGGCCACTACGCGGCGCAGCGCCAGTAATGGTACCCCTACTGAAACAAAGACGTAGTAAGGAAATATAGGGGGATTGAATTGGATTGGATGAAACCATCGCCGCAAAGAAGATAGACCTAAAAATGAGACCGGCACGTTGGTTCGTCGCGTGGTTCTTCCAACTTCTTTGTTGTCTGGCTTACGTATGACAAAGAGATTAAAGATTGAGAATGGTGTAATTATTGACCCGCTAGATTCGACAACGTGGGTATGGCATGGTATGTCTTAGAAGGCTATTTTGGGAATAAACGGAATGTTTTTTTTTTTTTAACGAAATATCAAATTTCGTCTGTTTCGTTTCTCGAGTCCCTCGATTCTCTACCATTGTTAGCGGGAGGTATATGAGGTCTAGAACGGTTCTAGTGGGGTTGTTCGGTGATGTTTCGCAGTTCAGGTCAGGAATGTTGGTGCCTGTCCAGGTACCTAGGTAGGCGATTAATGTACGTCCGACTCGATGCTCTCTAAATACTACTTCCTTTCGCTTGTTACTCTACGGGCGTATTTTGTTCTTTGAGGCTTGAACGGAGTCCCCGCGCCTCGGAGGATATCGATACACTGCCCATCCTTTGCGCCCTATGGAATGGACTTCACATAGATCTACCGCGCAACGGAATAGGAACATACTTACACCACCTACCATACGTGCGTACGTATGTCCCATGACATATGTATTATCCAATCCATCCATCCCATCCCATCCTCTCACCTATATACCCACACACCTACATACATACACATATGTTGAGCGTCTCGCCAAGACCGAACGCGGTTCAAATAAAGATGAGACCCAGCAAGACAAACCCTGGACCCCCTACTAAAGCCGCAAGCGCCAAGCTTTCCCCCCATGTGCATCGGTCTGTTTGTTCCCTAGCCTATCCTAGTACGGATGCGACAATGCATGCAGACAATGGGGCACATGTAAACCTTTCAATGTTCCTTGTTTTTGTTTTCTCGCTGTAACGCAGCGGATAACGTTCCCCAATTAGCACACCCTTTCGTACGAATCGGTCGCTGTTGGTCGTTGATCGTGAGGGGTATGCTGTACCTATATAGGTGCTTATGGCTTTGTTCTATGGAACTCCGACAGGGGAGTGTCAGTGTTTTGGTAGACGCCTAACGCCCCCAATTTGGTTCAAATTTGGGGGAGATATAAGAATGATAGGCGGATAGCTAGCGGTCGATCAGAGCTTGTTCGTCCTTCGCGCTGTAGATCGTTGTGCGCTACTGTAAATCATCCATGGTATCTAAATCTGACCTCGCGCTTAATGAACCCATAGCAGATAGTATTTCAAAATAACTCGAATAACCTTGCAAAGAGTCAATCCTATTCCATATACTCAGGATATGAGTATCCCGTGTGGGATTTTCCTTGGTTCCTAAGTACCGACAAAGAACAGCTAGCGACATGACCGTACTCCGGACTTTGCCACGTTCCTCGCTGTTGTACAGAATAATCAATATCCGTTGATCAGTGCATAATATATTGGACGCCCTACATATCCACACCTACATCTCTAGGTATAGTTTCTGGTTTTCTTTCACCCCTCTCAAATCTGCCCTTGCATGTCGTTGGTATGGACGTGTTATCTAGAGGGATTTGCACATGAACATTCCTTGGAAGATCAATGTTGACCTGCCTATTCCGCGCGGGGGTTTCCTTAGACGTATAATAACGAATCTTCGGGTGAGTGTAGCGGTGATATGAAATAGGTACCTACTCTAGATAGAACAAACCTAGGTGCCTACCTAGGTATACATGCAACTGTACCTGTCAACCTAGGTATCTACCGACATGTCTAGTATCACTAATAAATTGCCGAAAACGATTTTCGTGGCGCCGAAACTCCGGGACGTTTGCCCTACACATAGGAAAAGGAAGGTGAGACCGTCTCGTGGCCCCCGAATCGGTGCGGATAGGTACTATATCAACTCCGACTCCGGGACCCATAGCATCTAGACCGTGGCAGCGCGGTCTATGAATCATGAAGGTCTTTTGATGGGCATTGTATCGGAGTGTGGTCCGGTATCTGAGGTAGCGCCGCTTAGGTATTGACGGGCGGAACACATTCACTCATAGCAATGTCCAATGCAGCAAAAAAATCTCATCTCAGTACTGTATTCCTCGTTCCCTTTCTTTCTACAAGACAAGAAAAAAACGCCTGCTTCGATGCCGCAAACGAGCCAATGTACATACGTAACAAACACAAAAATCAAAATCTCACAATGCATCGCCTTTCCCCTATTTGCTTTCCGCCTTCTCTTCTTTCTCCTTAGACTCCTCCTTCGATGCTTCTTCTGCATTGCTGCTCTGTTCCTTCGAGTCTTCGCTATCCTTCTTAGCGGGCTCTGTGCTACTGTCTGGCGCGGGAGGTTCTTGTTTTTGCTCGACTTTCTTGGAGTTAATGATAGACAATAGATTATCTCCGGTTTCGCCGAAGCCATCTATCTTGCCTAGACGGGCGGTGAGATATTCGATATCCGATCTCATTCTGTTTTCCGTTAGTTAACAACTTAAGCAAAGAAAAGAGTAATGGCTTGACTTACCGCTTAACTCCCGTCTCGGTCTGAGGTTCTAAGCTTTGTAACGCCTTACCCAACTGGCTCTGATAGCTATCAAAAACAGGCGTCATGATCAGCCTCACAGTACCCTCCGGTAGATGTTTCGTAAGGACCCTATGTAAAGTGACCGTTTCCTTTACTAGCGTCTCCATATATAGGTTCACTGTCGCCTCCGTTTGCTGGTCCCAGTTAAGCGTCTTCATGCTCTTAGCATGTGCCGAGGCTCGTCCACTCATTATTTCGACAAGCTTATCATAGATGCTGTTTTGATGTTCTTGGAAGAGGCGTTTGACCTTGTCAAATTCTCCCATAAGACCAGCCACGTTAGCGTTATTGACGTTAGGACCCGAACCTGCATGTCGCCGGACAAATTCGCGAACGTGTGGGATAAGCGTGGAAATGAATGCTAAAGCTTGCGAAGCAAGTGCTAAATGCCTTGTTGTGATGTTCTTGAGACCGGCTGATTTAGTAGCACCAGCACCAAGGATAAGTTGCGTGCATCGAGAGTTGAACAATTGTAAGTACGCAATTAGAGAACTCGACACATCCGAAGCCATGGAAGGGATCCCGGATATCAAATGTAAGAAGTGGGACATTCCTTCTAGGCATAATATTGCCGAGTTTGGTAATATGAACGGCTCTCCATCTATAATCGCGCTTCGCGTTTTCTCCTTAGTTGCTCCGTTAGATTCAGCTCTCGGTCGTCCGCCAGATTTTCCTTTATCTTCTGCTTCTGAGAATGGTTGCCAGATTTGGCTTCCTTCTAGCCAGGCGGCGCTATCCTTCGTGCTGCATTCCAATATGCGATTAAGCAATGTGGTATTTTCCTCTGTGAAGTCCTTGGCACTCCATTGGTCAGATTCCATGCCTTGAGCCAGTTTTTGTTTCTCTGCATCACCATGTGATTGGATGAAATCTTTAATCTGGGAATTGACAATGTTCTTCAAGGATGTCCCACTCCGGCCAGATATGGCTTCGCACTCATTTGCAAAATACAAATTGAGTGTAAAGTATCGCAAGAACCATACCAAGGGCAAATGAGAGCTTTGGTCGGATCGGACACGGAGAATCTTAACAATCCTGTCCTGAGAAGTATCAACTGCTTGACCTAGAAGATTTGCCATGTCCATAGTTAGGTGAATATCTTCCTGTAAATCGCGATTTACGCTATTGAGAGGTGGTGATTTTAGAGGATTCGGCGACTTTAGGCCCTCAATAGCCGGTTGCTCTCCTATAGAGCTCGCAACATCAAACAACACCTTCATCTGTGTACCCAGTCTTCGTAATGTTTCTGTAACGCTGATATATATTTTGACAAAGAGAGCCTCGGCATCTTGCTCATCGAGTGCTCGAAGATTTCGTGCAAGGATGGAAGACTTCTCTCCTTGAGTTAGACGTTTTGAATTCATTGTAGATGCAGACATCATTGATTCGTTATCATCGTCGTTGGATGTCGGAAGTGGCCGTTTAACGAGTATTCGGATTTCTCGCATTACCACCTCTCTATATGATGCAATAGCAATCGTGACGTGCTTCGAGCGGTGCAGCCCATCTAATATTGGAAGAAGTTGAGAGCGGAGATCTTCGGTTGCGGCCAAATAAGCCGGATACGCGGTTGATTCTCTGCTATGCGTTCCACGAGATCGCATTGATGAACTACTCCATCTAAGTAGTACGTCCGAAGTGGAGACGGTATCGACGTGATGCCTTAGATCTGCTAGTAACACGTCGATAAACTTCGACTCAAACGCTTTACCGATGCGGAATCGCAAAGTAGAGATATCGCCGTTCACACCCTGAAGTGCGACGACATCTCTGAGATCAAGTAGATGGGGGTATTGGTTCTCAATCTTGCCCGATGCGGTTATCCGTTCGCCGGCAATCAGTTTTTCCAGGGAGTCGATGCTACTCAATGCCTTTTCGACTTCCCCTGAATCGACCAGGGCTTCGCATGTTGCGACCGATTCGACGATCTCTTTTAATTGTTTGACAGCGTCATTGAGCTGCTGTAGATTCTCGCGCCGCCGTTGTTTTTGTACCACCTCTAACCCACTAGTCGCAATCTCACGATCGAGAGTCTCAAGCTCTTGCCGTAGCGTTTTTATCCTTTCAACCGATTCCGCAGCTTCAGAATGTAACTCTCTAAGTGACCCTAAGGCCGTAAAGAATGTTGTAGAAGCCGTTGAAATAGAAGAAATTAGATGCATTTCAATTGTATCCATATACCAGGACAATTTTTCTTGTAATATCGCGTTTGTAGCAAGAGCCTTTCGGGGAGCCGGCGCATTCCCATTGGCTGCATTCTTCTCCTCTACGGAACCAGGCTGTGGCCGCACAACCTCGGATCGTTCGCTAACGACATCAAATGTACGGGGATTCTCTAGATGGAAATCATCGTCGAAGTAGACGTTCGGAATAGTGGATAACGGGGGTGGTCCTTGAGTTGCGCCCTTTCGACTAAAACCCGAACTAGACCTTCGACGTAGTGGGCGTACTGATGGGGATTCAATAGGGGACATGGATCTTGTTGATGATGCCGATGATACCTTCCGCGAACTAGACGGCCGGCTGCCTGGTTTTAGATGCCCGTTATCTGCGAAACCCCCAAATTCGTCTGTCCTACCGCGCCCAAAAACATGGTCACTGCCATCGTCATCGCTTTCTTTTATTCGTCTTAACTGTTCATATAGGGCCCCAACCTGAGTTAGGTAGGGTTTGAATTCGTCGGGATCTACGCGAGGTATGTTCGTTAACGTGACCGGCGGTATATCTCGAGCGGTAGGTGGCTTGTGTGCGCTAGAAGCAGGAGCAGACGTATGCGGTACTAAGCCGGTTCGTACTATCGGTGGTTGGAGCAGAGTAGATATAGCATTTTGTCCCGTCTCGTGAACCGTTTGGGACCAACCGCCCGATGTGTCGAGATGACCGCCGATGGAATGAATTGAGCTTGCGGTCGAGCCTCTTCGTGCCGTTGGATGGGACGAAGCCGAACCTTGTCGATGGAAAGGAAATTCGGATTTGGCGTTAGGCGATAAGGGCGGCAAGCTGTCAACAGACTTGCGAGCTGCTGAGTTGGAGAACATTGCGAGGGAAGCCAAAAAGGCTTATTGACAAAGCTCGCGGAGGGCTACCGGGAAATCATAGCTATGCAAAAGCAAACCGATCGTCCACAATAAGACGTCAGTTAATATAAGTTGCGATTCACCGGCGCAACCCAATTCGTATAAATGAGGAAGCGAGAGGCTCGGAGGAGCCTGTAAACGCACGACGATTCGTTCGCTTGACTCGTTGGAGGTCTAAGCAGAGGGAACGGCGAGGAATCGATTTTAATTCGTAAGATTGTCTACACTGAATATCGTAGGATGCAGGTCGGCTGTTAATAAAGATAAAAAGGATAAAAAAAAGATATCGCAAGATGTAGCCAGCTTGTAGCTTCCGATGCACCAAATAAGCTCCTAACTATAATACATGTACAAAGGTAGCACTTTACCTACATAAAATCCACCGGCACTAATGGTAACAGGTTACATGCCGCTTTCCGGTACCTGATAAGTAACTTGCGTGTCCTTCCTCGATAAGCAGCTAAGAGCACGTGATGTCGGAGGTCGGATCTTTAAATGCCAAGAAATACTCAGGGGTCGAAGTCAAGTCCAATTTAGGATTAGTCTCATATGCAACCTCTCAACGCGCTTCCCTAGTAAAAACGCGTCCCCATTTCGCGTCTCAATTAACGCGAAATTGTGGCCAGGGACTAAACCAAATTTCCTAAATCTTCAACCCCTCGATCGATAACCGTGATACTCCTCCACTATCGATTCCAGACTTCATGATACCCGTCTAATCAATCCATACACTACAACTCACACGAATACCGACTGAAAATACATAAAGATCGAGATACCACATAGTCGGTGTGCAAGATGGATCGCCAATCCGTCTACTCAGTCTCTGTTTTCAATTCGAATTCGGGGCCAAACGAAGATACTCGACTTCAGATACAAGAACAACTAATTACCTTTATTCTCCAATTTAGACACGACAACAATTTCGTCTATCGAGATCAATTACGAGAAAATGCGCTGTTGAAAAAATACTACTGTGATGTCAACATCACAGATCTAATTAAGTATAATGAAGAACTTGCGCATAGATTGGTGACAGAACCAGCCGAGATTATCCCTCTGGTACTTCCATAATGCCTTTGATATAGTTAATTTATATAGTACTAATAGTTCGAAATAGTTCGAAGGTGCTCTAAAGAAATGTACACATCGAATCGTCTTCCCTCACGAACCTAAGGCAGTTATTCCCGAACACCAACTGCTACTCCACTCCAACGCCGAAGATGTATCGATCCGCAACTTGGATTCCGAGACTATAGCAAGACTAGTTAGGGTACCCGGTATTGTAATTGGAGCCTCGGTTATGTCTTCCAAGGCTACAGAGTTACATATTCAATGCCGAAACTGTCTACACACCCAGATGATCCCCGTATTAGGTGGATTCACTGGAGTTACACTTCCGCGAACGTGTGGTCGCCAAAGACCTGCGAACGATCCATCCGAAAAGTGTCCCCTTGATCCATACTTCATCACCCATGAGAAGTCGAAATTTGTAGACCAACAAATCATCAAACTCCAAGAAGCCCCCGACCAAGTACCAGTAGGAGAACTTCCGCGACACGTTCTCATCTCTGCAGACCGATACCTCACAAACAGAGTTGTGCCAGGGTCAAGATGTACAATTATGGGTGTCTTCTCCATCTACCAAAACAAAGGTTCCAAGAACTCGTCCACGGGTGGCGCGGTAGCTATCCGAACCCCCTATCTAAGAGCAGTAGGTATTCAAACAGACGTGGATGCTACGGCCAAAGGCCACTCGGTATTTTCCGAGGAAGAAGAGCAAGAGTTCATGGAACTCAGTCGAAGACCAGATCTTTACAACATCATGGCCGACTGCATTGCTCCTTCAATTTACGGAAACCGGGATATTAAGAAGGCTATATTGTGCCTACTGCTCGGTGGCTCAAAGAAGATTTTGCCTGACGGCATGAAACTGAGAGGTGATATCAACGTGCTCCTCCTCGGTGACCCTGGTACGGCGAAGTCGCAGTTGTTAAAATTCGTCGAAAAGGCCGCTCCCATCTCAATCTACACCTCCGGAAAAGGTTCTTCAGCAGCTGGTTTAACAGCCTCTGTACAAAGAGACCACTCCACGCGAGAATTTTACCTGGAAGGAGGTGCGATGGTATTAGCAGACGGTGGTGTAGTCTGTATTGACGAGTTCGACAAGATGCGAGACGAGGATCGTGTCGCAATCCACGAAGCTATGGAGCAACAGACTATTTCCATTGCTAAGGCTGGTATAACGACGATTCTCAACGCACGAACTTCAGTCCTCGCTGCTGCTAACCCCATATTTGGTCGCTACGATGACATGAAGACGCCTGGCGAGAACATCGATTTCCAAACCACAATTTTGTCACGTTTCGACATGATCTTCATCGTGAAAGATGACCATACCCGCGACAAGGACGAGCGTATTGCAAAGCACGTCATGGGTATCCATATGGGTGGTCGAGGTCTAGAAGAGCAAGTCGAGGGTGAAGTCCCCGTTGAAAAAATGAGACGGTATATGAGCTACTGTAAATCGTAAGTCCAAACTCCGAACTCTGCCCCATCATCCATTCCATAACCACTAACATCCGACACAGTCGCTGTGCACCCCGCCTCTCCCCCGAAGCCGCTGAAAAGTTATCCTCGCATTTCGTTTCGATCCGAAAACAAGTCCACGCCTCCGAACTCGAAGCCAACGCACGATCCAGCATCCCCATCACAGTTCGTCAACTCGAAGCCATCGTCCGTATAACCGAAGCCCTGGCCAAACTCACTCTTTCCCCCGTAGCAACCGAACGCCATGTCGATGAGGCGATTCGGCTTTTCTTATGCTCAACTATGGATGCCGTGACGCAGGGTTCGGCGAATCAGGGTAGTAGGGAATTAGCGGAGGAAGTCGCGCGTGTAGAGCAGGAACTCAGGAGACGGTTGCCGATTGGTTGGAGCACTAGTTTGGCTACGTTACGACGGGAGATGGTGGAGGGGAGGGGCTTTAGTGAACAGAGCTTGAATAGAGCACTTATGCTTATGCAGAGACGGGATACGATTATGTTCCGTAATCAGGGCGCGCAGGTTTATCGGAATGGTGCGTGATGGAGTACGAGATGGTTGAATGTGGAGAAATGGTTCATGACGACAGCTGTTTTAATGGTTTAGGAGTTCAGGTTATTTTATGCCGGACGAACATATGGCCATGATGATTCTGGGATGTCTGTTAGTCGCGATGAGTATAATACAGTAGTTACGTACCTAATTACGATGTCACAGGCCTCATACATAATGGATTGAATGCATCGTCACTCGCGTCATAGACCCAATTACTCCAAAAAATAATGAACATAAAAACATGTCTACAAGTAACCTAAATAACGTAACATCCGCTCGATTTTCATGAAGAAATCCTCAGCTGAACGCATAGCAAATAATTTCATCTCATTCTTTCATCATCGTCATCCGCGCATCCCCTTTCTATCGCACCCCCCACGTAATCCTACTAAGCACCTAGAGAGACTCGGCTTACACATAAGCAATCGTATTATCCACCCTAACTGTTCCAGTTACGCCCAACGCCGACTCGCCGCCCGCGACTGCAGGGCCACGAACAACGATCTCGCCGGTGTAGTTATCATCTGTGACCTTGTACTTCCCGCTATCTCTGAAGAGTACCTCGACAGAGCTGACCGGGGGTCCAAAGTGCGCGCTGCTACCGTCGCCAGAGACACGGTAATCGTGGAATTGGGTCTGTGCGACAGCACCAGCTACACGGGGGGCAGCGAGAGCATATATAACACGGGCACGTGTGAAAACGCGTAGGTCCGAAAGAGTCTTTTCGGAGAGGCGGGGCGCGATACCACCGGCTTGGTCGGAGACGTAGAGAAGACGAAGCTTGCCGGGAGTGGGTGCGTTTCCGATAGTGGGGCGTAGAGAATCATTGTACGAGGCGAGGAAGGAGGCAATAGGCATAGCGCCATCTTGCACAAGGCTGCGGGTCTGAACCCAGTGGGAAAGACGCGTGAGAAGCGAAGCGCCGACCTTGGCCTTGGTTTCGTCGTGAGTTTTCTTCAGAGTTTGAGGGGTGGCGACAATAATAGTAGGAGCGACGCCGGCGGTAGCCACATCAAGGTCAGGCTTAGTGCCGGCAACAGAGTTGAATGCGACGGAGGCATTAGAGTAGAGTGCTGCAAGGGTTAGGACTAGAGGGAAGGAAGCTGACAGGGATGCCGAAGACAGGAAAAGATCAGCTGGTGAGAAGCGTTCCTTCTGCGGAATTCCAGTGAGCTGAGCCGAGATGGCGGAAACAAGGTTGCCTTGGGTGAATCGAACCATTTCCTCGAGCTCGCCTGGCTTGGAGTGCCAGAAAATGATAACATCCTGGATCTCGGATTTAGGATCGACCTCGGGTAACTCGGTACCAGCCGTGACGGGGTTATCGTTCAAAATATCCTGCCAGGTAGAGACATTAACACTACCACCCATGCCCTTGGGAACTTCATTCCAGTCGAGATGTTTGTTGCCCTCATCCACTACCCAGATGAGCTGGCGAAGACCTGGGTAACTCTTAACGGCATTGTCGAAGGGAAAAGCACCGGGCGCAGTAACAACAGTATCGGCGCCAGACCGCTGAAGCATAGAAATGACAGCATCTTCTGGTTGGTCAAATGGTATCAAGATAGCAGTGAGATTGTAGAAGCTAGAAGCGAACAATGTAGCAATAAATTCAACGGAATTCGGTAGATAAATGGCGACCTTCTTTCCTCCCTGAGATGCGATGTGTTTTCCAACAAGATTGATTTGTCGCGTGATATCATCTAGACGATATTCGTTAGCCCTAGGATATTCTTAAAATAAGGGAGATAAATCAGGTTCATACTGAGATCGTGTTCAACGACTTTTTGACTTCCTAGCACCGTCAAGATACGTCCCTTAGCCTTAGGACCGTCCTCTTCGGGTGACCCGGTAACAGCTCTACGCCAAACGTCTCTTAGATCTCCATTTCGGCCCGATGCCCATTTCGACGCGCCCGGGTCCTTAACATTTAGACCAGCGTTGAGCGGCATTCCATGAGGGGCTGAGTTTCCGCGATAAATGGGAGATTCTCCTTCATTCCGAACTGGTGAACCTGAAGCCTGGCGAGCAAGTAGTAGAGGGTGAGTTTCGGGTTCCACACGGCTCATAAAAGAGTACGTGAGAATAGCTATGAATGCTGTGACGATAGCTGTGGTGTATCCATTCCATTGGCTCAAGAGGGTACTAAGTCCCTCATCGAACTGGGTTAAGAGGCTCCCAGCACTCATGTTGGTTAGATCGGATGACAGTCTCTTTATGAATTCTGATATTGCGAATACCAAATCGGGAATCAACAAATGGTACGTCTCATCGATATGATGGATCGAGTTTAATCGCGATGATCCGAATCGTCCATCAAAATTATGGGAAGACTGGAACTATATAAGGAATGGAAGTTCACAGAACATCAAAATCCTTTGAATTAAAATAGGTAAGCCCTTGGCTGACGAGGCACCGGATATGAGGATGAAGTTGGTGGGGCTGGGTTTAAAAGTGTCAGCCCTGTGACGCAGCTACAGCTATGGTTTTATGAAGTGGATATTTTTATTACTAATACGGGTACTAAGATACTTCGGTCCGTGCCTGTGCATCCTAGCTTCCCTTATTATGTAACTCCAACATTGAAGCTATGTATTGGTCTGTGCGCAAACTTGACTCTATTAGGTGGCTGGTATGGATGACTAAGAAGTGTAACCCTTGTAAGTCGCATTTGTTTTCGCAACAGCACCTTGACAACCGTTCCCAAAGAAAACAATACTAGAATCAGTCAGCAGAAAGACGACTTCGATAGATCGAGGCCTGCGCTCGCAGCGCCACCATACTAACAAGCCTTAGGTACTAAATAATATAACAGGTAAAACAGCAAGTGAATGCAATAAAAGTGACATTGGGGGAGGTTTCGCGTTCCTTTCGTCTCTTCTCGTTCCCTTGCCTTAATATCCATCCAAACTTCAAAGGGGTGCTCAAAGAAACAGCCTTTACACTCCATTCCCGAGTCGACATCCAATCAATCTCTCTTTACCCTCGACTACGAGGTACATAATACAACCTCCAGCCAATATGTCTTCGACCAAATCGCAGACGGCCGTCACGACTCCCAAGAAGTCAACACCCGCGACGCCGCCAGTCACAGACAGCCCTGGCACGTGGCACCATCCGCGCCTCCACGAAATCACCCGCCGACAAGAAGCCACCAACTTCACGGAGAAGAACATCAAACGCATTGCTGTCAATGTTCTTGTCCTTATAGCATGCGTTGCTGTGCATACTTTACTCGCGCGATGGCTACCACCTAGGAAAACGTTCCCTTACTCGTACGTTTCTAGTCGTGACTTTAGCCGTAAATAAATCTTAAGCTAATGTAGTTATATAGTGTTTGGTGGTACACTAGATGGATATACCGAGCAATCCTCACCATACCCCTTTTCAATATCGGTACCAATTTACTACCCCTAGTCAGACCAAAGGATGACCTCTCCGACATCCCCTTGACGCCTGGTCAACGACGGTTACTCGGTCTACCTTCTTGCAACGCGCCGCCGACACCTGGCTCCGTATATAGCACACCTCCGCGCTACGCTCGAACCCCTTCGATCTCTGGTTCAGCAGGTAGCAAGCGTAGCTTCTCAAGCTCGCCACGAAGTCCTGCCTCGAACTACGGTAGTCCCAACGGTAATGGGGGAAGCGGAGGTTTCAGCGGATTGGCATCGCCAGGAAGCCCGCTGCTTCAGAAGGCTATGAACGGAGCGCGTCGCTCTTCGTTAGGATCTTTAGGTTCGCCTAGTCCCATGGGTCAGAGCACAGGCTCGTTTTTCGGAGTTCCAGATAGCCCGACACCGAACCCATCTGCAGGAAAGAGAAGCACCGTCGGTCTCAACAGCAAGTGGCTTTATGAAAGAGGACGAGATCGTAGGAGTTCGTCGGGTAATGCTTGGCTGTACACCTAAGATAAGGGTAAGCAGTGTATGATATGAGTTACTGGGTCTTGGTGCATTTTATGAGCTCTTACTTGCATGAAATAGGCATAGACATCAATACGAACGAAATTAATGCAGCATCAGGTGTTTTACGGCATGTTGGTTAATGGTAAAGAGCATGTTTAAGCATAGCGTCTAGTTCTAGCTACCACGATATAGGATTCGAGGGCTATTTACGTGAAAATTATTTAGTTACGCTTTATTCTAATAAATAGTTGAAGATCCCGACTACTGAATTATTCGGTCGCAGAAGAGATCCATCATATTGCCTACATTTCCACAACCTTTAGGTTGATCTTCCCGTGGTACTCGACAACTCATGCATTGCGAAGCCTTGGTCCACACGGTTTAAGGTTCCCATCAACGCTTCTCTTCCTGTCCGCCTCTTATCTCCGCCCTCCGCCATTAGAGGGGAGTTCCGAGGTAGGAATAGGCAGATCACGAGCAGGCGAACAAATCGCCATGAATGAAAGTCGCTCCTCCTAACAGGTCCGCGGCTCATAATACCTTGGGTGGTTCTACCCGGAACTCACCCTGACACGCTCGAACTTATGGCTAGGGAAGAGTGGCGAAGAAACTTGTGTTGTTGTAACTTCGTCCTACTGAAATGGCAGAGTGACTGAGCTCAACCATTGGTTATTTCTTCGAAGGGTATTTCTCTGCGTCGTCCGGTTTTCATCCGACTTCATTTGAGGCCATCGAAAACGCATCCCTCCCAGACCCGCAGCAGGACGCTTCCATGTCCAGGTTCTTCGCACCGCTAGATTCTGGTCGTTCTTAGCCCAATAATCGCTCTCAGCCAGATTCGAGTCGATTGAGACGACGCCATATCGCGTAGGTAGCATCGCCAACTCGGCAAATACCTGCTGTATGTATTCTTGACCCTCGATAGTAATTTCGCAAAAGCATGGTCTGAGTTCCCGTTGGTAGTCGAGGGCAAACCCCACAGGGAGATTCCTGCCTGGGCGTGGAACGCCTCAACGCGTTGTGCCAGCTCGAGTTCTCGGGAGTTAAGGGCTGGCGACTAGGAGGGAGTAGGTGATGGCCAAATTGGATAAACGAGTCCCTACCTCGTTGAAGTGCGTATCGCCCGTGGTATATTTTTGCTTCCCAGGCAGGATTACGTCCCCGGCTTCCATTGCTCTATGCCTCGTTGGAGCCGCCCTCAGCTCATCCGGCGTTGTCGCGCAGCGATATCACACTAGGTAGGCGATTTCTCCCGCTTCTCTGCGATTATGGCTAAAGTATATGCCTGATACTTTCGCCTCCGAAGAGCTGTTAACTCTCGAACGGCGTCCCAGGGGGCATAGCATCATTCTAGCCCAGTAGATCAGCCGCTATTACATAGGGCGGCTGTCGGAGCTTCAGGCGCTTATAGGTGTCTAGTTACCGGCACGGGGACCATTCTCGGGTTCTCGATTCCACCCGTGAACTCGGAAGCTGATTGTGCTAAAAGAAAGGAAATAAGATGCCACTTAGCAGAAATCTCGTAGAAATATGGTATTCAGCGATTATATAACAACTAAGTAGACAACCACACAAAAGGCGAAGATGTATGGGCTAGCTAGTACGATATTGGCCCATACAAAGGGTCTCTTTGGCCTCATTCCCTGATACCTGTCAGGCAGACTGGGGCTATGGAGATATTTTTAATATAATCATCCTCGCTCGTGGATGCATCCCTTGTTCTTCCTTCCGGTAATAATATTTCGTGCGACCCGTTTTATCGAGGTGGTTCTCCCCACTATACCCTTAACTTAGGGGTCGGCCGTTGCATGCTTTGATAAATTCGCATTGTGAACACCGGGACCAGCGGCGGAACGGTGTAAAGGCAAGAGGAGCAGCCAGATCTCACACCTACCACTAACAGTAGGTTGTTTTGTCGCCAGCCGGAGCTCCATACCTCATCGACCGCTGGTTACCCCTTCGACGCCTATTAAGTAGAATGTAGGTCTAGGAAATAAAGAAGGAAAAGAAAAGAAAGTGTATTCTATGTGGTTATGATCATGAAGTTACCTATATAAGATATCCATCCAATACGTATGATTTATACTGCGCTTCATGCGTTCCGTTGATAATGGCATTATCAACCTGGAAACATTTGGAGGAAATGAAAATGCAATAACCTAGAATAGTTGGGACGCCCCTATTTATATCACATTTCAAAACAGGCGCAGTCATGATGTTTTGCTATTTACTCATTTATTTTGTATTACACCGTAAGGTATGCATAATGCCTTCTATTCTATTCAATCATGCCACCGACTATTGAATCAACATGTCAAGGTGACTGACTCCCTATACTCCGTTGACCTGATGCTCATCCAGAATGCTTGCTATGACTCAATTGGTGAATTGTATTGAAAAACAACGCCATCCCAAATGGGGACCTAATGCTTGGTCATAATATTCATTCATTTCCGCCATCTTTTCCAGAATTTCCATATCGGCGGTGTATTGCTGGAGCCAGCCTCACGTTTAGTGACTTGATCTCGGCCTTGTATTCTCCAGAAGAATACTGGAATTCCGGATATGACGAAGGTAACGACGATGAGAGTTTTTAATGGTTGGGCGAATACTGCGCGGCTTAGTAAGAACAAGCTTACGCAGCAGAAGATAATCGGTGTTGAGATCCAGGTCTTATATGACCTTTCGAGATGTGGTTCCTTGACTCGTAGGATGATAAGTCCTAATACGGTGAGGAAGTAAAATGAGTACCCCGCCACACCGTAAAACGTAACTAGCTCCCCGAATTCACCAACGAGTAGATAAATAGTTGTCAGAGTGCCGTTTAATATTAATGCGTATATCGGAGTAAAGAAAAGTCCCGTCTCTTCGTCGCCAATTGCGTTGTGTAACCACCTAGAAAACCGGGTCCGCGTCCTTAAGTTGGCCATTCCAGGCTCCCGGGAACTGACACCAACACGGCTAATGATGGATGGAATATAACCTTCCTTAGCAGCAGCATAGACGAGCCGACTGCTTGTGAAGGTAGATGAGTTAAGGGCACCAAAACATGAGGCGCTAACGATAAGCGCAAAGATCAGCGCCCCGATAGGACCAAATACTTTACTGCCGAACATAACCGCGACTGTATTGGTAGAGTTGAGGACATCTTGGGGTAAAACCAGGAAGTATGAGAAGTTGGCGAGTAAATAGCAGATGATGACCAGGGGCATTGCTGTATGAATTACACGCGGAAGGTCTCTCGATGGGTTTCGGAATTCGCCAACGACATAGTTGGTCTACAATTGGTTGTAGTTAGCATTTGGAAACTATTAGGAATACTGTAGCATGCTGCTAGTACGAAAACTCACGTTATCCCAACCGTCATAAGCCCAGAGTCCAGCGTATAACGCGACAGCCCAATGACTCCCATCTGTACTTGTGCCATCAAACCAAGAGTGCTTCTTCCACTCCATATTAGCGGTACCGGAATAGGAGAATCCGGTGAAGGCGACCACGATTCCGCAAATAGTAACACCAATTAAAGCAATAAACTTTAAGAACATCAGTGCGTCGTTCACGCGAGTTCCGAGCCTTGTCGATACGCAGTTCACAAAGGTCACGATAAACAACCCGACTAGACCCACTGCTTTGTTTATCCATGGATTCACCGTCTCAGCTTCAGCTCCGATGAAAGCGCGCACAAGGTATTCGCCCATGATAATCGCGATAATAGCGGCACTACCAGGCTTAAGAACAAGCACCGCTACCCATGTGAAGAGAAAGCCAGCAAGTTCACCCATAATCTTGGATAAATAAGCTTGCGCGCCTCCATTAAGAGGGATAGCACCACCTAGTTCCGCATAACTTGCCGCGCCTGTCCAAGCGAGGACACCTGATATCGCCCATACAATTAGGGATGCGCCAGGCGAACCAACATTTACGTTGACTTGACTGGGGGATGAGAAGATACCCGAACCAATTATTAGTCCAACGATCAGACCCAATCCATTCAAGTACGTCAAAGTCTTGTGTTTTTCCAATGAGGCGCCTCCTAATCCGCCGTGTCGTTGCGCAGCAGATGTAGGGGCACCTAGAGGTGCGTATCCGGGGGCGGTGGACGAGGAGAGTGGGAAGAGGTTCGCGGCATAATCGAAATTGGAATTAACGGAATACGTTCTGCCATGACCAGGCACATAATCGGGACGACCCGCGGGATTGTTATGGTCTAATGGATCATCTTGCTCGAGGGATAGTTTTCGCGATGAGGAGATCGATGGTCTTGAATCTGTTTCTGAATATGTATCGGGACCGTGACTGGAAGATGCTAAGGAGGCAAGTTCGAGGGAATCTCGTGCGCCGGGGTGGAGGGCGGACGAGTATTGGGCTGGCATCGCAGCTAGCCAAGGCTGGGTCGGACGGGGTTTAGGATGATATCCTCAGCTAGTCTCTATGTTCTTTTATGATAGGGGAGAAAACCATGTCGGCTATCTCGAAGGATGGCGAAATACGGAACGAAGATCGTGGCGTCACGGAAGCTAAGATTGTGATGTCAGACCCCAAAACAGCCAAGATTATACCGCCCCCTATGTTAATGGATATGGACTATCGAAATGGTAATGTCCAATACTCAAGCAATATGCATTAAATGGGGATAAGACGGAGCCGTGATGATTAGATTCGCGGTAGAGTTCGAAAAGAGGAAAAAAGTAATTAAGATTGCGAATTGACCGAATTAACCCAGATACGGAAGATGGAACAACGAGAAGGCGATGCTTGTTTCTGATCATCCACTCTTCAAAGTTCCGACTCCCCACAAGCTTGTCCTGCGACTTCCCCTTACTAACGCCTATTAGAGTTAAGTTAGTGGCCCGTGCGCTACCAAATACGGTAATTTTATTCGAATGCCGTTGTTTTCCGTTACACTCGGCGCCAAAAAGGAGTTTACCTAACCCACTTGATTTCTCTGTCACTATGCTGACGTAATACACACACCCTTTTACAGTCTTTCAGATGTTAAACTACCGGATCTATTCACAGCAATTCTACTCCATGTGAGAATAAAGTTTGAATACATATTTTAACCTTTTCGTCTTCAATATCATTTTATATGTGTATTACGTAAGGATTAAAGATGACATAATAAATGACATAATCTTGTGTATCCTCAAGATAATTGATTACTTAATCTCCTCCCCCCTTTTTTTCCAGCCACAGTTACACAGGGCAAAGAGTATACTCTAAGTCTAGATGTAGCATATTCGAGGCCTACCACGGGAATAAGACTGTAAATTAAACCCATATTATATGTTGTTGCTAGTAAGTAAGCACTTAGCTATCTAGGTATAGGAGGTAACATCGTGGGCATGGCTATGAGTAAGCACCATCACTTTATCACTAGAAAGATCTTAGGGTATCATCTCTTCCATATAAATGATATATCTATCTATAAAAATAGATTGTTGGGTGATACCATATCTTCGCGGCTCTTCTTCTGGTGGCGATGTTCAACTTAAAATTGACAACATTCTATACACAAAATCTCGAGTCATTTTCACCACCAACCAGTACGAGTACATAAAGAAAGCTTCAACGTTATTCGTATTTGGATAATTTCTTTCAGGGATGGGCTAGGTGTATATTTCCTTTTACCACTATAAAGCCTTGTTAATTCTAATTTCCTTCAGATTACATCAGAAGTCACTTTAAGAAGCCATACAGTAATCTTCGCTTCCCCAATAACCGCCCCGATTACAGCAATAGCGCACATAACAACCTAAATTCGTAATGATAGATTTATTGATCGAGGTAATCTTGTGTCTTGCTGTTTTTAATGAAGGAGTATATCGCACAACAATTCTTCAGATGCCCGTGTTGACTTAGCACAGAATACTGACAACTCCGCGATACGCAGGTTATCGACTCCATTGAATCGTACATTGAATCATAAAATAAGTCGGTTTAACTTTCAGTTTTACTAGTATATTATACGCGAAAAGCGCTTATGTTTACTTGAGGGTTATACAAATATGTATGCTTTGAGATTTTGGAGTGTAACAACACCATACGTCACTTATTGTTTTTATATATTTTCATGGACTGAATATATCATGCCATTATGTTATGCTACTCGTGCCACTTGGAACTCCACGACTATTATTGTGTTTTTCTATTTGTCTCTACTATACTTTGGAGCGAGAACTTGTTTCTTCTTCAAGTAATGGCTTTTAGCTAGCGTGCGGGTTTCTTGGATGGCTACATTTCTTGACAAGCAGAATTAAGGGGAAGCTATGGCTAGAACTTTACCTTTAGGGATCTAGTTTGGCCTTAATTGCGCCGGTCTTCATCTCTTCGTAATCTGTGAGTGGCACTCACTTGCCCCTGAGATGATACGCACATGTGGAAAAGAGCACGCATTTATAGCAATTTAGGATACTATACTCCGCACGGACATGACAATTTAGAACGTAACGGATTTTCAATACTACACAGTATAGGGAACTTAACTATGGGGGCGATACGAGGTTGTTAGAACCGGGGATCAAAATAACCCTGTATTACTATACGTGGCACGGAATAGCTTACTAAGGTATACTACATAAAATGTTATACTCTTGCACAAGTCTAAAACACAATTTTAACCGTGATAAACAGCCAGAATTATTCTTGAGACAGCCTCATGTTGAATTGACCGCTATTTAGCAATACACGGAGTGTCTAATCTAGAGATCCTTCTCTTTCTATGCCTTTATCCCTTAATAATATGACAATGATCTATATAGTCCTATGTATTGCATTTTCATCTTTATAATCCCTAGGTTGAACTATAAATACTACATTGGCCGTTTATTTGTGACTTCAGGCTTAGTTATTCAAGCAAGTTCACATTCAATAAGACTTTCGACGCCGTTCTGGACGGTCCACTATAGTATATCATGTTAGTACCACATTGCATAGGGTCACACAAAAGACTGATAACTAGGTGGGGATAAATGAGATTAGAAACTTACGATCTTGACGATCTTCAAGCCAGCAGGCTCGAGCAAATCACGCCAATCTTGCTCTGTTCGCTCTCGCGAAGCAAGGAGGGTCATCATTAGGATATCTAAAGCCGTAGCCTCCCATTGGGCGTGGCGTGGGGGGATAACGTTCTCGTTGATGAGAATCTTGCTATACCCTGGCTTCATGGCCTCTGTGAGACGGGCTAGAATCTTCCTGCATTCAACATCCGGCCAGTCGTGCAGGACGGAGTGCATGAAGTAAGCCCTGGCACCTAGATAACATGCAATGTCAGTCACATATTGCCGTACATATTTTCTGTGGAGCCCACTCACCCTTGACGGGTTGCTCGGTCAAGAAATTGTGCTCCATGCGCTCGATTCGGCTGTCTAGGGTCTTGATCTGTCCAAGCACAGCTGGTAGATCTTGCAGAACCAGACGGCCGGGGATGTGAGGATACTTCTCTAGCAACTCCTGAATGTCGTGTCCGATGGAGCCACCAACATCGACTATAAAGGGGGCCTTGTCGTCCTTATCGGCTCCATCGATCAGCTTCTCTTGTACTGGGTAGAACCCAGTGTCCATCCAACTTGCTCGCCCTTGGTGGTATCCGCCCATGTGTAGATTGAATAGATCGCCATAGGGTTGGTTCGCTTGGAGATGCTCGAACATGTTAAGCTTCGTCTTATACGCATATTGAAGGGGGCCATCGGAGAGATCGTTGGGTGTCTTGTAGCCGACTTTCTTTTGGTATTCGTGGAATAAGTTATTTGCGCTGAGCAGACCGCCGGATCTAGTATAACTGTTAGCATATTGTATACTATTGGTTGTATGATATAGTGATTCTTACAGGACTGGGTAGCCAGCGCTGATGATGGGGATGACCAGGGATTTGGTAAAGTTTGTTGGCTTATACTGGTCAATATCGGTTTCCTCGACGTAGCCCATCGCACCAATATGGCGGAGCAATCGAGCTGCATGAATTAGCTTGGACTATAGGCATCTAACTGTGCCGGCACGTACCGACGAGGGTGGGATCGGCTCCGACGGTCTTAGCAAGGTCTGCCGTCTTCTTGCTGCTCCCGTTATCCGCGGCCATGGCCTCGAATAATCCTAGCTCGACCCCAGTTGTGAGGGCAGTCATGGCTGCAGGCTATACAACTATGAATTCACCATATTACGTTACTGATTGGATGGGATGTGCATACCTGTGCCCAGCAGTGCTTAATCATGGTCTCCCGGGGTGTCTCTAGAGCCCTCACCAACTTCCGGGCGGTCTCGGCAAGCTCGTTTCTGGTAACATTGTCTGTCGGAGAAATGGAGCCGACTAGCTCATTGATCTTCTTGACATGAGTATTGACACTGTCAAAATCACATGGCTTCAAGGCTATGCTTGGATCGGGAGGAGCCTGTGTAGTTCCGTTACCCTGTACATTAGACATTGTGTTGGTTTAGCTTTAAGGAGTAAAAAATTTCAAGATATGTAAGGCGTAGTGATGACAAGGTTAGGAGGCAGTTGTTGAAACAAAAAATTTGTTAACAAACAGCAAGGGACGAAGAGACTTGATATTGATGAGCAAAGACACTTAGAACTAGCTATTATCGAGCTTCAGGGCGAGCCGCATAATTCACCTGAGAGCCAACCTTTCCTAAGATGGACAAGCATACCGAAACGAAGCTTAGAATTGAGATTATCAGTGCCCATCCTGCCATCAGACATTCTCACTACCAGTATGGTACGACCCCCGCAAAACTGTCGATTCTCAGGGCCATGAGGAATATAATTGGGCCGTCTAGCTACTAATTGAGCTACTTAGTTACGGTGTAGCCGTGCTATGATCAGTAGTATGTGGCCGGGAGGTAGCATTGCAGAATCGGCATATGTTTCCTTGTTCACAATGAGTGTCTAACATAAGAAGACTGGTAGGTGCACGGATGATATATATGCCTTCATTATTTGGGTCTGTGTAACCCGTCTTAATAGGAAGTGGTTCTCCTCTGGTGTAAACCTCAACCCTTGTAAACCGTTGGTGCACGTTGTAATAAATCCTTGATGATTATTGGTTACAGTAAATGTTACACATAGTGGTAATAGATGAGATATCACCCCCCTGAACCCCCAGCTCGCCAAGACCAAGACTAGTAGAAGTCTTGCCTTGTCATGATGTGGGTCTGGAAGTAGTACGTCTTTCCTGTCAGAACCTGTTGCATTGCGTGTGGAATCACTAAAAACATGCTAACTCAACGTAGGAATCATATAGTAGCGAGGGAGATCGTAGTTTTGTTCCTGAGTCTGATTTGTCGCCACTGATTAGAGGACCCAGATCGCTGGGTCTCGCAAATGTGGGTTGTGCCGTAGTTTTACTTGGTTATAGAGCATAAAATGATGGTTCTATCCGCGCTAGCTACCATGGAGTCGGTGTAATTCAAATTGGGAAGGTTGTTACCTCAAGAACCCACAACTGATGGCCTGCTAAGAAACAAGGAAGAATACAGTGAAAGAGTCGTAGCTCAACGCTGTCTTCCACTGTCCGAATCCACAGTTCGAAAACACCGGATTACTTAGGTAGTAGCAGTATATAGATTTTTATAGCGTACCTCACCTATCCTTACACCTTTTTTTAACCGATGTAAGGATGAGGCGTTTGAGACATTCTCCATACCACTAGTAGAAGCACATCACGTTCAAGCTTCACCTGTCATAAGAACTATAAACTACACTAAATTCTTCGCTAATACGGGCTGCGCCGAGTTGACGGACATTTACCAGGACAAGCTTCATAAAAGTGAAAATGTTCCGACTTGAAAGATCGTCTAGTCAGGAGAATGTCGCTTAGCGAACGCTTAGAACTACACTACGCAGCGGGAACGCTAGACACATTTTAGTTAGTATTTATTGTGGAAAGTAGCAAAACTCCATCGGATTCGGTTTACTATAGACTACAAAGCTCACGAGACTGTTAGCCTTGTTTGATAAAAGTAGTTAGACTGCTAAGAATATTCCCTACCCATTGCCACCTTAAGGGGAATCATGAATCCGTTGTACAAACCTCTGAGGTCGCAGTGGGATTCACCTCGTTTTACGGGACATCTGCCGTTGCATCCGTATGTAATTCGGTGCCGCAAATGGACGCTCATGCCGAACATCCCCTAATATTAGATAATCAAACTAGTAAGTAGCCGAGCAACTGATTAACACTTGTGTTTTCCTCCCGCGTCTTAGTAGCATGAAGTCTTAGCGTTCCCTTTGAGTAGGTACTCCCGAAGAGTCCAAGGAATACTCAAGCCTCGTGCTGCCCCCCTGACATCAAACAGAACGAATTTTTGAGGCACCAACAGACGGGAGCTACTGGAATAGCCCCGGTAGTTGATGAATCGTGAGAAAATTTCAATCTCTGCGAGTAAAAGTATGCAGAAAGTAGTTTGTAGCATCATATGAATATTTGCTCGGTCGATCACGATCGTAAGTAATATGGTTGAACAAATTTCTGCGTATCTTGGTATGAAAATATTTGCTAGGACCGGCTACTCCGCTTGCTAAAGTCAGGGGAATTTAGAAGAAAAGCCTAGGCTCTCTATGCGGTTTTCTAGGTTATGATGCTGTATACTCTTAACAGACCCAACATGTGAGTGGCGTATGCTCCTAGGGTCAGGACATAGAACCATGCGATGCTCCACCCTAACCCAGTCGGAAGAGAACACTCAGACTCTTTCCCGGCAGATTGTCAGTACAGGCAGATTGTACAGAACATGATGCTTTCTGGGAAAGGCTTTGCTTTGACAACAAATTCAAATCTTCTATTCTCGTCAAAACTTCAAAGTGTATAAGTATGAATTATAAAGCATATCGCCCCGCTTGAACTTCGTATACTCCCTCCTTTGAAGTTCATTCGTTTTGAATACCTCGCGATCATTTTTTAAACATTCCCTTCGCTTACATTCAACATGAGCGCGTCAGCACCCTTGGCGCCCGAGGTGGCCGCTCAAGATAAGGGCCCTTCCATTATAGCAGCTAGTTGCGCCGTTACTGCTATAAGTACGCTCTTTGTTATTGCCAGATTATACGTCCGTGTCGGGATAATAAGGAATTTCCAACTTGATGACTACTTCGTTACAGCCTCGCAGGTTAGTTTGGGCAGGTGAACTCGCGGGTTGAAGCCGTATCTAATTATATATGCATCTAGATTTTCGGATGGCTCACCGTCGCTTTCGCCGTTGCCTCCGTGGAGTCGGGTAACGGTCAACACACGGCTATCTTAAAACCAGACCAGCTTTCCGGCGCCGTGCTATGGACCATGGTGGGATTCGCGCCAGGTGTTATGTCTTTCAGTATCCCGAAGCTTGCCGCCATCACCCTGTTGACAAGGCTCCTAAATCCTAGCGACATGCATAAAAAATGTCTCTGGGTAATGGGTGTGATGTGTGTATTGATTCTTAGCGGTTGTATCGCAATTCTCTTCGGACAATGCACTCCGTCTCGCGCTCAGTGGGACTTTTCTATCACGGAGAAGACATGCATTAACCCCTATATTCTTGTGAACTATTCTATCTTCGCAGGTGGTAAGTTGCTTAACCCCCTTTAGATTATATCCTCGTCGCAATGCTAACGGGATTCAGCCTTCTCTGGATTTGTTGATTTGTATCTGGCAGTGTGGCCGGCGACGGTTCTATTCTCACTACAAATGAACTTGAAGAAGAAGATGGCCCTCATCTTTGCCCTAGGATTGGGTTCAGTGTATGTTTTGATGAATGCCCCTGAGAGTAAATCCAGCTAACAGACTTCAGTGCCTGCATTGTTGCTATCTACAAGTGTACTCGTATTCCCGGATTGGCAAGTCCTGACTTCACTTGTATGTCTTTGCCTCCCCCCTTTTATTAATTGTTGGGCTAATTTGTTTAGATGACACCGCCGACTTGACGATCTGGACTTGGTGAGTATTTTATGCTACTGTATGCGATTTATCCCACTAATACAAAATAGTGTCGAAGGTAGCACCATTATCATCGCGACATGCATCCCGACCCTACGACCTCTGGCGGATCTTCTATTTGGTAGGGCTGCTTTGGGTGGAAGCTCTGGCGACCGACACGGATACAAGCACTACGGAACGGAGCGAAGCAACAACACCAGGGACGATCTCGAGATGGGTGGATCGAAGAAGCGCAAGATTAAGGGACCTTATGACTTGGATACTCGCATGGATTTGGAGACTCGTATCGACCCGGTTAACGAAGGCAGCCAAGAAGATATCTTGCCGCGAGATGGAGCGAACCCGACAAGCAAGCGTGGCGATGGTATTGTCCGGACACAATCAGTAACCATCCAGTATGGCAAGGAGGACAATAGTCCAGCCAAGAAGTACGAAGAGTGGAAATGAACAACGGGCGGGCTGGGTCGGTGACTATCCACGAATTGACGCCGGCCTAGACACTTCGGCGATAATGAAAGCTACGCTGGTGTGCCCCGACTTTATTCATTCGTTCGTTTACGTTAGGGTATTGGAAAATATGTGTATTGTTAGCAACTGTACAAGAAAAATCATAAATACTATATTAGTAGATGGTATTCATCCATCAAATTCACACTCGTTTGTTCTATCACAGCTGTGGACTGATTGTCCTATCAACTCATCTACAAATTGATTTTCATCGAGCTTCTCGAAGCCGACGTGAGATACCAACCCCAACCAGTATTGGCAAGTCTTGATCGTACTCGATCTTCCATAACACAAGAAGCATGTCTATCCCTGGATACTTCTCCTTGCCAAGTTCTCATCGTAAAAACAGGCCAAGGGGCAACTCCCACGCTATAACTCTCTGGGCACAAGTGCGGGCGAGGCTACAAGCACGTAACGATCGACTCACCATTCCAACAATGAATCCTTGCATAGAAGGTGAAAAATTGACATCGTGCGCTTTGACTATATTTCTAGCAGGGTTATCATGGCCGGTACCTTATTTTGCTAGAATCATCATTGTGAATACATATCGTAATCGTAAAAAGCGATGGCTTACTTGCCAGTCTTGCGGTAGTTGATAATGGTTAGTCTACGGGCATTGCCGCCATCAAGCATCCGGAGTGAGCTTTTCCCTTGACAAGGAACTAGTGGGACGAGCCCCGAACTCGTATCCCGATGTGTTCGTGCCTAACGAAACCCCTTGGCTCAATTTGGTTTATCATTGGCACAAAATTTTATCTCCCTGGTCGTGATAGCGTCTATCTCTCAGCGGAGAGAAGTCCGGTATTTGTCCCAATACTCTGGATAGTACGCGTAACCACAGCACCATGCTCATCACCCCGAAGTACCTAAGGTGACCGATCACAAAATCGCAGCAAAATTTGCACTAGGTATCTAAAACCGTTTAAAATTTACCAAAAATCTCATTGCTACCAGGGGCTTAGTGGGGAGTTACATCGATATAGCTATATTGATCATCAGTGGTGAATTACTTCCAGTATAGCTGCATCTCTACCCCCCCCCCCCCCCCCCCGGGTACATACCTAAGTACTTGTTGGTTACACATCATATTTCTACGTCCAGTGATTACACTTCCAGACGACGAAACATATGTTGGTGCCCATTCGTATTGGTAATTTGACAAAGGAGACAATCAACCGCGAAGCCGAGGTAACACAAAGCTTTGTAGCGTTTGGTACCTTAGGAGGCCGTCGCCCAATATCCTGCCCAATTGAACCCACTCGGAATAACGCGAGGAGAGATTCCGAACCGATTGTCTGAAACGAAGATCATCGATGTCTAGCGTCCGCGCCGCAGAGACGAGCGGAGCAAGCGGAGTCTTTATAAGTCTCGACCTTGCTCGGCCGGTATTCGCTCCATCATTCCTGACCCAGTAAACAAAGCCCTGTATTGTTGGTACGCACGAAATATTATGTGGATCCTGGACCTAGTTCTATAGAAGGCTATCATTATTATGTGGAGTCGGTAATCGGATAATTCCTGTGATGTTATCATGATTTCCTAGGTATACACAAAATTGGGTATTCAATGCTTAATTTCTGGGGTCTAATTTTGTATTTGCGACCCTTGGCTCTATTATGAGGGTTTTTGACATGTCTTGGAATTTTTATCAAGGGTCTGCTCTTATGGATATACCGCACGGTCTATTGTTTTCGTCATCCTATATAGTATCATGGCACGCTCACTCAAGTTTAAGAACTTTAAGGGATGAAGAGGCAGGATGTGGTTTGACCTCGGTTTCTTCGGGTCCCTTGTTTGGGCCCAAGTGCCTCGAATATTTCGCCATCGGTATATCGTGATAAGACTAGCCCTGACGACCGCCCTTTCATATTACACAACTTGTATAGGTTTTTATGAAAAAATATGTTTAAGTATATGTGAAGTATATGTGAAGTCAATACTTCGCATTTTCTCCTCGAAAATCTTCATATACAGGTTTCAAATTAAAAGTACTATCATGGTTTCCTCTTGAAACTAAAAGATCTCGGAGGCAACTTAACGGATTCAATAGGAAAAATCTCATTCATTCCACGGACGGCGAATTCCCCTTAATTGTCCACAGGAAACGCCCTTGATACTGTGAGCGCCAAGATATCTCCTGCGTCACAGACCCCTATCTCGAGATACGTCGTATACTCAAAGAATAGTGGAGGTTGAAAATTTCGAGTAATGGCTGGGTAAGGGTATGCCAACTGCGGAGTTTCCTTTTCATCGCGACGGCATTCGATCACAATCTCGATTGTTTTGCTCCCTGACACAAGGGCAGGCCGTTGTTAATAGACATATGTGGCACGATGTGTGGCACGACAGATTAACGATTTTTCTGTCAAAGCTAGCCGAAGGAGCTATATTGGAAAGGGAGGTGAAATATAGATACTCATATGTTATAAGGACCTCTTTGTATACAAAGGGGTTCCCCATTTTGATTATTTGCTCTTTGGGAGTCTATCGTATGGTGCTCTGGCCTCTTCTTCGTATCGAAACACATTCCAATACATCAGTACATAATCACCTCGATGAGGTATTCATCTCGGAAGGGTGAATACGCTAGTATTCCCTCGGAAACGCTTGATATTCTTCGCCCGCGCGAGACACGAAAATAAGAAAAAAAATTCATAATTATTGCCTGGCATATACCCTTATGTTGAACCAACCCCTTTTTATCTATGTATGTAATTGGTAAGCACCATAAAAGCCAATCACTTCTCTATAATGAACAAATCCACTATTCATTACTAAAGGTTATTAAGATTGTGTAAGACCCTATTTTTCATATTATAGTATACAAAGCCCATTAAACTATGCATATGATAGTATAAGGTTGAAGCGTATAGCAACCCATTCGGGCCGATTAACAGGGGTAAAATACAATGGGTTAAGAGTTACACGCTAAAGACAGCCTTCACTACTTTATTACCGACGAATACCCTCGGTATAATCTTAGGTACCTATACTAATACACTTTTGTTTAAGATGAGGCTTTGTTCTTACTAATAGTAACCAACCCTAACACTATTTGTTGAGCATTAACAATATTTTTGTATCGAATCTAAGTTAAATAGCATTGTATACCAGTAGTGAAAGAAGTGCGTTGTTATGTATTAGAAAGGCTCTATGACTTGCATTGTATCGTGATGAATGACATTGTTAAACTAAGAGTTCAAAGCCTGCCTACCTAGGTAGGTAATATATAAATGTCGCCAGAAGCGCACTTGGAGTTGAAGTTCGCAGTTCAGACTACACAAAATTGCAAACTTATCTACTAAAAAACAGGATCAAGATATCAGACCAAATCCCCCTCGTAATTACCATACACAGGAAACAAGTAATTATTTCGTAACCATGGCACAGTCGCAGACGATGGAGCACATCAACGAATTCTGGGGTAACAGTGTTACCTATGATGAGCTGTCCAGCCAAACTCAAGCTCTTGTGAACAAGGGGTTTGAGATTGAGCATGAGCTTTCCGAGCTCTTCAAGAAGGCAAAGACTGCAGAGGACGGCGAAGACCTCATGCCCAAGTACCGGGAACTCAGTAGAAACTACTGTGACTTCCTATCTGATGTCAAAATCCAGATTGCTGGCGAGAAAGCAGAGCAACTCCCCTCAAGTGTTGTTCAGCAATGGGGTGTTGACCTTAGACAGACGTGGCGAGCACTCATCGCCGCACAGAGCCACTATTACGAGATTGACTATTACAGTATTCCTCGTGAGGTTGAGGACATTAAGCCTTATGTGCATGATATGTTCAAGCATATCGCAATGACTCAAGATCTAGTCGCCATTAGCACCGAGAAGGTCAAGAGGATCTACAATGAAATCAGAAGAGTTGAAAAGCTGGATGTTAGCGTAGAACACCAGGGTGATTTCCTCAACTTAGATGAAGAGATTTCTAGGTTATACATTTCTAAGGTATGCCCGCCAACCGATGCGGAGTTGGAGGCGTCTGGGGTCTATTCTACTGATGTTAGTGGTATGGACCCGGACCCATCATCATCGGATGGCGAGTATAATCAGAACTGTAGCATGATGTAAGGTCTATTACCGGCTAGGCGAGATATCAGGACAGATAGTAGTAGATAACTTTGATGTAGCTGCGCTACTATACCTACGCAGGTACATAGGTAGGTAATATCCACAAGTTTGCAAATGGGATGAATCATATAGTAAAAATCGGGTGAAGAAAATTGAAAAATTAAAAACCTCTCAAAAAGTCGTGGACAAATATGTACATGTGTATATCTTGATGACTCATCAACAGTTGTGTAACTGTGCTATGTCATTCCTTATGCCATCCACCTATTTTAGGTAATCAAGAGCTAGCTAATTACATAATAACAAGATTATGTCATCTATGTATATGTATTATGTAATCACTGCCGCTTCGTTTTTTTCCCACTTCCAAAAAAATTTTAGAGGGGAATCTGTCTACCTTCATATTTTATCAGCTTGCTGTATTTCGCTGGGCAAGCTTCTCTCTCGCGCGACAGTGAACATGCGAGGTACTCGATGTATTCTGTAGCGAGGAAGTTCGTAGGTCAACCGCGGCCGCAATTGAAGCTTGCGAGTATCTGGTCGACGACTCCCCGAAACTCGATTCTCTTGCGATCGTATGCAAATGCGCGCCTCGACTTGCTACCCGCTATAGACCGAAAATGGCGTCAAATACCGAACCGATGCGGGCGCCGGGACGAAGAAGCTCGTACTGGTGCTCCTACGCTCAAGCATGACGATTCTCGACCTGCCAACGAACGCATGTACATCCTGTCTATGTTTCCATATCCGTCGGGAAACTTACATCTGGGACATCTTCGAGTATATACCATAGCCGATGTGATAGCGCGCTTTCGCAGATTGCAGGGTCATGATGTGCTTCTACCAATGGGCTGGGATGCCTTCGGGTTGCCCGCTGAAAATGCGGCAATTGAGCATGGCATTGACCCTGCCGTCTGGACGAGAGACAACATCGCGCGTATGAAGGAACAACTTGAATTGATGAATGCGAGTTTCGATTGGTCACGGGTTCGTCTAGATATATGCCTTTATAGTAATATAACGCTAAATATTGATCGTTGCGTAGGAATTTGCAACGTGCGATCCAGAATTCTATAAGCACACACAAAAAATATTTTTATTGCTTCGCGAGCATGGCTTCGTAAGCCAGAGAAAAGCAACTGTAAACTGGGATCCTGTTGACAATACCGTGTTAGCTAACGAACAGGTCGACGCGGATGGTCGATCATGGAGATCGGGTGCGAAGATCGTTCAGCGTGAGCTTAAACAGTGGTTCTTCCATATCACAAAGTTCAAGGAGTCGCTATTGCGAGACCTAGAGAAACTGGCAGTGGACGATGCTTGGCCCGAGAGGGTCTTGACCATGCAAAAGAATTGGCTGGGTCGGACCGAGGGTGCCTATTACGAGTTCCTTACGTATACTAGGGATGATACATCTAAGTCTCAAAAGCTGAAGATTTACACAACTAGACCAGAAACCATTTTTGCAACCCAGTTCGTCGCCTTGTCGCCTAATTCGGCTTTGGTACAGCAGATTGCGCAAGAAGATCCGAAACTGCGTGACTTCGTGGAATGGGCAAAGGACCTTCCTCCCGATACCACAGAAGCTTACCAGATCCCTTATCTCAAAGCGACCAATCCACTCTCTTTTCTTAGCGATATTCAAGGCACAAGCGTCGAACCTCTCCCTGTTTATGTAACACCTTTTGTTAGAGGGGATTACGAAACAGGAGCGATCATGGGAGTTCCAGCTCACGATGCAAGGGACCATGCGTTCTGGGAAGCACATCGTCCCGGTGAAACCCTCAAATATGCCGTCTCGCCTTTAGCAGATGGTGCTACCTCCACCCTCAAGAATAAACCTTATTTAGAGGCGGGCTATATGACCCCTATCGCCGGTCCCTATTTTGGAGTATCATCTGATGCTGCAGCAAGGGGTATTGTCTCCCGACTTAGGGATACCACAAACCTCGCGGAAAGTACCACCAAATGGAGAATCCGAGACTGGCTGATTAGCAGGCAGAGATACTGGGGCACACCTATCCCAATCATCCATTGCGATACGTGTGGCCCCCAGCCTGTTCCAGATGACCAACTCCCCGTTACTTTACCTAAGGTTGATAACCATTGGGCGAATGGCCGAGCTGGTAACCCATTGGAGTCTGCTACGGACTGGGTCAACACCTCTTGTCCAAAATGTCATGGCCCGGCTAAGAGAGACACTGACACAATGGACACCTTCGTGGATTCTAGTTGGTATTACATGAGGTTTCCGGATCCTAAGAATTCTAAGATGCCGGTGTCTGAGGCTGCAGCTAAGAATTACCTTCCGGTTGACATCTATATCGGTGGAGTTGAGCACGCTATTCTCCATCTTCTATACGCTAGATTTATCTACAAAGCAGTTATGGGTATTATGTATCCTGATACCAAGGCTAGCGGCGGAAAGGCAGCGTCTCTTGATTCGCTACTCAACTTCTCAGGAGAGCCTTTTAAACGGCTCATCACACAAGGTATGGTGCACGGAAAAACATACTCAGACCCCGACAGCGGTCGCTTCCTAAAGCCAGATGAGGTAGACTTATCAAATCCATCCCAGCCAAAAGTAGTCGCATCGGGAAAGACTGCGACGGTTACATTTGAAAAAATGTCTAAGTCTAAACATAATGGCGTGGATCCAGGTGGTTTCATTGCGAAGTACGGATCCGATGCCACGAGAGCGCATATTCTCTTCCAGGCACCTGTTGATGAGGTCCTGAATTGGGATGAAGATAGGATACATGGTGTTACACGCTGGTTGCGCCGTCTACATGATCTCGTTCGAAGGATCCAGGAAGCAGGAGAGTCGTCTCATGCAATCAGTGGCGAATTCAATGCAGAAACCTACTTCAAAAAGCTCGAGGGCGCGGATAAAAAGAAAGCAGCGCAACGGGCCGCGGACGTAGAGGTCTGGCGTAAAACACAAGAGACCATTATTGCCGTCACCAATGCAATGGAAAAAGTGCACTCCCTCATCACCGTGGTTCCTAGCTTAATGGGTCTCACGAATGTACTCATCGACAATAAAGCGGCTTCGGATATAATCAAACGAGAAGCTGCCCTTCGACTTATACGGATGACAGCACCTATCACGCCAGCATTCGCTGAGGAATGTTGGAGCATCCTCAACCCCAACAGCGAAAGCGTATTCACAGAAGGTGTAAATACTTGGCCCACATCAGACGGATCGCTAGAACTCCTAGCACAGCCCCAGGCGCTAGATCATATCCAGTGCGCCGTCCAGGTGAACGGGAGATGGCGGTGCACGGTGGATATCCCGGCGAAGCCAACGGACATAGCACCTGAAAGCGAGGAGTTCCGGCAATGGGTTACGGAGCAAATCCTTGAGTCTGAGGATGCGAGTGCTAGACTCGTTGGGAATGTGGATATTCGTAAGGCGACGAAGGTGGTTGTTGTGAAGGGTGGTGCGGTTGCTAATTATACGGTTCCGAAGGGGAGTGCGTAAATGGAAAAAGGGAGGAGGGGGGAGGGGAGGTTAGATACCCGACTCAATGCCTGATTGTATGTATTAAAAATGGATGGATGTTGTATATAGGTATGAAAAAAATGATGCGATGATGTAAATATTTACTGAATGTTGGCCGATGCCAGTGATGCCATCCATTGTTATGATTGTCTTTTGCACGTCTGTTTGGGGGACTTAGGCGCTAAAGTTACTGATGGTGTTTACGTAATAGCGCACATATGCCAAAGTTCCAGGCTATTCATACAGGGCGTGGAGCGCTGAAGTTACCTGCATTCCAATAAGTTTTAGGGCCGTAGTCGATCGCAGCACTTGGATTGGTTGGGGTCACACGAGGGTTAGAGTGTTGGGGTTGGAATGGCGCTGGGGCTCGGGTTAGGGTTGGGGTTTTAGTTAGGGGTAGCCATTCCCAGGGTTAGGAGTTTAAGACTCAACCCTGAAAGGCATGCGCTGTACTACCCCAGATTCTTAGCACTGTGAGGTCCCGCTATAGTTGGAGCGTATTCCCCACTGGAATTGCAGTAAAATAGCTACCTAAATTCTCCAACTTCACCCATTATAGAGGCCAATCTACGAAACTCATTGAAACACGACGCCCTATATTCCGCATTTATAGCGCTTAGGAAATACAGTATCTTGCTTCCTACCCACGCACTGTAAAGAATGAAAAATGAAAATTAATAAAAACTCTGAGCCGGCTCACTCCATCTTATTCCCAATTTCTTCCCTATCACCACGCCTTTAGAAACCGTCTCGTCCGCCGGGATACTAAATCCTAGCGGTCCCGTTTCCGCGGCGTAGAAGGTAGATAAATGCCACGCCTGCCGCCGTCGTTATTTCGACGCGCGTGGGCGGTTGAGCTACACCTCGCGACACTGCTGCCAGCGTGTAGGGACTTGACCTCGGCGCGAGACGAGTTGCGCTGGATTCGCGAGCACGTAGATTCCTTACCATATTTCAATCACAGTCAAACCAACGTCAATGTCAATGTCGACAAAAAAATATGGCGAACTTCTTTGGGAAATAAAAATAAGTTAGTGACCAAACTCTGTCGAAAGAGAGGTACCGGATATCCCCTACAGTATGTCCTAGGCTCACAACCGTTCGGCGACTTGGAGATTAAGTGTCGGCCAGGAGTACTGATCCCGAGGCACGACACAGAAACTTGGGTTTTAAGGCTTGCGGAACTCATTGAGTGGGAAGATGGCAACGAGGAGCGACCGGATCTGACGATTTTGGATCTGTGTACCGGGACCGGGTGCATCCCACTATTGCTACATTCGCGACTACGGGAAGAATTCCCTAGGATAAGCGTCGCGGGGATTGACATTGATCCCAAGGCTGTCGCACTCGCGACCGAGAACTTGAAGGAAAATAAGCGAAGAGGTCTACTCTCCGAAGATCCAGCGCAGAATATTCAGTTCGAAAGAGCTGATATTTTCTCCGATGAATGGATATCGTCGCTATTCCCACAAGCAAAGCGAGCAATTGAGACTAGAGGAGTGGATATCCTCGTGTCCAACCCGCCGTATATCTCAGCTAAAGGTTTCAACTATGATACACAGCGCTCGGTGCGCAATTACGAACCTAAGCTCGCCTTGGTTCCATCACCCACGGTCTCGCATTCCTTTTCTATACCGAATGTCCGACCGGAAGATGTTTTCTACGCTAGGATATTCGAAGTCTCGCAGATGCTCCAGCCACGGTTCATTGTCCTTGAGGTAGGAGACCAGGCACAGGCCAATCGCGTGATCGAGATGGCGCAGAGTCAATTTGGCAACGACAACGTCGACTACGAAATTGAGAATTGGGCTGAAAGGGCTATCTTCATACGTAGAGGTTGACACTCTCCACCGGTGTTTCCACTGCGACCCAAACGGAATATTTACAATCAATATTATACAACCACATCTACACAAAACAATATCCTAAGTATACCTATCCGTATCTGAAGTTCTTTACGGCTTAGTAAACTTGTCGAAGAAATCCATAATAATCTGCGACGCCTGGATATGTGTCGGGCCCTCGCCCACCGAGATTTGGGAAAAGTTGATCTCAGTCGAGGCCCAGCAATGGCCTACACAGTTCAATGTTAGCAGAAGTTACTCATTGCACATGAGATACAAGACCTCAGAACAGACTCACCCATATCATCAACCTTCCAATGCTGCAACACACCGTCGGTACCGCCACACGACCAACCGGTATGATGCACGTCCCCATCGAAGCTGTCTTCAACGCTTTTAGTGCTATCGTCGCACCCATTTCGCTGTGCCCACCAGCCAAGCCATGTTTCAATAGATGGTTCTTCGCCGCCCTCACCATCTCCACCATCATACTTCACACTCTCGTCACTACCACCGTGCACCTCCAATAACGGTAGCGGGTTTCGCGCCGGCGCACAATTTCCATGCGCGGCGTCGTCATCTGTATAGTATGACCCAGATGCGGGCGCGAAGGCCGCGAAATTGTCGCCTACTGCACTGCAGGCAATGGTGTTGACGAAGCCGCCGCCTATGGACATGCTATTTTTTCGGTTAGGCAATTTGTAAGTGTAAGACGACAGGCAACTCACCCTGTCGCATAGATCCGGCTATCATCTACACAGTATGCGCCCCGGACGTCATCGAGGAGGTCCGATACGAACTGCAGGTCCTCATCAACTGATACCTCGGAGTAATTCGCGCCAGCCCATGCGCCCTACGGTTAAAATCTCAGTCGATCAATTCATTTAAAGTACATTAATGGATACTTACGCCGACGCCGTCGGGATAGACCATGATTTTCTATGTTTCAATTAGCACCTCTTTTTTGGGACTCGGGGGCATCCAAAAGTACATACATTTGCGCTGAATCGATCCTCGCTCATTTTCGTGTCGGCTTCAAAGAATAACCCAACGCTGCTAGAACCATGGAACCCGAGAACCACCGGGTACGGCGATGACTCGCTGTAATTGCTCGGTAGGTGGATTGAATATGTCCGCAGCCGTCCGCTACTCGTCAACCCGCGGTAGATATCAGGTATCGCGTCGGTCTTACCGCAACCCGCCGAGCCATCTGCTGCCACAACTGAAGCTGCTGTCGCCGCGACGACCGCCGTGAAGCCTGCAAACTTCATTTTTCTAATATCGTCCGGATGAGAAATGGCCAAGAAAGAAGACAACCAGCACCCCACAACATATCAGCAATACCTATTTATTTAACTCAGGGGCTCATCTGTTTATAAGTCGCTTGTTCATTTCAGGAGACCGAGATCGACGGATCCGATCTATACTTGTCGATCATCCGCCAAAAGATTGCATGTGATAGGTCAGGTCCCCTGGGTTCATAACCACCTGCCCGAATCGTAAGGTCGAGATACGGTATCTGGTTGGACCCTGGTATAATTAGACTTGTAGCGCATGTAACGTAAAGCTGGTCCTGAGAACTTGATATAAAGTATTGATTGACCGAGAGATACACCTGGTTAATGCTTCCGGGCTGGGTTTTATGCATAATTTGCCTCCGAGGGGTATGTGGTTCTGAATTTATGCTTGGATTGTGAGGGAACTACCTACACACTCCCGCGACAACCATGTAGTAGATAGCTTCATTCATGTTATCATGACAAAAGGCGCGGAAAATTTCAATTGGCCAATGGCAATCCAACCTTCGGGTCGAGCCGCAAGATCCACGATCCAACAGAGCTTTTGTTGGTGAGAGCCGCCGTATATCGGCCTCCGGAGATCATGCGGGGTCGGGACGGCGGAGCAGATAAAATCATCTTGATTGTGTTCAATCAACCATCGCCTATTCCTATCCTAGTGAAGGAAGCAAAAGATGGCCGCCAAGGGATTTCAAGACACGCCGATGGTCGCGGAAGCTGTGTACAATTATTCAGTGTTCACCAAGACCGAAAAATGGTGTATCATCTCAATGGTCTCGTACGCGGCCTGGTTCTCGACACTGAGCAGCTTCATCTACTTCCCAGCCGTGCACCTCCTATCGGAAGATCTGTCCGTCTCGGTAGACAAAATTAACTTAACCATTACTTCATACATGGCGGTAGCGATGATAGCCCCGACTCTTGTCGGCGATGCTGCGGATGTGCTTGGCAGACGGCCCGTTTATATGGTTACTTTGAGTCTCTATGTCGTGTCTAATATTGCTATTGCTTCATCGAAGTCGTACAGTGCACTTTTAGGTCTACGTGTGCTACAAGCTTTAGCAATTTCTGGTATGAATCTAGTAGAATTTATCTAGTAATTATTTTGGCTGAGATCAGTTACCTCTAGGGACATTTTCCATTGCGTATGGGGTAATCACCGACGTCGCATCTCCCGCGGAAAGGGGCTCTTTCGTCAGTGCGGTATCTTTTGCGTACGTCAATTTCGGAATCAACCTCAAATATCTCAACTAATCTCTTACGGAATTATTGCTTTCAAGTATAACAATAGCGCCGAGTATCGGGCCCATCTTAGGTGGAAGCCTGAGTTATGCCGCTGGTTGGACGTGGATTTTCTGGTTCCTCTCGATCGCCGCGGGACTGTGCTTGACGATTATGGTCTTGTTTCTCCCGGAAACGTCACGAAGAATCGTAGGAAATGGGTCCATCAGACCTCCTAAACACTTAAGACTACCGGTTCCGAAGTTGATGCGCCACTGGGAAGCAAGCGACCAAGTCGTAAAGCAAAAGCGTCGGATGCCAAACCCCTTAAAGTCCCTCACTATACTTATACGAAAGGATAACGCGGTCATCATCTTTGGTTGCGGTTTACTTTATGTCGTATATACATGCATTAACGCCTCACTTTCGGTTCTATTCATTGATATATACAACCTCAACCAGTGGCAGGCCGGGATTATATACCTTCCTTTTGGACTTGGGGGAATGGTGTCTACCTTCTTTTCGGGCCCGCTTCTTGACACAGCATATCGAAAAGCTAGAGTGAAGCGAGGTCTATCGACGGATAAGGTGGTTGGAGATGATTTGGATGATTTCCCGATCGAAAAAGCGCGCCTCAGTGTTATATGGATACCATTAATTGTGACCACGGCCTCAATCGTCGCTTTTGGGTGGACCTTGCATTACCACCATGTCGGTATTTTACTCTTCGCATTAATCGTATGTAAAGCTAATGCGAATTAGCACATCGCGATCCCTCTCAGTCTTCAGTTCGTCGCAGGCTTGTGTATGCAACTCGACTTCAGCGTGAGTTGCCCCGCCCCCTCTTTACGCACATTCCAAATTGATGATACCACTCCTAGGTCTATAATACCCTTCTAGTAGACAAGAATCACCGGACGCCAGCAGCCGCTCAAGCCTCTAGTAACATCGTGCGATGTACTTTTGCAGCAATCACAATATCTTTCCTACAAAATTTGATTGATGCGATAAGCATTGGTTGGACGTTCACGTTCATGGGCGGACTCTGTTTAGTCGTTGCAGCTCTCTTCCTCGTCGATTATCAAGTAGGGACGCGATGGAGACAGCGAAGTATAGACTCGGATCTACGTATAGCCACTTGAATATATTTGGAGTATATGCGAAATAGGTACCGGTTGGGCGATGGATACCGGTGAGGATCGACGTGAAGTACCTTGTTTGAAATGCATTATACCAGGGCCGGACACCTGACGGCGATCACTCCCCCATCTTTTACGCATAGGAATACTTTTTCCACTTCCCATACGGTACATAGGAGAGGTATATCTGCCCATTGCTTCTCAATCCAATCTCCTGGGAGAGTGAATATTTCACTGAAGTTTTGGGCAACGGCGTCCTCCTTTCGCCGATTGGAATGAAAAGATGAGTCTGTAGTGATAACGCCACTGTTAGACCAAGATACCGGGACAGTTGTTAACGCCCCAGGATGTGTGGGAAGTTGGTAAGAATAAATGCAAAGGTTTTCAGCAAGAAACACAATGCGATTCTGAAATTGGGAAGAAAGTAGGTACATAAATTTGGATGGCATATCAGGGAAGTCGATTGGAGTTATTACTCTCGGTTCCGGTTTCTGTTCAGCGTCCGGCGTCACCCCGGTCGGTACCAAAAGATCCGAGACTCTGAAGCAATGGAGAGAGTGTTGTAGACAGCGGTCTTGAAGCCGCGCTTGTACTAATATATGGTTTTCATTTCGAGTGGCGACTATTTTCATAGGACGGGAGCTCATATAATAACTTGATGTTGTGTGATATGTTTGGGCTATGGCTAGATTCCAATCCATAATTTGTATCCGGTCGGTTCCAAAACCTATGATCAACTCCGGGTTTCTTGGATGAGCAATCCATTGACATTTTGGTCCAACTAGCTCTAGCGATCTATCCACGGACAGCGACAAAAGCGAGATTGTGTGAACATTATGGAAAGTCGAGACCAAGAGGCGACTCGATTTTGGGTGAAACAGCAATTGTGTGATGGGCCCCGCAGAAATCTCTCTCATTGAAATTTTCACCACCGTTTCTAAAACTGGCTCCGAGGAGCCTTCCTCCAAAGCCACCGACTTAATAAAGACCGTTTTGCTAGCATCTGAAAAGCTTATGTATCTGCCGTCATGGCTCCAACTCATCTCTAGAATCTGCAAGCGACCCCGGGGAGGGTGGATAGTAAACTGTCGTCCATTGTGTAAATCAACGAGGCACACTCTTCCCATATCCGTGCCATAACTATAGAGTCGGCCCGTCGGCGAGGTTGCGAGCGCTATAATAGACCCCTCCGCCCAAGCTTGACAGAAATTTTTTGTAGAGACAATAGAGATATTTTGGCGGTCGCTTTCGGTTTCACCACTGTATGTAGGTTGAGCCGTAGGTTTTATCGGCAAATCTAGCTCCCATACATTCCAATGTGACGCTCGAATATCGTAAACCCGTGTGTAATCATGACCAAATGTCAACCCTAGGACAAAGTTCTGAGATGTAAAGTGGTGTAGAATACAAAGGTTGGTGGTGTTAAAAACTTTGACTATCCCATACTTATCACCAGTTGCGAGGAAATTTCCATCTTTACTGACAGACAATCTAGAAGCTCCTATAAACCTTTCTTCCACCTTGCCGTCATAAGGACTCCATTTGAATAACACACCTTCCACGTAAAGACCCAAGACTTCAGGGTACTGTGGGTGCCAGACAGCATCGATGACTTCGCCCCTGGCAAGCTGTTCTCGGGTTCGCCAACAGTGCCCCAGATGTACTGGTCCATCTACTTCCCATGCTGATAGTGGGTGTCCGCGGTAGGCTACAACAGCCAGTGCCCCATCCTGACTCAGAGCCATGTAACTTGATAAGTTTAGGAAGTGTCCCTCAAGTTCGGGTTCATCTAGATTCGCCACGAGCTGCCACGTCGGTGACTTTTTATTTAGGTCGAGTAACCGTAAACACTTGTCACCATGACCAACAAGGAGAGAATCGTGGTTTTTGAATACCATAGAGACAGGCCTTGGGCGGGAGCTAGGATTATCAACTGAAGCCCTGCAAGTCCCGGTGGAAGTTTCCCATACCTTTGTCGTCCGGTAACCATAGGTCGCAAGCAAGGTAGCCGTATTATTGAATTCTGCTCTGTGTAAGAACTCCCCATGTTGAATAGGAGAGAACTTCACTTCATCAAACGTCGAAGAGCTGTATATGAATACATTTCGAGAAGTCGCAATGCCGACTAAAGTGGCAGCGGCTACTATAGTTGATGCTTGATCGTTCAAATTAAGCGGTATGCGCGCAACTAAGTCGCCCCAGTTCTGGAAAGGCGCGCCCAAAATTGCAATATTTTTCGCTTCTATTTCCCCAAAAAGACGGTAAATCGAAGAATTCTTTGGGCAAAGGGGGGGAATCTGCTTGTATATAGATTCTGGATTTCGTCGTAAGCCCGCGCCAAATTTTCCTACGAGCTTCGCAAAATCCGTAGACCAAGCCCCAAGGAGTTCCTGCTTCACAAGGTACTTCGCATTGTTTTTTTGTTGTTTAAGGAAATGCTGCGCGAGATTTTTTGAAACTTGGATGAGTAGTTGCTGTTGGTCGTTGGTCGCGACAATATGTATCCATGTCAGTACCCAGTGGTTCGTTAGGAATTTCTCAAGAACACTTTCAATCTGTTCGCAACCATACGCCGTTAATACCAGATGCGACGACCACCATTTTGAAGCATAGTGAACAAACTCGGGGGTCTCATTCCGGTTCACTTTTGATCGGAGGCCAATGGTCATAAGATGCTTCATACAGCACAAGAACATGTGCTTATGAGCAACATCGGGATCGACACGGAACGAGCGATTATTATCGCTAAGCAAGTATTCTCGAGCGGTTTGATGTATTAGCGTGACATTGCCTTCATTGTCAACGTCCAAAAATCCACCACACAGGTCAACAACAGACCTTCCAAGGTCCAGCAACTCAGAACTATCCTCGTCCAGTATTTGTGATAACCCCACAATTGTAAGCCCACGGAATGAACAAGTAACACATTCCAATATGTTCAATGCTAAAGCTTTATTCGATTCCATTTGATTCCGAGCAATTGACGAGGCCATTCGATTATAGAATGCTTCCATACCGTTTGGCAATTCTTGAAGTGCAAGCTCAACGTCGGCTCGTCGATGACATTGATTCAACTTACTAATAGTAAATCGTATCCACTGAATGGTTAGTTTTAACACTATAACGGTCTAAGATGTACCGATCTTCAGAACTTACAAGAAAGTTGTTTTGCGCGTCTTGCACGATACGGCTCACAATGCCCTCCTTAAAATCGGGACTCCCAGGCAAGATAAGTTCGTGGCGAGTGTAGTGCTGTAGGTCTTCTTGATGTCCCTCAACATTTATTGTACCAAAATTCAGAGAACTTGGGACTGTCTGGAAGGCAGACTCTATCTCCTGTATTCTGCGACCCACAATCAATATCCTAATCGGGATAGAGGAACGAGACACTTCAGAGAGCGTCTTTATGATGCCCCTAGGGTCGTCTGCTTCATCTAGCCCATCTATTATCCAATAGAGAGGCCTCTGCTCGTCTATTCTGAAGAGAATGGATTTGAAAATGTGATCCCAAGTGGTTGTATGGGCCATTGCCCCATAGTGAGTAGCTTCGTCAAGATCAAGGAGCTTTTGAGAGAACTCCGGAATGGCTTGGGCGAGTTGGTAGGCGAGAGAACACAATAGCGAGTTCAATGTTCGTTTCTTCTGATCACCAAATCTAATGAAGAAATATTGGCAATAAACACCTCGCTCCACAAGATTGTTGATGATAAACGAAGACAGCACCGACTTTCCAGTGCCGGGCCCTCCACTTACCCAAAGAAGACGAGATGTTGGCTCGGGTGTCTGGAGCCATTCGAGAAACTTCTTATCTTCGATAATCCATGTGCAGGTCCCAATGACCCATTGGTCTCGAAAGAAGCTGTAATCAACAGCGGGGAGCTCCGTAATCGCTAGCAAAGATTTGAGATCGTGAAATTTCTTTGAACTTCGCAATACTAGTGTCTTCGACTCACTAGCCGATCGACACTTTTCGAGAAGCGACACCAGAACATTTTTCACGGCAATATAGTTGGGGTCTTTAGGACTGTCAAATTTGCAGACCCCATGATGGTCTGCATCCAATGCCCTCGAAATTTCTCCAGGATATCCAAGGACAGAGGATTCCTTTTCTAACACCATCTACGTTACATTAGCGAGCATACGAGTGTTGGTGGAAGTTCATCCTACAATGCTTTTAACCATAATTGAAGTAGCCCGAGTCTCATAGAACGACACGATGTCCAGCCGAGGCGCTACGTGCCGAAACTGTTCGTTGAGCCTCTGCAACGTAAGAGAATTTTTTACAAGCTCAGATATATAGTTCTTCGAACTGATTATCATGGTGGATTGTAGTATTCGGTTTAATGTCTCAGCGAGATGTGTACCACGGTGCGGTGTAGATAAGAAGACGATTGCAGAGACAGCTTTGATGATAGAATCATATTCAGGATCATTCTGACCCTGAATATACGCCTTCCAATCATCGATCGTGAGCATATAGATCCGTGAATAAGGAACAGCCACTTACTTCTTTAACCACGAGTCCACCCATGCTATGAACCACGAAAATCAACGGCACCTGGGATTCGAATCAGCCACGCCTCATATTAGGAACTTAATCGAAGCTTACATCTCCTATGTTCAATCCCTCATTTTGGTAGTCTCTTGCATATTTCATATCATATAATAGATCTTTAGCAAAGTCCAGTATCGACGTACTGACACTCCCCTTCATACGAAATTCGGCATTATAACCAAAGGTTAATATTCTAGCCTGACAGATGTCGGCCTCAAGGGGTAAGAATTTTAATGGCCAGAACAAATCTGGATCTTTATTTTTCGACCATGTCCACCGGCTCGTACCCCCAAGTCCATGGACAAAGATGATATCCGCTTTAGGGACATCCTTAGGTGTATATACCACGGTTAGACCAAGGGGCCCCGCACCAGTCTCATTATCACTTTGAGAGACATCCTCTCGGATTGGAATTGAGACGTCGAACGGTATTGAGCTTGGAGTCTGAGATGAACAACTTTCATCGCGACGTTTCTTTCTAAGGCTGGATAGCTTCCGGAACTGGTGAGGGGTTAGGTACCTTCTGGAGCCTCGAGACACTATGAATAACTAACCATTTCTTACAGAGGTACTATCCCGATAATACTACGTCCTCCAAAGATGTCGATAGGCGCCGAGTAAGCCGATGAGGTTAGCGATGAGATAAGTAGACATGATGATGATTCCTTTGCGTATGACGATGGGAGGTTGGTTCGGCCGTACGCACAGCCCAGATTGGCCATCCATTGAGAGCTTTCGGTTTCCCATGCAGCCACTCGCTAAGCCTGAACCTGTGATAGGCGCAGCCGACAGGAAGACTCGGCCCGACGCTCACAGTGCCGATCCATAGCCTCACTTATCCCCGTGCATATCATCATATCTCACATTTCAGAGGCGCCACCCCCCCTCCTCAATTTTATAATCACCAACCACCACCCCCCACATTCATCCAACAAGACACTGAGATGCAACGTAAACTGACACCAACAACACGGGGGCCATATTTCGTCGCCCGTTTTATAGACGACATGTTACCTCCGGGATAACAGAAGCTCGAGCTTTCTTAAACGCCAGATGATTTTTAAGGTATTTTACTTGCGCGGTCTCTGGACATAGGGCTATGGAGTTATGTCGCCGGGCTGGGTATTAGGGATTGGGGGAAACATTCCCATCAACCAAGCCGTTCTAAATGGTATGGACAGCTCACTCGAAAATATTGGCACACTTAGCTACTAAATTAACCGTCTCCGCAGTTATGCCTAATGGTACTAAAATTATCTCCGCTGAGTCGAGTGGAGTATCAGCTTGGGCAAGGACAGCGAAAATATCTGTCATTTTACCAGACGGAAGCTCAAAGAAATATTTCCTGAAGGTAAGGATTTTCCTTTCCCACACTAATAACATCCACCATACGAATCTAACATAAATAAGTGTGCGACAGGTTCCAGCGCTCGAGCCCTAACCGAAGGTGAATATCACTCTGCGACCGCCATTAATGATGTTGTAACTGGCCTGGTGCCGAAGCCGGTCGGATGGGGCGAGTACCATGACGGAAAATCATTGGTATACTTCTTCTTAGGAGATTTCCATGACATGGACTTTTCTGCTGCTCCGGACCCTGTCAGTTTTGTATCCCAAATAGCAGAACTTCACCAACGAGGCACCTCTTCGAATGGTCAGTTTGGATATCCCGTACCGACTGTGTGTGGCAAGATGGAACGTACAGTAACCGTAAGATACCTAGGTACCGTGACCGCCAGAGGGAACATATGTAATCTCGATGGGCGTCCTCGACAGACGACTTCGCTAAATTGGCCCAGAGATCGTGTCGCTAACCTTTCTCATGCAGTGGGAATCGAGCTGGGCTAAATCCTTCACGCATCAACTTAAGGATGTTATAAAATACGATAACGAGGCCAATGGCGCCTGGCCGCAATTCGACGCCGCGTGTGAACAGCTCATCAATGTGGTCATTCCGAGACTATTGGGGGTTTTGCAGTCCGAGGGCCGTCATATTACCCCGGCCTTGATTCACGGTGATCTATGGGAACATAATATAGGAACCGACAAAGAAACAGGCAAATCGGTATTGTTTGAGGTACGCATGGTGTCCCACTTCGTCTTTTGTTTTAATTTTCATCTTTCAAGTGCTACTTTAGTATGCTCCTGGGCAGTTGACCCCTGACTGACGGTGTTGTAGTAGGTAATGCGAGTTCTCCAACAACATATGGAAGCTATGACCTTTTAGGATACGAATAATCGGTCGCTAACAGACATGTCGATATCTCAGTCCCGGGTGTACGTATGCTCATAATGAGATGGAGTTCGGGACTTGGCGGTGTACATGGGCGACCCATTTCAAATCACCAGTCTACATGCAACATTATCAGCAACATATCAAGCCTTCAGCGCCAGCAGAAGAATGGGATGACCGTAACCGCCTTTATAGTATCCATCCATACTTGAACGACTCAGCCGGGCATCCAGGCAGTCAATCAAGAAAAATGTTAGGAATCTTTAGCCCCCCTTTTTGCGCCACTTGCTAACCCCTATTAGAGCCTATAACGAAATGCTGTATCTTTGCGAGAAATATGGGCCCTCGGATAGCCTCGAAAAGTACGATCCAGAAACAGACATTAGCATTACGGGTGCTCACCTCCCATTTGTTATAAAACAGTTAGAATAAGGGTTAGTGGCACCATATCTTAGTCGTGGGCGTACATCCGAACCCCAAAGAAACAACCAGTTTTCACGATTACAATAGCGCTGTTTCGGATCGTTGTCCTTCGGGTACGGGCAACAATTCTATATAAATATAGAGCGATCCCATATAATCTCTACTTAGTTATCATCTAGAGCTACACCAACACATTCAAATCAGTACTATCATCCAAATCTTCGATAACCAATTCCTCTAATTACTACTTAGAACAACGTCACATACCTTTCCGTAAGAACAAGACGTCAAGATGCGTTTCATTGAAGGACTTAAAACGGCCTTAGTCCTCACCATCGTCCCGTTCGTGGTGGGAGCTTTACTCCGCGTTGCGCTGACGAAGCAGCATAAACCGCACATGGATAAGGGCTTCGCGCAGGGGGTTCGATGTATGAATAATTACATGTACAACAAAAATATGACTGAGTACCGTGAGTGCATGAAGGCGGCGGGCATGCTCCCGGAGAAGCCCCTCGTCGTCCAAGCTCAACTAAATGAACAGACAACAATGCAGACGAAGGTTAAGCATCCATCCGCTGAAGTTGATTAAAGGTATTCCAGACTAGATTCGTTGAGTCGCTATGAACAATAAATAGAACATAGCATCATTAAATAAACAATTTGTATTTGTTGGGTGAAAGAAGTTGAGTCCGGGATATACAGTGCATGTCTCGGGTGAAAGTGTTTGTAAGTTGTAGGCGACCATAGAAATAGCAGGGATTATTAATCTACGTATGACGTATGCGCCAATCGGGACGCTTTATTTCGTAATTCCGACGGTCTCGGAGGTATGTACAATACAACCGCGCGGACAGTGAGCAACCAAGACGTAATCAACATGATAAAAAAAAATATTATAAAAAAAAGGCCAGGTGAAGAATCCTAGTGGATTCTTACCTACAGCTGATATGGCTTTCCCTAGAATTACTCATTTTTATACAGGTTGTAATCCTGTTATACTATCGCAATGTCTTTGCGACCGTTAGTTAGAGGAGCGTGGTGGAGGCGAGCTATCACCTCTTCTCGAAAACACCAACTAATTCCGAATCCACTTACGAGTACCACAACGACTATAATAACAACACGACGGAGTCTAAATACGGTACCGACATGTCCCGAACCAACTTGCAATTGCGCTGATACTCCGTCGATGCCGTGGGGACAAGGTATCGACAAGAATGGCAACTTGAATGGTCTCATTGCGGCCTATGCGCAACAAGTTTTAATCTGTACTGGCAAAGATGACTGGGCGTCACGTATAGAAGAGGACAATAGCGGCGATAACCTCGCTGCCGACCTTAAGGAATTGGTAGGCCGAGGAGGCGTATATAGTGATGTGAGTATTGTTATTCCTTCAGACCGACACACCCATACGCTCATATCAGCTAACAAGTTGTGATTCCACAGCCTTTCCACAACCTCTCCATTATAAATACTTCGTTCCCTTCCGCGATATCTAGACGACCCGAAGTACAAACGACATCCGTGTATCTCCTCCCTAGCTTCAAATACATCCCATTCCTCCCGAGAGTCTCGTTCGACTCCGTACAAGCCCTAGTCAAAGGCTACCTACTCCCCGAGAAACTCCATCCCATGAACGATGGCCTATCCCCAATACATAAAGACCGTCTACTGCGGAAACCGGCTTACGAGGAGATGCTCTACGGCGTGCGAGATATAGATGACGTTTTCGTCCTAATTTGTGGGCACGGACAGCGGGATAAGAGATGTGGCATCTACGGACCTGTTTTACAAGAAGAATTCGAGAGGCAACTTCCAAGAGCAGGTATAGACGTCCTCACGGACCCGGCAGTCGATGAGAGTGTCACGGCGCCACAGCTCTCGGGCACTACATCGGGGCAGGAAGCATCGCGTACGGCGAGAGTCGGCCAAATCAGCCATATTGGTGGACACAAATTCGCGGGCAATGTCATTATATACCTCCCGCCGGCCTTCAAGAACCCTGCCGGAAACCCGCATCCCCTGGCTGGTCACGGAATCTGGTACGGTCGGATAGATCCGAAACACGTGGAAGGTGTGATCAAAGAGACCATTCTTAATGGAAATGTCATCGCGGATCATTTTAGAGGTGGTATCAATCAGAAAGGAGAAATCCTTAGATTATAGACGTGCTAGATTTAGGCATACTAAGATTCGGAATCTCGAATGGGCTGGTATTCGAGAAAAGAGCTCTTCAAATGTACCATCTTGGGAAACGGATTGTAAATAGAACATCACAGCTCAATTAGAATGTTTGGGTGTGAGGATCCCAACTCCGGATAGAAGGAGGTAATGAAAAGAAACCAATTAACCAATATTTTGTGAATATCTTCTAGTTTTCTAGGTGTACTACTCAATACCTGCCAATTGTCAATTGCAAATAGCGGGCCGACACCAACCGGCAACTCACTAATTTTCTATTCAATTCATCACTCAGTGTAAGTTCATCAATATTCAATCGATGATAGTATTGGTAGCAATTTTTTCCAACCAAATTCTTCGTCAATCACAGTATGAGCTAGAATAAATGAATCGCTCATTAGCAATAAGATGGACCGGCCGGTTGAAGCCGTGCCTATCTAAATCCACCTACCATGGACCTCGCAGCAAGCTAATTGCGCAAAGAACACAGTTCTTTTCCAGCTCCCCAGTACGGCGCGACCAAAACCTACCACCACAATCCGGCCCTCAACACCCGCAACGCCGGGGTAATTGGAAATCATGGATCCTCTTCAACCTGGCCGGCGTAACCGGCGTCGCCATCGTAGCCATCACGCTCAAAAGCGCGAACCCCAACGCCACCAACGACGATAAAAACAGCGTTATAAATACAAAGTCCTTCAGTCCCTTCACTATCATCTCCAAGGAGCAAGTCTCACCCACCGCTTTCGTTCTAAGTGTCCGCCCAGAAATCGGTGAGGGAAAAAAGGGGTCAACGCGCAAGTTACAGGAAGCTTGGGATCATGGCCTTTGGTCCGTTGAGGTGAAGCAGCCGCAGTTGCAGATTGCGCGGCATTATACGCCGTTACCTCCTTCTGATGGTAATGAGGGGGATTTGCGGTTTTTGGTTCGGAAAGTTGATGGTGGTGAGATGTCTACGTATCTAAGCAAATTGCGCGTTGGTGAGAATGTGTACCTGCGAGGTCCGCATCTCGGGTTCGATATTACGAAGCGCTTGGGGGATGCTAAGGATATCGTGTTTGTAGCGGGAGGTACGGGAATTGCACCTGCGCTGCAGATCGCAAGGAAAGTTTTAGATACCAAACCTGCAGAAACTACAGCCGCAGAAAAACCAACAGTCTCAATCCTATGGGCGAACCGCCTATCCGTCGATGCCCTAGGACGAGAAACCTTCCAATCTTCCAAAACTTCCGGAAGTTGGTGGAGTGGAAAACCATCCTCAAATCCCGAAGCACAGAAGCAAACACAAGAACCCTCAACCCCCTCACTAACACACCAAATTCGCACTCTCCAACAAAACCACCCAGAAAACTTCCGCATATCCTACTTCACCGACGAAGAAGGCACATTCATCAAAGAACCCGACCTGCGCACCGCCATCTCCCCGCCATCCCCAGCAACAAAACGCCAACCTCTCCTCCCCGCAGCATGGATATGTCCCTGGCACTCCACAGCCGCGCTCGAGCGACTACCAAACGACAACGACGTCGCGCGGCGAAGCGGTGATTGTACCTGTGCCAAAGACGCTAAGACCAAGAAAGAAGTCCTTCCTACAAGCGCCACAGGAGCGAGTCTCGTATGTGTTTCCGGAGCGGATGGTTTTGTAGCCGCGTATGCTGGGCCGAAGCGTTGGTATCGCGGTGGGGAAATGCAGGGGCCTGTAAAGGGGATATTGGGGCAGATAGTAAAGGATGAGGAGGTGAAGGGGGTTAATTGGCTTGTTCTCAAGTTGTAGGTTACAATAGGGGATAATTGACGATGTATATGGCTTAAAAAGGTTGATATTAAAACTCCAAGCAGAAGTGTACTATAGAGATCTAAAATTAAATATAGAGGCGATATATCCTCATCTAGGCTCACTCACACACAATCTACTTTTAAACCTTCTGTCTTAATTTTAGACTCGCGTCTCTCATTCTATATACGTCCAATATACGGAGTATGTAGCAATTCATAGCAGATAATAGCCATTTATAAGATCATTCCCTAACGTTCGTCCGTCAAATTGCAAGGGTATTTGGTAACGCCCACCAACCCAAACCATGAACCCGTCCATTCTAGCCAGTACGCGTAATCACACGCTATACGAAGACACATAATACTAAAACACATCAGTCCGCAATTCACTCACACGAATCAAAGGGTAAACTCACCGTAACAACCGAATCCTCCGCCCCCGTATCATCATACTGGGGAACATACACATACAATATCAACGCATGATCATCAGCAAAACACGCAATAACCCTTCCCTCCAACCTCCCCACACTCAACACCTTACTCCAATCCTTCCCATCAACCCGAACAGTAGCCCATCGATCCGGACCTGCCTCGCGGAACCGAGTACTAGGATGATCTTCCAGCGGACACCCCAATTGCGCAGGATCCAACTCCGGATTCTCAAGCCCCGACCACTGACTCTCGACATCGAGGGTATCAGTATCAAGACGCAACCTCAAGCCCCCGTGCATATTAGCACTGAGTTCCAACTTCGGCGAATACGACGCCGCAGCCGCCGCCCCACCCGACGACGAAGCGCGCGATGCAAGCGCGAGTTTCGTGAAGCGGTCTGATATAGCTTTTAACTGCAGTAGCGGGGGTAGTTGTATATGTACATCCGGCTCGCGAATCTTCGGCTGCATGATCGTCTCCACGGTATCTGGATGCAGCACTCTCACAGGGAAATCCTGTGTTATTATTTTTTCACGCTCGCGGTGGAGATTCGTCTCCAGCGGTTCATGCGCGAAGACCCCATCATCATCAGCGCCAGCATTCGCATTTCCGAAGCGTGATACGCCTGTAGGTTCTTTAGTCGGAGCGGCGGTCGTGGTGATCGTCATAGAGAGCACCGGGACGCCGTCTTTTTTAGTAAGGCGAATTGATGCTGAGACGCCATTAAGAGCGGATTTTAGGGCGCGTTGGAGGGGGCCGAGGGGGAGCTCGAGGTTGATTGTGTTGTTTGGTTCGGCGGATTGGAGGGCGTAGTTGTCGAATATGAAGTCCATAGAAAAGGAGCTAATTCGAGAATGTTAGAAGGTTGGGATTGAGGAAGAATTGAGGGTTACGAACGCCCAGACTTGGGACCCGGTATCTGGGATCACGGTGAATCGTACGGTCTCATCGTCGAGGCGTACCCAGGCGATCTTCTCAAGGGATGATAGAGCGGCCACGAGTTCTAATTCGGAAGCAGGTTAGATATTATAATTAGAACACCAGCGTATAAAAAGCTAGCTTACTTGCGAACGTGCGTATATTCTTAAGATCAGATTTAAACCTCATCTTAACCGCTTTGCGCGACGAGGTACCATGACCTCGACGCAAGTCCGAAATAATTATATCGCGTAAAAAATCACAACGAAACCACACGCGAAAAAGGTTAATAATGAACAAAAGATGGAAGGTTTCCAGCTTTCACATTTGGTTGGCCAAAATAATTACATCCACTCAATTAGCTTAATCGATAAGCTGCAGCTAGGGCAGATGTCAGAACTTCCACTCCCTGGGAGCCTAAATCTAGCTCTATTAGAGTGCGGGGTAATTGAGCGGTTAGCGGCAGCTAGCTACCCCATGCTGCCCCATAAGCTCAACCATCCAGCTGCCCTTTCAGGGACCAAAGCCCCTCCATCTCACCCCACTACACCGCAATCGTTAACAATCAGTGGAAAATACCCCGCCATTATCACAGTTCGTTCGTTCAAAGCTCTACAAAAAAAAAATTCAACATCTGACTCAGAATGAATAAAGCATTGTGAAAGCCGTTCATCCATTCCTTTCTGCCTAGCAGATGATATATCATAGCCCTATACCCCCCCTTAATTGACCGAATACCATTCCATACCACCCTTATGCAATCATCAGAGCAAACACCAAATACCGCACAAAGCAAATTCTCTGTAATAGATAGCCAACCCGAGAACTCCATAGCTTCCCGAGCCAGTCGTAGAGTCAAACTAGCTATCATAGCTAGTTAACAAAGTAGAGCCTTGATTCCTTCAGATGGAAGTGTAATAGATAGATAGCTTTCCTTCCATCTTATGATCTGTCGAGACTGAAAAAGAGATTCGTACTCATTCGTGCAATCCATCCTGCCATCTGTCTAGACCTTCCTTTGTTCTATCAGATCAATCCTCCCTCTAGCCTGTAGCTGTGATTCCTCATGCACAGCCTAACGCCGTAATCATCCGTAGTCCTAGGCACATGCTCAAATACTCAACCGTCGACTATACCCCGGCGGCGGCGTCGGACGTCGAGGCATAGCCCTCGCACTCGGCGCCGCAGTGCAAAACACACTATTACGCAGAACGCCCTGTCGTCCTCCACTTCCACTTCCACTCCCACTTGCCTCACCATTACCACGATACTCTCTCATCCTTTCTCTAACGGCATCTCTCTCCCTGTGATGCGGCTCAACGCCAACATGCACAACCGTAGCGCGGAACGTATTACTAGATCTCTTCAGACCAGGTATAATCGCCTTAATCGCAGTCGCGGCGGAGGATTTCCTACTACTACTACCACGTCCGTCTTGAGCGGCGGTACTACTAGCGTTTGTCGCTCCGCTAGCACTGCTTTCGGCGGTATTTTGGCGTCGGCGGTTTTCGAGGTTCCGTCGCATGCGCTCGGCGAACTCGGCGTTCTCGGCGCAGGTCTTGCATTCACCGACGGTCTGCGCGACGCGCTGCCCGCCGAGGTTGTTACTGTTATTCCACGGGTACACGCCTTGCGTCTGCAGGGGCGCGGGCGGTGGGGGTGGGGGTGGAGGGGGTCGTAGCGGATGACCCGGTCGGCGAGTTAATCTCCTACGCACAGGCAGTTGTCTCTGTAGTCGTGGCATAGGAGGAGGCGGTGGGGGGCGAGGGGCCTGCCAGTTCAACTCGATGGACGGGAAAGGCGGCGGGCTGATTAGATGTCCGCATGGGTGCTTTGCTGTGGTGCGGCAGATTGGACAGCTCGGGTTTGCGTTAGGGTCGCGCACGAGCGATTCCGTGAGCCATGTCTGGATGCAGTGCGTGCCGAAGCGGTGGCCGCAGAATAAGCTCGTCCATGACTCGATTATGCCCTCTGGGTTCTCGAGACCGACGGGGTCGTGGCAGATGGGACATTCCTCGGGTGGGACAGGAGGTGCTGGAGGTGGTCGCTTTTTAGTGGTAGTGAGGCTAGTGTTACTGCTTGGTTTGGGAGAGATGTTGGTGGTAGTGGGAGGAGGGGTGGGAACGGGAATAGGGTTGGTGATAGCTTCTTCTTGTGTTGTCAAAATTGTCGAATTAGAGCTAGCATTGTTGTTGTTATTGGTTATGTCATTATTGACATTATTGCCATTTCTTCTTCTTCTACTCGGTAGAAGCTTCTTCAGCAGCTTCAGGCTGACTTTAGGTAGTGGCCTCATGGTCGGCGATCGGTCGGTCAGTAGCTTGACCGGGACTCCGAATTATTGTACGGAAATTGACAGAAAGCGGCCGGATGAAAGTGTAAGTGTAGGTGTGTAATAAATTGAATTAAAGAAGAGAAAATAAAGAGATGAATGGATAGCAAGGCTGGACTCGCCCGCCTGCCTAAGGGTATGTGTATGCCTGCCTGAGGTACTAAGGTAGTAAAATATGGTGGTTGCTGTGTGTCTGCAGTACAGAGGAAGAAATAGAAAGCTCTGTGATTCACCACAGTATACGCATAGTTAACGTAGGAATGATAGGCGGCGTAACTGTGGTACTGTGGTAAATGCGCTGCAAGTGCTGCAAGTGTAAGCAGCAAAGAATTACTTGCTTGCTATTAGTCTGTTTCGGCTTTTGGCTGGGGAATCCGATCCAATCAACGGACTAAGACGTTAAGACCTTTTTTTCTTTTTGAAACCGGTCTGCCGTTCTTGTTAATTTTTATTTGTTTGCTCGTCTGACCATTAAGGTATAATACCTTCGTAGTTCGTAGCTGTCCTGTGCGTAACTGGGCTGGCTGACCTTGATGAGAAACAATATTTGGATCCACCGAAACCGTAGAATCAATTTCACGATTACGGAATGATCAAGTAGGAGACGAGAATTAGTAGGGACGAATGTTTGGCGGGAGAAATAGCGCCCATACATATCACGTCCTAATGATGTGATTAATATGATTCAGATACGGTCGCGGCCAAAACACTATTGGTTCCTGGGATTTGGTTGTGTTTAGGTCGCTCGAATATGTCTGCCCTGCTAATTACGGCCTCATTCGTAGATCCAAGTACCTGGCTAGGTCCTACTCGAATGCGCCCGTTAGTAATGGACTGTTAATGATCCGTGGATCTGTCGATATCGTTGGACTCGAATTAGTCCAGAGTTGAAAGTGGGAAAAATAATTGCGGCAAGTTCTACTGATGGTACTTATTGATTTAACAAGACCGCCGTATTATGGTTTTGCCTTCGCAAAGATATTCCTAAGGTGTTTCAATGTGATGTGATATGAGACTGGGTGATTTGTATTGAAATGGTGCAAGGACCAAATTCACAAGAATACATACAACATATACGAGAACCCTTCAACTTTACAAGTACTTATATCATGGTATACCACATGCAGTATAATGGTTATAGCTTAAAGTTATTAGGTTAAGTTTAAGGGTGCTCCACCACCCTTCATAGCATCATGTGCACTGGATTGTATCGTAATAAGTGTTACCAAGGCAGATAAGCTCCTCACCTGCATGTCTTTAGCTGTCCGAATTCAGTGGTGGTTGCCAGGATGCAAGATAAGGCTTGGAATGTGATGCTAGACCACGCGCATCTAAGGCGCAATTGGATTTATTGGCACATCAACGGATGTACAGAGGGCCGCTGCCGTTCCGTAAATGTGGTGTATAATAGTAAAAGAGTACATACATCACATACATCATACATAAACGCAGGACGCGGGTAACTTAATTCGATTTAATGTTGTGACTTGACTGGTTATAAACTAACTTGGTTAATTTTGGTCATTCCGCATGCAGGCTTGAAGATCTTCCTCAAAATTCCAACATCCCCGCGCCAGCCTCCTTTCATGTCAGGATCCGATTTTCAGCATGAGGTCTTTTTACATGATCGGGGGTGTCACAGACGGATATGGCGTCATTTCAGTTCGAGATCAGATCTATCAATCTCCATTTTCTCCCTTTCGTCTCGTCTAGAATTTGTTAGTTTAAAGACCGGATAATATCTAGCGCAACCGTCCCCTTAAGAAGCTTTGTGATAATTCGAGGATTATTACTCGAGCGTTTCTTCATCATAACTAAATCGTCCAGGAGCATATTGATAACTATAGGAACAGACCTCAAATTTGGATTCGTCTCGAGTTTCGTCTCGTCACAGTTCTCTTAGGGGCATGCTATTGTCATCGTGAGGTATATGCGTTGCGTTGCTCTAATGTTTGCGCGTTGATGGCTAGAACCGGACCGGAAACATTCATGCTAAATTCAACGGTTTCATATGATTTTCTAACGCCGCAGTAGTTTGTTTGATTCAAACGAAATAGCGATACTATCCGATTCTAGTCAGTGTAATTAGCATATTCAAGTCCATGTCCACATCTTGAGTTTGAATTGAAACACTCCAGCGATGTTTCCTCTTCGACAGGCAAAATGTTCACCCTAAATTGACCTGATTCAATTCACAAACCTAATATAGTATTCAAGTCTATATTAGTTTGGATATAAAAATCGGATATAATATGTTTGACATACAAAATATTCCGGGTCTTAGTAGAAGCCTAGACTATGAGAGGCTGGGCATATTGTACGCGGTCAAAATAAAAGAATAAATAAAGTTAGCAAGGTCGTTAAATGTCTATTAAAACCGACGTTAGATCACCCGTGGGAGAAAGTTTGATGGTGCCGACGGATCATATCCGCCTAGCCTGTCGGTCATAGCGGATGATGGATTCTACTGGACACGGCGGCGCCACCGTTGAGTTATAGTCCTGCATTTAGAAAAATGCGCGAGTTGCACCCTGAATAATGAGAATCCATTTGAAGCATCAAACTCACGAAGCTGATTTTACAAGATCCCGTCACGCTATGCTTGCTCGGCGGTCCGTACCTAAATCAAATCCCGGTTGGCCGCATGAGGACGCCGCCCGTCTCGGCCCTTTTGAACAGCAATCATTCTCCAATGAAACAACATAGATGCTCCCGAACCAAATACTTGGGAAAGGTTAGGACGAAGTTTGCTACCGTCTAACCTGCCGCACATTATTATCTTCCTCATCACTATCATCTCGGAAGCCCTCCTCTAAACTAGGTTCTTGTCGTCAGCCCTGTATCACGAAGTATATTCCACAACACTATTGAGGGAGTATTTTCTTGACCTACTCTCTGCTTAGTCTCCTCATGCTATCCGTTCGCTCAGGGTTATGTGTATCCAGCGAAAGTCCATATCGCCGGTCATCATCCACATCGTCTAATTCCTCTCCCTCTTCGGAACTGAACCCAAGATCTGACGCATCGTCCCCTGACATTACGCGCTCGCGCGCATTGAAGCGCCATCTTGACGGTATTAAATATCTAGCCATCGCGTCTTGGGCTCTACTACGTAAAGAGGACGTATGATTCGATATCGTATCGAGAGGGAGATATTGGCTATATCGGGTTCGGTAATGATGCCATAATGGATAGAGGACATATGTAGATAGGAGGAAGAGTAATAGAGAGATTACGGCAGGGATTATAAGTGTCTGTGATTGTTAGATTCTCGATAACTAGCAATGCATAGAGCGTAGCGAGACTCACTTTAACTACGGACAGTGTAGAAGCCGCCATGCTGATGGTGTTGCGCAATGCTCTCCTCTATCATAAGAGCATTTTAAAGTATTGGGCTTGGCGAAGTGACAGGTATATAGTTGTCAATGCAACCAAAATGTATCGACGTGGGTTACCGGTGGGAGTCGTAGCTGAGTAAATGCCGAAAATCGCGTGTATTCTACAACAGTCCAAGACGAGGACGGCGGTTCGTCTGCAGTGTTCTATAACACTTTAGTTGGATGCAATGGAGGAATAGTAAAGTCAGGGAAGAGTATCGTCTTCCACGGTACCTAGAGCCTCCGTCTAGGCCTGCCTCTTGTTCAATTGTGCTTGTAAGGCTGAAGATGTAGATGGTTACGTACGCGCAGTTGCGACTTGTTCCATATAAAAGCTTACCTAAGACTATCAGGGGTGATTTACGTAGATCATCCCTGCTAACGCTATTTCCTTCATGTACACATCAATGTACAAATACGATGTACTTAAAGTGTAACACTAGAGCTAGCCGTCATTCTTTCCATTACATTTATTTCGCATCATTCATTATGCGATCACTGTAGAAGGACGAAGAGAATCTGTCATAAATGGATGGAACACCATGTTGTATGTGATTATTCAAGATCACCCGAATCCTACGGGCCGGTTCCTAATAAGTCTAACCACCCCTCTTTAACAACACCGGGGGCGGAAAGAATATAGCTGAAAATATACTTATATGCAGCCCCTTTTTTGCGCATCGGCTAAAGATCTTCATCAGCTAAAGACATCCGGTGGTCTCTCCTATTTCTAAGTACTGCACTTTATTAAGCGAAGAATAGGTGAGACAAAGCCTTTCTATCTGCGATACCCTCGCCAACTTCTTATGTACGACACCTCATACAGGTCATGTAAGCCTTGGGGGTCTGGGGGTTGAAAGCAACCTTAGATCGCATCATTATCACCATCGTCGTGTGGGATCTTCCGGGGGTTTCATGTTCCACTTCAAGTTTCAGAAAATGTCCACACCTTTTTGGATGTACCGGCATCGGATTTACCAATTGAAAAAACCATCATGTATGATTGCAGACATTGTGGAATAGAATTACCAGCACGTTAAGCCCCTTTTAAAGTGGCGTCGCCGAATTAAATATCAATGGGATGGGTCGTGATTCGTTACTTCCACGGTCAAACATCGAATCTTTAGTGCCTTTTCATAATTCGCTGTTGCCGTCTAGAGATGTTGTGCACCTGCCTTACTTGCTTAAAAGGAACCCCTGACAATTGATTGGAGCTTGGATTGGATTAAAGTTCCCGCTTATCACTAATGGGGGAAAAGAAGGCAGGAAGGCGGAAGGCAGCTGGGCGGGCAGGAAACATCCCATCAACGTGTAAATTGGTATTGTGCATGTACCCTGCAAGTTGCATCCTACCCACCACAAGTGCTCGGTGCCATGTACGGTACCTACCGCGAACATTGCACACTGCACACATGCACTGCACAACCCGCAACCTTGCGTCTCATCAGACGGTAGGAACCTCCTTTGAGCAACAATTACTCTAATCACATCCAATTCCGATAACCCCATAGTCATTACCATAATCATTAACCACGACCACTACTCTTTTTTTCCTATCCTACCACGGCCACGAGTCACAACCCTTTCCTCACACACTCTCTTGAAACATTCGAATCTTCTACCACGACATCCATGGCTCATTGACGACCCATTAGAATTCTTTGCATTTCCATGTCGTCCCTTTCTCTCGCGCTTGTTTTTTAGTTCTATGTGCGTATTCAACCAAACATTTCCTAACCCCCTTCTCAGTCGCGCATTCTTAGGTCTTGTATCTCCTTTCAAAGATGTTCCAAGTCTTGGACATTCGGGCGAAAAATATACAGAAATACAAAAATAAAAATACTCTTACATTGTCTTTCGCTACTTCATCGCCGAAAGCCATACTAATTATTTCCACCAATTCATGCAGGTCTTCGCTCGATCCTAAATCTACCATTTCAACCTGTATATCCGTTGCGAGGTCGACATTTCTAATCACAGAACACAATGCACTTCATCCAACATCTTCAGCATCCAATACATTGACGGCAGGAATCCGATATCCCACATAGGTTTCGATTGTTTTCTTTTATTCGTTTTGTGCCGAAAATAATATCGAACACCTTCCGCTGTCCGATAAATAATACATTGTTAATACGCAATTGGAGCGCCACCGTCCCAGTGCGCCCATCGCCGACGACACGATTATGTCAACTGCGGACAAGACCAGACAGTCGTCTGGTGGTAAAGGCTTCTTTTCTAGGAATAAACATAGAAGTGATAAGAGACACACTGGTAGCGAAGAGGGACGATACCTCGGTTCAGATCACGAATCTGTGTCGCGAACCTCCCGACATGCTAGGGACTCCTCGATAATATCTGTGGATCGTCCTAGTTCTCCCGAGTCCGGCGTCAACAACACTGCGGGCGTTATCACCGCAATCCCATACGATAGCACACACCCTGACATACGAAGTCCAATACCTGTCGAATATCTTCCTCGAAACGAGCAACTCCCCGTGCGCCGAGAACCACTACCACATCAATTAAGTAAAGTAAGCGCCGATTTTCACCAATACCCTACTTTCGACGCGAACACACTTTCCAGCATGGCTGGTTCCCATCTTTCGAATGCCCGCCCTCCTACGGCGAGCTCAAATATTACAATGGCGTCGACCGGTCGTCAGACGCAATTTCAGCAGTGGGGTCCGTCTGGAGGTAATAATTTATTGACACCTCGAGGAAGTACGGCTTCTTCGATGACTACTAGTACTGCCTATGGTGAAAGGTGGGATTCTCTACCTGGCTATGGGATGTCTGGTTTCGGCAGATCCTCGAGACAAAGCGACCAGTCCAGCGTTTTTTCAGGTAAAGGAGTACCCCCTGACTATCCCACAATCAAGCGCTCATCCAAAGCAGCACTACCCAGTGCCACATCCCAGAGTTCCATTGCATCATCGCACCCCTCGAGTAGAGATTCGCATCGTTTAACAAAATTTCCAGGGTCACCTGGATTACAACCTCCTGGCGCCAGCAGCGACTCGCTCTCGCTTACAAGACCGGACGATGATAGGGTTACCGAACAGATGTTCTACGAGCTGATGAAGAAACGAGGATGGCACAACCTGCCCGAGCAGGCACGACGACAAATGCAAGCGTATCCGGCGTCGAAAAAATGGACACTTATTCATCAAGACCGTTTAACGGAGTTGCAGGGCGAGCAGAAGAGGAGAACGACGGCGCGAGCAGGGCAGTATTCGAGCGTCGACATTGCCGCATCATCCGATGAAGAAGGTTCTCCTGAGTGGTACGTCCGGAAAGTGATGGATAATACCTTGGACTTGAAAGGTCTTGGTAGTCTTGAAGTTAATTTGCGCACCCAACAAATCGGCTGGGTGAGACGATTCATCGAATGTCAAGGGCAAGTTGCCCTCACTAATGTTCTATTGAAAATCAACCGCAAGAGTGCTGTAGGACCCGCGGCTCCTGGCGATGCGAAATCGAGCGACAAGAACCTCGATAAGGAATACGATATTCTGAAGTGTCTCAAGGCTTTGCTGAACAACAAATATGGTGCCGACGATGCACTCGCCCACCAACAAGTGGTTGTCGCTCTCGTTACCTCTCTCATCTCCCCAAGGCTCACGACACGAAAACTCGTTAGCGATGTGTTATCGTTCTTGTGCCATTGGGACGGGGGTGAAGGGCACCTCAAGGTCATCCAGGCTATGGATATAGTGAAGAGCCAGCAGAACGAAAATGGCCGGTTTGACTCTTGGATGCGACTCGTCGAAGTAACCGTTGATGGACGAGGGAAGATGGGTAGTCTTGTAGGGGCCAGTGACGAAGTACGCAGTGGTGGTATTGGCATGGAGAACCTGTTGATGGAATACGCCGTCGCAACGCTCATCCTCGTGAACTCTATCATCGATGCCCCTGAGAATGACCTCCAATTGCGCATGCATATTCGAGCGCAGTTCGGCGCTTGTGGGATCAAGCGGATCCTCACGAAGATGGAGGGCTTCCAATATGACCTAATAGACAAGCAAGTCGAGCGGTTCCGGACGAACGAGGCTATTGACTATGAGGACATGCTTGAGCGGGAGAATAGCAGCATGAAGGACAGCATCGAGGGCGAGGTTAAGGACCTCAACGATCCTGCCCAGATTGTAGATGCTATTCAACAGCGACTTCAAGGCTCCAAGACGCATGACTACTTCATATCAGCGCTACAACATTTACTTCTCATTCGGGATAACGATGGCGAAGAACGGTTACGTATGTTCCAGCTCGTTGATTCGATGCTTAGCTATGTGGCCATGGACCGGCGTTTGCCGAACATGGACCTCAAGCAAAGCTTGAATTTCACGGTCCAGAACCTCTTAGACAAGCTACACACCGATTCCGAGGCACGCCAGGCTCTGGACGAGGCCTTAGAGGCCCGGCAGATCGCCGACGCTGCTATGGCAGAGCGGGATGAAATGAAAGCGCAGCTAGAATTAGGCGCCGATGGTCTCGTTGCTAAACTTCAGAAACAACTGGAAGAGCAGGCTCGCTTTATTGAAGCGCAGAAACGCCAAGCCGATGGTCTCAAAGCCGAAATCGAGAACATGCAGACAGTGCGTGCTAAGGAAGCGCAGAGATATGAGTTAGAAACGAGAGAATTATACCTTATGCTTAGGGATGCTCAAGACGTTGCCGCCTCCCAGGCCGTCAAAGGCGTTCCTGGAAACAAGATGGCTAACGAGGATCCCGCCCGAATGCAAGGTATTTTGGATCGTGAAAGACTCATGGACCGACTTGCGATGCAGCTCGAACGGCAGAAGACCCAGTACAAACTTGAAGGTAGAGTCTGGGGCGAGGCTATTGGACCTTCCGACCGCTTACGTGCGCTACGTGAAGAGATGGAAGGCTACTCGGAGGACTATCCCGATGCGCCGGACGGTGCAGGACTTCCACCTCCTGGCATGGCTGCTGGTGGTGTACTTGGAACCGTCAACCGACAAACCAGAGTATCGAGGAAGCCTGTCAACGGACAATCAGCCTCAGCTGCAAATGGAGGTGTCACTGAAGGTGAAGATGACATCGTGTACGAGAAGCCCAGAGTTGTCGAGATTAGAAGACCCGTCATGGATCCCAAACATGCTGCCAACTTCCTCAGTGAAATTCAAGCGAAGGGCAAGAGGGATGACATCAGTGACTCTGAAGAGGGCGAGGGCGCGACAACTGGCCCGTCCCATCCCAGTCTTGAATCACAATCTCCCATTACACCAAGCGAAGCCGAGCCGCCCAAGATTAAAGTCAGCGACACGGGAGCTCCTCCGCCTCCCCCTCCTCCACCACCTCCGATGCCCGGCCAACTTCCTGGCGCGCCGCCTCCGCCACCTCCTCCACCCCCAATGCCGGGTCAGATTCCCGGTGCCGCTCCACCTCCACCACCACCGCCTCCTCCTATGCCAGGAATGCTTTCGCCCTCATCCGCAGCAGGTGGACCTCCCCCTCCCCCTCCCCCGCCACCTATGCCTGGTGTTCCCGGAGCAATGCCTCCTCCACCCCCACCCATGCCTGGCGCCATGTCGGGTCACTTCCTTTCTGCGCAAAACAACTTCGGACCAACTCCTTCGGTTGGATTGCCCATTGTTAGGCCGAAGAAGAAGCTCAAGGCTCTTCATTGGGACAAGGTCGATACTCCCGAGACAAGTCACTGGGCAGCACATGCTCCATCTATGGAAGAGAGAGAAGAGAAGTATGCTGAGCTTAGCAAGAAGGGTATTCTCGATGAAGTTGAAAAGTTGTTCATGGCAAAGGAGATCAAGAAGCTCGGTGTTGGATCCTCTAAGAAGGATGACAAGAAGCAAATCATCTCTAGCGATCTTCGGAAAGCTTATGGTAAGTACTGTTTTGTGGAAATTCTGGAAGCTCTTAGAATGCTGACTTTGTTCCAGAAATTGCGTTTGCCAAATTTTCTCAGTACTCAGTGGAAAGGGTTGTTCAGATGATCATTCACTGTGACAAGGATGTACTCGATAATCCTGTTGTTATGGATTTCCTTCAAAAAGATGACCTATGCAACATTCCGGATAATACCGCGAAGCTCATGGCACCATATAGCAAGGATTGGACTGGTCCAGAAGCAAGCAAGGAGAATCGTGAGCAGGATCCCAATGAGCTCACTCGACAAGATCAAATCTATCTGTACACCGCTTTCGAGTTACACCACTACTGGAAGAGTAGAATGCGGGCATTGGCCTTAACTAGGAGTTACGAGCTTGACTACGACGAAATCAATGAGAAGATTCGTCAAGTCGTTACAGTATCGGAAGCATTACGAGACTCTGTATCCTTGATGAATGTTCTCGGCTTGATTCTCGATATCGGTAATTACATGAACGACGCAAACAAACAAGCAAGAGGTTTCAAGCTCAGCTCACTTGCCCGTTTGGGAATGGTTAAGGATGACAAGAACCAATCGACTTTGGCGGATCTTGTGGAACGTATCGTGCGTAACCAATACCCTGAATGGGAGGGTTTCGCAAACGATATTCAAATCGTTCTTACTGCCCAAAAGATCAACATCGAACAACTTCAGGCAGATGCAAAGAAATACATCGATAACATTCGCAACATTCAAATGTCGCTAGACAGCGGCAACCTGAGCGATCCTAAGAAGTTTCATCCACAGGACCGCGTCTCGCAGATTGTTCAGCGATGTATGAAGGATGCTCGTCGGAAGGCAGAGCAAATGGCATTATACTTGGAAGAAATGGTCCGAACGTATGATGACATTATGGTCTTCTATGGTGAAGACCCCAAGGACGACAATGCTCGTCGCGACTTCTTTGCTAAGTTGGCTATGTTCCTTCAGGAGTGGAAGAAGAGTAGAGAAAAGAACATTCAATACGAGGAGACGCGACGAAGGAACGAGGCGAGCATGAAGCGGAAGCACGCCCAGCTTCGGGTTGCAGGAAATGTCGAGAGTGGCCCGCCATCACCAGCATCTGCTGGTGCAATGGACTCACTACTCGAGAAGCTGCGCGCTGCAGCGCCGCAAACAAGAGATCAAAGAGACCGAAGAAGACGTGCACGTCTCAAGGATCGTCACCAAGTTCGTATTGCTTCAGGTCAAAAGATACCCGATCTCAACGAAATACCCGAAGCCGAGGCCAGTCCTCACGAGGAAGGTGCAAATGGTACTGCGGATTCTGATACCAACATGCTCAGTCCCGATTTGCCATCCCCTAGCAAAACTGCTTCGACAGCAGGAGAAGATGGGCTGGCTCAAAGAGCTGCTATGTTATTACAAGATATGAGAGGAGGTGATGGAGCAGATGAAGGTGATCCTGAAAAGCGAGATAGTTTACGGAAGTCAGCAGCAGAAGAAAGGAGAGCAAGGCGTCGGCGATTAAAGGGTGGTTCAGGACCAAGCGCCGCAACCGAAGATGAAGGAGGAATCAAGAGCCCTATACCTGAAGAGTCAGCTACGGCTGTTGAGGAATGAAGGGTAACATAGGGAAAGGGGAGTTCGAATAAAGGCTCGTCGTTTCCAACCCACCTATCGATCTATATATCCGACCGATACGATATATAATGTTTACATATATTATCCACATCCACCTACCTTCACGACATTCGCCTATACATACAAAGACAGACAAGAGAAACGGTGTGCCGATTCCTAACGACTGGAGGTTTGTGTATTCAAAGTGAAAAGAACTCTATGAGTGAAGAAGTCTAGCATCGACACACTATTATGTAATAGCTAGTTTCTAGACCAGGGGTTGCGCGAACTAGCAGGTACGCTCAGTTGAAAGTTTGAATGCAGGAGATGAATACCTTACTTAGCACCGTCCGGCTCCATTTCATATGTGCATGATTCAATGCTGCTTGTGAGAATGGATGGTCCATTTGTCTAAGTGGGGAAGTGAAGAGTAGAGAGATGGATTTCGAAGAGTTGGTCTTAATGGCTGACTAAGCACCGTTACACTATTATTCGTCATGTGAAATATCCTTAGGATATGCAGCCTTAGAAGAGGGACATATTCTAGTACCAAAACAGTTACCAGTTAAAAGAAGTGAGGAAATGAAGCAGTCGTCTGCCTATACAGGCCTTTTTCCCCATGTCGAAAGGTGGGTGGGCTGCTCAGGGTGAGACGGTCGGCGGATGGAAGAAAAGGAGGGGAGAGAAAAATAACATGGTACATAGGAGGTAGACTTAGTACATTATTATTAAAATCTTGAAAAGTACCTACCTAGGACTTCGATATGTAGTGGCTGGGGATGGATATATTAATAATTCGCTTCTTGAAATGATTCCTCTGGTGTTGTGAATGTTTGTGCCCTGGGTTGTTGTGTAACTATACAGCAAACTTCATGTATAACATACTTTGCGCCAGTCTTGCACTATGATGCTTTCTATAGTTTCTCTAATTTCGGTATAGCAATTAAGTGGGTTTCAATGGTTGTCTACTTAGGTATCTGAGGTCGCGATCGATTTCACTCGTCACCGAATACGTTCCCTAAAATAGCTCATCCTCTTTAACAAGTACCCGCCTATTCAGATGCTTCGGGTTCGTAGACTCGATCCCGGAGAGATATAGCGTGAGCTCCAAATCCCCAAGTAGACTTCGCAGAACATGCGCAACACCCTCTTCACCACCAAGCACAAGTCCATAGACGTAAGGTCGTCCTACGAGGCACGTACTAGCACCTAATGCCATTGCCTTCGCTATATCCGCGCCGCTGCGGATCCCCGAATCAAACAATACATCGACCTTTCTCCTCTCACTCCCAGTGAATTGGTTATCGGGCGTGCGATTAACAGTATTAACAGCATTAACAATGCCTGACAGCGCACCTATCGAACTCATACCCCCATCGGCTTGTCGACCCCCATGGTTACTAACCACAATTCCATCTACAAGGTTTGATTCTGCAATTTGCCGTGCATCGTCTGCACTTTGAATGCCTTTTAGTATAATCGGTCCGCCCCATTCTTGACGAAGAAATTGCACGTCTTCGAGTGTATGGCCCGTCCCCGGGAAAATAGTACGTGTCCATTCCGCCGCCGCAGCGCTCATGTCATCTTCTACTTCGCATCTATGTTTTTGCTTAAAGTGGTTGCGGAATACCGGATCTGATAGTCCGATGGCTACACCTACTTGATCGGAGCGTAGGAAAGGGTTGTATCTGTATTATATAATTAGCCAGTAATAGAGGTTGAATAGGGGTAGGAAGGGGGCAAAACTCAAACCTACCCATTATCCATATCACTAGGCCTCCATCCAAGAATATACGTATCAAGCGTAACCACCAGCACCGAGAACCCAGCATTCCTCGCCCGTCTTAGCAACGAAACCGTAATATCATCATGTTCCCTCGAGGGCCAATATAACTGATACCACCTCTCAGCCCTCCCCTTCCCGTCTACCGCAGCATCACTAGCCCTCGCCACATCCTCGATACTCGTGCTACTCGCCGTACTCAAAATAAACGGAACCCGCTCCCTCGCCGCCGCCGCCGCAGTCGCGATTTCACCATCTGGATTCATGATCTTTTGCACACCTACGGGTGCACATGCAATCGGACACGGTAACTTCCTCCCCACCACCTCAGTCGAAAGATCCAGGAATACACTCTCTCCCTTCCCACTTCCTTTCGCATCCGTAGTCCCTCCCCTCCCGCCCAACCCCAGACGTCTAGGGACGATACTCCACCGCGCAAACGCATCTCTATTCTTCCTACCCGTCTCCCCTGTTCCCGCGCAGCCTAGTACGTATCCCTTCGTGTCGGCAGACATGCGTTCAGCGGCTAAGGGTCCCCATTCCAACGGTTTGAAAGTAAACGGCGGACGTTGGTACCGTAGGCCACGCTGGTATACCTCCGCCTCATACGCTATCGGATCCGGGTTTGGGTCCGGATGTGCGACCGTATCGGGACGTTTTTGCGGGTGGTGATGTTGCGCTGTTGTCATTGTGGTATCTTGTTGCTTAGACATTTTTAAGGGGTGAAGGAGAAAGAGTAGAGAGGAAGAGTACGTTATTATAAGGACCCGGCTTGTCGGGAGCGACCTAGATACTTATACCCAATCACATCACAAACGCAGGTACACATCTCTGTGCCGTCAACCGAGCCTACGTCATCGTATATGCAGGAACAAACTTCGAGCTGTATTCGATGCGGTTTTTCATCTTCATGATGTCACTCTGCACGTAGCAAACGATCGGATAGTTCCTTTTTTACTCTTCTGAGCCATAATCCGGAACGAAAACACTACAAGATATCAGCTTCATTTAAAAAGCAAAAACACGAGACAACAAAATATAGCAGAAAACCCATCTTTCATTCCATTCCAAGTAGTAGTACTAGCCATACACACACATACACGCCACGACCATTCTAACCCGGCCGTCCGTTCTGTTTGGTTTTATTACAAAATTCGCTAAGTTCTATATAATACAACAACCAACCCTCAAACCACATATTTTGGTTCGTTGGGCATGGGCCAATTCGTCTGGTATGATTTCATATCAAGCGCCCGAATAAAAAAGTCGACTTGATCAAAAACCCACAAACACCCCACGCCCGCCCATCCCATCGATTCGGTTGATAATGTACCATCTATTGCACACACGCAACACGCGAAAAATGCCGCCTCGTGATGCACATTTCCATATTTCGTACTCCATCCTCCCCTCTATGCCGTTTGTTGAATAATCGATCGCTTGATAATGCTGCCTCCCAAATCCTTCATGTTTATTTAGCCATAACATCCACATATCGTCCCGCTTTGCGCGGTTTCTTGCCTGCTTTCCTTTGGCTACCCGCCGCGCCGAGTAAGTCATCGATGCTACTCGCGTTGCTTAAGCTCGTAGTCGGCCTGCTCGGAGGACGGTTAAGCGGGCCGCCGGGAGCACTAGCAGTGCTCTGGCTCGACACAGATCGCATCATAGGCGGGGCGCCGCCAGGGACGGTAAGGTTTTCTTGGGATGCGGCTTTGTTCAACATGGCAGGTGGCGGTGTAAGTGTAGATCGGGGAGGTCCGCCTAGAGCTGGTGGAGGAGCCGATGTAGGCCCTCCAGGTGGTGGTGGAGTACCATTGCGGGATGCAGCACGAGGTGGTGGGGGTGTTGCTGTCTTGGCAGGAGTATTCTCAGCTCCGGGTTTCTTATTGACCCATCGCTTGAGATCTGGATCGTATACAAAGCTGCTGGCTTCACCAAGCTTAGCTTTGATGGGTTTATTGGCTGGTTCTGCCGCCTCCTTTTTAGCGCCGCCACCAAACCAACCCCCAAAGCCCCAGCCTTTCTTGGCCGCCTTGGCTTCAGCAGCGCGTTTGGCTAGATAGGCTATTAGCATCTTCTTAACAATAATAATTATAAAAGGAACTCACCTTCTTCCTCTGCAACCCTTCGAACCATCTCCTCATTTTCCCTATCCTTCTCTGCCTTGCTCTTCTCTTGTGACTTTATGCTAGGAATATCATCGTCATCGTCGAAGTAACTCTTCTTTTTAGGCTTTGATTCCTCGGAATCACCGTTATCGCCAGCTAGACCCGGTTCATACGATGGCGGTTCGAAGCTAGATGGCTGGAACGAAGGTGGCTCGTATCCCCCAGAGTAGCTATCGGTTTGCGTCGCGGGCGCTTCGAACGAATTCGTTGAGGGCGGTTCATATCCGTACGATGGTGGCTGGTAACCCTGATTCGAGCTGGTATCATTCACAGAAACCTCCGGCTTTGATGCTATTATAGGAGGGCCTTGTAGAGAAGCATTGCCATTTGGAGAGGCTTGCGCAGCGCCATATGGGTCGTAACCTGGGAATGAAATACCAATGCCTGTAGGTTGAGGGGCCGTGTCCGATCCTCTAGAGTTCGGCGTATACGGTGAAGAATTAATTGGAGCCGTGGGTTGGTAAGGGTTGGAAGGTACGTTTAAGTCAGGAGTGTAGGGATTTCCATAGGCTGATTGCATGTCCGATCCCCGCCTAGGAATATCAAGAGAGCTTCGAGTCATCTCGCCCGAAGTCCTCTCCATTGAAGATCGACCCGGGTTGTAAGCGGAGTTCGGATCGTAAGGGTTACCTGAAGACTGGGGTGCTGCTGGTGCGTAACGCGAACCAGCTTTAGTAGCCGGAGCAGTAGGTGATGGGTTACCATTTGCATACATCTCGAAGTTTGAGACAGATGGGGATCGACTGATCGTTGGCGTTCCACCCGCAAGTCGGGCAAACGGCCCCGATTCAGCGCCAGCCTCACCCGATGCACCATTACCAGAATTTTCGTCATCGTCGCCAGCGACAAACTTGTTGAAACGACTCCACATATTATTAGACACCTGGTCCATTCTAGGCTTGGGAATCCAAGAAGACGACTCTTCCTTCGGAGCTTGCTTCAATCTTCTCATGAGATCGTCTACAGATGACTCGAGAGCAGCGTTATAGTACGGCGATCGCTTTGTCTGCGCAGTTATCGCATTGTAAATGCCTTCGCAATATTGTAAAGCCTTATCTCTAAAACCATACTCAGCAAGAGTCATGGCATGTTGCAATTTGTATGCGGCCAAGTGTGAACAGCTTTGGGCAATGTTTGAGCCTCCTGCAAGTAATAGTCCGTATTCGTAGACTTCGCTAAGTTGCAAGGCCTCCGTTTCCTTTGCGAATTGATCTGCTTGACGACGGTGGTCGGCTCCAACGAGAACAAAATTGGCGTTAGGATCATCAAGGCCACCAAAAATGGCACTGTTCCTTGCAAAAATGTAGCAGATATGGGCTGCTTCCGCTCGTCCATATCCAGAGAGCAGATTTCCAAGAGACCTCAGCGCCTGAGCATCACCAAAGCTTCTGTTGCTCAATATTAGACCAAGAGTCTCACGCCATTTGTCTAGTCCTGCCAAGGCATCTTGTGAAGCATTGATTGGGGCTGAAGTCGACATGAGTTGAAGACCAGCTCGCGCGTGAACCGGAACAAGCTCATCAACTGACTCTTCGAAGTTTCCAGAAAGAACACCATAAAGCGCAGCGAGAGATTCGTTCCCATGGCCTGGGTGGTTCACCTCTTTCTTTATGAATTCTTGTGCAACCTGCTTGTATAAGTCGGGACTCTGCATCGTGTTCGAGATAAGCATTGCATGTCCCCACAATCTCTTATCCACCGCGGCCCAAACAGCCTTTTCTCGGTCGCCGGATAACAAATGGTGTCGGATTTGTTCAATAGCAGTAGAATCAACTGCATCTGCCTGCATACTGGTAACTGCCCCAGAGATTCCGGTCAAATCAGCTCCAGTAGAAATAGCAGCCGCAATCTCTGGGTTGTTAGCATCAAGACCAGGAGAGATAACCTCCCTAACCGCTTTATCCACCGTAGGGTTTCCTTCTAGAGTTCCATCGTTCTCAATGAATACTCTTAGAATCTTCCACAATAGTAATCGCTCGATAGTCCTTTTGTCCTCATGTGAAACAACCTGCTGGAATGAAACATTTGGAAGACTTCGTTCCAGGGTTTCGATACTAGCTGTGAGCCATGCCACTGTTTCCTTTTTCTTCGATTTGCCCTTCAAAGGACCTGGGAATTTCGCTAGACGTTCCTCCAATGGTTGGATATCCTTGACATGTTTGACCTTCACCTCACCCGGACTTCGCACAATCATCGGTAATGCTTGGCTTATGCCATATCGAGGGACATCAGTCGGGAAAGAAGTCACAAGTATACCCCCTACACCCCATGAAATCAACGGTGCACCTCGCCACCTTTGCAGAGGATCCTTTTCTCGGCCATCTGTCGGTGGGACGAGATTTAGATGCTGTGACATGCCACGAGTTCTAACCGTGGGTCGAGCAGCTTCCGCATTCGGCATCGTTGAGCCTTGCACTGACGACGGTCGAGGAATGGGGTCTACTGATTTCCCAGCAGCTCGGTTGCCATAAAGCGCACCGGGTGATTGAGTCTGGGAACGAGGCGGAGGTACAAAGTTGACTTCCTTGTGCGGCACGGTCGCAGGCGACATTGGAACATAATTAGACGCTGATCGTTTCGGGGGCGAAATCGCGCTATACGCCGGGGATCCAAGAGGCGGAGGAGTATGCCTAGCATTTCTTGGACTATACTTCGACTCGACCGGAGGTTTAGGGGCCGTCGGAGGAGATCGTAACGGCGAAGTTTCCTCTTCAACCTCTTGCGTCGGCGGTAACGAAGGCACCCTAGTAAGGCGCGGTTCGTACTGAGATGAGCTGCTTCGGCTTAAAGAAATATTTTCGCCGTTCACGGGGCTTTGAAGTGACTTGTCGTGTGACACTTCAAAGTGAGAGTGAGCGAGAGGACTTGAAGTCCGAGGTTGATGCGCAAGCGCCGGAGGCGGAACAGCGGCATATCCTCCACTAGAGGAACGCACACTGGGTGGAGCGGGTGAGTATCTGCTACTCGCAGGTGGAGGGGCCACTCCGTTCGTCACCGATAAAGTGGTAGGCGCTGGGGAATATCTGGCGGATGCGGGAGGAATGCTAGGTTTCGGTGGTGAGCTAGATTGTAATGAGGCGTAAGGATTAACACGCTCCGGTGCAACCAACGGCGAGATGCCAGGTGCTTGATCCTGAGGGGAAAGTGGCTGGGAGGAGGGGCGTAAGGCACTAGGAGGACCTTGAGGAGGACCCTGGGGATGTCCATATGGACTTTGCTGGGGAGGAGAAAGAGGATTACTGTGTCGCGAAGCTGGACGAGGCTTAGATGTCATTGGCAAATCCTCGAAGAAACTCGGCTTTGACCTCAACTGAGGAGTTGTTTGAGGGGTTAATCTCTGGCCTGCAGATGGTGGCGGGGGTGGCGCTTGACTCGAGTGACTAGAACCGGGAGGCGACAAACTCGGGTTTGAACCACTTGTAGGGGGTGGTTGAGCGTACATGCTCGCACTCCTTGGAGGACCGACTGGCGGAGCTAAAGGTGCCACATTATTTGACCTTGGCAGCTGTTGCATGCTAGGTCGCTTCTTCGGCTTGACGACTTCCATCGGAAGATCATACGGAGATGTATAACCACCTTTGGATTTATCGGCATAACTCTGAGCCTTAGGCATGCTTGGTTTCGGGGGAGGGGCTCCATATCCGCCCATTGCTGGAGGGGGGACAGATGCTGGGTGTGAATAAGAGGGGTGTTGCAAAGGCTGTGCTTGAGAAACAACTGGGGCGGGTGCGTAAGGATTCGCACTCGGTTGAGCGGAACGTTGTAAATCGGGTGTGTAACGACCATTTAAGCCTGCCGAGTGAGGTTGTGCGGTTGTGTTAGGTTGAGCTGTTGAAATCGCTGGTGGAGCCGGCGTTTCTTCTGTTTCTTCTAAAAATCCCTCGTCATCGCTCCCAAAGATATCTGCAGGGTCAAGTTCTTTAGATTCTGTGGTTGAGTCCAATAGAAAATCATCGTCATCCTCAAAAGCAGCCGCCCACTTAGCGTCGACATCCGGCTCTTTAGAATCACCATTCACGGTAGCCACCGCAGGCGGAGCCGAGATTGCTGGTACCTTCGGGGTAGGATCATCGATAGGCGTAGGGAGTTCTGAGTCCGAGTAAAAAGCACCTGTCGTTGGGTCCAATACGTCGCCCAACACCATACTTGTGGATTTCCTCTGCAGGGTGAGATCAAAAGCACTATTCCCGTGGAGTTGGGATTCCCCTTGAGTAACTTGGCTGAAGAAATCATCACCTTCTTCAACGGCATCTTGCGCAAAGAGATCTTCAGTATTCGAGGCTTGAGGCTCGCTGTGGTTCTCCGGTTCATGCGACTCTTGTTGTGGAATTAAAGGTAATCCTTCCTCAAACCGAGCTTCTAATTCCTCCTCTTCTGTTCCCACAAGATCTCCACCAAGATATTCCCCAGCAGGTTGTTCTTGATCCAAAGTCCCGGGAAAGTCTGGTGTAACCTGTTCGGTGTGGGATTCGTCCTTCTCCAACTCTTGCAGTATATCTTGAGCTTGTGTTGATGGCGGTGGTTGTTCTATTTCGTCGTCGGTAACGGTATCCGTTTGTGGTACAACAGGGAAGGAGTTTGTCCTCTCGTTCGGGGGCATGAACTTGAAGGGATCCGTATCTGATCGTTGCAGGTTCCACTCGGTTTCCTCGTCATCATCGAAGCTTACTCCGTGAGACACGGTACGCGCAAACGATATCGTACTTGAGTGTTTGGCCGCGTTGCTTGTAGGTACAAACTCTGGTAAAGAAAATTCGTGTTCGCTATCGGGTATGGGAACCTCTTGGTCTTGCGCGGCTGCGGACGGAGCTGATAGATCCCACGCGGCATCTCCGGCTTCCTCATCATTGTTGAATTGATCTAGAAACGCGCCCTCATTAGAAGGCTGTTGGTATTGAGGATGTGTTTCCTCTTCTATTATTTCGTTATTCGACATATCTAGAGCCGAATGCTCAATCGTTTGCTCATCGACAGTGGTCGCGTGTTGATTATTCGGTATGTCGAGTTCTGGTGTTTGGTTATGGTGATTAGAAAATGGCATCTTAGCCGGATGCCACGTCGCACTTGGGGTATCCATCATCTCCGGGTACAAATGATCGCGCGAATTAAACAAGCATCGAAACAATTAATGAGAATGGTCCGTGTTAAAATGAAGTAGGATAGAAAATGGGTACTGCGAAAGTTAAGACTCATTAGTTCCACGGGTTTGAGATGTTATCGTGCCATTAATAGTTATGAAATGGATCGCATGCCAGAAACTGATAGGGAGGGACAAGAGGTACAGCAGTGATTTAGGTAGAGAAGTATAGGGGCAAACAGTGCTATGCATAACCACTAAATAGCTTAAAAAACAGGGGGAAATGAATTTCATCGCATGTGAAATGAGTTAGGAAATGGGACCGAACTTACTTATTATACAAGAACAACTAGTGAAAAAGTTTATTCCGTGATTTAAAGCTACATGCCAGACTCCATTGTTATTTTGCTCAGGAGCATTCAATTTCTCTTCCAAAAAATCGAAAGAAATAAGTTTTGGAAGAAATTTGGGAAGATGAGAGAAAATTAGAAGTTGAGGCAAAGTGGCAGCTCCACAGGAAAGGTGACATTAACTTTTCCAAGCACGCCTCGACCTCTTTTGGGGGATCATCCGTTGAGGCCATGGTCTAATCCATGCCAATTTATGTACTATTATGTATGTACATGTACTATATGCCCTGCTCATGCATCTCGCACAGGCCACTTTCATCACGCTAGTAGGTACCTAGTCTAGCGGGCCTACAAAAATAAATGACATAACCACGACGGAATACCTAAAACAAAACCTCCCTCCTAAACAAAACAGAACAGCTTGTCCTGTTTATGATGATATATTATCCGACAACTTACCAGATGCCGAATATTCTACGAATTTATATTAAATAGATACTATATCCACATTTATTATCATCAGAAGCATATGTGTCTTTTCAGCTTATTCAATAATGATTAAGTCGTTTATGTCACAGCTATACTATTACTGGTATCTCCGGACTATCAATTCTATCAATTACGTAGTTGGTTGAAGTGCCTATCATCGGAAAGGCACGGCCCTTAACTCCCTGATTTAATGTTCTTTCCAGGTACAATTCATTGTATACAGTGAGCTCCACAGGGCACTGAAGGTTCTAAACAGCCAATAAGAGCCAATAAGGATCGCCAAGTCTGGCCCTGCAGCTTCATAAGTTATTTTTAGTTATCAAAACGTCTTAGGTGCCTCCGAACTCCGACTCTTCCAACACTTTGGTTCTGGTTCGATAAATTGAAGATTATCATCCTTCAATCTTACATGTATCCATTCATTCAGGAACTTGCAGTAATCGATATTAAATTCTATCGAACGATATGCTCAGTCTTACGTTAAGACTGTTATGAATAGCTTCATAAACAGTCAGCAGCATTAAGTCATAACTACCATTATGTCTATATAGCATTCTAGATTCCATTCCTTATACCCAGCTGAAAATAGTATAATATCCCTTCAAGATACATAACCAATACTTTTCCATATCCATAACTAATACTTCAAATAGATATCAGCCTGTGCCCTCCCCGTAGTACGAGCAGCAGCATGCTCAGCAATCTTCCGAAGCCGTGCCGCACTCGTCTGGTAAGAAGCCGGAATCCCGGTCTCCGAGAAGGGCAATCCACTCCTAATCATCTCAGCCAATCCCTTGGCACATAGAAGCACATTCGGCATCCCGTGTCCGTTAAACCCGGCACAGATATACAACCCCGGCTTCGAGGGCACTCTTCCGATATGCGGGGAGTCATCCGCGGAGTACTGTATTCTTTGTTAATCCCTAACCCTTCTCAATGTCGCAAAAAGGAGGATAAGAAAAACTCACAGCCATAATCCCCGTCCAAACCCTCTCCGTCTTGGTCTCTCTCCCCTCCCACCCCTCAAACGTCCTCTCCGCCCAATTATCAAAATACGGCACCGTTGGTCCAATCAACGTCGCATCATCATAATTCCTATACCACTGTTCTTTATTCTGATGGTAGTACGCGCTTCTCGCGCCCCCAACCAACAAGCTTCCATCTGGTCGTTTGCCGTAGTACGAGTCAACCGAATTCGGACTTTCCATCTCTAGCGCACACGAACCTAGAGGTGGTACAGGCCGGGAAACCGATAATGAGGATGAGGATGACGGTAAGATCCTAGCAACCGTACCCCTAGCAGCGTAAATCGCAGCATCGTACTCAGGCAGCAGACTACTAGTATACGCATTCGTCGCAAAAAACACATTCTTCGCCCTAATATCCCCCCTCCCCGTAGCCAACGTCCAATATCCCTCCCCATCAACCGTATCCGAGACCTCAATCACAGGCGTATGCGTCTGTAGATTCACCCCCCGGCTCACAGCACCGGCTAGTAAATGCATAACCAATTTATACGGCCAGAGCGTATGCGCCGGGTACGTGAACGCGATCTTAGCATCTTTAACCCCAGTAACCTTTTTCGCGGCCTCGGACTCATGGCATGTGACTTCGCTCAGGGAGGGACAGTTTAGTTTCGACATTGCGGTCCAGAGTTTCTTGATTTTGGCTGCTTCAGCTGCGTCTACGAACATGTCGGCTGTGGTCACGGGTCGTAGGTCACATGCTATGTTTTCTGCCTGGATGAGCTCTACGACGGCGCTGGCGTTGGCGAGTTCGAAGAGCGCGACTCGGTTTGCGTCTTCGAGACTGTGGGATTGCATGCGTGATGCTACGGCCACGAATATGTCGGGTCTTAAGTGGCCGCCTGGTGAATGGTTAGCTTTGGGTCATAAAAATCCTCATTAAACGTGGTAAGGTGGAATGAGTAGGGTATTAAGATGACTTGCCATTTCTCCCAGTAGCCCCCGAACAAGCCTCACGAGCTTCCAAAATGGTGATGCTTGGCCTCTCAGAAGTAGGGCTCTCCTTCAGTAAATAGTGCGCAATAGATGCACCCGCAAATCCAGCGCCAACAATGATGATATCCTGTTTCTCAGGCAGCTCCTCCGTGCTGCGATGAGAATCGAGCTCATGAAGCTCTGTTCGCCAGTACGGGACAGTGGCGTTCGGGACTGGGTAAGGTCTGTCCATTATGTTAGAAATATTTAGATATTAATATTATGATTAATGAATTAATATAACGATGCTATCGTGAAGCACTTGGATTCAATTGTATGTATGCTTGCCTATTGTGTTTTGGTTTCGCCATTATCGTATCGAGAATAGTCTTATATATATCGTGTAGACTAAATGAAACCCTTAGTCTCAAGCTTGAGGTTCTATCCAAATGAGTCACGACCGGCCACCGTCGTCATCGGATGCGCAATAAAATAAACATACCGAACTAAACAACTTCAATGATGATAGTATAATCACAACATATCTTATAGCATATGTGGTCGCGTGCGCGGACTACATCGCGGACTACATATCGGATTAAACATCGGACTAGCCAGCGGACTACACGGCGTCGTCAACGGATGCGATGCGGAGTATAACGATGTCAATCATCTTCTAACAATCTGTAAGTCTATCGCGAATATGCTTCCAAGGGCCGATTAGAAGCCGACAGCGAATGTCTAGGCATTCATCGGGTACGTCAGCGACCATATAATTCTTGGATATCCCATGAGCAATTGGTGATGTGTGCAAAACGCGTATTCAAATGCATTTAATATTATCTATGTATGTCGTTGGAGATGGATGATGACATCGCGATAACAATTCCGCCTACATGATCTAGGACTTCATGCGGCGATTGATAATACCATGCCCAATTCATTATGATGGTGTAGCGTGTGGTATAGTACACCACTCAAAGGATGACGATGCTATATAATATGACTCCTCTTCTTAACCTAACAAAGGAATGAGTGTAATGCTGGCCAGGTAATATACCTCACCGCCAGCTCAGCCCTAAGAAGTTTTCGGCAGGAGGTTAGAACAAGTAGAAAAAGGCAATGTGACATTATTCCAGAAAAGCGGTTCGCGCCCAGATTAAGATGGAGCCTCAAATCGCTGTCGTGCATATTCCGATGACGCGGCGCCGATAGGCCCACGTAAGGGTTCGGTAGAATATTCTATAGGCAATCGTTGCCCTACGTAAAATATAGGAGTTGTAGTTTTGGGGGAATTAAGATATTACAAAGGATTGAAGAAATACGGAAGTAATTCCGTGTTGCAATCTATTGTAAATGCGATAATCTGGCATTCAAATATGTTGGTACCATTCTTCAACGGGAATGCATGTAATCCTAAACGCCGATGCTATAAAACTTCTGATGCCACGATGGTATACCAGAACGTCATTCTCAATGCTTTATCAATGCTTCCTCCTCTTCCCTCTTTCAAATATCAACTGCCCTTACGTTCTCTGTCTCTTCGCACCCCCATCTCTTCCTGATCCCTCTCTTGCTCTCTTACGCTCAATCTCTTCTTTCATAATACGCTCCGCCTCGCTCATCTTCTTCGGCTGTCCAAATGCAGGCGCCTTTTTCGAGCCACCTGCCAGTGCATTCTTTTTCGCAGCCGCAAATACATTCTTCAGTTGTGGTGTCGCCGCCATCTTGAGCGAGATAAGTGCTGCGGCTGGCGCAGGTTTATCAGCGCCGGCGGTGGGCTGCGCTTGCGAGGGCGTTGAATCGGTCTTCTCCTGTTCTCCCTCTTTCGGTGGTGAACCTGCTGCCTCCGATGTCGACTTCTCCGGCGATGCGCTCTTCGCAGATTGAGCAGCAGGTTTTGTGCCAAAAGACAACTTAATCTTCTCCCCCTCTTGTCTCTTAAGTTCCTTCCCTTCCATATTCTCAGCATCATCCTGGTCCTTATCACCCGCCTCTTTCTTCGCGCGACGAATCTGTTCCCGGATCATCATCTGTTCTCTTTCCTCATCCCCCTTATCCTGCATCTCCTTCCTACGCACCGCGTCCTTCCTCCTCAGCGCATCAGGCGAATCATCGACCCACGCAATATGAATACCCTTCTCATTCTCCTCCACCCGACAAATGCCCTCCCTGCCCAAATGTTTCGCAAACTCAGTAAGCGAATGCCATTTCGTAGCATTCATATGTATATGTTCCTTATTCGCGATATAATTCTGGTAGAAGTGATTAATATTCACCGCCTTCTCGCCGTGCGACGTTCGCAGTAGCTGTGTAAAATCTTTAAGAAACTCGTTGCTAAATTCGTCAATGTACTTTTTCGGATCCTCGCCGACGAGTAGCATTTTCCGCGTGTGCGATTCGCTTTGCGTGTGCATCTTGAATGCGTTGGCGTCGCGACATTGTTTTTCGCAGATCTGACAGTACCAGCGAAGGCGCTGTAGTCCCTTCGATTTGAGCTTGTTGCTCAGGTATTTGGTCGATCCGACCTCTGCTTTCGGCATCTTGGCGTTTTTCTGTGTATCTTAGGATCTAGATAATCGAGATTTCGGGAGTAAGAGAGGGTCGCTATTTGTGGTGGCGACGATGAAAGCTGTCGAAGGTTGATCGAATAGTTGTTGGTGGGAAGAGTTGACGGATTGCGATAAAAAAGATACGGAGACGGTGACGCTGATAGCCATAAGAAACGGAATGGAACTGTGGCGTTGCAGCACTTACTGTCTTATCGATAAAACGCCACTCGGTATGTCAGCTGACAACAGCTGGGGAATCAATACCTTGTTTACAATTGAATGAACTGACGAATCATCGTCCAGATTTAACCCTCGTATTGCCCAGGTAGGCAAATACCAAGAATCCCTCGTAGCATGGGTGTCAAGCAAGCAATCTGTAGAATGTTTTCGAGCTTATTGAGTTCAGTTTGCTGTGTGGGATAATGATTTCATCCTATGATTCTTTTCCCTTAGTAGTTGTATCCCTATGAATGGCCCTCCAGATTCTCCGTCCAATCCATTCAGAAAACAGTCAAATACCATGTCACGATACCAAGTAAAATGTTGGATATCACTCTTCACTCTATAATAGTCACATATTCTAGAGAACACCAAGCCCCTTTTTTGTACCTCTAAGGCTTTTACACAGCTCTAATGCACATAACGAAATAGGCTCCCTGTACCCCTGAACATGCTGCCTTTATAAAACTATAGTCTTCTTATGCAATGATAAAAGCGTATCTGATCATCTATTGGTATACCCTCTCACATCTCAAGAAACGTGAAGAGATTCGTATGTAATATGTTCATGGCTCTCGTAGCCTCTCTCGCGTCAATGACACACGAGATATTTATCTCACTCGCACCTAATCGCTTCATTAGCACATCATCCTATAGTTCCAGCATAGTCATCCCATGCATAATAACATACCTTGCGATATCATCTCAATATTAACATTATGCTCTCCAAGCGTAGAGAACATACGTCCCGCAATACCCGTCAAATTCTTCATCTCGGCACCAACCAAGCTCAAAATAGCCATATCCAGTAGAATGCTCACATCGCCACACTCCTCGAGTTCCGCCTTGGCCTTTTCAAAGTGGCGTACGGATGGAGCTGTTGAGTGGATGGCCATGGAGACGTGGACCTCGCTCGTAGAAATCAAGTCGACGGATATCCGGTGGCTGTTGAGGATCGAGAATACCTTAGCGAAGAAGCCGTGTGATATCGAACGTTTGTTTGAATGTACATTGATCACTGTGATGTTGTTCTTGATGGTGACGGCTGTAGGACGCTTGGGGTATTTGCGTAAGGAAGCATCGGACGGCCGAGATCTTCGGATCTGTTGTGCTGGGGATTGGACTGGGTCGGGAACAACGATAGTGCCGTTACCGCGCGGATTATTCACGTTCTTGATGCGAATTGGTATAGGGGGATCCGCCTTGATAACTTGATCCATCGTCAAATGGTGGATGACTTCAGAGCCGTAGAATGTGAGTTCCGCCGCTTCGGATGGTGTGATCGACGCTAGTAATCGTGCCGTGGGTACTTTCGTGGGATCTGCTGTGAAGATACCATCGACTTCCTTCCATATTTGCAATTCTTGGGCCTTCACTCCTACGGATACTAATGCAGCGCATAAATCAGTGTATCCTCGTCCAATGTCTCCATCCATAAGGCTGCCGGGTACATTGCCGAAGAAACCCGTAATTACAGGTACTCGGTCATTGCATGCTTGTATCCTTTTTCGGAAGATGGCTGCAGCATCTTTGTAAAAGGCCGGACTTAATCGATCGGAGCTGTCATAATGCATAACATCTGACAAATCCACATACTCTGCCTCAACATGCTAGAATTCTCATTAGCTAAACAAATAATTGCTTTTTCGAAGATTTCACTAACCCTGTCTTTTAGTAGATATGTCATAAATCTGCAGCTCAATTTCTCTCCGAAGCTGACGACACGATCCTTCGATCTCGCATTGACCTCCAGGTTGAATCTCTTGGCCGCGATGATATAATCTATTAATTCCTGGCAGTCTTCTTTTATATCTGAGGTGACGGCTTTTTGTAAGTCGGGATTTTTCACAAAGGCTTGTACAGCCGAGATATGGTCATTGCAGATATCTTGTATGATGAGTTTGGCAGCTTCAACGAGCTCATTTTGTGTGACTTCATTACTCGTAGCTGCTGATATGGCGCGTAATTGCTTGTACACCTCTAGTAAACTGATTAAGCATATCGTATTAGACCAATTGGTTGCACGATCTATACGGTGAGTGAATGAGTGAGTGACTTGGTGACTCACCGGCTCGTAGTGCCAGTAACTTTCTTGCCGGAGCTTCTGGCAGAACAGACGACTGCGATTTTATTCGAACTTAAGCTAGCCCTTTAATTGGGTCAGTAGAATGTTGTAGTAAGAACCAATGGGACTTTCATACCGGACTATGTCTTCGGCGATCTAATCCAAGCCACACGGAGTTAGTTGTACAATATCGAAGAATCAAGGGGTTGGTGTATGACAAACACGATCTGGAAATTTTCCCACACTTGTACCACCAAATTTTTGTACGATCCATCCACCATTGCTATCGTTGCTATGGAGTACAGACTCCATGGCTTCTGAGAAGTGAAAGGTCAGGAAGACCTATTATCGATTTAAGCCGATGTACAAATGCGACGTCACAAACGTGAATGAGTCGATGGCGGGGCAGCGCTCCAATAACAATGGGATTTATTGTAATATTCTTTAGAAAATAGAAAAATAATTGGCGATAACGATAACGCAAACCACTGAGGAATACAATTGGAATGAAAAAGATAAGACTATAGTAAGTTAAAAAAGAGAATGAGACATCAAGAGTCACGGTATGTTGTTAGTTATGTATTGTTAAACTTGTTCTCAAATAAAAATTGAATGACCTTTTCGTCGCCCAATGCCCCGAATCGGAGGTGCCACAACCGGTAACGAACGAAAAAAAATATCCGTATTGGGGTATCCTAGCTATGTACATGCATGGGCGTATGTACCCGGCTAAGTACATTCGTCAACTCCAGGACTAGCAGATCGGATTAAATATTATGGGTACCCCATAGTAGCAAGCTAGGTGTGAGCTATGGGGTTAAATAATGGGGAATGTCGGAGGTATGGAACTGTCCGACTATACTGTGAATGGTAGTGAAATAATAGGGGTTATCCAATGAAATCACGTAACCGTCCGTCTCGATACGGCAGAATAAGTACAACACGAACCCATCATGCATGAAAATCATTGTGAATATAGACATACCGTCCTGTCTATGGACTAGTGCAAATAACTACAGGTAAGTGAACAGGATAGAGGTACCGACTTGTTGACTCATTCCTGAATTATAAATAACTCAGAAATAAAATCATACCGTATCGTACCCTCACCGCGTAAACATCAAGTACCAATACTCGACAATGTGCGGAGCCATGCAGATGATCATGGGTATCACGAAGATCAACCCCCCTATCCTATCGCAGGAAAAAACAGAATCTGTGTATCCACGATGTTGCCCTTTATACCCTTGGGCCAAAGCGTGACTGTCCTATGCGCGAAAACTCCTCTTCCTGAAAACTCAAGAAGAAAAGAAAAACTCAACCCGACCAAACCAGGTCAAACCACCGAACGACCTTTTCCATGCCTCAAAAGGGTATACTCAACCCTATCCCTGCCAGAAATTATAACTCTTACAAACATTACCCCTGAACCCTACAGTGTATTTGTTCGTCGATCGTATTCGGTCATGCCGTCATGCTTTCGTGTATGTTGGCCCTTCTTGTTAGAAGCTAGGCGAAGGATTCCTATCATTAACGCCAGTAATGAATATATAGACAATGAAAGGAAGAGATCCGTTCATCATAAGCGTATGACGTAGCTTTAGATGAACCGCGAATATATGGTGCGGCTTACTGCAAAGCCTGTGTCAAGAGGGGAGGGAAACTAGGGTCTTGACCCTGTTGCAACTCAAATTTCTCCATAGGAAAGTCTTCCTCCGGTGTCCGAATGCCGATGCCACTATCATCGTGGCTAGCTGACGGAGGTAATGAGTCCTGTCTGTTGGCCTCAACCTGAGGGGGGAATAGAGCTCTGTCTGGTTGCGGGTGGGAGAGGCGTGAGAGGTTGAAGTCGTCACTTCCACTGCTAATTCGTGAACCACGATGATTCATCTCATCGTTGGTAATTGAGCGCTTAGACGCGCAGGCAACTGGCGGGAGTGAGTTCTTGGATCGCAGGAAACCACCATACTCGGCGAGGAATGCGATCATCTCGTCAATCCAACACTTGGTTACCCACCATGCACCAAAGCTCTTACATTGGCATATGGTCAGGTCTCTCATGACCTCAGTTCCAACACGCTGTACGCACCACATTATATCCTTAGGTGTGGCGTAGGGGAAACGTACAGGAAGTGAGCGTAAAAATTTGACCCATCGATCAAGCACACCCTCTTCATTCTTAGTAGAGCCGGGTTCTGGCGATTCTTGACGACTGTGTGGAGTAATTTGGCCATATAGCGTGAGACACTCAACATCCCAAGGAACCTCAAGGGGATTAACTAGATATTTTATCTCGTTAAGAAAAATGTTAACGACGTCGTCCATCCCTCTGGTAGGTACACATTCTGCAATTTTGCGTATTCTGACTGATGAGATCCAGTCCAAATACATCTGATCTCGGTTGGCAGAAAGCGAAAGCATATTTGCAGCTGCATGTGCAGTGAGATTGACTCGTAAAACACGATCAAGTAGACCAGCGAATATGGTAGCTGGAGCTTCCTTGGCCTGGACTACATGTCTTGGCTGACCCTGGTAGGCCTCACGTATGTGATAGACTAGTCGCTCTGATATGCTTCGTAGAGCATCAAGTACTGTCTTTGGGATAACTTGCAACGTAAGAACAGAAATTATCTGCATCATTCTTTGGTAAAGCATGAAGTCGCATTCTTCAATCCAAGTCGCAATGCTGGGATTGGAGAAGAGCTTCTGCACAGGCATTGTGAGGGTGCCTTGGAAAGATGTGTAAAGGTGGAAGAACGTTTTGTCCTTGCAGTAGCGAATACACTCGATAAGCGATGTGCAATGGGATCGGTACAGTGCGGTGAGGGACTTAGCCGCATCCGGGTCTGTTCCGCTCGGCAAAAACGGTTCGATTGAGGGCAGAATAACAGGCTCAGTTTGCTGTTTTATCTCTTCATCCTCAGTAGCAAAAGCTAAGTGAATAGAAGTCTTGGACTTGGATGAATCCAACAGATCGATGCTAGTTAAATCGGGTTGGTTGTAAAGACTGTGTGCCTTAGAGCCTGTCGGTTGCGAGTCGGCTTGTGTATCGGAGTGCTGGACAAGGGTCGGAGATGGTAAAGCAGTATTCTGCGTATTCAAAGCGGGAGATTGTGATTGTGGAGCACTGCGGAGTATGAGAACCAATCCTATAGACATTGTAGGGAATGATAACAAGTCTTACCTAGCAGATTGAGTGAAGGACTGGGTCTCCGGAAAGGAGAGCGCAGGACGGAGAGGGGGCTCTCTGAGATCGGGTTGATCATCAATCAATATGAAACTAACATAATGGTACTTAGACTCCCCACGGACTCCAAGTCTCCGCGTCTTTAGACCTGGAAAAAGCACACGCACTAGCTTCCCGAAGCTTGCCGGATTCAAGACTGTTATGCGCTCCGTTGCGCAACGGGATGCGTAATTTGCGTACACTCGACCTCTAGGCACAGAACCCTTGCCTGCTGCGCAAGTGTGACTGATCCTACATAAAGTCAGATTGATTATGTTTGTTCAATTTCTGCAAAGATATTACATACCAGAGCATTGCGAAGATCTGGCGAGCACGTTCCGAATTAGGACCGCGCTCATTACCATGTAATTCTGTTGCGACGTCTCCAAGGGTCCTATGTTTATTGGACTGGAAGAGCTGGCGCATTTCCAATTCGTTGTTAGCACTGGTGCGACTAGATGTAGGTTTCGAGCCAGCAGAAGGGCCCGCAGCCGAGTCAGCCTCGTCGCCTTCATCGCGATCCAACATCTGACTATCAGCGTCGGTGAAGCTTGCGTTAGCACCAAACGTCTCGGATGATACGGCATGATGCAAGCCTTGAGGTTGGTGATATGCCATGGCGGGACCAACAGTAGATTGCATGCTCAAGTTTGATGGGAACGATTGGCCGGGCTGTAACTGAGAGGTCGGACGAAGCATCATATCACCGGCTGGCATAGGTTGTAATGCCGGCATGTCTCTAGAAGGACCATGATCAGTCGGACCCCATTGATCCGGAAAGGAGTTATGATGGGTCATGAGGGATTGGTCGAGAGTCGGTTGAGTGGCGACGCTGTGGATCGAAGCGGTCGAGGCTCTCGATTGAGCTCTCTTCCTCGAGTGATGATGCGACATCGCGCCGGCCTCTAGAGGCAAAGAATCTACGTGGGAATTAGAAATAAATAAGTTATAGAATTCGTATGATATAATCATTTGACATGATAACCCATAAAGGCGTTTTAATGTGCTTTTTAGGAGAGGTGAAGCAGCAAGAAAACATACCGGCGTCCATGTCTTGTAGGGTTGTTTACCCCGACGCAGTGAGATGCGACCACAATAAACACAGCAAAGAATCAGCGCCCATCAAGCAAATGGAGCGCGAAAAAGGAGCAACGAGTGGAAGAATATAGAATAGTGATGTAAATCAAATACTATTCGTCGATATTACATGCAGAATAAGACTCTACCTGGTGATGGTCCGGCGGTCAGAGCAAAGCGCCGAAATTCGTTATGCTGGATGAGAATAGGAAAAATGGCGGAGACAAACAAGAAATCTCTCGTCGGGGCAACGGTGGATTGCTTAATTGTGGATGGTTGGCACTTCTCCACTTTGTACTTTCCCTTCGGCGGGAAAAAATAAAAGTCGAGTCCACCTGCGCACCTACGTAAAAGCAACATCGAATGAATGTGGCTGGTACCTAAATAATGCTATAGTTGTGCCTAGAAACTCCACTAGTCTTGTACCTGTAGGCCTTATATACAGATAGAGGTACTTATTACCTTCAGGCTAAGGATTAAGATATGGTGGCTGGAGTCGCGCCGCCCGATTTAGATTAGAATAACAAACCATCACGTGCTACAAACCTAGAAAAACAATACAAATCTGGTACATTAGATGAAGTCTAATTTATAAGCCAATGCAAGTACACATCCCGTATAAGATGCTTTCGGGATTATACTGTAACTTTTAAGCACATTCAACATTGAACTCTTTGTAATACGATTTGAACAAGATTTATTCTTCTGCGGCCGAGATCCCGTTGAGTCGATACATATACATACATAATGTATGCGCGTCTATACATGTAACTTAAGACTTGCCTACAATATTTTGCGCTTAAACACGAGTCAGCAATAGATATTCTATAAACAAAAAGACAAAATGCCGATAGAGTTATATAGAGGCATGCATCTAATAATATAAAATTAGCAATCTTCGAATGGTATGAGATATGTTCGAATGAATTCTAATAGTATACAAGTCCATCTTAAGGAGAATTTACATAAACACCATCATAAAGTAGTACAACCCATGTGTTTAACCCCATGTGGGTTAGAAAGGTTCCTAACCTACCGGACTTAACCAATGAATCAGCTGTTAATGCCCTGCGGGTAAGAGGTTTCCACCTCACAAGTCGTGGCTCCCCTTCCGTCATCGTTCCCTATCCCATCATCCCCACTACTACGTAACTTTTTGTCCCATTAAGGCTGTCCCCCTTCCCACAATCCTATTTCTTACAATACCATATCATCATTACTATTTCTTATCTTCTTTTCTTCTCTCTTCTTCCTGAAAACAGAACGTAGTTGATAGCTTCATTAATATATTAAATATTAAACACCCATTAATCCACCCCCTTTTTTTCTGCCCTTCCCAACATATCAGTGCGAGAGAACAAATAGGTGTAAGTCCGGCGGACTCCGATCCACCCTATGGCACTTCAATCCCTTGAATGATTATTACCCCCTTGTCCCCATTCCGCCATTCCTACGTGTACATATTCAGCAAGGTGGCTTTTCGCTAACCCTAAATGCTACCACAGTTACTTCGCTTTGACATCAGCAGCTTCATTCCCCCGCCTCTGCGCAACAATTATCGTCTTTGTCAACTGCCAACTTTGACGAAATAACCCATCAATCTATAGTCGTATTCCGCCTTCTAGCCCCATCTCAATAGTCAACAGATACAGAAGAAAACATGTCTGCACAAGACCGTGTTCAGCACTACGTTGCTCAGCTCGATAGTGAGGTACGCATCGTCATTCTATATATATCCTAGTTACAACGTATTTAGCCTGGCGACCGGACCTCAACCTTGATCTCGGACTTGTCGCATGTTCTTGACAACTGACAAAGGAATGTCTAGCTTTCGAAATATCCCGTCCTGAACAACATCGAGAAGCAGACTTCGGTTCCTAAGGTCTATGCTGTCATCGGTGTAGCCACACTTTATTTCTTTTTCATCGTCTTCAACCTCGGCGGTCAACTTCTAACCAACTTCGCTGGTTTCGTCATTCCCGGATACTATTCCCTAGCTGCCTTGTTCAGTGCTACAAAGTCCGATGACACTCAATGGCTAACGGTATGTTGCGCAATCTATTTTGACCAACTATGTTCTGGAGCTAATTTATACCAGTATTGGGTCGTTTTCGCCTTCTTCTCGTAAGCAAAAGCAAACCCATAATATTCGCTCGGATCCCCCGGTGCTAATAGATATCGCAGCGTCCTTGAAAGTGCCCTTAGCGTTGTCTACTGGTTCCCTTTCTACTACACCTTCAAGTTTGTCTTCTTGCTCTGGCTCTCGCTACCCGTTTTCAAGTGCGTAACCTATCGCTTCCCCTTTGACTATTTCAACAAGCTAACAAAATATAGCGGCGCTCAACTTGTCTTCCGCTCTTTCATCCAGCCCACCGTTGGACGATACTTCTCCGAGTCCGGTTCGACTGCTGCCAACTTACGCGCCAAGGCCGACTCCTTCGGCAAGGACCAGTAAATCAAGTAGCATACTTGATTAATCAGACGACCACAATGTACAATGTGCATGGGGTAATCAAGCAAGATAACATCCACATGCTCTAGCAGAGGATGGCTTTAAGGAGATCCATTGAGTTGATGGAACCAAGGCGCTTGTTAGCAGAGGTCCGTGGTTTCGGAGTTGGGTTCTCGAGGTGCCCTAACGAAGGACGAAGAGCATCATATGCATTATAGTAGGAAGGAGGTTAGGACAGGAACTTCACTATCAAGGCAGAGGGTACTAGCTCCTATTTTCCTCAAGGAGAAATTGTTTTTCTAGGCGATTATAGAGTTCATTCAATTGGTGCGTATAGAGGTTGGCTGTGAATCATACTGTATTGATATTGCATTTGACTTGTTGAATTACCCTAATATGCCATTACCTATAGCAATACTGGATATCTACAATCAAAGAAAAAGTCAGAGACGTACATATAGCTAAGTCATATAGCTAAGTACGTACTTCACCTCGAAGCAGACAAGCTATCCGAGAATTTCTTATAAAAATTTCCAAAAATGGATTCCCTATCGAATCATTACTCAGGGTTCAACCTAGGTTAGCTCATCAAATGCGACATTTAGGTCTCGGAAGATTTGCAATGATTTCTATTGGTTGATATGGCATGATCTCCGTTACTTCTATCATATATCACAATAGGTGTAGGGTCTAGTTGCTAGATGATACGAACCCACGTTAGTGAATATTTGTACCCTATTTCCCCAGCCTCGTGATATTTTAACAAGAGTTCAGTCATGCCGATTTTTCCGCAAGTTCAACCATTACGCAGACCACTATGATAATAGACCACGTATTGTATTGGCTGAACACTATAGGGTTACCAGGCTCAAATGAGTCATCATAACGATACAGATGTGAAAGAAATCAATAAACGTACCTACAAAAATAATATCATCTACTCTGTGATAGTGATGCGGTGAGTGCATCATGTTCTAACAAATTCGTCGAATCTGGTATAAAAATCCTAGGATGTCCAATCTTGCTTCAGGTCATCATCGCATCATGGTAGCCAACAATTAAGGGCCCTCGTGATGATGGTTTTAAACAAGGGATTCATTGAAGTTCTTCTCGACACACACATCGGAGTCGTCAGCAGCGTGGAATAAAATTTGCAAGCTGGCGATGATTTGAGTTGGTGGTCTTTCAAATGTTTTGATGAAGAAAAAAAGAGGAAACGAAAAAAAAAATCGTGTAGATCGAGAAGTACATACAATAATTATTTTCGGCCAGCATTGACCGCCTACCAGACTGAGTAAGGTCAAGTACCTAATGTACTTAGTACCTAGGTACCCGCCTAAGGTGCCTGAAAAAAACGACCACTATACCTCACTGAAACCAATGACACAACAGGGCTATTGTACGCTAAGCTTTCGGCGATCCGCAGCGTACAGTTGCAACCTTAGCAGTGGGTTTAGTGCTAAAAATTGCACCAGTTAGCGCTCTTTAGGTACATAAAACCAGGTATGTTAACCCCTGCCAATGAGAAACGCCACACATAATGAGGTACATTAGGTACATTAAACCTTAGGTTAGCTTTCTTGCAGTTCGGGTAGGCGCCAGGCGCATTGATGAAAACATTTCGAAGTGCAAGTGTGCGTGTGGTGTGACTTTCCCAATTCTTCCGTCTCGTCTCGATTAAAAACTCCAGATTTCCAAAACTTGTCTACATTCACGAATAAATCATAAACATAAACTCATTCACTCCCGAAATAAACAATACCATTACCGAATAACTTGATCCTCCTCTGAAACAAACATCTCTCCTCGACACAAAGTTACTACTCATCTGTACCGAGTAAAATACGAAAAAATTCGGCTTGGTCTTTTTTTCCCATCCTAAACGGCCCCGGTTTATCATCATTACGTCTGCATCCCAAGAAAAACCACCACTGATCTAACGCCCACGTCCGCCACATCGATTCGCACATATAATATTTCCCGACCTCGTTCAGAATATATTATTAGTAGTAGTAGGTGTTTCGATAGAGTCCGAATTGAAGTGGGAGCATTGGTGACACTGGAGAAGAGTTTCAACATACTCGTCCCAAATTCGAGCGGCCGTTGTGCGTGCATACTAGGAAATCAATATGGATAGACAGGAATCGATATGGACACGCCGTAACAAGTGAGTCAACTTATAAAGAAAGAGTAATAATTTCGTCTCAGACACTAATAAAATTTGTGTCTATTCGTATAGTCTTAGCAGTCTTTCTCTATCCACCACGCCTACCCAACCCGATAATTCTACCACCCCGCGAGACTTCTCAAGTTTAGCTCGTAGAAATGGCGGCTCCTCGTCCCACGGCCGCTCGAACCCCTTCAGCGCAACGACACCCGGCGGTAGTTTGACGTCTCCGACCAGCGCAGGAGGGGCCAACCAGTTCGGACTCGGATCCGGCGCGTTCGCATCCTTCGGTTCGGCTAAGACTCCTAAGGCCCAAGGAAATCCCTTCGAACAAGCCATGGGTGCGATTGGAGCCAAAACTCCTACTGCCGAAAAGACGGCAAAGGAAGCCGCGCGGTCTGCTGCCGTCGGAAAACCATCGATGGGTTCTATTGCCGAGGCGAGCGCTCAGCAGCGGTCTATCCCCGCTACGCACCCCCTCCGCGACACTTGGGTATTTTGGTACCGACCGCCTATTACTAAGGCGAACGGATACATTGAATACGACAAGACTTTACATGCGATGATGGCAGTAAAGACTGCGGAGGAGTTCTGGTTGGCATATTCACATCTGAAACGACCGTCCGCCCTTCCCACGGTATCAGATTACCACCTTTTCAAAAAGGGTATTCGTCCAATATGGGAGGATGATGAGAACAAGGAAGGTGGCAAGTGGGTATTACGACTAAAAAAAGGTGTCGCGGATCGATACTATGAAGATCTTCTAATGGCGTGTGTGGGCGATCAGTTTGGGGATGAGACCGATGAAGTGTGCGGCGTTGTGCTTAGTATGCGCAACGGTGAAGACGTGCTTAGCATCTGGACTCGTACTACTGGACAGAGGGTCCTCAAGATTCGGTATGTCGTAATACTTTTATTTTGTTTCCTTTTAAGTCCCTCTTGGCTTACGTTATATAGGGAGACGATGCGGCGCGTGCTTAACTGCCCACCCGAGACCCGCATCGAGTTTAAGAGCCACGACGCCAGCATGCAGCAGCGATCGGCTATCGATGAGATGCGCCGTGAGAAAGCGGCGCAGAATCATCACGGCGAGAAACGAACGCATAATAATAACAATATCAACAACAATAACGCCAATACCAATAAACAAACGAGACAGTCGCAGGATGAGCAACGATCATAGTATATGTAGTTCCCATCTGTGATGATGGCCGGCGATAGGGGAAAGCAAAAACCCTAGGTTCTGCGATAGACGAGGTTAACTCACTCATCTAGTAAATACATGAAACATGAATATTTTTGACGCAGAATTTCTAATGTTATTCACATTCCGGTGAGGATGGTCCATTGGGAAAAGAACTGAGTTTATGGTTATATACCATATAGGAAGTCGTTCTGATGTGTATGAGGCGCAGGTTCGTGGGTTTATGCGTGCTATTAGGGGGGAACTTGAGTCTTCCTCATTTTTCCCAGGCAGGGAAGGAGGAGGGGGCACGCTCCATCTTCGCATGTGGGCTCACGCGATGCCATACGGCTCCCGGGGTTCTGGTCTGGTTCTGGAAGTGTAACTAGCTAGTGTTCTTGTCGCTGGATACGCGTGTATGTGTGTATGTCTGTGTGTACATGTAACATGTAACATTTTTACGGAGGGCAAATGATCATAGCATAGGTTCTGAAGCATGTATTCTGATCTAAAAACTGTTTTGACCGAAAGGAAAGGGGTACAGGCACCATTATGTGAACATTTTGTTGATGGTGGCTATAGGAGTTGGATGGGTATTCACGAGGTGAACTAGTGTGTTGGTGTATGGATCCAGGCAACTGTTGCCATAGGGGCGTACGGAGTGCATCGGTCACGATTTTACCTATATGGCATATTCAGAATAGTAAAAGCCTGGATATCATAATGGTGGCTCGGGAACTAGAGTTTCCCTTGCAAGCGGTCTCATATAAAAAGTGTATAGCTGCTAAAAGACGTGGTGAGAGGATGTATTATGGATTTAGGAGAAACTTATATCTCAAAGATACCTAAATAATTCACATTGCGCAGGGGGTATTGGGGACCATGAGAAAGTCATTAAATCAAACGCCACATTGTAAAGATCGTGTGCCATAAACAGAGAAAAGGGGCGAAGTTCCGTGGATTTATCTTATATCCTAGACAATTCCCTCCCAGTATGAGCCCCAACCACCATTTGCAATTGGCTTTGTGGAAGTTTTTAAGAAGAAATTGTCTTAGCATATCAAATAACCAGATACCTAGTTACCACACCGTGATTTTTATTTGATGAAATAATCTACTTCTGCAGGAACCAAATTTGCCAACTTGATTAGGTCGACGAACGTCGATAGTGATTCCCAGTGTCTCCACAACTCATTCCTATCATCAGGAATGGATTCGCTGTCGGGATAAATGGTTTTGAGATCCCTCTTGCTAATGATAACAGCACAATCCGGAACCACGGAAGCAGCGCCTACCCTTTCCCATACGCGTTGATTTTCATCTATTGGCTCTAGAATTAGAAACCGGGGTTCGGTTAATGTTTCCTGGTCACAGGAAATCAGCACGAAAGCGAAATCTTCCCTGGCAGGTAGCACCTCTGGAATATCCTTTGATAGTGATATATTCATCATAACCCTGAGGCTGGCATGCATCTTGCCGATTTTGTAGGGCTTCACAACTCTTAGAGTTGCGTATCTATCAAAGCACCGTGTCTCTTCCAGTATAGTTTCTACGGGAATTCCCCGAGGGTCGTCTAAATCTTCGACGAGCCTAAGCTCCGGACAGTAACTGACGTAACCCGAACGGTACGTGATATAGTAACTGTATTTCTCACTACATATACCTATGAGTGTCCTCGCTCCCCATCCGGCCCACGACCAGGATGGAAGGTGGCTGCGACGGCAACCATATTCGCTGTCCCAGTCGTATAAAACATAAGCAAAGGCGGAGTTCACATTCAGGCCTGGGCCTATAACAATTGGCAGGCCTAGAATGAATCTAGTATTGCTGTTTATACCAGCTACATACATCTGCATGACTCCCTTAAACGCATTTAGAGAGTCTTTGGTATCTGAGAGCTTACGTGAAGTATATTGCGTAATGTCCCGGCAGACTACACTGTACATCAACGCGTCTTCGTCTTCACTAGAGTCTTGATCTGAGTCTTGGTCAGAGTCTGGGCTACTTGTCGGGTTCTCCTGTACTTCGGTGTGGCTTTCGGTTGATGTTTGAAGATCCCTTTTGCTAGAGCGAGTAAAAATACCGTACGGCATCCACTCGCTCCACTGCGATCCATCAGAATTATGAGAAACCTTCATAGGAACATAAATGCTTTCCATTTGCGTCATAACGCAACAATTCCAGTAGAGTTGGCTATCGGTAAAGACTAAGACTCTTCTTGATAGCAAGCCTTCTTGGAAAGTCCATCCGCGATGGAACCATTCCGATTCCTGGATCAGCTGTTCGACATCCATAACAGTCACCAAAGTCATATCTCCTAGCTGCACTCTCTTCTGTACTTCTCGTTCACGCTGACTTGAAGGACGACCACCTCGTACCCCCAAGAGGCCGTCAAAATTATCCACAGCAGCAACTACAGTCAACTCGGCCCGCTGAAATATCAAGTGCATGTTTGAGATCTGATTTGCTCTTTCTTCTGTTTCACTTTGGTCGATGCAGTAACGATCTACCAATAGGTATCGAAAACCTAGCTGCCTCGTAACCTCTATTGCGTTCAAAACCACATTTGGCCAGTTCCCAGGATCTAATCGATCCAACGAACCTGGGCTAGCACCCCAGACGTAGCTTAGTGCAACGTAATCGGCCTCCAGGGTGGCTGATACAACGGCGACTGGTTCACGGCAACAGTCAACGAGTTGAAAGCCTCGTAGATGATCAGTTCGATTGGCCTGACAGCAAAAATTTGTATGTTTGGATTTGCAAAAATTCAACCAGGCCTTGGGGATTGAAAAATCAACCCATCTTGGTACGACCCTACCCCAAATGCCTTCGTCGGCTCGGTCGTTGGTTATCTCATCTTCACTTACAGCACGGAAGACGGCCGCTCCGTACCCGCGTACGGGAATGTGCGTTTTGGAGGTTTAATAATATGTTGAATATGGTTTTCGGTGGTTTATTAGAGATATGAAACCCTTGTCAAAATTGAGATCATGTGATGGACCGGAACCTACATCGAGTTTCCTCGAGGCGCTGAATAGCGACGTCGTTGGCGGTTTCTGGACGACTGAGGTACAGCAACGGAGGGATGAGCAAAGCGTGATGTACCTGAGTTCAAGTGACTTGATGGAGAATTTCCCCGGATTAAACCTTTCAGTCGTTAAGCAGCGGAGGTCAATGAGATTATGCCCTAAGGTCTAAACAACATTCCTGAAGAAATCGCAAACAACACATGAATATACCCCCGCTTCGAACAATCCTTCGCTTTGTACACGAAGTACTGCGATGGGGTCGGCCTTTCGCTCCCATGATGTCTGCTCTACGTATCTCCAATCGTCATCAATTATATTGGGTATCCATAAGATGAGTAGGTTCGAGTAAAGATCTCGTCGACTCTGGCAAATAGGTGCGGAAAGTTGACTTTGGAGCACCTCTCGCATATAGGCGGATCTGAAGATATTTTAGAAAAACGCCGTTTTACGGGAGACATTGCGTCAAAGGCTGATATCTGGGTAGTGATTATATGGAGCGAGTAGGTCATCGATGAGGACAACCCAAGGTAAATTGTCATTGCACTACGGAAATGACGTGGCTGTGGCGCATTTTGATTCATGCAACATGTCTTCGGTATAATTCGTGATTGATTGGGATGGATGATACTTATTTCCTAGGTAGGGTAGGTATTTAGGTATTTCAATTTGAATGAACTGAAGGACATGCTTCAATAAATATTCGTCGGATTCAATTAGTTATATACCCCGTGTCGTTTGGAGAGAAAATCTGGTAACTCGTCAAAAATATCGCAAAAAAACCCGTAAAGAGTAAATTCATACCAGTCATTAGAATTTTTGCCCTCCCGGGCTGCCAGAAGCACTTTAGTTAAACGCCTAAGCTCAGTTCACACTCCGCCCCCAGCCTCGACCTTATGACCCTAAAATACGTGCATATGTACAAGTTGGAGCTCCCGTCAAAAGCAAAAGCTCATATGATGCCACCACCTCATCTCTGCCGGGCAATCTGCACCAATTATTACCCACACACCAAGAATATCAATCACTTTTGTGGTATCATAACTCCGTCTCCCGAAACATGCAGAATTCCCGCGAACGAATCAGAGCCCAGCATTAGCCCTTTGCTTTTTTCTTTTTTACAGAGCGAACGCAGGCAACAGAGCCCAATGTTTAACTGACTTTTTCTCTCCCGGCACATTGATACGATGAGCTACCTTGTCCAACGTAGTTTTGACTTGTGCTTTTGTACATGTTGAGAATTTCTTCGCCAACAAATCCACAATGGTTCCCTTGGTGTGATCTCGGAATTCCTCGCTGATAATGGCTCGCTTGAAGTCATCGAATACGTCTTTCGGGACTAATTCCTTAATATCTACGGCTGGGGAGGCACTATTTCCTGCAGCGAGCATTGAGAATGCGTCGGATGGTACACCGGGTGGCGGTGGCATGGATGTTGAGGCTGTAGGCGCAGTACCGGCTGTGTTCTTTGTTGCTGCGACCTTTTTAGGAGGGGCTGGCCAGTAGGCTGTAGAAAAGGGGTCGATCCCTGAGTGATGTTCTAGTGTATCTATGATCCCATTAGTTCAGGTCTTCGGTAGCCTTTTTGAAATATCTTACCAAGCATAAACTCAAGGCGATATTTGTATACCGTTGCACTAGGCCCAAGTCGCGTCTGATCTTCAAAACATATACCCGTACCACATGGCTCCTTTTCACCAAGGAAGGTTGGTCGGGTCATAGCAGGTAAATCTTCCGAGTCATCGAGGAAATCATCCATTTCTTCTTCACCCTCATGATCTTCTTCATCATCCTCTTCATCATCTAAATCTTCGCCGTCGTCCTCCACCCATTCCGCTTCAGAGTCATAGTCATAATTCAATTGCTGAACTATCCTTCCCATAGGCTTTCGGGAGAGGGAGCGAAGCTTCTGAGTTGTTATGGGCGTAGTTATCGTTCCATAATATGGTGGTCGAACGTCTTGATAAAATGACAAGTATTTCATTGTGATAGAATTGAGTCGATCTTGAGCATTCGTGGCGAGCTTCTCTGTTTGCGATTCGGTTCGTTCTGTGGTACCAAACGGGTTCTCTAGAGGATCACCGTGTATGCTTTCCATAATCTTCTTTACGCTTGCTGGCATAATCCCACGTTTTTGTGGGAAAGCTAGATTGAATGCTTCGAGTGGGTTAAATGGTCTAGGATTGAACTCGCCACGTTCTCCTCGAATGTATTGATCAAGTATATCGGATTTGGCGTCTCTTGTTTGTTCGTCCATCTCGAATGGTTGGGGTGCTAATGTGACACCAGATTTGACAAAGAATGGTTGAAAAGCTCGGTCGTAGGCTGATTTCTCTGGCTTGGAATCCTTCTGAGGTGTGATAGCGGCTGTAATGGGCTTCGGGGATGAGTCGTCGGCAACTAATAGGATAGGTTTCTTCAATGGTGTACTAGGGGCTCTTTTGACGAAACTGGCTAACATGCTCTGTTGCCTTTCCTGTTTTCGCTTCGTAGCAAGTTCATCTTCTTCCTTCTTACGCTTCTTGGCCTCCTTCTCTGCTAATTTAGCAGCTTTGACCGCCTCCTCGGCAGCTTTCTTCTTAGCCTTTTCGGTTTTTTCAGCCTCCTCCTGAGCTTTTTTCTGAGCCTTCTCAGCAGCTTCTGCGTCCTTCTTCTGTCGCTTCTCGGCGCGTTCTTGTTCCTTCTCGGCCGTTGTCTTTCGCTTTGCTGGTTGTCGATTCTGAGCCGCGGGAGTGGATGAAGATTGAGGCTGTGAGGGTTTGGAGGTGGTAGTACTGGGTTCTGGTGTCTTATTCGGGGAGGGTGTGACTTCAATTGGTGGACTGGATCCTGGCTCAGTCAATTCCGAAGGACTACTTGCAGGTGTCGAATCCATGGTGATCTCTGGCACGGGTATTTTTAGTATATAATCGTCAGCGAATTCTCGTATAATAGGTAGAGAAAAACTAACGTGGCTGTGAATTGATAGCAGAAGCAGACATAGCAACAGTTTTCTGCCCTTCCAGATTCTCTGTATCAGAGGGGTCGTCGGTAGCAACTTTGATAGAATCCTCAGTAAATTCCTCGTGTGTTCTCTTCCTTGAAGTTGACTCTAGTTCCTGAATGTTGGGGGACACTGGAAATAAAGGCATCGGAACAATCAATTGAGCACAAGCTCTTTGGAAGCATTACAGTACGCAATGGATAGAATTGATATCTAGGTAGTCTGTCAATTGGGTTGTGTTGTCTTAGGATTCGCGGGATAGAATATCACGTGGATATTCTAGTCGTAAAGAGGAATTGTATATATTCGGTGGGAACAAAATGAAGCCTGCTTGGTCAATGTTCACCAATTCGTCACTAGCGAAAGAGTGGTAGAAGTGGAATTCCGTGGATGTCTGGGATTAGTTACATTAGTTACATGGTGGGACCGGGAAGAACGCGTCGAAGCGCGACAACCGGGGTGGCTGAATTTAGTGGTCGCGTTGACGGTGGTAGATCTCTGTTCAATTGGGTTTAGCGTTAACTGTTTAGCCACACTGGACCCGGCAAAACTGTATGTACCTGAGTACTGAGTTGGACCTTCCTCAGTTGATTTTGTACCTAAGTACCGTTGTATAAAATGATATAGGGAGTATTTCGAGGTTTGGACCAGCCCTCCGGCAGTTTCATATAGAGTCTTTCATCAGATATTTGAATTGTACGGTATTAATGGAAGTGATCCATCAAAAAAATAATGTAAATACGTAGTTTGTAGCCAGTAAGGGATCGTGTCAATGGTACTGTGTTGAGACCTTTGTTACGCACATACCAAGTTGTAATCTGAGCAAACAGCCCCAATTTTAGAATTAAGGTGTGGAGAAGATTTGTCTCTGTAATTGGCTGCTCTCTCATGTGGCCCTAGCGGGAATTCTGCCGCCTTGGTCGACCGGGAGCCCTCACCGCTCTGGAGACCCGCTGGGAAACCCTATAAATACCTGGCTTCCCTCCCTCTCTTTCAGTTCTTCTTTTGAAAGAGAGGTATACTTACCTTCTTTGGCCTCGGGGAGCTCAAGCATCCCCTTAGGCAAAGGGCGAGACCTGCATTGCACAGCGTGGAGTCGAACCCTTTCCATTATCCCTCGTGGATCGTGGCAGGGGCAATTTTTGATATTTAAACTTCGTTTTCATTGTGAGCAGTGCTTCAAGCATTGCCATTGAAGAAGACAATTCCACACTGGTCACATCTCTTGATAACAGCATCGTAGGGTCGTTGTCCGTTGTCTGATGTATTGTCTACATGACCAGGAGCGGCACCCTAACTGCATAGCACCTGCCTGTCGTGTCGCCTTTCAAGTATATCTTCCGTGCTATGTTAATTCGTATGATTATTCCTTCAAGTTGTTAGACGCAATAATCATTCGGGTGAGACCACCTTGGAATCAGCTTTTGCAACTATGTAGATACAGTCAGACAGTTATATCATTCATAACGGCTACCTAGGCATTCGAATAAATCACGTCCTTATGTTATTAGTTTGAAGGTTGCGACTACCTGCTAAGCTCTCTTATTTGTAATAGCAGAACGGATGTATCTTGACAATTTTGTATATGATCGTGAGGCATCCAATGCGTAGCGTGAACCTAGTTAAACAGCCTCGAACAGCAGAAGCAATGATCATAAGAGAATCCAATTTCATCGTTGAGCTGTGATCAAGATCTCTCGTCCTGGGAAATGCTCAAACCGGATGCCCGTCCCTTATCGATAAGAAAACACCGGAGGCAGCAACGGGCCGTCGCCAGTCTTTGCCGGGCCGCTCTTTCTTTTCAATTGATGTTCCCATTCGAATTTTCGGCATCCTGCGAAACTTTGGGGAAGGCACGACACTAACCAACAACGACGACACACATTCATTACCACGCCGATCCCGACGAGTACGCTACAGTCCTAATAAACGGCCAACGCGTGGGCTTGGGAGGAAGAATAGGAAGAAAAGCGCAAGGATAGGCCAAACCAATTCTCCAACACAGCTCTAATTGCCGGAATTTCGCATCAGTACGAATTCACAAAATGCGATCTCTTGTACTTGGGGCTCTCCCGAGAGCTCGAGGCTGCAATGTCGCAGCGACAACCACATCTACATTCAAATTGTGGGCTACAACAAGGTCCGTCTTAAGAACATGCCTATCATCTACACATTGATCTACACACTGGGTGCCAGCTGACTCCATCTCTAGAACATTCACGACCCTCCCACGCCTACGCCCAACCATCCTCTCCTCCTCCTCCAGCTGCAGCACCGTCTTCCGATCCCCAAATCTCTCGTCCGGCAGCATTCTTACTCCCTTTACACCTGTCCCGTCAGCAGGAGGTGAAGCTACGGGAGTATCGCTAGATCTTGTACCTAAGACAGCTATCACCGCACATCCAGCGTTCGCGCAACAAATGCGCTTTGGACCGCGACCGACGATGGCCAGATCGAGTCGATTGATTCGCAAACGAAGACATGGGTTTCTAAGTCGTATACGTTCACGAAATGGTCAGAAGACATTGCAACGTCGCCGCGATAAGAAGAGATCTGCGTTGTCGAGCTAAGCTGCTTGATTTGTACATACCTACAAGCTCACCGAGCCTATGCATTCTACAAAACCAGCTTCATTGCTAGCGAATAATCCCAACTACGATTAGAATCCGCGACGAGGGTATTGAGGGATAACGGCATTCCGAAAGTCCCGCGCTACTTCAGGAGACTACACGATGATGCGACAGGGAAGACGGCGAGTTAAATCGATGTGCCCGCCGTACGTACGTACCCTGCCTTATAGCAGCCGTACGAATGAGGATGTATCATATTGCACATAGAACTGTATAATGCCCAAAAAAAAAATCATCTCCAGACTAGTCACTTGAAGTTAACCTCCCGTCATGTATTTCTAACTTGACCGTATTCTAAGAATACGCTGGGAACTATATCTAGACATAAATTTTACTGCAAACTCGCAACGGAGTCGCGAGCATCGGAGGCATATCACCACATCTACATCTCACAGATACCAAAGAAAATGCGATTTCAAAAGATTCATAGGTATCTAAATTCGTACGACTAGGAAATCATACCCAATCTCCCTAAACATCTAGGTCCATCCATACCTAGGTAAGCACGTTACAATTCCACCCAACTCCAACCCTCCCCGGACCCCGACCCTTCATCACCTATCTTCTAGATAGGCCCCGTAACACCCTCCTCACAAACCAACGTATCCGAATAACACACAACCGGTAAATCATCACTAGCACTTCCAACCCAAATCTTATACTTCCCCTCCGGATCCGGCACAACCCAGTTCTGGCGTGTCGTATCCCAGACACTTAAATCCTTCCTTGCGAAACTCAACTCCAGCTGCGCACTCTCACCGGGCTTAAGCGCATCCCCAGTCTTCGCGAAATCACGTAATTGGATCACAGGAGTGTCGTAAGAAATTCCCTCGGGGAATTGTACATACGCCTGCGCGAGCGCTTTCCCGGGTGTGGTGTCTTGCTTCGCGGTGTTTATCACAGTAAGCGAGATAGTGTACGCGACGTCCCATAACGCGGGATTCCCACCGCTAGGACCGCCAGCAGCAGGACCCGGTTTTTGCTCGGAGGAGTAGCCTTCGGGGTACGGATATTTCTTATCACCTGCAGCGCCGATCGCGTATGCGGTGTCGGCTTCGGCGTTCGGGAGCCAGGAGTACAGATATCGCCATATGCGATCGAAGCCCTCGGGATAATACGCCTCAGATGCCGCTGGGATCGTAGTATTTAGACTAGCGATAGGGGACTCGGGCTTAGAAGGACGCGCGGGTGGAGTCTCGGTGAGAGGCGTCACGCGCGTGATCTTCGCGTTCGAGAAGCTGAAATTAGCGTAGCTGAGTCCGTGGCCGAAGGCATAGCGCGGTTTGATGTTGTTTTTGTTTAGGTACCGGTAGTCGATGTACAGTCCCTCGGAGTATGTATCCTGTGTCTGGCTTAATGGGGTCGAGACTAGGCTTAGACTCTTTGGGTAGTCGTCTTCGGAGACGGGGATGCTGTAGGGCAGGTGTCCGCTAGGGGATACTTCGCCGAAGATGATTTCGGTGAGGGAGTCGCCGGCTTCTTGTCCGGGTAGGTGGGCGATTAGGACGCCTTTTACGGAGGGGAGGTCGATCCATGGTTCGACGACGACGGGGCCGACTGTATGGTAGATTACTAGGACGTTGCTGTACTTCTCGGCTGCTTTTTGGACTAGTTCATCTCCGTTGTGCCACGCTTTTAGGCCGTCGGAATCTCGGTCACCATGGTTGTTCTCAACAGTGTATGAATTCTCTCCTGAATCGGAGTTGATGAAAACAATAGCCACATCATCTTCAGTCGGTGTTGGAACTGTAGGGAAACTATCCGTTGCGAAGTAAGTCACATTGGCTACTTTTCGCTTTAAGGAGCTGATAGGGTCGTCCAAGTAGGGGTAATTAGCGGATCCGGAACCCCATCCCATACCCAACAAGCCTCGGTTGCAAGTCTTATCCGTGCATGAATTGATACCTTCCGGATCAGCTTGAGCATCGGTGCCGAAAACGAAAAGAGGCGAAGAAGTTGATAGGGGAAGGAAGCTTCCGTTGTTCTTGAGTAGTGTGACGGCTTCTTGGGCAACTTGCTTGGCTACCACTTTGTGGTCTCCCTGCACATTGACGTACTCGTTGACTACACCAACAGGGGAAAATACAGCACCTGGGTATAGGGGTCCTGTAGGATCTGCCGTGTTGGAAGAAAAGTTTGGTGGCGGGTAGTCTTTATCTTGACCCAGCTGATACCATGTAGCAACAATACGAGTAGCCATGTCGTTCAATCGATCAACAGGTACAGAGCCATTTAGCACCGATCGCGTGAGTTCATATTGCCAGTTAGAATAACCATCCAATGGAATATTATTCCCAACAGTGTCACCAGGCATAGACATATCAAGACCGGCAAGAGCCGAGCCAACTCCTGAAATTTGGGCAAGCCAATCGGTCATGACCAAGCCTTGAAATCCTAGTTCATCTTTCAAGAGACCGTTGAGAATGTAGCTGTTCTGAGAAGCAGCAGATCCGTTGATCTATACTTTGATTAGTACCGTCCAACGTTTTCAGCATTATAAAACATACTGCATTGTAAGATGCCATGACTGAGCCTACACCTGCCTTCACGCCTTCCGCAAATGGCCAAAGATATAACTCATGAATCGCTCTGTCATCTGGGAGCCATTAGTTTTGCTTTTGATGACTATTCATCATATGAACGTACCAATGTTTGAGCTATACGCTTGTTGTACTGGGTTGTACATGCGATAAAGCTCCTGCTCATTTCCGATCAAATGTTTTATCGTAGCAATGACACCTTGATCTTGAACGCCTCTAATAGTCTCAGCTCCAGCAATTGCTTGGAGAACCGGGTCGACACCGAAACCTTCCCAATTTCGACCTCCTCTTGGTTTCCTTCCTAATGGACCAACACATGGTCCTAGGTAGAAATTGGCACCTTTACCCCTGAATTCTTCACCAATAGCGACACCTCGTTGGTAAATGAGATCCTTGTTAAATGTTGCGCCGGTAGTAATTCCAGCAGGAAAAGCGGTGATATTGTCAGTTGTGCGTACACCGAGGGGTCCATCCTGTAAGCAAAGTTGTGGAAGCCCTAATCGAGGTACACTACCAGTGTTCCCAACGCATCGTCCTTGAATCACATGTTAATCATTTGCAACTATTTCGGAAATTTTTGACATACCCTAAACATGATTAGTGATTGAACTTTTTTTGTAAAGCGTTTCATAGGGGATCTACCATATAAAGACCAGTACCAGCAGTTATGTTTACTTTTTCAGCCACCGTCATTTGTGACACCAACTTGATGGCTTTTTCATAACTTGCAGACCAGTCATCTGACCACCCACCATAAGGTGTTGGATAGTACGGGGCGGCGACATAACCGTCGGGTACAGGATCCCGGGGATGTAAGACGGAGGCTGACGCCGCACCCGCCAAAAAAAGCAACGAGAGACTACGGAGTCCAGAAGGATACTCCATATTGAAAATTACCATTATGAATTATATTAAAAACAAAACCAAAAAGGAAAGGATAATTAGGTGTCTTAGGATATCGTTTTGCTTTTACAGCCGCCTTTTTAACAGTGCATCGCGATTTGAAGATTTGAGGGGCACGCGTGCTATGTGGCTTTGTGGCTTGAGGAACGAAGGCATCACCATTTACAAACTCGTGATTGGCGATTTCCATAGATATATAGGTACTACAATAGGCAGGATGATCCAGTAATTAGCACGAGGAACTTGCATCTGGGTCGATTTTTTGTGATTTTCGGCTCAGCCCGCTCTCCCCTGCGCAAGACATGCTTGTACGAGGTATGCATTGCGGGTTGCGGTATTGGGATTGGTTCCAGCATAGGTATTCCTGCGATATTCCTGCAAGATCTATGGGTTATGCCGGGATAGTGTAGCGTATCGCATGGCTATTAGGCATGTAATTAATTAAGATAAAAGAAGAAAAATAGGCGGGGTAGAACCTTGGAAGCGGACCCTGTCCAAGAAATAATTTCCGTATTTCGCATTGTTTATCAAGCTGTCCAAGATTTGGATCATCATTGTAGTAAATGCTCAAGTTCGGATACGCGTCGTACAATACGAAAAAAAATATTAAACAAATCTCGGATTCATGATCTCGGTGAATTATCATCCGTCTGTATGACGTGAAGAACCTATAGCCAAGAGAACGGTAGGAAAGGTAGTATTCCAGGCACCAGGATACTAGGTAGAAAGGTCACGCGGGTAGAATCAATGTGATAGCGCTGACCTTCGGTGCTTCTCTCTGCAAGTGTCACTGCGCTGTCGCTACATTGCAGGTTGACCCTTGACCTTAAAGAAGGTTGACAAGATGTAGTGTTACATCCCGACAATTTCTCTTTTAGTATGTTGTTTTTTAACATCTGATGTGGAGTAGACACTATATATCTAGTTAGATAGATTGTGAATATGAGAGCTGACCATCAAGTTGGTTGATGACGCGTATCGAGGTTGCAACCAAGACGGATCCTAGTAACAAAGACACTACCTAGGTAATTATCATGGCGCATCGGGCAAGTCATCTAGATATAGATTTCAGCTTCCGATGCTAGGCTAAACACAGGTATAGAAAGATGATGTTAGTTACTAGGATATACCTGACCGCCAACGGCAACCGGCACTCATATGTCATGGTCTCGTGGAAGATTCCCAAGACATAAAAGAATGTAACAGTTGATGAAGTTGGTGAAGTATCCGAAAGCTGGGGAATTGCACCCTGAATTGGCACTCTAAGGGTTATAATAGCGTGGTATAATTGAGTATTTACAGGGGATAATTAGAAGAAATGCGGAGTAGTAATGCAGTAATAGGTGGAAAAGAATAACCCCTAAATAACCCTAAGAAAATGGTGTTATGGCAGGTAATAACCCGATTACCTACCTATAACCTACCTAACCCAGTCTAACTAACTTCAACTAACAACTCCGTTATTTTTCGGACTCCATTGATCAACTCTTCTCTTCTCTTTTACATAGCATTTTTAGTATTGGCAAGTCATGCAACTATTATCCACTTCAACAAAATCGTTGCGAATATCACCGACGAAAAGATCACCTTTTTAGGAGGGAAGTCCGAAGATACTATAGATTCCCCAGAGTCTTAGGTTCTTCGCCATCAATTCTATGGTCGATCATTCTCGGGTTCGCCTCGTCCGTAGTTCTGACGATTGTCCCCGCTACCTAGGTACCGGCTACCCCTTATGAGACTCAATCGATGAATTTTATGACAGTGCCGTAAAACAGAATCGGATCATGTCAGCATGTAAAATTGCTGTTCTTTCACCCCATTTATAATTGTTTATCTCATCTTTATTTAGCGGATACAAGTGGCTGAGTCGTTACAAATGCAAATCCTCCGTTCCTGATGTACAAGGGGATAGGTATCAAAATTGTCGAGCAAATAAATCCTTGCTGGTGACCAAAAAGGTAGGTGGGCAGAAGCCCATAAGCACTCACATGGGCACCATAGGTCAAAAAATCGGCTTCCGATCTGTGTCACGCACGAAATATCAAATGTGTGACGAAGAATGGCGCCCAATAGGGATCTAGCCATGCAGCCCATGAAATCCTAGAATCCTGCTTTCATACCGAAGAACCACTGGAAATCCTCCTTTAACGCCCTATTGAAAGTTATCATACGTTTTATCGCTCAGTTGCACTATCAAAACAATATGGTATCGTTTCACAGCATAAATGGTTAATACATAAGGTGTATTGGATATTTTGTGCTTCAATTTTTCATAATAGTTAGGGGCTTTATTCGATCGAGGTAGCATTTAAGTTAGTTGACTTGCAGCTGTTTCTCCAAATCGAAAATAATGCGACGAATAAGAGGCTTCTAAACGTGACCTAAGTAGTACGCTTATGGTATTAATTGGTGTTACCATTCTGCCATTATAGCCAATCATCGATCTTACGCCGCTTTCTCTTGGCCACATCCGGGCATTCCCCAGCAAGCCACCCGCACTAAATAATACGTATACGACTCAAACTAATCTGTGTAGGGAATATTTTGTTCCAGCTTCCCAACTTTATTCTTCTCAAAGGAATACACATACATATAGTAAGAGCCGAGATTGCTCCTCTAAGAAGGTTATGAACCTTGGAAGTTTTATGTTGGTTAAGGCGGGGTTTCCGTCTTATCGTTTTGTGTTTTTATATGGTAGGTACTGAATGCCTTGCAGGTTTGCTATGCAGGATTGCGGCTGAGGGAAACGGCTTTGCTTACTTCGAAACTCGATGAAGTCGAAACCCGTTCAATGGGGGAAAGGTATGTTTGGAGTAATACCTAGTCCAATTCTCTTCTCGGTGTCTTGATCCGAATGAAACCCAGAGTTTCTTTTGTCTAGACATGTATCTAGTCTAGGCTACCTGGGTAGATGGGATCTCGGGTAATAACTAGGTAGGTGGGAGAGAGATCGGCAATGTCTTGAAGTTACCCGTTTTCTCATATATCTCCTCTCCCTTGTTATAATAAGTCGTTGATCGCGGCTATTCATACGTTCTCCTCACCCTCTCACATATCGTCACTTTTTTATCTTGCTTCTTTTCGGTATACTGGTGCTCGTTCATAATGATGCAATTTAATCTTGCTCTCATCTCAACCTTTGGGTTGTTGGCTATCGCCAGCCCGGTTCCTGAGACGCCTTACTTTAAACTTAATAAGCGTGGTATGTTTATCACGAAGTTCTTATGGAATGTCAAGCTAATAAATAGAATAGAAACCGTATCTGCAGCTGAAGTTTCGGCTTTCGACTTCTACGCCCAGTACGCCGCTGCCGCCTATTGTAACAGTCAAGCGGCAGCAGGCTCTACCATCACTTGTTCCGAGGAAGCTGTATGTGGACCTTATTTCCATTACCTTGGTTTGGGGTTTTTTGGTTGGCTCGAAAGATTGTCGACCCCGAGTTACTGGATTCTCCACTAAAGGGGTTAAATGCTGACTTACATTATTACAGTGCCCAGATGTTAATTCAGCGGGTGCCAAGATCGTATCTACGTTCAGGTGAGTTTATGCTATCATAAGCCCTTAAGTATAAGATGCATTAGGCTAATACCCATGAAGTGGCGATGTTACCGATATTCAAGGCTTCGTCTCATCGGACGACAAGAACCAGTTGATTGTGGTATCCGTTAAGGGATCTGAGTCTATTCGAAACTGGATAGCCGAGTTAGTCAACCTTATACGAGTGTATTGTATGAGACTAGATACTAACCACCGAATAGCCTCACTTTTATACAAACTGGTTGTGACCTTGTAGATGGATGTGAGGTCCACGCTGGTTTCTTGACCGCGTACAATGAGATCGCAGACTCCCTACTAGCCGGCCTCGCAAGCGCGCAGTCCGCCAACCCTTCATACAAGATTATCTTCACAGGCCACTCTCTAGGAGGCGCTGTCAGCACGGTTGCTGCTGGGTATGCTAGAAACAAGAACTACGCGGTGGATCTATACACCTACGGTAGCCCTCGTGTTGGAAACGAAGCATTTGTAAACTTCATTACGCAACAAGCCGGTGCCGAGTACCGCGTTACACATCTCGACGACCCGGTCCCCCGTCTTCCCCCTATTGCCTTCGACTACCGCCACACGAGCCCCGAGTACTGGCTCTCGGACGGTACCTCCACCCAATCCGACTACACTGCCGCGGATATTAAGGTGTGCGATGGCTTCGCGAATACCGACTGCAACGGTGGTACCGATGGCTTGGATATCGATGCTCATCTGTACTACTTCGAACACATCAGCGGCTGTGGTCCGGATGGTATCTCCTTCAAGCCGAGAAGCGTCCAGGCGAATGTAACCCATGACATGGCGACCTCGGAACCCGAGGATGTGTCGGATGAGGAACTTACTGCTCGTCTGAATGACTGGGCTGCCAAGGATCGTGAGCTTTCAGCGAAGTTGAACGCTTGATCTACTTGATTACATATCATTTATATATCATGGGGTTATCTGGTTTATGTTTGGGTGGGAGGCGTCATATTTGAGGAGCATTGTGGGCTTATATTTGGCGTAATAGGAGGTTGGGGTACCGGAGAATTCACATGGAATCGCGCATATAGAATTGCTCTTCCAAATGGGGCTTAATTACTAGATCAATCTAATCTAAGGATCTAACAATGATATAACCACTTTGCTCTAAGCGACATTTCCTAGAACCTCAAGGCTCGCCAAGAACTATATAACCAACCTGAAAAAGCCAACACTCTATTGTCCCATAAGTCACCCCGCAACATCCCTCTCTGAATCCTTTCCTTCCAGTCCGTCTTCCTTCTTCACCTCCTTTGGCTCATACCGAAACCCCAACTCTTCCAAGGTCTTCGCCTTCCTACCCGTCCTCTCAAACCGTATCTTACCCTCAACATAAATACCCCTCTGCCACAGCATCTCCTCATCCCAGTACGGCGGCTTCTTCCCACCCCCTTTACTCCGCGCCACAATTATATCATGCAGCTCATTTATATACCGCCCATCGTCACCCTTAGCAAACACGTGGAACTTCCCCGGCGCAGTACCCTCACCATCTTTCCGCTCCCATTCTTCGAGTTCGGAACGTGGTGGGAGAGGGAGCACGTTTGACCACAGACGTGCGAGAAATGAGGCTTGTGCCTCGGCGAGTGGGAACGGGATTACTTTGATCGGCAGCGCGGGGAAGGCGATTGTTGGATGCGCGATGTGAAGGAAGTGCTTCGCGAGACCGTGGACGCGACGGCCGTCCGTTATGAGGGGCTTGGAGTCAGGGGGGTTAGTGAGGAAGGGGAAGGTATACAAATATCCCGTGCAGAATAGAATGGCGTCGATATCTTTCTCGATTATAGTCTCTTCTTTTTTAATTTCATTCGAGTCATTTTCTCCTGCCTTCTTTTCATCAGAGGATTTGTGTAACGGGTAGAATTCGACCCCTCGTTCGCCAATTAAAAATCGCTTGATCTGTCCGACTTGCCGTACATTCGCACCGAGATGCTCAAAAAGCTCTGGGTTTGCTTCTGTGCGCGCGGAGACGAGAAGTGGTGGTGAGGATACTCGCTGGATTTGCGCTGCGATATCTAGACCCGAAGGTCCTGTACCAACAACCACGACTTTCTTCCCGCGATACGGCTCCGCAGTACGGTATATCTTCGAATGCGAAATAACCCCCGGATGCGCAGCATGAAACGTTGATATACCCTCAATATAATCCGGGATATACGGCGTAGAATAATGCCCCGACGCTACTACCACCGCATCATACGTCTCCTTTTTCTCCCCCCCCGTAAGAAGATCCGTCGTACTCACATCCCACTGATCCCTCCCTTCATCACTCCTCAGCGAAATATCCGTAACCTGCGTCGAGAACCTAACCAAATGCCTCACATCCCTCGCATACTCAACCAAATACTCCTGCACATCCTCTCTCGGCGGAAATATCGTACACCTATCCGGAAACCCCAAATCCGAGAATCGCATCAATGTATGCGGGATATTCGTATTCAAATCTTCATACATCGGCGACGGGAAAAGCGGCACTCCCTTCCCACCCCCATTTTCACTATAAACCGGGGGATCCGGCCTCCTCGGCTTAGCATCAACCTGCGGCACCCCCAACTCCCCCTCCGGCCGCGAAACACCGGTATAATTCCACACCCCGCCAACCTCAGCCTGTTGCTCTAACACATCAATCCGCGAGAACGCGCCGTCTTGCGCAATGAAGTATTTCGCCGCGGCCAAACCACTGGGTCCTGCACCTATAATCGCGATTTTCTGGACACTGAATGATGCGGCGGCGGCGGCGGGGGTAGAGGTGGGGAAGTCCATAGTCCGAGATGTACCGGATTGAGTGGATTGAGTGAGTTTTAGTGATTTCAGACGTTCGCGACCGAAGTCTCGTAGACGGATAAAGATGCGTGACTTCATTAATGCATTAAATCCCTAAATTTCTGATTGTATGGTAAGTTAAAATTATTAAGTGTTCTTAGTATACTAAATATTAATTTTAATCAAGAATGAAAATACATGGCATGATTATCGTGGTGGATCACGGTTGAATGGACGTACAAAGTCGATGGCGCAATTCTAGTCACGGCGGGGCTGACCGATTTCTTGAGGCCGGCGCCGGAACAGCTAAGCACATAACTTATCAATAGCGTCTCCTTACAAGTCTCAATTACATGTATGTAGTTACAGCTGCGTAGGTTTCGTATTGTTCGATTAGACGGCCACTTGCCTGGTATATTTAAGTACATATGTACATGATTGCCGTGGTGCTATGTGCAGAGCATCAGATGCAATAGGGCCAAAGCTACAGTTGAACGTCGATTGTTCAAGAAGTAACCCTCTGATGACATATCGGTAGTAATTATAGTAATTACAGCAAAATCAAGAAGAGAATAATGGCATATTTAGCCAATACTCCAGCTGAGCAACTCCTAGAGCGCCTCCCCCGAAACCCTTTTGCTGGGTGTTCAGACTTAAACCCCACGTTGCGCAGGGTACTGTCATTAACCCACAGCACCGCAAATGTGTAAGGGTCGTCGCAAGGGGATGATGCAAAACCAAATCGAACCGTATACTCCAGGGCCATTCACGATGTTCATGCTTCGTATGCGTCGTACTCGTCAGCGAGAGAGAAAAAAAAGGCCTTGCTATTCACAACGCATTTGCGTCATCATGAGAATATCGGTGCGAACTTCAATCCTCGGTACCTTCGATAATCATTCCCCTGGCATTCGGGACCCCAACGAGAATCTTGCCTCTGGGAACCTTGACATCCTTGACCTGCGTGTATTGTGTGATTAGCGATATATAAACTGGATATGAAATAGGAATTGTTTACCTTCATGCAGCCAAAGACGTTCAATTGCTTCAGCTTGGGGCAGACCTTGAAAATGGATTGAACCACGAAATCCGTGACCTCTTCACAAAAACTAATCTCCATATCAACGAGGTCGTTATATACCTTGTCGAGAGAAAAGACTTCCTCGAAAGCCTCCCGAGAGATGTTTCGACAACCGTGGACATTCAGCTTTTTCAGGCGTAAACCTGAGTGCTTCATCAGGGCTTTAAATCCATTGGAACAGAGCCCTATCTGGTGGGAATTCTCCCTAGGGTTCGAGGAGTCGATATGGCGGCATAGCTCCAGGTCAATGTGGGTAAGTGGCTTGTTCTTCCAATCATTGAATAGTCTGGCGAAGCCTGCGTCTGTCATTACCTCGCTGTGTGTGATGCGTAACTTGGCCAGCTCAGTACAGTGATTATGCAGTGCGTCGAGAAGACGATCGTCTACATCATCTACAATTCTGGTTGAGAAGGTACGTAGGTTGTGGCCAATATTCTCAATTACATGAACATACGGCTCCGTTGAAGTCTTCTTGACGAGATGGAGACTAAGGTGTTCAAGATTGTTAAGTTGTGCGATGGATTTGACCCCTTCGTCGGAAACCTCTTGGTTGTGACAGATCTTCAGTCGAGTTAGCGACGGAGCGTAGTCCTTGAGAGACGCTACGATCTTGTCACTGACATGTCTGTCGGTGAAATAGATCTGCAGAGCTTTGAGACTTTGTCCCTTGACCTTTAGATACTTCTCCCAGCATTCCTCGGTAAGCAAATTTGCGCCGTGCAGATATAGATTCTGAAGCGAGAAATTTCTTCCGATCAAGAACTCCATAATGTTGTCCTGGAATTGGATTGCATTGCGTAGCTTCAGGCTCTTGAGTTGAGAACATCTTTGGAATATCTTCATATAATCCGACTGTCCTAGACGTGCTGCATCGTATAGATTGATAAACTCAGCTTGGGGTTGGAGGAATAAATCCATCGTGGTGGGATTCATAAGTCGACGCTTCGAAAGTAGTCTAGCCACACGATCGATGGAATGGGGAGGAAGGTCGCCGAGATCATCAGCGAGATCAATATGATTGGCTAGGGTCTCGATACACAGAGTTGTTAGGGCTTTGACTCCAATCTGACCGTCCAGTAGATTGCTCTGGACCTTTCGTCGCCCGCGACCAGCAGAAGTGTTCGCCGGTTTCTTGGCCTTGGCCTTTTTTTTAACAGCCTTCTCTTCGTCTCCTAGCTCCTTGCTGCATCTAGGACAGAGCAAACCTCCATTTGGGCCGGTGCGCGAATAAGCAGTAACTGTGAATCGTTTCTTACATTGTTCGCAGTTCTCAGTCTGACCAGGGACGGGCAACATAGTGAGAGCTAGTGCATCATCATCATCATCGCTCCATTCTTGCATCTTGCGCTTCTTGTAGGCTTTGGTCTTCTTAATCTTATCGATGGCTTCTTGTTGTCTCTTGCGCTTTTGCGCCGCAGCTGCTCGCGCGACTGTCTGTCCTAAGGGATCACCCTCTTCGTCATTCTCATCGTTCTCATTGTTCTCGCTATTTTCATTTTCGCCGTTTTGACCGGTCGTAGTAGTCGTGGTATTAGCAGCAGCAGCACGGCGAGCGTCGTTATCAGCGCGAATGCGGCTAGCAGAGATATTCTGCGACTCTAAGTAGTCAGTCAACGCAGAGCGAGGACCTCTAATTCCCCGCGACTGTCGCTGCCTGTATCAGGTCGTTAGTAGCTTGTTTTGATAAAATGAATGATGGGAACAAGAAAATGACGTACATCATGGAGATACGAGGGAAACCTCGCGATGAATTTTAAGTGACTTATTTGTCTGATTTGCCTGATTTGCGATAGTCTGTTATATATGAACGGCGGAGTGGGATGCTATTAAGCGGGAGGGTGATCCAAAACACGCCGTTTGGATGGAATATCAATTATGTCGGATGCCCGAAATTGGGGGAGGAATTGGGGGAGATAAGGTTGACCAAGCAACTGTATATAAAAATTGCAGTGCTACTGTAGGTGCAAACAAGGATGACGGCGTTGTACAATTACGTAAATCTTTGAAATGAGTGTGAAACCCAAACAACCTGACTAGGCTTGGTTGTGAATTGTTGTGATGCTTTTTTTTCAATGGGGAAGAAAAAGGAAAAAAGAAGGGAGGAAGAGTTTGAGTCATTCAATAAGCGTGAATCGGGTTTGAGTTACAAAGCTAAATCGCTAGAACACGTCCGCCGCTGAAAGAGCGCGTTAAGTGGTTTCCTTTCAGGGAATCATCTTATCAGTTTAATGGATTTATAGCGTGCTTTCATGCAAGTCAGTGTTCTATTGTTGATTTTTTTCAGGGGGCCAAGGTCGCCGAGGGGCAAGAACGATCCACAAAGGGGAACTTTTTAACACTAACCCGCTAAAAGAAGGAACGGCGACAGGGGGTTAAATTACGTTTTCTCAGCTCTCATTGGCTTATCTGAAACCAGCATCTCCAAACGCTCTTTCCTAGCTTCACTAGCGGCGATCAAGTCACGAGTTTGCGTGTGGTAGTCGCGCCTCAAACACCGCTGCCTAGGAAAAAAAACAGTGCAGCTTACAGCTTTCCCCCCAAATTTATTCTCCTTCAACCCCACAAAATCTTTGTGTGGTGCAAGCTCGGCGTTTTTCAAGAGTCTTTCTCCCCCCCTTCTCTTCTTTTTTCATCGTTCAACCCAACCTGATCAACTTGCCACTTTACATATCCTTGATCAGGATTAATGCTATCTTTTGCAATTCTCCCAATGTGTTATTTTCTTCTACCATTTTTTGATGGTTAAGCCTTGATTTTGGGCGATCAATAACCAACTCTTGGGCAAGGCTGTTGTCCATTTCCTATTTCCTTGACTTTTTTTCACGCCGCACCTATAACGGCGCAGTCACCTCCAAATCCGAAATTCATTCCCCCATCATCATTCACGATTCGCATTCACACTTCCGCTTTTCGCCCTACCTGCCTATTTTTGATAAATAGGCTTTCGCCGTCCTACTAAAATTCGTCACATTCATTTTTATTTTGAACATATTCGATTGCGCCGATTTTGTCTATCATCGCTGCGATTCACAATACCCACAACGAGATGCCGCCCCGAACCCGAAGTGCAGCAGCCGCTAAAAGTGTTGCTGCGGCGAAGGAGTTAGGTACTGTCGGCAGCAACTCAACTTCTTCGGCGCCTACTCCCACAACGATCTCAGACAGCGACTACTCTACGCCGGCCACTAGCAATGCCGTGACTCCAGCACCGTCTGTCTCGGTATCCGCCAAGCCCTCGACCTCGAAGAGCGGACCCCGTCCTCGTCTAGTCGTCGAACTTCCTGATCTCGATCTCGACGGCACTTCGTCAGGCAGTAAGCCTAAGGGTTTTGGTTCGTCAACTACTAGAGGTGCCAGACGCCACCGGCCTGGCCCTATTTCTTACGTGGATGACTCGGAAGCTGAGGATGATGACGAGTTCTTCCCTAACGACAACTCTGTTAGTGCGAAAGTTGCGCGCAACCTCCAGCGCATGGAAGAAGAAGAGGCCATGGCTTACATCCCGTCAAACAACCGCAAGGGAAAATCTGTGGCGGGAACAAAGCGATCAAATATATCTCTTATCCCCGACTCTGAGGACGATGATGAAGCTTTGCCTTCTTCTTTAGGCTCTCGTAAAAAGCAGAAGATGATTGTTGCTGATAGCGAGGACGAGGTATCTGAACCTGATGTTCATTCTGAAGACCACATTGAGGACTCCGATGAGAACTCTGACGCCCATTTTGACGAAGCTTCTGACGATGAATCTACAAGGGATGAACCTCCTATAGATCTTTCTCTCGATGCGCCCCTGGTCCCTACGCGCGCTAATCGCGGGACCCGTCGTGCAGGTTCTCGTAAGAGGAGCGACTGGAAGAGAGAGAGACTGGAGATGCATCATCCCGAGCTCCTAACCATGTGGGCTGAACTTGAAGCAATGCCTGTTGTTAATGCCGGCTTAGCTGATCAACCAAGCAATATCAAGCGTCAGTTGAAACCCTTCCAACGTGCGGGGCTTGCTTGGATGATGGCGATGGAGCAGACAAAATGGAAGGGTGGTCTTCTTGGTGACGAGATGGGCCTTGGCAAGACTATCCAAGCCGTATCCCTAATCATGTCTGATTATCCTGCAAAAGCGCCTACGCTCGTGCTTGTTCCTCCTGTAGCTTTAATGCAGTGGACATCGGAGATCGATTCGTACACCAACGGACAATTGAAAACGGTTGTTTTCCACGGTACAAATCAAAAGGCAAAGCAGATGAAGGCCAAAGACCTCAAGAAGTTCGACGTTATCATGATGTCATACAACACGCTGGAGTCCATGTACCGAAAGCAGGAAAAGGGCTTTAAGAGGCGCGAGGGTACATACAAGGAGAAAAGCCCCGTTCATCAGATCAAATTCCATCGTGTCATTCTTGACGAGGCTCATTGCATTAAGGTACGCCCTTACTATCAATTAATTTATTCGCGATTAACATGATGCAGTCACGACAAAGCATGACAGCCAAAGCATGCTTTGCTCTTAACGTCGAATTCCGTTGGTGCTTGACCGGCACACCTCTACAGAATCGGATCGGCGAGTTCTTCTCGCTACTACGATTCCTGCGAATCATGCCGTTTGCTGCTTATCTTTGCTCGAGTTGTAATTGTTCCAACCTTAACTGGGCTGCGGATGACGATAGTCGATGCAAGCACTGTACGTATCTGTTCCTAGATCTCAGATGTATTCGATGTACCTGCTAACTCGTCTTAGGCAATCACGCTATGATGCATCACGTATCTGTCTTCAACCAGGAACTCCTCAACCCGATTATGCGTAACGGCAATGTCGGGGAGGGAAAAGTGGCTTTTGACAAACTTCGATTGCTTACCAGCCGAATTATGTTGCGTCGCCTGAAAAAGGACCATACCAGTTCTATGGAGCTTCCCGTGAAGGAAATTTACGTGAACCGACAGTTCTTCAGTGAGGAGGAGAATGACCTTGCTAACAGCATCATGAATAACAGCCAACGCGAGTTCGACACTTACGTCGCTCAAGGTGTTCTGCTTAACAATTATGCCAACATTTTCGGCTTGATTATGCAGATGCGCCAAGTGGCCGATCATCCTGATCTGATTTTGAAGAAGACTAGCGAGGGCGGACAGAACGTGCTGGTCTGCTGCATATGTGACGAACCTGCCGAGGAAGCGATTCGATCCAAGTGCAAACATGACTTTTGCCGTTCTTGCGCGAAGAGTTATGTTGACTCTCAGAAAAGCCCTGACTGCCCACAATGCCACATTCCCTTGTCAATTGACCTAGAACAACCTGAGATTGAGCAAGACGAAGTCCTCGTCAAGAAGTCATCAATTATCAACCGTATCAAGATGGAGAACTGGACATCATCATCCAAGATTGAGTTGCTGGTTCATGAACTTCACCGAATGCGATCGGACAACGCATCACAAAAGTCCATCATCTTCTCGCAGTTCACCACTATGCTGCAATTGATTGAGTGGCGCTTACGACGTGCTGGTATCACGACAGTCATGCTTGATGGAAGCATGTCACCTCCTCAACGACAGGCTTCTATTGATCATTTCATGAACAACGTTGGTGTAGAGTGTTTCTTGGTATCCCTCAAGGCTGGCGGTGTGGCATTGAACCTCACTGAGGCGTCACGCGTCTTCATTGTTGACCCGTAAGTTATCATTTTATCCCCTTTGCTTTCCTAAGAAATGTACTAATGATAGCTATGTTATAGGTGGTGGAATCCTGCAGCTGAGTGGCAATCGGCTGATCGATGCCATCGTATTGGTCAGACACGTCCTTGTGTAATCACACGCCTCTGCATCGAGGATTCCGTGGAGAGCCGTATGGTCTTACTTCAAGAGAAGAAGACCAACATGATCAACTCGACCGTGAATGCGGATGAGACGTCCACTCAGAAGCTCTCACAGGAAGACTTACAATTCCTTTTCCGAGGTACTTAAGTTATCCTATTCATTAATTTGCACTTGTACGATAGGCGTGGTCGGCGGGCGTTCAATATCAACCAAGGCAAAAGGAAAAGGAGTACAGGAGTAAAGGGAGTGATACGACCCCTATATACCCTAGGATGATCTTTTTAATGACGATTGGAACGACAAACCGAATGGTATTCGATTTCATTCAATCTCTGATTTCTTAGAGGAAAATAATGCACGCATAATGGAAGGCTTGGTGCTAGGTGTTTTTGCTTTTGCTTTACCACGCAGTTGGACTTTTACGTTCCTCTGCCCCCGAGCTATGTAGCTAGATAGTCCTATTAGTACAAACGGCTATAAGCCTCTCTGGACTGGAGTTTATTGAACTGTGACTGGAATAGATAATTTATTTGTGAAGAATGTTAACGATATATGCTAGACAAAGTCTGATGACGTAATATCACGATAGCTTAATTGTCCGCCCTACTCGACTTCCCCCACCCAACCCCACCTAGTACTACCCCAATTGGGGTCCTTAGATCGACAAGTCGGCGAAAATGAAATTCTTCCCCGATGTTAAAATATCGAATGTTTTCATACAGTAGCTTACATCGATAATCTACCATTATTAACCTCTTGTCAGTCACAACAGACGAGAAACCACCAGGCCATGAGGGGCCATTTGGGGGTGTTAAGCCGGCAATTGTCGACTATTAAAGCTGGACGATTGGCACGCAATGGCTGGATATGTCACTCATGTCGAACCGGTCAGGTTCGGCGCAAGCTGTTTAGCAGTAGTGCAGCTTTGCGGGATGCTAAGGAGAAGCCGTATTATGTGACAACGCCGATTTTTTACGTTAACGCTTGTGAGTATATTCCCTATACCCTTTACTAAGCAGTTTATGGTTCTTTCTTTGCTAATTAGCTTCTTCGCAAGCTCCCCACGTCGGTCATCTATATAGCATGTTGATCGCAGACGTCCTAAAACGATGGCAAGTCCTAAAAGGCAGACCGGCGATTCTAAGCACAGGTACCGACGAACACGGCATGAAAGTCCAACGCGCGGCCGAATTACAAGATGTCCCTCCGAAAGCCCTATGCGATGCGAACGCCGAGACGTTTAAGGACCTCGCGAGGAAAGCGAATATTTCAAACGACCACTTTATACGAACCACGGATCCCGAACATAGAGATGCGGTTGAATATTTCTGGACGGGCTTGAGGGATAGTGGATATATTTACGAGACTAAACATGAGGGCTGGTATTGCGTTAGTGATGAGACGTATTATCCAGATAACGCGGTCGAGAAACGTGTCTCGCCTGTAACGGGGAAGACGTTTATGGCGTCGGTTGAGACGGGGAATGCGGTTGAGTGGACCGAGGAGAGGAATTACCATTTTCGATTGACGGCTTTCCGAGACAGGCTATTGAAATTCTACGCTGAGAGCCCGGGGTGGATTGTTCCGAGTAATCGCTTCGCGGAGGTGGTTAGTTGGGTCCAAAATAACCTGGAGGATCTTTCGATATCGCGGCCGGTCAGTCGTCTGGATTGGGGTATTCCGGTGCCGGATGACTCGAGTCAGACTATTTACGTATGGGTCGATGCTCTGATCAATTATATCACGGTCGCTGGATATCCTGTGTGGCCACCGGGCGACGAGCATACGAAGGGGTGGCCGGCTGATGTGCATATTGTTGGGAAAGATATTGTTCGCTTCCATAGCGTATACTGGCCTGCATTGCTTATGGCACTGGATCTCCCCCTGCCGAAACGCATTCTCAGTCACGGACACTGGTTAATGAGCCGACAGAAGATGTCCAAGTCAGTTGGCAACGTGGTGAACCCTTTCTTCGCTATTGATCGTTGGGGTGTGGATACCATGCGATACTTTTTAATCTACAACGGCGCTATGGCTCACGACTCCGACTACAGCAACGAGTTTATTGTTGATAGGTACAAGAAGGGCTTACAGAGAGGCCTTGGCAACCTACTCAACCGAATCACGCGGCCGAAGAATTGGAAAGTAGCGGAAATAGTGTCGTCTATGAGTAGCAAACAATCTGAGCCGCTTCCGGAAGTGGTTGACATCCACCGAGGAGAGTTGGAGAGGCTTGTAGGGAAGGTTGAGGGCCATATGGAAGAATTGAATCCTAGCGGCGCATTGAGGGAGATTATGAAACTTGTATTTGAGGTATGTTTCACAAGATTTGTTTCTTCGCGGTATAAGCTAACTTTTTTTTATAGACAAATAGGTTCATACAAGAAGCATCACCTTGGGCCAAAACCGATGAAGATGATGCGGCGGCGGTCGAACAAATCGTATTTTACGCAGCCGAGTCATTGCGTCTCGTGGGTATTCTTCTTCAGCCATTTATCCCTGAGAAGGCAAATGAGTTCCTGGATAGGCTTGGCGTTAGTCATGACAGAAGGACGATACAGTATGCGGTGTTACACGCAGATGATTCTTATGGGACCCCTATGATAACACTTGGCGAGGGCGCACATAGCAGTTTGTTCCCACCGATTCCTGTAGAGGATTAATGTGCAAGGAACAGTATATGATGTAAATACATCGGACATTGTAAAATCAGATAAAAGTATAAATATGATGATACCCAGGGAAAACTCCCCTTTTTGCAAATTCCGAACTGAAGTCTGATGTGGTGATATCGTAAGATAGCGGGCCAAATAGGTACATGTGTCGGGTAACATGCACCTAAATTTATAGGGAGAATAGTTGATTCCCAGGGCTCCATCTTAGCTTAGGCACCAAGTCTTCCACAACATAATTTTCTCATGTTAATCCCACGACTCTTCGCAACGACGATGCGATTGAATCGTAGCATAAGAATATGCGATTGAAATTCCGGATCGGGTTTGAGATACTTTTAATATTACGATGAGGTTCAATGAGAATATCGGTTAGTTAGATCCCATTCCGTAACCTGTCTAGGACTGGGCTGCGTGTCGCTTTTCTCCCCTTCTATAAACTCCGAAGTGAGTAAGCTAATACGTGATCGGGTTTAAAACAGCTGTCTCGACCGAAAAGGTCCTTCTTGTACCTTACGATGCGCACCATGTCCCACGATACCATCAGTGGATGGAGGATCCGGTATTCTCATTTTCTCCCCTGCTGCTCAAGCTGCGAAAATTATATGAAGCTAAGTAAGTTGAACGAGTACTGACAAACTACAGGCCATCCGTGAAGCCACAGCTTCAGAACGTCTCTCCCTAGATGAGGAGTACGAGAACCAGGCATCATGGCGCGAGTCACCAGATAAACTCACATTTATTTTGTGCGAGCCGCTACTGCCACAGGATCCAGCGCCTATAGTAGTGGCAGGTGTAGATGATGCGCCGACAAAAATGATCGGGGATATTAATCTGTTCCTTACACCGTGGGATGATGATGAAGATGAGCAACAAGGACAGGAACCAGAGAAGGGAGAAAAGACATACTACACAGCCGAAGTCGACATAATGATCGCGGACTCATCTCACCGCGGCAAGGGAATCGGGCGCGCGGCTGTGTCGACGTTCTTAGTGTTTGTGCGACGGCATCTTGATGCTATCTTAGCTGAGTATGCTAACGCCGACAATACTGCCACCACAACTACTCCTACTTCTACTCCTGCGCTACGAGAAGTCGTAGCTAAGATTAATGCGAGTAATACTGGCAGTATCGCGTTGTTTAAAAGCCTAGGGTTTGTGAAGAAGGGAGATGTTAATTACTTTGGCGAGATACGGATGGTGCTTGCGGACTTCGAGTTTGCGTCAAAGGGGAATGGGGGGAAGAAAACTTGGGAGGCTGCGCGGGAGGGGATGTATTGGGAGTGCGCGTTTGATAGGTCAAGGTTGGGTACGGACTCGACAGGATGATGCCGAGGATTGATACCTTGATGGGCTTCATCAACAGTGAGTACTGCCTCAATACCTACAACACGAGAAATCGCACTAGTATTGCATTTCTCAAAGTTCTTGATATCAAGGAATCCCTCTAGCGTCTTTTTTTTTTTTTTTTTTTTTACAAATCTACTGAGGTCACGAATCGTGCTGATACTTTTCGCAAAAGTATACAACTGTAGAGGAACGTACCTATACGTGTATGTATGCATGTATATACATGCGTGTGTGGGTGGTACAAGATGGGTGCGGGACGGCGCGCGAGTGTGCAAATTGCATCCCGCACGATTGTTACTAGATTCGCACACGTATCCCAATTCATCCCAATTCATCCCATTTCCCTCTCTCTATTTCTACATATAGGTAGGCAACCCACTACACTTTATTATGATCAATTTGAGAAAGTTACTACTTACAGTTATTTCCACCAAAGCTTGCCTATATATATATATATATAAGAGCTTGCATTACCAAATTGGTTCCAGCTGCGGACATGGGACCTTCATCAGCTAACAGTTACGTGAACGAACGGCTCGTGGCTTGGTTACAGGACGACTCGGATCCTTGGAATCCCCTCCTGGTGTCTAGGTTGAACCGAACCAAAACCATCGAGAAAGTGTTCCAAGACGTGGACAGAGTTTCTGGGCACGTCGGCCAAATGCATACCCCTGTTAGAATTCCTCGGTGAGTCTACAGAGTATGTAAATTACTTCTATACTAATTACAAATTATTAGTGTGACGGCGCGTAACAACGCCGGCGTCACAGCTCTTCCTAAACGACACCCAACAAACACGAAGGGCCGAACAGATAGCAAGGCTGTATGTGAGGGTACCGCTAGCGGTATGAATATGAAGCCCGGTGCTCATTTATTGGGGATTGGTGCCGCCGTTGGTGCTCCTCCTAGATCACACCCAATAAACACTAAGGATCAGACGGATAACGAGACAGCATACAATGATACCGTCAGCGGTACGGATACAGAGCCCATTTCTCATTCACCGGATACCAGCGTAACATCGTATGAGACAGCGTATGGTGATGCCGCCATTGGAACTCTTCCTAAACCACACCTAACAAACACCATGGACCAAACGGATAATGAGGCAAATGATACCGCCGATAATATGGATATAGATTCAACTGCTCATTTACCAGAGGTTAATTTGGCAGTATATGATGATGCTGTCATTGGAACTCTTCTTCAACCAGACCCAAAAAGCATTAAGGACGAAACAGACAATGAGGAAACATATAAGGATACCGCCAACGGTATAGATACAGAGTCCAGTGCTCATTCACCAGAGATTAGTGGCCTACCAAAGGTCAAAGTTGATAGCATAGTTCAATCCCAAGTGGTTGATAATTCCAACCCCCCAGAGGCTAGAATCCCAACAATTGGGTTGTCCACGGAAGAAAAGGAGAAAGACGAGAGTGAATGTGGCGAAAGCGAGTCATCTATCACACACTCGCACCATGAAATAACGCGAATTTTCCCGCCAGGCAAGCGGTTGGTTCAAAGAATAATCGCCCGCTGCCGTGGGTTTCTATCTGCCCCCCGAGTGAGCACCTATTGCGGTTTTAGGTCTGTGTCGCCACAGTATACCGGCAATTCCAGCCCAATTCCCCATTTCAAGGAATCTAGGACTGGGAAACGGAAATACGGAGAGGTTTTTCCTGATGATTCGACTCAGGGCCAGGTACACGGGAATGACGGCGAGGAGAGCCGACCCGTCGTCGGCCGTCGACGGAATAAAAGACAAGCCCGGACAAGGAACTTCGCTTGCGCGTTCAACGTCTTCGATGATTGGAAGTACTCTGGCTCGTTCTCACTACGATATGCATCCTGCGGAAATAATGGATTTGACACAATCAGTCACTACAAGTTAGTATGCCTAGATATCGTTCTATAGATCTCCAGGTTGACTTGGGAGAAGGCAGCATATAAGACGCATTCACATCCTACATCAATGCTCTCGATGCGAGGAGATCTTTAGGCAGCAAGGGGATCTTGAAACTCACCTACTTGAAGATCCAAGGTGCGAGGAAAAACAGTTCATACGGAAAGACGGCTTGTCCCAGACCGAATGGGAGGCTGTAAAGAAAGCTTTCGAGCACCCGGATGACCGTTACGACGACGAGAAACGGTGGTTTCGTGTTTGGGATGTATTATTCCCTGGAGTGACAAGGCCTCCTGACCCTTGTGAGTTCTAGACATTATCTACTTGGACACCGAGTCCTCCTACATAGGTACGAGTATTTCCGAGATAAGTCGTACTTACTATAGACGTGCATAGATTACAGAGACTGTCGCCTTTCTTCACGTGACAGAGTCATCGACTATATGAAAAACCACCGAGCCGAACATTCTATCGGAAACGACGACAACGTGATGAGAATGGTGATTTCTGCTCTGAATAACGCCATGCCAAGCGCGCCACCTATTGAGTTAGATGCTGGTAGCTTCAACGCTTCACCGATGCAAGCACCAACAGCAAATAATGACACAAATTCAGCCCAAAGGAACAATCCGAGTGCTGGTGTGCCCAGTATATCTGATTCTACTGAAGGCACCACAACCCATACATATACGTCACTCTTAGGGCCGGGGACTGTCGTCTCCAGTACATCTTTCCCGTCAAGGCAGCCAGTATCATCCAATACTGACATATCAAATACCACCTCCGACGTATACCAAAGGAACGACCCGAACGCCAATCCGTATAATATGTATGACACGTCCACCGGTGCTTGGCCAATGCCTGCAGCCGTTACGGAATTTGTTGAAATGCAGGACTATCAGGATCACGAAGAAAGCACCGAGGAACGATGCAGACATGCTCGATTATCTGGTCCGCGTTCTGATGATTCAGCAATGAGCCAATTCGATCAGCAGTCCGACTATGTCACTATGAGCCAAGTCTATTTGAGCGGTGGTCTTCCGACCTCAGTGCAGTTTAATGAGGAAGTCGATACTGACTCCCAGCGCGATTCCATCTTTAATCTTGACGACACCAATAATGGTGAGTAACCCCCTTGGTTTCATTCGGCACCGTTGCCTTGACTCACCCTTTTGACAGAAGATCAACACACCGATTCTTAAGTGTTTCGAGTGCGGACTGGTGTCATTAAGGCACCTAAAGGGTCATGAAGATACGATTGGTAGGTGGTAGATGGGATTTATGACACAGTATATGTTTGCATATAGCGTCGTCTATATAGATACTTTAGCTCTTAAAGCATCAGCCACGTTAAATAGTTTCAATATCTATCATGTTGCGTTCTTCATGTAGTCACTATCTCCCAACCCCAAACTTCTCAGCATATTCTCTCAACATCTCTAACGAGATATTCTGCCCTCCACATACAACCACAACAACATTCTTCCGACTCCACTCCTCATCGCTCAAACCCGCCCCCACGATCTTCCTCAACTCCCCGTTATACACCACCGCAATCGTAGCTCCACAAGCCGTCTCAACCAACATACGCGCATCGTCCGCGAACCGTATCGTGCTATCCACGGCCTCGGCATCGGTGACTACGACGCTTTGCAGTATATCCGGCGCATCGCGCGTCGCCCACAGGAACGTGCGCTCGGAGACGCGCGGCGCGCCGAGACTGATTGCGATGCTGGTTATCGCGGGAAGTGTGACGAGATGACCAGCCTGGATACTAGCGTTAAGACTTTCAGCGCCGATGGTTTCCACGGCTATGACTTTTGGTTTGGGGGTTTGCGTGGAGAGGTTCTTGGTTACACCCGCCATGATACCATTGAGGAGGCCGCCGCCGCCACAGTTACACTTTGGTGGGGGTTAGTGAGTACTTCTGCTCAGAGCCGGGTTTTACATACGAGGATGGCGTCAATAGATTGCGCGCCTAGAGGCTTCACTTGCTTGACCAGCTCATCGACAATGAAACTCGCGCCCTCCCAGACATCTGGGTGGTCGAAAGGCGGTACGTAAATGCCGGCTGGGTCGTGAGCGAGCAGTTCGGTGCGAAGGTGCTCATCTGCGGCGGCCCAATTGGGGCCTATTTGATGGGCTGTGGCGCCGAGTACTATGAATAAAGGTCAATATCTTGGTCTCTTCGATGTAATTTCTAGCCGGGTGTCGCAATTGCTTGAAAAGTGACATCATAAAATCATTCATTTAAAGTAGATTGAAATTACTTACGGCGCATTTTCTCTATCATATGTGCAGGTGTGAGCGTGGGTACGACAATAGTACACGGCCGACTCAGTGTACCAGCCGCTGTTGCACACGCTAGGCCTGCATTGCCCCCAGATGAGCAGTAAAAGTGCGCATTTCCAGCAGGTTTAGCGAGCATGGCTTGGTACATCATATTTCCAACCCCTCGCGATTTGAACGAGCCGGATGGCTGGAGGTTTTCCAGCTTAAGGAAGACATTGCTGCGGTTTCTTTATTAGTCTCGGTGTAATCAGATTTGAGGGGTTAAGGATATGGGAAATAGGTTCTTACCAACCTGCTATACGCGAAAGGGGCGGCGATGGGATGCACGGTGTTTCTATGAAGAGCTTTTGAGGCTCTGGATCACAGGAGCCCATTTTGCTTGATGATGGCGTAATAGGTGAGATGTAGATTAAGAGAATCTCAACGAGTGATCCGAATTAGTCGCGAAAGTGGGTTAGGCTAGAGATGGCTTTAGATCAATGTCGGCCCGGAATTTGACATTGAAAAAAATATGTTCATCCGAGAATCAGCTCAATACTTATGTTATTTCAATCTCGAGGAAGGTTAGTGATTCTCAATAGCCCGAACGCCTTCTATCGTAGAAAAAGATAAGGGGGTCCGCGACAATCTCCAGCGGGGCCTTCGGGGCCCCCTCCCCCCTTCAGCGTAGTGGCTGGAACCCCGCGGTGTTGACCCGAAGGGCGTTACTGGTCATTATTTAGGTACATACCCGGGTGTATACTATTATGTAACCCCGTACTTGGCTTTTCTCGCAAGGGACCTACATCTTTTCACATTCTAAGAAGAAAATAAGATGAGATTGAACCCGAATTAATATCATATGACAGATGAGAAAGACTATCTAGTAAATATGGCCTTCGTTACACCCTCTACGTCATCAAGACCATTAATCAAATTTGTACTACCGAAAATTTTACTACAAGAAAAAGCAAAGCTAGAGGGACGAGGAAACTAAGAGAATCCTTATCATCTCGGAGGGCGTCGGAGACATCAAAGCCTAACCCAATTGCTACACATTTCATATTTCGGGCATCTATGATAGCCTTAAGCAAGGGATGTTTAGTGATATTAGATATCATGGAAGATATTCTCTGCTCGGTAAACCTTCCGGAAAATGTGTGGTTTTGCATACGGCGAAAGTGGGGCTCATACCGGTAACAAGACCGGACACCTCCGTTACAACCACCGGTGGAAGGAACGATGGTAAGGGTCTTTACAACGACTACACTCCTTATTCGATAATTATACAGAGGGACAGTATTGTACCGCTTTCAATTATGAGATATTGGCAGTGGGAATCTGGCATCTAGCCCAGCCTGGAAGCTCAGTTCTCCTGGATTTTCGGTGTTACCAAGCCCCAAGGTACGTTACGCAAGTCCGCTCAGTTCAACATTCACGTCAAATTACTTCTTTTATGGCAAAGTAATGTTCTCATTGCACTACTTGTTAAAATTGGTATTTTAAGCCATTTTCCTTTCCATCTGAGGCCTGCCAAGCTCCCAGATTTTTACCTGAGTATCTTTCAAAGCCTAGCCCGATTTTCCCATTTACGCAATTCCGAAGAAAGCAAGGTCCTGAGCCTCGTGGACGGGGACGGTGTGGCCGACTCCTTGGGCGCTGTATCCGACTAGCTGGGCGGTAGCGGCATCTCCGTCTCCGTAGATGGTCTGGGTGTATCCGCTCTGGGGCGTGTTGGTCTTGTCCGCCGATGTCGTGAGGCCTAGGACGTTGGACCACTCCTTGAGGGTTTCTTGGTCTATTTTGACAATCAGTATTTATATTTTGCGGTTGTTCAAATTGGCTCGGAACTCACAGTTGGGGTATCGGAGGGTGCCGTCGGAGGTTCCGTGCCAACTATTTCGTCATGTTAGTCCAGAGAGCTAAAAGTCACCGCTGTGCGGGGAAAATGGTTTCTTACACTTGGACACGGGGGCGGGGGCCGGTGTAGTCGGGGTAGTAGGATCGGACGAGGTCACCCCATTGTTGAGCAGTCTTGGTGCTCTGGCCGTTAGCGCAAGCGTTGTTCCATCCAGGGGGGTCCTGGGTGGCGGTCGAGCCGGAGACGTAGAAGCATCCGTCGGGGACACCAGAGTAGACGGATCCCGCCTTGAAGACGTCGGGGTAAGCTCCGAGAAGCACGTTCGTCATCATGGCACCGGAACTGGTTCCAGTGACGTATGTCCTGTTGGCATCACCACCGTACTTGTCTACAGCGTATTTAACCATGTTGATGATGGTCTGGCTGTCACCACCGCCATCATGCTTCAGGGCTATACCAATTCAGTCAGCAATTATTCGATCTGAGCCATATCGGTAAATTAAGGGAACGTACTAGCGTCGGAAGCGACATCGAAGCAACCACCGCTGGATCGCGAGTTGGGGTAGATCAAGATGAAGCCATGTTGGTCAGCCAAGGGCATGTAGTGAGACTCGGTGGAGTATTGTTGAGCGGAGCCTTGGCAGTGGTGTACGGCGACGATGATAGGAGCCGGGGTCTTAAGGTTCTTTGGCACGTAGGAGTACATGCCCAGCTTTGTAGGGCTGGCATTGAAGTCGTTCACCTTAGTGATGGACTGGGCACTGCCAATAGTGGCAAGCGCCAAAGTGGCGAGCGTCGATACAACCTGCATATTGTCGTCCTTAAGCAAATGGGGCAAGTCTACGGCCAAATTAACTTGGGGATATTCCTAGAACTCTTATACAAGCTCACTTCAAAGTTCCGGTGGGCAAGCTCCCAATAAGTATTTTTATCCTGTTGTCCCCCCTAATGTTGTTTTTAAGACCAATTTCATCGTGGCCACTGCCATTTCCCCGGATCTCACCTTAGCTTGTTCATCCCTCTGGCTAATCTACTAGTCGGTTAATTTATCGCGGCGGACTCTGTTCCAAATCGGGAAATCGGATATTCGGTTAATCAATATCAACATACATTATTATTGCGGAGTAGTTGGAGAATCAGGTACTCAGAGTGAAGTTTTAGCCTGGTATCCTGACGATCTAGGTACCGATCCGTAAATGCGAACCGGGCTCACGACTAGCACAGGGGAAACCGAAGCTACAAGAAAAATAAACTTCACGGGGTCTACCCCATACCAAAAGGTAGTATCGTCAGAATAGGCTATTCTCAATATAAGGGCATGGTCATGCATTGCGTAAGTACTCCACGTGGCTGGATATTTATGGTAGCTATATCCGGGGTAGTTGAATGAGGCTCAGTCTAGATTGGCATATCATATATAGCCAGTTTGCTCGAATTGGGTAACAACTCATTCTTACGATAGAACCTTATTTCTACGTGAAGCATCATATTTGTTTCTGGCATATATGAATTGCAGGGGTTTATGTGGGATGCTCCCCAGTGTGGTGGGGATTTTCATGCCACTCAAAGAAATACAAATCTAGAATCGCTCGAAGAACATAATATGAAGAAGTGATCATGTGGTTAAAGTGATCTTGTCTACCATGCATATTGCCCTATAGCATCCCACATCTATCAATTGGCCTTCCAGGGACGATATACAGCGACGGGTTTACCGGAGGGTTTGACGCAGGTTATTAATAGAAGCGTCGCTCATCAAAAACCTCGGTGATTCGGCATGGTATATAGCGATGCTTCGTGATGTGCAGTGTCATGTAGTCTCTAACATATAAAATAGATCTATCTGACACATGCTACTAACATTAGGTAATCCAGGGGCTCCGTAAACAGGCTTGCATATGCGCCGGGCGACTCGTCCGGACCACCGTACCCTTAAAGCGATGGGAGGGGGCCAAATTCGAGTCTGAACGCATCGGCAAAGTTCAATCGGGGGCAAAATCGCCTTCTTGTTGTCGCATGTCGTATCCCAAAATCGTTCGTCGCTCCCTTTCTTGTTTCGGCTTCTTAAATGGCAGTTATCCACAGGACCCAAGACCCACCCGCAATAACTCCTTTCTATGCAAACATAACTTTTTTAAAAAATCCCAAACCACGCCGTCAACGCCAAATTCCCCATTTATTGAGGGAAATGCCATAATCCCAATCTTTCGACCACACTATATCCCATACCGAGAAACTTGCAAAGCGTTACCCAGTTTTCTGCTTGCGTCGCCGTCTCTAGAGCAAGCACATCCAATTCAAGAAGCTCTTGCGCGCCATTCTCCTCGGAAAACAAGTCGTGAGCCAACCAAGCATCATCCTTGGCTAAGGATTGCGATCGCTTCAGTTCATGAGCGCCCTGTATCCACCATCCCCTTTTAGTATTCCCACTCCCTCGAGGCAATATAAATTTGGCGTCTTGATCAAATGTAGATATCCCTTCCAATTCCGAACTCGACGTAACTTCGAGGTATGTGTTGTATGATGCTGTTTGGTTACCTAGATCAGGTCTAGGTTCTAGACGACTGTACCCTAAAGCGTCCAGCGCTTTGCTAAGAGCGGTCGTCGCCCGTTGGGTCGTCTTGAGGATGTAGATAGGCGGTGACACAGCGCCATTGTCACGACTCATGGTTGTGGCGTACGCGATGGATGTGAGGAAGCCAAGACTTATTAGTGGCGAGAGCTTCATTTTCAGATTCCAAGATGAAACAAAGTGGATCAGTCCCGAAATTCTGCGACTGGGTATATTTTTCTAGAAGACTCTTAAATCAACGTCAAAAGAAACAATTAAAGAATGGATGGCATAGGACCAAGTCAAAAGAAAGCCCGTTTCTAAAAGTGCTAAGTAATGCGATAAACGCCCCAAGTCGGCCGAAAATTGCAGGAGCTCACTTTTCAGGGGGCGATGGGACCCTCGTATCGGATCCTTCGACCGAGACGATATAGCGTTACATGACGCGTTCCGTATCTAGATTCTACCACCAAATTGGTGCCGTGCCCGGGGGTCTTGAACCATGTCACCCCCGGAAATTCTACAGGGCACTGCCACGATCATCACTTTTTAATACAAATACCCAAGAACGAACCAGCCAATGAGCGCTGCTTTCCAGTTTAATTAGTGAAGAAGCATAGATTTCTTACTAAACTATTGGGTTTTGAAGATCGTGCTAATGTGCTGGATCTGCACTTCGCATCTTTACGTGTTAATCATAATCGCAAGTTTTGCTGAATTTTTAGGCAACGAAATAACGATACGAAGCGATTTGGCTTGGCTAACATGGTCTAGCTCTTCTCTTGCTCTAGCTGATGGCTATAGAGACTACTAAGTCCTTCGAGAGAACGACGGACGTAAAATTAGCAGGGTTCTTTTGTGTAGTGTATGTGGGAATGAATTTGAAAGGGTCTAGAATCTGGTACCTAAATGAGATTGAAGACGAAACTATGGTTGGTCACTTTAGGTGGGCTTGTAGGGCAATTATATAAGCTGAGGAGAATTTAGCGAGATCCATTAGTGGAGGTCGAAGTGGAAATAGGGGTTGTGCTTTTAATCGATGCCTTCAGGGGTCGCGATCTTGACCCCTTTATCTTCTCGCCTCAATATTAAACCACAATTAGTCAGCCTTCTTGCTATCATCACATATAATGTCCTGAAGTGCGATGTGGAAGGAGATGGTTTGCAAGTATCCTATTACCTAAAATGCTCACGGGCTCGAATTGATGAAGGCGCCAAGAAGTCGTTATCCTCTGAATAGCGGATAGCCTACCTGTCTGCCTAGGTATCTCCGTACCCTAATACCTGGGTACTTAGGTGCCCACCTAGGCAATCATAAACCTCTTATACGAAAATAAGTATCAAATGTCTTCTAGACCTCGAGTACTTCAATGAACATCATATTTATAATATTGATAGAGCATTAGCTGATTATTTAGAAGAAGCACCAAATATGCCATCAAGAACCAATCAGTTCAAAGACCCAAGCTCACCGTTATCTAGAAGCCAAGATCCGCAGAGAAAGATCGCGCGTTATAGAACCACCACCCATCACACATAGCCTCAAAATAATTGACGGAATTCTTATGATTACTAGGTAGCGTGAGAATTTGTCTTAGGTCGAGATCCGGGTTGCCTGCTTAGGTAGGGACCGAGCGAATAATGTATCAAGATATCCCCAACTCCAGCCACTCGCTCGCTCGGTTACTTGATATTCTCCCAAAATCCTCTGAGACACCGAGATGTTGGGGTGTCGTCGTTGAGTGGTTCTAGGCCATGCATGATAATCTGTTGTATGCATATGGTTAAAATCGCCTTTCTTTACAGCTTCTGTTTTATTGGTGTTAGTTTACGTATTGAAGGAGCCTGGTGTTTGCATCATAATTCCTGCATCGCTAAAAAGACGGAAGAGGCATCCAGTAACAGTATCCATCGCCTAAATTGTGAAAACTTGCTTGACGACGTAGCGGAAAGCCAGTGGCTCAACGCTATTAAGTTACACTACTTCTGATGTCTTGCTACCCCACGTCACGTCGTTAAGGGCGCTGGAACATTCCGAAGGACGGCATTATATACCAGCCAGTTATACTAGGAAATCTTGGTGAAATCTTTGAATGATTCAGAGCTGCATGGGCCCTCTGCCTTTCTATGGACTGAACAATAACCGCCCACCATATCAGGCATGAATGCAAAGCAGCTAGTAAATCCTATTGGATTGAAGAGCCCCAAGTACAAGATTGAGTTCTTCATGGAGCCATTATAACAAGCATTCCAACATACCAACAAGGGCAGATATAAAACCAAATCTTACACCATGAACTACAGTCGCTGTTAGGCTAGATTATTCCCCGACTCAATTATCCCAGAACTACCTACGAGTAAAGCACTCCCAAGTTAACCATGGATGTATGTTACTCTCTCGTCCGCCCTAATGCACTCGACTTACAAGTGCAAGTCCAACTCCTTAGACCTTCCTAGCCTATTGTCAGCCTTGGAGCAATTCTCCCAAGCCATTTCCAACCTAACATCAACCTTGAGTTAACTCCCATTGGCGCCGCCGGGTTGTCATCGATGTGGAGAGCCGATCATGGCGAAAACAGTTAAAAAAAACAACCCCTCAACGCAGGACGCGAGTATTTTAAATGCAAATCCTCGTGCTGCAAAAAGTTCCTCGGTTTTAACGATGAACGCGGTTTCGACCCCTTAAATCCACTCTGCAATTGTGGATGCCCGAGTCGGAGACAATTGACAAACGTGAGACACGTTACGCCTGGAAAAGTGCACTATATATGCTCAATCTCAAGCTGCAATTTCTTTGACGACGAAGAAGGGAACAGTGAAATCATTCCTCGCACTGAATGGAAGGACCGAATCAAACAAGGCTGGATCTGATACTCCAGTGGTTATTTGAGCTCTACCTATCTGGAAGAGTCTTCTAGGAAGGATTGTCGATGTCGATGTAATGTATCTAGGTTAACACAGTTACAAAATCAGTCAATCAATTTGGCCTTATTCGCCCGGCTACTATTTAAGAAGTATGAGTGATACGAATTTAGAGTACGGATAAACGCCACTATATTTGGATATGAGTTGGGAAGAACTTCTTCTACAATGTTTTCGTGTCGCCAATTAGCCCTCTTAGTCGTCCACCGCGTAAGATGGGTTAAATAGCCGATTCGGTCTCTCAACGATGTGAAGATATTATTTGACCTCGCTACGATTCCGCTTGCATTACGAAGCGTCCCCATGTGTTTATTGGATGTCAAGTACTTCACGACAAATATACCTTGGGGCGCGGAGTAAATTACCAAACTCCGGAACTCCGAGGCGCCGCGGGGGTTGAATACCACATACGTGAGGTGGCTTGCTACTCTACTACTTACACAATCGTTCTTCTGCTGCTAAACACATCACTCATACGAAGCGCAGAAATCAAATGAGTGATCTGAATATCATCCTCTTTTAGGGTATACTGACATAGGAGGATATGCCCGGTTTCTGTGGCGTGATTCATCTTAGTCTTCCTGTAGGCTACTGTTTACGTGGCGTAGGCTTGCATACTAGAAGAGTAAATTGCTCGCTTCCGTCCGTTCCACGTACGTCACCATAATTTGAATGTGATCAATTATCGTCCTCCATGTTGCAGACGCATCAAAACTCTTGATGAATGGCTGAAACATACCATGCAGTAAAGGTAGAATATGGTAGAATAAGACCGGCGATTATACCATCTATTGTCTAACCTCGGTGAGAACACACCCTTTGATTGATAACTACGTGGCTAGACAAGCATGAAAGTGCAGACGGCTTAACTACTACTTGTCCCATATGTTACACTACTTCTAGTGCTTCATATACCGAGAAAACGGTATCGAGTTTTTATATTAGTGTTGGCCAGCTATCCCCAATGTCGCATCGGCCAAAGAGGTACACATCCAGCCAATTAGGCCAGGAAAATGAATAGGTACTTCCAAAGAAGTCACCCCCCCCTTCCAGAGCCTCGTGGATATTTAGTATGAATAAAACGCAGTGAGTGTACGACTCCTAGGTAGCTCAATTTTGTAAAACTATTCCCCTGCCATCATACGGATAACCTCTACATCTTAGCCAATTCGCTCTGTACGATAAGAACCTAGTAGAACCGAATTCCCTGGATACATAATGGCTGTATGTAACCACAATATATCGAAATCTATGCCTTACTAATCCGTACAAGACCATCGTCAGCACGTTATACAACAACGGTGGACAACCTATACCGACATGCATGGTATGCGATGGGCCTGGTATTCGAGAGATAACTAGAAAATCGAATCGAAATGGGAATGCCGGACGTTTTTACTATAAATGCCAAGATTGCAATCGGTTCATTAATTTCGACGACGACCGTGGCTGGAATCCCCAGAACCCAATCTGTTGCTGTGGAATTCCCAGTAGAAGACAAATCACCGGAAGGAAGAAAGTTCCCGGGAAATTACATTTCGTTTGTAGATTCGGGAGCTGCGATTTCTTTGGCTGGGAAAGGAACGCCGAAGGGTCCCAGATGGTTGTTCCTGAAACACTTATAGGGGGCCTAGCAGGACTTAAGATCATCTAACTAGGGGAGTCCATGTGCAATGGGAACTTCAGTTTGTCTGTACTTGGAGGTTAAGAGGAGTGTCTTTCTTATTCATTGACGTTGATTATTTTACATTCGATACCGTGGATATGATCAAATACCTACTTTGAGCCAGCTGTGTAGATGTTTACTCCATCCCAGTACCTGATATGACTCTAGCGAGGCGCACCTCAACACCGATCGTTTCACCCTTCGGCGGTGTGAACCGCTGGCTTCCAACAAAAAGCATGCCTTCGAGAGACTTGTACTTGGCGTGCCCAGTCTCAAACTTAAACATTTCGACTAGTTGATTGTTAGTGCATATGAATCTAGGAAGATAGTCAAAACATACCCGCGAAACCGAAGGGAGAGGGCTTGGCGTCAGGTGCTCCAAACGCAATGGCGGTGGTGATATCATTCAATTCGACGATACCGTCGGCGATGAAGGTGATAGAGAGCCCCTCATCATCAGTTGCTACACCTTTCACATTGACACGCCCATGCTTCTTGTCAGCATCAACCGTAAGGAAATCGGCGCCGCTGTTGACGTTGAACTTTAACTTGGGCTCGAAGCCCGCAACGGACTCAATGGTACCACCAGTCAGGGGCTAATCAGTTAGCATGGTCCTCGTTGCCATAACCCACAATCAAACATACCACAACTACGAGATTCGATCCGGAGTATATATCACCACAAGCATATTTTTCGTTGAAACTGGCCTATATATCATTAGCATTCCAACCCTGGAAATGTCACTGCTTCGACATACCGTAAGCAAAATAGCCGGTTGAGTGGTCGGGAAGCTCTGCAAAGGCAGAACAAGCTCTTTCTGTCCAGCCATAATGTTGTGCGATTGGGGTTCTGGAGTTGGTATGATGATTCAAATCTTGTCGATGATGCCCTTGGAATGAAGATATGGAGGAAGTCGAAGCTCCTTATAAAGAATTATCAAAACCCCCTATCCATTGTGAAGAGGCATACCTAGGTATGGCCGTGGAAAATATTACCCATATTATTAACCTACATTGAACTACGATCAGCATTTGAGTCACTTTCAGCAATAGCACACTCGTGACTTCAATTGAGTTGATCCTATTGATTACTTAGGGGGTTGTTGAAGAGAATCGGGAGGAGCCGGTTCAACTACCCAGTTTTGACCAGGAGTAGCTCCGGTTGGTTCCCTAACCGTTACTGATGACCCGTCGTCAAAAGGATAAAAATGGGCCATAGGTTTAATGTGACTCCATTAATAGATGAGGCTTTTAATTTAGTCATCGTCTTGGAGTATCTCCTGGCTAGGATCTTAGCGATTGTGACTCATGAATAATCAAGAATCCTTCAGGGGCATTTGTGTAGCAATAAACCCCTCTAAGCATTCTTCTATATACCGTACGGCCCCCATACACAGGAAAAGGGATGCGAACCTCATCCTTATCTGTTTCTCATCAGCCGGCATTCTGCAAGAAGGGTAGCATACATGCGCAGATACTTGCTAAGGCAACTGCGTCTTAACTCCGATCGCAAGAATCTCAATTTCTAAGAGTTGCATTGTTATATCCTTTTTCGCATGCGATGCATCACTTTTCCGGGGGAAGTGTGAACTCATACGGGTACTGCATGGCCAATTTCGCCGTGGAACCGGTCATCACCCCCTGGCGGTCCACGGAACGTTCCCCGGATTGAATTTCCCCGGCCAACCACCGATCATCAACCCGGATAGTCCGCGATAAAGAAACTCAATTAGGAATATAAGCGTTGAAAAGCCCCCGAATCTGTGAAGAGATTACTATCCCCGATCAGTTTCTCGGGCCTTGTGTATGAGGCCGCGGCGATGACTCCAAGGATTGGTTGAGGACTCCTATGTACTCGCGAGAAACCTCGATCTTCAGTACCTAGACAGGTAAGCAAGTAGATGTTTAAACCTAGAGGAAGGATCTTTCAAGACGGGTTTTGGTATTCAAGATGTATTTTATTCGTATGTGGTACCTAAATGACTTCGTGCTACAATATACATACCCCCTAATCACTAAGCATGGGAAATTCCCGCTACATTGTGAGAACAGCCCGAAAGCGCACCCTGCCACTTAACATGGCATCTAGACATATTAGCACGGTATGATAAACCGTATATTACCGAGGGAATAGTTGATGAAAGCGAATAAGGGGTGATTGACCTACCGAAAGCATCCTGCGCACGATCTAGGGGAAACGTCTCAGTCTCACAATGCAAATTATGCAGACTCGCGAATTCAATAGTCTTTTCAGAATCGGCTGACTTTGCGATTGGGCATAGTTGAACCGATAGTCCGCGATTAATCATGGTAATCGGGTCCAGCGTAATGTTACCAGGAAAGCTCACGATCAGCAGCTTTCCAAGGATATTAAGTCCCTTCAGAAGGGGAGTCATGACATCGGCAGACATCGCGGTGCTGATAACGAGATTGGCGCCACCTAAAGCCCTTAGAGTCTCGCCGCTATCGCCATTGGTCGAGTCGATGTACTCATGAGCACCAAGTTTCCTCGCCGCAGCCTCCTTCTCCGGACCTCGTGAGATGGCGATAACCCGATAACCCATCCTCGCAGCAATCTGAACGGCAACATGGCCTAGACCCCCTAGACCCTGCACACCAACCGTATCCCCAGGGTTAAGATCAGAAATCCGCAGTCCATGGAAAATCGTCGAGCCCGCGCAAAGCAAAGGCGCACATGTCTTAGCGTCAATATCCAGGGGTATATGAACCGAAGCTTCAGCACGGAGGATGCAGTACTCGCCAACTAAACACCTATTAGCCATCCTATCCACCACACTGATGCACTGATGCAAAGGAAGGGACTCACATCCTCCATCTTTACTTATCCCATTCGTAGCCAAATTATCACACATCTGCGGCCACCCGTCCTTACACTGCGCGCACCCGCCATCATGTCCACCATGGTACCCAGCGCCAATGCGATCGCCTACCTTCCACCCCATCACGTTGTCGCCGATAGCCGCTACATTCCCGATGATCTCGTGTCCGGGGACGCGAGGGAAGCCGCTTCCTAGGACGTTGATTTGGGCGTAGTGGTCTGTGTGGCAGACACCGCAGGCTTCGACTTTGACGAGGATTTCGCCGGGGCCGGGGAGTCGAAGGGGTGTCTGCTCTACGGTTAGGGGCTCGTTTAGGCCTTTAAAGACGGCATGTTTATAGGTTTTTGGAAGCATGATCGATAGCTTAACGTTGAATGTCGGAGTGGGTGTGGACTCGAGCAAAGAATCGGATGATGTCGAGCATATTGCGTACGTTATATACAATAATACCTCACACAACAATGGAGCCTTTTTTACCTCTTGCCTAATCTCAATCTATAACTGAATCCCTTACATCGGTGTTATAGTGTCGGGGTTTAGAAAAAAGGACCCAATGAGGATAGGCCTCATTAGCTCACATTTGGACGACGTTCCTATGAGGTGTTTCTGATGTACCTAGGCAGGATATTGGAGTTACTGAATTGATTACAAATTAGCCATTGGAGTATTATAGAGTCTGGGTATGATATAACCGGAAAAGATACCCAAAGAAGAGCGGACTGTCTGCGGCGCAAACTACTAGTCTAGGGAAGGTGAGTTAAACCCGCCTCGAAACATCTAGTATTATACCCCTGATAAAGCTTCAAGTATAAAGAAATATTAGTATGTTTGGAGCAGTTCATGCTTATCTTATGGTTTATTCGCGGCACTATAACCGGCATCATCCAGAAGAATTTACTCCGGGGCACCATCATATCCAAACTAGCCGGCAACTGTTTACTAATCATCGTACCCGATATCCATTATTTCTCCCAGAAGAACCGTTGATATTGTATTAGTAGGTGGCCACGTAGGCAGTACTGCTCAAAAGTGTCCGGGTTATACGGCCCTCAAATTGGATTGGACTCGTCCCCGAACACGATATCTTCGCGTGAATGACTGTCACTCATGTATCTACCCACAAACATCTGGTACTAAGTTGGTATCCTTAATCTTTGAGAAGAGCTGTATTTCCGCACGGTATTTCCCTGTTCACTAATCTCTGCACCGTAGGCATCACACTTACGTACGAAAAGATCAACGAAACAACGTAAGCCCACACCATCACGGGGTTTAATTCAAAAATCGAAATAGTGACGTATATCCAGTGATAAGGAGAAGGGAAAAGAAAAGGCCTTAATCAAAAGTGGAAGTTGTCTCCTATCAAGTGGCGCGGAATAGATAGTGATCGAGACTTGCTTTTTTTACACTCTACCGAAACGTCTACCCGCAGCCCAATGTGAGACACTTGAGGTGTACGTACGCTGATTTCTACCTACATAATCTCGCCAAGCAGCCAAGAACATTTTCATATCAATCTGTGTAGCTTGTAGAAGGCTTAACCCCTATATAATACCCTCCCGGCCTTAACTCCGATACAGAATAGATGCTGACATATGAGCCCGATTACAAAGCCACCAACGACCAACCTACGAACTACTAACTAACAAGAGATCGAAAACCCCATGGGTATCCTCGCAGAATTATAATGATCCATTGATCGAATATTTTCCCCGGTGCGGTTACACGATGCAGGCCCCCCTTCAGGGGGGGTACCTGAACGGGACTGAGAAAAGGGGGTCAATTATCAAAATCACGTCCATTCTTCACTTGATTGGCTAATTCTATATGCGGTGTATGCCAGCTTCGTGCTTCGGAGACCGATGTAGATGCGCGACGGCACGGCCCGCGAAGTATTGAAGGTATGGTGACACGACATTAAGAAGAGCCAAAGCTGAAAATTTCCTGCTTGCTTAATTTTCACTCTTACTAAAAGTATTGCTGCACGAGATGGGAGCTGAAGATGTTTACTTTACGTCAGCTACGAGGGGTTACATTATATGAGTTTTGTTGGATTGTATAAGCAGATAGATCGTCCTAATCTTTGATAATATTCTACGGACTATACAGCTGAAACTAGGATTTATTAGATATGCTTCTAATACTTGGTGGTCACGCATATGCCATCCACCTAACGTGCTCCGCGAAGATTGAGTAGGGATATGTAGTCAGGGTTAGGGTTACTCACGCGCTTGATTCATCACCACCAACCCAGGTACCTAGGTACGTCCAATGATACAATAATAATGAAGATCATATAGGCCCCGATAGACTAAGCTCCAAAATGTGCCTTAGAAAGTGGAAGAGATTCCTGTAGTTGAATGCCATGGGTTTATATATGAATAAGCTATAGAATGGCGAGGGTTGTTGGCGGCCTCATAGATGTACTCGAGTGCGGTTGTAGCGTATAATTTAGTGGTTTACTTGAGCTGCGCCCCTCGAGTTTTCTATACGCTTAGGGCATATACGAGTTAGATTTAATATTTCCTGTTAATGGTATAACCCTACATCGGATCATATCAGATGACCCTATTCACACATCGAGAAGGCGAACGCCGAATGTTATTATTAATTGGGTTGTATTTACTTCATGGTTCCAATTGACGGGGGTCGATTTACTGGGTTTTTGCTACCTTAGTGAGGCGGTGCTAGGTATAGCTGCGCCTATAATGGTCGCAATTAGGAGATAGATAAAAAGGTCGTAGGAGAAAATCCCCATTAATAGGCGTCGCGGGGAAAAGAATCAATAAATTAATGCAATGTCGACGTCTCGAAGAGCCCATCATAAAAGTCGCACGGGGTGCACAACCTGCAAATCTAAAAAGGTGAAATGCGACGAGGCGCAACCATGTTCGTATTGCGTCAAAAGGAATCTTGCGTGCAGCTTGGCACCGCCGTCTCCCGAAGCCAAGGACGACTCGAGAACACCAGAAGTGATCATACCCCGGCCTCATGAGGCGCCATCCTTTACATTTAGCGATTTCGGATTGTACCGCCATTTCACCCAATCCACAGCACTCGCGCAGGCGGATGATACCTCGTCGATAACGGTGTGGCGAGAGGTCGTTGCCGACCTTGCGACACAGTATCCGTATCTCTTGCATGAGGTGCTCGCAGTCGCAGCGTTGCATCTGCGGTCTTCCATTCCGGAAAAGACAGACATTCTTGAACGGACGGCTGCGGAGCACCAAGCTAGGGCCATTCCGCTTTTTCGAGAAGCTATAGCTTCTATGTCACCGGAGACGGCCCTCCCGCTATTTGCTTGCTCGTGTTTATTCATACCCTACCATTTCGCTGCTGCAAAGGACGCGACATCGTTACTTTTCAACGAAGATACCGGTTCTCTAGCAGAATGGCTCATTCTCATTCAGGGATGTGCGGCGATTACGGTAGAACATAATATCACCCTAATGCGATCGTCTCTGCGGGCGCTTCTTGGAGACCTGTACACACCTAAAGTAGAGGATTTGAGTGGCGGTCCTACCGACGCAAGACTCCTCGATCTCGCATCTAAGCTACCTATAGCACCTGAACAGCGCGAAGCGTACGGGCTCGTGATGGTAAAATTACGAGTGTGCTTCTATGTGTCGGACAAAGCCAATACAGCATTAGATCGGAAGAACGCTGCTCTCAGGTTCCCGCCCCTCGTGGGCCAACAATTCAGAGCAGACTTCGCTGAAAAGCACCCTGCTGCTCTTATCATATGGGCATTCTGGTGTGTATTACTGCAACGGGTGGAGGAGAGATGGTGGCTTAAAGACAGAGTCAGACCATTGCTGCTTAAAATTGAAGAACTCGTACCCTTAGAATATAGGTTTTTGATGGCATGGCCAATGGAAGAAGCAGGGGTATACCAAAGGGATCATAATTCGGAAATGGTGTTAGATGGTTGAATATTTTAAGAAAAAGGTGTCACAAGTTTAAAGGTAGAAGATTAAATAAGTGAGAGAGGTGTACCTTGTACAGTGCATTAGTCTGCTTTTTGAACTGTGACTTTAGTGCAAACCTAGTAATTATAAGGCTGGTTTTAAGTGACCCACACAGTTACTTAACATCCCTGGATACTTCTAAATTCTAAGACATCTCTAAATTCAGATTCCTTCAATTCATCACATCACGTTCAACTTTCATTCTTAAACATAAAACAACGAATACGGTTTCATTGACACCGCATCGGACTAAGAACTTCGTAAGCCTATAATATCAACTTCGTTATCGATATTAGGCTCCAGCTCTCATTACCTTTGCGATCCGCATACCGAAATTCTCTAATCTATCAACCTCTGAGTTACACTCTCACCCGGCTCATCACCCGCGAAGAGCGGAAGCTCATAAATCACCACACCTAACACAACAAAACCCGATACTAAAAAAATAAGATGGCGCTTCCAACGATGGATACCCAGGCCAAAGTAGCCAGCGAAGGTAACCCCCTTCCACTCACTCACCCCCACCCTCACTATCCCATCTCATCTCCCATCCACAAATAACTAACCCCATCCAGCTGGCCAAAACTTCGTAGACCACTTCTACGAATCCCTAAACCGGCGACGCCCCTTAGGCCTATTCTACGCCTCCGCCTCCCCGCGTCTAGTCTCCGCCGGCGTCCTCCCAGACATAAGCGTAAACGGCCTTCCAGTCACCGACGTAGCAGCCTACGAATCCCTCCTAGAAGCCCAAGGCAACAACGTAACCTACGACATCGGCTCCTTCGACGCGCACCCGGTGAACCCGTACTTCCGCGCCGGCGAGCCGGACTCCGTCCCCAGTGGCGCGGGTGCTACGGGCGCCGCTGCCACGCTGCGGAATGGAGATCGTATGAGTTTTGCGCTGCAGGTTAGTGGGACGGTGCGGTATGGACGGGGACATGGGGATGGCAAGGTTGGGGATGCGCCGGCTGCGACTTCGGGTGTAGATGCGTTGGTCGGGGCGGGGGCGAATGGGAATGGGAATGGGAATGGTAAGGAGGAGGATGGTGTGGATGAAAGACCGTTTAATGAGGCGTTTTTGCTGGTCCCGCATTGGGAGGCTTGGGCGAGAAATGCACCAAGGAATTTGAGGAAGTGGGTTATTGTGAGCCAGAACTTCCGAGCGCTGTGAGAGGGGTGAGAAACACAGGCGAGAAGACTAGGTTGGAAAGATGCGAGTGAGGATATCAATTTCTCAAACCCGCTCGCCACCGTGTCGATATCTCATTAAGATAACAGACGAGTACTGGGTGACCGATTATGGGCGATGCATCTTCCCGGACCCGGATACCTGCAGAGGAAAGCAGAATATCTTCCAGATTGATATTATCTACCAGACGGCATTCGCGATTACGAATTAGCATCTATGGGTGGGATTTCGGACAGCCATGAGAAATAAAAGGCAAGCCGGGCATGTAGCTCATGGGATAAGATAGCACAAAATGTAACCGCAAATTGATCAGCATAAGCTACGTGATTTCGCCAAGAACATAACATTAAAAAACCACCCATGTGAGTGAATAGGGCCCTTAGATTTAATATCTGCATATCCTGCACTGAGCCTCATCCATAAAGTACCATGATGCGTAGCCACCCATTAGGTTCACCCAAACAGCGAATTTCCTGTCCTAATATGCGCAGTCCCAAATACAAGACCTTACCACGACTCCACGGCTAGCTCTCATCCAGCAATTTCCTACGATATTCCCAGTATCCACGACGAATACGATCCCACTTCTCACCTAATCTTCTCAATACCAAGTCCGCCTTATCCTTCTCGCCAGCCTCCTTGTAAATATCCGCCAACAGATCCAGAGCATGTGAACTACGGACTTGTTCCACCTCTTCGGTCCCGAGATTCTTAACGAATTGCTCACTAAACTCTCGAACAGTCCCTAATTTCCTCCCACCTTTCACTAGCACACCCTTGAGGTAATTCCAAGGACTCTGGTTTTGCGGCGCGAAAAGGATCTTCTGCTCCGCGTAGTCGACCTCGCGATCCACGATATCGGCCGGGATTTTGGGATCGTGTTCCGTGGCGTGAGAGCTGGGTGTCGCATACGCCGGGTCCGAGAAGACGATGAAGAAGCGGTGGGACCAAGCGGAGTTATTGCGCACATCTTCGAGTATCAGAGTCTCTATGCTATGGCGCTCGGCGTCACCCCACATGCCCAACTTGCGCACTATGTATTGCCGGTAACTCCAGACGTGATAGTTCTTTGTGTCCAATCTTAGCATCCTTTCTAGGAATTTCCGTTCACTTTCACCTAAGGCGGCTACATCTGACGGCGAGGTGACGATTGCGGGGTAGTAGTGTTCTATTAATTGTTGTCGATGGTTCCAGATCTGGTAGTTCTTGATATAGGTGAGCGCAATACCATTCAGCCACGCGATTTCGTCCGGTATAGATATGTTCAATGCCTCGATGATCGATAATCGGTATAGCCAGACGGTATAATGCGCTGGATTTATCGCTATGATTCGTTCGGTTAACTGGAGACATCGTGGAGAATACTCTTTAACTGCCATGACAGCACGGAGGTAGGCCATCGCTAGAACGTAGTCAGTTTAAACCCATGCGACCTAAGCAAGTGATAGAGCTATTCACATACCCTCGGCATATTCATCCGGGTACGCAATAGCCGCAAGCGCACCCTCAGGATCCGTCTGAGGTATCGGCACGACATCATCCCAGTCCGGATCCAAGGCATACGGATCCGTCTTGACGCCGTACAAATCCTGATTCAACACCGCCATCTCTTTCCTCCTTTCCCTCTCAGCCTCGACGTCTTCGTCCGTGCACGCAAAAACGTTCTTCACAGTCTCGCCGTCAAGCACCGCGTCTCCCCTCTCAACCTTCGCCCGTATATCCCTAAACCTATAACTCGCAAGCTGCAGTCTTAAAAACCGCTCTCTCTTCTCGTCGTACGTTTTAAACTCATCAATCGTGTAATCGCCAATATCGCGGCCGTTTTTATCTTTACCCCACTGGTCGTCGCGCGGCCGAGGTAAACTGCGCAAGGGGATGTTCGCTTCGTTAAGCTGTTTCCAGAGGTCCTTTTGCGCTTTGTTCGACAATGTCTTAGCGGCGCCTGGTTTTAGGTACGGTTGGTTAAGATAAGATTGTCGATCCGCTGGGGTCATTCCCCGGAGCCCGAGCTCCTCGTATGCTTTTTGGTATGGGTTGGTGTCGTAGTACCACTGCCACTCTCGCTCTCGGATGGTCTGGGGTTGTTTCGGAGGTTCTTGTTTTGCTGCTGCTGGTTGAGCTGATGTGTTAGCGGGGTTATCCTAGTGTATATTATAGGTACGAACTGCTGAATGATGGTAAGATATACATTCGGAAGCTTTGGCTCGTGTGCCTCCACCTTTGTTCTTAGGAGGCATGGCTGCGAAGAGAGAGGTGTGTGTTGATGGTGGGGTTTAAATAAATAAATCGAAGGAATGAAAGGAAACATTTACGTTAATAATTCAAAATTCCAAGCCTTCCGTCATCGTCCTGCACAGAGGGGCAAGCAAGGTGTAACCCAAGACATCCTTATCGATACCTAGGTACTCGTGTTGTACATTTCTAAGGCTTCAATAAATATTAATTATTCGTCTCTAATTATTCGTATTAATAAGTTATGTAAGTACCTATTTTTTTAAATTCCCTATTGGAAGGAAATTTAACCTTCCCATGGCTCTAATAGTGTGTTGTTAGGGAAGTGCCCCTCCCTATTTCCATTCCTTCCAGCCATGTCGAAGCCCATTTGCTTCCATTTTCAGTGGTTGTGCGCCTATAGTAGTTCTATCGCTATAATCCGACCAACCACCAGTTGCCCTCCCCAAAATGGGATTCCTTAAACCAACCCCTCCAACCAATCCAAGTTGGCCGCGATAGCCTTTAAGGCGCATCGAACAACTCCTTCGCATATTGTATTGTCGTTCGACTTTTTCTTATGATGGTTCTATTGGCTTTCAACCCTCCAGAACTTCCAGCCTTCTCTTTCGGCTTCGCCTAGACCACTAGATACCCCGACAAGTTTCTCTACACCATCATTGCCGGGCGCTTTTAAGAATTTGTCTAAGTCGATCTCCATACCACCCTCTTCGTCTTCATCCAGACCGTTCTTAAGCACCGCAGGCCATAGAACACCGACACCATCTCCACCGAGCGTTGTTCTGAACTTTCGGTAGCCCTCTTTTTCGAGTTGATGGTCCAGTTTCTCAAGTTTTTCTCGCGGTGTATCGGGTTTCATAAGCGATATCGAACAACCACCACCTCCAGCACCTGTAAGCTTCGTGAATCCGATTCCTTCGTGGTCGACTAATTCTCGCACACGTTCTAGACGAGGATGCGAAACGCCAAGAGCCGATAATAAACCATGATTGATGGTCATTAACTCTCCCATACGCCGTAAGCTTTCAGGTTCTTCGCTGTCGAAATATTCTTCGTCTATGAGGCTTTCCGCACTTCGTGTAATCTTATCTACAGCATCTAAAATCGATCCTACCAGCTCTTGGTGTGTCGACTTCAGCTTCCCAACCTTTGCGACTTCTGCGGCTGTAGACTTTGGTATCCTAGTATCCACTAGAAGTAGTGGTAGTTCCGGAAAGTCCCATAATGGTGTAACAGTAGGGGGTTTCTTGTAGTCCGTTCGTTGGTATACCACGGCCTTTCCGTGTGTAGCAACAGTGTTGTCTACACCGGAAGGATTACCGTGGATGCACATCTCAGCCACAAAAGCCCACCTATTAATTCTTTCCATTTGTAATCGCGCTTCGTCAGCAGGTTGGTCCGGATGCGGGCCAGAAAGTGTGCGGATTTGTAGGAGCATAGCAGCAGCTAAGCACACTGCAATTGACGCGCTACTTCCAACACCCGCACCAATTGGTATTGTGGAACGTAGAGTATATATACATCCGTGCGACTTGGGCGATCCTAACGACAGGAATAGGTAGAGGAATGAGGCGGCGGAGTTTTGGTGGATTTTCCGTTCAGCATCCGACTTATTCGGTGAAATGTCTGCTAAATGCGGTTGCATAGCATGCACTAAATCGGGATCGAGAGCTGTCACTAAATCGTAGTAGTACTTCTTTTTGGACGGTTGCTGAAATTTGTCCCACGGTAGATCGTCGATATTCCACGTGTGGACTAGGTCAATGTCGGGAAACTGCATCGTAACAGTGCGTTTCGACTTGGAGAGGTGCGTAACCAATAGATAGGACCGAAGCGAGATAGAGGCGGCAATTGCAGCCTATTTGCATGGTGAGCACTCGCGAGAAATAGGAGGTAGCTCGTAACGGGAGAGAATCATATCATACTTTGCCGTAGACCACCGCATGTTCGCCGAAGACGATGACTTTGCCTGGCGCAGAGACCATAAATGCCGGCATCATTGGGCTGGAGTGTTTGCGTGGCAGGGTTTTCCTCCTCTCCCCCTCCCCCTCTGACGATGAGTAGCCACTCGTGTCGCCATTTACGTGGAGCTTCTCGATCTCCTTATGAAAGCCATTGACCCCGTTGGACATTTCCGATGTATCGCTGTCAGGGGTAATAGGTGTTTGAGTCATTCGTAAATATGTGCAGTTTAGAAATAAATTGACAAAAAAAAAATCCTCCTCTAGGTCCTAGCGAGACCTCCCGTTCTTATTGCGAACACCCTTGTGCCCTTCTTGTGGGATGATGACAGTGCAGCGCAGCTCTCAGGTAACGCTATATGTACCCTAGCGGCGGAAAGTAAGGAAAGAAGCCGAAGGGGATAAGCGTCTAGGTTTGGCAGAAGATGCGCGGGTGAAGGCGAATGAAATGATAGGTAGATTGTAGCAACCGTGCGACGTGAGAATAAGTAGCCGATATCGTTCCAACAAGGACTTTCGTAAATAACAGGATAACAAGATACAGGGTAGTAATATGTAATGTACTGTGATGAGCGGCGTAACTCGATTCGGCAGGGCTCGACCTGGGGGGTACCTAAGCTGCTAAGCTGTTTTTTTCTTCTTTTCTTTTCTCGCCTCGCTTCTTTCGGTGTCGAAAGCAGTGGAACGCGATCAGGTCAGTTAGTTAGGTGTATGTATCATCAGTCAGCCACATTTGACGATTGATGTAAAAAATGATTATGTGAGAGTTGGCTGAATGCGATCAATTGCAGGTTGTCACACCAACAAAATGGAAAGAGAGATGAAAATCGTGGTTCATCCGGAGAAAATGTTAAAAATGTATAAAATGTGACTGCGTTTGCACAAAATAACAAGAACAGATAAAGTTCGATAGACGCTGCAAGTGATTTCATGGATACATGTACAAATATTGGACATCGACGAAAATTAAGGCTTAAGTCAGTAAAGTTTACAAGGGTAGGGGGACATTTTCAAATTTCCACCCCTTTGTTTAAAATTAGTCCAATCAATTAGTTTAAGCTAAATAGGTGGGGACCTTAATTGGCCCTATTCTGCTGTGCACCACTGCAGTGGGAATCGATGGGAATCACCAGGATTTCATTGGAGTTCAATTGGAGTAATGGTGTTAACCGTTTTAAGCTGAACCAGTCATAGTCAACCAATTAGAGCATAAACAGTTGAACCGGTTGCCGACCCCAAGTATATAAATTCCATTAATCCCTGCTGGCCACGCCTCCGATTACCATCCCTCCTTAAAATGTAATTCGGTCTTAACCTCAACTGGGTATTACCGTATCACTATTCCAAGCCACTAAACCTGACTAAGTATTAGACTTCTTTTTCTTCCTCTCTTCAATTTTCTAATTCAGGGACTCAGCCTCTACACCAAGTTCTAGAACAAATCCTTCTTTAACGAAAGGAAGATAAGGCTTTAGTTTCAATGTAGTCTTGCATCAAACAAGATAACCTACAGGAATACAGCTTACTAAACCCTCGAGGCTTGGAACCTTGGAAACGTCAGAGGCTTTTTTATCGATAGAAAAAGCGGGTGTTACCGTCGACTATCGATTATGATGATAACGTCATGCTCACTATCTACAAGGTAGAGAATCCCAACAGCCAACACATAGCCTTACTTATCTTTTATCACACATATCCATACATTTCGTCTGGGTAGCCACGAGCATTGTCTTACATGATAGTTCGTAGACCCTGAACTGACTACATACCCACATGTTGGTAAGGAATGCGGGAATAATGTTTCGGGACGATCCCGCTGCTAATGTCTGTCTGTCTATCTGTCTGCCAAGGGAATTTCATACAGCATTGTCGAAGTCTTGTGGCAAGTGTTTATTACCTGCCGGTAATAACCTAATACTATCTTCATGTCTAGGAAATGCATATGTACGAATCAATACATACGTCAACTTCGCATATACGATATATCCAAAAGGCAATTCCAAGTCGGCAAGTTCCAGATATCCGATATCCACATATAATTGTTGACCCGAGACGCTGATTCAGATCTCATCACACCTAGGTCTGTTTCCAGCAAACCGCCCGTAGGATGTGATATATGGTGGTCAGCATAAGTAGGCTAGATAGTGATGAAAGGTGACTGGATCTCATTCTCACACTCATACGGAGTATCTCTCTATCTTCATATCACTCACCTCAGATTGATTTCCAATTGTTGAGAAGAGAAAGTTCTCGAAGTAATCATTCCTGTATCACTATAACAAAGAACCCCCGAGTTGTTGCCCGACCCGAAGGAAACCTGCATCTGCAAGAGAGTGGCTCGTACACCAGAAAGGTAACAAACAAGGACGTCCAGAGATATGAGATGTACGTGACCCAATCCAGCATCAACCCTGTAGCCGCTTTTCCACAAAGTTAGAAATAATTCGGCTCGAAGTCCTAGTTTACCAGAAACATACCTCATGCACCACATATACGAGTTGATTCACTCTCTTTAAGCAAATCGCTTGAATTGTGTTTTAGAGTCCTATCTACCTACACTTATAACCGAAAGTTTACACAGAGACCGACTCACCAAGACAAATCCAAGACTAATTGCCTCGAGACCTAGCTCCAGGCATATATGCAGTATCAGTTGCGAATAAATTAGGGTCACAACTTCTCACATGATCAAATTTATATATCCAACCCACGACTGAAAGCTCCTATCCAGTGCGATATAGGAGAAATGTGGTATTTCGATGGACTATTCCCAACAGATTATGGATATAAAGAGCAAAAATAGACCCTTTCTCCTCTGAACCAAATTATGACGAACTCTAGTAGAAGCCCAAGAAGAATAAAGGCTGGTAAGAATCCAAAATTTGTAGCCGTAAAGGCCGAAGTTCGAAAGCACATTGCATCCCCCTCACGTGAACCATTCCCTTGCATTTTCTGGATGGGTGAATGGAAAGCTGCCACGCATAAGCGAGTTATCAAACCACCATCTGATAAAGAATGAAATTCATGTGAATATTTAGCGAGAAGTGGATAGTGTCAAATTAATTTGTAGCCATGTGAAAGATTCCAATTTTAAGGGAGGTCTATCTTTTTGATGGAAGACCCTTTTATATATTATGCAGTGCGGTGGAGAAATGCCCTCAGATTTGTGAAATCACCAATCATACCAAAATCAAGTATATCCATTAGGGAAGCCAGAATAACGAGCTGCTATGAGCTCAAGTCACTATTCTTTTAACAGCTACGTGCGAATATCTATGTGGCATTCATAGGAAAGGGAGTGGTGTTACACAAGTATAGCACAACTGCTATTCAAACTGACAACCATTCTACCCGACTAGGTACCTCTTAGGCACTCAACCTTTCTAACCTCCAAAAATTGTTGTGGAATATCCTATAGATCTACCTTACTTATGATACCTTCTTGAAGGTTTAGCCCCTGATAATTAGAACATGAAATATCTAGAACCCATCAACCCGGCCCCTCTATTAACTTTTCTCAAATCGCTTCCACCAACCGTACCTATCAAGTAGCACTCCTCTCTTATCCTAATTTCGGAGGTAAGAAACCATTTGGGAGCGTTCTTCGCTTTGATAGATAGCAGGGGTACTTGTGTTGACTGCGGATTTAGGGGCACTTGAATATAATTCCGGGTTATACGAAAGCGTATCCGAACTTCCATGCACATATTAAGGGGAAAATAACAACCAAGATATCCAGGAGTAATATTTCAATTATATTGAAGCTTAAACATCAATTCCTAACGACATGCTATCTTTGTCAGTAGTTGAGCTATACGAAGTGATACATCTTAGGAAGTATTGAGAGGACCCCTTATCGCCGATATAATGACAAAGGAGCGTCTTGGGACAAAGAGGCCATTTGTGTATGTATACGATGGTTCCCGTAGTGGTTACCTGCGTTCTCCTTGCGCGGCGATAGAATCGTCAACCCCCCTATATGTTTGGTCTCGTGACAATTTTAACCCCCCAAGAATTATTATCTGTGCATCCCCTATTTCTAGCACTAGCAAACTCGTATGTCTTCGATGGCCATGGACTGAGGATGTACCCTTAGAAACCCAGAGCATTAGATGGATGTTATATTAAAACCTCAGTAGAATCTGTCGCAGACTTCGGGGCCTTGTAATTTCGTATGCTATTACCTTCGATTCCAACCTGGTAGCCAGAGTTGCCAAAGAGGTAATACGAAATGTCGCTATTTAGAACGCCCACGATTCGGGTAAAAGGGGACCAAGTACCCCCAGATCCCAATCCACACGCCTCAAGATACTGGGAATCTTTGAGTAGGTACCTAGGTGTCGGAGCGTTTACTAGGACGTGGTCCTTACCGATTGAGACTGGCATTCTGGAATCGAGGACAGGATGGTTAATCCCATCGCATTTTGTCGCTATCACCTTAAATTACCTATATTTATAATAAAATCCCATGACTAAACCTACCTCATACTCGAAAGGCTTCAATTTCGATGAAGATCCAATATACATCAGTAGCCTAGCATAAGGGGAGGGTGTCTCATAGAGACCCCCGACCCTTAGCACTGCCATGAATGAAGTACGTAGGGGTGCTTAGCTTAGAACAGCGACGGAAAAGGGCCTCTATTGTGTGTGTACGATTTCTGTGCCGGCTAGTTGCGAGCCGCCCGCACAACAATGTCGCTGATAATCCTTTATGCGATTGACTTTGTGACAACATGACCGAAGGGCCTTGTCATCCTCATTTGATCATAGCTTTTCCTAGAAATTGGGATGCCCTCAATTCAAACGCCGACGATCATCCCCTTGGTCCCGTTGGCTTTTGCGCCATCTTTGGTAACATTTCGCTCGCGTCTGTTGTTGTCCTCGTCTATCGTATAGTAATATCATTTGGGAAATACACAGAGTATCCGAATCGGCTTTTCGTAACGTCGATAATTAAACCGTGGGTACCACTATGCTTTTAAGTTGGCATAGTGTGGGTTGTATGGATACGTATCTCTTGGAGACTCTCTTGTGGTGTATTGTCTACTTCGCGAAGTTTCAATGAGAGCCCGCTTCTAGAGAGTCGCTATGATGAACCAAGAATATTAGTGTGGCTGCCCTCACAACTCGACCTTTCCCCGCTCTCGACCTCATTTTCGACCAAACGATGACCATCGAACCCGAGAATCGCTTCGAGACTGTATTGGAAACCTCGAGGGTGATTGTCATGTGTTCGCCATTAATAGATATATCTGCTCGCCCGGCCTGTCGACCTCGTATTGGACGTAGTATCGTAAAAAGCGCCAATTGTGAGAATTCGGACTAGCGGTATCACGAGAATGATCTATAAACGGACTTTCAACCGGGGTGGCGGACTTGCTATATTCATATGAGAATGAGATGTGCCGCATAAACCCTACCAGCCGCCGGCACAGCTTTCAACACAGCACCGATACTACCTCAGCCGCACCACCACTGAGCATTGAACAAGTTACCATCGTTACGTCAATATGCTTCCCATCCTAGACAATACGAATCGGACCCGGGCGAACACGATACAATCATGACCCGGACCGGGAGTTGTTCACATGGGGTTGGTTACTTGTTACATAACAAGTTACCAACAGCCTTATGTGCCGAGGGAGGGCGAGGAGGCGAATTGTGATTCTTCTTGGGACCTAAGATCCAATAGTGACTAAGGAGAGGCCAAGAGTAGAAAGTATCATCGTTAACATTGTCACCTGTGTAAATCATAAAAACCCCAACCTATAAGGAAAGAAAACACACAACGATCTGCGACACTCAATTACCATGATTGGAATTGAAAGGGGGTATAGACACCTACCTAATTGGAGGTTAGTGAGAAAAAGTGTTGTAAAGGTTTAGAAAGTTCGCAGATACCGACGAGTTATAGCTAGTCCGGGGTAAACGATGGCACGTTACACTAGACCAATAAAATGACATACGGGGTGCTCCTTCGGTCGTTTCAAGTACTCCACCTTCCAGATCGGGACCGTGAAACAGGGCTCTAAAGCCCACGATGGCTCACTACAGTTCGTATTTGCGATATGGTTGGTTGAACCATCTAAATGCAGGGACGACAGGGGAAAAACTTTAATGTGAACAACGCAACCGCGCAAGGGGAAGAAAAGCTAAGAATACGGGAGGAGCGTCTGTACTACGTGCATGTGTAGTGCTTTCAACCAATCAGAGGTCGACGTTACCGTCTCGGTCTTACCATATGAAGTACTCCCTACGCCACCAATATATACAAATGTACGCGAGTACCGAGATACAACGGGATAAATGACAGGGATTGGCCTGTTCCTCCACCCTTTCCACCCTTCCCATTCTTCTCCGAAATGGAAATCCATGATCTCCCTATTACACAACCACAACCATAACCAATACAACTTCCCACTCTCTATCCCCCCCTCTCCCATGCTCGCTATGCTCGCTATGCCCGCTGAACCCGCTGCGCCGTACATACCTAGGTACTCCAAGCAACACATAGCAACACAGCAGGGCAAAGCCGGACAAAAGAGACATGGGGTAGTTTGAAGTTTCGGGCAATTAGGCCTGTTATAAACGCCCTCATTCTTATGTCGATCATCTATACTTATACCGTAAGGTACTACAGAGAAACCTGACCTAGGATTACACCAACAAGATGTTGATCGTCCGGTGTCTACCGATCTCTTTCTAGGAAAAAACCATCTGATCGATCCTATCTATATAAAAGAGAACAGCCTCCATTGACTTTCCCGTTGTTTACGTACACTTTTGTTCGCTCACTACACGTGCAGTAAGGCAATCTAGTCTCATCTTACATAGGATCGATCTAAACACATCCAATCGATCCGTTCGTTCGTTACCCAAGGTACATCCACAATATATAATCGATTAAAATGGCACCTCTACGTGTTCTCGCACCGGCCGCTTTCGTAGCGCTCGCTTCCGCGATTAGCGTCTCGGACTACATCCCGTCTTGCGGTACTCAGTGCATTACCGATACTGTCGACCAGCACACTACCTGCGATGCCACCGACAACGCTTGCATTTGCCGTGAGACTTACACCGTCAAGCGCGACGGTGAGGTATGCTTGCGCCAGGCTTGCTCTACCACCGACTATGGTACGTACTATCTCTAGGAGTTCTTGAAAGGGAAAGGCAACTTACTAATCCCACACAGGTGGTGTCATGAGCGGGTTCGACAACTTCTGCAAGGCCGTTAGCGGAGAGCCGACTAGCAGTAGCAGCAGCTCAACCAGCAGCCCTACTGACACTCCTACCTCGAGCTCTTCCTACCCATCCAGCACACCGTCTTCCACGGAGTCTTCCTCCACCGAAACCGGCAGCTCATCCAGCTACCCTACCGAGACCGCGAGCTCTTCCTCCGGTTCCTCATACCCTACTTCCTCCGGCAGCCAGTCTTCAGGCACTGGCTACCCGAGCTCTTCTGGTACGACTCTTCCTGGCGGCCCCGGCCCAACTCTCACCACTGAGACTTCTTCAGGCGGCGCTACTGGATACCCCACATCGACTGGCGGCAGCTCACCGTCCGGTCCCTCGTCGGGTCTGCCTAGCCCCTCGTCCTCGACTACTGCTACCCCGAGCCCGATCCCCGGTAGTGCTGCCACCCGCGCTGATGCGCGCGTCGGTGCTAGCATTGCTGCGCTCCTGCTTGCTAGCGGTTTCGCTTACTTCGCTTTGTAAGCCGTTGCAACTAGCTGGCTAATCGCGTATGAGTGATGATCTGATTTGAATCGCGGGTTTATGGGACATCGGAATATTTTGAAGTTTGTTAATGCCAGGCTGAAAATGAATAACCTAACCCTCGAGGAAGGGCTTATCATCGACCCTCCTAGTTGAGGAATTCTTAAAATTGATAACTTGTAGATAGCTTTGACCTATGCGTGCGCTTTATATAAGGCATGCGAGTATATATATTGAATCCATACATATTATATATAGCGCCCACCTCATTGTGATGTGAACCTGCTTTATGAATACATGTGGCTCCTATATACTGAAATCTACCTGATATATATCTAAGCTCGTCACTCGCGTTTCTCGTCCGTAGGGTCGGGAGCATCAAAAGCATTCGTCCACTTCCCTAATAAACCACCCAATCCGAGTTCATCCATCTCCTGCTCCTCATCGAAATCGATAATATCAACTTCTTCTTCCTCTAAGCTCTGGTCCTCATCTCTATCCCTGTCCCTATATACTTCAGGAAATTCCCACGTATCAGCCCGCATACGTCTCGAACCTCCTCTCCTTGAGGTACTAGCTTCATTTTCATCTAACTCGTCGATCAAATTTGGCGCGGATATTTCTACCGGCGGTAGCTCACCGCCTCTTGTTCCGACGGGGATCGAGCTTTCGAGTATTACTTCTTCGGCGGGGCGCGTTGCGCGGCGTTCAACCGTGGGCTTACTATCTTCGTCATAGTACGAAGTGGGAGAGGAAGCGGGTTCGGGACGTCGAGAGCGGTGGCGGGAGCTAAACCATGATTTGGTTTTCTTCGTCCTGGTTTTGGTTTTCTTCCTTTTCACCTTCACGGCAGCTAACCCTGAGTCTGAGCTTGCGGTGGATGGCAATGGGGCGTGTTGATGTGGGGGTGAGAGCGACTCCACTGAGTTGTGGGAGTGGAGCGAGATTTCGTCGGCCCATGATCCGGGTTGGAATAATCGCATGTCCATGATCCTTTTCTTGTTGGAGGGTGGAGATGGAGGGAGAGGCTGCGGTGGAGGGGCAAGGTACGTCTGTTCCTTAAAATTTGGTACGGGAGGTGCCGGACGTTGTTGTTGTAAAGGTATAGGGATGGAACCGCTGCTTAAACCTGGGACACGGCGTCGCGAATCAGGAGGGAGGTCACTCGCAGACTCCAGATTGCCGAGTTTGAGGGATAGGAATACGACCATGCCTGGGCGCGCGATGCCCTCCCATGTCTTTGGTAAAATGATACTGTCGTCTACACCTCGTAGTTGGAATCTTGTTGAGGGTTGCTGCGCGATGGCGAGACTGGTATTGTAGACATCGGCTAAAACGTGTCTAATAAGGTTGTCCATGCCCTAGGATAAGTTAGTTATACCCTCCTAAATGAGCAACGATCTGGGATATCTACGAAAGCACTCACCTCCCATGTACGACATAGTTCAAACGGCAATTGGTAGTTCTTGGCTTGAAATTTCAGATGGATCGGCGCGGCACGCATGCCCAAAGAGAAGAATACTGCGATACCTTTATTACTATCGTCGCGTGACTCTTTTTCTTTTCGAGACCTGCTCTTGGCCGGTGTAAGTGCTATGCACGTTCTCTCGCGAGGATTCGATTGGTTTGCCTCGATCATGGCGCGGTCCACGCCCTCCCGTTGCGCAAAATTCAATGAAGCATATTGTGCCCATACGTCGCCATCGCGTCGAGATCGTATAATTCGTTTTAATATGCTGATCAACTTCTGGCGGTCGAAGGGAAGCTTGCGGACCACTATGGAGTTATTAGTTGGGCTGTCTTCGACGAAATACGCCTCTAGTTCTTTGCTCTCTATGTCCCGTATTACAGACCGGTCTCGCTTCCCGAAGAGACCGGTCACTGATAGTAGGGCGTGGAATGGACTTCGAGAAAAGCGCGAAGTATAGATAGATCCTGAGTCCTCTGCAATGATGTTGTTGCCGTATAAATTGTCCTTCTTATTGGCAGTGCTGGTGTCGAGCGTATCTATTATGTTACGTGGGACTGTGGGCTGGCTCGTACTGGCGTCCGCTGTCGAATCCTGCGTGTTGACGAAGGTATGAGAATGCGAAGTAGATTTGTTAGCTGAACTTGAGTTTAAAGACTCGTGGATATTCTCAGCCTGTCTTGGGTAGTCTTTGTCGACGACGGCCTGTTCCCCTAGCCCTGCTATATTATTGACTGCGAAAGCACCCACAGGTCCAACGGTTGGGTTTGAAGTGCTGTTACTGCTGCATGTCAGTGTATCAGGAAGCGGACCTATCTTTGAGGAAATATCTTACATTCCAAATTCTGATAGAGATATCCTTCGAAATTTCTTCACCTTGGCCTTAGGGAGCTTTGGAGCAGGGTTTGGGGGCCTGTACAGAGACACGTCGTCGATAACTTCGTGATTTGACGAATAACTTTTTATCCCCTCATTGTCGTTGATATCCGCAGGCGATGATAGTTCGCGGATGCTAGAGCCAGAAGATCCCCAAATAGGTGACTTTGGTTTCAGGCTCGGGCTGCGAGATTGCAACTTATCGATCGTCTTGAAAGAAGAGGACCTAGAAGAGGCCGTGGACAGTCTCTTCTTCCCGGCCCTCTGACGTCTTTCCCTCTTCCTCTCGGCTGCTATCTTCCTAGCGTATTCCTTCTTCCGGTTCAGGAGCTTCTCTACCATAGCTTGAAGAGCTACTTCCTTCTCCCAAGCGTCGAGATTTCTAGCCGGTGCCCTATGTTAAGGTAGTTAGCATCGGTATGTTGACCTATGTAGTTGATAAGACTAACGCCATCTTCGTTTTAGCAAGCTCCATGAGCCTCAAGTGGAACAATAGACTTATTTTCAGCCATCTTAACTCCTCTTGATGCTTCTTGATACGAGGTTCTTGGAAGGGCCATTTGAGCTTGCTCATCAGACTCGTGGCGTTTGAACCATTCAAGTCTAACGCCTCTAAGGAAACATCCCCATTGCTATCTCTTGGCGCGCCGACGGCTTTGGCGAGGAGATCAATTATTGCAGTATACACTTGCTTGCATTGAGAGGCCAATCGCACAGCTTGTTTTAATCCCGAATCATTTACGACTGTCCTTTCATTTTTGTCGGCTTCAACAAAGTCATGGAGCTGCTCAAGAGCGGATGCTGTGGCGCTAACGTCAAATGCAATATCCCGCAATCTTTCTTGTGCGTCGGCTACCGCTTCGATGTACGTTTGTAGGGTCGTTGCGAACTTCAGACCAAATGCGGCAATGCCCACAATGGAGCCAGCTGCTCCCAAAGGGTCTGCCATCCGCTCTAATGTATCAGATGCATTGAATATTTGTCTATTATCAACTTCGTCGAACGCGACGAGATCGATTAATTGAGAATCATGATTTGGAAGTGAGTGAGGTAGCCGAAGCCTCGTGCGACCGGAGAACAAGACCTAGGTGCCAAGAACGTGGGCGTCAGTAAAATCAGCCTACGAGCCTGCCGATCCTCATGGCAGTGCAGCCAGCCTTCTAATTTTTAATTCTCCAGCAAGCTTGGATGAAAATAAGTGCTAGTTCATCATTACATTATTTATTTCAATAATAAGCTGAAAAATACAAAACACCCCAATTAGGTATTCGAATAACTGATTCAAGTATGCACCTAAGCCAGGAAGCTGGATGGCGTGGCATAGAGTAGCGATCCGTAAACTCCCGGTGGCGTTTACCACCTACATCATCTCCTCGGATGTAACAATAATTTCCCCAATCGCCAAAAAGAAGTTCTCCATAATACGAAGGCTACCCAGGTACATATAACCCGCCAGCCGCACGACAACTACATACTACGCAGATTCGCCTGATAGGTGTCGATTCAACATATAAAGCAGCCAGTCTCTTAGGGCATCGTTCCAGCAGCACAGCCAATACGTGTCTATTTTGAATATAACTTCAGTATTCAGGTACCCAGTAACGACCGTTATCCAATCTTCATACTCATGATTCCACTAGACCGCCAGTCCCAGTCCTCCACCCCCGGCAATCAGAATTATCAATGACCTATGGCCATCCACGAAACTCCGCACGAATACATGTGTGTATCCCCCCAGGTGTCCGCATGAATGGTAAATCCATGAGTGGTAACTCCCGATGTATAAACCCTGACCCTAAAATTTGTCCCTCCGCCAACATCTGCGCCAGTCATGTTGGCTATCACCGCTGGCTTCGAGGTGAATTTGGTTGAAAATTCGATCTGTCCTTTTGTCGTCTTCTGAGAATGATCCGACGACCTAACAGTTGTCGTGTTCCATAACCCGCTATCAAGCTTGATAGTCTGCATTGGCTTCTCAGCTACGAACGTTGGCTTCTCTACCATAGCGACCTCGAGCCCCACCGACTGAAATTCAATCATTGCGGTTACATGCTCGAACGCTATTGTGAGCCACAAGGCGAGGCCCTTGTCACGTTCTTCAGCCATATAGTCAGTTCCGCGTAATTGAAGGGTGAAGTCACTTGTATGCCGCAACGGGGCTTTCTGGTATACTTCGTTGGTACCGTTCATGATCACTACCTTGACGACTCGGGCAGTGTGAGTTGAGAATGCGACCGCTACCTTCACGAAATGCGAGGCGTTATGCGGTAGGCTGGGAAGAGGGAAAATGACCGAACCGGTTAGATGATTAGCGTCTTCCGGCTGGACAATCGACCCCGACTCGGTCGCGGCGATAGAAAACCGGGTATCTTGGGTTTTAATGGCGCTGGCTCCATGGGACGATATCCACGTCGACATCGTTTCGACTATTACTTAGGTATTCGGATTTATTGGTGGGTACTTTAACTTGATGATATGAAACTGTGAATGAATTCGACTCTTGCAAGCCCCCTTTGGAGTTCGAGATAGTTCCGTTATACTTCCTATTAAGCTCTCTTTACTGCTTAAACTACGGAAGATTAAGTCAAAGGAGGTATGAGACAATGGCTACAGGAAATCATTAAATAATAAATATTTGAAAACCCTGTTAGCCCGAGAAGAGGGGGAGGAAGTGACATCTTCCGCAGACATAGAGGAAATAGGATTGACGAAACTACACACTGGTCCGTGTTACCACCCGAGACGTGATAACAAGCAGCTGACCCCCCCCTCGCGGGCGTATTCCCGGAGTCAATTGTGTGACTGACAAGTCACGATTTGTGAAGAGGAAGGCGAGTCAACATACCCATGTTTTCTAATACGCCGCCGCTTTATTCGTGATATACATTCGACGGCTTGCGGCGGAAAGCGAATCGCTTCTCTCGAATACGACCTCAGTCTGCCATGTGAGTCCCCAACACATCTTAACCCGAAGGTTTCCAGACATCTTCGCCATCATGATCCTTGGCATCCTGGTCCTAGCGAATGGAAAGCAAGGATAAAGCAGTATCTCCTCGGGCAAAATCAGACAAAGACCTATAGCCAATGATAATACGTCAACACGATGGATGCTTCAAAATGTTACATTCTCTCTGGCAACGGAGCAACGTTGATACCACTAATAACCCATATCACCTACGGAAGGACTCGTATACGAGAGGCTGAACGTAGCGGGTACCATTGTAAAGCCGTTGGCCGGGGAAGCATCGTTAGAATCAGGGGACTCCATATGGTGGTTAACGTCGGCGATTACTACGGCGACGGCGACGCGTGCTAGAAAATCTTGCAGTACCTAGGTATCTAAGTATATGCGTAGCCTCTCATACCGCGTGCCCTTAAGGAGGCTGGCATCGGCGTTCAATATGTCGAATAATCAGCATCTTGACCATACCTAGGTATATATAGAGGACATCTTTCCACCTAATTTCACTTCTCAGACTGACAGAAAACTACATTCAATATAAATCCACGCTTATATTTGTACTTAGCCTTGACTTTATCTCTAACAGTACGCCAAAGCTCGACACAATGACTACTTGGATCTCTACACACGGCATTGGCGCCATTAAAGATTCTGCCTCTTCATTCAACATAGTCATCGAAAAGGGTTATGCACTTGTCAAGCCAACAACCGCCAACCAGTTATCCGGATGGGTTCATTACACCATCCCTAGCCCTCCTGTCGACTATCCGAATCTAAAGAAAGCTTCTGTCGACTTCACGGCCCAGGCGGCGACTGTGGAGAAAGTAGAGGTTTACTTTGCCAATTCGCGGAAGTTCCAAGAGGCCGGATTGTCACACTCGAGCACCTTCACCCTTGACGTCCAGGCAAACCAAGGCCCGGTAGTTTATGGGGGGAAAGGGATTTCCGTGTCTATATTCGTCCAGTTCGGTGGCATGGGTTCCACGATCAAGCTCCAGTCTGTTGCAATCCAAGTTTAAGTAAGCCTAACACCTATTTATCATACATCCATTAAGACACTTGATGAAACTGACACAAATATTAGGGCTTGAGCGGTTACGTTGGCGTAACTAATGTTGACGTGGTCGGTACGTTTTGGAGATACAGATTGCTCTTTGGAACTATGGTTGATTTTATCCTGTCCCTCGTTTAGTACATAGGTATACATGTATTTAGCCAGAAGCCCAACTCATGACGTTCGTTTTATTAATCAAATTGCCTCGAGATTTTATCCTTGAGCTGGTTTTGTATGTCTGCTTGAACCCAAGTATAACTTTGACAAAATGGCACATAAGAACGATGGGAGTGTAAACCGGTATATAGTAGGCGCGGTGGCTAGAAACAAGGACAGCGTCCTCCCCGAACCTACAATCAAGAGGTTTGCGGTCCTTATTCGTGCGTAGGCAACAAATAAAAAAGGGGGGTTGCTTACCCGGGCGGGTTTACTGTTATCACGAGCAGCATTGCGTAAAGGCTACACCGAGGACGGCTAATGGAATACCAGCCTAGCGGTTAACATATTCAGATATGTACCTAAGCAGATGTATCATATTTCCTGTAGGTATCCCAAGACACAACAATTCCTACCGATAACTGGGGAATACCTGTACATGCAACTCTACATCCTACCTTTGCCCATAACGGATACGAATTAGTCGCCGGAGTCCAACACAGGTAGGTACGCATAGATAAAACTACATTGCAAGCAATAAGGAGTATGCTTATAGTATCATAGAATGGAACAAGGCGGGAATGCTTCCAAAACATAAAGCATAGAACTTGACTACCTAAGCATATATGGCTTGGTAATAAATATGAAATACTAAAGGGCTACTGATTAAATCCACGCTACCTTCATGTTAGAAGGTCAGGACATCCGGAATCGGGCCGTGTTGTCGCCAGCAAGCGCTCAGATTTTGTTTTATGACGATGAACCCAGAGGGTAGAACTTATGGTACCCAATGGCGAGCCTAAGGGGCATATCACGAGAATGATGTGGAGGAATATGACAGTTTTAGTTCACGCTCCAGCTGATGTATCGGAGACCTCTTTCAATGCTCGCCGAGTCCTATCTTAAGATATTCAGAATTGCCGGGCGCGAAGGACTTTGGCGCAAGGCGCTTGCGGAAGACGTTGAGATTGAGAGGCTGGTTCGGCCTGACTGTCCAATCCGGTTCTTCACAGCCCATTTAATTCACCTTGTCTTCAGCTCGGAGATGCTCGCGGTACTTAGGTACCTAGTATTATTGTCCTATTCGAGGCGGTGCTTAAGCCGGCGCCAGCCTTGAGAAAGAACATGAATACAAGTACGTATAATTGTTTACGCCGTTAGCAATGAGTTTCGGCCTCTCGGGCAGCCGAGCTCGTGATCGTAAAATCGGGCACGCCAGTACGTAGCGCGCTTCATATAATGTGTAAAGCTGTACAAGGCTGTGTTCATCAGTCAAGGCACATCGTGACTAGAAATGAGTCTCCGTATGAGGATGGTGGAATCAAACCATTTCAGCTAGATAATTTTCCAGTAAAGGTATTGATTAGCTTTATAACATCTATGTGTAATATCATTTGCGTACCTAGGTTCCCAGGTAGGTAGTTAGCCTTTTCGACCACACTACCTAATTTGAGAAGCAGTTAACCCCCAATGACGTGCTGAATTAGGTGCTTACTTAGATGCCAATTGAGCCACTTAAGTACCTAATGTATTGATGATTGCGAGATTGTAGGAATCCATAAACCACCATTCTTGTTGCCTTTCTAAGGGTTGTTTCGACAGGAGAGGGAAGAATAGACCTAACGAGTGCCTACCATTTCGTCAGTACTCGGAGCGATACGGTGGAAGAGGGACCGTGCGGAGTAGGATTCGGAGCATGGCATTTTTGGATACCGGATCGGCGGTGACGCATAGGCAGCGATACTGTACACGGCTTTTTTGGTAATGTCCCACGAAATAGTCGAAAATAAAACTAGAAGTGAAAGTCATGATCGAAACTTATTGATACATTTTCTCGTAGCTCAATTGAACATAAATCTAATTATGAGACATCATATTAATATAAGTCCGCATTATGGCAGTAACAGAGTTAGCATTGCTCACAGCGATTGAAACCCCCCTCACGAACGAGGCGAAAAAGGCTACAACCCAGGCCCTAGATGTTCAAGAGAAATGACGAATTACAAGCTTAGACAGAAATAAGTTCTGGTCCATATCATTGCATTATTTGTTTCAATAATAAGCTGAAAAATACAAAACCTGAATGTGAGTTGAATAATGAATGAAGATCTAAGCCGAGGACGAAAAAACTGGAGGGTATAGCAATACGTAAAACGACCAGTAAACTCCCGGTGGCGTTTACCACATACATCATCTCCTCGGGTGTAACAATAGGATCTCCGACCATCATAAAACCGGTATCATCTAGCCGAAGCCACACACCATTCCTTACAACTTCACGACGACATTCAACGAAAAACTCGGCAACAATCTGGTGTTTACCTAGGTAACTTGAAAGATTAGGTAGACGTTCCAATTCTTCCACAGCTTTGATCCCCAGCCATAATTTCACAGTACTTCGATAGTCAATCATTGCTTGAAATATTAGTGTTCCATAGCCATTTCGCGATACTCCGCACAAGTATAGCTTCGTATCTTCCAACATGTCCGTGGAGGCGTGGAGGTAGTGAATCTATGCTGAGCAATCTTCGTCACATAGACCTTCATCCCGAAATTGTACCCTCCGCTAACGTCTGCGGCAGCCATATAAGCCACCACAATTAATTGCGAGTCAAATGCGGTTGAGAGATTGGGAATCACCGTCGAAGGATTCTACTGCAACCCGACATCAGTCATATCGCAGGACCCGCTTTGGAGCTAGATCTTCGATTTTGGATTTTCGATAATGGCAAGCTCGGCTCCAACCGACTGAAGTTCAAGCCATCCAGATACGCGCTCGAATTCTACTGCAACATGTAGGGCGAGACCTTTTTCGGGTTCTTCGGCTACGTTATCCCACCCGCGTAACTTGAGAATAAAACTTCTCGTATAGAATAACGAGACTTTCAAACACTACGTTGATAGCATTCATGAGTATCACCTTGACCGCCCGTGCGGTCTACTCTAGCGAAATGCGAAGCATTCTATGGCAGGTTAGGAAGAGGGGGAGTAACAAAATCATCTCTCGGTCGTATAATCGACCTTGTCTCAGTTGTGGAGGTAGAATAAAGGAATCCTTGGGTCTTGATAATGCTCACTCCGCGGAACTAGGTCCATGTCGGTGTTGTTATGATCACTACTCGGGTATCTGAGCATGTTTAGGTAGAGAGCGTTAAGTTGTTAACCATAAAGAGAGGGTACCTGCCTACCTAGGTAGGTAGCTATCTTTTCACAATAAGTTCGCAGATAACTACCACAAATCTATAAGTAGGTATGCATACATCACAAGTCTCTTTGTTTTCATGTCTCGAAGCAAGGCCCTCTTACAGCGATGCGATAGGAGGCCCCTAGTAGCTTCCAAGGCGTAACCCTTCCTTCAGGCTAGAGCTGGATTGGAGGACATTTTGACCTGGTAATGAGAAGGTCAACGAGTAAGACTCTGCGGTCCTTATGAGACTGATTCTTTAAGGATTGAGATAGTATCGTTGGATTTTCTACGAGTTTCCTCTTCTTGCTTGAGATACCTGGAATAGAAAGATTACTACAAGTTAAGAAAGAGGAGAGAGGATGCAACACCTTCTGCCGGCGTATGAGCGAACAGATCTACGAATCCACATGTTACATACCTACAGTAGGTAAAGGCATTTGTTCATTCGGCAACTAAAACATCTCCTGCTTCCACGCACGAATCCTGCAAGGCAAATAGTGTGTGATCTGTGGACTACAACTGACGAAAAGCAAAACAAATCAATATAAACACGCCTTTTAATATGTTGCTTCTTTGAAAATAGTCTGTATCATGCAAGGGCATTAGCAATACACCATAGCTGAATCCTAGTCTAGCTAACCTAGGAAGAGAAATACCTAACTATATCGTGGGATGTTGTGAGTAACGGCCTTCGCTGATATCGGTGATACGATCTCGGGTCGCTGTCTGGATTCCTGATGTATCTTGATCTTAGGACCCCCAGATCTTCCTTACCCCTATATATAAGTAGTGTTTTCCACCCAGCTTTCACTTTTAAAACAAACAAACTATCCCCATTATTAATATCTCGCCCTTAAGACAACACTTACTCATTACGCCCAAATTCGTTACAATGCCTCCTTGGATCTCTGCCCCCGGTATCAGTGCCATCAAGGACTCTAAATCTACATTCGAAATTATCATCGACAGGGGATCCGCACTTATTAGGCCAACTTTTGACGACGGGCTAGCTGGATGGATTCACTTCGCTATTCCCAGCCCCGCATCCAACACTCGAAACCTGAATGTCCTTGCCATCGACTTCTCTGGCTCGGCGGCTACTGTGGATAAAGTGGCGATTTACCTTGCAAATGACCCTCAGTTCAAGAAGGAGAATCTGCAAAAGAGAGAGTCCTTCAAACTCGACATGCCGGACTCAATTTCCTACGAGGGAACGGGGATATCCGTGTCAACCTACCTTCAGTTTGAGGGTATATATTCTCAGATCTCCTTCCATTCAGTTGGAATTCAGAATTAAGTAAGTCAAACATACCTAATTTATTACACATCTGCCAGAAGATCTAATGAGGCTAAAATGAGTATCAGGCTCTGTGCAGTTAGGGTAGCATAAGTTGTGATACGATTGTTAATCAGTCGTCAGTATACGGATATACAAATAGGTAGTTGTGTGATTAAATTTTAGATATGCTCGCATATTTTCCTGTCATTTAGTATAGTCGCCAGGTACCTAGGTCGAACATGATCCAGAATACTCTCTCTACTAAATTTGATTCCATTCAAGTTGAGATCGTAGCCGCCCGTAGCCCAGCCGGAATCGAGGGAAGTCAAGTCGTATTGAAGTATATCTAGGTACCTGGGTAGGTACCTAGTGTTGAGGGTTCTAATGTAGGTAAGCAAGTACACCGAATATACAAGAATCAGAAATGGTCATGATCCATGCACGCTCTGGACGTCAACCGAAGCACCAACCGTATTATACAGATTGTATTTCACTGTGTTACTAAGATCTCTGGTCATTTCTAGTTTCTAAAATCTCACATTTCTCGTGTCCTACATATAGTGGCTACCTAGAGATAAACCTATGAGGATAACGTATAGAAAACCACCCCTCATGGTGGTTGAAGGGGTTGGTAACAGTGCCCAAGACTGACAATTACAGTGACCTAACCCCCGCCCAGACGGGTAATTATATTGCTTGGGGGCGTTCTAAGACAGTGGCCTTTTACTTTTTGAAGTCTAATGCAGATATGCATGTAGATTGTAGATCTTAAAGCAACTTTAAAACAAAACGTGAGATCTACATATACAGAGCAGGGAATCCAACCATATGCTGCTAGACTCAAGACGGGAAGTCAAGGCCACACGCCGAAGCTACACGTGTATGCGTCTCGTAGATGTAACAAACGTATATCTGACTTATCAGTTAAGATGCCGAAAACCCGGCCGTTTTATCACCTGCATAAGTTCGAGTAATGATGGAGCCGGAGGGCGCCACTTATTAAATCTTGAGCTGAAAAGCCGTGTAGTGTAACCGTGAGGGAATACATTCTAGCTTACGTGGCTAGGGGCTCTTTCTTTATCCCCTCCTCTCTGCATCCGACGATGCTCACCTGCATAGGATATTCGAAATTGTTGAGAGACAGCTATATGACATCGAGATGTTAATCTATTTTACTCCACCTTGATGCAGCTCGGAAATGCTGACGATATTTGCTGGTACGATCAATCCAGTAAAAAGAACCGGCGGTGACATGAGGGGAGACGTGAAACTATGGGCTTCCCTAAAAACGAGTTTTCAGCTTCGAACGATCCAGCCACAATCACACAATTGATCAGTTTCGTGCGACGTTTTCTACGAAGTGTATGGCCTAAGACAATTCACTAGTTCTTTGCAATTGTTAGCTACACCTAAACTCTTAATCGTCGATCACTGTTATGAAGAACATGACCTGCATAGTCAAATCGGGCACGTCAATCAACCTGGTTAGGCTTAGGTACCTATGAAGACAGTTAGTTGTGTTGTCCATGATTCTCCGATGAATCTGCTAAATAGGGATTTGGGATTTGTAGTGGGAATAAGAGATATGATCGGATGGAGGAAACATGTAGAGTGTGCTGTATATTTCGCCGGGACTTGAAGCTATCTGGTAGTGGGGAAAAATACAAGAATTATACGGAGAATACGGAGAAGGATTCGGGGGTCGGATACAGGTGGATCGGTGGGAACGCATAGGCAGCGATGCTGTACGCGGCTTCTTTCGCTATGCCCCACGTAATATTCAGAAATAGGACTCAGAACGGGAGTCATAGTTGAAACTCGTCAGTACATCTTCTCGCAGCTCAATTGAGCAAAATACTCAATTTAACGAATATTCATTATGGCAGTGACAGAATTGGCGTTGCTCACGGCGATTGAGACGCCCCTCACGGATGAAGCCAAAAAGGCCACAATCCAAGCTCTCGACGTTCAAGAAGAATGGCGAATTAAGGATGCCCCGAAAGCACCCAGAGGCAAGGAAACCCGTGGAGTAGGCCTCTTTCAGCAAACCGAGGATCGATCCATTTATCTCCTTACGGCGCATTGGGATTCTTACGAGCACCACACAGCTTGGATAAAGAGTCCAGAGAACGGTTCGGTATATCCAGGTCTCAAGAACCACTTTCAACTTGAAAAGACAGTCCTATCCCACTTGGAAAACGTCGAGCTATTCAAAACGTCGGGAGCGGAGGGCGAGATCTCATTATTACACAGCCCAGTAATCAGCGTTGGGAAATTGACCATCCCGACCGAGAAGAGACGATCGTTCGAGCAAGGCTGGAGCGAAGCAAAAGACGTGCTGGAGAAATTTGTAAAACCGCATTTGGTGAGGGATGGTTGGCGCATCGAAAAGGAAGAACCAGGGCTGGAGGAATATGTTTTCGCATGTGGTTGGCCGAGTCTGGAGAAATCCGCGGAATTCGCAACATCGCAAGACTTTCAGAAGTATTCGCCGGTAATATTCTCTACGCAGGCTCGCGATATCAAGCATTACCAGCGGGTCCTGTGAACAGTTAGGTGTAGGGGATAGAGGATAAAAGACTGTCGCAGATGATTGTCAAATGATTTTTTTGTGCAATTGTTATGAATTGTTGTCTACAAGCTCCTTTTCGTGCTCGAGAATATCAATTCGGGAAGGTATCCTTTAGACGCCGCCTCATGAACATGCCAGCCAGACCCCAAGCAATATGCATCACCTCATCGGCTCTCGATGACCGCGTTTGTAGACCCTATTTCCATCCATCGTACTGAGACATCCCCAGTTGCGATTGGTAGTTTTCTTCTATCACCCCGGAAGCATGGTTACATGCTTATGCCGTGTGCTTGCCCTTCTTGTTCTTCTTGGGAACCTCCTTAATCGATAGGTCTGCGAACCACATTGTCAGTTTACGTCTATCGTATTAGTATCGTAAGATCGGTGCGTACTCGGGGGTAAGCTCTGCTTTAACTTCTCGGCCTTGTCGGAGTCCTTGAGGATCAAGGTGTAGAGGTGCTTGGAGCATCGGACCTTGAACTTGGTCTGCGACGACTTCTTGTTCTTCTTGATCCGGGCGGCTGCACAAGGATATTGTCAGAATTGATGTTCGTAACGCACGGATACTGTCATCTTTTTAGGGATTATTTTTTATTTTCTGTCACATACACTTAGCGTCCTCTCGCCGGCAGATCTCGATGAACTAAAATTCCAATTGTCAGCCAATTTCTTGTCGCAAAAAGAATTGAGAATAATTATTATACCTTCTTGATATCTGCGATTTCCTGAGGCATCTTGTCGGTATTGATGGGTGACTCTGGGTTGGTTGTAGAGGGAAAGAAGTCAACGTTCAACGAGACAAATTTAGTCGATGCTGCGAAAGTTGTGTGGGCGAAATTCCACAGCAGGGTTCTAAGCGATTTTACCCAAGATTGGTCAGGGTTCCTTCCCGCGATAAGAGATATGCCTATTACGCACGGGCCATTATAAGCTGCTTAAGAATTAGGGTATAGAAAAACTGGATACATCTCCTCGTTCGTGGCGCATGACGTGGCGTGGCGTTTGCCTCGGTCTATCCTGTATGAGATGAAGTTGTGATTCACTACCTTACGCAGGCATCCAAACTGGACAGAGTTGCTAAAATGAAATAGCATGGATAGTCAAGTTTCATATATATAAACGAAATTCCCTACGTCTGCTTTGTGAACTAGGTATCTACCTAGAAATTCAACCCTACCCAAGCTACCTAAACGGATAGTTCTTTGTATCATTAGTCCATTACCTAGGTACCAATGGCCTATACCAGATTTGTCAGAAGTGAGCAGAATGCTGTATTAGGTACGTCGATCCACCGGGGGGTATATCTTCTAACATTTTCGCAAGACTGATGGATTATCTCAAAGCATTCTCTGCTCTCATTGCGGGCGCCTTTGCGTGGACTATGTGGGGAGAGAGCATCTTTCCGGCACAAGGAGATCCAAAGGGCGATCCCGAGAATTGGACGCGAGAGGAGCTCAGGAGATGGTTGCACGCTGTATGAATTCTTCGTAATCCTATCAAATGATCCAGCTTCTAATCCATGTGTTTAGCGCAATCTCCACCCCCAAAGCAAAGATACCCGTGAACAGCTTCTTGAGAGAGTTAAAGCGAATATGAGGTAGAGAAGGTCATGTTATACTGTCAATTTGACGGTGGAAGCTGTATTATGGCGTGAAACTAGTTGTCTGGCGATGATGGGAAATGCTAACAAAGAACACGACACTACGCATATGAAGGTCCTGTTAACCCCAAAGAAAAATGTCCCTCTGCCTGATTGCTAGTTAGAAAATAAAACATGAAAATAAACAAAATAAGAAGATTGATGAAGGTTTTATGATGCGTCGCATCAGTGCGGAGATGTAATGCTGCGCCACATTTTTGTGTTTGCGCCACTAGCACCAGCCACGTTGACGTTTTGCTGGAGCTGACACGGTTTCTTTGCGGAAAGCTTACCCTCCCACTTTCTGCCTCCGTCCTTACAGTTACAACACGGCTGGTTCCTTGACAATTCAATGATTCCATCACCACCGAAACTTCAATTTTCGGAAAGATGGATATCCTCCAGGTATTATTTAGAGCTATTCCCCCAAGAATATGATAATTACTTACACATAATAAACAGCGCCTAGCTCGGTTCTTGGACCGACCTCTCTTCCCGTGGAAGAAGCTCATCATCGGCTTTTCCGTCGCCCAATTCTGTTTTGAGGAATTCTTGTCGCTCCGACAATACCGTGTCCTGAAGAATACCAAACCCCCGCAAGTCCTCCAAAAGGAAGTTTCTAAAGATGTTTACGATAAGAGTCAAGAATACGGACGTGCTAAAGCCAAGTTTGGATTCGTGAGAGCTCTCTGGGGTCAAGTTCAGAACATTGCCTTCATTCATTTCGATGTCCTCCCGAAGCTCTGGTCATGGACTGGTACTCTTCTCCGCTTCCTCCCTGCTCGTTTATCCGGTGAAATCTCGCATTCGATTGTCTTCGTCCTTACCTTCGTCTTGATCCAACAGGCCTTATCCCTCCCCGCAAACATCTACCACACGTTTGTCTTGGAAGAGAAGTTTGGATTCAATAAGCAGACCCCGAAGCTGTTCATTACGGATATGATCAAGTCGAACTTGCTTGCTTTCCTCTTCGCGCCTCCTATCCTTGCTGGTTTCCTGACTATCGTAAAGAAGACGGGTACTCAATTCGTCACCTACCTATGGCTGTTTACTGCTGTCCTTCAGGTTTTCATGATCACGGTCTACCCCATCTTCATCTTGCCTCTATTCAACAAACTGTCTCCTCTGGAAGAAGGCAAATTGAAGTCTCAGACCGAAGCATTGGCAAAGAAGTTGAATTTCCCTCTCCAAGAGCTGTTTGTTATCGATGGAAGTAAGCGTAGCGCGCATAGCAACGCCTATTTCTTCGGTCTGCCGTGGAAGAAGCACATCGTCATCTATGATACCCTGATCGAGAAGAGCAGTGAAGAGGAGGTTGTTGCTGTACTGGCGCACGAACTCGGTCACTGGAGCCTTGGTCACACTACCAAGCTTTTCGGTGTTTCGCAGGTATGTCTAGATTTCCTAACACGATTTTTTGTGCCACGCTAACAACATATAGATCAACGTTTTCTACATCTTTAGTGTATTCTCGGTTTTCATCAACAATGCCTCCTTGTATGCCGACTTCGGATTCCTCAATGAACATCCCATCATCATTGGGTTCATCCTATTCTCGGATGCATTGGCACCGATGGACCTTATCATTAAGTTATTGATGAACATCATGAGCCGACGATTTGAATTCCAGGCCGATGCTTTCGCTCTCAACTTGGGTTACAAGAGCGAGTTGGCCTCTTCTCTCATCAAACTTCAGATTCAAAATCTGAGCACAATGGATGCGGATTGGATGTATGCTAGTTACCACTTTTCCCACCCCATTCTTTCCGAGAGATTGAAGGCTCTGAACTGGACAGCTACGGAAAAGGTGGCGGAAGACAAGCCGGAGAAAGAGGGCGTTGAAAAGGCTAGTGGACGGGAGCTATAGATCTCATTATCTTCGCAGATCTCCACTTCGGAAAAGGGTTCATGGGCGTAATTAAAAGGGTCCCATAGAGAGTTATTTGATTTTTGATGTACGAAAGTGATTGTCTCGTTGGTATTGTGCCTGATCTAATTGGGAATAGTAATCCAATGAATGGATGATGGGGCTAATTAAGCTGCTTTGATAGGGCGTTAACAAGCTCTGAACAACCAAACGAAATGACCGGGGGCATAGCTCACAATGCATCCATAAATAGCATAGTAATGACAATACACGTGCTGATGCCTACAATTTTTAGTGAAGAATTTATTTGTTGCACGTTAAGATGGCATACGTGCAGTAAAGTCGACCATTATTAGCCAATCAAATGAGGTATGATAAGCGATCGTGACGTTTTAACGCGTCGCCCCCGCTATAAACCCCTGCTAAGCTCTCAACGCGCGACGCGACTTCCTAGAAAACCACTTAAACTTAAAGAGCATTCACGCTTTTTGCTGGTCTCAACTTCTTTGCTGCACTGCTCCGCCTTCTTTACAACAATTTTCAACTTTGACCATTTCTAAACACGGATTCTCATGTCCTGAATCCTTTCTTTCTTCGCTCCCCATAGACTCTGTCATCACTAGACCATTGTCATGGCTAGCACAATTTTACCTCAAAAGCGTCTCCTCGGCGATGCTTCTAATCGTCGCAATTTCCCTTCTAGCCAGTCTATGGTGAAGAAGCGTCGTGTAGAACCCCTTTCTTCCTCACCCGCGTCACGGTTGAACAGCTCTCAACATGGCCCAGGTTCGAAACTAGCATCGAGCCAACCGAAGAGCACTTTCGAATCCGAAGTTCTCGAGAAGCTAAGCCAAGATATTTCCGAACTTAAGCAGACCAATTCAGAGAAAGATCAAGCATGGGAACGCCCTCCCGTTGTTGACTTCGACCCTAGTCGAGATAACCTAATCTTCCAACAAATAGACGCCGAAGAAGGTACTATACGTGGTGGCAAAAATGCCATCAAACTCTTCGGAGTTACTGAAGACGGCCACTCCGTGCTAGTTCACGTCACCGATTTCAAGCACTACCTCTATGTCGCCGCCCCGGTGTCTTTCACACCTCAAGATTGTGAACCATTCAAAGCCTACCTCGAAACACAAATGGCCCAACACCAACCCGTCATATACTCCTGCCAAGTCGTCCTACGAGAGAATATTTACGGCTTCCAGGGCAACACGCAAAGCCCCTATATCAAGATCACCGTTACAGATCCGAAGTTTATACCTCGAGTACGTTCGGCCTTTGAGCAAAATGAGGTCAATTGGAAGTCAATGTGGAAAGGAGTTGAAGGAGGCATAATGACATTTGATAATTTCCCTTATGTCTTGCGATTCATGGTCGATTGCAAGGTAGGCACCCCCAACGCTAACTACCATATCAACAATACATATTGATTTATTTTAGATCCCTGGTATGTCGTGGGTGGAGGCGCCGGCCAAATCCTATCGTCTTCTAGCCGAGAACCAGAAACAATCGAGTTGTCAAATCGAAGCCGAAATTAGCTACCGAGACTTAATTTCCCACGAACCGAAAGGCGAATGGTCCAAGATGGCCCCTCTCCGAATTCTATCCTTCGATATCGAATGTGCCGGACGAAAGGGCATCTTCCCAGAAGCAAACCAAGATCCGGTAATCCAAATCGCGAACGTCGTGACACGCTACGGAGAAAGCAAGCCATTCGTTAGGAATGTGTTCTGTCTAGATAAGACGAGCCCGATCGTAGCAACACAGATATTGGATTTCGAGAGGGAATCAGATATGCTTATGTCTTGGAAGCGATTCCTTGACAAAGTCGACCCTGATTTAATCACTGGTTACAACATTGCCAACTTCGATTTTCCCTATTTACTCGAGCGGGCTGAACACTTGAAGCTCAGAGGCTTCGAGTACTGGACTCGTCTTCCTAGTACCAGGTCATTTGCTAAGAAATCCAACTTTTCCAGCAAACAGATGGGTAATCGAGACACAAAAACTACGAATACCAACGGACGTTTGCAACTAGATTTGCTTCAACTAATCCAGCGGGACCATCACCTACGAAGTTATACCCTCAATTCCGTGTGTGCCCACTTCCTAGGGGAACAGAAAGAAGATGTCCACCACACAATGATCACCGAACTGTTCAACGGCACACCAGAATCCAGACGTCGTCTAGCGATATACTGCTTGAAGGATGCTTATTTGCCCCAGAGATTGATGGACAAGCTCTCCTGTCTTGCGAATTATACAGAAATGGCGAGAGTCACAGGTGTTCCTTTCAGTTTCCTACTCTCACGTGGACAGCAAATCAAGTTTATGAGTCAACTATTCCGAAAGGCTTTAGAGCAAAAGCTCGTCATTCCGAATATGAAATCCGAGAGTTCGGATGATCAGTACGAAGGAGCCACAGTCATTGAACCTACTCGTGGATTCTATGATGTGCCCATAGCAACCCTCGATTTTGCATCGCTATACCCCAGTATCATGCAAGCGCATAACCTTTGCTACACAACCCTCGTCAACAAGAGGGCAGTGGAGAAGTTTGGACTGAAGAAAGATGAGGATTATATCGTTACACCAAATGGTGACATGTTTGTTACTATCAAGCAACGAAAAGGACTCCTCGCACAGATTCTAGAAGAATTACTTACAGCCAGAAAACAAGCGAAAAGAGAGTTGGCCGTTGAGACAGATCCTTTCAAGAAAGCTGTGTTGAATGGTCGTCAACTAGCGTTGAAAGTGAGCGCGAACAGTGTGTACGGTCTTACAGGTGCAACAACTGGTAAACTCCCCTGTTTGGAGATTGCCAGTAGTACGACAAGTTATGGTCGACAGATGATTGAAAAAACGAAGACGGAGGTCGAAAACAAATATAATATTGCTAATGGCTACACTCATGACGCCCAAGTCATCTATGGTGACACGGATTCCGTCATGGTTAAGTTCGGAACGAAGGACCTGAGCGAAGCGATGAAACTTGGCGAAGAGGCTGCTAATTACGTTTCTTCCAAATTCACCAAACCCATCAAATTGGAATTTGAAAAGGTCTATTACCCGTACTTGTTAATTAACAAGAAGAGATATGCTGGTCTCTTCTGGACGAGACCCGAGAAGTTCGACAAGATGGACACCAAGGGTATCGAGACGGTCCGACGAGATAACTGTCTGCTAGTACAGACTGTCATCGAGAAAGTTCTTAGGATGATCCTGATCGATCAGGATGTCCAAGGAGCTCAAGAGTACGTTTTAGCACCCTTGCATTGGGTGTTCTTGTTACTGACCATTTTCGCAGCTATGTCAAAGATACAATTGCGGATCTATTGCAGAATAAAATAGATATGTCCAAGCTTGTGATCACGAAGGCCCTTACCAAAGAAAGTTACGACGCCAAGCAAGCCCATGTTGAGCTTGCGCAGCGTATGAAGAAACGAGACGCCGGTTCCGCCCCTGCATTAGGTGATCGAGTGGCGTACGTCATGGTCAAAGGTGCAAGCGGATCGAAGAACTTCGAGCGTTCCGAAGACCCCATATTCGTATTAGAAAACAACGTCCCTATCGACACACGATATTACCTGGATAATCAATTGGCAAAGCCTTTAGGGCGTATCTTCGATCCTATTTTAGGAGAAACCAAGTCGAAGTCGCTTCTCACGGGTGACCACACACGTGCCATCTCGGTTGCAGCGCCAACTGTGGGTGGTCTCATGAAATTCGCGAAGAAGACTATGACATGCATGGGCTGCAAAAAACCACTTGTGAGTAAGGAGGAGAGCGCTGGAGCTGTTTGTTCAGACTGTTCGCCACGAATGGGCGAACTCTACAAGAAGACACTTGACAAGGTGTCGGATCTTGAGGTCCGATTTGGACGTTTATGGACTCAATGTCAACGATGCCAAGGCAGCATGCACTGCGAGGTCATTTGCAGCAGTAAAGACTGTCCCATCTTCTACATGCGTATGAAGGCCAAGAAGGATGTCGAGGATGCTAGCAAGGAGTTAAAGCGATTCGATTTCGACCAATCTGCTATATGGTAAAAGCTATAATCATGGCTTCCGCAATTCCGATGGGAGGCTGGGCGTTATGAGGCATGCATGAAGGCTAAGGCGTCTTGGGTCGGGCTTGTATTTCTTAGGGAATGTAAAGTGTGTGTCATAATATCATCGTAGAGAAGCGGGAACGATGGGAAGTTGAGGATACCATAGAATTCAACGTTACTATTCAAAATAAACCAATAGGCCGGTTTCACCCGTCGCGAATTTTCACCATCAGACTGAATATTCTAATGCCCGCCCCCAAGGAAACATTCCGGCTTGCTCCGGTTCCGGAACATATCGGTCTTATGCCCCCTGGAAAATGGCCGGGGAAATTCCACTCTTCATTACGCAATACATATGCATTGAAGAGCTGTGAGTGGATGAAGAATCCCATGAGATGCATGTCCTGCAGGGTCCACTCCGTGGGTTCCCAAGCCCTTGGCAGGGTCGTTCCGCGAACGGCGTCAAGATTCAGTAACTCTATGAGGTTGGAATGCCTGCAAAGACATTGAATTGACGTGAATATTGGTGTCGTCGCAAACTCAACTGACGAATCACGAAGCTATGATAAGATGCCGCACATGTCTGTGGCAATAACTTAAGCTTCTCTCGCTTCTCCGGGTCACCATCCCTGCCTTACCGTAAGGCGGCTCCGCCGTCATTTATTGTGTTTGTGGTTGGTTGATCTCGTTCTAGATTCATGATTCAGCTACGAATTCCCCCACACGAGGCACCACATGGCTGCGTAGAAGTAACGACGAACTCCGTCACCGCTCTGCTAATTGCTTGCTCGCATGTGCGTCTTTCGACGTCGATGGGCTTTGTCCCGAGAGGGTACGCGTTTGATTTGATTGATTAGATCTACGGGATCGAAACGGGTAACCTGTCGTGCCTATGCAGCGGGTCTAACCTAGGCAGTAGTCACTTATACAAACCAGCTGTAACACTACCAAACACATGACAGATACATCATGCCGTTTCACTCTCTCCACAGTTAATTAGTTCAGCTAGCTGAATTAAAAAGTAGTTCTAAATATTTAGCTAGGGACTTCGTCCGCCGAAAACGCTCGGGATGTCAAGAAGGGTTGGCAGAGAGGCCAGATGAGATGGATCTGCGGTAGACTATATTAGATTGATTGAGGCATATAACTTAATCTCACACACATAATGGGTAAAGAATATGCCTCAATCCCGACAGGGGCCAAGATGGAAAATTGTATTATGAAGAGGAGAAGAAGAAAAAGGGAAAAAAATCAGCCGGAATGTGGTGGTTGTGGGCTAGGCCCCCCCACACATTTTTTCCTAGACAAGGTGAGGCTACATACAAGCTTACCTTGTGTTATTAGCGAACAATTGTAGTCATTCTAAGTCACAACTCGTTGGTTACCTACCTCGGACTACATGTATCCATCTCAAGTTTTCATGGGCTGGGTGGCTACCTTACACAATAACAACGTGTACCTAAGGCAACCTCCTGCCTTGATCAGCATTGGGTACTGACAAGACATTTCACCGATGACGGTGGTCTCTTCCTTGACCACCACCACCTCCTTCTCCTCCGGAGTAAAAATATATAATACCCTCACCTTCCTCGACTTTTCCCTCCTTTCCTCCTACTCAATTTTTACTCCTACACACAAAACCATCTCTCCTACTTTATCAACCTTGACCTTACTCTTCATATTAGCCAACGCGATCTTGAGATACCCAACCCCCTTTGATACCCACACATTATCATCAACATCATATACCCATATTTATTAACTCTACTTCGCAATCATGTCTCATCTTCCCTCCGAGCCCGAGTTCGAGCAGGCCTACAAGGGTAAGTTTCTTTGTGAAAGAAAAATAAACCGACTATCTACTAGTCAAGTCTTGGCTCGGACTAACATGTGGAATAGAACTTGTGGCCACTCTCGAGGAGAGCTCTCTATTCCAGGAGCACCCGGAGTACAAAACCGCGCTTAATGTTGTTTCTATCCCCGAGCGCACCATTCAATTCAGAGTCGTCTGGGAAGACGACAAGGGAAACCTACAGGTTAACCGCGGATACCGTGTTCAGTTCAACTCGGCGCTAGGCCCGTATAAGGGTGGTTTGCGATTCCATCCTACTGTTAACCTATCAATGTGAGAACGCCCTTTGAATTTCTCAGTAAAAAGTGGTAAAAAAAAATGGAAGAGAAAGTAGCCTTGCTAACACGAATGGAAAATAGCTTGAAGTTCCTCGGTTTCGAGCAAATCTTCAAGAATGCCTTGACTGGCCGTAAGTCTACCTACTTATCATATAAACAAATAGGAGAGAAATTTGCTAACGATTGATACAGTGAGCATGGGTGGTGGCAAGGGAGGTGCCGACTTCGACCCTAAGGGCAAGAGCGACAATGAGATTCGACGCTTCTGCGAGGCTTTCATGCGCAGACTCTCCCAGCACATTGGCGCTGAAACTGATGTGCCTGCCGGTGACATCGGTGTTGGTGGCCGAGAAGTCGGATACCTTTTCGGCACATACCGCAAGGAGCGGAACAAGTGGGAAGGTGTCCTTACCGGAAAGGGTCTCACTTGGGGTGGTAGTTTGATTCGACCTGGTAAGTCCGAATCTATCTCTGCCTCTTCGCCGAGCGGCAACTAACCACCACCAACAGAGGCCACCGGCTACGGTCTCGTCTACTACGTCGAGCACATGATCTCCTACACCGGCCAGGGCTCCTTCAAAGGAAAACGCGTAGCCATCTCCGGCTCCGGCAACGTAGCGCAATACGCCGCCCTAAAAGCAATCGAGCTCGGCGCAACCGTAGTCTCCCTCTCCGACTCCACCGGTTCCCTCATCGCCGAAGGCGACGCCTTCTTTACCCCCGAACACGTAAACGAGATCGCGGAAGTAAAACTCGCGCGTAAGCCGCTCACCGCGTTCAGCGGAACCAGTAAATTCAAATGGGTAGCTGGGGCTCGTCCTTGGACACATGTCGGGAATGTGGATATCGCGCTGCCCTGCGCGACCCAGAACGAGGTTAGTAAGGAGGAGGCTGAGGCCCTGGTTAAGGGCGGCGCCAAGTTTGTTGCTGAGGGCTCGAATATGGGGTGTACGCAGGATGCTATTGATGTGTTTGAGGCGGTAAGAAAGGAGGGTGGTGGGGGTAAGGTTTGGTATGCGCCCGGTAAGGCTTCGAATGCCGGCGGTGTGGCGGTTTCTGGCCTCGAGATGGCGCAGAATAGCAGTCGGTTTAGTTGGACTGAGGAGAGGGTTGATGAGCGGTTGAAGCAGATCGTAAGTCTTTTTCACTTTCTCTTGGATTTGCGGTGGCTGGGTTGGGTTTTTCGGTGTGAGATGGGGGTGCCCGCGGGATTGCTTTTTTCCCGGGTTACGTCTGTGGCTTGAGACATAACGCCCTGTGTCTCGCTTGTGCTTGTTTTTGAGGGATTAAGGGATTAAGTTGACCCTGTGACTGGTACTGATGGCTAATTATTCTGCCCACAGATGAAGGGAATCTTCGACCAGAGCATTGACAACGCCAAGCGATACGTCAAGACCAACAAGGACGGCGAGTTGCCCAGCTTAGTTGCCGGAGGAAACATCGCCGGTTTCCTAAAGGTCGTCCAGGCTATGCACGACCAGGGCGACTGGTGGTGAGCTCGTTCAACTCACTTACCTATCACATTATGAAGCCGGTCTCCGGTCGCGTTTGAAGAATGGCGCCCGGGTAGGCTGGATTAGGCGATTGCCATAATCGAGGTGTGGTGACGATCGGTGAAGTTGGATTTGGAGTTTGGGGGTGGCAACGAAAGTAGCCTACTACTACTCCTCATAAATGTACATACACTATAGATATATGCACGGGGGTTCATATATTTATGCAGGAGACGATCCGGTTCGTGGGCGGCGTTGCATTGTCTACCGAAATGGGGGCGTCCTTTCGGAGTTGAGGGGAGGTTATACGGCGACCTGACTGGCTGACCGACGGGATTTACTTTACTTGCTCCCTCTTACATAACGTACGTACGAAAGAGCCGTTACAGGTCCCCGGTCCCGAGGACTAAATGAGATCCGTGGAGGATCGTCCAGGCAGTAGTTTAGAGATGACCTATCGCAAAATACACATGCGCTTTTTTTTTCTCGTATTTGCGCCCCTTAGGATGTGATAGTGTTACCGATGCGAATGTCAACGAGGTGAATGTTGGTCCTTGAATTGTGAGTGGCGAGTGATGGATGAGGAGGTTGCTGCAGACAATGTGCCCATGCAAGCGGCTAATATTGGGGGCCTCGGAAGAAGGAATAAGCGCGGGAACGAGACCTACAGAACTAGACGAAGAAGCTTTAGGTTGCAATGGGATTTAAGATGTTGGTGATTACCACGTAGTAGGTAGGCCTATAGATGTATGTTTTAGATGATGAATGCTACCTACTACACTCCAATTCTTTATCACCGACAGGTGAGGCGCATTTTAGATGCATTCGCACGTAGGCTTTTTCTATTAATCTATCGTGCAGGATCTATTGATGTGGTGTTGGCGTTTGGATGCGTACTTGTTGATTGGAGTTATGATGTTAAGGCCCCTTAAGTCCTGCTTGGCAGATTGTAGGAAGAGGATATGTATATCAGAGTGAGGTAATGTAGCCATTTCGAGATATAAGGATGCAAGTAATCTATTTTGATGATATAGGAGATAGGCAGGTGAGGTTGGTAAAGGGTGATTGATGACCTGCACGCGCAGAACATATTATCGAGCTACCTCCTGATGACTTGGCTCAGCACATCAATCCCTTTTTAGGTACTTCTTATGTTACGTCCGATCAACACCTTTCTAGTAGATACCAAGGTAGGGTTTCATACTTATTATTGTATGAGGTGTCAAGTATTAAAAAATAGATGCAAGCTCTAGTGCACATATACATGTATGTATCGTTTCATTGACTACGTCTGGCTGCATCGGGTCTCAAAGTTCCCGAGGCAATTCAAGTACTTTTGCAATATACAGGTATATATCAGTTCATCGAATCATACGTTGGTTTCGATGAAATCCCGTTGCTTTGGTTTATCATTGATAATTTAACCTAGTATTCTCGAGTTATCATTTCTTTTTCTCGCCTACACACTACTCCTTGAGTTATGTAGTTGGTAGAAGGAGTAGGACATGTATATAAATAGTAAGGTCTAGTAAATCAGCCGCCAATTGGCCTTCCTAATTTGGTGTTCCGATATAGTGTGTGTGGTTGTGGTGGTGGTGGATAGTGGTTGGATTGGTGGGTGTGAAAATGCATAGGTAGTCCCAGGGCTCTGGACGAGGTAAGACTAGGTGGCCTGGAAACCGGGGAATTCTTGAGGATTGCCATGTGAAATATGTCCCAAATCTAGTTCATAGGCCCTAAATCTATAATTCGCCTTCAGGGGCTGGGGGGCTGGCGTTACCCCCATTAATTACCCTATATACCGGCACTATTAAAGTCGGTTATGTGCTACTTAGGAAATAAAAAGAGCGCCGTAAATACGTGGTGTGAGCGAATCATCCCCCTAGAAGTCGAACAGATACATAAGACACGTATGTCGGTACGATGATGAGAAGCTCCTTACTAGGCATATTTATCTGCCTACGTATCTAAATGTATGCCAATATAAACTGCCAACGCTTTTCATGATATATTTCTTACGCCGAACTTCTCGTATCTGTAATGCTTTGCTTTGTTCCTGGTATCTGCAGCCCATTCGGACCGTAGAAGATGTAGGGGTAAGTGGCGGCGGGGGTTGGTGACGATTGACATAATTCTCCGTTACCCCCGTGTTACCGACATGACACTGGGATCCTCTACGATCGGAATTCTAGCCGAATCGTAAGGCTGCCGCTATAGAACAAGCTACACTTCGCACATCTTACGTGGGCTGATGCTGACGGGATCGTACGTACATATTGCCGTGATGATGGTAAGTACTCAGGTACTCAACCTTGGGAGTAGTTAGGAACGTGGTATCGTGTATAACGTTGTAGACACGCGAATAGCAGCATCTAAAGCAGTAAACCACTAACTACATGTCGTGATATGATCAACAGAGGTTACGTTGAGAACGTGATACCGGAAATGGCCAAGAATAGGTGGAAGTGCGTATATGCAGAGTACGGGAAACACAGCAGAGGTAGTAAGTAAGGGCAGTGCTTTTATCACCGCTTACCAAACCAAAAAGCATCGTGACCTTACACTTCTCGGGAATGACAAGATATTGGAGTGATACAACGTGTTTCTTTTGTCCAATCTTATCCGGGTCTGCCGCAGTTAGATGTCTCGATCTGGTTCACCGGAAATGTCGAAAAGAAAAATGAAACCCGGAGTACCGTGCGGGATGTATGACCAATCAAGGTACTAGTTCGAAGTAGATATGCTATTGAGGATGTAATGTAACTCCTCTGTCGAATTATTTCGATATAAAGGATATTCTGTAGATGACATGTGAAGAATTATGACTTTGTAGGATCGGGTAAAGTAACGTCAGTAATTTGTCATGAACATGATAACATTGTTAGTAGAGGATTGCCTATTCTTCAGATAACTTAAGAGATTGGTCTCCAAGCAATTAGCCAATCACAATTCTTAGCCGATCTATACCGTTCATAGGATCGGATGTGGGATTGCTATCCTTGTATTGTGTAGGCGCCCGGACGCCCTGAAATCTTCATTTCCACCACCATCAACAACCGAAGCTGCGAGGACGTAAGCCACGTCCTTCGTCAATTGCACCTTAGCCTCTATATCCAATTCGATCTGCCAAAGGACAGGAATAGAGAGTGACAAATGAGACGTGCGTCGCATATGTGGTGTTAATCACCGTAGTATCATTACATCAAATGCCGGCCGCTCCACCATTGGGAGCCTCCAATTGTCACTTTTTCCAATGGAATCGGCTCCTTTCAGCCGTTCCATCGTTCGACGTTTTCAGCTCTCCAGGCACTGCTCGGTCGTCCCTACATAACTCTACCAATGGAAAACGTGGGTAGATATCTGTGCGTGTATGTAAAAGTCTGCTAATGAATGGTTATGACTAGATTATCAATCTTGATTATAATCGATGGCCTCGACTAAAGTAGTAGTATGCCTTTTTTTTAGTTAGATCCTCGAGTCTTGGCCCTCTTGGCCCGGTGCCTCTGTCTGCCTCAGCCCTAAATTCCGACCAGGTCTCGAAATTGAGTGTTTTAGGATGATAGTGCTGTCTCTATTCTATAATAAGCCATTCAGGGTGTCACCTAGGCGTGTCATCAATTTGAACGCCCATCATTATCGCGACGGCTGACACAACTAGAATGCCTAGGCTCATTTGAGACTTTCGTTGGACGCCATCATTTTCAAGTTCGTATACGTGGCTGAAACCTCCAAACGGCCACTAGAAGCCCCTCAAAGGGGAGACAATTCGTTGATGTCATAATAGTGGCAGTGGGTTTGTTTATATCACGAACGTCGGTGAGACAGGACGCTGGCTGTCCGATCAAAGTAGCCTGGGAGTACGGCAAACGCCCACGCCCATGCCCACGATGATTAAAAATATTATTTTTTGTGCTGCTTCAAAATCCCGTATCTCCATGGGGTACGTGTCCCAGGTGTAAGAGATAGGGTACTGGAATCAACTGACGATTGAACGCTCTAAAGTCTTATAGGGTACATCGCCAATTAACGGATGGGTCCGGTACGCTTGCTACAAGACAGGGCCCCATCCGAATTGAGTCGTTCGTGAGCCAATTAGCTTTCGCATTTCATTTGTATTCATGACGGAAAAAGACAAATCGCTTGGACCTTGACAATGTACCCAGGTCGTCTACCGTTGGAAGGGCGACGCTGTATTTCGGCCCCCATTGCAATTTGATGCCTCCCTAGGCTTGTCTTCGTCGATATTACTGGCTCGTCTTCTTCTAAACGAGATTCGCAAAGGAATAACATCGTTACCATGGACTTGGGGAAACGAAACCCCAAGCGGGAACAGCGGCCCGAACCAGAGGCGCTGCGCTGTCTACCTTATAACATCTAAGCCAAGAAGCGACACTCTGCTCTATCAGATGCCACATACCTAGGTAGGTACCTAACAATTTGATCGATGATGGGCTTGAATGATTTTGTAGTACTTGTAGATCAATGTTTCTTTTTTTACCCCGCTAGAATCTGTCGAATAAGGGGGGGCCACAGCTTGTAACCCCATGAACGATTCTTTCTCATCCTGGGCTTCTTTTCTTCGACCCATCCACCTATTCGCAAGGTAGTATTCTCATTCCAGTTAGCTTCCTCCGCTTCTGCAGCTCAGCTAAACCAAATTTTTATTATTGGATCTGACCCGAACTAGTACGGTAGGTACGCATCGCCCAATGGCCTCGGTGGAAGTAAGACTCGGTAGAGGGTTCGCTAACGCGTAAATATTACTTCGGGGTTGCTAATATGAGCTGACGATCGTTGCTTCAATTTTCAGCCCTGCCTCAGCGAACAAGGGTCTCCGCCACCCCTGGTCTCGCAGTAGTTCTGCAAGATGAGGGTAGAAGGTCACTTCGGCTGCTATTCTGCAGGGGTCCGTAAACAGTCGACTGCTTCTCAGAGGGCCTTTCATCAACTGTACATCATCCATGACACATCAGACCGGTACGCCAATAGAGCGACCTCGAACTACAAAGGACCGATGTTTTCTGATATATGAGACCATCCCACGAGGCGCAAAATTCTCCGTCCCCATTCCTCGAGATCTTACCCTAGCATGTCCCCAGCATCCTGTTGCAACCCTAATCATCCCTCGGCGCTTTTAGTCCTTCATAGTCCTTGATACATCTTACTTCTTGTTTGGAGGCGTTTGCTTATGATTGTTTTTTTTTGCCTTTCCTACCTCTGCTGAAGATATTGGTAGCCTTCAGCAAACCCGGCCCGTATAGAGGCCAATCCTCATCCTGGTTCTTCATTGTGACCGGTAAACGGAATTCGTCACCACCATGCCGTCGGTAGTACCTGATATCACAACGACCGGCGCCGACCCTTCCCAAGCGGCACAGGGTGAGGCGTCAACCTCAAATGGATACAGAAATAAGTTCACTGGCGAGTATATCGGACCTGTAAACGGCCATGGACGCGAGAGGAGCCCTTCGAATTGCTCAGTCGGTTCTTTCGACCATAGCGTCTACGGAGCAAACGGACTAGATACCGGCGACTCATTTACCCAAGCTCAACCTTTACCCGATCACATGTACGGACCTCACGATGAGACCTCGAATGGGCCCCAGTCCCGGGCTTGGGGTGATGAACCCAAATCATCACGATTCCCCCGCATCTCAAAAGCAGTGGAGCTAATGCGCCATTCCTACGACTGCGTCGTCATCGGCTCCGGTTATGGAGGTGGTGTCGCGGCTTCTCGCATGGCTCGCGCCGGCGAATCGGTCTGTGTCTTAGAACGTGGTAAGGAGCGCTGGCCTGGCGAGTATCCGGACCATGCGGCCGATGCGATAGGACAAGTGCATTACTCCGGCGAGTTCGCGCCTGGTTGGCTTCCTAAGAAGATCGTCAATGGGGGTGATCCCACCGGCATGTATCATCTGATATTCGGCAATTGCCAACATGCGGTTGTTTGCAATGGTAAGTTATCATGAATGAAAGTTAGGGGATTGTATGTTGGGCTAATTGTTGTTTAGGTCTTGGTGGAACGAGCTTGATGAATGCCAATGTGTATTTGGAAGCGGATGAAGAGACACTGAAGCTTGAAGCATGGCCAAAGGAGATTAGAGACGACCCTAAGAGTCTAAATAAGTGTAAGCTTCTACTATCCCTCAGACTTTCCGGAGAACACCCCTTCGTTTCTTTCACCGGGCGATAAAATGAGGGCAAAGGCTGATCCATCAATCAATAGACTACAAGAAAGCAGAAGATGTATTAGAGCCGGAGAAATATCCTGAAGATTGGCCTAAGCTCCCTAAACTCGAATTACTGGAGAGGCAAGCGAAGTATCTCAACATGGGAGACAAATTCAGCCGTGTACGGCAGACGACGCGATTCCACAACGGACCAAACAGTTGCGGTGTAGAAATGCAGCCATCACAACTCACCGGCCAAGACGCTACCGGCCTAAACGACGGATCCAAGAACACCACATTAGTCACCTACATAGCAGATGCGTGGAATTGGGATGCCGACATATTCTGCGAAACCGAGGTGAGATATATCACCAAAGCCCCAGACCCGCAACAGGGATACATTGTCTACTTCGCTTGGCACGGACGGAATCGTGGCCATTTCAAAGCAAACTTACATGGTGATCTCATGTGGGTTCATGCAAGGAAGGCTGTGTTCCTAGGTGCCGGCGCTATTGGTACGACGGAGATCCTTCTTAGGAGTAAGAACATGGGTCTGGGGTTGAGTGAGAAGGTAGGCCAGAATATGAGCGGCAATGGCGATATACTTGGATTTGGGTAAGTGGCTTTACTAAAACTGCTCACGAACACTGTTAATCATTTCCTTAGTTATAATACCGATTATGATGCGAACGCCATGGGAAAGCCTGGCCCATCCCACAGCCGCCCCGTTGGACCTTGCATTACTGGTATCATCGATAACCGAGCTGGCCATGAGAATCCACTGGATGGTTACGTCCTCGAAGAAGGCTCTATCCCAGGAGCTCTTGCGCCGTTCCTGCAAGTTATGCTCGAGCTCTTACCTGGAAGAATTGAGCCGACTGGTGAGGGTCTTGTTGATAGATTCAAGGCGAATCTATCTAGTATAGGCAGCACTTTCCTTGGTCCTTACTTCAAGAGAGGCGCGATCGAGAAGACACAAGTGTACTTAATCATGTCTCATGATAGTGAGTTTACCGTTAACTTACCCTCAACTGAGTTGATTACTGATTTGTTCCAGGCAACCAAGCGTACTTGACTCTTAAGGACGATAAACCGGTCCTTGAATACGTTGGTGTCGGCCGTAGTGACCATGTCAAGCACCTGAATGACATTCTTGCAAGGGCCACGAGAGCCGTCGGGGGCACATTTGTGCAGAACCCCTGGTATGCCCTTCTTGGTGAACAGCAAGTCACTGTTCATCCGATTGGGTAAGTCGATTGAAATCCTTATCCGTTTAACTTGTATTCTGACGATATTTAGTGGCGCTTGCATGGCAAATGATGGCACTGGCGCGACCGGTGCTACAAACCACAAGGGTGAACTCTTCATTGGCTCCGGCACGGAGACGCACGATGGCCTCATCGTCACCGATGCAGCAGTTATCCCCACTGCTCTTGGCGCAAACCCCTTCGCGACGATTACTGCTTTAGCTGAGCGATCCGTTCACATGTACGCCAAAAAGCGAAATCTCACAATCGACCCGACTAAAAATGGGATTCTCGACCTCTTTGGTTCTCCTCAACACAAACGCACCCACGGGCGACGCGCATCGATATTTCACGTTGAAGAAACGGTAGAGGTCCAAAGGATAGATAAGGCGACAAAGGCTATTGACGGCGCCCAGCGTATGAACGATAGCGGTTTCGGTTTCACCGAAGTTATGTCTGGATACATCCACAAAGACAAGGGCCTTACTCGGGATAATATCGACACATACGAACTTGCCGCTAGGACTGCGAAAAGCCTTTGCGAAACAGCACGATTCTTCCTCAGCGTACAGTCTTTTAATATCCGGTCAATTGTACACGACCCCAATCACAGGGCAATGCTGACCGGTACCTTTATCTGTCCTACTTTGGAAGGTTCTCCATTCATGGTACAACGAGGCGATTTCAACTTATTCCTACTCGATCGCAAGGCGCCCGGGACTCGAAACCTTACTTATGACTTCGATATGCGTGGTATCAACGGAAGGCAACTCCATTTCCACGGATACAAGGTGGTTGATTCATCGGTCGCATTGTCGCCGACGCATTTTTGGAAGTCAACCAGCACCCTCTATGTCACAATCACTGAATCCCTACCGGATCACCAAAGAAGATGCTCAGATGCGGATGAATGTGGCCTTTTAGGACAGATTGTGGCGAAGGGTGTTATGCGTATCCAACCGGCTGATTTCTTATCCGAGGTCTTGACCCTCACCCCCACAGGCAGCAGTATCCTCGAGAAGGCAATGGGCGTTGCCAATTTCCTCACTTTCTTCACACGGAAATCGATGTCGCTTCTCCTAGCTCCACTCACGCCATTGCAATATCCCTCGCAGTCTTACCAAGGCTTCGTTAACAACACACCCTACGATAAGCTGTTTAGTATCACAGCTTCCGATGGTGTTGTCACGCGCCTATATATGTGGGAACCCACGAACAAGACAATTGAGACCAAGAACCTATTTATGATCCCTGGTGCCTCGGTTGATCACCAGATCTACGCGCTTCCGACAATTCGCTACAACGCCGTCAATTACTTCCGTCGGGCCGGATACCGGGTTTTCGTCGCCGTTCATCGAATCGGAATGTTAATGCTCGCGCAGAATAACTGGACAACATTTGACGCGCGTCTCGACTTAAAAGCGTGTCTGAAATTTATCCGAGAAGAATACCCAGACTCCACCCCCAAAGGAACTCGTAGTGGAATCATTCCCGAACCCATTTACACTATCGCGCACTGCATGGGCAGCGTAGCCTTCTCCGCCGGCCTCCTCGACGGCACCATCCCGTCCAAATGGGTCAAGGGCATCACCTGCAGTCAAGTATTCATGAATCCGATCTGGAACACCATGAATTTAATCAAGATTCTAGCTCTCCCAATCCCTGCTGATCGGATGTACCGGATGCTCGGCGGGAATTGGTTTAGCTTTAGCACAAGCAAGAACGACAGTTACTTGCAGAAGGGGCTTAACGAGCTTCTGCGTCTTATGCCTGATGAGCGTAAGGAGATCTGCAATAACGCGAGTTGCCATCGGTGCACAATGGCCTTGGGCCGGTGCTGGAATCATCGCAATTTGAACGAAGCTACGCATCGCCAGATCGATCGATTCTTTGGTGGTGTTAGCATTACTTTACTTCATCTGCTCATGAGGCAAGGATACGAAGGCCACGTTATGGGTAATAGTCCGTTGTATGAACGGTTGGATACGAAGCAGAACATTAACAAGCTCCGAGGCGTCCCGATACTACTATTTGTGGGACGTGACAATGCGGTGTTGAGTCCGGAGAGTACTGAGCGCACGTATGAGGTGCTGACAGATGCTTTCGGCACTGGAGATGATGCCTCGGGGGTCCAGTATAGGCGCAGGGTGGTGCCTGATTATGGACACTTGGATTGCTGGATGGGGAGGAATGCCTGGAAGGATATTTATCCATTTGTGAGGGAGGAAGTTGATCGTGTGGTTCGGGGACCTGAGTACAAGTTTAGAGATCCGGCAGACGAGTTTCAGAGATTGGTAGAGACAGGAAGGCTGTTGTATTAGAAGGGTGTATGAGTTGTGTGAAGTTTACGAGGGATGAGATGGACTTTGGCTTTGACTTTTTGATTGTTGTATGAAGGAAAAGGAGCATAAAAGGGATGGGTTGCTTTGGAGTTATGAGTTAAGGTTAAGGGTTAAGGGTTGGAGTTATCGACTTGGGAAGGTACATGTGATGTTATACCCCCTTATTGTATTCACTTATGGCAGGCATATGGAACTGCCATTTTATTGTTTAGTTCCTTCTATACAGTCTCTAAAATAAAGGAGGCAACTCCTCATTGGCGATGTACCCCACTAGTCTATCTTACAACTAGTTACACCGAAGATATTGGAAGTGTCTATGGCTATCTCAGCATAGCTCTTACTCTCGATTTAACCCTCCTAGCTGAATATAGTAATGCTACCTGCCATGTTAGGGGCGAGTAGGAGGATTGCCCCTTCCCGTCCCGTCCCGTTTTAAACGAGAGTTGTTGTCGCAGTTCGTGTGATTTAGTTAAGTTGCTGTTTCCTCATAGAATAGATGTAGCTTGCTCCTTCATCATGAACAGCTTGCATTTCATGCATTTCGGTAATTCATCGCAAACTGCGTCAAATGTATCATCTTGAGACCTCTGAATGGTTTCTTCCATCTTTGATTTTACCTAAGGCACAAAAAGGAATTACGAGATAACCAATAGCAACTCATAACAAGCATCTGGGGTACTGTCGATGACACGTCACTGTCGAATAGGCTAGTGAGGTGGTTGCTAGGTAGTTATAGTCGCGCATCAAGGAACTCGTAACTAGGCATCGATTAAGACATACATGTAGCTGCTACTTATTCCCCGCTTAACGCTTCGTTATTTCCTTTTATGAACATTTAATGAGGGTGATACTTCGTTCTTTCTGCACGCATCACTTGATTTAGGTATCCATCGATTAAGGCACTTACTCACCTAGGAGTCAGCATCGTACCTTCGCAACATCTGATCTTTCAATAATTCGCTTTATAGGTCTTTCCTTAACGTCCGTCCGCCGTCTTTATACTTTTATATTATTTTAGTTCCTAACACTCGTTTGCCCGTACACCTCCCCCATCGCCGATATTACGCTTTAATTGTGATTGCGACATTTATCTCGTGATAAATGCTAAGCACCTAGGTATGTACAAGTATTATTCTCAAGTTTCCCCAGCCACATGCACGTATAAAATGCGGGTGGTTGATATCGTACCGAGGTATACCTAAATAGCGCTAATCTACAGAGGCCTTTAGGTACCCCCCTACCGGGAATACGAAACTTTAGGCTACCCCTGTCACCGGCTAGATCCCTGCTCGGTACCTAGATACACTGAAGCTAGGTGTTGAGCTAGGTGGCCCACGACGGCGGTACGGAAGGTAGTAGCCTGAAGCCTTGTGGCACGGCTGCCATCTATCAGTGGTATCAGTGGTGTTATCATACCACCTATCACCTATTTTATCCTAGATCTTAGCTAGGTAGTCCGACGAGCCTCGTTAGAGTATCACGAACTCTCAATGGCCAAGGACAACAACCTTGGTGAGATTAAGTAAAATTGTTGCGCGTGCATCTATTGGAGCCAACAAGGCTTGGTTTTGTTTCTTATTATTTACTAATTATGGATTTTATTGCTTTTCAGCCTACCTTTCAGGGAATCTGCCGCCAATGAGTGCGGAACACTCCGAGTTGTATCGTGCACAGAAACGGCGTCAAGAACAACCACCCGAACATCGTGAACTAACCCGACCCCGATTACGGCCTCCATCTAATACCAAATCAACGCGAGCACCATCTAAATCTAAAACTAAACCCAAGAAAAGAAAGTCCAAACGTGTTGTCGAGAGCGAAGAGGACGAAGACGAGGATCGCTGGTTTACGATCCGTAATATTATAGACGAGAAGATTCAACGTGGGAAGGTATATTATTTGGTGGACTGGGAAGGCACCGATAAGAACGGTCGGCCATACACACCAACTTGGGTAAGTTACTATCTATCTTTCAGTTACGCACTACCTACTCTCTTTGAGATTCATTACGCTTGGTATTCGGTCTGCTTTCTCTGTCCCTGTTGTATTCGTTACTCTTTGCATCATTTACATCATACCATACTACGCACATGCACATGCGCTAAGAAGTTTGTAAAGCAACCAGAATTCGACGTGACAGAACTTGCGATAAGCGCTTGGAAGGAGAGTAAAGCTGAAGCTAAGCGTGCCCGGGATACGACTAATGCAACTATCGCTGGTCCTCGTTCTACTTCGGATGCGTCCAATACTACGGAGAGTGGCACTACGAACCAAACAAATCGTACCCCCAAAATTCGGATGAAGAAGAGGCCTTTAGAGCAAGAAGAGAAATCTGAGCTTAGCAAGGAAGCCGTACGTGAACACCGACGAATCAGTATTGTAGTGACATCTAAGGGTACAGACCGTGGGGTGAAAGTTCCCAAATATACGTCAGAGGTACCAAGTGGACGGGACGACCACAAATCAATTGAGGAGGGAATCCCAGCTAGTGGTATCCTAGGAGATTCAAGGCCTGGAAAAGGTCAAATAGTGATTGAGCTGCCAGGAAAGCCAGAATTCGATACCGACGAATACATCCCTGTGTCGCTTTCCTCGCAGCAAACAAGCATTCCACTCTCGTCCCAGTCCGCTTCTTTCGGTACATCCCCAGCAGTCCAAAAATCCGAATTAAAAAACGAGGATCATCGGGTAATCCCCGATTCTCAAGAGATATCCGGATTTTCAAGTTTTGCAACTCAAGAAAGTATCGTTGGCTTCCAAGGTTCAATCACCGCCAGTGAGGTTTTCTGGGGGGTCACTGCTGCATCTCAGCAGAACTCGAAAAAATTCCAGCCACTAGGCGTCTCTGCTCAGCTAACAGTAGATATCCCTTCGCACCAACCGGACAATCGTACTGGCAACAGCCGGGAAAATCTATCTGGGTCTGCATTTGTGGTTGAGACCAATCCAAGTTCTACGCAACCAAATAATTCACAAAGCAACACCGGCGGAAGCTTCCCGGTTTTTTCCACGCAGGAAAATCTCAATCTCGATATTATTCCTCCAACCTCCCAGCCGAGTGAGAGTTCGTCGGTCCCACTACCTGGTCCAATTTCGGACGAACCTATCTCTGCGGCAAGTGCAAGTCGAGACCTGCAGTCCGTAAATAGCATTAGCATCGCATCTCGGAGTAATTCACAAGCCGCCCAGATCGTGGTGCCATTAAGCAGTCAACAAGGTGGGTTAGCGACGAATACCGACGCGAATTTCACAGTATATGACGACGATTCAATCGTACCCGATACTGTGTTACGCGATACGGTATCAAACGAAATTTGCAATCAACACGACTCGCAGCACTCAAGTCAGGCCCTGAGCGAATTAGACGGCAATACTAGAAGTGCGTCGTCTTCGAAAGGTCACCTGATTGAATCTCAACTTGCGTCGGATTGCGTAGAGTTATCGCAAAGCAATCTCAACAAAGCAACCAGTTGCATTGAAGCAGAGGAGGCATCCACGCCTGCTCCGGCGACCTCGAATTTTTCTCAGGGCTCATCTCTACCACGGCAACAAGTCGTATTAGCGAGGATGGATAGTTCCCAACCCGCTGCGCTCTCCGCGCGTGAGAGATTAAGATTGATACGAGAACAAGGTTTCGCTTCTTTGAGCGAGACTTCTCCGAGCCTTGCAAGTTCAACAGATGCAGATCCGACTTCCGCGAAGGTAGACGCTCTAGCAGTATCTCAAGATACCCCGGTAGCTCCCGTAGCGCAAATGGCTGGGCAAATCTCAGTTCCTGAAGTCAGCCCTATCACACCCACACCGCCGCGCCTGTCATCCCCGGTTCTCCCGACCCAGTCCTTACAAGCAGTAACACAAAGCGAGTTACCATCTAATGAACAGCAATCAGCAGTACCCGAGACTACACAATTACCTGTTGTGCAAGAAATACAGGGAACACAAGATGCACGAAGCGGATTAGGATTAGAGAGTGCCCCGGCTGAAGTCGGCTACATCGCTAATGAAGAACACCCCGCAACCTTGGATCCCTCAAATTTAACGCTCTCGATTGAGAATGACATGGAAATTAGCCCATCATTATCTACGCACGATGCTCTGCATCATGATCTACAGATTCCGGATGTGTTCGCCATGCCGCACGAAGAGAACGATTTATCTCCTCCCGATTACCCGGCGAGCCTTCTTCCATACATCCCAACTGGCACTAATGAATATGTTGTAACCCTTCCGTACTACAACCCGAGACGAGAAGTATACAACAATGTTCTCCGCGAGAACGAAGCCTTAGTTAATGAGTACACAGCTTCATTTCGTGTCCTGCCACATTTGAAGCCACATCCTACAACTATATCGAAACTCGATGAGATGTTCTCCCGTCTTTTCGACATCTGCGATCTACCGAGTTTCATGGAGACCGTGGCGACTATGAGACCAGCTGAGTTAGCGAAACACGTGGTCACTACTAACCCTAAATTCGCCTTTGTCGACGATCTTCTTACACATTTAACTCAGGCGGGTTCGGATAAAAAGCTGTTGATTTTGGTCCGTTCTGAAACTTTGATGGATCTTCTTGGCCACGTAGTCGAGGCGAAGGGTTGTCGCTACATTAGATCTGGACAAGACATCAGCAGCCTTCCAGCCGCTCAGCATCTACTGACGGTCGTCGTTTCTTCAACACTCGAAAGTCCGGCATTGATTCCTGATGACGTTGATGTGGTCATAGCATTCGATCACACATATCGACCCGAGTTGCTCCCCTTGTCAGTCCGGGATCGCTCTCCTCCGTTATTACTTCTTACAAATACGTGCTCGATCCAGCACCTCAACATGCGCGTTTCAGAAAACCTAGAACCACTAGAACGTAAGAACGTACTTGTGCTTGCTCTGGTTAAAGCGATGCGTTACGTGGAGGATGCTAGTAGTCCTCAGATACAACCAGACGGGGCAGCCGGGGTTTTCTCGGGCTACATTGAGGACCCTGATGATGATGACTTTTTCTGGGAACCTCAAGAAATACCCGAAGACGTATTTGAGGATTTGCATGCTGCCACTCAGAGTCAATTATCACAACCTGATCTTCAAGGGTTTGGACTTGACCAGAGTCTTATTGGCCGTAAGAGATCTCATGAGGTAAGCCGTTCATTACTTTTATCGTTCATCCGAGTACTAATGTTTGTGGTAGGTTGATGACGAAGGGTCTGCTCCCAAGCGCCCTAGAGTATCGCAACCCACGATCGTAACTGGCGTTAGTCATATTAGCGACTCTCTAAAGGAAATCATTGGTGATGATTCTACCGGTCACACTCCGAAGGCAATGCTCTCCATATCAGTTGAGAAATTAGAGAATCTGTCAGCTAGGGTGAGTTCAATTCATATGTTATCATTGGCGTCAAGGTCGGACTAATGTTTTGTAGATCGCAAGTCTTGAGACGAAACTTGAAGAGAGCAAGCAACGTGAGCAGCAATTCCGAGAGCTCAGTAATCGATCTAAGAAAGAGGTCGATGATCACGTTGCCACAGTCAATCTCGTTCAGTCTAAATTTATGGACGCACTCGAAGACCGAGGGACTTTCGAACACCAGTATCGCGAGGTCAAGGAGGTGGTGAAATCCACTGAGGCCGGCCTTGAATCTAGTAGAAAAGAGAACGATGCGCTGAAAGAGAAGAATGCGGAACTGCAGAAACGGTTGGCTTCGGCAAGTGAAGCACTTCTCAAATCTACGAACCCCGAATTAGTTAAGATGGCCCAGCTGGAAAAGGACCTGGATGACTCGAAGAGCAAAGTCTCACTACTGGAGAAGAAAATCGCTGTCACCAGAAGTGATATGGAGTATGCTAAGAGCGCCTATCAGGATGCATCTCAGCGAGCCGGAGAACTCCAAGCTGAAAACCGTGGACTTGAACAACGAATTGAAGTTCTTAGTCGTAAGGCCGATGCCAACATCGTCGAGGTAAACCGCATCCACGCCGCGAACGAAAGCAAGGAATTATTGCGTATGCTCGAGGAGCAGAAGAGCATAGTCCGCGACCGCGACCTCGAACTCGCTAGAGTTAAGGAGGAACTGAGGACGTTCAAGGAGAACAGAAGAGGCACGCGACAGAGTAGTGTTCCGCGTAGCCCCCGACTGAGCGCCTTCAATAGCCCGCGAAACGGCGCCCGTGGTAAAGGCGGATCAAGTAGCCGTGGCACTAGTCCTGCGCCTCCACCCACGGGCGTCTTTGAGACGGGTGTTGGTATTGGAACTCCGGCACCAGGAAATCGTGCTTCGCATCTGCGAGAGTCGCGATTTTAGGTTACACACGACACCTGATACAGCCATCGCTCCTCCTCGGAGGCATTCACAGCGATAATTATTGGCTGTCTTATAGGATAATGTATTACGATATCATCACGACTCCCGATCCTCTCAACCTTACCGAATCCCACGAGTACACAGAATCACGAAAAGGGGCAGTAGAAGAGGATCTTATTACCTTCCCCTTCCTTCTCCGATTTATGCACTTTTTCCTTGGAAGCCGGGCCATTGTATTAAGTCTAGGTCGCACGAGGATACCGTCGACCAGACTTTTTGCCCGTGGGGTTTTTTTTCTTGCTATATCCCAGGATTTATCTACTTTTCTCCTACATCACTTCACTACATTACCTCGGGTCCGCATTTGAGATTTTTCATACAACAACGACGCTAGACGACGTTAGAAGAGTCCGGTTTGCGACTTTTTAACCTAACCGAAATTTGCGGCGCTTATAGATGGTGGTGGACGAACCTATTCCCATTAAGTGTGCGGTGTGTTACCGGTAATTAGCAACAAGAGATGGGATGATAGGCGGGCGAGAGAAGTGGATTAGTGAACAAAAGGCGATGAGTTGAGATGGATGAAACGGGGGAAGAGGAAAGATGAGGGGAAGAAACGTGAAGGGAAGTGTATATTTGCGGTAGTGGCTACCTATTAGGTATGCAGGTGGGCGGTGAATTACTGAGTACATATCGCATTATATCGTTGACTTTCCATGCGAGTGCAGTGACTTTTTATGTGAAGTTAGGAGGTGAGGTCGTAGATGCGCTCTAGGATTAAAATACCCAGTTAAACAATAAGTACTTATAAAAGCCAGGTAAGCAATAAAATGACCGGTAAGGTGGTGGTATACCTCGAGTAACCTACGTATTTTGCTCGGGTCAGAGAAGGGCTAGAGATACGTCATATGGCGACCCGAGTCGAGTCTTCTACGTGTGACGAGGGATCGATACTTGATACAGCCTCGTCGAAAAAAACTCAACTTCCATGTTTCTAGTTTAGGACGACCCGCCTTCATATGGCTCTCATTCTCATGCTCTTTGATTTCTTTGCGCCCCGGGACAGAAGTTTTGATTTCTAACTTGTTGTTCGGCTGTAATAGTAATAGTAAAGGTAGTAGTAAGTTGTTGGTAGTAGACATATACACATGCGGTGGGAACAACACCTCATCCATCCAAGGGGGCAACGCCAGACATTTCGTCGTCTTTCTCTCCTTTCTCTATGCATCCGTCGCGTTCTCCACGTATAAAATATACGCCTACGTCTCTTTGGTGTTGTCTCCCGAATTTTTTTTGGTCTGCCGCTACTCCTGATTTTTTTCTGTCAAATAAATAGAATAAACCGTCCTCTCAACCGCTACCTAGTAATAGTATAGGTAGAGAGGCATTGGTTAACCTATTTATTTGGCCTCCTCGGGATACAGGTCCTCCTTCAAGACGACGCCGAGTTCTTCGCGTAAGGGCTTTAGCTCGTCGAGGTACTGTTGGTACTGGTTCTTGTTCTCGACCTTGGCCTTGATGCCCTCGAAGATGCGGACGGCGGTGGGGAAATCGTTGACGCGGCGGGCGGCGCGCAGGGCGGCTTCGACGACGGACGGCGAGGGGACCAAGTCGTAGGCGAAGGCGTTGTTTAGATTACGCTGCGCGATTATGATATGTTAGCTAGCTAGACTTGGGTATTGTCTTTTTTATATGCGAGTCGTTGACGTCGTGATGGGAGATTTTATCGCGTATAACCGTGTGGGGAGTGTGGGTCGACCTAGGTAGCTTGGATAGGCGGCTGACTTGGTGCAGAACCAAGGAATGAAGACAGATACGGGCGGTAATGTATGAAAGACCTCGGGTATCGGGGGGTTAGACGAACCTGAAGCTCGAAAACATCTTGTACTTTTTCGAATTCGCTCTCGTACCTAGATAGAGAAAGCTTGGGTTAGTAATTTGGGCTAAATTGATATGTCGCCAATATCCCGATGTCAATTGAGCGATATTGAAGCTCCGACAGCGCCATTTAAAAACCAATTGACCATTCCAGATATCCTAATCGTCTTCAATCGGGCTCAATTGAGCTATAAACCTTGCTACTGTGCTTCGTCGGGTTGATTCGGGTGCGGCACAAAATAAAATTCCTTACCTGGCGGTAAACTCCTCAAATGTTTCTTCGTGGTGCGCGGCGGCTTTTCGGGACACGGTCGTGCTGAAGTTAAGGCTGGAACCAGCAATCAGACCCGGAACGAAGGATGCACTGGATCGAGAGGGCGCAACAGGTCGGTTCGCGCGGAAGAAAGTTTTCGTGGGGCCTCGCGAGGCGATTCGGAGAAGTGACATCGACATCGTAGGTGTATTTTTAGGAGGGGAGATTTTGGCGGAGGAAGGAGAAGGAAGAGAAAAAAAGAGGAGCGACGAGAAATAATAAACAACTATAAAATTTTCAGTTGCTTATCGTTGAATGAGAATTGTCGTCGTCGAGGAAATAAAAAGGTACTTGAAAAAAATTGATTAAAGGTTGCGAGATATGATGGATGGGTGTTTAATGTTGTGTAGTGTACTTTTTGATTTGATTCGGTGGCCCGGCTTTGGGTTTCTGCTACTTCGTCTCGCTCTCGACTTCCCAAGTTAATCTTAACTGTAAAAGAAATTCTCACAATCGAATGATGGCGTGTGGACAGGAGAAATGGAAGCCCGGCTCACAAAAGGGTGTCTTCTTATTGGCCAGTCGGTGGTCGGCGAGTGGAGCTTATGGGGGGAATATGGGGGGTCGTCGCTTGATACTGCTGCTGGACAAGCCTGTTACGGCCAAAGTTAGTTGAACTGTAGCTGCAATAGTAAGAACAGTGAGCTCACTTTCCTTCTCGAATAGTATTAGTTTCATTATAAACTTTCGTGATGTGGTCCAAGCATCGGAGAGCTCCTGCTTTGCTGCTTTTCTTTCTGCTGCCTTCAATGCCTTATGCACCATTGACTTGAAGCGGGACGGCCCTACGCTGTTACTTCTACTGTTACTGCCTGCGCCCATGCGAACTCCATGTTGACTTTCGACGTCATTTTATATTGTCCAACAAATGGGACAATCTCCAATTTGTGTTACAATATTACAGGTATTTTAATATGTGTATCTTCATATACACATAACCATTCCGTCGGGATATCGAAACATCTGATACCAGATGCACTCTTTTGGTTTGGCATCGCTAAAATGTCACTCCAAACGGCTATCGGTACCATGTCTAGCAGCCCGTAACGTACGAGAAGCCTTCCACCGTCGCATTCTTCTATCAATGTTCTATAGACTTTCCCAAAACATCTTGAAAGGAAATGGTAGCCTATCATTTACATGCTATCATAATCGGCGATGCGATATTAGGTAATGCTTTAGAACATTTGTATTAGTTAATGGTGATTGGATGAACTGAATACAAAGCTGACCTAGGTAATTACACCTACCACCTATCATGCACCGAGTCTATCCTCTCTTGAAATTGCATCTCAGCTCGTCAAAGAATTTATATTCTCCAAGACTACAGAAGCACAGAAACGAATAATTAGTAGACAAAAACAAGACATCGAATTGGTCCTTTCTAAAGTCTCATGCTCAATGACTTCACATGGAAATGCCAATTCCTCCATACCTAGGCAATTCTCGATAGATATGCACATCAATGCAGCGGAATCGGCCATGTTCATAAAACCCGATCGTTCCGCGATGTCAGCAACGGCACAATAGTTAATAGCCACTATTTAGCCACAAGAAATTACGTATGCAGCCTCCCGAGACCCCCGGAGTATTACCTCCACCAGTCCGTCGATCAGTGAGACATGTCGTGGTGCGAATGATCTAGTTGGAATGAAACAGGATAAGAAATGTTGATTTGACAAATGAAATAATACATCCTCGGATGATGAGGATGGATATATCTGTCGACATAAGTAAAAAGCCCCATTATTTCTAAAATTGGCCGAGGTTGACTTATTCTCTCTAGGCCACATATCCATGATGGAATGAATGTGTGCCTTATGTGCCTAGTGCCCGCAGGAAAAAAGAGGCGTATACATGTACATACATATACGGTAGCGATAAGGGATACCGAGAGATGATCCAGATGTAATGTACATTATCTGAGATCTTAATTAACCCGTATGTTTATCTATATTCTATTGTCTATCAATTGATAAATCTTTGCTTTTTCCCATGTTGTAATTACGAGAAACTAAGACACGGGAAAAGAGGAATGGTATCGACAAATCAATTAATTATTGTTGTAAATAATTCCCAACGGATAGATTTAATTATTATTAACGAGTTAACATATACCTATGCAGGTACAGAGCTTGCTGCGGAGTATATACAATGGATTTGTCTCCAAGCCGCCAAGTATCCATATACAATGCACGCGCCAGGGTTAATTGTATTGTACATATTTGTACCTGTAGCATCCTACTCTTTCTTACGTAGGAATTGGCTTCTGTAAAGCTTAACAACTAAGCACAATTACGTACAATTACAATTTACAATTAGCTTTAGAATAACCTGCAACGTATAGGAGGCACGTGCTATAAAATTGAGTTTGTCGGCAGCCTTATTCAAAAAGACCGGCCGTCCGAGGGTCCCGCCATTTCCGATCGGTAATCCTTGCACGACAGAATTAGTGGCCAACTAGCCAATCAGATAGCCTGTAGGTCCCTTATCCCCCTTTGTTGGCGTGGAGTTTTAATGAACCAGACCCAAACACTCGCTCTCTCAACTTTTTTTTTCCATCTTCACGAGATTCGCCAATCGTGATTTTCATAAATCTTTCCTCGTCTCTTTTCCCTTTTTAGTCTCGTACCCTTTTTCTTTTTACACTGTCCACTACTGACTATTGAGTCAATTGTAGGGTCAACTATCTAATAGCTTAACTTATTTCTTGTCGCTCCTTCAGAACCAACGTTTCTCCTTTTACTACTTAGGAGGCTTCGCTCGTCGTAACAGACTTGCGTGTCCCTATTCTCACCCCGAGACCCCCGAGCGCATTTTTTGCGCGAACTGTATTAAAACTTCTCAATTCACTTTGAGGATCGAATCGATTGTGCTATACCATGGCTTCACCAGATTCTGCTGCCCTTTGGGAGGCCCTCCCTATCCCAACCCTCGACCGACCTTTCGGCGTTCAGCTATGGCCCTACTTTAGCAAAGCCTTCGAGGCTGTAGTTGGCTATTCCGCCGACGACTTCCGATTCGTCACCGGCAAGACACCTATGTCAACATTGAAAGAGACGTTGATTTTCCTCGCTGTATACTACACTATCATATTCGGTGGTCGGGAGTACATGCGCGGTCGAGAACCGTTTAAGCTGAGGTCGCTGTTCTTAATTCACAACTTCTACCTCACCGCTATTAGTGGTATTCTCCTAGCTTTGTTCATTGAACAGCTATTGCCGACCGTTGTTCGACACGGTATTTTCTATGCGATCTGTGATGCCGACGGAGGTTGGACACAGCCATTGGTTGTGCTCTACTACGTAAGTCTACGCCCGTGAACCATTCGGTTGCGCCGGAAGGGAAAATTAACATGGGCCAGTTGAACTACCTTACCAAGTATCTTGAGCTCTTGGACACCGTGTTCTTGTTCTTGAAGAAGAAGCCATTGAGTAAGCATTGCTCTTAACCTAACACATAGAAACATCTGTCCTAACTATTAACAATAGCCTTCCTCCACTGCTATCACCATGGTGCTACTGCTTTCCTCTGCTACACTCAGCTTCTTGGATCTACCTCGGTTTCGTGGGTTGTTATTACTTTGAACTTGACTGTCCACGTGGTCATGTACTGGTACTACTTCCAGAGTGCTCGTGGTATCCGAATTTGGTGGAAGGAGTGGATCACCCGCCTCCAGATCATCCAATTCATTATCGATCTCGGTACGTCGAACCTTTCGCCGACAATACTCTTCAGACCAATCCCAAGGGGACTAACTCATATAACTAGGATTCGTCTACTTTGCCTCGTACACCTACTTCACGTCCACCTACTTCCGATGGATGCCGAACGCGGGCGAATGCGCCGGAGAAGAGTATGCCGCTTTCGCCGGTATTGGAACTCTTACTTCATACCTCGTCCTATTCATCTCGTTCTACTTCGCGACCTACAAGAAGGACCACAAGGCGCCTAGCACTCGCAAGACCCTTCGCCGCATGTCGCAAGCGCCTCTTCCCGACCACCACGTAATTACTAGTGCTGGACAGAAGCCAGTAGCTCAGACTACCGGTATCAAGACCAATGGTGTAACGACCCGATCGCGCAAGGCGTAAGCATAGACTAGAATTTGCTAGTTAAGCCGCGCCGTCCAGATCTGGTTTAAAAGACTTGGATTGGCGATTTCACTCTTGGGATTTTTGCATTCCGGTATGAAGCGATTAAACTGGCTCATGTTTTCAAAAGCCATCACTTCCTACAACCTTTCGACCATTGTATTAGTGGTTTTTATAATCGATGACGACGCATTTCATAAACATAAAAGAGAGGGTACGAGACGGAGGCAATGGGCGAGGGAGATGCTAAGGGATAAGGCTACGTGTGTAGATAATTATACGATCGGAGAAGATTTTCTTCTGGCGTTTCGGACGGCTGGGTGATGACAAAAGCATCTGAGGATCTCATTGGACTTGCATGGAAGGACGTTTTGCCATGTCAACCTCAAATTATTTGTATCCCTTAATGTCGCAACAAATAACCGGGCCGGCGCTTCGAGTCAAACAAACGAAAAGCATGTACAATGGCAGTAATAATAAAAATGACATTAATCCAATTTACTCTCGGTCTCCGCAATATGTTGATGATTGGTGAAGTTCGTCCGAGATGTTCAAGGGGTGAGCGGTGAGTGAACACTTGATCGTGAGAACATTGCGAGACCGAATCTTTGTTGATGGTTTGCAGCTGTCGGTGACCCGGAAAGATACCTAGGTAAATCCAATTCCTACCTAAGGGCAAGGCATAATAGGCGAAGCTATCACGATCATGATCCGAGGAGGGAGAATATCGTAAGTTTTCTCGTGTTTCGTAAAGAGAATTCGGGGTCTAATATATCCCACTGACGGTTTTGAGGGTGGGATAAACCTATCGAGCGTCGATCTGTTTCTCTTCTGATCTCATGATGCCTCCCTTTCAACGCCACAAGGACTCTTAGTTGTCTAAATAGTCAGACATCATAGGCCCTTCAACTTTCCGGTTCCTCTCCCGCATCGTCCGGCATGAGCTGGAACTATCAGCTAGAAATATACCATGTCGCTATTCGGGGTTCTCAATAGATTACAATCCCACGATGATATAAGTAGGGTCGGGGGGTTGCAATGGTGTTTATATTGACCAACTGACAAATACCGAATTTGCAATATGCCTTTCAGCTAGATTGCCATGTTCGTGGAGTCATTGGATATTCCGGGTGGCTCTGAAACGCCGGAGACGCCACGTCGGGTCATCACCTGTAGGGCAAGAGGAGTGGGTTACACAGACAGCCCTATGCGTGCGCTGCAGCGTTCGTGATTAGCCCCGACGACAATGCTACGTGCACCGGAATTGGATCTTTTAAGCGATGGAGGGGGAACAGCCTCGTCCTCAGCCACCATTTGGGTATTCTCGCTACGGAGGTACTATCTACATCCTCGCTGACGATGGCGAGGGATCGCGACTATTACAATGGCTTTGCATCCGCGTCGATCTCGAGCATGTGGGCATCTGAGACAGCATGATTCGGAACCATGGAACGAAGCACACCTACTATGGCGCTGCACAGCACGCTTGAGATTCAGAGAGCTCAGGCCCGGGACCAGTATGATCGTTATGAGAGTAATAAGGAGGTTATCACTTACCCTGACAGTGCTTATCCCCAGTTAGCTCCCTTTGAATTTGAAGATGCAAATGGGTATTTTCCGGAGGTCGTCAATGATGATGTGAGGGAACAACAGACTCCAAGTACCCCATCGGTGCCTCATGATCAACAACCAACGGGTATCATTTGGGGTTTACCAAAACGCAGGTTCTACCTCGTTCTCGGAGTCGCCATTTTGGCACTCCTCGGTGCTGTGGCCGGGGGAATTGCCGGCGGTCTCGTAACGAAGCAACAATACACCTCCCAGGAGTCATCAAACAGCACTCCCACTCCCAAACCAAACCCATACAACACCTCAACCATCCAATCCATGGCCAACATTCTCAGCACATCCAGACTAACCTCCACCAACCGCACCGATGCCAACGGGTACTTGCACCGCATCATATTCTTCCAAGACACGCACAACGCCCTAATATCGCAGCACTGGGACTCCCAAAACACTACTTGGAGCACAAGTAACCTAACCCATCTCATGAGCGGCTCCACGACCCCGTTAAACCCACTCCCCGGCACCCCGCTCGCGAGCGCAGCGTCTACTTATGCGAATGCGAGTGAAGTACATCTCTGGTTCTTAGTCCCGGATAACTATATCAGCGCGACTTCTCTCCTGCATCCAGATCTCGCACCCGAAAACTGGGTATATGACGGCTTGGATGGTACGCTGTTGGAAACAAGGGCTGGGAGCCAGATTGCGGCCGCTTGGCAGAGGTGCGCTGGGGATTGTGGGGGGGATTGGGTTCTTGCGTATCAGGACCCGGGGGGTGATGTGAATGTTGCGAATTCTAGTGCTTGGGGACGGGCGACGAGCGTGGTGCAGAGGAAGAGTGTGGTGGGGAATTCGAGTTTGGTTTTGTTGCCGCAGTTGGATGGGACGGGGGTTAGTAGGGTGGATTTGGTTTCTGAGACGGTTGGTGAGGGTGAGAGTGAGGGTGCGATGCAGAAGATGAAGTATCAGGGGCAGTGGGAAGCTGGTGAGTTCATTCTTTTTATTTATCTAGGTACATTTGTATGCGGTAACTGACATAGAAAAGATGGTCTCCTAATCGAGAATTTACCACCACCGTCGAGTACCCTACAGTTCACCGGCACGCTGATGAATAACTTCACGGAGACTATGTTCCTAGCTTTACTCCCGAACGGCACGGTTACGGCTCTGTGGTGGGGCGGACATTTCACGTCGATTCCGAGTATCAATTTCCGCGGCGGTCCGACGGTTAATTTTACGGCGATATCGACGAGTGAGGATGCGATGTTTTATGGTATATCGAATGATGAGGTCTTGCAGTATGCGCCGGATGAAAGTAATTTGTTTAGTTTTGTGTACGTGGGGAGGGTGTATCCGTGAGTATCGAGATGAAGTCAAAAGAAGTTGTTAGTGGTAGAAAATGTTACGATCGTCATGCGAGGCGGGGTCTCTTTTAGGTACCTACCTAGGTACCTCAGGCAGTGTTAGGAGTGAGATATAGGGGGCTTAGATACCTGGGTGGGCAATTGTTAGAAGGGTTAGAAGTGCTAACTAGGATATGGGCGACCTCTAAATTTCCCCGTGTTTTTTTTTTTTTTATTTAATGAATTGAATGAATAATATCAGTATTTTTATTAAGAGACGGGCTGTTCACCGTTCACCTCCAGTTCCTTTATCTTACTATACCCACCTATGAGTAATATTTTTATGCTGTTGGTCGTTACAAACATTGTCTAAGTTAGGCACAGAACATCAATTTTCATGCCGGCTTGAGTCACACGGTATGTCCTCCGAGTTATACAAGGCAAAACGTGTATAAATAGTAAAACGATATGGATTTTTTAATATAATAAATCATTCTATCGTGTTTTATTTCACTGATATTCATTCACCTAAATTTTTACTTATTGCAACAACACTTAAATCCTCACAATGACATCAGAAGACGAGAAGGTAGCGGCGATCGTCAACGACGACACGCCCGACTTTGGAAGTAAAATCGATCGTATTTCGGAGGAGACGGGTTGGTTCGGTGAGGGAAATGCTACTATCGATGCCTTCCTCGCTGGCCATATAGACGCAGCGATGGCTGCCAGAACACTCACTCAGCCTATCGATGTGATGTATTCAAGCGGCGACCGTCTCGCTAAGCAAAATCAGAGCGAGGGTCAAGAAGTCGTCCCCGAGCTTGAATGGACTGAGTGCCAATTATGGAACCTCTGGTATTCGATCCTCCACTCCGCCAAGCGCATCCCATATACCGAAGAAGCGCGACATGGAAAGCTCCTTGACTTAGTTACTGCGATTCACGCATGTCCGGACCCACCTGCGCCCAAGCCCCGCCCAAGGGACTGGATTTACCGCGAGGACGGTAAGGTGTGGTCCGCATTATTGTTACTCGGCCCCAGCGGTCGCGAGTCCTGGAATGACTGCCCCGGGTGCGGTGCAGGTTGGAGCGTACCGGAGCGTTGCGCCTGGGTCAATGTCAACGCGTGGGTGGCTCGACTAACGGCAGAGGGGCCTATCCCGGGATACTTTGCCGTTTACGGGTTGTGGGCCCTGGGGGCTGCGTTCGAATCGCCGCTCGAGCTACCAGAGCATACGCATAGACCTCGCCCGTCGGTGAAAATCGAGAGAGAGCTGCTAGTTGAGACGGCTGCGGTGTGGGTGAAGTTTGCAGGGAAATACCTATATAGTCTGCGAGACGAGGAGATGGAAGAGAAGGAGGGGGATAAGATGCAAGTGTCGGATTTGAACACTCCTGAAGCGCAACTCCCATGGAGAGTGAACCAGGCAGAGTGGACGACATATTGCAAGGGTCGGTGGGACTTTTGGAAAAGGAGGTTTAAGGTGGTTGCACGTGGTGAAGGTCTCGAAGACGGAGAGGAAGCGCTCTCGGGGGAAATTAGGGAGCTTGCTGCTGAGGCAGCGCAAGTTATCAGAGGCCTTCTAGGGATTGAGTAGAAAGGGATTATGAGGAATAAGGGGTTGTATTAGTACGCAATATTCGGCCATTAAAAGAGTCAATAGATACCTAATACCTACATAGGTACCTAGATAGGGCTAGAATAGGGGTGCCCTATCATAAATTAGCGAATACGATATTATATGTAGGTGTTCTTGTCAGCATATGTGTGATTACGCACATGTAGTCCTGAGTGATGGGCTGTTTCCTAGCCAATGAAATGATAGCATACCTAGGTAACCATGAGTAGAAGCTAACCGAAGGCTTATAATATAATAAATAAAGGTTGTGTAGAGAGTCAAAGGCCCTTTTGTCTTATTTTTCGTCGTCTCTCTTGTATGAACTTGTGTCAGGGGTTAAATGAACAGACTAGACGATTGTTTAAGTCTGTATAGGCGATTGCCTCCCCTTCCTTTTCCTTAAGCTAATATTATCGCTAAGCTACCCCGAGTCGTTAGGGATGTGCGAATGATTGATATTGAATTGAATGAGACTTGAGTCAAGAGAATAAACGGATGAGTATAAACACGGAACCGAGAGTCTCGGTAATGAAAGAATGATCTGGTCATAAGACCTCAGTGACGAACGATTGAGCTTGGCTCGTTGAATTTCCAACCGTGTTTTAGGGAATTCCTGGGGTACCTTCGTGCCTATGCGGGTTATCGTATTGCGCTTATGATTTCTTCATTCTGTACTACGCATATGCAGCTTTCAGAGTGAGGCTTTCTAGGCTTGATAAGGATGTCTCCAATAAGGGGTGAGTACCCCTAGGTAAATTGACTAACTCCCTTAGTAATCCAACTAGATTAATCACATACAGGAGAGTGACGTAGATCATCACCATAAACAGTAATAGTCACAGCAGCCACAGATTCCTGCCAAGCCAATGCTAATCTGATCTTGCCGTTCCGGAGAATAAGAGCTGAATCAAGAACAAATTGAAAAGTCAAATAATCAACTGGAGTAATTAAATCGAATACGATCTTGTCTTAGCCTTTCATTCCTTTTTCATTCCCTTTTAAATTCCCTAGTTGTATTCATACCGACACGAAATATCACCAACCCTTTTAAGAATGCTCCCTACGTATGTCAATAATAATTAATCACCATTTCAAAATACATTCTGTGTGTGCCCCAGCTTTCACTAGTTCGCGATATAGAGCAACGCTAGATCTCTATAGCTGCAGAGCCGCTTCTTGGCGCACGTACTCTACTAAGGAATAGGTTCCGTTCCTGGTTCATGGAAACATTCTTCCTCTTTTTATTCGTGCCGTCATTGTTTATCTTGTTCCGCGGATCCGATCCGAGATGGGATTCACACCCAGCATGGTGGGATGGCGGATGGCTTCTCGATCTTCTCGACCGTCCAGTGTTTCGGGACGCACAAAATTAATTTGGCCAACAGTCAGCCATTGTTGTACGAGGTGCCTCCTATCTATCGAATCTTCCCGAGCTCCGATTTGTACGACCACACCTGTCTTGATATTCCCAGCTTAGGGCCGCTATCCCTTAATAAAATCCCTCTATACCTAACTGGAACATTCTAAGTTACTTGTCACATTTTGGTCTCCCCGCACCGCTACCCGCTCAATCGTCATATTGAGCATTGGGTACCAGCTATGGATCTTGGTACTTCTTGTCATTGTGGACTCTCTCGTGGACTCGAGAGAGTCCTGCGTAAGGACGTGACGATAGCCTTTTTTCAGCTCCCCACACTAGTCTCTTGGACCTGCAACGTGGAGGTTGGGAGGCTTGAAGCTAGTCGATTTTCTTCCTTGGGCTTCCCAGGCTTATCCATTCGGGTCGTCACAATACCGCCGACTAGTTGGAACTTCCGTCATTTTAGTACAGCCAAAGTGGCAGACGGACCTGTCGATCAAAATGCATGAGCCGCTAGTTGCGGATTACTATTGTTGCCATTGGTGGCCATTGGTTAACCTTCCTATTTCCAGCAGGCCTTGATCAAGTTTTCTTTCTGTACGTGGCTGCTGCAGGTCTAGCTCGTATCTCACTGGTTCCCGTCATGATATCATCAAGCGAGATTTGGATGGTCGGCCAAATATTCCGCAACGTCGTTTTGTGGCGTTCCTGAAGACGCGCTATTGACTGTTGGCGATGTGACTTGGCAAAATAATATAAACCATCACCTCGCCTCGGGTCGACGTTGATCATCAATCCCATTCCTCGAATCTGCTAGACGCTCGTTCATTCCTCAAGTGTCGCTACGAGCTATCCATCTTTCACAATGGCGATCCGATCCCTTTTCCAGGCCTCTTTGCTGGCCCCTCTCGTCTCCATCGCTTCCGCAAAGCCCATCTTCACCGGAAGCAATGGTTCATTCGCGGAGACGCAGAAGCTTGCTGACCCGAAATACGGCCCAACACCGGGTGAAGACCCAATTTTCAGCACATACTATGGTGTTGAGGCCCCTTTCCCTGGTTATCTACGAGATGCCGTTTTACCAACCAAGACCGGCCCGCCCGGCGAGGATGATCAAGTCTGGCAGAACTTGCTATCCGCCGAATGGATTATTTTCGACTTCTACCAACAAGCCGTCGAGGCTTTCAACGCGTCGGCCTTCGTCAAAGCCGGCTATCCTAACACCACATACCAGCGTATTCAAGAGATCCGAAATAATGAAGCCGGTCACTTGCGCATCTTCCAAAATCAAATTTCACCCACTTCCGTCAAACCCGGCGCCTGCCAGCACCAGTACCCATTTGACGACCCCATTTCCTTCCTAGCTCTAGTAACTGTCCTCGAAATTTCGAGTATGACTTTCTTAACTGGCCTTGTGGAGTCAGCCAAGCTTGAATCATCGCATGGAGCTATGATCGCAATTGCTGAAACCGAGGCGCGCCACGAAGCCTGGAGTTTGCTTGAGATCTGGAAGACCAACCCCTTCGGTGGCCCATCCGATACCGTTTTCCCCTATCCCAACCAAATTCTCGACACGACCAACGCCTATATCGTACCCGGCAGCTGCCCCGCTCAGAACCCCGAATACCCATCGCCGCGCCAAGGACTGCCCGCCTTAAGCGCCGCTAAGAACACCACGTCTCTGTTGCCTGGGTCGAATATCGGGCTCAGTTTCGTCGACCCCACGAACCAGCCTACCTTCGACGCGAACACCCAGTACTACGCTGTCTTCTTCCACGGCACAAACAACATCAGTGTACCTATCAATACGTCGTGCTACCCCGCGCAGGAGATCCGCGTTACAATCCCCGCGCAGTTCGAGACTAAGGGTGTTATTGTCGCCGTCGTAGCCGACACGCCTGGTGCCCCTACCAAGGAGTCCGTCGTTGCTGGCCCGGGTATCATCCTCGAGCAACCTGCCGCATTGGCCACCAAGTTATTGTAAATATGATTCGATGAGGGATTCGGGTTGGAGTATATGTAGGTAGTGTGGGATGGTTAATTTGTCGTTATATAGATGGGAGGATTGCTTAGATACCGGTTTACTCTAAAAATTTTGGCAATGTCAATGTTTAATCCCTTCCTCACACGAAGATAAAAGCGTCGCAATATATATCTATTTTAAAATATGATTCGCAGATTGCTGAATCAAAGATCTAGTACATTCGTGCCACCAAGACCCTGGCTTCACAGTAGTTTATTCCTGCATCGATGAGGACCTGTCGCACGCCCCATCTCCAAAGCTTCTACCTTGTACACTACTCCTACCCAGCCAGCGCCGCAACCCATTCACAAACTTCCTTCACACACGTGCTATGGTCGCTCACGACCATCTTATCGCAGACAAGGGATGCAATAGCATTATCAGCGACGCATTGATGGTAGTCATTTAGTGCGTTGTTGTTGGTACATTAGGGCTGGCGTCGCGCGGGATGCTCTACTGCTTAGGGGGGACGTACGAGGGTGGAAGGGTTGGGTGGGTTATGGATGCTGGGGGAAAGTCTGTTGGTGTAGTGGGAGGGGGAGGGGCGGTGATAGTGAGTGCGATAGAGGAGAGGAGGGTTAGGATGCTGAAGTGCATGTTGATTGTTGTTGGTATCGAGTTTGAATATATGATTCGATGTCGTGAGAATGTCGAGGTTTATGGGGGAGGGTGAGACTTGAAGAGCCTATGGTTGCGGGGAGAGATATAAATGCTGCATCGTTTGTTGGTGTCGCGATTTTCGCGCGCTGTGTTAGAACTGATGCAGGTATCACCATGTCATGGGTTATTTGCAAGGTAAGTTTTACCAAAACACAGCTGTATGTTGAGGTACGGGATCCTGACTGGAGACGAACACACTACGAGCGCCTCTGAGCTGGGATAGTTAAGGCCGAGATGATTGATGGGTGCTTCTGTTGTATTGAAGGTCCTTTGAAGGTATTCCCGTTTATTTCTAGATTGTTGTCCTACCACAGGCCTCCTTGCTCCAAACGTCTCAAAAACAAAGCAAGCGAGTAATATCGCTTTCACTCGAAAGAAAAGAATGACAATCGTACACGTTACCACCAAATCCTCCATGCCATATTTATACACTGAGACCCTGATCGACCACTATCCAGCCGACACCAAAACGCACGCAATGGCGAGGATCCTCCAGCTTGGCTTAGAGCTCTGCATCCTTCTGGGCTCTAATTATACGAGAGCTTCGTGGCATTATTGATGAATTCATTCCACTTAGCCGTAGTATTACCTTCACACACACCAGCCGAAGTACGTTTGAGTTCGCAATGATGTTCAAATGCTAGAGTTGGCGATACAGTCAGTTAATCTAACCTCGCATATCCGAGCGAGACCCACGGAATGGAAACACTAACCACAGGCTATCTCCGACGACTCATAACATTTGAAATATTCACACTCGGTCCAATTATGTTCAGCCCTGCCTTTATCGCACGCGCGCGTAGTGACCTCATGGCATTGTTCATAGTTTCCCGAATCGGGACAACCTGGCACAAGGCCTACGAGATCTCCCCTGGTGTATTCGGGGTCAATGGAGTCGTCGCACGTGGCGGTAGAGAGGAAGAAGGCGAGGATGATTCTGTTGAGATGCATTTTGATTTATCCGGTCTAGTTTGAGGTCGATTCGATTTGAAGGTCTACAATGCTAAGGTTTGAAGCTAAAGACCGCGACATTGGATGGACTTTTATCAACAGAGCGACAGCCCCTGCAAGGAGGGATATAAATTGATTATTATGTCAGATAGGTATTTTCATCTACTTGAAGTAATTGTTTAGCTTGCTACGACAAATAACTTTTGATGACTAGGTACGACATGTTATATCTCACCTAAGGTGCGCAGCCAAGCGCTTCCCTGTCACAAGATGTTTGCCCTCTGCAGAGATGCCAAGAAATAGTTATATATTGAATACATTGGAGTTTATATCTGGCCCCTGAGATTTATACGCTACTGGCAATGGCAGGAGAGGTGATTAATGAGGGACCTTTTAAGGCGGCCCAAGTCGTTCGAACGTGATATTAATATGTAATATCCATTTCCCTCCACACGTTACCAACTCCGTATCCATATATGGGGTAGTTTCAAAAAGGGCCTTCGACGGTGCAGTTGAATTGTTCTCCTAATATCAAGATTCCGGTTAGTCAATCGACCTTATAATTGTTCCATCTCAGAGCCTAGCCTTATTCCCGTATATCGAGGTTATGATTACATGGAAGGTGGGGGATGGGATGGCTTTGAAAAGGGGTAGGAATAAAACACTTACCGCAATCGTCCTCATATTTCTGAATGCAAGCCTTCTGATCGTCGGTGCTCCTATGCTGATCGTTGCAGAAGACTATTTCTTTATCGTAGCAACAAGCGAAATAATATTCAGATGCATTCCTATCGGGACATTGCGCGCTCCGGGTAGCGTAATGGGAACGGCCCCCGCTACTAGCGAGAAGGTTTGGAACTGCTAGGCCCACAGTGGCCAAGAGAAGAAGGAGGGTAGCTGGGGGGATGTTGGCGTGCATTTTGGCTGTGTTAGCTTCTAATATATATGTGAGGCTAAGGGATATAGAAGTTGATGACAAGATGCGAGCGATTTGAATGGCTTTTTATGGGCGGAAGGAGAAGCCCTATGGATGAACATAATTTGATGTTTGTGCCAGTTGGATATTTTCATCTATGTAAACGAGCTGTCCCGCTCCCTACGGCCGAGTTTGAGAGTGGCGTACCGCATCTTGCGCGGTCGAGAGCCTCCTACTCGTCAAATGTTTGCTGTCTGAAGATATGAACTTATATTAAGTAGGCGAATACCGGAACTCGTATTTTACTGGCCTTGGTGTAGCTTCGGGGATTGGATCTATAATCGAGAACTGATGCTCACGTTGGCACATCATCTAAATAAAACTACGAGAGTTTTAAGGGAGTTAATGGATATCCCAACGCATCGCACATTAGTTATTCTTAGTCGGGCATCCTCGATGATGACTATGGGTAGGTACCCAGCTAGGATGTGTGTAACCCCCTCACAAAAGGGGCAATATTGATGTATCTACATAGACGTACTAATAACAACTCATCGCGCTTGAATGCCCATGGAATAACATTAGAATAGTGATACTACTCCTGAGCTGGAATTGAATACGAATTATTCGCGAGCGATACATTGGCCTTCGGGGCCCTTCTAGGAGTGGTAGTGTATGATGGAGATTTTTGAAAAGGGGATTGAGATGGGAAAAAAAGAAGAAAAAGAAAAAAGTGTTGGCCATCTGGTGAATCGAACCCTAGAGCCTAATGATACTGTAAAGATGTAGTAGTATAATATGCTTTTGGTAGGAAAAGCAGACGCTGGGTAAAGATACCATTGCGCTATGTATCGCTAGGCCGTCTCAACACGGCCTTTGCACCAATTCTTGAGTCCTAGAATTATTTTGATTTATATGTCTTGTTTTCGGGCCTAAATAAAACTGTGGTCTAAGCGGAGCACGGTGAAGGGCGTGGCTTTAATAGGGTCGCTTTGATGGCTTCATTACTCTGCTCAAAGTAATAAGTTGGTATTTGAGTTTATGGCCTTATACACTGTTCATAATTTTATGAATGATAAAATCCTAGGTGTCTAGTTGATAAAGAGGGAGGTGTGAACACTATTCTGAAGTTGTTTGTGTTGGCCTTTGTGAAATATGATGTTGAAAAAGGGCTGCTCTCGCACTTATAGGGTCAATGATATATCAGGTTACATATTGGAACATGTGAGTTTGAGATGATTCATATATCATTGTACATGTCTTAAAGCACTTAAATACTCACATCTCATCGCATGCCCAAAACTTAGGGATGCAGGTCTTTAGCGAAATACCAGCGAGTTGCTAACAACTCATCTATCATATCTGATAGAGAATTCACGCCTGTTATTTATCCCCGCGAATCTCAACTTTTCTTATGAAACGTGTATATGAATCTATATTACTATGGCTAAAGGTATTTATAAATGGTATTGAGTCCCAAATTCTTCATTTGAATTCTCTTTTCCGGCCATTCTCACAATTGGGTTGAATTGTTTGATTCGGAATTTAAATTCCTCAATTATAATTTTGATATGCCGGTCCTTCAAGACGTCCCTTGTACGCAATGCCTCCTTAACCTAATGTACTGGAGTGGCATTGGTGCAATTCAGATGTGTAGAAAATCCAGTAGTATGTCGCAATCTTGCCCTGTAGTCTCTGTTAGCCTAACCGTCCTTCAACAAATGCCTCGAAATGCAACCATTGTATTCAACTGGAAAAGGATTGTGTCGCTGTGTGTATTTTGACATTTCCTTCACGAACGAACCTTCTAACCACCACAAGCCTATAGGGGTCGTGGCAATACGGGCTCAGGAGCTACGGAGAGTTATGACTAAGTTACCCAAGGACCATACGGTAGGTTACCCTGTTACAATGAACTAAGTTTCTCAGCCAAATATTCTTCAGACAGAAGTTAAAAACGCCCAATTTGCCGTGGCGAAAGCTATCGAGTTTCAGAGACAGCTGATCGAAGATGATGGACAAAAACAACGTCAAGCTAATCCCCTTGAGCGTCTTTCTAGCGCTGATGAGAGGATAGCTACTTCTCTCGAACGAATTGCGACTGCTACGGAGCAGGGTCTTGAACAAATTCGTGAACAGACTACTGTTATGGCTCGTGTTGATGAGGCGTTTCGTAAATCCCCTGATGAGTGCGCGATCGTGGTATGTTGTCACCTCGCAATTACTAAAGATACGAGTTCATTAACCATCCTATTCTAGGCAAAGGGCGAATGCCGCATCTGTGGTCTCTAGTTAGGGGTGTTCCTGATAGGTTAAGGGGTTTGAACACTTGATTTCGGGCCAGGAGTCAAGTCAAAACAAGTTAAAAAGCAACAACATTCAATCCCTTCATCCATGGAGCGTCATGGGGCGTTTATTACAATTGCTTCACGGCGTGGCAGGCAGAAAAGGAGCAGCAATACATTAGAGGCCATGGTATTAGATAGATAGGGTCACTGGACTTGGAAATATGATAACCATGCGCAACAATCTAGCGGCTTGTCACTCGTTATATCTATATTCTACGTATTAGTACAAGTAAATACAGAGAAACTTGAACCAGATACTCATCATTTCCAGGCTGACCCAGGTAAGCGCTATGAAAGTGGTCAAAAACCTGGCCGTTGAGTTGATAGACCAGACTTACGTTGGCTACATACCGTTAAGAATATACGGTGTATAGGGTTGATGCTTACCTCAGGTCAAAGGATTAGAATGCCTCTATCATATCGCGATGACAAAGCCATCCCTTCACCTCTCCGGACCGAATATAATCAAGAATCATCCCAGCAACAACCCGGAGCGGCAGGCTTCTGGAACGGCGGTGTACCGGGGGTGATCTCCCCGGTCCCCCAATATCAACACCTAGACATCTAGACACTCTACGCGAAAACCAATCCTGCCCTCTCCCCATTACGCGATGCCCAGCTTACTATTACCAAAAGCAGATCTAGAACAAGTCCCTGCAATCTCGGTCTCCGCAGCCACGTGCGGGCGTTCATTCTGAGACGGGACGACAAGAGGGCAGGGCTAGGTAGCTGAAACGCCTAGGGCCGGGAAGGGGGATCGTCGGTGAGGCATGTCCGGCGTCTGTGCGCGACGACGTCTGTTCGTCCCGAGTTTCAGAGTTTGGAACGTCTTTACACTACACTGCACCGTTGTTATCCTTGAATGCAAGTAACTAAGGTATGGATGTGTAGGTGGGAGTCGGTGGAGTTGCATCGCGTGGTGTGTTTCACAGGACGGGATCCGCGCTGGCGGGATGGCCGGGTTGGTGGTGGTGATGGGATGGGTTTTTACTATGCTAAATTGGTAGTGATGTGGAAATGGCATTGCGCTGCATCGCGCAACAGCTCTTTGACACCGGGATTCTCTCGGCGCATAGTATTGTCTATGCGGTTGTATCGAATCGCGATGTCTAACTCGACCTAGATTCTCGACCGTTATTAAGTATAGACGCTACTCAATCCAGGCAATGGGGTCTGAAAGCTACGTGAATAAATGAAGAGATTTGAAGCTGAATTGCTACTTAGCCAGCCAAGCTACGCGCCGCGACTGTGAATACGAGAAGCGCTCGTAGGAATATATGTGATGCAAAGCGACACCGACACCGACGCCAACGATGTTTCGTCAAGAGACGCGAAGTTGGAACAAAGTTTCGTTTTGACAAGCAGCGCAATTGTATCACCAACACGAACCCCTCCATTGCGACACTGCGCTGCTTATCTGCCTTTGCAACTTCATTACGTATCGGTGTGTTACTCTACATCGACGCCAGGCAGCGGCGCGGATGAGGGGTAGATACGCAGCGCAGGTAAGAGTTTTCTGGGGAAGCTATTCGATGCGGTATTACTATGATGCTTACCTATAGTATGTATCTGCGCATATATAGAGAGGTGATGAGGCCGAGAAAAATAAGCTCTACGCTTTTGTTTGATGTTCCTGCTTGTCCCTCTGTTCCTCTGTTTCATCAGGGGGCGAGGGTCAGGGTCAGGGTGAGGTCGAAGTTAAGGTGAGGGCTCCGCTGCCACGCCCAGACCCATAGGTAGATTAGATGCCTAGATGCTTGGATTTGGCTTGGGGAGGGAGAAAAGCTTGATTTGGTAATTCATGCGATCAATCAGACCGGCCGGGAATGCTGGTCTATGGCGTACATAGTATAACATTATGCCCCTGTCGGATTGTCGTCGATATCGGACGGTTCCCTCTAGGTACGGAGTAGAGAGGTATATTACGGTGGAATATAATTAAACCGGGTGTTAAGTCAGATCGTAGGCGGCCTAGCTGACGACGAGTGGACAATTGATCGATCGCTCTAGGCGGATTTGGGGTCTCTTTACTACCTGTTCGTAAGCCAGGCAGTAGAGCCCGACCGACTTGACCCCAATACTACCTAGGTAGGTACTTTATGCATGCGTTGTAGGCGTCTACTTTTTTTGTACCACTATGAGTATAGTCGAGACGTCGCTCGGGAGAAGCGATTCGCTGGAAAGTGAGTTTGCGTTGTGTATGTGTGTGGATGAATTGAATGAATGGCTGGGGTTAGGGCTGATGGAGATTAGGAGAATTCTGCCCTGGCGCTGACGCTGACGCTCTTTGGTGCTGGTATTGGTGCTGCCGATACCGATGGCCCCTTGCTTTGTCGAGCTGTCGTGTCAGGTTCGTGCATGCAGAGGTACATACCATACCTACTACTACGATGTACCACAGCAATCCATCAGTCAGCAGTAGTGGTAGTAGGAACAGTGCAACTTTGAAGTATATTATTGATAGTTTTGCATCACGGCTCGGCCATTTAAGCCCCCATTTCAGCTGTGAGTGGTATTTGGCGGATGTATGTCTCACGGTCTGGCCGTTGAGTTAAGTACGTAAGTCGACTTCGATGCCCGACCTGACATTGACCGTGGGTGGGCACACCTCGTTGGCGATGCATCTTCGACGTACACACAACAATTCTACACCATCCGAGAAAAAAGAAAACTTATGTATGTCAGGTTTAGTCAAGGAGAAAACACACCCCCTTGAAGAACAGCGATGCGCGTGGTCGACGAATCAGCTTGCTCGGTTGGACCCTCCCACCCCACGAACTTCAAAGTAGGAGGTGGTCGCAGCAGCGGATTGGTTGGTTGACAGACATAGCCCATTAATATAGGCCGAACTTGTCTGCACCAATTCTCCTGCGAAAGAAAGCAGAAGAAGGAAAAAAGGAGGGCTCGGTGACCTGATTCCGAGGTGGCGCATTTGCCCATCACGGCGGTAACCAGCCAGCCAGGTAAAAGAGAGGGTACGCCGTCACCCGGACGGATGATGCATCAATGCATGCAAAGAACAGAGTTAGGTAGTACATTACATTACATTACATTAGCATGGCTGGCTGGAATTGATGTTGATGATATGATGAGGGATGATCAAATACACATAGTCCTCTCTCGTATTCCGTCATGAAACTACGGATGGCAAATATGTTTCCTTGATGTTTTCTAAAGTTTGTGTGATATTTGATTATCGACTATTCCTTCTATTGTCTAGGGCGAGTTTTCAATGAAAAAAAGCCGGATTCTCAAAAGGGTATATGTAAAAAATCATGTGCAGGCCAAGATGTGAGGTGGCTGGGGGGTGTGGTGGGAGGAGAGATGTGATAGGTTGATTGGCTGCATTTCCTTAGTCTTGTTCCTTGCATGTGTCAGTAGCGTCGGTTCGTGTGTGTACGTACGTGCAAGTGTAGGTAAGTAAATCTGTAAATCTTGGTGGTGGCGGCAAACGGTTACGGTCTATGTAACAAGGTCGTTGCGGAGCGCTTCACTCCTAGTGCTGGTGGGTAAGAGATATATCGAGTTAGATCGCCCGCTATCGGCAAACAAAATAATATTGCAAAAATATTCCGGAGGGATGGACGGAGGCATAGAGGAAGAAACAATACCTAGGTACTATAGAAGAGAGATAATAACGATTGGTGATATGCAGTCAGCCCGGCTATGAATGAAACTTGCGGTGTTAAGAAAAATCAAGATATAATACCATCGTCAAAGTTTCGTTTCGCCAATCGCAGACAAGGGACTCTGGCTATAGTGAAACAATTATTGAGCCCGAGCCCGACTTCAGATGAAACGGGGGACTTTTTCATACCAAACCAGAATCAGAACCGAGCCGAATACCACCCATGTCACAGTTCGGTCATGACAATCTACCACAATTTTCCAGTCAATGCAAAGAAGAAACTCAATTGTGAAGCATGTAGAGGACAATTCAGTTTAACAGAAAAAGAAAAAATCGTAGCGTGGTATCATTGCATCTCAAGGACTATCCTAACCTATCCATCCTATCCTGCCTTAGATATTTCCATATTTCGCTAATAGCAGCGATGATAGACCGATTTCACCCCATGTTAGTTTTCCCCAGTCAGCTTATTTGCATATTGCTTGTGTTGCTGCTTTCTGCTTCTTATACCCTAATACCCTGTTGCGGCCGTGGCTCATTAACAAGGCATTGCATTGTGCGCCCAAGGTATCATCAATCAACACCTCCAAATTCCATGTGCCCCAACCTCACCAAATAATAATGATAATAAAATTTCATGCATCCCATTCGCCTGTCCGTATTTGCATTGCAGTTGCAGTAGTAGTAAAAAGAACCATGCGCCCCGAAACCTAACTCCGATATGTTGTGATGGATTGATGTAATGCCTCTCCCAGACCTCATGCCCCAGACTGATTGGTAGATTAACATGAAATGAAAGCAATGATATAGGTATGATATAGTAGTGGAGAGTGTTAAACACGTAAAAATGTTTATGGCTTAATGCGCATGCTTCGTCTTCGGTTCATGTTAAGACCACTTAATAAGCCCCTTTTGCCTGATATCGGGCTCGGCGACACTGGTTGGGCAGGTGGTTGCTTGGTGAGGAGTCGCGGGGCAGATTCTCGGTGCGCCCGCTTCATAATGTCATTGTAAGTTACCGGTGTCTGAGGTGGCGTCACAGGTGCAACTGTGGGCTCTGTCTCAGATCTCGTCGGTTGCTGGGGGCGTTGTGGCTGTTCTTGTTGTTCCTCTGATGCGCGCGACATGTCCGGGCTAGATGATGAGAGATCGGTAGTAGAGGGCGACCAACTCATGCTATCCCTGTAGCTAGCATCTTTAAGATTGGGTCGGCTTCTCTTCCTAACCAAACTTAATGACTTTTGAAATCTGTGAAAGGCTTTTGTTGGTGTCTTCGGTACTCGAGGGTTTGCATCAGCTGATGCAGCTTCCTTCGAGACGGACTCGAGTTTGTAGTTGCCGCTAGCGAAAGGGTCTTGGCTGAGGAATGACGGGTTTTCCTTAGGCAAATCTACAGTCGATGCCAGGCTGCTCTTCCGTGGTGGGTGGCTCGCCGTGCTGTCGAATGAGTCTGTTCGGGAAGATGAAGTAGTAGAGGCTCTTGATCGAGGCCCCCTTACAGGAGACACTGATCTTCGGCCACTTGCTAAGTCCACCACACAAGGTCTTCCAATAAATATCACTGAAACTGCTCTCGCGGTGACTTCCTTGCTCGCGCGTCGTACTGGAGATTCTTCCGATATGTCGCTGTCTGAGTCATAGTCGCCTTCATAATCAGAAAAGTCGTTGGAAGAGGAAGAGGCATCTTCCTCTGAAGATAGGTATGCATCGTGCGGGTCGGTGGTAGGCGGTTCGATCGTGTCAAGTTTTAAGGATTCTATAAACCTCGATGCCCTGAGGGCACTCCTCTCTGGTAATTTCGGGGCCTCAATAGTAACCTCTCGGGCATCCATAACCGCAGTTCCTTCCATGGCGTCCATATCTGTAAAAACGTCGTCGGGCAGCTGTTCTGCGGCGGTCGTATACGATGCGATGCTAAGACGAACTTGCTCTCGAGAATCCTTACCAGGTTTTCTAGAAGCTATGGGTCTTTGATTATTGTCTAGTCCATTCGGTAGTCGCGATTGTTCCAAAGACATAATGGTTATTTCGTTTCGTATTCTAAGATATTGGCCCGCTGTTGTGGAGACCCTTAGGCGTCGTGTAATTTAGTAGTAGAGGATAGTACACGATAGTTATATTGGCAGTAGTAAGTAGTGTGTGAGCTGGAACTGAACCTGTTCGCTCCGCAAAGAAAAACTCGTAAAAAAGCTGAGACCAGCTCTTTTCTAAGAAAGAAGTTAGAAAGAGCACATTATGGACTTGGTATGTATGTGTATGGAGACCAGAGGATTTCATAAGTTGAGAAGTTGGGCAGTGGGTGGTATACATATTCGTCGGATCCTCTCTTCTGCGTATATAAGTGGACAGTGGGGGGAGGGATGGAAAAAAGGAACGTAGCTACGTACCTATGGCTTAGACAGGGGTTGCCGGAGTTCCCCTGAACCTGGAAATCTGGAACACTGGAACTCAAGTCTTAGCGGGTGTTGTAACTCTCAGGCCTTCAGGACCCTGGAAATGGTAGATGCCGGGGGTAGAGTGTAAGAGGGGGGCCACGGGTAGGTTGATGCGTTTCCTCAGTTTCTCACACACAGCCCAGTTCGTCTCTTCTAACCAAGGAGAAACAGTGCGAAAGTGAAGAAACAAAAATGGTAAACGTAATTATTACGGTAATACGGGAGACACGACGTATAATAATAGAAGAATCTTGAATAAGAATGGCCCGAGGAAAAGAAATAAGGGTTTGTCCGAGAAAAATGATAAGTGAGGTGTTCGCGGATGTTGCCCTCGACTACCCAATATGTAGTCGTTTCAAATTGAACAAGGGAATATAGAGCACTTCGGGCGTGGCTTCTAAGAAAGGATATCCGTTGGTTAACTTACAAGACTTACTGACAGTAGCGTCGAGTCTCGGACGAAATTATGTAGATAATAGGTCGACAATCATATAAATTCGTAGGTTATGTATGTAAGGATTGCAATGTAATTGCGATTCGCCCGAGCGCCGGTGTATGTAGGTTGTTGTCGTACGGATGTAGGTACGGATGAACAGCTGAACAGTGGTTAGGATGATAGGATGATAGGATTTGTGGGTGTCCGTAGATAATCTGTTAGTTTGTAATTTGTTGGAAATATGTTGGGAGGTATTTTCTGTATGTATATGTATTGTTATTTGTGTGTTAGATTTAATAAGATATAAATCTTGAAGAATTACTCTCATTAATGGGTATATCGTCATAGCAAGCTTGGGGGACCAGACTATGAAATAATCAAGCGGTTGGGCATTCTAGGGCTAAAGAGAGCTACAAAGGGCGACTCGGATAGCCATCCGGTGTTCCATAGCCACAACAGCCTGTTGGGGAATCTATTTTTTGTCCACTGTCAACAGTTACATAATTAACGACCAGCTTCGCCGCCTTTGAAGGGCCATGATGCTATTCCTATTTCTAGAGACTGGGAACGTTTACTCCTCTGTCTGGTGCACCGTGATGACACGGAGGACCTTATGGAGAGGGCACCTGAGTACTCTTTGGCAAACTGCGGACGAACTAACCAGCTAACGTGGCTATTATGGTGGATCCTGTCAACGGGTCCGTCCAGCATCTAGTTTTTCTTTTCCACATAGAGGTATGATCGCCATAAGGGTCCAAATGGGATTGGGGTTACTTAGGGTTGTTCGACATAGGTAGAAAATGTAGAAAAATTACCAATTACTCATTCTTATGTATCAAGTAGATAGACTCAACCGCGCAAATGCATAGAGGATGAGGGTCTACGGGAGATCCACACATCGCAAATCTTTTGATGACGAATTACCATCAGATCTCAAGCCAAATTCATTTAAAATGATCACCACGACGAGTCATGAGACGCATCATAGTGGCATGAATAGACGATAACAAATCGCGTTATTCGTGCTCAAATAGACCATCACCATTTCACTTATTCCGCTATTCTTTCTGTTGGTAAATTAAGGCCGCCGAAGAAGTCACCGGTGGCTTTAACAGTACTGGTAGTTTGCGAAAGCCCACAGACCCTCCGGCCCTCTTAGGACAACACGCAAATACTGAGTACAGCACACTTTACAGGCGGCCCTGTAATCTCCATAGTGTTGGTACGTGACCAGTTAGTGGATTTCGACAGCGGTCCGAGTACCATCAGTACCGTTCCGTACCTAGGTAGGTACCCGTGGACATCAACTTGGTAACGTTGTCCCCTAAACAAGCCACTAAAACCCACTAAGACGTACATGTTGGACCCCACCTCTCACTAACTGCGCCCTTAAGTAAAAGACGTGTAAGTTGCCCAGCTCTACCGGGTTACGAGGTATCCGTTCTTTTATTATCCATATTGTTCTTTCAGCGAATAACAAGCATTAGGAAAAGCCTCAATTCTATGAACAGAAGTGGTGGCTTTTCTCAATTTTTGCATCTTGCATTGCAAGTGGCCAGCTGTCTTCAAAGACAGACCGAGCTTTTAGAACGCCATGCTACATGTTTATGTTTATGGAGTTAAGTGCTGTAGTGATCTGCATTACCACCGAGATGTTTGCGCGATTGACCATCCAATAGGGCAGGTAACAAGGTTCTTGTCTAAGGCTGCTCGGTGTTATCCCTTTTCACGGATCGGTGGTCGAAATGAAAGATGTGCCTTTCAAGATCCTACTGCAACATGATTCGGCTCTTTTTCGTAGCTGACCTGCCCTTCTCGCGCGATCTAGCTTAACCCATTTTGTATATGAGCATTTAGAATAAGGGGAAGATCAAAATGTTAAAAAGGCCGTCTAGCCAGGTAGAAAATCCGAAGAGGGAGAGGCAAAAAACGCGAAATGACCAACCAGAATCCTAAAGACACATCCCGCATTAGACAGACTGCAACGTTGGTGATCGTTGTCGTTGAATGATTGGCTCCCCGTCGAGTTTGGTCGCTTGGCCACCTCTACGACTCTGCAAAGCCTAACCATTCAAAAACGGGCAGTCCATCGACATTCGGACACACTCTTCGCTTCGTGTTTTTGTTAGCGTCAGGTGTCTTTCGCGAATCATATTAAAGCATTCTGTCAGTCCTCTATTGGATTGACTATACCACAGAAAAATATAATACTTCACCCCTTTCCCCCCACAGTCTATCCCCCACCATATGTCCTATCGCTATGCACAAAGAAGTAATTCAACCCTCCTCTACAGGTCTGTTGAGGAGTATGCATACTTCCTTCTATACAATGCCTTCGAATCCTTTTTCCCGGGTCCCGCTCCTCTTCTTACTTGATTCGGTGACGAACACCGATCAGTCCTCTTCTACATGAAAAAGCAACCCTTACCGACTCAAGACACCAACAATTGTATGAAACTGTGTAACCTGCACTCCGGCAGTAATGATGTCCTGTCCGGCTACATGCTCTTACATGCTTCCGATCGCTACGCGCGTCAGATTGAATCTCAAGTTCTAGAATGCTTCAAAAATGCTTACATACAAACGAATCGTACAATTAGGTATCATTATGTTTACTGTAAGATGATGTTTGATTAGTGGCAGCTGATGTTCCTCCTGTTCCTTCTGCCGAAGGCATTGTTGGATCACCACCACTTGCTCGGAGAATAGCCTGAATTTTTGCATCACCTTAGACCTACACTGGACTTAGCGGTCTCTCTCCGGGTACTGTCCTCCGTTTGAGCGAACAAGAAACATTACCGGAAACTATCATTTGATTAATTCGCCACAGCGTCTCAATAGTTGGTAAGTTGTTTACATTACACAATTTCTTACATATCATTGACTTCTAAGAATATCTCCGATGAAATGAAAGTCGTCTTGATGTCTCATTGTAATTCCATACGTGTTGTGTAGACCGGTACTTGGGTACTTCATGAAGTAAGCTAGCTCTGACAGGTATGGCGTCACCTCTTCTATTTATTTGAAAATAGCCAATGAGATTAAGAGAAGCCGTTGTGCACTTTCTAAATAGGGTTAACTCGATTTATCCCAGCACAGTATCCGCAACCTTAATCCTAAATCTCAGTTTCTAAAAATGTATTCCATGAACCGTGACGTGCGTAATAAGCTTACCCGGGTACACTCCAGAGATCCAGCATCTTTCTTCATTCTTCTCCATCTCTAGAAGCTTGGAAATCATATGATTGTTAATCGCGACGATGAGAATGATACCTTAAGACTGTAGGAGGTAACGGCAATTAGCTTCCCGATGCCCCCTATGTTTGCAACTTAATCCTAATGCGAAGATCTCGCGCATCTAGTTTGTCAACTACAGTAATACTATTGACGTACTAGACAGGCAGCCAGCCACTTAATCAAAGAGAAATGATGCCAAGAACACGCCACAACGCCTTGGAAACTGAATCCAGAAGTTTGCGAGTCGCATCTTCATAGTGTTCCATCTCTTCCGTCGAGGATTGAAGCCCTGATCACTCCACGAATGGAGATCTGGAGAGATTTTTGGAGTGCTTCTGACACTTGTTTGCGCAAATCGGAAACATGACCCTGACGCGTTCTAGTGCTCAACGATTTCGATTAGAGTCCCAAACAATGGGCGACATCTTAAAATATCTTCCCTGCGTAACACATGGCACTCCGCGTTGGTCTAGGTATCGAGTTCTGCCATGTGAAGAGGTAACGGGTGATGTTATGGGGAGCCTCTTAGATGTCATAAGCTGGCTCCATGTAACAACCACGTGCGGTTTCATGACACGATTAGTCCACAAGATCCGATGAATGTGTGGATGTATAGCGTTTCAACTTGGACTTCAGGTGGTTCTGGCAAGGCTGCTTACTACGGAAACGCCGCTGTCGTTACAATAGGGACACGGCTACCTTGAATTGTTCCCAAGGTAAATGTTCCTCCGTCCAAATTCGGGTACGCTCTAGTCAGAAAGCGGACGCGTTACCAGTAAGTCACAATCTGAGCCGCGGTTGAGACCCCGAGTTTGTGATGGGTTGCTCAATCAAGCCGATTGGCACTTAGGCAAGCGAGCTCCGCTCCATTCCGGACAGGGGTACGCCCATAGAACGATGACCACGACTGGACTATAGCCAGCATGAAGTCGGCCTGTAATTGCCCCGTCCACATACATAGGTATTCATGACGATAATTGAGGCTGAACTTGTTGAGGCTCTCGTTCTCGGCAGCTGGTCGGAGAAGATCTTTGCGGGGTTCGGAATAGGAAACCGGGGAGGCTCTTTTCTAAGAATATGTCGGGCAACCCCGAGCTGGCGGGGCGATGAGTTGGCCGATGACGTTAACGAAGTTCAAGGACTATAGTTGTTGAATACTCGGGATATCTTCTCCCACTCACAATGGTATAAAGGTTTTTTGGATCGCTACCACCAAGTTGGTTCTTCATTCCTTCTCATGCACAAGTCAAGATCGAGGCAACAGCCGAAGCATCAGCCGAGGCTTTGGCCAAGGCATCATTTGATGGCGAGTCAAGTCCGTTGAGTTACTCCGAGTTGCAGGTGGTGGCTTCAAAACTTTCTTGTTATTGGTATGCGCATTGGTTTTTCTTTTTCTGTACGACCCCAACCCCGTACTAATTTACTATACCAGATGCGAGACTGCAACTATCGCAAGATCTTACAAGCCAAACAATCATCACGGTCGAGATGTATGGTCGAACCCCTCTAATTTGCTAAGTCTACACAGCAACACAGCTTTGCCTCGCCTCTGCAGCATCTCAGCAGCATCCTATTTGTGGGGGATTATAGAGTCTGGATCTAAGATGCAGCAGCATGCCGATAGCCCCGAGGTAGGATTGCGCCACACCCGTACATCAAATGTCACTGAACTTACGTGCATTATAGGCTTGAGAAAGAAGATCCTTCAAGATACTAACAGAAGCAACTCACATCAATTATCACATCGCGGCTCAAAGACTAATCATCCATCACTAACCACCTAAAACTAACCTACTTTAACGGTTCAACCGCAACTCAAACTAAATACAATCAGCGCGAATAATTAATCTTCTTCCTCTAACGATTCAACAGCTGCTCTAACTCAAATCAAAGCACAGCTCTATCAACTCAATCAACTAACCTACCTCAAACGGTTCAGCAGCTAAATCTCTAACAAATCTTCTAACAATCAATCAAAGAGAGACTCACATTTAGCCCCCATATCTAAAACATACATTGAGGAGGAATATTGGTCTAAATCTATAACTCACCTTACAGGCGACCCCAGGTCGTATTGCGGCTTAGCTCTCAGTGCTACTAACCCAGCCTAACCACCTAACAAAGCGCGCGCTTGTTGCAAGCGAAGGGGAGGAGGGTACTATTTGCGAGGTCACACGACGCCCACGTCGCATATTTCAATCTAACATAGCATTCGGAACATTTTTTTTCTCTTTCAGCGGCGCATCGCCCAGGAAACTAACCAAAAACAAAACCCAGCAGCTCCAAATTAAAATCTCTGTGTATCGTTACAACTTACTACAGCTACCTACCTAACCACTAATCCACAGCGGCTACACGTTCCGAGGATATAGGTTCGGTTAACTGACCATTCGAGGGAGGGACTTTTGGGTTTGGGGGGGAAACCGAGTTGCGAGTTTGGGTCGAGAAAGCAAGGGCGTAATGCATCGCAGGGAAGACGGGAAACCGGGATGAGATGGATTTAAAAATAAAATCACTGGAGGACAATCGCGGAGGATAGAATGGGACAGACGCAAGTCTAGGGCGAACTTCGCTTGTTGGGTATTCAGCTAGCGTTGTTTAAGGGAGGACCATAAATACAAAATTGAAAGATTGGGCTTTGTTGGACTTCGGATCAATTACGACCGTATCGCTTTTTCCTATGTGGTGACTAAAAATTGCAAACAGGTTATATATTGAAATAAATCAGTTTTTTTCATCAGCCGTCGCCGCCGCCGTAGCATGGTGGTAGACAATCACAGCCCCACAGCGCCGATACTTCGGTTGGCGGCGGCGAAACGGAGCAACGTAGGGGCGTGTAACTCAGTGGTAGAGTGCTCGCTTTGCACCATTCTTTGTGATGATTCATAATTGCGAGAAGCCCAGGGTTCGACTCCCTGCTCGTCCAATATTTTTGCTAATTTTATTTTTGATCTTTTTTGTTTAGTGTGTAGGGAGGGCGTACGGGGAAAGTGGCGCGGTTTCCAGGTTCGCTTTACTTGGTGTTGGGAGGACTTTTTATCGGTACGGAAATAGAATCGCATCGTCGAATTGATGGCGTGATTGTAGTACCTACTTGGTTCATGGGGTGTTATTGTTCTATTCTAACGAGTTTAGGGAGGCGAGTTCAACGATTTTGTAGCATGTTAATGGCCAACGGAGCATGCAATCACAGCGATTATGCCGCATCCATTTGATGTATCAATTGATTGATAACATCTCCGACCCTAGTGGTTTTAAAAGTACTGGGAGTTAAGCAAGGCTTGGAATAGGAGAAGGGGTTTGCTAGGGATTCGGTGTCGGAATAGAATAGGTGCGCCGTAGATACACGTAAGGACTCGATGATGCGACAAGTCAATTTCATGACATCTTGGTAAGGCGTTAGTTACGTAGGTATGCTAGACTATTTGCCGTCGTTCTATTCGAGAAGGAGCTAGGAAGGCAACAACAGTTAGGAAAGCCTTGCTTGTACTAGGTATCCAAGTCGCCTCTGAAGTCACTCATGCCATCTTCACCAGTTGCTCAAAACAACCCGTTCCAAACGAACATCCCTATGCTCCATGCTCCAATTGGCTTTCAATAGGAAACTTTCGACAGTATCATCTTAAGTATCGTACGTATCTGTGAAGCCCGCATTGCCCACTTCTACGCCATCAACCATGGGCCGGTGGCTGGCTTCATTGACGTATTGCTCGTCCCGGCCGGTCCCAATGAAGACAACATTATCATTAGCCCCCCTGAGCATTGCCCAAACCATGGGACCGATAGCTGAAAGCCCCTATTTGGAACCGGAGGCGATGCGCAGGCTAAGGCTCCCCCATTCGACCATAGAGTTCGCCGAGGCCCTACCGCGCCGACTTTGAAGCCTTATCCCATCCCATACTTCGACCGACTCTTAATTAGGTACATCTTCGGCTGGCAGAGAATGAAGGACACGATAAGATATAAATCCACATAGCCTTAGAGGTCCTAATGATTCACCAAAAAAGGCCGCGTTGGAACGGCCTGGCGAAGTGGTATCTTTATTTGAGCGTCCTCTTTACCTAAAAACCTCCCTCTCTACTAGTATCTTTACATAGCGTTTATGAGTATTATTACAAGCGTCGCCAGGCCCTGGGGTTCGATTCCCTAGGTGGCCAACAATTTTTTCACCCCTTTTCCTTTTTTTACCCGCCATAGGACTAAGCAATCATGCGCCATCTTCCTGCGTTCCAGTGATATAAATTGTGTATAATGATTATAATTTAATAAACTCAGAATATTATTTGAGATGAACTTGGAATTACCGCCGGCAATGGTTTCGTCGTGGTGTTTAGATGGGACGGGGTTATGCCCCTTATTCCTAAAGTGACGAGGGTATTATTCACTCTTTATTGTATCCGCAGGTACTGCGAAGACTTACGGCGGAACTCCTAGGACGCGCAGCTTCGCTTTCCACTTTTTCTTTCTAATTCGCCGGCATAGTCGTCGGACCCCACGCGGGGATCTTATGTACTGAGTAGAGCCATCCCCGTCACGCGCGCCTTCCTGCGTGGTAAAACCAAGCACCCCTACGCAAACGCGTATATACTAAATAACTCTAGTATTTCCAACAATCAATAGAAAGGCTATGTTGGTATGGCCTGGTGGTATAGCGTTTGCTTTCTCGGGGGTGCGGTATATATACTAGGGTTCTGGGGTTCGATTCCCTAGATGGCCAATTCACTTTTTCATTTTTCATTTTATTTTATTTTTTGTCCTTGACGCCCCTATCGGGGCTGGATCGATTGGTTCATGGCTGACTGTTCTGGCCTACCTGTTTAATGCCTTATTGCTGCTAAAAATCCCCGTAGGTCTTGTCAACACTTCTCAATACTCATGCCCCGTTAATACACGCGTATATCTTATCTCATGTGATCCTCGTACCAAACACTTACAAAGCACAAATCAAGGAAGGACCTAACGCAAACACATATATACTAGAATAATCCAATAGTTTTCCAACAATTAGAGCAAAGGCCGTGTTGGTACGGTCTGGCGGTATAGCCTAACGGTATGATTTCCTAGCGTTTCTGGAGTTCAGGGGGCGGCAAGTGATTTCTACTATATATATGGCATGTCGTTAGGGTCTGGGGTTCGATTCTCTAGATGGCCAATTTAATTCATTTTTATTTTTATTCTATTTCTATTTTATTTTTCTGCCTTTTTTTTTTCACTATTATTGAATCGTGAAGACGACCATAAGCTACATATTGTATTGCCTGTTGCCGCTGAAAAGTATCTCATATTGCTGTTGCCTGTAGTATTATTCATGCCATCGATATATGTGTGTGCATAAACATCTATCCTACGTGGTTTTTGCACCAAACCTTTACAAGCCCGGAAAGCACAAGCCAAGGACCTACCGCAAACACATACTAGAACGACTCCAGTATTTCCAACAATTAGTAGAAAGGCCGGATGGTATGGTCTGGTGGTATAGCGATCTTGATTTCTTTGCTTTCATAACAGCGTGTACCTACTAGAGTCTGCGGTTCGATTCCCCAGGCGGCCAATTCATTTTTTACTTTTTGACTCCCTTTTTTTTCTATTCCTACTTATTTGAGGGATAACTCGCTCATAACTGCTGGGGAATGCCGTAGATTTCGCTACCGTCCCGTACTCTTTGCGTCGTTGGTGTATGCACATGCTATCATATACTCCTCGCTCTCGTACTTAACCGTCTCCGCAAGGTATAAATTAAGGATATGAGTATCAAGCAAGGGGACAGCATAATGTATCTTCGAATGTTCAATCGTTGGTACTTATTCACACACACCTATATCCACGATAGCTCTCACCCCTTATTCTACACCTTCGACTATCCACTCTCACCATCCCCACCTACGCCCCTACAACGGCGGCAACTCCTCCCTACAAATCGGACACTGCAACCTAAACCTCATCCAACCCTCCAGACACGCGCTATGAAAAATATGTCGACAGGGCGTAACCATATACGCACGTCTAGCAAGAACCCCCGCCACACCCCCAGCCGTCGGATCCTCAGCTCCTGCTTTGACGACCGGGACTTCTAGGACTTCTCTACATATCGCGCAATCGATAACATGTGTATTCGTATTCGATTTCTTCTTATCCCTAGCCTCGTCGCCTGTCCTTACGCGCTCTAGGGATGTGGGACTTGTTGGTGTAGATACTAATCCAATTGGTAGTCCACCGGCCTCGACGTTATCTTCGCGTAGTACGGGGTGATACTCCCAAGCTTCTGGCATCCAGCCTTTGGGTACACCGAATCTGGGTCCGAGCACCGATTGCGCGGCTAGGATCCAGATCTGTAACCAGAGCCAGCCTGCAATCACGAGGAATGCCACGCGATCCGGTTCCGCGAAGGCGAAGTTACCCGGCACGATGTAGAAATAGGCTACAGGAAGAAGCCGTAGTATCGACTGCCCGATAACGAAGCGCCATGAGAGCGCGCGCCGGCAGTTACGGTATACATTACGATAAATCTGGGGTACCCAGAGGGATAGGTATGCGAAGAGTAGAATGTTGAAGTACGCGGCGCGGATGTTGGGGCGCCAACTCGCAGCCGCGAGACTGAGGAATAGGATACAGATGCCGATTAGTAAGAGACGACCGAATATGTTGCTAAGCTGTGTTCGAAGATTCTGTGCGGTCGGCGTGGCGGTATTCGCGGTTACTGGGGCGGGAAGTGTCGCATTGTTGTTAGTTGTCGCTTCAGCAATTTCGGCGTCGATGTCTTGGTCTGATGGAATAATTATTGGGGGAGAAGCTGCTGGACGGGGAGTAGTAGTGGTAGTTGTGGGAGATGGACGACGATTGAGAGGATTTGTTGTGTTAGTCGTGGTCGCAGGGGTGTTCTGCCGTTCTCTTTCTCGCTCTTGCCGCCTCCATTCAGGTTCTTGGACCTTGTGAATTTCAGCTAAGAAGAATGTCCCAACAGTCATTGATAAGAAAGAAACACATGTTACGGCTAGTGAGGGTAACAGTGTTGTCGATGCCGAGAAACTCCACGCGGCTGCACCGGTGAAAAGCATGCCATCGGCGAGTAACATCATGCATCCTGTATAGAAACTAACACGGCCTAGTGTCGAAGGCGTAGAAGTTTCCCTCATCTGTATTTTTAATAATTGGAGTTGTCCAAATACAATTAATGCGAGACCTAAGATAAACGTGCTAACGTTATGAAGGAATATTTCCTGCTTCACTCCAACTAAATGGAGTCCCTCTGCATGTGTGAATGCTGGGGGTCCCTTTGTTTCGAGGAAGAAACCGCAATCAGGAGAGAATACCACGGCGGACATTTGAAGTTGCGGTATCTTCCGGTGACCCGTGCCTTGAGGAAAGCGAAGCTCATCCTCGATATCTTGAATAGCCTTTGCGACATTTTCCGGACCCGTAAGGCTAGGCTGCACTCCTAATAAATCTTGGTCTAATGGGTGGATCTGGATATAAAAAACATATTCACAATGCGGGGTCGGGTTCCAGGCTTCACCTGGTGCGTCTAGATTAGACGTCCAGGGGTCGATTTGATCGGTGAAGGTGTGCTGCTCCTTTCTGTCGAGAGCCTTGTCTAGGGTTCTATTTAATAACGCTTGACTGGATTCGAAGAATTCTGCCCGGGTGGTAAGATGAGGTAATCCGAATATTCCCTGGAATTTCTCGCTCGTTGTCGTTAATAGCATCGCTCCTTGACGAGGCCAATGGACACCGTGGAGTCGCATTTCCCAGCTACTCCCAGTACCTTCGACGTCATCAATAGTAGCAGTCGCAGAGACTTCCCGAGCCTTGAGCTCCGCTTTGTCTAGCACTATCTTGTCTATCTCCTCTGGTTCCGTCTCGGCATTCTCGTCATCCTCAACGCGCAACATCATCTTTCCCTCTGCACCTGTAGCATTTCTGCTCCAGTCGGAATTCGAACCGGCCCATTGGACATTGGGGCTAATCGCGCTCAGGTTATAACTCGAATGATATCTGGGCGTAGACGTATTCGCTTTCTGCCACCATCCTCGTACAACTCCTGTCGCATTCTGCCATACCGGTTGCGCGGTCTCGGGGATGCCTACGGCGTTCGCGCTCCACTCGTCGCATCGGTCCCTAAATCGCTGGAGGTCTTCCCAAGCATAATGGTCCTCTTCTCGAAAGCCCGTCAAATTCAAATATTTGTATTTCGCCTCTGTCTCTGCGTCGGGTTCGGAGCCTTCGGGAGTTTCGGGTTCGGGCGGGTCATCGACAAGACGTGGTGCAAAGTCACCCCATTGCGTACTATTTAGTACGCCGAGGGCATGTCGCTGGCGGGCGAGGCGATTCTTGATCAGGGTCGGGCCTGCGATAAGTCCTGGTCCCGAATCTGGGCTTGTGGCGAGCCAGAATATTAAGAGGATCAGGAAGATGGCACGAGCGTTATCTTGCGGCTGAGGCATAGCAATGTATTATTTCCATCATGTTTATTGGATCATTGACATAGTCTCTGAAAGACTTCTCTATGAGTGATACTCTAATAATGTGTTTTGGAAATTCGTTCTTTCGTATAAGTCAATGCAGAATAGATGTAAGTGTTGAGTTTCTAGCGAGCTTAGCTATTGCTACGGATGTGCTGGATATGATTATCTAATCATGGATGACTGGAGCTAGCCTACGATTTCCATTGGCTCATTCATATCGATCCAACCCCGCTAGCGTATCTAAGACCCACTCCTCCGGAACTCAATTCTAGACTCGTCTTAGTCGATTCATTCAGTTTAATTGAAATTATAATAATAGAGCTCACATAAAACAAGTAAAATGAAAATTGGAAATAGAATAAATGATGGAACCGGGTTTCGTGGGTTGGCCAGTAAGATGGCTGTCCAAGCGGACTATGAGGCGTTTATCTTCCGCAAATTCGACCGGCTCAGTGCACGAAACCTCCTCCACCTTGAGGCCAAGCTCGCATACCTCGAAGCGAAACTAGATATAGAAGATAAGAAAGCCGCGCAGAGTCAAGAAAATGAGACATTACGATCCATCCGAACCTGGGAGGCCTTCGAGGAACAGTTCAATGCTGGGGATGTTGACTGTTATAGACAAATGGCTCTTCTTGAAGAGATCAAGGAGACACTGAAGGAATATCGTGAGATACGAAGTATATTCTAGTGCGAGTTGTATCAAGCACTAAAGCAAAATGTATAGACGAAACACTATTACGTCAAAACCAAATAGCCATGCTTGAAAAGCCCAAGAAACGGGCTTTAGATGTCGCACGCGATGAGTTCTTCGAACGTATATTTGGTGGAGACAGGCAGCCCATGCTGGCTGGTTTCGCCGAGAAAAGGCTTGATGAATGCAACCATCAAGAACTCGTCGCAGTGAGACGGCAGGCGGATAAAGATCCCCTCTCACTTTTTTTACAAGATCATTGGATGTTCAAGGTATTCTCCTAACATAAAATTTCCTCACATAGAATATTCTAACAGACAAAACAAACCTTAGACTACGAGTGTTACAGAGCATACTGAATGTATCAAAGAAAGCCATGTGGTCTGGGTAGCTGCGACAATAAGCGTAATCGTTGCCGCACTCCTACTACTCGGAGCTATTGTCATGTTACTTCTTCTAGATGATAGGAATACCCAGTTGGGAATAATCGCTATGTTCACAGCTCTTTTCGCGGTTAGCGTCGGAGTTTTGACAAATGCAAGAAGGGCAGAAATATTTGCATCAACAGCTGCTTATACCGCTGTATTGGTTGTTTTCGTGTCGTCGCCTGCATCGAGTTCAAGCCCATTTGGTTGTACATGTAGTTTACCTACTTAGATGCTTAGGTACCTATATAAGATTATAAAATGCCCCAAAATCAAATTCCAATGACCTATGTCTCCATAAGTATTATATGACTTTAGCTCGTTGGCCCTTGCTCTTCTCCCCCTTGAATCTAAAGGTTTCGTGCCAAGTAATAAAGAGAAAATTTTCTAAGAAATTCGGGTATTATGAGTAGAAAAACAGAAAAAAAGAAGGGATAGGTAGACACTACTTGTTGCTGTCCTCGACGTTTGGACTAGCGCCTAGGTTGTTGGGGAGGCTGTTGTCGAATAGGAAGGATGAGTTGGGGTCTTGGATTGTCTCTGTCCCACTGAGCCCGTTTATCATGTTCGCTCCTCTGTTCAATGGACCTTTGGGGCTCTGGCAGGCATGAGATTCGCAATGTTCCGTCGTTTCTACGCTTTTCTTCAGTCCGCCATATCTCACTCCACGACGGGCCTCCTTGGGAAGAAGCGATTGATGTCAGCGCACCCAGATGTTGGTCATATAACATGAATAGCTCACTTATCGTGTTTTCCCTTTCACGTTGTTGCCATTGTCGTTTCAGTCTCATAAACAGAAGGTTATGATTTGGGTTTCTGCCACTACCCGAGATGCTGCTGGTTGGCCGGGAGCAGAAGAGACTCCTAAATCTCGAGAATACTTGGGCTTGGTAAGTAAACTCGTTACTGAGAAGGATATCGCATGGTAAGTCATTAATGACATGAAGGTCGCATAGAAATATTGACTTTGTTGACACATTTTCTTGCTGGTTGATGTGGGACAAAATGTCGTTTGTGTGCGCGAGAAAACGATGGTAATCTAATTCCTGCCATGTTGGTGGTATATCGAACTCTAATTGGGCGTCCAGGACCATTCCATCTGTGCGGATGATAGAACCATCGATGAGCGTAACATCCCTTCTGCATTCCGGCTCGTCGTGGACTTTGAATTTATTACGCTGTGCAAAATCTCTGGATATGAGCATGAGTTCCGATCCACTATCTGGGATTGCTGAGGCTTCATAACCATTCACGGCGCAGCGGAGGTGGTCCCCTGGAGATTCTTGTAGCAGGAAAAGACTGGTTCCTCTGAGGGCGCAGACACGGTCTCGTTCGGCGACGCAACGACGAAACTTGGTGAATAACTCTCTCTGGCTCACGAACTCCCTCCCTAATAGCAAGTCACACACACTATCCCGAAGCACGTGGAGATCAAGGCGGTATGTGTCTCTCTCGCCTTCGAAACTAAAAAGGCCGACAGTTCGACCAACTACTAAAGCTTTACGTTTTCCTAATGTGGGCACTGATTGATTGTTAGTGGGTTCGACCTTTAGATTGAGTTTCGTAACGAAATTCTCTGAGATAGCGTTGATGGAAGAGCCTGTGTCTGGCAGTGCATTGGTGAATACGCCATTAATGGTCCCCGGAACGTTGTAGGTTTTTAGACCATTAAAGCTCAACTTCGGAAACACAGAGGTCACTGTGGCGGCGCTCGAACCAAACAAATCCCTGGGTTTTTGCCAGCCGTATCTATTGGGTCCAAAGTAGTCGAACTCGGAATCCTTTTCCTCTGTTTTATGGCAACGATGATTAAGATGATGAGATGGGGGATTCTACTATGGGCTTAGACACCCTACTAGACCCATTCTCTACCAGCTGACAGCCAGCTGGTTCCACCCTATACTATCGGCTGGACCATGCATGTTTCCTTATCGATAATGGCCTAACGCCGCTCTTATCTTCCAGCATGCGTGATCCACTTGAAGTTAACCTTGGAAGTCAAACACGCCGCGCAGTTCTCCAGCTCCATTCACACCAACCCGATTCACGATTCACTCCCACTCTCAACGGCGCATTCTTTGAGCACTTCCCAGAATACATTCACAAACGCCGTCAACCTATCTTTCACAATGCCTCCCAAGAAAGCCGAGGAGCCTAGTAAGGACGCCGACAACGTAAGTACCTAAACACACGCCGCAAACGGCCGCATTTCACGATGCGATCGGCGCGCAAAGCTAACGCCGTTTAATCTAGAGCTCCGACGAGCTGGCCGTGGTCGTCGAGGACTTACTAGAGTCGCTATCAACCAAGTTCGACGGCGTTTCCAGCGAGATCTTCGCCAAGAGTACGTTCTACTTTTATTTCTACTTCCCGTCGTTGTTTCTAAACTCCGGCGCAATTGCACTCTGGTATTTTAGAACCAATATTGACGCTATTACGATAAATCTAGTGGACGAAATGGCGCGCCGCCTCGACGATCTCGAAGCCTCCCTCCGAGCCCAAGAGGACAAACCTAGCTCGCCGTCAAAAGGACAATAATCATTACGCGATGGAAAGGGAACACTAGGCATTGCATGGAGGGGCACTCGGGTTGATTTTCACATCACAGCATTGCGCGGCGTTATGGGGTTTAAGAAAATGAAGTTACGGAAATTCTTTTATTGGCACAGGAAAAACCGGCACCCAAGGTCTACATTGCGAATGCGCCATTTAGATTAATCTTCTTTCGTTACTCGTTATGAAAATGCCTGTTAGGCATATTCTCACTATTCCTCTCTTTTTGCTTTGTGTTATGAGTTATTCTATAGCTCTTCCTTACCAGTGACTTTCTCCGCGGCTTGCTGGATGAATTGCTTGAGGATGTTGGTCTTGCTTTGGAGCTCGTCTAGCTTGGCGGGAGCTAGACCACCTTTCTTGATGATGCCGTCGAGACGGGCCGATTCCTTAGCAACGTAGCCCTCGTTCTGCGATAGCTTGTCGAATACGCGGATGTAGTATTGCGCGTACTTGTACTGCGCATCCTCAGCCAAACCAGCGGCTGCCTTCTTAGCCTCAGCCGCGAGGTCAGCTAGCTTCTCAGTGCCAGCAGCGTACTTGAGGGCAATGTGGTTTAGGATGTCAATGGTGCCACCAGTGGCATCGAGACCACCACCGGGGACACGGTGGGTGCCGGCCTTCTCGTTGAGGAAATCGATGAGGTCCTTCTCGCTTCGGCCGCCATTGTAAGCTTCAGCTTCGCTTGAGCCCTTGGGGAAGAACTTGATCGTCGGGTAAGAAGTAACACCTTGCTCGCTGGCGGTCTTCTTGCTGTTGTCGGCCTCAGCGTCGACCTTGGCGATAACAACATTGGGTTCGTTGATGAAGTCTTCGGCTAGCGTTTCCCAGGTAGGAGCCAAAGCCTTGCAGTCTGTTACAAGTTAGCGTATTTGGTAATTTGAATTGGCGATCAATTGATACTTACGGCCACACCAAGGAGCGGTGAATGCAACCAAAACATTCTTGTCGCCTCCAACGGTCTCCTTGAAAGTAGTGTCCGTCAACATGTTGACTTGGCTAGGCATCTCCAACTTTCTCTTGGCCTTGACACCACTGTGCTCCGTAACGAACTTAGTCAAGCTTTCTAGATCTCGGCCGCCATTGTAGTCGATGGGCTTGTCGCTCTTTCCGTCGAACCACTTCAATGTAGGGAATCCTTGAACACCAAATTTCTTTCCTAGAGACTTCTCGGCGTCGGCATCTACCTTGGCAATCTGAACGTCCTTAGAGGTGGCGAAAACTTGAGCTAGCTCTTCGTACACGGGAGCTAGGTTCTTGCAGTGACCGCACCAAGGGGCAAAGAATTCGACAAGAGTAGGCTTGCCGGATTTAAGGACGACTTTGTCGAAGTTAGAAGGGATGAGGTCAAGGACGGCGGACTTGGCTGCGACGGTGGCAGCAAGACCGGCGAGCACGAAGCTCTTTAGGAGAACCATTTTTACTGGTTTGTCTCAGGATTAGAGATAAAGGGATGAATTTACGCCACAACAGATTGTCGCAATGAAGAGAAATTGGTATATAATTCAATACTAGAGAAAAAGGTGTCTATATTGATACGGCAGAGGTGGAAAAGGGGAGGATTTGCCGTAACTTAGGTAGGTTGGTGGTAAAATGTAATCAATTTTGCTTTGAAATACATACAAAGGCAAGAAGATGCCACTTTGCAATCAATAGGATGGCATCCGTCATAGCTTTCGGTGCGGGAACCTGGTTAAAACAAGTATCTTCCTATCGATAAGGAATGTGGCTTGCTTGAGACTTACATAAGATAAGTGGTCAAAGCTTTCGATTAGGTCAGGAACGCTAAACGCTAATTCTTCGGGGTTTAGAGTGAAACAAGAGTACGTACCCTTGCAACCCTGAAGCGGACCACACAACAATTTTGCACTCTTACTCGATTAATCCTCTCCAAATTTTCGATTTCGCGAAACTTTCCAGCTCAGCAGTCAAGACTTTCCAACACCACCGCAAATCCACCGACCGTTTTCGTTCGTGATAATTCATATCGCAACAACACATCCGACAATATGTCTCACGAATCCGTCTGGAACTCGCGCCCGCGAACTTACGGCAAGGGCTCTCGCTCTTGGTATGTCGATTTAATACTCTGGGAATTAATTCATGAAATACGAAGAGAAGGATGGAAGTAAAGGGATAATGATGGGAATGACGGCTAACATAATATCATTTTTATAGCCGAGTCTGCACTCACAAGGCTGGTCTGATCCGCAAGTACGGCCTCAACATCTGCCGTCAATGCTTCCGTGAGAAGTCCTCCGACATTGGCTTTGTCAAGGTACGAATTCCCCGGCGACGATACCTTCGAACATATACATAGATGAGGGAGGGACTAACATATTTCTACCTATAGCACCGATAAATGCTTAATTTCGGATTGTCAATTTTCCTATCACGATATCTCTCGCCAGGCATCATCGACGCGATTGCGGAAATGGAGTTGGGTTTTACATCAGGAACATGGGTTTCGCATTTGCCTTGAGGCATCGGCATAGGCTTGCGTGGACAGAGAAGGAGGAAATGAGCAAGATGGCTCCTCAATTCCGGCTAGACAACTAGACCACCACCGCAATGCTTACGAACAAAAAATCGATGATATTCGTTCTTCCTTCTTGCATCGTATCCTATCGTATCCATACCCAGACCCATACCCTAATGCAAAAGAAAGAATGTGAATACTACCCGCGGGACCCTCGATATACATCCGGATGGACCCTCCGTTCCTTTTACAAACAGGTAGGGTGTCAATGATTCCATGAAAGGAATGTTGAAAATGAGTAATAGTTACGCATCACCAAAATCATGCGAGAAATTCCGTCTTCGTCCATCAAATACCTAATATTCCCATTGACAACTATATAATCCGGAACCTGCCTGGTGGAAATAAGGCTGGATATAAAATTGCATATTAAAATTGGGCATAAACCCGGCCATGAAATGCGGGAATAAAACGGGAATAACTGGTCAATGAAACGTCACGTCTGCGAAGACGTGAATGACTTACATATCCACCCCTGATGCGGACGACATTGTGGATTCTCCCCCCTTCAACACCCCTTCCACGTTGTCTTCACTACTAATTAATATTACGTTCAGGGTGGAAATATGTCCTCAAAAGCACGCAAATGCATACCCAAAGGTCCAAAATTTCCACTCGAGATAATGCCGAGTCGAAGAACCGAACCGAAAATTGTAGCCTCATTGGGCGAAGGCGTACAAGACAGAAGACCCAAGACCTGCATTGTGGATTCGTATGGTAACTTCATAAGCTTCGCAATATTTTATTACCCGCAATCGAAACGTGGGTGCATCATCGTTTTTGTCTCTCATCCTTCGGAGAGGGATTTTAGGTGAGAGCCGAAAGGGAAAAGCAATACAAAGCGCTAACATTTTCTATAGCGAAGACGGGCTTATCTGATCGCGATTACTCGGGTTACTTAGTAAGAAAAGCCTTGTTTTGCTTTGTCCGGACCGCCCGTGTTCCAGCCAAGTACAAAATGCTGGACCAGTAAGTCCGAAGCCTTCCTTCCGGCATTTACTATCTAAGTAATCCTACCGTGTCTACATGTAGGGTGCAAATATTCGTTTGGTTACAGTGCGTAATGTATACTTGGATGTATTATGTGTATTAGGAATATCCCATACCCGGAACGCAAGATATTACACGTACAACGCTATGTACATAAGTATACCATGTACAAAGGCGTCGTTTCGACATACGCCTATGTATATGCAATGTACTACACCTTGTACAACATCGTACGTATCGCGCCATCCGTATATTCGACAAACACCGCTCGGTATCTACCCGGGTAGGCTTCGAAGTTAGTGGCGTACCTGAATAAGGCCATGGCATGCATGTGAAGGACCCTAGTTCGCAGCAGGAGGGAATTAATGGGACCCCTAAATTGGGAAGTTTCTATGGTACTTCGGTACTATGATTCTGATGGATGTGACAACGGACATCAAGAAAAGATGCGGCAATCGTGATTCAACAAAGGATACTTCCGAGTTTCGACTTACACAAAAAAAAAGATGGAACTTTTGTTAGTATCCTTGAAGAAAGATAAATTTGGAACTATGCCCTTCCAACAGAGGAATGGTATAGACAGCGAAGAGGCACAGTCGGTTGTTGGTAGCTACTTTTTCTACCTTATCCCTTACCAACACACAGACATCACACAACCTACCCGCTCCACTTGGTCCTTTGTGTGTGTTATACCTTTGTGTACACTCTTACGGGACTATACCTCTCATTTTACATCGACACTTTTCACCTACATACTCGGGTATACACTCATTCTGTGAACCATGGCTGGCTTTCACGAGTTGATTCCTATTGTGGTGAAGAGAAGGATCAACGAGAAACGGCCTGTGCTCAGGATAGCTCATCCTGAGCGTGATCCTATCGATGTCACCTTTGCCACCCTCGACAATGCCGTCAATCGAGTAGCATGGTTTCTCACCGAGAACCTTGCCTCGGATGAGGAAACCTTCATCTGGATGTCGCAGAGCGACGCTCGGTATATCATCTTCGCTATAGCCGCGATGAAGACTAGCAAGGTGGTAGTGTTTCCATCTATGAGCAATCGAGTGTCGGCTAATCTCCGACTCTTCGACTCTGTCGGATCCAAGCATCTGTTCTACGGACCCGAGTCTGAGGGAACGCTTGCTGAGCTCATCGGGGAGACTAGTTCGGCCGTAGCGGCTAGACCGGGATTGTCCCTTGAGGATATTCTATCGGCTGAACCCGTTCCGGATTATCCCTTTGACAAGACTTACGACGAGGTTAAGGATAAACGATATATGGGTCTACATACTTCAGGAACTTCAGGTTAGTTTGGGCTTATTCTTATCCCCCTTAAATTCTGTTCGGTTCTTTGTCCCGAATCAGCTTTCTGTAATTTCCACGATGTTAGACCTAAGAATTGGGCCGAACAAGCCTAAAAATTCAACGGAATGACAGAAAAATAAGTATTCTAACACGTATGATCAGGTCATCCAAAGCCAATTTGGTGGACACATGCCCACCTTGAAAACCTCTACTCGCCTCTAGAAGAGGGTGTTCTTCCTAAAGGAATCCACACTGAGAGGCCAACATGCAGCACGCTCGCAAATCACGATGTCCTCGTTATCGGGGCACAATCTCATGTAAGTCACTACACTATCAAATGATTCGGACCAAAAATCTGATGTATTAAGGCCGGTGCAATGTACATCACAATGGTCAGCCTGCACTCCCCCATGACCGCCATCTTGCTGCATCCGGATGCTCCTCCCATCCCAGCAAATATCACCGCCGTCATCAACAAAACCGGCGCAAACAGCATGATTAGTCCCGCTGTGCCAATCGAGAACATGCTTGACTACCCACCAGGCGTCGAAGTTCTCCAACGCCTCAAGCACATCGGCTACGTCGGCGGACCCATGAACCCCATCCTAGGGTCACGCGTCGCGGCAATAACACCGCATCTCTACGGGTTAATCGGGAGTACCGAAGCCGCGTTGTACCACTTGGACTACTCATCTGATAGTTCAAATTGGGACGCGCTGCGCTTCGTTGATGTGGGGCAGCGCATGGATGAAGTCTTCCCTGGATTGTTCGAACTCGTATTTCCGCGGACCCCTGAAATCGAGCGTCTGTACGCGTTTTGGCGGTCGTATCCGGATCTGGTGGGGGATTATCATACCAAAGATCTATTTGCACCGGTTCCAGGACAACCTGGTTGGTGGCGCTTCCGTGGGCGCACGGATAATTGGGTCGCTATGGCGAATGGATACAAAATGGATCCTTCTGACTTTGAAGCCGTCGTGACTTCGCACCCAGATGTTCGGGGTGTAATTGTTGGGGGTTCGCATCGTTTCCGATTGTGCATGCTCGTTGAACTACATGAACACCTCATCCCCGCGACCCCCGAGGATGCACACGCCGCTCTTGACAAACTCTGGCCAAAAATCCAAGAAGCGAACCAAACAAGCCCAAAATTCGGCCAAATACCCCGCGAACTAGTCCTTTTCACTCCGCCGGGAAAACCGTTCTTGCGCACGGGTAAGGGATCTATTCAACGCCAGCTTACGCTCCAAGCGTATGAAGAGGAGATCGATGCGTTGTATGAGCGCGTCGAGAGCGGGATCTTGGTTAATGACCTTGATCCTATTACTTCGCTCGTCGCGGATGGCTTGACGCCTGTGCTTACGCAGTTATTCCAGCAGGCGCTTGATGCGCCGGAGGTCGGGCCCGATACTGATGTTTTTGCTCGCGGCTTGGATTCAAATGGTGTCACGATTACGGTGTCTAGGCTTAAAGCTGCGCTGAGGGATTTCGGAGTTGAAGAGAATGTGCTGCAGGGTATTGGGATTAGCCTGTTGTATTGTGCGACTACGGCTCGGACACTGTCCGCTGCAATCTCGGCGTACCTACTAAATGGGGGGAATGGGGGCGAGGCCGATGATGGAGGTGTGGCGGATATGCTGGAGAAATATATCCCGCTTGTCCAACAACAACCTTCCGCCACCCAAGACGAGATCGAGGATTCAGAAACCCCCGAGCTGGAAACCGAACCACAACCTCAATCCATAATCCTAACAGGCACCACCGGCTCCCTAGGCACATACATCCTCGCCGCCCTCCAAGCCCTCCCAGCCTACCACATCGGCCGCATATTCTGCCTAAACCGCGCCCCCGACGCAGCCATCAAACAAATCAGCGCCTTCCAATCCCGGAGCCTACCCCCAATCGACGAGGACCGCGTAACATTCCTCACAGTACCCGATTTCAGCGCGCCCAAACTCGGCCTCGATAAACAAACCTACACAAACCTCCTCACCGAAACAAGTGCTATAATCCACAACGCGTGGCCCGTGAATTTCCTACTCCCGTTAAAATCCTTTGAACCGTCAATTGCCGGGTTAGTTAACCTCCTCCAACTCTCCCGAGACGGAAAACGCGAGCCGGCGTTGTTTTTCGTGTCTAGCATATCAGCAGCCATGGGCGCCGCGCGCGATGTACCTGAAGACGTACTACCTAGTCCGGAGAGCCTGGTGCTGAGGCAGGGGTATGCTAGGAGTAAATATGTGGGTGAGAGATTACTCGATGCGTATGTACGCGCGACGGCCCGACGCGCGGCTGTGTTGCGCGTGGGACAGGTTGCGGGACCTGTGGCGTTGGGGGGTGTTTGGAATACGTGGGAGTGGTTCCCGTCGCTTGTGCGTAGTGCGAAGTTTCTTGGTGTGCTGCCGCAGACTTTGGGGACTAGTAGTCGGGTTGAGTGGGTGCCCGTTGATGAGTTAAGTCGTATTGTGCTGGAGGTTGTTGATGATGTTGTTAATGACCCTGATGTTGCTGCCGATAATGGGGAGAGCGCAGAAAATGGCGAGAATGGCTATGGGGATGGGAATGGAAAAGTTAAGGGCGCTAAGGTGTATAACCTAGTCAACCCGACACCTGTCGATTTCTCAGACTTACTCCCCGCGCTGCGGGAGAAGGGTATTGCGACTAATGTCACAATGTTTGAAGATTGGATCGATTTGCTGGAAACGAGTAGTCGAACCGCGAGGAAGACATCTGTGGATGAGAATCCCGCTGTTAAGCTGCTTGATTTTTATAGGTCGCTTGTTCCGAAGAGTGGTAGCGTGGATAGTGATGAGGAAGATAGTGTGGATGAAGACGAAGACGAGGATGACGACGAAGATGGGGTTGTTGTTAACGGAGAGAGCAGACAAGGGAAGGCCAGCAGCAGGGTTGGAGAAGATGATTATACATGGCGTGTAGACAACATCTTGAACGCGAGTCCATCAGCGCGTGCACTCAAGCCGGTTAACACGGAGTGGGTAAAGCTTTGGGTTGATCGATGGGGGTTATAAGGTGAGGGGATCGCATGGAATGACGGAGAGGGTCTTTGAATAAAGAGTAGACGTTGTCTACTTCATTTAGCTATAGGTAGAGCATGGTTTACCTCTCATATGTCATATATACGTAGTTACCTCCTATAGATCACAATCCAATTCTTGCGCGCTCAAAATTTGAAGTTCCTGGCCCTTCTAGGGGCACTATCATCAAATCATCACAATTCACTTTTCAAAAGAAGCAATCTTCAAGCTTAATATATATTATCATTTCATTTATATTACTTTATTATATAACGCCATATAAAGCGTTTCCAACAATCTAATCCAAACAACCAACCCAATGCAATGCGTCTAAGGTATCTCGGTAAAGAAAGAAAAACCACCCTCTACCAAGACAAATGCACGACGCCATGCCACCTTCTATCCGTATATCTCATAAAACACCGACAACGCCTCTATGCTCGAATCACCAGACTCCCATCTTCTTCTATACATCCGACTTATATTGTAAAATCGGATTATCCTGCTCTTTTGCGTGATGAGCACAAGGCGTTGTCACTATCAGCGTGATACATTACCCCTCTCCAACCACGCCAATTTCCTCGACTAGCCTTAATTACGAGATTTTGCATCTCCCTAAGGCTATGTCGTACGATCGATTTATCCAGAAAAGCGAAGCATCGTTCAAGGATTACTAACATAACTCCTCGCACGTCTCAGATCCTGGTCTTCGGAGTCATCTTCCCTGACAACAGGTCCGATACCTTCACTAGCATTTGCGATCTTCTCGTCATCTTCGCCGGAGTAAGCGTATTTGCTCCTCTGTCGAATACGTTCTCCATAGGCCCAGAACAGGAATGGAATACCGCAGCAAGCTAGACTGATGAAGGCCAGAAGTGTACTAGCCCACTCGTAGCCCAAACGAGCGTACATTTGATTGGTGAAAAGCACAACGGCTGCACCCCAGAATGATCGGATACAAGTCTTAGCCGCCAGAGCTGAGGCAGCTTGGTGCTGGTATGCGTCGACAAGGTAGTTGTTGGCACTGTTGTACAAGAAAATGAAACCAAAGCCAACAGGGAAGCCACCGAGAGCGGGTCCCACCCAAATTAGACGTGGGTATGAAGTCCAAGCGAAGATAAATAAGCCAAGTGGAATGAACCAGCAGGAGCACATCATAGGGATAAGTCGTAACTCTGGTGGGGGTAGACCGTTGTGCTTCGAAATGAGTTTTCGATAGTGATCGTTGACGAAGGGAGCGCAGAAAGCCGACACTATGACACCCACGGCTAGGGGAATGCTTGTATATGAGTTAGCAGTCGATCGATAGGAATAATGAAATGCAGGTTCCACTTACAACATAAGGCCAGTGATTCCAGCGGAATATCCTTTGCCTTGTTGGAAAACGATCGGGAAAGCGACGAAGAACATGTATAGCAATCCGTATAGGACAGACATGTACAGACTGATCAAAAAGACAATCAATTCGCCGAAGAGAAGTTGGAAAGGTCGAACCAAGAAGATGCGTATCCTGTCAGCGAAGGGTCTCTTGTCGATGTCCTCTTCCGTGACGAAGTCGTTGTTACCGGTCTCTTCGCGCATCTTCTTGGCTTTCCTTGCCAAAATGGTTGGAGCATACGTTTCGGGCACAGTGAATGTGATCAAAACCCAAACGATGAAAGCGAGAATTAGATGAATCCAATACAACCATCTCCAACCAGCGGCATCAGACAAGAAACCACCGACCAATGGACCAACTGTTTTTGAAGAAACAAGTTAGCTATACGTGGGTATGTTAGTGGCTATAGGGGAGTTTATACATACCCGCGGGCCCTATAAATGGCGCTGCGCTAAAGGCGGCCATGGGTATACCTCTTTCCTCGGATTTCCAGAGATCAGCTAAAGTACCGCCGACCAGTGTCATAGGGGCTGAAAAAGCAATGCCGTCGATAGCTCGAGCCACTAGTAAAGTACCGATATTCTTCGCAACGGCGCCAGGAATAATGAAGACGACAGCGACTAATAGAGTCGTACCGTAAATGATACGTCTACCATAGATTTCGGATAGGGGAGCGAATGCCATGGGACCTATTCAATAATTAGTCTCTTATCATTGGTATTTTTATTTATTTATTGTGATTATTTTCTTTAAAAAATATTACTTACCAACTCCAAACCCTACCACGAAAAGTGTGATACTTAGTAGCGCAACCTCTTCGCTGACGCCGAATTCGTCGGCTACACCAATGATATCGGCCGTGACGACACTAGATGAGAAGGCCACGACGAAGCAGGTAGCGGCAACCACCATAGTACAATACCACTTATATAGCTTGGACCAATTCTTGGGGTTCTCAGGGTCATTCGGAAGGAAGGTGACAAGCTTATACCGGTGTTCGCCATCTGGTTCTACAGGTCCGGGTATTTGTCCCGTTATTGTCTCTGTAGTATATTCGGAAAGGTTTGCGTCGTTGGATAGTGTTCGGTATGGCAGGTTCACGTCTAGGTTCGGATCTCGAATAGTTTCCTTCGTCGAATTTCGGGCTAAGGGGTTCGTAGGATGACGGGCCAGCGAACCGGGGACGATTGGTCCGTATTTGACTTGGCCATTGCCGTTGCTATTGCTCCTGGTATGGTTGGACTGAACAGCGGAAGCAGGCTTTTCCACGGTGGGTAATTCGTAGGGATCCATTTTTTAATATTATTCTTATACCCTCGAGGAATGATAAAAGGGAACGTCTCTCGAAGGAGATACACGATGGTTGGAATGGAACCTCGAGCAAAAGCGCGAAAGGGGGCGGGTTCCATCCTTTATATAAGAGAACGACATGACCCTTGAGGCTCTAGCATATTTTGCCTTCGGTAAACATGATAGTTTGGTAATGGGTCCCATTGGCTAACACGAGATAGTCCAAGTTTGAGAAATCGAGAAGGTACTGGATAGAAGCCGATGGCGGAACCACATGGTTTCCTATTCGAGTAAATACCCATTGTTGTGTGAAGCCGGATAGGCTCGTCAGATTTATTGGCAATGGCAAATTTGGAAACCAGACAGGGCCTAAATTTGCATGGTTTTCTTCCTCGCGGCGCGAGTCGAGTAGATAAGTTAGAGCGAAGGAGATGACTCGGCGTATCTCGGTGTTGCGAGGCTCCACAGGGCCGGGACCGTAACATCGGGGCCTTACGGGTCTCGAAATCCACGGCCGGGCCGTTGCCGTTTATTAGCTTTGAAGACATGTTGAAGTCAATTGAAAGCAATAAACAAACAATATCTAAGTCATGATCTACAGGATGAACAGTATAAACAGCTGGATATCCCCTGGGAAACTCGTCACAATGAGGAGACGTAAAAAAGGAGATGAAGTGGTGTGTCGTAAGAGTTGAATCACGTTGAACTGGAATTTTCAACCCGTACCTTTTTAAGGTTCCACTTTTACCGCTTAAGGTTTAAAGTAATAGACCCATAGAATCAGAAAATTCAGTACCGGGCTTACCCAATTAGGTAAGAGCCCAACCGGACGGGAACCAGTAGATCAATTAGCAAAATCTAATTCGCGATTTAAGGTTACAATTTGTTCCTGTCTGTTGCAACTTCAATTTGAAATGAATGCCGAATAAATCTTAATGATTATTCGGAAAGTGTAACACTGCAGATGTTACTACCTAGGTATAATATGGGAATTAAGCACCTTCTATATTTCCTATCAACGTTGAACTATAAACTTCATCGGCGACGTTTACCTTTTTGGAATGCTTGGCGCAGAATTGATTAAATATTTAAAAATAAAAGTGACGAATTGTTGGAAATAAACCGGGCATAGTATAAAATCTTATCGATAACGGTTATAAAACGGGCATAATCAACAAGTGCTGCGCCAATTCTCTCGTGTGGGCCCCTGATAATAGGATGACGGATGTTTCCTCCTCTGGGTATCCTAAGTTAATCCCACGGCTAACTTGGATTCTTTCGATGCCCTACGAGTATCTGAGAGTTCTTGGCGGTTTAAAATACCTCTCGTTTTTTACCCCTTCGATAGCGACATCGGTTGATGTGACAAGGGGAGATATATACCTTGGGTACCGTAGCCACAAAACGGCTATGACCTCATATACTCAATATTGGACCCTGACGAGTTGAGCCGGTTAGATTCTCCGTTGAAGACAAGCCACTCATTTCAACTCTAAGATCCCGCCTACACTACGCGATCACCGTAGGCTACATGACTCATTACCGTCAATATTGTTGTTGAGGCTTGACAGACGGATAGATGCAGAAAATATTGAAAGGTACATACCCGAGCTACCTGATAGCTTACTAGGGGACGGCAAATCCCTTGTCTAGGCTTGGCAATGCATACCTAGTTGGTCCGAGCAGCTGGAAAGCCTTAAGGTGCTAGCTTACGTTAGCTAGATCGGTGACACGGATGGACTTATAGCCTCGGGTATTACAACCTGACCAGCTGTCGTAGGAGGCTCTGAAATATTGGTTCACCACCATGTACCCTTATCTCGTGCAAAAGAAAACCCGCAAGGCCTATCTACACGTTATCAATCCCAACAGGGCTGGATCATCAAGGATCTTCGACATGTGCTGCAATAACACCTCACAAGACGATCATTAGCTGTGCTACCACAAGTACGATTCCCAGAAAGCCACGCTACTCCAACACAGAATCGACGATCACCATTCGAAAAACCCATTAATATTATACAAAGTAGACAAGTCACCATTAGCAGGTCCCACTACAGGATCGGAAACGAAGTGGGTTATCGAGTTCGCGTAACTTGGGCTTGTAGGTCGGGCTGGGTAGCCCGGTGGATCAAGCCATGTTTTGGTTAGGAGGGCTTACCAAGTCACTTATGAATACATTTCTTTCAGGGTTCGTATTAAAGGGTCTTGTCTCAATGCGTACAATCTTTATCCCGTCGGTATCCAGGTGTACAATAACGCCGTCGAGGTCATAAAAACCAAGCCCTCGTAAGCTACCATGATTCTGTATCAGACTAATCGTGATCCTTGATACACAGTACTTACCTAGGTACTCAACGATCTATTTTTGTGTAACACTTTCTGAGATGTGGGGTTGTCCTGTTAATTACCTCGGGTCTACGTTTTGACGTTACTAGATAGTATACCCCTGAGGCAGGAGTGCAATCTTAGAGAAGTAAACATATTACGAATCTTTTCCAACTTTCGGGCCGTACCAAGTCGCTCACCCATAAATATCATGTAACGAAAACTATAAATAATTTTGTTGCTTAAATATTTTACCATTTCATCATGCTCTATACTACATAGCAGAAAATACGCATATAGAGCTAGAGGGGAGATTTAACGAGCCTCGGGGAGGTTGTTGGGGTGAATGTGTACATAGGGGTAAAGGGGCTCAAAATATAATACATGGTCCGAATTCCCTTATACACAGGAGGAAGTAACGCCATACGAATTTTCCCCATCCCGGCTTATGAAAAAAAGCAGAGCCGAAAATTAGCCCGTTCTATCCCTCTTGTATGCACAACATCATCCTTTTGCGCATTTGGACTTGGTAGGTCTTTCTTAATCATCCATAGTCAAATTTATTGTAGGATTCGGGTAATAAGACCAGTTGCTACGGTTCGACCTCCCTCACGGATGTTGACTTGCTGACCGGCCTCGACGGCGATGGGGTGGTGTAGAGTGGCAACCATCTCGACGTTGTCACCAGGCATGATAGCTCTAGACTTGTCCTCGGCGTCCTCAGGGAAGTGAAGGGCGCAAGCCTCGTCGGCCGTTCGCAAGAAGATCTGGGGTCGGTAGTTCTCGATGAAGGGAGTGTGTCGGCCACCTTCTTCCTTGGTCAAGACGTATAGCGAGACCATAAACTTGGTGTGGGCCTTGACGGTGCCGGGCTTGACAATGACCATACCTCGCTTAACATCCTCTCGTCGGATACCTCGTAGAAGTAGACCGGAGTTGTCACCAGCACGCGATTCTTCACAAGACTTCTTGAAGGTCTCGATATCGGTGACCTTGGTCTTGATAATTTCAGTACCCTTACCAATCAACTCAACATCCTGATCCCTCTTTAGGATACCTCGCTCAACACGACCCGAGGCGACAGTTCCACGACCAGCGATGGAGAAAACATCCTCGACGGACATCAAGAAAGGCTTCTCGAAATCACGTTGAGGGGTAGGGATCCACTCATCAACAGCTTTAAGTAGCTCATCGATCCTCGAATTACCGATATCGTCCCGCTTGCCTTCCATAGCCATCAAGGCAGAACCCATAATGACAGGAGTGTCATCACCTTCGAAGCCATATTGGGTTAGGAGCTCACGCATTTCCATCTCGACCAATTCCAACATTTCGGGGTCCTCAATGGCATCGATCTTGTTGACGAAGACGACGATCCTCTGGACACCAACCTGACGAGCGAGAAGCAAGTGCTCTCTCGTCTGGGGCATTTGACCATCGGAAGCAGCAACGACGATGATAGCACCGTCCATGCTAGCAGCACCCGTAATCATGTTCTTGATGTAATCGGCGTGACCGGGGCAGTCGACGTGGGAGTAGTGTCGGTTTTCGGTAGAGTATTCGATGTGGGCAGTAGAAATGGTGATACCACGCTTTCGCTCTTCGGGGGCTTTGTCGATAGCGCCATACTCAAGGAAACTTGCCAGTCCCTTCTCGGCCTGTCTCTTGGTGATGGCGGCAGATAGAGTAGTCTAATTTGATATAAATGATTAATTTCGTAGGGTCTTTCTAGGACACGCGTGATGATATATAAATATGTATGTTTAACCTACCTTTCCGTGATCGACGTGTCCAATGGTACCGACGTTTACGTGGGGCTTCGTTCGTTCGTAGACTGCGTAAGAACGTGTGATGTTGAGGGCAGCAGCCACATTTTGCTGTCGCACTGCGAATTGTAGTGGGTTGACGGCACTGCCAGTTCTTAGGGAGCTGCGGGAAGCGCGCAGAAAAGGCGCCAGTGTTCGCGAGAACGCCGACATTTTGATTTTTTATTAAAATAACCCTGCAGCCGAAAAGAAAAACCCAATTGACACAGAAAGAAGGGACTGGTGATGAAGAGTGGTTGAAAAAGGTGGGAGCAATTATGCGGTATGAAGACAAAAAAAAGCTTCCGAACTGCTAGAAAAATTTCATTGGAGGTTGCCGCGCCGCGTTTATTGGTCATTATGATCCACTTTCTCTTATCGAGCTGTTTGACGAGGGGGTACCCATACACGGATAAGGACTAGAACAAGAAGCTTCAAGCCCACATCCGAAGTACCGGATACTTTTACTCCCCACATTGACGAAATTCAAAATGATTGAACGTCATTGGCCAATGTCATAGTCTGTACGCAAGTCTACAGAATGTTACTTCCCTAGAACGATGAGGTTAATAACTAAGCTAACGATCACCAGTCGAAATATCTCAATTCAACCTTAAAGTTGTTCATCCTATCGATTCACACGAAGAATGAATTATGAGTACACTTCATAAAAGTATTATAATTCTGGGATCCCGAACCCATCAACTTGAAACTATGTGGCGTTGCGGGGTAGAAAAAAGAGAAAGGGTTGGGCTACTTGAATGAGAGTATCTTGAAAACCAACCACCTCTATCCTGAAAGATATATCTAGCACCGACTTCTTATGACTTCCTAGGATGGTGCCGACAAGGCGGTATATATCTCATCATATGTGACATATCCCTTGCATATCAATCCCCAAACACAATTGGCGTATGAGCGTCTACGGCGGCCATAGATTACAATATATAAGGACCCGAGACGACGGAACCGAATAATAACCCCCTACCAACATTTCCTAATCAGGACTCTATATGCAGGAAGCAAAGTTCATACCAGGTTAGCTCCCGCTCTGGCTCCACTGCCTATAGGTTAAATAGACTTCTACTAATTCTCCTATTTCAGTCCATATTCCTCCTTAATGATATCTGCTGCTCTCTCAGCAACCGCGTAGACGGTTGACTGTAGATGACCAGGGGGTAGTAGCGGGACGATACTAGCATCAACGACACGGAGATTCTGTACCCCATATACTTTCAACTTGGTGTCGACAACACCCCCTTTATCCTCCGGCAGCATCGCACATGTTCCCGCCGGGTGCCACATCGAGATGGCCCGGCCTTTGAGATACTTTTTTGCGCCTTCCAAGTCGGTAAACTTCGCCAGCGGCGTAGTCACTTTGAGTGGCTGCTTTAGGAGATCGGTAAAAGGTGGCGATCTTGCGATTTTGTGGAGATAAAGCATGTGATGTGCACTACGAAATCTACGGTTAGCATATTAACCACAATTCGACTATCTAGAGTATTCGGAAGGACTCTAGGTGTGGGTATAGGGCTAGTGACTACAACATCACTTACTAAATTTCCAAGTCAACGGGGTTCGTGAGATACTTCGGATCTATCGCAGGCGGCTCCGATACATCCTTCGATCTAATATGGACACTGCCACGAGAAAGTGGGTTTGCGGGTGTAGCAGCGAGCGATATGTGCTTGCCGGGGAAAGGCTTCACGAACTCGCCGGTCGATGGATCAGGCAGAGCGACACTTTGTCCGATGCCCGTGAGATATGTCCCTGATAGTTTAGTTGGGTCAAGCAAGCTCTTTTCAGATACCTCATAATACGCTTGAGTCCTGGCTTGCGCTCCTGGCGAAGGCCGATTCCGCTCGAGCAGGCTTTTAAGTGCCTCTCGACCCTCTTTTGATAGATGCTCGACGACAGGCATGTAAGCGCATGTCTTCATGGCGGAGGATGTGAGTAAACCACTATTCGACGTCAGTCTCTCATTTAAAACTTGAGGTCATTGCGCGGGGGCCGTATGACTTACTATTACAAATGTTAGCCTCAGGGTCATTGAATGCAATTTCGGGGATAGGCCGAAGAGAAACAGGTACATACCGAGCGCTTGGCCAAAAACTCATTCATGGCCTCTTCTATCGCCTTAGGCTCTTGTCTTGCGAGGGCGTCGAGAGTGTCTACATCATCCACCGCTTCAAATCCGATGTCGCAGACTGGATGATCCATCAGGTTCTCGCCCACTCCCTCCAAGTCTTTAACGGCCTCGATACCGTGTTTAGTTAGAAGGCTTTTGCTTCCGACACCCGAGAGCTCAAGTAGCTTCGGTGATTGCAAGGCCCCTGCAGAGAGGATTATCTCCTTGCCGGCCGTGGCAACTTTCGTTTCGGCTTCATACTGGTACTGAACACCAACAGCCTTCGTCCCTTCGAAAATAATCTTGTCAACGGGAGCTCCCGTGCGAACGTGCAGATTCTTCCGGTCTTTGATGGGATCATAATATGCTCTAGCAACGTGGTACCTCTGCTTTTCAATAGGATCTACACTTGTCACAGTGCTGAAAGCCCCGACCGATGAAACATTCAACCACGGGTCCACTTCCATGAGGTACCCTTTGCTTTTGAATGTTTCGGCCCAAGCCCTCCGGATAGGATGAAGTGGTTCGCCAGGGAAGGAAAGTTGAATCGGCCCCTTGGCCGTATCATTTTTCGCCGTCCTATGGTCTATACCTAGCTCCTTTTCTAAGTTCTTGGGTACTGACGGAGGCGTATAGACTTTGTTGTAATACGTTTCGAGAGCTTTCCAATCCCATCCGTTGTTTCCCAGGCTCGCCCAGGCATCTATTAATTCCCGGGTAGGGGCCGAGAAAATTTGCGCATTGATTATTGATGTGCCTCCTAGAGCTTTACCTTGATGCAACTTGATAGCCCGACCGTTGAGAGCTTCCTATAGAAAGGTCGGTCATTCAATCCAATACAATACCTCAGGGAGATAGGCGGGGTTGGTATACCTGAGGTTCAGTCAGGAATCCCCAATCGATCTCTGTTCCTCCCAAGGCCGCATATAAAGCGGGAGTCTTGACTCGTAAGTCCTCGCTATGGTCAGTTCCAGCTTCGAGTACCAGGACCCTCCGGCTCGTATCTTCGGAAAGGCGATTGGCAAGTACGAGCCCAGCTGTACCACCACCTACGATAATGAAATCGTATGTTTCCGACGCCATATTTCGAGCAGGAGCCAGCGTATGAACCCGTACCTATGTGTAATTGGATGTCAATGTTTAGGATCTCTTAATATCTGATACCACGCTTTACAATCGCGAGCAGTTCGTTATTATATACTCAGAAAGCGGGGGTAAGTTCCTTCGGAATTTATGACACTATCTCCATCAATTTGGAATTTTTTCATTGGGTACCAAATATTTTGAAGCTATTCAGACCCATATAAAAATCCTACTTGACCTTAGAACCCTGGTGGTCTGGTGGTTAAACCCTTGCTACATTACGACGCAACAGAATCGGTACTAGCATATTGAACGCTATACTGTTAATCTAGCATCACGTAAGACTATTAGCCAATCGATAAATGACTGATTGACTACCTAGGTACCTACATATATTGATTAACAACGACTGAGACCACCAAACTGTCAACTGATTGAAAATGCTCGTATTTCTGACACTTTGCGGCGTTGATTAGGTACCTAAGGACCTAGATGCCTAACGGCAGCTGGTTTTATTTTCGCATAGGTAAGTCCGAGGTATAATAAGAAACATGTTTAAACTGGTGGAAGATATCGCTTCAATGCTTAGGAATGTAATCGATCCAATTGGCTTGGAGCGCTAATCATTAATTAGTATAAATAGTATAGTCCAAAGAGCTGAAGTAGGAGTGAGCTCTTCTATCACGTCATACGTACTCTCCCAATGGCATTGCCACCTCTCTTCTGAAATCACGGAGTATCTATTATGTAGGGGATACGGCGCAGCCACAAGTGTCTCATTGACGCACCATCTCTAATGCCCGAACACCGATTCCGTAAACTGTACTACCTTCCTCGGTGTAGGCACCTATGCAGCTGTTGGGTAGGTATTAGGTACTCCTTCATGATAGGAATGACAATGTTGTTATAAGAGAGATCAGCAATCCCCGGCCTTTTTGGCTAGGGTTAATGCGACCTTGTATCAAATATGGCTGCAGCTCTAGCTACTATTCAGATCACTATTGTGGGATTTGTACTCTCCTTCTTATCTACAGTAGCACTCGTGTTCCGGCTTTGGTCGAGGCGAATCCAACGGTCGTCACTTGCATTTGATGATTACATGGCCATTACAGCGGCGGTGTTCACTATTAGCGCAATCTCGACATACATATCAAGTAAGTTATCATACGCAACTCCACAATTTGATGTAATAATTGTTGACGAGTAGCAAAGGTGCGTTCCTAGGAGGGTTCGGGGTCGATTCCGACCAGCTTATAATGACAAGACCGTGGAACGAAGTGACTTGCCTCAAGGTTTGTAACAAAAAATGTGGCAATTTTTGAACCAATTCTGACGATTATTTGGAATGATAGCTTCTCATGGTATGGCAACTACTTTGGGCGGTCGCCAATACGAGCGTAAAATTATCGTTACTTTCGCTTTATATCCTTCTTTTTCCAAATGACAAGTTTCGGTATGCTTGTTACTGCACGATATTTTTATCCATGGCGTACCTCGTTAGCGCTATCTTGAACACGTTTCTGCTATGCCAACCTGTGGAATATAATTGGGACAAATTAATACCGGGTGGCAAGTGCGAAAACGAGCTTGCCTCGTATATCATCGAGAGCAGTTTAAACCTTGTAGTCGACGCTATCGTTGTGGTATTACCAATGCCTATGTTATTTGGCCTACGGATGTCGCTCCGCAGAAAATTCAGTATCGCGGGGATGTTTAGTCTTGGAATTATGTAAGTAGCTGGGTAACTACTCGGACAGCATCCATTTCTCATTTGTTTATACCTGCTCATGCTCTGACTTCGTTAAAACAGTATCTGCACTGTAACCCTACTCAGAACCCTTCCGATGGCATCACCAAACCCGAAAGCTGCGTACTCTAACGTTCCCGCCACTATTTACTCTATCCTTGAGCCTTCACTTGGGGTGGTAAGCTCTTGCCTTCCAATAATTAAGCCTGCTCTGTATAAATTATGCGGGATGGGACCGTTTAGACAAATCAGTTCAGCCTCCAATAGCGCAAATGCATCCGATCTCGATCTAGGTCAGAACCACCGGTGTTCGACAGCCGCTTACCACAATGGCTTTGAACATGTCGGAGACGATGTACCTCTAGCCTATGTCCACACCGGGGGTGCACTACGTACCGATACGGATCACGGCGGAGGAGGCATTACGGTAGTTCGAAGATGGGACGTTGATAACTATCCAAATACATCTTAATTTACAACCCAACCAATCATCAGAACCCTAAAGGCTGATTTTAATTGCACACCTCTATATAAAAAGGGGGCTGGACATAAAATGAACCCCTCTTTGAGCTTCAATCGCTTGATGGATCGTCCGCCGCCACAATGTGCTGCTCGGCCCGTACTAGGTAGGTACTAAATATCTAGGATTCTATACTCACCGAGAGTATTACCTCCGTTCCGAGGGCTGAATCTCATGCCCAGCACTTCTAGTTAAATATGCATCTCGTTCGATATCAAAGGATCGCAACATAGGTAAGGTATTACGTCAATCAACTCTCAGCCCCAGCCCTATGGTAAAAAATAATACCACCACAGATAAATTATAAGATACTTGATTAATTAGCGAAATACCTGCGTACATACGCCGAAGCACTGGCGTCAGAGGTGGCAGAAAGTTGCATCTAAGTCTGAGACCAGATAATTCTGGGCGAATTTGCCACCACTAATTCCGGATTCCCGAGTATCGATTCAGCATATGTATACATTAATTACCTAACTACGAATATTGTAAATTTGCTATTATTATTGGCTATTTCCGCAATCATTATTTATTCGTCCTCAGAGTCGTAAATGGTTCGAATCTCTCTTCTGCGACGCTCTAGAAGTCGATCCATCAAGTCCCAACACACCGGTTTTATGCCTGCTAGACTGATATCAAAAATACTTCTGTCGTATTGTGATTCCCTCTCTAGCATTCTACTCTTGACCTGCTCGGTCTTTATTTTATTGTTCCATGTTTTTCTACTCCTTTGTATTTGGTACCTGAGGTATTGGACAGTAGCCAACTGGCTTGTAATGGTGCCTAATCCTGTCCCACAATCCAAAGCTCTAGCTGCTTTGAAGTCATATTCTAGCAGCTGTGGGATGTTGGTCCTCTTCAGGAAAGCATCAATGACAGGTTGCCCGAAACCAATACGTAACCAGACAGCAATTTCGTTCGTAAACTCAGTGTGACATAGTCTCATCCACAATAAACTTCTCATAGTTTCGCTCCAGCTTTCGGTATGTAGGTCGAAACATGAGATATCCATCGTTTCACTGTGGTCATCTTCTAGGAGACTGTCTCGTATACTGCTTAAGAATGAATTTCTATAGTCGGGATGATGGAATATGATGTCAAACGTGGCTAATCCGATAGAGACTAATATTGCGTAAGCTTCGTTCATGAACTTGACCTTATCACCTCGAATGAGGACTTCGATAACATTATTTAAGTGGACTCCTGTGTTTTGGCCGACGAGATTGGGCTGATGGAGTGATTTAAGGCCGAATAAATCGTATATCATTTTCTCCGTTACGCTGAATCCATGTGCACTTTCTCCCAGTAAACCAAGTATCGCTAGCCCGCTTCTTGTGTTCGTCGCCGCAGCGATAATCAATCTTCGAGTAATAATCCTGCTGCCACTGGTGCTTAACATAGCGCGGACCATTCTCTCGTCAAACCTGGAGGTAATGCTGCAAGCGTCGTCACCCGAGATGTATCCACTAGGGCTCCGGACGCGAGCGAGTAAATTGTTATATTCAGATATTCCTCCTTTAGCAGCTTCCGCAATCATAAAACGGTTGGACAGAGGTCGTACACTTGGGAGGGTTGTCAGCCATGGTATATCTGCAAGTACAGCTATATTCCATAGCTCCTTTGCGGTCTCGATGCCAAATATTCCGGCTGCCTTGCCCCACATCAGCAGCACACGAGAATGCGGAGCGGTTATTCGAATGATAAGCTCGCTTAGAGTAGCTATGCTCATAGGATCGTCTCCAATGTGATGAGGCCAATGTCGTGACGCGTAGCCAAGGAAGCTCTGGCCATTATGGCCACCGAGTAAATTTTCTTGATCTTCCCTTCCATTCGGATTTGTTACGAGTTCGCTAAAGCAAATATACTGTATGCAAATCTTAGCTAAGTATAAGTTTGGCGCCAGTCCACCGCAAAACTCGGCACCAGCAAGGTGGTGACTCTTTAGTAAGAAATCTTTGACGGATTGGTGAATGAATCGGACCCTATTGCCGCGGACGTCGATGATTACTCCAACTACTGGAGACAGCCTTTCTTTCGTTAATTTAACGCGAGTTTTCATCGCTTCCTTGGTCGACTCTGGATTATCTTGCACCAATATAGCTTCCTCCAACTCCGCAAGTGTTAAAGATCGTTGGCCATAAGTGGCCCATAATAATATCTTTTTCGGTACTTGGCTTTCCCTTCGTAGTATTTCAGTTACTATGTTGTCATAGAAGTCATCTAGTTCTGTAGGACTGTTCTGGATCATGCTTTTTACGTCCAACATCGAGAGAGGTCCCTCTGCCCGCAATCTCTTGATAACGAGAGATACCCATAGAAATGTTTGCCCAATTTGATCTTGTAGAAGCTTGATAGTTTCGTCCTTGATATTGTCATCTATTCCGATGATTTCAACCTCCTGGAGGACGAAAGCCTTTATGTCATCCGACTTGGCCATTAGGTCAATACGTAAATGCCGGGAAAGGACCCGATGTATATCCATGTCAACAGTGGGTCGGCTCAGAAAGATTGTCTTCAAGGTTGGTGGTTTACTTTGGTCGCGATGTATTGCCTTTGTCAGTCTTTCAAATAACCCTACTAATCGTCTGATCGATTTCTGATCCTTGCACTCATCTAACGCGTCAATAACACAGGTGATATTGCCGAGCATAGATGCTTGTAGGAGGCTCTCAAATAATTTCCACAGAGTCTCTTCGGATAGTAATTCGAGGTTAAGAGCCTCAACATCATACAAGATAGATGGAAAAGTGGGTTTATGAGAGTTGACTAGAAGTTGACGAATCAAGAACCTCAGTGCCGAGTTTATATTGTGGGGGATGGTGCCTTGCTCATCAAAGAAAAAGTAAATCACCACTGTCCCCATCTTCCGTACAGCAGGATCTTCGAGATGTTTGAGGAGAAATTTGGCAAGAATCGTCTTGCCCTGGGCGGCTGGACCAGTAATCCAGAGTATAGTCGATTCAGAAGAAGTCTTCCACAATTTGAATTCTTCTTTCTCTAAGAACCAACCTAGAGTACCAGGTGTCTCATCCCTGACATCGTTTCGAAATGCTTCATGCTCTGGGGCGTCAAGGGACTTGATGAAGTTCTTTTCTAATTCGGTTCTTTCTAGTTCTTATTAGTACGAAGTATATTCCATATTCCGTGACCGCTGGGGATACTAACGTTTCCGTTCGTTCGCAAACCGTTCTCTAACAATATTTGGCCCTTCAGAAACTAGCTCTATGATCCTCTTCTCAACAAATGCATAGTTATGGTCAGCTTGATCGGGAAATTTAACTAAGTCGGAATGATCTGCGTCGATTGGGAGCTGATCGTAATACTTTTCGCGTGAAGTAGCGTGTATGGCAGACATATGCTCAACCATCATCACTCTGGGACCGGTCCTTCTCCATGATGCTGTCTCATCAGACCACTGAGTAACTTGTAAGTTGGAAATCGTGAGGTTTCTTCCAGCACAATTGGACTCACCTGGACTGTTGCCGTTTCCCGTGTTTCGTAGATACTAATGACCTTGGTATCTTTAAGAGTGAAACACGAATCGAACCGTTGTGTAAGATCAGCCAGGAATCGAGACTTCGGTGCGAGGTCTCGGATAAGATTGCCATTTGGCTGCCCCTTGACCATGGTCTCGAGGCTTCCAATGTTCAACCCCCTATTGGGAACGCCGAAAAATAGGAGGCCACAACATGACATAGCTATAGCGTTGTCTTCTTTGCTACCCTCATGCGCATATACCCATGCCTACATTATATGATCAATAATAAGTCATATTGAATGAAGAGCTTGCGACAAACCTGTTTCACCACTAGTCCACCAAGACTATGGCCTATGAGGATGAGAGGCCTATTTTTCTACCAAAGTTAGCTTAACTTACCTAGGTAGTGACCCTAAAGCTAACGGCATTGGGGCTTTGTACATACTGATGTTTCATCTCTGGTGGTCTTGATTGACTCAAGAAGCTTTCGAGACAAATCAGTGATGGCGGCTTCTGAGTAGCTACCAGGAAGCCTAGTATCATAACCGTAGGTCATAATGCGAGCCGTAGGCACGGAATGGGGGAGGAAATCCCGCAGCCACATGTCGGCCTGAGATTTTGTCTTCCATGATCCAAAGGCACGACCAGCGAGGCCAGTGACGGCGATTATACTATTACTTGTCAGTTGTCGTCCTTGTCAACTACACTATAGACAGCTGCAAACCACTTACTCCACATCCACTCCATTCTCGGGGTCATATAAGGTGGTTAAACCAAGGAAATCATCATCAATCCTCAGACGCGCGGCATCTCTACCAAATTCTTTTTGCAACAATACGCGCAACTCCTCCAAATTTGGGGCGTATCTAAACGTACCGGTCGAAACCGAGAAACGAAGGGCAAGGCTCGCAACCGGCGACGGGGCATATGATAATGCGGCAAGGTTCTTGCTAGAGTCGGGTGTACTTTCGGCATCGTTTCTGATCAAGACCCGGCGAAGTCTTTCGTTTGTATCCGATCGAGGGATGTTGGAAATACGGACTGTCCAGAATAAGCGTGGTTTCGGGGTCTTTGTTGCTGGTTGTTGGGGTTGGCTGTTCCAAATGACTCTGGCTAACAGTATGCCAAGTCCAAAGATGAGACTTAGGAACAACGTCGTACTAATGCCTGTTAAATCCACCATCGTATGTCTCTGTAGGTTCTTTTTATGCGATCTATGGAGGCAATACTTACGTCCTCGAGAGTATTTCTACATGTCAGCGAAAGGAGAAAAGGAGAGTTAATGCGAAAGGGAGCCGATGGCTTGAAGCATTACTCCGCCCCGCCCGGCATGTAGGTATATTCGTAAGTGGCCAATCAAGTGACGTTGGTTGCCTAAGTAAGTCTGCACGATTGGTGGGAGGCTGTGAAATTTTGCGGTGGCGCTTAGCTGATTGTGAGTAACATGTAACTCTGCTCTACTGTCAGCAAGAAACCTCTTAGATCAATTCAAGAGATTATGCATTAGGGTAGATATATTCTTCTTTTTATTCAGAAACGTTTGCTAGCTGTCCCGATAGCTGTACATCGATAGTAAAGCAGTTGTGGGATGGGAATCAAGTTACTACCTAGATAGGCAGATGGGCAACCGTGAAAATGACGGAATAATACTGTTGAATTGCTATATTCTAGGTGCCTTGAATTCTAGCTCGGCTTTCATGATTTTTATGACTTCCCACATGTGTGTTGCTCCCGAATGCTGAAAATCGAACTACTCAGATGTGCGCCTCGAAGGGGATTGTGGTGTTCGAATTGATCATGAAACATCGGGAACTTGACGAATTGGTCGCGTAGATCGTGGTACGCCATCATAACCTCCACCTCTTCAGCTGTTTTGCCGTGTAGTAATTCGTAGTCCCCTTGTGACCGAGGGTCACTACCCGGGCTCGCCATTGATGCTCTACCGCTCAGCGACTTCCAAGGCTTCTCGTCACAATCGCAAGTCGGCCACTCGCCCTCGTCATCCGAGTCAAATTTCGGCTTGGGGGGTACGACCCCCTTGTCAAAGTATGCTCGGATATGGTTTATCGTGCAAAGCGAGACACACGCGAGGGTGCAGTGACCTTCTGCTTTCTGCTCCACTATGCTTGCATTCGAGAACTTGCGCGTCATCTTCAAGGCGGCGTGTAATGGTGTAACGGGATCGAGATGGTTGGATAGGAATAAAACGGGGAAGCTTGTGTTAATCGGTTTCGGCTTGTGAATGGGGTGGTCGTCCCATCGCATCGGCGGATCTTTCGTTTCGATATCCCATCCGTTACAGCCCAAATTGAGATTCACGCCCATCCACTAAGACACCCAGTTAGCTTGGTAGACGGGAGAAGTATTTGAGCACTTACAAGATCGGCAAACCAAGAATGAGAGGCCATCTTCTCGAACCGTTTCTGGAGGCTGGGGATGTCTTCGTCGAGCTGCTGAACGTTAGAACTAATCTAGGAAGAAACGATAACGGAGCCTGAAACCCTCATACCTTATACCGTTTGTCACTACACGCGATTACTTTCTGAGCGTCGTCGGGCCATACGGGTAGAGTTAAGTTGTGGCATAGAAGCGCTGGTGTTGGGCTAGCAACGAACGCATCCAGCTTGCCATCGACAAGCGCCTTAAGAAGTTTAGCAAGGTTGGGGAAACCACCGTTCGGTGCATATATCGCGGAGAATATGATCCTCTTGAAGTCGCTAGCTGTTACCAACACAGGAACATTCGCATGCAATGGCAAGACAATCGCGGGCTCCTTCTCCAACTGGGCCATCGTATCGTAAAACCGCTTCTTGACATCTTCAGGTCTGTCGCCGAGCTGGAAGAAATCACATTGTGGTCCTGCCTCGGCACAATACACGAAGAACTTCTCCCATATCTTATCGGCGTCAACGACGGCATCGAAAACGGCGTTTACATAATGGTCGGCGTCGACAACACCATCTAAGACAACCCGGCCGACTCTGTCCGGGAACAACGACGCAAAAGTTGCACCGAGTAATGTCCCATAAGAGAAGCCCCAGTAAACAAGTTTCCCTTTGGTGCTATCCTGAGGTTCATCATCGGTCTTTGACTCTTGCATGCAGTTAGCACGTTTGTCATCAGAGGTTGATCTCCATTGGTCCCAGGCGTCGACGATGGAGAGCATATCTCGCGCAACGTTCAATGTGTTTGAGTACCGGAAGATACTATTTTCACCATCAGCCTCGTCGATTCGTTTACAGAGCTTGGAAAGTGCTCTTGATCGAACGTCGAGCTTGCTAAGGGCGACGTTGCTGGAGTTAACAAGACCAACGTCGTGTCCCGATGCATCCCAACTCAATCGGTTCATGAGAGCAATATTCCGCTCGTCGAGATCAAAGGGGCCGTCGATTGCTGCGAAACAATCGGCTTTGGGCGTCGTACTCCCGACTCCTCGTGGGTCGAACCCGATGACATCGCGGTCTTGGCCAACTATGGTTTGAAGCTTTTGGGCGGCGGTCAGGGAGAATATTACTCCACTACCTCCGGGGCCGCCGGGGTTGAGAAGCAGGGGTGATTCGGAGTAGGAAGACGGGTCATCGGTACGGTTGATACCAGGTTTCAAAATTAGGGCTATATGCACTTTTGGGTTGTCTTTGGACTCGCTCAAAGGTCGATGGTAATCCATAGGCACTGTCAATCGAGCACATTGGAAATTGCCGCCATATACGGCGAAGCATGGTTGCCAGATGAGTTTGTCGCTGGGTGTAATCTGTTTTACGTGGATGTGGCTGTCAATTGGCTGCAATTTGACAAGATAATAACTTGTTCAAGAGGGCTTACGTTTGACCACTCAGTCCATCCGTCCGGGGTTATTGAAGACGTCCGATTATCTGAGCCGGGACGGTGGTAACCATAGTAAATGCGGCCATGGCCAAAATGACTGACAATTCCAATGCCAGTTACAATGGCCAGACCAATCGCACTCAAACGACGCCAGGTCCAATTCGATTCCTTCGCCGGCGGGCGGGATCCCAGCCGAATCGCTCCATCCCGCTTCTCACCAAGGAGAGACGATTCAAGGGATGTCATGATCTTAACGCATTTGGCGATTGTCTATAGGGAAAATAATTGACGGATTGAACTATCAGGGACAGTGAACGAACGTGTACCCCTACAAAACAGCTCCAGCTGAAAAAGCATGTAGGATGCCGCGTTGTATTGCTGCCTCATTGATTGATAGGCAGACGCCACTGACCGAGTCCTATGCAAGCAGCCGAAGGAGTTAGGCGGGATTGGCTCCCTTTCCATGTAACCTCTTCATTTATCCCAGACGGATAAAGCAAAATCAATTTGTCAAACACTGTACTTCGTGGAACGTATGACGCTTCATCTAGAGAAGAGGATTTCAACGCCTTTCTGTTCCTTATAAGCTAAAGCCATTCTCAATCTCATCGCTAGTGAAGTTGACGAAGATAGATTCTTCAAGATTACCCAGCTGCCTAGGTCGAGGTGGTTGGGGAAATCAGTTGTGGCCCAGGTTGAAGACATGGATGGATCCACGCAGCGACCGTGCGAATACGATCAAATTGGAACTACTCGGAGTTCCAATTTTTCCCCAATTTCCCCCGCAGTGGGCTTTGCAAGACGCGCAAGACTTCGGAGTTTCTCAATCGACGGAAGAGCGTAGGAATTCTCCATCATATTGTTCAGTATCCGACCCGTCATCGAGTACCAGAAAGAATCCAAGCATCAGGTTCAGGAAGGAAAAGGAGAGACGCACGTGGCGCTGTACTAAAAACGGCCAAGCAAGTAGTCGTTTCCATTCTTACTGTATGTTGGTTTAAGACTATCTCTTGGCTTTGCTTCATCGACGGTCCCTGATGCGGCAGCGGGTAACGTGCTAGTTGGTCCGGTCATGACTGACTTGGCGGTAAACCTTGGTATGAATCAAGCTCTAGATTCTCGAAGATCTCCCTTTGCTCGTGTCTTTCGCAGGTTTGTAAGCTCCTTGGTGCCTCTTCGTCCAATCTTGAGTTTCTATTCATAGTAACTAGGGGCATCGTGGAGTTCTTGACTCTCTACTGGGTTCGTGGCACTTATCTTGACGTCTGAGTGTTGAACAAAAATAGGTATATTTTGTATGATCTACAACTCCCAGCGAACGCTATTATATGCAATTTTGTCTGTATCAGCTAAGCACATAGTCATCTTCCTTTGCTTGTTTATGTCTAATTGGTAGACTCGCTATCTATTTCTAAATTCCCTACTTGATGACGACGGGTACGCGAAATAACCACTAGTCCGAAATCACTCGCCAGCCTCAACCGCTTATTCTTTCTTCATCGATGAAAGGCGCGATGCAATTTCGGTGCTACTAACTGTATTCTCTACGCGTCTACAAATGCTACTCTTCCAAGGGGGGTACGTTGCCCAACTAGTTAATGAACTCCTTTGCAGCCTTGGCTGTATTAGTTACTCTCAACATCAAGACAAAGCGTCCTAAAGATTTATCTTGATCGTCGGCGGATTCTTTCAAGATGGACCAATCAGTAAATCCCTCGGCGACGAAGCTTATAAGTGCTTGGGTACAGTGGACGCGGGGGTTGATGGGATCCCCTGTCGCTTGGCAGGTCTCAAGACTGACTGACCCGCTCTAGATTGATACTCATCTCACACAATTCGCCTCTTGCCTTATTCTACCTTACAGTATCTCCGAGCTGTCGCATTGACTGACCTACTGCACTTGGCGGGTTCAGCCAAGAGCCTCATTGTCACGTTCTTAGAACGGGTCAGAGTTGCTTCCGTGATTTTGTTTTCTGCTACCCCGGCCATCCACCTCTGTTTCAAGCGCCGATAACGATGTTTGGACTCCGCTCCCAATAGCGAATAATGAAGACAACCTGCTAGAGATCTTTTCCCGCCACCGACGTGATACGTGAAACACCCTGCTAGAGATATTTTTAACATATAATTCTAAGAAGGGGAAACACCTTGGCATCGGAGGAGAATGGATATCCCATGTCGTTCACCTGCCTTGGCCACTTGGCTTTCGAGGTCCCGACTCGATAGATAGGAATATCCGATCGTCTAGGATGCTTTCCCTTCGACCTATATGAAGGCCATCGTTGGCCCCGACTTGAGAGATTTAGATTCACTCAGCTGTGCTCAAGTCATCGTCCCAACTTTTTGGTTTCCCGGTCTCTTCCCTAATTTTTCCTTGAAACAGATTAATTCTGTCTTTTGATTCTTCCGCTGGTCGCCGCTGGTCGTTTTATACTACTGTAATATCTATTCCCACTCTTTTATATCCCAAGCAAATCAAGCCAAGACAGCCCCACGAGCATCTTCCAAGACACAACAGCCAAGATGGTCAGTTATCGAATGATTGCCGTTGCCGGCTTCCTTGCCAGCGTCAACGCTCTTCCTTTGAACATTAACCTTGGTGCTTATTCCCCCGCATTGTATGTGCTCACCCCCCGCCGAGATATAGTCGGCCAAGATAGTCTAATCAATATACAGGGTAGTCGGTGATGGTGAAATTTCATTCGGAGGGGGTCAAGATGTGACGAATCTAATGAACGCTTTGGAGGGTGCCGCTGTCAACGCTGCTACCGGAACAACTGGAGGTGCAACCGAAAATGCTGCTGCTGCCCCCGTCGCCGCTGCCGCTGAGCCTAGCGCAACTCCCGTCAATGGAAACGGTGTTGTAGCTACGGAAAACCAGAGCCAAGCCGCCGCCGAGACTCCCGCGGCTGCTGAAGTCGCTGAGACCCCCGCTGATACCAACGCTGCGGTAGACCCCAACCTAGAGGAGCAAGGTACGTCATCAAACGATATATCTTCAATAATGATGAATACTAACGGCACTTCAGCGACTCAAATATCCGGCCTACAAGGAATGGGCAAGGAAATCGCTCCTCGAGACTCTGAAGCCCCCAAGGCCAAGCGTGACCTAGCTGGTTTCGACCGAGCCCTTACCTACGCCGAGGCTGCCTTGACTAAGGGTCCGTTGGTCCAACTTGGTACTGGTGAGGGTGGCGCTGGTGTCGGTATCATTGTCGACAACAACGACGGTACCGTCGGCGCCGCCAACAACAACCGAAACGGAGCTGCTGCTAAGCGTGATGAGACTTCTGCGTCACAGCCACGCCGCCGCACTAAGGTTACCCGCATGTATGTCAAGCGCGGTGTCCCAGCTGGTGAGTTGAATACCTTCCCCAAAATTTGATCTTAGAAATGCATTGCATACTAACAAGTACCTTCTGAAAGCTATCCAGACATCTAGTGAAGTCGAAACTCGTTCCGTCGAGTCCCTCCCTATCGCCAAGATCCCAGCAGTGGCCAAGCGACAGAGTTCTTCGTCGGACGTCATCGACTCTATCAACCTAAACGTTGATGACAGCCAAGGATTCACGATGACATTCGTCGAGACGACAGAAGATGACGATGCCACGGCAGAGGAGACGCAAGAGTAAAGAGACGGTTATTAATAATTTATTACCTATTTAGAACTCGCTATTTACTTTCTGCCTCTTTTCCATCCATGTACAATTGGCATTTTCATCATCGTTTTTTTGATACCATATCTGGGAGTCTACGGGGAACAAGGGACTGATGGTTGGGACGATTCATCACATACGAGCGGCACATGTTTCTTTGGTTTGGTTACGTTAATCTCTCGGGGCTCTCAAAAAGATGATTGCTTTGGCTTATAAAATCTACATTAGTCAGTAGTATAAACAATTCAAAACGACCGGCCTGTTTATCTCGGGTCGAGACCGGTAAAAACCATCTTCAATTGTTTATAGCGACTCTACAACTGCCTTCAGAGGTCATGATGATGTGCTATTCAATACCTAGATGGCCTCTGCTAAACCAAGATCTTTGATATCAAATCATGTAGTAATTACTAGATATTCGCGCATCCCACAGGAATTTCACGCATCACCCAACACAACCAACCAGCAATCCATCAATCCGTCCCATCCTACACATCCACCCGCCTGGCTCCCTCTTCCTATTCCCACCATTCCCCAATCCAACTACCGCGAAACTGACGATACCATGCACAGCGATAAACTGCGCGAATTTCCGCTTCCGGACAGGGCATACGTACCCCCATGAAAAATCGGGTGTTTCAACACACCAGACGCTGCGACAAGGCCAAGATATAAGAGTAGATCGCCAAGAGCCTCATCAAAAAAAATCCTCTGCCGCGCCGCGACGACAACTACCGGGGCCCCACACTAAGGACCCTTACACAAGTCTCTTTTCGCTGCTTTTAGCTTCTTGGCTTCAGATACTTCTGGATTCACAGGTCCCAACTGCAGCAGAGGATGTCTTTACTTAGCCAAGTGACATCGATATCAAACATGCATTTGGGATCGTCCACAAATTGTAAAATTCTCGTGATAAGAATCAGCAATTAAACCCCATGATCACAAAGCTAAGTTGGCGAGAAGAACCCACCACCCGCACAGACTCCCCACACACGAAGCCTACCTAGTAGTCTCTCAGGGGTGGACCAGTCTAGATGCTTGAACCTCGGATTTTCAAATTATCAAGTAGCACTACTATATTCCTAACTCCAAGGCCTCGACACTTCCATGTGGACGGAACTGTGTGTTCAAGTCCCGGTGTCAACACCTAACATCCTATAACCTCCACGGATGCACCTCTATACCCTCAGATCCTATACCCATACAGTCCAGAGTCTAGAGCTTACTCTAACATCCCCCCAAATCACCTTCCCTCCCCCCAAGCCCTAAACCCCTCATTCTTCTGCTTCTGCCTCGTATTCCAGCCCAACTTCGCACTAATACTATTAACCCAATCCTCACTCCTCCTGCCCTGCGGCTGCACACTAGCAAACGGGAACCGACTCGCGCTAATCGTCACATAGTCCCCAGGGAACAATTCAATGCGCTCGCGTCCGTCGAACGAAGCCCAACTGTTGGTGCGCGCGTCGTAGGGCACACCGATGCGTAGGACGATAGTATCGGGAAGTATTATAGGACGGAAGGATAGCGTGTGTGCGCAGATCGCGGTTACTAGCATGACTGGGTTCTCTGGGTGGCAGAGCGAGCCTCCGGCTGCTAGGTTGTAGGCTGTTGAGCCGGTGGGTGTGGATACGCAGACCCCGTCTGCTAGAACGGAGGTGAAATGCTCGTCGTCGCCGAAGATTTCGGTTTGGGACATTGCTGGTGAGGTTTAGTATACAATTCGTGATGTGTCTGATTTGATTTGATTGGGTAGGTGGTGAATGGGGCACTTACTCGCATTAGGACCTCTGTCTACGACGATTTCGTTAAGGATCTCATAGGTTCCGTCTGGTTTATGGGTGCGTTCATCGTCTCGCTCCTCTCCGATAAGTTCCTCAATTAGATCTCGTTTGCGATGGACCTTGTTTCCATCCACAACATCGTTTTCTGGCAATTGGTCGGGTTTCTTTTGGCTTCTCATGACTGTACCTTCAAACCGCAGACGCAAGCTTACGGTTACACCATCTCTAAAAGCCGTGTTGAGGATGTCTTGGTACTCGTTGAAATCGAATTTAGTAAGAAATCCGAGGCTTCCTAGCGAGAAACTGAGTACCGGTGGTACTATTCGCTGAAATAGCCAACTGGCGTAGAGTACTGTTCCATCGCCTCCCAGGGTAATAATAAAATCAAACGTATGTGGTCGCCTGCGGCATATCTTCTCCGTCCAGAAGCGCAACCGACTATCCACTGCGCTTTTTGGAGTATGGCCATCAATATGGTTGCCATCATCGTCCTCTTGTTGCAGTTCCCGTAATAGTCCAGGTGCATCGAATTCTTCGTTTTCCTCTAGGCTTTCTTCCACATAGACAATATACCTAACATCTCTGTCCTTACTCAGAAGCCACTTAGCTACAGCTCTTGTCTTTGGTATCAACTCGCGATCATAAGCCTTGGTTAGAAGGAATATCCTTCGAGCTTTGAATTTCAGTCGTATGCTACCCAGCCTCCTGCTTAACTCTCGAACTCCCCAGGCCATATCGGTCAGCTCTTTCTTTGTGAGTAGCCGGCTATTGACACCCTCATGATGATCCAAGTTAGCTCTCCCCTTTTTAACCGCATCCTTCCACGATTTTTCGTCAATTTGCCCAGCTTCGGTACTGACATCACTCTCCAATTCCACGGCTGAGGCAGGGGCTGGCGGGGTAGCAGTTTTCCCTTTTGGCTCAACATAATCATCTAAACCGACTTCGCTGGTGACATCCTCATGTTTATGATTATTAGTTTCCCGAAGTCTATCATATCTGTGGCCTTCTAGAAATTGGTGAACTAAACATTGAGTGGCGGATGGTTTGGCTCTGGAATGTGCGAACTTAGGTCCGTCCGTTTCACTGTAGATCAATGAACTTTTCCGTCGATATGGGTTTCCCGGATCGAAAGTAACCTACACAAATGATTATTTAATTTTATATCATTATTAATGTTAAAGAGTGAGATGTAAATCATACCTCAAGCGTATTATTATCCCCATCACTCGCGCTGGAATGATGATCATCGAGCTGATTGTACTCATCATCTCCCGATCGGTCGACTCCGACACCCTCCTTCATTCTAATGTTCGACATAAAAATGAAAACGTGTTCGATACGATGTATTAATAAATTATCGTACAGTCTGATGCCATATGTGATTATGCAAATAAGTCTCTCAAGATAGTTTACAGTTTAAATATCGCTCACAATTCAATTCCACCCCAATATTTAAGAAACAAACGGAAAACCCCCGGACCTTAGAAGACCTTAGAAGTCATTGCGTCAGTTCCAGCGCTAGGTTCCCACTATAATCACTATAACATCTCACCGCGACCGGGTTCTTACTCATCCCCGCAGTTTCTTTATCTATATCTTATCGATTAGATTGTACTCTTATAAATATCGAGCTAAATCCGCTTTGCATAAAACCTACCAACTTCTTAAATTCTTTCATAAAACTCTTATGCAAGACCCCTATTTCACGATCGAGAAGATTTGCTATGTTAATTACCTAGGTACTTGGGTATATACGATTATAATAATTACTATATAAAAATCCTGAAGGTTTAAATAATTATTGACCATTCATGGTCTTCCATAATTCTTTAACTCCTATCTCGTTGTTCTAGTCAACCCCAATGATCTGTATACGGATCTTCTCGTATAGGAGGATCACGGAAATAATCCTGGAAGAATCTACGCAATAAATCATCATCTTCAACACTAGGCGGTTTCCTAATATCTACAGGAGATTTCTGTGCGTTAGGGTTTTTGCGTTTCTCTTCGTTCCATTTCCTCTGCGCTTCATCAGCCGCAGTATCCCCTTGAGCGATGGCCTGCTCGATAGTATCGAGGAGTTCCTTTAACGACGGCCGATCTTGACGATGATGTGCCATACATCGTGCTATCAATGTACGCAGCGTTTCACTATATGGTGCGAATTCAGGATATATTGGGGTGCCAACTAAATATGGAGCCCATGTGTTGAGGCCTTTGGTCGATCCGTCTGGCATTTTTATTTGGCACACTCGTGGCTCCCACTCATCATCGCTCGCCCAGTATAAACTCAAGGCATTGAACATGAGCTACTCGAAAAGTTAGCAGTCGTATTAAAAGCTTTGAGTGCCACCACCTCTCAATTGCTTCAACAGGGGCTAATATTAAAGAGGCAAACGTACCAACCCTGCACCCCAGATATTAGTATGCGGTCCAAAAGAGCCAGCTTCCACCACCATCCCTCGATTCCGTTGTTCCTATACCGATTTTTAGTATTTCGACGAGTCATCCCCAGAATGTGGGTTTGGTCTAACATACCGGCGCTTGGTAACCAGGTTTACCAACATTGGCTACCGCGATTTTTCTATATACGATCAGAAAGCGCCTAGAATGACAATCCTTGGAAACCTTACATGTCATTCGACCACTATTTGAGAAATTAGTTAGTTATAAGAACCGAGCATATAAAGGGGGGCTATGGTAGACTCACTCCTTCATCCCATTCCTGTGTGAGTCCGAAGTCCGCCAGCTAATAACAACATCAGCACGAAGATTCCCTTTTTTTAGGTCCCAGTCAAACCTCACCTTAAATCGTGGGATCAGCCCATGTTCTGGTATGTCGTCGATTGTATTAAAGGGGTTGTCTATGAATACTACATACGGTTAGCATGGACATTGTCACATTTATGATGGGAGTAATACTATTAAAAGGGTGCATATCGAAATGAATAATCGGTCGGGGGTTTTCTCCATCCTGAATAACTTCTCTGTACACTTCCGGCACATTGTTATGCTGGGGCGGTGGATAGGCCATTCCTATACAAGCTCTAGCAACTAATATTTTATCAGCAAGATCGCCCATCATAACGGCGTCTCTATGTGCTTACGGCAGAGGAATAATCTCCACAGGACGCGTTGTGGTACGAATTCTAGTTTCTTCTCATGATCGGGAAGCGATTGGTTGTACGACATCGACTCATTCACGCGTACTAATAACTCGTTTAATTCACATCTTTCGAAGTATTCCATTATCATTAAATTCGCCGAACCGTCATCCAAATCGGGGCTATTGTATATATCCTCGAGAACTTCCTCGGACGGCCATCGGAGTTGGACGAAATGTTCGGCGGCTGCAAAAGTTTCCTGACACTGACTATCAGCACCACTCATTTCGCATTATACTGAATAAATTGATAGCGCTTACCAACATCCATAATACTTCCATTCGGAAATATTGGTCATTTTCGTCAACCGGAGCTTTGACAGCGAAGTCTTGTACAGGTCGGAAAGCCCGGTCTATCTCGGTCCATAGTGTCGCTATCCCTGAACTACCGAATCCCAAGACCCTTCTATATGCTATTGACCTCGCATTTTCCTGGAAGAAGTTTCTAGTTCGGTGGTATGTCTCTCGAGCGTTATAAAACGTCTCGTTTAAGTCCGCTTGCCTATATCGTATGAATGGCCGCACTAAACAGCACCGTTATTAGCAATTATTAATGGATAGGAGAAGTGGATTGTCGCACGCTGAGGTGAACTCATTATGTTGATCTATTACGAAAACCTCCCTATAATATCCCAACCCGAATGGCCAATAGCAACTTAAAACAGGGGCTCTAGAAGGCAGATATAAAAAGCTACAACACAACATGATAAAATAATAGCAAATAGCAGCTACGATGATAATTCATGATTGTCTATCGCACTAATCATATTTAGGAGTCAGCTGCTTCCGGTAGAGACAAAGACGTCTGTACGTGGTCTTCAGTCTCATCATCAACAACAAAGAGAACACAACCAGGTACAATAAGGGTGCTTGGTCATTTTTGATAACTTTCAAACTGAATCATCACCAAACTACGCTATCGCGGTGGTTTGCTACTCGTGTAGTCAAATAGGACAGCTTGTTCCCCCATAAGCTCGTACGACAGCAACCACCGCCGGAGCTACGGCTGCGAAATATTTCAAAATGTGAATAGCATCGCACAGCAAAAAGTTATTTCAATCATTAGTAATAAATAAATTTAGTTAGAACAGCACCTACATAGGACCAACATAATATTTAATACTCTACGGCGCAGTCATTTGTAAACGACAGCGTGGTGATGCACATCTCCTCGGCCTTACTGAGCCGCAAATAATTACACATCGGCCCCGCCCGAAATCTGAAGAAACCAACATCGACGGCTTTTGAACTGCGATCGGAAATTCCGGGTCGGTGGATTTATTATATGCGGGAACTCACCTCGAATTAGAACTCCGAGATCCCGGCTTATCCCCGTGCCGAGCTGTTGGCACACAATGACGGCTTTTAGAGCTAACTAACAGCTCTGGCGCGGGGTTGCTATTACGTACCTCTTCATAGTCTCTTATGACTCCTCATCGGCTCGTAAATAAAAAGCCTATTTCCTGAGATCTGATTCTAGAAAAAGACATCGAATACAACATAATCTCATAAAGCGAGTATATCAGAAACTCATCGTGAAAATGGCTGAACAACCAAGACTCGCTACCCTCGATGTGAGTACCACGGGTTTCCATCGGCTTAATAATACCTACTAACTAACATATCTTTAGTCGACGATCGTTGACCGACTCCCCCCCTACTCAAAGTTACTCTTCGACGCCAAAACCAAGCGCGGTCTAACCTTCGAGTCCATCGCAAAGGAACTAGGACGCAGCGAAGTCGCCGTCGCCGCGATATTCTACGGACAAGCGCAAGCCTCCGCGCAAGACATCGAAAAACTAGCCAACATACTAGGACTTAAAGATGTCGTCGAGACTTCGATGAATGTGATTCCCGACCGTGGACGCGCTGGACCGATGCCACCCGTAGAACCCCTCATTTATCGGTTGTACGAGATCGTGCAGAATTATGGGTATGCGTTTAAGGCTGTTCTGAATGAGAAGTTTGGCGATGGGATTATGAGCGCGATTGCGTTTTCGTCGAAGGTTGAGAAGGAGGTTGATAATGATGGTGTTACGTGAGTTGTTGCCCTTCCTTGGTGTGTTGGTGGGTATTGTGGGTTCTGATGCTAATGAGATGGCAGTTGGGTCAATATTACACTCCGAGGAAAGTGGTAAGTCTTCCTTTATGAGACATTCTGCTGTTTTCGTGTATTTTTGTGACTAATGTTGGATAGGCTACCGTACACTCGATTCTAAACGGATGGTATTCTGCACTACGTTTGTTGAGTTGGGAAAAGCGGCTGCATCGTTGAATAAGGACATGTACATTTGAAGAAAAATAGCAATCTTGGTATCAATAATGCCACTTTCCCTCCGGAATTACCTTATTATGTATAAAATTTTCTCGCCCTATCCCTTACTTGTAACCATTGCCTCCAAGAAGCGTCTTTTGGTGAACTTGCCAAGTTATCTAACATGGACCGGCGAACCTTCTCACTCTCCAATGAACCCAGTGCTCAAAATGAGGTCTACACTCGAGGAATTGTAGTTCCCGCCGCAACCCGCCATCGAGCCCCGCTGCGAAAGGTGATCGCTGTCCGTGCCGTTAATCACATCATTTATAAAATGATAAATATCGGCGTTTCCAACTGTCGTAGCACTGCTGTTGGTTTTGACCCATAGGACGCAGGTCTGTGCCGTATACAGCGCAGCATAATTGCTGTAAAGGCTTTGCGGTACTGTGAAATACGGGATTAGAAGAGTTGTACGTTATGGCGGCACTCGACTCCCTTACCCGTCCATGAACCGGTGTTATCGTAAGCCCATTGGGCAATTTCTTCGCAATCAGTTAATCGGGCGCGGCCGCCATCGAGGTTGTCGTAGACCCCGTAGGTGTGACTACCGCAAAGCTGTTGGTCGTTCCAATCGAGAGAAAAGGTGGGGAGGTTTGATGCCCTTGTCTTGATAGGATAGAGACTACTTGGTGCGCGTGCGGCGAGGGGAGAGAGGGGAAGGAGAAGAGTGATTAGTGATAACATTGTTAAGAGAAGATATTGTTTATAAGTCTTTTGAATGAGATGATGCGAATAGTGCTGACGGAGTAGCCGAAGCTATGTTTCGTTTAATAATATTTATATTGCTGACCGGTGCTCGTTTGGCCCATCCTCTGGCGGTTAGAGATGGGTCTGTCTGTCTCGCAAATAGTGCAGAATTAAGGACTGCTCTGAATAGGGAATACCATTCTCGACATATGGCTTAATTAAACTCGGACGTCTTTAATATAACCAAGTTTGCGTTTGTTGTCTTAAGAGTGGTAGTTATGATAAGCAAACATGTAGGCATCCCAGCTTGGGATTGATTATCATTAAATATCCATAACCGTACATCATACATCTCGTTGATTCGGGTTCGCCAACTCTCTTTTAACAGACGAGGGTGTTGCATGCTTTGCAGAGTCCCGTCTCCAAAACGGCTCAACGCCAATTTCCCGAAACCTGTCCCGCTCGTAATTCCTCGTGGCAATGTAATTGTTAAGAAACATAATCAGAACAACAAACAGAATGCCGATACCAGCTGCCAACGGCGCGATGATCGAAAATACCGTGAATCCGTAGCTTACGTTCTGGAATGACTCGTCTTCTTGTAGTCTTTCTACCCCAAGACCGACTTGCATCGCCGTCAACACTATGACCACATAACCGAGTATCGTGGCTAGGGTGGCAAAGTTGTCGCTGATTAAATCGGCGTAAAAAGCGTAAGAGGAAACTGAGGAATAGCCGCGCATAGCCCCCTTCCGCAGCCGATATATCTTGTTCAGTCGGCTCAAACGAAGCTCGCCGTACCAGTATCTTTGATTGACAGACGCATACTCGTGATTCTGCAATATTTCCGTACTAAGATTCTTCCAATCTTCCCAAGTAACTTCCTTAGGCAGCAGTCCACTGGTCTTCGCTAGGCGGAAGTCGCTCTCGTATGCAATGAGTGCCGTGTAGGAGAAGAGGAAGCCCCGCGCGCAATCAGCTAGTTTGAGATCGTGGATGATGTGGGCCATCCAGAAATCTGGGTCGAGTAGGTATAACGGGATTGGTTTTAGAAAGATGCGATTCTTTGACCATACGAGATGGAGTTCTGGGAGTTCGGTGATGGCGATCTCTCTTGACATTAGGACTTGGTGGTCTATCAGAGGTTAGTTTGTTTGGTGTCGTACATGTACGAGTCTTTGCTTTTTGAAGTCATGATATTTCTCCTCTTTTTTTCATTGGGTTATCCTCATACACCAGTTTATCTTGTCATGAAAACTATGTCTAAGCAATGAATTAAGTATAAACACTTACTATAGACTAGTTAGTATGGTTACCAAAGGCTCAGGGAGAAATCATCATGCGATGCGCAGGTTTTGGCGACACATCTCGTGGTGTACATACCGTAAATGTCGAGGGGGCATCGGGCGACCGCATACCCAGAGCCAATCTTGGACATTGTTTAACTTGTCTACATAGAGTTCTTTCGCGAGGAAGGCTGGCTCCAGTCGAGGAATGAAAATATTATCGCCAATGCGCTGTGATGCCGGGAGTAAATCGCTGAAATTCGGTCTTTCTTCTATCACGCGAGTCCTGAAGGGAAGAGTGGGAGCCATCGCCAACAAATCAACCCAGGCGATCAACTAAGTATTTTGAGGGGTTTCTGAATTCGGTTCGAAGGCGTTCGCACACTCATTTAGGAAATTGAATTGTGAATATGGAACGGAAATTTCATTTTATTCATCGTAAGATCGGCTCGTCAGCCGCTAATATGGGAATTGTTTATACGCGCGCAATACGCTGCCATGCATGTCTTCAGCTCTACTAGTCGAGCCTCCATTTTGAAAAGAGGTAGAACAGGGGGTTTGGCTTTACAAGGGGTGGTTGGGGGCCAACAGGTAATTATTTAATTACCTAAGGTATGATCGCGGGTCGAACAAGGGCTATTAGCTATTAATAATCATCGGGTGCAACGCTGTCTGCAGCGCTTGGATTTTTAGAACCGGGGATTTCCACCGTATTCGTTCTAAAACACGGCCTGCTAATGCAGGACCTGCAAGCCTCGTCTACGGAGTATTCTTTTCGCTTCGGTCACGGGACGACCCATTACTCATTTTATGATGGTGTGTAGCACAGATCGTAAGGTGCGGAGAATGAGATTCCTGAAATAGTATCTCTTACCCTTCTCTCTTCTCTATAGCAAGGGGTATTAGCTCAGAAATGTCTGGGCAGCTTAGTCTATATCATTAATCAGCTACGAAGTGAGAATACACTACTATAGCGAGGTAGTATCGCAACCTAAGAGAGAAGCTAGACAGGCCTTGTAAGGCTTGAATGATCTAGCTAGCATTTTAGTGCTGACGGACTGCCTCATGCCTGCAAGACCTGCAACGAAGCGATCAGCCGCACTCGAAATGAAATCCGCTCGCGTCATCCAATTCGTTCTTCATGGACTTTTTTAACCTACCTAGTCTGGACGGGTCTAAGCGTTGGGGGCCGTTCCGTTACTTAGGCAGCTTTGGGACGATATTGGGATCATCCTTCACAATGTAATATAATCTAGGCTGCCCCATCGCGGGGCGGCTCTGACTTGAGCTTCGTTGAAGCGTCTCTGGTCAAACAGTTGCGCCAAAATGTCTCTACAGCGCACTGCGACGACGCGGAAGCCTGGTCAAGGGCCCGCGAAACGGAGGAAAGACTACGATGTTGTTCAGCAAGGAGTCAAGGAGCTTTATCCGCTCGACAAGGCGAATTTCGAGCCGGAAATTGAGTGAGTTCGAGGAGACACCTTACTTCAATTTGCCTATTCTGACTTTCGCTAGCATTGTCTTTGTGCCAGGTTTGGGCGCGAACCCGGAGGAAAGTTGGAAATCCGAGAGCACCGGCTTCAACTGGACTACAGATGGATTAGTGAGAGATTTCCCGCGGGCGCGTATCTTACTATACATGTACGAATCTGCGTGGACAGGCTCTCTTAAAGTGAAGCAGTTTATGGGTGCTATCGCGATGACGCTATTGAATGGACTAAGAAGTAAAAGAGAGGTAAGCAGATCGTAAACAGTTCCAATTGCGGTGTGTCGAATACTAACACGGCGGCGACAGGGTGTAGAACGACGTCCCATCGTTTTTATCGGCCATAGTATGGGTGGCCTGGTAATTGCGAAAGCAATCACAATCGCAGATTCCCGCCGGGACAAGTTCCGAGTTATGTTTGAAGCTATCGCGGCAGCTATCTTTTTCGGCACGCCTTTCAACGGAGCGCCTGTTGCTTCAGCAGCTGCCATGTATGCGTACTTCGCCGAGAAGGCGGGTACTGCTACATCTTCAAAACTATTAGACTTAATGAAGCCTGGCGACGAGGGACTTCGTGAGTTGAAGCACGAATTTATGCGACTTGTTGGGAAGTTGAACCCTAAGATTGAGTTAATGTGCTTCTACGAGGAGCAGGATACCGACTTTTCCAAAATGGCCGGTTTACCTAGTCTCTTCGGCTTGAGCAAATCATTAATCCCAAAATCATACGCCGAGTTTGTCAGCCGTGACTCTGCGACACTCCCAGGTGTTGAGGAGCAAGGATTAGCACGCAACCACCGCGGTCTCGTTAAGTTCCACGGCCCAAAAGATGATGCATGGAATCAATTCGTCAAAGATCCGATAAAGAGAATCATTCACGGTGCTCAACTCGCAGTCAAGAACCGTCTCAACTCCGTCCGTGACATTGATCGGGCAATGATCAACGGCATTATGGAGTCTTTAGACAGCGTGCAGGTTTATAAAAAGCGCAAGGCTCTAGCGCAAACATTTGCACTATCATCCTGGATTACGAAGGAAGCAGAGTACAAAGAATGGTTATATGACCCCGAAGGAGGTGATGAGTCTCCCACAATTCGTTCTGCCGATTGTTTATGGATCAGAGGTCCTGAGGGAAGAGGTAAAACTAGTGCATCCTTGGCCGCTATCGACGAGATCGACAGAATCAAGGAAAAAGATACTGGTAGAGGACCAATCCTACTTGCATATTTCTTTTGCGACCCGACGACAGATTATTCGACGGCCGAAGATGTCCTCAGAAGTCTTGTCACGCAGTTGATTGACCAACAAGAGGCTCTTGCTTCCTATGCTAAGCTTTTTGCCAAGAAAAAAGGCGAGGGTAATAAGGCGCAAGCTCAGGTTACTGTTGAGAATCTGTGGCAGACCATTCAGGACATGCTTACAGACGAATACATCGGCAGTAAGGTTATCTTCGTTTTAAACAACTTACATGTCCTTCCCGAAGATTCAGATTCTACCATCAAGTTGATGAGGTATTTGAATGCCGAACTCCAAAACATAAACACCAACAACGTCGACACGAAACGAGTGCCAACAAGGTGGATGATCACAAGCCGAGAAGCCCACAATATCGGAGAGGCGCTCAAGATAGACGGTGTTCGTCTCGTCGACCTCGAGGATGAGAAGTATGGAGACCAAGTCCAAATGGCGCTACGAAAACGTGCCAAGGAACAAGTCACATCGCTTGAAAAGGAAAAGAAATACAACAAGGCACTGTCGTATTTCGCAAGCAGTCTTATCGGAAAACGCGCGCAAAATACGCAATGGATCGATATTACATGCGTCCAACTTCAGGAGCTTCCGCAATCAGAGAGCGATCTTAAAGTGCGTCGCGTACTTGAGAAGATGCCCCAAGATCTAACGACACTTTTGAACAATGCATGGATCCAAATATTCAAAGCCAATGAAGCAGATGTCGAGAAAATCAAGGAAATGTTGCGCGCTCTCGTCCTTACCTACGAAGATCCCACCGAGGCGGAATTGGGCATCCTTGCTGGTCTCTGCTCCACCGAAGAGGAAAAAGCCGATCTGCGGAGGTTCGTGGAAATGTGCAAGCCACTTCTGGTTATTAGGAAACCAAGCAATACGATCAGTTTCATGAATGTTGTGGTCAAGAACCATCTCCTTGAGAACGCCAAACAACTTCTCGGCATTTCAAACGAGGAGAAGAAATGGCAACATGGTGTTCTCGCACTCAGATCGTTTTCGCATGTCAACGAGAGCTTCAACTTTCCTAAGGCCGAACCCGAGGAAGAGAAGAAGGAAGATGACGAAGGGTCCGAGCACAGCGAAAACGAAGATGAGGACGGTGAGGATAACCAAACCACCGTGTCTGATGAAGATTCCGAGGAAGAAAGTGGGAGCGAATGGGATAGTGACGATGATGACGACAGCGAAGAACAAGACGAAGATCCTGAAGCTGAGATACTCCGCGACCGTGCTAGTAAGTCCGGACTCCGGGTGGCTGAAATATTGGACGGGTAGTTGCTAACTTCGTGTGACAGTGCCGTACACAGTCAAGTACTGGCTTCGCCACGCCAGTAAGGCTACGCGGGAGATTGCTGAAGACTTGAGTCTAGAGGATGAATTCTGGAAACCCGATTCAATTATACGACATCGCTGGCTCGTGGAATATTGTCGCATGACTAATACTTTCGAGGGGTTCGAGTACAAGACGTTAAACGGATTACGTACGTCTTTATTCCCATAACCAACCTGGAACATAGTATAATCGCTAACTTACGAGCACAGACATTGCTGCCTCCGTCGGTTTTAGAGAACTCGTCGCGGCGCTGATTCGAAACGGCTACGAGGAACAGATCAAGATACGTGATTCCTTGATAAATACACCGGTAAGTTATAATGGACTCGGGGGTATTTTTAACATAATTAATCATTTATAGTTGCATTTCGCTGCCTACTTCGGACGCCCCAAGATCGTTGAAGTGCTCCTCGATAAAGGTGCTGTAATTGACGATGCCGAGGAAATCCAAGAACAGACACCCCTACACATGGCTGCTTTCGGAGGTCACGTCGAGGTTATGAAAAAGCTACTCTTAAGAGGAGCGAACGCTAACGCCACGGCTAATGAGATTGGTCCCGTAGTGAATGCCGCTATCTCGTCAGGCAACCGAGCGTGTGTCGAATTGCTTGTCGAACACGGCGTTGCGTTAACCTTAGACCGCGATGATATCGATGCGCCCTTAGCCCTAGCCGCGTTACTATCCGACATTTCTATGTTCGAGTACCTGATTGAAAAATATGCCGACAAGTTACCACCTGAGGAGTACAGCAAAGCTTTCGTCAAATCTGCGGAGGCAGGGCGAATTGAGGTCTTCAATAAATTACTCGAATTTGAGCACAGCCAAGAATACTTCCAGAAAGCGCTTAAAGCAGCAGCTGAGGAGGGTAATTGGGATATCGGCGTGATTCTTCTAGAGAAGCGTGCCGGGCTCAATTGCGACGATATCTTCTACAAAGCCGCAACAGGCACCGAAATTCAAGATAATCTTCTCGAGGTGATCTGGAAATACACGGATGGATCGATTAGCAGGGAAACCCTCGACAAATCCCTCTACGACGCTACCGATCGCGAAAAGGAATCCACTGTTAAGATACTTCTAGAGAAATTCGGAGCGAATCCCAATGCTACCGGAGATGAGTAAGTAAACCATGGGAAGGCATTGCAAGTTAGATGAGCGCTAACTAGGTTATAGGTACGGAAATGCTCTCACAGCTGCTGCTTACGACGGCACGATGGAAATTATCCAAATACTTCTTGAGGCTGGTGCCGACGTAAACGCACCTGAGGGATGGGCGATCCAGACAGCTGCCAGCGAAGGTCATTATGACGTTGTTGAGGAATTATTGAAGCGTGGTGCTGATGTGAACGCTTTCACTGATAACGACAATTTCAAGCCAGGCACTGCTCTCCAAGGTGCATGTGAAGCGGGCAAGGCTGATATAGTCACGCTACTCCTCGAACACGGTGCGAACCCCAACCTCGGTGGAGGTCCCGACGCTCCTCCAATTCTTGCGGCCGCGATGCGCTCTGAAGCGGATATACTCGAACAATTGGTCAAGGCAAAAGCAGATCTAGATGTAAATGGTGGACGGGAATCATCAACTACGCCGCTCATTAGTGCCTCCGCTTACCTGCCAACTCCATCGCTGGAATTACTCCTGAACGCTGGCGCCAATATCAATCTCCCGGACCACGATGGAGATACACCTCTTATTGTGGCTGCCGGAAGAGGCGATTCAGAGGTCGTGACCTTCTTACTCGATAAAGGAGCAGACATCACGCACTCGAATCAAAATGGCCTAAATGCCCTGCAAGCGGCGCTTGGGAGTGATAACGACGAGAATTCGGAAGTGATCACCGTTCTAGTCAATCGAGTCTCCGTGCTATTGGAATCGCTCAAGACTGCTATGGACTCTGGTAACTATGCAGTCACTAGTGTTGTTCGCGAGGCATTCAGCAAGCAGCAAGCGCTTAGCTACGATGACGAGCCAACAACCCCAAGATTCGAAGAAAGAGCTGACACCCCATCCCACCATTCCGCAGAGGGACAGGATAGCGAGGACCACGACGAGACCGAAAGTTCTCCTGATGATGACGATAAATCCGACTCCGAGTCCCATACGACTGAAAACAGCATCCACGGGGCTGATACCGACGACCACGAACACTCTTCCTTAGGCCATATGTCCGAACAGCTGAAGTCGGCCTTAGCTAATCAAGCAGCAATGTGGAATGGGATTACGAGCAAAGTCACATCGACAATATCCACCGAACCCGAACGCTCGTCCTATCAATCCAGCAGTTATTCCGATATCCAAGCTTCTCATCACACGGAAGTCGCGCAATGGCCCCAGGAGGCAATACAAAACCCATCCCCTCCCGTATCACAGCCTGTCGAGCTACCTACCCAAGGATACATCAAAAGGAAACCAGCTCCAAGTCCTTCCTATAGTAACCAAGCTCGCTACAGCCAAACGCCATCTCCAAAGCCATCAGAATCATCCAACGGACGTTTCCAAGCGCCGCCAGCCCCCGAGCAGACAATAGCAGCATACCGACCAGACCAAAATGCCGCGCCACAACAACCTCAAGGATATCAAAATCCGCAATACCAAGGTCTCCAAAGTCAGGCCACATCCTCTCAATCTTTCGAAGCCTACCAGAAAACACATTCGTATTCGCAAAGCCAGTCATCACTATCAACAACACAATATCAAAGCTCGTCTCAGTATCAGAGTAGCAGTTCGTTATATGACGGCTCGAATTATAGTGGTACGACTCAATACCAGCAGCCAGCAAACCAGCAACCTACTCAACAACAGCAACAGTCGTACACGCCATATAACCCAGACGCATACAGTCAATCCCAGAAGCAACAACAGCAGCAGCAGCCAAACACCGTGCAAGCGTATCAGGGCCAAGCATATCAGCCGCAAGACTGGCAACAGCATCAGGGGTATTATGGTAGCCCTTCCGGACAGCAACATGCTGATAACATGTACGGAGGGTCCGAATGGGATCAGCCACGACCAGAGCTTAAGCCACAGAGGTCGTCTTTCTTTACTGGTGGGGTGAAGAATACCTTCGACAAGGCGAAGATTATGGGGAATGGCATGTTCAACAGAAAATAGGCCATCAATCAATGATTTAAATAAGGATAGCAAGCGCTTGGAGTTTTGGTAATGGAAAATAATGTGTACAATATTCATTTGGGGGGAGGGGGGATTGATAGGAATTGGCATGTATGAAATCCCCTCGATAAATCTTGAATTTAGGAAAATAAATCAGATGGTTAACAATATTCAGTATCCTTTCTTCTTGTGGGAGTAATCCTTAGGTTGCCCGTCCTTGCCATGTAGTTTCTGCTATGGTACGGTTTAGTCGTCGTTCACCGAAAGGCAATCTGATAGCCGCCACTGCCATATAACGCGAGGGTTACTAGAGTAAAGTTACAAACCGACGCCCCCAACGAGAAAATTAATTTTATAGAGTTCCTTTTGAGTGTATTAACGGCAACATCCAGGATAGCTCTTGCATAGAGATAAGGAGAATAACCCTAGGTTATCTTGTGGAAGAGCCAACCCCTGAATTATCAAACAAAAGTTTGCAAAGCTACTGCCACCTCAACACCACATAAGAGACCCACCACTGATCTTGAGTTGGTCCATCCACCGATAAACCTCAACTTAAATTCCTAAGAGCACAGTATTAAAGGAAGTCGTCGTTGAATGACCAATCATGTGGGCTCACCAAGGTGCTCAACTTGAAATTGACCCAGAAACTACCTCGTTCCACGATAGAACTTAGTACAATTAAGAGGTAAACTAAAGAAATGCTGCATAGCACGAAGCAACAACCCAGCTACATACCTAGTGCATTTAAACAACTTTTTTTCGTCTGGACATTTCATCTACGTTTCTCGTCTTCTCTCAATCTCTTCCCGTCTCTCCCCCCTACACTCTTTTCATTGCCAGAATATGTAACGGAGAACCTCTCGCCATACCAACTCCCTATCGAGCAGCTCACGAGTTGTGGAAAGAGAACATCATCAGACCTCCATCGTCTCAACTTCCATCGATATTTCCTATCCATCCTATCAATAAAGGTAAGTTCCTCTTCAGAGTCACATACGTTTCATTTCATTCCACCAGTTATTTTTTTCTTTCCCACGCCAATACTACTTTTTCAAACAAATTTTCAAACGTACACTCTAGGTCTCTCAACATCTCACACTTCGCGCTATACCAGAGCGGTACCCTTTATTCAACAACTCAACGGGATGCCGCCGAAGAAGCGTACCGGAAAAGCGACTAAGAAGCGCGCCCCTCAGAACAAGGCAGCCGAAAAGGCGGCTCCAGAATACGTGGAAGAGCCACTAGGGCTTTTCACAGCCGTGCCATTCCGCCATGTCAACTGGAATTCCGGATCATCTGTGTCCATCAGCCCCCCGGTATCGCCCCGTTCCACGAGTATCGGACGCGCTTCAGATGAGCCGCAGCCAGACCCACCCATTTTACAAAGAGCAGGTAAGTTTGAGTCTATAATATTCTACTAGATCTCGATTGATAGCTAATCGTGTTTTAGGCGTGTCCTTGGGTAAGCTTCGTTCGCCGACTGTGGAGCCACTGTCACCGGAGCACAGGCCTACAATCCGAAAGCGCAAGCGCCTTGAGGGTGGTGAAGAATCCACGAAGATAGGAAAGAAGCCCCAGCATCCTCCCGATGTGACGGTTGACTTAGCGCCGGACGAGGAGTTAATGTGGTGGAACGGGATGGCTTGGGAACCCATAGCATAGATGACGAGGAGGTACGGGAGATGCGTAAAGCTAGGAGTTCAGGTTCATATGGTTGCTTTCCAATTTGCATAGGTTCGGATTGATACCCACGTTGGAGGATATAGCGAGGCTTGTTACCCCTGAATAGTAATTGGACATCTTAAAGGCTCTGATTTAAAATTCCCATGTAATCTTTTATGTCTTAAGAAGCCAATTTCACAGGGAAAAATGATGTAAATATCTCCTACGACGACTCCCTAACCTAACTTCTATGAAGTAGTAAGTAGTGCTTTGTTTATCATGTCCTAAGCCTGCCACTGGACCACTTTAATTCTTCTTACGAGACTTTATTACTTTGAATGACCTTCTGGATGCTGTTACTTAGGTGTGAGTCGCCGTTAACCATAATGACTCGCAGGTTCATGATTATATGTAAGATTCAATAGATTCTAAAATTTTTATTCTCAACGTACATAACACCAATTGAAGGATCGTGACGAGTCGAGGAACCTAGTACAAACCCCATACCATGAAAAGCTCTCACTGTTTGGAGGAAGCTGCCTCACCCACGCGCATGTACCCCCGTTCGACGGTCTGCCGCGAAACATCGTGACCAAACACATTGGCCTTTCTACCCCCGCCCATGCCTAGGTGCGTTTCAACTCTAGGCAATCATCCCCGGTCAGTGCCGCCTTAGGTACATCGTCAACTACGACGTCGCTCAAGCGGATCCAATTTTTTCTCCCAGTAAATAAATAGATGGCCGCTGCCAACCTGTGATTCTTTCCCCCCGACTTCTAATTCTAAAAAGCCACTCTTTTCGAGTGTCATCTCATATCAAATGACACCACCTTCTATTTTCCCCGTTGAATCCAATACTTTCTCCACGATGGTTCGCTACAGATACATGCCTCGTTATCAGGCCGCGCGAGGACGCTCTCAGAGCAACCGAGCTGCATCGCTACCCGCGAGACTGACTCCTGAAGAATTCGGAGACGAATCCCCCAAGGAAGCATCACCGGTTCCGTCGGACACGTCTTCCACCAACCAACAGGATCAGCCTGGACGCGACAAGGACGATGACAATTCTACCTCTTCCGCTCCCGCTCCTCAGCTTTCCACTGCCGAGGCCGAAGGTAAGTAAAATCTCGCGATTCCTTTACAACCCATACTCCAAAGAATTTTATCGTCTAACAAATATTTTCCTTAGCCACCACCGAGCAGAAGAACGCCAGACCCGCTGCCCAACTTCGTCCCGCTGCCACGCCGTCTACCGAGATGTACGGCGGACATAACCTTCGTCGACGCGTCCCGAGCGCCGACAACTCTGCCTCCGACGTTGCCAAGAATACGAAGAAGCGCCAGGCTTCCCCTCTTGAGTCTGAGACAAAGAAGCAGCAGAAGAAGGATGATGATGAGTAAGCTAGTCATACGATATGGTCATTGGGAAAGGTCGACTTCATTAGGGATTAATGCTTAGCACTGAAAGATGGGTTTATTTGCCGAATAATGGAAGGCTTGAGATTGACATGAATTCTGCCACTGTAACTAGGTAGATACGCAAGTTTCCTCCGGAATACTATTTGCCCCTTGCACTTCCTTTATCTAACGTATTAGAATGGATGTTTTCGTGTGACTAATTTGGTGTTTGTTTGTAAATTTTGCTATTATACTAGAAAACAGTATTCCTCCGCGTAGAGCACCTGCTTTAAATGGCTGCGAATCCGCCATAAGTTCGTAGGTTCATATTAATACTTGGTATGTTTCTAGCAATCTAACGGATACCCTGCAAATAACAGGTAGATATTTGAGCAGGTTCTATTCGATCGATCGGTTTCATCCGAACTAGAGATGTACAAAAAAAAAAAAATTTCTATAACTCAACACAAAAACGAACTTTGACCAAGTAATTAGGAAGACGCTCCTACGGCAAACTGAGGCCCCCCCCTGATCAGCCAAGTGCCCTGATCCACTATGCTTTTATATATATACCCGCCTACTTCCACCCTTTCCATCTTTTTCATCTTCCAGTCCAGACTTCGGCTTATCCTCCAGTGAAAATCAAAACAATCCACCAACAAAAATTGAGCATTATTCATTCTTTCATAACAACGAAGATGAACAAGGGTAAGGCTCTAGATACCAGACAACTCTCGATATAGTATTGCTAATAGGACACCAGCGACCGGTCCCTCCCAGCCTCCCACCAGGCCTCCCACCAAGCCTGAGGCTCATCCCCAAAACACTGGTGGTTCCAAATCCACCGCGGGCTCCTCCCTACGGGTCGAGGCTCGGCGCAACAATCTCGAGAAACTGGATCCCCGAGTCACCACTCCGACCGAGCGAGTCAACTGTACGTAATCTCAATTTACTAAAAACACCACTGTAAACGTCTTGCTGACGAATAATCTAGGTCCATCCACCCGCCAGGCCGAGAAGTCTGCGCCGGAGAGTCCAAAGGGCGATCACGGCCTGAATATCCGTGATCAATACGTGTGTCCTTGCTGCGGTACCAATGTTATCGTGGCTGACCCTCCTCGTCGCCGCGGCGATTTTCGCGACACTGCGGATATCAATCCTAATGCCGAGGTGTCTTAGGGCTCCGACGGTCGCTGGTTGGTTTAACGCCTACGAGGATGGTGGAATGAAAATGGGGGATGACAGCATGCTGTGATGGTGGAAATGATATGGGATTGAGATCGTGCTCTGGGCATTTTCTAGGTACTTAGACTGATACTTCCTATTGCCTAGATAAATTGACTCTATCCACTGTGTCTTATTACCTTCCGATTTAAAATGTTGTGTGCGTATTCAGTAGATCTTAGGGTAGTGGCCCATGATCCTTATCCGTGATTGTGATGGATATCTTGAAAAGAACTAGGTACATGGGCCAATGCTCTACCAGTTTAATTGATGTGACCTGAGCAACAACCACATGTGAATTTGTTTTTGCAATCGACATGAAAACGTTGGATAGTTTTCACTGTAGAATTAGGAAGACACTGTTATGGAAGGCTGCCTAAGAAAAATCCTCATTTAGCCAGTTGAACGCATTGATCCTTTATGCTTTTAGATAAATAGTTGCCTTCTGTCAACTTTCTCAGGTCTTGATTCCTCTCTGTTTCATCTTTCAATCCAGACTTGGACACTCCCTCTTCGGTAATTAAAGTAACTGATCAGTAGCCTCAACATAACCATACCTAGGTAACCAACTCGTCCATCGCCCTGACATATTCGTAATGGCACCCTCAGGCAACACCCGTCAGGCGTCTAAGGCGGCTCAGGAGAAGAAGGTTCAGGTAGAGAAGAAGGGCTCCGGTGGAGAGGACGGTAAGGCTCTAACATCTATAAACCACTCAATATACAACCACTAACAGAACACCAGAATCTGCCGACCAGAGCGCCGTACGCCGTTACTGCTACACGCATAAAATCGGCGATCCTGTTGATATTTCAGTCCACTTCAACCACGACGGCGAGGACCACGAGGTGGTCATTTCGTGGGAGGAACTCATGGGTGCGTATTTATTCTAGCACTCCCAACCCATTCATAACACCAAATTACTAACATTGCAAACCCAGCGGACCCGCGTCGTCGCCGTAAGCACCACGGGACCGTTTGCCCATACAAGCCGACCGACACCATAAACGAGGAGCTCCGCGCGTACCGTGTCAAGAACGGCAAGTGTCCCGACTGTGGCAAATGCCATCCCTCCCCCACTTATGTTGAACCCTTTGAGACGGTTGATATTGTCATCGAGGTTCCTGTCGAGAAGCCTTGCCGCCGTCAGAGTATTTAAGTTCGGCGGCGATCCGAAAGGTAAGATCACGGGAACAACATATTGCGACAGACAAGGACAGAGACTGGGGGACTGTGATGGCGGATGAATGGACCACGGCCTCGAGATCGGCCGAGGAATGAATCGCGGCGTACTTATTCGCTTGGGTTTGGAGTTCTAGGGTTCTGATATTTCCTAGGTACTTAGTTTAGGAACTTTACATAGTGGACCCAATTACTCCCTAGCCCAACTTATGCTGTTCCTTCTTCTGCCTCCCCTCGCGCGCAAGATCGTATTGCTCAGCTGCGCTCTGTAGGCGACTAGCCTCGCTACCATCTGCTATGCGTTCGGGATTCTCTCCGAACTGCTGCGTAATCTTGGCATCTGCCCGTGCATGAAGTGACTCCTGAATGGCATCGCGGTCTACGTCGCCGCCACTTGGATTGATCTGCCGTGATATACCCATGCCTGCCTTGCTAAGATCTGATTCCCCTTGGTGTTGGGCGATTGCTGAGGCCAGTTTTCCCGTAGCTCCTATAAAATGATGAGTTGGTAATGCGGGTTTTGATTGAATTTGGAGTTACTTGCCAGCGATATGTTCCTTCGTCGCTTGTGACTCATCAAAACGATAAGCATTGCTTTCGTCCTGTTTCAGGTTGGCGAGAAGCTCGCGATTCTGGTCAATTGTTCCTGGATTCGGCATATTTATTATTTGACTGACTATATATCTTTAGTGGCTATAAATTCTTGCGATACTGTTTTTCAACACAAATACCTCGAACTGTATGGAAATATCTGTCAATGGCTTACATCATGGACATTTCAATTGAGGTCATGACGAGTCGCGCCCTACTAAAATCGCTTCGAAGACACAAGATGACGACACAATTAGACGAATCCTATAATTCTAGATTATCTCGCACAATCTTGGCGATTCTCGTAGCAATATATTTGACTAAACATGATGGCAAAGCTCAATTGATTAAGGTCACGACCTCGGATTCTAATTGAATTAGATATCGATTGTACATGATCCCAAACATGATTGGGGCTAATGTGGTAACTTTAGAGGGTAGGAAAGGCGAGGGTGTCTTCACAGTGGGAATTATTGCTTTTACTTAGGGGTGGGTAGTACAGGAAAAAGCAAATGAAAAGGGGGGAGCCTGTGAACGTTGATTGGCCAAGCCGATCAGGGTGGACCGAAGTCTTCAGACTGCACTCACCGCCCTTATCAGCCACAAAAGCAACCAGCCACAGTTCAGAGCCGATTGGCAGAAAAAAAAGTTCTTATCAATTATCAATTGAAAAAGTTCACGCTTCACGCTTCGTTCACCAGCTCCATACAAACTCAATCGCATTCGCAACAATGGGCAAAAGCAAGCTGAAAGTTGCCCTCGCGGCAGAGAAAGGAGTTGACTTCAAGAAATTGAAGGAAAAGAAGAAGCATAAGGAAAGGGTTAAGAAGCAACAAGAAAACGAAGGCAAGCGTGGTGGGGCTTCCAAAGCAGATGCTGCCGATGAGGACGACAGCGATTGGGAGGGTGTCGACGAAGAAGATGAGGACGAAATTGAAGGCGGCGCACTCATAGACTATGAAGCCGAAGAGGACAGCGACGAAGATGAGGAAGGAGAAGACGCTATCGACTTCGAAGCCGTAGATGACAGCGACGACTCAGATTCTTCGATAGATCTCGAGGAAAAGATAGAGCGCCCGCGAAAATCTGCGCTGAAGGCCAAGAACGCCGCCACAAATGGAAACAAGAAGAGCAAAAAGGATGTTGACGAAGAAGAGGATGAGGACGAAGATGAAGAGGATATACCCATGTCCGATCTTGAAGACCTACCTGACGAGGATAGAGAAGATCTCGTCCCGCACTCCCGTCTTACCATCAACAACACCTCCGCTCTCCTCGCATCCCTCAGCCGAATACAAATACCCACCGACAAGTCCGTTCCCTTCGCCACACACCAGACCATCGTTGGTGTCGAGCCGACAGCCGATAGCATTGAGGACATCCAAGATGACCTCAAGCGTGAACTCGCCTTCTACGCGCAAAGCCTAGAAGCCGCGAAACGTGCGCGCGCCCTGCTAAAGGCTGAGGGTGTGCCATTCTCACGACCTACCGATTACTTCGCCGAGATGGTCAAGGACGACGGACACATGGAGAAGGTCAAGGCTAAGCTCATCGAAGAAGCCAGCAACAAAAAAGCCGCCACCGAAGCCCGTAAACTGCGCGACCTGAAGAAATTCGGCAAGCAAGTACAAGTCGCCAAGCTCCAAGAGCGACAAAAGGCTAAGCGCGAGACCCTTGACAAGATCAAGACATTGAAGAGGAGTAAGTCACTCATTCCCTATTCACACCAATTCCCGTTTCCTACTACTCCATACTAATGCAATACTACTCTAGAACGTCAAGAATCCTCCGGCGACATCGGCGCCCGCGAAGCAGACCTCTTCGACGTCGGCGTCGACGACGAACTCAACAAGCACAACGCGCGCAAAGCCTTCTCACGCGGAAAAGACGGAGAGCGCAGCTCAGCCCCTAACGCAAAGCGCCAGAAGAAGAATGACAAATACGGATTTGGTGGACGTAAACGGAATGCTAAATCCGGTGATGCAGCTAGTTCAGGTGATTTAAGTGGTTTTAATCCGCGTCGCATGAAGTCTGGCGGTGCTGGTGTGGGTGGAAAGGGCAAGGGACGGCCGGTGAAAAGCCCGAGGTTGGGGAAGAGTAGACGGAATGCTGGCGCTGGGAAGCGGTGATCAAGTGTAAGAAAAGGGTTGGTTCGTACTGCGCAATAAAAATCAGGTTCTAGAATTATCATAAAGATACCAAGTATATTACAGGAATCCTCGTCGTACATTGTCGCGTATAGACGAGGTTTACACATAAATCAAGGCTTATTTCCACACATCACAACATGTTCAATTAATTCTTCGTTGTTGAGGGTATATGATTTTTAAAAATCCAAACCAGTCAACCTCAGACTGGTACTCTTTTTTTCTACCCGTATAATTGAACCCAAACGTTTTATATGTACCATCCTCTACTTCCTTTTCGCAATCCTTTTCTGCGCCCTAAGTTCCTTCTTCATCCTAGGATCCACGATCTTATACCGACCCTTAACACCCTTCGGCCTACCCTTAATACCCCTATTCAAGCCCTTAGCGACAACCAATTTCGCCGGTGCCTTGGGTTTCTTCTTCGCAGCCTTTGCTAACAACTTCGATATACTATCCGCCTTCTCTTTCTCCGTCATTCCTTCCTCAGCAGCCAGGAGATCGGATTTCTTGCGTAGTTTCTCGAGTTTCTGGGCAGCCTTGAACTTCTTCCTAGCCTTGGCTTCACGGACCTTCTTGATGGGGCGTGCGTTCAGGGCACGTGTCTTTTCTTTGATGGCGGCGGCCGCGGCTTTAGTGATGGGCTTTTGGGGTTTGTCGTGTCGACCCTCGTCGTCGACGAACCAGTCGGGTAAACCATCGCGGTCGCGGAAGGCGTGCTTGTTGAATCCATCGTCGATAACGTCGTAGTTGGATTTTTGGCCTGTGGCGAGCTGGTGTGCAAGAGTCATGGCTTCGGCTGTGATGATGTCGATATCTATTGTCATTATTAGTATGAGTTGTTACGAAGTAATTGGGGATAATGGTACTTACCGAGTCTTCCATCTGGGAGGCGTTTATCTTGGTCCTCCCAGTCATCTTCTTGATCTTGCTTGACGACTTCGAAACCGTTGCGATTATCATCCTCAGGTTCAGGAAGCTTTTCGGCTTTACTCTTCTTTGGTTTTTCCTTCTTTGCTTTTGTAGTCTCATTTACCACAACCATTGGTTCACCGGCATCGGATTCTTCATCCACATCAACTTCATCCGCATCGGGCATTGGTTCATCGAGAATGCCTGTTATGTCTTTGAATATGTCCTGACCAAAGAAGTTGGTAGCACGTTTCGAAAGGCCGTTGGACCCCCCAGGTTGGTTATCTAAATCGGTGAGCAGTGGCTTGGAGGGAGCTGAATCTTCATCGGATTCTTCGTCGCTACTATCCTCTTCTAGCTCCCCATCATCGCTAGATTGTTGTTCGTCGGCTGATAACCCTTCCCATTCGCCATCGTCATGTTCTTGTCTGGCCTTCTTTGCTCGATATTTCGCGTCCGATTCTGCTTTCCGTTCTCTGTATTGATCATACATGCCGTCAAGCTCACGCTCTAGCCGATCTTCTTCGTCATCGTCTTCTTCATCTGTGTCACCAGAAGATCCGATACCGCTATCTCGGTCTTTCTTGGCATCCGCTTCACTTATCATAGCCATCTTTCCCTTCACAATCTTATTGACTGCACCATGCTTGTCGATAGGTTTCAATGCAAACATGGAGTCATTGCCAGCAGGGCCAGCCTGTTCCATACCGATATCCATTGGAGCAACCATATGTAATTGCATGCGCACAATTTCCCTCTGTTTCTTCTCGTTCTCTTTTCGCCGCTCGCGCTTCTTCTTAGCACTATCTTTATCCTTTAACGCTTGAAGCTCTTCTTGGATTTTTAGTTCCTCGTCCATGGATTCAACTTCAGCAACCTCTTCGGGTACAACGGGTTTCGTGGTTTTCTTCGTCGGTAATCCAAAGGCTTCTCGGGCTTTCAATCTCCATTTGAGCAAAAGTTTGAATTCTCTGCGGCCTAATACCTTCAAGTCCGCACAGCACGTTCTGATTTCCTCGTTCGTATCAGGCATTTTGTCCAAGGCAGCAAGCGCCACATCGCCGTTTCGTGGTTGCTCAAAAGAAAGCTTGTTGTAACTGCCGAGTATCGCTATAGGATCGATGGTCTCAATGAACTGACTAGCAGGTATCTCTTTGAATTGAGTATAATCGCCCTCCTCGTAACCACCTCTCTTTCGCTTCTTGACTTCGGGCTTGAAGACCTTGGCCTCGTTATTTGGAGCACTATCTGCGAGTTCGGCAAATACTGATCTAGGATCAAGGAACTTCGGATCGAGATGTTTGGGGGCCTTGTAACCGCGACATACGACGAAGATTTCGGCGGAAACATTTCGAGAGGATGGAGGTTTCGTGGACTCAACCTTGGTGAATAATTGGTTGAAAACCCAGAGAAGTTTGTTGTATTCTTTCGATCGGAAGACCTTAGTGACAAATGTACCACCCTCAACTAGAAATTCCGTTGCCAGTTTCATGGATTGAAGGGCTAGTTCAGCTTGGTTGAAGGAATCCTGAACCCAAGCAGTACCAACGTTGGGAGCACCATCGTGAAGTACAGTATCGGCCTTCCATGTCTTCAAATGTTGTCTTATTGTCGCGCGGCATTTATCGGTGGTAATATCGCTTTGGAAGGTTATGACCTTTGGGATAGGCTTGATCGGGGAGAGATCAACTCCAACGATTAGACTGTTGGCCGGCATGGCCTCTGCTGCGACTTGACACCATGACTATATGATATGTATTAGTTAATGAATACTATTTTGGAGAATAGATATACATACTCCAGGAGCAGCGCAAAGATCTAGAAGGACCTTGCTCTTCTCGAGGAAGCCATATTTCTTGTTCAGTTGAATTAACTTGAAGGCGGCTCTGGCTCGGTAACCCTTCTCTTTGGCCAACTTATACCATTTGTCAAGACGACCTTTTCCGTGTTTCTTCTGAATCGCCATGACGTTTCAGTTGGCCTCCGCTTGGCCAAAGGGAGGGTTAAAGAGGTTGGATGGGAGTATTCACGGCGTCGCAATGGATGAATTCTTCAAGTGTCCCGCATTGAAAGTGGCAGATTCGGCGCCTTTGAAATTTTTAAGGAATTGTTAGAGACGATAAGCCGATAAGCTTATCGGTAGCTTTTTAGTGGATCTAGATTAAGGTACGTGGTCTTGGCGGTCGGAGGATTAGAAGTCACAGTCCACGTTACCGTATCTAACACTGTATTGGCTGCAGTAATCAGGAATTGTTAACTTTGATTGGTTAGATCTGCGTAACTTTTACCGGGTTCAGTAACTGTTTGCACTAAGCCTAGCGCAATCATTGGTTGACCAGGTGAAAACACAGTATCGATAACGTCACCTAGCCACACTAAAAAACCCAATTGGGGTCGTGTAAGTGATTTTTTACGTGGTCGCGACTTTTCGCGGCGTGTCTTGCAAGAGCCACTCTGCCACTCACTTCCGAAACGGCGGGAAATTCTATCCATCTCTTTAATCTTTCCCCACTACCACTACCCTACCTAATTCTACCTCTTTTTTACATTATTGTTTTCTTAAAGTTAATACAATTTCATTATATCATTCATTTTCAATTACTATCTATCCTCTTACGATCAACCCTATGACATATTGATCCCATTACGTATCGGTGGCCACGAGCTACTAAGGGATTAGGTAGGAGTCGTCGGGCGGTATCAGCCGTCGTTGTCGTAGAGACCGGCTGTGGATATAGTCGATATTGTGGCCGTACAAGCTGCAATGGACAATAATATGTTAAATCCAGGCTTGGTATCCCCTCCTAGAAACAACAATGGCAAGGAGAGAAGAAACCCATCCATAACGCCCAGGAAATTCCGACGATTCTTTACTCCTCGTTCCCGTGTTCCGACACATATCAGCTCAGCAAGAAAGGCACTCCAGGATCTCGCAGCCCCATCCGTTAACAACCGATATCAGACTCCCGATCCCTCTAGTCCTATCAGACCATCTTCAGAGGATCATGCCCAAGACGAGAATTTCGACCGGATCACCACTCGATCATTCAAGCGGAGAAAATATCATCATACCCCTGATTCCTCACCCTGCCGGCCGGGCCTCCTTAGCCCGATCCGATCTCTACATTCAAGCCAGGAGAATATAGATTTAGACCTTGATGAGAGTGAGGATGATGAATTGCCCACCCTTTCAAACCCGGCCAAACCATTGGTACCTCTAGTAAGCCGCGGCTTTGCCGGTCAACTTGCGCAGAGACAGATGGGAGGAATGCCCCGAGCAGGCCGTTCTTATATGACATTCCCAACTACGGACTGGAGAGTAGATACAGCAGACTTTTACACTGCGCCCGACGATGCGTATCGAAATACTAGTAACGAGGGCCCCGGGAATTGCGTTCCATTCTGCGTCGCTTCTTGTCACACGAACGATCTTGTCGCTGTTGGAGATGAAGAAGGACGAGTTCGCTTACTAGAAACGAACCCACCTAAATCGCAGCAATCGTTCCAAACTCCTCATCTGATGTTCCAATCACACAGTAATGCCATCATCGACCTCTGCTTCTCTGAGGATGATTATCGTCTAGCTACAGCTTCTGGAGACCAGACCGGGCGTATCTTAGACATGATGACACAAACTCCAATTGCGGTTCTTCAGCACCATACAGCGTCTCTGAAGCAAGTGCGTTTTCAGCCGGGCAGTGCGAATGGTAGTGTGCTTGCAACATCTTCTCGTGATGGTAGTATTCGAGTTTGGGATCTTCGTTGCGCGGGAAAGCCAGTACAAGATACACTTGTACATCCAGAGCAACGTGAAGATTCTTTACGATTCCGACGTCCTTCGCCGAAAAGTGGTTGTGCTATCAACAGTCTTCATCACGCCCACGCACGTACTTATCGTCAAGTGCAACAAGGTACTGGAGTCGAGCGGGAGGATGTCCCTTCGCGTCGTGAGCTTCCGGGCCGGACAGGTGATGTATCCGTCACAGCATTACAATTCCTACCTTCAGGACAAGAACATCTGTTGCTTTCAGCCTGTGAAGCAGATGCGTCTATTAAGCTCTGGGATATTCGATCCGTACATTCGTCGCGTCGAGGAGTTCCCTCAGCATTATCTGCAACCGCGCCACCTTCATCCCACGAAAACTGGAGACCCTTTGGCATATCATCTCTATCTCTTAACACCGACGGGTCTCGATTGTATGCATTATGCAAGGATAACACCGTTTATGCCTACTCGACTGCCCATCTCATCCTAGGACATGCGCCGGAGATGTCTACACGTAACGGCGAACCACCTCGCCGCCGCCATAATGCAGTCACCCACCAAGGCCTTGGCCCGCTTTACGGATTCCGACATAACTCATTTCACGCAACAAGCTTTTATGTCAAATGCGCGGTTCGGCCAGTGCGCGATGGTAGGAGTGAACTTCTGGCAGTGGGAAGTAGTGACAGATGCGCTGTGCTATTCCCTACGCAGGAGCGGTATTTTAGAGATGCTCTATCATACACGATGAGTAACCTAACTCTCGAGAACTCTACCATCGCCGCCTCTACTGGAGGCCAGCTCCCGCCTGCTAAGAACAGGGCGAATAACTGCCTCTCGGCCCGCCTTGTTGATGACATACCTATTGTCCGCATGGGAACTCCGCTCATCCGAGCCCATGACAATGAAGTCGGCTCTGTGGCTTGGACGAACGAGGGTAAGCTAGTCACGATAGGGGACGACTTCCTCGTTCGTCGCTGGTACGAGGATAGAGAACGCGCCAAGGATTTGAGGACAATGGATGAGTTCGGTGGTAGGCGATGGTGTGCCGGATGGGCGGATGTGGAGCCTGATTGGGATGTGGATGACGAGGAGGACTAGAGAGGGATGGATTTCAAGAGAAGCAAATAGAAACTACGGGAAGGGAGATACGGACATTCACATCGCATCGCATCGCATGGCGTTAGGTTAGGCATTGTGCTGTCTTGCATATTTTCATTTTTTCTGCATTGAGAGGTCACCATCGGAGGTCGACCATCATATACCCCCTTATTTCGCGACTGCGAGTCTAATAGGAGCATTAGCATTGCCTTATAGATTTTCATCGAGTAAATGGATGAGTTTTAAAGATTGAATGCTAGCTTTCATCTTATGTGACGGTGTAAGGCCGGAGTTTGGAGTGACTCTTCGGACTTTGTGATAGCAGAGTTCTAGTAATTCACAGCGTGTTGCAGACCGCAAGATGGGCTTACACGGATAATCAGTGACTAGAGGAGATATCCAAAATACAAAAGATAGTCAACCGTGGGCACTTTGTCGTGTTGATGGGAGGCTTTAGTGATGCTGCTCGACAACATCTAGTAGACATTTAAGCAATTTTTGGGCAGTGCCTGAGGCCCTATAAAATAGGCGGGAAAGGAGAAAATAGTGACGGTTCATGTATCATTCTAGGGGACACTCTGGAGCACTACCCTAAGATACACGCTGCATCCTAATCAAGTGTTCGGCCTCGGACATTACGCCGGGAGTATATTAAATCGGCGGCTTTCTGAACAATGCTGTTGAAGGTAACATTTCAGAAGAGACCTAGGTAATTAATACGCCGGACCACATCAGACAGTTGTCGGGAGCGTGGATGTTAGCATACTCCTGTCTCACTTCTTTCGGCGGCATTCATATGCAGCTTTTCCACACGTAGCATCCAGAATATGTGCCTCCTCGGCACTCGGAGACTACTCACGACACGTAATTTAAGTGAAATTTCGGGCACCAATCGCAGACAAATAGGTGGTCTATTATACATGAAGATCATGGTAGCAATCTTGACAAGTCGAACGAATCAAGATCGGGTGGACAGATAGATTTCGGTCAGTCATGGTCACTTTGTTTGATCTCGCTCGCTACAGGTTCGAGTTTAGGTGCCCTATCTTACCTACATTACCTACTGTAGGGCTGCATGCATGCAGACGTGCCCATGAGCTGCAGCTAGGTACCGTATCAGAGCGCGACGCTGGCTTTCATCCCCTCCCCCTCCCTACCTACCAATGGATACCTGGAACTAGGTAGAACAAATAGACCCCAATGGCTATCCCCACACGTACATACCTAACGCATGTTTTGCTGCTCGAAGATGGAGACCGAGCGAGGGAGTGGATTTAGATTCTTCGCGTGATTTCTTTCTTTCGTCCTTCCGAAGACAGCAGCATTCCAGAACCGGGTACCGACTTGCTGATGATCCTACAATAACCTGCATAATAGCCGTTTCGTACGTAGCCAACTAACAGGCAAGCAGGGAGAAGAAATCTTAGGGATGAAAAAAACCCCGAAAACGAAACGCAAGCGTGTCTTCACCGCCAGTTCTAAAAGTCGCCCGTTTGTTGCGCGTGTCGACAGTCGCGGTGGAGCTTCCGGTAGAAAGAAGTAGGTTGGTACTTAGGTAGGCAAGTCAGGATTTCCATTGTGACGAGGCCGCAGAATCCGTAACCTGCTGAAATAGATGGATGGACGCTGATGAATGGATGGTATTCTGGGTACTTAGAAGGCCGCATATTCGACGGCCCAGTCCCCGGAGCGAGTTATACGTCGTTCCGAGACCTCTTTCATATTCTACTATAGGGAATTAGTGAGGTCATCCATGGAGTTTGCGTTGTTTTAGCACTTCATGCAAAAGGATCGACTACGTAAATTGAGAGGCCAGCTCGTCATTATTAATAGCCAGAGCGTTACTTAGTGTAGCCTGTAGCGTTAATTAGCTACAGCTTTGTGCCGAATGAGAAAATCGGGTGGCTGGGGATCGGAAATCTGTCACTCCTCCCTGGTTATTGGTCAATGGATATCCTCCAAACCGGGTCCCCCTGTCCTCATCCGCGTCGCAGCAAACTGTGGTTATGTGATGCGCATATCCTAGGTACGCGAATTGATGAAATACCGACCTAGAATATCGTTTGTGGTTGAAAGAGAAGAATGGATAGACTCGCGACAGACTTCATTCTTCGGTGAATACACCACATGGACAGTCTACGTGTTCCGGTAACACAATTGTAGCTAGCCGTGGACGCTACGCACCAAGACGAAATCGAAATCGTACCGTTTCTCCGTTACTTGGTCTCCAAGCTATTCCGGTCTTTGATCTTGTGCCCCACGACTTTATGCCACATGAGGATGCCTCGAAGTGTCTTAGACAGAATATCGTGGCATTAGCCCAGAAACTAAAACCCGTAGCCACGGGACGGACACTAACAACGGGGGTATCGTCGTCTTAAGTCTGTCTACCTAGTACCATTAGAAACTTATCGCTGGTACATCCAGCTGAAACCGAGGTAAGCAGTTCAGTCTAACCAAATTATAGGTGTTCCGCGAAAGACGATATACGCAATTAGATTTGGTTATGCTCTCAACTTAACTCCGAGTTGTTGTAATGCTGAACTTCGAAGACAAAAGATAATGCAAAATAGGCATTATTACTTCCGATAGCTTCGCTGCCCAACACAATATATTTTAATCGAATACGAACACAAAAAGAAAGGAGAACAAAACAGAGGCTAGAGAGATAAAGACGTTGATAATAAACCCCCTGTACCCTGTCAGTTCCTGGAAAATCTCACTCTTTGGGACGTGTTTGCGCGTGGCGGCTGGACCCGTCATAAGTCAAAAAAAGTAATTTATGGATTCGTCGAGCTGATTTCTTAAATTACTCCCTTTCTTTTTTTTACATTCAACCGCTACTGACGGTACTTATCGAAAGACAAGAGGCAAAAAGAGGGCACACTTTACAGGCAAAGCCCCCCAAGCCATACCTAATAATTATAACGTCTTAAGACCTTTAATTTATAATACCTAACTTATTAGTTACACGACATCATCGACTCGAAACTCCGGCTCGGACCCGAATTTCCCTGGACCTCTGTTGGACCGTGTAAACTTGCTGTCCCCGTCCTTGTCCTGTCCTGTTCTGTTGTTGACTTACTTCAGCTCCTGGCAAGTCAGTCCCCCGGAAAGTGGACAACTCATCTTGCATCAAAGTTGCTGCACGATAGACGGCTTCCCATTCGCTTGTCAGCTCACTCTTAGCACGTTCCCTCAGAGATCGGAAACTAAACTGTCTGCACCCGGTACAAGTACTACACAAGTCTCGTGGTTATTTGGATATGACTTCTTGACACACAATACCATCATCTTGTTTCCCTTTCCCTTTTCCTCCTCTCCTAACCCTCTATCCCTTGGCCCTTGGTCTTGTGTTTCCCCGGTTTAGCGTCGCATTTTAAAAAGGCAAGCGCTTCTACATAAAGAAACGACCCGACGCGGACGCGCGTAAAAAAGTTGTAATAGAGTACCGGGAGAAGAACAAATCTTCGGAAAAGGAAGCCAAGTCGGTTCATGCAGAGAACGCTGTCCTGCAGCTCTCCTGAAATTATTTTTATTTTTATTTTGCCCAACTCCCACGCGGATCGCCTCTTACATATGCATATACGTGCATAAGCGCGAGCACACAAAACAATTATTTACATCCGCCGTGTGCCCCCTTTTTAAAAGAGAAGGAAGAAAAGAAAAAAAGAACGAGAGGAAGAAAAGCTCGAGGCTCATGCTGCACCCTCCACGATCACCACACCTTATCGTGACATTGCACACTTACATACATACGACTTACACAGGTACTGAGGACGCCAACGCTAATGTCGACTTCTGGAGCCGCTTGAAAAAAAGTCGCGGGGGCCAAGAGTTCAATATATTCAAGTCGAATATAGCGAGAACTCCACATAGTTTCAAACCGAAGCCTGGAAAAAACAGCCGTCGTTCAATCGAGGACTCCTTGTGTTGACCTCACACCGCCACTGGCCTTCGATTGCTGAAGAAACCAGCCCAGGTTTTGCCCCAGTTCCTGCGGAGATCCTATATATAGTTATTACTATCATCGTACATTCGATCAGCGGCCATACGATCCAGATCAGCGAAGAAGAAAAAAACTAGTGCGCGCCGGTACTGACGTCGAAATGCTTCACGATCGAACAGGCCTCATAACACCTACCGCCGCCGTCGCCGCCGCCCTACTTCAGCCCCCATCATCCTCATCATCCTCATCATTATCTCATTTCTTACCCTAATTCCTCGTTGGTTAATTCCTCATTACGTTTAATTTATTTTGCGCATTCGACCACCCTCCAATTCGGAAAACTCGCACGTTTCTGGGGGTCTGGTCCTGCCCTTTGTATTACTTTTCACTGTATCATATTGGTCAGTAGTCCCCATCCAATGGCATGGCTTCGTCGCCCTTCTTATTTCGCTTGGTGTGGATATATATGGCCCGATGAGTTTGCGCCAACTAATATATCGTAACCACTAGTCTATTGTAATATTTTTTATTATTTTTTCGAATGTTTAATTTTGGTTGGGTTGTACTTCTTAAGGACCAGGGTTTTGTGTGGAATATCGTGTAGGCTCTATCGACTAGAGTTGCTCTACTTAGACGAAAGAAAGAAAGGATCCCCCCGACGCGGCTTTTGGGACGACGAATTTTGCGCCCGCTCGATTTATTTCTTCGGCATCAACGACTTCTCATGCTGACATCGAAATTAAGTCGTCTTGCTAGTCACTCGTTATTAAAGTATTCACAAATTGTGGAAAGTGGTTGTCGCTCCGGGATTCGTAACAGGGTGGACGATTATATCTTGGCCTCAGTCAGCGCCCCTGACTTAATTCTCGACGTCCACCCAACATAGTTGGATCTCGATCGATGCTGTCGTTTTTGTAAACGACATTCTGCTTCGGACCTTCCTCGTTCAAACCACTGCAAGGGTTCTGTTTGTGTGTTTCAAATTCGTTTGCGATAGAAGCACATCTAAACCCACTACTTCTTCGTCTATACCTCAGGTTTCTACTGCGCGCAATCACTGCAACCCATTGTACTCTCAGGAAGTCTTCTCGAGGAAGTTGCAGGTCGTCTAAGGTATGTTTGTCCTTGTCCAGTTCCATCATCACCAGCCTCGGGCATCCATCATGAAATCTTTTCCAACACATAATTTATATATTCATGCTTCTCGTTCTCTACCCTATATAGATACGATATGTAACAACGTTACGAATACCACACTTCGCATTTCGAGTATTCATATCACATCCCTCTACACTTCACCCTTTGTTGATTCCTCATATATCGTACCATCATGAATCTCTTCCGCAAACTCATGTCTCACCTTATAATAGGGTCTTGGTGTTCGCGCGCCTTTCCCCCCGGTCTTCTTTCAATGGCTTCCTCCGAGGTCGACCAAAAGTTCCTCGGGCGCCTTGCGAAAGCCGTCGAACCGAACAATGCGCTTCTCGGGTCTATGCTCTTCAAGATTCTGGGCCTATCCATCAATGTCGCAGATCAGCTAGTAAAGGCGCGGAAGCAGCGCCGGCCGGATACCAGCACCACCAGCGGAACAGCTGCAAACCGCGTCGCAGAATCCCTCGAGTTGTACTTCCACATCCTATGGCTCTCACGCGAAGGTCTCGTGATGTTAGAGCAGTACGTTTTACCTATGGTAGGCGACCACGTCGAACTCAAAGTCCTCGCCTACAAACTCCGCGCATCCTTCTACCACATCTTCGTGCTCTTCCACAACAACCCACCAGTCTCCGCCATGGCCATAGCGACGACACCACAACCCGATTTCGCAACAATGATGCCGGATCTAGCAGCCCCAAGACTCGACAAAGGAAAAGGTGTAGACAGGGGCGACCCAACAGCATACGTCCAACCCCTCTTCGAGCAAAGCGGTCCCGCACCACCTCCAGGTTTCGAAGCACAGGCTCATGCGCAAGGGATGCCTCAAATTCCCCTCGAACCCGCAGCTGCGTTTTTACTACCGTCTGTGGATTACTTACCGACAGCACACCAGTACTTCCGCGAAGCGTGTCATTTAGCAGATACTTTACTCTGGGGATCGCATTCCCTACGACTGTCGGTGAAAACGGAGTACGCGGCGTTCTTATACGAATGCGTGCATGATCGCGAGGGAAGTCGCAAACTAGCGCGTGATACTATTGCGGAGGTGTATGAGGCGAGTGAGGGTATGGACGATGATATGTTCAACGATGCGTGTGAACTCGTTACAGTGCTAGGGAAGATGATGAAGCGTGGATTGGGAAGTGCGGGGGGAGATAGAGGGGGAGGCTCGAGAAGTGGTGGACGACCGAGTCCGAGTGCGATGGGGTCGGTGTCCCAGGGGGAGAGCAGTGCGACGATTGTTCCGCCTGTGCCGCCGGTGGGCATGGAGAATCCGATATAGGATTGGATTTAAAGGTCATGGGCCGTGATGTCTGGCGTTGAACTAACATACACCCATACCCTATAGACGAGTCATTTGTCGGCCATATCACATAGATCTGGGATTTTCTTCGACCACGATCTACCCGAATCCCCATACACGTTCACACGAGCATTGCCTCGATACGCAAACACCACGCCATACATCTACAGTTAGTGAAGGCCTCATCCGAAGCATACAGGAAAACAGGTACGACGTGAACATCATAATACGTTAATATAATTACCACCGAATAAAAGGGATTCAACACATTCTCAATCCAAACTCGAGAATTACCACATGCCTCCTACGCATAAACCACACCATACATGCCATATACCCATGATATCCATTCTCCGAATTTACACCCGCATAGGAGAACACCACCAAATAGTGATCCCTTTTTTACCATAATTTTATTTTCATTTCTCGTTCATAAAAGTGTTTGATGATACCCAGTTTCGTACTGCTGGAAGGATGGACAGACAGACAGACAGACGGGGAGGGGATAGATAGGCCCAGCTGTATCCGATAAATAGGACTGGATAACAGAAGTGGTGGCCCCGTCATTGCATATTAGATCAATATTAGTATTAGTAGTTAGTTGCGAGCATAGGATAGGATGGGTTCCGGATCGAGGCTCAGTAGAGCTTTGCGTTCCGAGATTGTATAAAAGACAAAGTTTTGCAAAACTGATTATATTTCGGTTATGATCGTGTTACCTGATGTTTCTTAAGATGTGCCAGTGTGAATTATTTGCGGTTACCGTGCTGCTGTGCAAAGTACCTACCTACTACTCACCACCATGCCATAAGAGTGTTCACACCCTTTTCTACCCTCCAAATAACCGAATTCCTAGAGATAATATCAAGTCTATTACTTAAGATGTAATTCAGGGTATCTCATGATCAGTCTAGTCTAATCTAGGCCTTAGCACCCTCTACTCTAATCCGTCTGTCTGTCTGCCTGTTCATTAATTCATCGGCTCATCGGCTCATACATCCTAGCACCCATCGTGATCCCGAACGCCACCTGCCTCACCTCATGCAAGCCACCGCGGAAACCCCCTCAACATCCGGCACCTTAGTTCATAAGCACACAAATTCCCTCTCATCGAAACCTCACCGCCCCCCGTCCATCAACGCCACCCCCACTCACCACATCACCATCCGTCTTAACCTTTCTCCCCAGCATCCCACTACCCCCTCCCTCCTTCCCCCCCTCTCGACTTCCACTCCCTACCCTCGCAGTACCTGCAACGGCCTTCCGCAACGCCAACCTCCTCCTGCGATCCCTCTCCACAACCACACTATCCCGACTCCTCAAACTCAACAACGGCGGTCTCCGTACACCTCCCTAAGCAACCGTCGCCGCCTCGTATTCCGTTCCGCATACTTCATCGAGTTCTCCCACGATGTTTGTCATATACGAGAATATATTCTGCGCCTCGGATACGACATCCTCTTGTTCTATTTTCGTAAGAAAAAGCCTCGAGTCCGTTGTAATGTTCGGGTGAAGATCAGTTTGGAGTGTGGCGGCGGTGTTGTCTGCTGGTATGCATGTAGAAGTAGCTAAACGCGCTTTAAATTCGACTTTTAAGTCTTCCCCGTCTGAAGGCGTAGCGAAGCGGAAGAAACTCAGAGGATGCTCTGTCGCTGTCTCGTCTCGTTGATTCTGTATCTTCCGTTGTGTTTTTTCCCATCGTGCTCCTGTTCCAGTAGATGGGTATCCGCCCGGCATCTTATACTCATCTATCACACCTTCTTCCTGCTCTCCATTATCACTATCAGACTCCCCGCCATCTACCATCGGTCTCCAAAACGCTTCATCCTTCCCCACGCGCTCGAGCGAGGCTCGGATAAAGCGTCCGCCTGAGAACAGCGCCATGTATAGGACCCAAGCGTATGCTATCAGTACATGTGGTTTCTCACCCACCGCGTCACGGATATGCGACAAGAGCTCCGCTAGTATCGGTGACTCGCTGGATACCTCGGCTAAACGTTCCGCGAGCGTAGCGTCGGACCATCCCGTTAATGCGGTGAGATCCTCGTGTAAAGCGGAAGAGCGAGCTAGGTTAGGGAGGTAGATATGCTTAAGAAGAGCATGAATACGGGGGAACACCGTAGAATTTGAGTCGGTGGTAAGTTTGGTAGAGGTAAGAGGGTCCTGTATAATGCCCTGCCATAACCCCTCGAAGGTCGCGTAAATAGGCGCGATGTGTAGTAGTCCCTGGACGTAGTTCGATGCATCGTCGGTCCGGGGCGGAAGAGCCAGTGGGAGACGTAGGATGATGAGTTTATTGAGTTTGGTGTGCGCTGGACGTGTGGCGATGTTGATGGATTCGCCTAGAGTGCGGTTTGTTGTGGGCGGCGTGGTGGCGGCGCCGTCTTCGGTCTTGGAAGGCATGGTAGCAGATAGGTAGGTAGACAAATAGGTGGTAGAGTAGAGTGAAGGCAGTAGAGCGATGGTGTTCTCTAGGAATTTTAGGTCCTTTGAGTTATTGTCATACTGAGTAGTATATGTGGGTAGATATAGCTCTTCAATAGGTATTAGGTATACAGAACTAGGTATATATCTGTTGGTAGTGTGTAGGTAGGTAGCTATGTCGGGCTGAGCGAGAGCTGATCGGTAAGGCAACTCAAGGAATGAGCAGGTGACCGACTTTATTAGAGTCAAGTTACTACTGCTTCGATCACAGTCACGGCCCTAGTCATTTCCCCGGCTGAAAGCCACAATAGTAAGCACCAGAGTCTACGTGTGACACTGCCGTTTCGTGTCTTCCGCGACGATAACAACGCAGGAACAACACCACAAACCCAGCTGAAGGTTAAGGGGGAAAGGTGCATATAGGTAGGTAGCCGAACATAGGAAACGGCCACACACCTTGTGCACGCAAACGGAACATAACCAAAGTGTGTACTACATGTACGTCCTAACTTCGGATTATACTAGTGGCGGGTTTGTTATTAAATCTGATTCATTTAAGGCCGAGGAAAACTTGAATGAGATGTTGCGGCTCCGTCCCGTGCACATGGGTATATATGAGTGAAATGACCCCTGGATCCTGAGCTAGGTGAGCATCGGCGCCTGTCAGCAGCCACCATCGGATATTAGTGACAAAGAACCTGAATTACAAGGACTGTAGGCGGTGTACCGGAGATATTATTTAAATTCCAGAAAGTATAATAAGGTTGACGGCTCGCTACGTACTCAAGTTACCTAAAAGAAGAATCTTTTTAGCTTGTTATCATGCATGCAACCAGCGGTAAACTAGAGCAGACTACTGTTCAATGGATACTACATACCTGTACCTACAATGCATATATTCTCGTCAGGGGGAGGCTACCTACACGCGCTAGAATCTTGGAAAGTTCCATATCTTCTGACTAATGCTAGATTGGGTTTGCTGGATTACTTATAGAAATGGTCAGGAGTGAACTGATGTCATTCACCGAAGTATTCTGACCTAGAGGCTAGTTCTATTGCGGATTAGGTGAAGTTGAATCATTTCACCTCATCTATATAGACCGGGAATATCCGTTCAACTTATAAATCAAACTCACAAGACAAAGAACTATTCCTGCACCACGTTCTCGAGTAGGTCTACTTAGCCGAACACGCCAGCTCATATCTCACCAGCCCTACCCACAACTCTCTAGTTTCTCTTTGTCATGTATACTATAGATACCTAGGTGAGCACAAAGATCTAATCTAATCCATCAGTACGCCCCGATATTCGGCGGTATGTTCCTCGAATCCGAGCAAACATCGTCTACTAGCCCTAAACAAGGGATATCCATCATACCACCCAGGAACAACTCTAAGAAACATAAAGGTGAGGTAGTTATTCAGGCCAGCAAGTTTGCTCTCCCGGCTCTTTAGTACTTAGTATGCTATACTCGTAGCAATACCTACTCTATGATATTTACAAAGCGTCCCGCCTTGTACGGGTAGACACCCTACCAATCCGTGTAATGCACCCATTCTGAAAACCCGATCAATTATCCCAACCACGACGCCGTTCGCCAATAATCCCATCCGAAAAAGCCTCAAGAATACTAGAGCCTAGAAAAAAATCATGGCTCTGGTAAATTACTCCTACTCCCTCTCTCAAAACCAGCCTTCGCGGCGTCGTCTTCCTCGTGACTCTCATGATTGATGAATATGAAAGACACCAAAACAATCGCAGCGCCGATCCAGTACACAAAACTAGAGTATTGCGCATATTGAATCATCTCGCCGATTAGTGATAGCGGTATCGTCAAGGACAGACCGACGGTAACAACCAACGGTGTCGTTAATAACATGGCGTATGCCCATGATATATCAGAGATGAAGGAGGATATCGAGTTGAGCTGTAGAAAGGTCAGTAGCCATCCTACCTAAGAATTTCATAAAAGAATTAGAACGTACCACAATAATAGCCCAGACCTTTCCACTAGGCGGCAATTCAAACGTCTCAATCCCCGTAAAATGCAGGATAAAAAACAACGGCCACAAAAACAAGATATTAAACACGCCCACGAAGCCAAACGCCAGGGGCATATTAACACGATCCTCGTTTCCGATGCGCACCTTCATAACGACGACATACAGCCCATATACAACCGCGCTAAAGAACGCCATCGCATCGCCGATAGCGATTTGTTGTTGACTCTTATGCGGGAAATTCCCTCTATGATCATCGTTATCCTGGCCCGACAAATCGACAGTCGAAATAAGTATAATACCAGCAAGCGAAGCCAGCACGCCGATCAACTTGCGCACGGAAAAGGGCTCAATACGCATCACGGCGCACGAGATCAGCGTCCAGACGCTGCTCGTCGACGTGAGTATCGTAACGCTGGCGACGCTCGTGTACTCCAGACACGCGGACGCGAAGTAATTACCCAAGAACCAAATCATGCAGAACTCAAGACTGAACTTAGCAGTCTCGAAAAACGACAATTTGTCCGAGGGTTTCGGGAGGTCGGCTGCTTCGAGACTGCCTTCGTCGTCGACTAGTAATCGCTCGCCGGCTGTGAGATCTTCGTCTTCCTCGGATGTTTTTAAGCGCTCGACGCCGTGGTGGCGGGAGCGCCATTCTTGGATCGCTTGGTTCTTAACGCGGGTGAAACCGCCGTTCTCGAGGCAGTATTTTATGGTGACTGGGATGAAGGATACGGCGAATACGGAGGTGTTGATGTACACTAGGAAGAAAGGTTTGTCGTATGTATGGTCGGAAAATATGTACTTCAAGTATATAATGTCAGCATCGTAAAGTCCTATCACATGCACTCACCCAGCTACTCGGAGAAGAGGGAACTCACACTCGCAAGGAAATTCGACGCCGTCCATAGGAACACTGTAACCAGCAACAACGTAATCCCTAGCGTTCTCCTCGCCATATTCCCTATCCCGGCTTTCCTCCCTAAGCTCGGTATGCTTCCCCAGGACATAGACGATCCGGTCATATTCTCGGAGGGCGCGGGCGGTTCGGAAAGTCTCCGTCTTGGTATATCGTACTCGGCTTCGCTATCGCCCTCCGCAAACATAAACGGTTCCTGAGGCGCCATATCGAATCGAGCGCACAACGCGGGAGGAGGGGAAAAAAGGGATGCGAATTAGGTATCCCTCCGAGTCGCGTGAGGCCAGATCATATATCGGCGAAACAAAACGGAATCCTCGGGTCTCGGGTATCGTAAGGAACGAATTCTAGGAGACATACACAACACTTTCTATGTTGCAAAATGAAAGGCCTATAAGGAAAAAAAACCATAAAAAGGAATGAATAATAAAAAGAAGTAGGTAGACACATAAAAAGATTGTGAATTATTCGAGGTTATCTGAAACAAGTTTGGAGCATTTCGAAAAAATAAGAATAAAAAAGGATGTTTAAATTCAACTAATTCCCTAATTCCCATTGTAACTGACTGACTTACTAGTAAAACCGGCGCGCAACGTCGGTGATCTGTGACGCCGAGTCCAGTCCTACAGTAGCCCTGGAGGTCCCTTGTACGCTGTAGTATACGCTAGAATGGAACCCCCCCCTTCCCCCAAAAACCCCTGCGTAAGGTCCAAGGGTTCGGGGCGGTTAGTGAGTGGGAACACCTACTGGATTAGTTACTTCGTACCTAATTAGGTCAGCCATTGCTACACCATTGCATGTGCCTTTCGTCTCATCCATAGGTACTGATACCTCGTGACTCATGACTGGTCGTACAATTGCGTATTTTAATATCCAAGGGGTTCAGGCAGCAAAGTCACAAGGTTAGGTTCATATAATATCATGTCTCTTGGGTACATACTACGTGAGATAACAATGAACAACCACTTCTGGATGCTATCTAAAGGAGATATCGAGATGTCTTAATAATCCTTAACGAGACATTCGAGACTCGACCTTACTTACAGCCCTGTAAACCGTATCAACAGGGCAAACAAAAATGCAATGCACCAACTGTTCTATACACTTATTAGGGACCTAGTCCCAGAAAATCACCCTGCTTCGAATCTGTAACTTGTCCCTTAGAGCTCCCCTGAAAATAGCGAACCTTCCATACAAACAGGCGAACGATAGTTGAGAAGGCAGAATGAGCTGCATATAAATAATCAACGTCTAGGTAGGCCGAGTTGACCGAGCGGAGAACGGAGTGTTGCAATGTGCGAGATAGATGAGGTGCCGGGGATATTATGGATGACGACACTTAGCATGCACAACCGTCGCGATCGTTCTCAATGTGAATGTTGATAGGGTCTTGGAAATCCCCGCTGAACTCTTCTGATTCTTCTTGCGCCAGCGCATTTCGTGCAATAACTATGTCACAGTGTTAGAATAACTTAATAATGAAGAGAGGATCGAACAATTGAGTACCTTCGAAAGCTTCCTCGACATTTACGGCTTCCTTGGCACTAGTCTCGAAATAGGGAATGTCGCCCTTTGAGTGGCAGAAAGTAGCAGCTCTCTTACTTGAGATCTGTATATTGTCAGCTTGTTATCTTCATTAATGGTTTGGCCTTACTTACGACTCGCTTGCTCTCCTCAACATCAATCTTGTTTCCAAGCACAACCTTGACATTATTGTTAGCGGATAATCGATAGAGTCGAATCGAGGGTTCTTACGAATGGGAAGTTCTCAGGGTCCCGAGGAGAAGCTTGAATTAAAAATTCGTCTCTCCAGCTATCCAGCGCATCGAAACTCTTAGAGTTATTGACGTCGAATACCAGCACGCAGCAATCGGCACCTCGGTAGAATGCGACACCTAAGGATTGGAAACGTTCCTGACCGGCTGTATCCCAAAGCTACTTATCATTAGCTATCGTCGTTTGAAGTCCGTTATGATCTTCATTCCTCGTACCTGCATCGTAACTTGTCGATCGTCAACTAGGACCTCTCGGGTAAGGAAATCGGCACCGATGGTAGCTTTGTAACTGGCGCTGAACTTTCTGTTGACCTATAGAGTAGACGAAATTAGTATCGAGTGGTTTGGGGGTATCGGAATGGGGGAATCGTCGGGAAACTGCTCGGATTGTCGACCATAACATACATATTGATTCATCAAACTTGTCTTGCCAACACCGCTGTCGCCGAGTATAATAACCTAAATAGCTTAAGCATTAGTACATAAAGCCATGTGGGGAGATAATAAATCTAGGGTATTAAGTAGCAATGATCGTACCTTCAAGAGGACCTTCTTCCTAGAAGCCATGATGGAGGTGTAGCTGGGCAGCTCTTGTTTGTGTCAGAATGGAGGCCTTTGGTAGAAGCTGATAAATAGCTCGATTATATGGGTCGCCTTATGTAAAAGAATTCGGATCGAAATCACTGAGCTTGAGCGACCGTTGGAAATTGGTGTGAGGGCGTTGTTGTCGTGTTGATGTTGGGATTGTTGAAGTTGTTACAGTTGTAGGTGAAGTTAGTGAAGTTAGTTGTACCTGTTTGAAGCCTGGAACCGACGGATTAGTGCTGGACCTGGTCGGACCTTCGTCGATCTTGCCTGATATAGTAGTTGATAAGGCGCTGTGACTGCCCTTAATTCCAAGGTTACAGCTTAATCTTAGGTGCCTTTTTAGTGTGACACGCGATCAATTCAGTGGCTGGGAACAGCTGAGACAGCCACAATTCCCCCAATCTTTAGAAGCCACAGGTACATACATAACGCAATGAGCGCTGTCGATTACGATGATGTTTTCCGATTTAAATGGACATGCACATTTTAGTTTCACTGAAATCGGACCTAATCCAAATTCACATAACTTTTCATAAATACGCAATGAACGGAGACAAACTTGCTACGCTCAAGAGAACGTTGTTTCTATCTGATTGTGCAGATTGTGTAAGAAAGTCAAGAATCACGGGGACCTTGCTAAACGGTCAGACTTGGAAGCTATCACATGCAACTTCACTTCCACTCTTACAATTCAAAGTATCAAATCAATGACCAACAGAACATTGAGCTACTCTCAGCATTACCAAGTACAGAAAAGCCTCAACTTTCATATGTACAATCAACTCGAATTAGGTAAAATAGAAAATAAACCCTGTAAGTGCCTACCGTAGAAAGTTGAGATCTTCTACGTATAGCAGTGCGATGTCATGATGTCATACTTCATCATCTCATATATATGCCATCAGAGATATGGCAAATTCTAAGCTTTCTAAGCCATTGAACATTCGCACGTAAAAAGCCTACCCCTGCATTCTTTCCTAGGCTTCTAGACTCATAGAAATCAAACTATCAGTATTCTGTCTTCACTAAGTTGTCACAATGGTAGCTATTCGCATTAGCAACGCCCTACGGGCAACCCGCACTCGGGCTCCTCAAGCTTACCGTACTTTTGCTACGACACCTCGTTACTGCTCGCAAGGCTACGGCGATGGAAAAGGTGATCCGAAAGCCGACGACCCTCAAAACCAACCATCATCCAGTGCCGCACAGCAAGCCTCCGAGCACCCAGGCCCGAGTCCTCCAGACGTAGGCAAAGGCACCGGAGCCGGGCCAACCAAAGCCGGTCTCAACGCCAGCATGAAGCAAGCCGCAGCCCGCGAATCCGGACAAAAGACCCCCGAAGACTCGAGCGCACAATCAGGCGGTTCCCGCTCAAAAGAAGCAACAGAAACAGGCGGTAGTCCCACAGGCGGCAGCATCGCCAACGCAGCGAGTCAGAGCGGAGGTGAGGCTCTCAAGGGACCGCAGGGCAAGGGAACTCCTAGCCCTAAAATCCATAACCAGAGTATTTCTGTTAAAGAGGGCTTGAGTGACGAACAGAAGCAGGAAGTCGAAAGGCATAATAAGGATTTCGAGAAGCGGCATGATCGCGCTGCCCCGGCTTCGGAGGATAAGGTTGATTCGAAGTTTTGGAAGGGGACGTAAGTGATGCCTTGGATTTACTCTGCTACTGCGTTGCTTTGCCTTGAATTTACCGCGTTGCATTGCGTTGTTTTCGAGGAAAGAACAGAGCGACGGGCTGACTTGCTATGAATATAGCGGCGGTGTTCAACAAGGAACGTCGGATTGGAATGCTTAATGAAAAGGTAGTCACCACATGATTTCTGCGGATGCATTTCAGTAATCAATCCGGTGTATGGTTATTTGAAACCATAGAGCCATTGTATATAACATGATTTCTCGGGACTATCATCGTTCTGTCTGAAGAAATGAAGGGTATTGGAATGACGTAAATGGGTGTATAAGGGCGGATAAAATTGAGATTTAGGTCATTAGGAGGTAACTGTCGCAGTTCTATTAGGGAGCTAAGGCCCTGGCCCGGGCTCTATAATTTAAAATGCTCCGATGCTGGGAGTCACTTAACACCTTCAACATTTCACATCCCCCGTATCAAACCATCCATTCCAAAGTAATCAATCACCAAAACAAATGTGATTCCATGGATAGCAAACTTCTCTTAAGACACAGACTCGATGGCGGATGAGGATCTCCTGCACCGGATTCACGCCCTGGAGGATTTGGATCTAGCAGCACTCCTATGTCTCGTCAGCCGCGAGCATTGCATCGTCAGCACCGAACCCGCTGAACTCGACACATTAATCGAAGAACTACGCCTCGTCGCCTCACAGACATTTAACCTCTCCTCCACCGTCGTAGATTGCACATCACGCACCACCCTCGACGACCTCGCCATATCCATCCAACTCCCTCCTCCAACCCCAACCCCAAACCCTCCACTACAACTCCAAACACCCGCTCGACGCACATCATCCGTATCCCCCCTACGGCGGCGTGGCACCGAGTCCTCCTACTTCCACGGCCACAGCAATAGCAACGCAGCCCAGACACCCACCCACACCCACCATACCCCCCAAATCGCCAACATAATCCTAGCCAAAAACCTCGACCGCGCGCCCCGAGACGTACAAATCCAATCTCTCGAACTAATCCGCACACGGCGCATCCTAACCCGAACCAGCGTACAAACGGCACCTAAGCAATTCCTCTTCATCGCCGTACTCGAGCCCGCGGGTGCCAGTCGATTAGTCACGCATCTCAACGATTTATTCTACGTCTCGCACTGGCATGACCCGGAGGATGGATTCGCGCATTTAGAAGACGGAGGTTTGGATTTGTATGAAGATGGGGATGATGGGAAGGGAGGTGAAACAGCAAGTCTAGACAGCGCGTCAAGTGTAGTTCGCCGAAGCACGGTAGACTCGATTACTGCGACGCCGAAACCGAAACCGGGTCGCAGTCGTAGTGCGAGTAATATCAAAGGAGGGAATTATAAGACTAGGGATGATAGGTCGATACTTAGCTCCCGCTCACGTATATCCGCGTTCCCGCGGATTACTGAATCTGATATCGCGACATTGGCTCTACTAGCCCGACAGACGAGTGTGGATGTTGAGGTATTGAGATACCAGATGAATATCGTATCATTCTTGCGCATGCACCGCGCCGCTGCTCCAGGAGGAGGCGGTGCTACACCATTAGCCACACAGCATTTCGGTCAGCTCTCGAAATGCCTCGCAGCACTACACGGCTTAGACTACGTGACACCCGCACTGGTCGGACTCGCTGCTAGGAAAGTGTACGCCCATCGATTCCGAGTCGTAGAAGATCCGATACATGAGAGGAGCATGCAATGGGGCAGCGACCTTGCAGCTGTGGAAGCACTACTGGAGGGGGTCGGAGCAGAGGATGTGATAGAAGATGTATTAAGCATGGTAGAGGCGCCATTATAAGGAATTATGATACCCAAATCGAAGGAACACGGATTGCATATTATAGGTTACGGATAGTAATAGAAATAAACCAAGCTCTAGCAATGGGAGCATTTGCATCACAATTACGTTTTATTATTTCATTCGTAACTTCTGTACAATTCAGATCTACGTATGCCCATGTAAAGGCAATACCAAGCTGAATTCAAGGTTCGTACAATGCGTACTTTTACAACATTTCCAATTCCGAAAAACGCCAGCCTCTTTGGGCTTTGGTAATCCATTATCACCGTTTCCGTGTTTTCCTCATCATTAAGTTAAGTTGCTCTAAGTAGGATTTTTCTATAACTCGTGTAAATAGACACCATCGATCTTGTCGAAGGTATCGATTGTATAATAATGGATGGGTGCGATTAGTAGGTCTGGCTGACTTTGCAGGACCAGCCGGAGTTCTTAGATAATAAGGGCAGACTGTATATACGTTAGCATTTAGATGAATTATATGGGATGAAAGAGGAAAGATTCTTACCTAGCTCCCAAACACCAACCCAACTCATTACCCTTGATCTTTTTGGCGATCTTGACCTCTCGGTCGATGGGCATATCGTATCCGGTGTGTAGCAGGCCGATCATGAAGTTAAGGTCGAGGCAGTACTCGCCACGGTCGCGTAGCTCTTCGAAAGCACCCGGTACGTTGGCGAACATATCCCAGGATGGCTCACCACCACAGACGGCAGCAGCAAGATCGTGTAGCTCGCGTAGGGTAAAGGAGTCAGGCATACCAAGAGGCTTGGCACGATCGTAGAAGAAAGAGAAGATGTAGACATCTTCCTTGGCGAAAGTCTTAGCTAGAGATGGCTGGTGAACACCGTTGAAAGAGCATGGCGCAAGCTTGCACTCGGCATCCTTGTATAGGATGCGCTCAGCGAGAGCACGGCATTGAGCCGGCGCTGGGTTCGCGGGGCCAGTCACGTTAAGTTCAAGCTCACCAGTACCCAAGGGGCTGTCGTCGCCGAGCTTAACCTTGATCATATCATGTTGGCCCGAGTTAATGCAAGGATGGTTGAGGATGGGCTTCTTCAAGAAGCTCTTGTCCTTCTCCTTAGCATAAATGTCGTGTAGCAAGCTCAGATGGATCGAGTTTCGAGCCGCCATTAAACCGTATCCAAGGTGGGAGTGTTGGTAGAGCTCGAAGTTGCGTCCACCAAAAGCCAATTCGTACTTGTGGTCACCATCGGCCAACTTCTCTGGCATACCGCCTGAGGCAAGTCCCTTAAAAGTAGGCTCAAAAACGATCTGCGTAGAACCACCACCAAGATCGAAGATGGCGGCGGTGGGGCTTTGGTCGGGACCACCAATCTTGCCAAGTAGGTAGTTGGTGGTAATCCAAGCGTAAACGCCTTCGTCGGAACCATCCATAATCGCGACACCGTTCTCCTCCTTGGAGACGACGGGGAAAGGGAAGTCCTTCTCGAGGTGGTTGCGAACGGCTTCCAAGATCTTTTCACTAGCCTCCGGGCCGATCATTCGCAAACCAGCGGTTGCCTTCACAGCAACAGGACTGCAACCCTTCAACTTATCGGGAACGGTCGTCATGGCGACTGCCATAAGATCATCCAGAGTCTTCGCGGCGGCGAGAGGGTCGTCCTTATACTTGCTCAAGCCACCAACGCTCTTCTCAGTCATCTTAAACTCTTCCTTTTCTAATTCTGGGGTCGGACCGCAGTTGTTGAATTTGTAGACGTGGATTCGAGATCCAGTGCTACCAGCGTCGATCATTAGGACATATTGTACGATCGGTTTGTCCTTTGAATACGATTTTGTACATTTGTCGGTTCCGTATGACGAATCGGACGGTACTTGACCGCCAGAATGCGCTGCTATAATATCGGATTAGAATATTACTTTATAGATACGTATTCGTCGACTAAACCTACCACCCTTATAAACCTCCACTCCCTTCGGCGAAAGGTAGTAGAACAGGAACACCAGGAAAACGACGATGGCCGTGGTCTTCAGCCATCGTGTCTTCTGGGCCTGATTCATCGTTGCGGCTTGTAATTTCTCCACGATGCCGGGTTCTCGGTGGCCCGAGTCGTAACGCGCAGGTTTCTCGTGAGGGTCGTGATGGACGTGCTTCGTAGGCAACGAGACAGATGTTCTCCTCATAACCTTCTAGGTTCGACGCATCCCCAAATAGATCGGGGAAAAGACTGGGGAGAAAAAGGAAGAAGAAAAAGGGGAGAAAGAAGAAAGGAGTGGTAGAAAAGATGAAAAGGGCACAATAACGAGCGATCGATTAGTTCGACATGCGACACAACGAGTAAAAAGCCCTAGAAAACCTAGACGGATGCGAGGATCAATTCCTAGATAGGGGGTGTGTGTTGCTAAATAGGATAATAGGGAACTAGAACTAGAAGTAGAAGAGAGAAGAAAAAAGGGGGGGCGAACACGAGAAGCAACCGCAACTTGTCCAAATGGCAAATGGCAATCTCGAAGATTTTCCTTCCCAATTTCAGCGATTTAATGCTCTTATCCATCCCTTATCCGTCAACTACCTAGGTAATAACCCCTGAAAGCCTTAGAACTTTTAGAGGGCTATGGTTGGCAGCTCGCGACTTTAGTGGTGTATTTAGGTACTTCCGGTGGGTCGGCACTTCCAAGACCTTTAACCCCTGTATCCCTGTATCCTTGTCAGCCCTGACTCTCCAAGCCTCGATCGCCAGCTGCCAGGGAAAGAGATAATGTACTCCATATTAGGTAATCGAACTTCATGTTACTAGAAGGTGCTGTTGTATTTGTTACACACCCTTTATAGGCGTACCTCGAGGTTGACGTACCAGCTGTTGCCTCTCGAATACAACTACATATCTTCACACCTGCGCCCCATAATCACGAAATCACACCTTGACTTCATTAGTCATAAACAACAAACATTCCAAAACGACCCTTCATAATATTTTACTAAACTATTGTTGTGACCTTTTCAATTCATCATTGAATCGAGTTCGAGGTACATCTATGCTAAAGTCGTAGTAGCGACTACGCAGCCAATTCCTACCAGAAGGAAAGACAGAAAAAAATATTCACGATGGATGTTCATCTACTCGTCTACGACCTATCAAATGGCATGGCCAAGCAAATGTCTCTTGGCCTCTTGGGTTTTCAACTCGATGCTATCTATCACACCTCAATTGAATTGGAAGGGATGGAGTATGTCTACGACAGTGGTATCAACGTGATAAGACCGGGAACGTCTCATTTAGGACCTCCCTTACAAAGATTACATCTTGGGAAGACTGAATTGCCTATGGAAGTAATTCTCGAATATCTCGACTCACTTAGAGAGATATACACACCCCAAGTAAGTCAAAGAACGCCTTGGCAATATGTAGGTATTTTGTACTGACTATCTAGGCGTATGATCTTTTCCGGCACAATTGCAATAATTTCAGCAATGACTTCTCTACATTTCTAATAGGAAAGGGAATACCAGATCACATCTCAAACATGCCCCAAGCCGTGCTTGATTCGCCATTTGGTCGAATGTTACAGCCTCAGCTCACACAAATGGTTGAGCAGAGGAAGGCTCAACAGGGCGGTTTACTGGGTATTCAGAACAATGTCCAGCCGCACACCAATGGGGCTAGCGCTGCAGCCGGCTCCCAAAGTGCAACAGTCAAAGTTGTTTCTAACCTTCAAGAACTGAATAAGGTACTAGATTCTGCCAAAAATTCATGCGCAATCATTTTCTTTACGATGGCAACGTGCCCCCCTTGTAAGGCAATATATCCTCTATATGACAGCTTAGCTGCAGAACATGGAAATAAGGTCACCTTAATTAAAGTCGATACATCTAAAGCCTTCGATGTCGGATCGAAATATTCTATTTCAGCAACGCCGACATTCATTACTTTTGTCCGTGGAGAACAAGGGGAGCGATGGATGGGTGCAGATCCGTCTCGTCTCAGAGGTACCGTCGGACTTCTAGCACAAATGGCGGTTCCGTCCCACCCACACCGATTACTCCGGCTACCCCAGCTTGCGAACACAGAGTTGAAGCCAATTTTATACACAAAGGTCCCCCCGCTTCCCAAACTATTGTCTAAGCTGGGACCAAAGGCCGAAGATGCATCAATTCAAGGGGTGAAGCATTTTATTGAGACCCGATCAAGTGATGGACCAGCGCAGACTACACTGCCAGATTTGAATTCTTTCGCAATCTTCCTTCGCTCTGCAGTCACGAACTTGCCTAGAGAAGTCTTATTTACGGTTGTAGATCTCTTCCGATGCGCGCTCGTTGACCCAAGATTGAGCGGATATTTCGCAGAAGAGCATGGCCACAAGACTGTTATTACTCTTCTCAATGCTGTAAATGAAGAGGTCGGATGCCCTTATGCGCTGAGATTGGTTGCACTACATATGGCTTGCAATTTATTCTCAAGTCACCTCTATGCTGATCAGATTCTTAGCCACGGACCATTACGAAGCGCAATCACACAATTAATCTCATCTAGCTTCCTAGATGACGGCCATAACAATGTTCGGGTAGCAGCGGCATCGTTGCTATTCAATATCGCTACTGCGAATTATCAGAAGCGACAGGCATCGGGGGATGCTCTTGCAGAAGAAGACCAAATAGAACTAGCAGCATCCGTGCTAGAAGCTATATCGCAAGAAGAGTCCTCCTCCAAAGCGCTACAGGGAATGTTGTTGGCGTTAGGATTCCTAGCATATTGCATGCCATTAGACGGGGAACTGGTAGACCTGTTGAGATCCATGGATGCGCAAGGAACCGTAATAGGAAAGAAGAAGCAGTTTCCAGACGAGTCGCTAGTCACCGAGATAGGAAGTGAACTATTAGGGAAGGGTCTCGCGAGGCAGTAGCTGGAAGGCCATGGAACGCTGGAGTTCTAGGGGGCGATTGATTTCTTTCAAACAATTAAACCTGTTTTAGAGCAAGCCATCATGTCGGTTTCCGGGACGAATATCTCGTCCGGTTACACAACATCTAATAGGAAGAATTAGAGTGGGCAATCGCAGCTCATAACATAGCACAGAGTTTGTTTTAGTCGCAATGCATTTTTTAAACAAGTTCTTAAAATCGTAAACAATTGCATTCGTCTTTCCAATGCCCCTCTAAATTAATTTGTACACAATTTCCTACGTCACCGTCACACCGCGGGGCAATCACACTCGCCCGCCGCTCCCCAGCAACGCAGACCCACACTCCACTAACCCCAAACAGTACCAAAGTAAACAAAATTCCACCTTCCCGTCCCCCCTGTTCCTCCCCAATGCCAGTCTACGGCGTTCCAAGCTCCATCTATCCATACCACCAAGAACGCACAAACGACCTCATCGACGGTATCTGCGAGACATTAACTGGAATGCTGGAGCCGCCCTTACTATCCCCCACCACAACAATATCAACAAGTACTGTTATAAAGAAGAGAACGGGAGAGGTAGAAAAAATGAGAAATTCCGGGCTCCTGAGGTCGACTGCTTCGACGCCGTCTATGCGTTCGAGAGATGGCATGTTACCGCCGCATATGATGAGGATGGATAACGGGGGGAATGTTAGGGTTGTGGTTAGGGTGAGGGCGTTTTTGCCTCGAGGTTTGTATTTCTTTTTTATTCTGCTTCTTACACTATATATATGGATTGATTTGTTTAATGAGGGATTACTGGGTAACTGCAAATGCAGAGTTTGATATCGATGACAGTGAGTAACTAACATGCAACACCACAGAAATCGAGCGAGGAGCCGAATGCCTGATTAGCATGGACCCGATGACCCAAATGACCACTCTCCACGTACCCAACGACAGCGACCCAGCGAACGCAAGAGCAAAGACTCGCAAGGTTATCGAAGAAAAGTCCTTTACATTCGACAACTCCTTCTGGAGTCACGATACACGGGATGCACATTACGCCCATCAGGAAGATGTATACGATAGTTTAGGCGAGGAATTCCTCGATCACAATTTTGATGGATATCATACTTGTATTTTTGCTTATGGCCAGACTGGGTCTGGAAAATCGTACACCATGATGGGTACACCCGATCAACCCGGTCTTATTCCGAGGACTTGCGAGGATTTGTTTCAGCGTATTGAGGCTGCGCAGGAAGAAACGCCCAATATCTCATACCACGTCCGCGCTTCTTACTTCGAAGTCTACAACGAACATGTCCGCGATCTGCTCGTTCCCGTTGTACCCAACCAGGCCCCGTACTATCTCAAGATCCGCGAATCGCCTACCGAAGGCCCTTACGTCAAGGATCTAACCGAAGTACCAGTGCGCAACCTAAACGAGATCCTTCGCTACATGCAATCCGGTGATGCGAGCCGCACCACAGCGAGCACCAAGATGAACGATACGAGTAGTCGCAGTCATGCCGTCTTCACAATCATGCTCAAACAAATCCACCACGACATGGAGACAGACGAAACTACCGAGCGTAGCTCACGTATCCGACTAGTTGATCTTGCTGGAAGCGAGCGTGCTAAATCAACAGAGGCAACTGGTGCGAGACTTCGCGAGGGAAGTAACATCAATAAGTCTTTGACGACATTGGGCCGTGTGATAGCAGCACTGGCCGATGCACCGAAGCAACGTCCCGGGAAGCGAGGCAGGGACATCGTACCGTACCGAGACTCGATCCTAACATGGTTGCTGAAGGATTCTCTAGGAGGCAACAGTAAAACAGCCATGATTGCTTGTATCGCACCATCGGACTACGAAGAGACCCTATCTACTTTACGATACGCAGACCAAGCGAAGAGGATCCGCACTCGCGCCGTGGTTAACCAGGACCACATCAGCACGGCTGAGAGGGATGCACAGATCGCAGCCATGGCCGAAGAGATCAGAGCATTGCAGCTATCGGTATCGGAAACTCGACGCCGCGAGCGAGAGGACGCCAGAGATAGTGAAGAGCGCCTCGAAGAGTACCAGAACCGTGTAGCAGCCATGCAGCGCATGATGGAGGAGCGTAGCTTGGTGGCCGAAGGCAAAATCCGCAGCTTGCAGACGGAGAACGAAGCGCTCAGACTACATCTTAAGCTTGCGCTGGACAGCTTGAAGAATCCTATTCCAGAGGTGGTTGTTAAGGAAAAGGACTTGGATGATCTTGAGGCGGACAAGGAGAATGTGGAGGCGAATGATAAAGAGAAGAGCAAAAGACGTGAGAGTCTCGTCGATGAAGCATATTACGGCGAAGATGACGGATACGAGTCCGAGGTGTATGAGGAGAAGGCAAATGATGTGCAAGATTACATGCATGATCTCCTGGAGGATCTTGCTCTGTTCAGAAGAAAGATTGGTGACGATAAGGGTCGATTCTTGGACGATGGTTCGCGACATCCACTTGGGGTTCAAGTGAACGCTTGAATATCGCCATTTCTAGGAGGAATGAACTTCGGCTTAGTATTGAATCGCAAGGCGTTCGGAGTATTGGTTTAACAAGATTGCACTGAATAGGTGGGTATCACTTATGTAATAGGCTACATGTATCAGCCCCGGCTTTACTTCACACATAGGTAGATCAATCAAGAAATGAGACTGAATAACAACTTACGGCTCCAGTATTATATGATAAACCGGGATTCACCAATTATTTCAGTTTTACGTGAAATGGGTCATTTCGTTTTTTTGTTGCCGAGATTCCGGACCAAGGAGGTTAGGGGATATAGAGGTCCGCTAAACTCCATGTCGTACCTAATAAATGTATGAGTCCTAACCCGGAGAGATAGGGGTAGCTCGACAGTTCCGATTAGGAATCTTACCAATAATTAACGGCAACACATATACCTTCTTCAGAGCAGGATTGTGAAACTTTGTGATACCTAAATAATATCACGATGAGTATTACCTTACTATGTCATATTGTCTTGAAGTACTGACCACATGGCTGGCAGATAAAACATATCTCCCGGTTCGAGTGTAACCCTTAAGGGTCTTGCGAGGTGCGAATATTGGGTGCCTCTTACGGTTGGGTTATCTGGGTCCCAGACGGCGAATGGGACTTTATCGCCATCCTCTTTTTGTAGGATAAGACCATCTTCTCCTCTGGAATAAGAGGCGGGTAATAATTCTTGCTCGTTGACGCAAGGCTGGCATAGCGCGGGTAGCAGAACGAAGTGTTTACGTCCGGCGACTTGCACATATATGTTCTCATAGTTGTCGCGATGTAGTGCTGTGACTGACCTTGAGCTACCAACCCACATATTAATGGCGTCTGGATTTTTCTGAAGTGCTATGCGAGCGAAGGGGATGGATGGTGGGACCTGCGAGTAAAGAAAAGAATACTCGTGCCGCAGATTATCATTTTGTGTCTGAGCATACCTCACTTCACCGTGACTCTCGGGCGAAGAGTGGTCAGCTATTTCTTGTGCTGTTAGGTAGTCCAGAAACTCCTCGAACGTCTGGTCTTCTTCATGGGGTTTAGCGAAGACCAAATGTTCCTCACCCTCCATGGTAGTAGGGGCGTCTGCATTCCCGAATGGTGTCACAGCTACATTGACTCGGTGACCGGCAAGCGACTCTCGGAGATAAGTGGCTGTCCACTGCCGTGTAGCCGACCAGCCGGCAGCACCACCACGCACGACGAAAGGGGTGTTTCGTGCTACATAACGCATGAACTCCAGCGGACTTGGTTCTTCGTCTAAATCTTCTACCGTACCGGAGTTTAACTCGTTAAAACTCGTGATCAACTCCACGATAGGATCTTCTTCGGGTCGCTCCATCTTCCCCAAATCGATAAAATTTTGTTGTAGTTGGAGGGTTCTAATGGGGTGTTAGTCTAGCTAGAATTGTGGATGCCTGGTTGTAGTTGCTGGGTGGTACCTTTCCTAGATGCGGTGACGGCTTCCTGTTGGGGTAGGTCATACGATTTTGAGAACCGATGAGATGTGATGTGAGGAAGGATGCACCGCTAAGGTAGGTACGATAGGTACGATACCTGTCAATCCAGCCCTACAGAAGCTTTTTTTAAGATTTCATTCCGATCTAGCGTCAACTCTACGACTTTATTTAGCACTTCGAATACCCCGGCGATCTGGTTTTGGTAGATCTAATCAGAAGCCCTTGCCTAATCTACTCATAACGCACCAATTACGGCACGCCAATGGAAGGCATCATGAGAGAAAATGAGCTGATTCTCACTTGACGAACCCCGCCCCCAACGCTGGTCATCATTACGATGGAGTAACTTCTTTATTATTAGGTAGCAATATAAGCGGGCAATGACCTTATAGATGGGTCGATGAGAAATGATAGAAATTTTATAAATATGAAAGGCCCGGCGGTGTTTCTAGACCTAAACAACCAAAAATATTTGTCTACATATCTGCGCTATATTGCTCACGGTATTTCAATGCTCGGAGTTGAATTATCAAATATGGATTTTTTAGTGTTTCCGGTACGGGTTTCGATCAACGCCGATGCGTAATCCGTTCCACCTGTTTCTCATTTTACGAAGCCAACCAGCCAGCCACATTAACAAACAGCACGCCTACTATTAGTCGATGACCGTTTCCATTATGCCGTTTTATTACGAACGTTATTTGCGGATCGTATCAACACACACCGATATATCTCCTGAAGGATTCTCTGGAAATAAAACTCCGGTTAACACTGCGGTGTGCTGTTGTCCCGGGAATACTATTGGATGATGGCCGTTAGTCGAAAACGAGATGAAGCCCAGCTGAGAAACTCGAATACATAAGAAAATGAAAGAAGATTTTTGAGTGTGAGGGGTAAAAAAAGAGGTGTGGTGGAGAAACATGCATGAAGTACAGGGCAGGTTCACCTAACGTATCAGACGTACTTCATACTGTAGAAGGAAGAAATGAGGGTCAGGAGGTCGAATGGAGGGGCTTACTTTCCTTTCTTTTTTTCCCCCTGTCCTGCCCTGGAAGGGAAGAGCAGGAGGGGCTGCTACACTGGATATTACAGGCGACCTTCAAGGCTAGCAAGGAATGGGGATCTCTCCCGGCTGTCCGCGTGTCCCGCTATCCGCCCCGCCGGCGCATATACCTAGGTTCCTAGGTACCCAGTTTCCCAACTTGGCACCTACGCTGCTACGATGGAACTTGGAAGTCGCAAGAAAAAAAAAAACAGTTCCCACCTGGAAATGTACAAATTATCTAACGTAAAGGCAATCACCTAAACCTAAGTAAGTACATGAACTATCCTTCCTAGACACATGCAGCACGCGGAAATCTTCAAAGTACATTCCCGAGATTTCGATCCGATCCTTTTTTTCTAATCATTTGATCCCTTTTTTTATTTTGTCCTGCACTCTGCACCTTGCACCTTGCATTTTACACCTTTAGGTACATGATCTATTACGCACATCCATCGGATGGGGGATCTACACTTGACTCGGTCAAGTTAAGCGCGAGACAGTGGGAAAGCGCTCTAACACGGCGGCGTCAATCTAGTCCTCTTCTAGCATCTCAGCATCTTTTCTATTGGCACTTCAACTTCACTAACCCATTTCTTGTTATGGTTATGAAATACGAAGTTCGAAATAGCGTCTCCATGCCCGATGCGTCTCCTTTCACTTTCAACAAGTTCCTACATCGGTTTTCCGGTCTCCATCTCATTATTTACAATACATTACCTACATTACCTAGATTTCCCGCAGCGAAACCACCATGTCTAGACAACTCCAATAGATACCATTTTACTTTACCTATCTAAATCTTGACTGCATACATCCCGATTATATATACGTCTTTGTCGATTTCTTTCCGGGATCCGCCGTCTTCTTTTCGCATGTGATACTTAGAGAGTATAATGCGCCCCTCCTGTGACCTAACAAAAGGCCACCTGCCTCCCTTCGCCCTGCGCGCCGAGTTATCGTGGGCAGCTTTCAAGCTAGTAACTGCCCTTTGCGTGTATGAAGGATGATCTGGTATCTCCTCTATCCTTTGAGAGGGTACGTTGAGCTCCGTCCCGTCTTGTTTGCTCACCTACAGTTCAATTGACGAGGCAATTGTAGAACTACCGAAGCTCCTGTGCTACCACCAAACCATCCATTCCGCGGCGCCTTTGCGCGATACGGAAGATATGCCGCCAGTCACGTCGTAGCAACTTTATTGGTTTCCGTCGCCGTCGCTGCCTTTCTTATATATCCCTTCCCGTTCCTATATACCACCGACGTTACCAACGGCGCCTCCATCCTCCCTGAACATGCTTGGACCGATACACTACCTCTGGACGATAAGAACAGAGTCGAGCCCGATGTTATTATGCGGTCGATATGGGTCCATGGCAATTATTTCGAAGCCCTCAATAGAAACGTCTTACTCAGCGCTTTAGAGCTTCAAGATGAACTCCTCGGTCCGACTATCAATTTCAATCCGAGGCGACCGATTGTCGACGATCTCGACCCGATAAATGCTACAACTACAGACCTTACACCCACACAACGCGACGCTTATCATGTCGTTAATGGCTTGACAAATGAGTCTTGGTTCTTTCAGTCTCCACTTCAATACTGGTTGTGCTCCGCAGAGAACATAGAACAGGACGATGATATCATTGAAACAGCAAATGAACGAAAATCGCAACCAACATCAGTCAATGTAACACTAAGACATTCAACTGTCTTCAGTGGGAAACGCTTCCAGGATCGCCGACTCGTCGCTGCTGATGCTCTCGTTATTACACTCGTCCATCATCGAGACTCCCCGGTCGGTCGTATGTGGCAAGAAAGGGTTCAAGCTCTCAAAAACAAAATAACTGATACTTGGGATATCTTTGAATATTCTTCGGATGAAAGAACTAGCGAATTATACGAGTTTCAATTCCGTCCCATGTCATCTCAAGACATGCTTCTTTTAGGAATAGCATATTCCCTTGTTCTCATTTACTTCTTGATCAGTCTGTCTAAGTTACGGGCCGTTAAGTCGAAAGTGGGATTGATGGTCACAGTTATAGCACAGATTTTACTCGCCATCCTATCGAGCTTTACTATATGCGCCATACTGAAGATCGATCTTTCAAGAATACCTCGCTTGGGATATCCGGTTGTAATATTTTCTATGAGCCTTGAAAATGTTTTTCGACTCATCAATGCCGTTATCCTCACCCCTTCTGAAGACAACACGAGCAATAGAATCGGTCATGCTTTTGGTGAGACAGGTCATGTCGCACTTACTAGCGTGGCCCAAAATCTGCTCATCTTATATGGCCTGTCAAAAATTGTTTCACCGGGTGTCTCGGCATTTTGCACCTTCGCGGCAATTGCATTGATTTTTGACTTCTTCTACCTATCGACTTTCTTCCTCTCAGTACTGAGTGTCGACGTACGGCGGACTGAGCTTAGCGATGCACTCGCGAAGGCATCAATTAGATCCCATCGCTCTGCTTCGGAAACACGGTCGCGTCAGACATGGATGGATGCGATGCTACAGGGTAAGATCGCCATGTCGACACGTATCGCTGGCACTATTGTCATGGTGGGTTTTGTTCTCATTGCTCAGTGGCACTTTTTCGAAAATGAAAACGTAATCAGGGCGTTAAGTCGGGCGATCCATATCTCTCCCAAATACAAGGATCCATCATTATCCTCGGCTCTAACAGAAGTTCACCAAGGTAGGAGTCCGGCATCGTGGCTAGGCCTTCAAGACCATGAGACAGCTCGAGAACTCATCCAAGTCGTGAAACCCGATGCTTATAGCTATATTGCAAAGGTTTTCCATCCTACCATATTTGTCCTGAAAGGGTCGGACCGAAATCTTTCTGCCACCGAGCCGTTGTTCCCACCAGCTGTTTACGACTTTATGCGTAATCGATCGGCTTCATTTATAACCACCGTAACTGTCATTGCAGCAGCGGTTTGGCTATTGATGAACTATCTTTTATGGGATGAATTAGCAGATTCATCGGGAACCGGCGGCCCAGCTGGTGAACCACTCCTCTCGGTTAAGACCCTGAGTCGAGGCCATGCACTGGATGTTGCCTTACTTTCAGCTTGCTCGGATGGCCATCTCGTGTCCGTTGGCTTGGACCGGGTTGTCCGGGTCTGGGATATCAAATCTGGTGGCGATAGTTACGTGTTAGGCGAAAGCGAGGATACTTCGATCATCCCATTTCCAATTCTAGCCATGTGCATCGACGATGAATCTCATTGGTTGGCTCTCCTAACTTCGGATAAAGTTATGCTGTGGCACTTGGTTAAGCATCGGTGGGGTCCTACGATTAGGGCAGAGCCAGACCGACATAAGCCAGAAGCTTTCTTCTTTGTCGCCGACGATACTACGGCTATCCCCCCTTTGCTACTCATTAGGCGGGATGGTGTCATCACCGAGCTAAGAACAGATCAAGCTAAACCCTCGAGTTACATGATTACGAAAGAGAGTACGATTGTTTCTGTGGACTCTCTTTCGGAAAAGGGTGAGTGAATCTTGTTATACTTGTATGATGGACTTTAGTAATGCTAACTACTATTAAGGATTCCCAGCTCAAGTCATGGCATCAACTCGTGATGGTCAAGTTCGTCTTGCTACTCAAGAAGGTATCAGCTGGACCTCGGAGGTAGTCAATATGGGCAGTTTGGCGGAGCGCGAGTTAATTTCGATCCAAGCCTTGCCAGAGTTGGGGTTCTTTTTGATTATACGGTCTCGAACTGTGGATCTAGTAGATTCACAAACTCTAAGAGCGATTCACACCTTTCAGGTAGACCCAATTCAACCGAAAAGCCTCAAATGCTTTCATTCGAGGCCACGGCGGATGCGATGTGGCTCGGTTGCGTTGTGGAGCTTCACATTGGCATATCTCAATGCTTACAGTCGAGACCTAGTGGTACAAACGTACAGCCCGCAAAATGAAGGAGAGTCTCTTTGTTTCTGTGACCCGACATCCCCCACGAGGAAAACATGTTGTCCCTGGCAAAGGGCTAAGGTATCGAAACGGGTTATTAAGAATCCCGGTTTATGGGATACTTTGGCCTCTGGGATCATGGTCGGCATTAGAAGAAATATGGGCGAGAAATCTAGAGCGGATGGTCATGTAGACCACCAACCCCTCCAACAGTTCAGCGGACTTCGACGTCGTCACCACTCCACACAACAAACGAACGGTCATATTCCCCAAGACAATTGGGAGGTATGGATGTTCTCTCATTTTGGCAAGCAAGAGACTTGGGAGACTCTTCCACTATGCCCCAAGATTGAAGATGATGGCCATCTATTCGTCACTAATCTTGGGCCAATGGTTCGAATTGGTCGTGCTAGCTTAGCTGTTGGGCTTAGCAATGTGATCAAAGTTATCATGGTCGGCAACGAACGGTTCGAGACGGGAGACGACTCGCAACCTGGAGATGGAATGCCAGCATTGAGTAGTCGCAGGCGTAAGGGACCGTCGACTCTCAGAGGCAAACCTGCCCTCCATTGCCCTCACTGCTAATTTTGACGATCGCTTGTGCATGTATACACATTTTTATTATTTTCGAAAAATTATCACTTATTCGGTTGGGGTGAAACGGATTATTAGGTCCGGATGAGATTATGGGCTTGCATCATGGATAAGGTCTAACAATCTGGCTGGTCACGGTTCTTCAAGGGTCACATAGAAACCCGGGGCTTACAGGTAGCGGCGTTCATTCTTCTTTTCTTCTACTGCTTGGTATTTCTTGGTAAATAGACACGGGTAGGGACGGCATTGGACGGGGCTGGCTTTTATATGGAACGACACGAAACTAAAAATAGGTGCGGCGGGTGGCCTTCATACAGGGTCTTGCAAGATAGATATGGGGCAAAGGGAAAGAGGAAAGCCAAGGGGGCAAATTATTGGTGTGCTATCAATGTCGAGATACGAGACCCAGAGCTCTCACCTCTAAATGAAATGAATAAAGGTTGGCGGCGCTTACTTCGAGCGTCGTCGTTGCGAGTTTTTGATTATAGTAAACTAGTAGATTTTCCGGTTATGTATTATGTGACTGTTAATACGCACAATATCACGAAGGACGGATAGGTACAATAACGCAGATGTGGTTTTATTGACTACGAGAGCATCGAACGAGATTATTCTTTCGGCGAGCATCAACTAAGTGTTTCTTCCCACATCTCAACTCAACGTTGCGTCGCGCGCAACGAACCACTCCTAGTAAAACAATCGCAAACCTCAGGGAATAGACAGGAACAAATAACCAAAGACAAGAGCAATAAAATATGCCTTGCCTCTGATCTTCCGTGCCTTACTTACTACCACCCTCACCCCCCTCAAAAAGCTGACGAATTATCTCCGAATCAACCGCACGGCCAGTCAGGTTCGCGAAGTCGGCGGAGAGGTGCAGCCACTTGTTAGTGCGGATACGCGCCTCGAGGACGGCGAAAATGTGTAGGTCGAAGTCGGTGAAGATGTCCGTGAGAGCGGCGCTAGGCTTGGGGCTCTTGGTGTCGGTGTATGCTTCCTCCCAGCTTCTGAGGAGGTCGTAGTGGTAGGCTGACATGTTGTAGGGGTTTGCCGTGCCTTCGGGGTTGTTTGGGGGAGGGTCGCCAGAGGAAGGGTTGGCAGTGTTATTGTTTGTGTTATCGGCGTTTTCAGCGTTTTCAGCATTGTCAGGTTTGTCAGCGTTGGTAGCTTTGGCTTTTCCTTTTCCCTTGTCTTTTTTACCAGTTTGCTCGGGTTTTTTCTCTTTCTCTTTCTCTTTATCCTTGGTAGCACTAGCACCGGCCTTGCTATTTTTCGCAACTTCAGCCTCTTTCGGCTTGTAACTGGCAATAACGAGGCCGTAGGCTTTTTTCAATTTAGAGATATTGGGATCGGTGAGGCCCTACTCAGCGTCCAACTCCTCTCCTTCCTTGAAATCGGCCTTGGGGAAATTCTCCCGCGACCAGGCCTGTAAATCCTCTAGAAAAGCCTGCGCATATTCGGCGAGTTTCTCGGCACCTTTCTCGGGGCTGCCACCTTTTTTTTCGGCGGCTGACTTGAATTGTTCGAAACGCTCTTTTACTTCTTCGACTTTGCGGTCGATGATTTCGGCGATTGTCTCAAACCTGTGGTGTTGATTAGTTGGATGTGTTGGGTTTAAGCGTGAGGGCGGATATGTTAAGGTGGTGATATAGGGAAATATGGAAGACTTACGCAATTCCCTTGTGCTCCATTAGGCAGACAACGCCAGTGTCTATTTCACCCCAACCATTGTGGTTTTGTTTGCCTTTCATGGTTGGTTGTGAAGGAGGTTGGCCCTCAACGCTGGTTTCTGTCGGTTTGGAATCGGGCATGTCCCCACTAGGATTGGAACCAGAATCAAAGTCAGGGAAGGGTTCGCTATTCCGGCCTTCCTTGTTATCGGGGTCGGGGCTCAAGTTTTCCTCGTTAGAAGCAAGGTCAAGGGGAGGTGGGTCTGCCTTTCTGCCAGAGCCGCCTTCCTTATTGCTGGAGTCGGGTTCGGGGATAGCTTCGGGGTTCTGAGTTTCCTCACCACTGTGGCTAGAATCCCGGTTTTCCTCGCTACTAGAATCGTCGGGAGGGGCATCAGAGTCCCAGCTTTCCTCGTTACTAATGCTGAAGCAGCGAGGGGATCTGGAATTCGAGCCGCCAATGTAACAGTTGAGATAAGGGACGGAACGCTTGTTGAATCCCGCAATCAAATAAGGAGCGCCGCCTCTATCTTTATTAGCTTCACGATTAATATGATTCAGAGGTTCATTGAAATCGCGGGGTGGTCTCTGGTTGTATGTATTTTTGTCACGCTGATTTTGGGGGTCATTTTTTCTGTTATCTCGCGGTTCGGGGTTTTTGCTAGAACGGGACGCCATGTTCTTGCGATGAGGTGCTGTATAATGGGGAGATGATTGATTGGATATAGAAGTCGTGTACATACCTAGATGGTTTCTTTTGGATGGCGTTGAACTAATATAACGATGATTTTGCCAGTGTGCTGTAAATCGAGCATGCGCGATCGATTGATGCTTTATCTATGTCAAAGGAGTTGGCAAGCATTTGTAGAAGTTGATGGAGTTAGGGAAAACACCATGACAACAGGAAAGCAAGAAAAAAATCTATTAGGATAACAGTTCAATAATATGGCATTTGCGGTTCCGATTCAAACAGCCATATCTTGGGATTATCCATGGTAAATACGTACCCGAAGATACTAGGTAAAAACCTATTATTTACACGTAAAACCTCTTAAACCCCCTTTTCATAATCTACTACTCCTGGACTTCGGCCTCCACTTGGCGTATGGATGTTCTTCTGATCCAGGAACCAGATGGTCGACGGCGCCTGTATGTAGTAGTCCCGGATGGACTTGATCAAGACTAGTGATACCGCACATCTGCATGGTAGTCACCAACTCGTCAACAAGAACTGCACACCGATGTAGTTAGTATCACCTTCGACTCTATTCGCCGCGAGTAGCTGTACTCACTGTTGATGAAATGTTCAATGCCCTCCTTCCCATAATTCAAAGAAAACAGAAACCCTCGACCAATGCCCACTGCCCTAGCTCCTAGGCATAGTGCCTTGAAGATATCCGTGCCTCTCGTGATTCCCCCGTCTATATATACCTCCATCTTGTCAAAGATCTGTGGACAGCACTTCTGCAGCTCCAATAGCACTAATACCGTCGCTGGTGATGTATCCAAACTTCTTCCTCCATGGTTCGTGAGATATATTGCATTGACATCAATTTCCATCGCTTTTACGGCATCTGCCGCTGTCTGGATACCTTTCAACACGATTGGTAAACCTGGAGCATGCTTCCGTACCCAGGCAACATCGTCCCATGTCAGCGACGCATCGATGAAATTACCCATCAGCCTCCCTAGTGCCCCACCCTTTTTATCATTCTTCGCCTGCGCACCAGACATAGGAGCCCGCAAGTTTTCATCCGATTTGACTCGCTCGTCCGCCTCTCTTTTCCCAATCACCGGCGCGTCAATGGTTACGAATATGGCCTTGACCCCGCGTTCCCTCACCATCTGGAGAAGTTTCTCTGATTTACCCCGATTCCTATCCACATATAGTTGAAAGAACACAGGAACCGCACCCAACTCGCTATTCGTCTCCCGTGCTTCGCCTTCAACAGCATCCATGACCTCCGGCAAGGAGTAAGAACAACTAGTTGACACACATTGCGGAATGCCTAAGCGTTGACATCCACGACCTAACTCCCGCTCACCCTCGGGGTGGAAAATCCTCCCCATTGACGTCGGCGCACAGAATATCGGCGCTTTTATATGGTGCCCTAGTATCGCCGTGCCCACATCGACATTCCTGACATCTTTCAAAACCCGTGGTCGCAGTATGATGTCGTTATACGTAGACCCGTTTCGCTCCTTGGTTAGGCAATCCGTCGCAGCGGATGATACGAACGCCCACGCCTTCGGAGTAAAACTAGCTTTAGCTGCGATTTCGAAGTCGCGCGCGTTGATGAGAGTATCTAGAGGCGGTTTTTCGACTGTCTTACGAGGTGAACCGCGAGCTTGTGGTGGTGGTTTGGCCCATTCTTCGGTAATGGTGGTTTTGTCTAAGACTCCGATACGACTTGATGCTGGAAGTGAGGTTTGGATTAGGGACGGCGAGTGGACTTCCGAGTAGGCGGCTGTTGCGTCGCGCCCAGCGTATTGTAGAAGTATGGTGGGGCCTCCGGGGTGTTCCGGTAGGAATTGGGTGAGGTCGTAAACTATGCCGTCGACGACGAGCCAAAGATCTTCAGATGATGTGTGACGGGATATCTCATCCACGCTTATTGGTCGTGTCGCCTTTTCAGGGTTTTCTACGCCCATTTCGCTCCCTCTCTGTTAAGTTAACTTTTGTGAACCACACAGGTAACCTCGGTTATCAGTAAATCGCTATACCCTAACTCTCGAGATATACGAAGATAGATGTATACCTTCCCTCTCCCTATGAATCAATATACTAATACCTATACTTTAGCTTCAATTCGAAATAATGGATATCCTCTTACTATATATATGTCTGTTCTTCAAGTCCCTAGAAATCGGTAAAATTGGGACCGAGGCTTGGAGAAGCGGTGTTAATGATAGCTTCCCCACATCGTCTTCCCGATTCGACCGGTCTGGGGTCTCTCCACGGTTCGGCTCCTCACGATATCTCGTTCATTACCGAGCCCGCATGTGCTATAGCCCCGGTACTTTATGTGGGCAAGCTTCTATTACTAAACAATAGATTTGATTGGATTGTCTCCTTATCTCGTTAGTATTATGTACTATCAGATCGACAATGCATCATACCTTTAGTATCTTTCAGTTTGCCCTCGAAAGAGGCTACGATAAAATTGGCTGTCTCGACTCTAGCTACCTAGATACTCTAATATGAACAATGCCCGAGTTCGATCCAGCCTTGTTTTCAACCACCTAGGAAACAAGACAAAGAGAGACAGACCACAGAGAGGGGCTCATCGACTCCTAACTCGTAAATTCGTTAACAAATGAACACTCCTTTAGAGAGCTACTTTTTGAGATTCAGTTTCCACCCCCGCCTGATGTTGATTGAAGAGAGTCCCTATTAGACCTCACCCCTCTCGTTTCCTAGGTATCCTTTGCCTAGGTAGATTTCTGCTTATGAGAAAAATCAACAGGTATCATATGCGTTCACGGACCACCGGAACGCCAGAACCTGGGAATAAAAATGCCTTCAACCATCCCAAATATATACATGCCATACCTCCCTGACCTGACCCGACCCCATTACACCCAGACCCATCCCAATGCCTCGGTATTGATAGAAGAGCTTCATCGCTCTGTTAACAGTGTTAAAATGTTCTTCGTTGTTGGTGAACTTATGTATATTGCTTATGTCCCCGGATATGGCCGGTATGAATTAAAATGCGCGGGCGGCGGGGGACTAAATTGGGAGTATTCCGACTGAGGCGGTGGTGTCGGATTCGATATCCACGTATACGACGCGGGATCATCCGCAGGATTCAATTGATCGCCGGGTGAAATCGGCGATACTATATTATCATCATCATTCGGCTTCGGCGACACCGGTGAGAACATATTCGTCGTATTCGTATATCGCGACTGTCTCTGTCTCTGGATATCCGGTGGTATAGCCACGGGCTCGTAATTCGTCTGTGGTGGCGGGTAACCCGCTACACTGTAATGCGATTGGAGCATCGACGGCGGTAGCTCGCCGTAGAAATCTGATGTGTATACTGGTTCGGGCAAGCCGCCGGGATACACGCTGGCGACGCCGAAGTCTCGGTCGGGGTAGACTGGCGATTTTTCGACTTCGTTTGCTTGTGCTGCTTTGCGCTTGCGGTAGCGTAGACATAATATGATCGCGGCGGCGATCAGCGCCAATCCTGCTACTCCACCGATTACCCCTCCTACGATAGCTCCCGTTCGATTCCCTGAGCTAGTACTTGCTGCGACAATTGGTGGTGTCGAAGATGTGCTGCTCGGTGATGCGGATGTTGCTGTAGATGTATCGGATGATGTCGCATCGCTAGATGTAGTACTGCTGTCACTCGTTGTCGTCGCAGATGATTGAGGCGGCGCGATTGAACTTGATCCTGCACTCGTCCCACATGCTAGAAAACTAAATCCATCCAAAAACTCGCCGAAATTTGCTGCGTATAAATATGTCATGCATCGTGGAGCCGTCGCATCGGTGCTTATCTCGGGTTAGTTGAAACACTTCACAGTGAGAGAAGAGGGGTAAGTGAGATAATTAATCGCAAGCTTACCACGCCAGAGTCCTCGCATTCGTCGCCGTTGGTTGTGACTCGATACATGTCGTCGGTACTATACAATCGCGACGGTTTGCTGAACTACAACATCCTGCAGCGCCATATCGCGCATTCGCATAACAATAATTACTGCCTGTACAACTGACGACGGGCTCTAGTATGAGGTAAGCGACGAGCTCCTCATAATTGGGGGGCGAGGCTATAACATAGTCATGAACCAGAATGCTACTTACCACTTAGATTATCTAATGGATAACCGCATGTATCAGTTGAAGCTGAAGTAGTGATAGCTGTTGTAGCTATAGTAGTAGTAGGGGTAGCAGTGGTGCGTTGCCTCCTCCGCAGTTCGAGATCGTAAGGCTTGGCCCCCGGCGGCGCAGTCGGTTTCGGCGTCCATCCTTCAGGATCTATACCTGCGACACCAATCGAGATATCGGCCGGACCCCAATTTCCAATACCACCATCTTCAGCGTTCGAATTAATTTCATTTCGGCCGGCGTGGGGTTCGCTACTACTGCTGGCTTCAGTAGCACATGCTGTGATCGCGCAACCCAGGATGCCAGCCAGCCTGAGGGCGAATATCATGTTGGGTGCCGATTGACCATTTAAAATAAAAAGTAAATAAAAATAAGAAAAATTGAAGCAAAGAAATAAAATAAAATAAAAAGGTCAGAACCGAAAAAGACCGAAGGAACCAGTTAACTGTAGGGGGGGGTTGCGGACGAGCCGCTTTTAAAAAAACAGCTCTGCAACGTGTGCGGCGAGCTACCTGCCGGGACCGGCTATCGAAACTACCCAGTGAGGCTTCAGCTGAGACGAGATCCCCACCTCTGTAGTATGGCTGATGAGACCCTGGGATGACTGGATGAGACCCTAAAGGGTGATATGTACAACGTCAGATTGGGGCGGAGTTCCCGCCGTGTGTTCACATATACTCTCTTTCTGTTCTCATAAGGGAAAATGCTCAGGCAGGTAAGCAAGTTCACATCACACATACATATAATACCAATCTACTTAGGTACCTTAGGTATGTATTATATCACATTTCATGGATACTAGGTAATATGTATACGTAGATGGAGTATATGATGATGATGACCAATCCAACCCAAACACCCCCCCATGAACCCCATAAACCCATGAACCTGTCGATTCGTCCGTCCCAACACACCAATCAGTTTCCTCAACATTATTATCGCCGAGCTGGAGGGGTTCCAGTTTGGTAGATGGGACGACTATTCTACCGACCAAGTAGGCAATACCTACTCTTCACGGAGACGTTTTGCGTCACTCGTCCCAATTCTTTCTTACAATAATAGTAGACGGGCCCCCCTCGGTTGACCCGATGGGCATTGTCCAACGATGTCCTCTTCCTCGCGAAAGCTAAGACCTACGAGCCACAATAACGTACGAATATCCATACTGTCGCAAGTACACCTACCTACCACATGGCGCGATAAGGTACATCGCATACCCGTAGCCAGCTATTCGTTGTGGATAAGAGGAAGCTCAGGGATGAAGAAGATCTGGGGTTTAGTGTAAGTGTTTTAGCGGTTCCGAACCAGAGCGGTCCTTGGCCCTACCCAAAGGTATTCAGCCGGGGTTACATCTGCGGACCAGATCAGGCTGGGACTTCTTTGGCCACTTGGCAATGGCGAACTACTTGTGTCGCCACTTTAGATTGTGCAACTCTGTAACTGTGGAGGGGAGGGGGAGGTAACGCATTGATACCCGGTCAACAAGCAAGCTGCAGTGGGATAGCGGCGTAGAGGCGTACATGGATGGTGATAATGAACTCCGGACAATCTACAACGAAAAAGAAAAAAAGAAAAGAGAAAAAGGAAAAGAATTATGCAAGCTTACCCCACAGAGCGAAGGATTGGGAAAAAAGCACGATCTGCCGAAAATCGCCTTCCTTGGTGTCGCTCGTCTGACATAAATTTAGTCATTAATGACGGACCATGCCGTCGGGACCGAATTATGCAATCTGGTCAGATTTTGAATGCTTTTTGTGCTTTTTTATGTATTTTCTTATTTTATTCCAGCTGGCAACTCGGCGCCATCAAGTTGTGCGGGACTTTTTATTCATGACTAAGTGGAGTGACTCGGAGTATGTAAGTCATGATAGTATACGCTACTATATTCCTATTATATAATCCATGGATATTATGAAACGGAACAACTTTTATCTTGGCTCTCCATAGCTTCATCTCAACTTTACTTCACTCTTTTGTCCTTCTAGAACATCTAAACATTTTACTTGGTGCACCATTAGAACGTTTTCGCGTGACATTGCTGCCAAGAAAACTGGCGAACAGGATGGGACTCCGTTAGTTCAAGGAGAGCAAGATCAGCGATGGGGAACAAGACGCACATAACTCGTCAGCTTTGACCGCCAAAATCCAGCCTGCCTACAGCTACACTACGCTACAACCCCCATCGTCGCCATTAAACACGGATATAAAGGTACTGGGTCTGCCATTGCTGAGAAATGACGAGACCAAATAAAATGCCTTATTACCAACCCGAGTAGGTCGCAGTGGATTTTGCGCAAAGGCACCTCTTCGGCCAGAAGTGAAACACTTAGCGGGTAATAGGTGAGTTACATGATTGAACGTCCTCCCGGCTCCAGACTCTTAAAATAGAAATATTAGTCTAGATGACCAAACAGAAAAACGCCGTCGTCATCTAGACTCTTTGGACCACATGATTTGTCCATGGCCGTAAGTTGACAGGTGTTTTAGATGCAACCCATTTATCTACAAAAGGTAGGATAATACTTACAAGCCGTTCTTACGGTACGAATGACTAAGGGTTGTGCGCCGCATTTCAATCCTGCCAAATGCACATCAGTGGACAGCTCGCTTTATGGGTTCGGCAACGGGAATATCATATCTAGATCATCGCGATTCGGAGGCTCAGATCTGGATTCCCAACATAATCACATAGATGAAACTTGTCTGTTAGAACTGCGCCTTGCGATTAACGTCACGCTACGCTGCTAGGATTCTCGGATTTTCGAACTTTTGACTATAGGAGTTAAGAGATGATTGCGTACATCGAATCCAACGTCAGGGTATAGATACCAGGTATACTCGGATAAATTCCGATCCCGCGCTCAACATTTTGATAAGTCCTATCAGGGTTCTCTTCCGGGTCGACGGCACAAACGCCGTATTTCATCGAGGCTCATCCCTTACCATGCCATGGGTTTTGATGTTTCGAGTTTTAACTATGTGATGAATTCTACACCGAAGGACTATTCCAACCCATAGCCTCCTTTAACATTATCTATGGACCCAAGGACTAGGAGTACCCTCGAGATATGGTGCGGCTCGTACATAGCTACCCAGGTAGGTAGGTGATGGTAGACACAGCCAGGGTACTGCGTCAGCATTGTAATGGCCAACTGATTAGTATTCCAGATCAAAGCCATTGCGATTTATCATCATCTTCATTCCATATGTTATACGCATAGCAGCTCAATCCTTAATAGTGGAAGCGGATTCTCTGTCTTGGTTATTTAAAGATATGTGACGATGAGATCGTCGCTGGACAATCGCTTAGTGGTTAACACTAACGCCTCGATGATCAACGCCAACGGCATTCTATCTGGCCTATCTATGGGATATAATTATAGCTAAATATGCTATATAGACGGTCCTTCTTTAGATCGGGGGCCAGTCTGACCTAGATAAGTCTGGCAACGCTCCTTCTACGTTCACGTAGAGGCACCTCTTCATTGATGACCTCTTAGCCATTCCAGTATGGGTAAAGACAAGGAATTCTCTACGGTTTAGCTTAGTATTTGAGAGCAAAAAAGGCGATTAATATGATATATCCCTAAGGGGATGTGAAAGCCAATAAATAAAAAGGGGGTATCCTAGCGTCATTCATCCACTCCATCCTAAAATCAGAACTTAAGCCGTAGCGCATTCCTTAAATCCCTACCCATCTGGTTCTGATATCCTTATATGTGCTCGTGGCTTAATCGACGGGTGAGAATGTAAGTAGTTGACTAGCAAACCTAGCGGCTGGTGATTACACTTAGAGAATGGCATTTTGGTCCTCTATATAAAACGTTAGGAACATCTGAGGAGGCGATATAATCATGCTAAGGCATTGCTAGAGATGCTCACCATTACCACCAGTGTAATAATCGTCGATCAATTGCTGTAGAAGTGGGTCTACAATAATTTCATCATTAGGATCTGCTTCATTGCCATGATAGGCCGGTCCTATAGCGGGATCTGCGGTGGCCGGAGGTATTGGCCTAACCGTAGGAGACCCTTCGGGTGTAACGGTACGCATGCCATCCTCTTGATGTACACTAGAAGCCAGATTCAAGACGCCATTATTCAATATTGGTTGCGTTGACGAGAATGAAGTATTGGGAACGCTACGTTCCGGTCCTAAGAGCGTCGTCTCATGGTCGGCGGTGTTTACGGTAATATTAGATATGCTGTACGTATTAACAGTTGGATTGTTTCCCTGGTTCGTATTGAAGGCGACATCTAGCACGCCGTTATTGAGTGTTGGCGCTTGCTCCGGCATCGGGGGGGCACTTCGACCATTAACTTCTGATTCCAAAGGCGGCGCACTTTGGTTGACTACTTCCATAGCAGTAGCCAGCGCTGCATCTATGTAGGCCCGTAAGTCGGGATCCTGGGAGATCCGTGGGTTATCGGTTAAGATTCCATTGAAGATCTCACAAAACCTAGTGAGCGCAACGCGGTGAGGAACCCCATAGTCTAGACGCCTCTAGTAAGTACAGTTGAAATTTGATATTCGCATGGGAGGACAGCTAGGTCATCGGGTGTATAACCTATAACTTACAAGGCTCGGGAGGTCTTGGTACACCGGGGAACAATTTGTCCCAAACACGAAACCATCGCTCCTTATCATCATAAACGCCATTTGGATTCTCAAAGGCTTCCTGCACATCTTCCCACTTATTCTGCGACATATCGTTTCTTGGTTCAAATGGGGTTACGTCGCACCTTTGATCTTGGGCTAAGTGGACTTGGAGGTCCCCTGGTTTCTTGAAGATACTTCCACATCGGGAGCACTGGTGTAGAACGTGTTTGCGCCCTAAGTGTCGCCTTCAACGAGTTAACTCTGAGTTACTAGATAGGTAGATATACTGACTTATAATGGTTGATCGTTTCAAACCCGGGACCAGCACAAGTTCTATACTGTGTCGGGGTTATACCTAGGGTGCTTCCAGTACAATATTTGCTTGCATCAAGGAGATGGAAGCCACAAGCAAATTTTCTTATGCCGGGTTGGTTTTTAGACGAGCGACGGCTGACGCGAACGTGGTTCTCTTCGTCATCACTCTCGTGTACATGATCTTGGGCCGAACCGCTGGGAGAGGTCCCGATACGCTTCCGTTTCCTAGCTTTAGGTTTATCGGAAAACGATGTTGAATTACCTCCACTTCGTGGTCTACCGGGAGAGTGTGACGAAACGGCCTCATAGCCGTACACTTCCGCTCTGCGATCAGGTGGGAGGTTATTCAAATGGTCGATCACTCTTTCGGCTACTCCTGTATTGAGCAAGAACACCTGTCTGATGGCGTCATGCAAACTTTCAATCGGGTCTTCCTCGGACTCATCATCGCCATCATCTTCTTCTTCTCCCTCCTCTTCCTCATATTCGTCTTCGTCCTCAGAAGATGTACTCATAGGGGTTCCAGTATTTGGGGGGCTGAAATCATTCTCCTCGTGGGGCTGAGCCGAACTATTGCCTTCAAGGCCCTGTGCATCGTCAATTCCCATTGAATCCTCATCACCTCCACTGGTATAGTCAACAGCGCCGTTCTGTGCATTTTTATCATCCAGTGGATATTGGGCGTTCGTATTAGGGAGTGTCGCTTGGTGGTTAACGGTAGCTTTCATAGCTCCCATTGCTGGTCTCATACGTATAGGAGCGGGAACACGCCGTGGGGCCCTTAGGAATCAAGGGTTAGCTTAGTCATTGCTGTCATATCATGGACTCACTGAGAGGGCTCGGATAGAGTTGACCCGTCCGTTAAGCTTGGACACGAATGTGTATGTTTCGGGATTTCGTATTGAACCGAACGGTTCGAACGCAAACGGCTGACGGACTATACCAATAAGTTAGGTTAAACTACCTACTTATCAACTACGCGAGTAGATTGCCGCAAGACTTACATTATCTCTAGGTAATCCATAGGCAGTTTGCATCAACTTGGAGAGATAACTAGCGTAATTCCGCATGGTACATTGGTCGTAGCCCTCGCGATAGACTGCGCGGTCCATCAAACGGTCATATAGGTTATCCTCGTCCCATGGCGCGTAGCAAATGATATCCCTAATGAGTTCTTCAAGCTCATCGTGTTGTGGTGCCCGGGTTGATTCCTTCTCAAACCCAGTACCCATTCCCACCACAAGACTACCAAAGTCATTCGAAATCCCCATAGTGACGACTAATGATATTTTATAATTTTATGTTTGGGCTTAGGAAAAGAATAGTAGTGATTGAAGACAAAGCATAACAATGTCATTATGGGGAAGGTATGCATGGTTAAAATCAGGACAATGTTTGAGTCAGGGTAGGCAATAGTATTTTCTTGAGGTTCGCAGATGTGCGATTTCAAGTGCGCAACTGCGCCTCGAGTACTCAGCTCACTCATTATATTTATTAAGTAAGCCTTCACCACCCCCTCCCCCTCTCTTCTCCCCCTGTCTGCTTACTTAGGTATATAAAAAGTCCGACCAATCATACCAATTCACTTCCTAACTCCGATGGCTGAGTACCTAGGTATCTGCTAAACCTGATTCGTCTGTATGAAAAGCAATATTATCAACTCGGCTCTCACGAGTGGCTTGCGGAGATATGGAACCCCGAGACCTCGTCTGCGCCAGATGCTGGCGGGATTTCTTCGATACCAAGGATTACGAGCAATGCTGCGCGGGCGCAATTTCCAGCATCGTGGGTATCGAGGTGACAAGTACTATTGATGAAGTAAGGAACGCAGCACAGTTAGGTTGTAACTGGTGTGATTATATCAATAGCTTCATTAAAACTTCAGAAAATGGAGAATCCAAAATTACTGTGACCCTCTGTCCTACGTCAATCGAGTCATGTACTCCAGAGGGTCGGAATACTTTTTACATCAGTATTTCTCGTCGATCCCCCGCGGGCGAATTGGAATCCGCATCCTCATTATTTCTCCATGCTTTTACAACTGCAGAAAACGAAGCGGGGAGATATGTCACCGCGCGCCCCATACAAACAGATGTCGGAAGCGCAGCCGCCCATCGTCAGATTAAGACGTGGTTGAGAGAATGTGAAGAGCATGAGTGCTGCTCTAGCCCCCACACTGCTTCTATGCTCCCCACCAGGGTTATTGAAGTTAGCCCGCCAGGGCAGAAAGATCCACGACTTGTAGAGTCTGAAGGGATTCAGGGAGTATACGCAACGTTGTCATATTGTTGGGGTACTGTCCCCTTTCCGAACCTCACTATTTCTAATCGCACTCAGTTCAAAGAGGGCTTGGACATGAGTACACTACCCCTTACAATCCGTAATGCCATCGCTACTACTCGTGAGATGTCCATTCCGTACATATGGATAGACGCTCTCTGTATTATGCAGGACTCCGAAGAGGATAAGATGAGAGAAATATCGCGGATGAAGGGAATATTCGCCTCATCAACCGTTACCATTGTGGCGGCTTCGTCAAAAAGCGTCTTCGACGGATTTCTATATGATCGCGATAACTCGGAGACTGTTTATAGAATACCGGCCCGAGTTGATAAGGGGGTATTCGGAGCGATGTTCGTCAATGAACTCGATGCTGCGACTTACGATGAGCGCTCCGAGCCCATTGCGAAACGAGCATGGACGATGCAGGAGCAGGTACTAGCCCAACGAACCGTTATTTTCGCTACGCATACTATGTTATGGAATTGTAAGGCCAGCGCAAGGAACTTTGGGGACTCACTATACTTCCCATACGACCTCGACTCAGGATTTAACGACGACGACGAAAAATACAGTCTCAATCTAAATTCTCTCTTAATTACAGAACACGAGGCGAGATCCAACAAGAACAAGGCTTTGAGTTGCTGGTTACGCCTTGTGACGGCTTTCTCTCTCCGTAAAGCTAGCCATGAGAACGACAAGCTCAATTCACTAGCTGGCATTGCATCTCATCCTTCTTTTTCTAGTCTCGGGCCAAACTACTTTGCCGGGATTTGGGAGTATAAACTTGCTATACAACTGATGTGGTACACCTCGGATTGGCACAGAACACTTGGCGAGGACGAAAAATTCACATTCTACAGACCGACCACATATCGAGCGCCTTCTTGGTCCTGGGCGAGCCTTGAGGGTGGAGTTATCCACTTCGACTTCTCGTTTGACGATGAAGATGAACCGGAGCCAGAAATAGTCTGTGAAGTCGTAGAGTGCTCAACGACAGCCAAGTTCCCTGATCTAAATCCGCTTGGCGAGGTCCTCTACGCGCAATTGACACTAAGGGGATCATTAAGGATGGCGTGGTTTAACCCGAAGACTTCTAACGTTATCTTACTTCATGATCCTATCCCTGACGACCACGACCGCCTAGACAAAGTGGTCGAACCATATGAAGAAGCATGGAAAAGGCATGTCGTAGAATTCAAGGCGAGGCACCCGGATATTGATATTGAAGAAGACCCGGAAGCTGTAAATGGTACCGACTATGATAACACCAATGGAAGATCCGACGAATCTGGATTTACCCAGCTAGTAGTCGTATTTTGCCTTCCAGTCACCCTTCAAAGCTCATCTCTGGACGGCACTATGGGGTTATTACTTACGTCATGTAAGCACGAAGGCAGGACTTCATACAAGAGGATAGGTATTTTTAAGAGAGGGATGAATAAAGAGTTTGAAGACCTACCAAGGAGGGATATCTGCATAATATGATGTATATCAATCATAAATCATATTTCTCGTAGCACGAAGCACAATCCGCAGAATAGGGTTGGCACCGAGGATTGCTTAACTATGAATTCAAGATCAACATCAAATAATACGTGGGTCAAGCACTTAAGCTGAAAAGGGGTTTTAAGGTTTACTGCGGATACCTATTTCGTGCAAACATTCATTCCTTCTTATTTTGTTTCCATAAGTCGTACCTTCCGTGTCTACCAACCTAGGCTGTGACATACTATGGCATGTACTAAGTGGCATCCTTTATAATAATTAATAACAAACCTTACTTCACAAATTACCTAGGTAGGTATTGTAAAGAGCCAGGTAGACCGTGCTAGGGAAATGGTTAACCCGTCGGCCTTCTATCAAAAGTGAAGCCGAAGATTCTCGGTTCGAGTCCGAGGTACGGTGATTTTTTTTTTTTCCTTTGCGTTTTCATTCCTATCATTTCTAATTTATTATCTTAATATTATGATAGGTAACCTCGAGGTATAGTTTTTTGTTAATTGATCGAGGTACGTTCCAAGCGCAATTGTTACCATGGCCATGGGCATCGACAAAAAATTATTCAGAGGGCTCAATTATTCCTCAGATAATGGCAAATAATGAAATACTACTTCATAAATCACACGCATGAGACCATAACCAATGCAGCTTTATATTGAATCTTGTGTTCTATTGTATGTAGGCGGTCGGGTTAGGGCCTGCACTCCTAGGTTTATGGTAGGATATGATTGCGCGTGTGTCTATTTGATATAAGAGAATTTACCTAGGTAGGCATCGGACCCTTAGCCTGTCTACCTAAAGCCCGACACGCGTCTCTCAATACGAACTGAGAAGAGTATAGTGACGATATTGACATACCATTGATCACGAGAAACATGACCAAGCACGTCGTCCTATTATACCCGTCTCCGACTGAGCTATGACTATCGCAATTGTTGGCGCTTGAGTCGCTATAGTCGCCAACGAGATCTAGATATCACGAAGTCTCATATTCCGAAAATGGCTTCGGGGTTACGGGAATTTGTGGCGAGTTACAGCTGTTCGCGCGGTGCAGGGGACGGCACGGACTTGGGAAACTCGGAATGGCTCCATGCCTTACATACGGTCTCATATTAGCGCCGGCATATAGGCTCATAGTCGGTAGCTTCTCCGGCAACTAGACACCTTCATTTATGAGCTCCATGATATGATAATCGAAACACTACTGTCTCATGTAGAGACACAATACCTGCATTAGGATGCAAGAAGCGACAAAGGTAGGTAACTCTAGACGCATATACATACACGTACATACCAACTTCTATGCACGGTGTGATGCGCCGAAGACGACGACTCGTCACGCATTATCACTTGCTGTACCTAGTAATCAGTTGATCGAGGCAAAAAAAGTCAGCTCATAAGCCTCACCAAGGGATCCAAGTAGGTGTGGTGAACAGGCAGTAGTGCATAGGCGCATAGGCGCGTCGATGAAGACGCAGCTAACAAGACCTTTGGTACCTACGTAAATACCCCATATTTCGTTCTTCTTTCTCTTTCCATATGCCTCCCCCCACCTACATACATCGTGCATATACACGTACAGATGCCTACCGAAAGGAGGTAGCATGTCCAATTTTTCGGGAAACAATGAAACCGAACCCATTTGCTGCTGCGGCTAGCAACTTAGGCCTGGCCTGTCTGGTAACGAACGGGATAGCTGTGACGATCCGTCAGATCATCATCTATGCTAGTTGGAAGTGTGTGGCCCAGGTACCTGGCAGCAGGCACTACCAAATATGTAATGCTCGAACCAGAATGGCGAAAAAAGAAGAAAAAACAAAGGCGAATTGAAACAAGCCAACAAAACAAATCGACCAAGCAAGTTAAGTAAGCCTCGCGCGGAAAATCCGCACGTGCCTAATCTAACGCACGTCACCGAGAGAGAAGAGAGGGAAAACAAGTCCAATTTGCCTGAGAGAAAAAAAAAATCCGAAGCAGAGAAGTAAGGTAAAGCCACGGCCGGGGAACAAGGGGATGACGATGGTGGGTTTCACGACATAAATTCTTATGTATGCAGACGCCACATCGTCAAAAGAAGAAGGATCCATAGGTCCATAGGTGGCCTTCACGGACCACCCAGCAAAGCAGGCTTCGTAGGCGGTATGATGACTGCCGTATGTAGGTGTGTGTAGGTATGTATGCAGCTAAGGTAGGCAGCAAGGGTACTTACCCATACAAAGGCCTTTCATGTACACTACCAGGTAAAGAAGGGCGGGCCGCGACATCACTACCTCGTGGGCTTCCCGTTACTTGGTTGCACATCTCGTTTGTATACCGGTATATAATAAGGGTATCCAATATGCAGGGCGGGAGCGCGGGATATTACCCTCATACGACGGGATGATGTAACCGTTCCAGGTAGCTACATATAACTACCTAGACAGCTTGGGTAAGCTAGCTAGGTTCGTACATATATACAAGAATACATAGTAGGCAGGCTACGTATTATTATGATGACGGGTTGGCAATAATAATATTAAGAAATGTAATAATGTGCGTGCGCCGTGCGCAACGCATTGAACCGTTCTCCGGAAAGCCAGGGGTCTCGTTTCCGCGGTCGGAGTTACGACAGCCTTATTAGGGTAGTGGCCTTCTTTTTTCATTCTCTATCCCTTCCTCCCTTGGAAAAAAGATGGGAAGGGAAAGGAAAATAAGGGGTCTCTTTGACCCCCGTGTTGTGGCGGCTGACGGCAGCGAACGGGAATGTAGAATCGCAGGGCTGGCGCACCTTTTAACGCGTCTGTGTGGGCGAGAACCCCCGGGCATGTTTGCTTCAACCCTACCCTACCATAACCTGGCCTACCACACCCCCCCATGCTCGATCGTCGGGGACCAGTATCGTCAACCCAGATCGCGGGATCCGCCCTTGCCGCCGGAGCGCCGCTTACCCAGCGATTCGACAAATTCGATGTTGCGTTGGATCGTGAACAAGGGGGTGTGCTTTAACTTTTCCAGTTCTTCTGATTCCCTTCGAGAAAAATGTGGCGTTTGACAGACGTTGTCAATCAAGCTGCGAACGTTGTTTCGGGCGAAATAAAACAGAAAAAAGAAATTCACCTATTAGTCGACGTTGGAATGTCGATGCTTCCCCCCCTGTTGGTAGCCGATGGCATTTCCAATTGGTTCCTTCTAAGTAACGGAATTTACCAAGTATCTACCTAGGCGTTGAGGCAAAACGTTCGTCACGCCTCTTTAGAGATAGCTGAAGCTGGATTTGTCTTGGATGTACATCCCTCTGTCGCTAAAAGGGTACCTAGGTCTTCAGCTGTGACCTTGTCAGCTCATGACTAAGCTTCATTTAATATTCAGGGACGAGATTGGTCCCCACTACGATGGCTTCGGTACATTCTACGTCGTATACCTATTGTCCGATTTGGCAAGTTACTCAGTTTTGAAGTCCCAATAGTACATCATAGAGCTTGGCTAGAAGCCGGAGGTTGGTTGGTACTAGCTGCAAGTCCTGTTCGGAGAACACCAATGATACCACACAATCCAATCGATATCTCTCTTAATTAATGCGAGACCCTTGAATTTTGGCCAAGCTCAAGGGTAAGACCATGGTATAATGATGATTTCGTGTAGCCAGCCCTCTGCGTATTGTGTAGTAGCGCACGGGTAATATTGTATGGTAGACCTCCAAGAATCGCCTTTTGATTTTGAAAAACTGGCAATAGAACGCTATCTCCGGCATGATGACGAATCTCCAAGAGACCCAAGACGCACATTTGACCGGTCAATGGTCCGTATTAGCTCGACGGGTAGCGGCAGTTGCTGCAGCAGAAATCTGTCGCCGTCGCATTCAAACCCAAACGACTGGAACGGGATCGGGACCAAGGACTCGGGCCGTATCGCGTAAGCCGAAAATCAAATTCCAACCAAAAAGAAAAAAAGAAAAAGGTCGAGCCACAGGATCTTACATAACACCCGCGGAGAAAAAAAAAGTGAGGCGCGGTATTAAGGGTACTTTTTGACGCCTCGATATACCGTCCAAACTGCGGATCTGTAGATCGTCCCAATGAGATGAATGAAGACGGGGCCGGCAAAGGGGCCCCCTGCATGAAGAACTTCCGCAGCAACACGAGGCTTTGGGGACCCCGGAATGTCGGGTGTACGCTCAGGGCTGACCAGATATGATGACCTCCTTTTGGGAAGTGTTACCTGTGATTTCGAACTAACCCTTCAGCGTAATTTAGGAAACACCAGCGATTTTGTGATTATTAATGATCACATTCTATGAATAAGCCAAGCGAGCCTTCAGAATTGTTTCGTAAAAGTAAAAATGTACCAATAATTCCCGATTTTGACATGGTCGTCGCCTTATATTAGATATCTATCTAGGTATGTTGATCAACTGCCTGTTCACGTTTACGTCCGTTCATGCGGCGAGCCGCCAGTGCTCCGCAGCTTAGTCACTCAGGTCTCAGAACAATTGATTTCGAAGCACTACAACACAATATGCGCCCTTCATGTCTTAAATCTGCGGCGTAGTATTGCGAACGGTTTTTGTCGCTGGCGACCTGCTGTGCTACTATCCGGGTTGTCAGGTACGGAGCTACCCCTGGGTCGATTGTATGACTGGTGTCCTCGTTCAACAACGATCACTTGAGTTATTCTTGGACTTCTGGATCGGGGATTTCAAGTTGTTCCACGGACTCTAATTATTGGCACGAGATCGTTAGATTGTAAGCACTATGCGACCTTTTCTTGACTTAATAGGGTCTCGTGCCGAGGTTGATGGCCGAGTCGCCGTTCGGGGGGGTACACGCGCACGTATATGGCTCATATTACTGTTTGTGGCTTTTCTAGTCTTATCTCGAAGGTCGAAGGAATGCATATGAAGATGACGGAGCCAAGGCCACAACGTAGAATAGGCAATATAGTTACAAGTTAATAGATTCGTGACCCCTCGTACAAATCTATGCAGCGATCTGCCCGAATATGCTTGCCACATGGGCCTAGAATGTTTTCGAAGTGAAAATACCATTCCCCGGCGAATTGTGATACTAATGAAGCTTTTAATATTTTGGAAGCTTCATCATGGCGGTGACAACATTTGATTAGGTACTTAGGTACCTATGCAGGGCACCTCTGACATGGCTGAAAATCCGAGTTACGAATCCATGCAGCCATATCTAACACCCGAACGCAGTGAGATCGTCTACAACATCCTTTTGGTGTCCACATGGAAAGGTTAACCGATGACCTGAGAAACCTGCAAGTATATGTGGGCGCTGTGAATGGTTGCGCAGAGATCGATAAGATAGTTTACCATACCTCATTGACGAATTGGCGATCTCGCTGTGAAACGCGTTCATTCTGGTTACCAGAACTGTGGATTGGCCTCATTTTCAGCTGACCATGAAACTGAGACTTGAATACTGATAGTTGTCTTATTAAATTGCTTTTGGAGGAATATTGTTGCATTGGCTATATGCGAATGCGATGTCTTTTTAAACTGGTAGTGTCGTGTATTGAAGATTGTCGTAGGGATAGTGGTTGGTCAGTTAGTAAGCACAGCGATAGCGGGGCGGAAAGCTTAGCATCTTGTTACTGTACCTCTAAGTAATGATATTAAGGTCGTTCCAGACGTTACCCGCTCACGGTCTCGATTCATCTGTTGAAACACAACATGTCAATCGTACTACCGATACTCCATCTGCCTGGTATTCGGTGCTGCAACGTTCCGGAACGACGAAAGTGCTATGTTTGGGTTGTTTGTGGTCTACAAATCCGACACCGACGTCGTAGTCGTAGAATTGCTGTGGCGTTAGCACTTTCGGGTTTATGCTAGATTATCTATTTGAGATAAAACCTATATTTTATTGTCCTTTAGTATTAATGCAGTGTTACATCTAGAAGAGTATAGGCCCACCTTTTCGAAATATGAATGGGTTGCCTCCACTAGAATTCTGTAAGTCATGGAAGATATAAACCAGGTTGAGAAATGTTAGCGTTGATACGAGCCAACCTCAGGTAACATATTAGCTTCCAGCGCCGGGATGTCTGGTAACAAGAGACACATGGACTTCCTACCTGAACAGGACAAGTATTTCCCATTACTAACCAATCGGCCTGCCGGCTCCGGTTCTGGGCTGTTTCTATTTGCGACCGACTGAAGCACGCCGTAATTGTGGGCATAACCACCTAACTAAGAGGAAAGTCAGGAGAGAACTTTGGCCTCTAGCTTATCAACGCCCCTGTAATTTCTCCGTCTGAAGGATTTAGAAAGACGGAGATACAGAGCGTGACATGAAGAATTTACTGAGGCATCCCACGTGAGAAGTCGGGACTTGGGGCCTATTAGACCTTACGGGGAACTAAAACGAAGCCGTCCCGTAGCCGGTCGAGCATCCGACATAAGATCTAGACCAAGGAATCCCTGGTGTAATCCATGAGGTTGTTCGCCATCGGCGGGTATACCTTGGTAAGGCAATATCCTCCGCATTTCGTCTCGTGACCCTTATGAGGTTTTCACGTACAATAGGAGATATAGCTCGGTAAGCTCCGGGAGGCGAAAATGAATGTCGACGGTAGTTCATAGCTTTACCCGTCGACAGCACTGCTTGGTAAGCTAAGAGGTCGGAAAGACGGTTGTGGCTTGTTGATCCGACCAGGTATGCTGCATCTAAGCAATCCGAGGTAAATCTAAATGGATCCCGTTAAGATGGGCTGGATAAGATGCACATCGAAGGTAACGGCCCTGTCTCAGATCAGTATAGGGGGTTGTCGGACGGCACAGATTCTCGGGAGGCGAAGAAGATTGCCAGATCAGAGACCGGGTGAGACGCATCTAAGGGATGGGGAACTATTGACAATGATACAATTGATACAATTGTAAAAATTTTAATAATTGATGGTACCGAATGGATATATTAGGTATGGTACCTTTAGCTATGTAATCAGGTAGCGAGGTATTGGAATTGGACACACATACATCCAACATGCCCACAGATATGTGTAAAATCAAGCAGAATGATGCAATAAAGATATAGTTTTTCTCTAGCTGAAGGGACGGGAGATGCAGGTTGTTGTTCGGCGGTCGGAGTTGTGCCTAAAGTTGTGGCCTACCTTAACTGAATTTTAGTTGGAAGCTTGTCTGCGGTGACACATGCACCTAGGTGTAATTGCTTGTAATTGCCAGGTGTGAGTTTCCAGTCTTGTCCATTCTTTTACCTGTATCGTACCTACCTCTATGCACGACAACATTAGAAATACAGAAATACATGGAACATGGATGTACATTATGTATGTATTATCCACTTGATTTATACGAATTCAATCGCGGTAGCTACACGTATTCCTAATATGATGTCGGTACCTACATGTCAATCCTTCTATGGATTGCCAATTGATTAGGACAAACGGGCGGTAAATAAGGATGCTTCTACATTTGTACCAAAAACCTACTAAAAACCCCCACCCGCAATGTACCAATTACATCTATTTGTACCAAATTACCCTACAATTACCTAGAAATTCAAGGGTATTTCAAGGGTACCAGCACTTACGTACATGTACTGTATCTCCTAATCTGCAAATTGATCGACCTTGGTGGCGTAATGTTCACAGCAAAAAGCGGATCAGCAAAAACCCCCGTACCCCCGTACACCCTCCCCTGCCCCCCGTCTCCGTCTCCGTCTCGCCGCCGCAAACTCACTCGTGTCAGTCTGGGCTTCTTATCCAATGAATTTTGATCGCTCCAGCCCGTCTCTCCGATCTCTTCCTTTCTTCGCAAAGTCGCGACAGGGTCCTTATTTACCTACATTACATATGCGGCAGTGACCCTGACTCTCACTTCTTCGCATCTGCACTTTCAGACCTTTGAACCCCTTGGGAAAGCCTCGTTAGGCTCGCCGGGCCAGGGCAACACCAGGGCCATCAGGGCACACTACACACACACTACACCACACTAGGGCTATTTTCTTCGTCTTGTCTTGTCTTTCCACCATGCTAGCCATGCCAACACCGGGCCAGCACCAGCACTAGACCAGGCAATGCGCGAACACATACATGCATGGTCCACGGTCCACGGTCTTTGTCTCCTGCAGCCTCATCTTCTCGGAATAATCATAATCATCGTCATCATCGTCCCATCCTATCCTAATTCTGCTAATTCTGAATTGTTTCGAAGCTTTGCGAATCGCTTCGGTCTTCTGCAAACGCATATTCGCATATTCGAACTGACGTTGAGCCCTGAAGAGATCATCAGTACCGTTGCCCTGTTCGCCATTTGTGCATTTTCTTCTACATTGGGTACATTGGGGATGACAAGGTGATCACCTAGTCGAGCCTAGTTCGTATTCCATGTTTGATTTTCGCCTAAACTCCTTCACCAACCAATTCGAAAAATTATAATAATAATCATAATAAAATATCTAACCTAGACTCTTGTAAGACGACAGGTCAATTCCTTGCGTCATCATGTCAGAGCCGCCCTATACTAGGATCTAGGCAACTTTTCGATTTTTTTTTCCCTGTCTTCTATCATCATAGGGATTGAGATCAAGATGCGCTTACAGAAATATACAATCATAGGTATCTATTAATGGTACCAAACATACCAATGGATGGCAAAAAACAATCTGGAATTATCCGACAGAACTTGATGTTCTCTCCCTTTGCCGTCCCGCTCAAGTTGTACTCCTGTATTCCTCCTGCAGCTTTGGCATGCTCATGCTCATGCTCGCTTTTTTTTCTTTCTCGGGCGATAACTCTTTTCGTCCATCTCGTGTCTCTTTAAACCCTGTTCGGTATGGCACCAAGCCTCACAAGTGTGATCGGCCCCCCACAATGACTACATCTAGATCCTGTCGTTAAACGATTTTACATGCCGCAAGTGGCGGACCCTGTGGTGTAGTTCTCGTGGTTCAGCTGCCGAGGGCCGGTTACTGTGACCTCCTTCTGTGACCCAGTTACAATCAATTTTTAATTCTTTTTTTCTTTTTTGTATTCTTTTTTTTTGTATTATTATTTTTAATTCTGGGGAATTTCTTAAAAGCACTGACTTACATACATACAACCTCCCCCGATCCCCCTTAACTCGAACTGGACTGGTCTAGACGAAGGGGGTTTATAATGAAAAAGGATAGACAGACTACAAAACTACAAATCCTCCAAGCGGTATTAAAACCTTCAATGACCCGCTGTCTTCGTCTAGTTCCAAGACTTGTTGTCTCTATTTAACTTTCCTTCCTTTTGATTGGCGTATCTTGGGTCAATTCGATGTGGAGCATCCGTGATGCTTTACACTAGACTGGTACGCTTCTTTTCTCATCTCTCGATATATATCTTACCTCCTCATCGCCCCGTACGCCCTGTACCTACACTTCATCGCGTCTCCAACTAGTGTTATTAGACACTCACTCCCCGAGGAGATCTCGTACGGGGGGAACGGCGAACATATTTGACACTTCCACCTACTTAGATCTTAGACGACGACATGTCTTTCCACCAAGGTGGCGGACCCGCGGGGTTCCCAATGTCGTTTCAACCATCTCAGTCTCGATCCCCTCCGCAGCCTTCAACTTCCGGGACACGGGGCATGGCGCCTGATATGGGCCAGATGGGGTCATTCCTCTCATCCCATGAACCACAATTTGATATCTTCGAGTGGTACCCGCAGTTCCAGTCGTGCGTGCGGTACTTTCTGGACATTGCGCAACACAGCGGGCCGATACAAGCTGTTGCTGCCTACATCAATATTCGGTTACCCTTCCAGATGTCACCGTATCCTGTCTTGTCGTCGAAGTCGCCTGGCTCGCCTGCTGCCGTGCCGCCCCCTTCGTCAATTGCGGCAGGGAAACTACCAATGCCGAGCCACCCGCCTATATCTGTCTCCTTGATTCCTTACGTTCGGCGATTGGTGGCAACCGGATATGATTTTCCCGGTGTGCTGCATGGATTCTTCGGAGATGACTGGGCTGTAGGCATAGGTAACCTCCACACTATCGAACGACGAAATTTCCTCTTTGCGGCGAAGAGCGCCGGCTGGTTGAAAGTCAAGTCCCAATATGACATGGCAGACGATCAAAGCATCCCGTTTTTGCGACCACTCCAAAACGTCACGGAGAAGGAAATCGTGGTCGCGGAGGCGAATTGGAGTGAGTGGTTGGCGATGCAGGATTGGATGGTCGGTCCGCGCTCACCTGATGTCGACAAAGAAATGACAATCGTAAAGACGGAAGAGATTTAAGTTATGAGGGCGGGTTTGGTCGGTATTGGACACTTCGCTACGTGATTTAGAGGGGATTATGAATTGTTGAGGCGCAAGATGCCTAAACACCAATCGGATCCGGATATCTGCCTGGTTCGGTTACGTTAGAAGGGGGGTTTGACTAGGCGTACGGAATTTTTTTTTTCATTTTATTTCCTTATTGGTTTCACTGCACTAAGGCGACCCAACCAAATGTCTTCCCATATTCAAAGTCTATATATTCGGGTGACATTGGGGTTGAGGGATCAGTTCGCGTGTATTGTGATTGCGGCTCATATTTTTCCGCAGGATGATCGGAAAATACGGGCGCGTGGTTTGTTCGATAAAAGGTTGGGTGCCTAGGTATTGGTTCAAATAGGTCAGGTATTACTACTTTTTCATGTACCTAATCTTGGTTCGTGGATCTGACATGACACATAATGCGGTGGTTTAATGGCTCTTTTTTGTGTCGAACCGGAAATCAGAATGGAAATTGGAATGTTTCGATTGCATTGCATGTGTGATTCAATGGATGTTTTGTTTGTTCTGCAAGATTCTGTCGTGGCAAGAGAAAAAAAAAAATACAACTGATAGGGGGGATTATCGTACCGTGTACCGCCGAGCTCCTCCAACTCGTCCCTGAAGTGGGATGATTTTTACTTGGCCCAAGCTCCAAATCCCTAGCTGTTTAGGTACCCTCTTGTTCTAGCCTTACCTGTTTGTGCCCCTGACTTGGCGGGTGACTAGACTGGATTAGCGATATGAGTGACATGATCGCTTAGGCGGAGTACCTCCCGATAGCGTTCAAGGTAGCAACGCTAAGGCGCTAAGGTCACTAAGAGGCTACAGATAACAGCTAATGATAACCGCCGACGTCAATTTTACTACGTGATTGTGTACCTAGACACTGTAACTAAACTTTTGAGCTTTACCTTCAGCCTTGACGATTTTTAAACCTTCAATCCGATCTACACAATCATATTAATACTATACGGACGAATACAAATACGCGAATTCCTATAATCAATACATGATTATTGAATATATTACAAATTGAATCATTTCCCCACGTCGATGCGCCGATTCAATCTTATTCTTCAACACCAAAATACAACAAGATGGAGATGGACGTAGATATGATCACGTCGGATGGTGGCTTGTTCCGGGAGGAACCAGTACATAACCATACATCGTCGAAAGAGGAGTGGTCGAAATTCGTGGCACGATGTATTTCATCTCGACTTGACACCGACACTTTCGAATCCTACGTTTCGCTTCTCTACTCTAAACATCCATTACCCCCCGCGATCATCGCCGACGTTTGCCTGAAGCCGCAACTAGAGAACCACGAAAGCCTCGATCCGCGTGTGCCGCGATACATACAAGTCCTTGCCCAGCGCGGATTAATCGACACTTCTTCCCTACTCAAGGCCTTGTATAAATACTCTACATCACAAACCCAAGCTCGAAAAACCGGCAGTTTCCCACATGGTGAAGCGGAGGATAAAGTACCGTTACGATGGGGGAGCTCGTATGCGTCCGAGGAAGTAATATTCTACCGCATCACCAAAGCCGTCGCTTTGGGAACTGGTATACGGAATGCGAGCGATGCATTGGAAGTTTGTAAACTGATGGCTCAGTGGATGACATTGTTTACGAGTGCATCGGCGGCGTTTGCGCAGGAAGCTATGGGCCAACTACCTAATATGCATCTGGCGAACCCGCAGTCTAGGGATGAAATGGAGGCAGCTCGAGCGGCGTTTATTATGCTGCTCTTGAGTATATGTGAGAATCAGATGGTTCTGAATGCGCTTAGTCGTCCTTTTGCTAAGAGTCAGTTTTCATCCCTCATTCCCTTTATATCACACGGGAATCATGCGAAATTAACATTATGTGTAGGCGCTAGGAGAGCTCTGTATGCAAGTTTAGCTACTTTCGTCCCCTCGATTCTTCAGAATGCGTCCCAGATCGCGAGTCGACTTGAGCTGTTCCGTACCGAGACGCTTGCGTCATTCGAGCCCGCGGATAAGAATACGGAGTCCTCGCAGACTATGATGGATGATATTGAGTCGACTATGGCGCTTGATAATTTCGTTGTGCCTGAGTTGCCGAATGTTAATTCGAGGGCGGGCTTGTATATCTATCTCAATGCCGCTGTAAGTTCGAATGACGGTCTTGGGAAGTATTAGACTAACTTTGAGTAGCTCGTTGGTCGACCGTTGATTGATGATGCTGCGTTGTTCAGCTACTTGCATAACAGATATCAGGTATGTCATATTCGATGAGCACCTATGAAATGCATGCCAATTTTGAACAGGGTGATATTCAATCAACCACGATTGACCTGATATTGGCCTCATTCGATGTACTCGCAAATGCAGTATTCCGCAATGAAGGCCAACAAGCAAGCTACTTACTCCGATCTTACTTAATTAACAAGCTACCCTTACTTCTCGCAACTCTAGCGACATCCATGTATCCTCCTTTATCAGCTCAGTTTTGCATTACTGAAGCACTGAGCCAGGTCGATACTAACGCGTTTCCGACGTTATCTGCCATGTTCGATGATACACATAATAGTAACACTTTCACAGACAGTGTCCGCCAGGATTTCTGTTTTGCGTGCTGTCTCCATGGGTTGATACCCGAGTCAAGCATAGAGGGCTTACTTGGCGAAATCACTTACCAAACTCTACCCCAAGCGGGTCGATACGTTAAAGAACAATTAGTCGAAGAGTGTATGGGTGATCCCGAAAGGATCACACGACTAATTGGAGAAATGGATAACATGGACGGTAATGTCGGAGCCGTTTGTGAAGCTCTGGCAATGGTAGGCGTCCCAATTCCACTAATTCTGATATGTTAGGCTAATCATTTCTGTAGGTGATTGGTCGCCTTTGCAATAATAAGGAAACGATGACTTTGAAGCTTCTATGTAGCCAGCTTGCTAAGAAACCGTTATCGCTGGATGTAATGCTTCTCTTCGACAAGCCGATCACCATATTGCATCCGCTATGTGTATTGCTTGACAGTTGGCGATACGAAGAAGACCAGGGTGAGTATCAACCCGTTTACGAGGAATTCGGATCCGTACTTCTTCTAGTTCTAGCATTCATCTACCGCTATAACCTTTCTCCCGCGGATCTTGGCATTCGTCCAGATTCGTTCGTGGCCAAATTATTGGGTGTTGGAAAACTCAACAAGCCACAAGAGGATTTGACGGAACAAGAAAACCAGCATCTTAGCGGGTGGATCCATGGACTTTTTGATACCGAGTCCGGTGGATTGGCGGACGAATTGCTATCTTCATGCCACCCGCAAGATTTCTATCTGCTTGTTCCTACGCTATTTCACCAGATAGTGCTGGCATTTACGACCGGTTATATTGATGAAGAGTCTCTTAAGATGGGAGTTGAATGTAAGTCTCAAATTGATGAGGCCCTAGAGAACAAAGCTGACCTGATTTTAGACCTCGTCAATACCTTTTTACTTCCAGCTCTCGTGCCAGCTATGATATACATGTCTAATCAACTCTGGATAGAACTAACGCACGATAAGGAACATAAAGCAGTCCTCAGGATTCTCCAATTGATTCTCCTAACTAAACAAGGGTCTACTGAATCCCAGGCAATGTTATCTGCCGTTGTGAATATAATCGCAACACCGTTAGAATATGGCCTAAGGTCATTTCAACGATTCGACCCTAAGAGTCCTGTGATTGATCCCCTACTTAAGGCGATGAGGGATAATCTCAAACTCTCGCGACGAACAGCCAGCGCCGCTAACCACGAGCTGGAAGGATGGTGTAGCACAGCTAACGGAGGACTTACTACTTTCATTCGGCACACGATACAAGGCTTTGTGACGTGGAGTGTCCACCCGGGTCTTAATGTGATGCCGACTTCATATACGCACCGCCAGATTATTTTCGCCCTCAAAATGCACGGGGCGAGACGTTTCCTTTACACCCTCCTAGAAGAAGTCAAACTGCAGGGAGAAGCTGGCAACGATAGCATCGCACATGATGTCGCTACTGCTCTCATATGCGCCCCCGACGTAACTAACCTACCGCCACCACCCGAAGCGGCGCTGATGATGGATCCATCAAATCACATAGTACCCCCGCAATTACGCCTTTCACTCCGAGCTGCCCTTAAGGCGGAAGCCGAGGATTGTAAGATAATCCAGAAATCCGATCCAGTCATGGCCGAGATCATCGTCCGTCTATACCGAAAGGTCGAGGCACAAATGCTTATGCCACCGCCCCCTGATCCGATTATGCCGAGTGAATTGGCGAATCTAGGCTTAGGCGATAATGCGGCTGCCCTTGGGGACGCACTAGCGGCCGCCGCCCAAAGCGACGGTTTAGGTGCGGACGAAGCGAGCATGAGTCTGGATCTTGGAAGTGGTGGGGGCGATATGAGCCATCTTGGTGGAGGAGATTCTAGTCATGGTGGACTTGATTTCGGGGCTGGTGATGATATGTTTGGGGGGTTGACGGGTGGGGGAAGTAGTGTCGATTTGCTGGATAGTTGGGATTTGACGTAGCCGCAACAAGTTCTGAGATTTCGCTTGGTTTCGATGTCAATATTGAGGTTGAATACGTCCTTTCTGAATGCTTTGGAATTATGCATGGACAAGCAAGGCGTTTGCGTTGGGGAAAATCGATGGTCGATACTTAGGGCTGCATAGTGTCGATACCTTGATCGTTGAACTGGACATTGAATTCTAGGGTCTGGTAGTAATTACGCTTAAGGATAACTTTAGTTGAGATCAATTTTTGGAATACTGAATTTACATCACCTCTAACGCTATGTGATGTTAATTGAGATATCCCTTACTGGGCATATCGCAGAAGTCAATTAAAATTTAGATGCCGATTCACGTTTCTGCGTGACGACGCTATTCCGAAGCACGCAATATGACCCCTGTATGCGCTCATTGGGGAGTAGATCGTCGATTATGTAAACACTATCGTAACTAGCTCTCCTAGCTACGAAGGGAGGTAAAGTACACAGAAATTATTCAATTTATCATGCTATTGTTATTTTTCCCTCAATCAGGTCTTTGGCTGTGAGATAATATTTTGGAAAGAAATTGTGAAGGATTGAATTGGACAAAAATGCGCATCGCGGCTCTAACCGCTATACTCCCCGTCCTGGCGGCCGCATCATCGGATGCGAACCCGGCTCAGGTCCCGCTAGGTCCTAGCCGTAAACCGCCATCATCTTCACATACACATACACACACACACACACACGGGAAACGACCTAATGTTGTTTTTATCCTGACGGATGACCAGGATGTTCATCTTTCGTCTTTGGATTATATGCCGTTAGTGAAAAAGCATTTATTGGATCAGGGCACGTATTTTAGTCATCATTATGCGACGACGGCGGTTTGTTGTCCGTCGAGGGTTACTATTTGGACGGGCAAGTTTTCGCATAATACGAATGTTACGGATGTTAGTCCGCCGTATGGTATGTTATTTTTCTTATGAGCTTGGTGGGAAAGAGGCTTCGGCGATTACTTTGTAATTGGATTATTCTGACTATGTTCTAGGTGGATATCCAAAATTCGTATCCCAGGGGTTTAACGATAATTATTTCCCTGTGTGGCTCCAGGAGGCTGGGTATAATACGTATTATACGGGGAAGCTGTTCAATGTGCACACTATTGAGAACTACAACTCTCCGGAGCCGGGTGGCTTCACGGGCTCGGTATTTTGACCCTTCACTCACACGTTTAGTACTTATTCTAATCAATGGGTTTAGGATTTCTTGCTTGACCCTTATACATATAACTACCGGAACAGCACATTCCAGCGAAAGGGCGAAGCACCACGTAGTTATGAAGGTCATTACAGCACGGATGTCCTAGCCGAAAAAGCGTACGGGCTACTAGACGACGCTGTTGAAGCCGGGAAGCCATTCTTCCTCGTCGCTGCGCCTATCGCTCCTCATGCTAATGTGGAGATGAATCTCACTAGTGATGGAAGTCATGATCTTAAGGACTTGCCGTTTGAGTTCACAGAGCCTGTTCCTGCGGAGCGGCATAAACACCTTTTCCAGGATGAGAAGGTGCCGCGAACTGCGAATTTCAATCCGGATGAGGTATGTTCCCTCGACCCGTTTGAATGAACGATGTACTTACCCCCTCGAAAGCCTTCCGGCGCGAATTGGATCCACACTCTACCACAGCAGAACGACACCAACGTGGTTTATAACGACCACTTCTATCGGCAGCGTCTGCGGTCACTCCAAGCTGTCGATGAGCTCGTCGAGGGTCTCATCTCACGCCTAGAGGAGCACGGCATTTTGGATAATACGTATATCGTATACAGTAGCGACAACGGGTACCATATTGGACAACATCGTCTTCAACCCGGCAAGAGCTGCGGGTACGAGGAAGACGTAAACGTGCCATTGATTGTGCGAGGCCCGGGTGTCGCCGCGAATTATACCGCTAAGGGCGTAGTGACTACGCACGCCGACCTCGCGCCGACATTTTTCGACCTCTTGGGTATTGCGACCCGGGATGACTTCGACGGCGCGCCGATCCCGGTGACGAAGGCCGAAATCGAGGAAGTTCGTGATGCGGGGGAGCGTCGTGAGCATGCTGGGATTGAGTACTGGGGAAATGCTATGGGGGAAGGGATTTATAACCGTAAGTCTAAACCCCCTTTTCCGAATTTGAGGGCACTGTCTAACATATTCCCTAAAGGAAACCCTCGCGATCATAATACGTACAAGGCCATCCGTATCTCGGGTCCCGGGTACAACTTGTACTACTCGGTTTGGTGCAACAACGAGCATGAGCTCTACGACCTAACGGTGTGTTCTTCTTTTCCTTTCCTTTTTGCTCTGAATATTTTAATGTTAAAGGGGGAACTAATTTTCACCTTTAAATACAGGTCGATCCAGGGCAACTCCACAACCTCCTTTCCTCATCTTCTACATCAGACGCCCCTCTCGCAGCAGGTTACCCCGCTCACAAAGTAGCCGCGCGTCTCGATGCCCTGTTACTCGTTCTTAAGACCTGCACAAGTGAATCGTGCCGCCGGCCCTGGGCACAACTTCACCCAGACGGTAAAGTGCAATCTCTTGCCGAAGCGCTAGAACCACGTCATGATGCTTTCTATGCAGACTGGAGTAATGGGATATCGGGTGCGCAAGTTGAATTTGCGTACTGCGCTAATGGATTCTTGACGGATGCTGAGGGACCGACTTGGGATGATGTGTTGAGGCAACGAGAAGAGGTTGGGGAAGGGGGGGAATACGGGTATTTGAGTGGAGGAAGATGGGAAGATTGGGTGTAGATTTTGGGTGTTCTTAATTGCCCCCATTCGGTTTTCATATTGAATGAACCCTGGTTAAATCGTTGTAGTCGCTATTCTTGCTAGAAGGAAAAGGGTCAATAGAGGGACTGAATTGGTGCCCCTTACAACTACCGCAGAATGAAACTTCTAAATGATAATATGAATGAACCACTATTTAGATACGAGATAAATGACGAGGTTGGTGGAATTGGGGTAGCGAAGACGCCACCATGCATCGTGAATCATTTACGGACTCGCGTGCCTGATCTGAGATTTTATTCATGTAATTATTCGGCAACATAACATGTAAAAATAATAAAACGTGGGAATTTAAGCTAGAATTGAGCTCAGAGTAAGGAAAGAACAATAACTCTTGAGTTTATAGTAGAGGAAGGTGAATTCGATCAAGCCGCAAGATGGATGCGCCACCCACGGTATGAAGCCTTATGTAATCATGTACCGGGAGGCCGTACCCGGACAGGGATATCTAACGCAACTCGACGTCATTGGTCGAAGCCAAATTTCAGGGACCCATCTATTTTTCAATTTGGGGTCGAGGCCGATTTGACCACATTGCACACAACGCAATTTCTCCGATCTACCAATCTATCACCTCACTACCTCTCTACCTAATACCTTAGTCAATTGGAAGCTCTCTCCGCATCTTTTCTTTTCTGAGCTTCCTTCCTAAATTTACTCTTACATCCTTCCCCCTTTTCTTCTTCTTTTTCTACTAATTGACTAGTGGCCTATCTCGTTCCTTTCGCCCAACATGGTGGCTCTACGATACTCTGTCCTTGCTGCTCTGGCACTCCGCGTCGCGTCTGTCTTCGCCGCCGAGGGTGATGTAAGTCAAGCTCCCTTACTTCATTATACTCTATAAACGATTATATAAATGTCACAAACTAATCAATACGTGAATTCCTAGCCCCTGGCCGAAGACGCTGGTAGCCCTCCCGAAGTCGAGCTCAAAGCCGACGTCGTCGCTACTTTCCCCGAAGCCGACGACATCTTCGGTGTAAAGCTAGTCAATGGCCGACCTACTAAAGCTGTCATCGACATCACCAACAATGAGAATGAGCCCATCCTCGTCGCTTTCCTCGGCGGTCAGCTGCTAAACCCTAAGGGTGCTATCGATGAGGCCAACCCAGCCTCTGCCGTTGTCCGCAACTTGACCACCGTCCGTTACGAGGCTTCTATTCCCGCCGGCGAGAAGCAGTCGCTGCCCTACTCCTTCGTTCTCGACATGCAACCCCAGGATGTGCGCCTTCAGATCATGGGCGTCGTCACCAATGCCGCGAACCAGATCTTCCAAGTTGGCGTTTACGACCAGACTGTTAGCATTGTTGAGGCTCCTACCAGCATCTTCGACCCTCAAATGTGAGTTTCTTCTTAATCCCTTCCCCCCTCTTGTGATTCTCAAACTAACTAAAAATTTCCAGCATCTTCCTCTACATCTTCCTCTCCGCCGCCTTCGCCGGTACCTGCTATTTCGTCTACAAGACCTACATCGAAGCCCTCTTCCCCCAAACCAAGCGCAGCGGCCCCAGCGGCGGTAAGCCCTCCAAGAAGGCCCGCACCGCTACCTCTCCATCCGCCGAAAGGGAACCCCTATCCGGCGGTGAGGGCTCCGCTACGGGTACCGATAAGGGATATGATGAGAGCTGGATCCCCTCGGACCACTTGAACCGCCCCTCTGCGCGCCGCGTTAAGAGCGGTGCTAGTAGTAAGGCGAAGAAGGGCGCCGAGTAGACTACATCTTGAGATAGGTTTTTGGATGAGGGTTAGGCTCCACCGCGGTGGTTGTTATGGATCACTCGCGTGCGTTGAAGAAGGGGCACTCCGTTACGTTCGGATAAGGGGCGGGTGAGAAAAAAAATTATGTGTATGTGTATTATGTTCGTGAAATGGAAAACGGGCGATGGGAAAAGTGAAAAAGCATAGCATAGCAAAGTAAAGCAAAAATAGGAGCATTTACTGCTAGATACCTGGGTTATGTACGTACAGACGTGAAGTCAGGTGCGTATCTAGGTATTTGGCGGAAGAGCTCTTCGATGTATTAAAGCAGATTACAAATTATCATGAACTCGCGTTATGAATGGAATTGATGAAAAAGTGTGCTGAAGTACGAGGAGTTGGAGATACGTTAATCACCCATGCACATTGAACTACAGCTAAGCTCGTGACGTATGCAGCGACGAAGCTTCATGCAAGGAAATATCTAGCTTCGTAATCATCTCACTATCAATCCACCATCTACACGTCTTCGAAGCATATCAAGAAATCTATTAGTCGCCTTACATATAACTCTACACAGACAGCACATTGAAATTAACAAACCACAATTTCATTGCATATAAACAAGTAAAAGTGACGCTTTCTAATCTCTATATACAGATGCATCACCCACACACAACACACTTTCATATACGACACCCATCATCACCACATCAGCAGCCGGCAATCAACGCCAACAACACCAAAGAATGCCTCGGAGCAAGCACTAAGTGAGAAAAAGGTACATTTCATCACCAGTGTACCTATGAAAAAGTGTATGTATATGGAATTTTTGTCCTTATGTAATTATTTTCATTCCTTTTCAATTAACTTCATCTTGGGCTGATGATACGTCTTCGCCCGCGTGTCTGCGTTCCTACTCATCATCCACGAGCTTCTTGTCATCCCACGCCTTCTTTGCGGCTTTCGCCAAGGTGTCCATGTCCCCGCTCATCTCACACATACTCCTAAAATTTCCATTCTCGTTCTTTAGGAGTTCGTGCGGGTGTCCGTACTCCACAACTGCGCCGTGGTCGAGTACCAATACCTTGTCGTAATCGACGATCGTGGCGAGACGGTGCGCAATGGTAATAATGGTGCTCTTGAGATCGCGAATCGTTTCTTGGATCTTAGAGTCCGTGGCGTAATCGATAGATGCGGTGGCTTCGTCCATCACGAGGACCTTGGGGTTTCGGAGCATGGCACGAGCAAGACATAAAAGTTGTCTTTGACCTTGCGAGAGATTCGTACCGGATTCGGCGACGGGCGAGGATAGATCGAGGAAGATGTTTTTGTTGGTAGTTGGTGTAGTGGGAGAAGTAACGGCTTGATTATCCTGCGTCTCGTTTTCTGCCGAGGCTAAGAGAGCTCCCGTCGTAAATGGTAACGTTTCGTTCGGGCCAATAAGCCGGACTTTCTTGAGAGCAGTGAAAACCTCCTCATCAGTGTAAAGATTGAAGGGGTCGAGATTCGTTCGGATGGTACCGGTGAAAAGAGTCGGGTCTTGAGGGACGATGGTAATGGCTTCTCGGAGATCCTGTAAACCAATCATACCAATATCGATACCGTCAATTAGGATTTTACCGCTCTCCGCTTCAAGTGCACGGAAAATAGCCAATGTGAGGGAACTCTTTCCAGCACCAGTTCGTCCCACGATACCAACCTTCTCACGAGGTTCGATCTTGAAAGTGACATTCTTCAAAACAGGATCGAGTTCCTTGCGATATCTCGTGGAGTAACCGATAAACTCGACGGCACCATGTGCAGGCCAGTTCTGCGAAGGACGGCTCTCTTCGATAACCGGTGGCGCTTCCTGTTCCACGTCAAGGTACTCTTTGACACGCTCGACAGAGTTCATGTTTTGCTCATTCATGGCGTATAGACGTACGAGCCATAGGATGTTGTCGGAGAAGGCAATAGCATAACTCAAGGATATACCCGCAGAGCCGGCGTCTATCTTTCCTACACTAAGAATGATAAATACACCAGCGAAGAACGATACGAAATCACCCAGAAGATCCGTTCGGAATGCGAGCCATCTGTTAGCAGCCCATAGGAAGATGAACGGACGAGCTTGTGTGTTGATCCTAGTAAGGTTTTCGCGGATGAATCGTCGCTCATCGCCATAGGCACGAATGGTCGTGACACCAGAGAGCGTCTCACCGAATTGTTGGAAAAGAGGACTCCTGTTGACAGACTCAAGTCGCTTGAGATCTCTCGAGGCTCGAAGGTAGAACATGCCGACGAAGACGTAAAAGGCTGTGATAAAGAGGGCAGCAATTAGGAAGCCTGGAGTGATAGCTGCTATTAGTACCACAGTGATTACAATGCCCATAGCACAGCTCATTACACCAATAGCGACAGGCGCAACTTCTTGATCGATGGCTTCGAGATCCTTGCTAAACCGGTTCATCAGCTGTCCGAGCGGGGTCACGTCAAAGAACTTGAACTTTGCTCTAGACACAGACGACATGAGTTTGTTGTGAAGTTTCCAGGACGCAGTAAGAGAACCGAAGAATAGCCAGATATCACGAGTTAAAGCCAAGAATGCTCCAACAATACCTATCAACGCGAGGACAAGTAGATAATAGTCTACATTGACTTCCGGTACATCGACGGTCGAGTATTCTGCTGGGGTGGCAAAGGATGTGCTGATGAAGCTCTTAGCCGACGTGAAAAATGCCGGGGTAGTCCAGGAGCTCGGAGCAACGCGAGAATACACTGAGGATTGTATATTGGAGATGGAGATGCTTTCAGGGCTTGAAGTGTATTGGTTGGCCCATTCTTTGATCCACAAGTTAGAGGCAACACCGCTGAATTGTTGGCTACCAAAAACGAGAACAGCGACAAGCCAGAACCACCAAGTACCCATAGCCCGAAGATAGAGACTGATAACCGACCACTTGACGGCGCCCGTGGCTTTAGTCTCTTGAGGCGTGTTTCGTTGCGATTTCTCCTGGCCATTGACGGTTTTGGTGTTTCCATTTGTATTATGATCGATGAGAGTTTGGTCGCTTTCGTCACCGACACTCGAAGGTACTCTGGACGGGACACGTGAAGCATCTGAGGAGCCAGGTCGAGATTTGTTGCGAATTTCCTCGCCGAGCTTGCCAGAAGCGATGACTTCTTCCGCTGTTCCTTGGGTATCCACCTTTCCGTTGTCGAGTAGTACAACATACTCAGATAACGGTGCACAAAGAGTAGTGTTATGCGTAATAAGGATACAAGTACGATTCTTCATCAACTCGCCCTTGATACATTTACTGAAAATCCATTTAGCAGTATGCGAATCCACGGCGCTTAGGCAGTCGTCAAGTAAAACATGTCGAGAGTTCGAGTATACGGCGCGGGCCAGAGAAATGCGCTGCTTTTGACCACCGGATAGGGTGATACCATTTTCTCCAACCAATGTTTCGTCGCCATTGTCAAGTATTTCGAGATCTCTTTCTAGGGCGCACGCCACTAAAACATCCTTATACCTCTTCTCGTCGTACGGGGCGGAGAATAAAATGTTGTCTTTAATATTAGCGTTTACCAGCCAGGCGGATTGAGCGACATAGGCGCAAGTTTCGGTTAGACCTGTCTCGGGGTCTGGTCGGACATCTTCACGGCTGCGAGCACCAGGTAGGTAAACTTTGCCTTTCGTCAAAGTCATTTCGCCAAGCAAGGCCATAAGCATTGAGGTTTTTCCAGAGCCTGTAGGACCAGCGATAATGTTGAGCTTGCCAATCTTGAAATCAACGTTGATGTCGATAAGCCGAAAAGCCATTGTTCCATCGGCGGCGACAGCATCTTTACCGCCCCAGATGAAGGTTGCATCTCTGAAGCCGATGACCTTCTTACCATTCTCATCGACGTTGTCCGGTCCGAGTTGTTCATATTTCTCCGTCTCGTCCTCATTTAAAAATTCTTCGACACGATCAACGGATACCTTAGCCTCTTGAATGTGGGCAATCATGTCTCCTAATTGGTCCAGAGGTATTCTTAGTAGTACAAAGAGGGAGATGGCGGTAAATGCAACGGAGGGGTACAAAGGCTTGTGCTCAATCTTGGTGTACACCAAAAATGAGAAAAACGTAATAAGAACAGGCACTGTGTTCCAAATAGCAACGGCAAGTGCCCAGATCATATAACGGTTCCGTAAGGCTTGTAATTCGTTACGTCGTTTCTCGTCAACGATATCGCCGAATCGCTTTTCCCAAGCGAAGTATTTGATTATTCGAATGTTCTGGAGGATCTCGTTCGTAGTGTGGATTCGCTTGTCTGTCGCAGCCATGATCTTACGTTGGGTATAGTTGAAACCTTTAGCCAATAGAATATTGACCGGTAAAAGGAGAACCATAACAATTAGACCTGGAATAGCACTTAGACCCATAACACGGTAGAGCAATGCGATGGCCACGATCAGCTCCGAAGGAGCAGATGCTAGCAAGAAGTGCAGATAGGAAGTACATTCAGAAATCTTGAAGCTGTCAACCGACATAAGATTAATGATGGTTCCTAGGTTCGCTTGCTCGTCCGCATCTTTGGCTGCATCCTTCTTCGCATCGCCGTCTTTCGCATTGGACTTCTTATCCGCTTTCTTCAATCTTAAGAACCTCTTTAGCTTGTCTAGTTTCGTCTCTTTAGCATTAGTCGCGTCCGTATTCCCGAGGACGGCATCACTGCCACTTGCAGCCTTGCGTCGGAGCGCTTTGGCATAGATTTCGCCAATTATAATAGCACGGATTCGGATACAGATTTTTCGGCCAATCCATAAGGATTGACCATTAGCAATGGAACGGACGACATCGGATACTGGAAGTAAAATAACGTAGAGCCAGAGAACGTTTCTTGGGGCGATTTCAGGTCTTTCAACATACTCGAGAATAGCCTTAAGGAGAAGCGTCGGAGCAAAGGTTAGAATACCCTCAATCACAGCCCACAAGCACTGAATGATAAGCAAGCCCTTGAAGTACTTGGTCAAATGTAGAGCCAGAGATGTAGTCTTCTTAACTTGGCGATAGTTGGCAAGAACGGTAGCGGCCTTGTCGCGAGGTAAAAGATTCCACACGTTCGCAATCTCAAGAGGTTTCTTGTAACCTTGCCACAGCATAGGGTCGATCCAAGCAAAAGTTAACAAGGAGAGAACCGAAGCTAGCGGTTCACGCGATGGCTCGAGATTGCCTTCCCATTCCATGACAACCGTCTTGTTACCCTTTCTAGTGTTCATAGCGATTCCAAACAAGAGTGTCGTTAAAGAAAACTCGACAATGACGAGGACTTGCGCAAGCCTAGAACTAGGATGGACGATAACGGAGCGGAATATGATAATAGTAAAGAGCCATTGGAAGCCATAGATAAATGCGGTATGGTTCCAAAGTCGTGGAATCCGCCATTTGGTGTTTCCTAGAAACAGCCGAAGCGTCGCAAGAATGAAAACGTACACCCAACTGACCAAACCCACGATAGCCGCCAACAAGCCATGGCCCTTGAAAGTGTTTGTTACCAAAGCAATAACATTAACAGCCACCAAGCCAAGTATTGCGACTTCTTCAATGATAACTAATAGATCTCGAGCAGGTGGTGTGTTGGCTTGGATTATGGAACCTTTAGAGGTGGTCTTGACTAGCGCAAGGCGGCCACCGCCATTCGCATTTATAGATAGTCCTTCATCATCGTCGGTACTCAAGCAGTCGTCCTCCTCGGGAGGAACTTCCGTATGGCCTTGATGATCAGGTATAGGGTCGTAATCGTGAGCTCGTTTTAATTTAACATTACGATAGATAGTCTGGACTAGGAGGTGAAGGAGGGATAGAGATATTATGACGATCGGAAAAAGGATCTGCAGATAACTTTTTGGAAGTCGTTAGTAGGCGAGACACACATTAGACCCAGACAAAGCATAAGGGAACACTCACTCGGATTGAAAACATGTTGTAAAGTCATCAGTCCGCCATATCGGCCATGTACACGAGGCAAAGCTCATGTTTCTTCTCGCTTCTCCCTAGGCCACTCGCGAAAGTGGTAAGCAATTGGGATTAGATCCACCAGACCGGTAGGATTTCCTTTCACGGAGATCTCGTAGTCAATTGGTGTGCGACGACGAGACAATGATAGATATCGCTACTCATAACAGTCCGTTGTCGTTGGGAAGAAGATAAGCAAAAAAGTAGAAAGAAGTGAAAAAAAGATGGCGGCGTGTAAATCGGAAATCTCCTGGGGGGTGGGTGGAGCAGTGAGATAGTTAGGTAGATAGCATTAAAAAAGTCGCAAGAGAATATTATTGAACGGTTTGAATGGAAGGATCCATCTACTACGGATTAGATCATGTAGCTACAACCTGCTAATGTAGTGAATGTAACTTTCTTCGTAGTGGGGCGCCTTGGTGGGCTCTTCTGATACGACGATGTAACTTCCAAAGATCGTGAGTCAGTTTGTCCCTTCGATGTATCTTGCAAGTACTTGTATGCCGCATGTGGGGCGTCGCAGGTGATTCTACACCGGCGCGGTGTACTCCGGCAGTGATAGGGTATCCCAGCTAAATTCTAACTAAGGTTGGTTATCCACGCTTATGTACTGACTTACGGAGTAGGTACGAGAGATCCGACCGCTTGAATCGTAGTGGTCTTTACAGGCGACAGGTTAGGAGGTACGGAAATTTCGGTAAGTCGGACTGGTTTGTTCCTGATAAGTGACCCACGACCTAGGCCAGCCTTAGTAACATTAGTTCGCCTAGCACGCGAATGTGACCCACTATGCCACCTTAGACACGTTCTGAATGCGATTCCTTTACCGCATATCTACTGTTTTGGTGTTACACGATCGTACTACCTAAGTATTTAATTACTTGGGACGTACCTAGGTATGTACATGTATGTAAGTGGATTATATGACTTCAATTATTTAACCCCGGCTTGCCGTATTTCGTAATGTTTATTAGAGTCAACGAGTCATAGTCTTTGCTTTGTCAACTATACGATTATTCGTACTCACTTGCATTTTGATAGTCATGTGTATAGTAAATCTGCAAGTCAGTTGTACGGTAACTTACAAATTACTTAGACATAGGGAGTTGATTGAAGATCGAGAATATTTGTAGTTTTCTAGGTCTTACTCTGGTACCGCCTGATCTCGAACGTTTCCATATGCGAGTGATATCATTCTCCACAGTTGACCCCCAAAAAGACGGGTGTGCTGACTCAAATAACTAGTAGTCAATCACCTAATTGTGTAACACACATAATATGCACCGTTTCGATGCGGGGAGCCAGATGATCTGTGATGACTTCGTTGTGTTATGTATTGAGTGTCATAGCCCTTTTGATGTCAGTCCTAGACTATATACGATATAGATTAGTGTAAGACGTGCTTTATGCACACTATACTTTTTAAGTTAAAGGATTCCATTTGACGTTCGAAAGTGGAAGTTAAAGGAGATAGACATGCAGATTTATGAGGGGTTAGTTAACTTACACCGGTTCCGGTCCGTAGTGTGCTTATGCGGGGTCGGGTTCAGGGCCAGTTCCGACCTGCATATGCATGACGCTAAAGAATTGAAACATCTGATTGGTCACATAGTCATATTAAACCCATCGAAACCCATCGAGTTTGGTGATAACTCGCATAGTCTCGAGCTTCAACTCCATGTATGTAACCTGCGATGCCAGGTTCTAAAGACCAAGAGAGAGGGTCTGGAATAATTGTTGGAAATACGTTGAGTGTGATTCGTGCAGTTGTATGCAAGTTCAGCTTCCCCTACGTCCTTTAACCTCCCTACCGCATGAGTCTTACCCCGGGTCTCATGCATTCCAATCACATACGCGTATCGGGGAATCGGATCTCGAAAATAATGGACTGTTATCTGTATGTTCAACTTCCAAATACGGCTGGCCGAGTCCTTGGCCGATTCCTATGAGTCCTAGATAAGAGTTATCGAGGTCCGGTAAGATCACTTTCGTACCGATATTTCAACATTTGAAAATTGCAACGATTTTCTAGGTCTCTTTCCATTCCAAAAATGGCCAAACAGTTTTACACGGGCCATCCGTAGGTAACACCTGGGGGGCCGGCGATAAGTTAATCCCTCCTCTCACCCTTTTTGCTTTTTGAGAGGAGAAAAAACTCCCAACAATTAATTATACCAACCAGCCATGACTTTTCCAATCAAAAATGGAAGTTGTCGAAATTCGTCGACAAGACAATTCTAGTTTTAATATACCCAGGCATGCATCGCCTGGAGCATAACAAGGCTCGAAATGCAAGAAGAGCCCCGCTTTCGGTTGATAACGCCCGAGGCTGTGTGCAAGGCACACTTCCACTCTCACTTCTTCAGCCACGATGCCTTCAGCTTTACAGGAATGATGGCTTTTCGTTAAGCTCGAGTATACTCTTGCTGTCTTTCCTTGGTTCTCACTATTGAATGATTCTGAACCCGTTTTTCGTCGAGTGGGTCGCTATGGAGATAGTTGCGTCAGCTGCGTCAGTTACTGGCATTCTTGCATTTGCTGGCCAGGCTCTCAGCGGTCTTCTAGCGCTAAAGGAATTTCTAGAGGCAATAAAGTATGCGCCCGAAGAAACAAAAGCTCTTCTAGACAACATTCGAGGGTTACACAAAGTCCTTGATGGTAGCAGAGATCTCATATCACAATGTGCCAATAATAGTCATCCCGCTCTGCAAAGTGCCTTGTCGCAATTAAGCGCTAGCATTCAGAACTGCAGTTTCGAGATTGGTTGTTGGTATCGTGAGCCAAAATTGCAGCAAATGCAAACTATAGGTGTTAACCGTTGGAAGGTTATGGTCCAACGGGTTAGCCAAGCTGGAAATAAAGAATTGTGGCAGAGATTATCACGTAGGGTGTCGGCACAGAGGGACAGACTCATTCTGGACTTATCTCTTCTTGGCAGGTAGGTGCATATTTATATTGGATCTTTTTCTCGCAGCTTACACAGAGCAGAATATACGATCAGCTAGCCTATGAACGCCGTTTACAACTGGAATCCCAACTTAAGCAACTCGAAAGAGATGTGGACTCGATGTCCGAAAAGCTTTCCTCTGTGCAGTCCAGCGTTAGTAGTATCGCATCAAGCTTGAGCGTTATTAAAAAGACAGGTGACTCGCAATTAGCCGGGCGAGACGTACATGGTACACATTGGACATGCGATGCTCTAACTGGTATTGATGACGGTTTTGTGCATGATGGACCAAATGGCCTCAGTCGATGTCGATTTTGCAGCAAAGAATTTATTTGGGATGACCAAGAAGTTTTCTCACGCTTGGGAAATCACCTGGTCAATTTTCATGCATTTGGAAAATGCAGCCTCGGCATATTTTACCATACTCAAACCGATATCATTCAACATCTGACCAATTTTCACCATCTGGAAAATCTAGAAGGGGATGGTTCGGACTTAGTGGATCTTTTGGCTCGTCCAAATGACCTCGACCTCAGTCTACGCAGTCGAAGACCCGAGCCACAGCCAGTACCAATCGAAGGGGACCCCAATGAATGCTTGAGACTATTACCGCGACTCGAAGAACTTCTACGGTCCGTCGAAGCGGCACGCGAGCAGCTCGGAATGAGTCGAAAACAGCGTATGCAGATGCGGAATCTTGCAAACCGGCGTGTTGATGATGGCAACCGCGATGTTCCAATATTCCACATATGTCGCTCTCTGGCACTATTGGATGATGAACATACCATACGTGCCTTAAAAAGAAACGGATACTTTCAAATTTGCTACGAAATTTCTTGCATACAGGAAGAGCTCACGATAGTTGGCTTCGAAGATATTCTCAGATATGAAGTGTATTTGTCCCCAAGCCAGCTTGGTATTATTAGGATAATGATGTCTGGGAAACAGCATGAGTATCGTGCTACGAGCAGAATTTACCCGCGGTGGATTCGTGGAACCGTCGCCGGTTCCCGTTTCCAAACACAGACGGCACCAAGTCAGCATCTCTTCGCTACGCTAACCGATGCTCACACATTTAGTTATGGATCTGATCTACTCGCAAATCGTGGGTTACACAAGTCAGCGTTCGACAGAAGTCTACATATATTTCGCTTAAATATCCAGCGTGCTTCTGATACAGAGACTGTAGAGTCACAGACGGAGCATCAAGCCTCTTCTATAGAGCAACTGGTTCTACAGGATGGTAAGAGAAGTAGGAAGACAGCTCGTCGCATAGACACTTGGTTATTGGGCAACTTCATTCATTCAATCCCTACGAGGAGGCTCTTATTGAGTGGCAAAGTTAGGATTGGGAAGTTATCCCAGTCTGTGTCAGACGATGATCCTTGGCAATACCTACCACAAATACATGCGATCAATGCAGTGGAATTTGCTCAAGTTATTATCGCGAACTGGTCTGACGTTGGAAGATTCGGAAAAATAAAGACATGCAACAGCGTTGCTCCTCTTCACAGCAGTGAGGGCGGAGAATCCGGTGATCGGACCGTTGAAGCGGGTAGTGGTTGGCACACGGACGGAGTCGAGGTCGAATTTACTGATACCAGTGCATCGGATTACAATCCCGCAACGCCGAATTAAAGAAGGAGCCCAGATATCGTCGGCGATAAGACTATATATCGGCTCTCTGGTGCTATTTATTAGATGTTGCGTTCTGGTTGACAAATAGGCCGAGGTTATTATCATCCCGCGCCACATGGTGGAGAGAGAGAAATCGAAGATGGTACATCGCCTACGAAAATAGCTTATTGAAGCTGTGGCGAAGCTAAGCTTGCCTAAGCGGCCGGTCGCAAATGGTTTCACTATATCATCGTAGGCCAATGAATTATCTCTCTACGGATTTTCTATATGTCTACTGGTCGGGCAACTGAGGCTGTGTCAATGAGGCCGCCCTCATATCTCCCCAATGTACCTAGCACATTATATAGGTTATGGGGTTTGCCATCTCCACGGTCGTATGCTGTAACCTAGGCAAGCGGTATTAAAAATGAGCTTCGGGTTTGGTGTCGACGATTTTATCGCTGTAATGAAGCTTGTTGATACGATACGGAGGGAATTCGCCAGCGCTCCAAGCCAATTTGCCGATATTTCTGCTGAGTATATTGCCCCAACAGCATCGGCATGAATGGAGGCTAAACTTCTTATCAGGGTTCGAAATCTCTCTATTATACTTCAAGACGTCGACATCACCTTATCTGAACAAGAGTTCGATGATAAGCGAAATAATAGCCTTCTAGATATTGCCAAGAGTTGTCGCAGCGTTCTAGAAGACCTCGAAAACGCACTTAGTAGATACAGCGAGCTAAGCTTTAAACAAACAACGATAAACCAACGAGCCAAAAGGGTATGGAAGCGGTTGACATGGGAGCCTAACGGCATCTGTGACATTCGAAGCCGGGTTACGTCAAATATTGTATCGCTCAACGCGTTCAACCAGAACTTGGCTAATAAGAACGTCGCTAAACTACTGAGCAAACAGGGTGACCAAAATCGTCGTGAAATTCTCGACTGGCTCACTCCCATTGACTACTCCTCTCAGCAAGCAGATTTCATTAGCCGACGACAGCCAGGCACGGGTCGTTGGCTTCTAAGTTCACCGGAATACGAAAGATGGGTAAAATATAAGAAACGAACACTGTTTTGCCCTGGAATCCCAGGAGCCGGAAAGACAATACTTGCTTCTATTGTCGTCGACCATCTCTCTTCCCGATTCCAGAACGACTCAACTGTTTGCATCGTATGCCTCTACTGCAACTTCCGACAACAGTCCGAGCAAAACGCCATAGACCTGAAGCTGAGTTTAGTCAAGCAATTAGCCGAAGGTCTATCGCCATTTCCAAACGCGGTGAAAGAACTTTTCGACCGTCATGAGTCCGAGAAAACGCGACCGTCGGAAGACGAAGTCCTGAGCATTCTACGAAAAATCGCCAGCGACCATTCGAAGATCTTCATCATTGTTGACGCGCTTGATGAGTGCCAAGCATCTAACCACTGCCGGACAAAACTTCTTTCATGCATATTCAACCTCCAAGACCAACAAAACGTAAACATCTTGGTCACATCGAGGCATTTACCGGACATCGAAGAAATATTTGCGAAATGTCCGAAACTGGAGATTTGTGCGAGCCGAGATGACGTACGGAGGTACCTAGAAAGTCGTATGGATGAGCTGCCACCGTTTGTGCTCCGGAGTCCGGAGATTCGAAGCGAGATTATAAGTACCATTTCGGAAGCAGCCGACGGGATGTGGGTTTTCCTAAGCGGTGATAATTTCTTGAATGAGAATTGTGCTAATTTCTATGTAGGTTTCTGTTGGCACAAATCTATTTCGGTTTCCTTGACGACAAGACGTCAGCGAAGGCAATCAAAGCAGCGTTAAAGGAATTCAAGAGGAACGGAGATTTGGACAAAGACAATAGGATGCGAACCCTCACCAATGCATATGGACAAACTATGGAGAGGATCAATGGACAGAAGCAAGGCCATAAAAACCTCGCGATGCAAGTCTTACTATGGATTACCTGTGCTAAGAGACCTTTGGCCCCCTTGGAACTTCAATATGCGCTTGCAGTTGAAATTGGTGAAAAGGAGCTTGACGAAGACAATTTTCCGGAAATTGAGCAAATGGTATCAGTATGTGCCGGATTGGTTACAATCGACAGAGGAACTAATATTATCCGCTTGGTTCACTACACAGCACAAGAATATTTCGAGAAGATGCAGAGCCAATGGTTCCCAGAAGCGCAATTGATTATAACAAAAGTATGCGTTACGTATCTCTCTTTTCCGAGATTTGCGGTCGCACACTACGAGAAGGATGATGATTTTGGGGCGACGGAAGACTTTACCCTTGATTGGAAATTAGAATCAGTCCCTCTATACCACTACGCAGCTACCAACTGGGGATACCATGCCTACGGTATCCCTGTGTGTCAAGAGGTTATATCTTTTCTAAAGAACCGGGCTCAAATCGCAGCGGCGAGTCGCGTAGCGCTAGAAGGAGGACGTGTTTATCGACGACCAGCCGCAGGCGAAGTTAGGATTTACCTAAAAAAGGTGACCGGACTACACCTCGCTGCGTACTTTGGGCTCGAAGATTCTGTAAGGCATATCATGGGGGAATATGGTCTAGATGAAGATGATTCTCGCGGCCAGACACCCTCGTCATGGGCCGCCGAAAATGGATGCGAAGCTATTGTTCGCTTGTTATTGGAAGCAGGGGCCGGTATTGAAAGCAAGTCCCGCACTAGAGGCCAAACACCCTATCCTTAGCGGCGGAATTCGGACACGAGGAAGTAGTTCGACTGCTGCTCGAAAAGGGTGCTGACATCAACGCTAAAGATTATCATAACACCACGCCTCTTACAAGGGCAGCAATTAACGGCAGACAAGACATTGTCCGACTATTATTGAAAAATGGCGCAGATGTCAACGGGAAATGCAGTGGCGTCAATACGCCATTGATTTGTGCAATAAACTATGGAAACGAGGGCATAGTTCAGATGCTGCTAGATGCGGGTGCAGACACTGGGCCAAGATCTGAGGATACAGGTGATGAACAGAACTGGATTAACGCACCGATACTACAAGCAACCTACTGGGGTCTCCAGCACGTCATACAGATATTATCAGACACAGGGGTCAAGATCGAGACAAAAAATGATAAGGGGATCCCAGTGTTAAATTTTGTAGCTACATACGACTCGAAGGATGTTGTCCGGATAATGGTAAACGAAGGAGCTAATGTTGAAACGAGATATTTCGAATTCGACTCGCTTTTATATTTGACGGCACATGATCAAGAGGAAGGCGTCGTTCGTGTGCTACTAGACTTAGGAACTGATATCGAAAGCGAAATCACTCGCCTGCAAACGCAAACGTACTTAATAATCGGAAAAATCTTGCCAGAGCTGGATAAGGATATTAGGATGTCAGAATTGATATAAGCATATTTCGTATATCATGCTGGGGATTGTGCCCTGTTGCCATCACAGTTATTTGCCCCTTAACGCTCCAAACTCACCACACAGCTCCACAGCCGTCGGCCGTTCTTTGGGCTCTAACGACAGCATTCTCTTCACTATCCCTAAAATTGATTGATATAACCCCTCCCCACATCGGTCCTTTAAGACTCCTATCTCGTTCATAACCGCCGGGTTCACATAAGGCTCGCCCTGTGCGTTCTGACACCAGTACACCGGCCGGTTATCAGGGTTATCTCTACTAAACTGATCCCTAGCCTCTCTGAAATGCGCGACGGCTCCCGCCCCCGGCGTAAAGACCCATATAAGGACCTCAAGGAAGATGCATCCGAGACTCCATATGTCCTTAGGCCGCGAAACCCGGCCCTCGACTACATACTCCGGCGCGCTATACACCGGGTCCCCTGTCGACGCCTTGCGATTATAGAGCTCTTCGTTGGAGTCTATGGGAAGATTTTTTACGGCACCGGAGCCGAAGTCGGCGAGTTTCCATGTCGCGCGACTAGCGTCGGATGAGCTGAAGAGCAAAATGTTCGCTGGTTTGAGATCGTGGTGGAAGCCAATTCTGTGAATAGGCTTGCCGTCTGTATCTGTTAATGTGTATTCGTGGAGATATTGGATGGCATCGCAGATGCCGAGCATTTGCTCCGTTAGCCAGCCCCCGACGTCAGAGGCGTTCGCAGGCGGTGGGCTCCGTGTGAGAAAGTGGTGTAGATCCCCATTTGCGAGAGGAAAGAGCATGTATGACGCATTAGATATGGTCCACGCAGATATGAAATACGTAACATGTTCGTGAGGCACCACAGCTAGCGCCTTTAGGTTATTCTGCTCATTTTCGAAGTCATCCCTCCCAGCTCGGTTGAAGAATCTTTTCAAGGCGAAATATTCCACGTGCTATGATCCGTTAGGCAACGACATGAGGGTTCGCGCACGGACTCACATCGCCAAGGTCATGTTTGACTTTAAAAACCTCACCGACAGTGCCTGATCCGAGGAGATCTTGCTCCTGGTCAAAAGTGAATGAATTCTGGCTCTTAGGATCGAGAACCTCCTCGATCGGCATCTTACGAAGGTTGATTAGGCGGAAATGGATTAAGATAGGAACTCCGAGTGTTAAAACTTGGCGCCCCAGGACAGCGGATGATAGCACGAAAAGGGCCAAAGCATCAATCATAAAACGAGGCTGGCCGGCTGGGTACCTAATGTTGACCTACTTAGGTACACTTTCTGATCGTACATTGCACGTGCTGCAGTTGCATTACATTGCGTAACCTTAGTGCCGAAGAAATCCATCTTCCTTATAATATTCCTTCCTTTATACATTTCATTTTGGATACTCTCGATACCTCTCGGTATACCTAGGTGTTCATACCTATCGCATCATATATCCACCACGTTATCCTTCCACTTTTTTGTTGTCCTAATTCTAGGGATGTCCCCCACCATAAAATGCTGCCCCGCCGGGCCCGTAACAGGGCTAATTGTTGGGCCTTCAGTTGTCAACCTGGCTCGTAATAAATCTACACTTTTTTTTTTTAAAAAAAAAAAAAGTATTAAGATAACTTATAGGTTTACTAACGGACGGGACTATTACACTCAATCACTTATAGGGATCTTTACCTTGGAATCGGGACTTTCAGTTTGTAACTATACATACATACGCTTAAGTTCACTAGAATTTACTGTGCCTCTTGGGTACTTCCATACCTACAAAATGGGCACTTGTTGGTGCAATTCACAATTTTCGCACTTCTTAATTTATTTTGAAATCTGTCACAAACAGAATGCTTTATTTCTGTAAAAGCTGACTACTCTCACAATTGCAATCTCGCCCGAAGTTTCTTGCTTCTAACTCGTCGCTATATCATCGACATGTTGAATCCGCTAGTGCTTACGGCCCTGTTGCTGCTCGCTGCTTACCTCTACAACAGGCTCCGATACAAGCGATTTCAGCAGTATGCCAGCATCCCACAGCTACCCCCTTCCCTGCTGCTAGGCCACCTCAAGTATATGGGTGACTACCTCGCGCAGGGTCCCGCGGATCGTCATCCAGGTAGAAAACCATCCTTGCTACAAATGCTCTTCATTGTCTAACACGTTGAGTAGATAGCGTCTTCATACAAATGAATAATGACCTAGGTAGACCGCCGCTAATGTTGGTGGACCTCCGGCCTATTAATCGACCAATGGTCCTTATTCGTAGTCACGACATCGCCGAGCAAATATCCAAAGCCTCCAAGCTCTATCCAACAAGTACCCCTAAATCAGATTTAGGATATTTGGAACCTGTTATAGGACCGACATCTATCTTAACCTTGCATGGCGAAAGATGGAAGGCACTTCGAAAGAGGTTCAGCCCTGGATTTGCGCCCCAATATCTCACGACTCTGTTGCCGTGCATTCTAGACAAGACTATGACCTTTATAGAGCATTTGGACTCTTTCGCGAAGACAGGTAGCGATTTCCAACTTGTCCATTTAGGAGTCAATTTAACATTTGACATTATCGGCGCTGTTGTCGTGGGCGAGGACCTTGGCGCCCAACGTGCCGATCCGTCGAGCCAAAGCGAGCTTATCAGAATTTACAGGGAGCTTCTCAGCGCCTACGCCGACGACAAGGCCGACCTCCCTTGGTGGCTAATTCCTCGTGCAACATTGAAGCGCTACAGCCTCGGGAAGCGCGTCGATACGATTGTGAAAGCTATGATCTGTCGTAACCAGAGCGTCAAAAGTGATGATCCCCGCAACATTCTTTCGCTTGCCTTGCAGGATACCGGAGTTCTTACCCCGCAACTCTTGGATGAGGCCTGCGATCAAATCAAAACCTTCTTGTTCGCCGGCCACGATACGACTAGCACAACACTCGCATGGATTTTTTACGAGCTGTCCCTCACGCCACATGCTCTTAAAGCCGTCCGAGCTGAACTCGATAACATTTTTGGCCCCACAACAAGCGTGTATGAGGTACGTGCGCGACTGCTTTCTCCCGATGGTCCGGATGCATTGCGCGGTATGAAATACGTTTCGGCAGTTATTAGAGAAACGCTTCGTCTACATCCACCTGCCGCGACAGCACGGATGTCGAAGCCTGGCGCCGGATTGACGGTGCGTGCACCAGACGGCCGGGAGCATTGTCTCGATGGGATGATAATCTATAACTGCGAAACTTTAATACATCGGGACCCTGAGGTATATGGTGGCTTGGCCGATTCCTTCGTGCCGGAGCGGTGGATCGGTCAAGATTATGAGTCGACGGAGAGGAATCCAACCGATTCGTCCTTCCCTCCTAGTGCATGGAGAGCCTTCGAGCGCGGTCCTCGAAACTGCATTGGACAGGAGTTCGCCACGATCGAATTACGCATTATTATCGCCGTTATTGCCCGTCGATACGATTTCACCAAAATTGGTCTCGGAGAAATCAAGTTGGATGAAGACGGTCTGCCGATTTTGGTTGATGGAAATAGATTCGAAGTTCAGTCGGAACTCTATAATGCCAGCAATTAACCCACTCCCCCCTTCTCACACTGCTTGCTAACATGATAATACAGACACGTCAGGTCACCTCCAAACCCGTTGATGGGATGAAAATGAAGGTCAAAATGTTATAATTCGATTAGCTATATTTAACTCGGGATGCGTCTTTTATTAGGGTAAGCTACTACACTGCAGCATCGCAAGAAATTTTAAGTGTAAAAACCCCCACTAGTCTTGCGAGTTAGGATACTAATTACCGGATTTAAGGGGATAATAGTGCAAGATATTTGTGTCTGATTGGCTATCTAGATGGGGCATTCCGTAAAGGGCAACTACTTAAGTCTCTAGTAGTCTCTCATTGGGCAGGGCATATTTTAGTGGATACTTAGGTATCTCGGTACCTTTGTAGTCTCTCTACTTTGATAGACCTCTTTCGTGGGGTTGCGTGGGCAAAACTCTCGTAGTCTAAAATTATCCTGGAAATACACTAGACGATCATTCCTTCGGGTGTTCGGAATTCCATTTATGTGTGCTTGATGGATACTAGAAAAAATTTCGAGTCTTCGAGGCTGTAGACAGTTGTTAGCTAGTTAGTCCTGACGAAAATGACGTGGCAACTGTAGAGTTTGTAGTAAATCGCTGTTTTTAGCTCCCCAGCCCTGGAATACCTGTAAGAATCTATAAGTCGGGCGATAGCTTTAATATCACGGCCTCTTGGGTATTGGTCGCTCCATATAAGGCAAAGGAGGCTTGGTATGTTAGGGTAGCAATGTTCTAGATCGTCATTTGGAATAGCAGAAGATGTAAATTTGATGGATTTCAAACTTGTTTTTGGGATCTTGCTAGTGCTCGCGGCTTACGATATTGGGCGTCGGTAACTAACCTTTTTACCTGCACTGCTACCACGGACATATACGACCCAATGACCTAGATGTCCTAAACCGATTAAGAACAGTCGAGGCGACGAAAACTATCTATTAAATAAGCTTTTTCTGCATTGAAGAATGGCTAGGACAGGGATCAACCTACTACGAGTGATATAACGTGATAGGATGAGCAGCCCGGAAATAACGAGAAAATAGGGGCGTTTTGGGAAGTGATGCTTGATATTTAGCGAAAAAGTCCTAGATGCGTGTTTGTCGGTGTCTCTAGGCACACCAACATATTATAAATCCAAAATTGCGCTTATGACTAAAGGCCAAGACTGTGTATTCGAGAATACGTGCGCAGTTAGTTGCCCTGTATGCAAGAGATTGTCGTCGCTTCAGTTCGCGCCCTGGGTACGATCTTCAGGGTTATCATGGCTATATGTACTGGGTCGATACCGAGGGGTATCCTCGAAATGCCGCAACAATGACTTGCAGTCTCCAAGCAATACATATTAAATGTCCGAATCCTACCCTTTAAGTACCATGTCTCATTCACACGTGGACTCGGAGATCGGATTAAGCAGGAACTCTTCCGTCCGCGGTATGAGGCAAGGTATAGGTAAGCTGTCTCGCAATATAAGGAAATGAACACTTGCTGACATCTTAACCGCTGCTAGACGAGCATAATAATTATTATGCGGAGAGAGCCTGGCGTTATGCAGATCACATCGCAGCTCGTGCCAATCATGGGCAGAATCGGTACCTATTCTGTGGCTCGCATTTCCGCGCTCTATGTGAATTAGTGTCAAAGTCAGCACCTAATAATCCAAAGAAGCCACTGGAGTTTGACTATGTTGTCTGTTGCGACTTTAGCGGCGTCTCAGTCGGTACGGAGTCTGCACGCCGTCAGATTCAAACATTCGATACCACGGCCAGTGGCTTAGATTCCTTCGCATCTCTCACCGATCCTGCCCCTCAAACCACACGCGTTTTGTTCTTACGAGGGCACCCGTCTGCAGAATGGATCAAAGTGCTCGGCGCGCAGCAGCGCATCGAGTTTGAGTACTTCCGGCAGAAGCTACCCTTTTTAGACAAAGACTACCATGATATACCGGCGTTGCCGTCCAACTCGCAGAATATCTTTCATCTAAATATCATGACTGTGTATAAGCGACACCGAGCCTTGAGATGGTCCCAGGTGGATAAGCTGCGAAAGGCCGAGAAGAAAGCCGTTTCTAAATATCAGCGTTCGCAGTCGTATGTTGGAGACTCAATTGTGAGGCGCGTCTGTATCTTCGACGAGTCCGAATTTGCCATTGAGCAAGATATTTCGATATGTATCGTAAATCAGCGTGGTCGCGGGAAGACAGGGAAGACTGGTATGTACTTTGAGCCTCAAATATCTTTATGACAGTTGCTGATGCTTCCTCTAGCTATCGTATGGTTAGATTCCGGCCGTGAGCTTTGCCACGACAGTGAGGCGCCGTGGGAATGCCCTTTGAACCCAGGTTACATAACTCCCAACAACGCGCTACCCACTATTAGGCATATACCCTCCAAGATACTTGCCTCGATGTCGAGACTCGAACCTTCCGTCCTCGGTCCCGAACGCCCAACGTGTTCACAAGATACCTGTCTCCCCCCAAGTGCGGAACATCTCCCCTACCAATATGGACTTACTCTTGATCCTGTGATAGCCTCAAACGATCTATTGTATGCGTTAAGCGAGCTGCTCTTTTTCGTTGCCTGCAATGAAGTTCAATTCTTGAACTTGATTGAACAGCGAATAGCCACGCTTATGGATGGTTTCAAGGGATATGAATCAATTGTGTTGGAGGAACTCAACTATGCTATGCGTCTGTTACAGAGCCGCGCGCGGCATATCGCCGATACACAGGCTCTCCTCGAAAACAGTGGTTCTGTTCTCCGTAACGGTGGGGATAGAAGAGGGAGGCGGTCTCGTGCGCCGTCGATGTCGGACGATCAGAATTCTTGTCGCTGTTCAGAGGCACTGCATGCGGAATCTCTGCTAGTTGAGGATTTCGCGTACTTGGCACGGCGAGCAACTGCGCTGATTACCCAGGCAAGGGACGGGATGACAGTCGTATCGAACACGGTAATGCTAGAAGAGTCTCGGCGCGCAATTAGCAAAACAGTTCGATTGGAAAAACTTACTCTACTTACATTTTTCTTCCTCCCTTTATCGCTAACGACGTCTTTCTTCGGATGTAACTTTCGGGAGTTAGGCGGAACGGGGCAATTGAGTATTTGGGTTATGTTTCTCACCCTACTTCCCGTCATGTCGCTGACAGCAGTGCTGTGCTTCTGGGATCATATCTCGGCTATAGAATGGACCAGGAAGCTACGACTTTCTAAGAACTAGATTGGTCGCGAGAGATATGGAATACGTGTAACGATGTAACGTTTATGTCTCACAATAGTTATGAAAAATACTAAAAGCATTTGCGTTTTATTCCTTATATATCCTGCTCTTCTCTTAACGCGAATACAATCGCACTATTTCATTCATATCGCCCTCGCTCATTTCGCTCGCTTTTGCTTGTATGGATGCTTTGTCGAGGGTGGATTGAGCCATTTCCATCATCTCTTGGCCTTTCGCGGTATCGCCGATCGAAAAGTGGAATCGCGCAGCCTTAATCTGGGCTCTTGCAAGCTCTGGCTTATAGTAAGGGTTTCGGGCGAATGTTTCTATTACTATTCGGAAATGTCCGCTAATATAGGGATTAGTAAAAGTATGAGATTGATGCTTCGTCCCGAGTGACTTGCCTTGCTTCTTCGTGGCCGGCTCTAGCAAGATGCTCAGCGTATTTAAGTCGAGCCTGGCCTGTCTTGTAGTTGTCGCCATTCGCTGCGTAGAACATTGAGACGGCCTCTTCGTATACGCTACTGGCTTCGGAAAGTCGACCCAAACTTGTAAGAATGTTGCCTAAAGGCAGAAGGATCCCGGCAAGTCTAAGATCCATAAGTCAGCCAGAAAGGTAAGTTTTATACAATTGGAATATACTCACCCGTAAGACCCCTTGACTTGTCTCTTGCGAGCTGCCTCTACGGCGCCCTCTAGAAGCTGTCTCGCGTCTTCGTGCCGTCCTAGAGACCATAATGACCAGCCCATGTGCGCTACAGCGAAATAAGGCACGTCCTTGTACGTCGGAAATGAATAATAAATTTCAAGCGAGTCCTTAGCGTATGGAATTGCTTTCTCGAAGTCTCCTAATGCATTATACGCTAGGGCCATCGTCGATATTCCCATGGCGCGATCGTACTGTGCCCGTATTGGAACGTCGCCATTTTTAGCATGCGAATCGTAGACTTGTTGTCGTAAATCTAAATGCTCGCGTGCATACTTCAGCACTTCCTGTGGGCTACTTGTGTGTATTCCGAGAGCGGCTAAACACATGAGTATATCGGCGAGAAGATCTGGTCTCTCGGGACTCCGTTTTCTCGCAAGTTTTTCGGCGAGGAGGAAAATTGGCAAAGGTATTTCGTGCTCGCCACGCTCGTAAAGGTACCTTCGCATATGTTAGTAGGTCATCCTCTCGCGTCACTCATAGATAGGGGATATACCATCCGCTCGCCCTCAGAACTTCAATCCAGAGATCTTCGATTCTACTAGGTAGAACCTTATCTATGAGTGATTTCTCGTATACTGTCCGAAGTTTTAGTGCGTGAGCAAGCATTTCCGCGGACTGCTCACGATGTGACGTCTCGTGGTGCCATTTAATATTCTCCCGCGGCCATGAAGCATGAACGAGCGTGACGGCGACCGAGAAACTAGTGACTAGATCGTCCCCACTCATCCGCGAACGCAAAACCTCTTGTACGAGAGGGTGCAGCTCAACGTGCTCGGTTGGGAGGGACCGTGTAATGAGCGACGCTTTAAGGAGACTTGATCGTGAGTTCACATAGTCACACCTTGTCTTAGGATATAAGCTTTCAGATGTGTCTAAACTATCTCGAGACAATATGAACTCCTGAATACGGAATGGATCGAGCAATGACATGACATTAAGTAATGCTTGTGTTTTCTCGCCCAATGACTCAAATGCCCAAACTGTGAAGATAGAATGCCTATAATTGCCATCATGCTGTGAGACTTGATAATCTTGAAGGCCAGACTGCTCAATCCCACTACTATAGGCGCCGGAGAACTCCGCAGTCGTCATCTTTCGCCGTCGAATAAGCGCTGCGACCTGCACAATGGCCAGGGGTAGACCATAGAGTTTCTCAACAAATTCCGCGTTTATATGATGCTCCATCTCGGTGTCTTTTTGGAGTTGGATCTTGAAAAACTCGAGCGCGTCGGTTCCGAGCAACGGTTGCAACGAGATACCTCTTCCGAGACAGTAATCTTTGCCGGCCGGATCCCGCGTGGTGATCAGGACAGAACCAATACCAGTAGACGGCCAGAACTCGGACATGAGGTCAATAGCGTCTGCATTATCGAATACAAGAAGCCAGGATGCTCCGATAGATCTCTCGCCTCCATCGACCGGTTTCGTGGGATTTGATAGCCATCGCATAACAATTCCAAAGCACACCGCAAGGTCAGTTACTTCAGCTTCAGTCGCTATACCAAGAGACAATGCAATTGTGCTAAATGATGCAGCTATACTAGTTTTGTTGTCCGCCGTGATCCAGAATATCGCGTCGAAGCAAGCTTTGCGTGAATGAGCATATTCGAGGGCGATTTGCGTTTTCCCCATTCCCCCAGTCCCGCATATAGCGAAGTTCTGTAAAGTCCTGGGATCGTTGGGGTCTTTCGACTCTTTCGGTAGTAGGGAATCGTCTATTAGATCAAGGATTTCAGAGCGCCCAAAGAAATCTAGATTACGTGGATGGCCAAAGACGTGACAGGGGAGACGCGGGGGTCCGGGGTTCGGATCTACAGATCCGACACTTCTATTCGTTGAACTACTGGTTGTTGCGCCAGCTGTTGCATCAACTGGTTCAGCGCGTGGTACTTGAAGATGTGCTATAGCCGTTAACAATCGAACTAATCAACTTGCTTTGGCTTGCGTACCAATTGAACGAGTTTCCTCAGACATTGTCATAGTGAAAGGACTATCCTTGAATGCTCCTGGATCAAGATAACCTTCATATTGTGAGTAAAACATACTTCAAGTTAAGTCACTGAAATGTATTTACCATGTCCTTGTGGCGTGTGTGGACGAAGTCTTGTCATGGCCTGTGTCAAACACGATTGGACAATCGTCTCAAATTCTCTACTTTGAGGATCTTTACTCTGAGTATCCATCCCAAGCGAGCGCATATCATGATTCTCCAGATCGAGAGGGATCAAATCCTCATTTCTGACGCCGGTCTCGGCAAAATCCTTGCTGATAAGCTAGATAGAAGTTAACAAACACCGTAACTTATTATCAAGACTCGGATATTGTATCCTACTATGTGCTTTTCTGCTTTAAAGAGGTTAATCCAGTGTCGTATTTTCGTCGCTTGCGAATCGTAAGTGGTTATGACCGGGCATTGGATGCCAGCTTCTTGAAACTTAGAGCAGAGGTTCGCAACAATACCGGCTTCCTCCGCCGCAGCTACCAGATCTCTAGAACCCATCTTCCGATAGTGTTTAAGCACATTGTCTAAAAGCCGCCAGTTGTCCCTATTATCTAGTGTTGGATGAGGGCAGCCGATAAGAATAACTTGTGTAAGCTTATCCGAGAGACGTCGAGCTGCTGGGTCGAAGTAACGCTCCGAAAGGCGAGTGAGGGCCTCGTATATTCTGTTAACCTTGGAATAGCATTTTTTTTTCCGGATATTTATCTCACCTTTTTTGCGAGGAATCCCCCAAGCCCATGTCCGATCAAGACCACCGCTGTATGAGACTGGTCGCTACATGTTTAACATAATTTACTTTCGGAGTGAAAAATTAAAGATGAATACCTCTATTCCTGAATCAAGCTGAAGCAAGAAGTTCAAAAGAATATCTCCGCCATCATTTAGGGCCTGCCAAATGGTAGCACCCTTAGGCCTAGGATTGTACTGAAATTCATAACAATGAGCGCGTACGCGCGCCGCTGTCGCAACTGGAGAAAGCCATGCCCAAGAGCTCTCACTCAAATGAGTTGCCTGTGAACTCGAGGCATCTGGCACAAGAATGAGGCTACGGCGAATCAGTAAGCGGAATGAATAGGTAATACGAATCCAGCAGCCGCATACCGCACTTCAGGCCAGCCACTAGAGCCCAGGCCGTTATCGTCAATTGGCTGTAACTTCCTTAGAAAGTGTCCCTCATTAGTAATGACATCAGACATCGTATTAGAATCATATTTCTTCACGAGACTAGATTAGGATAGTCGTGATGAGTGTTTACTGATGGGGCCAATATTTTTCGAATTCAAGGGAACGTCCGCTCAGGCAAGTCGTGAATATCAACAGAGCCGCATCTTGTCTCCCTTTAGAAGATAGAGCAATATACTTAAGAAAAGACGCAATCCTTCGGAGTTGCCTAGCGTATTAAGGCAACAGAGCTAGCAGCATATCCTATTAGGTGACCGGCACTCCGTAAAATCCCAGCTCTATGCCGAGAATTCCGATCGTAAATGCAGCTTGAAATCGCGAGTATCACAATGCGACCGATCGTGAACTAGTCGGGCGTCACCCGCGGCAGGTAATACGCTGCGCTGACCGCCATAATGTACCGTAAGCAGAATAGGGCAAGGTAGATGTGAAAAGCAAAATCTAAGACACTTTGAGATTGGTTGCTATTGGACGTGAGAGAAATTAGAGGCTGAATCATTTAAGAAGTAAGTAACTCCGGCGTGGGATAGATGACAGGGGTTTCGAGAAGACTCCACTTAAAGACCCCAGTCCAATGGCTTGGGACGGGAACTAGCACTTTAATTTATGGGGTGCCCAGACGACCCGCACCAATAAACTTCGTGGGGGTAGGCCAATAGTGGGTCGACACGCTATCATTACCCCTATTGTTAAGCAATTAAATTTATTCTCTCAGAGCCTTGTGTAAAATGCAGAAGCAAAGGTGATGGAAACTCACATTTGAGTCTCTGATAAGCGGGATTCGTAATGTATTTCCATTATAGTATTAGGTGATACGACACTGGAGGTACGTTCACGAAAATGCGCGGACCCCCGACCTAACAAAATAGGAAAGGTAAACGTTGTACGTTGAGGCTCTGCGATGAGGAGATGATTCATTTGTATTAAAATGACACCACGAAAAATCCCTCAATGCCACCAGCCGCCAATCCTTTCGGTCACACGAATGGTGCATCCTGCGAGTCATCACCGTCTAGAAACCATAAGGTAGCTAACGACATCGCTTCCATCCCAGTAACAATAGTCAATTCAGGCGCTGGAGCAAATTCGGGAGAGTGATTTGTTGGTAGATGTAGCAATATATCCCCTCCCTTTCTTACGCCTTCGTCCCATTTGGCAGGATCCGTAGACCCGAGTTTCCAGTAGACGAAGGGGACTGGCTTCGGACCACTGAGGTTGGCAAAATCTTCCACCGGAGCATCCATTGGCGGGATCCAGAAGCGGTCTCCAAAGTGGCGCCCAAAACACTCCTGCAAGGCCTCAGCAGACTTGGTGTCGTTTCTTGTGATTGGTGCTCTAGGTGTTAGTCTGACGGAGGCCTCGATCCTTTTGCCAGAAGAAGCCTCGCATTCCGCTTTCGTGATTGTTTTTATCACAGAGAAAATATTATCTCTGTCGCTTGTCTCGGTGGTCTTTAGCTCAAGACGTATGTATACCTTGTTGGTGAATGAGACTCCAGGTACGCCGGCCTTGAAGTCGCGGCACTTCAGGGTTGTTCGCTTGTATTCCCCGTTGATACTAACGTCGGAACTGATGATGCTTTGAAATCTCGTTATAAGGTAGCTCGCAAGACTTACTGGGTCTCGACATTCAGGGGGGTTAGGGCCAATTCCTTTGCTAAAGATCTCCAATTCAATAAAGTCCGATGCTGCTAAAACAGGCCCCGTCCTAACTGCTACGAGACCAGCTTTAGACATTCCGACATGTTGAGCAAGCATGAGGTCCGGAACTGGACACCCATGGCGACCATAAAGGCCATCATCCACCATCGCCCGAGCTCCACCAGACATCTCCTCGTTGGGCTGAAATACACCAATGACGGTCCCCGACCACTCACCCTTCGCAGAATACAGTAGCCTTAGACTGGCTAGGAGAGCAGCGAGATGGATATCATGGCCGCAGGCGTGCATAACAGGTTGATCTATACCGAAAATACTCTTCATGCGTACTTTGCTGGCGTAAGGGAGACCAGTTTTCTCTTCTATTGGCAAGGCGTCAATCTCGGACCTCGTCAAAATAGTCTTGCCGGGCCCATTTCTGAGAACTCCAATTACACCATGTCCTCCTATAGATGTGGTTACATCGAAGCCGATATTTCTTAGTTCTCGTACCACGACATCAGCAGTGCGGGACTCTAGACAGGATAACTCGGGGTGCTGATGGACATCCTTGTAGATGTCGACGAAGTGACCAATATCTGGACGGTGCTCGTGAAGGATTCGCTGCATCCGAAGTAGCTTATCACTCCTCTTCCCTACACGAGGGTCACCATCGTGTGGTTCATAGTATATTATCATTTGAGCCTCAATGATAACGCAAGAAGGATGACATCAAACGAGCTCAATGGGGTGGGTGGCACAACTTGTGGCACAACTTGAATATGATGTTGCGGGGTATGGGGAAGTGGGATGAAGGAGGTCTTAAAATAATGTGCGGTCGCGATAGGTAGCAACCCAGAAACTATTTGTATTCCTTGATCCCTTCTGAAACCGGGCTTTCCCTTCAACTTGGCATCCGCACGGCAATCTTCACAGCCTGCACTATATACCACTAAAAAACCTCGTGATCATCATGCTTCCCAAAGCTCCAACCAAGACTCAGCCATGGAAAAAGCTCGTCAGCGTCCGTGAAACGTCTGCGCATTCCCACATCAATTCCGGGGTTGCAGAGTCAACCACGCCAAACAGCGTTCGTCTCCTAAATGAGCGCGACGATAAAGGTTAAATAAGTGGCAGTGAACTACGTAAGTGCATAATCAGTGCCCTCTAACTATAACATTTACCGAATGAGAACCTGACAGGCTTAGATTTGACCGCTAAGAACTTGAGTCCGATGTCACATGTTATATGTGACACGTTACCTGCAGCTTCGGAAACATTCGTTAAGGATTTTAAGCGAAAGGACGGGGGAGGTGTCAGCTCTCGAGGCTGGATGTACATGTACTCAGCTTCTATTACTATCATTCATAAAGCATAAATTCATGATTCTACCACCCATCATCTGATATGTTCAAACCATGGCTCCTCTAAATCGTTCATGCTCGTGACAAGACAATCATTCGAACCTCAACACTTTCCCTAGGCGACTCTGACGAGTCAGACTGATACAAGAAAGCTGCTGTGTGAGGTGAGTAATCTGCATCGCGCCGTGTAAGTGGTCAGACCGTGGGGAAATGCCGAGAGCGGGGTTAATATAATACACACCTGCATGTTCAATATTGGTCTCGGCCTTCCAAGTAGGGAACATAATAATCTCATCCGCTCTCTGGTTTTTGAGCCAATACCATCTTTGGTCCGGCCGATGATAGACATATGCAGTCCTGGTAACCTTGTCAACCATTACCTGGTCGGCTTCGATCAAGTCTTTCTTTGATACAGTTCGCCGGTCTGCCATTATCAATGGGGCGCTTCTGACAGTTTTCAGTGGCCTCCAGACACTAGACTTGTCTTAGGTCGTTTCCCCAGTCATAAGGCAAGGGATTACGTACTTGACGATCATCGCCTTTAGTTCACCTCGCTCAATCGCAGCCATCTCATCCTCTGCTAGGTGCATTTTGATCCTTTCAAACCCACCGAGATAAGAGAAATCTGTGAATGAGAGATGAGCACACCACAAGCCGAATTTGTGGACGAATAGCCTTACCGCAATGTGCTGTTGTCGCCACTGCGATAGCCTGCTTCCTGATGTCTCCAACATCAAGCTTCTCGGCGGTCGCATTTGCACTTCTGCGGAACTTAATGAAACCAAAATCAGCTGAGCTCAGTTATAACCCAGATTCCGAGTGCTAACCCTCCAATCAATTGCTACGACGGATTCGGCGTCAAGCTTAGTCTTAACCAAATCCATAGTTTCTCGGATGTAGCTATCGACAACTCCATTCGTACGAGTATCATCACCCTCGAAAACCTCTGCACTCAGAGCACAATTCGTTGGTGATATCACGAACTCGAAACCCTCGCGATCAATACTAGGATCCACGACGGCACCTCGAACATCGTATACTTGAACTTCCTGAACAATTTCGAATACACAATTCGTCTGGTCCTCCTCGCTTACATCGTCAAACCCATAGAGTTTGTACGGTTGTACCTCCTCGTATAGAGGTAGCTCCTTAAGAAATTTTAGGCTGAAGTGCATTTTGAGTACATAGTACTATACAAGAAACGAAAGGGTGTAGGTAAAACATAGGCGTGACTTGCCTAGAATTAACGAAGCCTTATAAAGTAACTCAAACTGCACCCAACTTTCTCCGAAAGGTAACATTGAGGCTTATAGCATTTGTTATTCGCTATTAATCGCGTCTTATGACCCTCTCTTCTTCCCCATCTATATCGTATGGTGAATCAGGATTCCTAGCTGAAGAGGCAGTGCACGCCCAATGATAATAAGTGTGAACTGACTTAGATGTCCTAGTAGGAAGCGTAGCATTCTGAGGTCAGCAGCCGCGATTATGTACCCGAATAGGCAAGAGAGCTGGCATATATCGCAGCCGACCTAACCATCTTCACCGTAGCTAACTCCGAATAGATCGTTCGGATAACTAGTACCCCCAAGCACGCCTTAGTCTCCATAGACACTCATACATATCCACAATGGCGCCCTCAGCCTCCGAAACCTCAATCCTCATCCCCATAAACTACACCCCCAACACCACCCTGCCCCGAACCTTCACCCCGCTCTCCCTCTTCGCACTCTCCTTCACAATCCTCAACTCCTGGGGCGTCCTCTCCGCCTCCCTCCCGCTATCCCTAAGCAGCGGCGGTCCCAGCGCCGCCATATGGGGTCTCCTAATCGTGGGAGCCGGGAACCTGTGTCTCGCGACCTCACTCGCAGAATTCCTATCCGCGTACCCTAGTGCTGGGGGACAGTACCATTGGGTCTACCTCACCGCGCCCCCGAAATACGCGCGTTGTCTCGCTTGGTTGACGGGCTGGGTTACGGTGTTTGGATGGATTGCGGTTGCGGCGTCGGCGAGTTTGTTGAGTAGTCAGTTGGTTGTTGGATTAGTCGTGCCGAGGGAGGAGGGCGTCGAGGTTGGTCCCTTGGGCAAGTTTGGCATGTATGCGGTTATGACGCTGGTTTTCTTTGCGGTGAATGTTTGGATGAGTAAGGGTTTGCCGGCGTTGAATAAGGTTGGGCTTTTGGCGAGTGTTACGGGGTTATTGGTTATTCCTGTCGTCGCGTTGACGTGTAGTTGGGGGCGTTGGGCGGAGCCGGAGTTTGTGTTTGGTGGATTTATTAATGAGACGGGTTGGCCAGGTCAGTCTTGTTTAACACTCAAGCTGACCTTCTAGAGTGTGCTGATAGCTATTAGATGGCATCGCGTGGCTTATTGGATTCCTCCAAGCTGGAGTTGCGCTGAATGGCTTTGATGCCGTTTCTCATGTGTAAGTTGCTCTGGGGCCTTATGTTTTGGTCTAACATAGCTTTAGGATTGAAGAAATACCAAATGCGCCCGCCGTAGGACCAAAGGTCATGATCGGCTCCGTAGCCATGGGCATTCTTACGGGATTTTACTTTCTCGTCACGATATTATTCTCATCTGGAGGCGCCGATGAAATTGAGAACATCATTCACTCACCACTTGGCCCTCTAATGGTAATCCTTTATAACTCAACCGGTAGTCACGCCGTTGCGACTGCTCTCCTTGTATTTCTCTTCATATGTGGGGTAGGCATTCCTCCTTTATTTTCCTATGAGGAACATTTCTAACACCAATATAGTCTTTCGGTGGCATTGCCATCACGACAACAAGTAGCCGGATGGTCTTCGCATTTGCACGCGACGGGGGTCTCCCCGCAAGCCACATCTTCGAGCAAGTTCACGCACGGTACGACATCCCATTCAATGCGCTCTGCTTATCAGCCATCCTAACCGGCTTACTCGGCTGCATATTCCTCATATCATCAACGGCGTTCAGCGCGATAAGCTCCGCCTCGGTCGTGACTCTAACCCTCTCATATTGCCTACCAGTAATCACCAATTGCGCACAAGGCCGAAAGAAGCTCCCAGCAAGAGTATTCGCTCTCCCACATACTCTAGGCTGGATCATTAATATTGTGGGAATTTCGTATGCCTTATTAACAAGCGTTCTTTTCCTACTTCCGGCACAGTATCCCATCACGCGAGACACTATGAACTACGGCTCCGTCGCACTTGCTTTGGTATTATTTCTTTCGGTCGCATCATGGATGACGCATGGTAGAAAGAGTTATGCCGGTTCGCCTACGCTTGGGAATAGACAAATTTCCGATTTAATGAATCGGGAGTTTGAGCAAGAGTCGGCACCCATACTAAGAACGGGAGATAGTCGGAATATAGGATACGAATAGACGCAATTCCGTGTGGAATTTGGTTTTATTTCCGCCATACGCAATCTGCCACGATTACACGACTTATACTAGATGATCGATGCTGTAATTTCCGTATCGCCGAGGGGGCTAGAGTCGGTAGAATAAATCTTCTTGGACATGATGAAGTGGGTACCTGTACTACATCTATAACGTCATGGTGCTGTGGATGAAAAGCCCCTTTCTCAAATCGGTCCGGAGCCGGAGCTGCGTTCTCGTCACACTCGGTGGCTTGAGTAGTAGTTTAATGTGTTAAATACCTAGGTACTTTGGTAGTTGAGATTCGAACACACATCTACAATCTTTACTCGGCAAGCAAAAATAGAGGCGAAAATGCGTTTTAGATGTACATGATATTTTCATGGCTAATATTGTTACGTAAACTAATACATTCTTCGTCGTGACATCCTCTTAACATAGAACCCGACGAGAATGACCGCAGACCGCCATTGATGCATTTTTCCAAGCTTCGCCGCCCTTGTGGAAACCCTCATGAACTTTTATTTTTCCCTTGGTATTACACACAGCGTGAAACGATTGCATTTTTTAATATATTGCGCCGTCGTAGCGGTTTATTAAGATTTCGGTTCGGTAGATAATGAGTTTTATCCCATAATCATTCCCTTCATTCCTGCAAGATCACCTTCCTTCGCGGCGATTTCAAAGTAGCCGTAAATAATACTATCGTTTGATTAGCAAGAGGGTTATGTATTGCATCGAATTGACAGAGACTTACGTGACTGCAAGAAGAGTACCAGTGCCGGAGCCTAGAGCTCCTAGGAGATCACTGGCAACTGATAACGCACCAATGCAAGCACCACCGAAGGCGGCAGCCGTAGGGATGATGCGCTTCAACTCCTTGTACATACTCTGGTCACGGTGACCAGCCATGACAAGACCCTGGTCCTTTAGCTGCTTGGCGACATCACGAGGGCTAGATCCAGAAACCTCGATCCAGGTCTTCGAGAAGATGGCGCAAGCGCTGAGCATGTAGGTGATATAAACAGCGGTGTGGATGGGGTCGAGGATGGCGTCTTGGAAGTTAAGAGGGGGAGACATGTAGTAAACCAGGCCAGAGACAGCTGAAAGCTGAGCGGATCCTTCCCTAGCTTCCCAGACACCGAACATGCGAACGAGGAGGTTCTCGGAGAAACGAGAGTAGAGCATCTGGCTGATAAGGAAGATGTTGGAGGAGAGAGCGGACTGTAACATGATAGGCATGTTGGAAGTGTAGAAGAGACGGACGGGGTAGGAACCGCGGGCACCTCGCTGGCGGGAAGACTTAACAGGGATTTCGACGCGGAAACCTTGAAGGTAGATAACGGCGGCGAAGACAGCGAGGGTAGCTAGGAGGTTCATGATGTTGGGGAGGTTCTGGCGGTAGAAAGCTTCCTGGAGAGCACGCTGCTTGTTGGGCCAGGTCATCAGGAGGTGGAAGAGGGCAATGACAGCACCTTCAAACTCGGGGCCACGGCCAGTGTTAATCGAGGTGGGAGAGAATGCTTTCCACATGATAGACTCGCAGATGTTGGTCGCGATGAACAGGGAGATACCACTGCCAAGGCCATAACCCTTCTGCAAGAGCTCATCAAGAAGAATGACAATCATACCAGCTACGACGAGCTGGAGGATGAGAAGGAAGACGATACCGGCACCAAGGTCGGAGGGGGGGCCGTAGAGACCAGTGAAGACGTAGACAGTGGCAGTACCGGCGGAGAGGATAAAGGCGAAGAGCTTTTGGGCGGTCTGATAAAGCTCGCGATCGGACTTGAGGTCGAGGTTGACGTCAATCATGTGGGTACCGGCGAGGAGCTGGAAAACCATTCCAGAGGAGATAATCGGTGTAATACCTAACTCCATCAATGTTCCTCGGTTACTCGCCATCATCATTCTCAACCAGTATAAAGGATCGGAGGTGTCGGAGGACACGATACCGTAAAGGGGCATCTGGCTCATGACCAAGAAGATCAACAACGTGAGACCAGTCCACATCAACTTTTGGTTGAAAGGGACCTTGGTCTCGGGCTGCTGAACTTCGGGCAAGAATGCCACGAAGGGCTTTACGAGATCGAGGAACCGCACTGATTAAGGTCATGTTAGCTATTTTGAAGGGTCAATGGCGGAGTGATTGTGGTATTAAGCGCGTCGCGAGCTTCGAATAGCTAGCAAACAAGTATAGGGAGAGGTGGGCAAATGCCGAGAAGACAAGTAAATAAAGGTCAACACTTACGGCTACTCATGGTGATAATGTGTTATAGAAAGACAATAAGAATTAAGGAGAAGATAGAAGGGAAAGAAAAAAAATAAGATGCAATGAGCGACAGAAGGCCCTCGATGTTGGGGGTGGTCGAGGGTTGTCGCGATGCTTTCTCTCTCAAGTCTCGTTGATTTAAAAGGGGAGAAAAGAAATGTTAAGTCGGCGGTCGCAGGGCCAAAAAAGATCTGGCATCAAAAAAAATTGCCCCAAATTGAACTATGTGTCCATTATGCGATAGGTGGAGCCTAGCCTAAGCTATCCTAGTCATTGTGCACGTGATCTTTAACTAGCAATTGAGTTAAATGGGGCCCCTGGTGTCCTTGGTGTGGACCCTGAGTTTCGCCTGGGGCAATAAACACCTTTGGGTTCTAACCTAAAGTGGGATAAAGCGAGGCGCATTTCACTTTATAAGCCTCAGATGTGGCTTAAGACCCCAAGAATTTAATTTCTCCATTATTGGATTACATAAGATAGATTCGTGCCCCACCAAGATACCCCAAAATCATTCAAATCTTCTTGGCATTTCGCATTTCGATTTCATTCAAATTGACGCGATGTAACCATCTTAAAAATAAATGACTTCGACGCATATCGATCTTTCAACTTAATCTACACTGCATAGCATGAAATAACATCAATTAATGATAGGACTGAGACGAAATTTAATATCTTTTTTTAGGAGAAATGTGCGGACAATGGCTACAACGTCCCCTCCCAAGGAGCCTCTCGTGGCTATCCTGGGAACAACAGGCACGGGAAAATCAGATGTGAGTTTTTCAGTTCTCTTTTTTTTTCGCTCCCACAACAGTAGTCTAACTTCAATCCCAGCTTGCGGTAGACTTAGCTCTTAAGTTTGATGGCGAAATTATCAATGCCGACGCTATGCAGATGTATAGGGGTTTACCTATCATCACAAACCAACTTTCACTTGAAGAGCGACGAGGTGTTCCACACCATTTGTTAGCAACCATAAATCCTCATGAGCCAACATGGGCGGTTGATGTTTTCGCACGTGAAGCAAAAAGGCTCATTCGCGAAATCCGTGGTAGAGGGAAGCTTCCCATCATAGTAGGCGGCACCCATTATTATGTCCATAGCGTGCTTTTCGAAGACAACCTAGTTACCTCCCAGGGTACAGACGACGGCTTTCTGCAACGCCGGCCCCAAGAAGAAAATGGAACACAATTTCCTATTCTAGAGGGGCCTACCGACATGATGTTAAGACGTCTCCGAGAGGTGGATCCTATTATGGCAGATCGGTGGCACCCCGACGATCGACGCAAGATTAGACGTTCCCTGGAGATATTCCTTACTACCGGCAAGCGAGCATCGGATATATACGCCGAGCAAAAACAAGGGAAGGCATTTTCGAGCCAAGTCGATAGTCCTTGGCAATCATTGATGTTTTGGGTTTATACCGACTCCGACGTGTTAAAAGAACGTCTCAATAAAAGAGTGAATAAGATGTACGAAAATGGGTTAATGGAGGAGGTGAGAAGTCTACATAAAGCCAGAAAACTACGAACTCAACAGGGAGAAACTGTCGACCTCACTCGTGGAATATGGCAGTCTATTGGCTACAAACAAATGGAGTCATTTTTCGAAGCTGAACGAAATGAAGAGAGTCCAGCCAAATTGGAACAAGTGAAGGAGGCTGGATTAGAGCTGATAAGAATTGCAACGAGGCAGTACGCAAGACAACAGTTACGATGGATTCGACATAAGTCCATACCAGCGTTCCGAGACCACCGGGCAATGGATCATTTGTTTATACTTGACAGTTCCTGTCCCAGTAAATTTTCGACCGATGTTCTCGAACCTGCAAGGAAGATTTGTCGAGATTTTCTTGATGGTTGTGATTTAATCAAACCAATCGAAGTATCTGACAAGGCAAGCGAAGTTTTAATGGCATTCGGGGACGAGAAGGCGTCATCTGAAACGTTTAAGGTCAGGACTTGCGAAATATGCGGTACCTCCCTCCAATCCGAACAACAATGGGAGAAACACACAAAGGGGCGAAGGCATCTTCGTGCTCTTCGGTCGGGAAAAAGAACATCGCTTATTCCTTTTGATGGAGGGAAGTAACATCTTAACCAAGGTTCCGATGTAGTGTCATTTGCTCCGGAGACGATTCCTCACGCTGAATAATCATAACGTCCTGACGCAAAGACACAGCGCTCTGAAATCTATATTGGTATATCTGGTTTTAGGAACTAGGGTCGAAGTTGTCATCTTCCACCTAATCTATACCGATATATATGCACTTAAAGCAGAATATGGTTCTTTCTATCTACATATATTTGATAACCAGCTACAGGGTTAAAAGTGTAAGCATGGTAATGCATGTTTCGCGTCTCATTATCTCATCGAAGTTCTATTGGCTCAATCATGATTACTGTGGGACCTTGGCTAGATCTTCGCGTGGTCCGTGCACAAGGACACGATTTAGCCGATTGCGCGACTAGATTGATCGTACGTCGTTCATTCCACTCTTTACATGTGTAGACTCTGGGATGGGAACGGCCTTATTCACCTCACGCCCGCGAGTTATATCGCCGCACGGCCCTATTCGCCTAACTGTCACATGCTAATTAGCTTTCAAGTTGATACAATCATCTATCATGGGTTCCGTGACAACCACGACGGGCGTGTCAAGGAGTCTATTGAATTCCGGAAGTCGTCATATTCGTCTCACCAAGCATGGTTTGAGCCGAAGTCTCGACCGAAACTTTACGACACTACGGGGAGTTCCATTCAAGACTCAACTTCGATGTAGCTTGCATCCGTATAACCTTCGCAAGCTTGACAGTAGTGGATACGATCTTGACCCTCGACCCAAGAAATTGCTAGGATCAGCGAATATTCCCTTTAATAGTAAAAGAGGACTGACAACCCAGCAAACTTCGGAGGGTCAGCCAGAGGGCACAAATAGCTCCAAAACCGATGTGCCGCGCGCTGAGCTGTTGCAGGATTGGGAACCGGTTAATTCTAGCCCTATTGGCCTCATCGATCCAGATCGGCCGGTTCGGTATTTAAATCGCCACTATTTACGCGATGCTTGCGAATGTAGCCATTGTGTGAACCCGGACTCTGGCCAGAAGAAATTCAGCACATGCGACGTGCCTGTCGAACTCCCCATTGAAAAAGTGACCAAGATAGCGGATGGTGGACTCGAAATTGTTTGGAAAGATGATTTTCTGACCCGCGATAACCACGTATCTCAATATTCCTCAGACACTATTGCATATAAAAGGATCCCGATCCCACGGCACAGACCAAAATTATGGGACAAGCGTATGCTCAAGAAGGACCGCCTCACCCTCGACTACGACCAGTGGCTCGCTGGCAAAGACGAGTTTCTTTCTGGGTTACGGGTACTTCGTACTCATGGGATACTTTTCTTGCGCAACGTACCACCATCCGAGGAGTCGGTAGTTTCTATCGCAAATCAAATTGGCAATCTGCAAGAGACGTTCTACGGCAGAACTTGGGATGTACGTTCTAAACCGAACGCAGAAAATATAGCTTACACAAGCTCCTTCCTCGGATTACATCAGGATTTGTTATATATGCAGAGCCCGCCTCGTATCCAGCTCCTACATTGTCTAGAGAACACATGCGAGGGCGGCGAATCTCTGTTCACTGACGGTTTGAGAGCCGCTTGTTTAATGAAACTCGGACCGGAGCGTCTATACCGCTCTCTGTTAAATAGAAGGCTAAAATATCATTATACTAAACACAGTCACCATTACGAATATCAACGCCCCGTTATAGAGGAAAATCGTCACACCGGCTTCCAGGCCTTCTGGTCCCCGCCGTTTCAGGCCAGTGTACAGACTGTGTGTGGGAAGAGACAAGGCGGCTCAGTATATAATACGTGGTTGGAGGCTGCGACCAGATTTAGGCAGTTGTTAGAAGATGACATGTGGATGTACGAGTATAAAATGCAGCCAGGGGAGTGCGTGCTCTTCGACAACTTACGCGTTCTCCACGGACGGAAGCAGTTCGATACCGGCTCCGGAAGTAGATGGTTAAAAGGAGCGTATATCGCGCATGACGTGTTCATAAGCAAGATACGGGTACTAGCTCAACAACTTAAGACATCGGACACTGAACACAATATCCAGACGCAGACCCAAAATTTCGATGCTCATTACGATATATGGGGGGAGGAAAGGGCGAAGGGGACGCTCATTCAGTGGGGTCCGGTGGGTACCGGTGGGCATAAGAGGGCACAAGGACACGAAAGGCCAATGGAAGCACCAGGGAGCACCACTTTTAGCGATAGCTCATAAAGGGAGATAAAATATCAGTTTTACAGAGGTTCGCATTGTCGGCGAGGCCTGTTAAATTTTACCACTATGGACGCCTTATTTCCTATGGGGGCTAAAATAGTAGATCCGTAAACTACTTGTAGATCTCAACAGTCTCGTGTGTGTGCTAATTGGCTTGAATAGTGCTGAAGATATGCGCGTTATTGTGTGTGTTGGTTTACGAAGAAGTCCAACCAACTATGAATCCTGTCATCTCCATAAAAGGAAGACCCATCAGCTACCTTGCGCACTTCTTGAACTCCATTTATTATACATCATTTTCCCAGGTTCATCTATACTAGATATCTAGCATGGCTGATAACGCAAGCTCAGCTCATACCAAGCTCGATTTTACCACATTTTACAATGTGATCGACGGGAAGCTCTGTAACTCTAGCACGGGCAAGACCCGATGTAGTGTGAACCCCGCTACGTTACACGATAATCCACAAGTGCCCCTCAGCACCCGCGACGACGTCGATAGGGCCGTTGAAACGGCACGGAAGGCAAGAAAGGCTTGGGCTTCTACGTCCTGGGCGGGACGTCAAAAGGCCTTGAAGGATTTCGCCGACGCTTTCGAGGCGAATGGCGCGGGTTTTCTAGACTTGCTAATCAAAGAGCAGGGTAAATCGGTTAGTCACATTATACACGACCTGAAATACACCCCCCCTCTTATTCGAAATGCTTATGCTGATACTAAGTGTGTCGCGGGTTGTAGGCCAAAGAAAGCCAGATCGAGCTATGGCTGACTCTTATGTTCCTCCGTGGCCTAAGCGACCTCACCTTACCCGAAGAGGTGGTGGAAAATAGCGACAAGCGAAAAGTCATATCGCGATATACACCACTTGGCGTCGCTGCTGGTCTTGTTCCTTGGAACTATCCTATTTTTCTCGCATGTGTCAAGATTGCGTCGGCACTTGTCACTGGTAACACCTTCATCCTCAAGCCATCACCACACGCACCATATTGCGACCTCAAACTCGCTGAACTCGGTCTACAATTTTTCCCACCGGGTGTCTTTCAAGCATTAAGCGGTGACGACGAGCTCGGTCCTTGGTTAACTGCGCATCCTGGTATCGATGTAGTTAGTTTTACCGGCTCGGTCGAGGTAGGGAAGAAAGTGATGGAGTCCTGCAGCAAGACTTTAAAGCGCTGCGTTCTTGAGTTAGGCGGCAATGACCCCGCAATCGTGTGCCAGGACGTTGATATCGAAGCCGTCGCGCCGAAACTCGCGTACTTCGCCCTCGCCAATTCGGGACAGATTTGTGTTATACCGAAGCGTATCTACGTGCATGAATCGATCTACGATAGATTCGTTGCTGCGATGGCGGCGTTTGCGAATGCTGTTAGCTTTAAGGGAGATGAAGATCCGTCGATTGGACCGGTGTCGAACGGACCGCAATACGAGAGGGTGGAGGGGTTGTTGGCGGATATCGAATCAAATGGGCTGAGTATAGCGGCTGGTAACACAAAGCCTCTTGCCGATCAGAAGGGTTTCTTTTTGGCGCCTACGATCGTAGATAATCCGCCGGATAACTCCAGGATCGTTACTGAAGAACCATTCGGTGAGTTACCAAAATTTTGTTGAAGTCCGAGGTGTTAGTCCGAGTGGCGTCCCAACAACCCTATGACCCCCACTTCCACTCCGGATCGACAACTAACAAATGCTAGGCCCTATATTCCCCGTTCTTAAATGGAGCGAGGAATCGGAGGTCATAGAACGTGCTAATAATACTGAATACGGTCTCGGTGCTTCGGTGTGGTCAAAGGATGTATATAGGACTGAACGTATCGCTCGACAGCTTGAGGCGGGGTCAGTTTGGGTTAATACGCATGCGGAGGTCGACCCGAAGTTTGGGTCTGGGGCGTATAAGAGTAGTGGGATTGGTGTACATTATGGAGTAGAGGGCTTGAAGGAGTATTGCAACTTGCAAGTCTTGTATACAAGACTCGGTTAGATCTGGTTGTTGGGTGGGCGGCTTTTTGGGTGTCTCGGACGCCTCTCTAATCCCGACTTTGTGGGTAGTGAGACTCGGAAGTTCGTCATTATCGAAAACCGTTTCGTGTAACTGATGAGGCACAGATCACAGAAGCCCGGACGTTTAGGTAAGAGAAATTAATGTTCATATTTCGCTCATGATAGTCCTGCATACTATCTCTGTGTGATGCCAGAATAGCCATGTATCCACTGTATCCACTGTATCCATCCCGATCCTTTCCGCTTCCAACCATGAAGGCCTGACTCGATTAAACAATCATTTACAAATCGCTACGTCCGTGCCCGTTCCATCGAACTCATTACCCCGAGTGTCGTCGATGAGGCGTTGATCGATTGATCTCTGCGAGTACCATATCGATAATCGGTATAACCACATCAGCCAGCTCCACACAAAACTCATGGACCGCATCACGCAATTTTCTCTTCAACTCGGATTCACCTTCCATAAGGTCTGTGGTTATCAATTGTTTGAATACTTTCCACGCAGTTTCGAGTTTCTCTGCCTTCATGTGTAGTATTGCCAATTCAGTGGGACTCCAGTCCAAACGTGTGGGTTGCATTGGGATGTCGTCTATATCTATTTGCTTGAGCTTCTCGACGATATCCGTGAGTCCTGCGGCGTCTTGGGGTTGTTCTTGGTCTTGGTAGTCTGGAAATATTTCCATCGGCTCCGCTGTAAACTCGCTCGGGTCTGGGTTGCTTTGGTTTGCCATTGTGTAGGATTCTTAGGTGGAGGTGTGGTGTATGGTGGAACTGCTTCAAAAGAAGGTATGTGTGTGGTATTTATAATGTCCTATTTATGAATTGCGTGTAGGATGATTGAGGGCAATTAATGACCGTTGTGTATATTTCGATATGATACAAATTCTTGGAAAGGTGTTGAAGGAAAAGTGGTGTCCGTGTGCTATCGGCCCCCCCAGCTCCTTTTAAGACCAGTCTTGGAGTAGACCTGCATGCCTCTTGCTGTTTTGAACAGTTGGAGTACGCCACGCTCTTGCTATGCGTTTAGGTGGACCATAAGCTATCGAAGTAGGAAACAGTCGACTGAAATGAAAGGAAGTAATACCCATCGAGGTCGCAGGTGCATACCACTCGAAGCGATATAGTAGGAAGGGATTACGATACGACAATTGCATACACCTAGGTGTTTGTCGCTACGAGCAAAACTCTTAATTTAAACCGTGAACTTGATCTGGACAGAGGCGGAAAAATCAATTTATTATCAAAAATGTGTCTTCTTCAAAGACACTACATTTCGATGATGTTTATCGTATCATCCCCGCTGGAACCCATCGCTTGATACGAAGCTCACTTTGCTTCTCCCATTTCTCTTATCAATCTTTCATTCTCCTTTTTCAGCTGTGCATGGCATTCGTCTATCCTTTTATGAAGCTCTGCGAGTCTGGAATTGATCGCATCAGCTTTAGCCTTAGTCGCCTCGTCCGTCGTTCCCGCTGCAACTTGTTCCAGTATCTTCTTGTTCTCGTCCGTCTCGGTCAGAGCCTTGACCTGGGCCCCGATAGCATTGACCTCTTTCATCAACTCTTGTATCTCAGCAACCCCCATGATGCCGGGGATGTTTCGATGAGTCTTGAGTATTGTATTAGCGATAATGCCTTCAGTTATTTTATTTACGTATAAGTGGAGGTGGTCATGTGCATAGGTACCTTAGGATTGGGAACGCGAAATTCTTCAAATTAGGTTTTAAGAGTATCGACACTTCTAGTGGTCTTTTGATAATTCGTGCCTTTTTTTGGAATACACTTTGTCGTCGTCGTGGTTCTCTGAATGAAGTTATTCGTAGTGAAATGGTATGGTGAAAATGATAGAAATAAGTGGTGCTTTCGGACATTATATAGTAAAACTTCCTGGCTACCTACCTAGGTAGGTAAACATGATTGGTATACAGGTAGGTCTTCCACATATGGGAAAATATATCATGGTCGACTAGACGATTCGTCAGATTACACTCAATCTGGTCTTTCCCGCAGTTGGATGTGTGGTACATACGCTCAAGGCGAGCACGGTCTCCATTTTTCCCGGCATTCTTCGCGATATCAGACGAAAAGAAAGGCACGCTACATAGCGGCTTATACTACGAAGAAAGCATGATATCAACACAATGATGGAGGGGAATTAGTAGGGAGGTTGGCACAATACCGCATTGCTGATTCCACATATGATTAGGTAAGACCAGATATTTATCTATATTCGTAAATAATCGGGATCTAGGTACAATACAGGCACAGTACAGGGTTTAAACGACTAATGTAGTCTAGGTAGGGGTACAGAAATAGTTTGCTATCAGATCTACGCCTTCGAAGACGCTACATGATGATCATACCCAGAATATCACACCCCTAAGTATGCATTTCTCACTCAGATTCACGTTGCTTCTTCCTCTGCCTTTCCTTGTCCAACTCTGCTTGTAAGCTGTTCGCCTCCTTTTCTAGGATCTCCATTCGGGCGCGAACAAATGCAATTTTCATCTTAGCTGCTTCGTCCGCCTTTCCTATCGATTCATCCTCAAAGGCTTTCTGGTTGTCTTTGTTATTGACCAATCGCTGTTTCTCTGTCTCTATGCTAGAGATTTTGGCGACCAGTTCCGCCTCTCTAGACATGATAAGAGTTCCAATATTCTTCATAAACAGCGTTAGGAACATCACTAACAAAATATAATAGGGGGTTAGGAGGCAGCCCCTAGACATAGGGAAGTAAGGGTTCTAAAAGTGATCGATGAATTATGAGTAACTTGGGTGGTTTTCACAATTCCTTCTCTTAGCTGTGATCTTGTCTGCTTTCAAGAAGGGTGTACCTAGGTTTCTTGCCCTGCTGGTATGGTAAAATTGATAGGAGAGGTGAACAGCAGCTTCGATTGTTTATATAAAAAACCTTTGAGCTAATTCAGGCATTGTTTGTTTATTCACATCTGCTCGTGATGTCGTCGTGGCTTATGACATCGCGCCGGTTATCTAACACATTGTACTAGAATCCCCTTTGACTTGAGTCGTTCGCCGAGTTTTCGAAACAAGGGACAGTTCATCTTAGCTCTTAACCGTACAATTGAGTTGTCTTGATTTCAATGTCTTTGACTGTGCTTATCCCCCAGAATCCTACCTAGGTATGCATTATACGCATATATGGGTAACGGTATACAGCAAGATTCCCAATTCACTCAACCCATGTCCTCATATCGGGATTATCAATATAATAATCTTCGTCTTCCGAGAAGAGATAATTATCAGCCATATGTGCGACTATTTTCTCACTTATATCGGTCCACCCTTCCGAAATGTTGTCGGTGCTGCGAATGTCGATGCGGTCACCTGCCCAATCTCCGGTTCCGATGGCATCACAACCATTAGTTTCCCATTCTGTTAGGCAAATAACGAATTGACCTAGATTGCATGGCCAGCAATCTTGTGCAACCTTTGTGTCGAGGACATATTGTCGCTTCGTCAAGTTCCGTAAGACTCCGGGTAGCTTAGATTCGGGGTATCGTCGAAGTGTTTGATACAAACGCATGAGAAGTTGCGTATCAGGGCAGTCCTCGAATTGTTTCTCCATGGGTAGTGGTCTCTGTACTATCGCCGTAATATCGCAGTACAGGGGATTATTGTCGGGGTATTCCGGCAGGTCAGAATTCTCATGAAACTCCCCGAGCCTTCGAGGCTTGTACTAAGGCCCTTGCCACCTTTCACGTTTGTCATGATTGGTACTATCTCTAAAGTTTTCGGAAATGTACCGAGCTTCTTCGTAGTCTTCGCAGCCTTTGGGAACTCCTTCGGCAGAGGATCCAACAAAGACTAGACGGTCGCCGGCCCATGGTGCTTTGATAGTGGTTATCGCTTTTCTAACACGCGGGAGAAGAACCCGCCAAAGATAAGAACAAGTAATAGCTAAGCTTAGGAGTGAAATTGGGTCGCGTAGCTCGGCAGTGATAGCGTCAAGGACCTCTTGGGGAAGCCTCACTAACTGGCTCGTAATACTAGGTATTGTGTTAGCTACAGGACGATTTTCTGCTAGTGGTCTTTTTCAAGTGTACTTATGCTTTCGTGTTCGTATAAGTTGGGATTCAGATGCTAGAGTATCGACCAAGTCAGGGATGGTTAGGAGAGATATAAGTGCTTCAGGTTCTCCATTGTAATTCAATTCTCCGGCCATTGATGCACCCCTTTCAAGGTTCATCCACTTATCGACATTGACGAGTTTGAAATCTTGTCGCGCCATATTGGTTAATGGGCTATGCCCGGAATGTTTTTGTGGGAAGCGTATGCCAAAGAAGAGATACGCAAAGTGTGAATTTATCGTTTGTTAGGTCTCTTAGTGGGATCCTTTTTATACGCATGGTTGGCTGGAGGATGTTGTCTTCACTGGGGCTGTCGGGTTATTACCCTATTTGGAGAGGTGCTTAGGCATCTATGGTGCTGCCTACCTAAGCTAGGTAGGTAGTTATACATGTAAAGATAACCACAATACTGGCTCGCATGGTGATTTTGGATAACGTTGTGACTGAGCACTACTAATTATTTACGTCGTTGGCGAGTGGCAATCCAACGCTCTAGTTTAGGTGGAACCAAAGGCCTCAAGTTATATACCCATGCGGAAGGGAAATCGCTGAGAACGACTAAAATATTTAAATTAGGTATTCCTACTATTCTACTGTGATCTATTCTATCTATTCCATCATGATCCTTAGAATATCTATAATGTCTTCAAAGTACGGCATCACCTTTTCGTTTAGTCCCTTAAGTTCCTCAAATTTGCCCTTGACCCTATCTCAAAGCTCCTGGAAGAAATCTCCACTATAAGCTCTACGCGAAAAGTCGCAGCATCGGAGCTCGTCGTAGAGTGACTCCTATGCTTTTATAGTAGTCCAGTTGTCATTCATTATCTTCGCAGCTGCGTTGTGTTCCTCTACCTTATTTTCCTGGGCAAAGCTATCCAATTTGGGTGTGATTAAATTTGTAGCCTTTGAAATACACCAACCCTTTTCTAGGATTGCCTTCCAATCTAGAGATACCATATTTATTTGCTCGATGCTTTGTGATGGATGATATTTTTATTTCAAAGGTTGTCTTGACTGTTGGTGGTAAAAATAAACGTATCCAGGAAGTCGAAAATTGAAGGCGAGAATTAAAGTGAATACTAATAAGCGAAGTAGAAAAAGGAAGATTGTGTATTGACACTCCATCTTTACACTCACAAGTGACTAGAAATGTAGTTGGGAGGGGAGTTGTCTTGATGGTAGGTGTTGGGGTTACTCTTCTTTCGAAGTCAAGCAAATGAAAAGGAAATAATTTACAGATGTTGGGAACTAGGAGTGTGAATATCTTGTACATTCTCTACGTGGTTAAATTTAATGAGGATCATGGCATATTTGGATCGTGACACAGATGATTTGATGGAGCGGACATCAGCAAGTAGACTCTCAGGTAGTGGCGACGATTGGAACTATTGTATAACTCCCTACGTTACGACTCTTTGAGTACAGGCATGCATCGGTCACTAATCACGAGTAAATCATAATGATAAAGTAGTAGGATGGAGAAGTTGGTTTGCCTTAATCAATTATTCTTAGGTTTTTAGGGGCATGATGGTTCCGAGGGGAAAACTGGTGTCGATGAGTTGGCTGGTTCCCATAGCTTATAACCCTCCTTCCAAGGTTGCTTCCCTAATGCTGCAGTGAAATGACTGGGGAAATGTGTAGGATCCCATTATTGCGAAAGTACCGTGATTGAAGATGATCCATCCTTAAAATATCCTCCCAAGCCTGCCTTGCGACCCGAACGTACTGGTGGCGATTAAGATCCGTTGTCGTCCTCGACTAACTCGATACCCAAGATGTCCAAGCACTCGTCGTAGTAGTCCATCATGTGCTTCGCTAGGTCCTGGAGGCGTCGGAACGAGTAGCAAATGTTCTCCCAACCCTCGGGATACTGGAGCCACTCAGGCAATACTCCGTAATGGTATTCCTGGGCGAAACTTGATCGGTCGAATACATCCAAGGCCTGGGAGTAGTCTTCGATAAGCTCCATCATCTCGTCTTCCATCACTCGGAGTCTTGCTCGAATCTCCTCGGAAGGGTTGGTGTCCATCTGGTTAAGGACCACATCTGAAGCGCGGCGGATACGCTCGATTAGGGGGATCAGTCGACCGTATTCCTGAGCGAGGACGAGGCTATCCATGTTGAGTAGTTGGGCGACGCTCGTTATCAACGGAATTATTTTAGTGGCCGATATTAGGAGGCTCGAGAAATGCTGGCTTAAGTCGTGATTTATTCTCTGTATGTTTTCTTGGGCTTTGGGAAATGCCTGGCTCGAGAAATTTGGTGGCAGAGTTGTAGACTTGGTGGGTTTGAGAGGAAAGATGGATTGTTAGAGCTGAGAAATCCCAGGTTAAATATTACTTCTTTTCCGTCGTGTGGTACCGCAAAAAAATTAGGTTTGGCAGCCACACTCATTAATGCGGTAGGCATGGCCCTTAGTTGCTTTCTCGTGGACCATGCTGGCGCTTTGGCGGGTGTCACCCCCGTAAGTAACATCCCCGTAGGTGATACCCCCGAGGGTACCCGCTCATCAGTAAGCCATTGCCCCTAATTAGAAGAGGCAATGGTCTTACCTTAGGATGATTAGGTAGACAATTAGTACTCGAATTTGTTGTTTTGTTCGTGGATCGTGGGTAGTCCTTATTATGTGTTTGTTCATAGGGGACTACCCATGATCCTTCCGAGTTGTCTTTATCTTAACATTTTAGTCGATCAAATCATTAAGATTTGTCGTATTATTAGGCGCATTAAGGTCGATTAACCCCCGTCGAGACTTTGACGGAAATATTAGGAATTGGCGGAGTGATCCATTTGGAAGGTTGGATGTCGAGGGAAAGGAAACGAGAAAAGACGGCGAACGACGAAGTTTCGGACTTAAGTACCTGAGCATGCTACAGGTATGGGTCTAGATTCAATTGTTTGTGTAACGCCGAGCCGCAAGTGCTACATCCTTGTTTGCAGTTTAAATGTTTGGCTATGTACTGCACTTTATGTAGGTACCTAATTGTTCTCATATTTTCGAGGCAAGGTGCTCCATATGTTTGTACCTCTCTTTATGTTAGTACATGTATCCTGAGTTCTTATCTGGCCCGTGCCTGCCTGCGAGTACTGCATGTGATTATATAATGTTAGTGTTTAACCCCTCCTAGTCCGAAGCTTGTTCGAGTACAGGGCAGGTACGCACGTACCTAGGTAGCTCTACCCCACCATCGCTGCCTTCCGTTATGTCCTCACCTACTAGATTTCTACTGTTCAATTCACAAACATCACATTCAACTTTACTTTTATCGCAATCAAACTTTCACATTACAATTTTTCTTCACACTTCACGAGTCTTACGAATATTCTCCCTATCACTATTACAACCTCTCATTGTTGCATCATGCTAACTCTGGAGAGTTCAATGTAATTCGGTTTCTTTTCCGTATTACTCGCGGAAGGTTAGTTTCCCAGAACGTCTTGCCTGTTCTACCTAATGGTACCTACAAATGAATCTGGTGCCTGCCTCCCCGGGTGGAAGCCTAAGCTTTCCTACAGTACTACATTTATTGTTTGTGGCCTTTGACGCTGATTGGAAGAACATAGACACTTTGATTTTCCGAGCGTCGCGTTCCTTTCCGTCATTGTCACAATTCGAGTCGACACCCTGATCTAGGGTCAATCAGGTTCACACGGTAGGTTATTCACCCAATGGAGACTATTCTACCTTCATATCATTATCACTCTACATTTATAATGCTCTTCTCCTTTTCTTGGTGTACTGATTACTTACAAAGCATTCTAATATTGCAGACTACCGTTCTGGTATTCCCACCCACCGACCTACCTCGACCTACTTCCTCGTAACCCTTGCGACCCTCCCTCTTTAGCTCGCATACCATATCACCATGTCGTCCTCTGCGGTCAACAACCCGAATCCCCAGAGCATAAACGCGCTCTTAGCTAAGCTAGGCGATCCGGACCCTGATTTCCGTTTTATGTCATTGAACGACCTCCATCAAATCCTCACCAAGCAGAAGGTCGATTTCCTCAACCATGATTATAATACATCTTCTAGAATTGTTGACAATGTGGTCAAGACCCTAGACGACCAAAATGGAGAGGTTCAGAACCTAGCAATTAAGTGGTATGGATATATCCTAGAGCCAGTGTGTTCAATAGACGGGAACTGATATGCGAATAGTGTTGGCCCACTCGTGACGAAAATTCCCCTCACGGTTCTCTCCCCCATGCTGGATAAGCTTAGCGTTATTGAAATGAAGAACTCGGTGGATAATTCGATACCCTCCCTTGCGCTCCGAAACGCCATATCATCATTGCCGAAGCCAGTGCGTGGGGTCCCCCCTTCTAGAGAAGTGGTCGAAACCTATAACGTTGTTAGTCGCGTTCTAATTCCACGCATCCTGGGCCTCCCGGGCCCTTCTAACAAGCAAATGCCTAGCGGAGCCCATGGGATCTTGGATAAGAATAGGGACCCCACTGCTGAATCTGTGGACGTACTCATTGAGGTAGTCCGCTGCTTTGGACCTTTGTTACTGCCATTGGAGGTTGAGAAGCTACAAGATGTGGTTGTACAAGTATTGGAAAGAGATTCTGCGCCCTCCCCTGTCAAGAAACGGGCAGTCGTTGCCCTTGCTATTCTTGCACCCTACTTGACGACTAGTATCCTCGATGGTCTGGTTAAGAAGATCCAGAAGGCTCTGAGCCAGCCTAAACTGAGCCCAGTCATGCGCCGTCTATACGTTTCTATAATGGGATCACTCGCTAGATCAATTCCCCACAAGTTCGGCGAATATCTACCTAGTCTTATCGACTTTGTTCTGAGTCCCCTGAGCCAAGAGGAATTGCAGAGTCAGCTTGAAGCCCTCGGCGAAGGTAATGATCAACTTCATCCCGATTTCAACGAGGTTCGCGAGGCTGCATTGGTTGCGCTGGAGTCATTCTTGGCATCGTGCGGCCTGCAGATGCGAGACTACACTGATGCAGTTATCGCGGCGTGTCTTCGTTACCTCAAATTCGATCCCAACTACGCAGTCGACGAAGACGAGGAGATGGATGAGGATGAGGATGCAAATAGTGATGACGAAGACGAAGACGATGAATTCGAAGACGACGCTGGATTTGATGACGACGATGATGCGAGTTGGAAAGTTCGCAGATGTGCAGCAAAAGCTCTGTATACTCTTATCTCTACGCGAAGTACCGACCTATTGGAGAAGGGGACTCTTTATCACGACATTGCTTCTCCACTTATCAAGCGTTTCGATGAGCGAGAAGAGAACGTACGTCTCGAGATCATTAGCACTGTGGCTCTCCTAATCCGAAAAACCGGTGAGGGTGTCATTCAATCTATTACAGCCGACGATGAACTCGTTCCCTCCCTTGGAGAAAACCGAAAACGGCGAAGACAGAGCAGCGGTGGGGTTGTATATACCAACAAGGCTCCTTATTTGGGAGCCACTGGTCTTATTTCGCCCACTCGCGAATCCGTCCCACCTACCGGTCCGCGCGCGGATCTCAAAAAGCTCACGCCGCAGATCGTTAAATCGGCGACGAAGCTGCTCAAGGGCAAGCAAATTGCCACAAAGCAAGCAATAATTAATCTGTTAAACGATTTGATTGCGGTACAAAATGGTGGTTTGGCCGATTATTTCGATCAGGTCATGCAACCGATTATTGATGTTACTAAAGGAGTGACAGGCAGTGCCAACTCGACATCGATGACCTTGTCGGGTACCGCGTCAGCCACTGCAACTACATTACGTGTAGCGGTTCTTCATTTCACGAGCGATATAGCGAAAACTCATTCCTCGAGTCTATTCCAACGCTACCTTGAGAACATTGTAGCTGGTGTAGTTTCCGCCGTTCGCGATAGATTCTATAAGATCTCCAGCGAAGCAATTCGGACTGCCGAGGAATTGGTCAAGGCTATAACTCCGCCGCGAGCCAGACTCACGACCCAGAAGTACAAGCCGGAATTGCAGAAGCTATACGAAATTATAGTGGACCGTGCATCGGCAGTTGATGCAGACACTGAAGTACGCCAGAAAGCCATCCAAGCTCTTGGAACGCTGATTTCGAGGACGTCTTCTCCGGATGGTATCGCTCTAATCCCTTCGGATAAGCGCCAGGCTGCCTTAGATTTGCTTCTAGACCGACTACGAAACGAAACAACACGTCTACATGCGGTGCGAGCAATTGATAACGTGGCAGCGCATTCGTTGACGCCAGGTGGCCTCGAGCCTAAGTGGGTACAACAAGTCGCATTAGAGCTATGTGGCCAGCTTCGAAAGTCGAACCGTGCCCTACGAGGCGCCAGCATCCAAGCTCTACAACAGCTCGTTCTCTCACCAGCAACCAAGGGCCAGATCGGAGCGGCCACGGCCAACGAGATTGTCACATCCATTTTACCCGTCATTGCCGCCAACGATAATTATCTCCTGAGCCCCGCTCTATTAGTTATAGCGCAGTTACAACTAGAGCATCATCAACTCGTATCCTCACCTTCTATCATCACTCCGCTTTGCGAGCTTCTTAAGAAGAATATCGCCGGCTTACCACTAGACTCTCTCGTTACCTTAGTAACGAACGTCGGTATGACTGGTATGGGGGAGCCATTGATGAAAGGTGTTTTAGGTGTTGGCATAGCGGGCGACCCGGCAGCTGTCGGTAAGGTTGCTGGTGCTTTATTTGTCGCGAGCGGTGGACAGGTTGGCGTGACTGCTGAGAGTTTCGTTGAAGAACTTAATCTATCCAGCAAGCTGACACCCCCGGATACCACCCGGCAAAGTCTCGCGCTGGCAATCTTGGGAGAGATTGGTCTACGACTTGGCCCTAAGTCTCGCCTACAACCTAGAATTTTCTTGGAGCAATTCCATGACGAGCCGGATAAAGTCTCTGTGTCTGCCGCGGTAGCCCTAGGCCGTGCAGGCGCAGGGAACGTATCGGTTTTCCTACCGCCTATACTTGACGCAATCAAGAAACCAGGTAGCCAACAATATCTACTACTGCAATCCATCCGAGAGATTCTTCATCAAGCCATCGCGTCATCTATAGATATCAGATCATATGAAAGCGAAATTTGGCGACTACTTTTCTCAGCAGCTCAGCTTGATGACAACAGGGCGATTTGCTCCGAATGCATAGGACGACTAGCCATCATGGGGCCTAAAACGTACATCCCGAAACTTCAAGTAAGCAAAGTTCTACAATTTTACAATTACATAAAAACTGACGCCTCTTAGGAACTTCTGGGAGACCCATCGCCCGTCTTTAGGGGTGTAGCCGTACAAGCACTGCGGTACACACTGCCGGATAGTGATGAATCGTTCGATTTGATGCTAAAGACAGTTCTATTTGATATGCTCCTTACGGTTTTGAAAGATAAGGACATGGAAATCCGTCGTCTCGGTATGACGGCCTTGAACTCGGCGGCGCACAATAAACCCGACTTAATCCTTCCACACCTCAGCGAGTTGTTGCCCTTCGTTATAACAGAATCTGTTATCAAGCCTGAGCTCATCCGTGAGGTTCAGATGGGCCCATTTAAACATTTAGTGGATGATGGATTAGAGGTTCGCAAGGTAAGCGATGGTATTTCAATTTACTTGGCGAGGACCCTTTGCTTACAGTTTTATTTAGAGCGCATATGAGACTTTGTATGCCCTTATGGAGACGGCATTCTCTCGTGTGAGCGGCCTCGAATTCTACGATCGAATCATTGCTGGCCTTAACGACGAGAATGATATTCGGTCTCTTTGCAACCTCATGCTTAGCAAGTTGATTGTCATCGACCCGGAGGAGACTACTCGGCGTCTAGATACAGTTGCCGAATGCTACAGGAAGACGCTGTCGCATAAGCTTAGGGACGGCGCAGTGAAGCAAGAGGTTGAAAAGCAAGAAGAGGCCATTAAGAGCGTATTGCGTGTTACCATATTGCTTGTGGAGAAGACCAAGACTACTTTGCCAGGTGCCATGGGAGGCGCTACCTCGGCATCTCAGGTTCAAGCACAGCAATCGGTGCCGAACCCCGTCTGGCAGCAATACTGGGAATGGGTTAACAAAGACTTTGAACGCCAGCTTAAGGCGTTACGGGAGGAGAACAAGGATGTACCTATGTGAGAAGCCGGAATTGCATCTTGAGCCGCCATGCTGGGTAAATTTCGATGAAAAAGGTTGGGCCTGGTCATTTGCTTCCGTGTCTGGAATGGTTGGCAACTGGTCACTAGTGAGCTCTGGGAAATACCTAGGTGCCCAGATTTCCTAAGGCTATTCCATGCCTTTGCAGAGATAGAAGGCCAAGTACGTAGCATCTAGACAGTTAAAGCTATTATGAAAGGACAAAAAAAGAACGAAAAATCAACTGAGTGTTTAAAACCGTAGCTATAGTACCTAGGTATCTTAGGTACATTAATTTGCAGTGGTGTTAGCGAATAATGGGCTGGCACTTAAGAAAGCTAGGGCCATTCCCCGGACTCAATGGCGGGCTAGGTAAGGCGGTTAGGGCTGCTAGGATTAGCGTGTAGGCGTGCTAATGACGTCTATAAAGGGTAATATTTAGTGGAAACGAACTGATTTTTTAACCAGGTTTAAGCCCCACAAGAGCTCCGATGGTGGATCTAGCGGATTTCTAAGATGGGAATCGTGAACAATGGATGACATCGAAGAAGGAATTGTCTATTACACGGAGCAATTGGTGCGAGAAGTTTCTAATTGTCTTTTGTTTTAAGGGCAGATTTTCGTTATTTCATTTGACTTTGCTGTTGTTACTATTTTCCCTTCTAAATTTGACGTACTTGTTTGTATAGTAACTAGGGAATAACCCATCGCAATTCTCAAGATCCTACTCTTATTATTGAGGTAATAAAAAAACGAAGTAACGCAAAAAGGGAGAGATTTATAGTTTATTGGAATTACATAAGAGACCATTCCAATTGATCACCTAGGTATCTTAACCTTGCATTCCTTCCTTGATGTCCTTCTAACCGTACTGGTATTACGTACGGATTTGGGTGCAAGCACGTACGATTCTTAATACCGATTTCTACCGAGATCCCGGCATTCTGCGATATTTTGTTTTTTTCTTCCTTCCTTTTCTACCTACCATCTACATCTTTCAATTTCTTACTTTTTTTTAATTGTGACGGAAGGGAAAAGGAATTAGAAGGAGAGAAAAGATAGGATGTCGACGTCTCGTATCTTTAGTTCAGTTGCACGTACTGTCGCTCGACGGACTGCTGTACCCGCTGCGCATAGGCATACGCTGATGCGCTCAGTTGCCCGAAGGTATGCGAGTTCCGGACATGGAGGCAGTGCGGGAGCTGAGAAGACGAGTGATTTGCCTTGGTGAGTTTTTCTCCTTTCTATGTCATTTATGAATGTATTATGGGGAACCAATGGGCTTGAAGGAAGGAATTGGTGATCAATTGGCCCTTTCAGCGGCAATGCTGTCAACACGAGCCAGAGCTACGCCAAGACCAGCTTGCTAACACACGCACGCATACTAGGCTCATCGGTTCCGTCGGCATCACCGTACCCGCTGTAGCATGGCTCCTCGCATCTGGCCCTTCTAAGAAACCAGCACACGATGACCACCACGGCGCACCAGTGCCGGACGAAGAAAAAGCACCCGCAGTAGAATCCGGCGCAGATGATTCGTCCTCGGACAGCTCCTCAGACTCAGACTCCGGCACCGACACCCCATCATCATCCGACAACGAATCCGACAGTGAATCCCCAAACCCGCCCACAAACCAACTCCCCACCTCCGGCAACCCAAAAGCAACCCACAGCTCCTCACAAACCGGCCGCGAGACCCCTCCCCCCTCATCTGATAACACGGACATGGCGACCAATTACGAAGAAAAGAAGCAAGCACAGGAAGAGTACAAAGACATGATCAGGAAGAAAGATACCAAGGTCGCTACTAGCTCGAGCGATGTCCCGAGTAAAAAAGGGTCGACGGAGCATCCACGGGAGGATCCGCTGAAGGGTGAGGGTGAGGGGGTTAAGAAGGGTGGGCCTGAGTGATGTCCTATTGCTCTTGGGTCATTTGCGTTTTGGTGTTTTCTTCTGTGTGTTTTTATGGGAGTTGATGGTGAAGGTAGGGAGGGGGAGGAGTTTGTGTATGAAGAGGAAAACGAGACGAGAATGAGAATGGGGTTTCTACTATCTAATACACGCACGCATGAGTTAGAGAAAATGAAACGATATATGGGGGGGGGGTAGAAAAGCTTACGATAGGTTGTGTTATAATATGTACAATACCTACCCACATCTTAATTGACTATCCCAACTCATCTACTACAAATTCATCACTATTGCGACGAGAGTGTATGGTAATATGAGAGGGCGATAGGGATGTTGCAATTCACAAAGGCGAAGTGGTATCATGGGGCGCAAGTACTTGCTTTTCATCAGTCTTGATTTCTTCTGCTTTCCTAACTACCATATCGCAATTATAGTCCATAGTAGTAACTTCATCTCCGTTCCTTCAATCCCTTCCTATATGAGCATCATTAATACCACCATAAACCATGCGCAAAGTAGGCAAAGGTTAAAAGGGATGTGAAGCTCAAGGCCAACCTCGCATGTGGAATAGAAACGCAAAACCCAGGTGTTGCGTGTCGGATGACTAGTAATTACATTCATACATAGCCCTCGTAGCTCACTCCTTCGGGCTGAAAAAAGGACCAACTGGTAGGTAGAAAAGGCAAATTCAGGTTGTCGCAGTAAAACACCTTTTTAATTGTTTTTCCACGCCAAAAATCAACCGGAAATATCTCATCCGGTGATTGTTGTTTGGCAAAAATCATCGTCTCCCCTCTCCTTTGAAAATTGCCAATGTACTCCTTAATGCGAAAATTGTGTTGCAAAAACCCCCAGGTGCAAACGAACTCCGTCTAGCGACGTTTCAAACAAAGGAAATTTATCTAGATATGTTCTTGATCATCCGATTATTGTTGCCATGTTGCTTCATCGAACGAATGCGCATGCAACGTTATGTCGTTGGAAGCTGAGGAGCTCAATTGTAGTCAAGGACATGTTTTGGCTATACGAGCGAAGCATTAACGTTTTGGAAGATCCCGAATTTATAGGGATTTGATTTTGTCGTAACGGCCGTATAATATCATGAAATGCATCAGGATGACAGAAATTGGTGCGCGGTTATACAGTGCGCTGAACCAAGATATAGTGGCCAGTCCAAATCAGGCTGTTAAAGACCAACCCAAGTCTGCGATTATACGGACTGGTAGAGCAAAAGGGGTTCGCCAACGTTTTCGATCTCGGGTATTGTGCACTTGAGATCGAATGCCTTTGATAAAACGATCTTGAAGATCTATACTTAATAGTCAGTATGGTTTCGTATGGAAACGACCATGTATGAATGAGGACTAACCTTTTGGACGTTGATGCTGTGACTGGTACTACTGAAGATAAGAGCAGCTCGCATCGCCTTAGCGAATCGTTTGGCCTAAAATGATCGTTAGCGCTGGTTGCCTTTGTGTGCCCGGCCTAGGTATGGATGCCAAACTCACCTGGTTCGAAATTTCTTCTTGGTCTTCTCGAGGGAAGTTGACAAAGTGGTCATACTTTGTGCCAACCAAGATGGGAATCGCTGTCTTGTTGAAGCCTCGTCCTTGGCGATACCATTCCTTAATGCTGTTCAGCGTACTCTTTCTTGTCAAGTCGAACATGAATAGAATAGCCACGGCATCATTGCAAACCAGAGGTAGCATGTTCACGAATTCCCTTTGACCACCCAAGTCCCATATGCTGAATGTAATCTCGGTGTTTCGTATGCTAATCGTCTTCTCCATGAAGTTGACACCCAACGTCTGGATATAATCCTCGTCCCAGCTACCTTCGACATATTTCACCATTAGAGATGTCTTTCCGATTTGCGCATCTCCTACCATGCCAACCTTGATCACGACATGGTTCCGGGTGTTTCGATCCGCGCCGTTACTCTCTCGGGGTGCTTGTTCACCGAATTGTCGCTCGCCAGGTCCAGACATAGATGAACCGGGTCTTGGCGTCGCTTGTGGGGCGTCATATTGATGGGCATCGTACTGGACGTTCGGGTCGAGATCGTCGGGGTGCGCGCTATTGGCTAGGCCTTGGTCGAGGGATTGCGATCGGTGATGCGGTGGTTCATGACCAACCGGCTCGACGGGGAGCTGCGGGGATCCTTCTATGCCACCAAGCGTATCATCGTGGATGTCGTGGGGAAGGGGTGCGGCGATAGGATCTTGCTCCATTGTATCTAAGGCGTCGTGGAATTGGGGAGCAGACCCCGCTGAGAGCGTCGAAGAATCCAGGATGAAAGATTTGGGTGGACGAGACGGATAGATAGCGAGTGGTGAGAATTGAATGGTGATTCAAGCGCGAGCAATGCGAGATTGGCTGAGGGGGGACGATGAGAAGGTCTCAGTTTCGTCCCGTGCCTAGCTTCATCGGAATGTCTTAGAAATGGATAATAGGTCGGTTCGGGCGAGCAGGGAGGAATGTCCGGTGCGACGACTTATTAACTATTTCTAAGTATTAGTATTAAATCAACCTCGATGCCTATCGATATGAAAGATGGACTTGGACTCGGCTAGCAGCCTGAAGTAATGTAAGGCAATGTAATGTAAGGTTTAGGTAGGCTGTCGATCCCGAGATGCAGCTGATAGGCGTCGAATCCTATGGGAAAGGGGAACGAGTCAAGATGATGCTGGAATTTCGGGGGTGATGCCAACGAAGATTGCAAAATCAATGCCTAACCCCAAATTTGACCAGGTGTAGATTTATTGTGTTAGGTGTAGGTATTATTTTGTGCATACATACATACAAATTAATAATTTCGTACCTTAGGCCGGGACCCCGTCGACGTGCTTCGTTGAAGGTCGTGCGTGTCGTGTCCAAATGCCAGATGCCAAATGATGGAATGGGTGGAAATACGGAAAGGGTAGAATTGCTTTAGTTGATGCGGGATCCCGGAAAGATGTGACGGGATGGAACCTAATTTAGGTGCGAAATAGGTACGAAATACTGCTGTACGTGATTGACTTTGGACGATTGAGGGGCTATTTGCTTTGGTTACGGCAGGTGGGTGGGTTATTACCGTATTACTCGATCGATTATGTACCTAGGTACTACACGAAAATGATGGCAAGAGCTGCAAAAGCAAAGCTAAAGTCCAAGTTGGTCAAGGCTTGCTCAATTCAAACCGCCATTTCCTTCACTTTTCCTTAAATTCTATCGGAAATACCGACTTAGCTGTTTCCCTAAGGTTATTTTTGCGCATTGCCTTAATATGTACAATTGGACGGTACTTAATTCAGTTTGTTGTCGCAAATCCGGGGCGGCTAAGGTTTCTAGCACTAACAAGAATCAACGAATAAGAAGACAGGAAACAGGTGAGGATGATCAACTCATCGAACGCGACGCGAAACATCGTTTCGCGGAAAGGAACACGAAACAACCTTCATTATTACTACTTTGGATATAGTAACGTTAACATGTGTCTTGCTGGATTAATTCTTCCACTTGCAACACGAGAAACGATCGATCTTAAGACCACATCGATGCTTAGATCGATAAAGCTGAAAATTTCGAACGGGCAAATACATAAACATTGTTGACGTTGTCTGTTATAATTGGTGCCCGGACAAATTGTTTTCTTATTGAGTGTGTTGTTATTGACGCTACAGCTAAAGCTTAGGTAAATACAGGTAGCTGATAGGCAGGTAACACGCTGTGACCAATCGGCATCGTTGACCATTCTGACCAATAGAAGTGCCAGATACTACTATGCTAGTAACGAAGTATCTCATCAATTGAGTTTCTGTGTCATCCGGAGTTTCACCAAGACGCGGGGCTCATCGAAGCTCTCTCATTGGTTCAATTTCTTATCGGGTCATACCGGACAAGTCCCAACGCAATGCACTGTCCAATTCAACGTTATTTTTACCAAATAAAACAGTGCGAATCCCCACATCGGCCGACTATTCGGCGCCAAGATCTAGAAATCGTACCAGTCTTAACAATTTCAAGTAGTGGTATCATAGATACGATATCTATTGTTGCACACACCAAAGCTTGCTAAAGAAAAGCTTCACCGAAACAACGGTCTACCATTTTTACTCTTTCCCCTCCGATAATACCACAATTACAACCTATCCTCGTCATGGCATCAATTGCGCGATGCCTCCGGGCAGCTCGACCTTCGACTCTCTCTCGATTGGCAGTACAAGCGCCGCGCGCAAAATCCAATTGGCAACCGGTAGCTGTGAGGGCATTCTCTTCTTCGCCGATAAGTAAGCCAGCTCCCAATTCCTTCATTCTCCGATGTCGCCAACAACCACATTTTGTACTGCCACAAAACCACTCACAATGTTCACCACTGACAATTCGGTATTACAACAGGAGACATCCGCAAGTACACTAAAGACCACGAGTGGATCGACCTCAATGCCGACAAGACGGCCGGTGTGATCGGCATTTCGGAGTATGCCGCTGAAGAGTTGGGTGATGTGGTATACGTTGAGCTACCCGAGGAGGGTAAGGAGGTTAATGCTGGTGACGCTATTGGCGCTGTAGAATCTGTTAAGAGTGCCGCCGATATCAACGCACCTATTGCTTGCACGGTTACAGGCATCAACCTAGCGCTAGAGGAGAAGCCCGGTACCATAAACCAGGTCCCCGAGGACGACTCCCACGGTGGTGGTTGGATCGCGAAGGTCCAAGTCGGCGAGCAAGGCGTCAAGGACTTCGAAGCGCTCATGGACCCCGAAGAGTACAAGGCATTTACCGGCTCGGAACACTAAGCTCACCCCGCTCGCAAAGAGGGGTCCAAGGCCAAGAGTGCATGTAAACGCAATCATGGGGTAAGGGGTTGGTCAAATTCGACAATGGGGATAAGGGGGTTTCATGGTGTTCACCGGAAATGGAAATGACATTCAACAACCAGGCAACCAGCGAGTAGGAGAGAGAACGGGCTCAACCTTGTATCATAAACTCGTATGGGGTATTTATTCTCTCATCGTCAATATGGCGGAAGCAATGCATCTACGGAAGATTTTTTCTACCTATCTAAGGTTACATAGATGGACGGCCAGAGTTCTATAAAGAAAAACATCCATTATCGTCCGAATCATTTTTATGCTTTCTAATGAACCTAGCCCCAGTAGTTCGAAGCTCGAGATAACATCTCTATGCTGGAACCCACGGCTCAGCCTTGTCTCTGCTTGCCTCTCGATCCACATTTATCACGTCTAGGATCTTTTGCGCGCCGTTGTCTGTCAGTTGCTTAGCCACCTTTATGCCAAACTCGACGGCTTCTTCTCGAGTCTTGATCTCCTCGATCTTCTCAGCATCGGCAGCTTCGGTGCCCTCGACATTAACAACCGTTGCCGTTAGCCTCAACTTGTTGTCACCGAGCCATTGCGTCTCGACACCAATAGGAATACTACACCCACCCTCGAGTGTCCTCATAACGCTTCTCTCGGCTTCACACGCGATCATAGCCTCCCTGTTCTCGAGCTCCTTCAGCAAGTCCAAGGTCTTCTGATCATCAGCTCTCGCCTCGATCCCTAGTCCTCCTTGGCCGACAGCATGCAGCATACCACCGCCCTCCGTCGTACTATCAAGATACTGCGCAATGCGCGCATCCTGGCCCATCCTTAACAATCCCGCCGCAGCGAGGATCAAAACCGAGAACTCGCTATCCTCAGCATCGAGTTTCTTAAGTCGCGTATCGATATTCCCGCGCATGTCCTGGAACCGTAGGTGCGGGTACTTGCGCTTGATCTGCGCCATGCGCCTAACACTACTCGTTCCCACCACAGCACCCTCCGGTAAATCAGCCAATTTCTTATATTTATTCTCAAGTCCCTTCTTCACCACCACCACATCACGTGGATCCTCGCGTTCAGTAACACAAGCCAAAACTAATCCATCGGGTAAACTAGTCGGCATATCTTTCAGGGAGTGCACAATAATATCCAACTCCCCAATGCGCAACTCCGCTTCGAGCTCGTTCGTCCATAGACCTTTACCACCGAACTTGTACAATGCTGTGATCTTGTCTTTGTCGGCTGTGGAGTGCATGCCCTTGATCTCGAAGTTGACGGTTGGGTGGAGGCGTTGGAGGGAGGTTACTACGAAATCGGCTTGTTTGAGTGCGAGCGCGGATTTACGGGTGCCGACCCGGATGGTGGGTTTGGATGTTAGGGACGTCGAGGACGTTATTACGGGTTGCGTGGCTGGTGTCGACATTGTGGGATCGTGCGATTCGTTTGTGTAGGGTTGGGTGTAAGTGTATATGTGTGTATGTAGGATGCTTATGCGAGATGCCTCAATGCGAAAGAAGGGATGGACGCAATGGTTTATTCAGGGAAGTTGAGAGAAGGTAAGGCCGAATATTCGTGCTATGAAATACAGAATTGATACGTATGGTAAGTCCTAATTCTTGTCCTTGTGTATCCACTTGCTGTTTAAGCAGTACAAACTTCTAAAGGTGACGAAGGCAAGACTCAGTGAAGATTTCGCGGGGTCCAGACTAGGAGGGGTTCTGGTTCCAGATCTGATAAGGTGCTGCGGGGCAAGGTACAGCAACCTTTTCTATTAGGTACTGGTACAAGTACCTGTACTTAGCCCCGATCTAAAGTTTCATGCAGGTCTGCAGCCGAACATTGACACCCCGGTCCGTGGCGCGTGGCGTTTAACATTAAAGGGGAAACAATTATTAAGCTGCTCATCTTGGTGTAACACCAACCCCTTTCGGCTCGGCTATAACCTTGACCGTCTTGTCAACTACATCAACATTTCGCTAAAGTAGAAACAAGAAATGCTTCCATACCACGAGTTCCCAGGCTTCGATTCTAGATTCATGAATTGGAACGATCACTCAGACAATATCCAGCCCAGTTCCTAAAACAATTTCTCCGCTTGTCTCCTAATTCCCGTCTAAGACATGTCATGAGTCACTTTCTGTTTGTCCAACACGAGCAATTTGTGCCATGGGAGAAAGGCTAGAATCAATCATAGGGGCCTAGGGAACCGGGCTTCCTTGATTTTATGATTTCCCTTTTGATATGTTTGGTATCAAAAGACGGCAACGCTTCCACCATGAGTCTACTATTCATACTACTCAAATTCGTCCGGATTCATTCGCTTTAGTTCTCGTCTTGTACGACGTTTAACAAAGCTTTTTCTTTTCTAGAATCTGCGTCTCGCTACAACAGATCCCACTACACTACATAGGTGCCCAACTAGACTACGCATCTCGGTCAATTGTAAGACCATGCATAGGAACGACACACGCATTACGATCGCGTACATCATCTTTTAAAGCTCACTTAAGATTCATGGTAATGCAATACCTTCGCGACAATATGTCAAGATTCGGTTGTCCCACCGTACCTGCCTAGGTACGTTCGGGCCCTGAATTTCAGGTTCCACGGACCAGTCAATCAGGGTTAGAATGGCAGCTGTTTCACAAACGGGATGCCCACGAACTCACGTACCATAGTATTCCGTGCTATGCCACACAATCATGCCGGCAATACTATGAGGCCTGCCTTAGATGTATTTGATCTGCTAGTTACGGTTTCTACTGGTTCTAGACTTCGCCTTTCGCTTCCAGATGAGGCATTCTATTATACCACGGATTCGTATTACTGAACCGTGTTCAAGTTTTCTGGACTCGCCGTTTGACTTTGCTCCTACTGTCCTTTACAATCTTGTTTGTCGGCATTGTAGTATTTTCTCTTGCCCCAAAATTCAGCACCTATCAAGTATATCTATAAAAGCTTATAGATCATGACGTGCTCATCTTTGCTTGGAAGTCACCAGCGCCCTCAATTTGTTAAGACATCCTTTCAATAAACCCGTTCTCAGTCATAGTAAACCATGGGATTTCTTACCGTCTTGTTCAACTCAGCCCTCCTGGCAGGTTCCGCCCTGGCTGTGAGAGGTCCGCTGCCACGGGCCGAGCCGTCGGGTTCTGTCGTATTAACTATACCCACTGGCGAACCCCTCTCTCTGGCCTCTTCGGCTCCAGCATCGCCACCTCCTGGCACTGCCTCTCCAGTACCAGCACCAAGCGGGCCCCAGGGCGCCGGCCCAAAATGTGGCAAGGGATATACCTACTGTGGTTACATGCTCACAGCTAACGGGCATAGTACGGATGTCAATGAAAAAGTTGAGGTAGTTTAGGTATGCTGACGTATATCATAGACTTCGCCAACAACGACATCAGTAAAGCTTATTGCAGTGGCTTGTCGGAGCTTTGCTCGAACGGCAAAACTAAGACCGATGTTTCCGAAGCCGTCTTCGTATGCATGGACGAGCAGCCATCTAGCGTCGAACTACTATGCGCCTGCAGTGGCAAATGCCGTAACGACGCAGAGAGCAATTTCATAGCTCATTGCGACAAACCATGCATCAATGGTTGAACACGAGTATAATCTATTTACTCATGCAGGGGAGATGTGGTGGGAGTTGGCTCAAGGATTCACTATTATTGGGAAGATCATAAGTTAACAACGCGAGCTGAAGTTCGTAGTAGTATGCAATGTCACTCGTTGGTTACATGTATCTCGAATTCTATTTTCCTTCTTTCCTACCTAGGCAGTGATCTGTCATATATCCTATACTACGGCCGTAACTCTTGCCTCCTTTTCCGTGTGCTGTCGGCAATATTTGAACGTCTAATAGGTTTACACGGGGAATATTTGGACCCATAGTATAGAAGAATCGGGAAAAATTGACGTGGATTTCACAGAACCTACAAATTCAGTAACACTTAGTCATATTTTAATGATTCATCGTCTATGGTAGTACTAATACCGGAGGTTAACTTCTATACAGCCTATTAGACTATCTAAGTAACGAATCAAGAGAAGACAAGTCAAACAAACTCCTCTTAAGTTTTAGTCAGGATTGTACCAACATCCTTCATATTTAATTAATATTATTCACGCGCTTGTTTAATTACCTGCGCGTCCGTTACATAATATGGGTCGGATAATGAATCTCGGAGTCTAAAAACCCAAAAGCCGGCGAGGTCTACCGAGGTCTTGGCAGGGGATCGGGGCTTGGCGGCTCTGAAAGTAAGGGATTGACAGGGGCCAATAGGCTATTCAAGATCCGGAGGATTGCCATGTGCCGGACAGGGCGAGGCCGAGTGTTCCGTCAAACATGGGGTGATGGAATCAGAGTTACGCGTGGAAGTTTGTTGGTGCAAGTTGAGTTTCTCTTTGTGGAATGTCGGGGACTAAATTGGCCAATCAGATTTAACCATTGTTCGCCGGAAGGCTACTCTGGGTTCCACTGACACTTAATACTAAGTTCTATATACCTATGTATAGGTCTAAAGAGCCTCAAAACGTCCATTGTTTGCATGGGCCATTAAAATGTTGTAGTAGGATCAAAAATAAAAAATAATCGGTTCGTTTACTTCGATCGATTGAGTTATTAGTATACCGGGAATTGCGTCACGACTTCAATTGACTGGTTACACTAAAGTCACTACTTTAGTGTAACATAATAGCTACTGCAAATCGCCTCCTGAGTGTTATGTAATGTAATTGTCAAAAGAACGAAATAATAAATAAATGAATTATATTAAAGCAAGGATAAAAATACGGGGTAGCTAGGCAGCTAGATTAGATAGATTCTTCATGCCTCACCGTGCCAGCTGTCTGCTATTTTTAATTCCGACATGCCCGAGATGGGACAATGCTACCTGAACAATAGCTGTTGGTTCTGAATTAGTAGGTACCTAGGTAGCTTCTTTCAGCTGTTCAGCGGCACAGCACCCAAAATTTGCCCCCTAGCTAGTGCTGCGCATCCGCTAACTCAGCCCTCCCCACGGTGCATAGTTCCAAGTTTACTGCTAATTCCTAGCCAATCAGAAAAAAAGGAGCTTCATATGCATGGCCTAACAATCTGGAGACTCAGTATTGAGATCGTCACATCTTCAAAGACCGAAACTTCGTGTCTGCAAGTGCCTTAGCAGAATGTGAATGTGTTTGCGATTGTAACTTCGTATAGTCGAGCTTCGATAGTCGATTTTGTGTATATATAGTCTGGTCATGCCCGCTCGATAATCAGAAGTTTTTATTCCCCATCCCACAGACACAGCAAGACAAGCAAACCTTCAATCACCAGTTACCTCTCAAGTCAACTTACCCTCTTTACGATCTTTCGGTTTTTAAAACTCACCAACTTAATCAACTCATTCAAAATGTATACCAAGGTCGCTACTCTCTCCCTCGCCGCTCTCGCCAGCGCTTCTCCAGTCGCTCGGTCCCTTTCCACCTCTAAGGCGTACCAGCTCCAGGCTCAACTCGTCGACCCCGCTAAGGACTTGAACCCGCCTATCTCCGGCCAGTTCCTTTCCACCGCTCACACCGGTGCCGGTCTTAACGTCGCCACTCTATCCGCCAACGCGGACCCCAGCTCTCCTCCCTTCTACACCAACGGTACCTCCACCGATGGCTTCGTCGATGTCCTAAACGACCTCGGCACCGACTTCAGCTGGGGTATCATCGTGCAAGGCTCCGACGCCACCGACCCTAACTTCCCCGGCGAGCACTCCGTCAGCGTCAACGCCGGCGGCGGCTCCGACGGCATGGGCATCCAAGCCACCGACACCACCGCCCAGCTCCACGCCCCCGAGTCCGGTGACTTCGCTGTGTGCACTCGCCACGTCGACACCTTGAACGAGGACCTCCCCGTCGTGCGCTTCGTCTACGAGGGCGAGACTATTCCCGAGGGATGTGTCGGTGTGCAATTCGTTCCCATCTGCGCCCAGCTCAACGACCTCCCGGCCGACTCCCAGACTACCCACGACTTCGTCCAGGAGGTTCCTTGCGTCGCTTCCTCGTAAGCGATTTCGACCTAATGCACTGTCTGTCTGAGTGGTAAACAATAAAAGGAGGATCCCATGGTTGCTGGTGATTGGTGGCTGTGTCTGTGATGCGATATAGGGGAGGGGATGTTTAGTTGCATTGATGGAGTTTGATTTTTAATTCGTTTATTGCTTCGTTCGTGGAGGATGCTATAGACTTATAGACTTGCTATTTTTTGTAATTGAAAAATAGTTGCTTCGGAAAGATGTCAGTGCTATCTTTGAAGTGGTCGTGAAGTGAGGTACAAGCCACAAAATGTTAGCAGCCAATGATAGTTGTGGATGGGAATAAGATTTGCCTTCTAGGGAAAGTCTATGCCTACTTGGTCCAATTAGAGTTAGGTGGCTTTGTACTGCATCTTACAGTACTAGGATACTGAGGTAGCTAAATATTTAACTCCTATTTGGTGTGCCACTGTACACTGTTAACCTACCTAAGTATAATGACCTATAATCCTAGATGATGTGAAGTGTAAATATCTACATCGTCCACGTTTCTAGATTAGTATTTAATATTTTCGCGATTCTAAGCTAATTACCTATCTACCCAAGCTATGGACGAGTTTCTACCCTTTCACCCCTTAATTAATCGACAACGGATGGCGTCGCCAAAGCCAGCATATTTATGTACCTAAGTCTTCAGCGTATTTATCGTTCAACCACTCGTTTTAGCACATGTAAACTTCGAATAAAGAAATTGGTGAGAAACAAATTGATTAACGTAATCACGAGTTATTTTTTAGGTAACAATTTCATAGACTTTATTTCCTAAGACGCGCTTACGCCTTTGCCCGCCGGGCGTAGTGTGAGCTGTCTTCAACACAAGCCTAGGCCTTCCTAGATTCTTGCAATCTAGGGTATCTGACTACCACCTGACAGTACTTGGCTAATCTTACATACATACATACAACTGCAAACTGTGAAGCTGGTAGCCCGCCAGTCTTTCATAAGATTCTTTGTTACTAGTAGGCTAACACAAAATATTTATTGTGAAACACCAACTGAATATTCACAAAGTACATCAATGAAGTATGAGGGAGAATGAAGGATGTGTGTATTAAAACTAGGAATTGTTTGAAAGCCTAACTAGCCCGATACGACCATACTCGAAAATGATAAATAGGGGAAATCTGCCATCCTGTATCGGCCCGTCAGATCGCGTTCCGAATTATGTTGCAATAATGATATTTTTGTTGCCATGTCCGAGGCGTAAGCGCGCTGAGTCTTTCCAATGTTACTGAATGGTGGACACGAAAATGGATGATACCTCATCTACTATGTGTAACACGAAGTTCTTCCTGCATAGAAGCCCGATGCAGTAGTACAAGCCATCGCTTATTTCCGGCCTCTATTTAAGTATCAACTATCAATTGGTTGCCTCGTTACGAAGGCCTGTCACTTGTGACCTTGGAGTAGCTTCCTTCCGTTGACTTTGCAGAATAATATCAATAGTCTACGCAGAGTCATGCCTGACTGCAAGAAGTTATATCCAGAGTCATGAAAGCGACGACTACCCTACCACGGACACAACAGCTGAAAAACATCAAATTCAGCCTGGGAGGATAATATAAATACCCAAGGCATATCCCATACATTGTTCAAAGGCATCTTTATCCTCATCGCAAACCCTCCTTTCCAGCTTCCTCCAAGTCTTCGACAAAGCATTTTTCATCATGCAGTTTACTAAGCTTGCTATTGTTGCCCTCCTCTCAGGAGTTGGCCTTGCCTCGCCTACCCTTTCCAAGCGTGTGAGAGAGTCTATCCACATGGTCAACTGTGGATCCCACCTCGCCCTCGACGTAAGTTAATACGCCTTAAGACTTCACAGTTCCATTGAACTAACACATTATGAACCTTTGAAGTTCTACGCCGACGACACCCTGGACAACGTCTTCCCCGGGTCCAACAATGAATGCATTGTCAGCAGCTTCCAGGAAGGTGGCGGTGGTAGCTGCACTTTCGGCTCTGGTGTAACCTTCAGCTGGAACCTTAACAAGGACGCTGCAAGCCAGTCGGGATCTACCCAGGTTGGGTAAGTACAACTACCGGTATCTCGATATTCTATTAGATGTCCTTTCTAATGTGATGCTCGAAAGTGGCGGTTTCAACGGTTTCCACACTTTCAACTGCTTCCGTGACGACGACCACACCCTTTACACTCGCAACGGTGATTCCTGCAACAGCAAATACGTTTGCTTTGATGTGAGTAACATAATCCTTTATTGTCTATTTACATTCCGATTAACGTTCATCATAGGCTTAGACGTTGTTTGGAATCTCCGAAAACTGTGCACAAAGAGTGACTCCTCCAAGCCACGGATATGTGGCTTGTTTAAATAGTTTAGACGCGCGCCTAATCCTCCCCATTATCGGTGGTTAACGGAGTCGGCCGGCCACCGTATATTACCCTTCTTGCACTCGTTATTCATCATAAAATTCTTACCTCGGTACTTACTACCATATCACTGCCATATCACCGAATAGAACTTATTCATTTGCGCAATTGTTATATGTATTGCTTGTTGGTAAAAACTATCTTACAAGAAATTCATGCTCCTCGGTAGGTAACCCGGAACATGTATCCTTAATATCTCCCAAAGTCCGAGTCTGGGCTCTCATAGCCATTATCATCCTCTTCATCCTCCGAATGGGTGTCCGGCCCGGCATTGGGATTACCCTGGCACTGCTGAGACCCGCCTGCAAGGTTGAGTGGTAGAAAATGACAACCATTGGGCGGACCATGAGGGCCGAGAATGGCGGTTGGTTCCGGGTGCGTCGTTGACCTATATATTTGTCGGCTTAACTCTTGAAGTTGAACTAACTCGGGATCGGCCGGTTCAGGACCAAGCGGGTCCCCTGGATTGACTGCGACCCATCCGGGGCTGCTGAGCACGTAGCGGTGCTGGATATTAAATTCCGTTGGAAAGCGATCCACGAGTTCCGGATAATGGACACGGTGGGTTTGCGACTGAAGCTCCTGCATCCAAATTGCGTTACTATGGCAGTTGATACCATAATCCTCCTCGGTAAAGCCTGTATTATTGGCTACAATGGTCCCCATACAATTCCAGCATGTCAACCAGTAGACACGCTCATATCTGCAAAATCCTGAACCCATATGGGGGCAGCTATTGACGACGGCCATGGGGTCCCAAAGGGGTTCGTCGTAGTTGTTGCGCTTGTAGTATCTGTTACGTTGAGCATCGTCGCAAATCACAGCGAAGCGAAGATGCATGATGACGTTGGGATAGGGGAGCGACATTTCCCTATTGCAACAAACTTGTAAATCGAGCCAGAAACACATACTGATAAATACTTAGGTACTGATAAACACTGAAATTAGACAAATTGATTACGGTGAGACACTCTGCTTCGGGTTAGTTTGGCCGGATGCTGCTACCTATTTATACCTGTCCAGCGGCTGCAACGTTGAATATCAACGTTTATGTGTCTAAGAAACCCGCTTCTTGCAAAAAGTCTCATACCTCTTTGGACTGAATCAACTCCATACAGGAACCGATATCCGGTTGCCACTCAAAGAGATTGGGTACCTGGGTAATTGTCATATTTAGTGTACCTACACATCCAGTGTTTGAGATAACTAAGACGATAAATGATACTGTTCATGATCTTTGTGGGGCGTCGAACGAAAACAGTGATAATGTTCAGTTTACTGGGTACCTAGATAGAGCTTTAGGCGGGCATAGCGCTGTAGTTTTAAGGGATTCCAGGCACATTTCGGGCCATCCTATAATTACGGGGCATTTTGGTAGAGTGTTACGAGTCGGTATAATGATAGGAAAATACTATGAATTTCACCACTGCATAATTTAATGACACACTGTAATTCCAGCGTATACTTTGACACCTCAACCGCGATTCTAGGCTCACAATGAATGGTAGGTAGATTATTATATTTCCAGTCAAGTCTTTTGGCAATGGTAGGATCAGCCTAGCTAAGCCCCTCCCTAAGCATTTGCAAACGGACCGCTATATCATCGTTATATCTAAGGTGATCCACGAAAAGGAATAAGATAATAGACATAATGAAGTTTAATCGATATACTTTAGAGCTAATCGTTACTAATTCGACGTTTGCACTGGCTTACAGCAGGGAGCATAAGCAACTTCCTATTTTGGAATGAGGATCGTGTTTGATTCGTTGGCCACTGAACACGCGCTGGAATCAGCACTCATCGAGCTATACCGACTCTCATCTAGCGGGTTTTCATCTCTTATATCCTTTAAAAATGTCACAGTTCCTTCTGTTTACTATTACGGCGAGGGTAACGTTAGTTGCTTCCAGTCCTTTACTCATGGCCATAGTTCCGTAGTGGTCCGTGAGCGTTAGAAAGGGTTGCGGGCTTTGGTAATTGAGTTGTGGGTCTCTAATGAATGGGTTTTAGTGCCCATCTAAATATTTGGAACATTGTACAGGTACCTAAATTAAGTGCTTCTAGCCGTTTACTTTCGAATGAATGGCTACTAATTGAGCAGTCGGGCAACTAACATTATCCACTAAAGTGATCCGATAGTTGACAATGCTCAACTCTACCACGGAGACACTCGTCTGTAGCTAAACATGTCGTCGTAAATCTCTTTGATTTAACCCAATTTATGTCTCGATACATAGTCTAACGTCAACTGTTTTAGAACCTACCTAGATATATAGGCGATTTAGGCATCTTTTAACGATGTTGCCGTTATAAAGTTGGCACTGATATTCTTGAGTGGCTTGGATTGATATCCTCAAAGTGGACCTATACGTCACGGTCGCAGTGGGTTGGGGGTTGTTCAGTACCTAGGTAAGTTATCTATAGTGCTGAAGGGGCGCCGGACATAGGGGAAGAAGGCACTGCTAAATTCGAAGCACGAATGTGCACTCGTTCGACTAAATGCGTGCTCTTGCTGCCGCTTGAAGTTTCGGCAATGTAATTGTTCACGTTGGTTATTAGCAGAGATTCATTAATTGTAGCCCGCAAGTCTTATTTTAAACGATATCGAAGGTAGACAAGATTGATGCCTATTTTGGTCGGATATTTCCCTCGTGTGATTCTTAGCAGGTTACCTAGGGGTTACTAGGTAATTTCAGCAGGGCAGGGCGACCGAGAGTCTTAATAGGGGCCCGCTAACCCGACGCCTAGCCGCCTATTTATGTACCTATTATTGGCATCTCCAGGCCCAAGATTAGTGTTCAACCCCGTATTTCAATAACGACATCGCAGCCAGCGTTCTTAAATCGGTAAATTCGAGAATTCTCAGTCGCTTCGGATAGCTGACCTGATTTATTGTAATACGCCTCGTTATTCTAAAGGCTGAGATACTATTATCTGATGCTATCCGGTCCGTTAAATCATTACCGCCGAAATGCGCTCGAGCTAGAATGTCAGCCTAGGGGTTTGTTTCGCATAAGGATACAGCGAACCAACCGCGACGTACATTTGAGGAGAGCGAAATGAAAGGAAAAAAAAAGCGGCTATTACCTGCGCAACGACTCTCACGGCGATTATGCAAGTGACGCTAAAGAGAAGTGATTGGGAGAGGATTTATACATCGCTGCGAATACTTGAATCTGTTGCGGATTTCGCTTTTACCAAACCTATGGCACAATATAGAATCTTCAATCGTAATCTTAGAGCATCTCATCCAAATAGGCGGGTTGTAAAAGTTCCCGCAAGTCCGTTAGCACCACTGACGTATACGCAAGGGCGGAAATACCGGATTTAAATATTGAAGACGCAATAGACCTTCCTATTGGCTGGCTCGCAAACTGTTGACTCTGATTGGTCGAATTGATAATTACAACTTAGCTTCAACTCTCTTTTGTTAAGCTTCCCGGAATGGGCCGTCGATGAACCAATTAGAGAACTGGAAATCCGAGTCAAGTTTGATTCAGAGTAAGAAATAGCAATATCATGAGCTTGATAAAAGCCGTCATGATTTCCTTGAAATGTCTTGTAGAATGCATCTTTCATTCTTCAATTCAATTTTCAAACAATTCGTCATTTCTTGAACTTTTGTTTTAAAAAAAATTTTCTACATCAGTGATTTGTACAACATACCTGAGTCGGTTACACAAATGGGGGTCCAATTTTCAAGCATGTTAACCCAATTTTTCCCTCCTAAAGCGACCTTTACCGAAAGGAGTTTATCTGATCTTCATGGAAAAGTAAGTAAAATAGGCAATACGCACCGCTGATTAAAGAACCGAATATTGACCTTACCTAACTGCAGGTTTACATCGTCACCGGTTCAAATACAGGCGTAGGCAAGGAACTCGCTCGGATCCTTTACTCTAAAAACGCGAAAGTGTACATCGCTGCGCGTTCTCAAGACAAGGCCAATAAAGCTATTGAAGAAATCAGCAATGCATTTCCAAGCTCCAAAGGAGGCCTCGCTTTCTTAAAATTAGATCTCAGCGACTTAACTAAAATCAAGGGATCCGTCGACGAGTTCCTTGCCAAGGAAAAGAAGCTTGATGTATTGTTCAACAATGCCGGTGTTCAGAATAATCTACCAGAACCTAGCAAGACCCCTCAAGGATTCGAATATCATCTCGGCGTAAACACTCTCGGAACATTTGCGTTTACCAAACTCCTCACTCCTATTCTGGTCGCGACAGCCAAGACCGAGGGCACGTCCCGAGTAGTGTGGGTCTCATCAGGCGGCACGGAGATCGTCGGCGAGAAGTCAACGGCCGTGGATATGAGCAATCTGGACTATCATATCGATAAACCGTATCTCTACAAGTACGGTATCAGCAAAGCTGGAAATTGGCTGCACGGTGTTGAATATGCCAAGCGATACAAGGCCGAGGGTGTCATCAGCGTCCCTTTGAACCCCGGGAATCTCTCCTCGGATCTGTATCGTGACCAAAACCGGATCGCCAAGGTGGCCTTGTCGATGATTACTTATCCTCCTATTAATGGCGCGTACACGCTCTTGTATGCTGGTTTATCGCCAGATCTTACAATTGAGAAAACTGGAAGTTGGGGTAAGTACTATCCTACCGTAATATGATTTAAGGATGCTGGAACTGATGCGTATTCTTAGTGATTCCGTTCGGTCGTACTCGGCCGATCCGAAAGGACCTGACAGCAGCGGCCAAGACCGTGGAAGAGGGCGGTAACGGTACTGCAAAGAAGTTCTGGGAGTGGACTGAAGAGCAGATTAAGCCGTATGTGTAGAGAGGAGGACATGCTGACTCTACTTGGATTGATAGACGCTAAAGAAACGGTCGGAGTTGTCGGCGGCTTCGAATTCTGTATTATTAAGGATTAATCCGGTTCATTTGTTAATGCGCAACAAGGGATGTATGATTTTATTATATTAGACATTATATAATACCACATTCTGCTCAAGGAAGACGAGCGACGGTCCCTTCATACTTGGAGACAAGTACCTATCTGGGTTGCATCCCACTTTGGATCATACGTTCGTAGGTACACTATAAATAGTATCAAGGAAGTCCAATTCACAAGAGGATTTACCGTCAGCTCACCCTAGTCTTCCTGCTTCTATTTCGAAAGATCGTTTAGATATAATCTACGACTATCTAGGATTCATAGCTCCCGCGGTCAGAACCTTACTTTATCTTCTCCCGAGTTCATCGACTTGAATGTTGGTCTAATACATGAGTGTAACGAGTGGGGAGCTGGACGGGTTGATTCTTTCTAATTGGTGCCCGCAAACCCACCCTCTCCGCATTTCCTGCCATGAGACAAGACCCGCTTTCCTATAAAGGGAATCGCTTGCGGGTCTACGTCTCATCACGTTCAACTGGGGGGCGCATGGGAAGCGCGGGCAACCCTCTCACAAACAAATATGTTGCGTCACCTTTGTCCTACACATCCTCGACGACTTAGGCAGAATCAAAAAACAAGCAGCGCGCCTTGAAGAATGTACGAGTGGTACGAATGCGAAAAATTTTAGACGAATCGTTTTCCCGTTTGGTCGGCTATACCGAATTCACCGGCCACAGATTGGATAGAATCACGGCAGTCTGATTGGTACGGTTGGTCGTGCCAAAGTGTCCAGGTGATCTAGGTCTGCCAAAACAATGATTGCGGGTAGCTAGTTAGAAGCCGGTTACTCGCTCCCTGGTTTGGAAGCGGGGGAGATCTAAGTATGTAGATAGGCCGAGTGGAGTTTGAAAAAAGGGGGACTCGGGACGTCTATCATCCATACCTATCCGCCTGTGCTCTGCCTAACGTTTGATCGGGCATTTTTCTATCTGTTGCTCTGCCCCTCCAAGCTGCCGCTCTTATCCGTGTTTGGGCTCCTGACCTAAACTCTCAATTTCTCTCAACATTGTGTTTTCCTCTGTTGTTTGTCTTGATTTCCTACAACATTTTCATCGTTCTCTTTTCTTGCCGTGATGTGAAAGATTATTCCAGGCGTCTAAAGGGAGGGTTTGCGAATGACGAATGAGATATTGAGCTGTCTCTGCATGGCTGACAGCATTTGTGTTTCGCCAATATGATTTCGTCGTGGTCTTTGCTTCGACCGGCGGTGGTCGCTCACCATGCGACCGAAGGCCTTTCTCGTCGCGCTGCGTCGCATGTCTTAGGTTCGTAAATTACTACCGCATAATATTGAGAAAAGAGGCGTCGTCGTGGCGTCTCGATTTAATCTCGCTTTCCGAGATAATATATATACTAAGAAAACGCCACGCATAGACTGGACGGCGTCATCCGGCGGGGTCGCTGTAGGCTGCCGGCGACAGTGGAACAGTACACATGCGAAGAAACCTACCGTTTTACCTGCTTTGCCAAAACGGTCGTTTGATAGCGTTAGGAATGTCGCGAATCGAACAATTCCTGTTACGGCATATTCAACTGTGGTCGAGCCGCTATCTACGCCTTACTCGGATCTTACTGTAGGTGTACCGCGCGAGATATTTACTAATGAGCGACGAGTCGCAATCTCACCTCAGAACGTAGCGCTTCTGAAGAAGAAGGGCTTCCGCAATGTTCTCGTTGAGCGCGGCGCTGGTGTGCAGGCCGACTTTTTGGATGAGGCTTATGAGAAAGCTGGCGCGACCTTAGTCGATGCGGACAAGGTCTGGAGCCAAGCCGATATCTTACTGAAAGTTCGAGGACCAAGTGTCAATGAAATTGATCGCCTAAAGCAAGGCGCTACGATTATTTCGATGCTTCAGCCAGCGCAGAACAAGGATCTTGTTGAGCGCTTGGCTGCTCGTAAGGTTACTGCATTTGCAATGGATATGATCCCTCGTATTTCGCGGGCGCAGGTATTTGATGCTCTTAGTTCAATGGCGAACATTGCTGGTTATAAGGCTGTATTGGAAGCGTCCAACAATTTCGGTCGCTTCTTAACCGGTCAAGTTACGGCAGCTGGCAAGATCCCGCCTTGCAAGGTTCTCGTTATTGGCGCCGGTGTTGCTGGTTTAAGTGCAATTGCGACAGCTCGCAGAATGGGTGCCATCGTTCGTGGTTTTGACACTCGATCCGCAGCACGAGAGCAGGTCCAATCTCTTGGCGCTGAATTCATTGAGGTTGAAATCGAAGAAGATGGCTCCGGTGCTGGAGGGTACGCTAAGGAAATGTCGCCCGAATTCATTGCTGCTGAAATGAAACTGTTCACCGAGCAAGCTAAGGACGTTGATATCATCATCACGACAGCTCTCATTCCCGGAAAACGCGCACCTAAGCTGATCACTAAGGATATGGTTAATGTTATGAAACCTGGTTCCGTTGTCGTAGATCTGGCTGCTGAAGCAGGTGGCAATTGCGAGGTAACCGAAGCTGGCAAGCTTGTTACGTATAATGATGTGAAAATCATCGGTAAGACTCATTTTTCGGGGTTGCGAAGTTGAAATACTCATGCCACGACAGGTTACACGGACTTACCCTCCAGGCTACCCACGCAATCGTCAACTCTGTACTCTAACAATATCGTCAAATTCCTCTTGTCAATGACGCCACAAGAGAAGTCATTTGGCATTGACCTGAGCGATGAGGTCGTTAGAGGGGCTATCGTAACTCACAACGGAGAAATTCTGCCTCCTGCACCACGACCGGCTCCACCACCTGCTCCAGCACCCAAAGCAGCTGCCAAGCCCGAAGAAGAAGTTGTTGCATTAACACCCTTCCAGAAGAAATCCCGAGAAGTAGCTGGTGTAACGGCTGGTATGGGCACTGCTTTGGCCCTTGGAAAGCTTACTGGTCCCGTCTTCATGAGTAACGCTTTTACTTTTGGATTGGCTTCGTTAATCGGATACCGCGTCGTATGGGGTGTAACTCCAGCTCTTCACTCGCCTTTGATGAGTGTCACTAATGCTATATCTGGTGAGTAGCTTAAAAGCCTATATATATCGCCTTTAGTAGCTAACGGATTGTAGGAATGGTCGGCATTGGTGGTTTCTTTATCTTGGGTGGTGGTTATGTTCCTGAGACCATCCCGCAGGCTCTTGGTGCAGCGTCCGTGCTTTTGGCGTTTGTAAACGTATCCGGAGGTTTCGTGATCACGAAGAGGATGTTAGATATGTTCAAGCGACCAACTGATCCGCCAGAATACCCATGGCTGTACGCAGTTCCTGGTGTCCTTTTCGCGGGTGGTTATCTCGCAGCCGCATCAACTGGCGCAGCTGGACTTGTACAAGCTGGCTACATGGTTAGCTCAATCTTGTGCATCAGCTCCCTTTCAGGACTGGCGTCTCAGGCCACGGCTCGAATGGGTAACTTGCTCGGAATCCTGGGTGTGGGCTCTGGTGTTCTTGCTTCATTGCTGGCCGTTGGATTTAGCCCGGAAGTCTTGACTCAATTTGGTACTCTCGCCGCAGTTGGAAGCATCCTCGGTTTTCTCATCGGGAAGCGTATCACTCCCACAGATCTTCCCCAGACAGTCGCAGCACTGCATTCCGTCGTTGGTCTTGCTGCAGTATTGACCAGTATCGGAAGTGTCATGGGTGGCCTCGACCATATCTCAACGCTACACCTCGTCACGGCTTATCTTGGAGTGTTGATTGGTGGTATAACATTCACCGGATCGATCGTCGCATTCATGAAGCTGGCTGGAAAAATGTCTTCGAGGCCACTGGTTCTCCCTGGCCGACACTTGATTAACTCTAGTATGCTTGCCGCTAACATTGGTACTATGGGCGCTTTCGTTACGATGGCACCGGGATCACCTATGATCGCCGCTGCCGCCCTGGGCGCAAACACGATCCTGTCATTCGCCAAAGGATACACTACAACAGCTGCGATCGGTGGCGCGGATATGCCAGTCGTAATCACCGTTCTCAACGCGTATAGTGGTTTTGCGCTAGTGGCCGAGGGCTTCATGTTGGAAAATCCGTTACTAACCACAGTTGGTGCCCTAATTGGCGTCTCCGGTTCAATTCTCTCGTATATAATGTGCGTTGCGATGAATCGCAGCCTCACCAATGTGCTCTTCGGCGGCATATCTGCACCAGCGACGACAGACTATAAGATCGAGGGATCGGTAACACAGACGAATGTCGAAGACACGGCTGACTCGCTCATCAATGCGGAGAACGTTATCATTGTGGTCGGTTATGGTATGGCGGTCGCAAAAGCGCAGTATGCGATTAGCGAAATAACGAGCATGTTGCGGGCTAAAGGAATCAATGTTCGCTTCGCTATCCATCCCGTCGCCGGTCGCATGCCAGGGCAGTGTAACGTGTTGTTAGCGGAAGCGAGCGTGCCATACGATATCGTGCTTGAAATGGACGAGATCAATGATGATTTTGGTGACACTGATGTCACGCTCGTTATTGGTGCTAACGATACGGTCAACCCGATTGCGCTCGAGCCCGGAAGTCCTATCGCGGGTATGCCTGTCCTTCACGCTTGGAAGAGTAAGCAGGTCATTGTCATGAAGCGTGGTATGGCCAGTGGTTATGGTAGGTTCAAATACAGAGAGTCCTGAAATAACCCCTTTACTGATTATTTTCGTAGCCGATGTTCCAAACCCGATGTTCTACATGCCCGGAACGAAGATGTTGTTCGGTGACGCCAAAGTAACTTGTGATGGTAAGCCACCCAACCTCCTCATTTTCAATTTGAAAGCAGAACTGACTCGTAAAAATAGCAATCAAATCAGCTGTCGAATCCCGAACCTAGAATAGAAGCGCCTCGCAGCATTTATTTTAGACAACCCAGAGCATCTAAGAGCATTTAAGAGCATTTAGAGATTAGATCGATGGATATTCTTTTCGAGTTATCTTGATTGTTTGAGTCGTTTTTGACATTTACCGCGCGCACATTTTACGACATGTTATATGGCATTTACGGGATGAAACTTTTGCTGAACGATTATATATTTTCTTGGAATATTTCTTTCGACTGGGTGTGTGACATTATCCCGAGCTGCGCGAGTAAGTTGAGAGGTAGGGGATGATCATCCGCTATGCCAACAATCAATACAAACGATCTACATGACTGCTACAAGGGTCTTCCCAGTTCCTGGATCAAGTAAACACTTTCATATCATGTATTGTTACGGTTATTTTTACGTATTTGATCGACACAGTTTGTGGCTTGCGCTACATCTCCATTTCGGGACCGACTATTCCTTATCACCGAGCTACACGCCTATGTCCCTAGACTCGGGGTAGAGGTAGCTTCTCCTACGAAAGATCTAGAATCTTTCCCCATGAATACGTCCATGAGCGCCAAGTCTCGATAAATAGCGTTACTCCTGCCGAATAGACAGCGGTGGGCATCATTCTTGATTTTAAAAGTTAGAATTAACTCGACGTTGTATTATATCCAAAAACGGTTTCCGGAGGCAAAAGCCCCTCTTCGCTGCCAAGAGAGCCCATACCGCACATATTCAATTCAACCCCGTCGTAGCATCGCAAAAATCACGGTCGATTGGTGCAATAAATGAATTATATACATTGGCATCGACTAGACGTCTTGGAAGCAATTATTCCGACGCAATTATGCCAAGTCTTCTAATTGAAGTGCCCCTGATGGGCATATAGCTCGCGGGGCTGTCTATACGATGCCTAGCTCATCGGAAATAGTATAAATAGCATGTATTGCTAGTCATCAAAACAGGAAAACAGGTGGTCATCACCTATATCGACTAATGCGAGTAAAGAGCAACTATGGCTCGGTTCAGCATCCTCACGGCAGTGCTTGCCCTCGTCTCAGCCGTCCACGCCCAGTGCGGCTCGGGCACCCCGGATGCCACGGTGACCGGCTCGGGAAGTTCATTTAAGGCCAACAAGGGCTCGACATCGGTATACTCCGGATCCGACTACCGCGCCGCGATCCAGGCCGCGCTCGATTCAATCAGCAGTGGCCAGCGCGTTGCCGTTATGGCGTCGGGTTCCATCGGTGCTAACACCATCACCATCAGCAGCGGCAAGACTTTCGAGGGCTGTGGTACTATTGATACGGGGAATCGAGCCGGACACGGCGCCATCGAATCTCTAGGTACATCCGATGTGAAGATTCCGTACCTGACTATGACCGGGAACCCGTACTTCGGGTTGCGATTTTACGGCACGAAGAACCTAGTCCTAGGCCAGATCACGATGAATCTTAGTGGTGGATTGGGCATCCGTTTTGATCGCGATGCGGCAGCCAATTCAAATGTTAAGATAGATACCGTCAAGGTCACGGGTGCTGGCAGTCACGCTGTTGAGACGTGGAATATTGATGGGCTTAACATTACCCAGGTGATCGCGAAGGACGTAGGCGAATGCGGTTTGCTTCTGCAGAAGACGACGAACGCATGGGTAGGGCTCGTCGATGGCGACAATGTGGCCAAGGGCACAGGGTACGCGACATTCCGAATGGCGAACAACAATGGGCAGAACTCGAACAGTAACTATAATACGAACGTGTATATCGACAAAGTCAAGTCTCGCGGTGGTGGACGCGGTATCTTCTGCGTGTCGCAGTCTGGAGCTGCGGTGATTAAGGAGGTAGACTTGGCGAGTAACGGCAACAATGCGATTCTGATTGAGAATTGCTACAATGTGTCAATCCGTGGAGGAAAGGTTGACGGTGGCGGGGAAGTAAGGCTTGCAGCGCGCGATGAGTTTCCGAATAATAAGGATATTTGGATTACGTTGACGGTGGATAATAACTCGGTGCGCGAGTCGCCGTGTGGTGACAATACGAATTGGACGCTGCAAGGGAATGCCAAGAAGACTCTTTGCTAAGTGACTGAAGGGTTGGTAGTGAATATTATTTTTCCTGACTTCATGATGCAGCGCGACGACAAGAAACGAAGGATTATTATTATAATGCCCTACTTAAAAATTGCGTGTCCGCTTTTCTCATTCCCCGTGATCAAATCGAACGCCGTTACCTTGCCCTGTGTATCATCACATCCCTTATTTCCTTTTGGTATCATCATATCTTCATTCATCCGCAACATGTCTCCATAGTCAACTCGTTTTACTTCGTCAAGCCCGGGATTCCGGAGACAGCAGATGGTAAGTATCCGCCCTGCTCGTCTTTCCCACGACGTTCGGCTCGGTTAAGCCCTTCTTTGGAGAGGAGGTCGCCAACGGGTTGTAGCAGGCCACCTTGCCCAACTTGTCCGGCAGCTACACCGTGGACACCATCTTGTAGTGTGTCGACTTGTTCGACTCCGGTTACCTTGGATTTATCGAGTTGTTCTGTTACGATACGGTGTTAGCTACGATCACAGGGATACTTGAGTATCACAGAACACTCTCAAGGGATAATAGGGAACGAACCCTTAGTGGTATAGCTTGCTTTGTTATCCTTCGTAAAGTATTTAAGGAAATTGTCCTCGATCCAGGGCATCCAGATCTCGTATTGTTCGTTGTATTTTTGCTTCGCCCACTCCATTTTGTCTTTGTGTTTCTATCCTGGTTTGTAGTGGGGGCTAATAGGTAGGCTGGGAACCGCAGGTAAGAAGGGATCGCGACAATTGGAATCAGGAAGTTAATCCAACACTCAAGATGGTACAACAGCGTACTTAAGTTATAAGCACATATAATATTCACACGTATGACTACGTAAGTAAACCCAGTTTAGAGTCAGAAGGCCTTGTTAAAGCTATTGTGGCTACTATCCATCTACGTCATTTGGTGGCTTAATATGGGCGCTGATTGGCTAGTATCGCTATACAAAGACGAAACAGGGAATCATCGAGTATTTCAGCCACACATATGTCGCCCTTCTCCAGGTACACTATGTCATCGAGATGACCGGTCGCATAATCCGTCACCAGCAAGAAAGTTAATTCTGCGGTGCGAAAAGATTGATTATCGAATCGTATGGTGGGCGAAATGTGAACTAACCAATTAGCACACCAACTCGGGGCATCTCTGTTAGACAACCCAAATGATCATGAGTTTTCTAACCCCTGTGACTTTAAGTTGTTTCATGTTTCCAAGATTAAGATACGATACAAGGCACACATATCAATGAATGATGATATATAGATATCTTATTGCTAGAACATCTGATAAGTTCACGACAACTTAAATGGTAACCTTGGGGTAGACGGAAGGACCCGAAGCTGCATTTTGAGACCCGCAAATAGCTGGGGATCGGAGATGCCAACGTACCTCCGAGGCCAGACCGATAGGATTGGGTCTTTTGTGTCTTTTGATTCGTGGCTGCTTACTTGAGTTTTAGCTAACAATCAAAAGGTGTCCTGGAATAGCCCCGGGAGATCAAATAGAGGTTCGAGATTTGAAAATGCATCTTGAGGTGTGAAGTCTAAGCACACTGAAAATTCGGCAGGCGAAATGCCCATTCACTTGGGAAGCCTGAAGACATAATTAAGCGGGAGTACGGCACCCTTGCCAAGGATAGCAAAACTTCGCGGCAGGATCAGTAAGACAATTGATCGAGCCAATGGCAAGTCGCTTTTTATGTTACACGACAGACAATTGAACAGCTCAGTGATAGGTACGCCCAAAAGATCCCTCCCTTAAGGCTCAAATGTGCACATATTTATTTAGGTAATACAAGGGTTAAAATTGGAGTACGACATCCAGATCCTTCGCCAGAGCCTTCTTCATGATAATCCAAGGAAGGAAAAGATCTCCAGCGTACAGTCGCAGCTCTTTCAAAGGATGGACGCCACATCGTGGAGAACTATGTCGTGGAGCATTACAAACTCCGATGCAAGATTTGTGGTAGTTCAAAAATGAGAGGTCCTTCACCACCCTTCGAAGGAAAAGAAGGGTCGTATTCGGCAGTCAAATTGGTGGCCATCTCCTGATAACTTCTTCAGGGAGTTATTCGGTCTAGCATCAATACCTTGATCAGCATTCACATGAGAGACGATGCGATTCATCTTTAAGCCCCCAAAAGGCTGAAGAATTTGTCTCAATTGAAGACATTCTCCCTTTCAAGTTAGAAGACGCATGCACAGACGGCCGAACCCATCGCGAAAGTTACCGAGCATATCATTGGCCAGGATCATTGTGTCACACCTATCATCGTAAGGTGAAGTCCTTAGTGCCTTCCCCTTTTCGGTACGCGAGATCCTGCCGCGCTCTAGAATAGAGCGATGGTACATGCAGTCATCTTATGGAATCACTGACTGAGTGTAGATCTCTTCCGCTACTCCAGGTGTAAGGAAACGAGGCTGCGATGTTTGTTTTTCCCTTCATTTATTGTCCTTGGGCCATACTATGTTTTTGCTGGCTTGGCTCTATAATATTCCCATATCTTTCGTGTATATCTGATCGCGAATTTAAGCTTGCCAGCATCTTCGAAAATGGCACCCATGAAACCATATTACTACATGCAGCCGGACAATATCATCGCCGCGGCGGTAGCTTTATCGTTACTTGACATTATCGTTGTCGCTCTAAGATTCTGGACACGGAAGATTCAAAGACAACCACCTAAAGCGGACGATTGGTTGATGGTGCCTGCTGCGGTATGGTGATATACCACACTGCCTCAACGTATAGTATCCATGTTAACATTGAAAACTCCTAGCTATTGACGGTCGGAGTCGCTATCTCTCAGATTTATGGAGTGTCGAAAAGAAGTATCGGATATCGGACCGATATACCACCAGGTTATACGGGAAGCGTCGACGAACTGGTCACGCCGCAGATAACTCTGAAATCGCAAGTATGTAGAAATAGTACTTCGTTTATGGTTCCCCCTCAAACTAATGACAATAATAGATCGAATGGGCTTTCTTTCTCATGCTTCCTATAGCTTTATGTTGCATAAAGACTAGCTTCCTCTGCTTCTACAGACGAGTCTTTTCAGTCCAGAAACGCGACACAGTAGACATACTACTCAAGGGGTCTATTGTATTCGTCGTACTCTGGACGATAGCATTTTTCTTCGCCGTGCTTTTCCAATGCGGCACCCAATTCTGGGCGATATGGAACTCAGAAGCGGAATTGAAGAGGCGATGCACTAACACTATCAACATGATTATTACCCTCTGTATCACCGATTTTATCACTGACCTCGTCATCATCATTATCCCTATTCCATTGGTAGGCTGACCTTGTCTTGTTGATGTATGCCGTTGCTAAGCCGGAGTAGGTTCTTCGATTGAACTTGAATACTACCAAGAAGATTGGTGTCTGCGCTATGTTCCTTCTCGGAGGAGGGTATGTGTCACTCCTGAGATAAGTTTTAACGAATCTAATATTTAATAGGATACTCGTTTCCTCCCTAGTGCGATTTGTTCTAATGGCTGGAAGTTTCATGGGAGGTCTCAACATTACCGACGATAACATTCGTGAGTGATCCAGACTGTATCAAGTCTAAAAAAAGTCGGCTAACCTGCCTCACAGTTGGAGTGTCAGCATGCTTATATTGGGGTATGGTAGAATGCGGCGTCGGTGTATTCGCAGCTTGTCTACCAACTATCCAATACCTCGTTAGAAAATTTGTCTTCGAACCAGTCGTCAGTTCCGCCAAGAGTATATTCAGCTCCCGATCCTCCCGACACTCCTCAGATTTCCGAAGGGATGGCGTGCATATCGAAAAGACAGTCGACGTTTCATATAAAGAATTGAAAGACGACTGTCTGGCCCGACCAGAGTCAAGCGTTATCGCCGAGAGAGTTACGGACCATACATATGACGTGCGGGATGAACGTGTGGGTGCTTTTGTATGAGGGGTGAAAGACTGTTCTAAGACCCTGGTCTCATATGTGGAGAATATACCTCCTGGGAATGGTTTAGGACTACCAGGTAGGTGTATCTACTATGCAGCCCTACGATGAGTGTAGGCTTAATGATTCGTCAGTATTTAACTATTATTCATAGCTGAATAGAATAGTATGATGACAGCTTAGCATTAAGATCGCGTTTTTAGTAAATCAATGCATATACGGCGTGTTCCAATAAGCGCTAATCGGATCTCCAAATTCGAAGATCTTTGTTGGTTGCCAGCTTGAGACGTCTGCGTGTACCCATCTCACCGCTGTCGTTGATCCCCGTGCATTGCGGCACGTATTTTAGATCTTAAAAAAGCTTCTTCCCACCCGGAACCCCGGGAATGATGTTATGGCCTTTTGTTCCCGTCTCCTCTTCAATTTCAATTTCTTTTTACTTTTTCTTCTTTCCGTCTAGCCAAGGCAAAGTCGAAGATGGAAGTTTTAACGGCCGTGGCAGCATGGGCTATTTCATCTGCCTGTAAGGAGCCTTCGGTCGCTAGTTTTCTCGGGGGTATCTGCCCTCGAAGGGACTACGCGAAGGAACTTGCAGAGAGGCTTTCCGAAACTGCCCACGTATATACTCCCGAGTCGGATGACTTTGCCAAGATAACAACACGCTGGTCGTTATTGGGTCTCCCAGACGTGAAGCTCGTTGTGGTCCCGAGCAGTGAGAACGATGTGGTAGAGACCGTAAGTCCCCGGCAGAAAAATACAGATGGTATATAGTAGGCTAATAACATGACAAGGTGAAATATGCGAACACGCAGAAACTACCATTCCTCGCACGTAGTGGTGGTCATGGGTCTATTGCGACACTAGGAAAAATGAAGAATGGCATTGAAATATGGTTGAATCAATTGGACACTATCGAAATCGCGGACGACGGGACTACAGCAAAGATTGGCGGAGGGGTATTGGTCAAGAGTATCATTGACACACTCTGGGCGGCTGGGAAGCAGGCGGGTTAGTCTAACCCGCACACTATACGTCGACGATATCTAATGAGAGACATAGCAACTGGATTCTGTGAATGCGTCAGTGTTCTCGGTCCCGGATTGGGAGGCGGACATGGTCCTCTCCAGGGGCGTCATGGGCTCGTGTCGGATCAATTCGTTTCGATGACTGTCGTCCTAGCTGATGGGAGTGTCCAAACCATTGATAAAGAATCTGAGCTGTGGTGGGCTATGCGAGGAGCTGGTCATAATTTCGGCATTGTGACTTCTGCTACAATCAATATTTTCGATATCCAGCATCGCGATTGGGCCTCGGAGAATTTTATCTATACCGGCGACAAAGTCGAAGAGCTTTATGCGAGGATTAATGAGCATTTGCTCAAGAATGGCACTCAACCGGTCGACGTCTTGAACTATTCATTCTTTTTCAACTTTCCGGCAATTGATGCGACGAAGGTGAGTCGGTCCCAAAAGGCGAGCTCTGCACGATTTCGCAATTAGCTAACAATTTTCATAGCCTCTAGTTATGTTCTATGTCCTCCAAGAAGGCAAGAAAGTTGTCGACAAGGAATTTACAAAACCATTCCACGACCTTGGCCCCGTTTCTACCGAAGCTGTTGAATTGAGCTTCACCGACCTACCCGCGTGGACGGGGAACGGCAACGACTCGCCGCCCTGCAAGAAAGCCAATCTAGTCAACCTTCGTTTCCCGATTGACCTCGCGACGTACAATGTCGAAGCGCAACGAAAGGTGTACGACCTATTCGCATCCGCTACTCAGGAGACACCGGCGCTCAATAACTCGCTGTTCCTCTTCGAAGGATACGCGCTACAAGGCGTCAAAGCTTTCCCCGGCGATTCAAGCGCATTCGCTCTACGAGATGAAAATCTGCTCATCTCCCCGTTGATCACATTTGCTCCAGATGGTCCGGAGCTAGATAAGAAAGCCCATGAACTTGGTGAGAATCTCCGTCGCATAATCCACGAAGGTACTGGTCGAGACAAGATGCATACATACGTGAATTATGCCGCCGGATCGGAAAAGAAGGAAAACTGGTATGGTCACGAGCAATGGCGGCAGGACCGTCTGCTCGCATTGAAGAATAAATACGATCCGGAGCGAAAGTTCAGTTTTTACGCGCCCATCGCGTAAATGAAATGATTCATGTACAATATCGGGTCAATGAAATGACCGAATAAAAAAGGTATTTGAGTTTTATGGTATTATATCACATTATGTTGGGCGGCAAACGTATGATAATAGAGTGTGATCGCCATGTAGTGTAGTAAATAGGGGATCAATATTGAGCATGATTTGACCAAGCTGATTACACAGCACAGAGGACACGTTGACCTTGAAACTTGTTTTCAGCTGCTTTAGGTAGGCCGAAGGATCAGCGCCGGCTCAATATTCATCGGTCTGACTCAAAGGTCAAAGCACTGCATTTAACGTGGGGTATTTCTCGTTTTCGGCCTTACAAGTCGCCGTTAATTCCGATGTCTTTGATATCGTCTTGCATTGCGTCTTTGGTCGTTGAGTGGCTCATCGGGGTTTCGCTTGGGAGCGGTGCCGTTATTGGTTGTGTGATTTGCGATATTGCTACTGTAATTACTAAGATGCTGACTGCGGCTTTTATGCCCATTGCTCAGCCGCGTAAGGGATAAATACTCAGCCTTGTCTTGACATCTAACAGAAGTTCTTGGCTCGATATCGACGTCTTACAGCCTTGCCTCCATTATATACTTTCATATATCTCATATAAACACCATACACATACATACTTGTATACTGAGGCAGACTTGCATATCCACGCATCATGTCCTTCAACCGCATCGCAGTATACGCCCACCGTGGCTGGGCCAGTTCCGCCATCGTCAAAGCCCTCATATCTAGCGGTGCACCCGTCAAAGTGCTATACAGACCCGGGTCCGACGTATCGAATTTACCGTCGAGCGTGGCCACAACCGAAGTAGACCTAGAGAACCAGTCACAACTAGTCAATGCCTTACAAGACGTTGACATTGTTGCGTAAGACCCCGTATTCCCGTGTCAATTATTCCAAGTTAACCATTGGATAGCTCGCTGGTTGGCCATGATGGAGTACAGAAGCAACATGCTTTCGTCAAGGCAATTCCGAAGACCAATGTCAAGTTGTTCGTTCCTTCGGACCTTGGTCTCCGGGTGTCCGATGAATATGATTTGCGAGTCCCTGTGAGCAAGGCCAAGTACGAAGTCGAAAAGGCAGCCAAGGATGCTGGTATACCGACTACTGTTGTTCTTGTCGGTTCTTTGGCCGAGTCGACGTTTTCGATCGGGTGAGTTTTTCATGAATTTCACAGTACAGAAATGAAGGGCTAATTGTTTGGGGGCTAAAGAATCATGGGAATTGATTATCCCGGGAACCGAATCATTTTCACCGGCGACAGTGAGAACCAGGAGCTAAACATATGGTGAGTAATATTCAATTGGGACCCACTGGACCGATGAACTGATAAGAGTGCAGCACCCGGAACTATGTCGCGGCAGCCTACGCCTCGATCTTTGCAAGAACGCCTCCGGCTCAACTAGCTGGTCGCGCTATTGGTATTTCCGAGATCAAAGCGACCGGCCGCGAAATTGCCGAGGTCCTAAAGAAGAAGCACGGCAAAGAGCCGCAGATCTTTAGACACAGCCTGGAGAAGACCGATCAAGAGATTGACCATTGTATCCAGACTGGTAGCCGCCTATCTCTGTCGTGGTACTGTCGCAAGGCTTGGGGTAACGGAACTCTGGTCAAGGGTGTTGGCGAGGATATCTGGGAGGTCGAAGGTTACAAGAATGCTAGCCTTGAAGACTTGCTCCTGAGTGGCAAGCTGGAGCCTTACCGCAATGTTGCGCCAGAAGCCCGAGCGGCTTTCATGGCTGCGTTTAAGGAGTAGCAAACACGCAAAAAGCGAAACAAATAAAGCAGAACGAATAAGACAATTAATACACGAAATAACCGTATGGCTCTGGATATTATTTTAGTGTTGATATAATTCGCAGAAATGCGGATATGTGCGTTTTTATCCCGTTAAACGAGGCATTCGGAGATGTTAGACTCCTTCGGAACCCCGAGGAAAGGGCTGCTCGCTTTTATCGCCATCGTTTCTGTCCTACGTATAGCCCTCTCGACAAGCCCTTATTGGAATGACCTACGGCAATCCGCTGTGCTTAGCTGCAATTGGGGGCCGTTTTCGGTTGCTAGTGCCGTGAATATTATAATCGGTCGATAGTTCGAAATGCGGCAAGCTAAGAGCTTAAAAATAGTAATGCGAATATGATGTCTATTGATTCGGCCCTAGATCTTTTTGATCACTGTAATGGATATGTACACAACCTCTTTTCTTTACTTCCTCTCAACGGCGGTCGGCTCCCACATCGTAATCTTCGATTTCACCCTATACAACCTACGTTAGCAGACGATCGAACACGGAGTCCGAAGTACGCACGTGCTATAGGGTTTGTATGCGCCTCTAGATAGGGTATAGTTGGGAATAGTCTTAGCATCGGTATCTTCCCATGCTCGTCGTTTATATGCGAGTGCGGAATCTTGTGTCGGGGCCTTATCAACGGCGTAGGAGATCCAGGCGTGCCAGCCAGGCTCAATCTGGGATCTGAATTACGGTATTAGCGAATAAGTCCACGAATCAGTCTTCCAAGTATATGTACGCGTCGAAGTCGTGCACTTTATAGTCCACCCATCGTGTTCGGACTGGGACTTGTTAGTTCCTAGCTCGGTCGGACATATCGAGACCTGGTGTAACGTACGAGGCAATTCTTCGTTGTTCTCAAAGTACTTGTTGCCAAATCGATCAACACCGATTAGAGTACCAGCCTTGGTGTCGCCTATAATGCATTAATACTATTTCGGGAATATCGGATTCGCTAGAGGTTCGTACCAATGTACTGTATCAAAGGGAGTCGTCGTTAGTTTCGGATCAATAGCTCATCGGTTGGGAGTTCGACATACGTTCAATTGGTGGAAGTAATCCTATTGCGATGCGGGTTAGCGTTGATTTAGAAGCTTGAAAAGTTTAAAACGGACCTTGAAACCCACTCGCCACAAATTGGAGAGGGTTCTTGTTATGGTCGACATGGTGAGCGAAGTTCAATCGGACTTCCGCCGTATTTGGTGTTGCTTCAATTGCGAAGATGAAGGCGGGAAGATTCAAGGTCATCGCATTCAATTCCATTGGGCGGAACGATCCGGCTTAGTCACACGGCTATTTATCGGTGGAATGTGAAAGCAAGGATGGAAGTACCTGAGTACCCTGAACCTTAATACACGTCATTTTGCAGACGGCTTCATATCGATAAGAAAATGGGTGCATCAATTGGAGATAATTTGGAGCTAATGCTTGAAGCTTCAAGAGCTTGGAAATTCACGGCGCATTTTACCTTTAAATATAATTGTTAACAAACAATTAATTCTTGTCATGAATTTGTATTAATTACTTATAACCACCATGATAGTTAGAGGTGCGACTCGATGCTGCCTACGGCTTCGACCGACTTTGGCTCGTCCGACGAGCCGATTTAGCCCGCAAAGTTGTCGTCGATATTCGATGCCTTCTGGTCCTATGCCGACAGTTAACCCTACGAGCTCTGCCGGAATGTTGGCGCCATTCGTGAACGAGTTGGATAAGATCGCACCATCATTCAAGATTAGCGGATCTCAAATACATATTATTCAAAGTCCTATAGATTTCTACGAGACATTGAAGGTCCGTGATGTGTAATTGTCAATCGAGGCGAACATTTTCAATTAACGTTATCAGGCCAGGATACGCACTGCTAAGGAACGAATATTTCTATCTACCCTGTATATCGGGAAGTCGGAGAAAGAGTTGGTATGATGCGAAGCCGATCCGAAATGCGAAACCACAAATGCTGACTAGGATCGAGATTGCGACAATTGAAGATGCTCTCCGCGCAAATCCCGAGCTCAAGCTAAGCATTCTCACCGATGCCCTCCGTGGAACTCGAGAAGCCCCTGAACCATCTTGCGCATCGCTCTTAGCCCCTCTAGTTACGGAATTCGGATCGGATCGTGTTGAAATTCGAATGTACCATACTCCGAATCTAACTGGCTTGAGGAAGAAGCATATACCTAAACGCATTAACGAAGGATGGGGATTGCAACATATGAAACTATATGGAGTCGATGACGAGATAATTCTTTCTGGGTAAGAATCACTGCACTTGGGTTAAGAAAACGCTTTGCTTACCTCAAGTAGCGCGAATCTTTCTAACGATTATTTCACAAATCGGCAAGATCGATATCACTTATTTTCCTCGAGCGAAGTAACAAACTATTTCTGGGATCTTTACCAAGGTGTTATGTCGCTCAGCTTCTTGGTACAACCAGCAAAAGATGAGCCATCGGGGTTCAGACTACATTGGCCGTCGACTAATACTGCTCCCAATCCATTAGAACGTTCAACAGAATTTATCTCAAAAGCAACGCCTTTCATCCATAATCTGATAGCGCCGAAGGAGAAATCAGAAAAGGGTTCTCTTCCCTCAGGGGATACCACAGTTTATATGCTTGGCCAACTTTCTCAATTGATGAAACCAGATACATCCACCGAATTGCCAGTCATGACACACATTTTAAAAACACTGGCCGCCCCTGAATACACTGGTTCATCGTGGACTTTCACAGCGGGGTACTTTAACCCCGCGCCATCGTTAACAAATCTGCTGTTGTCAACAGCGTCGCAAGATAATGTTGTGATAACTGCATCACCGTATGCGAATGGATTTTACAAGTCAAAAGGAGTCTCAGGGCTTTTGCCAGATGCATACACCCTACTTGCCCGAAGATTTCTACGTACAATTAAAGAGCGAAAACAGGACTCAGCCGTCGTTCTTAAGGAATGGAGAAGAGGAACTGTTAATGAACCAGGCGGATGGACATATCACGCAAAAGGGTTATGGATAACTCTTCCTAACGAAAAAGACCCGTCAATCAGCATCATCGGAAGTTCAAACTACACAAAACGCAGCTACTCCCACGATCTTGAAGCGGGGGCTTTAATTGTGACTCAGGACCCTGGCTTGAAAAAGAGACTGGGTGACGAGCAAAAATGGTTACAAGAATACGCAAGTCCCGTCACTTTGGACGATTTCGCGAAAACAGAAAGAAGAGTCGGATTAAAGGTCCGAATCGCAATGTGGATCGTTAGTGTGGTCGGTGGCGCACTCTAGCGATCTGGTCCTAGAACGACCACGATGAAGATCTCGGCCACGTTCGGCGAGTGACCCGAGAATCAGAGGCTCTGCGACTCTGCCCTTTTCGGTGCGTTGTTGCCGACTTTTACTGCCTTCGCGACAAAACATAAGAGGGGACAATCATCGCAGCGCCGGTAAAGGCCTCGGATCTAACTCGAAGTCCACAGACGGAGCAACAGCCTCCGCATTTGATCTCACAATCTCACCCCAATGATACCCAACTATAGATCTTACAATACAATTCCCACGCTTTCCTAGATCTCTTGGATAGACTTTCCATTTCGTGCTCCCCATGCTAATTTTTTCAAGCGTGATTCGAAGCGTCGTTCCGACATCCCAGGCTCCAATGGGGTGGTATTATGCCGACTGGCGCGTTGATTTGTACTTAAAACGGGAATCGGCAGCTTTTCATCCATCTCCACCGGATATACAAATTGATTAATTGCTGCGAAGACTGGACTGATGCTATTGGGATCGACCGAATTAAATATGGCGTATAAGAAGCAGTACGTTCGCACTAGAAAATGACTGTTCGATTTTAGCAGCCATTACGCGATATCTTCCCACCATGAAGTCCGCAACCTTCTTAATTGGTCTAGTACCCGCAGCCTCAGCAACTATTTACTATGCTGGTGTCGCGGAATCAGGAGGCGAATTTGGTGTCTGGAGTGCAGATGCTAAAAAGGGTACCGGCTTGCCTGGCACATTCGGTGTCGATTATCAATTCATCAACAAGGCGGGCGTTGACACCCACGTCGACCAAAACCACCTGAATCTCTTCCGTATCGCGTTCTTGCTTGAGCGAATGACCCCTGTCGCTACCGGTCTCGGCAAGAACTTCAACGAGACGCATTTCGATCATTTCAAGGAGGCGGTTGACTACGTAACGGTTACCAAAGGCGCATACGCGATTCTAGATCCGCACAACTATATGCGATACAATGACCCAAGTTCGCAACCATATTCCGGCAGCGTGATCGGGAACACCTCCGATACTACCGCCGCTACGACAGACCAATTTGGAGAGTTCTGGGGTGAATTGGCGAAGCGCTTCGCTGATAATGAGAAGGTTATCTTCGGATTGATGAACGAACCTCACGATATGGAGACTAGCCTCGTACTTAAGAATAACCAGGCTGCTATTGATGCTATCCGCGCTGCCAATGCAAGCAACTTAATCATCCTACCCGGCAATAGTTGGACAGGAGGCCATGCTTGGGCCCAAGGACCGGACCCTAGTAGCGCGATTATTCACCAATTCAAGGACCCGTTGAATAACACGGCAATTGATATTCATGAGTATCTTGATGTGGACTACAGTGGTAGCCACAGCGAGTGCGCGAGCCCGCCGGCGACTAACTTGGCGGATGTGACAAAGTGGCTTAAGGTAAATCCTAACATCCTAGGCTTACCATTTACTGAATTTTCCCTAATTGTTTAATAGGAGCATAATCTGAAAGCATTCATCACTGAATTTGGCGGTAACAATAACACGGGATGCGACACCATGTTGACCGACTTCGTCAAATACCTAGATGACAACGAGGAGTACATTGGTTGGACGGCATGGGCGGCAGGCCCCTTCTGGGGTTCAGCCAGCCCTTGCTGCACCGACTCCAAGAATTATGGTAGTTTTGAGCCAGACAGCAAAGCCGCTGATGGTGGACCTAGCTTGTACGACACCGTCTGGCTCAAGGTGCTGCAGCCACTTGTTCCAAGTAAACTACAGTGGAAGGGAAAGGCGAGCGTTAGTGGAGGAGAATTAACGGGCTTTCCTGCTTAGGTAGGTTGGCGTGAAGACTACGTGTATCTAAGTGGGTAGGCTTCATTAGACATTTTGGTGGGAAGGAATCTATCGCGCCGCAATTAATACGGAACTCTTCTATCCGATGGCAATGGCGCTGGTTTTCTTGTTCCTACAATAACGGCTACCTGCAGGACTGAATAAGCGCTGTACCCTTCTAGGATATATATACTTGAGCCTACCTGGATGCCTCGATGCCTAGTAGTTATTTATTTAAGAAATTAAATCGGCGGGAAAGGTAATCACGGCAACCGGAAACGCACGAGGTAGATCTTATTAAGTATACGGAAAGCCAGTATACCGATGAACCCTGTAAGACGACGCATGCGGTGTAATGTCAGCGGGAAGCACGAGATCCACGCCATTTGGTCCCGGAACGTCTTCTATCCGTGCCCCACTAGATCCGATCCACCGGATCCTAGACCACGGGAGGGTCCGCTACTGCATGTTTCTCCCCCTATTTTTTTCTTTTTTAAATCATCTTCGATTAAATGACTCTATTTGGCTCAGGATGCAGGTGAGGTGCCGCCCCGGATTCATAACGTTCCGTTTCAACCATCCTGCCTTTGATTGGATATCGGCTCGGCGATTGGCGATCAGTTTCGTTCGGGGACTAAGGGTGGGTTTTAGTTATATGTACGACACCCATGTGGCTTCGGAAGAGGGACAATAGGGCGTTGTTGGCTTTCTTTGTCAGTGAAATCACGATGGTAAGTCCGCTTCCGAGGGTCTCTTTACTTTTTTAACCTTGACCGTATCGCATTAACTGCTTTGGGGGAGGCTGTTGGTTCGCGTACCCTTTTCTTATGGGGACTCTTCTTGGCAACGATCTGATGATGCCGGGAACAAGCACACGCGATGATTATGAACCAACTTGTAGACTATTTTATAAATAACTATGTGTTTCTTTCCAGGGACTCGGCAAAGACATCTAAGGATCTCCTAGACATGAAATTTGAAGCGATAGGCTGCTTTATTTGTTTTGCACGCTAATACCGGGTTCTACCATTCCATCCGGGGTCGATCGTCGATCAGGTTTCAGATCTTGACCCTTCAAAGAAGCGAAGGCTGAATTTACTCACGCAATATCTAAAGAGCTTGCCCCAAATTTCAAATGTTTCTTCGATAAAAAAAAGGCGTGGAGTATTCGATATAGCCCGGCCTATCTCTCTTGATGATATATCAGTCCTAACTCGCATCCAACTCGGATTCGATGAATATCAGGCGGGACTTACGCTGAGACATTGGGATTAACAATAATCCCACACGCCTTTCCGTCAGTCTCAACCTGCAAGGTGGCCAGACTTGAGAGCATATTGCCGCCATGACTCGCACTCCAGCGTCGTCATCGACCTCGTCGTTATTCGGAATTATAAGATTACCATCAACCCTATTATTTTACACCCTAATATCAACGATAATTAGTGGAGTATATTCTTATCAACAAGTCCTTTCATCACCACAGGAAACTTGTGTGTCTCAGGACTCCCCAAACGGACATGCCCAGCAATACCCCGACATTGTGAGCGGAAATCTCAACGCCACGACATTAATTGTCCCCATTTCATTAGCGATAGCACGCGAGCTCATTCCCCAGGAATATGGCATCCTCGAGAATGCATACCGGTCATTGTTACCCTCATTTCCAGCAGGGATGTACCCGATGATGGCCCAAATAGTGCACGACCATGACATACAAGTGCCAGCTTATAACGCTTCTATGCCAGACTTCTCCGTAAGTCCAACCCCTCGACTTCCACCTCATATTTTACTAACCACACATTCGCTCAATAGCGTGCATCATTCGAATTCCCCTTCCTCGACATATTCAACGACGGCCACTCATCCTTCCGCTGGGCAAGCACATTCCTAATTTCCGCCTCGAATGATGGCGCCATCAAGGGGTCTCAGGGGTACGGCATAGCAGTACACCCAGCATCTTTCGACCCACCCTGCGACGCGTACCGTGTGCTCCCCTCAGAAGACGGCGCGACGTACGCTGGTGGGTGGAGTAGCAACGGCGCGCAATTCAATTTTATGACGATAGAAGCAAAACCGTCTTGGGATAATGTACCGTTTTCACTGGACTTTTTGTGGAATGTGACGAATCAACCTGTGTTTGCGAATACACGGCAGTGCGATTATTTCACGCGTATGTTTAATACGACACTGACGGATAGTGCGGTGCCGGTCGTGGCTAAGGTTAATGCGAAGTTGGAGCCGTTTGCGCAGCCGCAGGTTTGGGAGGGCGTGTTTGGATGGCGGTTGTCGACGGCGTTTTTGGAGCCGCTGGAGCCTGAGGAGTGTAGACCCGAGGAGGAGTGACGATACTTGAAGAATGATTGGTCTTGATAAAAGAGAGTACCATTCTCCACGAGTCTACAAAGAGGAACCCCAAGGGAAACATCGGGTAAATATGCAAAGCCCGTCTAAACCTACCGGGGTTCGAAGCAGACGGTTATCGCGTCCTCCAACGAGCTTATATGAAGAGGAACCTTTCGGTCCCTGCGTGGATTTCTATAGATAGAAACCACGGGTGAGGAGTCCATACGCCATGGTTCCATTATACACGCTGTCTATTGGGTAGACTCATTCACGGACGCTCGGTCTGATAGAGATAGTCCTCAAAAACTCAACCCTTGAAATGGTTGAAAGACAGGATTCACTAGGTATGGCCAAGTGACTGCTGCGTAAAGCATGTAACTTATTGAAATTCATCAATGATACTTAGCTAGTATTAGGTACCTAGTGTATAGTTAGGCGAAGAACCGCAACCTAATCTAGCGTGCTATTCGCGTACCCGCCTACCCCCTAAGCTAATATCCGTAGCAAAAGCGCGCCAGCATAATCTAATTGAATGTTTCTTTTCCTTAATGACCTCGTGTGATAATATGATATAATAACCTTCACAACCGAAAGAATGACAGCGAAGTACGCGGATCTGTATCAACATACGAAAAAGACCAGAAAGGGCCCCAAATAAACACCATAGAAAACCCACAGCAATATAGTACCTGGATAGGTAATCTATAAACCATTCTGTATGCTCAGGTAGTTGGTGGCGCCCAGGCGCTAAGTAGCTCTCATCCAAAACGCCTGAAGCATCTGGAGTACCCATCCAGAGGTAGACGACTGGGACCAGGGCTTAAGTTATATGGGACGAAGGGAATCCGTCACTTCTTGCCTCTATTTCCCCCCGCAGTGTAGCATTTCCCTAACCAGGGACCAATGGAAATGAATCGGCCCGCCTGTTAAGTAGGGGATGGAGAATCCGAGCGAAAGCCTTAGGCCGGGCCTGGTTAGTCTACATTAAAACTCAAACCTGCTTTTTCAGTACCGCTATAGCACCGATCGAACAACACACTGGTTTCTTCTATTCGTACTGCTCGGCAACCCATCTCCCTGCGATGGGAGTTCCCTTAAAGCCGTTGATTCCGATTTTTTGAGGAGCGGATTGTTTCTGGGACTACTGAGGGTTTGGGAATCTCTGGGTCCTCAGATGCGCTAGTTTAAGAAGAACTTCCGCCGGTAGATCGCCGTTGAACATAGTAGCGTCGTGGCTAGCTTTGTTTTCAATGATGTCCACATTGGAGGATCTGTGGCTGCTCATTGGCACCGTCCCATTGAACATCATGCCTCTGGAGGTGGTATCATTACCCTTGATGTTCCTCGTCGGTGTAGAGTCGTAAACCCTAGGGGTGGCCGTTGATGAAGTTGTAGATGAATGGTTTCTCTCGGAATGTCTCGAGAACGATGGAGTGGATGGAGTGGATGGAGCAGATCCAGCTGTGTGATCTGTGCGCCGACCTTGCCTCGTAGTGTAGTCGGAATCCGAAGGGGATACTGTTGTGGGGATGGTATAGGCGTCCCCTTTGATGGTTTTTGTCGAGATATCTGCGTCTGCTGCGTCCTCTATAGTAGGGCTTAGGTGGCGATGGGGCGAACCATCAGCCGGATCATCGATATCGACATCCATAGAATCTCCACTTAGTTCATCAACAGCGAGGTCACTTCTAACTAAAAGCCCGCCATATTAGCATACGGAACCAACTATCGGGACTATGGCATACCCATGTTTTCGCTTTTGACAGCCATTTTCTCATGTGGGTGCGCCTTTCTGCCCAGTGCTTTGACCATACGGTTTAACTTGGACATTGATATTGTTTGGATCCTTATGTTATCGCTGATGTTTCGAGATAGACTGACGTTGTATAACAATATACAACTATTAAGATTGTTCTTGGAGAGTTCTAGCTCTTTCAACTCGATTTGTAACTTCTTGTCTTCGTCTGGATTGGGGAATAGAGCGTTCCCTATAAGTCTGATATTCGACTTCTTCAGGCTCTCCCTCGCAACCTTTAGCCGAGAATTAAGCCTTTTTCCAGCTTCGTCGACGTCCTGGAGCGCACAGATAATAGATGGTGTTTGCAACGACGCTTCTTTCCTCACTGCCTTGATCAGTTGGCTCGTGCGTCTAGCTTCCAAGCAGTGTTGATTGATAAACTCGTAAAGGTTCTTGCGGCTATTTATCGCACTGCGTATCGCCTGGAAAAGCTCGATGCTCTGCTGGATTGTAGCCGCGACACTAGTTATAATGCCAACAACTTCGGCCTGCGGTTAGTTAACAATTTAGTTGATGTATAAGTCAAAAATAGTACTGACCATCGCACACTAGACTTTGACAATTGGTGGGGGTGGGGTATTTTTTAGACGGGCCCCTGTTTCAAAAGCAAAAAATGGGTCAGGCGGTCACACAGCATCAACTATATCATCAGTATTTACTTAGGTAGTAGGTACCATTTTTGACGTCCTTCTGCGTGTGTTATATCTCAAACACATCCATACCGCCTAATGACATTTATATTGTATGGAACCACGTCATTGTGGCTTGATCATTACCCTATGTGTCAGTTCAGCTAACCATCACCAGCCTTCCGTAAAACCGATCCAATATTGCACTTTTTAGTTGTCGACCCCGTAGTGGAAGGTTGTAGCACATACTATATATGCCAGCCACTTGTACAGTGTAAATCAGGTCGATTATGCATTTTATACCGACACTCCTTTTTAAGAGCGTTGCGATTGTGCCTATTTCTTGGGACTTATCTCACTACCTAGGTATTCATGATATAAATCTGCCTGGGCAGACATGTTTAACTACATCCACAGTTCGCCTCGTCCACATGTTCATCACCAACAGGTCATGTCGCATAACTATTGAATTTATAATTCTCTGAATGGATATCGAGGAAGCACCTAAGATTACTGGCAGTGCCGCGGTGGGCCTTGCTTCGCCTTGGAGCGAGCATCACTCGAGCCTTACCCCCCCTCCAACTCCGAGTGAGCCCAACAATGCTGCGTTGCAGTCGATACCAGTCCTATCAATAGGATCTCGGGAAATTCTCTCGCTGCAAGAGTCCATATTGGCCTTTTTGGCCTGTATTGTAGAGCAAACAGAGAGTCCGCTCACACAAGATCTCTCCTTGAAAGCAAGCCAGGACACCACATCGTGAGTCATTTGGGGCTCAATTTCAAATAATTCCCTCAAGTACCTAACCTGACTGTAATCAAAGGACTGACGCAGAAATTCACATTAACACGGCGGATACTTGGAATTTCGCAAGACGTCGACTAGATAAGATTTCTCGTAGTTTTTCGAAATGGACTAAAGACTTCAACTCTTGTTCCACTTCTCATGATAATAAAGATGGGTCAGTTGTTTTAGTAATGGATGGGGTATTCAATCTTATGAGGACGATTGCGCATCGTCTAATTTATAGTAGGTTCTTCCATTACCTTTACCTATCTAGGTAGATAGACAACTGATACCTATTCGCTTATCGATAGTGGTAAACATCGAGGGCCCTGGTTCTCAAGGGGTAGATAAAATACTCCTCAGCGTAACTGGTAGCCTCAAGGAAATATCGGGTGGATTCGATAAGCAGGACGAGAAATCCTACAATGACTGCCCTCGGTGCAACAAGATATCCATTATTCCTTCGGCATCCGCCGTGGCTGTAACTCCCGAGCCGGACTACCTTGATCTACTTGCGGGCCTGATAGCTGATCTCCAGGGATATTCCAAATCTTTGAAGCTGGCTTTGAGGATAAAGGGCTGGCGAAAGGAGGCGGTGGAGGGCAGCAAGTCGGTTTCCAGGCAACTCGCAATTTCGGAGCGGGATAATGAAGAACCGTATCATAAGAGTAGAACAGGTCTGTGTCTTGGTGGTTTCTGTGATTATACTGTCCACATTACAGCTAATACCGCACTAGACAAGTCAACGATTCGGCCTTCACCGAACATAGAAAGGAGCCCAACTCACAAAATCAACCCCAGCCACGCTTATATCAACCCTGCAGTCAAAAGACCACGAAGCTTAGGTCTTTCCGATTCCTCTCGTTTATTAGAGAGAGATAATACGAATAGAGGATCTCAAAAGAAGAACACATCACTTAGTAACGAGAGTGAAAAAATGATTGATATTGATGAAACCGTTACGTATATCAAGGAGCAATGGCAAGAGGCGAGGGAAAGCGTCAACTCGATCGAGATACCCCCCTCTTCACGTATTGCATTGATTTTATCAACCGACAAATCTATTTTCAACCTTTCAAACATCCACCTAGAACTAGAAAAACTTGAGAAGAATACCAATATTTCGGACGAATCTTCATCGGGCGATATCGAAGAAATCTTGCCACAAAGGATCGAAGACCTGAAGCTTAACCTTGCTGGTGACGATCTGCCAAAAGACATCGTCACGTTGCTGGTTGACGCGGTGCCTATAGATAAAGATGAATTTAGTTCATTTTCGACGGCTTTTTGGTATACGCAACCTCTCGCGAAACTTTATGCTGCTCGTTCTCTACTTGAAGGTCTCCCGAACTGGAAGGTACATCTGAGAGATGCCTATCTTGGCCTGATAGAACCTATTTTCAACCAGGTTCAAAGAGATTTAGTGGACTTGGTTATCTCTTCATTCTCGGATATTTCTACAAAACTGTTGACACGCATTAATCGTGGTGATGCCGGTCTGCATCTTCGCCTACCAATTAGAACTATGGAAAAAGCTGCATTACAACTCCTTGAGCACCAATATCTCGAGCGTCTAGTGCATTCATGGCCAGGACTTGACTATCTGCTCATATTATTAGCTATAAAATGTACGGCCCTTTCCCAGCACCTCGAATTAACGTCGGGCGTAAGCATTGGCCTTACCAAGGAAAATAGATTGCAAGATATCTGTCTAATACCTTCGGTTCACTTTCTTATTCACATGGTAGAAGAAGGCGATCCGCTCTCTCGGCCGAAAGACTATTCAGCCTTGGGTAATACTTTCTATGAGAAAACTGTTGGGGATCTATTACACCATCCAACGCTTTAAATGGGTCACTTGAAAATGAGGAGTTTATGGGGGGTAAGGGTGACCGAGAAACTACCTGCTGGTCTAGAAAACTGCTGAAGTGTGGAGTTGGATAGGTAAGTAAGGCTGGAAGGACGGATGTAATTATGTGTGAAACGGATAGCAAGGAGGGTTAGGGGGGATCGGACACACAAATAAAATATATTAAGCTTGAGAGTAAAAGTGATCGGCCTGTCAGTTGTCTGGCTCTGCGAAGCGTTGCATTATTTCCCTATTGCCATAGTAGAGGGACTAGGAGATCAGGACACAGGAACTATTTGTGAATAATTAGGACTGTCAGTAGTTAAGCCATACGAAGGGATACATCCTGGGAAGTATCGGAGGAACTCCTTATCGCCAATGTGGAGGCAAGGGAGTCCTTAGAACAAAGAGGTCATTCTTATATGTATACAATAGCTTCCGTAGCAGCTACTTGCGATCTCCTCGCGCAACAACAGAGTTATTAACCCCCTTATATGGTTGGTTTCATGACAAGGACGGCCAACTTCAAAATATATTTAGGAATAACACAGTAAAGAAATGTAGAGAACTCCAGGATTATCTGAGAGTGCTTCACGCTGGTATGACTCTTATATCTACCTAGGTACCTAGGTAGGTAGACAACCTTGAAGGGCTAAAGCCTCATATGCGGGTGCCATTGCCTCATCTTCTTCAGTTTCTTGCAACCTCAAGCCATGGACAACTCGTTCGTAGAAATTTCTCTGCACCTCCACATCATAAAGGTTGTCATCCGGTGGGTGATATGATAAACAAAAACGCACTGCCACTGCGTAATAAATCCCCATTTCATGCTCCACAGAATTGAATTCCTCATCACTCAATGGTACTATACAACCCTCTGACTCCGGTCTCAAAATTGACTCTGCCTTTGCCAACTCAAGCAGTATTAACCCGAGACTCGAAAGAATTGTACTGGCTTGAGCCTGACGCTGTTGGCAGTTGCCATTGTGCTCTGTATTATGGCGCTCTAAGGAAACCTGAATATGGGATTGGAGAGAATCAACCCTTCCGTATTTTAAGGGTGCGATTACTATTACGTTTTCGCTCTCTAATCCTCCCCGCTGCCATAGACTTGGGTCTAGCCTCAGGACGGCTTCCGAAATAAGTCTTGCCAACCTCAGTCTTGGACCTCGTGTTTGGTAGTCCTTTAGAAAACTAGAAAGCTGCATTTGTGGCCTCTGGTCGGTACTCTGGCCGGTATTGATCCATGTCTGTTGTATCACGAATCCCTCCCCTATCTCCATCTCAAGGCCTGAGTTCTGCGCTAGTCTCCCTGGGCAAAAGGGGCCGAACGAGTTGCTGATTCGCGTATTACGACTTCCGGATAATTTCCGTTCGAGTGGAGAAGACCTCATCCATACTAAGTCGTTTTGCGTATGATCTGTCCGTTGGAAAGCAAAATGAAACTCGAATGCACAGTTCGCTTCATCATCATCTCGCATAGCATCGAGATTAAAATATAAATCATGTGTCTCATGCTCTTGGCAGATATGACCCAGCGTCAAGTAGAGGTATTGTGAAGCGTATCGGCTCTTATCGAGGTAAAGTAAATCGTTAAGGAATTCCGTCCTTCCCTTACCAAAAAGGAGTTGGCTGTAAGGGTTCCGAGCACACATTTCAAGAAACAAACCCCGGAAAATTAAAATACTCGCAGTAGTATGCTTTGCTTCCAGAGCGCAATTGCGAAACTCAGAGAGTAAAATATGGACATTTTTCACAATGTGTATAGGCTTGGTGGACAACGTCTGTTTGAAAGTAATTATTAGTGAGGTTGAGGGCTGGATCTAGATGCGTTAAAGACTTACTCGGTATATTTGTACAGCATGGCTATTTACTTTGATGGAGCCTTGTTGAATCGGCTCAAGAAGGTTCATCATCCTCTCTAATGTGCCCATTTCTTTTTTGTCATATTCCTGGTTGCTGTCAAGCCAGTGCTGGTCATGCCGGTCGAGATGTAAATCTGGAAGCTCCTGCTGATTTAGGCATTCTATGATATTATTTATCTCTGTTCTGTATGCCTCGGTATGGCTTTTGGATTTTTCCAAGTTATTAATAGCTAGTCTTTGGTTGCCTATACAAACTTCGAGGGCCTTAATAATTCTTTTAGACGTAGATGCTCCCGCCTCACGGCTACTTATATGAGCTGCTGTACGTTCTGGATTGTTCGGATATTTAGAATACGGTTTGGCTTCATGATGATCCGCATGATTATTCAAGCTGGGTGGTGTTGATTCTGGAAACCGGTATTAGAGATGAGATATTCATACCGAAACTGAAAAACACTGCCCCAAACATACCCAATTCAGACTGATGGCTATTTCCTGGCATGGTAAGATTGATTGTTCTAGCAACTAGTTTATAGTTGGACCCCTTTTCTTCGTGAATGTGTCCATTCCACATCAAAGCATTTCCCTTTGACGAATTGCCCTTATATCTATGGGACTGAGTACGGTTCTTGGATATTCTCCAGTCTTGCACGGTTTTGGAAGGACCCCGGTGTCCTTGAGTAGTATAAGGCGTAGATTTAGATGATATGCGTGACGGTTCGCGTCTTGTCGTGTTGTTCGACGGGTGCATATTTTGTGATTAGATCTCTGTATTGACTGTATCCTTTCTTTGGGTCTGCCGTCAAATCCGGCCTATTAATTTAAGGTAGCATGTTCGCCTTGTATGGTCACTGGTTCCAATATGTAAGGCTGCCCTAATGCTTAGTCCTACGGGGTATGGGATGGTACAGTGCGAGCCTCAACGGGTACTCATTGAGGGGCTCACTAGCCTGCGTATATCGTCGGCGAAGTAGGGTAGGCGGCGTCCCTATTCGGCAAACGTAATGGGCGATAGCCAAGCTACTATCCTTGCCTGGGTGCCGTAGTCCATCGAGTCCGGCGACTAAGCCAGCCCCAGCCAGCCAAAGTTTAATGAATGCTGACAAGCGTCTGACCGAAAGCGCTTGGAGCTGAACAAATATGCACTTTAGCAATACCTTAATAACACGGGGCCTTCGGTGAGTTCTGCAAATAAAACAGCTGAGCCATTCCTATCCTATAATATGTGCATTTTACATGCGGTCCAGTCTCGGCGGTGATCGAAGGCTCTATACTGGGAAATGCTATTGGTTAACTACCTTCCTGCATACTACGTAGCCGCGAAGAAGAGTAATAAGCAGATTAGAGGTAAAAAGGGGAACCAAGCCAGGCAACTATTGGCGTCTATTATCTTCTGACCTGGCTTATCCAATCGGCCCTTTTCATTTATTCGCATACAAAAAGTAGTCTTACCTACCTAAGTAAAAATACTGACGCAACTAAAGCAGAATTAAAGTCAAACCCTTCGCTGAAAGACTCAACTGAGCCACGGAGGGAAGTTAAATCGTTAAACGTGCAATATACGGATACTCGTGATCACTTCAAATGTTCATCTTATGACATTTTCAGCTATTGTTGGTTTCAGCCTCGGCAGTGTCGTGGTTAGTAGTAAGACTGAGGAGGAAGCTCTCTTCTGCTAATCGAACATATTTGGAAGTTCTATTGATTAGTAAAAGACGTGATCCGTGACCTATCATTTATCTACCCACCTAGGTAGGTATACAAGATGCGCAACTGGCTAAGTACCTAGGATACGCCAGGTTAGTAACCGCTTAAAGTTACGGTATACGAGTCGTAGGTCTGAAATATTGATTGCTGATAGAAGTTGAGGTTATTTGACGATGGGATTGAGACACTTATCGAATGTGGTAAGCGCCGGTAAGAATATGATTTTGTCTATCACCATACGCATAAGACCCACAGTCACCTACCACCACATTGACGACCATGACCCAAAGTTGCATTCGTCTAGTCTTATGGCCTCTATTTAGGTAGAGAGCTGGGATAATAGTTTTCGGTATTATCTAACTACCTGGCTCTAGTGCTGTATGCCCCCAACCATGCCATATACAGGCGGACGATCTCTCTGGATTATCAAATGGTTTGGTTGTGTTTTGTTTATGCCGCAGATTTTTCTACACTTCGTTCTAGTAAGGGTGTAAGATACCTGAGCGATGAAGCATGGTTGGAAATTTAAAAGGGCAGGTTATCCCTAGCGGCGGGACCCTCACGCTAGGCTTCCGGCGTCACTTTCCGATCTTGAAAGGGAACACACTGAAGTACGTAATCACTACCTAGCCATATCTATAGAGGTACTTGATCATATACAAGAGGATCGCCCTTACATCGCCCTTACGTACCTATCTAGGAATACTTGAGATATCAAAAGAGATAAGATATCAGCGTGTCTGTAGATATTTGGGCTGGGTGATATTTATTTTACGTCGTCAATTAATCCCTCGACTCGAAACTCGATAATAAATAAATTGTACCTAAATATTGTCGCCGCTGAATTAAGCTTTATAATTCATAGGATGTGCGTGTAAACTAGCCAGATAATCTTGGCCCAACTCCAATGTATGCCGATGAATCCGGGGTTTCCCATCTAGACGGGACTACTGATCCATGTAGGACCCTCATGTACCCCAGAACCCCGGAATCCCAGATATGATAAAGAACAACGTCCAGAAAGACCTAACCGCTTTAGACACGCCAAATCTAAGCTATATATCTAAGTAGCTGGCGCTCATTCTAACCGCCTTGCGTCGTTAGAAGCCCGGTCATGACCCTCCCTTTGTCCTTTACCATTGTACTAATTCATCAAATATTTTAACGCATACTACTTTGCTTTATTATTTCGAAATCCACTATGGGGGATATAGAGTCTAAAACTGATTCTCCCGACAAACGGAGCCTGAACATGGTGGCTTCTACTATGGAAGGCCAGACCGAGAGGGCTGAGCCAGAAGGTATAAGCGGAACGAAACGTGGACTTAAGTCACGCCATGTTCAGATGATCGGGCTCGGTGGCACCATTGGCACGGGTCTTTTCATCGGAACTGGTCAAGGTCTACGCATGGGGGGACCAGTTGGGCTCTTTGCGGCGTACACTTTTATGTCCATAGTCGTATTCGGAATCATCACCGGTACCAGCGAAATGAGTTCCTACCTACCGGTAGCCGGATCATCGATATCATATTACGCTCGACGGTTCATGTCGCCCAGTCTATCTTTCGCCCTTGGATGGTTATACTGTTATATCTGGACCATCGCCGTACCGAGCGAAATAACTGCCGCCGGCCTCGTCGTTCAGTACTGGAACCCACCAGTACATCCCGCTGTCTGGACCGCCATTTTCATCGCCGTCATAATCTGCCTCAACTTTACGCCTGTCAAAGTATACGGGGAGACTGAATTCTGGTTTGCATCGTTCAAAATATTGGGCATCGTGGGTCTTCTCTTCATGGCCGTTATTCTGGTGGCGGGTGGCGGACCGAATCATCACATCCTTGGTTTCCAATACTGGACGAATCCGGGACCGGTCAATGAATACCTGGTACCTGGGGCGGCTGGCCAACTTGTGGCAATCATATCGGCGACAACCTTCTCGGTTTATGCGTTTGCTTATGCGCCGGAGCTCCTCGTCGTAACTTCAGGGGAAATGAAAAATCCAAGAACGAACCTACCGAAAGCCGGAAAACGTTATATCTACCGCCTCATCATCTTTTATATTTTAGGATCATTTTTCATCGGATTGATTATACCGAGCAATGATCCGGAACTCCTCGGTGGCAGCTCAGGTGCAGGAGCTTCTCCATGGGCTTTGGCTGCAAAAAACGCTGGCATACGAGGATTGGATTCTGTTATAAACTTCGTTATCCTCACATCGGCGGTATCTGCGGGTAACTCATCTCTCTACCTATCCAGCAGAACACTATATTCTATGGCTCTCACTGGCGCTGCACCCAAGATCTTCCTCCGATGCACTTCAAACGGGATACCATACGTGGCATTAGCTTTCACTTCTCTCTTCAGCTCATTGGCATTTCTTAACCTATCTTCCTCGGGCGCCGACATTTTCACTTGGTTGGTGAACTTCCTGAATTCCGGTGCTTTTATCGGTTGGATCTGTTGCGCACTACTATACCTTCGATTTCGAAAGGCAACATTCGTCCAAAATGTTCACGAGCTTCCCTATAGATCCATTTTCCAACCTTATATGTCCTGGTTCTGTGCGTCGGTACTTACCCTTCTTTTGCTGTTGAATGGGCTATCAACCTTTCTCCCGGGACAGTGGAATACCCAGGATTTCATTTCGGCATATATCGGAATCCCCGTTTTCTTGGCCTTTTATCTTGGTCATAAATTCACTGTTGGACGTCGGGATCCTTGGCTCATTTCACCGCATGATGTGGACCTGCACACGGGGTTGGAAGATATTATTGCGAATGAGAAGCCTGTACCTCAACGGAAAGGTTGGAAGCATTTCGGTGATTCGTTGTTTAATTAGACCAGCCACGAGAACGGTGTACTGTTGGACCAAGCTTAGACTAAAAAAGAGAAAGGGGGAGAGAAAAACGCGCTGGACGGGGTATCCATCTATCAAGCCTTATTATTAGTACTAAATCCAATAATATGTGTACCTTTTTGACTGCCTACATAGGTACCTACCTAGGTATAAACAAGTTGAGGGACCCGTCATGCTTCTTCACAAATAAGAGTAACCCTATACGCATCTCGCAGTCGAACGAGCATTTCTAGATCCATATCATCAAGACAATCGTCAATCCTCTTGCGCACCTCACTATCAGTTTCTCCAGTATGCTTCTTTACCTCCAAACGATGTGCTTTAAACAGGTATGCCATCACAGCAACCGTCTCCACTTCTGCAAACTTCTTGCCCGGGCAGATCTGTGGTCCTTCACCCCATGGGAAAAAGATCTGTTTACTTGGGACAAAGAATTGCTCCTTAGATAACTGTTCGGCCGTGGGCGAGTCTGCAGGTGCAGGGCCCAGGATCCATCGTGATGGTCGCCATGCTACTCCGTCGGACCAATATTGTGGGTGCACTTGCATAGCCCGTAAGTTAACAGTGAGGTTTGTTCCCTCCGGAATGCAAAGGGTCCCGTCACCGACGTCTAATTTCTGCGTCCCGTTGGAGGCAATTGATGGTAATGCAGGTACGGGTGGATATAGACGTAATGTTTCGTAAATAACGGCGCGGCAACGCTCGAGTCGCGGGAAGATTTCCTTATAGTCGCACGCCTCTACAGGTTGACCTCTAGTAACAGTAGCGGATTCAGCTGCTAGCCAGTCTTGCACTTCTAGATAGGCTGCTAGAAGAAGCATAGCGAACGCCAACGTGTTGGCGGTAGTATCATGGCCTGCGAAGTTGATGACGAAGGGGTTGCCAAAGATCTCGTCGATTGAGAGCCCCTTTTTACTATTTTCATGGTCGGCTCGGTGCATGTCGGCGGCACGTACGAAGGTCGACATGATACCACCAGACCCAGATTTGCCTTGATTGAGCGCCGTGATCTCATCATCAAGCATCTTCGCCATGTGTTGCTTGAAAACGATGCCTGCGTTGCCGATTCTAGCCCAATTCCCAGGCATCATGCACAGAACACGGAAGGGAACCAGCATTAACAGAATGATATTATCAAGGACGGTCTGAAGAGAATCGCGGTAACTCCCAATTTCGTCGATTATAGGTTCAGTAGAGCCACGGAAATCGTACAGTTTTCGGAAGCCGGTTGCTGCCAGTACGTTGAGTGAAAGTGTTCGCGTATCTTTTTGGTAACTTGCGACTCCTGTGGTAGACGCGCTGGCCCATAACTGTACCATCCCTTTGGTCTGGCGAACCGACTCTTCCCAGACGAATTTCATGATGGTCTCATTGAATGGTGTGGCCATCACTTTGCGATGACGAGGCCAATCGTCCCATTTCGCCGTCGAAATACAAGGTCCATAAAGCTCTAGCAATTCTGTGTATCTAATAAGTAGTGTTCTTCTACGTTTAATTGCGAGCAAACTCACTCAACTCTTTGGTGGGCCGTTGGAAGTCACCGCGTCGGTTTACAATGTTGTGGATAGTATCCGGGTCGGCGAAGTGCAGATTGATGGCCATGGGCGAAATGAGGGCCCAAACCGGTCCCAATTGTACATGAATATCTGCTCGTTCAGCAACAAACCATCCTCGACGGGAGAAGCGCACGAATCGCGGCTAAGAAGACCATTTCAAAGGAAGCCTGTCTAGAATTTTCCAAACATGAGGCTGGAAAATAATCCAAAATACGTTATTTGAGTCAATAGGTAGGCGTACGATAGGCACCTTGAACTATCAAGCTTTGCGAACATTGGCTTCTAAACAAGCAATGCTCCAAGCAATATAGGTCAGGGTACAACCCCGCAAGACTTTTCCAATCATGACTGCAATGGCAGCGGTTTATTAAAATCCGAAGGTCTACATTTATGGCTAACTTTTCTTAAAAAGGTTTTTGGTTTTGATGTTGGTCTCGAGTTTTCGTGTTGGTTGAGGGTCTTTTCTCTGCCCAGCTCCCAACCACATCCTCACTTCCTATCATTGTTTTTTATATGCTTAGCAGCTTACATGCATTTGTCTGTATTAACTTTATATATATCATTATTTTTTTCATTCCATTGAGTTGATAAGCAGGAGAAGTTGGGTGTTTGATGTACCTAGGTACAGAAACGTGCCAAGATTACAGCGTATTTGTGTGTAGAGATCTGGATATTAGGGGCATTAAATGCCGCCTAGCGGACGGCCTACTGGCGTACCTACGGCGAGAAATATAGTAATAGTGATATGTGATCTCGTTTCTTTTCAACTTCGAGGAGTATGTCAATAATTGAGTAGACTATAATCAACCAATAAGAACAGACATATTGTCGTATTGTCAGTGATCCATCCCCGTGAAAAGTTGCATCAACAAGAGGTACTAGGAGTCCCTAGAGCTCCCCCCTGTAACTATAAGGGAACCTTTTCCCGTCCAGGGTGCCCCACCGCGTATTGGGGTTGTTGGAATAGGTAAGTAATCCCGCCCCGATCCGTTGGGGGCTAGAATCTCGCGAGTCGGGGTCGCAATTATTCGAGTCCACCGGTTCGGTAGGAAGTTTATCATGCGATCACCTGTTATTGCTTATAATCTTTTTGCGTCTTGTGTATAATATATTTGATTCATATGTAGGTGCGTCTTGCCGAAAAGGCTTAATTTTTAAAGAATAAAGGCACTTTAGGATTATGACAATTAGGCATTCTAATAGGGGCTATTTACTTATCTTAGGCCTAAACTTTTAGCACCTAACATCCACCATGGCAAACAGAGGTGTTTCCTATGATCCAAGCGTTCATACCATCGCGGATTTGAAGGAGTTGGGGTGTCGAAAAATTCCGGTGATGTATCGAGGTGAGAATTTTATACTCTCTTGCCTCATTGTCAATATTTGAGATGTTCTTGTTGTAATTGTTAATTCTATCTGCTAGATTACTTTAACGAAGGCGCTATGGATTTAGTGACGTAAGCCCCCCAAGCTTGCTAATTAACTCCTATAATTAGCGCCTCACCGCTAACGATCAACAGCCTGAAAGATAACGAGGCCGCTTATGACCGCTATAAAATTAAGCCAAGGATTCTTGTCAATGTTGACAACATCGACCTATCTGGTGAAATATTTGGAAAGAAGACAGGCTTACCGCTGGGCTTCAGCCCAGCAGCGATGCACAAACTGGCGCATCCTGATGGAGAGGCCGCAGTTTCACGCGCAGCAGCTAAATTTAATCTCTGCATGGGACTATCTTCATATGCGACTGAATCGCTGGAGACAGTAGCAGCTCAGGGGACGGGGAACCCGTATATAATGCAACTATGTGTCTTGAAGGACCGTGAAACTAGTCTTCAGATACTAAGACGAGCAGAAGGTATCAATGCATTCTAAGTTGTGATATGGACGTGCGACACCGATTCTAACAGCTTAAAAAGCGGCCGGATATTCCGCTGTCTTCGTGTCTGTAGATACCCCTCTCCTCGGTCGTCGCCTGAATGAATATCGAAACGGTTTCTTACTCCCAGATGGTCTAACCTGGCCAAATCTCCTATCAGACGGAAAGTCCGAACTCAGAGGAGCGGAACGCGAAACCAAAGAGGCTCAGAATCACGATTTTGATCCTTCGTTAGATTGGGATTCGGCGATCCCATGGCTCCGAGCTAACACGAAGTTACAAGTTTGGATTAAAGGAGTTTACTGTGCTGAAGACGTTCAACTAGCTGTTCAACATGGTTTAGATGGCGTTGTGGTATCAAATCATGGAGGCCGTCAATTAGACGGTGTTCCAGCGACCTTAGATGCACTAAGAGAATGCGCAGTTGCTGCAGCGGGGCGAATACCCATTGCGGTTGATGGAGGCATTAGACGAGGCACGGATATCTTCAAGGCTTTGGCAATGGGCGCTTCGTTCTGCTTTGTAGGCAGAATACCTATATGGGGTCTTGCAGTGAGTGACCAATTACCTATTGATAGTCTCAATATGCTAATCTCATCATAGTACGGCGGACAGGAAGGTGTTGAGCTCGCGATTCAAATTCTCCGGGATGAATTCAAGATAGCGATGGCATTAGCAGGGTATGTACCTATTTTTTATCTAGATGTCCACTAATACTGACCAAGCTCATCTTGCAGTTGTCGGACTATTAAAGATATTACCAGAGCGCATATTACTTATCTCAACTCGGAAGGTATTCTAGCTAGACTTTAAGACGTGAAGGCGTATTGTTTATTCTGTAGTTGGGTTGGAAATCTACTTAGAAGCTTTAGCGGGTTTAGGGTCTAGTTAGGCGGATATTTACGAGGAGTATAGCGCTAAGTCTCACTGTAATTATAATCCTCGCCCTCTTGACGAAATAAAGACCTTTTGAGCCGAACATGATCGTTAAATGTTTAGCGCTTATAACACCCAAAGCTCCCTACGATTACAGCGTGTTTCAGTACACTACCGCCTATCGTACCGCCCCTCTTTCCCTCTTCGTTAACAGGTCCTCGGTAGCCTACGGTGAAGCGACGCCTACATGTAAGTTGTGGCTACCCAGGTATGTTTAATTAGAATATTAACCTGATCATCGACTCATTGAGCTTTTAACCTATCCGTGGGAACTATTCAACTTATTAGAAGAAATTGAATTACTTAACGAATAGTTTACCACCTAGCTTTCCAAGTTATTTTATCCTATTATTTCTGTACTACTTGGGCTTGGTCACCTAACCAACTGATTTATAGGGGAGTTGGCGCTGCTGGGCCAGAGCGCACAGCCGCTAACCCCACTATAGTTATCCGGCCTAGCAGTGCAATAGTTATTATCATATCAGCCGAGAGTTTCGCTTCACGTTACCGACGAAGTGCCTAAAACAAATCAGTTGATTAATACATTTTTCTACACTACTATTTAATCCTAATAAACCTATTATCCTAGATTGAGTCAAGTGAAACAAATCCTGCCTTACGAATGGGAAGGTTAACGCGGCACTAGTAGAGTCCCCCACGTTACCGAAAGAACTAGGGGCTTACTCCTCAAAATGAAATAGATTTAGGGGACTTGGACATATCGGGGAGGCCTTCCCAATTACCTATCTAAAGTAAGGCAAGTGAGCACGAGTGCCCTACTCAAGCGAAGGCGGATCCGATGACGCATATGAGGAAACGGTAATGAATTCGATGAATGGAAATATCTTGAATTATGATATTACTAGAAAAATCATAATGTGAATATTAAACCCTTTAAAAGTTCTCAGTTTTGCCAGGGATAATTGCACAGCCCTATAATACCCCTTTTCTAAGAGAAATAACCAACACATTGAGCATTATACTATCTGTTACTTGTATCAAATCTTTCGACATGGCAACCCAAGAACTCAAAGGTATCCTAGTCGCCCTCATAACTCCTTACACAGAAAATCAGAAATCCATCGATATGGTCGCGTTAGATGAACATGTGAACCGCCTTATCAATGCTGGGGTACATGGATTGGTTCCTGGTGGCAGCACGGGCGAGTTCACAGCGCTTAGCACCGAAGAGCGCAAATTTCTCATAGAACAAGTCGTCAAGTCGGCAGCCGGCCGTGTACCTGTTGTTGCGGGGATCGGCGGGTTATCTACGGCGAGCAGTGTGGAACTTGCAGAACACGCCGCAAAAGCGGGCGCAGCAGCTTTGATGGTCGTGCCACCTTTTTACGACGCGCCGAACATTGAGCAGCTACGAGAGTTACTCCAAGAAGTTCATGTCGCCAGCAAATTGCCGATAGTATATTATAACATCCCTTCTGCGACTGGTGTCACCCTCGACCCCGAGCAAATTGCGTCTCTATCGGATATCGGAGTCAAGTATATGAAGGATACCTCCGGTAATGGACCCGCTCTGACAGAGCTCCTCTTCCACCATCATAATGCCATTATTACATTCAACGGCTGGGACACCCTTACTTTCTACGGACTTGCAGCCGGAGCTAAGGGATCTGTATGGGGAGCCACCAATATCATCCCAGAACTGTCTATGGAACTCTGGGATGCGTTGGCGGTTAAAGGTGACCTTAAACGGGGAAGGGAGCTGTGGTCGAAGATATTTCCAATTTGCAAGTTCCTTGAGTCCCACAACTATTCTTCTGCTGTTAAGACGGGTATGGAGTTACGGGGTTGGACGACAGGAGGCCTGCGGAAGCCTTTTTCATTATTGAATAAGGACCTGAGAGGCAAGTTAGCGCTCCTTCTACAGAATGCTGGGGTGAAAACTGTATAAGGATTTGGGTTGGTTAGACGATGTTGAGATAGCTACTAAGAAACTGACAATCTTACACAACGAAACAAGATGAAATTAAGTATCTTGTCGCGTGTTTGGTGAACTTCGAAATTTGTGTCCATACTCAACGCCTCTCACTGTTTATCAAATCTCGAATTACATCGGTGTACCTAGGTATTCAGCGGTTAAGGCTTTGAAACTTGCCGGTACTGGATTATTCTAACATTCACTCCCAAGTGTGACAATTACGTAATCATGAAATAGGGGCGATGAGCCGGATAATTCGACTCAGTTGACGGTCGGAAAAGGGATTCCTTACCCTCAAAACACGGCTATCTGGATATTCTAGAGTCTGTTGCCCATATTTACATGGATGGCCTTGATTTGCGTGTACGCCTCTAAACCCGCTTCACCAAGCTCCCGACCGATTCCACTTTGCTTCACACCGCCGAACGGCACTCTCGGGTCACAGTCTTGGCTACTATTGACCCACACCATGCCCGCTTCAATCTCAGCGGCAACGCGATGCGCTCTTTCGAGATTAGTCGTAAAAACGGCAGCTCCCAGTCCGTATGTGGTGTCGTTTGCAAGAGCTACGGCTTGATCCTCGTCGGCGAACTTTGAGATAACGACAAATGGACCGAATACTTCTTCCTGCCAGATGCGCATCGATGGAGAAACGTTTGTAAATACCGTTGGGCTAACATAAAGCCCCTTGCCGTTACTATTGATATTGAGAGGCTCTCCGCCAAATGCGAGGGTGGCCCCCTCGCCTTTCCCAATGTTTACGTAATCCAACACACGCTGGTACTGGGCTTTAGATACTTGGGGTCCCTGATAAGTATCTTTACCCCATTGATTCCCAACTTTACTTGTACTCTTAGTAGTTTCGAGAAATTTAGCCAGGAATTCATCGTACACTCGCTCGTGGACTAGTATCCGTGACGTCGCGGTACAAATTTGACCCTGGTTCGACATAATGCCTAGGTGCGACCACTTGACAGCCTGTTCCATCTCGGCGTCTTCAAAGACAATCAATGGTGATTTTCCTCCTGTCTCGAGGCTAATATTCTTAAGAGTCTTTGCGGCAGCGCCCATGATAGCGCTTGCAGTTGCAGTACTGCCAGTAAAGGCAACCTTGTCCACCAGGGGGTGACTCACCAGGACAGACCCCGTCACATTCCCTAGACCATTCAAGAAGTTAACCACACCAGGAGGGAACCCTGCTTTTTTGACCAAAGTCCCTAAAACAAGGATACTCAATGGAGTTTGCTCTGCTGTTTTGAGAACTACCGTATTTCCACAAGCAAGGGCCGGCCCTAACTTCCAAGTTGCCATTGAGAGAGGATAATTCCATGGAATTATTTGCGCTACCACTCCTACCGGTTGGCGAATCGTGTAGGCAAATTTCTGATGGGTGGTACTAATAGTCTGGCCGAAGACTTTGTCTGCCCACCCAGCATAATAGCGGATCACACCTACGGCCTCTACGAGGTCGTTTTCTAGTGCCTCGAGGTAGGTTTTGCCTAAATACAATTTATTGTCAATGGTATTTACTCATATCACTCGGGCCGCGACTCAAGGAGTAGAGGTTTCGCGTTATGGGGAACAACTTACCATTATCCCATGCATCTATAGTAGCAAAAAGCTCGCGATTCTCTTCGATAAGGTCCGCGAGCTTGTAGAGGAGAGCTCCGCGGTCTGAAGCCGAGAGTAGTTTCCAAGAAGGACCCTTAAGTGCTTTACGAGCTGCTTTGACCGCATTATCAACATCTGCGACGCTCGCAGCTTGTACAGTCGCTATCTTTTCTTCGGTGCTAAAAGGAGTCAGCTTTAGCTGATTTAAGAAGGATACAAAGCTCATAAATCTAGACTTTTGAAGGTAGGGGGGACTAACGCTGGATCAATTGAGTCTACGCTGCTCCCATCGGCTGATAGGAGAAATTCGTTATTGATGAATAGGCCCGTCGGTTGGGCGTATTTGACTCCATTCGGAGCCACCAAGTCGATAAAAGGAGCGGACGCCATGATTTTTGATAATCGGGCAAGTTCAAGCCCCTCGAGCAACTTTCAAAAAGACGGAACTTATTCGCTCAGTTTAGACAATTATAAAGTGTTACGATAACATTGAGGTTCCGAATATCTTATCGGATTATTGGGTTCTATGTATTTCCGGGACGGAACGTTGCTGTCTTCGTTCGGAGAAGGTTGCTACTACCCGAGTATGATTCCGTATCCGGGTGCCTACCCGCTTACGTAGAGAAGGAGCGATCTACGGGGCTTCGATCTATCATGCAGTTAGGCAATTGGAAAGAGGGAAGTTATCACCTCTAGCATCCAAGGAAGGTGCCTGTCTGGTGATCGAGGACCTCCTGACTACTTTAGAAGCGGGTTGGTGATTTAGTGGGTACTGTTAATGGGTGGATCTACTCGGCGCGGAAACTTTCCATTCTCAGCAACGTACGATGATTTCCATTTAATTTACTTATCTCGAGTCTCAAAAAATAGACACTATCGAAAGTTTTTAATAAGATAAGCGAATGGGTTACCATTACAAATCGAATGACTTGACGTATTTAAAATACGCTTATTGATACAATGGCCGGGCTAGTATCTTGTTTTGAATAGCGAAGGTCGGGGTTCTGTAGGGGCAGAGGGGATACAGAACGGCTTATGTATGATCCTACCCCTCAGTCAAGATGGTTTCCATAATTAAAGGGGGGCGGGGTAGTAAAGGCTTAGATAATACACATGGCTATTAGGTAATCTTTGTGGTGATATGGTATTATGTAAGTTTCTTACCTAATCAATATAGATGTCTTATGTGAGTGGGTTATGTAATGTGGCTTTCTTAGATAATCCAACTTTGTTGATGGACGCTTACATAAAGAAGTCGGATTTGGGGTTAGGAGCCTAGGGTCAAGGATTAGGGGCTAGGGTTAGGGTTAAGTGAGATCTACAGCGATTCCATTCACCCACACTCAAGCCTGCCTACCCGCCTCCTCTGCTACAGCTCGAGGGATCTCCTCTTCTAGACTCGTGCTCTGCGGTTTCCATCCTAGTAGTCCCATAGCCCGTGAACCTAGGCCCCTGGCATTCGTTCCATAGAAGACCGACCCAGCTGGAAGTATGATATCAGCCAGGGGTCCATCTACTTTTTCAACCTTAGCTCCCGAATCTAATAAACCCTGAGATACCGCACTCTCTACGACTCTTTGAGATATCTCCCCAAAAGCCTTGTGAGAATACGTTAGTCTAAGCCGAACAACGAACGACACTTGAAACATTTACTTACAATTTCTCCAACTCCGGTAAGGTAAATGCCATTCCCAGACCAAATATCACCGCTATTGTTCCCCTGGGAAGCTTCGTGGACTAGTTTTGAAACGAGCTTGCCCAGGTCTTTTATATGCACATTGCTCCACTTGCTTAAGCCCTCTCCCACCTGCACCCCTTTACCCCTTTCCAGTGTAACCTTAGCGAGGTTGGGGATTTGGACACTGCGCTGGTTCACCGGTCCCTGACCTTTTCCATAGATGATAGGCGGGAAGATCAATGCAGTCTTGATTCCAGGGTTCTGTTCAGCCACGTCTAGTATATAATTATCGACCACCCTGCTGCTCTTATGTGCTCGTATCAAGTCGCGAATCTCCGACGCCTTTTTCAAGTCGTCATAGACAATCGAAGAGGCGGATCCTGCAACAAAGGATGGTGACGAGATGTCGCCTACAGCTAAGGCAGAGGCACCAGACACTTGAACCCAATATGCTATTGGCAATAACGCGTCAGGACTAACATAGTATTATAAATACCAATTATAAAACAGAAACACAAACCAGGACTGGATTCTTTACGCTGCGATAGCGCCTTGTGAATAGTTTCCACGCTCTTCAAATGCTTGTTGTGAGCAAGGTCTGTTTACGATGTCAGGATAAGCTGGTATAAGTTATGATATCAAGAAGACTAACGCAGGATGATGTCTGCTTTCGATGCATTATCTCTGATGATATCGATATCGTCTAGGCTTCCCTGTACGAGCTCTACCTCAGGAAATTTGCTAGATATGATCCTGGCATTTTCGTTTCCACGGACAAGCGCGGCGATGGTATGCTTGATACCACTCTGGGATAATTCATAGAGAACCTGGCCGCCGATGTACCCGGAGGCGCCTGTCCTGCCCCAAAGTGTAAGCAGTTGTAAGTCTGGTACTTAGTATGACAGGGGTGTTCGTTGCTTCCTACAGAAATATTTTAGCCATTTCCTCCCACAGAACTATTCTGATGGCAACCCTGATCACTGACAAGACCTTCAAGAAGTTGAGTACCTGAATACGTCGAGTATATCACAACTTCCTATTATTAAAGTAATCCATAAGACGCATGAGATAGCTTCAATGGGTCGAATACTTAGATGAAAGAACACCATGGCCCTTCTGACCCCGCCGTCCCCACAATATTCGATATCATTTACGATAGATGGGTGGGACTGTCGGGGAAACCTTCCAATTCATCAAGTAGCTAAGCTAATGGTATTACTTACAGCCCAAGTCCCTGCCAGGCTCTAGATCGCAGCTAGACCGCTATTACGTCAACTATCCCTTTGCGAAGATACTGTCGAGTATACCAAGAAGGATATCGGCTACGAAGGAATGTGTTAGTTACACATCCATAGGAATTCGTTCTATGGAGACGAGGATGTAGGTACTTACCATGTTGTTTTTCGAAGATGAGCATCGGCCGTAACCGAATAGTTCTTTCCCCACATCCCCCTATGTTTAGCCCCTTTTGCTTTGCGAGCTTAATCACTTCATCCCTTCGCGGACTATCCCAAGCGATGAAAGTCCCGCGATCCTTGCCACGAAGGTCGAGGAGTTCCTTAGGGTACTTGCGGGCCAGTTCTTCCAGCTTGCCGTAAAGATATTGCCCCACTTCCGCCATTTTCTGCACCAAGTTGAGTCTTTCGATCTCGTTATACAAACCACGGAAAAGGAGCGCTCTTGCGGGATCGCCCATCCAAGTATTAAATTGTCTGTACGGTAGATTTGGCCTTAAAGAAGTATCGCGGTAATAGAAACCAGCGGCTTGAGCTTTCTTCGAGAAAGTGACGATATCCGGGGGTGTTTTTAAGTTCCAGTGTTCATGCGCCCAGAACTTGCCCGTTGCCCCCACTCCTGTTTGTACTTCGTCAACAATCAGTAGGACGCCTTTCCGTGCAGTTAAGTCTCGTAACCCCTGGAAGAAGGCAGGTGATGCGTGGTTGTCGCCACCCTCTGATTGAATTGGTTCTACAACCACAGCCACTACTGGTTTGGGAAAGGAGTCGATGATCCTCTCGGTTTCGCGGAGGCACCGTTGTTCCTCAGCTGCGTTTTCCGCTTCGTGTTTAGCTAAAGGATATTTTAACTTAGGAAATGGAGCCTGAGGCCAGTCAAAAGCCGGAATATCCAATTTATGAATTGGTTTGCTTCGAGTGGTGGATAGGCTACCGAATAGCCGCCCATGGAAGCCTCCATTGAAGCTAAGAATGGAATATTCTGGGGCTCCGGGAGCCTTATTCTGCATTGCAGAACTGATCTCCGCATCACTAAACGTAGCATTGCCACGCTCTTGGGTACGACGCCAAATAAAAGCCGCCTTGTATGCAGTTTCATTCGCATCAGAACCTGTTGTTGCAGTGAACACTTGATTTAAGCCCTTCGGTGCTGCCCGGAGAAGCCCGGTGGACAGTATCTCAGACCATTTTGTCGAAGGGAAGTTTCCTATGGCGGGTCGGTTGATTATTGCTGAAACCATTTCGGGTGATGAAGCCACCTTGGCAAGATACGGATTATTGTATCCTAGAGGTATAGATGCTATTTGAGCAAAACTGTTCACCTTGTCAACTGGCTGAACTGTCGTGATTGGAGTGCCAGAACGGTAGCTTAGTATATACATACACATCTAATAATTTATTGCCATCACCGTCAACCACGCTACGTATATTAGATATAACTGTTAGAGTCCCTACTGGAGCAAACGCGTGACGTACTAGTTCCCGACTGATTTATTGTAGTCTACCAACATATTCGCACTGCGAACGTCGAATACTTGATCCAGTACCTTCAGAGCGGCCTGCGAGCGAGGTCCCGGGACGGGAGTTTGTACTCCAGGACGATCAGGTTCATCTGGAAATAATGATGTGCGCTTCCGTTGTATGGTGCTGGAAAATCCCCTTGAGCATCGTGCTGACGGGCGCCATCGTACGGCTCGTAAAATGGCCCGTCCGTCTTGTAATGCTATCATGATAGTTAGTGGAGGGAAGATAGTTTTGGTGACGGTAGTAAATCCCAACGTCGAAAGTTTCGATATCGAGTGCTTAGACGATTACTTACGAGATGTGTCTTTGTCACTATTTACTTGTAGTAACTACCTTGATAGGTACCTAGGTACTTCTCTGAAAGACCGAGTTGGAAAATAGGAGAGCTTACATAATGCGCGAGATCATCGTAGCCCGAGAAGAATATAGACAGTTTACTTACCATGTAAATTCCGGGTGTTGTATGGCCGGGGAAACTTTCCTTTTCCATTTCGGCTTGATGAGGACCCAAGTGGGGCGCGATATCAACGCCGTCGTTAGTGAGTCCCACCCTAGTCGTGTCCCTCCTTTTTCTTCCCCTCACTTTCCTACAAAACAAATATTCAACGCCGCGGTGAACTTCCAACATATGGCGTGCGATATAACAACACTTATGGAAGGTCTTTCCTAGACTTCATACCCACCAACTTCGTTCAGCCGGTACTATTTCGGGTTTTCGCAATACCTTTGTTCCGCTTAGTGAGCATGGGTGGTGACGCTACTGTTTCGCGGTCACGGTCCTTCACTGGTTGCAAAACCTGTCGGACCAGACATGCTAAATGTGACGAAGGCAAGCCCGAATGTGAGGTCTGCAAGCGGGTCGGTATCACTTGTGAAGGATACGAGCCACAATTATTTTGGATTACCGATGATTCCGTCCCCGATGTCTCCACATCTACGGAGTTACGGAAGAACAACCGCGGAGCGGGCTTTAGGTACCCACTCTTTTCTGGCAGGTGCCCCCCCCGCCATTCATTTAAAATATCAGTCACCCTCATATTCCGCGTATATCACGCTTTGCAATATGAAAGCTGACTTTCTTATAGAAGGTTATCGCCGTAAGATGAGTGTGCGCATGAGCGAGAGCATGTGCAAGAGTTCTGCCACGGAATTATTACTCCAAATAGACTCCAAATGTGAAAGCTGTGAGGCGGGCCGCCTTTATTCAGAGCATATCGTGCTTGGTCCGTTTAGTGTTTTCGATGCGAAGCATTCAGAGCCTATTATGGATGTCTTGCCGTCAACCCCCGATGACCCAGTTGGCCCGGGTTCTTATGCAATGTTCCTTGACACTTGCCATAACCGAGAAGAGCAATTCGAAGGAGCCGACCAGCAAAATTGGGTCGAGTTCACCAGTGAAATGAATATGGACATGTTCCTAAGCCCTGTGGACCCCTCTTTGAATAATCAATCCCAAGACCACCAAAATTTGATGGGGTTATCAGGCTTAGAGGCTTCCAATTTCTTGAATCTGGATTCCGAATACGAAATTGGAATAGAACCAATGATTGACAATGTGGCGACGGGCGGTAATGAAAGTCTAGCTAATCCTAGGCGCCAGGAAGGCGAAGACGACGAAGCAAGAGCAATAATACCATTGACTCCATCCCTTGGGAGTCAGGGTATCAGGGATTATGACTCGTCTGGAACACTAGATCAGGCGGAGCATCTATTGAGGTACTATAAACATCGCATCACGCAGCCCACGTCTAGAATCCAAGCTCAGCGAAAATCGCCGTGGCAGATCTTGTTTCTGCCTTGCGCGTTGGAGACTTTCGCTGAAATAACTTTGTTTGGTCGTGCATCTCATACCCGCTCAGCTGTGTTATATTCTGTATTAGCCAATAGTGCTTTTCAGCTTCATACGGCCACATCCGAAAAGGCGGATCCCATATCCTCTCGCTGGCTTGAACTGGGCACTAAACATCGAGATACGGCGAAAGACCACCTTCGCCAGGCTCTGCGGACCGAGATGTACGGGCCAAACAAATCGAAGTATAAGGAACTACTGATGGCTATGTTAGGCTGCGCAATAACAGTTGTAAGGAATTTCCACATCGCAGGGGATGTTTTGGATAAAACTCACTGATGAATGCATGATAGCTTCGCGGGAATGCTCAAACTTTTAAATATCTTCTTTTAGGCGCCGAACGTCTCATCCGCCTTCGTGGTCTAGACTCGAAGAAAACTTTCAAAGTCCGCCTCCTTCACCACATGTACACGTATCTCCGCATTATGGCCGAGAGCACCGCGGCTGGTACAGAATTCAAGGAGCATCTGGATGAGCAGTTCGAATTAACGACCCCGTCTGCTGTTACACTACGCCAGTTCCACGTCGCTGAAGAGTCTTTGACCTTAGGCCTAGACCCAGAACAAGAAAAGGTAACGGACTTGGGGTATAATGACATCCATCTAGAAGTTCAAGGTACATGGAAAGAGACTTTGTTTCCCACAATCTATGGGATCCCCGAGTCTCTTATCACACTTCTGTCCCAGGTAATCTCGGCCGCAAACGGCAAAGCCAGATTGGAATCCATCGCTCAAAAGGATGCAGATGTTTCTGCAGCATTAGCGAGCCATATAAAAACACTAGAAAACAGTGTATGGTCATGGACCCTTCCTGCAGCGCAACTCGGACCGGCGAGACCCCAGACTGATGAGCGCCAAGATCTTCTCGAAAACCCAAACACAAGGTTCATGGTCCTGGCGATGCACCAAGCCGTCATCATCTATTTTTACAGGCGTATATATAACATGAGCGCGATGATGCTGCAGCATCTCGTAAAGCAGACGCTCGATTACTTGCAACCTTGTGTAGATGCGGGTATCGAGGACGAGGACTTTGCTGCCAGTATTGCTTGGCCCGCATTTATTGCTGGATGTGAAGCAACCTCACCCGAACTCCAAGCTCGCGCGCAGGAAAGCATCTCTATCATAGAAAGTAGAGCCGCCGTCTTCACCCCCGAGCCTGCTAGTGTAGTCATCGCCAAGGTATGGGAGCAGCGGTGGGACACAGGAGATTGGACACTGAGCTGGCCTGCTGTGGTGCCACCTGCTATAACTTGAAACGGATATATCCTACATTAAATTAGTTCAAAGAATTTAAACCTATCTGGAGATGTATACCCACGCCGTAAAAGCTGGCGGCTAACAGTACTCGATCTTATGGCCGGGACTACCCCAAGAACGACCTATCCGACTTAGTCGCCGAAATCTTTCAATCACGCCTGAAAAGCCTCCCGAAAAACGTTAGTTGCTTCTTCCGATAATCTAAAATCATGAGAAATATCGTGAAAATGCCAATGACGATGCCTGGTACTCCGATAGCTATAGCGATGATGGCTTCTGCAGTTAACCCTTTTTGTTCGGAGTTTCCTGATCCCCGAATGTGTATTGTGGTGGTATTAAATACTCCCGGTGGCGTCAAGCCATCATATGCAGCCATTGACCGGTGAGGTTGACCCGATATTAAGCGGTATTCGGTGGCGCCTCGTCTCGTTCGGTTACGCTTGATTGAAATGTACCCTGTACTCTTGACCCGCCGCTACATGAGACGGGCGTCCCAGCTCAAGGCTTAAGGGTATAATAGTCAAAATATTAATGGGAAAGAAACAATACCCCAAACACCCAGAAATCCCATTATGGCGATCGGTTTTCTTATATCATCTACCGCCGATCCCGTCAATTCCTGGTGTTACAATTTCGTGAACAGCAAGGCGACTAAGAATAGTATTTAAGTCGGCAGCCGGCTCATAATACAGCGATGGGCGTGATACATGGTATGCGAGGGATTTTTGTTACCCTGTGGCGCAAAGTAGTGTGACCAAGGGCCAGGATTAGGGAGTAGGGTTAGTATTTATATCGGTAGCCACTACCCATTGGGCGAACGCCATCGTTGTCCCCAAATTAAAATATGAGATGTCGGCAAGGCATACATACTCCTAAGATCCTTCAGACGCCTCAATTTCCTTACTCAATGAGGATAGGTGCGGTAGGACAAGAAGCCAGTCCTGGGTCAGTAGTACAACATTGCGCTATTTTACCTGATACTGTGCGAGGGTAAAATTCATATTTATAAAGACAAATCGATGTTTCTGTCGTATGACAGTTAATCTGCGCCTAATTTCCTCTAGTTTTGTGCGACTTTCTCGGGGGCAAAAAGAGACATCCAAACGTAAACTCGCAGAACCGCTCAGCTTTGTCCATCTAGGTCTCCAATTAGCCTTAGAAACTATGGGTAAGGAAGGGAAATTGGCAATCAACGGAATGTTCCTGTCTGGTTCTTGCTGAGTACTAGGCTGGGTAAGGGAAGTCGCTTTCCAATCTGAGACACCCCTGAGTCACCGCTCACCAATGAAAAGATTGACTCGACAAGAGAGAAAAATTGGGGAGTCTAGGAAATTTCTCTACGGTTACCTAAGGACTTACTATCCATAACGCTTAGTAATTCAGATTCCTTCTATTAATAGCATCACGACCTATCAAAGCTCGCTTTTCGCTGGTACATTCCTCGATTAGGCCAGTAGGGTTTAAGGGTAAGGTGTATATTTTACTCTTGAAATATCTTACATTCTCCTAGGTGGCTTTTGGCTAGGGGCTTGAAATTATGATACTGAATGAATTGAAAAGTTAATATGATATGACGTCCACGAGAGCTGTTAGGGGTTTGGCCACGTCGCCAAATATCGCATTCCAACACCACCAACAACATCCCAATCAATGAATAAGAAATAATATTAAACTCGATCGCAGACAAGATACATCACCACCATTTTGATTAAATCAAAGTATTGAAATCCTTCAAGAGTTCGCAGATATTACTCTGGAACCCAAAGTCGCTTATTTGGAACGAGATCGCTTATACCTATGCATATTAATATACAGACCATCCACTTCTGCAGGTCTGACTTGAACTTACAGGTGAAAACGTGCGTAAGAAATGTTGCTGAAATGAGCTCCCAACAGTCCATCTCCTGGGGTTTGGATGGTCGATTGCAAGTCCCAAGAAACGTGTTGTTGATGTCTAACATAGCATAGTTCCCGTCCCCGGTCCCATATAGGGCTATTAGTCGTTAGTAACTCTCAAATCTTATAGAGAAAGGTAGACTTACTGACAGCCCCCGTAGCTCTGTCGAAAAGTGGAAAGGGGTGATCGGTACCATGCCCCACAGCGTCGTCGCGATTATACATCTCGAATCGGTCGACGATCCAGTTCCTCGGAGCATCCGCGCTACAGCCATCACAGGCCCATCGGCCTTTACTGGCATCATTTATGTTGCTAGCCGAAATGGACACTGTATGACCCATATCCGAGCAACTGAGTAGGGCATGATCGTGTATTTGCAATTCGTTTGAGCTAAACGTAACTCCCACATCCGTAATGTCGTTATCCTTTCCAATATATACCGTAAAATCCGCATTAACATTCGTAGCCCCCAGGGCCACGATAATAGCTAGTATTATCATAAGAGGAATCATTTCAGAAATTATAAGTTATAATCTGAAATTGGGAGGCGTATTGAAATGAAAGGTTGGTAGTTCTGAGTGGTTGCTAAAACCGTCCCCAGTAGGGCAAAGAGATGTCCGAGTAATTGGTGATGCTTCAGACCATTTAGTAGGCCCATAATCCTGTTTTATGGGGATGCGGGTCTTATATATAGTAGAAATCGAGGTGACTCTATTATATAAGGGTACCATCACATCATGATCGGGACATCGGATAGGTCGACTGTCGGTTATCGATCGAGGACAATTTCAGAACCAAGCAAAAATCGAAAGTAACCACATACGTAAGAACAGAGCCTCCAATTGGCTCCTGTGGTTATCATATTTGATAATCGGGAGTTGGAACGAGATATCATGGAATGTGACTTGGATATATTGAGATAAGATCACCTCCCTTGGCATAGGAGTAACCGTAATAATCGAGGCGAGCCCTATGATTGAAACACGCGAATTTAATACTAGATTCTTAACGGGGATAGCTTTCGAGTTAACAGGTAGATTGGATGAGACTTGTGCCGTGTCTAAGTGTATTAAGGGGAACCAAGCCCTAACTTTCGACGTAATACTAAACAAAGTTACCTAGATATGAGTTCAAAGTCAGAGCCCTATCTTCTCAGACCTTCTAACCAGATATTTTATTATGTGAGACATGACTTGGAATTTACATCATAGTCAGAACTTGGTATACAACGGGCAGATCCCATATAGTCGACAATGTCCCCCAACCCATGCCAGCCCGTGCTAAGTTGAGACATTGAGAGGAGCCAAATGGCGATGGGTTGCATCTCAAGGTAGTCCCTACGTTGGTACCCACCCACTGGGTGTCGTAGAGTCTAGAAAGTGACGGCGAGGAAGACGTCCTAGATACTGTGGTCCAGGGAGGCTAGCCTCACCACTTCCAATCCCCAGAGTATGCAAACTCCATACAAACGGGGCCTTACTCTCAAAGTCCCAGTCCAATCGCGTCACCAATTGTGGGTGCTCGTATCTAGTTGGGTCGCAGCTTTCGGAAGCGAGGCACTCTTTACTCATCTCTTTGTGAGATGGGTCCCCAAATGGTCGGCATAATAGCTCCAGAAGGTCAAACGACAGTTGTGATGGAGAAGCTTGAACAGGTAGTGGGGGGTTAAGGGTGGAAGTAGTGGGCGCGTTAGTGGCAGAGGTTTCTTGACTCGTTTCATCGAAAGAATAGCTACCAGGGAAAGATGTAGCGCCGACTTGGCTTAAACTAAGCAGGGACTCGTAGATGGTGGATAATCGATCATGGAACCGTGCGGCCACAGGATCCAACGACCCGCAAAATGTTAAAGCCTCCAAACATAATTTCGCATTCGCCATATCTCCTTTCCACGTTAACGGGTCAAGGTTAGCAGCTTGTTTCTGCGAAATTGCGTGGAGGATTATTACGCAAGAAGTATACGTTTGGAATCTGTTTGATGCGGTGTTAGTCGCACGCTTAAGAATCAATACGAGTTTATTGGTGGAAACGGACATCACAAGCCAGCACCGTTTAAAAACACCGTTATCATCTAGGAGGATCTTGATGATTCGAGCAGAACTGCTGGCGGCTGACAAGGCTCGCTCGCTCTGCTCCTTCAGCGTGCTCTCACTCGGTTGCCATAATATGCCTTGATCAACGCCTCTAGCTGAAGACCTCACTAATTGGGAAGCGATACGACGAAATAAGAGCATATTTGCGCCGAGGTAAAGTAAGTGAACATGACATATCGACCGCCTAGCTTCTACAGGTAGGCTTGTCTGTCCAATACTCTCAAGATGCATTATTGGAGGCATCTTTTCATACCAAGCCTGGAGATCTCGCATTATGGACTGTATGGAGAGTAGGGTAAAGTCCTTGAAAGCTAGATGCATCTGAAGTATATGAGCTTTGAGCATAGCAATTTTAGCCATCTCTGTCTGGATAGCTACTAAAAGTTAGTGGCGATGTGACCAATTAGTAAATAGAATGACTTTACTTTCTGAGATATCTGAGGAATCCCCAACTTCTAACTGAGAAGGCTGTAGGGGTTAATACTAAATTCTATATGAGCGAGTGCCATAATTACCGAAATTCTTCCTAGTAATTCTTCATTCCCAGATTTACATCCTAGAGTGGCGGAAAGCCAACTGAAAATCCTTAACGTGGTATTCTATTACCAATGACAGAGTACTCACGTTGATAAAAATATCAAGGTCCTCCAAGTTTTTCTGTAATCAAACCAGACAAGGTCTTTAGGTGTAAGTATTTCCGAGTCTAGACCAAATCTTCGACATATTCCCAAACCGATATCTGTTTTTGTTAGTCGCCTTTTTTTTGGGTAATAACCTATTTATGTATGGGTTAATCGTAGATTTACGCACCTACGTAGGCGAGAGACGCGGTAGCCTTTTTGAATATATTATACATGCCAAATAGCGTACACACCTTGATTGCATCCATGGGGCGAGTCTCCATAACATCATCGAGGTGGTGCTGGGCAAGACAATAGAAGATATCTTCAACTTCTCGGTCCGTCTCGTCCTGGGAATACTGACATCCTACAGCCGCAATGGCCATCAAACAGCAGAGGTCCGATTTCTGGTCACGGCCGGAATCGGATTCACCTTGGCTCTGGAACACTGACTGGAAGATCTCCGCTACCTGTGTTCGCGAGAAAACATGAAAAAGTTTTCCGCTACAACTAAAAAACCCATCCACTGCAGTCTGGGTAGTCGAAGCGGTAGGAAATGAGAGGCGGGCAGAAAGCTTAGACAAATGGCCCACAGTCCGGTCAACTGATGCCCCAATTGGATCATTGCTACCGCTGGATTGCCCTGGTTTCCCTGACTGTAGTTGGTCGACAAGCTTTTCTAATGACTCAACACGGGCTTTTAATGCGGCAGATCGCGACTGACCCTCTTCGCCGTCATATACACATTCTTTGTTTTTAGAGGCACAATTCAGACATGTTGGGCGAGCCCCATCACACTACCACATTAGTTATCGACACGACGACAAACCACAGGATACAAACCTTTGCCTTTTTCTCGCGACAGAAATGGCACGCCTGTTTATTCATAAGTGTCTCTCCGAACAACTTCTTCATTTTATGACGGGTTTATAGGGCTAATACCTGAGCAATTATAGCACGTCGCTTTCGTGGTCGTTCTTGGATATCCTCTTCATTGTTTGCGACCTCTGGGCTTCTTCTCTGGGGTAGTATTGGTCGGTATTTGGACATCGGATAGGAGTTTAGCGGTGTCACCAAGATGAATAAAATAGGGTAAGGTTCAGACCTGCTCCAATTCAAAATGAAATCCCCGTAGGTGGCAAATATCTTCCTAGTTATTTAACGTGCGAGAATCGGAAAGATTGTTGGGTCGGAGGCAATTCCGAGGTGTATGATTGGTGTATGGGGTGTATGCGAGGAGCCGCGGAAAACCTAGAGTTCTCCGCGTAAGATATTTTCCGCTTGCTTTTGTAATGTATTGTCACCACCACCACCACAACACGATACTCCGTTTTACGGCGTGAGGTTCGCGAGGTTGGAGCGGGAAAGGAGTTCGGTGCAGATACAAATAAAAACCCGCTCGTGGGTGTGCGAGAATCCGGTACCTTCCCAGTGGTTATAGCTAGTACCTAGGTACACGATATATCGGAATTCACCTAATTTTCCCTCCCAAGCACCATCCCAGAAATCTGGTTCAAATGAGAGCAGACGGGGCTCCAAAACTCAATCTTGTTACATAAGCGGACAGCCCCTTTTTTGATACATGCATATCATGAGTAAATATGGCCTACTTACGTATTTGAATGTATAGTATTAGGAGAAATGACTATTATCAAGCGACTTATGAGCGAATTATCCAAGGTTGCGCTGGCAAGTCGAAGTTAAAAGAAGCGACCTATCACAAGGAATTGTGTCGGAGCCGGGATGTCCGCACTCGTCATCGAATCTGCATACCTCTTAGGTAGGTTAAATACATTCAGGAGATCGTTTCTCCTCGGATTCAAGTTCTCATTCATTTCGCCAAGAGCCTTCAGTATGTCGAGAGCAAGTATGTTTGTTTATTGCTGCTCCAAATTTTTTAGTAGTTATCGATAATTGGCCCCTTACCTATCATGATGCGCCAATACATGCGTTATTGTTGCGTATTCACAATATTTATAGCATCCGAGCTTTACTAGTTCTAGTATCGGTAGAAGTTCGCTAATGCGAACTCCCGATTCATTGACCCGATATTTTGGAATATAGAGGCACTTCCTTGCGCAGCTTATGACTCGGAGGCGGAGAGGTCCGCATCCCGCGAGCGCTGAAAACAATATATCCGCACCATATGCCACGGGAATGACTGAAGATGGCTATGTACTGTAATATCATCCCGTCAAAATCAACATGCAGAAACTTAAGACTAAGATCTTGGAACTTTCTCGCATTCGTCAAGGCAGTAACAGCGATAACGGGGCCTCCGTGTGCGAGCTATTGCAGAACGAAGTCCACATCTTCCCTTCCGTTGAAGAAGCCAGCGACGTAATCAAAAACTGCTTCAATAGCTTCGGCGACTGCAAAGTCTTGCTTATTGGAGATGCCACACACGGTACATCCGAATTTTATAAAATGCGTGCTGAAATCACCAAGTTCATGATAGAACAACATGGGTTCAATATAGTGGCCATCGAAGCCGATTGGGCGGAGACCGAGGCGATAGACCGTTACGTAAGACATCGACCTGCGTCTAAGAATCAAGCGAGCATTAGGTCCAGTGCACCGGGCGCGGTTGAACCACCAGACTGCAAGCACGTTTTTGCGCGGTTTCCAACGTGGATGTGGCAAAACGAAGAAGTGAATGAGTTCGTGGAATGGCTTCGGAACCACAACAAGAATAAAGACGAACATGACTCTGATTCTGTCGGTTTCTATGGGCTGGACCTCTACTCGTTAGGTGCGTCAATGCACGCTGTCATCGAATATCTCGATAAGATGGACAAAAGCATGGCAGGTGTTGCTAGGGAGCGGTATGGCAAGCTCATGGAGTGGGCCGATAGCCCTAAGGAATACGGGCTAGAGACACTGGTCTCGTCTTTTCAGGGATACGAAGCAGAGGTAGTAGATATGCTCAAATCTCTGTTGAGCAAGAGGCATGAGTATTCACAAACGGTATGGAACGGCGAGGAGTTCCACAGCAGCGAACAAAATGCCCGTGTTGTCAAAGGTTAGTTAGCTTTGGTGTGTCATATTTTATTATACCGGGATATTTGTATTGAAAGTTCACTTACCTTTTCTAGATGCGGAGCAGTACTATAAGGCAATATTTTACGGCCGTCACGAATCGTGGAACCTACGAGACAAGCACATGTTTGATGCTCTGGTGCATATCCTTGACCACCGAGGTGAGTCTTCAAAGGCCGTTTTATGGGCACATAATAGCCACGTTGGGGATGCTCGCGCATCCAGTAAGAGCTGGTCTCGCAAGGAACTCAATATTGGACAATTATGCAAAGAAGCTTTTGGCACCCGTGCACTCACCATTGGCTGCAGCACCTATTGGGGCACGGTTGCAGCGGCTGAGCAATGGGACCACGACATGCGGGTCATGAGGGTCGAGCCAGCGCTTCCGGGGAGCTATGAAGAATTAATGCGTGCTACAGGTATTAAGAATTTCGTGCTTAATCTACAGGAAGGAAGGTGTAATAAGAAATTACGAGAAGCACTGAGAGAAGAAAGATTGCAAAGGTTCATTGGCGTTATCTATGAACCAGCTACGGAGAGGCAGTCGCATTATTCAATTTCCATTCTCCCAGAGCAGTATGACAGTTTTATTTGGTTCGAGGAGACGAGACACGTACAGACCCTAGAAACCCGCCAGCCTCCAACAGGTCTAGGGCCCATTTTATCTTGGCCATTCGGTTTTTAGTTCATTCTTTTGGCATAAATAAATATGTTATATTTCGTCAACCACCTCTGCCTTCCTCCTATCATCGTACCCCTTTCCTCGGCCTATTTAGGGGCTGCTTACTAAGTAACGCTATGCGCCTGGTGACTACGTGGTCTTAACCAAGTACTTTTTAGATATCGACGTACTTCGCGGAGGGAAGGAACATTAGAATTCATTAAAATATTCTAGGCGGTATGTTGAAACCTCCCCTATCAGCGGGTAATCCGTCAATTGCCAAACCTCGAAGTCTCTTTACCCCGAGTGATAGCTAACGCTCCCAACCTTGTTTACTATTCTATTTAGCTCAATCCTCCCAGTTAACTTCCCATTAGTATAATCACATACACCGACCGACGTATCCAGGCAGGAAGTTTATTACGGAGATCGATTTTCGAGGTGCCCGAGAAGCTATGTACATAAGTTGACATTGGTACAATCTAACTAGCAAAAGGAGGCTAATTGGAAGCCGATTAGACTAAACAATAATACTATTGCAGTTCGAGAGAATCTAATTGGTATCTAGCCTCCGTTGCTAGGTAGGGTATTGGAATGTAAGAATTAGCCTAAGTCTGAGCTACGAAGTTGTATGGCTTAGTAACTCTAGATACCTAGCAGCCTAGGTATTATATTCCCACATTGTCGAAGTGTCGTGAATCTACTCCCGGAAGACTCAAAGTGGCTAAGCGCTTAGGTAGGTACTTTCATAAGCATATCAATGACTAGGTAGGTATTGCTTTACCACGGCAATCTTCGTTTTCTATCACAAGTGTTTTTTTTTCTTTTTCAAAACGATACCTTACCTCATACGAGTACGAATGCGGCAAACCTTACATTATAATAGCAGATGCAAATATTACCCGAATGTACCTAGAAAGATATCCCAGGATGCTAAAGGCTCCCCAGAGGCATATTTTCCATTTCGAGCAGGTAATAATCACTTAACCTATATCAGCGGTATACATGCGGTATGGAGCGGATCTTTCAAATATTGTTGCTGCCTTAGTCAATTATAGCGCGTGTCCTCTATTACTATACCGTTTATGAGGGTGAATTTAGGCTTGTTGCCAAGACATAAAGTGCCCTAATTCGGAAATTATAGCCAATCCATTTGCGCGACAAAGAGGTGATTATACCGCTAAACCGCCAACCGCCACTAAACTTCAGGCAGATATAACGTGTCAACGGACGCCTCAGTCTTTATAGTGATACCCTCGTCCGCTATAAATCAATTCTTTATCGGCTACCTGGGTAATTCCATGCTCAAATTTCACCCTCACGCCTCTCGGATGTATATTATTGATTAGTCCTTCATGATTTATAAGAATTGGGAGAAGAGGATATCTGGGACGATATCCGTTAACCAGGCAAGTTGTCATTCTCGATTTAAAGAATTCCTGCATAAATCCCGACTATATGAAGAACCTTACCAGATGGCTTACTATACTTGGGTACCTACCTTAGGTACTTAATGGATGTTATGGCGGTTGGCTTAGGTGGTTATGCTCACTGTAGTGGTTAGGTACCTAGGTAGGCAATCACAAGCTCAAATTCATTAGAAATATACGGCATGGTGGCATACTGTGTTGTACCTATCTTTGTAGTTACAACCTTGGAAGGGATCGCGCGCTAAAGTCCCCTGTATTTACGGAGCTTCACAGCGCACGTCCCACTAAACGGGAATTGGTGATCGGATTTATAGCGCTTACTCCCCTATAAAGCCGTATAGTCACAGCACTTTTGTAGCGAATTTTTAAGATGGATCTCCGGATTCGAACTCAAGGTTAAATTGCGCTGTAATTATAGGTCCTATAACCCTGTAAGTTTAGCCTTTACGGTGCTAAGCTTTGGAATACTGTATATACCTAGGTATGCACGATATTACGACGATAAATAGGGGTAACAGTACCCCCCCCCCCCCCCCCCACACTGTAGCGGGTGATGTCCACAAGTACCTACTTCCTATGAGATCATAGACATCATCCTTGCAAGATCCTCGTTATAAAACTACTTCCTAGCGAAAGAACTTGAGAGATTGCTTTATGATTGTAGTTAGAAGCAGAACCTACTATTATACAATATGGAAGGCGAACTACCGTCAAAAGAAGGATTGCATTAAGGGCGGATCCGCCTCGATGGCCCAGAGCGAACATGATAAGCAGCAGAACTTCTTCGCTAAAGCTGGGGAAATTGCACGTAAACCTGTTGATAAAGTTACTAAGGAAGATGCAGCGCAGGTCCAAAGGGCAGAGGTGAGTTATCCGCATTTAAAAAAAGAAAATAGGCCGGGTACCTAGGTAGGATTGACATAGCGTAGGCGCGTGCTCTAGGGGAACCGCCTGGAAAGGGGTCGACTTCGGCCGACGTGCAGTCGCTCGCAGATCAGAATGAAAAAAACAAAACCTCTTGAATAAAATATGACACTTAATGAGGCGACCCAAATATCGAACTTGGTCTTGCGCGATCAGACTTGTATATAGAGTGATTCGGAATAAAACCCCCCACATGGCCTCATAGGGGTATGGTGACGAGAAATTCGTAATCAGATGTCCAATGTTCAACTCTTCAAGGTCTCCTCCTTTTTCTCTCGCGCGCCTTTTCCTTCTTAACCTCTGGTACCAAGTCCCGATGTGTTAGTTCCAATTTCCAACCCTTCGGCCATTCCATCTGCGCAAGTTGCTCCGAAAACGCCACACTTCTATGATGGCCGCTCCCGCAGAGACAGCCGACGCGTATCGATATGTCCTTTCCTTCTTTTCCATCTCTCCTCTTCTCGGCGGTCTCCACGGCGCCGCGAATATCAGATTGAGCCTGGTTTAGTATTTCGCGGAACCTAGGTTCGCATGAAAGACCATCCCGTATGTGGCGAGAATGGCCCGTATGCGTCTCTCGTAGAGATAACGGGGGATTCGGTATGAACCGTAAATCATACTGCAAATTCGGTGGCGGCGACAGCGGGGTATGGCGGTCATGCGACGTGATATAGAGGGTCTTATTAACCTCGGATGATGGGCCGCTGCTTTCCTCAACCGAAAACCTGAGACTATCGTTCCGAGACGCGGGCGGCGCGTCCGGGGATGACGGTAAAAAATATTCGCATATAGCGGCGTACAGCCAAGCAAAAAAGCTTAACATAATAAAGATTACCTAGACACCTATGCAGGGGAGGTATGGTTGGGCTTGAAAAGAAAAGAAATCAAATGTGCCAACTCTCCCTTACCTCAATCATTCTATTTTGTAGAGGAAAGTCGTGACGACATCACGTCAATTAATCGTAATGCGGAGCATGACACCTACGCAAGCCCATCTACCCACTAGCGTGTTAAATGCCTTTTAACTAAACGGTTTTCAATCGAATGTTCATAAGGAGAGATTCTCGTAGTAAATTAATGTGGAAGGGCTTGCTTCACTCTCTCGGTTCTGGTCATTTGTTGCCGCTGTTGTTGGTGATACCCGAAGCGAAGCGGACCTATAAGCCGAAAGTCAATAGACAACATCCATAAAGTATCTCAATACATTAACATTAAACTATATACACGACGCTATAATCCGCCGCTGAATCGATGCACCTTACCCTACTCTAGCCATTTTCGCTCGTCACATCATCTTTCCAATCCTCAACTCCCGGCTTCACGATCAAACCGCTCTTAATGCTTGTTCCCACAGCCCCCCTCCGTCCCATTCCCCGGCTTACCAGGCACCTTATTATCCGGCCTAGCCAACCCCAGACAACTCGCCATCTTATAAAAAACATCAATATTTCCATACACACCCCCAAACGTTTCTTGACACGGCCCCATAGCAAAAACCGCAACATCAGTAAGCGAATGCACACCGGCGCTCTCAGTAACCGATAGTGTGCCATTAACCACGAAACCATCGGGACTATCCGCTGCATCAACGAATAAATCCTCTTCGTCGAATCCAGGCGTGCTGCTCACAACCTTGCGGGGCGATTTATGAACACGGTAATCCTCGCGATGGTCCGGGTTCGCGCCAAGACCTTGCGCGAATGTGTACCGCGGATCCCAGTTCATGGGGAAATTCGGGCCTGTGCCGTAGGACACTCCCTCGACTGGAACCGTGTACTGCGATAGCCCGGATTTCTCGTATGTACCGACGGCTTTGCGTTTCTCGCGGTCGGTTTCTTGCTCGGAGAGGTACTTAGTATCGACGCCGCCGTAGACATCGAAGCCGTGTCCGTGGTCAGCGGTGACTAGGATTAGGGTGTTTTCCAATTCGCCGATTTCTTTAAGATGTGCAACGGTCGCGCGCACGGTATCGTCGAGTTCGAGAAGGTCGCCGAGCGCGCGGTCATAGTCAAGCGCGTGCATTTGCTTGTCGATGGATGCGCCCTCGGACATGAGGAAGAAACCCTTGTCTCCGCCCCGGGTGTGTAGTATATCAATAGCCTTCAAAGTCATCTCCTTCAGGCCAGGTAGGTCGGTAGCGGGACTCTTCGAGCCAAGAGGGTCATTCTTGAAAGTCTGAATGTTGTCTGTGAAAACGTTGCGATCTAGCCAGACGGGCAAATTGGACTGGCAGAAGATTCCAAGGGCTCTGCTGCTATTCCCAAGATTCAGCAGAGAGGTTTTGTTTAAGCTAATTTCATAGCCAGCGTCTGAGAATGCTTCGTAGTAGTCCTTGCCTTCGTAGCTTCCCGACCCGGGGTAGAATTGCTCGGCACCACCGCCGAACCAAACATCAGGGCCGCCGTGGTTAGTCCAGGAGTAATTGGTAAGTGAGTTCAAGCCCTGGTCAACAAGAGCGCCGTAGGCGTATCGAGATCGACTGTGGCTGGTGAGCGCGATTGGCGTCGCATCTGCGATGAATGCAGTTGAGACTGCGCCCCAAGCTGAATCCTAAACAAACTGTTAGCACGAGTCTCTTCATCTAGCGAATCATGAAAGTATTTACCCAAGTGCGCTTCAATAACTCCACGATAGTCTCGACTTTAGGATCATCAAAGTAATCCGCAGATGAATCCACGTACACGCTGAGTAAATATCAGCATTTAATTCCGACTCAGAAGCTCCTCTAATCTTACCCCATAGCGTTGACGGTACTCTTGTGGCCGGTGTAGAGGGCGGAAGCCGAATTGGCACTGTCGGTGATGAAGCTATCAATTGAATGGGTCTAGCGTTGTTAGCTGATTAACCAGATCGCAGATGAAAGGATGTGTTCGTCGTAGACGTACCATTTGATGTCCGACAACGGGGAATTGATCCATCTGCAGCAGAGATTGATATTTCCCGTTGATGCTCTTGTGGCCGAGAAGACGAGCGGCGGTAATCATGTTCGTGGTCATACCATCACCTATCAATAATATCAGTATCAAACTACACGTTAAGTTGTTCAATAAGCATACCAATAAAGAGAATCACATTCTTAGCCTTCTTCTGCGTAGCCAAAGGCCGAACAACCCAGTTCGCCGCCGTTGTCTGGTTACCATAATAGCTCAACGTAACAACATAGTTTCCAGGCTCATAGATGGCGATCTTGCGGTAGATCTTGGACGCGACATTGACGACAGATGGCGCGTGTGCATCTTGAGCGAAGAGGTCTTCATACCACTTAAAATCCCATTTCTCAAGCTCAGCTTCCTCGATGCCGAAGAACTCAGCGATGCCCTTAGCTTCGCCTCCTTCCTTGGTAATAGTGACGGAGAAGTTCTCATCCGGCTTGCCGTCATTGAACGCTTCTGAGCCATTGACCGGGGCATGTACTTCGAGACGCAGGTCAAAGTATTGACCAGGTAGGAAGTCGGATTGGTCAGGAGGTAGCACACAACCTAGGTCGGGGCAAGCACCTAGGCGTTGAAAGGTCTGGGCAGAGGCTACGGATAGAGCCGCTGCCGCTACTGCGAGGGAGCTGAGTTTACCCATATTGACTCTTCGTGTCGCACAAGCTGAATATCGTAGCTAGTCAAAGCACAAATACCGTATGCTAAGACCTTGGGGAACTCTGACATTTTATAGCGTATGTTGCGCCGAGCCTCCCACGAGCACGCATTGCATGTATTCGTATCGCAAGCCACGCGGTTGACTGGTCCATGATGCCATCCGTCCTGCATGGGAAGGTAGCTAAGGCCTTGGCCGTTCCTGAGAGCGTAAAAAATCGACCGGTCAGATCTTGGCGACAGAACAAATCAGGTAATAATTGGAGAGAAATATAGTAGAAATATCCGATAGTAAAGGATAGCGGCGGCGCTGCCGTCAAGCGTCGGTTACACAGGAATCATCGAAGTCGTTCATCGCACGTGTCCGATCAGTAAGTTTAGCATCTCAATAGCCATGATGGCCCATTCAAGAATGAGAATGCGTCGGCCCTATGGGCTACTATCAGTTTATCATCCCCAGACCTCGACATAGCCCAACCTCTTTACCTGACAGACTTGAGAACCAGCTGAATGGTAAGCTTCAACCCCATTGGCTTATGAAAGACATAGGCTAGCAATCAATAACGGATAACTTAACAGTCAATATAATTCATTGCTACATACCAAATGCAGAAATGGTGAGCTCTTCCGGGCTTGACCTGGCGAAATAATAGTAATACCAGGTTGGGTGAGTTGGCCGACATCCAAGGCTGGAAGGATCTCGACCGATGTTGAATGTGGAGATATTCGAACAAGGGTCTAAAAACGTGGGCTTAAAGGACCACCGCGATTGGTTCTCTCTCTCAATCAGGAAGATATACCACGAACCGGCTAACGTCTTCCATCTTGTGGGGTATACCGGCTGCCCGGGTCGTGAACCAGAAACACGTGTTTACATGGGTATAATATAGATGCAGAGATTAATGTTAGATGATATTCTGACGATTTATTATTGTGCGATATTCGTTATCAGGTAAATTTCGCCCTATAGAAGCTCACTAGTTGAAGCCAATTGGACTCCTTTGGACGACCTCCGCGATGTTTCCCATGAATTGAGCCGGTAGGTAATTGCTTTAGCAACAAGCTTCTTTGAACCGTTGCGTTTCACTCAACTTTGGTCGACAGCGTAGGACAATGCCGTGGAGGTATTCAGTTCAATCTGTATAATGTAATGAGCTGAGTTATTAGTTCCACGCGTGTCGATCCGGATCTCAGTCCTGCTCTTCCTGAACTGGGCCTGCATGACAGCGTGTCGTAGGAGAGGATGCGATTGGGTGTTACCGTTTCCGAAACTTGATCAGCCAGCTGTTCATGATATCAGACGATTGACATTCATGCCCAGCCGAGTCGGTGCGATAGTTCTCCCAATCGGCGCAAGGTATTTATCCCCATAAACAGACTTCTTACCACCATGAGCAAACATTACCATTCACTCATCGATCTCCGCGAAGCCTTTCTTATCCAAGTCTTTCGCATCGGTATTGGCATCGGGAATGACCGGCGTCTCAACTCCTTCGGCAGTAGCGCCTGTCACCGCGAGTCCCGCAATCTCTCCTGCCAGCGCCTTGTCTTCAGTCTCGCCTTCGCCGTACTTTTCCCAAGCAGGCCGATTGATTTTGGGCTTTCCACCCTCAGTCTTAAAATGATATCCTCGGGCCCTTGGTCGTTCTCCAGTACCCTTTGGAAGTTCGGCCTCGTACGTTTCAAAGAATAGTTCGCAATCGCGCTCGAAGGTCGAGGGTTCCGTGCTGATTGTAGATCGAATACCCTCGAAGAACTTATCCAGGATATGGTAATTGTGGATTTGGAGAAGAGTCCATCCAAGCATTTCCTTGGCATTCAGAAGGTGTTGGAGGTAGGCACGGTGGTGTTTGGTACAAGTGTAGCATTCGCATCCGTCAACCAACGGTTTTACTGATACCTGATGATCGAAAGACCACATATCCATCCCTAGCGGGTGGGGTCCTGAGGTGGAAGACGGTGGTGGGAATAAGAAGGTAAGAGCAATGCCAGCATCCGAAATAGTGTTAAGGAAAGGTACGGTGAACATATCAAGTCCTAAGCGAACCTGTCGGAGAATCTCGTGTGGTGATGTGATGAAGTCCATGGAAAGACGCGGCAGTGGATGTAAAGAATCATGGTCGGCTAGGTCCGGGAGAATGTCTGCATCATATACTGCTAGACCTGAAATATGTTGAACGTAATCCTGCGACAGGCGATTGATATACTCCCATTGTGTTGGATAAGAAACTGGTAACAGCGAGGCAAATACAGCAGACTTTTCTGTTTCACTATCACCCTCAGAGTTTCGCAATTTGATAAACTCAGCTAACCAATCCTCCGTGCGCTCCACCATTCGAAGTTGTCGTTTGGGGGCCGGAAGTTTGGTTCTTATGTGTGAATTGCCAAATGTCAGGTCTGCTAGAGGAATAGCGATATCCGGCTGCAATATGTCAACAGCACGGTAATATGCTTTGTTTTTAAGCTGCTGGAAGCCGGTTGATGTATATATGGATACGTAATCCTTCCCGTTGCCCATAGGAGCAATCACTGCAGGATGCCGTCGTGCACCAAGCACCGTGGCTACCGGTGCGGGGGTGGCAGTGTATGCATGCAGAGTCTCTTTGCCGTCTGGTTCTATATTAAAGACAGCGGGTTCAAGTCTCTTCTGTGATTTTTCTACGACTTTATATATAATATGTCAACTCAATAAACATTAAAATTTTGGCAAAGGTATTCCGACTTACAATCTTCCAGGGCCATATATGAACCGTTCAGTTCAGTATGTTTGGCGACGACATCTGGAGTCATATGCGGCATCACTCCTCGCGACGCAAGGCCAAAAAAATTGGGCGTATCTATCGACTCTCGCTTCGGAATAGCCAGATGACCTACTCTAGGCCCTCCACCATCGGCCGCAACACTCTTTACCACATCAAACATGATGTGTTCTAAAGATAAATCAGCCATCCTCCAGGATTATATCTCGAGTTCAATCTCAGTAAAATCATTACACGGGTGAGCACAGTGGCGTATCTGAATTTTCAACTCCGAACTCCATTAGGTAGTGTACTTTTAGTGAGTTTTCGTAAGGCATCGAGAATGATATTGGATATCCTCACTCCAGGGTGTCAACGAAGAAAAGCGAAGCAAAGCTGACTTGTAATTGTTAAGTTTGTCGAAGTACCTAAGTACCGGACCCAATCTATTTGATAAGCTGACATCCGATCGATAACGGCCCGGAAGTTAACCATGCCGCATTCCGAACAAATAGTCCCCAAATCCAAAGCAGGGGTCCACTTGTTTCTCTCGAGGAAAGCAAGCCAAGACCAATCGTCATTCATCAACAACCCACCTGCCCAATGGGCTGTATGAACGTGGGTCAATTTGCTTTTTTGCGCGGCCTTTGTTTCGCGTCTAGGCTGCCGCTTACCAGGTACCATCCACTATCGCTGCGCCCTGTAGCCTTCAATCCCATTCAATCCAACCCCCAACATCCAATTCTATACATCCCATGGCTACATAACATACACATATATATGTACAACGGGATACCAGTACTATATACATATAGTACCTAGTACGGATTACTTACCGTCAGGTCACAAGCCTCTTCCCCTTCCTAAATCCAACCATTTTATTTCCAACCTCTCTTCCTTCTTCCTTCCAACGGCTCCGCTGGCGCAATCACTACGGTTACGTTTTGTTTGAAGGCTGAGCAGGCTCTCGGTCTGTACATCTTTCAGCTCAACTCGCCTACAACTTCGGATTTTGAGATTTCTTAATCTCATGTCTCATCTCTTGCTATTATAGACATAGAATTGTCATTTCTCTCATTCTTCCTTGGTTAGTTCGTTGCGCTACATCTCCTAAACTCCGAGTGTAAGCTAGCTTTCCTACCGCACTCTATCTCTTTTGTGTGCAAAACCCGGAGTCACTTCCTGGGTCACTAATAAACATATTACGATGTATAGTTCCTTATCATGAGTGCCAACCATCTAGAAATTCGTTCCGTCTCTCCTGACATCGAACAGCAACGACAGTATTCCTCTCCGGCACATCCGGATGATCCGATCGGTGGCCCAGAGCACCTCGATTTCCACGAGGACGACGACCCTCCCACCCCGCGCTTTATGCAGGACCAAGGCGCTTGGAAGAGATGGAAGTGGGTTCCCTATCCCGTGCGGAAGTATGGGAAAGCTGCGTATAGGTGGATGAAGGGTCCGCAGAGTCCCAAAGATTGGAAGATCGAGCCACTCTTCCCTATTATCCAACATGCGCCTCTTCGTCTCCTCGACAAGGTTCTTCCGAACAGAAATCACCAAGTATTACTATATATGGGCTATGTTGCAGTATGGATCATCACTTTCGCTATCGTTATGTGGCGGGGCCAAGTCGCTTCCGAAGTTGCGACTTATGGTACCCCCATCGACATAAGTTGCGGTGTCACATATTGGAGCCAGAATAACGGATGCGGCATCAACGGTGTTGATTGTAGGCCATTCAACGGGAGCAGCTTTGCTTTTCGGTGTCCTTCGAATTGCGCAAGTTACCGGGTCCTTAACCCTCGAGCCGTGGGAGATCAAGAAGTTGTCTACGCTCCTTTGGTTGTTGGTGGACCTCCCAATCTTGCCAATGACGAGAACCCTATTTACCGAGGTGACTCCTTTATTTGCGGATCTGCAGTTCACTCTGGTATTATCTCCAATTCTCAAGGTGGTTGTGGTGTCGTTTCTCTAGTGGGCCAGAAGCAGAACTTCATCAGCTCAGACAGAAATGGCATCAAGAGTATCGGTTTCGACTCTTATTTCCCTCTGTCCATCACATTCGACTCCAGCATCGAATGCGAGGCCAAAGACGTGAGATGGTCACTCTTAGCGGTTTCTGTGGTTTTTTCTAGCGTCCTATCCCTATTCACCGCATCTTCTTCAGCATTCTTCTTCACCATATTTATCGGTATCTTTTGGCAAGTGGGTATGGCTTCTGATCCTCCATCCCACTCGTCGATCGCCGGATTATTCTCCGACATTATAGGCAAATTTCTACCGGCTATGTTCTGTGCTTGGGTATTTTACGACAAGATGGGGGTGCGACGAACCTTGCGTGGACTCTCGGCTCAAGTGGAAAAGACGGTGTTATGGCTAGGTGGTTGCTGGGTTGGTGCACTTACCAACTACACCTTCGACTTCATTCCGATTCAGCGCTTGACAGGGCATGATCTGGAGCAGCAGCCTGGCGCCAAAGCTGCCCTCGCTATCATCGTCATTGTGCTGTTTTGTGTTGTTGTTGGTCAAGTTTGGTGCTTCCGCCAAGAGGGCAGATTAATTCGCTACCTCAAGCTTTACGCTCTTTTCCTCCTGGGAATCATCATCTGCCTCGTGCTACCCAGCCTCAGCCTGCGCATTCACCACTACGTACTGGCATTACTCCTCTTACCCGGTACCAGTATGCAAACTCGGCCATCACTTCTCTATCAAGGAATATTGGTTGGACTTTTCATCAACGGCATAGCTCGCTGGGGCTTCGATGCAATCCTACAGACAGCCGTGGCTTTACAGGGTGACGCCCAAACAGGTTCGCCTCTCCCGGTGCTCCTCGCGCCTGTTATCAACACCACTCTTTCCACCATAACTTTCCGATGGAAGTCTTCACCTGGGGTACGATATGATGGTATCAGTGTGTTGGTGAATGATGTCGAAAGATACCGTGGATATTTTGGTGACGAGGGTTCAGATCATTTTACTTGGACTCGCGACAATGATACGAGTTATAACGAGTACTTCCGATTTGGTTACATGTCGGGTACGACCAGCGAAGACTACACTAAGGCGGGTATTTGGAATAAAGATTTAGATTGGGTTGACCCTCAGCCGGGTCCTTCTAAAGCCAAGAGGCGGTCCTTAGATGCGCATGATATAGAAGAACGAGTGCCCCGCGCGGTGTGGGGGAGATGAGTGACGATAGAATTATGAATAGTATACTTCACGTTTAGAATATCCACATATGACACAAATTCAACTAAATAGTGTTCAGTTCTAGTCCTAATTAAACTAAACGAAGGAAAACATCTAGCTTCGCAGATACTCGAAACTTCTCAATAATAAATCCAAGGGGATGAGGTCCTTCAGCTCATCAGACAAAACTCCAACTCCCAACGTCGAGGCGGCACCGGCATCGAGACCCATTCGATTTATAAAGCTTCTTAAACTCCCCACTGATGACTTCTTGAGACGCCAAGGTTCCTCCTTGAGAATACCACGAGGCACGGTGTGAAGCTCGTGTATTTTTAAGTACGACGGGTATGTCAAACCGTTATTCCCAAACGAATCACGAGCCAATTGAAGCTGCATGTTCGTTGCATTATTCTTTCGCATTGGGTGGATTGGGATGTATAGATTGTGATCGAAATTCTTGTCAATTGTCTTCGTGATCTACATAGGTAATTAGTCCCACAACCCCTAACACATACTATATAGGTACTGACCGTTGCAACTTTCACCCAATCTAGCATCACCGTACCGACAACCACGACCCGATGCATGCGAACTATCTTGGGTAGCCGGTGGAGTAGGCCATTCTTTATTTTCTCGCCTTGCTTCCAGTCTACCGGTTTCTTAAAGCAGTATACCCTCCCCAGAAGGATGTCTCGGTCTCTCATGGTTAGTAGTTGGTAAGGGTAAGTCAAAGAATAATGATAGTAGGATGAGAATTGACAACATGCAATAGCAGCAAACGCAATTCTGGGCGAAATGGGGATATATAGACATTCCCAAATACAGTGATATTCGGCTACATTTAATATTTGGTATTAGGTATTATGGGAACCGAGTCGCCAACACGCCTTTAAATATACCGAAAGGCAAAACAGCAGCGTAAAATTGAAATACCGCTTAACTAGGCGCTATGCGCAAGCCCTTCTCATTCTTAGTTGAAGCCCGGAGAAAGTAAATCTTAACTCGAATTTCCTCCTACCGAGTTAATGTTGAAGTGCATTAAGGTACAAGCGACGCCATATAACAAAATAGACTCGAACGCCATATTGTACCTTAAAAAATAAAAATAAACTATCGATCGTTTTCAATTTCGCAAACCCGGTAGAATTCTCCCGTTCGTCCTGAAATAAAGTAACACCGTCAATAGGCCAATCAGACCTCACTCGCAAGTCCTGACTACGTAGTGAACAGTCTGGTTCCCCGTAGCCGGAACCTTCGGCTTGAAGTCGAGATAAACGAGCTATTTACACCGAAATCCACTAATTAGTAAATGTCTCAACACTACTGTAAATAGGACAATTGACGTACCTCTCCCTTCTCCGGGGTCCAATCGCCATTGGTATCCCGATAAAACACCAATTCACCAGACCCAGCATCGCGTACTTCAGCCGTAGTATGCGTTAGCGCGCCCTCTGTGCGCCATTCTAGTTGGTAGCATGTTGATTTAGTAACAACAAATGGCTTCGAGCATCGCGTGTGGCCTTCGCTGTCTTTGCACTTTTCGACTGTATAGTCGAGAACTGAGCCGTCAATTACGGTACGAGCTAATATTACCAGTGACGTCAGTAATTGAAATACAGTTTTTGGAGATAGTAGGTAGACTTACGTTCGTTGAGAACACCGCTCAAAGCTAAGCCTGCGGTTAGGACACTCTGCGCTGATGGGATATACATGTTGGATATCAATTTAAGGGGATGTAAATAGCAAGATTCGACAGACGAAATTTAAGTGGTGAATGAGGTTGTTCGTTGTTTAGATGGAGAAACCAGTTCCTGGAAGTCAACACGTCATAGACTAGGTACACATATTCGTGACATAATACAGTTGTACAATAGTTTCTACGCATGTCCTTGCATAAATCTCTAATTATGAAGTTTATCAACAAGCAGAATTTTGTTTCGAACATATTCAGCAAGTATCACCTACTCCCCATTTTCGTAGCAAAACCCCTGTCTATAAATAGCTTCGAATTAGAGATGCGGAAAAATAATCATTGAGTTCCTATTTTTCCGATAATTGGATCATAAAAACGGTAATCTCTATAAAATGAGTACAAGTACTCAAACATAAAAATCATACTGTCTGTTATGAGGTGTTCAAGAAAAATAGGGGAGTGGATGACTAATCAACAACATCCCTCCTATATCATGACTGCGGATACTCGGGATGCTGGAATGGAAAAGAGAAAAGGGCAAAATATCCAGGGGAGTGCAAATGTATTTGGATGGCGTGTGTGATATTTAGAAACAATACATATTGTGTTGAATTGAAAGTGAGAGTTGTGTAGAGTAGAGTGTCCAAGTATGGTGGTAAGTACGCGTGGATACTGGATTGTAAACCAGAAAAAAAGTTGAATTGAAAGAATAAGATAATTGATTGAACTGATTTGAACTTGGAACCTTGAAAAGGGGAGTTGCCAATTGCCAATTAAAATTGTTGTGGTGTAGTCTTTTCCACTGCGCCAAAACACCATTACGAGGCAACTACCCCAGGTATGTACCCTCGAGAATGGAGGCATCGAGGGGATGCTTCGACGATACCTAGGTACTTGCTTGGATCACAACCTCAAAAAGTTCCAGTTACAAAAAATAGCAAAAAGATTCCTGTCAGAAGCCGATGGGATAGGGGCTCTCCCATCTGACAGGCGGAATGCCAGTTTCTTCGGCAGGCAACATTCCATCCCAAACACCGGTGTGTTTATCATCCTAGCAAGTATCGTCGGTATGGTCATTGATACATGTCCTGGGTGACGAATGCCCAATACTATCCACCATGCAACATTCCCCTGTCACTCAATATGTAATCACCATACCTTGTTGCCCCTTCTTCAATTTGAAGACAGATGCCAGTGCAACTACTTGCAGCTATCACCACTTGCATCCCCTTACCAAAAACAAGTCTTAATATATGAAGGTGCTTAATCACCCATCCAAATACGTGTCAAAACGTCGCGGCGATATTTCCCAGCATATACATATTCATTTATTTTATTTTATTTTCCGTATTCCTTCTAATGTCTCCTTGTAAGTGTACCTTTTCATTCTTAACGCAAACGTAAACCCATAATAGCATACCGCGCATTCTTATTCATAGGTATTCGAAAATCGATTCGCTATTTTTACCGACTTGCTCGAAATTCCACCTTATACAATGCAATATCACAAGAGGGGAATCCAAACCCGCATCTTCCCCTATTCTCATATCATGGCCCAATGGTCGTATCTACCAGTTCTAGACAGCACCTACTCCCACGTGGCCATGTCCAGAAGCCCCTTCATGTACCATAACGAGCAGAGTACAGATCAAACCCCCGATAAGTCGAAGCTACACCATCGTGGCATTGGTTTACAATGCATGCTTAAATAACCACGTTGGGGCTGCTTGTCCTATCTAAACTGACGCTCGATCTATATCATTCTGACAACACATCCTCTGCGATGGTCAGCCTTGTCTGAACTTTAGTCTACTGCGATATTCTAGGGGCTGTCTGACGGTATATTCAATTTTATTCCCTTAGATCTCAGTTATATAAGTATATCGTTTATCCGCCAGTTGCCCCCTGTTTTTAAGCTAACGTTACCCACATCCCCATACTACCCAAGTAAACCTCCTTAAGGCCTTCACCTTCAATGCAATTTTACCATTGCTTCGTAGTGAATCTTTCCTGTAGAGGATTAGCGAATCCGTATTGCTGGCATCAGGCTTATTCGGGGGCGGAATTTGTTCCAAGGTTGTTTGTCCCTACTTATCGGATAGCTGAACCGAAATGCTGGGAATCCTTAGTGTATGAGGCGGTTCTATTAGTCGCATAGATTAATACTTCATGCTATAGCCCCTTAGTGAGTTACTCCTTGCTTTTAACCAAGGTTTAACCCAGCAGGCCATTGTCTGCCTGTAGGACTTTGAGATATTCTTCTAACTTGGGATAATTGTTGGAATGATTTTAGCAATTCTCGTGATCCTCGTCGTTATAGCCTCAATTGTCCCCTCCACATGGTTATTAGTGATGTGTAGAAATGAGTTGGTGTTTGTCCACTATCATGTGGTCACTTGTGTCTTGCGCCTCAATTTAGGGTGATCATTCGGTTTTAGGTGTCAGATAGAATAGTCATTCCCTTAATCGCTGTTAGACCACAGCAATGCCCCCTAATTGCCTCTGTCCGTAATAATCATCTCAAAAATTGCGCCGAGTGAGCTGTTCGAATATGACACCGATTAAATTAAGTCATTCGTGTGAGGGGAGTCCCTCTTTATAAGTGCAGGTTTTCTCATTCGGTAACGTCGTACAAATAATTAACTAGTGACGCCATACCGGAACCCCAAAGCTGGGTCTGTACACTACGAGCAAGCCCTACTAATACTAATAAGCAACCATTATTCTTCAACGCCTTCCAATCTAATTCTACGTTTCTATACACCTACAATTTCAACAAACAAATAAGTAAATCCAGATTAATTTTCCATTTGCGCAAGAAATCCTACCTTATTACCAGGGCTGAACTGGATAGCAAATAAATACACATTGATTTCCCATTGGACACCTTGAGCGAAACGGGTAATACAAAGACACAGCCCACCTCTGCCCCGCTCTCGTCATACCTACAATCAGGTATCTCTTCTTGAACATAGAAATACCATATCTAAGGCATCCTTTCTCAAAGGCTCCTTCGCTGCATTCAGCCCGATCTGCGTCATTTAGTAACCGACCCTCACATTTGCCTCCCTCAGTTTGTCTACTGCGCGCTCCATGAAACGATTAATCCGTCGACTCACACATCCGCAAAGCGACAAGGTGATACAAAAGGGCGCGACCACCGAGAAGGCTGCTCAGAATGCGCCGGACACCATGCTCGAGACACCACCACAGCAAGATAGAAATACCATGGCTGACTCATCAGCCGCATTTCAGAATCGTGAAGCGAACACATCTACCTCATCGCATAGTAAATTATCTCACCCTTTCGGTAGAGAATTTGTGTCACAACTAACCAGCGCAATAGCCCACGACATGATTTATAAATACTCTTATGTCCCGGATTTTTTCAAAAATTACGCCGATATAGCGGATTCCTCGCTTAATGGTAAGGTCTCAACTCAACCTGCGCTGGGGATATTAGAGAAAGAGTATGATGGGGAGAGCGCAAATCCAACAACAAACGGGGAGCGAGCGCAACAATGGGTGCGATTCACAAATTATATCCAGGAACTCAACCGACGACATATAAACGACGGCACATCATATAAACTTTTATACATAATACGACACGGGCAAGGGATTCATAACGTGAAGATGGACGAATTAAAGGTAGCAGAAGAAGCCGGGACTTTGGAAATAATCGACGGAAAACCGTTGAACTGGAAAGTGAGATGAGGCATTTCATGACATCATACCTTTTTTCTTCTTCTTTTCTTTGGATCGCGTTCGGGAGTACTAACTATCCCAGAATTATTGGTCGCATGAGGACGGAGATGGCAAGGTAATATGGGCGGATGCGCAGCTTGTCGATAAGGGTATCCGACAAGCCCAAGATCTCGCCAAGCTATGGATAGACGAAGCGCAGAAGGATGCGCTACCATTACCGGGCACGGTCTACACCAGCCCTCTTGCACGATGTCTCGAAACGACGAGACTTGCATACACACCGGTTATGGCTAGACATGGAAGACGTCTCCAAGCCGTAATCAAGGAGAACCTTAGGGAACGAATTACCGATCATACATGCGATAGACGAAGTACGCGATCGTGGATAGAGCGCAATTACCCCGATTATACCATCGAGGAAGGCTTTTCGGAGGAGGACAAAAGTTGGGATGTGACAAAATCGGAATCGCTCGAGCAACACGTGGTAAGGATACAGCGACTCTTCGACGAAATATTTTCAAATGACGCCTCTCCGATCATTTCCTTAACCACACATTCGTACGCACTGACGGCCATATTGGCACTAGTGGGATATCCCAAATTTCTTGTAAATGAGGGGACGATTGTGCCACTGTTCATCAAGGCTGAAAAAGTTACACAGAATACTCCGCCTTCATGAATAGGTTGCGCGCATGAGTAGGTGAAGTTTAGCTGGTGTATCGCCCGTGGCGCATCGCTTCAGGCGTATTTTATGCGGGAAGGCTTCTTTTGGATCGATTGTTTGGCTGCCTCGAGAAGGAGGAGGTGCTAATAAATCGGGGGCGTCTACACAGCCCCGATGATACGATGCTAGGTATTACCGCCAGCCACCGAATTGAGACCTATTGTCAGGGATTTCTTCTGTGTCCCCTAATTGATTGGCCTAATTTTGCTGAGGGGCTTCTGTAATATGCAGCTTGTAGCGGAAGCGACCCACGAAAAGGCCCCCAAATCGCAATGCCTGCAATGCAACATGTGTGTGCTGTTTGATTAGATTTGATTAGAATCTTTCCATTTGTAAAGTTTTCTAGATGAGGCTCTGTGAGTATTGTTCTTCGAAGTTTCCTCTTTAAAATGTCCAAGTCGGTGTAGGAGTCGGTTAGAATCTTGAATTGATCATCCCGTCCCCTCTCATCTTTTCCCTCATTTCGCTCTTTTCTGGTGGCGTTCGTCAGCATTATATATACTATACCCGTATCGATGGACTTTGTACGACAAATTTCCCGCCAGTCTGCCATTAACTATGGAAAAGTGAAAGATGTCTCACCATCCACTATCCAGGTATTGCGGGTGACTCCACAGGCATCTTCACCCGATTCGGATTTGAACTTCAGCATCAAGAATTTTGACGGGGCGGATCTTTTCAATCAAATTCACCATGATCAATTATTCCCCAAACCAAGCCCTAAACAGCCTAGCCTGAATATGGTGTTCTTCTCATCAGTGCGGTGGAAGGATGAACACATCACTAACCAGGATAGAATCAAACTCTTTGAGTACCTACGCCTTGACGATGCTTTACTTGCATACCTTCTCTCGTCTCGAACGGGTTGGTATTACGTCGCAGGGGACAACCAGTACAGCTTCATGATTAAGGATTATATGTATATGCTTGCCTGGACTTTCGACCCGGCGACTTTGGAGACGCGCGCTATGCTTGCTGCACGGAGTGACTATGCGAAACGTTCTAGTCTGAAGTCCGATGATGGAAATTTCCATTTACCGGGATTTTCTACCGCGCATCTTTATCACCCATTGTCTCTTGCATGCTTGTGCTTAGCAGACTTTGCATCCTACTTCGAAAGAGTAATTGTGGAAGAAGGCTATGTCATTGGCGACATCGAGAAGGATACCGGTCATGGTGTTTGGAAAAAGGATCACACTGAGACGGATGTCTTTGAATTGGGCCAACTCATGACGGCATCGAGAAATATAGCTAAGAACATCGGCATATTCGCCAACCTATTCAAGAGCATCGAGATAACGCCTACTATCGCCGAGGCTCTGCAAGATAAAATCTGGAGGGATTGGTATAAGAAGTATAGAAACGATGAAGAGTCCCTGGAGTATTTCGATAAATGCTCTGCATCGTTCGTCTCGGCTGCTGGGTTGCTGAAGCAGCGCATCAACGCGATTAAGCAGTCTGCGCGTGGTTTCGACGAGAGGACGAAAGCGCAATCGAATGTGGTACGTACGGTTTCGTAATGCTCCCCTTCCACGGAAATTTTATGATGCAACGCGAAACTTACCAAACTATAGATAGCAGCTTTGATGCGCCGAGAGGATGCTCGCGTGGGCCACCAACTTGCCGAGGCCAGCAAGAAGCTTGCAGAAGCGACTAAGAAGGATAGCTCTGATATGAAGGTCATCGCCATTATGACGATGGCGTTTCTCCCTGCCACATTCTTTGCCGCACTCTTCGACCTTCCGACCCTCGACTGGAACCAACCAATCGTAATAACCCGGGACTTCTGGGTATACTGGGCTTTCACAGTTCCCACAACACTCCTCGTGTTCGTGATGTGGGACATTTTGAATGACCAGAAAATATTCTGCTGGCTAAAGAGTATATCTAATAACTCCAAGACAACGAAGGAAGCGCCGAAAGATTCAAGCGAGAACTCAATGGAGTTGGTACGTTGGCGGAATGACCCTATGTGAATACAATATATACCTGGAGGAATTTTCGGAAGTGATGACCATGATGACTTCTTTTTTTAATGGTAGCATAGCATTGGGCGGCTTCTCTGGGAAATAATGGAAAATTGTACCTGGCTTAGATACCATATGATCAACAATACACATCCTTATTTAAAGAAGTTGACCGGATTGTTGCATTGAAAATCTCCAACCGACCCACCGTCGAACGGTGATGGTCCGGTGGGCGGCGTTATATCCGCTCACGGATAGGAACGATCGACCGGAAAGATCACTCCTTTCCGCGCCGTTCTGTCCAATGTCGGCTGAGTTAGCTATCTTACGCTAGGTCAGATTCTGACCAACTAGGCTCGTTAGGCGTCGATAGTTGCATGCGCCGCTGGGAGCGCCAGGGGTTTATTGGCTAGATCCTTGAATACGGGAATTTGATGGCGCTAATTGGAAGGCATACTTCTTTGTTTGCGATTCCTCACGATCTAGGAGGAATCATTTGTACAATCCACACAAACGCATGTACCTGTCCTAATTTCGAAGCTGATGTCATCGTTAGCTCGAAAAGTCCCTCAGTTAGAATGGTCTAGGCTTCAGTTAGAGTGAATCAGTTTGGCTAGTGAAATGTGGAGATCCTTCAATCTGCTTCTGTAGCCAGCTTTTTTTTTCCTTTTCGATTTTGTTTCTCTCTGTAGGCTGAAATAAGAAAACACTCGTTTAATATTTTGGGGCTGCGGCCTTCTGACTTTTCTTGCCTGCTTTCGTTGAGTGTGGTGAAACGCCTTGATTGTGGAGCAACAATGATTGGGGGACGGCCGGGCATCAGTCTGGCGCTGGCCGTGGTGGTGTTTGTGTGTATTGTTATTACATATTTGGGTTCTGGGTCTACACACGGTCAGCTGAAGTCGGCTTCAAGTTCAGCAAAATGGATGTCGGCAGGAAAATATGAAAAATCGGACGTTTTCAACGGGACGCTCGGCGTGAGTCTTATGCTGACATAATACTAAATGTTAGTTGGCTAATTAGATGCGTTTTCATAGTTCGAGAAGGTCTTCGTTATAGGGTTGCCAGAACGCAGTGATAAGCGCGATGCGTTGACCCTAATGTCGTCGCTGACGGGTTTCAAACTAAGTTGGATTGATGGCGTACTTGGAAAAACAGTCTCGGACAAGGCTCTGCCATTTGTAAACTCCCGCGACGAACTCTGTGGGCAATGAATGATGCTAATAGTCTTGATCTAGGGATGGGATCGTCCGACAATGTCAGATAGCAACCTAGGGTCTTGGCGCGGCCACATGAATGCTATGCGACGTATTGTTGAGGATAGAATCTCATCGGCGCTGATAATGGAGGACGATATGGACTGGGACGTCCACGTCAAAACATTGTTGGCGCAATTCGCCGCTGCAGCCCGCACCCTACAAAAGGGTTTCCACCGAAACCATACATTAGAGCCGCCGAGTCCATATGGCCAAAATTGGGATATGTTATGGCTGGGATCTTGCGTGACGACGTTCGATGAGCATTTACCAGAACATCTTCAAATCCCACCTGAGCAGCGAAATCCGAATAAGATTCTTATCACCGACGACCCGACTGTACCACCATTGGGACATATCCTAGCCAATGGGTCATTCAGCTGGGACGACTATCCGCCACAGACACGGATTGTATATGTTCCTGGGGATAACGTGTGCAGCTTTGCGTATGCCCTGAGCGCTAGCGGTGCAAAGAAGGCATTGCAATACATGGCGCTTGAAGGGCAACATAAGCCCTTTGATAATCATCTGAGTGATTTGTGCCGGTTGCGTGTTGATGGGATGCGTTGTGTGAGCATCGTCCCAAGCTTGTTTGTACACCACCGACCCAGGGGGAAGATTAGCGGCGACTCGGACATAAATAAGGGAGGCCCGGATAGCGAGGTTCGCGAAGCCGGCTTCACAGAGAACGTATTGTATAGCACGCGGTTGAATGTGAGGAATTTGCTAAGAGGGTTGGAACCGGAGAAACAATGGTCGGATTGAATGATCGGTTACGGGTCAATGACTAGGACTTATGCGGGCAACGCAACGGGCGAAGGCGTTCATTTCTGGACATAGCCGTACTCCTTGAAGACTCATATAATAACATACTGACTTTTTGAATTATGAATGTAAAGTATTTGCCTGCATTATATGGCCGGTGCTGCTGATTTTGATCGTTGTTTTCATTTGACACTGTTTCTTGGTGAATCCCGTTGTACAACAACCCTCCAAGTCCGGTTCGATTATGTAATAATAGATACATTTAGGTTATCGTGGCATGGGAATTTCGAATCATCTAGTGGATATTCATCTCAACATTGGCTGGAATATTGAAGAATTGACAGTCAACTTGATATGAATTATTGTCGTAGTTGAAAAGTTGAAATAAAGTGAGTCTCGTTGAAGCTTGTTTCGATGTTCCTGCCAAGATGCTTACATAAACAATACCCTCCTAAAGTAGACTAGCACCAGATTGGAAATAACCCACAATTAACCCATGTATCAATTGAAGGTCGGAAGAAAAAAAATTCGGAGCTCTCCCAAACATCACCAACAACGAGCAAGGTCCATTTTCATTCCGCCGGCGTCTTCTAATCCAAATCTACGATATATCTTTCGTCAAATACGAGAACTCAGAAACCAAATTGCCAAAATGCATCTCATGTATACAGCCGACGAGAGCGGAAAGCGCCTCTACACCCTGAAGAAAGTCCTACACGGCGAAGTCACCAAATCCGCACACCCGGCTCGTTTCTCCCCCGATGACAAATGGTCGCGCCAGCGTGTTACTCTTAAGAGGCGCTTCGGTCTATTGTTGACGCAGCAGAGTAAGTTATACATCCCGTTTCTTTACCTACTTATTTGTCTGGTGGAAATCACGGGCACACGTTAATAAATGGAGACGTTGAGGATATATGAGAAATTGTGCTAACGGTAAATCTCAACCACAGAGAACAAGGTTGCCGAAAACTCCCGATAAACGAAGAATACTCAGACGATAATAGACGACGATTCGAGGCTGAGATGCTGAAATAGGCGGATATTGGCTGAAATACCCACGGTCCCACAGCATGCAAATGCGGATTTATTCATTTGGACGATACGGCGTTTGGGGGATATAGGGAAACCAAAAGAATTGATTATTTCTACACCAAGCCCTGATTTGCCTGAACTAGTCGAACCTGTGAAATCATCGTCGTGACCTCACCAACTTACGCGATTTAGTCCTTGTATTGAGATGGATAATCGAGAACGGATGAAATGGACTTGATACTACAAGTGCTTGGGGAATGCGAATGTCACTTAGCGGTCTATTATGGGCAGAAATTGCTCTAATGCCCAAATCCGAATGAAGACGTGGTATCAATTCATACCTATGAAACCCATACCAAATACCGAACCCTCTATAATTCCCTTTTTATGGCTCTATACCTCACCTCTTCCTCGAATTCACATTCCTCCCCGCCCCAACACGTATCTTGCCCTGCGTTCCTCCACTCCGGTCTCCCGTCAATATACCGGGCAAGTAATCCTCATCCATAAGATCCCTCTGCCGAGCCTTGCTCCTATCCGTAGACTTCTTAACGTATTCCTTCTGGTCTTCTGCTAGTATTAACTCCTTTCCCCATCCATTCTTCCCTCCTCCGAGACCTCGCGCTTTTCCGTTCGAGGTACCGTGTACTGGCTTCGGCACACTGTAGACGTTGCCACGGTTGTTCCATTGGAAGTTTCGCTTGAGATGGATAGTAAAGTTGCCGCTGGAGTCGGTCGAGCAACTCACGCGTGTTAGAGTTGGTTGTCCACAGCGAGGACAAAATTGTTTCGACATGTCTCTTGTAACCCCAAAGCATCCGTGACATCGCAGTACCCATGTCTTCACTCGTGTAATACGCGCTAGACTTGGTGACACTAAATTCAGGTTCATGCGCAAGAGCACATTCTGCATGGCATAATCAGATGTTAACAGCGCGACTTGTAGGAATTGTTGAATCGGCTGCTCTGGCGCTGAAAGTTGGTCTTTCGCTTGATGTTTCTTAAGGTTAGATGGTGTGATCCATCCATCCTCATCATCGTCTTCCTGCTCTGCTTCTTTTGTTTCTGCCGTAGCGGCGTCGTCCGGCGCGGTGTCTATTGTCGGTAATGCGGAGGGTTCGAGGCTGAGAGAATCTAGTGCTTGTGTGACTGTCTCTTGTTGAATAGTCGGCTGTTCCTGTGTCTCGGGCTCTTTTGTATTATCCTCAGGTATTGTCTCCTCTGTTATGGTCTGTTCTGCTCCATTGTTGCTATCGGCTACGTCTGTTGGCTTTATGTCTGCGGTTTCTTCGCCGTTCTTTTGTTCTTCAGCGCCATTTTGTTGCGATGGTGCTTTCCCATTTAAACCCTTCTGTCCCGGTGTTTTTCTCAATCGCCAATCACCTCCATTCCTTTCGCATTCCAATTCATATGTCAGGGCGATCAGGTGTAAATCGGGTCTACTCAGGACTTCGAGGTCACCAGTGCGCCTCGCGAAATCGGTCGCGAACTTTATGCTTTCCGGGCGTGGGCTTCGTAGTTTTAGGAACGGAAGAAGTGTGGTTTCGACACGCGATCTTGTTGCGGCGTCGCGAATTTCGGAGATGACAGAGGGAAGGGTGTACAGTTCGTGCGCTTGGCTAAGGAGCGTACTGACGGGAGGGTCGTTCTTGATTAGGGGACCAGCGTCGAGGACTAAGGAATGAATTGGTTTTGATGAAGTCGTCGCTTCTGAATCTGGGCTCGTAACTCCGGATTCCTTCACCTTCGCTGGCGGTTGAGATTCTGTTGTCGCCATCTTGCTGATCAGGTTCGCTAATCGTAAATGTTTTAATGAATTCAGTTAATGGTGGGGTTGCCATTTTCCAGGGCGACAAATTTCGTGGGGTAACAAAAAGTTTTAGCGGTGGAGTATGGCAGAATATTTCTATGCTACAATTATACAGCTAGGTACACGCTAAGGAAGAAACATAAATCACTTCAACGCATGCAACTTTCTACTCAATTTTCATATTTTTCTCATAACTTAAACAAGGGGTATAATACGTTAAACTAGTAATTCGTACCTGTAAGATCACTAACCTCCTATCGCGCAAACCGTGTACTCCGTCCCTACCTGTATTTTTCATGTCATAATTGTTAGCTATATCCTTTGACCTAGCCTTCGACTCAACTCTTATATCCGGAGGTATGCGGAGCATAAGGTCACCTATACGCCACAGCTACCGGATGCTCCGAAGGTTCTGGGAAATGCAACCCGGATACGTTGTTGTCTATTCGAATATTCCGATGTAATCAAGGTTGAATATTCGTTGCGAGGTTTCGGTTTTCCTCAAATGATGAGTATTGGTTAGGAATCATGAGAGCTTCAATCCGTCTAAACATCCTGTTTCTAGATTCCTCGGTCCTTATTAACTTCACATACCTCAAAGACCAAACGCAAGGCCCCGTCATATTAGAGGATATATGGTGTAAATAGGTAGAACTTGTTCTGAGACTGAAACATGGAGGTATCACCTAAATCAGGAACACCTGGTAATGGTGAACCAGTTCCCGTGAATCAACCAGGCCTGTTCAGAATTGGCATGGAGCAAATGCGGCGCACTCCGAAGTATAGAGCCCGAGCTCCTCTTCTCGAAAACCGAGAAAGCCCAAGTAACAAATCGGCAGCTGTTTGCCACATCATCTTTGATGGCATGCGCCAGACATGGTTTTGTGCTTGAGTTATGAAGCGAATGTTTCAATCCATCCAAGGGCTGGTATTTGGGGCGAGAATACGTTCATGGATGGCTTTCTCCCCCAAAGGTAGATGTGGGAAGATAGTACAAGGCCGTATAATACCAGTACAAGTCGCTGGATCAACCCCGCGCTTCCAAAATAGCTGCAGTTGGTTTAGCCTACACCGTTGTGTAGAGTAGAGCCATAACAGTTCTTAAACCCATCGATTTCGGTAATAACCGGCTTGGCCAGACGCCTCGGGGGAGATCCGAAGGTAGTTTCGGTGTATTGGAGGCTTGTACATCGTCTGTTCAATCGATTATTTTGTTGTAGGGCGACCCCAGGATAAGCAAGCCTACCCCCACCAAAATTTCTAAGAAATATCGCAATTTTCTTACATTAACCCTTCTGGCTAATTAAGTGTGGTAGCAACTGCCAAATTGCCAAGAGTGGTCGAAGAATGTCCGTATGGATTTTCGATGTAAATCGTTTGATGAGATGATTCGACGAGCTCGAGATCTGTAAAACCTAACCTACAAGTCAAGGGTGGTTCACAGTTTGATTAGTGTGATCACACTGTCGTCTGCGAGTATTCGTTGTTCAACCAGTCGTTTGAGAGCCAAGTCGTAGATTCAAGTCCGGTATTGCCGAATGATTCAATGTTGAAATCAAATCCATCCATTGCACCTTCGAATGCGTTGTTATTATCTATTCCGTCCGGCGGCATTACTGGTGGTAAGTTCGGTTTAGTCATGTTGAAATCGTTGATTGGCGTTCCAGAAAGTGAGGAGGCGCGGTCATGCTGTACCACTGGACGGTTGGTGGGATGCGGAATCGGCGTGGACATCGAGCTACCCTGCGGCGAGGACATATGGGTTGAGGGAGACATGATAGGCATACTAGCGAAACCGTTTTCATCGACAACCGGCATGTGTTGCATCATGTTTTGGCGCGCCGGGACGTGTTGGGGCACAAGTTTCGCCCCACCAGTTTGTGGACTTTCTGCACGAGTCGACGGAGCATTTGGCGAAAGGCCGTGGGCAATTAATTTCTCGAGATCAGCAACCTATAATAGCATGTGTAATCAGTAGAGCGTTGTGGCATCTTCGGAGGTGATAACTTACAATGGCAGCACCAGCAGGGATGTGATCCATCGATTTTGCGATGGTCAGGCACCTCGTCCCAAGCTCTTGTACCTGATTCGAGGTCAAGCCAATTTCTGCTTGGTTTGTCTGGTAAGCAAAGTAGACGATTCGAGCACACTGATAGGCGCAACCAGGTAGATCGAGATCCGTAATGGGTAGACCTCCATCCAGTGCTAGAACCAACTTGAAGATGTCTGACATAGCTAGAGCATGTTCATAACATTGGCGCGCACAGTACGAGACGAACTGGGGATCTAGCCGACTTAGACCCGACTGCGACAATGCTTCTTTGAACCCCACCAAAAACATCCGGTAAAGATCACAATAGCATTGTCGCCACCATACGTGTATCATGATATAGACACAAAGCCTTGGTGAATAGGCGCGCAATTGGAGGTTGCTCTCGGAGAATTTGAAGGAGGAAGGGAGGTGGTCGTTAAAGCCGGCTAGTTCTTCTGAAAGAACCTTGACAAGCTCGGGGAGTTGCGCAAGTTCAGATTCAGGCATTCCCATCACATTCTTAGTGCAATACAGGACTCTACTCCTCATCCATAAAAGTCGTACGTGAAGCGCCAAAGAACCAACATCGTCCGGAAAAGGCCGCGTGGGAACAGGTCGGAGATATTCGGTTACCTGTGGAAGATCGAATTCAAAGTTACGTTCGGTGCAAGGGAGTTGAATGTGCATAGACTCGGACGGCATCAATATAAAATCCGAGCATCCGCCGTTAATGGCCGAATCAATAGTCATTAGCGCCCACATCAATCTCCTCCGTGATTCGCGAGCTAGAAAGCATAGGTTTGGGTTCTCGTAATTTAGACGGAGAGCATAGGCAAAGCGTGTAGCCGTAGCCGCTAACATAAAGGCGGTGGTAAATTTCCTCGACAGCATACGGTGCTTCATAATAAGAATGAGGGTTTGAGTTTTAATGGTAGATGGGTTCTCGAGATCTTGAAGTACCATAGTCTGGCATTCATCGATGCATCTGGTGCCATATTCGCGTGTGCCAGGGCCCAGATCCATAAGTAGCGTAGTGACGCCCACTAAGGCAAGTAGTAACGCCTTGTCCATCATACCAGCATGATAGCGTTGCATGAGCGAAGCGCGGTGAAGAAATGAAAATATAGGAACATGATGAATATGGCGAAAGAAATTGTTAAAAGTCCGTTGTATTAGAGCCTCATCTGGGAAGGTAAATCTAAAGCGATCCATCAGTTCATGAACACAACTGAAAAAGGAGTCATTGAATGCGTACGGTTCAAGATTAGATGCTGTAGATGCCGAAACTCCATTTGGATCGTAATTATGCTGATCGTGTCCTTGAGAAATATGATGCGATCCTTGATTATCTTTGCTCGTCATAATTCGCTTTTCTGGTGGTTCAGATGAGACGGATTCAATTTCAGAATCAGTAGCGCCTTGGTGGGTTTGCTGAACAGCACTGCTGACACCTCCGGATCGCTTCGTCGGTTTGTAAACGCACTCAATATTTTGAGCCTGGCATCTTGCGCATTTTGGTGTCTCACCGCTGCATCTTGCTTTCCTGGAGTGACAATTGGCACATGCTAATCTCACACGTCTTCGCGGAAGAGTGAAGTTTGATAAGCTTTCGGCGTCCTGGTTAGGTGAGGCGGCATCCTGAAATGAACAGGTGAATCCTAATCGTTCGCAATTCTGACACATATCTCGACGACCATCACATCGTACTTTTCGCACCCTACAAGGAATGCAGGTTTGGCTGGATTTTTTGGGAGGCCGGTTCGTAGGGTCGGCCGCAGCAACATCTGCTGCGACCTCAGCTGCTGTATCGGCGGCCACCATCTGGACGCTCATGTCTTCTATATCCATTCTCCCAGCTCTTGAATTTGGACATTAGTGTTAGGCGCGTGGGGATATAGGAGAATAGCCGAAGAGAAAATCGTTCATCAATCCGAAATGCAAAGCGCGAAATAGCGGTATTGCGTTATTACGGATTGTGGACATGTTACGCTATCAGAATCACGGAGTCATTGGTGGTTGAAAGTTTGGAGGGAATTTCAGCGTTGGGAATTTTGGGTTGGCAGCAAATTGCGAAATGGCAAAATAGCGGGGACCCGGCGAAAGCGGCCTCTCCAGCGCTACCATACAACCTAGCCCAGCCTAGCAGGTACTATCTGGTACCCCTTCTGCAGCCCGTTTCCAGCTTCTGTCAGGCAGGCGGCAGGTCAGACCTGCTATTAATTAGTGGACCTTGCTAAGCCCGAGGTTCGCTAAAACGCCTTCAGTGACTGTTTTTATTAGTCTAACCTTGGTACATAAATCCACTAAAAGCCCTGTAACACGGCTCCGGCTTCGACTAATCCTAATTCTCAAAGATAACTTACGTCATTCCAAAGTTCTTTCTACGATACATTTTGAAGATATTTCTGTAAAAGTCGGTTAAACATTCTGTAATTTCACGGTTGCATTTCTTTTTACCTAAATTAAAAAGCAATTGTTCAATGTGTATATTGTGAACCACCACTCGATATTCCCATGTCCCTCTTTTGACTCTCTATAGGTCCTGGGGGAATTTGAAATAGACGCCTCAAATTGTGTCATGACTTACACCACCAGTTAACAAAATGTACTTTTTAGACGAGCGAATAAACAGGTAACATGTCCGGTTATGCTTTTTTATGAAATTGCTAACTGAACTTAAAAAAACATGAACTTGCATAGAATAGTTGGCAACTCCTTCCAGTGCAAGTATCCATGAGTCTTTCTTGGCGTTAGTTTAGTGTCCGAACTATTTTCTGGGGATCGCGCGAAACTAATCAACTTCACTTACATTAGTCTCATTCTTTCACGATTTCCGATGAGATTAAGAATTGAGACTCCTTCAGCCTCAAAGCCCCAGCAATTTAGAGGACACGTAAAGAATGCCTTTTTTTGGTGCGAGACACGAGTCGACAAGGGAAGAATCATAATAAGAATGTGCCATCCATCAGTTAAAACCATCCAATCAACGACGACAAAGCGCACGTCAAATCAGATCAACTGTGTGTCATCCAACTCAATTCTTGCCGACAGCCGAGCCGAGATCCGGATGTCGGTAAAGCCCAAGTTTTTTAGTTTTATCGATCCATTTCCTCATTTTCCAATACAACGTTGATTTTTAAAGGGGGCTGGCTTTACTAACCAAGATAATGCTCACTTCTAAGCTCCACTATAGCCGGGAAAATGGAATAAAATGAGTATTCGAACATCTGATTTGCTCATTACGAAGAGCTAAACGGTTGCTATTATACATTAATTCCCAATGGGTTATAAATTTCGAGGCAGGTCGTCCGCAGCAATACGAGCGAGTCTCCCAAAGAGCCTCGTGAGATCCCAACCATTAAGATGGAACGTGAAATTATTATAGGCACTTGACATCCCGATCGATCCTATTGGTAAGCCGATCAACATTCATACAGTCATCTCTCATACTACGAATATGTAGGTGATCATATCTAACATAGATAAAACATTGTGGCGTTACTAATAACCAGCAGCTGAAAGATAAGGACCGCTGTTTGAAAACACTAGCTAAACACTACAGCACGATTGGGTGGTCTAGAATCTTCTGTAAGTCCACTACGATTTGGTTGCTCTTGATCACCCTCACCGATAGCACGGACGTATTAGCCTACCGGTTACCGATATACACAATAGCAATAACTCTTAACATGGAAAACACTCGCCCCGAGTTTCTTTATGACATCTTGTTCGAATCATAACTAGTCAATTACAAGAAAGTAGTGTTTCTAGACTACTTGAAACCCCATCATTAAGCTCACGAAATTTCGACTTCACTACCTAAGCTCCCTTCTAAGCTGGCGTATTGATAAGCTTCTCGCCATTCGATTCCTTGGACTGCCCATTGGTTGCCGCCTTGAGTCTACGTTCCCTCTCCGCTCTCCCTTCACTCGCAGGATCATAAAACGCTATACATCATTAGATTTACACCATAGCCAGGATAGCGAAAAAAAGATTAGACGACTTACGTTTTTCACCAAAAACCGTCGTACGGATACCCCTCCGAGGCGCCTCATACGATCCGGGAATGACACGGTGCAGCACACACCTATTATCCCACATCGCAACGCTACCAACGTCCCACTTCCACCGTACGGAGTGATCGTCCGCAGAATGGAGATGGTATTGGAAGAATTCCAGAAGCTTATCCGATTCAAATTTCTTGAGCTCGGCGAAGCCAGTCACAAACCCCGTGTTCACATTTAGGGCCTTGAGTCCAGTGACAGGGTGTGTCCTCACAGCTGGGTGATGCGAGTCAATCGGGGGGCGGTTCGGACCAACACCCCATAAATCCAGGATCGTGTCGTACTGTAGTCGCGAAGTGTGTACTGCGTGCAGACCCTCGACGAACTTCTTCATCGAGTCACTTAGCGCGTCGTACAAGCCGTAGCCGGAGATCCAAGCGGTGTCGCCCCCAACAGGGGGGTGCTCTTCCATGCGCAGTAGCGAGTACGAGGGTGGATTGATTTCAAAGGAAGTATCGGCATGCCATTCTCCTGACGGCCAGGGAGTGTACTTGTTGATCTCGCGATGGTCTTCTGTGCTCCCCCTGATCACGACATGCTTGACATCCTTTTGAGCCGGGTGTCGATCCAAGATTCCATAATGCTCGAAGAGCTTTACCTGCTGCTCAGTAGTAAGGTCCTGGTTTCGGAAAAAGACCACGCCACGCTCATTTACGAGCAGCGCAAGTTCATCTAATTGCTGAGGAGTCAATTGTGATAGTTGCACATTCTCCAAAAGTGTTCCAATGGATTCCGTGAGGGCGACTGGCTTAGCTACTGAGAAGAGCGCCTTCTTCTCGGGGTCAGCGAAAGAGCCCCGGTCCTTGTCCGGGACTATCTCTTTTCGGAGCGGCTCCGGGGGAACATGATCTCTGATTTTAGGTGAGAAGTGCGGGTGGATCGCAATTGGGAACCCGGAGTCCGGGGAGATATGCTTCAGTGATTCAAGACCAGCCGACATCTTGCCGATTGACGATCAAGCAGATTTATAATATCTTGCGTTTTATCGCGAACTTCAACAATATATCAAACGGATATACTCTCTTTATTATCACTTATATGTATTTTGGTCTCCGAAGTGGAGTTGGAGACTAGTATGACGTGCGCGCACATTCAACCTATGAGAAGAGACGCTGGTTGTACGTTGATAGATAACTAAGCTAAGTGAGGTTGTGCCCCTCGATGGCGCGAGGGTAGGTTGCTATCACATCAGTCCCAATGATCCCAAATTGGGATCGCAGCCTACTAAAATATCCGATCGGTACCGACACGCTTCACGGACGCGAATTACGCGGCAAAGCGACTATAATCACGGCTTTACTTTACGCCCATGATTAAAGTAAGGAAGCGGATTCTTAAGTACTAAATACTAGATTTCTATAAAGCAACGCGCCCAAGTATGGAATCTATTGAGCATGGAAATCCCATGTAGCTTTTCCCTTACTAATGGCAAGATTCAAATTTTAATCCGAACCCTGCTCTTTGCCCATATCTCCTTCCTGAACTTCAGCACGACTCTCGATGTCGGTTTTATCCTTACCGACCCCGAAGTCTTTGATTATCAGCCAAGCCGGCAATATCGAGACACCCCAAAGGCCGAAGTTTATATAAGGACCACCAACCGACGCAATGATGGGAACCGCGTTAAGCCCATAACTTAGAGCCTGCCAAGCCGATTCCGTACCTCGCAGTAACGCAGCGAGTCGGATGGTCTCCTGCGGGCTTGAGGATATCTGGCTGATTATGAAATATGAAAAGTTGTAGTTCAACTGGAAGCCGGCCACTAAGAAAACGAAGACACCGAATGCCCTACCGAAACCTGGGTCAACCCAGTCGAAAATAGGTTGGGTTCGGCGATATTCGGTCACGTTGATCGTGAGCCAAAGCCACCAGGCCCCCTGGAGCACCATTATAACCACAAATGCCCGGCGAGATCGCTTCTTAAGGGGTATATGGTGTTGGTCTAACCATAACCCCAGGAGGTTTCCACATATCACTGCTACGATTCCGGATAGGAACGACCCCAATGCTCTCGCACGCACGCTGAACCAGAGAGCATTATAGGTAAAGAAGACAGCTTCCGAGTAGACCCCTTGGCCAATCCAAAAGACGATAAAGAGGAATTTTCTAGTGAGAAAGGTTCTCGTCGTAGCCTTGATTTCTTGCCAAGGATTGTCGAAGATAGTGAGTTGGACTGGTGTACCACCTGGGCGCTGAACTTTCGATGGGCGATTGAGGAGTAGAGCCACCAATGTTCCGCTAGCTTGGAGGGCGATAAAGACGATGTATACCGTATACGATACTTTTCCGGCTTGATTTCGATCCACGTTGAGGCCTAGATTCACAGCACCACCCAGAATCTGGCCAACTCGAGTCCAGGTTAACCAGTAGGCTACCATTCTCCCCCGATTGTGCGGCTCGGGGTATGCGATCGCTATCGCCGCTTCGGCAGCCCAGAATATGCCGGCGGATATGCCACAGAAAGCGGCCCCCACAATCACAAGCCACTCAACGCCATACCGATTGTTGAGGTACAGCCCAGCGCTATATGGGGCATAGCCAATAGTACCAACGAATAGGGCGCCATTGATGCCGATATATCTAACAATGCTACTCGTCAACCAACATGATATTATCATGAGGCAGAATGTGAGTGCATTCCCGGTGTTGACGAGATACGGTGATTGGGCACCACCAGCACCGAGAGAATTCATTGCTCCCCATAGCCCTGGTGCTGCAAAGCTGCAGAGGCCGAGTATTGTGGCATTATAGAATACCGAGCGGTACCACTTCACTTCTCGGTATTAGCAAACATGTTTCAGATATTGGCGCTATTTCTCACCTTTGATAGGCTTGGATTCATTGCCCGTAGAGCTTTCGGCTGTCGTTTCTACGGCTTCCGCCATGTTGATAGGTGTACTAGCTGACGCGTTCAACTTTCCTTCAAGTCTCGAAAGTGAAGCTAGCTTGGAGCTTGGAGCTTGGAGCTTGTCGTTTACTTCTACATACTAATCAGCTAGCTTTAATCCTGGAAAGGATTTCATAATATGGTTACCAAACTAATCACACCTTACCCTACGAATAATGCGTAATAGATTCGGAGATAGATAAGATTGAATCGATTCTGTTCCAGTAGCAGGGAACTGATTCGCCGATTGACATCTGTGCGACGATAATGAGAAGCACGTCATTCAGCCCCTGAAATTGACCATCATTTGTCTCAACGCCTACCTCGCACAAGGTTAATTACGCCGGTAACGCAAGAGCACAATTTCAACTCAACTCCGGAATATTATCTACGTCGATGGCCCCTACCCGAATGTGTAATCTTCGTAATCATCTTCATTTCTTTTTTTCCATATTTCCACCCCCCTTCCCCCTTTTCCATACCGATTCATCGCTTAGTCATCCATCACGACACAAAAAAAAATCGTAATTTTTCCCAGCCAAGTCTATACCTTAAATGTGAACTATCCTCCTAAAATGTTCTTCAAAAACAAAACCCAATATTACGCCATACGGAACGGGTGAGTTTGGTACTCAGGTACTAGCTTTGTGGTGGCAGTGCTTAGACTAAAGCAAGCCACCCGGAGATACTTAGACAGGTATCTCCGCTTTATTAATGTGGCTGTGGCTGTGGATGCGAGTCGGCGGGCTAAGCCGACAACTATTTCTTCTATCGACGTGTTCGTAGGACCACTTTAGGTCGAACATGTGGAACCAATTCTTTGACTTTGAGCGCTCTCAAATCTGATGTCAATAATTCAAGTGCATTATCCGTCGCTATGATATTTTTTCTGCTTTAAGTCTTTCAATTGATCTTCGTACCCTTGTTCGCATCCCGGCTGTCGATCTTGGAGAGCTTCACTTCGGGTATTAGAGGACTAACCTAGTATGGCTGCTCTTGAAAAGAACCAAGCAGAAATTGATAAGGCTAGCAGCCTTGAACATGTGCCTAAAGGGGAGGAATACGACAAGATGATTTCGGGGATGCTGTGAGTATTTGGAGGATGAGGGGCCTAGGGCGCCTCCCGTTTAGCCAGGTCGTCGGCGTCGATTCTCTACGTAGTAACATCACTAACACGCGTTTTCAGATACAATGCATTAGATCCCAAACTCATGAAAGCGCGTTTCGACGCTCGAAGATGGATGCATAAATACAATAACTACTTCCCCGATGATCCCGAGGCAGACTTCGAGTCCTTGGCCAAGGCTAGGAAGAACATCCTCAAGCAATTCCTAGGCCACATCGAGGACGAGGTGTTCATAGAACCCTCACTAGCCGTGGATTATGGGTGTAATATTCGTCTCGGCCATCGCTTCTATTCTAATTTCAACTTAACTATCCTGGATTGCGCGCTTGTCACTATCGGCGATCGTGTGATGTTTGGGCCGAATGTTTCTATATTGACGGCTACTCACGAAACCGAGGTTCAGAGCCGCAGGGATGATGTCGAGTACGCTAAGCCCGTGACGATTGGGGATGATTGTTGGATAGGTGGGCATGTTGTGATATTGCCTGGAGTTACCATTGGCGAGGGATGTACAGTTGCTGCTAGTTCTGTGGTAACGAAAGATATTCCGGCGTGGAGTGTTGCGATGGGTACTCCGGCACGGGTCGTACGGAAGGTGACATCTCTAGATAAGATTCAAGAAAAGTAGGTGCAGGTAGAGGTTCAAACTAGTTATTCCCGCAGTTTTCATATCAATTTACCATGTTATATACTCATAAACATACATCTATCCGGTACCCCCCCTAAGGTCAAATCTTCAGTTACCAGTACCCGCCACAGTGAAGTCGAAGGTTCCGGGGTCCGTATCATTATCATGTGGGAAGGATTGGAAGTCAAAATCTTAAAGCACGTCGACCGTTTGCATTAGGTCATTATGAGTCGTCATTAAAGAACACTTTCTAAACGTATTAATTAAATTGGATGAGGCTATTCAGGTTTCCACATTAATTTCGTGTACCTTGGTAGGTAGACTTGAAGTCAAGATTCCGAAACATGTCGACCGTTTGTATTGGGTCATTATAAGTCGGAGTCGGAGGACTCTATCTAGATATATTAATTGAATTGAATGGGGCTATTCGGGTTTCTGCTCCTGGGAATTCTCTTGGGATCTCGGATGTAGTTTTAACAGCATGTCGTTTTCTTATGTGATCTCTCAAGCTCTGCTCGCTTGTAAACCCAACATCGTTATATGCGCAATCAACTTGGTAATATTTTAGCTCTTTGAAGTGGCGAAGTTCGTGTTTTTTAGGCGACTCTCTGATTCAAACCCGGCAACTGCACGATCACATCCAGATACTTTGCAAACGTACGAATCTCGGCCGAATTCCTCTTTGAAAATGTCGAAATCTTTTTGTAGTAGACCGCCAATCTTAGATTGACGAAGTAGCCCTTGTACAGTCTCATGATATCTGCGGAGACTCTGGAGCAACGCATGCGGATTCGTATTAGATTCTAAAGTGGCTTTGTTAATCTACGTTTGAAACCAAGCGCGTACCTATGGCTATTTAGATGTACTCGGGACTTACTTGGGTTCGAAATTTCTGACTTTCGTAGGTAAATAATTCTTCTTGCTAGATCACGGATATCTTCGAACTCTTCTAGCCAACGTAACGACCATCCTTCATTCTCTCCTAAAGGGTTGCCTTGGGTAAGCTGAGGGCCCCCAAGGCGCGAAATTTCTCCGTATAACCCTAAGAGTTGCTGTATCATTGGTTCAGAGTGATCTCTGATAACTTCATGTCGTATTTCTAAATACTCTAACAGGTGGTCTATCCAGTGTTCGTTTGCATAAGGTAGAAGCCCGTATATTCTTGAAGCAACGTCGCATAGAATCATTGAATTTGGTGTAGCTTGGGGATGTAAACAGAGTCCCTGCTTTACTTGTGATATGCACGCAAATGCAATGCTGTAATGCGATTCGAGGATATCAACGAAAGGTTTCGGCTTATACGTGGTTACATACTCGGTTAGAAATCTACGAGACAAACTTAGCCTTAGAATAAACCTGAAAGTAGAGACTTACTTTGGTACTGTAGAATGTGGGAAGGCAAGCGATCCGCTTGGGCCTGCTTCTAGAAACGGCTTGCACACATCAGTAGTATTAGGGAAGGGTTTTGTACGTCTACTGATGATTTCGCACCCCGGACGTAACGTCATTGCTAGTCGGACTTGGTACTTTTGAATTGGATGACGCCCTTTGTGGTGAATAACCCATGCAAAAGCCCGTTGGATCCTCGATACAGCTTCGGGCGAGAGTCTGTCGCAGATATTGCTAAGGATGCGATCGTAGCTAGAGTAATCGGTTAGTCTGCATGAACTCGTCCGTCCACCACGCCCTTAACATAGGGACTTACGCTTCTGCTAAGTCCCTAGGTAGGTTATTAACTTGGTTTTGAAGATCTTGCAAGCTTGTAGCTTCCCTCTCTAGGAGATCAAGCACCAGCTGAACCCATAAGAACATCTCTATCGGTGATGTTAGCATCGGACCCTTGATTTATATGAATAGAGGTCAAACCTTCGGCTTTATCCAAGATCCTCTTTTGAAGGTCGCGCAGATCTTTCTCTTCAATTGCACCTCCTTGGGCATCGTTGATCCTTTCCAGCCCCTCATAGATAATTATAGCGAGATCCTTACGAATCATTTCCTTTTCTTCCGCCATACGGAATTGGACTTTGCTTATCAAAGTAGATGATATGGTAGGAATATCCTGGCTTGCTAATAGGAGTTTGCATTCTCGGGAATGTTTTTTCAACTGCATGAGATCCCTAATTAGGTATTTATGTTTCTTCCATGATATTTCGTCTATCCCATCTACTATGATGTGGAGATCACCGAGTTGGGTAATTAGCTTTGGTAAGATCTCGCTTAGGTGAGCTTGTGGGAGGGAGCGAGCGTTGGCTATGTATTCATCCCAGAGACAGGATACCATATCAGAAGACATCCGAACAAGCTGGGCGCAAATGCTTCTTAGAATGGGAACACTTGCATCAATGTCACGGTGGGTATCGCAATCTGGTGTTTGGTAGTCGCAGAAGAAGAATGCCACTTTTCGCTGACTAGATCGAAGAAAACGGATAAGTTGGGCACACAGAACCGATTTTCCTACAATAGTTAGTACTATTTCCACCTTAATCGGTATAATACCGTGCTTCAGAGTGTTATTACCAGAGCCCGGTTTACCATTCAACCAGAGTGTAGAACCTCCACCATTCTGCTTAAGCCAGGCTTTGAGCTTCGGAGATTTGGTAATCCATTGAGATGTACCCTCTGTGCAACGCTTCTCAAGCCAGCCCAATTTCAATTCGGGATTTGTAGTAGTGAAATTTAGCCAGCTGAGCACATCTTGAAGCTGTTCTACTCCCCGTTTGTGCTCCTGGGCTGTGGCGCTGGTGAGTTTCTCCTTCCTCAACTCTGCAACTTGGCTGATACTTAAGGAGGCTGCTTCTCGATCAATCAACTCGCCATAATCATGAATGCTGTCGAGAAGGCCTTTTAAACGGTATCCGAAACGTCCCCATAACGAAGAGAAATAAATCCTCCATCCTAGATGATACGGTCAGCTTAACTGAATAATCTAGGACTTCTTCTGCCTCTCACCCGACTTTCGTATCATAGCATAAGCGCGCTCGTGAAATTCGATGTTCTGGGGGAATGTCTCCGCATAGCGCGAGAAGCGAGGCATGCGGTTCCCGATATTTACGTACGCCGTCACGATCGTATCTAGGGCATGTGTATAATCTTTTACTCCCTATTGAAAGTACATTAGCGGCGGAAACTAGGTGAGCCATACTAGGGGGTTATACTTGTAGAATAAATTTGATAGGTGCCTTATTAGACAATTGTTAGTAATGGCGTATAGGGACATATTAGGGAGTTAAAAGGTATCCCACCCAGATCTATGGAAGGTAAGGCGTCCCGTTACAAACCACCTCAACTACCTTTGAATACCTCTCAACAGCGTCTAGGAACGGAATGAGACGGCCGAAGTTTCTAAGGCTTTGTCGTGAAGCAAGTTCTTGCTCGATTTCTCCAATCGCGTTCTTCACTTCGCTTATTCTGACGGTTGAATCGATAGAGAGTGTGTCGCTGGTTGATATTTGATTGCGAAATCGGTCGCATGCTCTCTTTAAGGCGCTGTTAGCCATGGCGGCATCGTAACAATATTCTAACTACCTAATGCTTGGTAGACGCCGGGGGAATATGAAATTCCCGTGCGTGGGCTGGGGATGTATTCTTCGATACGTGATGGATAATACAAGGATAGAATAGGTGTTCCATTTGGGATGGGACGATCTGCGAGGAGCATTTGTGCGACCTTGCCACATATTCTATGGCCTTCCATGTGCACGTCTTAGCACGGTAAATATTTGATTTTGGTCTCGTAAGTACACGTACCTACTACGGTGATCTCATTGGGAGAATATACAGCCACTTTTCAGCACTGCCCTATCTGAGCCGTATCGTTAGGTACCTATTTAAGAAATTTCAAGCGCCGTAACTACGAATTTTACTAAAAAATATTCTCACAGATATCCGCTGGAGATTTGAGTTGCAATGATAATACTACCCAGGTAATATGGAACCACCTCGGAAGCGACGAAGGGTCACATCTCCAGCGCCCCCAGCCACCTCGCAAGTTACGGGACAACATGGGGATACTTCGCCATCTCCATTGTCTGTTACAGACCGTCTTTCTGGAATCATACAAGACGATACAGTCGCGTCCTCTAGCCAATCATCTTTTACCCAAGATGTGCAAAAAGGCATGATATGTTTTGGATTGGTACGTGCGATACAATTGCTGATTTGTCAAGCTCATGTTACTAACATCAACTAAGTTGCGCTTCAGTGTGATCAACATAACGCCCCTCAATAACGATAGACCTATTTCAGTACATCTCAATGGTGGCCGTGTTTGCAAATCTTGGGGGCAATATCTAGCAAGGATTGGAAGTCAAGATTTGGAATTGGTACAGCTTTTCCTCCGAGAAAAAATTGAGGTCGAATTGTGGATGCCACACAGAACTAAGCAGTCCTTCGTTGCAGCTACGCTCTACGGCGAGGAGAGCCTTGGAGAGCCACTAAAGAAAGTCCTAGAAACGCTCAATTTATATCTTCAGGATCCGATTTACTCTAGTCGAGATGTTTGCTATTGGAACCCGCAGCGATTCTTTAACGCGGATATCCAGCTAACATCAATGTTCTCATGGGAATCCAGTGTACCGACTTCCAGACAAGAACAGTCATCAGCCACGGACTTTCTCGCAACTTTCTCAACGGAAACACTTCTACCAGAAACGGAAGGTTCGCCATTCCTACAAACGCCCCTACAAAAGTGCGTCAAATTAAATACCCTTATATCTACCGATGCTATCTAACCCCTTGAAGACATCAGAAGCAGGCCTTGACATTTATGATACGCCGTGAGCATGGATGGAATCTCCAAGTAGCGGGCACTGATGTCTGATCATTGGGCTCAGATCATATAGGCCGTTCGATGTATGTTACACAATTCAAAACCCTTTAACGTCCATTTTTTAACTATGAAACATTAGATATCGCAACAATGTAGACACTGCATATTCTTACGATGAACCTCCACAATTTAAAGGGGGGATACTTGCTGATACTATGGGGTTAGGGAAATCGTTAAGTATAATAGCACTAATAGCTAATGACCTGGTTATTCCGAATGTCTCTTCGTCGTTACCACGAAACTCAACGCTAATAATAATGCCACCATATCGTAAGTCCTACATTTGCTTATAGATCCCACTAGAAACGATACTAAAGTAATATATACCTAGTGTTAGCGACGTGGCAGAATGAGTTATCCAAGTGAGTTGAAGCTGAATTTGCGTCGGAACCAGGTACTAACCCTTTAGACATCTTCGGAGCAGCTCATACAACTGGCGAGTCCACCACGGCGCAACGAGGATAAAAGACATAACACAGGTAAATTCCGTCGATATAGTACTGACTACGTACCCTATCCTTGCGAATGAATCGGCGAAAGACCCTTCCGGCGTCTTATTCTCCTGCAAGTGGCACCGTGTCGTTTTGGACGAAGGTGAGCCATTCGATTGATTTGATACTCGATAACGAGATGTTAACTTGACCTAGCCCACGGCATAAAAAGTCTAACGACGAAAACAGCTAAAGCTGCATATAGACTTAAAGCTGATCGACGATGGGTTGTTACTGGTACGCCTATACAGAATCATGTATCTGAGCTTGGGAGCCTGCTTTCGTTTCTTGGCGTTTTCCCATATTCCGATCCGGAAACATTCAAAGAACAAATCATTCGCCCCTGGAAGGCGGGAAAGACTGAACTGGTGTTCGAACGACTGAAATGCCTTTTGAACTTCGTGATGTTGCGCAGGAGCCAGGATCTCATTTCTCTTCCCCAACGAACCGATCTGAAGATCTTTCTCAAATTGGGGGAAAGCGAAAGGCGTACTTACGATGAGATAAAAGGCCAAGTGCTAAGGTGCATCGACGACCTCGTATTCGACACAATGACCCGTGAGGAAAAAATGAATGCACTGCAGAAGATCAATTCGCTACGTCTTATTTGCACTGTGGGAGTGTCGGGCTCCCACAAGACATCGAGTCTCGCCCTTGCTGACTTCTCGACTGATACTACATGGGATGAAAATGCGGCGCTAGGAGGCCTGCGAAGGCTCCCGTTACTAGGGGTCCCGGTAGCATGTCAGATTTGCGATGATCTCCTGGACATCTCTGACGAATCGGCTTCAGTCTACTTGACTGAGTGTCTTCAAGTTTGTTGTCTATGTTGCTACGACAATTTACGATCTAATTTTAGCCTTACTTCTGTTTCCCACTGTGAGTGCTTCTCACCGTGCCCTACAATCAAGGTGCCTCTCAACAGGATATCCTCGCCACCCATTGAAGATATCCGTTATGGTCAAAACTTCCGGTTTCCAACCAAGATTCACAGCCTACTCAGTGATCTAAAGGAAAATGGTAGAAATGTGAAAAGGTAAGTCTATTTACAACAGTCCTCAAAACGCTTAAGCTTATCGACACAAGCCTCGTGTTCTCCTATTGGAAATCAACACTTGACTTAGCGAACTCAGCTCTTGATCAATCGGGAATAAGGTGTATCCAAGTCGACGGGAGAACAAAAGCAAAGGATCGCAGTGCCAAATTTAAGCAATTCACAGAGCGAGAAGATATAAGTGTACTTCTATTATCTCTCTCATGCGGATCAACAGGGTATGTAACTAAATATCCTCCTAATATTGTTGCGTACTCACACTCATAAAGTCTAACACTTACCGCGGCATCGCGGGCGTATCTCATGGAGCCGCAATGGAACCCGTCGATTGAAGAGCAAGCACTCGCTAGAATATACAGAATTGGCCAAACTAAAGAGGTTGAGAATATCCGATTCATCATGGAGGACACTATTGAAAAAGTATGTTCCAAAGTCATATGCTTCGTAGATATGCTGACACTTTGTGCATTAGTATGTCGAAAATGTTCAAGACAACAAGAAAGATCTCGTCACATTGCTACTATCTGGATCTTCTCAGAGTATCACAGAGCAAAGACTGCAGGTGAGAAAAATAGACGGTCTCTAATCGTTTAGACGTTTTATTAACTAGCCTTCTAGGAACTTAGAAACGCTCTCTAGCGCTTCTTCGTCGCCGCCGTGTTTCCTTTTCTTTTCTTTATATAATTGTCATGCGTTCGACGTCGCTAAAAAAAAAAAGGAGGGGGGTTAGAGCGGACGCTATAGTGGGGTGTTACCCCTCCACGGTAGTGGGGAGGTATGGTGGGGTAGTAGCTCCCCTAGAGCCCGCTGTCGCTACGCTACCCCCTAGGTATAGTACCTCTATAGGTAGGCGTTCCGCGTTTAAACACCTGTCCTATTGTGATATCTTATTTATATCCAATCTTGAGTTTCTATGATTTCAAACTCACCCAACCCTTTTTTATTTATCAAACTCATACTTATGATTTACATCTCAGTATACTTGACCTTAATCCTCGATGTCTATCAAGTTCTTTTGGAATGAGGCCGAGTATTTTGTCTGCATTTATATGACTATCTGCTGCCTTCTACACTGCCTGCCAAAGAAGCCCTATCGGCCTAGCTAAGAGGCACAGATGGCGTGACCTGCAACAATGGTACATGATGGCGATAAGGGACACAGGACGCAGCAATGCTCGTATCTTCAGTCGAAGAAGGGACCTGGATGCACGATCGGATTTAGACGGGCGTTGTACCATGGCAGCTGATCGTTGGTTGTTTTGGTGTGGTATAGGCGACCGCCAATTTGGACCATGGCATGCAACTCGCGTGTTCCACGAGTATCAGACCGAGGGTAAAAAGACAGACAGGAGGCAGGTGGCGTATCCTGAGGAAATGCAACGCGCCCGATCATGTGCCACTCGTTGGGTGCAGAGTGCGTACGAACGAAATGAAAGATTCCCCCCTCCGCCGAGGGCACCAGCAGGTCAAGCTGGGCTTGACCATGATTATCATCAGTGATAAGCACAGGGTTTCCTGTTACCTTGCCCGGTTGTAGTATCCTAATAGAAGTCTTGCCTCCCCACTTACACCGACTAGGAGGGCGACCACCGCCAAGACTGAAGGGACCCTGAACGACATGGAGTTGGCCTTCTGAAATGCAGACCGCTACGAGTTCAGGCTCATGATCGTGGGGATGGGTGCGTACTTCCGTGACGGAGACGCCTGAAATTACACCTAAATCCGTGGCGAGATAATCTACACGCTCCCATCGTGTTGGAAAAGAGTAATAACTACCAGACGTATGAAGCAGACCACCAGATTGGCACGGGACGACCAGGCTCAATCGATTGTAACCGCTTCGCACAACCATCGGCTTGCCCATAGCCCTGTGTTTTCCCAAGGGGGGCGGATTGCCTCTATCCGGCAAAAGATTATTATCACCAGTGAGATAGAAAGTATGTATGACACCGCCCGAAATGCAACATAGGTGAAGCCGCAATCCCGTATCATGCAGCGCCAGGCCAGACACAGTTGACTCATTAAGTATCACTCCTTCAGTGGGCAATGGGCGAGATTCAGACCACGGTGTAGCGGCGTGGTCTCGTATGCGCTTGAAATAGAAAAGACCATTTGGGCCGGCGGCAACGACGAGTCCCGGTTCTATCGTAGCGAACTGCCCAACAGAAGCATACGGCTGCCTCCACGAAGTCGTGCTCAAAGATGTGAGGTTCAATGGGCCGGATCGAAAGTTTTCAGAACTAGACAGACTGGTGCTGTTTGCTCTCGACGTGGAAGGTGTAGAAATGAGCGTTCCTGGTTCTGTCGACGTGGGCGAGCTAATGCCGTAGCCCGTTGAAAACGCGTTGCTCATTTTGCACTGTCAAGTCTCGTACACCGCGGCTTCTTCGTTGATATTCGGAGTTGGAATGTCGCCTACTTTCCCGTGGAAAATTACAAATCCAGGTTGATAATTTGGGCGGACTGCGCTTCTTGGGCATCTATCGAACCCGTTACCGCGGGGGTGTTACTGTTACCCCTATCGTCGCGGGGTGATGTTACCCGTAACCTATCTTCATCAATAAGTACCTACCTAGGTAGTTAAATATTGTCATCACGTCCTTTTTATACTCGATTTCAGCCTTTGGAATCTTGAGCTCGGACTTCTACCATAATGAGATAGATGCGTTGTAAATGAGTTAAATAACTACTGTAAACTGTTAGTGCACGGCACTAACTTTGTAGCGCATCCCGTAGCGCATCATCCCCTCTCCTTGTATCTACCTCGGTGCTAGAGTTATAAAAGGACTTATCCATTTATCAAACCTTCTCGTTCAAAGAAAACTATAGTCAATTAGCATGGCGATGGATCCTCATGCCCAGGTCCCGACACAATTGATATCCCATTTCGTAAACCGGCAAGTATCACCCCAAAGTGTCCTGGTGTCTTAACGACGAACAAACACTTATCCTGTGACAGTGATCGCGAAAAACAGTCCTCCGGGTGGATTGAACTCTGGGATTCGGACCAAACCCACTTCTGGGACCGTGGAAAACCATCTCCCGCACTCATCGACTGGCTCGAGTCGCAGCCCGAAGTCCTACCGTTGCATCCTAACCGAAAGTTGACTGCGCTCGTACCCGTAAGTAACCCCTAACGGCTTCGCACACATAGGCAGTCATTATGAACTTACGGTATGACTTGACGGGATAGGGTTGCGGGAAGGGCTATGATGTCGTCATGTTAGCCCTTCACGGCATTGATGTCTATGGGTTAGAACTTTCGCGGAAAGGAGTGGAGATTTCGGAAGCGTATGCGAAAGCGGAGCTCGCCAGACCTTCTAGTTATAATTTCGCGATCGAGAATGAAACCGGACCACTTACCTCGGTAATCGGCAATGCCAAGTTTCTAGAAGGTGACTTCTTCAAAACTAATTGGGAGAAAAGAGTCGCTATTGATGGGTTTCAAGGCTTTGATCTCATATATGACTACACCGTAAGCCTCTCGGGAAGTGAAAAATATGTATCAAAACGTGTTTGAGATCAGACGCCTAATACTTGAGTCCCCCTATCTCACAGTTCTTATGCGCGTTACTGCCTGAGATGCGAATGGACTGGGGGCGCCGCATGAGCGAACTTCTCTCGCCAGATGGGGTGCTCGTGTGTCTTGAGTTCCCCTTGCACAAGGATTTGAAGCTTCCGGGTCCACCTTGGGGGGTAAAAGGTGTTTACTGGAATATACTGTCCCAAGGTGGTGATGGGATTATCGACGAAGAGACAGCAAGTGAAGAGGGGCAGCTACAGGGGAAGTTCAAGAGAATGACATACTTCAAGCCGGCACGTATGTACGAGAATGGCAAAGGAACGGACATGTTTAGTGTTTGGAAGTTAAGGAGGTAAGATCTCGGTACTCAGGGGCTGGTCCCACCATTGAATTCTTCCAAATACACATGTTATCATCAAGATCAGGTCACTAACACGGAACTACGGAAGCGGGTGATAGTTACCAACATTCGAAGCCTAGATTTCATGACAACATCACATAATATCTCGGAAGATTTCATAGAAGTTAAGAATATTCCATTCATTCAAGTCGTACCCAATATTTATATCCCAAAATACCTAACCCGAATCCTCAACGGGTGTAATTATACCAATAAAACCTCCTACTCACACGATCTCCCCGTACGGCTATCCGCGTTTACTGTGACGTCGGCATATTAGGGTTGCCGCACTGTTCACAAGGCCTTATCCGACCGCCAACAGTCGAGATGTTGTTGTAGTTACACGTTGGGCACTTCATAATGAGAGTTAGCAGTGACTCTGTGGTAAAAGATTCGATCAACTGGCGGTTGTTGGTTTTGTTGTGTGCTTAGGTTAAGGAGTAGTCCGAGAGTAATACGGGTTATACAGACACATTTATATATACATTTGTATCCATACGATGAAAGGAAGCTCCCATTACGGTACCATCCGGTGATCTCTATGTCGCGATGCATTGTCGCATTTTACAATCGAATCAATGCTATTATCTTTGTTGGAGCTTTCACGACAGTCTACTCCTTTATGGAAACCTTAGCTCGGCAATCGACAAGGCCTGGGCTTTGAGTAAAGACAACAATGTAATTATAGATCTCATTCAGGACGCAGACAAATCATATTAAGATAAGTAAGCTATCAGGATAACCAGAGCGAGTGCACTTCATAGTTGGTCCATGTTAGCACTATAAGAGATATAATGTGAACAATAGAAAATTGGCCTTGTCAGACAATGCATTGTAACCTAGCACACTACCAGAGGCACCCCTTTACCAAATTGATTCACAAAGACTTCCAATGTCTGACTTCTTAAGAGGATGAATTGCTCTTAATGGAGCTATTTTCGATATATAATGCTTACCTAGGTACACATTTTAGATATCATATGGTTATGAGCTCATCATCAACTATCCTAATACTTCAACGATAGTTACACATTTCGAGAATCCATATTCAGAGGCCGGCGGGATCAAAAAAAGATGCCACTTGACGAGAATCGAACTGATACCGATCCCCAACATGTTCCTATGACTGAAGGGGATATTACCGGCCATAATATTGAAACGACAAGTGAAGTAGCTTCGGTTTTTGGTATTAACGATGAGAGGGATTCTGCTAACGCTAGTACTAAGGTATACGGCCCGAGAGACCCCTCGGAACCGTGTGTTGCTTGTGGCTGGACACTAGCTGAAGACCAATGTACTAGTTACAAGAGCAGCGTTAAATTGTTCTATGCTGCAAGCAGTCGCGGTGCCTGGGCATTAGGATCTAAATTCATCCTCAAAGAACGAGGTACGTTTCCGCCAAGTCATGAGGCGGCAAACATTCGTTTTTTGAAGGAGAGAACCAGTATTCCGATCCCTAATATGATTCAAGATTGGTACGAAGGCGACAAGTACTTTACCATTACCTCGAGAATCGAAGGCGAGACTTTGGAACATGCGTGGCCTAATCTCTCTGGAGAAGATAGGGTGCGCATAGCCAAGCAAGTCGCTGGAGGTTTAGAGGAAATGCGTCAATTGAAGTCCGATCGCATTGAAGCAGTTAACGGTGAGTTACACTATGACACGGCATTGTTTCCAAAGGGAGGATCCGGTCAACCACCCCTGGCTTCAGACGAGGAGCTATGGGCGGTACTCTCGGAACCGCTCGCGCACGTTGAAGACGGCGCTCTTCAAGTGTTGCGCGAAAACATGCCACAATGTACCCCATACACCTTTACGCATGGAGATCTCAATTACTGTAACATCATAGTCAAAGACGGCAACTTTGCAGGATTTATCGACTTCGAACGATCGGGATTCTTTCCAATATGGCACGAATATGTTCTGTGTAGGTACGGACTAGGAAAAGAAGATACGGAATGGAAAGAGCTTCTTTCAGAACATATTACGCAGTACCCGAAGGCTATGAACTTCTACCTGGCCTGTTTAGAACACGAAAGAAATCCTAAAGGTACAAAGGCCCAAAAGCTTCTGGACGATCTTGTAGTTGGTGTCGCGGAGTGCCCGATGATTCAAGTATGGTAGGTAGTTTGATACTATGATATCGTATGGATTTTGATTTTATATCTTATATCTAGTATATTAACATGAGAGTCCTCCGCGAGTTGTGAGATAATTATTGTAATAAGTTCTTGTTGTTTCTCTTTCACGTTGAGATTGGAGAAGGTTTAGGGGTGAATTATTCCAAGATTACCGCTATAAAATAGGGCTTAAGCCGCTATACTTTAGAGACATTACTCAGATACTTTAGGTATGCACGGTCGCACCGTTAAATACGGTAAATGCAGTATTACATTTGCACGATTGAAACGACCAACCCAGCCACTACCTAGGTACTTGTACCCTTGTATTTACAGCGGGGTATGCGCTGAAGCCCCAGCCTTTTGCGCCGCCTACGTAACTTTGAGAGTGACAGGCGCTTAACTTGTCGGGCCGAGTACATCACCTACCCGTCCGGCTTAGAATCGGCAGGAGTGGAGTTGGCCACGTGAGTAAGCGCGGTACCGAGCTGTCGGTAACAACCCTCTACCTACCATCTATTACGCTGTGCTTCTTTTTGAATGTTGTCTTTAAATAAAAAGATAGACTAGTGGGGCCCGATCACTGTACTAACTAATTAGGCATCTTTCGCACGGATGGCTACCTAGGTACCAACATGTGCTATGAACTCAGCACTATTAGTTACCATTAGGCACTCACTTCTATTTTCAATTTCCTTTTCAAACTTCAACATCTCCCTCCTACCTAACTAGCCGGGATTCGTCTCGGCCTACAATCAACCTTACCCCCATCATACCATATATCATTACTCGTACAATTCCAAACAGTACAATTGCCCAAGATGTCTACTAGCGCAGCCGGTACCGCCATAACGCCGTTCCCGTACGCGGCCGGCAACGTAATGGAAATGACGAACTCTCAAAGCGAAAATATATCTGCTACGATCACAAGCGTTTTCCCCCTTACCATTTCGCCTGTGATGGAGGTACGGATTCGGACAAAGAAGGGATTTCAAAAAGCTATCCTAAAAGTCTATGATCGTCGTTTCGGAGCCTGTCGAGATTGGTACGCACAGAACCGAAAGAACCGATACAATCCACATAATCAATGGGTTGAAAATGCGTGGCAAAGATATATACGCACTGGAATGGCTGAGCGCCTCTCTGAGCACCTCCACCGCGAGGATAAAAAAGACATCCCGTGCTACCGTGACGACTCAGATTTTGATAATGAGTCACCCCAGTGGGAGAAGGTTGGAAAGATAGAAGGTATCCTCCACCACAAAGCACAAAAGTATTACGCACAAGAGATCCAGGCATACGGGCAATTGAAAAAACACCAAGGCCGATTCGTTCCTCGATTAATAGATTCCGTCACACTCTGCCCGTCCGCTGCACAAGCTTATCTTCCTCCGGATCTCCCGCCCAGTTACTTCCAGGTTCGTGGCATCCTACTTCAGAGGATAAATGGCTTCAACCTCGACAACCTACCCCAGAATGTTCCGAATCTACCCATGGTACAAGAACAGATCATTCAAACCGCAATTGATATGGCTAGAGAAATCAATCAAGCCGGTGTCATGAATCTTGACTGTGTGCCTAGAAATGTATTAGTAGCACGGGTTGATGACTATACATTTCAGACATTTATGATTGATTTTACGGACTCTGCCTTTAAATATGATTATAAAGATACCGATGATCCGGATGATAAAGATAGCTGGGCGAGTATGCTTGAGTTTTACGACAACCAAGGTGCTATTGGATCAGTTATGACCACGATTCTCAGGAAAGCGACGGGATTCGTTCCGAAAATCACATACAAGAGATAATTATTGTTTATTAATTCTAAGGAGAAGTCTGAAAACTTCGAAAGCGATAGTCTTATTAATAACTTGTTGAAATTTATTAAAGTCCTCCTTTGAATATTTGAATGATCGCTGTTGGAATATTTGGTGGCTGGTGAATCCCGCCCACCGAACGTCTCTGGCATATATGTAACTTCTACAAGCTTGATCACTTCCCTAATAACTTAACGAACATGACACTCATAACCTGCGTCCAAATTCAACAATTGCAGAGAAAAAGGAGAAAACGAAGACGAATGAACGTGACGCGTACCCATGTAATCATGCTATAACGCGCCTTTCAATATGTATATATTATGAGTACTCCTTCTTTCCCCCGCCCCCAAAACAATGCGATACTACATACTGCTAGTAAATGGATGTAAGGAAATAAGACACTGGTGAGTCTAACAAAGAGCAAAACAAACGAAAAAACAAAAAAACAAAAACAGAATACCTAGGTGGAAGATAACCATAATTAGAGATCCCCCCAAGAGATGCTGTCAGTAGTTGAGCTGTATGAAGCGGTACATCTTGGGAAGTACTGGGAGGACCCCTTATCGCCGATACAAGGACAAAGGAGCTCATAGAACAAAGAGGCTACTCGTGTATGTATACGATAGTTCCCGTAGTAGTTATCTGTGATCTCTTTGCGCAATAATAGAGTTGTTAACCCTCCATATGGTTGGTCTCATGACAGATACAAGGACATGTCATTTAAACCCAGCGAGTCCTTCCCTGAGAATCGATGTAGTAATTCCGCCCAGTAGCCCTGTCTTGGTAGTATCTTGTCTGTGAGGAAGTAGATGACGAAGGTGTTGTGTAGTAAGATGAGGATGTTGAATAGTTCGATGAACCGGCGAGATAATACGGCGCAGCGTTCGCGTAACTCGAGGTGGACGCGTATCCTTGGTTGTGCGCACTCGAGTAGGTGTTTCCTCGGCGATTATAAGACGCCTCCCACTGACTAGGCAAATCATTCCCTTCTGCGTCGCAAGGGTGATACTCATTGTTTGAATCGTAGTAAAACTAGGTCCCTTCGTTGGTCCTACTAACCGTTCTGCCGTTCCGTCTTCTCTGGCCACCGCCTCTGCCCCCTGAGCCTCCGGCGCCGTGGTCGCTTTCGCTATCGCTGCTAGAGCTAGATGAAGTAGTAGGAGACACTCGGTACTGCCTCTTGTGCTCATTAAGCACATGGACTAATGAAGGTTGGGTCGTGCCGTGGTCGATTATAGAACCTTCAACAAGAGAACCATGATTCCCACCGAGCAAGATACCCGAAAAGTGGTGCCCAGTGGAAGACTCCCTCCAGATGCCAATGTGAAAGGTCCTCTGAGATATAGCGCGTCTCTCCCCATGGCAGGGAACAATCCTCGGTCCCCATGCTACATTTGACATTTGACTGGCTGTAGCTGCTTGGAGGTAGTCTAGGAGATCTTCATAATCAGAACGATTCAGCCTACGAAGGCCATCGGAGTCGTTATCGACCATCTCTGTGAATCAAGAAGTTAGCGGGGTCCGTAGTGCAAGGACGAGAGTTTTGATTTTATTAAGTTTGATGTGTTCATGACTGGGTAGGTATCTAGGTGTTTTCGCTCTAGGGTATTGTATTGAGCAAATTCAAGTAAAGGCGGGGACGACGAGGAGGCTTGTACTCACTTAGGATGATGATTTCGTATGGCTGGAAAGGCAGGGGAATGAAGAAGATTTCTTCTACAGGGCTAGAATAATAATATTGGTAGATACCTATCGAGGGATTGTGGTTTGAATGAGACGATGAGCCATGCATTTGCGAACCGATATTTATACCTTATTGCGTTCGAAAAACGCCCCTATGGTTGTATACAAACAACTTTCTACCTAACTAGGTAGGTACGGTAGAATATTGGGCTACCCGCAAACACTATCGCAAGCCGATGGCTGAGGGTTGCAGCCCATGGCGTCTCGCTCGATCGGGTCACCAGGGCCATGTAGATAAATGACATCCATATCCCCGGGATCCTAGGTATCATCTAGCGAATAACTATGTACCTATGTGTAGCAAGCAAACTCGTATTGAATGGATGATTGGCTCTCGAATCAGAAGAGATGGGTTCGACCTTTTGTTGTTGGTTGTTCTTTCTTGTTAGTTAATTATGAGTTCAATTCTCTATTTAAGCCATTGAATTTAAAGCAAGGCTAAATTCCGATATAAAGTGTAAGTCTAATCTGGGCCTTGGAATTGCAAATACTAACATCAATTGAGATGACCGTATAACTAGCCTTAGCTGGCGGCTATTGAAATTACCTAGGTTGTAGAACCAATCCGCAGAATACCATATATTTAGGTACCAACAACGATTGTTCAAAGAGAGTAGCTAACTGAGGACATCATATATATGCTTTAGAATCCATTTGCATAGCATTATAAACGGTACGAATGTGCCTTGATTATAGTGGGCAGCGATGAAAAGACCCTACCAAATATAATCTTCCTCCCAATAACCCTCACCCTTCGACCGACAGGTCCCTATAACACAATAATAGCCACCCCCTGGATTCCCATTTATGGGACTGTTAAGGACGGTAGGATCTGAAGCTTCATCACCAGCGTCGCAGGAGTAATGACGTACCGATTGGACCAAGTACTATGCGACATAAAATTATAATTAGCCTCTGAATCCAGTCTGATGTAGCGAAGCTAACATATGGAAACTGTGCTAGGAATATACTTACGGACATCTGGGTGCTTTTATACCAGATGCAAACAGTTTGATCAGGTGCCGCGGTACAATCGTAACTAATAAAACGTTAGCTACAAAGGTAGCAAGGGAGATCGTAGGCAGAATCACGTTTGAGAGGTTGTCCAAGTCTGCGAAACGTCCCAGGAGCCTTGGATCCAGGTTAGGCCTGGTATGTTATTGCCGCCGAACATGAAGGAAAAGCCAAATGTAAACGCAGAAGCATCTGTCTCGCCAACAAAACAATCTTCGGCATTGGAACAATTGAGATTTTCCTGCACTTTGTTAATTAATTGTCATGGTAACTATCTCGATCTCACCTACGCTTAGCTGTTGGTAGAAATGCCTGACTTGAGCATTCCCATCTCCCACAAGTTCGGTGGAATAGGTATATAAAGTGCAAACAGCGCCATCAGGGATGGGTGCTGAAACAACAAGTTGAAGCAATGCCAGGATATACATCAAGATCTCACTAGTAGAAATGAGAATTATCATCTTGTCAGGAGCGTCTAAGCTAGACTTAGGTAGGGAGAGGATAGACGGTGCAATTGGAACTAATATAAGATACTGCGGCGTATAAGTGAAGTCAAGTTAAAAGTTCGAATACGCAAAAATAAGGAGGACGAAGGAAAAAGGAGAAGAGGGGGGGGGGGGGTAAAGAAGAAGAAGATGTGGCGAGAATAAAACCCGTTCAGGATATCCCGTTCATATAAAGCGAGGTGCATCGGCCCTGCTCCATGATACCTAGTTATTTATTAAGGTCGATAACGGTGTAAATCCCTGCTACCCCAGGCGTTCCTGATTTCGAAGGATTTCACTTTGCTTCGTAAGGGATAAACTTAGTAATGATCTTAGTTATATAGCAATCAAACAACGTATTAGGGGGGGTCAGGCGTGACAAAAGACCACTCATCATAGGTCGATCATGTCTAGGAGCTCGCTAAGAGTTGTTTGCCCGACGGAGAATAGTTCCTACTATCAAATATTTCCCCAGATTTTGTTTCCCAGGACATATGAGCCAGAGAGGCTAGACCAATCTACTAGTCCTCCGCAATTCCTTCCTTGTCGACTAATGACCACCCATGTCATGACAAGGTGATACCTTTTCATATTTGAGCTACGGGACACTTTGCAATATTAATCATTCGATCGACTGCTATTTGCACGATGCAAGGCTTGAGAACTTATGCAAGGTATAAACATGGTAGACATGAAGTTTGTATGGATGTTCTTATAATTTCGATCTAGATGGATACCTGTTACTGTAGCATGTGATCACTTCGGGGACACTTGTCCCAGGAAACCGAGGTTTATTCTCTTAGGTATACAGAAGATTGACATCAGAATGCTAGACAACCGGCCTCTAATAAAGTTACCAAATGTTCCAGAATTTTGGGAACAACCCTAAATGATATTTTCGTAATGTGATCAACTTGGAGTGTATGCCCTGTTTAGGTGGATGCCGCCGATACATAAGCCGAAAGGGGCATGAATAGGATAATGACACCAAGCTACCAAAAAGTGGTTCTATGTTCTCTATAGTTATTTAGATACTCAATCAGATAGTCAGGAAGGTAGTGCAGGTCAAGGAGTAATTGCAAACATGCTACCTGCCCAATTAACACCACTAACAATAATCCACAGAAATAATACTACACGGATCTTACATTCACAGATGTGTCATTTCGTTATGTCTCTAATTTTTGATAAACAATAAACATCTAAACAATTGCTTTAAAACATAAACATTGATGAAGCACCTTGTTTCCCTTTATCTTAAGGGAAGCTAAGTACTAAACCAATGATTTTATATACCATAACTCCTATGCTACGCTCCCGTATTCTCAGCATCACATACAACTAGTATACATAGCTAGCATATATACTCATCAAACACATCCCCTTATCCTCCTTATGCATTGAGGTAACTATCCCGACACCTCCCCTTCTGATGGAACGGGTTACTAAGGGAATCACAAGTCGGAGGACTACAATCAATATCGGTATGTCTATCCTCCCACTCCTGGTGTAAGGCCCGCTCACGCTTTGCCGCCTCGTCTTCGGTAATCTCGCACACATTCAGATATGCCAAGTCATCCTCACATCCGTGAACAGACTGCCACACGTACTCAAGCAAATCAGCCTTATCCCGGATCTGCGATACCATCTTTCCGGGTTCCTTGAGCATGTAATGGTACAAGTACTGCACGACGTGAGTACTCGTCCCGTTATTAACAACCGCGCTGTGTCCAATATGCGGCGTGCCATCTCTCGAATCCTTTTCGCGCTGGGCGCGCTCCTGGATTGCTTCAGCCTGTTCCTTCTGGAAATCGGCTACTTTCGTAAGGCGTTCGTTCAACCCCTTCGACGAAACAACAAGTGTCTCAGCGAAGGCCCGGATACGCTGCATGTGCTTGAGATCGCGGTCTGCGTTTTGCAGGTGTCCGTATCGAGCGTTAATATATTCATCATCTTGCTTTGTGTTTTTGCTCTTACCCGCCTTCTCCCGCTCTTGTTCCTGGGCCTGAAGCTGGAACAGGATTCCCTGATGGAAACCGCTGAACATCTTCTCGATATCGTTGACATTGATCTCAAGACCCTTATGCATATTCTCGTACGCATCTTCAATGTCCTTTCGCACCGCCGCGACGTCGCTTTGGTAAGTTCCATCGCCGTTGACAAGGAAGGCCTCGTAGACATTGACGCAAAGGTCGATAATGCGGTTTCGCAAGTTCTTCTGAACGGCCGATTTCTTTTCCTCGGTCTTTGTGGTGTTGCTTCCCTTGAAGACATCCCATTGCCAGAATTCGTACCACTCTTTGCTTTGCTTCATGGGATAGCCGTTCTTGTCCTCGAGTTCTTGGTACATTTTATCGATCTCCTCAAGCTGAGATGCGACCTTGCGAGCACGGTATACAACCCTGCCTACCATATTCGCAGTCGATTTCAGCATCCTATGTTTCTGCGCCTCGGCCGCGGCGTTGAGGTGTTCCGTCGCTGCGTTGGCTCAAGTGCGTAGGTAGTTGAGGTAATCCTCCCGTGCGATAGCTTCCGCGTTACTACCGTCCATCATCACCGGAAGGATTGACTTACGTCCCGCACTCGGGGCAATGCTATATAGTAGCGGCATGTGGGCCTCGATAGTATTGTTGATAGCCTCGATCATTCCATCAACAAGTGTGCCGTCAAACCATATCTGCTGGTTGTTAGCTCCCACGCGCCGGCATGACCAAAACTCTCCTGTTGCCTTTCCACTGTTAAAGGGCGAAAAGGAAATTGACTTAGCCTTTCGAAGCTCAAAATTAGCACGAAGTGCTGGGTTTTGTATCAATTCTGTGTATCGTTCTAAGACATCGATAGTCGTACTGGGTGTTACGATATCTTGGTAGACAGTTTCTACTTTGGCAGGCAGACTGGATGGTGGATCCTGTGCTGCAGCCAGAGAGAGGAATATTATTAGATAATGAATAAGGAACCACATTGTGACCTTTTGTTTTTCTCTTTACTACGATATAAAACCTTTATGATCGTCTATTTTAGAGTTATTATGAAGTTTCGGTTTGACGATGGCTTCAACATTATGGACAGGCATTTATAGGTTATTTTCCCAGAAACCTAGCATTATCTTATGCATTGTGCGGTGTAGACAATTATATTAATCGTCCACGCCTGCTTTGTACCTTAACAATGCTATGTTCTGGAGAGCGCGAACTAGAAAAGATACGAAATGCTACGGTGAACTATGATCTTGTGGATTAGTTTAATGGTTGGAAGTACCTGTTAAAACATGTAATCAGCATAGAAATTGTTGTAGGAGTATTCACTAGACCATACCTTGAAGGCTTACCTGGATAGTAGGTATCCGTGATGAAGAGTAGGTAATAACGTCCAACGCTATTTATTTCAATCCTATTCTTCCGCGCTTTGAAAGGGGCGGGCGATGGATCTCAAAAAGGGAAAAATGACTCGACGGCGGATATAACCCCCCAAACGAATAAAAGTAGCCGATAGAAATGCCGGATGACTCCTTCATTGGCAAGTAATCATTGTCAGCAAACACTTGATAACCAACTCTTCAAGACAGCATGGTACACCTCGGCTATGCTCAAATAATAGCCGCTGCACTCAAGTCACCGCGAAAGACCACCTTGAAAGTATCGCACCTCATCATATAACGCATTCATTCACAGTAAGTATCATCGTATAGCCACCAGCCATTACCTATACGATTCTTTATGTAGCCATAATCACCTGGTAGCCAGATTGGTATCCTTATCCCGGCTCAGACCAAACTTCGACGCATATCCCTGTAAATGCCCCTTCTCAAAATAACTCCTGTCCTACTGGGGTCCACTTAATTGAAGGATTCCTCCACATCGTCCGCCCAGTTCTTGAGCTTGCCATTCATGGGAGCTCCCTTGGATGTCTTAGGTAAGTCGGCTTGCGACTTGTTAGAGCTACCGGTTGATACCGTACGGCTGTTGGTTCCGGTCTCGTCGGGGGAACTAGCCGGTGTCTTCTGCGAGCGGGTACTATCGGGTGAAGTTTCGTGTGTAACGGAACCGTCCTGATCATTACCGTTGGTAGCTCGCGAGAAGTCTGAGTTCGAACCGATTACCAGACCACCATATTTCTTCTTCGGGGTACCCTTCTCCTTGAAGACCTTGTTCTTAGCATTAGGTCTCTTCGATGCGGTGCCCTTACCACGCTTCGTGCCTTGCTCGTTGGTCTTTCCCTTAGCTTTCGGACTAGGTTTTGTAGCTCGAAGTACCCAGCCTTCCTCTGCGTAGACAAGCTCCGGAACATCTCGGCAAACTTCAACCTCTTGTGCTCCGTCGGGATCCTCCGTGGCGGGTTGGTCCGCGACAACAACCTTGGCCTTGCTAACCTTTGGCAAGGCAACACGGCTCTGCTCAGAACCAGATTGGACCTTAACGGGGTGATGCTCTTCTTTAGCAATGGGTCGTTCCTTAGACGAACGTTTCTCTTTGTGAACCTTTACCTTTCCGTTAGGTGCAATCTGGTTGTTTTGTGGTTGAGTGAGCTCTGTATCCTGACTGATAGCGGCCGTCGGTGAAGCCTTAGGAGTGCGTGGAGTAGCATGTTGCTTCAGTTGATGACTCTGAGGCTTCTGGATACCACTTGCAGGGATGTCCGCCGATCTCTGCGAAGAAGTGACGTGCTGTGTAGCGAATGTAGTGAATGCCTGGTCACTACCTGGTCCGTAAATTTGGGCAATCGAGAATAAGCCGCTATGGATTGAGTCTCTGAGGCCAGCATTGTCATACTGGAGTTGCATTATGATCTTATCCTTGGCCAAAAGTTCGTCTTGGTTCACGGTTGAGGAAGCTTGAACAGACTGTTCGAGCTGAGCAACTCTCTTTTGGAGCTCCTCGATCGTCAAGTCTTTTGTGTGTAGACTAGCTCTTTCCTTGACGAGCTCTTCGTCACGACGAGCAAGATCGCTCCTCAAGGTGAAAACAGTGGCGTTGAGTAACGAGACCTCGCCGGTAAGCTTAGAGATACTTTGTGCCTCATTAGTTAATACCTGCTCCGCATGTTGAGTCCCTTCCTGGGTGGAGTCGCCGTTGCGGTCGGCAATGTCCTGCATCTGTTGTAGTAAGCGACTTTGGAAAGTGGCAGGTTGGGATGGTTGGGATGGTTGAGCAACAGCGGGCTGCGGAGAGTGTGGGACTTGCGAAGGCTGGGCTTGCTGGGATTGCTGGTCACGCTGCTTGTTCTTTCCATTTTTGCGGTTCCAGCTACCTTTGCCCTGCTTAGGGAAAAATTTGTGCACCTTCTCTACGTTGACCGGAACAGCGGGCGGGACGGCCCCTCCAACAACGGCCGCGTATGACTTGTTGCCGTTCATGTTCTGTTGTTGCGCTTCAGACATCTTGCCAGTAGTTAGCTTTGTCAGTTAGAGTAACTAAGATACGGTTAGCGAAAGAAATACCGGCAGATAGCATAACGCCTTACCTCAGTCAAAACCTCACAAGGGTTGGAAACGAAGGATCCGAGTTGTTGAAGTACCAACTGTTCAACAAACAGAAGAAGCCTAGCCCAAGATGGATAAATTAGAATCATGTCAAAGGAAATTCATAATCAATAGAGTACCAGTAGGGTAGATAACGTGTAACTGAGAGGAAATATTAAGGGTTAAAAATGTATACGGGTGCTAACCTTGACGAGTCGACGGCAAGTTGTCTTGACGGCGATTAAAACGCGTATCTTACAGTCAAGGTTGAGACGTAAACGATGACAGCGTCGTCGAGAAAAGGTGTCGAGAGTACCTAGGTAGATAGGATCCGAAAAGGCTTGCTGTGAGTGACGGGTGGAAGGACAAGTAAAATTTGCTGTTAGCGGATTGTTGAGTAAACGGCGCAATTCTTCGTAAGTATGTTGAATTAATTATCGTAGGTTATTGTACCAATGTACGTATGCTCGCGTAATGGGCCTGGTAGGCTCTTGGGCAGCGAAGATTGAGGCCCTAAGAGAATTAGGGCAACGGTACGTGTTGCGATAACTGGTAACCGGAACGACTGCACTAATTAGAAACGCAGGTAAGTCCTAGAACCGGATAATATCTTGGGTTGGGGATTATATATCAGCGTCAAGATAGAACGTAACGCGAAGGGATAGTCGAATAATTGGATTAATATCATGAAAGAAGTGAATGGAAGTGAAGACTAACAATGTAAAATCTGAATGGAATCCAGAATCCAGACTGGCAGGGTATCGTGGGGTTTTATAAAGATACTGTCGGCAGGCGGTGGTACAAGACGAATACTATGAACGAGAAGAGAAGGAACGACGAAACGAATCCACGCGGCGGAAATGCGATGTTTACCGGGTGGGCGACTCAATTTTCGAAGGCGCGTTCAGTTGTTCATGGAAATCGCGAAAATTGTATCGGGGAACAATCAAAAGTTGTAGGCAAGTCTACTTGTAGTGGATGCCTTGCTTTTGCAGTAACGATGCAGAGATTGTCGAGGACAAACACAAGTTCACTTTCTCACTGTGCAAGAAGACATGCCTTGGAAATTTCGACTATTGTATTCAGTAGCTACCTTAACTATAGAAAGTAGGAGGAATAAGAACGGCCTCACTGGACAATCGCCCTTGCCAAAGCGAATATCAACGCAGGCAACTGCAAAAACCTGCTCATGCACGCACGGGCCAATAGACGGACGACCTGTTCCTGTCCTCAACTGCTTGAACTGGACGCGGTTTCCAACAACAGCAGCATTCGAAACGTACCACGTTCCCGCTAACCTTAAGGAGAATAAGATTTCTCGTTTTCATCCGATGGCAATGGCATTGCGAAGGTGCAATAGCCACAAGTTCGGACGAACACATTTTCGAATGTAGATCTCAAAATGAAACGACGTCGACATAGCGAACAATTCGACGCCGAGATTAACGACGGATCCTTCTTTCCCAAGAATAGTCACTCTGAGAATATCCATAACAGGAAAATACTGTTGCGACCTTTGCTTAACATCCTCATTGTGTTAGGAGGATATCAGCGATCTGGATATTCTGGCTATCTGGGGAAAGAAAGGAAGGAAGAAGAGAGAAGTTTCGAATTATGCAGCAACAAATTTTACTTGCAGAATCTCGTGGCACGTACCACTAAGTCACATGATCCAGTACGTACCTTAATAACCAGTACACTTATCTCAATTGTCTACTGGTCCGTGCACATATGGTCATCACAGATCATTTCTCATATGATTGGCTGAATCGAGAGCCGAGGATAGAGATGGGATTGGTCGGAATTAGACTCTTTGGATTTCCTCATGCCGAAAATCATCCATTCCACCTTTTGCCGTTACAACCTTTCTATGAGCGCATAGACAATTCACAACCTCAAGTCATTTTTCAGCCTCGAATCCAACTTCAATTAACTTCCTTAATTGAATTGCAGTGTTGCTAGAGGTGCGCTGTCGTTATCTACCATCTAGTCTGGGTTGTCGAGGGGTAGCATCATTCGAACGTTCATTCCTATCCCACCATAACGATGATCGCACAAAGAGTTGGTATTCGGGCGCTACGGCAAGGTATTAACCGACCATCTCATATCCTCCTGTCAAGCTTCACCTAAAGCTTCAGGTAAACGTGACTTGCAATAGCTGGTCGCAATTCTGTCAATCCGTCATAGCTTAAGTTTCGCTAACACAATTGAACCCCGAACAGCCGCCGTCAAGCAACCCAATGCGCTATTCCTCACCCAAAACCTCCCACGCCTCGCTCTCGCGTCCAACGTCACAAGCCTGCAAATTAGGTAGGTCATCCATCCCCGATTCCGAGTCCTCCTATATTCCGCATACTGCGATCGCGACAGTTCATCACACGGGCTCGTAGCAATTGCTATACAGCTATAACATGAGCCAACAAATACATTACTCCAAACGTATAACTAACATACAAACCAGCCGCAGCGCAGCAACAACAAAACTAAGCGAAACCGACGCCCAGTCCCTCCTAGCCTCACAACGCCGCCACCGCCCCGTATCCCCGCACCTAACAGCCTACGACTACACCCAAACCTGGTTTGGCGCCTCAATCTGGACGCGTATCACAGGACAAGCCCTAAGCACATCCCTCTACGCCTTCTCCCTCGCGTACCTAGTAGCCCCCCTCACCGGCTGGCACATCGAATCCGCTTCTCTAGCCGAAGCATTCGCTACCCTCCCCCCAATTGTAAAGACTGGTTTCAAACTCGTCGCTTCTTGGCCTTTCTTCTTCCACTTCGCGAATGGTATCCGCCATCTCACGTGGGATCTTACGTATGGGTTTAAGAAGGGGATCATTAATCAGACTAGTTATGTTGTTCTAGGTACTAGTTTGGTTGGTGCTTTGGGCGCTACGTTCTTGCTATAATCCATCCACGGGTGTGGAGAGCGAGGCATAGATAGGGAGAAGGGGAGGTATCAGTAAGACAGTGAAATCAATCAAATTACATCACTTGAACTCGGAGCACGACAAGGACTATAGACTAGGTAGGCCTATGTCTTGCTACAAGGGGGATGAAGATACGCTAGGGGTTAGAAGACACCTGTACGAAGTCACTTACTCTAATGCATTAAGTAGAATTCATGCAGAATACAATGTGTATATTCTTTTGTCTACGATCCTGGCTTATTTTTGGCCAGAAGAGGAGCATACCGTCAGTGCTTGATATGCTGAGTTCCCCAATCCGAGGTTATCATGCCCGTAGGCTCCAAAACACCGATCCCTAACGCCATCCATGCAATCTCAAAGGGGTATCATCCAGACACCTGTCCTCCGCGATTCCGTAGTTCGGAATTTCCATCCTAGTGCCACTCATCCTCCCCTACTTCGTCAGTTTTTTATTTTTCGTTCCTTTTTTATGACTCCTGCACATCTAGACGTAGTTTTTACCGTCTAAGATGGCCTCGTTCAACTTAGGCCGACCTAGATTAGCGACCCGTTCGCCGATGATATTCCCGACGAACGCCTTTATCTCGTTGATCTGGCCCTCGCTGGAAACCCCATCCATCTCATCCGAGTCAGCACCGGTATCCTCCACTAAGCTCGTCAAGGCACCCATAATAGCGCCCACCACAAGTCCGTATTCCGCCCTGCTAGTAGCATCGACTTTTTGGGACATCGGACCGAGCATTCCCTTTTCGAACTCCTTGAGGTTACGCATGAAGAGAACTTTGATGACGTCGGGGTTGCCGGCCTTGGTGATGCCACTGATTGCTCCGTACCATACCGAAGGTGGGTTTGAGGGGTTGAGCATATCCTTCAGGCAAGTGCGGACTAGTTTCGGGCGGAACAATCGGTTGTGGGCGGAAAACTTTCGTGCGAGTAACCCAAGGAGAGAAGCAGCGAACTCTCTAAGTTGGTACTGCTCCTCCAACGCCAGAATTCCATCCTCCCCACCAATCTTGCGACCAAGCAAACAGGTTAGGACGGGAGCCGCCAAAGAACTTGCGTAGGACCCCAGGAAAACGTAGGAATTGCTGACCAGCGCCTCCGTAAGCTCCAGCGCCCGTCGAAGGATGAATGTGTTGTCGAGATGGTGTGTGACTTCGTCGGCGATAAAGTTGACAAAGTAAGGTGCAAGTTGGTGGATGCTTGGCTCGGTTCGGACAGATTCTAGAGCAGCCTCGCGTAGTCGTTGGACCTCGACGTCCCCGTTCTCGTCCATTACCGCAGCCTGGACCTTTTCGAAATACAGGGCCAATTCTTTTGAGATAATATGCTTAACAGCGGGTTTAAAGGCGGGGTTGTCTTGTCCAGAAAGAGCGGCGAGTGCAGGGTTCGCACCGGGGCCCCTCGCTACGGAATCATGTACTCGTCCTTCCGCTGGGGTGACATTCTCAGGGCAATAAGTAAGAACGCCATCTAAAGCAAGCCAGTGACCTATAGATATAAAGTTAGTATTTGCTGAAATAATTGGCAATTTATGGGGACTCACGCGACCAGTACATATCCCGCGGGATCTTCGGTAGAGGGAGATTTATCATCTTATCGAAATCCATTTCCTCGTCTTCAACATAGTAGAGGGCCTGCGATCCAAGACTAGCCTCACCATATCTAAGAGGTCGATCCGACACGTAACCAAACATCGGCTCCACATTCAGGACTCGCATTGCTTGTTGAATATCCTGAACCATAAGAGAGGTGCGACCGGCAGCACGCATGAATCGAAGGGCGCCAACGATAATCTGTCCAAGGCGGTGCTCGGACTCCTGGGCGACTTTGCGAAGAACTTCGTCGTCCATCTTTTGAATGCCGACGGACTCCGCGACATCTCGAACGGTATCCTGGTTCCATAGGAGCTTTAGTTCCGCCCTAACCGCGGCGTCGTCGGTAGAGGTGCGATTATCCTTGACTGCTGCCATGGCGTCTAGGGGTGACTTTTTTGGCAGTGGTGTTTTTTTTATTTGTTGGTGACGCTGCCGTGAGACAGCAGTGGTGTCAACAGAATTGAAAAGACTAATTACAGTGGGAGGAGTGTTAGAAAGGGCAGATCTAGATCTCGACTGCCCCAAAAACGGAAGTCAGCTAGGCGACGAACAATGTGTTTGATCTGTAGAAATATAATAAGTGTACCACGCGTACACGCTCCTGAAGGTGAATATTCGACTAAATGGTAAGGTGAGCAAATATCGCGGCTAGTTTATCAAGATCACGTACTAGTTGCCCACAGTGTTAGAGCGTATCGCTAGGGAGACGCGTGGTATTCGCAGTAACGAAGCTTCGAGCAAACACGCAGCAGCGGTGAAATCAGCGGGTCGCTGAGACCAGAGGTCGTGATTAGGCCCAAGCTTTAAGATAAGGTACAGGACCGATTAGTACTCTAATCAATGTATTGAATTGTTTAATGCGGAAGATCAACCGATGTCTAGAGAGGACGCGAGATGAGATGCGGAATGGTTCGAGGTTGATGAAATGAACGAGGCTAGGTGATGATTTTAGGGGAAAGAAGATCGATTTATCAGCCTTGAGCTTGGCGGATGGTCACGGTTATCAGAGTGGATCTCCCCTCTGATTGGTTAAACTTTGTAGCTCAGTTCTCTTGATTATGTAACTAGGTACCTAGATATCCTTGCAAAAGCACAAACTTCATAAATCGAGATCCAGTATTTAAGCTACAAGGCTAATCCCATTTCGGATACATTAGCTACGCTTAAATCTTGATCAGATTAGATCGATAACTCCACAGCGCCATGTTGCCCAGGTGAATACACATCTTCCTACCTTAATTGATTTCATCACTTTCGTACATATGTGTTCGATTAATTCCTCAGGTCCGCGAAAGACGACGATCAGCTCAGTGATTCCATTTGTGTCACCAATTAATGTGAGCTAAACCAAAATAGGCAGATCGGGTAGTAAATAAAAATAAAATAAAAATAAAAAATAAAGATAAAAAAAGATAACCAGTAAAATCAGAGAGTGATCTGATCTTCATACGCGCACTATATTACTTAATCTGTTGCCAATCACGATGTTGTATTCCTCAGGTTGACAGGCACAGCAGGTACCTAGGTATTCGCCCCTCGCCGTTTAAGTCACATTGTCGTGCGCTCTTCAGACCAACCCAAGTTTCTGATTGCAAAGAAGCGTGGTATAACTGAGAACGGACTTCAGCTGCGGCTGAGCGTCGACCCCGCACTTTGCCAGAATACATATCTAGCCTTTAGTTTCCCGCTGCTATCAGGTTCATAAAGACTATCTCTTGTCCAGGCCAGATTCCTCTAGAAAACTAATTTGATTATAGTCTCTCAACAGCTCGGCGCAGATTTCTATCTCGATCGTCACCTTTCCTAACTACACACGACCCCTACACTCCAAATTGACTCGAGGAGCAAGACCAGAAAGCCGAAGTCAGTGCGATATACAAACCAGTCAAAGTCGCTACGATATTTCTGCGTGCCAAGATGTACGGCCGACGTATAAGGAATAGGATGGCATGGATGGAATACGAGTGGTGCAACTAGAAATATTCGTATATACCTGTCCACATACTTGGTATGTACCCTCTTGTACCAGTCGATACGAGGTAGGTAGTACGCATACCTAAAAATAGCCCATCAGCAGACGCGATTGGATAAGCTTCAAGCGTTAGGGGTATATGGGAAGCTTCGATGAAATCTCGAATAATAGCTGCATCCAGGTTATGTCGGAAATGATAACTCATCGCTACGAAGCTTGGCAATCCTTGACCAAGTCTACATTATACAAGTCGATTTGATATTCTCGGATATTATTTCATATGCACGCTTTCTGTTGAATTCGATTGCAATTACCTGGGAGAGCTGATAGTTAATCTGTACAGGCATGAGCTCAAGATACAAACTTTCTTGACCCAAACGTCCTCTAGCAGGCTCGGTCGATTCGCACCCCCCAGTTGGTGCTCGAACGCCTACCCGAGGCGGCATAAGGGCTGACAGATGGTGAGTATATCTACCTAGGTATGAAAAGAGGTCCTTAGGCACCTAGGATATGGTCAATTTTGGTATCGCGTAGAAACTCTACTAACACTAGGTAGTGATTATCATACTTAGTAAATCAAATACAAAATAGCATTACGACATAGGGTTAACTAAGGGTTTATACGGTTAGATACCATTCTATCCATATAGTTGTTGGAAACCATTATATTAGCAAGCCCGTATTAACAGTGCGGCCCCTCAAATTCATCATGGCCGGTTCCTCAGAAATTGTGGACGAGTCTCCACCAAATGCTCTTTGTGATGTTTGTAAATATATATTTGCGGACGGCTCATACGAGTGGTGGGATACTTTCTGGAAAGGGTCCTACCTGAATGAAAGGCGGCGCGAAGCGTTACGGAACGCTGACATGTTCGGTATCTACGATAATAATCTTGTTGAGTTTTCCAAGAGGCATCACTCTTCCCGTGCGGACGTTCAGCTGGCAGCAAGAGATGGCTGTTGGGTCTGCTTACGGCTTTCTAATGCCTCTCCGGCAAGCCAAGACGACACGCCACTATCGTATATGATTTTCCCGGAAGAATCGAAAGGCGGGAAGGAAGATCAAGGATTTACACTTTACTTTGATTTCCCCCGGGTCTCATTTACACTTAAACCATCACCCTTAACGGAAATAGATAGTTTAGCAAGGCGCTCACGGTCGAGAGAGTATATCGGACAGGAGTATACTGCGGTGCTAGCATCTAAGTGGTTGACAGACTGCAAAACCAACCACACAGGTTGTTCAGCATCTCAAGGCTAGAAGCCATCAAGATTATTGGATATCTCAAGCGACCGTATTAAGCTTATCAATGGCTGCAATGTCCCACGAGACGAAGAGTATTCGACGTTGAGTTACTGTTGGGGTAAAACCGAATTCATTGTTCTCAACACCGTTACTATGGATCAATTTTTAGAAGGGGTTAATACACTAAAACTACCTCTAATCATCCAGCATGCCATCTTGACTGTACGAAGACTGAATATCAAGTATCTTTGGGTCGATTGTTATTGTATCATCCAGGGCAACGAACCAGAAGCCCAGGCTGACTGGGAAAGTGAGTCAATTTCCATGGGAGAAGTTTACAAGAATGGTCTTGTTAATATATGCGCTGCGACTACCGACGAGGCAAATAAAGGAATATTTACTCAAAGGGAATCGTGCTTAGCGGGCCATATTACTATTCGGTGGTCTATTGATCAGGAGAAGCATCTGCTATTTGAACTTGGTGTGGGGCGACGGTTCGTTCAAATGGAACGCTCTTTTGGCCGTTTACTTGACGGTCCACTTATGAAAAGAGGCTGGGTTTTGCAGGAATGTGCGTTGTCTCGTCGGATGATATTGTTCACACGGGGGGATGTTATTTGGCATTGCTCGGAATCAACGGCTAGCGAGGACAACCCAGACGGCACGATCGACCACGAATACCATGCCGGATCTAGTGGCGATGGAATCGTTGGGCACCCATTTTGGCCTTTGAAATTGACTTGGACGGCGGATTCTGTGGAGAGAGTCTTGGGTTATGGGTGGTTCACGTTCTTAAACCACTATATCCGTACCCATTTGAGTTTTCCGGATAAAGACGTCCTTCGAGCTATAGAAGGCATCGGACGCGAGATCCAGAAGCTCACTGGCGTGGTATTATCCCACGGTATACTTGGCGGTACGCCCTCCCATATAATTCGCCCCTTTCTCGGATCCTTAGCCTCGGAGTTATATTCTCCGAGCTCCGAGCCGTTGAGATACAAGCCCTTCGGTCTCTCCGTAAGTGGCGGCGGACCACAGTCGAAGGCAGCGGCAAGAACATCGCGAGCGGACTTCTGCGGGGTACGCCAGGTACCATTGGGGAACAGCCACACCAGTAACCCGCCTAACACACCTGCGAAGATCCGAAACACCACGGCTCGGACGAACCAGGAGCTCTGGCGAACGATGCCGGTGTCCATAGCTGCGGGGTCCACGGCAAGAACTGATATATTACTAAGGATCGGGTCCTCGTTAAGTCGTCTTTGAAGTTGATGACTACCCCAAGAATAGGTGATTAGATTTGATGCACTATTCGAGAGATATCGGTGAGGTTTGCAAGAAAAAGTATACATACATCATCGCCACCCCACACATCTTGGAAGCGCCATAGCGGCGATACGCAGCAGCCCATGCGGTATCATCCTCCGCATTCGAGCTCCAAGTCCCCTTCGCAAGCGGTTCAAGACTTTCACCGATCATTGTTTTATATCGGCTGTCTTTGAAAGATCCATTCATGACATTATGTCTATCTTCCGGGCTGTAAAGGTTTGGTCAGCACAGAGCCGAATAGACTTGGCAATATGATATGCGGACATGCTTTTGAGCCCAACTGCTAATCCGAATGATCCTCCCCGTCTTGTGATCCATACTTTGAAGAAGTAGAAGTGTCAAGAGCTAATGACCGAGATAATTAACCACGAAAGATGTGTCCAATCTATCGTCAGTCCACGTCTGCTTCCCAAATTCTTCGTAACCGGCATTGAGAATAATGGCTCTAATAGGAGGAATACTTCCCGCTTTAACACGCGTATTGATTGACGCCTAGGTACTTATGGGTATACTAATTGTTGGTTTGACATCGGAGATAGGTGGGACTATGTCTACACTCCGAATCAATATCAAACAGTTCTGTTGGTTGAAGGCCGACTGAGGGGCTATGTAAGGGATACCGACCCAGGTAGGTAGGCCACACCAAAATCATCGTGCCTACCTAGGTACAGTAAGTACTACGCTAGCCCCCTACTTCTCCTATTCGATATGGATGATTCAACTTCCGTATTTCTTCTAATTCAGCATCGTCAACACAACGATAGCCGCAACCCTCTTCCACCCAAACATCCTTAAAAGTCTTGTTCGTCACACATTCGTACTGCCCGCTTAATCTATCATTAAAAACCCGGCCCGTCTCTCCCCATACCTTACTCACCAATTCCCATGAAGTGTTTCCGCATAGGAACTCTAAGAGATAGTTCAGCAATTGTCTGGTGACCTCTTGGCTAGTAGGCCTGTAGTCTTCTCGCCCGAATTGCTTGCTACAAAAAATGATGCACGATATGCGGACTGGGCAATCGTTTGAAGCATCTTGGTATCTCTTATTCGCGTCAATGACGGCACCGCCATGGTTAGCGAGTAGAATTTCAGATACAGAGTGTGACAAAAACGCTTCCGGGCCTTTATTTTTGCTCGCATACTCGCAGAACGCTTTGACCAGAAAGGCGATTTCCAAGTTTAGAAAAATATTACCGAACTTGCCTCGCCAAAGAAGATCTTCGTCTCTGCCGAAATCCACCACCCTTATCATCCGCTCACAGACGCCGAGAGTCAACGGTATACGCTCATTCATATCTGGATTGTTTTCGAGGAAACTCCATAACACTGTAAACACGTCGTAGTTTTCACTCATTTGTGATATATTCACAAAATTTCTCCGCATAAAATTGCCGAAGCAGGTAAGAGACCTCAGAGGCTGTTCACTCAACTCGGGCTCGTAATGACCAGCCACTGAGCGAACATTTGCATCTAGTGACAAAAGAGTCTTGATTATCGGGGGATCCCAGCTAGAGGACATCGCAATTAGATCTCGCAGGACAATAGTCGCCAAGGAAGGTGGACTTGAGATTTCCGCTATGCTTGATATGAGGAAATCCGAGAATCCATACAAGCCCATAATTGCTAGAAAATGTGGGCCGCTCGCATGGGAATCGTTTTCCCTAAACATATGAATGTCGTATAAATACCATAAAGCCCTCAGGAATTCGAATGCAGCTCTCAGGTTCCCCATTCTCGTCAAAGGATCAAGGACTCTAGAAAGCCATACCTCGGCCCCATAATATTTACACTCGACTAAGACAGACTTAGCCCATAAAACATAGTGTTGGTCCATCGAATTTGATCACTTTCTGCCATGAAATCATAGGCAGATCGGTGAATGAATCGTACTACCGCTATCCTCGAGGGTAGTATAATCGTTTCTAGAAGGCCTGCGCATCTAACCTGCACGGCCTGGCGCGTGCGGTCGCAGTACTCTTTCAAGGTAACCTTATCTATAGTCTTTCCTTCCTCGATATATACACTCTGGACGGCCTTTGTTGTTGCAACCATTAAGCGAAACAATGTTAGTTCTCGCCTATTAGGGGCGGGGAATCCCCACAGGAACGCCCAGATTTTAAGATTTTTAGACATTATCACTAGATTAAAATATTGGGCTGCGACTTTCGCATATACTTTGGTGTCTCCGTTCACACGGTTCCACATATCGGAATACAATTCATTTAGATCGCCCGGTATTTCGTTAAGTCGTTGGCGTAATGTCTCTTCTGGGTCGTTGTGTCGAAGTCCTTCGCATAGACTACGAACTACCAAATGTAGCCAGAGAAAAACGCCTTCGGCTTTTTCGAGAAGAGAAACCGCGAGATTCTGCGCAGAAATCTCGGATATCTGGCCAGTATTAACGTAATTTTGTAGCTCTGCGGCTACATACTTCCCCATGTCACTCCATGTCAAATCTTGTAACCTGGGTTTGGGATGTTTATCCAAGACCGCCTGGATATGCATATCGTCATCCAATCCGTCGCCCCTCTCGTTCATACCTGGGATTTTGAGGCTCTGTAGAAATTTATTCCGTTTAGCATGAGTTGCCGCTCGTATATCTGACTCAAGTATGCCTTGATTTACCTCGTGTGCGACGGCGTTCCCTCAGACCACAATTTGATTTCTGACGGAATTCCCTAGTTGTAGGTTCTCATCTCGAATGCACGTTTTGACCAACGTCAACTCTTTGAAGACAAGTTCGCCTAATTCTTTGTGGCCGGAGGCGTACTGCGAAATGAAGTGCTTGAGCGTGGCGTCCTGATTTTCAAACCCCTCTTTCTGCTGGAGCTTGAGCGCGTCGCTCTGTGTGCTAACAGGGCGGTCAGTCGAGTCCGTAGAGCTTACAAAGCTTTGATAATTGATTTAACTTAGCAGACACGAGCAAGCAGCACAAACTCCATCGTGTGCTGGTAATCGCGGAAAGACTTTTCTAGGTTCCCCAGTCGTTTCCTATGCCACACATCTCTTGCAGGCCTCACGTACCGTTCGTAGGATATTTCATTTGGCACGGTCAGATCCGAGGTACTTTGCCTCTTTTTCTAGTTTTTCTGCCGCCTCAGTGCACCCCCTAGCCACACTAGCCAGCTCCTTCTCTCCGTCTGTCTGCGATTTCGCTTTTTCGTAGTGCGTCTTCAATCTTGCCGAGAACGTTCGAACTGATGCGACACATTTCTGTAGATCTTCGCCGGGGGACCGTCCTTGATAGATTGCTTTACAAAAACTAATTGTCTGCATGATATTGCAAGCTACACCTAAGGCTTCAAGGCCAGACATTGTGCCGGTGTGCTTAATATGCTGGAAGACTTAGGTACCTAGGTGGCTTTAATGAGATACGATGATGGAGAATGGAGGAATTATCAAAGCGGGGGAGACGGTGGGAGAAGACGGCAGGTGCGCGGTTAAGTACATTTGTAAGTAACCTACCTGCTACTCATTTTCAGCTGGTGATCATGCAGGCAGTGGCGGGAGCGATATTCTCATTGGTAGAGCGACTGGTGTCACTTTCGTATTCATCTCTAGCCTGGGATTTATGATTGGTGAGATTAGAAAAAACAAGAGACTGGTGGCGGCTGTGTTGGGCTTATTGGGGAATAGTAGTAATACACATTGCTATCCTTCTATATATGTATTTCTCATAAATGAAAACCATCAACTCCGAACATGTGGCTGGGTTCTGTCATCTCATCTATCATGTCTCGCTTAACTCAATCTATCGGGTTTCGTAAACCCACTGTAGTCAATCTCGTAATAAGATATAAATCGTAATGTAAAAGCCGAGTCTGTCAGAAAATAAAAGGCAGAAATGGATGGCCCTGCAACTCATTGGGCCATTAATATCTAGATCTACCCCCACGAGTAGTCGGGCCCTTAAATCCCATAATCTTCGATGCGATCAAACTGCTTATCGTGTTCTCGGCGAATCCTTTGACGCCACTCGATTTCGTGCGTCGTGGATCTTTATCGACAAAAGCGTCGATCGCTGCTGCGCCCAAGGCTGCGGTGGCTACCTTGGCGCCCTTCTCACCGCTCCACTTCCCCGGCTCTTTGCGTAGTCTAAAGGCGGTAAGACCACCCGCTTCAAGAGCTGCTCTCGCAGCCATCTGCCATCTGTCCGCAGCGGCTTCTTTAGCCGCTCTGGACGAGCTATCGTGTCCTCTGGATCTGCCTCCAGTTGACGCGGCTTTTCTATGACGGTCACGCCGCGGGGATGGACTTTCGGTATACGAACTCGCCCGCGACCGACGATGGTGTCGACCTCGGTTGCGATCATAATCTGAATCATCGCTTACAGATGGTGATCTGCGTCTATGACGTCTCCGCGGAGGGTCATCACTATATGCTCTCGAACGCCGTCTAGGTGAAGGTGAAGGAGAATGACGGTGATGATGACGATGACGCCTTGGTTCCGCACTATGATGTGAACTCCGGTAGGAATCATCGCGACTCTGAGAACGCCCTCTTCCACCTGCCTGTGTAGCTGCATACAAAGCCGCAGCCTCGCCGAGAAATTTTAGACCCTGCTGACCAAAAGATTTAGAGTGTTTGACACCCGGTCGCTGAGGCGAGTCTTGATCTTTATTGTGCCTTGAACGATGTACCTTCTTGCTATTTCGGGGTGGAGAGACGTCCCGAGAAGCTTTTGGTGGTGACCTTCTATCACTCTTCGAGGGTGGGCTATATGCTCTATCGTACCTAGAATGTCGTGGTGGACTAGTAGTTCTAGAATATCTTCTAGATGGGCTCGGCCGTCGGCGAGGTTCAAGGTCCGGAGACGGCGCGCGACGAGATTTGGGAGGGTTGGGCGGTTCATCGGTTCCGACATATTCGTAGCCAGCATTTCTTATAGGTGAGGATGAATGGCGATAAGGGTCGTCGAATATGTACGGGTCGTCGTACCGACTCTGGTGGTTGCCGGATCGAGACGGCATTGTGTACAATACAGATGAATCTTCCGATGATAGAGTGGTGTTGTAAATTAAGTTGAATTGTCTGTCGAGTCCCTCTTCCGAAAGGGAGTGAAATCGCAAGCCACCAGCGTAATGTTCAGTTGCGGGACTTTAAAGACGTAATCGAGGGTTAGGTACGTAGGCTGTGTGGTATGACGATGGGAGACCTCTCGAGTATAGCCGATCGGGCCCTACCATGCAGGAGAACTGCGCCTCGACGTATGTTGTGCAGATATTGTTGTTCTGTCGGATGCCGATTTTCCTTCGTGGAATGTTCCAACCGTTGTGAATACTACACCGTTATAGCGAATAGCTGTTGTGGAAGTTGAAAGCTTTGACAGAATTGAGAGGATTGACATGAAAGATGATGTCAACTGGGATTACGTCTCTTACCATATTTACAGGGGTGGGCAGTGCGGGATGGGAGGCCTAATAGCAGTAATGGAGGTACCCACCTCTAGGCCTGTAGGATATGTACAGGTCGGGTTAGTACACCTGCGGGCAGATAGCTACCGGAGCTATCGAGCGTTAGAAACAGGGCCGTTGCCACTTTAGACGATAGCCCCCAACGCATGATGTATTCCCGCATGATTTCATAGTGTCTCTCTGTAGAACATTATGCCAACGCAGTGGGCAGAGCTAGCCAGATGCGTGCCGTGTTCCCTTCTAGCCACTGGAAGATCTTGACTATAAGTGGCGGATCCGCACTCACTCGAGTAGCTCAAATAATTGGTAGAAGAAAAGATTTGAAATCCAGAATAAGTAAATACTGATGAAATTCCCATCAAAGCTTGACGAGTAAGGAAAAGTGCATGATGAAGCTCTGGACCGTGACTGGAGTATTCTCCGATGCTTGCGACGGCAAATCATATTAATTGTGTTGCATATACCATCTGGCATCGGCATCCAGCGTCTGGATCTGGGACATCTGACATGATAGGCGACAACGAGCTGGTCTGTTGCTGTCACGGAGGGAAGATCACAACGTGCGATGATGTCTCGTGATCATGACTCTCGGTACCTAGGTAGTAAGACGTGCGCATTTATGTCATGCTTTCCAATGTAAGTGAACAGGAATGACTCGATCTTGCCTCGAGGCAATGTCACTGGTTTCGCACATACCATGAAAAGACAATGTTGATTCTGATTGAAGATTGATTTGGAATGAAGAAAAGGTTTAAAATGTTCCAGGCTCAATCAGAAATAGCAGTATTGTATTATGTAATCAGGTGCCACAAGTTCTTGATTAGTCATTCTTATTGGTCCCATTATTTTAGTTTCTGGGGCTTAGCGGTGGGGTCTTCCCCAATCATTCATCTAGCAACCTTACCAAGGCCTTGGAACCCTCCATTCTAACTACAACTTCATTGTCGAGACCAACTGTCTAGAAATGATTACGAAGCGACGTTATCGAGTCATTCAATCTTCTTGAATCCGACGCGACTCTATTAATGAAGATAAATCGCGAGGATATAATTCCGTAACACCGAGAGGATGCCATTTCTTCAGATGAGAATGGTCAAATCAAATTTCCGAGGTATCATGTCGCGCCAGTTGGCTAAAAGAAAACCACGAGCACTCGATATCTCCTCGTATTTCATAATTCATTGGATATAAGCACGACGCATCCATCCAGCATGATAATAGTGCCATCGGACTTAATGCTCTATCTATCTAGTAGTGTCGTTTTTTTCGTCGTTCATCTCAGCAATCGAATCTTACGAAGAGGCTGTCCAAATTTTAACTGCCCAGGCTCGCATGAACTCGTGGCATGGATCTAAAGCCTGGCAATTATTTTGGCTTGTGTAGCCTCGAAGAATATGCCTCTCAGCTTGGTTTATAACTACGACAGGTACGACAGCCGAAGCGAGCTCCCTTTTCTGTCTCATGTTTCGCATGATGCCTGAATGGGACAAGTTCCTCTAAGCGGTCGTATAGGGCTACATATTTGACCTATCAGGTTTACGATGTCCCTTTGACTAGGGCACTTCAGCGCTCTGCACTATAATTAGCTGCTGCCAACTCCCCCGCAAGTTGTAGGGTAGCAGGGAGCTTCTATGCCAAGAGCGGAAAAAAAGCTGATACAGTATTGCCAATATCAACCGGTTAATTTGACTACAGCTCAATTTAGGATGTCAACTTCTTCTCGAACGTCCCCGAAGATTTTTTCGACCCGGTTGAGCTATGAAAGATCCTACCATGATCGTGCCGAATTTGATTCCTTCAGGGTTCAATACGGGGTCATCTGTCGATCTTAGTATACCTGCAATCAAATAGTTGATCGTAAACCACAACGTGGCTGAGATCTGACGTATCCAAGGCTTAGGACATAGTTCCTTTACGTTACTACTCTTCTATGGCTATGCCAGGAACGGATTGACAGATATTAGGGACAACGTTGCTGTCCATCGCAACATGACTCCCCGATTAGCTAAGAATACGGCTAATAGCCTACCAGTCCCACTCTAGCTCATCGATTCCAACCCCAGATCTCGGTCTCACCCCTTCCAGATGGAGTAATGATTCTTGCTCCGGATATGAAGATGCTCACTCGCAGTCTTTGGTAAACGCCAAGACTGACGGGTTCGTATCGATTGTAATGAGGTAGGTATCAGGCCAGAATAAACAGATACCTCATACGAGCATGCGGAAGTGAAATGGTGGATCCCAAACTACATAAAAGAGTCGTTCGCCTCATCCATCGTTCCCGTCACGCCATCTTTCCATAACACAAGTTCATTACAATAAGGATACACATTCGTTCACGAAAAGAAAATAATATTCAATATGCTCTTCAACGCCATTTCTCTCCTCGCCCTCGGCACCGCCGTCGTCGCTATGCCTGCCGGCGAAGTTGTTTGCCCTCACACTAGATGCTTCGACGCAGTTAACGCTTGCGGTTAGTTATCCTTTAAATAAATCTCAACCGTATTTCTTCACTCGGGCAATAACTAATTTCTATGTAGGTGTCAAATGGGGCGGCTGCTACGATATGTGCACCCAGGAGAGGCCACCCCCTCCGCCTTGCGCATCGATCACGGGAACTACATCTGTACCTACAATCACAGACCTACCACCACTCCCAACTACCATTACTTCGCTCCCGACCACTTCAATTGTTCTACCGACGAGTATTACATCCTTACCCGGAAGTGCTCCGACGACAATCACTTCCGCCTCTGCCTGTACTAGCACTGGGACTATCTGTGTCGACCACCTCAAGACCTGTGGATCTCCCCCTACAGCTATCCTAACCTACGGCGGGTGAGCATTGCCAAATCTTAGGCGAATATGAAGGATAGATTGACTAACAGATATCTAGATGCTATGGCGCCTGCGAATCCGAGCCCACCTTCTCGCAACCCCCCTGCCCAGTTCCAACCGTCTCTCAGGCTTAAGGTACCCGAAATCCACAGTGCGACTAGATAAACTCCCGGCAGAGCGTGATAATTCATAAAAACGTAACGACACTACATCGCTCAGCTCTATACTCGCGCACGAAGGCTCTTATTGCGTTATTATGTTCTCTTCTTACTCTCCTTGCAAATAAAATCGCATTTACATATGGGGGGATCAATATACGTTCGGGGCTATTAGACTTAACCGCAGGGGGGAAAAGGTGGATGGCATGTAAAAGATAACTGATTCGATTCTATTTACTCTATATGCTTCACCCATGCCATTTCATATTGCTTTTTCTATGTCTTTGTTTGTTATGGTAAGATTGCAGAATTGGAGGACTGGTGACTATCCGATACCACACTGAGCGAATATTTCAACGTGCACCTAGGTATAATTCACTTATCTAAGCACAGCACCAAAGCAGGATCGTGGGAACAGCTCGCTCGCTAACATGTCTAAGTCTAAGCAGAGTATACTTCCATCTCTCATTCATATTCATTGACAAACCATATTTCCTTAATGGAGCGCGAGCTACACGAATTTCTTCCTAAAGCAAAAGAAGTCGCTGTCAGACATCGTATATATAGCTTTTCTCATCCACTATACACAAGACGATAAATCCGCACCAGCGGATACGGATACGCAAAACGCCGCTAACACGAAACGACGAAAAAGTTCCAGCTTTCGAGCTATCATTCATTCCTCATCCATTGAAGACGTAACTAAAAGTAAAAGCCAGACGAAATATATCGAAACGAAATGACTGTGGGTATATATGAAATCACATAAACAACATAGCAGCGAGCGCGGCTACAAAACCAACGGATCCCGAGCTTACTCCATGAGCGACAGCGCCGGCGGTAACGGGGAGTTGAGATGGGGTCTGGGTAACGGATAATCCACCAGTACCAGTAGGCAGAGTCGTCGAGTTGGCGCTCTGGACTGGGGTACTAGTAATAGCCACCACCGCCGACGACGAAGACGCAGAACAAGCACACGGCGCCGTAACCGTAACAGTAACCGCACTTCCACCAGAAACTTCCTTCGCCGTACCCGTAGCAGCCAGGGTCTCCGTCGCCGCAGCCGCGGAACTCGAAGCCGAAGTAACAGCAGCAAGCGGCGTAGACACAGCGGCAGCCGCCGAAGTCGCACTAGCCGAGCCCGAAGCGTCCTTACACTTATCCGCCGCAAATTCACCCGCCAAGTTCGTCAACGTATCCACGATCTTACTAGCCAATTGCTGCGCAACCGCCTTCGCCGCATCCGGGACTTGCGCCACGACACCATCAACCAGGGACTTCGCCGCGGTCCCAGCGCTCTGCACCGCGCTGCCCACAACAGCGCATTGCCCCGCTTGTTCGAATTGCGATTTTTTCGCCGTGATATCTTTTACCAGACCCTCAGCCGCGGGACCAAGGGGTGAGACAACATCTTGGAGTCCTAAAGCGTCGGCGAGGGAGAGGGTTCCGCCTGAGGAAGTAAGTGCTGAGGCTCCGGATGTTAGGGCCGAGACTAGGCCTTTGGCGTTGGTTTGTACGGAGGAAAGGTCCGACCCGTCGAAGGATTTTACAGAGGTGTCGAGTTGGCTGATCGCGGCTGAGACTTGGGATACTGCGGATGTGATGGCGGCGACGTCCCGCTTGACTTTTGTGGGCGGGTGCGCGATTCCTTGGTCTGCTACCGCGACGGCGGCGGTTAGGGCCAGGGTAAAGAATGTTGAGGTCTTCATGATTGCGGTTGTTTAAATAAATCGATGTGAGGTGATTTGGAATGAGATGAAATAAAATAAACGATCGCAGATCTCGGAATGAATGTAAAAATGGTGGTATAACGACTGTCCAAGCAGGTATGTAAGTTGAGATGAAAAAAAGAATGAGCCCAGGAAATGCTAGCCGAAAGAGGCTTCAGCGAGTCCTCAGAGCAGCCCATGTTGGTGTTATATACAATCGAAAGGGGGATGAAGGGGGTGCTCCGCCCAGATGTTTGACGTCGAAAAGCTGAGCCTCCCCCATGTAGTGGACAAGGTCGAACTTGCAGATGGCATGGCATAGTATGCATGGCTCGGCATATCCAACCAACAACCCTTGCTTAAATGCCTACAATAGTATATACCAAGGAAACTAACAAGAAAGAGCCGACCAACGAGAGTAACATGGCGTTGCGCATTGAAGTGAAAACTTGACTTGACGTCAAATGGGTACATTTCTATCATACAATATGACAAGCAAAATCACCCGAGCGAGTTGATCTGGGGAAGTAGATCTTTAGGTGATCGCTGAGTGCCAGTTCCTGAGTGGATAGGCGCACGTTTCCGAGCGCTTGGCGGAGATTATTAAGGGACGAAAACAAAGTTTGGACCCTTGAAATAATTGTCGATCTATTGTCGTCGACTTGAGACGTGACGAACTGCCTAGATGAGATGAACCGAACGGTACTTACATATTGCCTTACCTCGCCTTGCTTCAGCTTAGTGTCGGTTCTGTATCGAACCGAGCCTGTTTTTATATGGATGTTGGGATAATCCCTTATTATACTACACCTTTCAACCAACATTCACGAGGGACGCATCTTCGTACGAGGGTCGACAACAGCCTCGATAACAGACGAACTGCTTGACACCGACTCATTGGGAAGAAATGTGATCTACTGGCCATCACAACAGGGCCTATCCCACAGAAGACCAGTAGAAGCAAGGGAAAGCCATCGCATGAAGAATACCATCAATTTGAAACATCTCCCGTTTGGGTTAGAAGATCCTTGCTGTTCTTGATGGCGGGGCTGTTAGCTCTCGGATCAGGGTCGTGGGATCTGGCCCCGCGGCCCAAATAGGAAATTTCACGATAAAGAACATCATACATCAATGCCGAATATCGTTATTCTTCGGGATAGACCCGTACCAAACTATCGGAAAGACTGTCCTGGTATAAATAGAAGGAAATGTGCGAATTACAAGTCCCTTCAACCGGTTTTTATGACGTATTCGCCTCCCTATTCTGAGGGAGATAGAGGCCCTTCGATAAGCCTGCTTCTCATGAATCCTAACAATTATTTCGCAGGCTGTTGTAAGTTCAAAGCAATATTGAAAGAAATGGCATAGACTTTTCATTTCTCACGGCAATTTCTCACCCTTCCTGGTCGCCTTCGCGACTTCAGATTGTGTTGTGTCTTCCGCATATCTCTTATAGGCTTTGATATACTGATCATCATCGCTCCAAGTGGACTGCACACTCGATCGCGAAGTAATAGCATCAAACCACGTCCTCCACCTCGCCCAAACCTCTTCTTCATCTCCCGCAGCCGGGATTCCTACTCCGCCCGGCTTGTAATGATCGATGAGAAACAGACGCTTCGCCCAAGGTGCGAGCGCAATGTCCACCAAACTAAAGGATTGTCCCAAGAACCACGGTCCATTGTTGGACTCCATCTCACGCACCAGCGTCTTAATATGACCTAGAAAATTTGCGCGCGCATCTTCAATACTATACTCTTTCTCGGGTGTATGCTGTATGAAGCGATAGAATCCCGGCACGATTTTCTTCTCGATATGATCAATCCAGAGCCTGCATCTGGCGCGTTGGTATACGTCAATTGGAAACAAGCTCCCACCATTCGCATTTTCGTTGGGGTATGCTTCGTTTAGGTATTCGCACACAACCATACTCTCATACAATGGTTTCTCCCCCTCCACAGCTAACGTCGGCACCAATCCTCGCGGGTTCAAGGCTAGGAAATCAGGGTCCTTGTTGTATGGATTGATCTCGACATATTGGTACGGAATGCGCTTCTCATGCAAGACCATCCAGGCCCGTTGTACAAACGGGCAGAACCAAGACCCGTACAGTTTTAGCGGGTGCTCAGCGGCATGTCCTTTAGCGAGCACCGCCGCTTTACCCGTGGTGTGTGCTGGGAGCTGAGTGGTGTCTACCGATGCAGGCATAGTGCCTAGGTGGCGTCGTTTGGGGGTCAGGTTTTGCTTTTGATTACGGTCCAGACTGAGAGCGGAAAAGTTGAAATAGAGGGGCTGGGGACAGTGGCGTAGGTGCAACACTCGCGATATTAATTGACGCATTCATTCATGGTCAATAGGTTTGTTGAGGTCCCTAAACCTCAGGCTTCAAATAAAACGGAAGCTTCATGAATCACCTAAGTACCTGCCGTGGCAATCGATGATGACATCAAGATGCAGCAGTTGGAGGCGGATAGACCCGACAGCTCAGCTAACCGAAATAGGTAATAACGTGCAACTGTATCATTCTTTTACTGTGCGCCCTGAACTTCTAGCCACTCACCCGCCCGTATCTTCCAATTGTTCGCAGGCATAGCCGCAAAGACATCCAAGACCACAACCCGATTCCCCCCTTTCTCTCAGATATTTCCACCTCCATCAGCACAGTCGAATTTTGCGATTCAGGAGTAGAAACACATGTTAGGCGGAAGGGCCTCCCTCCACCAAGATATCGCCAAGAAGCCGCAAAGCAAGGCGAGGTCCCTTATTGATCGCCTAGGACCTCGCACCCTGTGTGAATCCAACAGCTCCCAAGCCAGCAAATACCGAAGAACTTAGCAGGCGAAACACCCCCATAGACTCAAGCCCTTGATTGCACAAGATGTAGCAGTCGACCAACCCCAGATAACCGCCGCTAACGATCAAAAAGATATCCAGTATATCATAGCGGTGCTGGAAATAGAATATAAACATAAGGATACCGAGGCAGGCGGTGCGCGCATTGCCGACGTGCCAGACAACCCAAGTCTCGGGTATGTCGGCAACACGATTATCCAATCCGTAATGTAGCATAACGTTGCGGGTGCTGCCGCTAATGATAGGAAAAATGGTGGCCCAGCATTGGGCGGCCGCTGTAAAGAGCGCAGGCAAATGTCGAAATCGAAGATGCTCGAACATTATGGATTATTTGGAGGAGTTGACGGCTTAGTAGAGCGTGGTGGTAGCGGTTGCGTTTGTGAAGTTGTAAAAAGGGAGAGCAGTTAAAAGCCCAAGGCTTTAAGTCTAGGGATGTCGATGTGGGGCGGTCTGTTGGAAAGGGATACAATACATCTTAGTAATTCCTACATCACAAATTCACTACCTAGGTATATAAAACCCCATGGTTCTCACGGAGCTACAATTGCTTTTTGATCATGGAAATTTAGATGAAATAAGAATAGCACCAAGGTACAGAAATTGGGGGTGGATGGCGTGCAATTTAGAAGGCTTCCTTGAGATCCCTAACCCCCTTCGATATCTCATCAACGACCTTAGTGTAAAACGCCTCCAGGAGTTGAATCCCAGACGAATAATCGAGGTCCACACCAAAGTCGCCGCTTAGACAGACATCAACAGCAGATTGGTATGAATCTCCGGCGTCGTGAGCCAGTTGTTCCGTACATTTCTCCTGCAGTATGGACTGGATATGATTAGCCGTCATCCCTTTTGTAATATAATCCTCACAACATTGCCACAATCCGAGTTCCAGTAACACAACCCCCAAAGAATAAAAATCGTGTTTTTTCTGGTACCCTTTCGTTAAACTACCCTGGTTGTCCGGGTGTCTGTAAATATCGAGGCGCATATCATCATCTGCATTACTTGGAGACGAGTCTGAATCGGATCTAGCGAAATCAAACCCGTGCAAGAAGGGTTTTGAATAGTCGAGTCGCCCATCTTGAGTCCTGAAGAAGATTACGTTCGGGCTGCTAATTCCTCGATGGGAACATGCGAGCAGATGCCATTTGTGAACTGCCTTGGCTAAAAGCGAGGCTATTTTGATGCGTTGGTTTATTGATGGGCGCTCGCGTCCTTTGGTAGTCCTGATAATACGCGTAAGAGTTTCATATGTAGAACCATCGAGTCCCGTCGGGGTCTCAAACGTGAATACGTATCTGCGCTCCGATATTTCATGGGACCAATCGATGCACCTCAAGGTACAGTATGAATTCTCCTTTGACACGCTGAGAAGTTCGTATAGAAAAATCACCCTTTTATTCATAGCTGGTATTTCTTTTGAATTGACGGATCCTCCATACCACTTGTATTCCTGCATGACATAGCGGCCAAATTGGTTCTCGTTCGGTGAACTGGACCTATTCCGCCCATATAGATCGCTAGCTCTTATTATCTTCCTAATCCGTGGCTGGTTTGAGATTCCGATTGCTTTGAGTGCATTATCATCGACCACTTCGTTATCGCTATTAATTTTCAAGGATTCTGTAAAAGCGCGCTCAGGCAAGTTATTAAGAGCAGCATCGTTGGTGTCGAGCTGCTTTGCCGATTCGCCGATGTGCACACTCTTTGCATCGTTATCAAGTAGCTCCTGGTCTAGGTCGGCAGCGAGATACTTTTTGGCCAGTCTCACAAAATTTCCCCGTGCATCCGTCGTCTGTGTTCTTAAGTCCTTGTTTCCGTGTTTTATAAGTGAAGTTTGATCTTGTTGAATATCTCGCGCCATAATTTGGATGGTGTCGGCCTTATTAGTCACTTCGAGTTTCGACACATTGTACGGTAAGTTGGTCCGCAACCAGTATTCGATCCTGTCGGCATGCTCGCTAGTAAGTTCTTGCTCAGTGTAAACAAGTAGTTGAAAAAATGGTTGCGCCTTTTTCGCTGGAGTAGTTGAAAGTGGCCTCAGCTCTATCGAAGTGCGCCCCCCCTTTAATGCTACGTGGACTGGCTGTGAAGTTAGCCCCTGTTCGTGAGCACACAGATACCCGTGTAGATCCTTGATGTTAATAAAACCATCACGATTCATAGTAGCCCGCACTTCTCTAATAAAATGAGTTGTAAAAGAGTTGATTCCTGGTGGGGGCGTCATCACGCCCATTGCCGCCGCCGCTAAGACTTCAAACCCACCATGGTCGGGACCTCGGTCTCGGGCAGCCTGTCCAGCATAGCAGCAATCAAGTATAAGTAATATGTCTGTATCAAGGTCCTTGATCAAGGACTGTATTTTATGCCACTCCAATATTGGTCCTCCTTCCCTGTGTCTGCTCTTGGTTAAGCATGTTAAAGCCCAAAAATCACAGGAACACTCACGCTGCCCAAACCGATTTCCGCTCCTGTCCGAAGTGCATATCGTCATTCCTATCACCGTGCCCTCCATAGTGGATAATGCAAAGAGAGCGTCGGTCACCACCCTTCGGTATCTCCTGAAGTACGAATTGCGATAAATGGAGGAGGCTATCTTTCGTCGGAATCGGGAATTCTCGGGTGGGGTAATGAAATACTTCGTTGAACATTTGGCACACGGCTTTTCCTTCATCTTTGAACCCTTCTTCTTCGTCTTCCCAATAAAGAGCGAATACTTTTACGTCTTGACATTTACGGGGTGGAACTAATCCCTTTAGAGCCTTGTTTAGCTTGGCTATCGCCGGTTCGGGGTGTCTTTCGGAGTTCATCGTGTTTTGATGTAGGATTCGTAAGTTCTAGAATAATTAAATGGTCAGATATTCTATGGCTATTGATGATACGGTAGCTCGTTGCAATGCAAAATCAACGCCTCCTACACAGCTTGGGTGTTTCAGATAGATAGGTGATCGGGACATGGTACTGGTGTACAATACGGTGGCCCTCCGTTGACCGGACCTAGGCTGTGCGACACACCTAGGTACGTTCTATAGATAATGCGAGTTGGTGGTCCACGGACCGGTCCTACAGTAGAAATCAAGTATAGGGGATTACGCTAGCACAATAAGGGAGCCCCGGACTTAATGAAGTCTATCGGCTCTAGGGAGCAGGCTGAGAGAGGATATATTTAGATTGGTTATATCATCCACGGCGAATATCCATTCGATGAAAGTAAGTCCCGCTTGATACCACATTTAAAGCCGTAAACCCGCAGGAATAGCGAATAACGGCCTTTCAAGGATCTGACTACATGTGCAAAAGAGCCAGAAAACGTGACCGGATTAATTAGTCAAGCTATTATAAACCGGGCAGGTCCTCTCTAAAAGGATCGTTTTCTGGCTGAACTTCCTTATTTGGACCCAGTTAGAAAGGCGACGAGCATTGCTGAATATCTGTGATGCATTAGGTTATCTGATAAGTTTTCGACTCGGACTGATATTGAGAGGACACTCACGTGGCTCCCGCAACGAATAGCTCAGACGTCTTCGCATTCGCTACCACAGAGAGAGCTAGGACGAATATCAAGCAAGCAATCATAGCGACACAAATCCTTGCCGTAGTATTCACGATGAAAACCGAAATTACCACAGGTATATAAAGCATGAAAAGGAGGAGTAGTGTGATCATGAACCTGGAGACATTTCCCAATACAGTCGCCGAGAAAATATGAATACGAGAGTCTCGGGAGACGCCTTGGTGGTGCAGGGTCTAGTACTTCGTCAGCCAGCCACGTACGCACAGTATGCAACCGCGGGTCGGACTACTATACCCTTTTTGCCCACTTCGATATCCAAATGAGACTATCCTCCACCAAATCCTGAAGAGTGGGGTTTGTAGAGTCTTTGTCTATTGGTCCGACAGCTACAAGATCCTCCTGCCAAAGGTAGGCAGCCTCGCTCCTTGGGATTTGTCCTGTGGTTTGTATCCAATTCTGGACATTCTCTGCATCTCGTTCTCGGACCGCATGTCTTTGCAGCGACTTCTCCACTCGGTCTAAGGTTAAATCTGCTTCTCGTCAAATTTATGACATCCCTTATTGGTCTGGGCCGCTGCAACTGAGCAGTGATTGGATGGGAAATTTAGTGGTGTTACCATATTCTGCCAAGCTACGTTCAATCTGTGCCATTAACTGTGTGCGCTCGCCGTTTCTATCTTCCCTTAAGCTACCGCGAAAGAAGGCGAATGTCGAATCGGAATCGAGCCTTGAGAGCCGTTCCTCTGACCGTACTAGCTCATCCTGCTTGCTTAGCAATAGACGGGCGCGCAGATTCGGGAAGTTGCGAAAAACTTGAAAGGATGGATGGAGGCTGAGAAGAGCCGCAAAACGTGGGTATCCAGGTAGATGATCCTCAACTATTAAATTGCAATAGGGTTATCACTCCCGTGCTTTATTCCTCTGAAGGACTCCATATCTACTCAACACACATTATATGAGAGTACTTACTCTTTGTACGTTGGGAATCATTGAGAGATCGTCGACTCCTCCTGGAGCTTGACGCAACCGAATGCGGAAGGTTGTGCTGTGGTGTCGCCATAGTAAGAAAAACTTAGGATCCACCATATCTCCTGACCATCTCATTCTTATATTAATTTCGAAACGCTTCCGGACTTGATTTTGTCGCCTTGGTGATATGATGCGAACGGGTCCCGCGGCAGCCTGGTAGGTAAGCCCAGGTGGCGACGCATATAACAGCTGAGTACCTATTCTGCTACCTCAAGATTACCCACACGGTATGCCTCACTTTTTCGACTGCGACCGCTCCTGTAATAGGTTACAGTATCTACATGATATATATCTTAGTAATCTATATCGCAAGCCCCAAATTAATCGCGGAAGAAACTACTTACGTGAATGAAATATTTCCGGTATTATGACAAATAAAAATTGCAACATGGACGGCGGCCGCCCGCGAATCGATAAGGGAGACGTTGTAGAACCCCATTGCTAAAAGATTTCGGAGAGATGAGCTAAATAACATTGCAGAGTAAATTCTGGGCCCATGATCAAGTGTACCTGATCGATGGCAGGGGCCTTGTTGGTCCATACAAGATTCTTGCTGTCGTTCGGACAAAAGTCTACACTCTCTGTACGCTGCAAGGACAGCCCGTCGGGAACGACGCAGAATACGCTGAGAGCCAACTTCAGGCAGCATGACGGATAAAAGCTAGGGGCCTATCACCCGGAGGGTTTCGGCTTACGGGCTCCCGTGGGGGTGTATTTATGGCGGACCAGTGAATATTATATGACCGTCGTAATCCTTCGGAAATTCCGTCACTTACTCAGTATCATTAATATTAGCAATCCCCATATTCTAACGGTCCTTTATCTAAATAGAGTAAAGTATCCTTCAGCATCTGACGGTTTGCACATTCAAAATTAAATGACATACAATATGGGTATATCCGCCTCACCTCACACTGTACACTCAAATGATACATTAAGTCCACCACATCCTCACAACTTCTCCTTCGAAGCAAGACTCTTAGTATTCGACCTCCACGTCGCCGTCTTGCGATTCATCTCAGGAATAACATATTCACGATGTCGCTCCGTCTTAACAGACTCCCAGAAGTCGTATCCACGTTCGCGTCGACGACGCATCTCTTCTTCTCTTGCTTGTTTCTGTTCCCGTTCTTGTTTTCGCTGTCGCGCGGCTTCGGATCCTATATCCTCGATTTCGGATGCCATTCGTTGGAGCCCGTTCTTCGTCAATTTGAATGATGCCTTGAAGAATACTTGTACGCGGCTGCTGTAGGCCGCGGCGAGTGTGCCACCGATTAGTACGGCTGAGGCAGGGACTGTTGTTTTCGTTAGTTTATGGACTAGTATCTCTTTTAAAAGGAGGACGGGTATGAACATACGTGAAATGGCGCCGATCAGTCCGAGACTAGCAAAGTTGTCGTCTTCGCCGCCCCATTCCTTGGTGTTCATGCCGAACAGACTAGTGAAGAAACTAAGAGGTAGGAATAGCACCGTGAAGGTCGTGAAGATCATGACCGATAGGTTCTGCGAGCTAGCTAGCTCCGTTTGTAGCCGTGACCATCGCGCCTCATCTACTTGTGCTTGGCGCTGCACCATTTCCTGAAGCTTCTCGTACTACAAAATATTCGTTAGTAACTCCGCCTGGAGAATCCTTTACTCCATTACGCTAGGCAAAATTGATGAATCACTCACGTCTTTCTTGGTATTATCCACACGGTCAATCATTTCATTAACCTGTTTCTGGTATTCCTGCAGTCGTCTTAACGCTTCCTCCAAGAACCCACGGCCATTCTCAGTATATTGCTGTAGCTCAGGTTTTTCATAGTTCTCCTTCATCAATGTGATTGTACTTTCTTGCTCCGAGAACAAGTTCTTCATCGTACCAAGCTCATCTTCCATATCTCGCAACTCAAGTAGAACGGATGTATTCTCGCGATTTTCGTGTTCGGCTCGCTCTAGTTCTCGCTTATGTCGCTGCTTAATGGTTTCGGTTCGACTAGCTTCGAAGTCTTCGGAGTCGGAGTCGTCCATCTTGTCTACGAACGTCTGCATTCGGAATCGTTTGAGTGACGAAGTCATCCTCTCAGTCTAGGAATAGTTAGCAACACCACAGGCGCTTCAACAACAAGGCAGTACGTACGAGTATTCCAAGAGCCTCTTCAAAAATGCGGAAGATGTCAAGATCGGGGTGCGACGTCCGATCCAACAGAACCGTGACAGCATGCAACGTTACAAAAGCAGCAAGATCCAGTGCATTATCGCAACGGCCACTCAGGTCTCCGTTCAACTCGTTATAGATACTATTTCTTAGATCTGCCTGTTGGAATAGAGGGCCTTCTGTCGGATGGGATTCGCGTTTCGGGAAGAAAGTCGTCAACGTCGCTAATTCGGTGTCAGTTTACAATATCAACCCTCGTGGACGCTCGCGAGCCAAAACTTACTCATATTAACCGCCCAAAGCCACAATTGATCCACCATCAGAACATTTCCGTCAAGTAACTCGTCCTCCAATTTAGAGTCATCTTTCATTTTGCGGTTCGCCCCATCTACGTTCCTATATGCGCCGGGTTTGCGAATGAACTGGGTAAACGGAAGCGTGGCCTTCTCTTTCGTAAGCTTATACAGCATCTGCTCGTCGTCTCGCGCATATGTATCTCGGAGAGCCGGATATCCGTATTGATCTAGCGTCCTTCGCGTATTAAGAGGTGGGTCGTGTCCGATGTACTCCCAAATCACTCGCGAGTCTAGCGATTCAAGTTCTGAAATATCTTTCGGGACCGGTCTTGCTCTGCCATGTTCCGCCCTTCGTTTAAGAATATTACGGCGTCGCACAATATTTAAGTAGGTGTCATAGTGGAGATATGGCATGTATAGGTAGAGGTGAGTTGGGGTCATTGCTGGGCTACGACTTCTCTCGGACCCGGTTGGAGATAGGGGGCGTGGGGAACCTGCTTCTCCGGGAACGAATGCACACCCCGGCTTGACATACGAAGCATATAGATTCGTATGGCGACCTTGAATATGCTTGTTGACCCAATTTTCATTGCTGAGAAGCTTGGCATAACTCTGACCTTGGGTTTCAGAGAGCTTATCGAAGATTTTCTGGACGAAGTTAGTGAATTTTCGGCTGTGATCAATATGACAGTACTCACCTTGACCCAGTGGGGATTATTAAACGGCAGATGGAGCCACATGAACTTCCTCCTGGATGGATCCGGTCGGGAAAAGCCTGCTGTCGCATCATGTAACACCGAAGCACGACTACCACGATCTCGTCTCCCACGACCCTCTGCGCCAGGGTCACCGGCCTCCGCTGCAACATCAGTGGGCTCGGAATTCGTCGTCCTTACAGTTTCGCTACTGCCCCTACCAGGCGGTAGATGAAATCCGGCTGCTGAGAGAGCAGGAATAGTCAGACCTCGGCTTCTCGGCGCAACCATAGGAACAGGTTCCGTTGATGCGCCAGAAATAGACGGCCGAGAAGCATGGCTTGTAACAACAATCTCAGGTGACTGACCACGAGCCTGTTCGTTCACAGGGCTCTCCGGTGAAATATTAGGCTGAACACTACCTAGAATCCTCTGGCCAACATCACTCAGGATCCCGAGTGCACTCACTACCGGTGATGGGCCTGATAGCGGACGTCGCGACGGAGATAATAACCCTCGGTGCCTCCTTGATGCTACAGTATTCATTCGCTCCTGTAAGCACTTCTCTGGTCCTTTTTCGAGGAAGTCCTTCAGAACGTGTTTGGAAATATACAACCTAATGTCATGGCCCGTAGCCTCGCTATCAGGGTCCTCATAGAAACCAACCAACTCGAGCTTTACCTTCTCACTGAGTCTTAGTGGCGTATGGACGAAATTTGCGGTCAATTCCTCCGCTTTTCGCGCCGCCGTGCCCAAGTCCGCCAAGAATGAATGCATCGTTCGGATATTCAAGTGCCCGAACGAAGCGCAGTGAGCATGATCGCTTTCGAGGGATAGCGCCTGTTCACCCCGGCTGCCCACCAGTCCTGACTTGATCGAGGTTAACGGGGCGCTGAAATGAACTTCGTCGAAATCGGATCCGCCGAATCCAGATAGCTGCGAGTCGAAGGTTTCGTAAAAAGTCCAAATACGCATCTCACTAGAAATATCCATGAATTGGTCGTGTATCTCTAGCAGCGATCTGTTCCCTAGTTTAAGTTGGCGTGCAAGGGACCTAGGTAGAGGCCTCTGTAGATATAATAAGTGCTGTATACTCTCTCGCAGGTGAGGCATCGACATGTAACTGGACCCTCGATGGGGCGTGGCTAGAGCGCGTGGTCAGTTGCTGAGATCAAGTTACACAACGACTTGGGGACTGCTTACCAAAGAAAGCTATGCCATGACAATCATAAACCAGAGGTCTCAGGTCAGGGTCCAAGCTCGCTTTTACCAAAGCCAACTTCGCGACTAAACCACCAATACTATGACATATGAAGAAGAGAGGACGAGCTTTAGTCAAATCCGAGCGCATCTTCACCAGTTGATCCAAAAGGTCGTCGGCCGCCGAGTCAAGCGTCATACCCTCTGCTAGTTCGCGATGACGATACAGCATCACCCTCGCCGTGCTGATTTCTTTTCGAATGCCATGCCGTATCCATAGATGATTCGCTTTACCCAGGTTGGGACTTATAGTGGGCGATAGGACACTGCTTCCTGGCAACTCCTTGACCGTCGGGTACTTGTCCAACTCCGTCGACTCCGGAAAGCCAAAGTAGCCGTCTTTGAGAGGATCCCGAGCCCATGTTTCGATGGGAGAAGCGCCAACGCAGGGAACAGCGATAATGTCAACGTCGGTCTTATTATAGCCATGTCCGTCGATATCACCATCAACCACCGCGAACCCTGGCTCCGGATCCCAATGCCAGACACTGCTACTGATGGACTTTTCGTTCTCAATACCATCGCCATAATCAGAACCCTCGCTCCGCGCCGGATGGTCGTTAATGGCAGCCTCTGATCCACCTGCCTCACTGGCGCTAGGGCGCGTCGCCTCTTGAAGGTCCATCTGGGCCTCGAGTCTCAGGCTACCTAGATCCTCGCCTGCGACTGTAGACATATTAGCGCGAACAAAATCCTCGACTCCGCAACTCGGACTAGCTCTCGTTCACGATCGCGCGAAACGCGGATGTTTTTAAGCGCGTGTAGTACCGTTGGAATCGCATCGGATACTATGTTGCAACAACTCAAATGTCGCAACATATGAACTTACATACAAGAATCTCTCGCAAAAAGGAGATGCAGATGACGAAAAACAGACGTTACTTGCCGAATAAAATAAGGATTCACACGGTTACATTTATGATGACTCCCTACTTCCCACCCACCATGGTAGGTATTTGCATGTCAGCTGCGGCTCTGCACCCATCGAGATTTGTTCCCCGGACTCGTGAAGGGGAACGGATGGGTTCTTATTGGTTGAGCCAGACGAGGCATGGTGGCTTGGGGGGCTGTAAGCAGTAAGATGAGGATCCTCAGCTGACGACCGGGGGTGTCTTATGAAATACTAGTTGGGCGGCTATTACGGCATGTTATCTTGTGGTCTGTGCTTTCTACGTATCATCGGAAGGCAAATATTATTTATGAATAGTCCTGCGTACATCGTGAGATTTTAATTTGCACAACTCCAACATAATCATGGTCAGACAGTCCACATTAAAACCAAGAGCTCTCCGTTTTAATATTTAATGATGAGTCGTGTTCATTATTTTAAGAGCCTTGAAGGCAACCATTATATAATCTAGGTATACAGTAACATCCTCGGGCATCTTCCTCGATCTTCCCAAGCCTTCTCTTCCTCTTTTTGTTTCAGTCCGGTGCGGGGAACTCGATTGGTGGCGTCCAATACTTAGGCATTCGGCTCAATTGATGCAGAAGAGATTAAATATCTCTGAATGATTAAGACCAGTCATAATGACGAGATTTAATGGCATTCATGGTATTGTTGATAAATGTGCAGTTGTGGCGGTTGGTATCATCATTCAGTGAAGTCAGTAGGGCGCCTTGCTGCCCTTCGGCGAAAGTTGCAGCCATCGGATAAGCACCTATCATTTTTCCCATAACCTCTCCACATCCCTCATCGTACCCCGACATCTCTCAACGAATTCATCAGTCGTAAGCTCTTCCGCAGTAGTATATTTCGCTCTCAACACCTTCTCAACAACCCTTCTCGCCCCCGCCACACCCTCCGGGCACGAAAGCTCCCATTTCTCCCCATCCCTAATATTAAACAGCATAATCCGAGGCAGACTAGGCGAGCCATGTTTCACAGCCCATAAATAAGCGTATGTACACGCCTGCACAACATATAAAAGTGAAAGCTTCGCCACGAATTTGATCTCCCAGAGACATGCGCCAGTATCTTCCCCTTCGGATTCCGTGTCTGTGGCATACACGATAATATCTGCGCGGCCCCCAATTCTAGTCCTCTGTGGTTTATTTTGAGAATCCGTTACCTCGAAACGATTGACCTCTAGTTTACTCTCAAATTCTAGTCGTCCGGATGTATGAAGTTGCTCCTTAAGACGCTGGACAGCTCGGTGGAGTAAGTCCGGGTTTAACCAGTCGAATTTATGATTTTCCATTTGAACCTGCCGTGACCTATACCCCGATACTCTCGCTTCGTACGCGCAAGCCGCGCGGCAGAGCCATGTTATTTGGTCGTGCTTATCACCTGGAATATGTATATCATCTCGATCGTCGAATTCAAGAGTAACGAGTTTCTGCCGGATAGCATATTCGTAAGCAGCGACGACCACGAGGCCGTTAATGTCGCTTACTGCTTCATATAGCTTCTTATCTGGGTCGGTGAGTATCTTGTCAGGCGCGTTAATACACTGGCCCTCTGGCAGAGGGGGCGAGAGTTTCATAATATTGACATGAGAATCGACGATGGCAGTTAAAACTTCGTCGCGAACATGTCGCGACATATCAGAAACCATTACCCCTCTAGGAAGAGTTAAATCGAGTTTTCGAGGACGGCCAATACGTTTCTGGCGTTTCATTTTGGTATCCGAGATATTGATATACTCCGCTGCTTGCTTAAGCTTAGGAACGGATGTGAAAGGCATTGGTGGTTCCTTGCAGTCATGTAGGATGACAAGTTGCTTGATAGCACGTGTAAGAGCAACAAAGATAGTATTCGGGCACCTATCATCCGCAAGGTTTCGCCCGATGTGTTTGAAGTAGCCAGCATCAGCCCCATACACGATAACGAGATCTCGTTCATTTCCCTTGAATTGGTGATAAGTAGAAACACAGATTTTCCCACTGATGACTTGATCATCTAAAGGTATTTCATCCGAGATTGAAACCGCTACCGGGATTCGATATTGTTCAGAAAGTAAATTCGTAAAGTTAGCAAGCGGTCCCCGTCGCCCTCCCTCGCGAATCGAGGGGGCCAGGATAGCTGTTCGTTCCGGTCCATAACGGCGAATCAAAGGCACCAACTCCTCGGCCAGCTTATCTACCTCGAAGAGATTCGCGCACATATATAATGGTTTCGGTCCATCGTGTGTACCGGTCAGGTACTTCTCACCGCCAAGGAAAACGTCATTAACAAAACCGGCAGTTTCACGCGATAACCGGAAGCTTTTGCTGAGAGGTAAAGGGGTCCATTTGGACAGTGAAAGAGCAGACATTATACACGGCGAGAGACTAAGAAAGCGAGAATCAGCTCCTCTAAAGTCGTATATAGCTTGTCGCTCATCTCCCAGAACCACAATTTTGGGGGTGCAACCGCCTATAGCACGTCTTACGGCCAATATAAATGAGCAGCTTAGCCAGAAAAGGTCGTCGGTGCAGTCTTGCATCTCGTCTAATATCACGATATCATAACGTTTATTGTTCCAAATCGGTCTCTCGCCTTTCCTTCGGAGGTTCTGTATGATGGTATCGGTGTGAGCGACTGTTGAAAACAACTTCCCCGCCATTCCGTGAAATGTGAAGACATCGCATGTAGTATAACGCTTTAGTCGGCGTTCAGTCTCGAGTTGCAACCTCTTCGAATATGTAACGACTGCTATATTTTTGTTGGGATTAGCGGCCACGATAGCTTCAGCAGTAGCAGTCTTTCCAGCGCCGGGCCTTGCAGATACGACAACATTTTGGACTCGAGATAGTTTAATAATATTTTCTTGTTCAGAAGAAGGAGTAAAAGCCCGAGCTACCCGATATTTGCGTATAAAGGCGGTATTGATCTAGACTGAATGTTAGTTAAAGCCGATATGAGAGTTGGGAACATTTAGGTACCGCTAGGCTGAAAATAGTCCTCGGTTTCCTGAATGTGCGAAGACCGATGAGCAGGACGATACGCATGGCACTGGCAATTTGTTGCGCATATTTCCACAAAGTAACTTTTCCAATGTCCGAAAAGAAATTTCAAGGGTAATCCCATTCTAATTGCTAATTGGGTCATACGCGGATTAGCGGGTTAAATGGCTGACGTCACGACGAATCAATCGATGTATAGGCGCATCAACGGGCGCATACTTGTCGAAGCTCAAAACTCTATTGGAAAATGAAGCTATTCCCAGCATGATCACTGCCGCTTCTTTTCAAACAAGCCCATATCACACACAAAGTCGTAAATATAGACCTAAAATCAGGTATATGGCCAGTAAATAATGTTCTAGATTCTTATATGAACTTCCGGCAATAGTACTCTCATCTAAACCATCATGCAATAATGCCAGATGCTGTATATGTACCTTCTTATAATACACCAGGGTCGGATTGGCAGGGGTGAAGGTAGGTCGGGTGGTCAGTTTAGGGAAATCGATGCTGAATTCGATTGCACTGCCAACCAGCACACATCATCTCAATCAACCCTTCACTTCCATCCCCCCTTCCCAGCCCCGCGTTTCCTCTTCTTCGAATTCACCTACGTCTCAGCCCTCGGCGGACTAGGCTTAGGCGGCGGCATCTCGCCCCCAGGCCCGGAAGCTTTCAAATTAGCCTCCTCAGCCGCCTTCCTCTTCCTATAATCCCTCATACGCCGAGCCCTCGCCGCCCTAGCAGCATCCAAACTTTCCTTCCTCCTAGCAATCTTATCCTCCCTCTCCGCACGCATCTCCAACAAAATCGCCTTCGCCTTTCTACGTCTATGTTTCATAGCCGTTCTCCGACTTCCCGTCTTCCTTTTCGCCGTCCTAACCAAAGTTCCCAACCTCCAACTCTCTTCCGCGTAGGCGTAAGAGCCATCTTGACGTAATCGAATAATACGTTCGTCGCGGGGGTGCGGTTTACGGCCGTATCCCTGTCGCACGATTTGGTTCGGGATGCCGGAGGAGGAAAGCTCGGGTTCGGGGGCTGGGGGAAGGATGGGTGAGGCGGTCATGTTGAGGCGGCGCTTGCGCATGGCGTGTTGCGGGTAGGGGAGTGTGTCTTCTTTGTTGAAGACCACGCCGATGTATTGACGTTTCGGGTGTTTTGCGGGGTCGCGGTAGTATTTGACGTAGCCTGTGGCGAGGGCGAAGATGGTGTGGTCTCGACCCATGCCGCAGTTCTCGCCGGGGTGCCATTTTGAGCCACGTTGTTTGTAGATGATATTGCCAGGAATTACGTAGGTGTCTGGTTTCGTCTTCTGTCAGTCTTTATCCTTACTTTTGTCGCTAATACAGGATTCTCGAAGGTTGGCAAATACGGTGGAATCGAGGTAGGCTAAACGAAATGAGGGAAGAAACATACCACCACTCTTCTTAGCACCCAATTTCTTCGGAATAGTACTCGTATCCCTTATTCTATACGCTCCCTGAGCCTTAACAGTAGCATGTCTCCGACCCTCAACCGCCACACTATTCGCCCCCACACTCAATTGCCCCAATGCCTCTCTCAACTGTCGTATCGTCGTAGTACACGCCGGTCTCGTCAAACTCGAAGCAGCAGCCACTAAAGGCCGCTGCAATTGGGCGATCCTCATGGCTGCGATTATCGTAGTCGTTCTTGTAAAGAAAGTAGAAATTTGGTGGAGCTTCAATTATGATAATCGCAAAATTTCGGCTTAGTCATCCACATTTTTAGCGCGGAGTGGAGGACCGGGGTGCCGGGGGCCGTTCTGATAACGATAAGACTTGGAAATGTTGCCAGCATAGCGATTTCTAAAGGCATAGCATCATTTACATCTCACTATTTCTTGAATAAAACAAGAGAGCCCCGACATACAGCTTCTTCAATTGCAATACCATAGTTAACTCGTCTTACAATACTATACAAATCAGTCAAATATCGCACGATTTTGCATTAATAGCGAGAAAACCGCAAAAATGCACACCCCCCTCGCAACCCTCGCAACCCTCCTAACCCTCCTCTCCATTCTCACCCTCACCACCGCGCAATTCGGATTCTTCGACCAAATGTTCGGCGGCGGCCAACAAGCGCAGCAACGTCAACAACCCCAAAACGTACCAAGCGACTCCTCCATCTACCGCTCCAACTTCGACCGCATGCACTGCGACAATTACCTATGTCCAGACACCTTAGGTACGTAATATAAGGCTGACTGCATGTTGCATTCAGCTCCCTTTTCGCCTCCATTGCGGTGTACATATTCCCACCAGGGAAACGATTAGAATGAATGGCAAGCTGATGATAGTATCATTGCATATAGCCTGCGTTCACTTCCCCCATCATTGCCCTTGTGCTTGGCCCGCTCACGAGGATAAGTTTGAGATGGGTGAGGGTCACCGGATATGTGTCTCGAAGGGTGGATTCAAGCCTGGTGAGGCTGCACGAAAAGTCGAACTCGCTCGGAAGGGATTGCTATGAATTATCGAGATGTCAAGCTCTGAAATGGTCTCGAGGGAGGAAAAGGAATAATATCGAATTGCTTGTACGGCGTTATAGATACCGCTTAGACTGAGTATCAAAGTAGAATATCATTGTAAACTCGGGCACCTCGATTCGACAATGTCAGTCTGTCCATCAAATCTAATCAAATGACGTATTAGTGAATGTTCTCATTGATTTTGAAGACAATAGTCCTCATGGCAAAGCGTCTATAGCTATAACTACAACCCCGATTGATTGATTGAATGAACCATCCGTCACCTCCCGTGCCGATGACAGTATTCGCACATCCACCAACACCAAACTGATCTAATGCGCCCGTGGTTGTAAGAAGACAAAATGAGGAAGGCTTTCCATCCGGCCTGTAACTCCATTCCAGCATGCATATATCGTCCGTCATTGCGCTAATAACCATCCCCATACCTTAGTTACCCGAACCTCTTTAGAAACCGGTCGTGAAGGAATTTGTAACCCCTTCACACTTATTCCCTAGTCGCCAGCGCCGACTCTAGCACCGTTAATGGTAGGCATAGGCGGGACTTCTTCATCGTCCTCGATTTCATCAAGTGTTTCGGGATGGCCGAGGAACTTAGCAACATCCTTCATTTCGTAGTGCTTCTTTCGCAGCGCTTCGAACTTCTTGTGCTTCTCACGCTCCTCGGGAGTTAATCCGAGGAACTCGTTCTCCGCATCATGTAGTGGTGTGGCGTCTTCGTCACTAACATGGACCTTGCTCTGCTTGCGCTCGGATCCAAATCCATCCTCGGGGATTTCCTCTTCAGGCTCACCGAGCGATAACCCGGGAATCTCCTCCTTGCGCGAGTTCTCGCCATCAAGCATTTCGTCGTCATCATCTTCCGATGGCTCGTAATGCCGCGCATACGGAGTCTTCGGTTCAGTGATTTTCATTGTAGAAGTACGTTCTTGCTCGGTCAAGTAGAGGTTTGCTTCGTCCCATTTTAAGCGCTGATTATTATCAAGCACAATTTGTTCGGGATTGATTAAAGGAGTGCGCGACGATTGGCGGCGTGATCCGGGAGGGCGGCTTGCAGCACTTGAAGAGCGGCGGTGGCCGGCGTTGGATTGTGTGTTGATGATAGTAAGTTCCTTCTCCGATAGGTCTTGTTCCTTAATCGGGGATGCGGGGGGTGGCGATTTTTGGAATGAGTTCTTTAAGATACCTACACAATAATAAATCAATTAGTCCGGCGTTTATTATCACTCGTAAAGGTGCGCGAAACCTAAGGGGAATAGCAGGTGGACTGGGTAGATGGCAAAGTATGACGTACCTCTGGGGCGCTTAACCTCAGGACCCGGAGGAATATGCGTTGTCTTGGGGCTCATTTGTACAGCCGCCATTCTGGATGTCCTGATTGAATACGTGTTGGGCGAGTGTCGATAATGTAGATTGGGAAAGAAAAAGCAAAGTCGAGTCAAGTCAATCAGTTGGAAAAGAAAACCGAATGACTCAATGAGGAAGTAACACAAGCTTGTATAATGTTCAAGACAAGTTTGTGAGATATTCCCGAGGTGACTGGGTGATCAGAAAAAGGGAGTATGGGGTATGTATTGTTGATATTCTTCAGGGTGGACCAAGTGGAAACCTGGAGAAGAATGACCTAGTGCGTTGGAATAGTAACAATAGTAGGGTGGATAGTCAGACTAGTGTAAGAGGTGTAGGCTAGAAAGTAGGCTGGAAGTGGGCAAAAGTAGGTAGTTTAGTTGGCAGATTTGTGGAGGTTTCAAGGTTGGGAAAATCGTCGGACGAGCGCGGGGAAAAAAAGAAATAAAATAAAAGTAGGCTAGGACCCTGCAGCGGAAATAGTGGGCCCTTCCGGGTCTTGTCTCCCTGTCTTGTTCTCCCTGTATCGCTCTCGTGGTGTCGTAGGCTGCGTAGGTGGTGTCCCCCTCCCTATGTGTCGCCTAGGTGCCTATGTGCCTATGTGGTGGCCGATGTGGTGCTTGTGATTGAATGGGTCGGGTATGCTGATCGTTGATGACGATTGCTGCTGATTGCGTACCGATGGGTCTAGCTCTTGGTCTTTTTGGTCCTTTTCTTTGGATCCTTTCTTTCTGGGGTTTCTTTCGGGTCTGATCCTGGTAGATTTGGCTTGGTCTGGAAGTGGACTAATATGTATGTACGTATGAAATTATGTATGTAGGTAGGTAAGGTAGTTCAGTTCGTTCGACAAGAAGAATGGGGAAGTTGGACTTTATGGGATGCGATGGTAGGTTAGGTATATCTTGGGTATGTACCTAATGTAATGTACGTGTATGTGAGTGTATGTGTGAGTGTGTCTGGTGTGTATGCGAGGTTTGTGGTATGTAAGGTATATAAAAAATAGTGGATAGGAAGTATATGAAAGAAGTCGTATGTACTATTGGATTAAAATTCTTTATTAAGGTGGTACTTGATGTTATGCTTCGCAGTTTTTGCTTGTCGCCTGTCTAATGGTCGCAAAGAAAACAATTTAATGGTGGGTGGTGTTGTTGCCAATGTCGTGTGTCTATCTGTCTCACTTGGTGGGGAGACCCTGTGATTTGTTAAGTAGGGGTGCCCGGGGTGAAGAGATAGAAATCGTATCGTATTGTACCGATCGAGGACAGCATGAAGAAATCGAGGCCAAGTTATTATGACGAGGGATTGGAAGCTACCTTAAGTGAGGTGAGATGAGGTGATGCCACCGTTCCGTTGCTTTAGAAAAAGTTGACTAGTCAATTAGAACATCGAATCAGATCTATCGTGTTGCTCTGGTGAAAGAGAAGAAAAATAGAAAAATAAAATAAAGCTACAAATAGTGCTTGCTATACGAATAGACAGCGACAGAAGACAGCTGCATTAGCCCAACAAATTCTTCGATTCTTCCTTCTATAATAATCCAGTTGTTACCTTTTTTCACTGCATTAGTAGGCACATTCTGTGTACTCGTGCCTCGTTACAGTACATGTGCGTTGGTATTATAGTGTACACATAAAGTTGTATTAGCCCTGTATCGTTGTCGCCCTCGTCTGCTACAGAAGGTCCTTCTATATCCATAGAAGGTGCAGCAGAAAAGTTCAGGTGCAGGATACTTAGCCTTCGCCCGTACAGAAAATATGGAGTCGGCGGCTTGGTTCTTGCGCTGTGTTTTGTGCAGAGTACCCATTGTTTTGCACCGGCGAAGCACGAGCCTCTTCTGCGGACCGCTTCAACAGGGTATAAATCACCCCACCTCTCTCGTAACTTTGAGTTGTCATTCTAACATTTGACTTTTTGAGTACCTATTTTATAAGCGACATTACACCACCGAATGAAGTATTTGCCTTGTTTTACCCAAGTACAGATACATTGTATGCGTTGTGCTCCGTAAAAATTTGCCAGCTCCCTTGCTCTTCTAAGCCCAGTTCAGCTTAGGGCTCAAGCTTTCCTCTCTTTCTTAGATCCACGGATGCTTCCCGAAACAATTTTGAAGCGGTAAACCTGACATCATTCCTTTTTTTTTCGCCCTCGGTCGTCTCCCAAGTGACCTCATGATGCCTTTTGTGTTTTAATTTCTTTCTCGAGTTCGGTCGGCGCCGCTAACTTCGTGTTGAGTTACGAAAGTTAAGCGATGAGGCAATGAAGAAATGAACAAAATATCTTTTTATAGAGATCTTTGTAGTACGGCATTTTTATTTTCGAGGACATTTCGAAATTCGAGTTATCATTTATTTTATTTATTTGACATTTTAATTATCACATGTATTTTTTCTCTCTCTTTCCTCAGTTTCCTAAACCACCTACCTTTTTAAGTCAATTTTTTTTACTCTTTCAAATTGATCCTTCTTCATTATCATCGCTACTATCACCACTATCGCCATCGTAATCGATGATGCATGCGAATAGATTCCTATCTATCCACCTACGCATATACATACATAACGCACGAACACAGCACATTGCATCGCCCAATCCGCGAATTGCCTTGCCTCTCTATGTGCGACAAAGATCCTTCCCATTGAGCCGGGTGTGCGGAACCCCTATCTATCTAGATTCATCATCGTCTAATGAGAATTTTGCCATTTGTTGTCTTTTTTTTCGTTCCCTCGTTCCTCTAATCAGATTTTTTATTTCTTGCTCTGCCGCTCTACACGCTCGGAAGCTCCTCTCCTTGTTCTCTCTAGCTAAAAATAAGGAGAATAGGGTAAGGTGTGTGTAAGATAATCAGGGGTCTCAAGAATGAGGGGTGATGATGAGTGGTAGGTAGGTAGGTAACATCGTATCTAAAATATGTAGTAGTGGTTGGCAGCGGGTTGGTGTGGTGTCGTTGGTAATAGTGGTGATTGAAACAAATTGATTATCTCTCTTCCTGTTCGTCCGCTCATCGCATCGCCTGCTTCGCTACTCGCTGTCCGCTTCCTAATTAGCGCACCGCATACGTCCTGCCCCCGTCTCCGTCAAACCATGCCCCTGAATCCGTCGCCGCATCGTAAGATTTCTATGTAATCCCATCTAAACTATTATATGTATGGTATTATATTAGATATATACACGTAACACGAACGTGACGACCAGAGAAAGTAGGGCGATCGCATCTGTCTTTGAATGAACGAGTAGGAATCACAACCGCTGGCACATGCTTATCCGGAAATTTTTATGAGGCTCGACAAGGGAAAAGATGAGAAGAGACGTATCTTGACCCCTTCGGTGCTTTCGCCGTGACGGTGCATTATTGGACACCTGTCAATCCAATCCGGTAGGTGAGCAAAATAGTTACCACATACATATTCACATTCATTTTTTTATATTCATATCCATCCATATAGATGTTGTGTAGGTATCTAGATAGGTATCTAGGTAAATACCCAGGTAGATACCCAGACAGGCATGGTATCTAGCTACCCTGTCGGCATCTGAGGTAGTTCAGGGGTAGCACGCAGCATGTACATGTAGGCGAAGCCGGCTCTGTGCTTCACCAACTAAGCCCGCGAAAGGAATAAATTGTTGATATCAATACCTTGCTGGACACAATCTCCCGTTATCCAGTCGGTAGGTAGCACAGCATAGCCAAACTCTTGGATACCTAGCCAGATCCGAGTTCTAGCGGTGAGGTAATTAAGTGCCGACGAGGATGAAAGGCCTGGTCCATGATAGACACAGCTGTATCTTTCAGCTTGCCTACCACCATAAAAATGCACGCATTGTACACCGACACCTAGCTTTGGGGTAAATATGTATGTAGCTGATTGATATCATTTTTTTCTTTTTCTTTTTTATTTCCCCGCAAGTGTTGCTGAGTGTTATCAAAGCCTGGAATTCGGTATGGTCCCCTATTTCGCCATTGTCACACACTGTGAGGTACGCAGTATTGGTAACAAGAACACGCTGACTTACAACGCATCGTAATACTTCGAGTATACTTATCAATTCGGCCGTTATTCTCTGATTATTTCCCCTGGCTTATTTCTTTAGACTTGCGGCTTATCATCCGTCCTGGATCGACATTCACATATATGATTCTGCGTTGTTAGCGCTTCGGGACTACCTTTGCCGCACAAACGAGCGACTGTAACCTGCCAGCAACAGAACTATCACGACATCGGTCGCGGCTGGTAAATGTTTTCGTATAGCCAGATTGACGCTAGAGTCCAAAGGGTCCATGATGACCGCCAGGAGATAGGCAGTTGGTCCTTATCAGACCCTACATGCATGCGACTATGCTTTACCACGTTCCTTCCTGTGAGGTCATTCCCAGGGTCCTCGCAGCAAGGACGATATCGGAACAGATCACTTCTCGTCCGCATATGATACAACCCCTGGTAGGTAAGATGCCGGGGGTCGAAGGATGAAAGCACGATGTAGTATTGAGAATTACACGAAATAAAATGGACACATAGGATATTAATGTCTTACATCTTGAAACAATATATCCGATATATTCCCAACTTCATGGCTCCTTTTTTATTGTCTGGCCGATCCGAGAAGATAGATGCGCAAGAGTTTCATACCGACATTGGATATATCTAGGGGTAATAGCGAACAAACCCGACGATAGTAACAATCCAAGACTCAGATATCACAAGCAGGCCTCGATCATGCGTAATCCCAGTAATCTCGACCAAGGATGAGCCAGGAAACACACGATATTGGTTGGATACGCCCAAAAGCTAGCTGCCGATGTCAGCATTGCCGTTCGAGCCCTGCGATAGACCCTTGAGGACCATATACCACCAATAACCGATGCCAATGGCAAAACTTGACTATTTATGGCGCGTCTAGTTGTGTTGCAGTGATTTCGTGGCACCCTTAGGAGGTGAGAAGCTACTACCTTATGATCTAATGGTTGCTTCTACGGAGCTTTGAAAACCGTTGGACGACGACTAGGATAAAAACGCAGGGTCCTTCAGGGTGTGCACCGCTTTGCCGAGCCTATCCCAGGGTATCCTTCGTGCGAACGGTACCGCATGCAGGCGACGTAACACAAGATGCCAATATTTTGATCCCTGAAAAGGAGCTAATCATCCTCGTCCATTTCGTCACCAGCCCGCTTCTTCTTCTTGACCTCCCTTTTCTTCGGTCGGAGCCACTCCTCCATCCCGAGCGGCCAATAAACACGGTTATTAGGCCCGCCCATCCCTATTTCCGACTCGGGGACCTCGGGCGGTGGTTTCGGTTCCTCCTCCACCTCCTCGTCGACTTCTCCGTTTGTATCGGCCCCTTTTTTACTCTTCGATCTCTTTTTCTTTACAGGTTTTGGAGGGGGCTTATTCTCATCTTCACGCTCGTATGGGATCACATCGTTGAACCGATCCCATCCGGGCAGCCTAAAGTTCCGCATTAGATCAAATACAGCTTGCTCTTTATCCTTAGCTTCAATCATGAGGTCCGTATCATTTGGGCAGGGCGGTAAAGTCATAACTCGAGGACGATGCTTTCGTCGTTGTCGCGGCGTGATGGCCTCAGAACAAGGCTCACTATAATGCATCTTTTGTGTGATGCCTTTTCTATCCCATGTTGCCCTGATCCGTGGGTAGAGCTCCATGATGTCTTTCGTACCTTCGCGAATCTGGCCTTTGTCGAACATTATATTGTGATGATGGAAATCTAGAACCAGCGGAATGTTAAGCTCTTCGCATATTGGGAGTAAGTCATGCACCGTCCACGAAACATCATCATTCTCTAATACTAATCTTGCCTTAATACTTGGCGAGAGTTTGGCGTAATTCTTCCTAAATCGATCGAGAGTGGCTTCTTTATCTCCGAATACCCCGCCCATGTGCAGGATCATAATAGCATCCTTGTTGAGTTGCTCAGGGAGGCGAAGGAGTGTGAGCATCTCATCGTGATACTCGAGATCGCGGATCGCATTTCTAACGACCTCGGCCCGCGGCGACCCCAATTGTGTAAACTGTCGTGGGTCAGCGGTGAATTTATTTATATATGTTCGTCATATACCTGTCCAGGATGAGTGGTGAGCCGATGACCTAGCTCGGCCGCCAGCTTTCCAGCCTCCGCAAGTACCTCAGACGCAAACGGCGCAAGCTTGTAACCATATTCCTCGTGACTCGCAAAAGGGAACATCTCTGAACTTAGACGCATAAATTTGATATTATATTTATCATTCCAATGAATCATTTTCACAATGTCACGTGCATTGGCGAGGCCAAGAGCTTCGACATATCTTTGACCTCTAGCCACCTCCGCTGGCTGGTTCTTGTCCGGTCTATTTTTGGTTGGGTGTTCTGGTTGTGATGGATCTGAAAGAGGATGACGGTGTTCCAAGATAGAGGCTATCCGACAAGTTCTCGAGCTAAATACGGGCGGGTTTGAAAGTCGAAGATACGTATTAAGGCAAGCCTGAATCGTGTTAGATATTGCATGGTGAATATATTTGTTGACTTAATTATGTTTGCCAGGGTGATTCACATAGCCCAATCTACCTTTCCACGGTAGAGGTAAATAGTCGCTATTGACCGGTGGTGGCCTCGAACCTTCTTGTTTCAAGGCATTGGAATCCGTCTCCGGAGCGAATTGACCACCTTCCTCCCTATCGCCTGGTTCGCCGTCCTGGTAAGCTTCGCTGTCCTCGTCGGCATTGTTACCGTTCCCGTTGGTATGTCCATTGCTCGTTATCTTAGCCGAGTTCTCCTTCTTTTTCTTGACCTTCTTCCTCCTTTCGATTTCTTCCGGTATGGAGTCTGGGTTAGGCTTGTCGGGTCTTGGTAAGAAGGCGGCGTCCTCTTCCTTGGACTTCGGAGTTTCTAGGACTGAACTTTCATTCACCGCCAACTTCTGCCGCTTGACAGCATTGCGGAAGCTATCCTCCATTTCGCGGAGGCCGTCCATAGCTCCGTACATATCTCCTACTTCTTGCATCTTTTTCTTCTTACCCCTTGGTCGAGCCGACGCCGGGCATGAAGGTTCTCCGTTGACCGGATTGGCATCTGGTTCTGATGCCTCAACCTGTTTCTTAACAATACGCCCAGATCTCCTCGGGGTGGATTTCGGGCGCTCTGATTGGGTGTGCTTATCCGACTGAGTATCCTGCGGCGGAACGGGACCGGACTTCTTTCGCTTGGGAACCATCGTGACCAAATGATTAGAATTGGTCGGATAACGCGCGGGTATATAATATGAAATCGGAGCAAAGAGACCGAAAAGGCGTCGTGATTCAAGGCGAGAGCAGCGAATCAGACGACGAAATGATATGGACATCCAAACTTGGATGGTGGGTATGAGAGGAGAAAGCTGTTACGAAGGTTTCACAACTTTGGTTGGAATTTCGGGTATGTAGGTCAAAGATAGGGTGTGGATGTACTATAGTAGGATCGTTAGATGTAATACAGCTTTAGGATTTACAAATAAAAGAAGAGAATAGAGATATATGAGATCATGAGCCGCATAAAAAGTACATAAGCTTGTGTGCAGCCAATACCAGCGATAGCAACATAGGAAATTCATTTGCCTCTATGCTTTTCCTTATTAGGTACGCAAGTAGCAATAGCATTCAGATCTTCAGAACCCTTGTTTGATCGCTAGATCAATATGACAAGACATGATGATGCGCGCGTCATGAACTGGGCCCTAGGCGCAAGACACGAGATATATAGGAACGTTTGCTCCGTTTGATGAGCTTCAAAACTTGTCGCAGGAACTATATTTTCTTGTGTAGCAGAACCGCCCGGGATTATTTTGTGTGGCTTTATTCCCAGCCGCCCGTCCGAGGTGGCTTCAGAATAATAATGTCAATGGAATGGGGATGGGAGCTCACTCCGATCCTCGAGCATAATAAACGTGAGGTCATATCGAAGTTGGAGGAGGGCAATCTATGAAATCATTTTGGGGCGATCGAGATGGGAAATCCTCGGGTGGATCGATGCGAACTAGCGACCTAGTGACCTAGCGGAACCCCGAGCTAAACATTATGTGCAATTGTCAATTTATTACTAAGTTTATTGGTAGATTGGTTGACTCGGTGGCTGCAAGGGGTTGGGGAGGATATCATCACGTGAAAGGTAGCTCCGGAGAAGAGTCCACCCCATTTTGCTGGTTCGGTACATGTGGCTCTTAGCGTAAACCTCGAAGACAGGGGTTAGTTAGCAGGGTTGCTGCAGAAGAAGGAATGCATAAAAAATATGGGGGTGCCAATTCCTCTGTGCTTCTCCATTTTCCTTTCGAAACTCAACCATTTTTTGATCGTCTCGAGCTGCCGTCTGCTGACGTGCAGCCTATCTATCATTCATTTTGTTAACTAATACAGACATAATGAACTTATCATGGTTGTTCTCCTTTCCCTTAGGAGCAGAAATTGTCTTAGTACCTTAGGCAGGTAACCGACAGTAATTTTAATCGCAGAAGAAAAACCTCGTAGTCGAAAAGCCTCCAACGCCAAAAACCAGCCCCCAAAAGATATCACGAGTTATTTCCCCCCACCCAAATGCAAATCGCTTTCAACGCCACGCCCATCGTGTCAGTCTTTATCCCTTGCCTGACCAATAATAAAAAGAAAAATATCCATGCCGAGTGTTGTGTAGCGTGGGCCAAGAGTCCTTCTTCATCGACTGACTTATATCCGACCCCCCTTTGGCGCTAATGTGCGACCTCATAGTTTCAAGTTGGTTCTTCCGTCAGTCCGTCTACCAAAAAGCAACGACGGGTAATGTTGCTTGCATACGATAATCTTCTTCCTCTACTTCGGGTACCACCTGGTAATATGGTGTCCGACAGACGGGGCAATCGTATTTTTTCCTCAGAAACCACGTGGCTAGACACCTCGCGTGGAAGATATGTGTACATCTTTTCAGTTTCAGTACTTCATCATCGACAGGCTGCATAGATTGTCGCTTCTTTTCATGCGTAACGGTATCGGTAGTTGACGTAGTAGTTCTCGACAACCCGGCCTCCAGATCTACTTCACTATTTGTCGTGGGTGTGGCTGCAGCGGGTATCTCTTTAGGATAGAGATATGAAAGACATATCGGGCTTCCCATCGTGTTAGCAATTCGGCTCGGCTATCGAAAATGTAATCTTAAAGAAATGGCTAACCATTCGGCTTCTTCCGATTCTGTCTGCGGATTACGACCGGTTCTTTTCTCGGTCACGCCCTCTAATTGTGTCATCGCATGCTGAATCGACTTCGGCAAGCCTGGAGGCTTTGATTTCTTTTCATTCGTAGTAGTTCGCCGCCGCCCCGAACATGAGCACCATCCACCCCACCTAGCGCATCTGTCCAGGCATAATAGTTAACATCTATTCCCTTGTAAGCAAGCCGAAATGATAGCTTACAATACAACCACCACTATCGCTCCTAGGAGGGCAAAAATCGCCACGATAACTGATTGCCACGGATATTCCATATTTGTGAATAACGATAATTTTGCTGAATTAAATAGAAAAGAATTTACACGGCGCAATAGACGAAACGAGCGATGTTGAGGTTGTATCGAGCGGGGCAAACATGCCACACAGCTCTCGGTGAGTACGAAAACCTAATTCTATCGGAGTATTAATTAGAAGGTTTCGAAAAAGAAAGAAAAAGAAGGTCGGGAAGTTCGAAAGTAGGGAAAGAAAAAAAAAAGTATAAAGTCGAAAGTGTCGAAGAAAAAAGGAAAAATCGATGAAGTCGAAATTCTAAAGTGAATACTAACAATGTATAATGTAAATTAGGTACTTGGCCTACTTACATATACTATGGCACGGCACACCAACTAACAACTTACTGCTCTTTCGCGGTGAGGCACGGTTTGATCGACATCACACGACTCTGCCCAGTCGTTGGTTATTTGGTTTATCTGGGATGGTAAGCTGTAACCCTACCACATCCCTTGCCTGCCTGCTTTAGCTGAATTCGTCGAACAACAAACTCGAAAAAAGGAAAGCAGGGGCATTTAAGATGTTAAGACGTTAGGATGTTGGTCGGTTCGTAAATATCTGACAGGATGATTAAGCTCAGACCAGATTGTACGATATATACCTCGAAGGGATATTAAATCTACTCGAAGTGCCAGAGTAAAGGTAATATGGACAGCTCGACTGCCATATGAAATACCTATTCCTCCGACCTATAGGTAAAAATGATCGGGTAAAGCCTCACACGACTTATGGTTTATTGATTACATACCAAGAGCTAAGGTACACACATTTACAGGTTAGGTAGGCTACTGTTACCTCACTATTTTCTTCGTACGCAAGCAAGCAGGCAAGACAACCAATACAACCATTGGAAATTAAGATTGCCGTGAGGTCTAAATATAACATCTAAGCTAGTTGTCTATATTCCATTCAGCACCCTATTTGCAATCCCAGTCCTTGCATTTTCGTGCCTCATTGGCCCTGGCACAGTCAGCAACCTGATAGGTCCGTCGTAAAATAGCACATAAGATCGACATATAGCGCTCAAAATGGAGGGTTTTGGTGCGCACATCAACTAATCTACAGCGTCTAGTGGGCTATCGGTGCCACCCCAAATTTTCATTTTCTCTCAAGGCTGCGCCGTCTAGAGGGAGTCCTAGCACACGTGGCTAGGGCCCCCCCTTCGGAAGAAAATGTTGGAGTATAGGGCTAGGATTCAAGGATCCCGACCTGCATTAGGTTGTTTTTCTGACGGATTACTGATGATGCTGACGCTTGACAGATAACGATGGTGAGGATGGATTGATACCTTAGGTCGTCCTCTGCCTTTTCGCATGTGGTTCGTCACCGTCCGTCGTCGCTTTTACCCTTAGGACCTTTTCGTGCACGAAGTCGATAGCTTCTTGCAGAAGAACCTTCTCGCCCCATCGTACTGCCACAGCCATCTTTTGCCGGCCCGAAACTTTGTTTCCGGACAGCAGATCGAAATCCTGTGCTTGGCTTGTGGGGTATTGGGCCAATCTCAGCTCCAGAGCGCGGTGTATGGCTAATAAGGTGATCTCGTCCCGTAACGCCTTGTCGGGAATTGTAGATGGGCTGACTTTTCGAATGGCCTTGAGGATTGTATGGATTTGGTCCACTAGATCGGTGGGAACTTCCTTCACGTGTGCATCGTCTCGAAGCTCACCTCTAGCGTCAGGCTCACCCGAATCTCGCTCCACCACAAAGGCGTCTTCGATCTCTTCTGGATCCAATTCGTTGACCTGTGACTGTTAACATCCGGGACGTGGAAAAAGGCAGTGGGCCTATCACAAACCGCTCTACCCCAAATGGCTTCGTCTACTTTAAGCGTATCTTTCAACACCGATAATATTAGGTCCCAAGATACTTCTGTCACGTCGTACCGCGCATGACGGGTCGTGACATATCCGTAACGCCTTAACAATTCACCATTTCCAAGCGGCCCGTAATAATTAAGCACCTCAGATCCGGCAGGAATTGGACGCAAAGTTGTGACAGTTAGGCTATCTTCGCCGTGGTTAACGTGAGCCTATCGATTGTCAGCGCATTGCATCAAAATTACCCGATGGCATACGCTTACATTGAATTCAGCATCAGCGTTAAGAATGTCGGCCATGGGTACCATTCCCATCATGAGAGTACCTTCTTTATCTTCAATCCACTCGTCTTCATTTTCGGGGTCATTTTCTTCATCGTCATTTTCAAGGTCGAAAGCATAGGCCATGATTGTACTACCCATGCGATGTGCTAGGGTCAACAGTTGGTCTTCGCTAAGCCTCTCGGCTCCTTCCGGATAGAAGATATCGGCATTTTCTTCAATTACCGGTAGGACTCTGGAGCGAAACATTCCATCCGCCTCTTCCTTACCGATCTTGGCGACAATCGAGCTAGCTTGCAACTCGACCAATTCCTGATCCGACCACCACATCAACGTCTCGAATTGGCTAGGAAGCACGTCGAAGTACGGTTTCCATCGAGATTTATCCCCTTGGAGATACTCATAAACCATTATGAGGATTAGTGAGACCCAATTGTCAGGAGGACCACTAGTCTCACTGCCATCTCCGTCTGCCTCATTGTCCTCATCTTCCTCCAAGCCCGTCGTCTCGAAGACTTGTGGCACGCGCTTAGGAAGATCCGAAGTCTGTGTGTTGATGATTGCTGTTCTCGGAATGGTGAATAAAACAGTATCCTCAGGGATGTCCGCAGTAGTAACTAATACAGAACCAGAAGTTAGTTATTTACGCTTACTGATTGTGAGTTTGGATTATTCAAGCATGTGCCGCACCAATTCCTCTTCCAGCGCCGTTTGCACGGAGATCTTGAATCTCGATGTTTGGGTGGAAAGTTGCACCCGGCAAAGATTTAAACCAGTCTAAGAAAGACGCGGACTTGGAGTTAAAGGTCGGATCCGACATGGTTCTTCCTCTCGTAGGAGCGCGACTTCCGGTCAATTGAAGAAATTGGTTATTCCCTCGTGTCACTCAGTAAGATGTTTAAATTGATAACGCCTGTAAATGCAGTAAATGTCGCTAATGTCGCTAATAATGTTCTAGCTGAACCTTAATAAGCGTACCCGTTTGCGATCTTCTGTTCGGGGATTATTCGGCCGTATCAATTTTTTCCGGGTAATATTTTCGAATGACGAGCGCTACGGAGCACCTACTAACGATGCTGTGTCAGCCAAGCTAGGCGTCTCGGCAGGTACAAACGCACCTAAATTACAGTGTACATCACCTGATCTCCCAACAACTTTCTCCCCCTTTTTCTTCTTTGACCCCTATTTAATACATACATGTGGCTTTCTATTCCTTCTTAACTATCCTAGCCCTACAGGATACAAAATCCTCTTGGAAACCCTTGTATTTTCCGACAGCTGGGTCACCGTAAGCAAGAAATTCTACGATCTAACGAATTGCGATTAGCGACCCGGGGTCCCCAGCCGCAGGTACGTAGGCCTGCACAATTCAGGCCTAGGGCTTAGAAGATTCCCTATATGAAACAGGGCCTCTTACTTAACTAAATAATCCTCTTATCATCCAACAATCCAAAACGACTCCTAACATTACTAACATACCAAACACTTTTACACGAGATAGGAAACCGCATTGAGGACGATCAAATATCCTAGGCGGAAGGTGATGACGAAGCCGTGATGTGGTAAGCTGGGAGCACATAAGCTCCAATGCCATCAAAATTAGGTCCCTTCAATCCCACCAAACATAAAAACCTTGAAGCCATTTTCAAACAGGGAAAGCAGTGAGATTAACACAACAAGTAAATCCCACGAACACTGTCTATTGTCCCAATGCCTTCTCCAGCTTATCCAGTTGCTCGTCCGTCAAGTCGGTGTACATGAGACATGCCGACCCGCATAGGATAGGATGCGGACCAAGCCCTGGATCGCAAGTACCGGCAAGCACCGTGGAAAGTACCATGCAACTTGGCAGGATATTATCGAACCGGGCCTCTAAGGCTATGTTAGCTCAAGTGTCGAAGTGCTCCATACGGAGAGGACTTACGACCGTATGTCGGCATCGACTGGGTTATGGTAATGCCCGCAAGCGCATTGCGACACATATCGAAATTGTACTGAGGTACACCGCAAAGCCCCTCGTCGGAATTGTTCCACTTGGTGAGGGCTACGCGGGGGGCAGAGTCAGTGTCGATGATATCCCGAGTATCGACCGGGCCAGCGATATACAGATCACGGCGATTATGGCCCTTATTGCCGGTGAGATCGTTGAGCTTGTCCGCAATTTCTTTAATGATGTTTACGGCTTGGTCGATTGGCATCTTATCTCTGATTTAAGAGTTGTGTCTCAAGTGGTGTGAAGTACATAGGTAAGGTAGTGATGGGTATAATGAAGGCTCAAAAGTAGCTCTGGGTGTTCAGTATGGCTGCACTTGCTGGGTACTAGGCTCGCTCTTATACACGAGAGCCCCTATCTCAGGGAGACTTCTATCTTAGAAGCTGGAAATTTCATTCAATCGCCATATTGCTTCATAGTACGATTTACACAAACCACTATGGATTTTCTTAGCAAGTTTTTGTCCTGCTCGTCTGGAGGCTAGGGTCATGGGCGTCGAAGGTCCCGACAACCCGGAACCTAGTATCAAGCCAAATTGATTGTGCCGGATTTAGATGTATCTTGAAGGACAAACTCTACTTAAGCGAGGAATTGATTAAAGGATAAAAACGCCAATTAATTCAGATGGCAACATGACAAGGCCTATGTGAGTGTGACTTGCTCCATTTGCATTAATTCCCTGTCGCACGAAAATGATGGCAGCGAAAGCCATTTTATCATCACTGGGTGAAATCCATTTTGTCCGGATGCTATCTATCACCCCCTCCCCCTTTTATGATCGTGGGCCGCAGTTCTATCCTTATTTAACTCGACCATAACTCCTATTTCCAAAACTGAAGCAAATCATGGTCTACTCAGTACCCTGGTATCTACTATCAACTTTACTCTTCTACTTCGCAATAAGGCGACCGCCTGGCCGTATTCGATATTTTTTAGATGTCATTCATATCGTCGCTGTGATCCCAAGTCTGAGGGCGGCTAGTCAGAATACCAACTCCTATTCCACCTTATGGGGGGTCTTACATCCTTGGCTCTATTTTACGTACGAGCGCTATTCTATTCATAAGAAATAAAGTCGTCTATAACGACCGTACTCTTCTTTTGCACGCATTCAGGGAGATATTTTGGATTTGGTGTAACTTCCGCCGGATTCCACGTACTAGAAGACACACAGGGACTGCCAAGGGGGAAGGAACTAGTATCCATGCATCTTTTGCAGCTAAGAGACTTTCTCACTCCTTAATACTATATATACTAGACCGACAAATCGATCTACTCTTCCGAAAGTTCTTACAAGCGATAGAGATCACTACTGAGGATTTCAACCCAACTAAGCAAGGTTTCTGGTCACCCCTAACTTACCGAGATCTCAGCCTTCGCGCAGTCATATCCGTACATTGGATCTGGAGCACACAATATTTTGTCTGTACTATTCGTGTCTATACTGCGATGGAACGTACCAGCAGAGTGGCCGTCCGTGTTCGGCAGCGTGTCCGAAGCGTATTCGCTCCGACGGTTCTGGGGTATTTTCTGGCATCGATTACATGTTGAAACTTTTGGAGCCTACATGCCTTCTTTCCTTAGGCGTGGCAAGGGTAAGCAAAAGGAAACGAAAAGACCGTGGCGGCGGGTTATGGGGAATAACTTAAGAGCGCTATGGATGTTTCTGTTCTCTGCTTGCTGCCACACGCTCGTGAATTGGGTGGTGCTATGAAAAAATACGTTGAGATATGAGGTCTGTTTCTTCTTCTTTAACTATGTGGCGTGTTCAATTGAGATACTTGCTGGTCCGGCGATCAAAAGAGGACTTGGATGAGTTGTTGGTGACACTACTCTGTTGCGACTTGTTGGATATGTTTGGGTGTTTACGTTCTTCTTCTGCGTTGTTCCGGCTTGGAAGTATCCCTTAGTGTATAATGCAAGCTAGTAGCAGTGTTCGTTTCTATTCATCTACGTTGGGCTCCCGTGTCCGGAGTAATCCCCCGTAACTACTGGGTATCGTGCTGCTACCATTCGATGATGCGTTGTCGGTGGCTGGGGTTAGCTAGCCTTGCATTTAACGAACTGTCATATTTCGTGTTTTGTGTTATCCGTTGACTCCTAAAAGTGAAGACTTGCCAGCATATGATGTATGACAGCCAAACTGGAGGTTGAGGTTGAGCTGATGGGGATGACCAGGAAAGCGAAAGTATATATAAATGATTGATATCAAGTGATGGGTGCATTTACAGGCACAATTCTATCCGTTATGATGCAGCGCTGAATAGATCGGACATAAGTTCAGGGGATATTCATCATGTCATCAGACCAAAAACCCACAGAGCAAGGCTCTTCCAGCGGATCGAATGAACTTTCCAAGATAGCAACCGAGGCACTTAAGTTTCTCAATACTTTAAACGATGTCACGTTCATTTTCGTCGTAAATGAACTAGAGCTTGCCGAGCCATATACTACTCATAACATCGACCCGTGGGGCAACCCCATACCTCCGAGCAGAGCGTCAGATTATGTAGGCGAGAAAGTCGGTACCGTCTGGAGATTTGATAGGGGCGTCATATATCCCGCGCGAGAGTATGTCTGGAGCCGCGGCGCCCATGGTCAATTGGGCATCATCCAATACCGCGAACATAAGTTTAGTGCTCCCCCCTTCCGCAACTTCCCCCTGGAGTTTTACAACATGTGCACCGTCTTTGATTGTGGACCATTCCTCCCCTGCATATACAATAGGAAAGACGTTACCGTTCTGGATGCATGGGATGGGTTTTGGCCTCTGAAATTTTCGAATGCAGAGCGTGTTAGTGAAATCACAGATATCGGAAGTAACCGTGTTGCTGGGAGGAACGCTTGCTGGGTCGGTCCTCTTGTCTCTAATATCTACGAGAATGGCGACGAATCCGCAGAACAATCTAGAGGTTTAAGGGGAGACCTTAGTATTATACTCGGAATGATGGCTCTGGCTGAGCCCCCTGGGCATACTGACGACGCATTTCGTTCTCATTGGCGCCATTTTAGGTGGACATCCCAGAAACCTAAGTATAGTAAGTCCTTGCACTGCCCTTTGGGACCAGTCATGTTATTTGAGGCTAATGAAGAACCTCGCAGAAGTACCTGATCATATGCGCAGAGGTGTCTTCGTTTATATAGCTACAGAATCAGGACATGGTAGTGGTAGGACTCTAGAAGAAATCTCGGCTTTTGAACAGAAAGGGATCGCTGTATTTGGTTAGTGCTATATTTGACATTCAATCTCGGCACATCCTTGGAAATATGGCCCTGCGATATGGATAACTATATATCCGTGTAAAGCAACCGACTGGGAAGATTTGGGGCGCATTATTCGTATTTATTTCTCGAAATAACTGAAGTTTAGCCGTTTGACTCAGCCTTTGAACCGGCCTCTCCTTCATCAACTTCATCTTCCATTTGCACATCTTGTGTGCTCTTCTCTAAGCCGCCTTCCTTGGCATTATCGCCCTCGATATCCTTACTCTGCGATAAGAAGTAGTCGACGACATGCATATGACTGTTAAAAGCTGCTAAATCTAACGGGATCTGGTCTTTGTCATTAGCTGCGGTGGGCGATGCACCCCGTGACAGGAGTAGCTTCACGACGTCGAGATGGCCGCCCAGACATGCCCAATGTAGGGCCGTGTTTCCAAACGAGTTTTGCAGGTTGACGTAGGGTGTGTCTTCTGTTACGCTTGCAGGGGCCTCTTCTGAGGATGTGGTAGGTGGTACTGTTGCTGCCTTTTGCGTCTTGGATGGCGCAGGGAAGTGAGAGAGTATTAATGTGACAGTTTCTGCATACATATTAGTATATTTTCTATCACGAAGAGACATAAGTGATGTGGATCTAGTATCCTTGAATGTCATCGTGATCCTTCTTATTAATCCGCACGAACATGTTCATGCTCTACAAGAGATAGAGAAATAATAGCATGTATTATGGACTTACTCGCATGGCCATTTGCGGCTGCCATATGCAAGCAAGTAGCTTTGCCATCATCTCTTGCTGCTGCTATGACTTCGGCGTTTGTGGCGGATTCCCGATCGGCGAGTTCCTGAATCATCCCCGTAAGCTCCGCATCATCGCCGGTCCTAGCAAGATAGATGAGATCATCTATCTCATCCTCCGATAATTTCGGAACCATTTTCTCGACCTTTTTTCTTTATTGATGAGCCCCTGATTGATACCGTGAATTTTGGCTTGTCGCGAATTGGTGCAACTCGGTTTGTAATAAGGTTTTTAATCGTGGGTGATGATTTGAGAGCTGATGAAAATTTTCGGGGTTCCTGATGAAGCGTAGATGATTTTAGTGGGGACGCATCAAAATAAATAGTTCGCAACTTTTGGAACCTCAATTTATTCGATAAATTACCAACGTTGAATGTGAATCCGAATAAGTTGAATAATTCAGTTCATTTGATTGACAAAATAAAATTCATGAAGTTCATGCCGACTGAGTTGGGCCGATGAAATGAAATTGGGTAGCACAAATCACGTGATATTATCCTTAAGGGGGACATCCTTATGTAATCCACCTAATAATCAAGTCGGATTGAATGCTTGGGTACCTACATCGTGCAAGAGATCCTGCGTTGAAACGCAATGGGCCAACCTAAGTTCAGTTGACTTCGGAGATAGCTAATTGTTCCGTTAGTCTTTCGTCCAACCATCGAGTCATATCTCCAGCATCATCTACTGCTTGAATCTCGGCCTTAAGGTTTAATATGAGCATTAGCTGCAGCTCGTGCATTAAGCACTCTTCATCTGTGTTTTGACCTCCATCGCTATCGAGTCTGGCCAGAAGATTGACCACCTTTCGTCTGTCCAGATAAGTCAAATGGGAAGAAACATCGAGCGCATCCGCGGATAATGTGTGGCTCGAATGTGAAGATGATGATGACTCTTGGCTGGAGGGAGGAGTGGATATGTTTGGCTGGCTAGGAGAATCTATCGGATTTCGGTAGTAGGCATAATCTAGTACGTCACAGCTTTTGGGCCCAAGCCACGAAAGCCCCGGAACTGTGACGTTCTCTTCGTGACCGAGACTCCGGCTCCCACGTTTATAGGTGAGCATAATATCAATACCACTAGGGTCGAAGTCGACGAGAGCGAAAATCGGAACTTCAGGAAAAGACGAGTGAACTCGGTGGAGGAATTGACGCGTAACAAGGTCGGGATAACCTTTGCCCTACGAATACTATGAGGCTTGAAGCCACAGTAGTACAGGCACGGCCGATATCTTACCGTGACGAGAATTCCCGCACCTGCAGTTGAAGTCTCAAAGTATTTAGAGGCTGCTAGTCCGCGAAAAGTAGCCTGAAAGAAGTCAGGAAAATCAGAATAAGGCGTTAAAGGAAGCGCCAACCTCCTTTTCGATGACCAGTACCCATTTCGCCTCACCAATATCAAACTTATGGATGGCATCGAACTGCGGAATTAGGGTACCCTGGTGAGATTGATCAGATCATCACTAAGCCAGCCACTTTCGGAGAAAATCAACTCCTTACGTTTTCATCGGAGCTGCAATCGAGTATGGAATTGGTTTTTAATGTGATGACGGTTCTACCCGCGATAAGGCCTTTGTATGCGGCCACCTACTGAGGTTAGCGTATGGATTTCAGCGCATATTGCGGGCAAGATACATACAACACTTAGTGCATCTCTACCAACTCCAAAGGTGAAGGCGATGTCGTCAACCAGTTTGTCTACATATTGTTGGCTACCGAACAGATCTGGGTTCTGATAATATATATTCCTTTTGTATTTTTAGTAGAGTAACTAGAACCCGCACTTGTGGATTCAGAAAACAGTAAGAAAAGGAAGAGCGGACCTCTTCGTGATGATATGACCGGAAATAAGCGCCTCGTGACACATGTGAAGAATTTGGAGAAGACATGCTTCAATAATATGAGTTACGAGCGACTTAGACCTCGATAGAAGTGATAAACGCACTGAACTTCTTTACTTCGGCTTCCGTGTTTGCTGGAAATCGGATCAATGCCTCATTGCCTGACTGTCGATTTCGTAGGGGAATAGTAAGAGCTCGATTTTCGCTAAGTGCGTCGACAATATTTTCTAAGATATTCTCAATCCTAGATATGAGGGCATCGGTGTGGACGCCTCGTGTGCTACCGATAGAGGCGACATAATTGATAGATTGTTCATCCATCGTCGCGAATCAATGTTACCATCCATTTGTGTTGAAAATGAGTGAATTTGGTAGGGGAAAGCTAAATAAAATTTATTCATCTTGATTATGGCACTAATTTAAAGTTGTAAGTTGAAGCAGTGTTGTGATTGCCTACTTTGACCTCGGCAGCTTCGTGACGAAGGAGTGTTAGCTATCATCTAGAAGAGAAGCTGGCGGGAGACAGCGGTCAATAGTGGACCAGGTCCCTGTAATTATAGCTTGGCGTGCATAAGCCCACCAATCACTTAACAGAATGAGAGCGAAAAGACCCACTTAATAAAATCCGTAGCTTGGGCATGGGGGATGGAAATAATTCCTACAGTACCTCCTATTTACATATCCACAATTCAACATTCGACAGAAATGGATGTGGAAACTCGGAAGAAATCGTGTTTCCGAACACAAGATAAGCTTATTGTCTTTCCCCTGCAATACCCTTCTTAATCGATATTCCCAATTATATATACTCGCCATCTCCATGGTAGTTTGGAAAGATGGTGACGACTCGATCGAAGAAACGCGTCAGTGACGAGGGCCTCGAAAAAGCCACGAAACGACCGAAACTCGAAGAAAAGACCGATATAACGAGATGGCGCATGTTAGACGAAAGAGGACGACATATTTGGCAATATCTCGAAGACGATGAAGCGGCGAAGGAATGGCCACAGAGTTATGCAGACAGGTGGTACTTGGGATTAGATACTGTTAGAAATTTATTCCATTACCTCCGCGTACAAGAGGATCGTATGTCTTAGATTATATAACTGACCATTGTCCTATTCGCAGGAACTTCCTGACTTACCGGAACCTCAAAACCCCCTCGATTCCGTCGTCAATGGCCTCACGTTCTTCGAGAAACTTCAATTACCTTCCGGCCAATGGGGTTGCGAATATGGTGGACCTATGTTCCTGTTACCGGGTATTGTTATTACCTGGTACGTGACGAAGACACCGATTCCTTGGTATACCGCTACCGAAATCAAAAACTACCTATTTGCGAGAGCGCACCCTGAAGACGGCGGATGGGGTCTACACATCGAGGGCGAGAGCACTGTACTCGGAACTGCGTTCAGTTACACGATTCTTCGCATTGTCGGTGTCGACCCCGAACACCCGGTAATGGTCAAGGCTCGAGGCACGCTACACAAACTTGGAGGTGTTACACGTGCCCCTCACTGGACAAAATTCTGGCTGAGCGTGTTGGGTGTTTGCAAATGGGATATCGTCAACCCAGTCCCTTCCGAGTTATGGCTATTACCTGATTGGGTCCCAATTGCTCCTTGGAGATGGTGGATTCATATGCGCCAAGTTTTTCTTCCTATGAGCTACATCTACTCGAAGAAATGGACCTGCAAAGAGGACGATATCATTCGAGGCTTGAGGCAGGAATTATTTGTGGAAGATTGGGAAAAAATTGATTGGGTCGGCAATCGAAATAGCATATGTCCCCTCGATAACTACCACCCGAAATCATGGCTCCTCAACACTGCAAATTGGTTCCTCGTCAATATCTGGAACCCTTACCTCCGAAGTAAAGGACTGGCTGAAAAAGCTGACGATTGGGTCAGTAAGCTCGTTGACATGGAGGATGCGAATACAGACTTTGCTGATCTAGCCCCTGTAAATGCCGCTATGAACACCGTCGTCTGTTACATCCGCGACGGTCCAGGTTCATACACGGTCCGGAGACATATCGAGAGACTGGATGATAGTATGTGGATGAATCAAGAGGGTATGATGTGCAACGGTACCAATGGGGTACAATGCTGGGATACGTCATTTCTCATACAGGTCGCAATTGACGCAGGGCTCGAAAAGGATCCTCGTTGGAAACAGATGTTGATAAAAGCGTTGGCATTCCTTGATGACCAGCAGATACGTGAGAATTGCAAAGATCAAGCAGTTTGCTACCGACAACAACGAAAGGGAGCTTGGGCTTTCAGTACGAGAGACCAGGGTTATGCAGTTTGTGACTGCATCTCCGAGGCACTAAAGTCTGTCATACTGCTTCAAAAGACACCAGGGTACCCTCAGCTCCTCGACGACCAGCGCATATTCGACTCTATCGATACTCTCTTAACATACCAGAACAAGTCAGGTGCTTGCTCGTCGTATGAACCGACTCGGGGAAGCGAGTTGTTAGAAATGTTGAACGCGGCAGAGGTTTTCGGCAAGATTATGGTTGAATACGATTATGTGGAATGTACAACTGCGGTGGTTACTGCGCTCTCGTTGTTCCAGAAGCACTGGCCTGACTATAGGACTCAGGAAATCAAGAGCTTTATTGGACGATCCGTTAAAGCTGTTAAATCGCTTCAACGAGCGGATGGATCATGGTATGGCAACTGGGCTATTTGCTTTACCTATGCGACTATGTTTGCCCTAGAAAGTTTGAAGAGCATTGGTGAGACATACGGCAACAGCTCTTATTCGAAGAAAGGCTGTGACTTCTTGATTTCTAAGCAGAGAGAAGATGGAGGGTGGTCAGAAAGCTATCGGGTAAGTTAAATCCATCTAGAGAGGTAGTCATTCAGAGTACGTCTGAACTAACCTCTGTATAGTCTTGCGAAAGAATGATATATACTGAACACCCGACCGGCTCCCAAGTTGTAATGACGGCTTGGGCTCTGATAGGTTTGATGAAAGCGGATTATCCAGACATCGAACCTCTGAAAAAAGGCATCAAACTCATCATGGGTAGACAGCGACCGAATGGTGAGTGGAAACAGGAGGCCATCGAAGGTGTGTTCAACAAGAGCTGTATGATCTCATATCCAAACTACAAGTTTACCTTCACGATGAAAGCCTTGGGAATGTTTGCGGCGAAGTACCCTAATGAGACAGTAGTATAATAGTTTCGTCAGTCTTCACGATATAAAGCACTGTCGCATAAGATAACGACGCGAGAATAGATTTAGAGTAGTATACACAATTAATCCTAATATAATTCACAGTGTCACGTATGATGTGATTGCGTCTGCCAACACCTACTCTGCTTGGTATCTTCTACCACACCCTACACGTGTAGCTATTTCACATCACGTCCCTAGATACATCATATCAGCTACGTTGTTTATTAAACTCAAAGGCACTGACGTATTTCGTCCTACATTACATAGTTCCCCACTGTATAGAGCTCTGGCTTAATTAACTTTAATGAAGGGCAAGCTTCCGGGCGGTAAGTTTATTTCTGACTAATGAAAGCTTCTCACCGCCTAGTGCCTCAATAGTTCCGGCAGAATAGCCTTTAACCCCACCAACAATGCTATTATGAGGTGACTAGTAGCTTCTATGCAGCCACTATGCTAGGCAGCTCAGATCACCAACTTTAATGAGCAAACAGGAAGCTACGATAGCGTCAATAAATGCTGTTTCTGTAAATTTAACTATCTTCAAAGCGTCGCGACTTCAGATGCCCTAAGTAATAAACTCTAATTATTCACATACCTAGGTACGCATATAAATAGTAATTTGGTCGGCTTGCATTTCCTCTGCCTTCTTTCTCTTCCCAAACATCATCAGATAAATCACACACACATCCATCACCATCCACTTTCGACTTATCTTGGTTGCACAACAACATTCCTATTTGTTATCTTACGCTGACTTGCGTTTTAAATATCGATAGGATAATTGTTCAATCAGGAAATATCCAATTTTCAATCGGTGCGCATCGTTACAATGCCATCCCCCGAGATCCTCGCCAGCGACGGCGTTAAGGCTGTGACAGCCGGCGATTACCAGGATGGTATTTCAAAGCTTACCCAAGCTCTCAAGGAACGCCCCGCGCCTCTTTGGCTACTCGAACGATCTAAAGCCTATGTCCGAACCAATAAACTAGACCTCGCCCTCCACGATGCCGAGCAGGCTTTACAAGTGGCCTTCCAACGCGCCAACCGAGATCAGATGGCGGAGGCTCAGGTCCGACGAGCTATCACTCTATTCCGTATTGGCCGCTACGCCGATGCAGATATTGTCGCCTTTTGGGCCCTTCGACTCCTAGACAAGGCTAAGGCTACCGAGGACGACGGTCAGCAGAATAAGGTTAACGAAAATAGAGAATACACAGTTCGCCTCGCCGATGTCAAAGAGTCTAACAAACCTTCTAAGAGTGATGGTATCGCAGCTGCTATGGGTGGTCTTAGTGGAAGATCTAAGGATAATTCTCTACGAAACCAAGCGTTCTCATGGCGTATCCAGGCTTTGACCCGATTAGAGGATCTACCCGTTGGAGATCTCGCTCGCAAGGTCACCATTGGCCTGGAGAAGTACCCCAAACCCTCCGAGCTCAGCTCCGCCGGCAAAGCCGAAGTTGATAGTGACAACGACGGTCTAAGCGTCTCGGCAAGTAAGGTCTCTGAGGAGTATTCCGTGACTGATTCTTGGAAGCCGATCTGGGAATTATTCGTCGATCGCTATGCCGCGAATAGCATCAGATCGAGTCTTTACCAGACAGATACTACCCTCCACGTTGATTTCTTTATTAAGGACAAACCAAAGCATTTTACAGTAGAGGCCACAGATCATGAGGTTACTATGGGTCCAATCCCGGCTCCACGTCCCGAATCCATTCGGCTCCACCTCTGGGGTAAGATTAAACCTGAGGAGACCAAACACACAGTCAAATCGATGAAGATCGAACTAGTCCTCAAGAAGGCAACCCCAGGAAAATGGCCGAAGTTGGAACAAGATTTCATTTTCGGATTCAACAACATCGCGGGGGTCACGGTGGTGAATCCCTCTTTTGAACAATTCACCAAATTTGTTTCCCGTCTAGGGTAAGTTTCCAATCCGATTCTGTAGATATTTCCGTAGAAGTTGTTGCGCTAACACTCAATAGGTACACTGATCCCGAGCAACTTGAACTTCCGGATTTCGGGGAAGATAGAGATGCTTGGTACAGCGCGATTTTAGGTGCATTCCAGGCTCGTCTCGACAAGTCCAAGGTATCAGCCGCGACAGATGCTCCTAAGATCCCGATCACAGCAACCGGGGATACATCGGTTTCGCAAGGCGCCAATGGTCATACCCAGTCGAAGGGTAGTCTTACGCAAGCCAACAATCCTACGGTTCAGCCTACCCCAATTGCCAGCAAAACCGGTTCGGCCGCCGCTGGTAGTAGTGCCCCAGCTTACCCCACTTCTTCGAAGAAGGGAGCGGTGAATTGGGATAGCCTGGATGTTGACGCCGACGATGATAAAGAAGAGGGCGATGTCAACTCATTCTTTCAGAAGCTTTACAAGGATGCGGATCCCGATACGAGACGAGCCATGATGAAAAGTTATGTCGAGAGCAATGGCACGTCGTTGAGTACAAGTTGGGCTGAGGCCAGCGAAAAGACCTATACGACGCAGCCCCCCGATGGTGCTGAGGCCAAGAAGTGGGATTAATGTTACGGTGCATGGCTACCCACAACACATAGAGCTATGTTTATCGGCTTGCATACCTCACAATTTTCCTTTTCTTTTCTCTTTTCTTTATTTTTCTATTATTTTCCGTCTACGCGCGAACGATAAAAAAGCATGCACGGTTGGTCGGAATGATACCAATGGTTAGTCCTTATTGATGCAGTCTATACGACTATCATGGCTTTAGCTTAGGGCTTCCCCTCTCTTTCGAATTTACGAGGGCGTCTAAGCTTATCTGGCGTCGCGAAGGAATAGGATTAAGGACGGGAACGCGTGTTGGTTTCTTTCGAGTTTTAGTTCCTCTTCGGGATATACCTACCCAACGCGGTTAAAGGTCTAGGGTAGTGAGATAGTTAATGAAAATGCCCACGATGTCACAAGACCTTACAGGACCATTGCATAATTTCATTAACTAGAATAACTAGTTCTTACCAACGAACCAGGTGAGTGGATCGCCACAGATTTACTCGGATTAGAGACGATGACGTTTCTAAGGGTGATGATTGGCGGTTCATATATTTATAACCACCACCCTACCCATCCATAACCACGGCCCCGGTGCCAAGCGTCGCTAAGGAGTGTGGAGATTGATACCACGTTTTACGTAGTGCTTCCCCGGCATTTGTTTTAACAAGCTTATACGACCGCCCCCCGGGGTCATCCTCATGGTTTTTATGGATGCAGGTGGACGTTGGACCCTCCCCCCATCTAGCCACCCTTGTTACCTGGCCCCCATTCTGCCCATCACACACCCCTTATCCATCCTTACGAGGTCCAGCCGGTCTCACTTCAGTTGCCGACACGCTTCCTTCTCGTTACCTCTTCGTTAGTTACTCTTAGACCTCAGCTCACTATCCTTGCATAGTGGATTCTCTCCCCGCAATTCCCCAACGTGAACTCTCCACATGGTGCCCAGGCCTTTGTTTGAGGTGCTCAGTGAAGGTATAATCGTTCTGTCGGCAATTCGCTGATTGGCTAGATACGTCCACGCCGAGGTTAATAATGGCTTGAGTAATCTTTGTAGTGAAGGCACATCGCCTAACGGGCGAACATCGTCGAAGGGCCGTGCAAATGGGATTTACCCGACCTTGGAAGCAAGGTACTGACGAGTATTTCATATATCTAAATTGCCCTGAGATCTGGACCACGGTGGGATGGTGGTCTTGGTTGAGGACCCTTTGTCTGATCTGATTAATGAATCTGATTAATCCATTACTTCATCAACAACGATTTGACATCACTGGCTTTGCTGTCATCTATTTTTTGAAAGGTTATATTTGAATCCCACGCGGACCGTCCTCCTTCAACAGGAGTGGTTGCAAGAATAGCAACAAAGTGCAAGGGATACTCAACATCCTTCCTGCAGAAGTCTCCAAGACCGACATATCTCCATACAAGCTCATAGAAAGACTTCTATATATACATCTTTTTCATAAGTATATATATCTCTTCTTAGAAGAGAGTCTTCACCATGAGCTCCGATGAGAATACCATCTCTCCTACTCGCCTGTTCCTGCATTCGGCATGGACAATCTTCAAAGAGCAGTGGTATCTCTTGATACCGCTACTCCTAGTCGTCCGACTGGTATATAAGCGATATGCTTCACCACTACGCGAGTACCCAGGCCCATTCCTAGCTTCATTCTCGCGCCTCTGGAAAGTCATTTCCACGGCCTCAGAGCGGACGCATCTGGACCACCTAGCGCTCCACCGGAAGTATGGCCCCGTAGTACGCATCGCACCCAACGAACTCTCGTTCTCCTCGCCCGCGGTCGCCCGCAACATCCTCTCAGCCGGAAAACGCTTCTACAAGACGGACTTTTACTCGGTCTTCCCACCCCCTGAGAACCCGGATATCTTTACTGAGATCCGCGAGGATGTCCACGCTATGAAGAAGAAGGTCGCTAATGTCCCGTACTCGATGGCTGCTATGCGCCAGCTTAGCCCTTTCATCGACGACACGATCGATTTCCTCGTTTCCCGTCTTGATCAGTTCTGCCCTGATACCGCGATCCCTGGGTTCCAACAGGCGGGTCTTCCTGGACGTAATCCGATTGTTAACCTTGGTGACTGGCTGCACTTCTTTGCCTTCGATGTGCTTGGTGAAGTGGCTTTCGGTCGATCTTTTGGATTCTTGGCTGCTGGTGTCGATAAGGAAGACGCTATTAAGACGATTGATAACAGCCAGAAGTATAACGGTATCGTGGGCCAGATCCCGGAGATCGATTGCTTGTTAAGGCGAAACCCGCTTTGGAAAATTATCCCGGCTTTCAACCCTGAGAATGCGCTGATCACTCGCATTGCCCGGGAGGAAATGAAGAAGCGTCGCCCCTTCGAGGTTGACCGTGATGGAAAGGGTGCTGGTGGTGATGGTCGTGAAGATCTTCTGTCTTCATTGATTAGGGGCCACTTGAAGGACAAGGTTAAGTTCCATGAGGGCGACATTTTCGCTGTGGCGCATGGTGCTATGTGAGTGATTTACCTGTGTCACACATGCTTGTTCGTTAGCTAATAAGAAATAGTTTCGCTGGATCTGACTCGACGGCTTCGACGATGCAATCCTTCTTCTGGCACGCACTATCGGTACCTCGTGTAATATCGAGGTTGGTAGCGGAGATTGACCAGGCGGCGAAGGACGGAACTATCCAATCCCAAGGCAACGTCCAATGGACCGAGGCGCAGAACTTGCCCTACTTCCAGGCATGCTTAAAGGAATCGATGCGCATGCGACCCGCGGTCGGTGTTAACATTACACGATACGTGCCCGCTGAGGGTATTGAGGTCGAAGGTCGCCACCTTCCCGGCGGCACCCGACTCGCTCTCAACGGCTGGGTCCTACACCGCGACAAGGCCATCTTCGGCGAAGACGCTGACTTCTACCGTCCTGAGCGCTGGCTCGAGGACCCGGAGAACGCTAAAGTTATGGAGCGATACATGTTCCAGGTACGTATTCTATAAAGCAATACTATTGATTATCAAATACTAATACTGGGAAATAGTTCGGTGGTGGTGCCCACGTCTGCATTGGCCGAAACCTGGCGCTGTTGGAGATCAACAAGGTGATCCCACGCCTACTGCGAGACTTCGACTTTGAATTGGCCTACCCCGGGCGGGAACTCAAGGCCAAGGCGACCTTCTTCGTGGTCCAAGAGGGCCTCGAAGTGTTCATCTCGCGGAAGCAGAAGGCTGAAAAGGAAGCTATCGCGCAATCATAAGTGCGAAAATGAGATTTTTCTTTCTTTAAGAATATCTCTCTCTCTTCGGTTGTTTTATTAAACAATTATTAATGATGCTATTTAATTAATAATAGTATCGGGGACGGTTCACCGGCGGCGCGGCGTTGTTGTAGTTAGAGCTGGGCTCCCGGTTTACGAAAATGGGCTTTAATGCTGTCTTGCTTGATTGGATGATTGATTGATTGATGGGTTGGTCGATGGGATTGTTTCTCTGGCAGCATGTGCATACCATTTTACACAGCGTTCATCTTGTTGTTTTTTATTCTTCATTTTTTTGAAGTCATCTGTTTATAAGTGCGGCGGATGTAGATGGGAGAGGTGTACACACACACTTGCTCGTGGAGAGAAGCTTGTTATAAGAGGTATATATACCATGAGGGTAGAAACTTGTTTGGTAGATTGCTTACTGTATTATGACTTTGTTCGACAAAATCAATGCGACTACAGTCTTTTCACTTTCCAAATATGGAATATCGTGATGGTGCAATTGGAGACTTGAACAAATTAGAGCTTACTATTTCTAATCTAGTCGATTGACTCGTTACCATGGATATGGAAAGAGACCTGACTAGGTCAAAGTTGGCTAAGTTTGCTCGACCCTTACATGAACTTGAGGTATAAAACTATCGTGATGATCGTCTTCGCTTCATGACTTCACATTTCAAGCCACCCCCTCATTCAACAATTTTTTTAGCTTAGCTAATCATAGTCAAGCATTGTTATTGGATTTGATTATTACATAATTCGACGGGTGTCTTGGATTACGTAACCAAGCTGCTTACGATTTCTGAATAATTGTTTTTCTGCTCAATAATTTTTTTCTCGTCCCTTCGGTTGGTTGTTTCAACGAGCTCGGATCGAATTTACCTGGACGCATCTAATTTTTCCACCGATATTCGGAGAACAGATGTCGATCTGAGGATCTGACAAATGCGACATGTGAAGAGCCTCTTCGATTTATAAGATGCCAAGGGCTGGTCCCTCACGACGCTGTGCTGTGTCACGTTGTAACGGTCTTCATACCCGGGTGATTCTGCGCAGAGCCGCCGAAGTTGGTCCTGGGCACCTTTGAGACGAGCGAAAAGAAGAGAGCCAAGAGTCTATTTATCCGAATCTCGACCACCAACCACCTATACATGATACATGCCAGTACCTAGGGCTGTCCCACCCATTCAACAAGACGCACGATCTTATCTGGACAGGGTATATATAGTGCTTGCATACATGATGCAGCCTCAGTATATATTAGGGGGGCGTCGTTTTAGAGAAAACATGACAAATTTGCTAATATCTCTTCAACGACGCCTGTTAGTTAATAACGAGTTGGTTCGTGTTAGCTTACACCGCATCCCACAAAGGATGTGACGAAAATGACAGGCTCATGTAGGCATCGCTAACCTTGTCACCTACCAACCGTCGCTTCATGTCTCAACAATTCGCATATAATCCTTCGTGACGCGTCGCCCTCGGACGCTCGTGAGCGGGGTTATGCAGTGTTACAAGCCCGCCGGTGTGCAACGTTCCCAACGGATCCCGCCGTATCCACCCAACTCCTCTCGCACGATAATGGCGAGATTCGCTTCGCCGACATCCTCCTCCGTCGACTCGACAGCTCGATAATGTGCATCCTCGAAAATTCCTGCGTCGGAACCGAGAGACGGTGTGGCATACTAGGTCGATTCGATGGTCGGGCGAACAATAACACTTGATGAGCATGAACATCCCGTGGTAACAAACCTATTCCCCGGGCTGCGACGTTCATCACTATCGGTATGAGACAAAGCTGGTGCTTGCAGGTGAACTGTCACGAGTTGCATAAACCGGAGCGTAGCCGAGTGGTTCCAAGGGATGTACGAATGTATACCGGCATGTTGCGTAGGCGCTGATTCGAATACGGAAGTACGAGCTGTTATTTTAATGTCTCTCGTGTTCCGTGTTCATGCCCACCTAGGAGCTGAGTCTACGCATCGGGGTGTGAGGGCAGACGCCTATAAGCCGGAAGTACGGGTCTAGCGGCCTGTTAGCACGGCCAAGAGCCCGATGATTGCCTAGAGAAAAGGGATGGCGAAAGTTCCCGCTTCACCCGCAACTACCCTATGCTCTACAATCTCGCCGTTGGTGTGTGGGCGGGGCCGGTTCAGGTGGTCTATTGACCCACAGCTTGAATTGCCACCTGCAAGTCAGAGGAGCCTAGAAGGGATCTACGAAATCTGGACCGGAATTCATATTATCATGGCTAATTAACAGATACCGGAGAGCTGGGCAGCTAGAGTAAGTGGCTTATGTGAGCCGTTGCTAAGGTAGGCTCTAAGAACAAGAGTAAAAAGCGCGATTTTCAAGGGATTTCAAGCCTGTTAGCTGAAACCGGAAGTACCAGCCTCATTTCTTTACTAGCAAATACTTAGAGGCTGCATGGGCTTATGCTAACAACTACTATTCCTCGTGGATTCTCGTCTAAGGAAGAGCATGATGTTGTGGGGCCATCGATATCTTCTGGAAACTTTTTTCCCAGGGGAAGCCTGGGCTTGGCACCAATTCTCGGGACTTATCTACCTTGTTCCGGGAACTCATTCAAGAGCCGGGAATGCCATTTTCATATCCTGCCAAGGATACAGGGCTGGGCATAGTTAGGCTAATTCTTGACAGATGTACGATTCGCTTTGACAATAGTCCCTTCTAGACTCTAGCTTGGCCACAGCTTCGGCCGGGAATGTGTAAAGTCCGCTGCATATATGTGCCGAGTTTCAGCTACCGTGAAGAACATTACTGGGGAGCAGTGCTCGGTCTTTAATGGGATGACAATCACATTGTGACAGCTGAGAGGATTGTGCGACGTAAGCAACTGAGGCGAGAGGTGCATAGCACGGCAGTGTCTGGATGTGCTTCTGTTACCACGGCTCCCTATTGAACGTTAATTCGGTGAACTTGCATGTTGCTGAGGCATATATACTGCCGGCAGGACCGTGCGGTATGTCGACTCGTGCTTCGCCAAGGCTACGTCGTAGCCAAGCTGCGGCCCCTCGAGATATTTTAATTTCTGAACGAGTCATTGGTGGATATTTTCGAGTTTCTGCTATAGTCATGACAAAAGGGGCTGGAATTGCCATGATCCTTCGGAACAGAGTTTGGGGCGAAGGCGTGACGAGAGAACGACGTTAGCTCGAACGATGTGACCGCGGCACAGACGTCGATTACACTTCGGACGAGCTTTCTAGTTCTTGAATGACACAGAATATCATAGATTTGAGTCCCGATTGGTGTTTCTAGTCGTACCTTATTGGCTGGGCTCCCGAGGATTTCATCAGAGAACAGCACAACCAGTGCCGGGGTTTTATTTATTACCGATGCCATTGAAGAGAAAGCATGATGGACCCGTGGCTTTACTCACGTAGCCTAGATGGCCCAGCCACGTGCCCGCATCTCTTCCCTCGGATTAAGTATAATCGTGATTAATGATGCTATCTTCTTTGGAGTTCGGGGGCAATAATTGGCTTGGGGTGTTATTCTTCTTGATTAAAAGACTATATCTTGTGTTATGCGACATAATGGCATTGGGGGCACGACCTTTTCCTCGCATGTCGAAAGGGGTTTCTCCCATCCCGGAGTCAAATGTAAACTTTGCAAGACGCTTCTTCTTTTCTTGAAGGTTAACTATGTTCTGGAAATCGTTAGTTGATGTGTAGCTGGGTGTGCTAGGCACGGTCGTTTGAGTCGTATACCTGTTCAATGGTTACTTCTACATATCTGAAAACTGTGACCTCTCGGGTCTGCCCCATTCGAACGGCCCGGGCAATTGCTTGCTCCTCTAGGGCTGGGTTCCATTGCGGTTCCACGATATGCACCTGATTGGCAATGGCGAGATTTAATCTGCAGCTTAGTTTTCGAGCTGGAGGACGCAGCTGTTCCCTTTTCTTTTCTCCTTGGGGATAGGAGCCTTACCCAACTGCCGGTCCCGATGGACATAAGCAGGACAGGGGCTTGGGGATCCTCTTTGAAAGCCTCAAGGTGCATAGATCTCTGTGTATAATTTACCCGACCATCTATTTGGCGATATGGAATGTTTTGTAGTCTCGAGACTGGAAATAATATCTAGTGTCGATATCCAACAAGAGAACACAATACTAATAAGGTCAATGCAATGTCTCTTGACGTGTTGCTTTCTCTCACCTCTTGTCCTCTGGTTCATTTCGTTTCGAATTTTCTGCTACGGCGTTTAGTTTCGTCGAGACGCCATCATACGGGACTGCCGGTAGAGCCCGATTTTGCACTACTTCTTCGGGGGTCTTGATCTTATCAATTTGGCTGGGGAGAAGGTTTGGCAGTCTAGCAGTCGTCTACATTGAAGGCAAGACAGGCTGTGGCTCAAAGAGGCAAGGCTATTTTCGCTCATAGAGGAGCAGCGCTCGCAGTCATATTCTGCATAAAGCTCTTTAATAGAGCGATCGATGGTTTTGATACCAAAAGTTCCATGATTGCAGAGCCTGCGCATATTGCTTTTCGACGTTTCCCCTTTGCTGACAAAAGAGTCCATTTACTTCCTTATATTCTCTAAAAGCAGACAATGTAGGCGTTCTTCGTCACATGAGAATTGAAGCCGAACATTCATCAACCGGGTGGGAGGTAGGGTGAGACATGTATCACTTCTCCGTATACAATAAGCCTCTAGATACGCCCGAAGAGGCTTCGCGAAGTTAGGTCCACCACCCGAGAGCGAGCTTATGATATGCTTTTCAAAGTCTACTTTATCTGGCAGTGGCGTAAGTCGAAGGAGTTGAGCAAGAGAGGTTAAATCCTCAAGTTTATTCTGTATAGGAGTACCTATAAGACACCACCTCCTTTTTGTATGAATATTTGACACTACATGAAGTTGCTTAGAATTTCTGATCCAATGAGCTATAGTTTGATAATTATTAAAAATTTTTATAGCTAAAGAGATGCATGGGTGGATCATGTACCTTCGTCTTAGGTAGTACTAGACGGCACCACTCCATTTGATGGAGGATGCCTTTGCCATTGCGATCTTCAGTTAATGCGGCATACCGTCAAATTATCGTTTGAGAGAGGGGAAATCCGAACTCATCTGCGCCCCTTAAAACCCCCTACGTGTTACCATAACGACTCAAACCCTGACGCTATAGCGACACCATTTAGTTATGCCTGTATTCGAGGAAAGCTTGATGTTGTCCAGTATCTCTTGCAGCATGACGTAACTGACAAGGACGTCCTTCAAAGCGTTATGAATCAGGACCACGCAGATTTCATTGAACTGCTACGTCCTATAATTGCGAGGCGCGTTCAGAACATCGCCCTTGCGGAGCTTAATCCCAATGAAGTTTCCGGCCATGCCAAAAAGACTGGTGATGATTGGTACGCTATATTTAATGCGACCACTCTCCGCACGTTGGATGTAGACTTTCTGTATTCAGCCCCAACGATAAATCTATTGCTACGGGAGCTGAGGATAAAATACTGAGGGTGAGTTTACATGTCTCCTATGGGGGTTCACTTTGCTTACTAGGTATACAAGGCCTGGGACTTAGAAAACAGAACTGTTCAGAGAACTTTTACTGGTCATAATGGGGAAATTTGTGCCATCGAATCTGCTAGAGACGGGAGTTTGATTGGTTCTTGTTCTGACAGGATGGTCCGATTATGGAATGCGTACGACGATCGGGCTTCAACACTCAACGCTGATAACAGCATTATGAGTATTCCCATCTCGCCAAACATCAACTACGTGGCTGCTGGCTCAACAGGAAGTCTTGTGTATATCTGGGAGACCCATGCTGGCTGTCTTATAAGTCGGCTTCGTAGACACAGAAGATATATACTCTATAATTTTCTTGTTAGACGGGACGAAACTATATATTAGTAGTCTCGATCGCATTATCAAGACATAGGAATCTCCTAACCCTATGGATATGAAGAGTATTAAATGTACTAAGACTTTTCAAGGATACAAGGTATGTCTACTCGCTCGTCTGGACTCTGTAGAGGTAAGCCCAGTTGGCGGGGTTTTTGCGACGGCTGGTGGCGACAAGAGGGCACGTATCTGGTCCTACCGCTTAGTAGTCTAAGGGGTTTGTGTCAAGTATCTAAAGCCAATCTGGTCCTCGTCCTCTACCCGGGTATTAGAGAATCATTTGTCCAAATAGGTTTTCAAAGCTGGTGGTAGGAACTCCACTATACATTAGCTAATCTTTGAATCGAATTGTAAATTTAGAAAGAAGTTTAAGTCTTAATATATCGGGGACAAATGCGCGAGCGATCATCCTTCAATCGCTCCTCTCATATGCTATGCCCCTATTCAGAGGTCCGGTAATTAACTGTGATTGGTTTGTACGGGACCCACTCTTGGTGGTCTTTGCTTTCGCCTTCGTATTCTTCTCCGAAAAGCTTAGCGCTATAATCGAGTGATAATATTTTATGTGTAGGCCTACATGTATTACCTCCCCTACTAGGTGGTTACCTAAGTGGCTTTGGGGATGGGATGCCATTATCACTGACGGCTAAAATAGGAAATATTTTTCGAAAGGTAACGTCACCTAGACACCTCAGATATGATTCTCTAAATGCTGGGCCCTGAGATTAGTAAGATCGGCACGTAAGAACGCCTTACAAGGATTCTGTTGGAACTTTGGTTGGCATCCTGGTAGAATGTGTAGGGCTGAATTAGCAGCATTCTAAGAACGGGAAAAGGGGACGACAGAGTTATCTTGGCAGCCCCCGCTTCCGATTATTTAGGTGCATTTTGTTGGTGCACGCCACACAGGCTATAAATTTCTTCTTTCATTGGATCTTCAGTTGGAGGCGTGTTAATTTTATGGCTCAGGGGGTGTGGTTGTAGGCGACTGACGTATTGAGGCGTTTCTCGTGTTACCTACTCTTATTTCAGGTGAGACAGGATTATGTTTGTCCCTCAGAAAACCTAAACTTCATCTCATTCTCGTCGCTAGCCCACGATGGAGGCACCTCCACCATACCCTGGACTCAAGAGTCCCCAGCAAAGTGAGAATGTAAGTGTGCATGTCTGATCACGTTGACCCCGGCTCCAAACTCACGCACTTTTCGCACAGCCGAATCCACTTCCGGATACAGACCTGAAAATCTGTACCCATACACACACCTTGCTGGCGGTTCGATCGCAATCTTCCACCACGCTGCACTACTGGTCACCATCATCTGACACTGTCAAAATATCATCAGAAAGTAATACTCATATCGCGATACCTACCAATCTCGACCCGAGTAGCATGCAGCTTATCCGCGGCTTCCGTAATCTCGGCACCTTTGCACCGCCCGCCACAGACGATGACCCGACGAGGATAGCATTACAATTCTTTTCATCGCTACTTGATAACGTCAGCTGCGACAGCGAGCTCTCTTCGGAGATTATTGCGCGTCTCTCCACGGCACCGCAACATCCGTCCACCCACAATGGCCCCGTTATACAGGTCTTCGCTATCCCTGTACTGAGCGATACCGTGGAAGGGCTTGTTGGCGATGACACGCACAAGCCTATATGGAAATGGGCAAAACCTAGTAGTAACTACGATCCGAAGACCGGCTTTTGGGAGGTTGAGGTAGATCGAGCTGTTGAGGACGGCGAGAGGCGCGCGGGGAAGGAGTTGCAATTGCTCGTGCGGGGTGTTTCTACGGAGAAATTTGAAGAGTTGAAGGATCGTAGAGTATGGTCTCTAGGCTAAAGACGTCAATCCATCAAAACGATCAAACTAATGCGAATGGTGGTGATGAGTCAACAGTATAGTAAGTCAAACACTTCTTCATCAAAGACATTTTAGATACCTAGGCATTGTTGCTAATATTTTAAAGAGTGTATGTAGTCCTAAGGACAGAAACAACTAATTACATAAGAGACACATCTTATATCACATCCTTCAATCTTGAATCTGGTTGTTTCAACTTAGTTGGCATGGTTGACTTGAGTGACCAACTCAGATTTGTATCATCCCCTTCCCCGTCTGCCTCGCGACAAAGTGCTTCAACCAATCTAGCAGTTTCCTGGGTTGGGGTAAGGCGGCGCGGCAGCGGTACCGGTCAACGCCATCGCAGCTCTAGACGATGAAGCATCGTAGTAACCATCGTAACCATTGACGATACACTGCGAGTACATAGAGTCACAGTACGGGCCTAGCTGGCTGATCGGGTCTACCGAGATAGCATCGCAGGGATCGAGGTTGGCCAGGCCATATAGACATTGGCCCGCCTCAAAATGCCAAATTTCAAACGGCTGCACGATCAATGGTCCTTGAGTCTGGGACAAATTGTCGCACAGGGATTCACAGTCCTCCGTTACAGGAGGGTATGCGGGGGTAATGCATTCTCCTCCGTCTGCGGGAGCCTTGATGCTCCCGATGTTTTTGGTGGACGGTGCTTTGGTGCTGTTGACTTGGATGATGGAGCTTATGTTATAGGCAGAATCCATCTGGAAGGTGCGCGCAACATTCTTAACGATTGGGTCATCCCATGTGAGCTTGTCGATTCGTGAGGTAACAGTGAGTTCTCTGCGAGTATTGCGCTGCTTTGCTCCCGCAACAGTGAGGGCCCAGAATAGGGCGATGGCTCCGGATAGCTTCATGGTGAATGGAAATATGTCTTCGCAGATATGTTTGAGTGAAGAGTGTTGATTGAATGGGGATGAAGGGGTGAAGACTGACAGGATACAAAAATTGCGTGCTTCATACGACGTTTATATACCCATGGTCGGTTCTATCACAAGCCTCCTGTATCCGAGTCCATTATCTTGTATGAGATGTTGGTCGAAGTGTTGCTTGGCGCGCTGCGGTTCACGAGGCGCTAGAAGCCCAATCTCCACGCTTTCCGGTGCCATCTAGATCCTGGCATGAGTGATACCCTTGAACAAACCTTGTCGAGGCTATGATTTTTCTCAAGACACGGGGCTTGTCCTATCGCGTACATGTAAGACATCAGCAAGAGATTTGGAGTCGTTGGCCGCGAGGGTTGAAAAGGAGGCCAATTTGGGCACCATCTTTCTCTTCAACCAACGATCCTCCCCTTTCGCTGTAGGAAGTATGGAGCCTTGCACAATATAGGTAACTTGATGACTCAGGCCACGGAGGCACAGCTATCTACCCGGTCCCAGTATCTATTGAACATCCACGAAGTTCCGGGGTTGAGCAATGCGATGCAGATAGTTGTGCTATAAGCTTACTAATAAGTGTCTTTAACGCGGTATTTGGAATAGGGCATAACTTGCTGGATTATATGATAAATATCACTCCTATGAGGATAGAAATAATCGCCATAATTAGAAGATTTCTAAACTACAGATGACAATACTACCTAGGTAGTGACATCTAGAGTTGTATAAAGTACAACTACTATACAACTATTACAAGCGTCGAAACTATGCCACATAGAAACGCCTATAGAAACTCTTTTCTCATAATAAGATAGACTGCCACATCAGGACCGGGAGGCGGAGCCGGAGTATCGTGTGATTTGGAAAATCTTTCTCCCATGTATTACTCCACCATGTCCTACGTATTACATGCTTACCTATGTAGTATTAACCCTATACAGATGTGGCATACAGTATTACTTGACTGGGGCATTGGCTCTAGCTGATTGGCTCAAACCAGAGGATAACTCTAGAGTCTATCGGGCAAGTAATTCGGGATCTCTATTGCTCCGCCAGGGGCAGCGCTTTAACTACTACGCCACATAGATTCTTAAATCTACGGAAAACGTATGAGGTAACAAAGTTAAGATGCGAATTTTAATAGATTACCTATAAGTTTATAAAAAGAAGATACTTTGACAAAAAGCAGAACACATCTATATTACTTGCAGCATTTATACGAATTAAAAAAGTTTCTTATAAGGAAAAGAGGGTATAATAGAGTTATCAGACCTTAAACCTTTGGGGTCTACTTGGTGTTCCTTACGTATTAAACTATTACTTACAATCTGCCTTATAGATTTGTAATTTGACCCATCATAATATGACGTTGGAACTTAGAATGGTCCTCGTGCTGATTTCCTCCACATCAGTAGGACCGAGGGTTGGGTAAAACTTACCAACATATTTCAAAAAGGGAAATGAATTGGCCTATCTTTCGTAAGATTTCCAAATATCAATGCGCTAGAGAAATCTCTTATCGAATGGGTCGTAGAAGCGCTGTAAGATGCTAAGATATCACTACATGCGACATTGGCCGTAAAAGGGATTGGAATTTTTGAATTATCTTCAACCAACGTCGCACAGGGATTGGTGCCAAGAGATTGTTGGTGGCAATATAGGAACGGACGTGCTGTTGGGTACATCCGATATATAGGTTGAGGAGCTATGGGAGCATATCGACAGGGCTATACGTCTATACCTTGGTAGTTTAAGTAAGTTGTTACGTCCGCTCTTCCGCGCGGAGGTAATCGGAGATGGTCGGAGCCTAGGTATAACTTCCTGAACAAGGCTGCCATAGTATAAGAGATGCCTACTTTGTTTAAACAATTGTACACCGAGGTATTATTACCCGCTTTAGTTTTAGTAGTGATGGCGAATAAGTCTCCAGTGGTTGTCAAGAGCGAACAGCAATAAAGAAACCTGTGCACCGCGCGAAGGCTTAATCCGTCTATTCACATGGTGTCTTTTAGTCCTGATGGTAGCCGCCTTGATATTAGAGGTGAATATAGGATGCCTCAGGTGAGCCTCTTGTATCCCGCCGAATTTCATACGAGGATTTCCGACATTTTCGGGATAGACTCATTTCTTGATGTTAAGTTAGGTATTGATTAGGTAGCCTAGGCGGGTTACATCAAGTAAATCTATAATATCTTAAATTGAGGGATGGTTTAATCTACAAGTAACCTTTCGGTCCAGCAAATAATCAATTTTATCATGGACGTCCATTGAGATATTAAGTGATCCCAGGAACTAAGCTAGGCAGGTGAGATTTCTTTACTTATACTCAAGTACATCGCCCCAAAGATATATCTTGACATATTCATTTTAATATCCCATTATGAAAGCTTTTGCGCTATGAGGTCATATTTCCTTCGCCGATGTATAAAGCCTCGTATTATAACTGTTATTTAGGTCTATTTACATAATAGCAAGAATGCTCCGTTCATATTTATAGTAAACGTGTCACTTTGCGACTCTATTCGGCCCTCTACCGCCTTTAGGTTATACGATAACCAATTGGCTAATACTTACATTATATTTGTTTAAATGATCCATGAGCAAATGGCGGGCTTGGTTGACATAAGATGGCTTAACAACTTCTCCTTCAAGCCAGGCCCCCGCACCGGAGTAGGATAGAGTGGTATTTACGCTCGTACATTTGGGGCAGGGTGTTTCTTGGCTTCGGCAGAGATCTGGGGAGCAGTATGCTGAATCACCGCAATCCGGGGAATGAGTCGGATAGCTAAGCGCCATTCAATTCATGATTGGTTGGATGCAACTGATCCGGCAGTTATGCTGATATAGTAATATAATTTGCGCGGGCTCCAGCCTAATAAAATCCGGAGCCAAAGGTGTATTTACCAACTATTAAATAGTTAGAGTGGTACCTGCTCTCGTGCTTCGAAGTTTGAATATGCAGTTCAGCTCATCTTCAGCTACCATTGTCAATTCTATCCTCATCAATTAGACTTCAATCCAGCTAGAATTTGACTCAAGATGGCGAACCATAGAGTAACCACTCTCACGAACCATGATGAGGAGAAAGGGTTGCATCGGACGGAAACAACTGTCACGATGCCTCCCGAGCTTTTCGAGAAGGTATGTTATGCCTGCGACGACATGTATCATGATATGGGGACTCATTCAATTAGCTTTACCTCACCCCGAAGGTTCCTCAAGTGGGCGACTACAACAAGCGCTTTGCGAATCCAACACCACTTGGTATCGTCGGGTAAGTCACTCATTCGGCCTGAAAAAAGTGCGCTTTCGTGCAAGCTAAACACACCAGATTTGTTATTTCGACGTTTACTTTCGCCATGACTTTGATGGGATGGGCAGGTGCTGAAGGAGCGACACCAGTAGCGTAAGAATTCTTTTTTTTTTCTGTTTGCATATCCCAGCCCCTACCCCTTTTTTACCCGCGCCCCACTCAGCCAATAATATGTCAACCACGGCTAAATTGACACTCATCAGGGGTATATTCTTCTTCGTCGGACCAGTACTACTGTTATTTTCCATGGTTTTTGAATGGATAATGGGAAATTTCTTCCCTATGATGGCCATGGGCTTGTATGCCGTATTTTGGTTGTCGTTCGGCTTGCTACAATTGCCCACGCTCCAGCTTGGTCAACCGTACGCCACTACCGGGGACCCGACTGGAACGCTCTCGCCCACGTTTAACAACACGCTTGGGTTGTACCTCATCGTTTGGGGTTTCGCTCTGTTCACATTTTTCCTTTTCACCCTTAAGGTCAACGCTGTGTTCGCGATTATCTTTGCCTCAGCTTCGACAGCTGTGTGGGTCTTGGCTGGTGCGTATTTCAAGCTTGCGGCTGGTAACGCGGAAGCTGCGGTGACACTACAAAAGGCTCGTAACGTACTTGTGGACGAATTGATCGTTGCTAATTGTTCTCTAGACCGGTGGGGCTCTATTGTTTATAGTGGCAGCCTTGGGATGGTATATGTGTGTCATAATCATGGCTGGAGAGATGCGTATTACCCTAAACCTCCCACTCGGTGACCTTACTCGTTTCTGGCCAGCAACCGATGTAGACCTAGCTGAGGCCGCAATTTCGCACCGCGACTAAAGAGCCTAAGAGAGTGAAAAGGCGTAGGGCACGGTCATTATCTACCCTAGATGGTTGTTTTCCAAGATACTTGAGCTCGGCCTGGAAATTTGTAGATTAAGGTCCTTGTTGCTGGGTCTCTCTGGACAATGTGGTTACATTAGCCTAGCGCTGCCGCGCTGAAAGACAAATGAGAAAGCGGTCTCACTAGTATATAGAATACCTAGGTACTTTCACTTGGCGAATAGCAAGAACACCCTTGGAAACTGAATAGCCTTAATTGGGGTCGTGGGGACCCAATGAGAACCCCCTGCCACCCGTGATCCCCTTTCTCTACCCCAGATTCGAATATTCTAGACTTATATAGCCGATGCCAGTTGGTGGTACCGCAGGTGTTCATCCGTTTAATAACTTTAAATTACCCGCGTAGGTGTCAACAAACCCTGCCCGGGTGACGGGAACGCGGCCGGGTAAGGAACATCCGAACCCTATATGCACGTCATATCTTTTCATTAAAAAGGCCGAAATTGGTCCTAGGGAATGTTTTGTGGGAGCGCTTAGTGCTATATTTTTGATGTTGGTATTTATTCGCTGCCTTAGTAAGCTAGCCACATACAAGGCTGGGGTTGACTTTTCAGTATTCAAACTTCTGCCCAGCAAGCTGCTCGCTAAGCTTCCACAACTTCTCGACACCCTCGGGATCTCTTGCATGCTCATCCGTCTCGTGAATTTGACTATTCTGTAAGTAGGCGGGTGACTTGGCTGGAAGTTCTGGATCCAAAGCTGCGATGAGCGAGGTGGTGGGAATCTGGTCGAACGTCTTAAATCGGGGCTCTTCCCATTCCCATTCCATGCCCATATTACGTCTCATGATATCGGGTACCTCGCCGTAGTCATCATATGTGAGGTGGTCGCCGAGATGTGTATCGCCGTTGTAACCTGGGTGGCAAGCGGTTGACGTGATACCGCGGTCTTTGAGACGTTTGGTAAGGCCATAGGTAAAAAGGATGCTAGCTAATTTTGCCTGTCCATAACTAGTCCATCGCTCGTACTCTTTTCCGTTTGAGAAGTTCCAATCGTCGAAGCGGAACTTGGTGATGCGGTAGCCTGAGCCGGTGAGGTTGACCACTCGGGCTGGGCTGGCGGCTAGCAAGGATGGCATGATCAGGTTCGTCAGGAGGAAATGTCCAACGTAGTTGGCGGAAAGCTGTAGTTCGATGCCCTGCTTGTCCACGGTAAACTCCTTGATAGCCATGATACCAGCGCTATTAATAAGCACATCAATCTTGGGTGCTGCCGCTTGAATTTCCTTGGCTGCTCGTCGGACCGAGTCGTGATCGGTTAAGTCAACCTGCACGAAGGTCGTCTTAATAGAGCTATCGATTTCGGTGATTTCCTTCAAAACTGTTTCAACTCTGCTGGCGGTTCGCGATGCGATTAGAATGTGCATCGGTGAAGCCTTTGCAAGAGCGACGGCCATCTGACTACCGATACTAGGTTTTCCGGCACCGGTGATGACGAATGTACGCCCCTTGACTTGTGATTTAAAGGCGTCGATGACCTGATCGGTCGTTGTCGTCGCATTGAAGACTGCCATGGCGGGTGCTAGGACGTCGGCTATGACTAGAGTACTTAAGTCTTGAGTAGTGAATTCTTAGCTGTGTCTACGGAACTATCCACATCTCGAAGAAGGGGGAGGCGAAAGCCCTTATATAGATCACATCGTGAGTGGGTGGGCGTATGTAGTATTTTTTCATAAACGATAAAGCTTCGAGAACCAAACATCAGGAGGCATCAGTTGTATTTCGAGCCAACAAGAACGCTATGCATTCGTGAGGAAGCGGCTCCAGTTCTGGCATTAGCGGACCTAAGTAGACTTAATGCCGTTGTAAAACGCAGCAGCAGTTTATATGGTATATATCGGCCATTGCTGGTTTTCTAGGTATAAGTCATGTTAGTGCGCCGTGCTAATAAAAGCAAGAGAATTTCGCCCCTATTCAGATTTCTCAACTGTTCCATCCTTTATTGTGGGATTTGTCATAGTAGGAATTTTCGGAGCAATAGCGGTTCCGGTTACGACCAACAAGAAGGGATTCTTCTCCTAATTAAGGAATCGCTCGCTCGGGAGAGAGTTGCTTAAACCCGAACAACTCCGTGTTGGATGCGATTTACGCTATGAAACGCAGTAACGTAGCCTCAGCTCTAAGGGATTAATTACTTCTTAATTCATTCGATGCTTCATGTTTGAGTAGCCCGCATTAATCAAACTGAAGTGGTAGATTCGAAAGATCTATTCCGACTCGTAGTATTGTTTCCCGTTATAAGAAGAGTGATATGTTTTGTGGATAACCTAAAATACTATTATGTCATGATATGATTTTGTAGGCATATGAGTTTGGTGATGAGCCTACGGAGGTAACAAGCTGAGATGCTAGACATTGACACTAGGTAGATTTTGGTTAGGTGGGAAGGTGGAGGCTAGTACATATTAGGTAAAGCGCATATTTCTATCCAGATTCTAAAATGCGGGGCATCGGAATATCTTATTTTCCTTAATGCACACCCTGGTCTAACTCAAAGCTTCCCTCCCACTCAAAGTGGCACTCATATACATTTATCACTAACATTCATACCTACACCTTGATTTCTAGGATCTCTGTCGGCTTGGTAGCCGCCAACACCTAATAATGGTTCTTCAAGATCTAGGTCGTCGCATTAGCGGCGCCTTGCACGATGTTACTCGAGCGCCTAACCTAGATGAAAAGGTACACCTCTCATTACCCCCCTCCTACACCACGTGGGGCAATTTCTTGGACCGAGTGTACTGACACATACATCGCAGGCCTTCAAGGCCATGTTAAATGAGATATCAGGCGCCCTTCTCGAAGCAGATGTTAACGTGCGACTCGTAAGCAAATTGAAAAACTCTATAAGCACGACGGTCAACTTCAAAGATCTTCCACCCGGCGTCAATAAGAAACGATTAATCCAAAAAGCCGTCTTCGATGAATTGGTCAAGCTCGTCGATCCCCACGCCGAACCATTTAAACCCAAGAAGGGCAAGTCGAATGTTGTTATGTTCGTCGGTTTACAGGGTGCCGGAAAGACGACAACGTGTACAAAACTCGCGCGGCATTACCAAGCAAGAGGATTCCGCGCATGTCTTGTTTGTGCTGATACCTTCCGAGCCGGTGCTTTCGATCAACTCAAGCAAAATGCGACGAAGGCGAAAATCCCATACTACGGTTCCCTAACCGAGACAGATCCAGCGAAGGTCGCCAGGGAAGGCGTGGAAAAGTTTAAGAAAGAGCGGTTTGAGGTTATTATCGTGGATACTTCTGGACGTCATCGACAGGAATCTGCGCTATTTCAAGAGATGGTGGATATTCAAGAAGCAGTTAAGCCCGACGAGACTATTATGGTTCTTGATGCCTCCATCGGTCAGCAAGCCGAAGCACAAGCTAAGGCGTTCAAAGAAGCTGCAGATTTCGGAGCCATCATCATCACCAAGACTGACGGTCATGCAAGCGGAGGTGGCGCCATTTCCGCCGTTGCAGCGACGCATACCCCTATCGTCTTCATTGGTACTGGAGAACATATGTTGGATCTAGAACGGTTCGCCCCACAACAATTCGTCAACAAGTTATTAGGGATGGGTGATATGGCAGGTTTAGTAGAGCACGTTCAATCTTTAAAATTGGATCAAAAAGAAACGATAAAACATATAACCGAAGGCATATTTACGATACGAGATCTCCGAGACCAACTGAGCAATATTATGAAGATGGGTCCTTTGTCTAAAATGGCCGGTATGATTCCCGGTATGTCGAATCTACCTGGAATGGCGGGTATGGATGATGAGGAGTCAAGCGCTCGGTTAAAGCGCATGATATATATCTGCGATAGCATGACCGAGAAGGAACTCGACAGCGATGGAAAGATATTCATCGAACAGCCAACCCGAATGACGCGAGTAGCCCGTGGTAGTGGGGTTAGCGTCCGAGAAGTTGAAGACTTACTCACACAACAACGAATGATGGCAGGAATGGCTAAGAAAATGGGTGGCAGCATGAAGAACATGCAGCGAGCTCAACAAGCTATGGGAGGAGGAAACAAGGCCCAACAATTAGCTGCCATGCAAAAACGACTCCAAAGTATGGGTGGTGCCGGAGGCGGTGGCATGCCAGACATGGCAAGCCTTGCGAGAATGTTTGGTGGCGGCGGTGGTGGTATGCCCGGCGGCATGGACATGCAGAAAATGATGGAAAGCATGGGTATGGGCGGCATGATGGGCGGTGGACGAGGCGGTAGGCGGTAACGTGTATAGGGAATGGGACGATTCAATACCTACGCATCATCGGTTATGGTGTCGATTAACAACGTGGGCATTGCATGGCGTTTGGTGGGAAAACAATTGATATCAATATGAAGCATGGTTTTATGTTTTGATACGCCCAGAGCCTTGATCATAGTAGACTGAGGGTATAGAACAACTCATGTTGGATTATCCGGACTCGCTTTCAGTTGGATCCTCACCATCTACTACCGGAAGTACGAGCTTTGCAGCCTGCATCGTCTACGATTCTCACGAACGCATTTCCGAATTTACGGCAGGATGAATATCTACTTCGAAGAAAGATGTTTACTCATCCGACTCTGTCTCATCATAGACGCCCTCAAGGAAAGCTAACAGTGAAGCTATCGCGCGCGCTTAACGACTTCATCATTTAAACATCGGATGTATCTTTATGAACCCTATTACTCGTAACGATGAAAATCGCCCGTAGCTCAGTATCCCGGTTCTTTATTGGAACCGGCAACCCTGAAGTAACGATTGAACGGGCCTTCATCTACCATCGAACCAGAGAGTGATTAGATTCTGCCCCGCCGGACATAGCTCCGTACGTAGAGGAAGAAATTACAAAATTCAAAAGGCAAAAATTCCACGATAGAACTTCTATGGAAGTGATTACGAGGCCTCAGTACGGACCCATATTTCGGTTCACCTGGTCTTAATGCTATCGATCCAATCGGAACACGTTTCCGTAGCGGAGGCAACAAGAAGTGAATTATTGGGAATAGGTATGTCGATTTGAAGTCATCGTGACTGATGAATGTTGAACAACATGATGTCAACTACTGGTTGTACATCAATACGACGGGTACATACAAGGCATGTGCGCTTTATACTGTGCGGGGTATTTTTCTAATGCCCAGGTTATTCTCCGCGAAGGGATCCATCGTAAGTCTAGAACTTCACCTCAATAACATCCATTTCTTTCTCTATCAAACCTATAGCAATCCTCTCCCACGCCTTCCTTGTTGTGCTGATCTTAGGCTTTACCATACAGCCCTTATTAGAGGACCTTGATCAATAAATACCTTAATATATCGCTTACACACTCCGCCTCTTTGGCATTTTATTTTTACATTCATTTAAAAAACTCCAACAATTTTGAAGTTGCAGGAGCATTTACTCCGAAAGATGACGTACAGTTTAACCAGCATTGGAAACGTACAGCTGGGACTAACTGCAAGATCCGTCAGTGGGGGCATCTACTCGATTGGGTCCATTTCCCTGCTAGGTGCTAGAAATCTAGACCTTCCATTGGCTAAGACACTATACCAACTGTAAAGATCCTAGCCCTGACGGCCCTGGAGAAGCTTCGCTCGGAATTCTATACATCCTTGACCCCCGTCCACGTCACTGTCAGATTGACACCTTTTATTTCCTACACAGGCGTTTGGATGTGGGATAAGCGATACATATTCACTAGGAATCCTTGCCGTAGACCCTGATTTAGCGAGGCATCGCAATGGATCCGTTTAATGGGATTTCAAGAAATCGACGACAATTCCATGTCTCGCGTCTTGTCCGACGTCAGATCTTGCGTCTTCATTTCGAGACAGATGCGCATGGTGGCACCTAGCTGGGTAAAGCTCCATGATGCCCGTTCGGTATCGGTGATCAATCTGTCTGAGACGCCGCCGGCGGGCTGAGTTGCTTGCTGCAATGGGAGCCACAAGCGGGAAGGCGCTGGAAAGATGCCGGAGCCACTGGATCAGCTTCGCTTGGGCACTTGCTCGGGGTTTAGCTCCATTTTGGCGAGATTCGAACCTCTTGAGTGAATGGAAGCAGTGACATTGTATGACATTCTCTTTAACAAGCTGACATCAGTTCAAGTCACGATCCAACCAGAACTTCCATTTACGGACATTTATATCCGATCGCTGTACACCGTAAGCCCAGTGCCTTTTATATAACAGGCGCCCGTAATTTATGTACTTAGGATTGAACGCTACATGCGATCTTCGTTACCATTACCAATCGTGACTTTTACTTACAAGCTTGGAAAACGTATTTAACCATGTCGCTCTGTTCGAGAGCCCTCGGCAGACAGTGTTTACGAGCATCGTCTACTTTCGCGAAAACTACGAGAATGGCTACTTCAACTGCTCAGCTTAGAAACGTTCATTCTTCAACACCCGCCGCGGCGGCACCAACACCTACCGCACTTGCCGAATTTGGTCGGAAGACCAACACAATTCCGAAGCCTCCAGAGTCGAGAGAAAACCCAGCCGTTGGTATCGCACCGAGCCCAAACGAAAACATAGGTCAAAGGCGATTAGCGGATTTTGACTTAAGCGGAAGGGTCTTTATCGTAACTGGTGGCGCGCGGGGCTTGGGTTTATCGCTAGCAGAGGCGTTAGCAGAGACAGGAGGAAAGGGTATGTCCGCGTTGTCGCATAACACTGACCTCAACATTCGATGTACTAAGACGCCATATCATAGTTTATTGTTTCGATCGCGAACCAGAAGCGGATAGTCATTGGTCCGAAGCTGCGAGACGAGCTGACGAGTGGGGAGGTTCACTCCACTATCGACAACAAGATGTACAAGACACGGAGGGGCTCGACCGAACTATCGAAGAAATTGCGGATAAGCATCAACGACTTGATGGTATCGTCGCCGCGGCCGGCGTTCAACATCTTTCCCCTGCCATAGAATGGACTAAGGAAGAAGTGAACCGAATGATGGATATCAACTACACGGGTGTCATGATGACTGCCACGAGCGCGGCTCGCCAGATGTTTAAGTACAAGATCCACGGCAGCATGTGCTTCATCGCCAGTATGTCCGGCAGTATCGCTAACAAAGGACTACTTTCCCCCGTATGTGAACCCAGACTCTCTTCCCGCAAAGATATGTGGCTCTAACTTCGATCACAGGTATACAATTCTTCTAAAGCTGCGGTCGTCCAATTGGCCCGGAACCTTGCGATGGAGTGGAGCCCCATCCGAAAAGACGGGACGGGCGGAATCAGAGTCAACTGCATCAGTCCGGGTCATATCTTGACACCTATGGTGCTTAAGAACTTTGAAGAAGTCCCCGGACTGCGCGAGAAGTGGGAAAGTGAAAATATGAGTACGATTCCTTCCATATTCTTCAATTGTGCGATAGCTTATTCTAACGTATTATAGTGGGCCGATTGGCGGAAACAAGCGAGTTTAAGGGTGCTGCGCTGTTCCTGCTAAGTAACGCCAGCAGTTTCATGACGGGAAATAACATGGTTATTGACGGCGGTCACACAGCATGGTAGGAATAACCATCCCTCAATTTCACGTCGGAGTTTGGGTTCGGAGTTTTTAAGTGAGGGATTGAGCGAGCATTTCGCGGCACCAAAGGGCCGTGCGGATAAGGGAAAAGATTCATATTCGATTTGGCCTGGTGCCGATGAAAAGGGCCGCATCGACGGCTCCGCTACACCTTGCTCATGTATTCATGACTAGAAGATATCCCATTGACTAGAGATACTTGTACAGTAGAATTAAGATTCAGGACAATTGAAAAGTTATTCAGATTATTTCGGTGAGCATTGATCCTGTGCTACCCAAGCCAAGACGGGCGGCGGCAGTGTACCCGGACAATATCTGCAGGCCACAATACTAGGATTGATGCATCGCCCTGAAAAAGGTAGTAAGACTAATCTATCTGTCAGGAAAGGGGTGGTTGCACATTCTATCCCAATTAAAAATACGAACAATCCTAACATCTATGTAAGCACCTCAATATTATATCTCTAGACTTCTTAGAGCTACCTAGGTAAGATTTTGAGTTTACCTAAGTCCCAGGCATTTGGGCCGCCCACATATCAGAGTTTGGCGGTGCGTCTAGGGACCGCCGCTACGGCGTCACTTTGTTTTAACGTTCCAACTGGATGACGTCCGTTCTTATACCTACCTAGGTACTTAGGTACTCACTCAAGACTAAGCGCACTATTTCAAACGGTTAGGGGCCGATTGCTGTGCTTGAATCGTAATCACTCAGGGGCGCCAATACCTTCATACGACAATTCGGCCAACTTTTTTACTATGTGCCGTGTTTCCCGAATGGATTCAATCTCAAAATCGATGCATCAGTCATGGCGTCGCTTTGCCGGGATTTAGATTAGGACTACACCGATCCTAGCTATCCTGCCGTGTCCCTCGATCAAACACAGGATAATACATGGTATATATGATAACACCGCGTCTATAACCAACGATCTCAACGAATAATATCAAGACAAACAACTGGAAGATTCTTCTTGTAACGGTCATAAAGGATGTTGTTTCAAGATCGCCAATTACCCGATTGGGCAATAACGACAAGCATTCGCCAAGTCGTGCCAAGTTTTGTGGTATCCATGACGTTCAGACTTTAGGATAACGAATCAGATTGGTTGAATGAATGGGACTAACTTCTACAACTAATACAACACCATGACTCGACTTACCTAACAAAACCCGACGCATCACGATTCCAGGCCTCAATCCGTCGAACTAATAGGTGTTGATTGGATTCGCTTAGCATAGGGGATCTGAATTGGAGCCGTTCATGTAACACGAACTGTTATGCCGAACCTTGAAAACTGGCTCGAATTGTCGTTTGTTTACGTTCTGCCCATGTTACAGTTGACAATCTTAATCATGACGTCAATTCCTGAATCACTACCACATTGATATTAAAATGCCATCGTACAACCAACGTGATGAAGGTTCTGTAGACATTGTCAGGACGAGTGAGGAGAGTAGAGTTCATTGGCTCTGCTGTGAATTCCCCAGAAATTTCACATTGCCGCCGTAGCCCTTAGTGCCGCTCTGCGAAGTTCGAGTTATACCCTTATCAGGAGTCTATTGAAGTTAAAGCGAATAACATCACCCAAGTAATATCTAAGGAAAATGGGTTTCTTCAACCGTCGTCGCGCCGACGGCGCTGGAGCTGGGGCTGGGGCCGGCAATGTTAATGGACACCATCGAGATCGACGTGCCTACGATACCGTAGGTTATCCTATGGCGGTCCGACCGAGTTTCGGGCAGTGGCTGAAAGTCACATGGATTGATATTATTACTATGATTTGCATGGGTGCTATTGGGCTTGGTGTATGTTCTCTCCCCTCAATGTTATAATCGCCTGTTTGGGTAACTAATAATGAGCTTAGGTATACGAAGCGCATCCAGCTCCCACTCGATCCTTCGCCGTGACCTTCTCCGATGGCGAAGTTGTCTATCCCGAATTCGCATACCCGCTGCGAAAGGAAATTGTTCCTATCTGGCTAGCAGCATTCCTAGCAGCCGTCATCCCGATCGTCATTATCTTGTTGATGCAGATTCGAGTGCGCTCATTTTGGGATGTCAACAACGCGATTATCGGATTACTATACTCACTAATAACAGCGGCCGTATTTCAAGTATTCCTAAAATGGCTGATTGGTGGCTTGCGCCCGCATTTCCTAGCTGTCTGCCAACCCGACATTACTCTCGCAAGCAACGCGCCGGGTGTAAAAGGCGCTGGTTACAATGCTGCTGGTTTCAACAGCATCTACTACACGAAGGAGATCTGCACCGGTGACGAGAAAGAAATCAACGATTCCCTCGAGTCATTCCCTTCAGGTCACAGCACCGCTGCATTTGCCGGTTTTATCTACCTATACTTGTACCTAAACGCCAAGTTAAAGGTCTTTGCTAACTACCACCCCGCTATGTGGAAGCTTGTCGCCATTTACGCCCCAGTACTCGGCGCGACCCTCATCGCGGGTGCTTTGACGATTGACGAATTCCACAACTGGTACGATGTGGTAGCAGGCGGCATTATCGGCACTGTTATGGCGTTTTCGGCATATCGCATGTGTTACGCATCGATCTGGGATTGGCGCTGGAACCACATTCCCCTACACCGAGGACAGGCTTGCTTATACACATATGATGGCGTTGAGCTTATGGATGCGCTCTTCACGAGACGCGCTGGATGGGGTGCTGGTGCTGCAAATGGCTTTGGTGGTGGTGCGCATGCTACGAATGCACATGGTGGTGTGACGGGTTTCCATAGGAAGCCGGTGGGTAGTGGCGCTCCGCGGAGAGGGGATGAAATGGTTTGAGTTGAGTTGTTATGCCTAATGATTCACGAACACGATCAATTGGTGGGGTAAAAATGGGCAAGAGTGCTTTGTACGAGTAGTATTGTATATGGGGAAATGTAGTGACGATGATGAACATGTGTTCAATTGATGGAAGTAATAATAAGGTATAAAACTTGAACAATTCAATTGAGTATAATAAGTCGCTAGCTACACCTAGACGTGAATTATTATAGTGGAAGGGGTTGTGCAGGAAAACTTCCAGTGGTATGATATAAATCCGTGCCCCCCAGAAGCGTTGTCTTAGTTTCTTTCCCCTCTAATTATCTTTTATTAACCACCAATCGATCTATCCTAGCTTCTTGTTTTCAGCTATCAATCATCGCCAATCCATCCTAATTCAGGAATGATGGCTGGACCCACGCGGGCATATAAGTACCTAGGTACTTATTCGGATAGAAATGATGGCGCTTTTCTTTACGTGAACATATACGCGAAGTCGAAGGCGTTGACTTAAAGCTGTTTTCTAAACCATCTTGGATGTATTAACTTGTGGCGGAATGTCTGGCAAACATGTAAGAGACCTGGAAAAGGAAGAGAATATCTCTTCGGACACATGCCTGGTTTGTCGCAATTTTGATCCCGATTTAGCACCCCGCATCACCAAAAAGGAAGATACGATCTTCTCGATTGAGCCCTTCGGCTTCTCGTTAGGAGTGAAAGAAGAGCCCGATAATAGCCTCGCCCTCTACGAAATAGACAAGCCATTGTTCGAAGTTGCGACACAAGCAAGGCGGGGTTGTAAGGCGTGCGAAGTACTATTACACTCATTTATCTTCTCATGGAACACCAGCGCAAAAATTGATCCTGAGCGAAATTCTATGAGGGCAATGACGGATGCCGTTCAGTCACTCTACCTGCATGCTAAATTTTCGCCTGGGAAGCATGTATCAGTTCATATCGTGGTACGAAATGCTTCGCAAAGCGAGGGAACTACGTTTTTCTCGCGCAATAGTGTGCTCTTCTACCAACTCTTCGCTCCTTTCAGTACGTACCTTTCTCGACTCGATAAATTTTCAACCAATTAACTCACCGGTTACTTATTAGATAAGCTAAATCCTTGGGACATGATTGGCCAGCTTGAATATTCACCACGGAGCGTTTTGAATGATGGATATCGTGATTTTGCACGAAATTGGATTCGCCGTTGCGCGGAAGAGCATCCTTACTGCGGGGCACTCACCCCTAGAAAAATGCCTAAGAGGCTCGTGAACGTGGAGCATGAGGATGATACTATCTACCTAGAACAAGACGTCACCGAGCCGTCACCGTATATCGCATTAAGTCATTGTTGGCAGTTTTCGCAGCCGTTGAAGATGACCCGAGATCGGCTGAAGCGAACGGGAACTTCCATCCGCCTCGAAGAGCTATCCCCTACGTTACGCGATGCTGTTCGGATAGCAAGATGGCTGAAAGTTCGCTACCTGTGGATAGACTCACTTTGTATAATACAAGATGACAAGAAAGATTGGCAAGAACAGTCAGTCCAGATGGGCAATATCTACAGGCAATCCTACTTCACCATAGCAGCACACGTCGACGTTAAATCCCCATCTCCGGTTCATGGTTGTTTTCTCGAGCGCGATAACTTCTACGAACTTCCCCACGAGGGTCATTCCGGCGAAAAGTTCCATACTCTAGTACGAGGAGACTTCACCCACAGCGAAGATCCCGCCACTTCTGTTAGTCTGATGGGTAGAGGATGGTGTTTTCAGGAACGGCTATTAGCTTCTAGGATTATTCACTTCCGACCGGGAGAGATTTCGTTCGAATGTTTTTCCGGCACTGCGTGCGAATGCGACATATTATTACCCCACGATAGTCGTCCTTGGGGTAGAGTTCCTTATGACTCAATCAAAGGAGGACTTGGAGAATTTGCTACTATCACGGAGTCTGGTGGGGGTTATTTGCCTCCAGACACGAATCAAGACTTGGATGTTAAAAAAGCATGGACAACATGGAACGATGTTGTGTCGAAGTATGCCGCTGCCGATTTCACATTCAAAACAGATCGGCTACCCGCACTGGCCAGTGTTGCCAGTCGAATGCCTCAACGAGTATTTGGCAGTTATATAGCCGGTCTTTGGACGCAGGACTTGATTCTGCAACTTTTATGGTCTCATACTACACACGCTGGAAGACGCTTCCGCGATAAGCCGTACGTTGCGCCGTCTTGGAGTTGGGCATCTGGGTCGGGGCCGGTCGACGCGTGGTTTCGATGGCGACACCCCGGGCCTGGGAATTCCTATCATATAATTGTCGCGAAGGTTCGTGGGAAAAACCGTGAGCTTGCAACCTCGGAACCCTACGGCCAGGTCCGGGATGCATCAATCCGATTATATGGGAGAGTCGCGCCGGTGAGATTATGTATTCCTCCTTTCAAGCGGATGTATTGGATCCTCAAAGCACTCTTACCAAGTCGGGTTTTCGAATCATTATCTGGCATTTCCCGGGTGATTGAAACAAAGCTGGACCGGCTCGGGAGAATGCTGAATTTCGGGTCTCGGGCACTACGTTCCGTGCGCGATTTTGCGTGGCGTGTGTCACAATACATTTTCACAATGAATGCTACCGAACATGTAGCGGATATAGCGCAACTAGCGAGAACCAATAAACCATTCCAAAACTTAGATGGATGGACTGGCGTGGCTACCGCCGATACCGAAGAAGACGAACCGAGAATGGCGCTCGAAAGCCTCATTGCTATTGAACTTGTCGCTTACAAACCCGACTTCTCGGCTTCTTTAGAAAATAGCGGCAGGATACAAGTCGGCGCTTTATTGTTAGCACCCTCAAAAACAAAGAAGGGCGCGTATGACCGTGTAGCCCTCATAGAATTCCAAAGGGATATTAAGGGGGATGAGTCAATACGTACCGAAGAGTGTCAGGAGGAAAATCTCAGGAGACTAAATGATTGTTTCACCGGATGTGAAGAAAGAGAGATCACAATAGTATAGATAATCTTTGCAATTCTCAGACACTCGGAGTCGGGACCTACAAAGTTCCAAGGTTCTTGGTGTGGACAAAGTTATTGTGATCCACAATAATAACACCGAATTGGGAAAGTGGGGTAAATGAGGCCCTCGACAACAAAGTTGGTGATAATTTTCTAGACGTCTCTGTTCGACCACTCAAGTCATCGAATATAACTACCCTCTTACCCCCAACACCCGTTTAGTAAAGGAGATTGTTCGAATCGAACCAAATCAAGTGGACGTCATGTAATACTTTACACCAAGGAAACGGCATGCCGCTGGAACAGCGTTATTAAGGCTTGTATTGAGTTGGTCTTTTTAAAGAGTCTGTTTATGACGTCGTCTTAGACCGTAATCGCTGAAATGACGAGCTCGTGCTTCTAGACACGCGGACTTGTATATATACCTCCTTACACTGCGCGCCTCGAGCCGAGGATTCCAAGATAACCTAAAGTTATTGTTATATACGAGCAAACTTTACAAGAATAAGCAAAAATAATAGATCGACCTAGAGTCGTGAAATATTGGAGCCGGTTTATATATGACGGCATTGAAGAGGATCCGAGGCAAGGATTCGAATCATACTTTGCGCTCCAGTCCAGCATCTTGGAACTCGCAACCACTACTATATGGCCTAATGCGGCCCGTGATGATATAGTACTTAAGTCACAAGATTTTGACCCGTTTGTTCGTAAAATTGGCATCGTCCGGAAAGAAAACGTTGCGGCCAATTTACCAGCAGTGAAGACTATTCTACGCATCCCTGACGATCATTGGGCGCGCGTGGATCGTGATGTTGCCATCTTGCGTTTTATAAGAGAACACACCGATATCCCTATAGCAAAGATCATCGCGTTCGATCACACAAGTAACAATTGTCTGAGATCTCCATACATAGTCTAAGAACGCTTCCCCGGTGGTAAGCTAGTTTCAGAGCACCGCTACCTCAATCACGCGGCGCAGTGCAAGCTTGCTCGCGAGCTTGGCGCTATCTACAGAAATATGCTGAATGTTCGAAGTCCTATCGCCGGCGACGTTGCCCCATGCTCAGGGAGCGGTTGCTCCTGTACGCGTACCTTTGTTCATTCTATAGTCTTCCCTAATCTACATGTCGAAGTACCTCACGACGGCTCTGTTACTACTGAAAGTACCTTCCAAGTGCTTAAGGCTTGTTTCCATCATTGGTCCTCGTGCCCTTTAAGCGGCGTCAATGCTGGAATAAGGGACAGGTTAATCCAAATGGCATCAGATATGAATGACCTAGGGTTGTTTGATAATATGCCCATTTGCTTAACCCACATGCAGCTCGACTATGATAATATCTTTGTCGATAGACATGCCCATGGAGACTCGCCTATTATATCAGCCATTACTGACTGGGATACTGCCACTTTTGCTCCTATGTTTATGGTTTGTGTTCCACCCTCATGGCTTTGGATGCGAGCCGAAAACAACGAAACTTTTTCTCGCGCAGTCATCGACGGCCCTACTTCGCCGGAAGCACGTGAGCTGAAGCAGCTGTTTGAAGATGCTGCCGGTCCAGACTATATGCGATTCGCTTATGAACCCATGTATGACTGGGCAAGACTACTTGTGGAACTTGCTATGGACTATCATTTCCATAAGGTGGGGCGAGTTAATGTAGTAGAAACGATACTACGAAACTGGGAATCTCATTGCCGCCAATGGAATCTCGATTTAACATGCTACATACGAGAAGGGACTTTGAACTAGGCAATGAGAAGAACCCTAGAATGATTCTGGTGTCCCCGCCCGAGTGCCCTGGCACTTTGTGGTTTGCCCATCTACGAGGCGCGTGCTTCAAGAATACGTATGTACCGAGGAAGCTAAGTAAAATCCTTCAACACTCTGTCAAGATGGCTTAATTAACACTCGTTTAAGTTTCTAAACATATTGGATGCGATTATCAAAAATGATGCCTTGATTATCTACTTATCTACCAATTTTCATACACTCCCATTGTGGTAGCTTTCTAATTAGTAAATGTTGTCTAAAACTACCCAATCCCAAATACAGTTATGAATCTTCTCCATCATACTTGTCACCTCTTACTTTTTGTAGGTATATCTTCCCTCAAACCTCGCTCGGCTGTGTCCGAAAGTTCTGCAATCGCGACAAAAGATTCCCGTGTTGGTCTCGTGATTGTGGAATCCAGAGAAACGGTCGAGTGGTAACAATCTTCCACATCCTTTATACTCGGAAGGGTCACTCCAGCAGATCTTTAAGCCCGCCGGGACCTGAAATCGCTCCTTTCTGCAATCAGCACACGTTTCCATAGGGACTTGGCTTGCTGGAGCTGCCTTGAAACACTCTTCTAGAAGTAAACGGTCACAGCAGGGGCACCAGAGAGGAACGTCGCCTGGTATGGAAGGAATATCCTTGAAGTCGGTCGCAAGTTGTGTCATTGGTGGTATTTTCTTCGGGAATGAATCTCGTGGCGCCATAGAATGACGCCCAGAGCGGCGAACTGCTACAGCGTTGTTGGCATTTTCGGAAGGTTCAATCGTTCCAGCAATGTGTCCAAGTGACTGATTTCCGAGTTGTTCCTGCTTGACTTCCTGGTCCCATCCTTGGAAGTATTGGGGCGTCGGGATACCGTAGACGTCGTCGGTGTTAATCCCGATAGGAAAGTTGTGCGGACCCCGTTCGAAATAGTCGACGAATGCTTGGGCGTCTGGGCTTAGAGACCCATCGAACATATCATCGCGAATATCTTGTTTTTTTACTTGGCCAGAAGGGCGAAGGCTACCATATCGAGGGTGGCCAGGTGGCATATTTGAGGAATCCATGATATATCGCTTCCTTTGGGGGGGTTGTGTCTTACGAAGGTATGCCAAGATCGAGAAGAGTGGATAGGGGGTGCTGATGATGGAGAATGGGAAAAGTCAAGATCGATACGTTGAAGTGGCATATATACCTAGGTAATTTTGATGCTACTGTCGTCACTCAATGATGTAGTACAGAATCAAGCGAAAATCTATGGATGTTTTCAAACTCACTTGGTCGTGATAGTGTTGGGACGAAAAAATATCTTGTCACAATTTATTCAGTAGTTAGGATAAATCAAAATTCCCTATAGATATCTACTAGGGTACCACGGAGAAGATCTCATCTCATAGGATTGAGGATTCAAAGAGTTCACAACAGTATTCACGTGTAAGCCTTTATATTGGGTGGAAAGGGAGTTTGGAAAAAGCGGTAATAGATATCTAAAATGTCGTGACGAAGTTCTATTGTATTAGCTACCCATAAAGTAACCTATATATGTACTATTTCACCTTGCAAATGACTCCAATGCACTAAGTCAGACAGAGTAAATGTTTCAGTATTACGTCGTCGCTTGTCCATGTAATATAATTTACACTATGAGTTACATACCAGAGCTTCGTGAGTTTTTATCTCGCAGGACTGTTGGGTTTGCTTGATGATAATGCAAATCTACTTGACTCCTGAGTATTGTCACGGCCGTGCTTGCGGTATATTTGAATGAATAGGGGCTGTTTCATTCCAGGCTTACATGTCTACCTAAGTACGTAGGTATTCACTATGTGCAACCCATATTTCTCCCGCACTACTATCGTATTCGATCTATTCAGTCACCTAAATGATAGCTGTGATGTGGAGGGCGAAAGTATTACGGAAGACGCATATCATGCTATCGGTCGAATGATCTCGAAGCAATGGCAGTTACCTAGTGCAAGGATATATGCAGCGGGATCTCAGCCGAATACGACTTAGATAAGAAGATATACCGAGTTTCGATATTGCAGAAAAGATGTTGAAGGATTTATTCACACACCAAAAGGATTCCACGAATGACCATAAAACTTTGGAGGAAACTAAAAGGGAGTTCGAGAAGTGGAATTTCAATGAGAAGAATCCAGTTATACGTGATCTTGAATGCATACAGCAAGGGTTCGACTAAATTTCGGCGACTATCGGGAAGTACGGGGATTAAGGAGGCAAGACAGGGATAAGAAGAAAGCCATAGCATTACTACACTAACACAAGTTACGATAATCTATCTCCCTTTCTCTACTGTCGCGGCCATATTAGCGATGCCTGGAAAGTTTGTTCCTGGGGAGGGCATGTTTTGGTTGGTGTTAGCTAGTATTGTCATCATGACATTGTTGCTATATAGGCCACTGAAGTTCTTATGGATCAGGCCACAGATGAGACGCAAAGGACTCGGTGGGGGCTCGAACAAGACTGCTTCTTCATCTATAAAAGACCAAAATACAAGTGACGAAGAGCAAGGGATCGCTAAAAAGGATATGGGATAGTTGGTAAGGAAATAATATGTAGATATTTAAATAATCGGTGCCTACCTACCCAGGTAGGTTTATATACAAAGATAAGAAATGATATACCATATTTTAAGTGATAGTATTATCTTTCGAATACTTACCAGAAACATTCATAGGAGCTTTTACAATGATGATATAAGCACAACCCCTTTCTTATGTAAGCACTGTAAGTGGTAGCTTGATTACCTCAGCTGATTGATGTTTTTGGTAATGAATTTGGCATGGCATTGATTAGCTCAGCTACTAGAGTTTCTGTGCGACTTCAACTTGAAAAGGCGGGTATCGAACAAACGTACGGTTTTCGACACCGTGGCAGTCTTGATCGAATTATAGCGCACTCGACGAAGTACAAGATTTTAGAACTAAATGTTCACGGCCGTAGTGTGAGGGCTTAGTATTGAGCTACCAACGCATGAACAATGCAGCTTGGGACTAGTTTCTGAAGGATTAAATATGAATTTCAGATATTGCTTTTTGGAATCTAACCAATCACTATGCTGGTTTCATCAGCTCCGGTGGCTCCACCTACGCATCCATGATTCTGTGGCGGGTCGATTTCCGATCGTTCCGAACCGAGCGTGCCGAATTCCGAAGCACAGCATACATCACATTCCACCATGCGCTCCGTTTGGAGTAACTTTATCATGTCTGCGTTGATTCTTTCCTGTATCCATATTTCAAACTGCAACTGGATTGATTTGAGCACCTCGCCGTTGCAGTGAAATGCTCCCAACTCACGCCATTGCAAAAATACCTATTCAATAGTGAGTTGTTACATCTATAACTCCCCGCCACTGATACCTATCGGACACTTTTCGCCCTTTGCCTCTAAAAGGGAATACAGTCATCACAAGTCAGATTGACGGGTAAAAACGTTTATCGGACCCCAAATACAGTCTCAATCGTAACCAGTAATGATCTACCTACGTACGCAATGCTTAGCTAGGTACTTTAAAGCCACGGCTGCTTTCCATGTTCCCATCCTCTTGTTCAACTGAAAATTTGCTAAGTACGCCGCTTGTTTCAAACCGAAGACAGGGGTACTTCCAACACCAGGGCTGGTGAGACTGCTGCTATAGGACTTGGGAACCACGACCGCATCTCACTTCTGAATTTGGCAGTCTGTGTCGCCTTAGCTTAGCCAATATATAGAAGAGGATCACACAAAATGCATGAAATCGATCCTTTGCTCACCCTGAGCTGGATTGGCTTGATCAGATTCATATGGTGAGCATTCATGTTCGCCTTTAACAACGTTTCCTTTACGATCCGCTTGGCTCAAGAACCATGGTATTCAGTGGTTATTTGTTTATAATAGCCGTAATTGGCTGTAAGTGTATTCGATACTAAGCGCCATATAGGTTTTCCGTATTAGAGACTATAGAGCCACGCGGAATATGCCGGTTAGAAACCTTCTCGCAACAACATATACCCTTATCAAGGACTAAAATGATCCCTACTCTTACAACGACTGGGATATTTTAAGATATTTCCGCTTAAAAAGTGCTCATTCACATTATCCCCGTAGTACGAGATGGCACAGATTCGGATACACAGCATATTCAGCTGAATCCTCAGGTGCAATAAGTCATGTCAGACATGGATTCTCATGCAGATGGGTTATGATCTCGATCATACCCCTTTGGACTATTGAGGCTTTGAGTCGCGAGACCTTCTCATCGCCAAAGAGAGGAAAAGGGGTGCCGTAAATTCTGGGACGAAGAGACTTCAGTGGGATGGAAAAGTATAAAGTCATGCTTCTCGCGAACTTCTAGAGACTGAAAGATTGACTTCATCAACCACCACCACGCAGACACCACCAACTCTGATACTATACAGATATACATATCTTTACGAAAATGATTTTCAACACTACCACCATCTTTTCCGCCGTTGCCCTCCTCATGGCTGGCCAGGTCTTTGGAGTTGCTATTGACACCTCATCCAACGAAGCCCGTGATGTACTGGGCGCATTGATCGCTCCTGATCCAAGTATGTATCGCCTAAAATTGCAATGAAGAAAAGTCCATGATGTTAATTCCTTCTGTGTTATAGCTTCCGCCTGTAACTGCCCCAACAACTGCAGTCACCATGCTGGGAGCAGCTGCAAGTATTGTGAAAACCCCAACAACACTTGCAAGACGGTCTCTGGAAGTATGCTATCCCTTAATATTAGATATTAGATTCTTTAAAGACGCTGACATGTTATGCTTCTTAGCTTGTGAGGACCAGAACGGCACTCTGATTTGTGTCGCGTCTTAAAGTAGGGTGCTACTACTTACTGGGGAACTATGACCGACATAAACCCACAGTTTCCCAAACTCAAAGTCCGGCTTCCATCAAGTCAACAATGATTAATGGATGTCGAAGAACATGAATGGATGGGTGCTGGACTCCTTGCAACAGAAACTTGATCAAAGGCGGAACCTTTCCTAATAAATAGAATTAGGAGGGGATGAAGCACGAAAAAAAAGAGAAGAACAAAAGCTTGGTGATGATGGATAGTTCAGTATCGATCATAGCCGATGAAATACAAGGAAGAACGCTGGGCGTTCCATTCTCGCGTATGACATGTAACACATACCTATGTGATATGCATCGTATTAAGGGGTACCATCTACTCTAGTTCCACGTCTCAATGATGCCTACCTGGGTATGTGAAATTATATGAAACTCTCTAGTTACTTAACTCGCAAGGTAAATGCCAAGAGAAAAGTCAGAGTAGTTATCAAGAGCCCTAGGACTTGCCTCGAATCGGAACATACTATCATAACATAAAGCTCGTAAATTCCCGATCAATTTCCTCTTTCTTACCAATATCATTGACTACTTTTCTGATTCTAAGATATTCATCAAAGCTTATATTAACATCGAATAACATAATGAACTAATACTTGAATATCAGGAGATTAGGATTAGTCATCATTTATGTAAGTCATTCCTTATGTAAGTCACTTCTTATGGAAGTCGGCTTTTCGTCTTATATTACATAAGTTCATTATCTCATGAGTCAGTAATTATGTCAGTAATTCATTGCTCAAGCCATGACTTACCTAAGCCATTTCTTTCGGTCACTGTTATATAAGCTGACTTAAACGCATCAAGTCAAAACCGGAACTTAGCTTTCTTGAAGATTTCCTGGTGCATTCATCAACATTTAAAGATCCGAATTGTAACTACCCTCGCTCTAGCGGCTATTCTAATTTAAGCTTATTTATTCATTTAGGTAGGTACGTACTCTTTTAGATGTCTTTAAATCCTTCGTATTCTAGCATTCTCGGTACGGATCTACATACCTAGGCGTGAAGCCGATCCTTCAACCCCTTTATTTTAATTAGCATTACGTAGCTCTGCGACGCGGAAACGCTTCCGCGCATGGTCTTCATTACGAATCATACTCAATCATATTCTCTTTGGAATAGCATTATTTACCCCTCAAGTATAGGCCATTTCGAATTGTTTCTCTCATTACGACGTAGCTTAAATGAACGCATACCTAGGTAGTTTTCGTACGTCAAAGGTACAATGCGATACGTCGTATTATCCTTGCTTACTCGGAAAGGATGTAGTATATCCACATCATGGTGGAGGCTTAGTTGGGCTGAGCAAGCCTCATTTCCAAGATGCAACTAGAGTAGCTGAACATAAATAAAAGGAGAGAGAATTGTTATAATGCCAGGACGATTTCCAAGTTCGTTCACGGTATTGCAATTCATACCTCAATTCACTTGAGCAATCCCTCAACATGGTATCCAGTCTCTTGTACCTTGGCTTGTTCGCCTCCCTCGCTAAGGCGGGCAATTTTACCGCGCCCCCGCCGACCGGTCCGTATACTGTGGGAACAACAAATATCGAAATAGTCGACTCTTCGCGTCAAGATCCATACGCGCCAACGCCTAAGCCGCGAGACCTTGTTGCTGCTCTATATTACCCGGTCGGTGCAGCTGCTTACCCGGGACCTCGCGCAGAATGCAAGCATGCGATACAATTCACACCAGCCGTCGCGTCTTTCTATGAAAAAACTACTCCGGGAGTTCCGAGTGGTATTCTCCAGAATATCGTTACACAAGCATGTGTTGACGCGCCTTTAACCCAACCACAACTACCCGTCCTGATCTTCTCACCCGGGTTGGGAGGATCAAAATACCTATACAGCGACACTTTAGTAGAGATCGCGAGTTACGGATGGAATATTGTGGCGATAGATCACCCTTACGAGACCGGCATTGTTCAATACCCCGATGGACGCATCGTATACGCTGTGAACGCCTCGATTTCCAACACTGTAGCGAATGTCGACATCCGCGCTGCTGACATGATATCCGTCCTGAACGCTCTGTCTAATTCCACAGTCACCAACAAGATCCCTGGTCTGAAGACGAGATTGCGAACGGATAAGGTGGGCGTGTATGGCCATTCGCTTGGCGGTGCGACAGCTTTACGAGTTACGGCCAACGACACGCGATTTGTTGCAGGATCGAACTTGGATGGCTCATTCCAGGGTACTTCGGTGCAGTTAGGAACCGATGCCCCGTTTTTCGTCTTCGCCGCGCAGAGCCATAACCGTACTAATGATGCAAGCTGGGCCGAAGGGTGGAATAACCTCCGCGGCTTTAAGCGCGAATATGCGATCACTGGTGTCGAACACAATAACTTCTTGGATGTACCATTGTTGAGGCAGTTTTATGGTTCTGCCTTTCCACCCGACGCCGCCCAACCCCTCGGCCCTCTAAACGGGACGAGAGGTATGGCCATTCAAAGAGCTTACCTGAACAGCTTCTTCCAACGATTCTTGAAAGGAGTCAATGATGGTTTAATGGATGGTGTAGGAGATGACAAATACCCGGAAGTCTACGTTGGGGTATAGAATTTGGTATGATATGCTGAATATGCATGTATGTGTCAACTCAGCTCCATTAATCAATCTTACCTAATAATTCACCTTCCTCAAAAATTACAATCTACTATTCCCCCTGTCACTGCTTCGCTCTACGCTGCTATTTCTGTTCCAGTGATCCTCTTGAATTCCGCCGTGACATGATCGCAAACTTTCCTTGCAGTTCCATCTTTTCTGAACTGAGCCAGCAATTGTTCTACTTTCGGCGACGCACCCTCCCCTCCTTTATTCCCATAATTATTAATTGAGTATACCCCACTACCAGTCTTGCCATCACTACCTCTAGCAATCGACAGTGTCGTGTCCAATGGTACACCGGCAGGCGTCGCATTATCATTGTAAGACGCGTACATGGCACTGGTAGCCACGAAAAGATGTCGCTCACCGGACTCATCCGGAGGAGTCTGAAGGAGGGGCTCTAGCACGTAGTGTGATAATCCCGACAGGATGTTCATCACAATACCCTCCGCGTCGCGCAGGATGCCACTCTTCACAAGACCCGGCATCGTATGAACGAAGGCAACATTCGGCGCCCGCCGCGCGGCCTCTTCGAGTAGCAATGTCTGCATAGACGATAATTGGTTGCGCCATTTGCGAAGAGCGAAACCTAGACCGGAGAGGTTGTCTAGGTCAATCGGACCCTCGCAATTCGCGGCAAGTACGCTGACGATGCGACGGAGGGAGCTGGCGTTTTGGATGAGGGGGAGGAGATTATAGACGAAGCGCATGCGTGAATATGTATTTAAGGCAGAGGCCTGGGGTAGGCCATCGGAGGTAACTGTCCAAGGTTAGGAAGGCAAACTCACAAGTGACAGTATCGCGAAAAACATACTCTTAGTAAAGCCCAAGCTCCCTTGGCTTTGAAATAGCAGATTGATCTCCGTCTCCTTGCTCTTGAGTTGGCGGCATACGTCGTCGACACCCTTCAAGACGCTTACGTCGGCTTTTATGAATTCGAATATACCGCCCGGGTTTAACTTCTTACACTCGTCGATAATTCGGGTTGCTGATTCCTGGGACCGACCGACGAGGTAAACCTTAGGTTTGGAAGCGTATTTGGCGAAGGCCTTCACTGTATATTCGCCGACACCACTGGTCCCTCCGACGAAGACGGCTACTAAGCTAGGAGGCAGCGTGGATGCGATGCGTTCGTTCGACGCAATAACCTTGGAGAGTGCGACCATGATACTGTTCGTTTGACTCTGAGAATATGAATGATAAGTCTGAGAAGCCATCAAGCCGGGAGAGAACGGTTAATATTCTATTCTCAAGTGTTATGGTATCTGCCCGTCTTTCTGGTCCCCTTTCTTATCCCCGAAGTACCCTAAGCCTATTATAGCGATACGAAGCCAAAAGGGAAAGCTGCTATTGCATCATCAACTGTCCCCACTCGACTAAAGACTGGCCTAGGAGTGGAGCAGATGTAACTGAACTTTATCTATCCACTTGCTTGGTAATCTCTTTCGTTAACCATTCCTTCAGATTGTTTTCGGAAAGCGCAGCACGCTTTTGCGCCCACCAACACTCATCTCGGGGGAGTAATATTCTCGCGGCACGGTAGAAATGATAGAGCAAAGAGAGCGCGCGTGGGTCTCCCTTCTGAATCATAGGAGAGAAGGGACCATAGCAAGCTATTGGAAAGGAGAGAACATATCTCGCCAAGTCCGAAAAGAAATTTGGCTCAGTATTGTCGTCATTTGGTGGCTGTGCTTCAGGAAGAAATGATAGGATGATACAAAGTCGGGCGATGACAGGAGCATAACCATCTGCAATTGGATCGAGATCAGGTTCGGACTGTGAGTGAGGAATACAATGTCGCCATGGATTATACGGAGCCATCTCTTTGCTTCTTGGACATGGTGGAGGGGGATTGAGAAATTTCATATCAAGTGGGTTGTCGTATGAAAAGAAATCTAGATATTTAGCAACCGTGCTATCGTTAATCCGCCCAACTGCAACAAGCTTGTCCGCGGGATTATACTGAAGGAGCGGTAAGAATTTCGACGGCTGGTCGGCGAGAAGAGGAAGACTCTTCAAGAAAACTTCTTTTAAGCTAGATCCCATAGCGAAGACTCGGTCTCTTGTGGGATCCAACGATACGATGTCATCGTTTTGGGGAAAAGAAATGTCGGTGCTAGCCCATGCTTCATACTGAAGTAGAAGTGAAGTTGAAATAAAGGCGTCAATGTGGGTTAAGATGAAGTTGTTAGACAATTCGTAGCGGAACCTAGGTAATGCTCGCGATAGATGGCTGGCTGCCGCTCTTGAATATGAGGTGTTCTCCGGTTGTAGGAAAGCAAGGTGTCGTGCTGCAACGCACAGAATAACATTCATCAAAAAATCAAAATGGAAAGATAGTCGGATTGCATGTTCCCATACCTCGGGAGTTAACATAAGCGTATGTTGCGTATACGTTTCGAAATGATGAAATAACTTCATGTGATGGAGATTCACAACAGCGTCCGTCGGTCCGAAGCCGGGAGTCAAAGTTGTGACTGGCCCTGATGTTCGAGGGACGGACACTATTCGATTGGATCGAGTCGCCCGCGAACACCGCTCTCCCCTCCTTGAACAATTTGCACAAGGTGTTTCTTCATTACACTGTACGAGTCCAGCATTAGCTCGATGTGCCAACGCGTTACGGGAAGTATTACGTAAGCACCTTCACTCGTCGCCTCTTGCAATTATCACAACCTGATCCAGACTTCCGATGGGCCCGACGTTGCCTGTCTAGATCGACGGATAGGGCCTTAGGTACCTCAGAAAGAACCTGATTCTTAGATGTACTCGACTCAGATGAGAAGACAAACGTATTGGTAAAATCATTTAAGTGAGATCCACTTTTTGTCGAGCCGGCATTTATAAATGATGGATTCGAAGCCATGACGCTTCGATGGAGTGCGATTAGAACGCGCGATGGCCTTAATAGGCTCGTATAAGACTTTTGGGAAAAGACAAGAATGAAATAGGAATAAGAAGAAGCCGATGAAAAGTCTCGCAGTTGCTGTCGAGTCAGGGGTTATCTCCGATTTTAGCTCCTTAAAGCCCGGAGCGCTAAACCAAATTTGGCGATACGAGCCCGATCGAGCTTGTGTAGCATAGCCCCCCTATTTTAAGGGGTTCACTTTAGCTTAGTAAGGGCAGTCATAATATTTGCAAGAAATCATCTAGCTTAGTATAAACTCATCCGTTTCCCTGATTCAACCTTAGAATCTTCTATGTTGTATTCCTAGGTAAGCAGGTTTACATGTTACCAACTACCAAATATCATCATACCGAAACATTCTCAGGGGTTCTCGCTTATGTAATCTCTTCTTCGGTCTAAGGAAACACCTATTAATATTGCTTCTGTTCAATATTTAAGAGTGTATAATGGAGCTATAAGATGAACTTGTTCCGTCGACTCTTTTTGAAAATCTATTCCATTTCTACTTTTACGAGTTTGAACATAACCTATAGCCTCCCGCCTCATCTCACGTAATCTAACTTGGCGGCATATATAGTCGCGGCTATATAGAGTTGCCATTGGAATACAGGATTCAAAATGCAACGATGCGCGATATATGCATGTAGGATATACGAAATGTGCAGTTTCTAGGACTCGCTCGCAATTGGGACTCGGGGTATATAACGATGCCACTGGCCTTGGTAATTGAAAGAGGAGAGGTTCCCGAAGCAATTCACTACCAATTCCGTCGAAAGATTCTACTCGAATTATATTATGGGGCGCCCGGATGTTCAAGCAGATGCCCTGCGCGTGTTTGAGGTCCTCAAAACAGGCGGAATAGCAATCTGCCCAGCAGATGTCGGTTATGCCGTTATGGCTACCCATGCCAAATCGCTTGAGAAGATCTTCCTCACAAAACAGCGCGGGGCTCACAAGAGACACGCAGGAATTGGATCGTACGCTATTCATAAGGAGGTGCATATCATGGACCCCGTACACCAAGAGATTGTCGATCATCTCAGTCAGGACCTTGACATTCCGGTCGGCGTCATTGCACGATACCGGCGCGACCATCCAGTGGTCAAAAACATCGATCCTGTTACTATGGAAGCATGCGATGTGAACGGTAGTCTCTCGTTATTGGTCAATGCCGGTGCGTTCCAAGATGCACTCACTAGCTTGACCTTTGCGGAGCACATACCCCTTTTAGGAAGCTCCGCCAATGTGTCGGGGACTGGTCAGTATCTTTCGGAACAACCTAATTGAATGACTTTTGACATATAAATGCAGGGACTAAATATCAGGTGGAGGATATTAACAAGGAACTCATCGACATAGCGGATATCGTAATTGACTATGGTCTGTTGAAGTAGTGGGTCCATGGGCGGAGTTCCACATTGCTAGATTTCAGCGGGCCATCCGTTGAAGTCGTCAGGATTGGCGCCTGCTACGATGTTATTAGAGATGTATTGAAACGCAGATGGGATATCGAGCTGCCGGCCGACCCAGGTATGGTATCGCTGAGGTTCGGACACCTAAAGAATTTGGACCCGGTCAAGTCGCTGCAGAATTTGATCACTCCACCCAAAAGCTAGCAGGTCCATTAACGGAGGACCGTTAGTATTTGGGTATGTCAATGAAATATAATTTTGAGATGCGGCATGCTTTGTCGGACCTCCGCTGAATATGCTAACCTTATAATTGGTCGATCCACCTACGTGTTGACGTGCTTGTGATTCAATATTGTTCGCTGGCGTCAACTTCGCTTTCGTACTATTTATCAATCGTTATATGTGCCTCAAAGATATGGCCTGTGAATATTGCAGCTCTCGTCGTGACCGCTAGATTGAACCGATTAGCGTTGGCGAAAATCTTGGTCGAGAGAGGAGAAAAGAGAGGAAAATTGGATTCAAATCACATTTTCGGGCGAGAGGATTGGTGCGACCGCCGGAATTTAGGTAACATTCGCCGAGGTCTGTCTCGGTCTAGATGTTTGTTATCTCTGTGAGCTGATAATATTTGAAAGAAAATAGTAATAATTAGGGTTGCTTCGGGGTGGAATGTTGCGAAAGCGGTGACAACTATTTATGGAACCGCTCTGTATCGGGCTAACGATGGTAAGCGCTCCATTGGAAGATACCAACAGATACACCCCACGGGCTAACGAGCCGGACTGCTACCGTTGGTGGGAGCCTCCGATGCAAGCCAAGGCCGGGTTCGCGAGAGTTGCAGCCGGCGTCGGCGTAACAAACCAACAGCACTCTTCGGAGCTCACAAAATACCTTAAAATCCCGCGCACAATTTCTTGAGCTTACGTTGAATTACGGTAGCGGGAATCCTTCTATCCTGCCAAGGGCAATTTGTGTTAATTTACATCTTTAATCGACCAGTTAAACCAAATTTTTTGCAGAGCTCTTGTGCCGGATTTTCAGGGGTACTTGTCGATCATTATTGACCAAGATGATTAGAAGCAAGAGCCGCATCTATGGCGGCAAATTAATCGCCATGATTACACTTGTCGATGCTCGTAAGAAGATTCATGACTGACCTTAATGTTACATGTTGTTAATAGTATATGATAGTTTCATCATGCTGGTTTGGCTATTGTCAGGTGCGCAGTCACTTCTGGAGATGTAACTGATAATATGTTGCTAATGCGACCGACGAGTAATAGGGGGTGTTTGCAGGTGTATTGGTTTCCGAGAACTTCAAACTACAATTCCCCGAGACTCTCGACGCGAATGTCTCCGGAATTACGTCAAGCTGTTTCTTCGTCAGTATTCCTACCTATCCTGTTCTCTTATGGGGTCCCTCCTCTTGATTGTGAATCTTAGAAAGGAGAAGCTGATTTGAATGATATTCGCAAAGATCGGCGCTTTCTTAGGATCAATAATGGCTTTCATAGTCGGCGATAAGCTGGGTCGAAGAAAGACTATTGCTCTAGGATTACTATTCAACTTAGTAGGCTCTACACTACAGTTTGCCTCATGGTATCTGCCCCAGATGATTATTGGGCGCTTGGTGAATGGGTTTGGGATTGGATTAACCTCTACTACGACACCCGTCTTTCTATCCGAGTGCGCGAAGCCCCATCTACGTGGAAAATTAGTCTCTATCGGCGCCTCTTCGAACGTCTCGATGTTCGCGTTAGCGAATTGGATCAGCTATGCACTCTATTCGCAGGACGGCCCATTTCAATGGCGTTTCCCTCTGGCCTTTCAGGTTTCCTTTTTCTTCATGATAACCCCTTTCCTACTTTTGGTGCCCGAGTCCCCAAGGTGGCTCTTATTGGCTGGAAAGGAACTAGATGCCTTGGATGTGCTCTCCCGGCTTGCTGGGAAGGACGTTCCCATTGATGATGGGCAAGTAACATCAGAGTTCCGTTCTATCAAAGTCGCGATAGACCTTGAGAGAGAAGACCGTACGCCACTCATGGACGTCCTCTGCTTTCGGGACAAGACGCATAACTTCCGCCGTTTGATATTATCCTGTGGCACCCAGTTTATGCAGCAGTTCACCGGAATTAACGCTCTCGGTATGCAATCCCCCTTCACTCCTTTCGAGTCTGTTTTAACATCATACAGGATTCTATCTACCTACACTACTCACCCAGAACGTCGGTTTTGACCAACAAATGAGTAGGCTCATTGCCGCCGTAAACGGTACTATTTACCTTGTGTCTGCCTTTGGAAGTTTGGTATTTATTGACCGCTTCGGTCGGCGAAAGTAAGTTGCCACAATAGTTCAACTTATGTGTACGCGCTGCTAACTGACTTGTCAAATAGGTTGATGTTATCTGGAGCTATGTTGATGGGTCTTTGCCACCTGATCGCATCACTTTGTCTTCGAGAAAGCGAGATAGACATTTCGAAAAGGAAAATTGTAAGTCCCGACTAACCTATCACTGCCGTGTCTTGCTGATAAGGTATATAGATGGGCAATGTGACTACCGCAATGTTCATTGTTTATCACTGCATATTCGGCATCTCTTGGGCTAGCGTCCCATGGGTTTATAGCGCCGAAGTGAACTCGCTAGGTTGGCGAACGCGTGGCGCTGCGGCAGCAACAGCAACGAATTGGTTGGGAGGTTTTGTAGTGACCCAATTCACCAAAGTCGGTATCGACAATTTGAATTGGGGTTTATATCTAAGTGAGTATCCAACTCCGAGAAGAATCCGTTGGTCAAGACCTGCTAACGAAGTATCAGTATTCGCGGCTATTTGTTTCTGCTGTTACCCCGTAGTCCTCTTATTCTATCCAGAGACATCGAACCGTACGCTCGAGGATATGGATCACATGTTTATTCAGAACCCATCAATATTTGTATTGGGAAAGCCTGACATGACGCATAAGAGCAGACCACTGAGTTGTATGGACGCAGAAGCAGAGCGTATTGCTCAAGTTTAACGGGTTATAGGAGCTGCAAGACTGTCCACTATTAATATACATCGGAGATACTGGACTTAACACCTAATAGATACTAGTCAATGCGTAACCGCATTATCAATTATTTCATTGGTCGAGTACTTCGTGGTACTTTCCGTAAATGGCAACTGTCGGTCGCTATCTTAACGTTGATTGGCTACTGATCGACAACAATCGTCCCGTTGTCCTACCATAGCCTATCTAAATTCTGATGTAACTATATTTCACAGCTGTAAAGTAAGCTACTAATAGCGCTTATAAAAATGCGGTAAGTTCGGCTTATAATGGATAGCTTATGCATACATGGGCCTGGAATCCCCATCTTTGTTGAATCAGCTAGGACTTAAGGGAAACTAACTCCTTTAGCCTCTTGGTATAATATTATAGCATCTGGGCTGCTGGGTTAGAGCTGTGCGATTATATAACCGCCTCTTATCTCACATAATACATGGTCTTGCGAATTCCTTAAATGCTCGCCGGATACTGGGTATAAAAGCAGGATTCAGCGGCAATACTAACTCGAAAACCTCATATTCAAAGAGCCCCACGTAAAGTTAAAAAGAAATGACTGCGCTTCGGAAAGAGTATGACTTCGTTATAGTCGGTGGAGGGACGGCAGGTCTTGTAGTTGCTTCTCGACTCACTGAAGACTCAAGCATATCAGTCCTGGTATTAGAAGCTGGTGAAAATACCACCCAAGATCCCAGAATTGCAGTTCCTGGTATGTGGCCGGCTGTCTTAGGAACAGACCTTGACTGGGACTTTCTAACCGTACCACAGGTATGAATTCTTTCGTAAGCTAAGCGTGCACAGAGATGTCTGACTTTCTTGCTTTTACTTAGGAAAACTTGAACGGCAGGCAGGTTGGACATCCGCAAGGTCGTGGGCTCGGAGGATCATCGGCATTGAATGCTGAAGTGTTTGTGCCACCGTCGGCTGCAGGTTTTGATGCCTGGGAGTCATTCGGAAATCCCAGATGGAACTGGAAAGGGTTGGAACCGTATTTCCGCAAGTCTCATACCATCGTGAAGCCCAACGAAGGCGTTGTCAAGAAGTTGGATATCGCATGGGTTGATAGCCCGGAGAATGGAACCAACGGCCCTATACAAGTTAGCTTTCCTAGAGTGGTTGATGACCCCCTTCCTGGGGCGTGGGTTGAGACCATGAAAGGTCTAGGTTATGGTCTTACGGGTAACCCATTCAGTGGCAAAGCTATGGGTGGATGGAATATCCCCTGGTCAATCGATCCCGAATCCGGGACAAGAAGCTACGCAGCCAGCGCATACTATGGGCCAGCTAGCTCTAGAAGCAATCTGGAGGTCCTCATAGGCGCCACGGTCAGCCGGGTGTGGCTTGAAGATAGCTCTGGTGGAAGCGGCATTACTGCGCGTGGCGTTTCCTTCAAGGCCAAGGATGGTCATGAGCATCAAGTTAGTGCCAGTCGTGAAGTGATTCTAGCAGCAGGCGTGTTCCAGTCTCCGAAGATCCTCGAGCTATCTGGAATTGGTGATAAAGCCCTATTGGAAAAGCACGGTATCAAAACCAGAATCAATAATCCAAATGTCGGGGAGAATCTCCAAGATCATATGCTAGTTGGTGTGAGCTTCGAGGCCGCAGAGGGCGTCATGACGGGAGATGAACTTGTGCGCCAGGAACCATCGGTCATTCAAGCAGTCGCACAGATGTATGAAGAGCAAAAGACCGGACCACTCGCTTCGGGATCTGTTCTCTCCCTCGCATATATGCCGATAATGTCTCAATTGCTCGAAAACCTTGAGCCAAACCTTCAGAGCAGTCTTGACACGGCCATCAAACGGTCAGCAGAGTTACCCATGTCTGAACTTGAAAGGCAGCAATTTGATTTTCTGAAATCTAACTTGCTGTCATCATCGGAACACGACTCCTCTGCCATAATGTTTCTGCTTCCTGTTCAAGTCAATATGAATAATGGACCAAAGCAAAATGGAATGATGAGAGACCCTAAGCCGGGGAATTTCATTAGTCTTGGCATTTCACCTCTACACCCGTTTTCGCGGGGCACGTCACATATTTCTTCGTCGAATCCTCTAGCGCCGCCATCCATCGACCCTCGCTACCTCTCGCATCCTCTCGATATCGAGGTATATGCACGACATCTCATGGGAGTCGAGATCGTTGCCAAATCTTCACCCCTATCGAACTACCTGAAGCCAGGAAGTAGAAGAGCGCAACCTGGAGACGCTAGAGTGGATACTCTAGAAAAGGCCAAGAAGTACATCCGAGAAGGGGCAATGACGTGCAATCATCCAGTTGGAACCTGTGCTATGTTGCCCCGTGAGAAAGGCGGCGTTGTTGATCCGCGACTCAAAGTATACGGCGTCGAGGGGTTGCGTATCGTCGATGGTAGTATTATGCCAATGGTTCCTAGGGCAAACACCCAGAGTTCGGTATATGCGATCGCCGAAAAGGCTGTTGACTTGATCAAAGAAGATCACAATCTGAAGTAAACCAAATTGAGGTATATACCTAACTACCTGGGCACCTAGAATAGGTATATGAAGATGTATCTCGTATTGGGGTAAATTACCGACTTCGAATAAACCAGCAATGCGTTATATACAATAAATTATTACAGTACGGTGGAGTTTAACACTGCTAAGGCTCAATTCACAGAGCTATGAGCGCTGTAATTATAGCGGGTTTCAGTGGAGTGCTAGAATGCGCCGTGAGCGTGTCATAATTGTAGGGTCTTATAGGGCCCTAAAGCCCTATAAGTGTAGTGCTCTATAGGTGCCCACTGTAGAGCGCTGTAAATACAGAGCTTTGGTGACTGAAATTATAGCACGCTATGGCGCCTATGGATCACACTAAAACACACTGTAATCGCATCTAATAATGAGCACCTATAAAGCGCTATATTTATAGGGGGATAAGCGTTATAAGTCCAATCACTAAGTTTATAGTGGAACATGGCCTGTAATGCCCTGTAGCTATAAGAGCCTTCGGCGTACAACTGCCTGTAATTATAGCAATAGAGTGTATCACACCACGACACTGTCCTTTCGCACGGAATTTTGGGTTTGATCCTTATTGGACCGCCGTATTAAAGGATGCACTCTAGAGGGTGCAGCCGGGCGGGTATACTTGGTTCCTGCGAAGTGCTTAAGAACTTTTACCAAGTACTCTACCAAGTATTCCAGAAAACTTTAGCAAGTGTACGTGGAGTTTACCAACGAATATCACTCTACAATTTTGTCGCGAGTATGCGCGTACCAAGTGTGGATGGTTTTGTACGAGAAACAACTATCAGGTACCTATGTAGGCATTTAATTTTAGTTGACGAAGAGATCGTATAGGGGTTAAGGGTATCGGCCAGGCCTCTTTTTGGGCTTGCTTTTGTGACAATAAGCCTGGTTCTGAATCCCTGCTGCAATTACTCGGGTAGTTGTTAGCTAATATTCCTCCTAATGATAGCGGTTATACAGCCCTGAAGGTGGCTGTGATGGCTGTAGCTGCTGATGTTTTAGTGAGGTCACAGCGGATATGTTATTCTTACGGTGAGAGCGGGGCCCTGTACATCGGGGGCGCGACGCTGTCGCGAAAGTCAGAGCCACGATAAACATTTGGCAACTTCGTACAATTCCTTTCTATATACAAGACATGTGCAAGCTTTCTATCAAGTAGGAGGCATTTCTACAAGCTCGGAAAAGTTACGAAAAAGTTTCAAGATTATCTATGGTGTTATTAATGCGTTTCAGGTAGTTATCCGAGTTGCCAACACACTAGGGCCACTTGTAGCGATGGTTATAGTGGCTTCAACAGAGGCAAATGCACTGGAGGCCAAAGAACAATTGGGGTTGTTTGAGCTCCCTGGGAACCCCTCAGCATAGGTACCTCCTCAGTGGCCTCTAGCGCGTTCACTCCCCACACCCGAGTGTCTATTTATAGCGACAACAGTGAAACATACACTATAACTTAGCGGATGCTAAGAGTTTGCTTTCTCGCGATCACCTTGTTCGATGTACTAAAACCTCCCATCCGTACCATTTACCTATGCGACCTTATTACTGTAGATTAGTAGAAAAGCGTCTGATGCCGATATATAGAATCTTCAAGAAACGACTCTTCGATACTATTAATATGATGTTTTTAATACCCCGCTAAAGTGCCGAGTGACGATTCCGGCTGATGTGGTGGCCCAATCATATTCAACGTATTTATGAATATATATCTTTTGGGATACCTAATCCTGACCCTAGTTCCCCCATAGTATTTAGCCGATAGTTATAAGAATGGTCACGACGTCAGTGATGCTTTCTGGCCATAAACAGGCTAGTGATATATAAGCCGAAGCCATCATAGACAACTGTCATCTACCTAGGTAAGCCAGAGTCATATAACGAACGACGGGAATCGCACATCGTCGACTACACACCAGCCGACCATCATTCGATACTACGATAGGGGGTGATACAATAGGAAGCCCAACTATGCAATCTAAGGCCTTTATTCGCATAGCAGCCATTCTAGCGGTGGCGTACTTGAGTGATGCGCGACCCCTAGGCCACTACGAAGGGCTAGCGGAAATATATATGCCAGTCTTCGGCTCGAACGTAATAGCAAACGACACCGCGACCGCCTCTTCTCCTCCCGCTACATCTACCGCAAACACAGACAAGACCGAACCGGCATGTAAACCGTTCGTGATGCCACCAGTACCCGAAGAGTGCCGACGAAAGTCAGGAGAACTCGCCTGCCACGGTTACTCTTTATATTGCAGGTTTCCTGCCGACTATGGGGTGGCGTACGAACCAGTAGGGGAATGTTGGACATGCAAATAATCGATCAACATCGAAACAAACCTAAATACGATACTAAACGGCGTTGAAGACGGCGAAGGTCTAGGGAAAGTTAGCGCGAATGTCTCACTATTAGGTCTTGGCGACGAGAAATGATTGATAATACAACAACGGAAAGCGACAGTATTCATACTCAACAAGGATAAGACATGATATGATACGAGATGAAAACCATCCATATCAGAATGCTCTCCCAAAGTTAGGATCTTATCCATTAATGAGACGATATTCCTTGAGCTAATCCATACTAGCCCCTTCATTAGTGCTTAGAAGATGCGACGACCGCGGAATGGATCATTCACCTGCATTTAGAAGTTGATGATGTGGTTTCAAGGGTACCTAGATGCGCACCTTGATGGACCCGGGCTCCACGCCGATCTCTCCCCCTCCACCGACCCAGATAATCGGGTCCGTAGATCTTCCGTGTCAAACTGGGGAAGAACCGATCGTTCGGGATGTGGGGAAGCTAAATTGAACGTACCTTAGCCGGAAATAAATGGCATATATTTTTAACTTTGTACTTTCACCAAGTTACGTCTCATCTTCCTTCAGCGTGGTATCACCCAAGGGTACCTAGCAGAGCTTATCCCATACACAGGACCTCGTGCTACAATGGATGTCTAGGCCACATGTATTTCATCAGTAGCTCGGTATGGATGGTTTTGTAGAGTCGTAAAGTTATTGAATGTCTCAACAGTTCAATAGCTTGCGTCACATCCAGGGGCTTAACGTTACATGCCCATGTATGGTACCAATCGTCTCACTCCCATTCTATCCGGCCGCCATAACACCCTTCAGCTTCTATGACTTAAGTAGGTAACCAAGCACACGCTCCGCCCCGAAATGTCTCTAAGAACGGTAAGTAGACCAAGCGCTGTACATACGGTCCTCCTGGCCGGATGTGAATTCTTCGTAGCAAGCACTGCACAACTAATGTTAGTTTGAAAACCGGGAAACGACGCAACAATTTACTAACTCATCTGAGTAATCCATATAGTTATGAATGGGGTCAACGCCGCCACCGGGGCAGCTATCTCGGCCTTCGGGGCACCCGGAGGAAGCGGAGGCTTGAGCGGGGGTGTCGTCAACCGAATCGCCAGTACCACTGCAACCACCTTGGAATGTGTGGTATAGATTCATCCAGTGACCAATCTAAGCCTTCGTGTAAGAAACTTCACAATCACTCTCACAATATGATCCCAACATCATTCTTACCTCATGAGCTGCGGTGCCGCCCAAGTTATAGGGGGCCGCGTTACCACCGGGCACAGACTGGCCAAGGATAGTACACCCATCCTGGTAGAACTCTGTTGAGCCCTCGGAAACATTGTCGGGAAAGTAACAGTACCTATGAAGAAGTTAGCGGTCAAGTTTATATGATCTTCTATTTATAGCTCGTGTTACTCACCCAAGTAAACCTCCGCCTAAATTTCCAAGGAAGTAAACGTTTAGGTCCGAGTACGTGCCTTTACGAAGCGCTTGCTTCATAGCGATCTCGTCCCCATCAGCAGCCCAATTGGAGTTGACAGTCCAATCGGTATCGACTAGGTTGAAGGTGATTCCATGGGGAGAATAATCAGCATTCAACACGTCTAGCTGGTCATCGATCATTTGTTGCTGCAAACTAGTTAGCAGATGATTGAAATATTTTCGTTGATTGAATTACCGTTAGGTAGCCGTCGTCGAGTGATTGAGACGACGCCACAACGTGGAAATAGGCGTTCACGCTGAATGATCTGAGCGCACGGGACTCTCCCTTAAGGCGTATCTCACGTTCCTTCGCCAACATGGCTTGGGAGGCGGCAATTTGCTGCTCGGTAGGTTCCGGGGTGCCACATAGTCTCGTGGAGTTTCCACTCACGCGTGGGAACATATATTGGGCTGCGGCCGATGAAGCCAAAAGAGCGGTGGCGGCCGTTCTGAAGAACATTTTGACTATTTTTCACAGAGAATTTACAAAAAGGTGTTATGCGAAGTTCAAAATAGATGTTCAAAATAAGAATAATAACCGAGACAATTATGAGTATATAGGTCCTCTTATACTTGTCTACATAACCTCTACCTAGGTACAGACGAACAAAATTATCGGTATCTAACGATGTCCGCGCGAAGCCATATTTGCCTCAGTTACCTGCCTAATTCGCATCGATGTACTTCTCTGTACATGGTCAATCTGTAGTCAGTTCAGCGCGAGTTTACAGCGTGACGGGCGGTTATCCAATCAACCCCATGGTGTCTTACGATAGAATTAGTCTAGGCGTTACGATGCACTTCGTCGTAGTCGGCATGTACAGCTATGACATTCAAAAAAGTTTGAAGATAGACGGTCTCGACTAAAAAGGAGCCCTACCTAGAAGAAGTAGGTTACCAGAGCCCTACCTGACTATCTATAAAGAGAAGCTGGAAATGCCCTGGTAGGATGCACCTGACAATCCTTTCCATAATCAATATATTGTTCGCCCTATCAGCTCAAGTGCCGAGAGTTTCACGTACCGGGAACTAGGTGATTGATGTGCAGGCATTCCCCCGTTGATATCGGCTAGGACCGATCACGGCATCTTGGCGGATGAGACCCTGATCAGCAGGAGCAGTAAGCTGTAATCCTTGTCGAATCTAAGATAATGTTACATAGACCTGAACCCGCTGAAATCCTTGGTCGCACTATAGATTCAACTGCTATTCCTGCTCACTTGCCGACTTGAATTTTTATCCTCCAATTATCTCAGGGGTATTTATTAATGCGAGTCACTTGCCGTCAGCCTGAAGATAAGGCCAACGACCTGTTCACTATACACACCAGACTGCTTGCCTATTGCGGTTGTTACTTAAGACCGTTACCTTAACTGCGGGACCAGCTGATAACGGCGTTATTAATTTCTGAGCAACGCTAGAGAATCAGGATAACAGACTTGGCATTTGACATATGGCGCATAATACCACGTAAGAAGTTACATACCAAGAAATTTGCGACGAGATGACGTGCAACAGCGTGACAACAGTTATAACAGATTTCGGGGTATGGAATTTGGATAGGTGCGCTCAATACCAACCTACGTACGCACACTTACAAGCATTTGAGCTACAAATGGAGGGTCATTTACCGATTCTTGCTCTACAAATGCACTCCCTATATCCCCTATGAGTATTTATTGCTTCGGGTTCCTTTCGCAAGTTCAGCGTGTTCACTGCGAGAGTGGCTGACCTCATTCATCCCGTTCGATGAAATACACCAATGTTCCAGCCCCTATTAGTCAGCAATATAGATCATTCACCTTCTAATATGGTATTCAATATCCGGTCCTTGATCTTTGCGCTTCCCTTTCCTGGCCGCCGGCGCTATGCAGAATCAGCGCACGCGGGACGTTTACGACTATTGGACCTTCCAAGCTGGAAAGCTGCTCCTCTACTCCTCTACTCCTAGGCAATTTCTACCTAGATTCCAATTGAACCTTGGCATGACTCAGCCACGTCTACTGACTCCTTGTGGTGGCGTATGTATCGTAGAAGCCGTACCTGGTGAATGGACATCGAAGGATAAGACGCGAATACGTAAAGTACGGTTCCAATAGGTTTGGTACAGATTGAAAGGATATCAATTGATAGGTACCTAGGTAGGTACACGCGTATAGGTAAAGTCTTTGGTTCCATCCATCAATGATCATCTACTACAGCTTCATTCATAACACATATACCAAGTTATTGTTCGTCGCGGAGAAATTATCAAGGATATTCTTAATAATATTACTTGGCAGATAGGTGTCATACCCAAGTTTATTGTACTAACAACATGATTTTATTGTTTTATTTATAATAGCATTGTTCGGCTCGGAAAAGGTCATGTCCATAACACGCCCTTTATTAACCACAGATACCAATTATTTCGATACTACAAGGTATAGTTGCCAAATACTAGTACGGGTGTATAATACCTTGACATATTTCATTCTCATATTCATTCACATATGACTTAGATGTAAATTTACAAAATATTCTGATACCTGTCAACGAATTATTACAAATTGGATTTTGATACTAACCTTTGAATTTAACATATTCGCAAGCAAATATTTGATATAAAATGGGTCGTGGATCAGGTTATGACACTTCTGGGGGTACCCCTAAGCCAATTGGGCCAAGGCCTCCTCCAAAGCCTCAGCCAAAGCCCAAGCAACAATCCGACTTTGAAGATCAGTTGGAACCTCTAGGTGATGCTTTGCTATCTCGGGCTGGCTCGGGAGATGGCTGCGATTGAGCAATGGCTACAAATAACCCTTCTGTGAAGGGATACCATAGTCTTGTTCTGTCAAATATCTCCCTAGGTAGCTAGAAGTTGAGGTCCCGGGATAAACTTGATGAGAATTAACTTCAAACCCATCTTCTCTAGAAGCCAACTCATAGCAAACCCGTAGGACTTGACTTCGGGCAATTGTACCTATTAATATCACCTCCCTTTAACTTGCGCTTCATTCTTCATATAATTTCCGTGAACCAATTCTTGAACCATAGTACCTTTGCCCCTTACCTACCTACGTAAATACAAGCGGCTCGTCTCTGTATATAGTAGGAGTTAAACGAGGACGTTTACTGTTACGATAATAGCTAAAGGTATTAACTTTGGGTGGTAAAGTCTCTAGTGGCAGAAATAACTATATGTTATACGCTCTATGATAGATTAGAAGCCCTACATCTTAACAACGACAACATTTCCGTATGTATATCGCCGGTACTTCGAATACCTATGCCCAGATCTAAGATGTCCAAAGTGGGTATTTGGAGAGCGGAAAACGTCTCGACGCTCGCAACTAAGCAAATATATAATGGCGGCGCACGAGTACTAGCTCGGCATAGAGTCGAGGCTTCGAGGCTATCCAGATGATTCCGTACGAGTATTTTCCATTCCAACATCTAAGAAAAATGCACACCTGAAGTGTATGTAGGGGATATCAGACACAATGTGTATCTTCAATGGCAATTGCTAAGTTGCTATTCGGATATCCCCTTAAGTAGGGTAGAGTAAAGTTGATTTTCTGATATTGAAGTACCAAGGTACTTAGTCGTTTAATCGTTTGCGTCTCGACGCAAGTTGACGCGTAACCTGTTATCGGTTTCTCGACAACTTCTCTGTGTCTTTAATCACGACCGGAGCGTACCTCCAGGTACCTAGGTACATAAAGTTGAACCCTCAGGAATATTATGTCTTTTTTTTTTTTTTGAAATTACCTGGGTATCAGCGCAGAATCAGTAGCCCGATATTTAATCAGCTTCACCTAACAACGAATCAGAACGTGACGGCACAGTATATCTGTACCTTAGGTGCCTTAGGAGATGAACATCACTAGCAAACATCACGATACCAGCCACTTGCACACCTTCCTCGAACTGTAGTACCCCTGTACCTCCCTTCTCCTACAGTTTAAACTGTTTGTTGAGCCAAATGACCAGTCTACAGCTGTCGAGTGGGTCTCCTGATGCTGAAAAATGTTGTCTAGCGCGTGGCATTTACAGATTCTCTGTGTTTAAGCATGTAAAAGATGTTTTCTGGTGGTCTATTCGTCGAAGACCCACCCATTTCCTGTTACTCCAGCATCAACTCGGCTGTTAGTCTCTTAGGGCTAAGAGATGGCTGATTCTTCAAGTGTTACTTTCATACATATATCCAGGTATCTGCCATAGATTTCTCCTCCACCAAATCTCTCTCTCTAAACTTTTCATCTTCTAAATCTTCACATCTAATTCACCCAGAGAGTTTCTCAACACCACTTTCAACCATTGCGACATCAAAAAAACAACACCATCAATCCTTCTCCAACATCACTTCGATTCCCTTTAAGTGAATTAATAACTTAGAGGTCAATTCAACCGCCACGCGAGCCCCGATTGGTCCAGGAACGGTAAAATCAAGGCCCTCCATCGGATCTCCAGAGCTTTCGTTCGACTACGTCTCCATCTTGAGAACGCCCGCAAACCAAGTAAGTCACCGCGTCTAATATTGATCTACTGAGACAGCATCTAACGTATTATTTCATTAGAATATCTACAACGCTTTCACGCTTCTTCGGAACCAACCACTTGCTTAACGCGCAGGTTACTGAAAAATAAGGTAAGAATATGCCGAGTTCTCTACGTAACCAGCCATCTTTTGAAATGAACGTCGCGTTGCTAATCTCTTATCTCTAGTGACTTGCTATCTTTACCTCCAATCATTTTCATCACCACCAAAAAATAAAAGATAACAGAACAACCGCCATGTCTTTCAACGCCGAGACCGTCCAGCTCTACAAGAGCATCCAGGAGTACCAGAGCCTGATCGCCGAGATGGAAGACATCATTAAAACCGACATCGCCGAGTACGCCAAGCAGTACGAGGCTGACAAGGCGGAGGTACAAAAGCGCCGCAACGACAACGGAAAGCTCCAGGGCGAGCTAAGCCTACTTTCCAAGCAGCCAACCACGAAAGTCACCAAAGGCCAAGTCCAGACGGCCGAGTCCCGAGTGGAGCAGCTCCAGGCAGAGTACCCGGCGGCAGTTTGGGAAAACGAGCAGATGGAGCGCGAGACGGCTGCGATTCGCCAGCGTAACCTGGAGATGTCTCTCTTCTGGGTGAATTTGCAAACCGAGTTGAAGGAGACAGAGAACAGAGTTGGTGAGCTACAAAATCAGCACGATGAGTTCACAGCCCAGTATGGAGGCTCCCAGTAGCAGTTCGGCATCTAAGGCAGCGTGTCGGGAAATGCGGAGAGGGGGTCTGTGATTTGGTGTTTCCAGAGTTTGGGAGTTTGAGGGGGTTTTGTATTGATCTTGGCCGTTTTCGGTGATCCCGATTACGACGGCGTGCGGCAAGGGGAACGATTCTACGACGGCCACTGAGCCATGAGATACCCTTTGCGCATTTGAGGATAGGAGTTGAGGGACTTCACACACAGTTCCTAATATAATCTCATCCCTTCCCATTCTAACATGATACTAAGTGATATGTCTGATCTTAACAGGGCTAGTATATTGTGAACTAACATCTGAAGTGAAAGCCGACGACGAGATTTCCGAAGCATAAATGTACATCGTGAAGAATCCTGTTCGACATCACAAAATTTCGAAGGTCTGTAGTGCCGAGGATTGATTAGATAAGATCCCGGCTGGGTGGGGCCGTACAGAATTACCTAATCCCGACTGGTGCTGAGTAAGCATCTGGTTCTAGTATTTCGGATAGATCCGAATCGGACATACTTCCGGTGAGTCCGGTGAGTAATGCCACCAATTCATAAAAACCAATGCTAACTTAAACAGCTTTAACCTCACTATCGGCGATAAGATCCTTCTCCAAAATGATAAACCGCAGACCCTCAGCCAGAGCAATACCCTGAATCCTCTCATAAGGAAACGGCGTCGTCTCACCCGTCTTCACGTAACCACAACGTTCATACCACGCGATAAGTTCCTCCCTCGTCGAAAGCGCATCCAAATCGAGTCTCCTAGCCCCTAACGTCTGCCTGCAATAATCCTCCACATACGCCAGGATATACCTTCCAAGCCCGCGTCGTTGATACTGCTGATCAACGGCAAACATAGCGAAGCGCGCGAGGTCAGCATTGCGCTTCACAACCTGACAGCACGCCATCGCGGCATCATCGACGTCGGTGGCGATCAGGATCGCGCTATCGGGATTAGTAATCTTATCCACGATCTCCTGGGTATCGATACGGAAACGCGCGTTTAATTCCATGTCGGCTGTCCAATTCTGTCTAACATCCACGGCGCGGAATGCTGATTGAACCATTCCTTGAAGCTGCGGCGCATCGTCGGTAGTCGCGACACGGAATTGGATGGTATCTTTGCTCATCCTGATTGACTGTCTGACTTCTCGATACTGAATGCGAGTATTCCGAGACGTTAATTCAGGTGCGCTAAAAGAAGTTTGAAGTAACGATTCAATGTAAACTTCGCAATTTATAGAGAATATATACGCGTCTATTGTCCATGGACAAATGTTGAACAGATGTAATAGGAAGGGCGCCGATAAGGCGCAAGCCACGTTACTTAGAGACATTCAGATCCCAGCCACAATCGTGGCGCAGTCACCCCTATTAATACCAGTTATTTGAAGAGGAATAATAACGATCGCAAACGAACATTGAATTACATCCTGTCTCTACCTCACGATTTATTTCACTGACTTAAACATGTCTTACAACTAAGAATTTTAGAATTTCTCGACCTTTAACGCATCGCATGCTGTAGCACTAATAATAACACATACGTAGTATTTGCTTCGCCATTCCCGTCGCAGACGCAAGTAAGCATTTACTGATATCTAAAATCAACGCCCATTCTGCCAGCAGAATCTTCATCCTAACGCTCGAAAAGCAAGTTTCTAGGCCACATAGGTAACAAGGGTAGCCAGCTGTTGCATACTCCTTAGTCTTCCGACCTCGGGGCCTCTTACTCAAAGTGTTCCACGATCGAGTTCCTTGTATAATCTCGTAAAAGCCGGTCGGTCGGTAATATGAAATAGTCGTCCCTTTTTGGCATTACGAGTACCTCGGACGTCCGATATGACGGGGTTCCGCGATTATGATGAGAGGAACCTGCCCTTCCATCCCCAAGGCCTCTCGTACGAAAGGTTTTTACACCACATTGGAGTATTGTAGGTCTGCGCTGCTTGTGACTCCATAAAGAAATTCTTGGGGGCCTAAAACCGGAGATCGGGATAGAAAGGAGTACTTGGAAAAACCTCCACCGCCAAGGAATACCTTATTAAAGATTCTAGGCAGCTCATTCTCCTTCGATTCTATATCGGTGTCCTTGCTTATTGCACATCGTATCTCTTGCTGTCGCGGCAATGAATTGGCGCGGAGTGATTCTCCAAGCACATTTAATTTGGTTCTGAACATTGGATGCCCTGATTTGATTCCGTTGGCCGACCCTAAGCGTTGTGTTTGGTCGTTGAGGGGATTTGGGAGAGATTGGGTAGAAAAGCCCTCGGGAGCTGGTGTGTTTGCTCCTTGAGAACACCATATCTGGATTTCCTCGTTCGATTGCAGAGGCGTTGCATGGTGTGTAGAGGTTCGCTTCTTCTCATGGCTGATTAAACGAGGTGGTGAAGATTCACATTTACTCGTACCATGTTCTTGTTCGGGTACCCCAACATTCAGGTCTGTTTCTTTCTGATCTGTATCACTGTTCGAAACTTGGCAGTCTATCTTAGCGGGTGATTTTGGCGCGGATTGCCACTTGACATCTTGTAATAGAATGCTTGCTTTTGCAGCAGCGATTACATCGTCGTCAAGGAATTCTTCTATAGGTCTTTCATGCTTCCAAGACATTCCGGGGAACATGCCCCAGTTGGTGTCCCAGATAGAATTCTCAGCCCACTGGTTCTTTACTCTCTCATAAGCCATCGTGCCGATATCGTTAGGGACATTGACATCGTCGTCCCCAGCCTTGATTTCGCTTTCGATTTCCTCTCTCGCTTTCCCTAGGTGATAGATGAATTGATGAAACGGGCGCGAGGCATCACGCTCAAACTTTCGCTCCATTGACTCCACGATGGACCGCTCCGGGATTTCTGTCCGGCTTGTGTTTGGCTTGTTATCGAAGTCGGCTTTATTCTCTACTTTCATTTCGATTTCCGCCGGTTCTTCATGTTTCCATCGGTCACCGGGCTTCGAGCCCCAATTCTCGTTCCAAATTCCCTGTTTGATCCATTCCTTTCTCATACATTCCTTGGTATACTCCCTCGATGATATGCCAGCTGGCAGGACAAGTTTCCCGTCCTTTATTGCATCGCGAATCTTCGACGCCATATAGCTAGTCTGGGCTTTGAATTGCTGCGAAGGGTAAGATGCCGCGCGCTCCTCGGAAATTATGTAGAATTTTGCTATAAGATGTGGATCTTCTGGGCCGACTTCTTCGATGTCGGGTGAATAGGGAGTACCTAACCTAGTCGTGTCGCGTGCATTAAATTCCAATGCGAGGTTGTAGAAGCGTAGTCGATCATCTTTGAGCTTCTCAGGCTGCTCAACTAGAATTTTCAAGGCTTCGTTAAGCTGGAACAAACCATCTCCTTCGATAGTATGAGCCATGTCGATAATATCGGTGTTGTGCTGAAGACGTAATTGATATGAAGAGAAGAATATGGTGGCGATTTATCGTTTTATTAACGAATAGAAGTAGGAAAAAAATGGTAGGAGAGACGAGACGATAAAGTAGGTAAACGTTTATTCGAGTCAGAAGGGTAGGTGGGTTACACCATTAGGCATTGGGGGAGACAAGACCACTAAATGGTGGGGTGCCAGAATGTGGTGCGTGACGTGTTTTGTACTGCGCGCGTTTAAACCTTACCTTATCTTAGCGTATGTACTTGAGCCTGTAACCCTGTAACATTGAAAGCATGCGACATTGCGCGGTACCTGCATTGCCATATAGGTACCTAAGTATCTATCATGGAACCAAAGTGAAGTAACAACCCATGATTCCATCTCAACTACCAAGGAGGAGTTCATAATGACTCCTGAAGTACATTATTAGGCGCTAAACTGCTGGTAACTACCTCAGTGCCTTCCCGGTTTACAGAGCAAGCTGCCTATTATCTAGCCTTATCGGCCAATAAGGTTTGGATATATCGGTTTCCATCCAAAGCTCTTTCCGTTTACAAACCAATGCTGTATTTTCAAGGTAGGAGCTGCTCAGCAGGTTAGAAGGTCCAGACGTAGTTGCACAAATTGGGGGGATGGTAACTAAATTTCATGGATTCTGCTCATGAGTTAGGTCCATTCCCCCCCAATCCTCACACCTCTCCCCTTCAACCTTTTCTCGACTCATCTTCTAAACTCGTACCTCTCATATCCTTACCATTCAACCCCTCCCTTTACATCCACACACTACCCTAGGCAGATCTTGATGCCATTCAACCCTAACATTTCTATAACTACACCATTAATTCTAACATAACCTTCATTCACTATGGCGTCGCGTGCCGTTCATCGGCCGGGCCCTCCCCACGAGCTGGCGATAATCACCCTCATACCAACGAATACCAAAGCCCACAAGATTCTGAACCACCATGCCAACTCACACCTTTTATCCATGCAGGGGGATGGTCGACTTGGTTTAGACATCGGTCACGTTCGTTCCGCAAAACCGCGAACCATTCTTGCTACCCTCGGTCGCGACGTGAGCTCGGATATTGTTATGCCATTTGTCGAACTATTCAAGTCGCAATGCGTTTTTGAGCTTAATATAGAGACCAGTACCGTCTTATTTCGCGATTTATCATCATCGAAGACTACGCAAATTGGCGGAGAGGGTGTTGCAAAATTCCATGGTAACAAGCGCACGATCGATCTAGGAAATCTCCCAAACATAACCATCTCTATCGGCCCTTCAGAGCCTACATTCCAGTTCATTGTACGTTGGAACTACGACAAGAACGAAACTCGTGAGATACTTGGCACCCGGGGTGCAGCATCGGTTTCGAAGGGCTACCTAGAGCATCTAGGACGAGCTCTCACCCTAGCCCCTCCCGAGCCGGAAACATTGAGACCCTCGCAGCTAGAGACGGTAGACCCTACACCTGGCGGCCCATTGCATCCTATAGTTTACGAAATCATGAGCCAGAAAGGTTCCGGCGCATTTGGACAAGTTTTTAGCTGCAAATTGAAAGGTGGCGGTATCGCTGCTGTAAAGCAGCTGTGGAATGGACCTGGTAAATATTTCAGCGTCGAGTTCATACGTCGGGAAGTTGATATTCTTTCTCGACTAAGTCACGTACGTCTGAATTCTCCATTTATTGATTTAATATACTAACTCCTTTTTATTAGCCGCACATCGTCTAGTATATTACCTCACAAGGATGGGGTACGCAGATGATCGAAATCTTTATGGGACTCGGCCAAGGTAGCTTATTCGGGTTACTGCATGGGACAACACCAAAAAGGCTTCCTCAAGATCGCCCCTTCGTTGAGTCCGTCTTCAAACAGATGCTTCAAGCTCTCGACTACCTTTCAACTATGAACATAATGCACCGGAATGTCAAACCCGAAAATATCCTCTATATATCCGATCATGAACGCAACCTTTCCTTCCAACTCGCCGATTTCGGGCTAGGTCATCTAGAGCCTCAGCAAGCCAATTCCGAGGTTGGAGCCACAGCTTACATGGCTCCGGAACTTGGAAGGGAGACGCAGAGCCCTAAAGTGGATGTTTGGTCTTTGTTCATGACCATTGTGTGGATCCTCGACATAGAGGATTTCCGTCGGAAGGCGCCGCGAACCATCTCACGAGAGGATTATCATGATATAAGGGACGACGCACTGAACTCACCCTTATGGAAATACAAGAGCATGGTAGAGATTATACCAGCGGACCGTGCCTCAGCCGCACAGATCCTTCTCACATTCTTCGATGGAGAGGGACTCAGCACGCCGCGAAAACTAATTCGCCCGCTTCATGATGAAGAGGAGGGCTACTATGATGAGTCCGAAGCTAGTGAGGGTGGTGATGGCCCCCACTGGGACTATGAACAGGCATAGCCGCAGCCGCAAGCTCGCCGCTAGCCACAAGTTAGTAAATGCCACGCATCATAAATCATATTGTTTTTCGGGAAGGAAATAAAGGAACATGTAGATCAGCATAGGCTCTCAGCTTATTCGTAAATAGGCATTACGTATGTATTTCTGCAGGCCATTAGGGCACATCGGGACATAGAATTGTCCCGCCATGAATTAGAGTATCGCGGCCATTTCAGCCGACGTTGATTTCACAAATCCTCGCAATTGCCGAGCTAACGGCCACTATAGCCGTAGCCATCGTAAGATATAATTTTTATTTGTAAGCTATAGGCAGCTGTGTGTCACGTAACACAAAAATAGGGGTAGCCAAGAGCCATATTACGTATAGAAAGGACGGTACTAATGAGTTCGAAGAAAATCCTCAAAAATAATCAATAATATTTCATTATTTCCCTGATTTAAATATTTTCCTTATACACAATCCGCGATTACTTCGAAATTCAAGGTTCAATGTCGTCGCCAATACAAATAGCACTTATTACAGGCGCTAACACGGGGGTTGGCGAGGCAGTCGCACGATCACTCGCCCTCAAGCATGAATACCACGTCATTATCGGTTCACGCAACCTAGCCGCCGGCACTGCCGTCACGTCTTCTCTTCAAGAACGTGGTTTGCGGGCATCGGCAATACATCTAGATCTTGCGGACGAAGCATCTATCCAGGCCGCGGCCCGAACTATCGAGACAGACTTCGGTCGGTTTGACGTTCTTGTTAATAGCGCGGCTGTATTTCTCGAGCTGGACCCTAGAAATGCTGGGCTTACGTTACGTCAACGCTTTGAGCAGACATTCGTTCCTAATTTGTTCGGACAGGCGGATATCACTGAGGCTGTACTGCCGCTCTTGCGGAAAGCAAGTGTTCCGCGGATTGTCTTTGTGTCGTCGAGGCTTGGATCTCTTGCTAATGCGTTAGATCCTAAGGCTGCGTTCTACGAGAATGACTTCCGGCCTTATAATTGTAGTAAGGCGTCGTTAAACGTTCTAGCTATCAACTACGCAAGGATGCTCGACAATGTAGGGGGGTTGGTTAACGTGGTGTGTCCTGGTTTGGTTAAGACAAGGCTCAGTAACTACGCTGAGGCAGGGCACTCTCCGGAGGTCGGCGCAGAGAGGATTGTACAGATGGCTACGCTAGGGAAGGAAGGACCAACGAGGACGTTTTCGGATAGAAGCGGGCTGATTCTGTGGTAGTTTGGGAGGTTATTTTCTATGTATTTCCTTGGTTCATTTGTCAATCTTTGTGCGTTACCATAATTCGTCTCCGTGTGTATCTACTTTCGGATGATGATTTGTCCATGTAGTTGTGCCAAAACTGCATCATCCCTTTTCATCCATTCTTCCCATCCATCACGCATCTCATTCATCTCCTCTGTTGTAATTCCAGATTTGATGTTTCTCTCCCTTACGATAGGTCCTAAGGCTATACCGGCCATACCCGAAGCTGAACAATCCAGGTTAGTCTAGCGATATACAGAAGTACTGAAGAGATGAGAAGCACTCACCCCAGAATTTCCTATCCTCAGGTTCGGTATAACTCCAGGTGCCGAAACTAGTCATGATTTGACTTCTTTTTGCGCCAGCCCTGAGAGCCCAAGAAAGAAGCTGTCTTCCGGACGTTGCGCATCCACCACGACCTGTGATAAGCTTAACCTCGAGGCTAGATCTATGTATTAGCAGCGAAAAGGATGCGATTTAACCAGTGTCATACTCAAAGTGGAATTTCACTACCCCAGGGAGTGGAGGCCATATGACTTCTGTCTCAAGGTCTCCTTCACGAGCAGCTACTACGCCACCAGGTTTAGTGACGCGGAGCATTTCGCGAAGAATCTCCCATTGATCCTTGTTATGGTTGAGAACCTGGTCATGTTTAGCTCGACAACGATCAAGTCTATAAATCTGAATACTATTAACGAACCTGATGACAATGAACGACATCGAAGGTTGCGTCTTCGAAGGGCAGCTTGTATGCATCTGCCGTTTGGAACGAAATGTTCGTTACTCCCCACTTCTCGGCCACAATTTTGGCCCGAGGAATAACGACAGGATTTATGTCAACAGCTGTAACATGTCCCTCCGGCCCGATTATCTGGGCAAAAGAGGCAGACATTGACCCTGAGCCAGCGCCAACGTCAAGGAGCTTTAAGCGAGGATTGCTCTCTTTCATGGCATGGAGTATGGGAAGATATTCAGCGGATTTGGCGGCAGTGCGTATTTCCATGAACTTGAAGACATCTTCCGGAATGGTACTCCAGTTGAGTTTCTCGGATTCAGGGGGAGGAACGGACGCATCTCCCCCCCTTTTCGCCCGTTTGAGAAATTTGGGACATCTTCTGTTTTGAAGGCCGATGGAAGAAAGCGAACTATTACATGAATAGGTTTTCACACAATGAACATATTAGAAGTCATACCTAGCTACATTCGGAGCTTTCGATATTGGCGGTCAAGTTAACCTTTAAAGGCAAGCCAAGAACTCCCTTACATAAAATAGGCGGGGGATTCGTAACAAGGGAGGGTGAATGTCTTTGTTCAGACTCGGCCTCGCTCAGTCACTACGAGGGCGAAAGCTTACATATTTATCTTAGAAGATAATATAGCCGGCCTGGCAGGCTTTTCTCGCAGTCAGTAGTATTCTCGTTAAGGACATCTTGATTGTCACGTGATGAAGACTTCTTGATGATGTAAGCTTCAATGACTAATACCGTGATATATACATACCACCCAGTAGACACATGCTTACTAAATGTATTCTAGTATACCATGATACTTGATTATCCAATATCTGACTCCAGCACATAACTTATCCGAATAAGGGAACAGTGTGCCTTCTCTACTACCCATATGCTTCTAACAATAAGAAATAAAGGTTTATGATCATCATTACTTAACAGGAAGTAAGCCTTCTCCTTGTCTTATAAGAACGACATTGGAGGGAGTATTCAAATGCTTATCCCTTGTGGTATAAGAGGTGAAGCTAGGCAAGGAACAAGACGGGTACACAACTGCAAACAGAAGTTTAAATAGCTGGCGATTCAGTTCCTGATACTAAATAGCCTTTACGACGCTTTGAAAGACACAAGCCAGACTCCCGTAACTTGCTTATATAGCACTAGCCCGGACTAGGCTTAAGCATCCCCTCTTTTACCAAAACCTGCCGTTCGGCGAAATTTGGAATAACTTTTCGAGACGCGTAATCTTATAAGAATATTCTAATGTGATTGATTCTGCTGGGTTCATAGAGAAGGTGGTAGGACATTGGAAATTGGGAATGCCTTCGTTCATAGCCGGGCTCCATTGGACCAATCTACTTTTAGACTAATGCTCTTTGATACTCCTCATAATCACGGCTTTATTCCTTGTCCATGTCCATATTATCCGTCGATCCGCACCCCCATGGGATAGATCCCGATGAACCCCGCTGGGGTAGCCAAGCGTCCCTGTCGCATTGAGGTGCAGAAAAAACGTGCCGATGCTACAGTCCACCGCGCTAGCTCTTGCCGACATTCATATGTTCGTAGTACATAAATGCTGCCTCTGGTAGGAATTATTAATGGGTGGGTTGCCTTGAAGTGATATTCTAGTTATCACCTTAGTACGTCAAGCTAGGTAACTAGATCTTTTTATCTATCATGCAGGTGCCATTGGGTGTTCCACTCGCGCTTCTTACTGGGTCAGTTGCTGTTGCAGCTGAATGTACGGTTGATGTTTTCACAGAGATCCTGAAGAGCCATCCCAATGCCACGGTCAATTTCGTTGAAGCCGTTTCGCAGAATGGTAGCTTCGGTCAGGGTGCGATAGATATACCGTTCCCATCCAACGCAACAGGACTCCCCGCTTTATGCGCGGTGAGTATCAATGTGAAGTCTTCTGAGAACTCCTCGTATAATTTCGGCCTTTTCCTCCCTGACACAACATGGAATGAACGGTTCATGACTACAGGCAATGGTGGGTTTGGTGGTGGTATTAACTGGTAAGAATGAAGCTCCGCCGCGGATTAGAGATGCCCTATCGTCAAGTTCTAGGTGTTCGTACGCAAGCATAGCTAACATTAACTTCAAAAACAGGCCTGATATGGGTGTACTTTCACAGGTAATCCTGCCAAAATTACTCCATGTGTCCTCCGACTAACGGCTATGATTAGTATGGGTTTGCTACCATGTCAACTGACACTGGCCATTCATCTGGCGTTGACGACGGCTCTTGGGGCTTGAACGCTCCAGAAAGTCTTATTGACTGGGCTCACCGGGCGATGCACGGTTCTATCGTGCTAGCTAAGGTGAATATACCTTAGTCTGTAGCTGCTCTACCACTAACAATGAAGTGCTAGGAAGTCATTAATGCCTACTATGCGACTTCGGAAGGGATCAAATACGCCTACTATGCTGGGTGTAGCACCGGAGGCCGCCAGGGCCTTAAGGAGATTCAACTATACCCCGACTCATTTGACGGGATATCTGTAGGAGCCCCGGCTTGGTGGACCGTCCATCTCGCAGCTAACACATTGCAACTCGGGCTCTCCAATCTCCCTGAATCAGCCCCTGAGCATATTGACTCCTCGATTTTCCCAGCTATTGTTGCTGAGATTGAAAAGCAATGCGATCCTCAAGATGGCCTCGTCGATGGCATCATTAGCGACCCATACGGTTGTAATTTCAATTATGAGGCGCTCCTATGCACTCCCGATTCGGATCCGGCAACATGCCTCACGCCTGCACAACTTACAACTGTGTATAAGTTTTATAATCCCTGGGTAGATGTTGATCAAACTTATGTCTTCCCAGCTATAACTCTTGGGACCGATCCATCCTTCTCGTTAAGCTCTGACATAACAGGACTCGGCCCTGGGTTGTTCCAATACTGGATATATAACGATAGTAATTGGGACTACACAAAATTCACGTACAAAGATGTCCAATTCGCAGATTCGATCAATCCAGGTCACGCGACAGCTGACAATTTCGATTTAAGTCCGTTCCTAGAACGAGGAGGGAAAATATTGAAGTACCATGGGGGTGCAGACGCCTTGATACCCACAGGCAGTAGTGTTCACTTCTACAAGCAGGTACTGCAGACTCTCATTCCTAAGGGCGTGAATATTGACGATTTTTACCGTTTCTTCTTGATACCGGGTATGAACCACTGCGCAAGCTCAACCCTCGCCCCTTGGTATATCGCCAGCGCAAGCCAGTCAATTAATGGCTTGACACATTCTGTGCCGGGATTCGAAGACGCGGAACACGACATCATCCTATCAATGATGAAATGGGTTGAAGAAGGGAAGGCCCCCGACCAACTAATCGCAACAAAATTCGTCAATGATACTGCAACGTTAGGTATCCAGAGCCAGCGACCGCTTTGCCCTTATCCGAAACAAGCCAAATACGTTTCGGGTGACCCTGATGAATCAGCCAGTTGGGAATGTAGAAGTTTATACTGAAGATAGCGTCGTCAAAGCATATAATGACATATACGTACCCAGGCGCCTAAGCACACGCCTAATCCAAGCTGCCATCTTCAAATCTGTACACTATCAGCTAGGTTATAGGTACTTATGTTGAATTTGACTGCGAAAGCCGCAGGCTGTACCTAACACATCATAGATCATGTGAACTAGCTAAAATCGCAACACGCCGTAGTAAACGCCCACCACCAACCTCGTGTCATCACCACGTCTTCCAGCTTTAGCTGAACCTCATATCGTATCAACCCTCCCAACCCCCCCCGAATCCTTTTGGTAGAGAAACGTTTCCCCATGTGTATAGCCTGCGATGGTACCTTTTCCCACCACCCCCCTATGCAAGCCAGCTAGGGAAAGGCCTGCGATGCAGGCTTCATACGAATAGCATCGGGCTGGAAATATAACCGGGCCTTCGCCTCGGTCGCATCCGTCGAAATGCTCTGTGGCAGGGCTTCCCTTATAAAGAGCTCTTGAGAGCCACATATAAGACTTCGGCACGCGCCAAGATGGAGCCGTTCGCGTCTTCAATCCAACCTTCTGAGAGATACTTTCGACCCTCAACCTTCAATATCCGAGCCTGCGCTAAAATAGTCGCGCAAGTAGGAACAGGCATCAAAAATGTCGTGTTAAGATAAGCCGTCATGTATGGTACATCAGGAATGAAACCCCTTTGTTGATTTACCGGGATAAGAAGGTTGGTAACTTCATCTAGAATCGCCGATACAATGCCTCCGTGACACACATCTGGATATCCGTTCAAGCCGGAGCCCAAAGTGATGAATGTTTTAAGAGAATCCACGCGTTCGGTAGGTGATTCAGGCTCTTCATAAACCTCTAGCATCGCTAGTATAGTGCTTTGCGATTTCAAAGTTTCCGCGTATAAAGAATCTTCGCCATTTGGTTTTACTATTCGACTTCTTGGCGATCCAGTGATGATCCTTGAGCCGCGAAGATGTGGAGCACACCAAGGAATTGAGGCAAAATGATCATAATCGGAGTTTTCACTCTGCGTATCGGACATTCTAATTTCTGTCGGCGATTATCGCTTTGCCTAGGATAATTGATACTAAGTGATGAGCTTTTACTCGTGAAGGAGGATGAAGTCGGGATTCAATACCCCAACCTCCCGGAAAGGCGTCAGACTAAGTGGCTACCGTGCATTTACGTACAGTATCGACTGTGTCGTACAAAAGGTGAAACATGCACAGTGTTCAGGTCTTATTCGTACATGCTTACACAGTTGGCACGCCCCTTTTTCGCTTAGCCCCTTGCATTATTTTTATCCTTGTATTATAATTTTATGGATTCAAAGCACTGACCTCCCTTTCCTCTACTTACACAAGTCCACAGATATCATTGTAAGTAAATGCGTCCACTTTAGCTAGAAACATAAGTAACCATTATAAATCATAGTAACAAAGTATCCAAAGCTGTGCCTTTAATTCTAATTCATGGATCCGTTATATTTATGCCTTAAAAACTACCTAGGTATATTTCTCTGCCGAGACCCATAATTACGTGCCGGCTCCGGGTGTCCACTTCCGGAAAAGTGGGGCCATCTCCAAGCTGGCCCCGGGATATTACCCATCTAATGAAAGGCAAAGTGACATATTAGTATGTAAGGTCTCTAACAGTTAAAATAGCTTAACGCCGCTTTGGAACCATTCCCAACGCCTTACTCTTCCTTTTGTCTGGGTAGAACGTCTTCCTGAATTGCCATGAGGATTAATTCACAAGGGCCAGCCCACGATAAAGTAGAAAAGGATTCACCACAGGTCCAGACCAGTAGGTGTATGACGTTAAGAAACTTATCACAAAACAGGCGCTTTCATGATATCATACTTTCAAGGTGTCAAAATCCCAATACTACATATGTACCAACGCGGTAACCAAATAATCAGAGCCGCAACGGTAAGTTGTTTCTTTATTTAGTTTTTTAGGTTGGTTCATTCGGTGTATTATGAGCGCTTCGGTATTTACCACAGTAAATCTTATATATATTGGCATTAGTGATGTAGTATGATCACCTAGCTAGGTTGGAACTGGGATTAGTTCCCCAGGATATTAGATTGGTGGATTGTGGGAATAACTGCGGCACATGCGGCAGATACATGATTAACCACGTGCCAGACATTTTGGAACACAGCATTAAGACAAGTATCAAGAATAATTGAATTAAATTGAAGCTTAATATAAAAATAGTATAGACAAAACTTGTCCTGATACTAGAAAGTCTGGATTGATCGTCGTGATAGGCAATGCCGATACTCAACTTATCAACACTAGCTACAAGACAGCAAAAGTCATATCTGTATAAGAAATGACATTTTGCGACTCAAAAGTTTCGCTCCAGCCCTTTCTTGCCTTTTCCTAAGCTCGACCTTTATAAAGATAAACTGTGCTGCAAACAATTATCTGCACTCCTGAACTACTTCACAAGCACGATGCACAGAGATTATAGAACAAATTCTCCAAGGGGGCTTCCAACAATCCACGGATTGTATAGCGCAATCGCCGCGGACCAACCTACCCATAACCCTACGAAATATACCGAGGTGCATATCCTCTATAGCATCCTCGAACGAGTATTCCTTACATATTATATATACTCGAGAGCTCCTCCCGATAGTTACACATCCAAACATCAAGAGGTCATCGCTACCAACCACACATTATCACCAAACAGAACATATTACTATACATTTCGAAAACTCAGCACTATAATTATGAACATTATTCTGACAAACGTATTGGCAACCGGCGCATTGCCAGTCGGATCGGTAAGCCGCTTAACTACATGGAGTATCTATACTCGGTTTGTATTCTAACAGTGGGAGCAGATTAGAAGCAATACTGTCGCTTTAGAGCCATTAGCGAGTCGTGTAAACACGTCCGGAAGTCTCCTTCCCTCGAGACAAGATGTCGACCTAAGGGATCCGATTTCGAATACCCCCAGGAGTTACCGAAGAAGCTCGACTAGGCAGCCGCCAAACTTAATCGACTCCGAGATTCCCACATACGCCCAGCCTAACCCCTTGGCGGTGACTAGAACAAGCAAGACTTTCATTCCGCCATCAAGGGATGAAGTCCATAATAACTTCATTGCGAAAAAGGCAGAAGAGCCATCAGATTCAAAGATGCTCTCTTCGAGTCCCCTTTCAGGTCATGTCTCTACTTTCGAGATCAAAACCGAACTGAGCAATCTCGCATGCGCTCTTCCTGAGCAAAAGCCACAAGCTCTTGATCGTGGACACGCAACTTCCAACGTAAAACGATTTGAAAATCCGACATCCTATGCCAAGAATAGTCAAAAAGAGACATCTAGGCTTGGATTCATTTTCACCGGACGGTGTTCGGGATGGTTAACGATAGGGAAAGACCTTCTTGAGAGGTTCCCCATTGCTGTCCAACAAGTGAAATACCTGGATGGAGTGCTACGGGACCGTCATGACCCTCCTACTTGGAGTTTATATGGTGAGCTAAAGTACCTAAGGAATTTTTTATGTATATATTTGCTAACTGTTTGGGTGGCGAATAGACGAACTCAACAGAACACAGAGTCCTGAACACCTGCAATCGCCAGAAGTTTCCGAGTGCCTCGTGACTGCTCTACAACTTGCAGTTCTCGCGATACTTAAGGCTTCGAATATAGAATGTCGGGCTACTGTTGGTCATTCCACCGGAGAAGTCGCTGCAGCCGTAGCCGCTGGATATCTTACACCTGAACAGGCGGTTAAGATCGCATACTATCGAGGCAAAGCAATATCCGAGGCCGAGCGCTGCAGTCCGATAGGTATGATGACTGTTGGAATCAGTTCCAGGGACATCTTCCCGTATATAAAAGGAACGACAGTCGAAATCGCCTCTTACAACAGCCCGGAGAGCCTCACCCTGTCCGGAAACGTACCTGAACTCACACAGGTACGGCGCGATATCAAGTGTGACGGCTACTCTGCTCAGCCCCTCCAAACAGACGAGACATACCACTCGCGATGCATGACTGACGTCGGAGTCAAGTATATGGACTACTTGGACAGATACGTCGAATGGCCAATGAACGAACAGCGAGCAGCCATGTACTCCACTGTTGTGAATAAGCGCATAATAAACCCTTTACGGTCTTCGTACTGGGTGAAGAATATGAGGTGTCCTGCTTTATTTCACCAGGCACTACGGCAAATGATTAAAGAGGAAGCTGTGGACTATCTCGTTGAGATCGGTCCAAGCAAAGCATTATTAAGCTCGTTGAATGGAATCTAGAACTCCAGATGGTCGGGTTTAAAAGGGGGATGGTGGGGGCTGTGTGGGGGAGGGGTAAAGTTAGGTCGTGGGGTAGAAGTGGGACATTGGTGGGGGCGTCACAAGAGAATCACTACGATCCAACAGTCTTATAGATTATATACTATAGAAGCTCGTATACCACGCGGCCATTGTACAGGAGCTTGAACCAGCTCTCCGGCTACATATGCTAATACATGCCCTACTTAACGCCTATTCATAGAGCTGAATTGACGAAAGCTACCTCGTCCCTCTTCATTTTCTCGGCGAGAATTGGAGCATAAGCGGCGTACAAGTGCTCGTAAATGTATCTAGCGTCTCATTCTTGAACTTCTCGCCCGTCTCTCCCGGTGCAAGCGAGATATCGAACTGTTGAACGAGTTTCGAGATTATAATGCGTAGAGATAACACAGCTAAGTTCTTCCCAGCGCAAGTGTAAATGCCTGTGTGAGTGTTAGAATCTTGCCCTTCTTTTATATCTCCAGTCCAAGTAGTGAGTGGATATAATCCAGACTTACCAGAACCGAATGGCATATACGGTGCTCCTTGCGTTTCCATCTCCTCGAACCGCTCTCCGAACCTTTCCGGTATGAATTCAGTAGCCTGCTTCCAATAGCGTGGATCCGTCTGGATTCTCAGAGTCGGTACAAAGACGTTGATATCCCCAGGGATAAACTCCTCATCTATCTGGATACCCTCTGGTGGCGTTACCCGATAAATACCGCTCATTATGGAAGGTCGTAGGCGCAGCGTTTCGTCGATGATGTTATCTATATACGTGATTGGCTTCACTTTTCCATAATCCCAGCTCGCTGATGTAGGCACGAGGGCGTCAATCTGAGCCTGTAGCTTTTTCTGGACCGAAGGAGATTTCGCTAGGAAGAACAGAGCCGCTGCCAAAGTTGATGAACTCGTATCACTTCCTGCCACGACAAGGGAACGGGAATCTTCATTCAATGCGTCTTTAGTGGGTGGAGCCGAGATATCCTTGTCAATTATCGCCTTTAGAAGCCAGGACAAGATATTATGGGGGGTTTTCTCCGAATCGAAGTTTTCAAGCCTCTCTTTGACTGCGGTGTAGCAATAACTGAAGAATGAGCCATGTCCTGATGTCGAGCTTGGAAGTCGTGCTGCCGCATTTAGGAGCCACGGGATAAGGTTCACTGCGCCGAGTCAGTATCTAAGACCATGAATTCTCGATCGTCCGACGAATTCGCGGCTCGCTTTGACGATCTGATTAAGGGGGTAAGGGAAAACACCTGGTGATACTTACGTATACCCAGAATGTACATATGGCTGTGGAGATCCTTAAGCGCTCCGTGTTCTTCACCGTTCGAAACGCAGCCGAAGTCTTCCCCCAATCCAACTTCGCCCATGATATCGAAGGTGATGTACGTCGACCAGGCTGTTCCATCCACGAGCCCGTTCCGGTGGGAAATTTGAGAGACGAGCTTATCAACGAGGGCCTCGATCCGCGGCTCATAGCTTTGCAATGCTATAGTTCCAGCGTCAGCCATATTCATTGTCACTACTTCGTAGGTAAAGGACTGGAAATCTTACCTTTGGTTGAAACGCCCCGATCCCATGCTCTGCGTCTATGTCGGTGATCATCGAAGTCCCGCGAGCCGATGACTGAAGATTTTTTGGAATCGCTATTGTTTTGACCGTACCAAGTTGATTTGAGACATTTCGTATTTATACCATAGATGGTTGGGACCGCCGACTTTCGGATGATGCATAGCTCTCGTGGCCCTGGCTAGATCTTAGGAACGGGGGTTTGAGTACAGAGAACGCGCCGACATCACTTACCTGTGCGGATGAAGTCTCCATACTCATCGTGCAGTTTAGCTATCTCCCTATAATACTTCATATATTTGGCCACTCGGCGCACCAAGAAGAAACGAGAGATACTCAAATCAACTGGGCCCGGGAATCGACGAAGCCGGTGGAAGAACAGCCTATAAGTGACCATACTAGAGAATAATCCTATGTTGAAGAATAGCACGAGCATGAATATTCTTGTGACTATCTCTAGAGTGGAGAAACCGATGACGGAGTATGCGGAACCAAGGCCGCAGACAGCCAGTGCGAAACCTGCAAAAGTCGGATTCGCGTAATATTCTATAACCACCATCTGCGGAATCGTGATATGAAATAAGACGCCCAAAAGCATGCCCGGTACGGCGACTTGGAAGGCATTTCCTTGGGAAAATAACCCGAAGCCATTGAAGGCTTTGAAAATCAAGGAGTCCATGGCAGGAAAGAGGCAAGAGAAGTTGATTGAGTACTACTCCAACAACGTCCACTCGTTCGAGCCATCGTGGGATTCGGTAGGATATATATGTGATGAGTAATCGTCAGAATGAAAACGCGACGTTAGTATGGCATCTTTGGACCGTAGTAATGTTCAGCTTAGATCTGCTATCCCGTCGTTTTTTATCGGTTCTAGATCCTCAAATAAACCCCGCACCGCTAGCTACAGATGAGAAGCGCCATCTTGTACGACTTGCACAGTTCGCTCATATCTGCTATGTGGTTACACAGATGTGGTGTTCCTGGTCAATTGGCAGTGAAATGCTACCCTAGGTGGCGCCGGATCCCTCCAAGTGGTTATGGATGGGCAGCTTCGTTCTCGTTATAATTGTGATAAGCATTATATAAAAGTTTCTGCTACTACTTTAAATCAAGAATAATGATACTAGTCGACATGCCGGGTAGCGAATCAACTGTCAGCTGATCGTTCAACAACTTCCATGATAATCCACCGAACGGGATTGAGGAAATACTTCCCGCCTGAACAGGTAACGCGATGGAAAGTTGGCCTGTCACGTCGTCGTATGCCCCATTGACCACGCTGATCATTGCCTGGGTTCCTCGTACCCAGTAAGCCGCATCAACAAGATCTTGATTAGCGACATCTATCTTACCGGCAGGTTGACTTCCGAGTAGGAAATCTCGCACAGGCGGCTGAGTAATCACATTCGACATCTGTGAGTGAGCATCGAATAATTCTTGACTGGTAGGCCAGGTCCACGCGAAGATCCCCGTAGCGCCTCGATTGAAGGCGAGCGCGTTCATCGCAAATGCTTCGGCGGGAGTTGGATCACGGGCCCAATAATCCTCACCATGAAAAGCTTGTGGGTTGTGGAACTTGGGAAGCGGCCAACGACCAAGCCAGCGTTCATACTGGACCAATCCATCAAGACGGTGCGACACATCCTGCACATTTCCAGCGCAATTATCGCAGCCACAATCACCTAGCGTCGCATTGCATGCAGTGCCCCACTTCGAAAAAGTGCTATTAATCGCGATAGGATATGGGTCCTGCATCAAGATATCTGCACCGGCTGAATATTCGCCGAAGTAGTAGTCCTGGCAGTTGAGGGTAACGGCTACGGGATGGTACGGATCCAGCTCGTGGATAAGCTCTTGTGCCGCAGGCGTAACATCAAAGGGGACTTGCCAACCATCAGGCCTACACGTGGATAAGATTAGCATCATTAATATATCATAATACCATAATATGATTATATATTGATGTGTGTGGAGAAACTGAGACATTGATAGAAGGAGGGGCTTACTCATCAGCTGTCCAATACGCGAAGAGTGAGCTATGCTTTTTAGCTATATTCACACGCTGGGTAACCTCAGTTAGATTTTTGTACGAAGACCGTAGATCGAACATGAAACGCAATGTTGACGCGTCCATACTCTCGTATACCGGGTTAGTGTCAGCGAAGCCAGCTAGGGAGATTATGGCGTTAAGACCCTTGCCATCGTTAGAATACTCGCTCACAAATGCCTCGCTCTCCGCTGTGCTGTTAGACCCATTGTATAGGCCATAGAACCCGTACGGTAATAATGGGACGAAAGCGCCGCCTGTTTGAGGGTTCCGGAATAGTAGGCCGCCATTGAGATTGTCAATCTTAGTTGCACTTCCCTCCGGGGCGATATCTGGCAGGTAACGGAACGAACTCGTTGCTGTATACTTCTGGTTCCCGGATCGTGATCCACCAGAGAGAACGACGTCATATGGCGTCGTACTTGGCTCGAAGCTGGATAAATCAAAATCGAAGGTGGCGCCCGTGGCGTTTATCGGTATGCTACCTTCAACTAATGGCGTGCTGGTATTACTGGCGGACTTCGGACTAATTGAGAAGAATAGCTCTGTGAATGGCTCCGTTTTTGATCCTTGGTCGCCGGTTGAGTTTGTCCAAGGTTCACCATACCAAGGTGATAACGCGGCGTTGACGACGAATGAGCCTTTGGACTCGCCTACTAGGTAGATGCTATATCGCGGCTTGAATTGTACGTATAGATTCGGCGATCCGTCCGCGTTGATTGGAGCTGGCTCTGTGGTGTGACCGCCTGGTTCAAAGGACGGATAACCGGTCTCATACACCTTTCCACACCAACGCGGCCAACCCGGATGTTGCCCAGTCTCATTTTGGGACTGGGAATATACTAGTCTGGCGGCGAGCAAAATGCCGCTAACTATTGAGAACTGTCTCATAGTCGCGGAACGTATGCCACGTAATATGCGTGGTCAGCCAGGGAAGATGTTCGACTTGAGTTCCCGGTCGCAACGCAGGTATCTATTGAACTTGATTTGACAGCCTAAGTAGCTATTTATGTTAATAGATATCAGCACAAACCACCCAAACAAGCTGTCGGCTTCTAAGCTAGCTGAAGACAGAGTATGGGGAAGGAAAACAAGATATAATCAAAGGCCAAGTCCAATTGATTGCAACGTTCCAGATCTGGACTGAACTGCCTGTTTAAGATGTGCAAGGGAGGATTCCGCTGCTGACCTGCCCCGCATAAATTGGAATTGGAATTGGCAAGCATGTACGATAAGTAGATCTTCATCTACTTTTATGCTGGGATTAAATAACAATCAATAATTATGGATGAGGCTGTACAAGGACTCGAACGAAGAATCACCCCGAGGATTCAGCCTTATCGTAATTGAGTCCCCTATAGGATTGAAGGGAATACGTGTCGTAAAGCGTGGTTTGATAATATCGTTCATCGAATGTTCCATCTGTCAGCAAGACCCAGCTGGAAAACGATCTACATGAACGATCATCATGGGCTCCGGGAGCTGAAATCGGTCGCAAATCCTCGGATAAAACTGTCGGTGAGATATATAGAGGATTGAATTAAGGAATTCCTTCACATTGAAAATCTTCACTCGAAGAAATATTTATCTCGACGTGGAACATTGATATCTTGAGGTTGTCGGTGTTTGCTGGTGGACTGATTGCCCATATCCGTACACCCAGCCTCTTGATGGACATACATACTTCGCTCATAATTCGTCAAGGTAGGCCACAACTACTGGCGCAGCGCTTGCAAATGATAACATGGCATTGTGCGAGTTCACAGCCGCTGTATCATCGCTATAATTCCTGGGCGCGTCGTGTTCATAAACGAAAGCTTTGTATTTCATGAAAGTGTTAGATCAACCAGGATGAGTGATCTTGGCGACGGTGGGCAAGACGGTCTTGATGTGTTGTCGGATATATCTTGGGACGCGTCAAACGCGCCTCGCTTTCTCAACGAATGTTTCTCGTTAACAGTTGAGCGAAAGATGAATGTCGTCAGACCTTGGAAATGAAGTTTTTAAATTGAGATCTAGAAGTGAATCCAGAAGCATCTCTTGGTTCAATTAGTTGTTGGTAGCATCATCCTGTTTTGAAGTGAGTCAAACTAAACGCTGGTTCATCCGGGTAGTCAGATATCAGCTTAATGAACGAGATGTGAAAAGTAGTGAGCCATGTGCATGCATTAAACAATTCATAGCCCTTGCTATGTTTTTCGCAATTAAACTATTCTATAGCGAAAAGTTAATCGTATTGTTGTAGATGTAGGTGTTTGTATGTTTTTAGTGGGCGGTAAGCTCTCTTATCTATGGTTATCGCCTAGCAACGAAGTGGGGCGCCGTACTTCAATTGAAGTTTTTTGGCAAAAAAAAGTTGGGACCAGTTCGAGGTGAACACTCTACATCTACCTTCTACCTTACAAAGGACAACAACACAGTTCGACAAATCAGACACAATGGCCGGTCCGAATTCGAAAAAACGAAACCATCAAGATTTTGTCTCTAAATCGAAGACACAAAGACCTAAGAAGAAACAGAAGAAGGTCCCCGAGTACCATAGCGACTCGGACGAGGAACTTTCGAATCCCGAGTTCCGACCTGTCAATCTCCTCGACTCCGATGAAGAAGATCTCGACAATGTCGCTGTAGACGATATACCATCTGGGTCAGATTCCGATTCGGGTTCCGACTCAGACTCAGAGGCTGATGCGCCTACACCTAAATTCCTTGCGAAGCAGCAAAAGAAACCAGTGAAGAAAAACTCCAAGCAAGAGGCCGCCGAAAAGAGTTCAGATGATGAATTAGAAGAGGGCGGCAGCGAAGATGAGGACAATGAGGAGGACGACGAAGAAGGCGTAGAGTCAGACGGCGACCAATCAACAACAAGCCCATCCAAAAAATCCAAATCAAAACGCAACGACCCCGATGCCTTCGCAACATCTATGTCCAAGATTCTATCCACCAAATTATCCAATACACGGCGCGCAGACCCAGTCCTATCGCGTAGCGCTGAAGCACACCAAGCCGCGAAAGACGCAGTCGACAGCGCACTAGAAGCTAAAGCCCGAAAACATTTACGGGAACAGAAGCGCTTGGCGCAGGAGAAGGGTCGCGTAAAGAACGTGCTGGTTGGTGATGTAGATGAGGCTACGGGCGCGCCAGAGACTTCGACGCAGGAAATACAGCAGACGGAGAAGCGGTTAAAGAAGGTTGCGCACAGAGGTGTGATTATGCTATTCAGAGCCGTTCGAGAGGCGCAAGAAAGGGCCGCCGAGGCAGAGAAGGATACGAGGAAAGACGGCGTGGTTGGTGTGCAGAGACGTCAAGAAAAGGTCAACGAAATGAGTCGGCAAGGCTTCCTCGAGCTTATCGCCGGTGGCGGTGGAAAGTTGAGGAAGGGCGCATTGGAAGAAGCTTGATTTTCTTGGGTTGTTCACGTCGGGTCTATATGAAATGATACCAAATATTCATGCACACATGATCTCATTAGAGTTGGGGTTTCCGTTTCCTCTATCTCCAAAAGCCTGCCATCTTACTGACAATATAGTACATTTTATGGCGCCGTAGTTACCCAGACTGGCCCGCTTCATATCACGCCGCTATCTTGCACACTTGTTTTGCACCTGTTGAAATTGTATTGGTACAATTCGTGGGATTCTTCGTATGTTCTTCATACCGCCCTTCTCAAACGCTGGCGGCCAATACTTTTTATTGCTTTGAGCTAAAATCACTCGCTTGTAAATTCCTCGTCATGGAGGGTAGCTTGACTTTTAACCCATCTAGTTCCTTCGTCATTACCACTTGGCAGCCTAATCTACTCGTCTCTGTTAACCCAAATGCCAAGTCAAGCATATCGTTTTCGTCGTCTTCAGGATCGGGCATCTTATCGTAGTAATCTTCGTCGAGAACGATAACGTGGCATGTCGAACACGCACAGGATCCTCCACAGGCTCCCTCCATTTCTAAATCGTGCGCTTGCGCTATGTCGAGCAGGTTATCTCCTTTAGAGACAGCTATTTTGTGTTCCTTTCCATCCTTGTCGATAAACGTAACGTACAGCCTGGTCTAGAATTAGCCCGAATTGCATGACCATATATATCTAGAGAGCCTTACTCTTCGCCAGGTTTCGGTGTATGTATGTGGCCATGTTGGCGCAAAGGAGTTGTGCTAAAATGTCGTGAAAAAGGAACGGCAGCTCGAGGCTGGTATATCGACGGCGAACTCGACTTTATCCTGGTACTTATGGAGAGCGTAGATCGGCTGAGCTGTGAGAAAGAATGCGGGGAAGATAACTGAAGCTTTTGCAGGCTTCGAACAAAGCTTCGAGGCGTCGCCATTGTGTAAGAGCAAGATCCGAGCCTTGCGATCAAGAAACTCGGCGTATTCGGGGGGCGATAAGATGGGATGGAGGGAAAAAAAGAGCGCCACCCAGGTTGTAATGGTCCAGAAGAAGCCCAACGTCAAGGATAAATAGAAAATTGGTTCATGTGGTCGTCTTCATAAACACGAGGCTGTCATTGCGACATTAGTATGTCTAAAGAACCAACGAGCATACGAATTGGAGACTTCGTGCATCTAACAAGAGAGAAAAATACTGGACTAAGAAGTAGTGAAGGTCTCGGTGATGCGACACTACGTAAAAGCTGGCGAATGAGAAGAAAGCGAATTATGTAGATAGCTCCGATTAAAATCTTCGAAGGCGGGCCGAGGGGTATCTTAACGACCGACGACCGACAATTAGAATTTCCCTTTCCCACAATTTAAATCCGAGTAATTTTTTTGTTATCTTATCTTATCTTATCGATACTTTGTGACACACTGTGCCAAGGCGTTTACATAATATTATATGATGCATAACACGTATTTATGCAGATTATCATCCCACATGTGCAAATCGCCGATAAACCTTAGCTTATCTAATACCGCCTAAGAAATAAATCAATCCCTCCTCACCGATGCACCGACGATTATGTTTGCAGCTTTACCCCGTCGATGAGCCCACCACCTAATAATAACTTCATAAAAAGGTTCAATTCAAACCCGATATGTCCACTAATAGAGAAGGGGTAAACCCTTTACGACCGTATTATATACCTCCATCCATAGGAGAACAAGTTACCAGCCTCCCCTCACAACCAAATCCTTTCTCCCACGAAAATGCGACAACATCAACACCAAATAAATATGCGTCGAGGGCGCGGGACATATTCTCCGATATAGACTACAAGGACCACTTAGATGATATATCACCGTCGACCATACAGTCTATTAAATCATTGATCGACGAGTTATTATGGAAATACACTTCGGTCATGATGGCCCAGCCCTTCGAGGTGGCTAAGACGGTCTTGCAAGTGAGAATTCAAGATGATTTAGGAGGGTTGAATACTTCGGCTTCCACCACCACCACTACCGCTGCTGCGAAGCCTAGTCCGAGTATTGTTAGCCCAAAGAACCCTTGGTTTGACGAGGTATATATCGAATCTTCTACTATCTAAGACATTAGGCATTGGTGCTAATACAATCTGCAGGGTGCCGAATCCGACTCCGATCCGGAGGAAGCGGCCTACTTTACTTCTAACATACCGAACACTCCGACGCCGTCCACGAGGTCACATAAGAGGAGAGGCTCGTCGCCGACAGACACGGCGAGGATACCTTCTAAACCTATAATACTCCCACATCAACTTTCTTTAAAACGGCCAGACTCCATATTTGACGTGATATCACAATTATGGTCTAAAGAGTCGGCGTGGGGTATTTGGAAGGGAACCAATGCCACATTTCTATACACAGTGCTGCAGTCACTGTTTGAAAATTGGTCGCGTAGTCTTCTGAGTGCGCTGTTAAATGTCCCGGATCTGGGTTTAAAGGATGACGTCGATAGGCTGATCGACATTGCCTCTCCATATCCCTGGGCCTCGCTATGCGTCGCTGCCGCTGCCGCAGTTGCGACTGGCCTTATTTTAGCTCCGCTCGACCTCGTTCGGACACGATTAATTATCACATCCACGGGGCGTGGCCCACGTCGGACTCTTGCGTCTCTACGATCGCTGCCGTCCTGGTTTTGCGCACCTTCCCTCATTGTGCCCACCATCCTTAACTCTCTAGTTCACCCATTCCTCACCTTATCGACGCCTCTCGTTCTCCGCTCGCAATTCTTGATTGATCGCGAGCTATCCCCAATGACCTTCTCGGTCGCCAAATTTTGCACCTCTTGTGCCTCTTTATTCGTTAAGCTACCCCTAGAAACCATTCTCCGCCGAGGCCAGGTAGCCGTGCTCTCGGAACCCCTTTACCTGCAGTCACTCGATGAGAATGGAACTATGGATACCATTGTACAGCCTGGGCCGTATAAGGGTGTACTCGGGACAATGTACACCATCGTCGCCGAAGAAGGTTCGCGCGCCGTTTTCGCCGTGCCGAGTAAGTCTCCGCGCGGCAGAAAGGCGAAGCAACCCAAGACTACGGCAGAGGTGGTGTACAGAAAAGGTCAAGGTTTTGAAGGTTTATGGAGAGGATGGAAAGTCAGTTGGTGGGGTCTAGTAGGATTATGGACAGCAGGTGTGGCAGGTGGTGGTGGTGAGGGCGAATTTTGAACATCTTCCCCCAATCCACTTAACTCCGTTATCTAGTAAAGGTTGGCAGTGAAAAGACGAGACGAACGGAGTTCAGGTGTTGATATTGATTTGTGGCGCCCTCTGTGGCTGGCTATTCCCTACTCAGCATGGAATTTATGTACGAAGAAAAAAGCAGATCAAGATCAAGATCACTTCATGAGATACGGCATGATATCCCCCTTATTCGTATTGTACGGACCAGATTCCACTCAGGTGGACCTGTACATATTCTGGAAAAAGTTTATAGATTTTGATTAATTTCAGTCTACTCTCAACTTCAGGGCCTCCGAATTCATCTGATGTAGCCCTGTCTATTTGGCATGTTGATTCATTGGATTTAGTACGTCTAACAAACAGCTATACAGAGTGTAACGTCGCCAAAACTGTGGTAAGTCTATACCGTAACTTAATGACACCAATAGAAGTGTCGTAACTAATCTATAACAATCAAGTATAACACCTTTTATAAGGACTCGCAATATTGGTCAAAATCTAAGGCATATTGATGTTGACGGAATGAACCGGATTGACCACCACTTATTGATCACGTTGTCAAAGATCAGACGAGACGACCTCCCGTTGGCACTAATCATTGATGATAACTTCGTCTCAATATGGTTGGCGTGTTTCAGAAATGAAGAGAAATTCCAATGTAAGGAAACCACGATCTTTCTAGAACTCTACCCCTTAACCCTTCACGATCTCGTGTCGTCGCAGCATAAATGAAGCCGGGGTGTACTACCATTTTCGGCCATCCGAAACGGCTAAAGTGGGTCCGTTTGAGATCGACTCAGGGGTAAGATTTAATATGGGGTCCGCTACCCTGCTTCACATCCCCGAAGCTGATCCCCCGCTGATTTACGATGATTTTCGATTTACATCGCTGGAGATAATGCGACATTGGCAGGTTGAGCCGGATCTATCCAATACACTTTTACGCATGATAGAAACTTCACGATTCGTATTACGTCGGCCACGTCGTGATATCAAAGTGGTTAATGAGTTATAACTGCCTCTTTTGGCTTTAGATGAGGTTGCTTGGGCTTGAATGATTGTTAGAGATTCAAGCATCGTCAACCTCTCAAATTCCCGAAACTACTATCTATTCCAAGCAATATCACTCACATACTACTCAAACAAGGCAGTTTTCCCGTATCGGACCCCATTCTCACGAATAGCCGACGATACCTTCGCGGCTCTGTCGTGGGTCATACCATGATGGGTCCAAAAAGAGCGGCTACCGATGGTGTGGTCAAGCCAAGAGTGAACGCGTCGACCCAGGCCTTTTAATTTAATTTCGGCCTGAGAATTGTTAGAAACCCGGCCCCAAACCCGACACTGAACCTCAATTGGTTGATAATTATCTTCTACCTCACAAATCTCAATCTAATAGATAAGTTAATTATTTATTATTTAGCATGTCTTGAGTCTTGTCGAACGAGCAATTATAAGTTATACATACCTCCTACCTAGGTAGGTAAATAAGGGAAAATAGCGACACTAGGAATTAATTCCTCGTCATGTCTCCGCAACACTTCTACCTCATCAAGATAGTATGTCCGCTATAAGCAGACCCAAATGTCGCATTAACCGCCAAGATGTATCATAACATTCGTCTGGTGTGAGTCCCACAGCGCGCCGAACAGCTGGCTCTTGACCGGTATTATGAATGCGATGCTACCCCAGTAAGTGGCCAAGTTCGGACGACATGGGTGCTTAACAGGTAAGGGGCTCGGCCCCATCGTGAGTCTAAGGAACCAATCACAAAGTTTGCTGTGCCGGTCCCAGTTGTCAAGACACCAGCGTGTATCGAAACCTGCGACTCCATTCCTTTGACGCTTTGGTCAGACCAGGTACAAGTGGATCTTAAACAACTGCAATTATATGATCGTTGACATGGATATACGACAACAGTATTATGACCTTGAAGGTCTATATAACCATGAGTCGCGATACCCTCTGCTAGATCTTCTTGTTCCTCATCGCCATCGCTTTGCGAAGTCGATTTTCATACACATTCATTGTCGTCTCTCTTTTTACCAGTCCTTCTTTTTATACCTCCCGGTGAGAGCAGCTATCTTGATCGATACGTCTTAACTTCGTTTATCACAATTTTGTTCTCTCTACCATTCACTTTCACTAAACAATCAAACTCGACTTTTCGCAACCAGCAAAGATGGGTAACATGAGATTTTCTCCCGCAATTGCGGCTCTTATGTCCGCCGCCACTGTCGCCGCCCACGGTCACGTCGACCACATCGTCATCGATGGACTCTTCTACCAGGGCTACGACCCCACCAGTTTCCCGTACCAACAGAACCCTCCTACCGTCGTCGGCTGGGCCACTTCCCAGACCGACAACGGTTTCGTGGAGCCTAACAGCTTCGCTAGCGCAGATATTGTCTGCCACAAGTCCGCCACCCCCGCCGGCGGCCACGCTCAGGTCAAGGCCGGCGACAGCATCAGTATCTCCTGGAACACTTGGCCCGAGTCGCACAAGGGCCCCATGATCGACTACCTAGCCGCATGCGACGGGTCCTGCGAGACGGTCGACAAGGAGTCGCTCGAGTTCTTCAAGATCGACGAGGTCGGCCTCATTGACGACTCGCAGCAAAACGGCTTCTGGGGCTCCGACGTACTCATCCAGAACAACAACACCTGGCTCGTGCAAATCCCCTCCAACATTAAGGCCGGCAATTACGTCCTGCGTCACGAGACCATCGCTCTACACTCCGCTGGCCAGGCAAACGGCGCTCAGGCCTATCCCCAATGCATCAATCTTGAGATCACGGGAGACGGTACCGATGTCCCCGCCGGCACCCTAGGTACTAAGTTGTACACCCCCGAGGACCCCGGTATCGTCGTCAACATCTACACCACCGGTCTGAGTTACACAATCCCGGGACCCGCTTTAATCGCGGGTGCATCCGCCTCCGTCGCACAATCTTCATCGGCAATTACCGCCACGGCAAGCGCTACCGTCGGAAGTGGCGGCGCTGCTGGCCCCACTGCCCCGGCCGCTAGCACCACTGCGGCTGCAACCTCGGCTACTCAGACCAATGCCGCTGCTTCTTCTCAACAGACGTCAACGGTTGTGGCTTCTACGCCGACAACCCTCGCTACTTCAACTAAAGCCGCGGACCCCACCACCCCGAGTGTCACGGCCACAGCTACCGCGACTGGTGGGGTCAGCGTTCAGAGCTTGTACGGCCAGTGCGGTGGTAGTAACTTTGCCGGCCCTACTGCTTGTGCCGAGGGCGCTTGCAAGTCTTGGAACCCTTACTATTCGCAGTGCGTTTCTTCCGCTTAAGCTGTTCGGAGTTTGCCGTGAGTGTGTACCGATTGAATTCGACGAAGGGAACTAGACTCGACTTTCGAAAATAGATGTAGAGATACGAATTTGTGTGTATATATGTAACACGATCTGGCTTGGATCTGTCTCGGTTCGGATCGGATTGTCTTATTCTTGTATTTATGATTGATACGATATGAATTGAAGTATGAACTTCGCACTTTGTCTTATAATACCTAGGTACTGCTACACTGCGGCGTCGCAAATGATTCGATGTTGCTCCTCGTTCTCCTTTTTGCCTTAGAAGAGTCCCTATATATCTATTAGTCTACCTAGGTAGTTAAGGACTTCGGACGAAGTTAACTTACAGAAGCAATCATTTGTAAGTTTGAATAGTCTCAAAATGGGCTAGAGGTCGGAGTTGGGATGGTTCTGATTGCACCAAATGCAGACAATGCATAACGGAAACTTGGTATCTTGCCCCGGGATTGCGCATTCCTTAAATCGTCGGCGGCATGCGGACTTGGTGTGTAATCTGGGGTGGACGTCATGGCCCGATTGATTCCGGAGTTTTTCGGCGGTTAGGCACGTCATCGCACGACTCCATTCTCCTTCGTAAACTTTACAGGCATATTAATACTCTCTCTCGCTAGTAGACGGATGGGTCTCTTCTTGTAAACTCACGAAGTTACGGAAATCCGATAAGATATGGCGCATACTCCAGTCGGTTGTTCGCTTCAAGCAAGTCGTTCCCATTATGTGTTATTTTCTTAGCATACCTATCTCCTTAATCTTAAATTACCAATTTGTTCGTATATCTTTATATTGCTATCTTCAGACTACAAGGCCAGTACCAGGAGGAGACCAGAGAATCCACGGCCTTGGAATACACGAGAGGGATCGTTGGTTCTCTTTGATATCAGTAAGCTAAGCTCAGGGGCCCAGAGTCTTCGATTACAGTGCCTATACTGTCTGTTGCCAGATGACGGAAGTTATCGGAGCCAGAATAGATGTGCGGACGATGATTAGCGAAGATCATTGTAAATTAGAAGCAAACAAGGTACAAAGGTACTTAGACGTCAATGACCAAGACTCGATTCCGGGGTAAACGGCGCGACGAGACAACAGTGACCCACCTAGAAGCTTGGATGCCTCAGGCTTAGGTAACTACGTACCTAGGTAGTTGACAAACATATTTTCTCATCCTAGGTTAGAATAAGCTTAAAGATACCTAGGTACCTACCTATCCGCGGATGACGTGCCCCACACCACCTATACAGTGCCCAAGCTTCTCTTAAAATCAGGCTCAAATGCTCCGCGAAATATCTAATTCTAGTGGACAGTGAATAGGGCGCGGGAAATAAGTGGAGGATCTGGGTCCATAAGGCTGATCCCGAGATCACTGATCGTACTAACTTCCCGAGGATCTGGCAATGATCGCGAAAAGAGGTGAAAGTGGGTCCCGTCAAATAATCCGTGTAACGTCGAAAGAAAAGGGGAGCGCGCCAGTATCACGGCACCAGACGTCAAATCAGTAAATGGTACGCGATCAAGTAATTGGAAACAGTGCATACGTTCGAGTTAGTTTAGCCTGGGGGGAATAGTAGCAAACGGAGTAAGATCACGAATGAAATAATAAACCTTCATTAGTGAAAAAAAAAGAGAGCAACCTTACAACCTTACCTAAGTACCTAACAACCTCAAAACCTTAGGCATCTATATCAAAACAATATCAAGATCAATATGCTTCATTTTGACTCTTTTAGGAGTAGTGCCATAACTACACAGTGGTAGGAACGAGCAAACAAGTTAAAGTATGACTCTTCAAGTCGTTCATTCCCCTTATTTACGCGAATTAACACTACCCTAAGGCTCTCAACGCGAATACCAGGCAGTAAACTGTAGTATGACACTTACTAAAGCTCTCAGTGGGTCCAATTCGCGTATAGCTGCTCTTTTACGCGGACAGTAACAGCTATTTACCTAGATAACTACAGTTTTGAGGCAATTCCGAAAGATCAGGACCCACCTACGGGATGTTAGGCCACAGTATGAAGCCTTAGTTCGCCTGTTGCCAGCTGAAATCAGATCTCATGATGGGGTCTAACTCACCCTCAGCACGCGTACTTACCACCTTTTCTACACAACAAGTAGATTCTACACTGTAGACTATTCCCGATTAGTCGAATCAAGAGTCGAAATGCTAGTCTAAACAACCTCACTACGGTTGCTACACCATTTTCCACTTGGTCTGTTCAACGGGTTGCCAGGATCACCAGCTAGAGGGCTTTTCCATATAACTAGGCGCACCCTCAGGTAGAATTCCCTCTCCAGAGACAGATCTCTTCATCTTTACACCAAAAAAAAACTCTCTACACCATCAACCTTCAACCACCAGAATTCCTCACTACCAGAGCTTCGTCTTACTACGAGTTTATCGTCGACACATTGTAAGTTATTCGTTATATTAGATACAAATAAATCTACGGCTCTGTGTATTAACTCATTTGTATAGGTCTTTCTGAACCAACTCTTCAACTCTACCAGCATCCTAACCAGAGTCAAAAGCGATAAACTCACCACATCTACAACCAACCCAAACCACAAAAAAAAACACCATTGTCACTTTCGCGTCGTTGCTTCTGTAAAGGTTAGTACATTCTTACTCGTGGTATTTCTTACAACCAGTATATAGACGAAACTAAGGAATCATTTCTAACTTCTTCATCTAGATGTCTTCTATCGGAATGAAGCGCGTCGCTGCTGAGACCCTCGAGGGCCGCCTGAGCAAGGTCGCCAACCCAGGCCTTTCGATCTCTGAGCTCCAAGCAATTAACGAGGGGCTCAAGAAACGATACCTCGAGGTCTCTTCCAGGGTCAAGAAAGAGATTTTAGATTACAAGCAAAAATCAAGGACACTAAAAGACACGATGGCCCTAATTACCGACCACCACGCCGACATGACTCTCCAGATCGCGGAATTGTCCAACCAACCTGGCGCCCCTCCGGCGGCCCGCGCCTCAAAAAATAAAAAGGCGCTAAACGCAGCCCAAGTCGAGGCTGAAACCCTCCAACAACAGATCGCAATTGTACGAGCTTACAGGGACGGTCTCCAGGGAAGCCTACGGGCCGCGCAGGAGGATGGGCAGAAATGGCAGAATGCCTGCCAGGCCATTGAAGCCCAAAAACAAGAAGTTGAGGCGAAGGGGAGAAATCGTAAGTAATTTCAAGTCATTCATTAACCCTTCAACTTGATACGGCAGTGAGAATTGTCTATCTTAACTAAGGCTATGAAATTTCACTACAGTGATCTACTTTTCGGAATCAAAAAATTGTTCGTTATGATAGTTACTAACTCGATATTATAGTGCAAATGTACATCGATCTGATGCAGCAGTTCCCGCCCCAGCCCGCCGCCAGCGCCTACCCCGAGGCACCTCTACTCCAAGTACTTAACAACCATTACCCTACCGAGGAGGACTTCGGCGAGCTATACGGGCTCGAGGACGATTTAGTCCACAACAACTTCGAGACCATCTCCGGTGCTCCCCCGACATCCGTCGACCAATCGCAAGCTTTCATCCAAGATGCGGGAACTCAATCACAAATGGTGCAGGATAACGGCCAAGCCCCAATTGTCAACCAGGACAACGGATTTCCGGACCTTCTGGATCCCAGATTCCTTGAAATCGATTTCTCCCAAGGTGGCCTGATTCCGGCCGCGGGACCTGAGGAGTCGTTGGAAGCCGAGGAGCCGTTGGAGGCTGGTGAGACGGAAAGTCTCTATAGCCTTTTCAACGACCGGGAGGACGAGCCAGTGGAGGAAGAGGAGAACGAGCCGCTACCCGACGGCCCCGAGGCGGAGAACAGTGGGTCCCAGCCCCTTTTCATTCAGGGGCTTTTGGCTAGACTGGAGGCCGGCGAAGACGTAGGATTTGACATTCCCGGTATCTAGTGGCGAGGGGGTCCCTTAAAAAGACCACCAAAAAAAAAAAAAAAAAAAACTACTGGGTGAATCTGTGGATTGGGGTTCAGGATATTGAGAAGCGTGAGATGCTACGGATGAGATGAGATTGGCCATACCGGGCATTTGATTTGGGAGTTTATGGATTTCGTTACCTTGGCCACGGGGGCCATAGCGTGACAGGGGCTGGATTATTGTTTTTTTACGGGCAACAATGGAGTACCGAATCCATCTTGCGCCGTACTGTGGAGGATCTCGAGGAAACGTCGGATATATTTCCAGCCTCAGTCCTCATAATGCTAAACACCTTTTAGCACACTACTTTGTTTTCCGTGATTTATCTAATGAAATGCTTAAGTGAACCTAACCACGTTGTCTAATTTCTCAGGTAAGCGAATAAGGGACGTCTAAACGACGACACGGGTAACACTCGATACATTTATGAGGATAAATTCTAAGTATTCAACTTCAACTAAAGAACGAATATCTACATAAATTTAAGGCTGGCAGAGTTTCAGATTCTCAGCGGCACCGCTCTCCTCGCCTTGAAGATATTCCTAGCGCTTTCATCATATTCGGGTCGGACTAGTAGTAGTTTACATGTCCATCTTTCGGCCGGGAAGGCTCGTGAGCCCTAAAGAGGTACAACGCATTAGCCGGGTTCATTTTGATAAGGGATAAAACAACTTACATCCGTCGATCTCCTCGTTGACGGTGCTCTTGATAGTGCATTGGTTCGCCTGAGCGACGCTCTGGGTCGCGATACCGTTGCTAAGAAGGGGCTGAGAGTCCATGGCGCGCTGTAGAGCATCACCCTTCCAGCCGAAGAGGTAGTCGCCGTGAGTGCCGTAGCCAACGCTGTCCCTAAATTGCAATCAATCAGCACCGAGTGGGAAGGTAAGTCGCTCGTTGTTGTTCTAGACTTACTCGTAACTCCAGACGAAGGGCTGAGAGCCATCCTCGGGCCATAGAGACTTGTCGTTGAACATGGTGGTGTTCCACATCGTCTCGAACGCTACTTGGGGAACACGGACCTTTGCGCATGAAGAAACTCTTGTTAGCAACTCATTCCAGAATTGTATAGCTTCTTCATGAGGTTGTAAATAACCGCCCCATGTATCCTAAAGACAACCGACTGAAGTGGGAGGGATGCTCGAGTATTCAAGATAAAAGTTGGGCGTTTATACATACAGGGTGCGAAGATGGGCAAGCACCAGCGGTGGTGAAGCCACCCTTGTTGGTGTTGTACATGTGGTCTTGGTGGTTGGGGCTGTCGAGGTTCTTGCCATCCCAGCAGCTATGAGATATGGTCAGCGGATAGCGAATACACATATAGAAAGGAATACCAACGCGGGGAAGTGGTGGATGGCCATGATACCAGCTGGGCACTAGAATATTAGGATTAGTAATCGTATGTTACACAACAAAGCTTCTATATCACATACAGGCTGCTTGGGGAACTCGGCGGTCTCGGGGAATCGAGTCATGACGTCTTGCAGACAGGTGTATCGGAGGCCGGGGTTGGTGCCGTCCTTGCTGTTAGGAGTTCCAACTGTCATTCGGAAACCCTATTGCCATTAGATTATGTCAACTGTATACTTGGGTACATAAGGGACGTACGGGCTTGAAGGCAGTGATCTTCTGGTTTCCGTTCGAGTTGAACGACTCTTGGATGTAGTAAACGGTCATACCACCGTTGATGTTGCCCAAGAGAGCGTTCGGGTACTGGGGCACACGGTGGTAGGTTCCGTTACGGGCCTTGAAGTATAGAACGGCGGTCCAGTAGTTAGAGAAATCCTCGGAGAACGTGCAAGTAGTGCAAGTAGCCCTCTGGCTGGGGTCCTGGCTAGGATCCATAGAAGCGTTGAAGGCATTGCCACCAACGATTTGGTGGAGATGGGCCGAAGGGACGACACCCGGCTCGACGAGGGGGTCAAGACGTTGGACGCTCAACGTGGAACATCCGAATCGGAGGTACGCCTGCGACGGCGCGGCAAGCGCAATAGCGAAAGCAATAGAAGACACCTTCATCGTGAAAAACTGTATCGATGTTGAATTCGATGTCAGTATTGGCGATGGAATAGAGATGGAAGAAGTGCGCTAAGGTGGGCGATCCCTACCCGCCCAACATATATACAATTTAGAGAAACATAACCCCGAATAACAGTCGCTTATGCCGAGTTCATCGGCAGAATACTCGGTGCTGGGTGGTTTATTTTACATTCATCCAGAACAATGTAATTAAGGTAATGGATTTCATAATCATTAGAACCGCTCACCTGTCACACCGAACCAAAACTACGATAGTACTGTCACCAGCACCAGGATGCTGCGGTCAAATTACCTGTTGAATCTAACTATAGAATAGTTCGTCCGTATTGGGGCAGATCTGCCACCCCATCGCGGTGGGAAAGCATTATGTTGGTTGAATTATGAGAATACTGTACTTGGCAATACGGCAATTAGTTGATTGGGTTTCAGTCCCCACACTCCGGGGGTCTCCGTTCCGAGCGGCCGGATTTGTGGCTGCACCCCGGACTAAAATACCCACCCTGCATTATACCTTCTCTCCGACTGCCGGTCATCTTGGATGCCGTCCGGTAAGCATTAATTCATCGTACATGAGATAATTCAATAATTTCTCGTTTATAAGTCCTTATGAGATCAAGTTGTTAAGTAAATCGAGATTGGAAAAGTTTCTAGATACCTAGGTACATACCCTTTATGGTATATTTCACAATATTTCGACCAATCAAATCCAGCGATTCGCAAAAGGGGAAAAGGGGGAAGCCAGGGGCGCCATCATAGGATATTAGAAAATCTAGATCTAAGGGAAACTATTTCAAATACAGAACAGTTGGATGTATGATGTCTGTGTATGATACCTGAAAGTGCAGAAGATCGAATCGACTAGGAGACAAGTGCAGGGAAATTGAAGTGATGGCAACATCAAGCTCCTCAAAACCATTATTCGGCACTTCATTGCCAAGAAATCAGAAAAACTACGCCAGGCTCTCTATGTCAACGATGGGCTAGAAGGCAAAGGCGAAGAAGTCTGAAGAACGGATGGTACGGCATAAAACGTTATTTATCAAATCGAGAAGTCAATAGAAGAATGATGGCAAGAGTCAGTCTAACATAGAATAAAACAGCATCACCTACAGCATATCCGTTCATTGAGAAATTAGATGAATATTCTACGCAAAAGAAACTCTAGATCGCTGAAATCGTAGTGTTGAAGTTGATATAGGACGTTATATTCGGCTTCTAGACGCCCTAAGCGCCTAGGTACGTACTCACACAACTAGTAATGTATTTGAACTTTTTCTTTATTTTTCTTCTTCGCGTTTCGCAATTATGGAAATAGCTTCGTAGATATTACATTAGATTTATATATGCTAGATGTACCTTCAAAGACGAGATAAGCAGGTTCGGATTGATGCCTTTTCTGAAAATTTTGGTATAATTATATCCCGAGTAACTAGCGTACGTTACGCAGACACACCCCTGTTACCGTTGCCCAAGACCATGGCCGGACCAAAACCAAATCACTCGAGAAACCACCGTCACCTATGAATCACAATCTTAGCAGGTACATTGATACGTTCCATTACTTAGAAATCAACTCGGGCCAAACCTAACCACCTCTCCGAATCATCCCCAAACCTACAACACGAGAATATCGAACCCAAACTCCTTGCAGAATTTAACACAACAAGCCATACACGCCTGTCGCCGAACCGCAACATGCGCTCCGACTGGCTTCGCCAACGCGAAAAAGCGCATCAAATTCCCGTCGGCGACCGGCACGACCGCTACAGCACCAGGGCGAGGTTCGTTATTGATTTGCGCGTAGGTTAAGAGACCTCCGAGTCCCCGTCGCGTCGCCTCTTCCGGATTCGCTCTATGTACCCAGTCCCGGAGCCATGGCATCACATCTTCAGGATATACTAAGTATACATCTGGAAGCGTTGGAGTTGGACTGCCGGACTCAACTTTAAAGTCGATGTCGATGTCCATAGGGGTTGGAATATCCATTGGCGTATTAGGATCATGTGGACACTTCAAAAGCTGCTCGGCCGATGCCATATTCTTTATCGCGCCATACGGATCGATAATTGTATCGCCTTTCCCGTGATCGGTCGACCGTTGCACTCCATAGTGCAGAACCAGTTTATCGTTACCATCCCAAAGTATACATTTCCAAAATCCGAAGTAGCTCGGGGGAGGCACCATATCAGACGCGGTTAATCGCGTCGGGATCCTAACCACGCTTCGCAGCATATTATCGCGGTCCGTACGCGAGTCATGGCCAACGATCCTGTGAAGACGACTCCCAGTCTGGTTATCGTAAACATTTCCCCGCTTCCAGTTCATCCGTAGGAAGCTCTCACCATCCGCCGGGATCGCAAACGGGAATATAATCGCCGGCCAAACTGACTGTCCAGCGCAGGACGAGATAATAGTGTTCAGCTTCTCTTCTCCCAGCATCCGCGTCTCTCCGACCAATTTTCGACACACTTGATGCCACTCCACCACATCGCAGCACGCCTTCACCTTCCGAAAGACTCTACAAGTAGCCGATATAACCGTACTCGGACTAAGTTCCGGTGCCTTCCACACGAACGGGTCAGGAGTAACCAACAACCCCTCCGGCTCACGGAATAGCGACAAAGCTAGAGTCGTAGCAACGATATTAGCAATCTGCTCTTCGAATATAGTCACCGAACCCGGATTTGCCAAGGGAGTGAACTGCGTACGAAATAATCCCTTTTGCCATTCCGCAAGTTCACTCCCATGTTGATTTTTACCGAAGAATGCAGCGGTTTCAGGGTGTTCATAAATCCGTTGGCCCATCTTCTTACTGCGCAAATCCTTCAAATGCTCCTTTTCGCATCCCGGAACGAGTTGCAGGATCTTAGTAGCATCATCTCTATTCGGAAATGGCTCGAATCGATTCGAGTTGACCTTAAGTACGTTGTCTTCGCGTGTCCGGTACATCTGACCCAGCCGGATCTTCTTATCGGCAATATCCGAAGTTGTGTAACAAGGCGCACCCCAACGATTCCGCGATACGCATCCTTCGGAACACATCGTCAATCCCCTTTGCGCTTCTAAGAGAGCGAACGGGATTACCTCGACAGCCGCCTTGCGAGCCTGGCCTCGGTCAAGTCTGAGGATGCAGAGGAGGAGTCGGAAGTACGTACCGATCTGTACGAGACCGCCGTATCGTGGAGTACTGCCGGGACCGAATTTCCACAATTCAATATCCTCCGCTGAGTAATAAGCCTTTATCTTTATGATTTCCGAAGTATTATTATTCGTAGGAACCGCGAGATTGACTGCGACATGGGTTTTGTTCTTTTCGGACTTCTCCGATCGCATCGGCTTGTCTCCGAAATAGAGAAGCGGCTTCTTGTGTAACCACCAATGGAAAAATGCGGCAATCCAAGGCGCGCAGGAACCAGCGTGGACGCTGATCGCTTCTAACTTGCGTATCCTTTCGCCGGGTGTTTCTACCTGGAGCATGAGCAGCAGATCAACTAGTTGGACTACGGCCTCCATTCCAGGGGTTTTATCTAAGCGACCCAACGAATTAATGTCGTATCTTTGACCGCGAAGTTCTCGGGAGTAGATTATCTCGTAGTCGACAATACGCTCAGCGAACCCCGATAACAGGCACCTCGAATACATCGCATAGATCAGCGGTTCTAGCTGCTGAGGCGTAGGAAATCGTCCATCTTCATATGCGACATGGTTCTGCATCAACTCCGCTAGAACCTGCGCACTTTCAAACGGAGTAAACGCCGTGACCAACACGCAAACGAGACCAATGAACTTCTGACCTCCTGACGTATTTCCAAGGCGACTAGCTACATCACCGCTGGAGAATCCTATAGTTACATCGATGGAGGCAATAGGAGCAAGGTCCGTGGCCTTGAGAACCCGTTCACTGACTTGCTTGCACGTATCGCTACAGATGCCTAGCAGCCCCCCTAGTTCTACGCAAGCAGCAGCTACCTTTACATCGGCTTCGTTGTAGCAGGACGTAAATCTTGGATGGCTCCATCTAAGTCTTGCGTCTGCCGTATTTTCTTCGGCCATCTTCACTCGATCAAAATACTATTATGATACTGTCAATAGCATGGTAATAGTATCGGGGTTATCCCGATTTAATGACCAGGTGAAAGGTCTGTTTCCTTGGGATAGATTTCCCTTAAGTTAAAGAAGTGGCTACGAGAATCCTTGCCTTTATAATAAATACCAGGTTACGCCACGAGCATCGCCAACGTAGACGTGGCATATCCAGCTCAGTACGGTAGGGGAATCGCATACTAAATAACAGGTTCTCAATACGGTTAATCCTGGCACTTCTTGATAAATCTACCGCATAGTCACATATACTCTAACCATGTCTAACTACCTGGGTACCTAGGTAGTCATGGAGCAAGAGAACAACTATGGTCCCAAGTAGAAGAGCAGGAATAAGTATTGTTCTAGAATGACCTAACACAGTCAGCTTAGAGTAGAGTGGCGAGTCCGTGTCCCGAAGGGTTGGGTACTCATTCACCCTAACTCCAAGGCATACAACTCAGGAGTGACTCAGGGCAAGACACATTAAATGACAGAGGCACATCTTAAAAGTCTACAAGTAGTCACATTCGACACGGAATCAGGCGATAAATGAATAACGATCAAATCAAATAGCTACGTAAATAGCTACGTTAGGTATCGGTTCCCCCTCTCGACTCCTTCCATTGAATTGAATGAGGTATACCGAGCCGAAACCTGGACGCAACGCCTATCTAATGCAGTGATGTGTAAAACGGGCTCTCTGGCCTAAGTCCTGTAATGATACAAGATGGAAAGAAAATTTTGGTCTGCAACTTCAGCCATAATAACGCCTCTATATCTGATGACGTATTTTCCCTAATTGTACGCCTGCCCTTCTGCCGCGATTATGAATATAGCACAGAGAAATATTGGTCGATACGCTAGAGAATTTTAATGGTCAATATGCCGATTATGTCGAACCTCTCCTTAACTTAGACCCTTGCTGATTATCGACAACACCAACCCTCATCGATTATTTGTTAGGATATTTTCGAGACGGCGATGCTCAATCAGAATCCTCCATATCCATCGCATTTCGCTCTGCCTCAAAACTATCAGCGGTGACACTAACTCGTTCCTTTTCTCGTTGCCTTTCCTTTTTGGCCTCCTCATCGTCATCGGCATTGGTAAGATCCAAGAACATCTTGTCGACGTCCTTGTCGTCGTCTTGGTGGGTCTGGCCGATGTCTGTCCTGTTCACAAACGCATTGTCGCGGCTACGATTCCACACATCAGGGCCGAATATTTCCTCAGCTTTTTTGCGACCCATCTCGGTTCGGCGTAACATCTCAAGGGCCTTAGCCTTGTCAGCGTCCGTGTGTAGATTTAAGAAATCGTCTCCCCGCAATAAACGATCTTCTAGCGTCAAAGACAAATCTGGGCCGGCTAATCGCGGACCAGTGCTACTAGAACCCGCACCAGACATGAAAAAGTCAGGATGAAGACCCGCTGTACTACTCACATCCATGGCATCGGGGCGAAGGGACGATCCAGGTCTACTCGAAGATGCTGAGTTGGATCGCTGAGGCGGATGGGCGTGGGAAGTACTAGTCAAAGCCGGGGTAGATGGTTGCGAGCTTCGAGAAAAGAAAGGATGATTACCAGAACCATACGAGTGAGAAGATGGGCTTGTCGCGTGCGGAGGAACAAGATTGGTATTAGAAGATTGGTTTGCGGCCTGAGCTGCAGCAGCTGCCGCCGCAGCCTCCGCATTCATCGCCTTACGTTTAAGACTATTAGCCTTACTTTTCATGTTCTCGGGGAGGTCATCCGGATCGTCCACACCAAATTGCGCCAGCATTTTTTGCAACTTCGTCGGACGAGGCTTTCGCGTGCTCTTCGAAACATCCAGAACGGGAGGCGGTTCGGGTGCCACCGGACTCCACTTGTGTAACTCCTGTCGGAAGAAGTTTGTCTCAAAGGACAAGAGAATTTCGGCACCTTCGATTTTCCGAAGGTAGAATCGCTGGTCGCTAGTTTCGGCCGCTGTCGAAAGAACGGGGTTGCAGAATGCTGCTATATGATCTCGGAACTTTTGTGCATTGTTGATTATGTTTTTAAGCACTTCCTCTTCTTCGGGTTGAAAAGGTAGATTCGGAATCTCTTCCTGCCAAGCAATGAGATCTTCTAGCTTAGGCCGAGCAGCATCCCGAGGAATCTTGACTCGCCAATCGCAGATCGGGCAGGTGTACTTGTCGTCTTCCTTTACCTTTCCTCGAGCGATTTTAAGGCACTTCCCGTGATACCATTCGTGGCATAATTCGCATTCAATCATCATGCCAGCCTCAATACGGCGACAGATACAGAATACTTCTACCAGAGCTGGGTCATTAATATCCCAGGTTCGTCGAACCTTGCCTTCTTCTCCTTTCTCCTCGCTGGCTGCTCTGGATGCGGGCTCTGCTGGTAATCGGGGAGTGTCGTTCCGAATGTCAAAGCACGCGAGGTTTCGCTCTAAAACGTAGTCCATGTGAGATTTGAGAATGTGGAGCGGAGCATTAGTCTTTCCGAATAGCTTCTTTCCCTTTCGCATCCAATCTTCGTGGCGTCTCTGTTCCTTTTCGAGATCCAGGGTTCCCGTCGGCTTGGAATTAAGATCCTCTAACTTCTTCATGATCTCAACCACTTCGGCGTACTTCGGCCTCTTCGTGTAATCGGGATCCTTGGAACGCTCGGTTAAGTCGATGATCTGGCGATGTGCTTCTCGCTGCTTATGCAGTATTTGATCCACAGCAGCTAACGTTTCTGCCGTTACGGGGAGGGTATTAACTTGTACTTGGTTCGATAGGGCCTCGAGCTGCGGATAGTGTACGACCTCGGCGTTGATTAGCTCTTTTGCTTTGGATTCCCATTGCAATCCAGCTTGGTATTTATCGCCAAAGTATCTCATATTGTCATTGTATGGGGGTAATTCTAGTCGTTGGCCCTCTTCGAGTAGTTCTCTGACTTCTTTCAGGGTTAGGAATAGGCTTCGGCTCGACTTGGCCTTGGCGTTCCATTTCGTTTGTTCCAGAATCTCGGATAGCTTATCAAGCTCTGGCATGTCGACATTAAAGGCACGGCCTTCTTCAATTAATTCCGAGATTGATTCTTGGCCACACCCACGTTCTAGATATAGCTCGGCATTTTTCTGAAATGTCCTGATCGCATTGGCGCGCTCTTGTAATTGCTGAATCTCCGGACAGTCGAAACCTATACGTTCAGCATCATCAATTAAGCGGTAGATGTTTTCGACTCGACGGACGTCGCGCTCTTTTTGCTCATGGGTGGCATTTCCGATGGACTTTCGTAAACCACTCTGCCAGACCTTGTCGTTCTTGCGGCGGTTCTGCTGTTTACGCACCGTATAATTAGTCGCCTCTTCGACCCACTCGTTACAGCGATCAACAAATTCCCTGAGCGCTGATAAGGAGGGGAGGTCGTACGGTATTCGTTCACCCTCAGTGAGAAGGTTCCTCAGCGTTTTCAGCGCTGGCTTGCCTCCCTCGTCGAGCAATTTCTCGTATTTTTCTTCCCATGCTTCCGGTGTATTGGCCTTATCCGCCACCCTTTGATAAGTTTCATCGAGCTCTTCATTGGTCTTACGATAGTATAACTTGTGGTGATCGCCTGCATAGCGTTCTGACTCGGGTATGTCGCAACACGTGTGATTCCCAGCATGCTGGATGCATAGTACTTTGCCGGATTGGAGACACTTAAATCTTGATAGGTAAGCATAACATTTGCAATAAGAGCATTGGTACTCTTCCTCGGGTACGTCTTCGTCGGATACTTCAAAAGTCAGCGAGCAATGACCGTCGGATTCGGCATTCAGTGCGCAAGACTGGTGGCCGTCTTCTCGATGTTTTGCGATGAACTCCTCTCTTTGATTTAGTTCTCGCTTATGTATCTTCTGAAGAGCCGGCGCAAGCCACTTCGCGGTCTGAATCGTAAGTCCTGCACCAGTACCTTCTGCTGCCGTCCATAGGAGTTCGTCGTGGGAGAAGCACGGCTGTCGTCGAAATTGTTGCAATCGCTCTACACCAGCAAGTCCATATGGTTCCCATTCAAATGGTGCGAAATTCACAGCTTCATTGAAATTGAAGCCGTGGTTAAAGCCTGCGTGATATGCTTGGGGAAATGTGATGACGAGTTGGCCGGCTCTCTGATCAAGTGCGCAGACTCGAACGCCTGCTTTCTTAAGATGCTCGGGGGTGAGCAGCGTCACGAGCTGGAATAATAGGTCAGGTTGTGTCTCGAAAAGTTCTGGCACCGCTTCTCTCATCGCATTCTCGAACTTCTCGGTATCAGCAGCCGGAATACCATACCAGGTCTTGGTGGCTCCAAAGTGCTGATAGTTAACCGAGTAGGCAAAATGATCCTCATTGTGCCAGCAAAATGTCGAGAAAATCATTCCTACGTAAACCCACGGAACGGTCATTCCGGATATGTCAGTTTTAATGTGACGGAAGAGACTGTCAGGATGTAGAGGCATGACGTTCAAGTTCCAAAGATCTGTCGAGTATGGATCGCACGGGTTACGTTCGGCTGTCGGAAAGCCGGAACCATGGGTAGTGCAATGAATGTCGGCGCCATATTCCACCTCAACTGTCTCCTCAGTACTAGTCACAAGTCTCCAAAACTCCCTCTCGATATCATCCTCTGTGACCGGTCTAGGGCAATTGAGGACGGGGTCAATAGGCATACGATTTTCGAAATACCCTTGCTTGAAGTCTGCGGCCTTCTCTTGGAATTGTTTGAGTGAGTACAATCCACCCTCCTCGAAACCGAATTGACCATCACCGACAAGGCATCTATGGCAGTTCCACTCGGCGTCTGGCTTTTGTTTGATCGGGGGATCTAAACAAGTACCGTGGTACCCATGATCGCATGATTCGCAGACAGCAATGAAGCCGGCTTCTTCGCCTTTGCCACAGACTTCACATTTCTGATGGAAATAATCAGTGAGTAAACCATGTGCACCAAGTTTGTGCTGGGCATTTACCTCGCTCGGGCTGGACGATTCATCCCGTGATACTGGGATTCTAGGAGCCGAGGGTCGAAATAGTGACATATGCGAACCGGCAACGGTAGGAACGGTTTCTAGATACCGACTTGCATTAGTTGTGCGAACGGTTGGACCAATCACTGGCTAGAACTAATAGGAAATCCATTGTATGGTTTCGTCTCTGTTGTGCATTACTATGCGGCAAAGCGCATGATTGAATGCATTGGGGACCCCTGCACAATCGTAGCTCCACAAAAGACGCCCGTAAAGATCGTCATACGGTTTCATGCAAAAGGCCAGGTAGTAAGGAAAACGGGACCAACGGCGCGGAAACATTAAGCCGAAAATATCGCGAAATATTGATATAATAAACAAACAAATCAAAGCATATATGAGATTCGTAGTAAAAGATAAAAGTAAACGGTAGATCATACGTACCCTTCTTGAGCCTCTTACTCCTCCTGCTACCACTTTCTGAGTCATCTTTGTCTGTGCCGGTATCTTTCTTCATTGAGTCTAGACTGTCCGAGCTGAGCTGGCGCTTCAAGGCGGTAGCAGGACCGAGCGCGGAAAGTCGTATATCTGTGGGATTTTTAGCAGATGGATGGGGACTTCCATGATGCTTCGGTGGTGGTGGGGTGAAGCTTTTAGATTCCGCCTGGGCTGGTCGGTTGACGCTCGTAAAACCGGCATTCACCGGTGTAAAGCCACCTGAATTAATGGCAGTAAAACCGCCGGATGTAGGTTGCGGGGTGGTTAGGGGCGCATCGGCCATAATAGTATCTCGATCATTCTCCTGTTTGGAGCCATTCAAGGTTTGTTGGAGAATATCACTAGCATGTCGAGCTGGGGATTCCGCTCTTAAACTGGATGGAGTATTGACGGCCGACCGCTTCATCGGACTAGGTGCTGGGCTAGGGGTTAATGGACCGCCATATTCGTACTCTAGCTGTTGATAGACGCCAGGTTTCGCTTGACGGAGGTAGTTTTCGTAAGGCGTCAGCCATCGATCGTAGGAATTTTTAAGCGATGTTGACAATGATGACATGATTTTGCCACTGTAGCCTAAATCTCTACCGATCTCCGCCCATTTTTTCGTCTTACAGACTTTTTCAAAACCGCCACGAGATTCAACAGCTTTCTTAAGTCGGTATAGATCGAGAGGCTTTTTATCAACGTATGGTAAACGGTTTAGGTTGGTTCCTTGTTGTTTGTGGAACTTGGCGAGAGCATCTAGGTAACTTAAATTCGCTCGCGTGCCTAACATATTTCGGTCAGTGGCAATAGATACGACGATAGCGCGGATAATAACTCACTGCCTTCGACCGAATTCAACTCCTGTTTTCTTGTTCGGAAATGGAATTTCTGTATATCGTCAATGCTATCCCTGCGAAGTCGTACTATCGATGTCTTTTTGGGAAGCGTCCGACTGCCAGGAACTATCGCAACACCAAGATAATCCATCTACTCACCTCAGTATCGATTGCAAAGTCGGGATTCCACGAATCGGGTGGAATAATCTTGCAAATACCAAATTCGCGAGCTTCGGGGGTAATCTTGCGAACGTACTCAAATGGATCTTTCCATTCCTCTTCCGTCGGACAATACGTCGGCGCCTCCTCGAGTCCATAAGGTCTACTCCTCTTAGGCGGTTCTCGACTCGCTGTGGGTTGACCCCTTCGCTCGACCGATGTAAGGTCTAGCGGGGCACTACGCATGGAACTGAGAGGTACGGGAGGATTCGTTGGATGATAACCGTTTGAGTTGACGTGTGTCTTCGACTTCGCACCATTGGTAGCTGAGGAGCCATGGTTTGTGGTATTGGAGGAGGCGACGGCAGGAGAAGCTCTGGAACTGGCATTTGCGCTATTGACACCACCAACACCACCGCTTTGACCGGCGGAGGGGGTGGACACCATGATTTACGACAGAGATGGGTGCGTTGACGAACGACGGGGTGAATCGTTGAGGGCGAGACCCTGGCAGCGCCGAATTGGTTGATGACGGGCTACGTTTGCCGGCCACCGTCGACTGGTGTAAAGTGTGAGGCTGTCACCAGAAGATTGGACTGTACGTGCATCGCATGAGCGTCTGAGTAGGCTGGAATAATGCCGCCGCGCGAGTTAGGGAAGGAGAGCGGGTGCTGGTAAGGGACGAAATACAGTGGGAATTAAGTCGTAGATCGGATCGTAGGATACTGTAGGCCCCGTATGGTTGAAGAAAGAAAGGCGGTGGTACGTGCCCAAGACGTGAGGTGTACGGTTGATATTGTACCTGAGCAAGATATACAATCAAGCTTCTGTGTCCACCAACGGCAAATTGGACAGCACGGGATGATTAGCTTCCCCCAATACCGTATCTTCACCACCACAGCTCAACCTACAAGTCTCGCGAAATTATCGGATTATGAGTATCATTAGAGGACGTATATGAGAAACCCGGCAGAAATCGCACTCAATGAGTGCACAGAATGATCTGTGCTTCAATATTTATGAATCCGATGTGCGAGATCAAGTTGGATAGAATGTGGATGTTTGAGTGGGAAGAAGTAAGTTTCGCAGTTGTGGAGTGAGAGGAAGATTTTGAGATGTCGAAGTTGATGGTAGGCAGGATGGATGTAGGATGTAGGTATGGAATGAATGGGTGTGTATGTAAGTAAAAACGGAAAATTGGATAGAGAGCGGGATACTAAATGGGTAGGTAAGGTGGAACGTGGGTGGTCAGTTTTTTTTTCCCCCCAAAGAAACTCCAAAGCCTCAAAAAAATTAAGTCAGTTAAAAACAGAACGTGCACACAGGATTAGGTTACGTATAAAAAGGCTGGGGAGGGCAGAGTAGGTACAGTTATGGATGCACTTACCTACTGATGGTGCCTACTACCTTACCTAAGATTGATTGTCTTTTTTAGTACTAGTAGGATGAATATAGGGAAGGTATAGTTTACGTAGAATGGATGTAGGTAAGAAAAAAACGGAATGGGGCCATGCAAGGTGCACGGTTTTGCGGTGGAACTGGGAAAGTAAAGAAGGTACAGTGGCCCTGGAGGTAGAAAAAGAGGAAGCGGCAGAAGTGGATATGATGTGTGTGGGTGGTTGCGACTCGTAAAATGCAGCTGTCGTCGGGACTTTGTGCCTAGACCCATTTAGAAATCTAAGTGGGTCCCCACCTTGGATCTACATGGAGATTTCGTACTGTACCTAAAACAAACATCACGCACTTCCAAATTTTGGTATAGTTTCAAGTGGAATTTGCCGTTGTGATTCTACGCCGCATGTACCAGTACTTGACATTTGTGTAACTTCCGACTTCATACCATAAATCAATTCCAACATCGCCTCAAGCTCCGAATCTGTCACGTCGGATTTTCTCTCCTTCTTTTAAATCAATCTGCCTTCTAGATATTATACATATCGGGACAAATCATGTGACGGCGTTGATGATGAATACAAAGAAAAACTTGCCTAGCCACATACCTGTGACCAGTTGCGCGCGGTTTTTATTTTTCAACTATTTTCTAGATACATACTTAGTTGTAATCTCCACTTCAAACAAATATTCGACTCCGTCATTTTAATAACAAAGAGATAACGAGTCCCGTATCGGGTCATCTATCCCTGGAAATGGATTCAATTGACGACGTTCTCTGTCAGGTTTTCTGGGGTTACGATGGTTTGGTAGGTTATCTGATATTAGATGGCTTACGCGGGCGGACAGATAAAAATGCGGGCTGACATTTACCCACGGAAAAGGAAGAGAGAGAAAAAAAGACAAAGAGATGATGGGGTTGGATGGTACGATACATTCCTCCCTGTAAACTTTATATAACTCCCTAACACAAGTCCCGTCCCCCAACATGCGGTGACACTACATGTATGAAATCACATGCTGCCCGGCTTACATACATGTATGTCCTAAGGATAAAATGTGTCCCTGCGTATGATGGGATTCGAACAAATGAAAAATCTTATAATATGAGATAATATCATCCTAAAGATGCAAGTTCACCGAAAATTCATAAGATTATAGAAAGAAAGAAAATTGAATAGAGGGAGGTCGTTGGAGTTTGGTTAGTGCCGAAGGATCCGCGCCCCTCTCTAACAAATGAATACATTATGTATGCGTACATAATTATTCGAAATGGAAAATTAATTAAATTACTTAAGTACCCAAGTAAATAAAAGAAAATAGAAAATTCGCGATGAACATAAATAATTGAAGCTGGTGGTTGAAAAAAGCAAAATAGTCAATCCTAGTATGGCAGGTATGTGATACTTACTGCATATCATCCGGTTCGGGGTTAAGTACTGCACGGATTCGCCGACTGATTTCAGACGGTTGGGGGTAATATCATCGGACGATGTGCTTATGCTGGGCGATGGCTCCAATCTGAGGCTGTTTGTTTGTTTTCCCTCTCTTAATCCATGCACAATCAATCAATTTTTTTTTGTCGCAATAGATATATATATGCTATGACCAACCCCCCGAAAACTTATTCTAGTATTTGAATTCAAGGATAAAATGACCGCAATCAATCTCCTTCGTCATAAGAGATTACAATGACTTTGAGGTTGTACTATTTGGGACAAGTCGTTAAAAAAAGGCGAACTGATATCGTATGCAAACTTACAGGGGTCATAGCCAATGAGTCGTCTAATTAACCAATAGAATAAGAGTGACGTCCAAAATTATGGGCCAAGATCCTAGTCTGCATGACGGGAGTACCACGCGAGCACTCACAGCATGGAAGGACCCAGCCCAGCCGAGCAGTGAGCAGTTTTGGGTCTTGTCACTATTAAAGGGGGTACGCTTTGCGGGGGATTAAAACGTCCCGCCCTTCCGTTATAGGTACCTATTACATCTTCGCGTCGTACACGATCGAAGCATTACTTACGATCTATTATATGGTAAATTGAATCATTCGAAAACATGAAATCTTCTAGTATTTAAAATTTCGTTAGGAATTTGTGAGAGGAATAAATGACACAATTGAATTGACCGAAATGCAGCACTTCGTTCCCTGCGCGCAAACCTCCGTATGCCCCCAAAATATAGAACGCCTTGCTATGCAAACCCCTAATGCAAAGAACACCGTAGAAAATAGTTTCATGTGTCGGAATCGACATTTCTCGCCTTGCGCTTCCTTGGTTTTTTAAGCAACTTATCGACCTCTTTGGCTCCTCTTACTCTTAGGGTTGTCTCTTTCATGAGATCACCCCATAAAACTTCGCCATTGCAACTTGGGCATTGGCCAGATAAGGGAATAATAGCTTCCTCATCGGCCTCCTTTGCAAGCAAGTGCTGACTCCAACAAGATACATGCCCCGTACCTTCACATCCAGCATTCGAGCATGTCGCGTGAAGACCCTCGCCAAGTTCCATATGTTCCCCGCAGAAAACACAATCACCTTGTCTCTCAAAGTCATATATCGATCGTGTCTTGGTCGCATATTCTTTCATTGGCGCATAATCGAGTGGTAGCGCATGAATACCCCAGGGATGTTCTGTCCCTTCGCTGGTGCCCTCATTTTCTGTATTCTCCGAATTTGAACGCGGAGGTTCAAAATCTGTCGATATTCGAATCGTATCCCGGAGAGGTTCATTTACGGTTCGGCACCATTTCTTCCATTCCTCATAGACCTTAGGAACAAAAAAGTGTACGTTCAAAGGCAACCTAGCGAAACTAGGAACACGAAGTAAAAGGTGAAGGTTCGAGAGGATCGATGTTAAGTTGTGTGGTGGGCGTTTCGGATGACCGTTTCGCTTTGTACCCGACGATTTCGATATTCGAGATTCGGATGGGATATGTAATGTTAAATGAGAGTTGGTAAGAGCCCATCTCAAGAACAGTCAGCTTACAACATGAGGATTCAGATATAATCTTCAGGTATGCGACATACTCAAATTTCAGTGCAGCTACCATGCCAGGGAAACCCGAAACAAGACCAACCATTTCCCATGGTCTCAAGGTTTTACGTGACGTTCGTGCGGCGCCACCTTTAGCTACGCCATTATGTTGTTTAAGTCGGCGCGGGGGATTAGGAGTCGATCCGATATATAAGGAAGCATGTCGAACAGTCGATCGTAGGATATAGACAGTGTATAGTGGTGGGATCGGTTTTGACAAAGCCGGCATTTTTCAACCGGCGCGCCTCAACGATGAAGCTTCGAATTTTCGGGGGTGAGATAACGAAAGTAGTCTTTGTATGATATCAGATTTATTTCCATCGCGTGAGATTCATGCGATGATATCATCTATTGAATTTCATGTCAGAAGCAAGAAGGGCAGGGCGCCTCGAATATTTTGAAAGTCGAGGCTGCGATGTAATTATTTACATTTGCGTCACAGAAACAACAGCGCTTGAGATGGAAGGGAAGCTAGTGGGGTTAGGCCCACGCCCAGCGTAGGTACTAATTGATTATCGATAACACACCTGTGGAGCACCTGAAGTACTTAGGTACAACATCATAGTATTCATTATCATTATTCGAAGAAATGCGACGACTGTGCCAAATTAGAAGCAATCTGTCGGCGAATTGTGTCCTTGGTGGCTCTGACCAAGGCGACATGTAATTATCACTGTAAGTACACACATGTTTTACAATAGACCCTGCTTCTGCAAGTCGTAGTAAACCTTCTCCGGCATAACATTGCCTTCAGCGTCCTCCATCTGTACGACACTGCCGTCGTCTACCTTATCCTTTCGTTTATCCTTTTGGATCTTTTCCCATAACCTCAACGCCTCGTCGATACCTGTGATATCGCGAAATAAGCTCGTATTTGTGATTCCGAGACACTTCAAGCCGTAGATATGCCGTGCTTCATTAAAGTGCTTATCAAACGCTCTTCGTCCCATATACACAAAGTTACCGCATATTTCGCAAGGGAATTCGACACCAAGTCCGTGGAGCTTGTAAAGCCAAAATGGAATAGGTTTGCCGTCCCATGCAAGTGGAAGTTTGAGTGGGTTATAAATTCTGTCTTCGTCGTCATTGTCTTCTCCGTCTTCAGTATCTTTAGGTTGCGACGTGGTAGCCGTCGCGCTAAATAGGTTCTCCAGCTCCTGTTGCCTTTCGCGTTCCGTCATGCCTTGCTTTCGCTCGACGTTCACTCGGGTATCGCTTCGTTCAGTACTCATCGCACTCGCCAGGCGCTTCACTCGGAATTCCCTCTCGGCGATAGCGCGCTCTTTCAATCTGTATGTCGAAGTATTCCCCTTATGAGCACCATTGGCGGCGCCGGTTCCATCGTCGGATGCGCCTTGTAATCTTTGCGCTCGCTCTGTTGCTGCTCGTATGTGCTTCTTGCCCGAAAGATGACCCTTATATACATTTTCATTCTTGAACTCCTTTTCGCAATGGTCACACCATACCGCTTCCGCTGTTGAGGTTTGCTTGGAACCACCGCTAGACTTATTATTTGGTTCTTCATTCTTCCAGTCTGCGATCTCGTCCTTCTCCCAAGAAGCATCAAATTCCTTGTCGAAATCGGCAATCACCCTATCTATGTTTTCTAGAGGCCGCGTCTTTCGCATAAATGTTTCGAGATCCAAAGCGACTTGACCGACATATTTGAAATATTGGTCGGTCATTTTCTCAGACCTCTTCAATCCAGCAGCTCCTGGTGTGAAATTGTCGAAGGATTCTAGATATTGTAGATAACTCAATCTCTTCGCATTAGGAAGGTTGAGATACAACTCGTGGCACGTATGGAGATCAAAGAAACGACCGAACGCTTCTTCACCGGTAAACATAGTATCCACGATACTAGGTAGTAAATCGGCATCGGGTCCTCTCTTGGGTCGGTATGCACGTTCAAGATTCTCGACGGGTTCGTTGGGATATTTCGCATGGAAATTCTTTATGTCGGCAAGTTGTTTGTAAAACTCGTCCATGGGGTCGCCAGCCCCAATCTGTTGAATCTCACGCGATCTCGATCCATCGGCATCACGATAGATATTTAGAAGCTTTGTAGATTGTGAGGATATGCGGTCAAGGAACTGTGCTATTTGGTGATCTCGCGCTAATCGATCTCGTATCTAAAATGCAGGATTAGCGATGGCTTTTCGATATGGTTGACTGGAAAACTCACGTGTTTTGGTTCATCACTGATTCGATCTGCGATACCCTGCTCGAGGCGTTCCAGGTCCTCATGCAGGAACCTTTGCTCTTCTAAGAGCATATTGGGCGATTACTCTAGTTGACACTTCTTATAATTTTCTTGATAGTTGAGTTGAAGTTATGATAAGAGTGTATCTGAATTGAAATGCAGAACGGCGACCGAAACGGTAGAAAATGATGAAGATGAGGCTGGATAAGAAACTTGGTAGAGCCTTGACCTTAAATTTCTAAGGTCCAATTAGAATCATTTCCTCCATGCATGTATCTAGGTACCTAATCCATATCGCCGCTATCTACTATGTAGCTAACCCAATATGGTATGGGCTGTGGTAAGGCTCGGTGGGGCCATGGGCAAACAGCACCTAGTGGGGACATCCCCATAAAATTCTTGAACCATTCTTCGCTGCGAATTGATCAACTTAGCTTCGCATTTCCTTCAAATCAAGACATCAAATCCCCAACACGCTTCTCTCTCGCGTGTATCTCATATCACTTTATCTTCGATACTCATATTAATCGCCGTGAGCACGCGACATAAAAATATTCAATATGGCTGAAGGCGGTGGTGGTATCGATCGTCGCGCCGACGAGAAGATGGAATTTTCCACTTCCAAAGAGGTGACAGTTCATCCGACTTTCGAGTCCATGTCATTGAAGGGTATGAACTCTTCACCTTTCAGTTTTCTTCCTTTCATTGTCGCCTCTAATCGCTAACAATCGTATTGTTCTACAGAAAACCTCCTTCGTGGTATCTATGCGTACGGCTACGAGTCACCCTCCGCCGTTCAATCCCGAGCTATCGTCCAGATTTGTAAGGGACGCGACACGATCGCTCAAGCTCAATCTGGTACCGGAAAAACCGCGACATTTTCCATCTCAATGCTTCAAGTCATCGATACTGCGATCCGTGAAACCCAAGCTCTCGTGCTTTCCCCTACTCGCGAACTTGCGACTCAAATTCAATCCGTCGTCATGGCTCTTGGTGACTACATGAACGTCCAATGCCATGCTTGTATCGGCGGCACCAACGTTGGAGAAGATATTCGAAAGCTCGACTACGGCCAACACATCGTCTCTGGTACTCCCGGTCGCGTAGCCGACATGATTCGCCGCCGCCACCTACGAACCCGTCAGATCAAGATGCTTGTCCTTGACGAAGCTGACGAGTTACTCAACCAAGGTTTCCGAGAGCAGATCTACGATGTGTACCGATACCTACCCCCCGCTACTCAGGTTGTCGTTGTCTCGGCTACTCTTCCCTACGACGTTTTAGACATGACCACTAAATTCATGACGGATCCTGTTCGTATCCTTGTCAAGCGTGACGAATTGACGCTTGAAGGATTGAAGCAGTACTTCATCGCCGTTGAGAAAGAGGACTGGAAGTTTGATACCCTTTGCGATCTTTACGACACTCTAACAATCACCCAAGCCGTCATCTTTTGCAACACAAGACGAAAGGTGGATTGGTTGACAGATAAGATGCGCGAGGCGAACTTCACTGTCAGCAGCATGCATGGCGATATGCCCCAAAAGGAACGAGACAGCATTATGCAAGACTTTCGACAGGGCAGCAGCAGAGTCTTGATCTCGACCGACGTCTGGGCCCGTGGTATCGACGTCCAACAAGTCAGTTTAGTCATCAATTACGATTTGCCCAGTAACCGAGAGAATTACATCCATCGAATTGGTCGAAGTGGTCGTTTTGGTAGGAAGGGTGTCGCGATCAACTTTGTTACTAGTGAGGATGTTCGCATTCTCCGAGATATCGAACGTATGTGATTCCTCTATCCGATGTTATATGATATGACGCTGACAGACGATAGTGTACTACTCGACCCAGATCGATGAGATGCCTATGAATGTGGCGGATCTTATCACCTAGTCGTAAAATTCGCTCGCAAAGCTAGTTGGGAGTATGGCGATTCTGCTTATAACTGATTAAATCCTCGGCAGATGTGTTTGACGAGGGAAAAGGGTATGAACTGGTCGTGGGAGGAAAAGGGTATGTCGTTTATCAGTAAGTTACTTCGAGCCTAGCATTATCATCCCGAGATCGTACTGACTCACTTAGCGGCGCTCTAGTCCAGATTGCTTATGCTACGAAAATTCGATCGCGTTCTATGAATTCTCAGTTGCCAATTAATTGAATCAACCCTTATACTCCGGGAATTATTTTATAAGTTTAAACCGGAGCCGCATGAGACCGCTATCATCCGGCGAAGCCCTAATTCAACTACTGATTTCACGAAACAAATATGTGCCTCACAAGAGACGGTAATGGTTTACAAGCCTTCCTGATATAATTACAGAATTTATGAAACAGCAATGTTTTTGTAACGTAAAGCTCTGCATATGGATGAGACTTGAGCGTATTGTACTTGTTGAAAAGTATTATTGATCCGATCATTCGAGCGTTGGTTGGCTACACTGATGAGTCCTCGCATTCCAATATCAAGTAGATATTACCAGTGTCAAGCAATCTAGGCTTTTCGATGTCAAAATTAGGCCAGCCATAATGATATATCATCCTAACCCAGAGTCACAGTTTTCCATGAACACCCAAACCGCAGGTCGATCAAAAAGCAATCATTCCAATTGAAGTTCCATAACGGCCAAGGCACTTCCCAGCGGTTTCACCACATTAACGAGTTTCAATTTAGAGTCCGCCATTCTGAACAGTTCCTTCCAGTCATCCAGATCGCGCTCGACGCTATTGAAGAGAGCCATCATTGCGATATCCAACGTTCTACGAAGATACAGTCAGCTTAGCGTATAGAGAAAATGGAGCGAGGGATATCACCTGGTCTTGCGTTCCTCTAGCGTGCTCAATGTACCGCTGTGGATCGCAAGGTTATCCATGACCACGATCCTCGCCCTTGGTTTCTTTCTCACAGCGCACAATTGCGCCTGCAGAATACGTACGGCGTCCTTGTCTGAGTGGTGGTGTAATATGCGCCGAAGCAAATAGACATCTCCCTCGACAGTCTGCGGTGCAAAGAAGTCATACGTCATAAACTGAAAATGGTCGCCTTGCTTTTCGATATCCACATCTTCAGCAAGCGCCGTATTTGCATCTTGTACGATGAATTTCAGCCTAGGATTGCAAGACGCAATGGCTTTCGAGCAATGCCCGTTGCCTCCACCTACGTCAATCACGATCGTACCGGACGGCAATGAAACCCAGTCGAATCCAGCTACCAGATGCTCTACGCTCAGCTGTCGTCTTTTCGCCATGCCGGCCATCGCGCGAGCATACCGATCTGCTTTCATCGATTCTTCGGTTGTCTGTCGCTGCTGTGTAATGAATCCAAAGGCGGGTTGATCCAAGCCGTTAACTGCTAGATCAGTTGCTGCTTTCCCCTTCCCGCTCCTCACTGCTTGCAGTGCGCTGTTTCCAGCGATGCTCCCAGTTACGCCACTGCTACCACTGGCAATTGTGGTCCTGGCGCCGCTTCCGCCAGTAGACCATCTACGTCTCATGGCGCGCGCCTCTGTGAAGAATGCACTAGATCGCAACGACTCCTGAGTTAGCCACTCGACGGCGGCGCCTGTGTCCTCGTCAAGTAGAACGCGGGAATTACGGTTATGCGCGACGATACGGGTGCCGGGCTCCCGGAAGATGTGGTACGTCATGAGTAGCTGCAGCACACGGGTGCATTGCGAAGTGTCAACTCCGGCGGCATGCGCTAAATCCTCGTACGTGATCGGTGTACCGTCTGCGGGTACGAAAGAGGCCAGCCGAAAATGACATACATACTGCAAAGCTGCATGTACACGATGGCCTTGCGCGATGCCCATTACATCTACGACGAATTAGTATTCGATACATGGTTTCAAAGTTCATTGCGATCTATTTTAACCCTGTTCTAGGAATAAGGGTTGTTGAGTAAAGCACAAGAGATAAATCCGTGACATACTGTGCGACAGTCAGCTCAACAATTTTACGACCAAAATGATACTGCAAGCACTTTCAAATCGGAGAACATATTTCTGCCAACTTACCATTCTATAGGACCAGTTACCAAGTGGTTTAACTTATCGCAGGCTTCGAGGAGTTTTGATCTCGCAATGCTGAGGCTTTTATCGCCATGATAATCCGTGTAAGCATGCCGCGGTAGGCTCGTCTCAAGTATCTCTGCTTGTTGTCTGATAATATCTGCAAGCGCAGTAACTGTCATTTGATCACCCATCGGGACTGAAATTCAGTAAGGCACAGCTTCCAACCTCTCGATATTTATCTGCCTTATAGTCGTCAAGTTTTAGAAACACGGCTCCGAAGTCTGGCGAAGGTGATAGAAATGCAGGGTGCCCTCACATACATGTACAAAAGTACGTACAGTCTAGACACATAAAAGCCGCACGTGGCGTCCTACCACTTACATGTGTGTCGCACGGCTCCTTATCTGATAGCTACAAGGTATGCTACCAGACCCTCGGAGCGCGGAGTTATTCCCCAATGGCACCTATGGAGAGTACCCTATTGGTTGCGTAGCATACGGGGATCCCACGGGGATGAGGGCTAGACCATTCCTCAACCAAGAAAGAGAGCTTACTGTTAAATGTGTTAAGGGAAAATGTGCCGAATATGCGGTCCGTCCCGTCGAAGTGTAGTCAGACGCCTATGTATATTCTAGGAACCCGCGCCCCCGGACTTGGCATCATTTTACGTACGAAACTACTGTGCGTACAAGTATCTTGGCTATCGGATCAGGGTTTCGGAAAGCATCGTGTCTGATCTTATAAATCTTGATGTTGTACGCCAGTTATTTGATCTAGTTCTACTTGGCATCGGCTATTCTACTTCATTATTATCTCCGTACGGTTACGACAGCTCACTATGCTAGCATTCAGTAGCTACCTAGGTGGACATTCCAAGGGTTTCCATACGTCTCGTCATAACTAACTGTTCGTATGTGACTTTTCAAGATGAAAACCACACAGAAATAGGATAGTAACATTTTCCTAACTATTTGAGGAACTCGGGTATAATTCCATCCAGGCAAGTAATGATAAGGAACCCTTAAAATTCTGTGAATGGGGCTCTAGCCAAATTACAAATAAAACGATCGATATAACGCCGCCGGCCTTTGTGTCAATAGATACCGCTTGGTTCCCCCTTGTAAACTCCGGGTAATTCTTTATCACTAGAACAATAGACGCCCGTGAAAGAATTGGGCACGAACAATGCTATTGAGTTCATACTTATGAGATTAAGTATGCTAAGTAGTACTCATCCACCAACACATTTTACGTCGGCTGTAAGTATTATCTGTTCCTGGTATCAAAATGGCCTTATCTAACGAAGTGCGCATGCCCTCTTTCGAATTCACACCATTTGAAAAGGCCGAGTATATGAATGAAATATATACCCATCTTTGGCGCTGCGCAACCTTACTAAAGAATTTCGGGAATGGAGCTTCGGCAAGTGCTCTCGAAGAGGCTTATGATGAGGCTGACGACGCGTTGATAATTGCTCTGGAAGCAGAAGCCAGTGAGTCACCCCCTCTCGCACAATGCTACATATACAGAGGCCACGTCCTATGGGCTATGAAAAGATACGTTGAAGCTCGATTTGCATATGAAGATGCAATGAATATTCCAACCGAAAATTCGGTGGATCGTACTGCTTCGGAGCACGCGGCCGGTTGGGTGGTTCATATGGACAAGAAGATTCGCGAAACGAAGAGGAATGCCGGTATATGGACGGCCCATCAAAGAAACTCTGCTCCTAAAGAGCAAGAGGTGTCAATTTATAAATGGCGTGAAGGGGAACGGAGACTATTCAATATTTCCTATGCCTGTCCTCCAATCCATGAGGTACTCGCCGGCAAGGTCTCTTGTGTTGAGACAGTTCAGATCCATCATCTTACTCGACCACAAAGACTTGTCGAATACGAAGGGGATTGGGTTTCAGAGATTATCCCTCGTCCTAGACCTGCACGAAGGGCATTATCGAGCCGAACTCCATCCCGTGTCAATTCTAGTTAGCGCATCAAAAGCATCTCATAAGTATAAAAAACGATAATAGCGATTGCAATTCCCCTGTACAATACAATTCCACGTGTTATGTGCATTGTACTGCCGTTTTAGTTGCACCGAACGTTGCCCTTAGCCGTTTGATGTATATTATCGTGTTAGCAAGGTTAGTCTCGAGTGATATTAACCCAAGATATCTGAATTTAATTAATAATTATCCTTATTTTACTTAAGTCATGACTATTAGTTACTCATTGCGCTCATGTCCGCTTCGCTCCCCAACTCATTTTCTTGCATCAAAGCATATTACCAGGCTAACATTTCATATAAATATGTCGTAATTCAATCCTCATACCTCATCAATATCCAATTGCATCAAGTGGTTACACAACGGATGTAGTGCGGACGTGACCACGGTAAGAGAAGTGCCAATCATAGACAACATTGAAAAGGAGGAAGAAGCTAGTGTATTTTAGCAAACGTTCATCAACATATCTAGGCGAAATGTACTTACAAGGCGATGAAACTGAAAGCTTCGACGGTGTGAGCCAGTGCACCAGCATAATCAGAACTCCAATCCTCGGCGGTGAACACAACTACAACGAGCCAGAGATAGGAGAAGATTATGTTGAATATGAGAGTGTAGCCTGGATATGTGCCAAGGACGAAGGAGGCCAGGAAGAATGCAACAGTGAGGACGGACTATAGAGATTGTGACTGTTAGTTGGCATTCATTCGCAAGTTGGATTTGTTGTGCAATTGCTGGTTGTGTAAAACTTACAATGACTTCCTCGTAGATTATATGGTTACCAACAGACGAGCTTTCACTGATGAAGTAGCTAGTAATTCCCATCACAATTATAGAGCTAATCCATACGAGGGCGTTCGAAACGAGAAAGAATGGAGGAAGCGCAAAGCGCGATGTGGCATTGGTTCGAGCCATTGTAGATATTGTTGGTGAGGACGTAGTATAGTAGTGATATGAATATAATAGGGGAACTTTACAGTAACCAATAGCGCATTCAATGTACCTACGGAGATTCGTCAACGTTTAAGTAATGAAGGAAGAAGTAGACAATGGAGCCTTATTATATACACTTCATCTAAATCGGATAACGGCATGCTTGCGTCTTCAATATCAGACCGTTCTTCCTGCACAACTACACGTCAACATGTCATGGGATACCAGAACGTTCCTTTTCTTGATTCGGGGGAGGTGATGCACCACAGGGGCCTATTAACAGGCTGGAATAGCGCTGTAGACCGCAAGTTGGCGGACGCTAATGCACTGTAGATCTGTTTTGCCAAGCTGTTGTAGGTCTGGCATAACCAATGCCGACGAATGAGGCTCAATCCTGGGAAGATAGAATACGTCATAAAATCACCAGACTTACAAGATCATAAAGAGAGTAATATAGGACTGAATCGGATCGAATTGATGCATTTTACCCCTCGTCTCGTTATTTGCTACGTAATACACTTCGATTGTCTAATAACATGAGTTCCCTGTCTCGTCTGAGTCGATTCATTGACCTGGACAGCACGGGCCTTAGGCGCATACGGCGCACACAGTGTACATCCGACATGCACCTAAGCTGTGCAATTCGCCCTAATATCCCTACGTACTCAGCGTATAACTTACCCTATTTTGCTCTCTTAATACAGAATCACCTATGCTCACCCGACGAAGAAGGGCTTGTTGCAATTAATGCAGGAGTAAATTCGTCCTTCCATGGGGTTGGGTTGATATTTTATATTAGTGGCTGTATCATCAGCCAATCCGTCCTTTCCTAATTGCTGTTTGAGACCCAATTAGGCTTTCATGATAATTTTCTTATTCCGTCAGCTTGTATGTCTTACCTGGATAGGTACCTTGGTACTCGGGTACTCGCTATTCGGCTCCAGACTTTCTTAACAGGGGTATTATTACAATATTTAGACTAACCTAATAAGGCCATTAGTAACATCAATATCGATAGTGCTGACAAATCCCACGATGACTTGGAAGTAATAGAATAGTGAGAATCGGCGGCATATGCGACTTCGACACGAAGTTCTCAAAATTCTACAAAAACATCATTAATCTCAATCAAAGGCCTTTTGACAATGTCGCTAAATGTTATAACGTCGGATGTGATTCATTTCTGTAACATATGTAGTAAACCTATCGCTACAGGTTAGCCCATCTCTACGAAGGAGAAAACTCGCAAGTGAAAATCCACTAATAATGATTTGTCAGAATCCGCTTATAAACGGCATTTATCATATTGCCGCAGAACTCAAGGCCGTCCTAGAAAGCGACCACGTTCTTGCAAAGAATGCCACTCCGCAAAGGCCAAATGTAGTTTTGAATCGGAGTGTTCACGTTGCAAAGCCAAAGGCCTTTATTGTGTTTATGAGCAGCCTGGTGCTTCTGCTCTTATCATCAATGCAAACAACAACTATGGCTCTGTGTCAAGCTCCCCAAATAGCTATCCGGACCCCTTTTACCAACCTCCGCCTTACTGCGATTTTGGTTCCCCAAGTAGCCTACCCTTACCGTCTACATCGCCTCGGTCGATACTTGAGCTTCGAGCTGACCCGGTAGCCCGACATGGCGCTGGTTTCATCCTAGAGTCTATACGAAGCCTTCCTCTTATGATGATAAGCAGAGAGACATTTTCATGGTACACACACGGCCATTGGTATCAATCTAAGCTTCCTCAGACCATCGTTAGGTGTTCGGAGTTAGCGACTTTATATGCCGAACGCCGACCATCTCCGAGGGACCCTTTTTGGACGTTACTAGAAGAGGAGAACCGGCGACTTCTTCAAGATCTTCCTAACTGCTCTTTACGAGATATGGTATTTGCGATGCAAGTCCAGATCATATACATGATCATGTTCGCTCTAGGCCATGCCTCCCTAGCCGAAATTCCCCAGGTACGCCTGCAGATGCTTATGACATTCGATGTAAGTTCGAATAGATCCCTACGCATACCTAGGTACTGACTGAGGATTGATCTGGTTAGCTTTATGGTATTAAGGCAACTGAGATGGATAATAACGTGTGGTTCCCGCCTGAGAGATTAGATGACCCCAACGTAACCTGGGAAGATTGGATTTTTGCTGAAGTCCGACGAAGGTACGATGGCCCTCCTCCTCTCATCATATGGATTACCCATTCTAACCTCTGATTAGGTTAGCTATCACTTGGTTTCTACTCAGCCGGGTGATGGATCTCAAATTCGGGGTTATGTGTCCCAGCGTTAGCAATTGTCGCTCGCTTCCTCTCCCTGCTCCGGACTCCATCTGGAATGCTAGAACACGAGAAGAGTGGGAATCATCTCGCAAGGTCCACTCGAATTGTTGCTGGGAATCCTTGAAATCATTTGGAGACCTGATAACCGCCCGTTCATACCCTCCCGACTCGGAACCTTTTCAACAGCTTAACAAATGGCATGCAAATTGCGACAAATTGGGGCTCCTCCTAACTCTAGCAACGAGTATGGTCTGAACTATAGTGCATGGCCTAAATTAAATAAAAATTGGTACTCCGATTAAGATTTCGGGCGTTGCAATTTTCTAGCAGAGTTAACGAGGGTCAATCTAACGTCGCGCCATTATTATATATAGAATAGGGATAAATGGTTATACCGGGAGCTCTTTTCTAAATCATGTCACGATCAAATATTCTTACTATCCGCAATCAGAAATCAGAGCATGAATAGTATTCATTGAGGTCAATCTAGAGTCAGCCTAGAAGCTTGAGAAACTATCTCACCACTTCGGCCACGAACATATAGGCCCTTTATCATCAACATCAACTCAATCCTTGTGGAAATAAGGATGAAGGAACAAATCAGCCTTAGGATCGCCTAGCCAGGCAAAGTGAAACAAAAGAAATAAAGGAAATAAAAGACTGCCAACCCCCAATCACGGTCGAGGCAGAAAGCATAAAAACCACCCCCTAGACCCTAGCGTATAGCTTAGCATCGTGAACTGGAGATACTCATAAAGACATCTTAGTAGTCACCATCGTCTTTCTCGTTTTCGTCACCTTCCTCCCCTTCCTCGACTTCCTCGACTTCATCCTCTTCGTCGTTCTCCTCGTTTTCGCCATTTTCTTACTTTTTGCCCTGTCCCTTCTTCGGCTCCTTCGCACCAGCATTGTGATCTTTAGAAATATGGTTTTGACGTGCTCTATAAGATTCGAACTTATCTCCACACAGATGGCAAGCCACTTTCTCGTCTAAAATCGCGGCTTGGAGACGGTAATGCGAGTTGGGATCGTGTTTGTCTCTGATGTGTCGGGTAAGCCCGGCTTTGGCCTTGTACGCAGGTTGGTCGCAATAGGGGCATTTGAACTTGCCCCCCTCTTTCGATTTCTGGCGTCGGTGGTTCTCCTTGTGTACGTCTAGGAGGTGATTATTCCGATCAACGACATGGACGAATTCCATGGAGCAACGACGACACTTGTGGAGAGGCCGCTGCTGCTGCGGGGGCTGTGGTTGTGCGGTCTCGGTTGCCTGATGTACAGGAGGGAGATTGGCAAAGTGGATAGCCGTAACAGAAACTCCGGGGTTGGCGGGAGTTTGGGTACCGTACTGATCATCGGAGACGAAGTTCCATTGCGATTGGAAGCTCTCCTGGTTCGATGAAGTGGTCGACTCGTGATTATTACTAGCGATGCGGAAAGAACCGTCCGCTACATGCGAATTTGCATTCCCATCGAAGCCGGGATGGAATCCCCATTTAGGTACAAAGTCATTGGTACCGGGGTCGGTCTGCTGTCGTCCGTGGGGCTGGGGGTAGTCGTAGGCGGTTGGGTAACCCTCAAGGGAACCCCAATGGCCGACACGGTGGTCGTAGTAGTGGTCATAGAAGGGCTGGGGGTTATGAGTGGTAGGGATTTCGTAGTCGTCGGCGTTCCATTGTGTAGTTATTTGCTGATGGGAGTTTACAGGGGCGGAGTGTTGCGGTAGGTGAGGAAAATTGTTAGCAAAATCGCCATACTGGTAAACTGACGGATTTCCATCGAAGAACGACTCGTTAGTACTCTCGGTAATTTGCTGTTGGCCTAGCATGGCCTGGTCGTCGTTGCAGAGGGCTTCTGGGCTTCCCTCCTGTACTCCCGACAGTAAAACGGCGCTTCCCAACGAAGGATCAATTGGGACGGCTGGGAGAGGGACACTAGACTCGGAATCGTGCGTGTGGTGTAGAGCTTCCGGATACTCGTTGCAATCCGTAAAGGTTGCGCAGGGATGATTTACCAATTCATTAGTAATAGGGGAATATGCTGAGTTGTAGGAGAGATCCTCCTCCTCGTGATCGCCAGCGTGCTGGTTGTAGTGAGCCATTGTCAATGAATATTCAACTATGTGCTGATGAGTGTAGGATTATCGGTTGAGGATGAATGAGAATAGGTTAGATGGGGGCGGTAGAAAAGAAATTCTCTTGTACAAAAGGTTTTTTTCGTGGGACAGATTGTCAACTTTGGCAGCTCTTACCCGGGAAACCAAACAATGCCCTCTAGTAGCCCTATGCGGTCTGTGTTTTGGCCAGGTACCTATTTCTACCAGTAAATGTGCACTACAAGCGGGTACACACGCGCACCCCTCGCTCGATATGGCGCCTCTTGCCCGTTATGATCCCTTTTACTCAAAATTTGTAGAAAAGTGCTTGCGCTTTTGCTCGACATGGCGCCCCATGCACCGTAGTCCATGGGAAAGTACATGGCGCCTCTTACTCTTAATCGAGATGCGCCAACGGCGGCGAGTACCCCTCGTGTTTGGAAAGACTCCGGCGTTAATCCATTAACAAAATATTATCGTGGTGTCGAAGGGCATCCAATAAACAATGGGCCTTGCTGCCTTTATACTGATAGCCCCCTTCCAAGGCATCTACTCAGTTGGTTACATAGCCGTGTTCCCTCATGGTTCCTATTTACATATACTATTACTGTAAGTACCGAAATTTTGAATATCTTTTCTTATATGATTTGTAAATCTTGTCCTTGTATTTTTGCCCTCGCTGACTTAAATACGATTTATTTGCAGTTGTAACTACTACGCCGAATAAATTTGCCAACTCCTATCAGCCCAAGTAGTGCCTGCTCTTATCGCAATGAGAGAAACTAGGTCCATTCATGCCAATTTGGGTCGAAAATAGGGAGAAGACCGTCCTTCTCGAATTGCGGCCCCTCGGCATCAAGTATGAATCCCATTTCGCATCTATCGAAATCAACCTTTCGCGATTTATCTTCGTAGAAAGCATCAAAGCGCGGAGAAAGCGCTTCTCTCAGGCTATCAACATTGCCGGCCGGGTGAAGAGCTTGCCAAGGACAAATGCACTCTTCTGCCTTACAACTCTTCAATACGAAGAGCAAGGAGTCCAACCTGCTAACGACCTTTTCAAATGGCGCGCCAGCTATCATTTCTGGAGCGACTTCGTCGGGATGCAAGAGATTGACCATTTGCCCCGGGTCCGTTTTTAGGTCGTGTAACTCGCGCTCGTTATTACACCAAACCTGATAATGGAGGTCATACTCCGTACTAATGACACGGAGAGCCTTGTAAGTATTGTTCATATGAAGCCTCGGATATGAATCGAGCACTTGACCCTCATTAGAGGCGAATCCCCAGTGTTCCACTGTTACGTGTTCATGGCGGGTTTCGGCAGCCTGCGCCAAGCTTTCCTCCGTAAGTGGGATTGAAAGTCCATCGAAGTCATCCCTCAAAGGGGCACCTACTAATTCTAGGATAGTAGGTGCGAGATCGGTATGGGTGGTTATAATATCAGTTTCCGAACTCTCGGGAACTCCGGGGCCCCTGATTATCAATGGGATATTGATGTCCTCCTCGAAGCTGCATTGCTTGGCGGGCTGCATCCGATGTTGACCAATATGATACCCATTATCCGTCGTGTAAATGATATATGTGTTGTCGAGTAATTTCAAATCTTCTAAGCGGCTAAATATGGAATCAACCATTTCGTCAACGCTTTGGAGGGTTCGGAGTCGTTGTCTATAATAATGGTCATTGTAATCAACAGTCTCCTGGCTCTGCATGGGTAGCTTTCGAATCCAACTAGCGCCTGATGGCTTATCGGGGTTGAAATTTGCGGTTCTCGGAACCTTGACGCCTTCGAAAAGCTTGGCATGTCTTTCCGCTGGCACCGGTGGTGAGAAGTCAACCTCTGTTAGGTCACTATGATTGCCGTCCTTAAAGCCAGGAGCCCAAATATTCGCATGTGGGCCGATGGGCGCAATTCCTAAGAAGAATGGCTTTTCTGCTTCAACCGCTTCATCTAGAAGGCCCAATGCCTTCTCTGCTAGCACATCAACGCTGTGCCGCCCTTCATAACTGACTGGTGGGTCTTGGTTTCGCTGATAAGTCGAATTCATATAGGAGTATGTGAACGGATCAAGCAGGAAATCCTTGAAACGTAATCAGCTAATAGTTCATATTCTTTTTAGTGACAAACTCACAGAAGAAGTCCAGCCAGCCGCATATGGAGAGTGGTAGTTTTGGACAGAGTGCGCATTAAATAATTTGCCAGTATAGTACGTATTGTAGCCATGATTTTGTAGCCAGACAGGAAGATATTTATCATTAAGTCCTTGACTGACGAATTTTGGATAACCTCCGTACGGAGGTACTACATTAGTAACATTCGTGTTATGCGACAATTTCCCAGAGAAAATAGTGACCCGTGAAGGGCAACAAAGAGCGGTGGTGCAAAAATGTCGTTTGAAGGACGTGCCATGTTTCGTTAAGTGTTGATCCACGAAAGGCATATACTCAAGAGAGTTCAAATGAAGATCTTGATCGTCCGTAAGTATGAATATGATATTTGGTTGCTGTCGTAGTTGAGTTGTTTTGCTATCCTCAAGTACCATGGGTTTTTGGTCGGCCGGTCCAAAAATGTTGCCATATACCACATATGGGTAATATAGCATCGCCAAGAAGAGGCAACAACCCAGCGATGCCATGGTGTTTATTGCCGCAATTGCGCAATCCAGGAACTTTGGCTAGAATAAGGCGACAAGTGAATAGTAGTTATCTAAATGTAGGTAGGTAAATACCCTGGGAGGTACTAGGCGATTATTAGTCCAATAATCGAAACGGTGCTGGGCTAAGATGTAGCTACTGCTGATGGCGTTTCCATTATTCCCACAAGGAACGGAGAGCTATAGGGTGGTGAGAATTAGTAGAAGGGTCCACTCGCACCGTCGGTAAGGTGCCGTACTTACCTATGGAGCTAGGCGAAGCGAAACGACAAGGTCCGACCAAAGATCGGCTTGGGACGCATCAATGGTAAGTCGCAATTATATTGTTTCGGGGTAAGGTGAGATTGTTCGTATATTACCGTGGTAGTCCCCTCATTTCGCAGTATATACCTAGGTATCCAGGGCTACCTAGTAGAAAGCTAATAGAAATAGGTATAAGTAATGCGGCACAGCTGAGTTTTTTATTTTCAGCCCGAGGTCACCAACCTCTCTGCCGTGGCTCTGACGGCGAAGAATATTCTACCCCGCATTCTTGATATAGATAGATCTGTAGATGCATTGGAACGTTCAGGGACTCTTGGGACCTTCCATGTTGCTTACCCAGAACCAATGAGCGTGTGGGAGGCATTTGTTGAGCGCTGAGTGTAGTCCTCTACCCACCAATCACTCTTATCTGAGTAACCTAAACACAATTAGCTTCTACTACTATCTTACAATGACGACCGTCGTTCCGGTAGGAGTATCTGAGAAGTTGCACTTAGCCGACGATGAACTCGGACCTGATGAGGAAAGGATTGATAATGCGATCCCTCCTCTCGGAAAGCCTGAAACGCACAGGCGATTTTGGTTCCAGAAGTCGAAACATCGCAATCCAGACGACATCGCGACTCAGGTATGATAATGTGGAGAATAAAATGTCGAATACCTTCTAATGCTAACGATTCATAGCCGAGCGTCTACGATAACCCAGACATAGCGGCCCAATATAAGCCTCATGATGACTGGTGAGATGGATTTGAATAAAATGTGGGGTACTTGCTAACATCAGATAGGGAGAACCTTCATCGATTCGATCCAAGGGCGCGATGGACTTGGGCGGAAGAAAGTAAACTTGTCCGGAAGATCGATTTTCGCATCATGGTCTGGACGGCGCTCATGTTTACGGCGATGGAGTTGGACAGAGCCAACCTTTCTCAAGGGTTGACCGATAACTTCTTGGAGGATATGGGAATGACCACGAACGGTATGAGTTGCTTAACCCTTGAACCTATGTAGAGGCTGAAGCTGATTGCAAATAGACTATAATCTCGGAAACACGGTCTACGCCGTGTGTTTCTTGGCTGGCGAGTTCCCAGCGCAACTGTTGGCAAAGTGGCTCGGCCCCGATAGATGGATCCCTTCTCAGATTTTATTGTTCTCCGTCGTCTCAGCATCGCAGTTTGCCCTCAGTGGTCGACCATCGTTCCTCGTTTGTCGCGCGCTGCTGGCATTTCTGCAAGGAGGCTTCATCCCAGAATGTGTTTTATACCTTTCTTATTTCTATAAGCACCACGAATTAACTATCCGACTTGGCTTCTTCTGGACCGGTATGATGATGGCAGATATATTAGCTGCTGTCATCGCGTTTGGGCTACTCCATATGCGAGGAGTTGAGGGTCGCTCGGGTTGGCGGTGGTTATTCCTTATTGAGGTGAGATTGAATGTCCACAACGTCCGATTAATTCTAACCGAATCTTCAAGGGGCTTGTTACTGGAATTGTTGGTATCCTATCGTACGTCATGATGCCGCCAGGTCCAACTCAGACGGCAGGTTGGTCCCGAGGAAAGAATGGATGGTTCACCGCACGGTATATTGTTACCCCACTACCTAAATCCAACCTAGTAGATGCTAAGTCGTGTTAGTGAGGAAACAATCATGGTCAATAGAATCATCCGAGACGACCCTAGCAAAGGAACGATGCATAACAGACAACCCATCACACCGAAACTCTTATGGAAGAGTTTGACGGATGTAGACTTATGGTAAGTGTTCTGGGTCTTTCAATCTGATTTGGAACTGACAAGAATCAAGGCCACTCTATTGTATCGGGTTGACCTTTAACATCCCAACCTTTTCGCCACAACAATACCTTAACATCTCACTAAGGGGTCTCGGCTTCAGTACATTCCAGACGAATCTTCTGTCGATTCCATATCTTGTTCTAAAGAGTATGTGCGTTCTTTCCATGTGAGCGAGGATTTGCTGACGTGTACCTTAGTTATTAATATGATGGCTCTTTCTACTCTCGCGGAATACACTGGACAGCTTGCTGCATGCGCGTCAATTTTTCAAGTTTGGTGCCTACCATTCCTGATATACTTGCGAGTTGTTGATACCACAAAGGTATCGAAATGGTTAACGTGGGGAATGATTTCACTATTGCTGGCAGCGCCTCTTGGTAAGTGCCCATCTAGAACGTGTAGTAGAAACGTTGACTAATAAATCGCAGGTCATCCCGTACAAGTCGGATGGATCTCTCGAAATTCGAATACGGTTCGTTCGCGAGCGGTCGGCGCGGCCCTCTATAACATGTTTCTGCAATCAGGAGTTATAATCTCGTCGAATATATATCGATCCGATGACGCCCCGCTTTATAGACGAGGCAACTCGGTATTAATCGGGATACTAAGTCTAAACTTGGTACTTTATGCGTTGGCAAAAACATATTATGTCTGGCGTAACCGCGTGAGGGACCGCAAATGGAATTCCATGACGGCGGAAGAGCAGTTGGTTTATCTGGCGGACCATCAGGATGCCGGTAATAAGAGACTGGACTTTAGGCTTGCCTCTTAAAGTCGCGGGACTCTTAGGTCTGAAGAGCATCTGGTGAATTTGATAGGAGGCTCGCTTCTTGTACGTATCTCAATTGTCAGAGCATTTATCGTTCTAGTATTTGTTCTTTCCAAATACCGAGGGTACTCCCCACGTCAATACTGTGACATCATGTGGTTGAGTATGCTCTCACTCATACGAGTCATTTTACCTAATACCTTGTTGTTATTCACGGGTCATCTGATATACATCCATGCTCAAAGATGTTGTGTTGATGGTGAAAGTCAAATGCTTGTAATATAGCCATTGTGTAAGCGAGGGCCGCAAAGAGCACCATAATGTGCATGACCTGGTGACTAGCACCGAATATATCAAACACCCGAGGATACCATCGTTCCGGAAACTAGACCGCCATTAGAAATTGGGATATCAAACCTCGGTAAAGGGTGGTGCTAACCTTCGTAGCGTAGATAATTACGCCCGTACCATCGAAAAGTACGGTAGCTCCTATCCAACCAAATCCAACTCGGTGACTCTGCTCCTCAGAACCGTGTTTGAGAACGCCGATTAGGATAGGGGCAATGACGGAGCAGAATCCAAATGTCGCAAACAAGTAAGCCCGTATATGTCCAAGATGTGGTCCTCCTATCGATGGATGGAATGCCGCAAGCGAGCATAATACTGCAAGTATTGTATTAAGAGTCCAGTATGCGATCTGACCGCTCAAGTCGCACGGGATGCTGTAGTATATGAGGGGCACGTTCGCCCCCCACATCAGTAAAATGATGCCCTGGTAGTCAAGCTTAACGCCTAGGGAATACACAGCTTCACTATGACACATAAAAGTGTGAAAGCTAGATACCGGTTACGAAATTTGGTTAAGGAATCAACGAGTAGGTAAACTCACAAGGTTGAGAATGCGAAGCAAACGCCAACGCCCAGGAAGTATGTACTACAGACCAAGATGTCCGTTATAGTCGCTAGTTTGTACCGTGGTGGAACCTCAGTTTTAAAGACGTAAAGGGGTAGAGCTAGAAAGATCACAGCGCCGATTATATGAGAGAAAATGTTGACTACCATCTATTAGTAAAAAGGCACGGTATTTATCGGACTGATCGTCGACCGAACCTGTTTCGTTATGGATGTATGTCCAGCTGTGTAAACATGATGCCAAGGAATCGCATTCTGGTCGGTATCCAGTACGAATGTGTTCGCTTCCACGCCTAAATGTGGCATGTAAGCACTAAACCGCCTATAATTACAGCGCACGTCACCTACTGTTTCCAGGGAGCTATATGGCTTAGCTGTTAGCAGCCAAATCAACTGATAATTATATGCGACGAATACTGACGAAGATCCTCCCATTCTCGCAATTTTATTAATTTCTCAATATGCTGCTTGCTTGTTGCGCATTGTTCTGCTGAAGCCGTCTTGGGTTGCCGTCCTCGAATCCTCGAATTATTCGCAACTAGGGCCTGAAAGCCCGAGGCCCATCGCAAGGCCATCTTCCTCCACCCACTGTATCATACGTCTAGTACATATCGTGAGGTCGTGAATTCCGGCAAGAAGGATGCTTCCGCTAAAAGTATTGTACTTGTAATTGAGTATCACGCGGTGATAGAACGCTACCCGAGTCAATCGGCCAAGGAAAAAAGATATGGAATAGAAATTAAGCTGTGCTGGCCAGCAATAGTAGTAACAGTATGCATTAAATAACACGATGTAACCCCCCATACAAACCCTTGTCACTGCTGAAACAACTGCCAATACGGCGGAGTGACTCGCTAACATTTAGGAAGAGGTGACTAGAATAACGTCGCCGTGTATGGCACGTAGATAGGTGTAGGTGCCTCATTATTGTTACTTTGTCATCGGTCAAAAATAACTTCTTCGATCGTGATGTAGATTGGTGATGTGAGTCCGAAGTATTCCTCCTTTTCGAAGCTCCGAGGAACCCCCACCAAGAGCTCTATAGGGCGCCATTGGAAGCGCCATCAAGCCTCGTGGGGGCGGCATAAATCTCCCCATCCCTCCTATTCAGATTTTTGCTTTCCAAGCAAGCATGAACGCCAACGCTAACAATAGCCCAAATTGAATCGCTGAGGCGTCCCAATACTCTACACCTTCTGATAAGATCTTAGGTGGGCCAGAGCTTAAGTATCACTCCTACATATGGAGAAAAGTGTTCTCGTGGTGAACAGGTGTAGTGACTAGAAGACTCAGTGTGAAGGGGCTGCTGAAGCTGTAGGATAGGGTGGTGTGGTCTAAATACTGCCTGGAGGCAGGCTAGCACGTTGGCGCACACGCTAATATATCCCGTTTAGTGGGGTCTATAGCGCCTAACCTAAACCATAACAGCAAGTAGCATAGGTGCGCAACACCCTTAGGTTCATGCGTGTGCCTTGCAATAAAGCACCCCAACCGCGCTGTAACAAACCACCTAGCAACAAGCATTTTCAATTCAATACATACAACCATATCTCATATTGCTTCTTGGGGTATCTATAGTTTTCTAAACCAAAAAGAAACAAACAAAATATATCATCTCCTTCGCTTGCTGATTCAACCAATGACCATCCCTGATCGAACCATGAATATGCTATAATGCTGGAAAGCTTCTAACTTTCAACCTAAACGCCGGCTTACCCAGCTCTTCCAAAAAACAACATCGTAATCCGTCAAGTATTCCACCAAGCCCGCTCGCAAATCTCATCGTCCCTCATTTTATCATGCTGTTTGTATTCGATTCCCCTTTTGAATCGACGGTCCCCGCGCGCTAGCGCCTCCGTCACCGGCAATTCGACGACTTCGTTGTCGCCCAGTATTCGATGGTATGTTCATGTCCTGGAATTGGTTCCTCTCCGATGACCTCTCGCTAAGTACAGGACTTAAAGGTCGCTGCCCATCTATATCATTGTCATCCCCTAATTGATCTCCTTCCACGATAGGGATTGCGTGTCCTTCCTCGATTGCATGCTCTTTGAGAACCTCCTTGACGCCGCCTTCACGCTCGATCTCCTGCCATAGATGCTGGTCTCGTGGGAAATAGATCCGTTGTAATGCTGTGAGCCCTAGCTCAAATGCGACCACAGCCACAATTGTAGCTCCAGCCGTTGCCCACCAGCCTAATTTATTTCCAAACTCGTGCACAAAAGAACCGCGCACGACATATGGTCCGAATTTGAAGGGATATACGCCACCTATGAAGAAATTCCATACGAACCAGCCGATAATCGAGATAGCGAAGCCACCAAACGTGATTGCTGTCTTGTGGTGGCACTCCAAGATCCTATATACACCAGGTTAGAAATCGGATGAAAGGAAACAAGAGATAAGTAGTGTTCATATCAACTTACAATATCTTCACGTTGATGAGAATTACGGTCACCGTAAACGCTAACTGACCCAAAGGAAAGAGTGAGTTATTTTCGGTAAACAGGATATCCTTGAAGAAGCCCTGGACCATCATGAAAATTATGACAGTGTCAACCGCGCCTGTGAACATCCAACTAAGATACTTCTTAAAGTTGAAAGCTTCGCTCCGTTGGCCGAACGAGTAGAGCTCGGGAATAGCAAGCAACGTCTCAGCTTTCAGGTCTTTCTCGAAGATCCCCAGCAGAATAACCGGTAGAGATGTAAAGAGCGCATTAAACACAGTCAAACTCCACGATTCGTATATAGATGTTCCGGTGTAACCATTCCAATGTTGGTACTGGGCTTGGATGATATAAAACACCAACTCTTTCCAAAACGTCGCTAATATATATTTAGCAGTACGCAGATACATCCAGCGACCATGTACGAGGAGAAGCCGCTGGAGGAACCTGAATTGGGCGATTGAGTAGTCGGCGACACGAGCAGCCTGAAGACCCTCGCGACCAGATATGCCGATACCAACGTGAGATGCTTGAATCATAGCGATATCATTTGCTCCGTCACCGATGGCCAGAGTTAACGAGGACGGCACGGTATGGCGAATAGCTCGTACTAGACTTGCTTTCTGAGACGGCGACGCTCGGCAACAAATAACAGAATCCATCCGAACAGCAAGGTCGTAAAACATTATCTTCAAGGATTCATCTGTTTCGATTACGCTCAAGGTATGACCGTCGACGACGAGAACGGAATGGACCACCATGCCACGACCAACTTCGATGAGGGTCGAGGTTATCTTCTCCTGCAAATCTTCGGCCGTAGCATCAAGGATATAAACTTCGGAGAATGGTTTAGCCAATTTCGCAGAGTGAGCAATGTTGATTGCAGTCTCGCGCTTGTCTCCAGTGAGCATCCACACTTTAATATTTGCTCTGCGAAGCTTCTCAATCGTTTCAGGTACACCTTGTTGAAGTTTGTCTTCGATGGCAGATGCCCCGGCGAGGTCAAAATCCTGCTCAATCAACTCCGCGGCCTCCTCGATGCGCTGTTGTCTATCTACTAGGCTGGTCGTAGCGGACCGATAAACCTTCCTCCACGCTTCGTATTCCTCATCGCTGATGTAACGGTAAGCAAAGAGAAGGGTCCTGAGACCTTCCGAAGCAAACTCGCCGATATGTTGGAAACATCGATCAAAGATGATGCCGTCGTCCGCAGCTATGGCCTCGTCTACCAATCCATCATAAAGCCCAGTACTACCAGCAAGCAGCGTCGGAGAGAGAACCATTGACCTTCGAGGCGTGCTGATACCTTCGTCATATCTCACAGCATCGTCTAAATCCAATGTCTCGCGCCTCGTAAGCCAAGTATCCAAGTCATCCGAGACAGCGGAGCGACGATTCAATTCAGCAGATTTGCGCCGACTACCTTTTCGGAAAATGCTACCATGTCTGTTCATGCTCATGCTGTTTCTAGGGCTATATGTGCCGCTAAGACGGCTCATGGCCCTTTCAACTTCCACGCTCTTGCGCTTGCTAGCTCTACGTTCCACATCAGAAGCTTTCTGCTTAGCGAGAAGAGCATTTTTCAATCGGGCAATCACGACATTGTCAGCGCCCTTGCAGAATACACAGATCCTACCATCTGGCATCCGTATAATAATCGACATTCTCTTTCGCTTGCTGCTAAATTCGATCACGTCCAACACTTCATATGTCTCAGTGATGGATTCTCCATCTGGACCTTGAAACTGAAGTTTGATGGAATGCGCTGGGCGATCAATAAGGAGGAAGCCTAAATCCTGAGCAGCTTGTACCAGCGCAAGTTCGTCTGGGGATGCAGCCTGAAAAGTAATATCGCCATTATCTTTGATTTCAGGTAAACAGGTATGACACAATGCCACACAAAGTAGAAATTGTCGCGCTTTCTTCGAAAATGTTGTGTAAGGATTCTGATAAATATAACCCAGCAAAGCCTCTGTCTTCGGTATAGGCGGAGAATGCCCTAGTCGGGATTTCGCTATCCCAGTAGAGGGGAATTGATGGTTATCGATCAATGGCGTCTCTACACGCTCATCCCTGTCGTAAATTGCATTCGCGCCTGTGTCACCATCAATGCGTTGGCTGGAAGTTTTTTGGTTGGCCTTTGACATTCGCAATTCGCTCTCTTGTCGATCTCGTTCGATGTCCATGTCATGTAACCATGCCATACCCGCAACACTAAGCTTTCGGAAACGCATTTTGTTCTCCGTCAGAGTACCGGTTTTGTCGGAAAAGATGTAATTGACTTGGCCCAAGTTCTCCAGAATTGTGGTAGTGTTTGCAACCATGGGCGTGTCTGTTTCAGGGTCGTACATCTCGATATCGTCTAACAAAAAGAATTGGCCGACTTTGATGATTTCCAAACTAACATATAGAGATAACGGGATAAGAGTATTGAACGCGATGATGAATCCGAACCATATATGCGCAAATGGCACACTGGCATCTTTAAGATAGGCGGCATATTTCTCGTAGGCATTCTTCCAAACATAGTATCCGCCCATACAACCCACAGTAAGGGTGAGCACAACCAAAACGAGAAGAACGACGATGCGATTCAGCAAGGCCTGGATTTTAGGTGCTTTAGCACCACCTTTCTGAGCTGAATTGATTCGAATTTTGCATTCCTCGCCCGTATTAACAATCAGCCCTATTACTTCATCCGTATTTCGCAATGTGGAGCCTCGATATACGACATCATTCATAGTTAGCGGTCGGGTTTCGCCACCAAGAGTAACACGGCCCTCATAATTATATAAGTCAGCGTTGGGATCCTCAGATACTATTTCTGCTTCACAATTCCTTAAGTTATCGATGGTGTCGCAGCGCTTAGCTAGCAAAGAACAAGCTTGTTTGCTCTTGAGGTTCGTTTCGCCATCGAGTGCCATCGTTTCAATATACGCCACTCCGTTATGACCAGTTGCGTGTAAGACAATGATATCTGCAGGCACATTATCATCTCTTCGCAATCGAATAATATCGCCAACTCTTAGATCCTGCCACTTAACCGTAGACCATATAGATTCCTCTCGAGGTTCCCCCACATCTTGTAATTCTGTCATTCCCTCCTCCTCTTCCCGCTCCCTACTGCGCCTTTTCCTAAAACCTGCTAGTCGACTCTTGGTTGGTGTGTTTTCGACAGTCCCGTCCGGATCTAGTACCCAAGCCGCGGCTAGATTTTCTGTCTTGTCCAAAATATACCTCCTATAATCATCAAACCCTTCCTTCGCCATGCTAATAGAGACGAAGATGAGTAAAGGTATGAGTGTGGTAAACGAGCCCGTCGTGCTCAGACCCGGTATAAGCTGCAATACAGCAATAATCAGGAAGTAGAAGTTGGCTAGCTTGCTAAACTGGAAGTAAAGCTGTTTCGGCAGAAAAGACCATTTGGTGTATCTACTGGAGCGTATGAAATTCGAGACGTAGGTTTTACCGCTCCGTTCGTCTATCAGCGGCACCTTGCGAACAGCGCCCGCTTTCAAAGGTATATGGCGACCATTGCGACTTGGTGGAAGGGGTTTCTGGCGCAGCAAACCTTCGATAATCCATTTTTGATACGAATCGTTGAACAGTTTCTCAAGCCTAGCCCATGGACCCCGAGTAAGTTTCCGTTGCCGATTGACCCAAGCGCGATAATTATCCAGCCGGAAAGAGGCTTCGCGACCACTATCGTCGGTATCCTGACTCGCCTTGCCATGATCGCTAAAACGCCTCGACTTTCCCCCCACCACCGGTATATCATCAACATATTCTACGTGTCGTCCTTCGCTTCGTTTACCGGCCGACGGAGCATGGGCTTGGGAAGGGTCGCTAGATTCCATTCGCGAATCGATATTTGTATGAATCGAGGCATCTATTCCACGAGATTCTTCGTCTTCGTATAGAACGTCGCCGGAAAATCGAACGCGATGTAATGAATTGTCGGTATTTGCTCGTCTCGGTCGCCAGTCATCGGGATCTTGCCGCTCCCCACCGAGCGCAATGCTAGCGGGTCTTGCATTGGAATTTAAAGGAGAGTATTGGTGCCGGGGCGTTTCAGCACGCTCGGGATCGTCGTTGAAATTCGGCATGGTCTCAAGCGAGAGAGTCACGCAATTGGTGTCTGGGGCCCAGGCCTGCCCAGACCTGCGAGGAAGTAATTCAGGTGATGTTCGACGGCGGGGGGTCCGCCGTAGTAGAGCCAACTAATACTTAGCCTCTCGGATCGTGGACTCATTGGTGGGATATGATTGGGCGGCTGAATATAAAGGCCCAACCCACTCCCGTCGTAGATTCGTCGGAATAGGCAAAAATCAAAGTATGAGAGCCGCGGGAGAGGCTACATAACATACCTTAGGCTAGTATAATGTTGGCCGTCGCAGATAGGAAAAAAAACGTGGTACCGTCACCAGATGAACCAGAGGAAGAAAAAGATGGAGGGAAGAGACCCAAGTAAGGAGGGTCGCTTGACGAGAACAGACTACTATACACGAAAACGTGGAAGATTGAGAGGTATAGAATACGAAGTTGTAGCCTAATACATAGGTACTTCACGCATCACTGTAACCCAGTTATGCTAGGACTTTTGGTCCACAGGACGCATGAAATACATGCTATGTTGAGGTAAAAGGAAGAAAGCTGAAAAGGAAGAGGGGGTTTGATGGTAGAATAAGTGAGACAAGACAAGGAATAAAAAGAGATAAATCAATAAAAAACATAAAAGAGAGGGAGTGGTGTCACTTGTTAATACCTAATGATATAAACTGGATACTAGTACAGTACAGTACGTAGTATAATAATGATAAGATCGATGGAATGACAGGATAGACTGACAGACCGATCCATCGTACCTGCAAAAAGTTGTGTTGCTTCAGTTGCCGAGATGGAAAGATCTCTACGTACGTAGCTGCAGTTGCATGGTAGAGAACAGCATAGCCTCGAAGTTTAACGGAAGCCTGGCCCCTCGAAATCGGAAACAACCACCACACTACCTAGGTACCTAGGTAGGTACCTTTGTAGTGCAGGTAGTGCCACTTCACCTTCTAACTCGGCCACATCGGTGTACGTAAACAGGCCACCATTCGGCCCCCGCGCCGTCCGCATCAACGCCCGCCTATTGCTGTCGCCTAGCATCACCCACTACCACTGAGGATTGAAGGATCGGCGCATGAACGTAAAGATTTCGATAGGGTATTCCAACCCCCAGTTGATAAAGAGTCATCAACATCATCAATATACACCAATATATATAATAGGCTCTTATTTCGTCGAAGATCGTCCAGGTTAAATTCCTTCGTAGCCTATCGTCTCTTTACTTACCACCAAAAGTAGGGGACTCAGCCACAAAAGCTGATGTTTCTAGTCGGTTATTAACCGGGCGAGTTTGGAAAAGTTTTTGGGTTTAGGTGATGCAGCTGTCAAAAGAACATTACTTAGAGACTCCGGCCGTAGGACCCGATTAAGCGAAACTCTGCATAGTCTTCCCTTACTAAACTAAACTAATAACGTCAGAACCCATTCCTAATTGAGAACTAAAGACGGGTCTCGTCTATGTATACCTGTATAGCAAAACTACAAACACCGGGACGCCCCGCAACACCAAGATGTAGTGACATACGCTTAAAAGACAATCAGGAACCGCCCACTTTCCATTCTATAATAAGCAACTGGCCAGATAGACTTTGACGATATCTGATATTTCGTAGATCAGAAAGTCAATACCTTTTCGAGGTCTCATTTTCGATAGTCAATAAGTAAAGAACAACGTGGTATATGGAGTTCAATGAATTTCAACCAGTTGTCATCACATCAGGAATTATCTCCCTGCATATAATACACTAAAAGATGCATCGGAGTTGTTAAAGAGTACGTCAGAAAGTCTGCGCCACCCAACAGCAGCTTTGTAATACTCATGGCGTCTTGGCGATTAACTATTTCCCGGAAACCAAACCATTTGCCATTGTTCGACAGTCACGGATGTTACGGGAAGCGAGCAGTATCACCATCGACAAACCAGCATATACCCCTGATATACACTGACGACAACTTATACTATGGGTATGATGGTAAATTACTAGTACCTACTACGCCGCTATGTCTGGTATCACAGCCATCTCTAAGCCACCGCTTCATATACCTCACACGACAGTTTAGATAGCGTACGTTACCCGCAGCTCTCATCCTCGTATCACTGCTTGACATATGTGCGGTCCTAATAAGCGTCAGAAGTTTAATCGGGACAAGTCGGTTATTAAAGATAGATATCCCCTCATACGGCAGATTTCATAGAGATCCAATTCTGCCACCTTAAACGTAAACAATGAGGCGTTGGCGTTGCACATGTGGAGGTAGGATTACCAGGATTCAAGCATCTAAATAAATCAGCATTCATCCCATCATGCCAATGACATCATTTCTCAGAAGACCATGTGTTAAGTATATATCAGCTTGCCACCAACAACAAAATATCTCTTCATTCTCAATAAACCCTAAAATTCTGTGGATTAAAGAATGGGCTTGGTTTCATAATAAAGAGCTTGTGATTCTCAACGGAATGTTTATTTGGGGAGATTATGTCTCCGTCATGGTACGGAGAATAGCACAGGATGTTGGTAGTAGAGTTACATAGGATCCCAAGTGATATATAATATATGTAAACCACCGAATTGAGAAGGATTTTTACATTTTTGGGGCATGGTGGTGAAGTTGTTAACTTCTCACTTATTTTGGTCCGTGAGCATATTATAACCTTCCACGTAACCATCAAAAACAGGAATGGGATCAAGACGTCACACGGCGAACGATACAAAAGCGACACTAAAGAATGAATGCCCACGGCCAAATCAACAACCTCGCAGTTCCAACTAATTGACCAGTGAGCTACGAGAATAATTGACTCTTAAACCTACGGATTAAGAGGTTACACATTCAACTCAGTAAGACACACGAACAATATATCGCGAGGTACGATCGCCATTCAGGAATTTGAAGATCGTATTGCTGACATCAGATAATTCAATAGAGGCTTTCACGTCACACCGCCGCTATATCGGTTCGACTTCCCGGAACCGCTCGAACGAATGTGAGTATTTCTACTCCGCGTGGCATTACCTAGGGAGCATTCTTTTTGGACAGCAATTACACTGGAAATGGGAGTTCTTATAATTCGTCTAATACCTACGGCGCTGACGGATTAATTCCAAGCCAAATATATGACAGCTAGGTCTTAATCGGTCACGAGAGTACCTAATTCTATGGTGAGTAAGCTTATGGACATGTAGGCTATTGAGCGAGAAAAAAGGAAAGGCTCTCGAAAGAGCATCAGAACATCACAGATTTGATACTTCTGCAGACATATAAAATCATTTCACTTTAAGAGAACAAGTTTCAATTCGCGTATGTGATTCTATATTCCGATGTATTATAACCCTCGCCGTAAAGTCGTGACAAGGAAAAAAGGACAGCAAATAGAGAATCTCTTCATCTTCATCGAGTTACTAGGGCTAAAGTCAATCAATCCACCTTGACTCAAGGCAGTTCAGAGTAGTTGGCGTTCAGGGCTTTCGCCGCAAGTTTTACGCCGTCAATAATCTGGTATACTGCCTGCCCGCCCAGGCCTATTTTCAACCTCAACATCCCATTCCCGAGGTATCAATCATCATTATTCTCGGATTTAGTAAATACCAAACCGAGTTCAAATTCCAGCAGACCAGCACTGACTGCTGATCTTCCGGCAGACATTTTAAAAATTATTATCCTCGAACCCAAGCCTCCTGGGCTTCTTCCATGTTCATCTGTTTTTGTTCACCCCGCAGCCAGAAAAGACATCGCTTATTTTCGTAAATGCGAAAAGAAATAAGAATAAGCTGTAATATTTCAAGAACAGACTGTCGACAAGTTGGATTAGATCCGAGTTCCCGGTATTAAAACCAAACGGTGGAATGCCATTTGGAATGTAAAGGTGGTTTTCCCCGAGGTGGAAAAGAAGCGATAACGAGGTATAATAGAAGGTACGATCGCTGTACCAGACACGCACAATCGAATGCCGAAGCAAGATATTGTCATGCTGAGCTTTGTGGCCGATAAAATTGATGAAATGGGACAAGAATCGAATCAAGTCTCATGCCAAAGAGCAGGTGGAGAAGAGGGAGCTTTCGAGACGGAAATACGAAACAAAACCACCAAAGCAACAAGAGGTATAAGTTCCGCAACGCCACAACTAGGAGAGGAAATTCAGACCACAACAGAAAGTCCTTGTACGAAGGACATAGCGTTCCTGCCACCGAGAATAGAATTCTAGTGACTAAACCAGCAAGTTATCAAAATCATTGAGGATGCGGCATACTCTCTGGAGATAGGCTAGATGGATCAACCGTGTCGAACTGGACAAGTTGACTCATGTCCAAATCGGCCTGGTTGTGCTCCACAAAGCCTGGAGAGTGAGGGTGCATAGGAAGGTTGATAGTGTGCTTTGAGTACATCTCGTTCAAGCTGTGTCCGTCATCTGAAATAGCAGACTCGCCCATAGCATACATGTCAGCGGAAGCTGGTCGTTGCAGCATGGAAAGAGGCGGTGACTGTTCGACAATAGCAGGGTCACCATGGCTAGTGTAAGACAGAGGGGAAACAGACTGAGGAATCTGAGGTAGCGGGGACAGGAAAGCGCCACTGTAAGGAGTATTAAAGCTCGAAGCTGGTAATGGTGTGTTCTCAGGTGCTTGTGAGAAGTAATTCGGGCTCGAATATTCTGAAGGAGCGGTGGTAGCAGCAGAGAGAGGGTAGGGTCTCAGATCCATGTTGTACGAAGCCTGAGTATCAATACGCAGATTAGGTCCAACATTATTAAGCCCATTGGGCTGTTGGGGAACGGGGGCGTAGATATTAGGGCTGTGCGGCTGAGCTTGGTTTTCACCCGGGTGCTGGATATAAAACGAGGGCATCGGGTTTTGGAACATGGAGAAATCGACAGCTGTAGGCACTGATCTGCTGCGCTGTCGCTTGTGGCCTGGACCACGCATACCAGCATGCATAGGGTTAATTCCCCATTGCGATTCTTGATACATGCCAACATGAGGCTGACCAAAGTTTGGTTGCGAAGAAGGGCGGTTTGTTGGGGATACGGGAGCTGAAGCAGACACCGACAAGGCATGATTCATGTCGAAGGCGTTCGGGTTGTGTCGGTTGGTGAATGATTCTAGAGAGGCAAGTTTGGCCAGCTGTCCACTAAGAACCTTAGGGTTTCCACCAAGATGGTGAACAAGACAATGAGTAGCCTGCTGATCCTCGGTAAAATCACCACACTGGAAAAAGCCATTGGAGTTGGGCGAAGAATCCATAAAAAAGTTCGGAGGTCGGTTTAACTCGATGACAATTCCGCCTAACTTTGTGGCATCGCCCTCTGGGTTCTCGAGATAGATGTTCTTAATCGCGTTGAAGTTATACTCGATCTTGTATCCCGCCTGATCGTTGTTGATGTAATAAGTCATGGTACATTTCTCAGGGGAATAGAAGATGATCAGATCCATCGTGTTCTGACCAACGCGTGTCCACTTTCCAATGCTCAAAGACCGACACGTCAAATGGTGGATGACTACATTTGTAAGTAAATTGAAACCCAAGAGCAAGTTAATTCGTGTGACTTACGGACTTTCCCTTGTCCACCTTGCTCGCCGCCCAACATCATCGATCCATAAGGCAAAAGACCGGTGCGTCCCATGTATGGACCACCCAAACCCTTTCCGGATTCCATGGCCTGCATAGCCAAGTACGCTCGCATCGACTCGGGGATCGAGTCAATATCCTCTCCAGTCTCCAGACTCTTCTTCGCTAGGAGCTTGATCTTGGCGCGTCTACTATGTATGAGTAAAGAGTTCCCACAATATTTAATGCGAACTATACATACCGGTTCTGGAACCAGATTTGAACAGACCTTTCGGTCATGTTAATTTCCTCCGCAATTCTCTCCCGGACATTCGCAGTCGGGGTAGGGTTCTTGTTGAATTCCATCTCCAACGTAGTCAATTGATCTTGAGTCGCACGTTGTCGCTTTTGGTTTTTCTGTTGTTGCGTTAGAGTGCTCTTGCGCGGTGGTCGTCTCGAGTTGGCGTTGGACTGTCCGTTCGACGGCGCAGAAGGCGAAGGGGACTGGCTATTCTTCGTGTCGATCGATCCACCTGGCGTTGAAATGGCCTCTGGTGTAGAATGGGTCAGAGCCGCGGCAGTTGGGGCCGCAGAACCTGGTTGTTCCATTTTGATGGGAGTATCCATCATTGACTTGGGTATTCGAAAGGAGTGTTCGTATCAATAAATAAATCTGGCGCGATCGACTTCGAAAAACGGGTGATTAGACGCGGTATCGAAGGGCTTATCCCGATCACGCCCACAAAAAATAGAACGAATTATTCCGAAGTAAATATCACTCGGAAGGCGAAGTTGATAATAGTTATCAAGGAGCGTCGGCTCGAAGCTACGAGCTATAGCGCGTTGTCGCGTTGATATAAATCGTCGATATAGAATACTACTACTAGTAGATACGTTATACGTGTGTATAGCAAGCGACTACGGGGGGTCGTCAAGAGCTGAGATTTAGTTAAAGCCTAAGGAACGAAATGGACCCGAAAGGAGTGACGGTGTCCGTAATGGCTATGAATATGAAAAGAGAGTGTGGATTTGAAGAAAAAAGGAAATAACGAATATGGGGAGGAGAAAAAGGTAGAAGGAATTGTCGATAAACGACGACAAGTTACAATACGGGGAAGAAGATGAAGACGGAGAGAAGACGATCGAAAAAGGGAGGAGGGGGGAAAAGGAGGAAAAAGCCGCCAAAAAAAAAAAGAGTAAGGGCAGTGACCCAGCCCAGCAGTGAACCGCCTGCCCTGCTGCTGTACCTACCAAACCAAAGTAGTAGCCTGCAGCGAAAGTTGGTACTAGGTGGTACATACCCTAGGTACCTGCTATGGTAAGAGGCACTTACTGCAAGTAGCGACTAGGATCAGCCTGGTCCGGCAGGCGGCCCAAGTGGGCAGTTAAGCACAAGTTAGGAACTTGGGGGAAAAAAGAACGGGGACGTTGCATACCTGTACAAGTGGGTACAGCACCTGATACTGTCAAACAAGGTTTCCAAGGTTGATACGGTTTTCGCGGGGCGTTGCGAATCATAGACAGTGGGTCGTTTTACTGATACATAACGCTATTCGGTTTCACTAAATACAGTATGAGATCCATGGATTGAATGTACTGAAGTACTAAGATGGAAGCTTAACGCACTTACACATTTACGGATCTATGTAGCTCCTCTACAACCAATCAGAGTGGATTTTGTGGACACTCTGGGCTTGATAGAGCCAATCACGAAATCGCGTTCCTGGACCTTTTTAGTCCCGCAGGACACCGAGTACGAGGGGTACGTTACGTGTACCTATTCAAATGTACCTCACACTAGACTTACACCGTCTTTTTTTCTCTTTCTTAAGGGAATAAATCTTACTTTCCACCATCCCACGAAGCAACATTCATCTCACGATATCAACAATCTAAGAATTCAAGACAAAATATCTATTCGTTATAACCTTAGTTCATAAATGTAACAAACCTGGATGAGTACTGCCATCACATTGATGCCTCTCAGTATGGGAGTAAATGTTTTATCTATGTAATTCGCAAAGAAACAAGTCTGACAGAGACGGATCGCCGAATGGACCTGGAATAAGTGGGCTAGATGTCGAACGGAGCACGACGGTGGTGGGAAAAGGTCCTACACTACACTAAAAATCCAGCATCACCTTTGTGGACTGAATCCCTGACGATGACCTCAATCGCACTACTACCACTATTATGTAGAGGACTACCGAGCCTCTGAACCGAACCGAATATGTATTACCGAATCCGTTCACAATTATTTATGGCCTGTGAATTCATGAGCCCCTTCAAAATACCATAGTAAAAGCGACAACAGGATAAGTACTTGTATGTTTTCAAATTCATATGTACGGCACTTAGGTACCATTCCCCTGGTACTTGCTTAGAGCGAGAGGATTCCTGGTTGCAGGTTGCAGGCATCCTAGACGGTCAAACCGTGTGGGTGCTCCACGGGCTGTGCTGGGGAGAAGGGAAGGGAAAACTTCTCTTACTGGTGGACCACAATAGCGACACTACCGGCTAAAAGAGGTCTGCCTGTGCGATCCTTGCTGACGCGCTCTACCTAATGCTCTGATGTAGGGTTTGTCATACGCCACGGTGATAATGGCGCTTCAGACGAATATATCAACCTACCTACAGAATAGGCTGAACGTCAAAGTGTCAATTCCATCCTGCCTTCATGCTTATCAAATTATATCTCGATAAGCGAGAAGAACAAGGCTCGAAAAAACGTGCTCCGGCCACTATATACCAAGGTATGCAATTACCTACATGTAGGTATACCTTACGATGGATGTTGTTGGTAGAAAGTTAAAAGGCAAGCAATGCGTGATACACACGATTATCATGCTTGATGATCTGCGATTATTCTCGTGTAGGACGATCCAAGTCGAGTATTCAAACAAACATAGCGGAACTGGTACGACCTTTCCCCGAGCCGCTTGTCTTCCACATGGGAACCACAACCCCTAAGATGATTCGTCCCAGTCGAGTACAATCCAGAAAACCTCGTCAAAATTCTACTCACCCGACATCCAATCCATCGGAAGAGAGGACGCTTTTCACGCACCTAAGTACTCGCGGCCTTTCCATTAATAGACAATTCAAGGGAGGCGGCGAATATTTGCATATTATGCTATGTTACACTATGCAGCTAAGTCATTAACAGGCCAGATAAAAGACAAAATACACGATGCTTCATCAGAGTGTACATAGTAAGTCTGGCAACCTGGATGCCGATCCGTCCTACCATAGTGGTGGGGGTCGTTTGACGGCGTATGTTTTAAAACCAATGGGGGTCCTTGCTGGTCCCACAGCCCTGCGAACGACAAGAGACTGCTGATGCAAGGAAAGGGGGTTTTTTCAGAGCCAAGAAAACTGCTCTTCATCGTCAGACCTGATACCGACCAGACAACCAGACCAACATAAACACCAAACACATTACTGGGCCATACAAACCTCACCCCAGCTAACTTGGGAAGTTCTCATCCGAAAACCATCTCGCCGTTTCTATTGTTGGTTCAAATTCAGCTAGTAATACGGACAACGCTATAGTAGTTCTCCCTAGATTCGGCCGGCTTGGTGAAAGATCGCGAGGGCCTAACAGCCTTAGTAGGATCTAACCTCCAGCAGCTAGTTATTACATCCCTGCATATTTTTTCCGCAACAGTTAAGACACTCACGCGGTTGGCCGCGTTCGAACCAGGTCGTGACGCCTTTAGGAACCAATGACTGGGTCGTGAGATGATCCATGCTCTTCCCCGCCAGCACCTCATTAGGATTTGGGGAGGACAAGGTCTATCGAAAAAGGAATTGATGGATGGTTCGAACTGATAAACTTTCGTTTTATGCCGTTGATTTTATTCTCAGGGGTTGAAGAATAAGATCGCGATGAGTTGAGCGAGTTCACAAACCCAAGCACTTTCCCAAGTACTTTTCTACTGTGTGGCTACGTTATCCGTACCTGTATTGTCGAACCAGTAGTAGTACGGCGGAACTGCATGACCATCCGCCGTGTTCCTGCATTAGTATGCAGTCGGCTTTGTGTGCCGTTACTTGTCTAGACACACTGTGCTGGCCCATGCCTCCCGATCCATCCCTTATCCGCAGCTACCTAGTACCTAATGCCTATGTAGTCCTGCTGCTAGGTACGTTTGGTCTACTATTTTAGAGGGTCGCGCCAGCGCAAACTGGCCAGTTTTACACCATGAGGATTGGAGTACTCTTCTTCATCTTGTGCTTACAGTGGCTTAACTGGATACCCTCCATTCTTTCTTGGGCAACAAATGTATTTTTATGCTACTTATTGATATGCTTTATGGATATTATTAACTCACCTGCCTTTAGAGATGTCTTTTACGAAAACATTCTGAGATAAGCCAGTCAGCCATATATAACCCGATAGGGTACCCAGGATTCCTCGCAAATCCCTCAGTTTCGGGTTACCAAAAACTATGAACCGTTTAGGTCCACCGAGTTTTCTCATGGATGGGTTTTAGGCGATTCAAGACAACTACAGCCGAGAATAGTGGCACGTATTTATCGGCTCTTCGCTTTCAAAAAAGTTACCCGATTTTATCGCGATACGATTTCGGGTATGATATAACATATGACGAGTTAAGTAAGCCGGATCTTCTACATACGATCTAAAGGAACGAAGCGACAGCTCTTTTAGCGTAGAAATCCCTTATAACTCAACGCTTAACACAGTGTTTAAAGGACCAGTATACATACACTAAATACTCACATAAGCGGCAAGTCGACTCTTGCCCCTTGCAGACTAGCGTTACGTCCTGGAAACTAGCGTTCTTACCCCTGAGTCCCTGGACAAGCAGAAAGCATCACGCGTCCCATTATCCGCGTGTATGGCTGTATTGTCTTGCAGAAACGTAACCCACCCTTTTTGTGCTCTCCATGGTCATGCATGAGACTACTCTTAACTGGATCGAGCAACCCTACGCCACGGAAACGTGATATTGGTCTCAGCCTCCAACAAGACAGGAAGTGCAAGAAAATTCTTGAAAATTCCCGCGTCTCAATGGGAGGAATTGGCCAAAACTGCTCACATAGATCAGACCTATGACATTGAAAGGAATTCATCCGATCATTTGTGAGTTGGGGAAACTCTGAAAGACCTACTCGATCCAATGCTAATGGAACGGGAGCACCAAGGCCCCCAAGATGATAAGCCGCACAGCCCGCATAAAGGAGAAAATGTGCTAGTGAGTTATTCTATATTTGACCGGCTTTCTCATGCATCTTATGGAGTTGATATCACCCGATTTGTCACAGTGGCTTTTAGTTCACTGGCTAGCATCAACTTGTGCACAACGCCATTCGATCCTTTACAAAACCTCGCCATTTGGAGGCTACGGAAAGTGCACCTAGAACAAAATACATGTACGGTACATTGACATGTGCACATTGCTGACTCCAACGTAGTAGTCATCCCACAGCGTCGCATCATAAACTAAATAGATCGTATTGTTGATCGTGTTGGAGATCAGCCAGCCTCATCCATAACATATGGATCTATTATTCATACGTATTAATGAGATTTAAATAGTTATGTAAGAAATACATGACATGTATACAGGTAAGCCTCGAAGAAAAGCAATCCTGCCAAAGCAAATACCTACCAGGACTGCTAGGTAGGACTGCTAAATCCCCCAAAATGCAATGCCGTACAGAAGGGGACGATCAGCTCCCTCAGCTCCTGCACTGCAACATGTACTGGATTATCTCCTGGTCAATAAGTTGAACAGGTTGACTAAAGCTTTAATGTCACCTACGCTCCAACAATAGCTTAAAAGAATAGTTGATCTTCTCTTAAGCCTCTTCCCATATTTATCTCTTCGATACCAATGGTACTGGCCTGACCGGTACCCAGAAATACATCTAGGCAAGACGCTTTAACAAAACTCCGCGACATCGATGCGCCAATCCGTGCCGATTCTCGTACCCTAACTGGCCATAGTTTCTGGGTACTTATTACTTCACTTGCCCCTGCGTTGGTGCATGAATGATCAACTTAGCGGTTGGTAACGCGATAGGTTCTTCTACCCTGGTTCTTCTCACGATAAAGATTTGAGCACGGACGTGTACGTACCTACGCCTGTAGGTATCGTCACATTACAATTTGGAGCAACTACTCATAAATATCAAATTTACAGCCTTTTTCACGAGGTCAACTCGCAATGCTCGGGCTCATTGGGTGCCAAGTCGATGCCCAAATCAACCCGAGCCAGCCTTCATCTTCTAGACATTACAATGTTCCATATGTCATGATCCACATAGCCTACCTACTTGAAATTTGCTTATTTACACTAGCATACGAGAAAATCGTTCGGGGATTTTGGAAGACCGGGGAGATAGAACATTCTGCGATCCCGGCACCACGCCTCAGTTCATTCTCGCGACGCAGGGCAAACGTGATACGTCCAATTGATCATCCCCGCTTAACGTGCTCTATTAAGAGAATCTACATCCGGGACTTCCCTTTAAAATTGGAAAAACGCCGTCATTATGCGCCCTATCGTATCTTATCCTTTTCCCAGGTTCTTTCGCGATTTTCTAGGTCTGTGACGATACCCTAGACCCGCGTTCTCCGACCGCATTGAAACGAAGGTAACTAGAAACATGCCCACTTACTGCAAAGCAAACTATTGTGAGGCTTCTACGCCAGATTGATAACAGGGATGACTCGTGATTATGGGCATAAATTGATATAGCTCTTGGCTACCGTCATATCAAACATTCCAGCTATACTCAGTATTAGCGTCAAGGACATCTAGAGGATACAATATCGTCGCCGCAGAAAATCTCTTGGCGGGACTCGCAAATATTTGCGCCTCATGTTTGTAAAGCGCATATCATTCGATACCAAGCAAAGTAGCGTAAGGAGGCAGATGGGCGTTAAAACTTCTGATCTCGTATATATTCTAATATTCGTAACCGCCCAGCCTTTAGAAAGATGAATAAAGCAAATAATATTCCAAAGTTGACTTGAATTGAAAGCTTTTTTTCTATGGATCTAACCGCCTATCTAAAGCAAGGGAGACGGAGTTGGGTCTAACACTACCGGTGTGGCGCGGCAATAGCTATATTGCTTCTTATGTGCCGGCGCCATGGGCATGAAACGGCCAGTGGATACAATAGGGCAAACCCAGACGATGAATCATAGTACTCTGATATAATTAGCAAAAACTGTTAACCGAACGACTTTCGTTACATTAGCAAACATAGGTACCTGGGTCGTCGTCTCTATTTTTAATCGTAAGTAACAGCAAGCATGACCGAGTACCGAGCCTCGCGGGATCTTACTAACATAAACCCTGAAGATACCACGGCGTATAGAAATGAATCATCATTACATACAGTCAAGTATTATATTCTTATTCGGTTCCGAACAAATACCCAGGTAGGTATAGATCGTGCACGTCTCTAAGAGCCTCTTGTAGCTTTTCATCAAATCTCCTTCATAACCTCAGCCACCGCTTTCGCAGCGGCACGTCTGCGCTGGTCTTCAGGCAAACCAGCGTTCGAATCGCGAACAACCTGAAGCTTGGTTATCATGCCTTCTAATTTCTGTATCGCCTCATCATTCAATTCCTCTGAATCATCACCGCCAGCATTTCCATCGTCTTTCGTCACAAGGAAATCATAAAGTGTAGAATCCACTAGGGGCTCCAAGCCGGGGTCGTCTTTTTCTTTGCCATCAGTATCCTTTTCGATACCTAACTCAGCCTCGAAGTCTTCTAAGTCGGATTCGCGAGCGGCTGCTGCTTGAGACCAGTCATTTGCTTCCAATGCCTCGAGTGCGCGGGGTATGCCAGTCTTTTCTGTATTTGATGTGAGCTACTCGTGAGGTACTCGCCGAGTGTGGTGATAATTGAAATGAACAATACGTACCTCCAAATTCATTCCGTGTTGGTGTAGATTGACTTCTCACTTGTATGTATTCTAAAGACCGTGCACTACAGAAGTCTTCCCACTCATCAAAATCGTCGGTCTCTCCTATGCCCAAGCACAATCCCACTCCGTCCCAGCTCCAACCCCCAAGTCCATCTTGAACGACTTTACCGACTTTCTCTATGAAGTCGCGCGTAGCTTTGCCTTCATCTGATTGTGACTTGACAGGTAATGAGAAGACGAGAATGAAACCGCCGAGAGCCTCAAGGACTTCTTTGGCTTCGGGGGATAGAAAAGAGCCCGCCCACTCGTCTGGGGATGAGATAAGATCCAGCCATATAGGTACTTCGGCTGTGTAGTATGCAGTCTTGAGGGTGAGGTTATGTGATGAGCCAGCTAGTGAAGTTGATTCCTGTTCGGGAAAACTTCCGGTGAGATCTTATTAGGTACTACATATTAGCATCTACGTAATAATGAGATGTATGTGGGACATGAGGCTTATGTGGAGAGATATAATATGAACCGTTACCTTTAATTACCCTGGTTAGGTGCTGGACTGAATCTGCCAAGGATACGGCCAATATCCGGCGAGGATTGGATATATCCATGTCCTAGATGACACCAGGTGACCTGATTAAATTTTATTATGCCTGATTGATGAGGTAGGGAAGGTAGAAGGTGTGTGATAATAAACAGATCAATGGATGGCCCTGTAAATAATTTGATGTTTTTTCCAGCTTCATTATCACTGTCTGATGGCGATATTTTACTTCTGTAGGGCTTGATAGTAGGTACCTAAATAGGGCATCTATAGCGCTATTGCACCCCGCCATCCCACTACAACATCCCACCTTCTTATGCTAAGTCCGCTATGTTATCATCATGACTAAGCCAATTTACAACTATTAACCGGTAATTGTATAGAGAATTAGCAGTAGCAAGAAACATTATTATCCTCATTCTATTTTCTATACAGTATCGCTTAATTGTTTAACTTCCATTCTATGTTTTAGACTTATTTGCCATTATATTCCTAATATTAGAGCTGTCGATTTACGATTACCCTGCCATCATGTCTAAACCTCAACCAATTCAACCGGTACATTTGACCAAAGCATCTACGATTAAGCAATCTGGAGGCCAAACCGAAGGCATGATACGTTCGAACGCGATAGTCGATAAATGCGACGGCATCTGCGCTACGAGCATGCTTGCGAAACCACATACCGCTTCTGCGATCCATCATCACGGTGATCAAGATACAATAATCTATGCTGTCAAAGGCCGCGGGAGTGTTATTAGTGAAGGAGGAAAAAAGAAAGTAGATCTAGAACCAAGAGATTTCGCTCTAATTCCCGCCTGGTCGGAACATCAAGAGGTCAACGATGGAGACGAGGATGTGATTTGGACAATAGTAAGGAGTGGGAGAATTCCCGAGGTCGTGAATCTCACCGGCTGGAACGGAGAGCCCATCAACAGCAGCTAGGAACCCCCGCCTCTCCTCTAGGATGCATCTCTATTCATTGCTCTTCAATATATACGGTAGATGATCGGTATATACGGACGGCACCATCCCCAAGAGATAAAAAAAGAATTCAAGTCGCTTATGCTGTTCATACGCCCCCAACTCCCCAATGCTTGGTATTTTCTTATTCAACCTCGTCCTCCATTGTAATCAGCACCACCCGCCTTCCTCAATCTAGTCACAATGTCGCCCTCCTCAAGGTCACCACGGTCGCGAGCGTCGACTTGGATGGAATGGTGTGCCAGGACCCGCTTGACATTTCCGCTCTCGATAGACACGCGCGCCTTTCGCATGACCTTGACGCCCTCGCCAATCCAGACGACGAATATAAACTTCACACGCTTGCTCTCGGAATCATTGGAATATTCGACGCGCACATAGCCGTATTGCGCCTGGGTATCGTCTAGCTTGGATACCAGCTCTGCCAGACCGCCCGTCCCCGTTCCCGTCAGGGTTAACTTATCACCCACGGCTGCCGCGTAGGAGATCAGCAACCAATTCGTCTCATCTTTATCCGAACGAACGGCATCGTACGCGGCTAGGATTTCAGGGCTGTCGGCGCCGGACATCTTTGCGTAATTGGGGGTTCGGGGTTGTTTCGGGTGGGAAGGGGACGCAATTGGAGGGTGATTGTTGGTTTTTTCGTCTGTCGCTATAACATATGGGAATATGGCGAGGTTAATTGTACGAATTTGTTGTCGTTATCCAATCTCGAGTATCCTGCTCGTAAGGAAATAAGGAAATGTTGCAGATTTGTTGGCTTCTCTAAAGGAAGATCAGCTCTATCTTTATGGATATTCGGGGACCTTTTTAGCGCTAGATCGTCTCAAGTTAGCATAAGCGTTAAGGGGGGTGTTCCGGCCCGTCATATTTAGTGTCAGCTGTCGATTAAGTGTTTTGTTACCCCTATTCTTAGGCTATATTGATATAAAAAAGTCTTTGTTATATGCTTTACATAAGTAGTAAATCAATTTGGCATTCTATAACTCAAAAGGTACCCTAAGATAATCTTAAATCTAATATATGTGTCTCTGACTGACTGTTGTTGCAACGCAACAGTCATAGATTATCCGAATACCTGCTACATTCTAAAGACTATGGAGGACCGAATAATTATCTGCCCCTTAGAATCCCTTAGGTAGTAAGATACCAAACCCACTCGCGATACCAACTTCCTTTGAAGTGGTCGTCGGGCTTAGACGTATAACAGAAGAAAGTGACATCGCAATCCTTATGTAATGCGGAAAACATGGATTCAAACCGGTCTTTGCGTTCGGTCTCTGAAGACATGGCGATTCTCACATCTTGCTCCGCAGTCCTTTCGTGATCCTGTGAAGCCTTTATTTTGAGGCACTCTCCGATCTTTATATTCTTCCTCATCAGATAACTGGTCAAAGGCCGCCACTCTATAGCCATTCCCTTGGTGCCGTTCGAGTCAATATCGAAGTGTTCGAGGGAAGGCAGTTTATACAGAACGTATGAACAAATTACATATGGCAATCGACACCTTTCCCCAGTTTTACGAAGCCGGTAATTCTTCACCGCGTCTCCCCAAACTAGCCGTAAAAGGGGGCAGTAAGGAAAGAGCTGACTCCCTATCTCGTATTCAATCTCTCTGCTAGGTATAGGTTCACCTAGTTCTGTTTTGTGACTGCTGCTTTCGACTTCGGTGTCTATGGTTTCGCGAAACATCGCATAACAATCATCTTCGGAATACCCATTAAACTCAATGTGACATCCCATAGCATTCTCGCGATTAAAATGACTCTCTCTATAAGGGTTTTCGTGTACTAATTCACGCCCAAATCCGTAAATTGCGCGGGCGCCATTTATCATAACCCCTATTACTAATCCGGGGATTACTTGGCTTTTGAAAGCGCCCTCGGTAGCATCTCGGAACGATCGGTTGACCAGTCGACAATCAAACCAGGCACGTCGAAAGTCTTGTCGCTCAAGGCTGCTGATAATCATCGTCTGGATTTCTAGAGGTAGGCTATTCCAACCGACTGGAGTGGTGGCCATCTTGTTGGTCAATTTGGTTGGATGTCGGGATGGTGTCTAATTTATCCTGCCGATTGTGGTATCCTCAGAGTTGTGCCGTCTGGGTGAGATATCCCCCAAGTTATATCTGACGGTAGAGTCGATGGCGTCCTCGTAATAGTAAACAGTAGTATTGACCGTGTGTACCGGGGTGTCGTCCACGTGTGAGGATTGACGGAACTTGGTTTTGGTTCGTTGTATTGATGCTCTATCGTGGATTGGTACCCAGAGGCCTAGCAGAGTGGTTGATATTTTGCGTGTTGCGGTTTAAGAACGAGGCTGGTCGGAAAAGCTGTAGTTCTAGAAGAATTAAATGCTAAAACCTACTTCGTCTATATCTAGTGTGTTGGCTGACTTTTCCATCTCTTCTTTCCCGCATCACCGTCAGTACATAGTCATTAGCCAGGGTCATCAATCACATCTAACTTCTATTATCGGTTTCCCGCCTGGATCATGCAAGCATTGATCGGACTGTGATTTTTATCTAACATCTCTTCAGTGATTCTTTTTCATTGTGTTTCTAATGTATCTCCTATGATCCCATCAATCACCTTCTACCATGAACCTGACTGGGACGTGGTCTCTCATTCGTGTCACAATGGGACAGGGCCGGCAACTTATGTGGATTAAAGCCATCCTAAAATGCCCTTCTGAACGTAATTCGATGTATTATAGACGTTCCTAGACCTCATGAAGGCCATGTTTTAAGATATCACTTAATATAGTAGGAAGTAATCGTATTGCTCCGGGAGTCCATTCATGCGCTCGCCATGCGACAATTCCATCCGGCCTTACAAGAGCGGCACCATCGGGTCCTACACCACATAAGCGACTCCATTCACCGTCTCGATCCGTCCAACCTTCTTGACCATCGATTACTTCCACGTGTATAAGCTTGTTCTGAGCCGGTGACCACTGCGATGAATTCGCTAACAGTACAAACGAGTCGAGTCTGATTAGGTAGCGTGTAGACGTATCCTTATCACCCTTTTTCAACCAAGCATGTGGTAAGTTGTGACCTGGGATAGTGGACGGATGATAATTCATGATATCGAAATTCCCATCTTCTAATACTTGCCCATCATGGCGTGTCTTATCACCTTCGTTATTGATATCTGCGCTCGGGTAAAACCAACCAATCTCTATGCCGGGTGCGTTAAATTCGAGGTCTAGATCCGCGGCCGCCTTTTTCACAGCATCCCTCTTATTTATATGTTGAGGATGATCTGGATCAGTAAATGCCCTGACTGCTTCGAGATTATCTTCTACGCATGCCTCATCTGCCGAGATTCCCAAAGCAGTGTCCATGACATTACCATGATTAAGCATATTTGACAAACTGTTCGATGCAATGCGACGAGCAATAGGCTGCCTCTCGAATTCGTATGTATCGAGGAGACCGTCGAAGGATTTTGGATTTGACGATCGGAGAGCGAATACAAGCTTCCAAATGAGGTTGAAAGCATCTTGTATTCCAGAGTTCGCTCCCAAAGCGCCCCAAGGAGGTATGCGATGAGCAGCGTCTCCGACGAGAAAAATCCTGCCGCCTTTGCTTCTGTAACACTCTGCAACAATCGCATTGACGGACCAGTGGCTGATGCTTAGCAGATCAATATCCAGATTGGGAATTCCCAAACTTCTTCGGATTCGTTTGATAGTATCCTCGCGCTCGAAGGTTTTGGGATCTTCTGGTAGTCGAGGAAAGGCGAATACCCACTCCGAATTTGCCTCCCTCCTAGGAAAGTAACCTCCAATGTGATAAAGGTATCCTGATCCCAGACTACCTCTCATCGTTGGGTTGATGAGCCAAGAGAGAAAGACGCTCTTATCAGGATGTACGGCCTCGAGTTCAGCTTTGAAGTGCACGGTCATCATGTCCACAATATCGCGTTTCCCTTCCCATTCGATCCCGATGCTTTGTGCAAAACCGCGGCCACCATCAGCACCTAATACGTATTGCGCACGAACTTCCTCCTCAGCTCCATCTTTAGTGCGGACAAGAAGAATCACGGAATCGTCCTCTTCTCTAACACTGAGGACTTTTGTCTGATACCGTAAGCCCTTGGGATTCAAGGCTAATGCTCGACGCTTAAGGATGGGTTCGAGTCTAATCTGGGCCAGGATACTGTAATGAGCGGGGCTATTACGTTGATATTCTTGCGATCGTTGTCCGGCGCCCCAAGCTTCTCTCCTTGCTATTTCAATACTATCTTTGCCTAAGCTTGTGTACCAGGCTGTTGCAGATACTGAATCAAACGGAGCGCGATGCTTGGCGAACTCTTCTTCAATTCCTATATGGTGGAATATTTCAACAGTCGCTTGATTCAAACCACAAGCTTTTGGGTGTATAGATGTATCTGGATATTGTTCAAAGACGACATGTTCAATGCCATTTAACGATAGAAGGATCGATGAAACGAGACCAATCGGACCGCCACCGACGATTGCGACAGGAATCATTGTGCCTTCAAGAACGATGATATAATAGGAAGTCGGCGCAACGAAACGAACGGTTTAGGGTTGAAGAGTAGCCTTGAAGTTATAGGCTATCGCCGAGAAGATGTTTCGTAGACCCATATATCCAACACCCGTTATTGACTAGGGTACATTTTGCTTAGCTTGGGAGCATCGTTTTAAACAACGAACTAGGTAGTTCTACGACAAATCCTCGTGCCAACAACCATACCGGACTCCAACCATCGGCAAGGAAAATCGGTACGGCTCGAGAGGTGGAGGCATGGCATGATGTAGGTAGGAGGCACGAGGCGCGATGCGGGGTTTCACACCCCCCCGAAGTATCGGTATGGTATTTATTATGGAGTAGAGACTATCTGCCTCTATAGAAAAGGAACATCTTATATTTCAGCTGACTGCTGTCTATTCTCATGAAAAAAGATGAAGGATAGACCGTAGAATGGTTACCCCTCCCCTCCTCCATCGCCAACCCGGTAAGCCACCACGTGATTTATTTACATAGACATACAATGACGTAAGTAATTCTCTGGATCACATGACTTTATCATAAATGAAATCCAGCCACCGAGTAATGATATTTCCCACTGCCCACTCGTCGAATATTCTTAGTATCTCTTGGTAAAGTTACGAATGCCGACGTATTTGGCGGAACTTCTAGATCCAGGTTGAAACCGGTGTCGTCCACGCTCCATTCGACATAGATCTTGCCGTAGGGGCTTAGGTAGCTGGTCTTCGCCCATGTCAAATTACCACCAGGTATCGGCTGTACCTTGAACGTCTTCCAGCCTGGATCTACTGGTGCTAACCCCCCTATCACTTGGTGGATCCAATTCGCTACTGAACCGACAGCGTAGTGATTGAACGATGTCATCTCCCCAGGATTTAGTGAACCGTCTTCGAGGAGACTATCCCATCTCTCCCAAGTTGTCGTCGCGTTCATCTTAACTTGGTAGAGCCATGACGGAACCTTTGTTTGGAGCAACATTTTATAAAATGTCTCACTTAGGCTATATTTCGATAGCGCTAAACCGAGCAAATGGGTACCCGCGAATCCAGTCCCAACCAGATAATCATTGTCCTCGATAATCTTTTGCAGACGACGAGACGCGTTTACTGCTTCGTCCCCATCTTTAAAGAGGTCGAAATATAAAGGTAAAACCAACCCAGTCTGCGTTTCGTAAGCAACACGACCCTCCGGGCTCATCCAAGCTTCTCTAAATGCCGCTTTGAGATTCGTTACTGATTCTTCGTAGTGTAATCTGTCATCCTCGAGTCCGAGTTCCGAAGCCATCTTACCAACCAATCCAGTCACATAGACAAGATACGCATCCGCAACGTACGATGAACTCGTCGTCGCCTGTCCTGGGTCGTCGGGTGGCGATAGAGGATCGAGCCAATCGCCCAATTGAAAAGCATTCCGATCCCATAAGCCATCTTCATTTCTTGGAATCCCGGTATCAATCCATTCCTTCGCGCCGACATACTGTTCTCGCAATATATCAAGATCTCCCGAAGATAAATATGTATTCCAAGCGTTTACCACGACTGCATCTCCCCAAATCGCAGTCGCTACCGGTGGCCCTGTTCCTGGGACCGAGGGAACTACTAAAGGTGGTACACCTAGAACGTGGTGTTAGCAAAAATCAATAATTATGTTGGGGGGAAACTGCTTTGCAGGTATTAGAGAAATCTGACCTTTTACTTGTTCGGATCGAAGGTCCCTCAACCACCCTCGCCAGAAACCAGACGTGTCGTATAAGAAGTTGGCGCTTGGTGAAAACGCATGACTGTCTCCTGTCCAACCAAGTCGTTCGTCTCTCTGTGGACAATCGGTTGGCACGCTCATGAAATTGCCTTTCATACTCCATCGGATGTTATGATGTAATTTATTGATCAAAGGATTCGAACATTCGAAGGTCCCGATTTCCTCCAAGTCTGAATGGACGACGACAGCGACCACCGCATCTTCGTCTAAAGGTGTATCTTCGATAGGCCAGTTTTCTACCTGAACATACCTGAACCCTTTATAGGTAAACGCCGCTTCCCAAGTCTGCGGCTCTTCACCGAGTATGATTTCGTCGGTTTGAGTAGCGGTTCGAAGGGGTCGTGTAGCAACTTCGCCATGATCCAGAACTTCGGTATGTACTAACTTAATCCTCGTTCCGCTCGGTCCCTTCACCTTGAGACGAAGCCACCCCACCAAATTTTGCCCGAAGTCAAGGATAGTCTTTCCAGTAGGACTCGTGAGTATCTCTTGGAGTTGAACCTCTTGTACGCGACGAATAGGGGGTCCGTCTGGCGCGACTAATTGGTCATATGGTGTCGAGAGTTCCCTATTACCCAACCAGTTCGTATCATTTCTCCATCGATAGTCGGGAGATGACCATCCGGTCTGTTCGAGCCTCGGGTCGTATACCTCGCCATTATAAAGCTCGGCAGTGATTAGTGGCCCTGAACGTGATGCTACCCATCCCCAGTACGAATTAACAACCTGTTTCCCGGTCGGAGTCCATATAACCAAAAGCGCCATAGCCCCTAGGGCATCCCCCCAGATATTGCGAGTACCTCCTTGGAAAAAACCGAGCCTTCCGGCGTACCAGCCTTCACCTACATGTATTCCGATCGCATTATTGCCAGTTTGAAGCAAATCAGTAACATCATATGTATTATAAACATGTGAATGATTGTATGACTGCCAACCGGGTGCGAGAACATTATTACCGACTCTGTTGCCGTTGATGTATGCTTCATACAAGCCGTATGCAGTGATATATAAACGTGCTTTTTCTATAGTGCTGTTCGTCGAGAACTGATGAAGGAAATGTATTGGTTGATGCGTGGCATTTTTTTCGGTTTTCTTCTCCGTACCCATCATTATGGCCCTGGACCAATCTTCTTTAGAGAATAGGCCTGTCTCCACGGTGACCGCATCGGACCATGGTGTATCTGGCAGGTCGCCTTGACCATAGGCTCTTACTCTCACTGTTGCAGATTCCGAAGACGAAAGAGCAACTGTAGGCCAAGGTACCAAGACAGAATTGGAGGAATTAAAGTGGAATAACTCAGGTTCAGAATCCCTTTGGACCTCGACACTATACCCCCCTTGCGTCCAATTCGAAGCATCTCCATGAAACCTCCATGATATGCGTGGTTTTGCCTCTCCGATACCTAGAGGTTCACGGTGATGTTCGAAAGCGACCTGAGAGATTGAAATCTCAGCCATTGCATTGAAAATACTGATCCGAAGCGAATGCAGCTTGATCAAGTTTCAAGAGCACTTCTCAGTATCCAAGACTGCCTATTCAACAACAGGATAACCAGGGGAAATTACATGATATAAAGCAAGCTGGTGCTACTCCTTGAGAATATATGGAATACCATTTTCGCTTCATATAATTCCCCAATTTTCTCGCCATTCCGGTTATATCATTGATGGGCTTTTAGCCAAACCCCCTCCCTTAAATGCAACCAAGACATCTCGACGATCATTGACCATCACATCTAGACCCCGAGTTTTCCTGCTCCCCGCATTGAGGCACCCATGCCTTACCCACATCTATATACGAAGATTACGAGATTTACGACTTTAGATGTTTGCACCTTACATGTATGCATATATTGGTAGCGATCCGCCGAGGTTATTGGATTGCTTGATACCTTCGATCATCTCGTCTCGAAATCTCAATTGACCCCACTTTCGTGAGGTAGTTCTCGAAATATCTGAGCTGCTGGGTATTAGCACCCTGGGAATCTTCCTAATTATATAATAAAACCTGGAGTCGACTTACCTGCTTTCACGGCTAAAGCGTATGTCAATCCCATAGGGTGTGCTGATGGCTGATATGGGAATACTGAGCCATCAACCACTCTAACATTATTCGTTCCATATACCAACAAATTCGTATCCACCACGCCTCCAGCTTTCTTTGCCAGCATCGGGTTCCCTCCTGTAAGGTGCTCAGAGGTACCAGTTCGCTGCTTGACAATGGCATAGTACTCCTCGAAAGGTAGATCGTGTGGAGGGTCGACAGATGTGATGATGTCTCTCATAGGTGGCGTCGTCGCTATCTTCGTTTCCCAAAATTGAGCTGCTTTGGCGAGAAACCACATGTCCCACTCGACCTTCGTGCCGTTGATCGTGGCAATTACTCTATTATAGTTAGGATTAATCGCAGGCGGCGCGAGAGGGTCACTGCTATTAATATGAACTGTGCCTTGACTGAGAGGCACTAGGTTGTAAGGCGTGACGTTGGCGGTCTTGAATTGCCACGCCATTTCAATTAGGGGTTGATCTGTGAACCAGAGCTTTTTGAAAACCTCAAGTTGTGCATCTGGAAGCCCTGGAATGCGGCTTGTTGAATTGAGCCATCGCGACGCCGCGGCGAAATCTTCGTCGTTGAGCATATTGCGAGCACTTTCTAGCTGGATGTAGTTCTGGTCGAACTCATCTCCTGCTAGTGTGATATTAAGAGCGAAAGAAATGGGAAGATAATTCATCATTGGACTTCAATTATGTTAGCGCCATTAGTCTCAACAAGAAGAGTACCACGTACGGATCTCTAAGGCCTGTCCCAACATTTGGAAGGTTGACTTTCGGCGTGATGCCTAAAGGCGTCAAGACTTCTGGATCTCCGATTCCTGAGAGCTCCAATATCCCAGAAGATTGAATGCAGCCGGCGCTTATGATAATTTGCCGCCCTTTTACACGCTTGGGGCGATTGGACTCGGAGGCAAGATCGACATACCGAAGGCCTGCTGCCGTAACCTTGTCGTCGCGCGTATTTTTCTTCCAATCGATTTTAGTTACCTGGCTGTTTGTTCGGAGGTGAAGATTTGATCTCCCTTGGACTGCGGTATATACGGATCCAGAATATGACCTGGTGTAGTTCGATGGATCTATGGCCAAGGGCAGGAATCCACCACCAACAGCATCACCACCGTTGCGATCCGGAGGAACCCGATAGCCTGCATTAAGAAGTGTAGGATTGAGATATTGGAAGAGGTTGAGAACACTTCGCTGAAAACTAGACTGGATATAACCATCATGACCATGATATGCTGGGTCGTACGTGAAATATTCGGATATGTTGCTCGGTGGCCCATACATCTTTTCAGATTGTCGATAAGCTGCGGACAACGAATCCCAGTTCCAACCCGTGAGGTTGAGAAGGCTTTCCCAAATATCCAGTTGTATTCGGCTATCTGTGTTATGTATCATCCAGTTCATCGCGGAAGTTCCACCGATTGTTTTACCTCTCGGAACGGGCTGGGCTCCGAAAGTGCCGTTGCCATTCAAACCGGTCTGTGGTAAAGTCCAGAATTGCCAATCATATTTCGTGTGCTGGATAGTCCCACGCAATTCCGGGTTCGTGATGTTTCTTTCATGTCTTCCATCGGAACCCGCCTCAAGCAAACAGACTTTGATGTTGGGATCCTCAGTGAGCACAACGGCTAGTAGTAAACCTGCTGTACCTGCGCCTGCTATCACATAGTCATAAACGGTTTCGTTTTTAGCAGCGGCAAGGGCAATTACAGCCGTCAGTATGAGTACTCTCATTCCCATTGTGACGATTGTCGACTTGACGATGGACAATGTCTAGGTAGAACTAAGGAACTAGGATGGCGAAAGACATTCCCCTTGTATATCATACGGATGTGTCAGATCGATGACTCCAACATTGGAATCGCGAACTCTAACTACGATATTACATTACTTGAGCGAGGATCGACATTGATTTTTGGCTGCGAGAGACAACTTTATTCCTGGCCATCAAGACTGCGCCCCGAATATGAGCGACTCGACTAATCGCTCGCCCCAGACTACTGCCATAATGTGAGTAATTACTTTTTTTTGTCATTTCTTCGCATTAAATTTGGCGCACATTCTCTGAGTCGACGAAGTCTTCCCATACTTCCTGGATATATATATATCTGCTATGTTGCCCTGGTTGAGATTTGAGCATTACGTAGGCAGATAACTGCCTGGGATGCCAAAACCCGAATCCGACATTCCTCGTTAAGTAGGCGGTGAATTGGACCACCAGTCGTTGTATTCATACGCCAGAGCAGAAAGTAACTGGCGGACTCCGTAAATATACCGGCGGCGTCACTACCTAGGTAGATGCACTGAAATCGGATGGTTTAAAACCCCGCGTACCGGCACCCAGTTACAGTCGAGTTTTTATCGACGCCGTGCTTAGCTTACTTTTGAAGGATCGTTACTGATGTGAGAACGGACAATTTTTTTTTAGTATTTATAATCATAATCTGTGCCGCTACAGGTGGGACCGTCGGATCCAGCATCCCGGCTGCTGTAAACACAGGATATAAAATGGTTGCCTATGTATTTTCAACTCAAACAGATCATAGTGACAAGTCGGCGAATATTAAACTGGACCGGATATCACGGGATTGACACATATCATATAGCTTACGATGGCTTTAAGCTCGCTTGCTGAGGCTTGCGTGCCGTCTACTTTTACCCCTACTCTTCCCGGCGCCGAGATTCTCTCCATCGAGGCCTCCATGGTTAAAAATTATAACTTTGATATTCCCGACGCTCTAGTATTTGCGAATCCTCCCGTTAATGTTGAAAACGCGAATTTCTGCAATGTAACGGTAACATACACCCATTCCGGCCATAACGAAGAAGCACATGTGGAAGCGTGGCTACCAGTGGATAACTGGAATGGTCGCTTTCAAGCCGTTGGTGGTGGTGGGTGGGTCACTGGGCGTTTCGTGTTTTCGTATGCGACCATGGCTAGGGCGATCTATGATGGGTATGCTACTATTACCACCGATGCTGGGTTAGGTACGGAATTGATCCCAAATTCATGGGCTCTTCAGAATTCTGGGGATGTGAATTTACATAAGCTGGAAGATTTTGCGTCTACTAGCCTTAACGACGAAGTGAGTTTTATTGAACCCTGACGGCTAGAGAAATATTGGAACTGACCGATTCCCAGGCGATTATAGGAAAATCTCTGATTAAAAGCTTCTATGGGCAACCACCGTCATTCTCGTATTGGTTAGGTTGTTCTTCCGGTGGACGCCAAGGTATCATGCTGGGGCAGCGCTATCCAACAGCATATGATGGAATTGCGGCTGGTGCACCAGCGATACATTTCACCGAGACCGTCCTAAATACCTTCTGGGCGGAACATGTGATGACCCGCGACGGACATATACCCTACGGATGTGAAATCGATGCGATTAGCGCTGCAGCAGTCTCTAAGTGCACGGGCTCAGACGGCTTCGTACTTGAGGTGGAGGAGTGTCTTAACCAGTTTAGCCCATTCGACCTGGTCGGAACAAGCACGACTTGCGCGGAGACTAAGACGACGGTTGCCATCAGCGAAGCCGCTGCTAAAGTAGCGAAAGCCGCATGGGAAGGAATAATATCATCGAGTGGAGAGCGTCTATGGCCTGGTCTCAGTATTGACACTGATCTCACCGGAAATTATCCAGTAGTTCGCAACCAACGATATGTCGCATCTACAGATTGTAGTGGCGAACGATGCGTACCGGTGGGAAATTTTTTCGGAAAGTCGTGGGTTTCGCTTTTCCTAGCAAAGGATCCGAATTTCAATACCAGCAACATCACACCCGAACAATTCGAGAACTTTTTCCACACGAGCAAGCAGCAATATGATTCTATCACCGGCACAAACGACCCAGATCTATCCGAGTTCAAGAAAACTGGGAAAATGTTGGTTTGGCATGGATTGGCCGATAACCTGATATCGCCCAAGGGCACAGAAAAATATTCCCGAGATGTCACCAAGCGCGTCGACAACGCCGAAGAGTTCTATCGCTACTACCCAGTTCCTGGTCTAGCACATTGCATGGGAGGTTACGGAGGACGACCTTATTCTCTTTTCGAACAACTCCGAACTTGGGTGGAAAACGGGACAGCGCCAGAATCCTTGCCAGTGTCATTTTCCGATCGTCACGGCGTAATTCAAAATAGAGTCGTATGTCCCTGGCCTCAAAAGGCGGAGTTTGATTCGGACTGCGGGGATGTAACGAAGGCTGAATGTTGGAGTTGTCCTGGCCGAGGAACTAACGAGGAGCCGAAAGCGGAAGAAAAGGAGTCGAATCTTCGCGGGAACAAACACGAGGAACTTTAGGGTTGAAATAACACTTTCAATATTAAATAGCCTTGGAAAATGAGTATAATTCATACTTGTGTTGTCCTAGAATAGGTGCACTTGGGTGGGGAATGTGACGACGCATCATTCTGCGTCAATGCTTTGCTAAACGGTTGGTACGGACGGAAAAACAGAAGTTATTTCATTAATATGACCAAATTCTACTCTCCCCTCGAGCGTCTTTCGCACCTTTGCTATTCATCCTACCATACCAAAGTCTCAAGCACAAAGCCAGTATCGCCACAAAGAAGTTACAGGCAGCACATACAAAGTTTCCAGTTGGATAACCCAAGATTGCTTCATCCTGCTTCCAGATCCACTGAGCAATAATCTGACCGAGCCCCGCACACGAGTTATGTACGGCGATCGCGAGTGGAATCGTTAACATGCTCGGGGAGTTACATGTAACCCAATTGGTCATGGATGGCGCCGCGGGGAAAGCACCTGCAGCCGCCATACATAAGCACCCGTATCTCTTCGCATATGCGGTCGTTGGAAGTAAGCCAGCGGTAAGCCATCCTATGCCGCCGATGACCGAGATCACAGTGATATGAGAACCTCTAGAATCAAAGTAATCCGCGGAGTATGAAAGCAAAAGGGCCACCACGAAGCCGACCACCCAAGGTGGGACAGTTAAGAGCTGCGCTTGGATTGATTCATACCCCAAACCTGTAACGATCGTTGGTGTAAAGAATGTAAACGATCCTTGTGTAACGACATTCGCTATGTATGCACAGTAATGCGCAATCATTCGAGGGGTGAAAAGGGTTTCCAAAATCTCCTTGCGCGTAGCGTGGGTTCTGTCGTAACCACCACCGCGCTCCTTAAGACGGTCAACAGCAAATTGTTTTTCTTCGGCACTAAGAAATTTGGCACGAGCTGGATAATCGGGTATGACGAAGAGAACGGGAATTACGCTGACAACCGTGATAAGACCCTCTATTATAAAAAGCCAGCGGAAACCTTCAAGTCCGGATCTTCCATTGGCATGTCCTATCCCGTATGCAATCGCGCCACCGAAGGCACCTGCAAGATTGCAAAACGCAATGACGAAGGCTATGCGAACAGCTCGCTCGTTGTGGCGGTACCAAATCGTTATGAGATAGACGATACCTAAGTCCATTAGTTGATATCCTGCCTATCCAAGAGTACGCGGACTTGTCTTACCGGGAAAGAAACCTGCTTCGAACTATATTAAGTTAGCTATTGTTTCTAATCATTTAGATTGTACTTAGTTTGATGTACTTACCATTCCAATAAGTAGACGTAATGCTAGGACGGTTCCATAATTCTTCACGCCAGCAAAGCCGATAGTCAAAACTCCCCAGCAGCCTAGAAGAATAGCAAGCCAGACACTAGGACGAACGTAATGCTTCATGATCCAGTTGGATGGAACTTCAAATACGGTGTAAGCAACCGAGAAGAGAGTTACGGTTAAGGCATATCCATTCGATGTCATGCCTGTCTTGGATAGCATATCATCTCCAGTCTCTTTGTTAAGTACGCGCGCGTTCCCTATGTTACCTCTATCAAGGAAGTTGAGTAGATAAACGAGGGCTAGGACTGGTAGAAGGCGGATATCCAACCGTCGATTGAGACGCTTGTTGCGTTGCTCATTAAGTGCTTCTTGGCCGGCATCTTCGAGCGACGCAACTGTCTTCCCCTATAAAACGGTTGATTAGTGAAATGGAACAGACAGTGTTGATGGATTGGGATGATTAACCTCTCCGATATGGCCCTCGAGATGTTCTTGCGGTTCTATCTTTTCCATGGTCATTTCTATGCGGATAACTTCTGGGAACACGATCTGCGTTGGAGGTAGGCAGGTAGGAGACCAATCTACACGTCGAAGAAGAATGAGTCCCAGCCCCTCTAGTTTTCCTTCTATCTCTAGTACCGCTACTATACTATTAGATACTACGCAGTAATCATATATCGCTGGTTGGTCAGTATAGAAATCCCGATTCTATTCTCCGCATCCCCCCTTTCTCCATACCAACCCCATAAAGTGAACAAGGACCATCGATCGGCTAGACCTCAGGTAGTTAGTTAGGGGGTAGTTTCGCATCATGCCTACGCTATTTACTCCACGATCTGCTGTCGATGCGGGGTACATCCCCAGATTCCGGTTTTCCTTGTAAGGTCTACCGTACATCGCGAGAAATATGTACCGAGGTTGTAAAGCTATGAATAAAGCCAAGGAGCCAAGCTGCTGTATGGGTATCACGCCAATTGCTACACAACCTCATTTCTTCTATCTATAATCAATTAGCATATTAATTTCGACGATGTCGTTGAAGCGCGGGTGTTGAAGATAGTATCCCCTCACGATATTCGGTTTTGAAGTGATGTGCGAATTGTATTTATAAACGCCGCGGCGGTACGCTAGAGAAATAAAATGTGTGTAAGGGGCATATAGTGGTAGGCTCCCGCTGTAGATATAGCGCGGCATTTCCCTAATTCCCCAGAACTGTAACGGCTAAGTCCGCCAATCTAGTGTACTGGATTGGGGGCTCACGGCTCGAGCCGGGGAAAAGATACAGCCCTGGAAAATCACTAAAATTCAGTGGTTACCTGCTATGCCCAGTCCTATCACGATCACTGGGGCTTAGGTACGTTAGCGCCTCTTAATGCATCACACAACCACTAAAATCTGAGGGCGTTAGTGCTTTGGAACACCATGCATTTTAGGTTCTCTGGGTAACTATTAATTGTATACCTCCATTAAAATCCTTTCAAGCTCCAACATCCTCCAGAGGGAAACTCAATAAAGGACCGAGGTTTTACATTTCAATCAGAAGTTGAATGACAGAAGGGCTAAATACTCTTCTGCCAAAGCCGTTGAGTCCCTTAATTTATGGATCTCGCGGATAATTTCTTCCGCTTCGACGCGTCTACGCTCAAATTCTGCGCGTTTTTCTTTGAGTTCTTTACATAACCTCTCAAATTCGGAGATTTTGTCTTCTAGGTCATCTAGTGATTCATCCTCAGCTGTACCGCCGTTTACTGAATCGTTTGATCGCGTAGCCTCTTGTCCTGTGCTATCCTGGTTTTCTGGAACTTTGATTTTCTCCTTCGTTTCGCCTTCAGGGTAGTCACCGCTGGAGGCGTCCATAATAGGCGTCAATGAGTGTGTGTTGATTTGATAATGGTTAGAAGTATTATTGACGGTAATAGATAGGATAGAACGAGGATCGGAATAAATGGGTCTAGAACGGTGAGACAATTGATTGTATGCGACGATGGGAGTAAGTTAGGTTGATGATAACTTTTGCGATTTATGGTGAAGGTTGGAATTTATGCATCAAATTGGAACCCTAGAGGTGACGCTAAATTTCATCGATTATTCCACGTGGTGTGCCAAACTCTGTATAGCATCATGTGTATCATGGCGAATGAGCTGATTATCCCCATACTAGACAACTCCTTCCCATCTCGACCCTCGAAGTATTGAGATATCATATCGCCTAAACTCTATATTATGTACCACGGAAGTTTATTAATGTGACAGATTGACAGGTGAACTGAGTCATTCCCCATTAGCGTCGAATATTGTGTTGATTGTGCAACTGTTCATGGGCTTATAAACTTCAGGTAGTTGATACCTTCGTCGTCGATGACTCGAGAATAAAGTTGGCCTCAAGTGGTAAAGGGAATTCGCGGTCTAGGGTCTCTAGACGCGGTGGTCAAGGAAGCTAGGTTTGTTATTAGAAGGCTCAATACTTAGGCAGACATTGGGCTATTGAAGAATAGACTGGTCGGCGAAGAGGGTCGCCATCGTGGACGGTGAAGCTGGGGAGAAGCTATTCGTATGCATCGCATATATACTATAACTACTACATATATCTAGGCAGTATTGAGATGCCTACCTAGGTACTTATCAAACACGCTTTCGCATAGGTGACGGTGATAAGGTCGAGGCTTCCGAACAAGAGAAAAGAATCTGCAGGTGCAAATCTTGTTGACTCTTATGGTGAGACCTTTTTAGCCAATCATATCGGATGGCTCAAGTTATTACAGCGTTACTTACTTTATTACATAATCGCCCCTGGATTTAGCACGTTTAGGTTACTTCGACCCCAGAAACTAACTCTAGCTGTGCAGGCAACGCCAAGTCCCGATCCGCCCAACATGGAAATCTGGAGAATAGATTGCCGTTCCCATTTCGAATACCACCGCGTCGACCCGAAACCATCCAATAACATCGATTGACATCTCGGTCGAACCAAACAAGCTTTTCTCTTATAGTATCTCAACCTTCCTCTTGGGTACTATTAATTGCTCTTGAACAGACCCAGGTTACCTCCAATGTCGCCTTCTTCCCCCTGTCGAACCGACCAACTCGAATCAGACGTACGTAAATTGCCTAGGGCTCAGCTGTTGTTCAAGGCGAGCTAGGCAAGTCGGCCTACCAGCTCCGGAATACGGATCACATGGGATCATAAAGATGGGTGTCGACGGGGGAGTAGAGATGCCATCCGAAAGACTAGAAGTTTCCGCATCAGGTTATTGGAAGGCCAAAGCGGTGGGAGAGTCTAGATGATCCGTAACTCCAGGGGGGGAAGAGATGGATATACGATTATATATAGGGATGAGTTCCCACACATTGCGTGATTCGATCTTCGGGATCTTCAAGCAAGCCTTGTCTTCAGCCTCAGATTGCGTGATATTAATCTATATAGCACCTAATTCTATACGGTACGGCTGAATTGCTAAGATCATCATGAAATCGACCCTCATCGCAGCCTTGGCTGCATTTAGCGCCAAGGTTTCCGCTCATGCTACCTTTCAGGATCTTTGGGTGAATGGTGTTGATATGATAAGTAACCCATATATGAAGACTATCGAGTCATATATGCTGACATCCCCAGCACGGTGCCACATGTGCTAGATTACCTTCGTCCAATTCCCCAGTCACAGATGTCTCTTCGAAAGACATCGCCTGCAATGCCGGCACGAAGCCCGTCTCAGGGAAGTGCAGCGTCGCCGCAGGATCAACAGTCACAGTCGAGATCCACCAACAACCTGGCGACCGAGCCTGCAACACCGAAGCCATCGGCGGCGCACACTACGGTCCCGTCCAAGTATACATGAGCTCCGTATCCGACGCCTCGACTGCCGACGGTTCCTCGTCGTCATGGTTTAAGATCTTCGCCGATACGTGGGCGAAGAACCCTTCAGGTGGCTCGGGTGATGATGATTACTGGGGTACCAAGGATATTAACACATGCTGCGGCCGCATGGATGTTAAGATCCCCACCGATCTAGCCCCCGGCGATTACCTACTACGCGCCGAAGCCCTCGCCTTACACACTGCGGGTCAGAGCGGTGGTGCTCAATTCTACATGACGTGCTTCCAGCTCACCATCACAGGCAGCGGTAGCGCTAAGCCAGCTGGTGTTTCGCTTCCCGGTGCGTATAAGGCTAGTGACCCGGGCATTCTCGTCAACATCCACGCCGCGTTGTCTACCTATGTTGCGCCCGGCCCAAGTGTGTACGCGAGCGGATCGACGAAGAGTGCAGGTTCGCCGTGTATCGGATGCGCTAGTACCTGCACCGCGGGTAGTGGCCCGTCAAGCACTGCTGGTGCTGGTGCTACTCTTCCCACTAAAGTAGCGACGACTACAGCGGCTCAACCGTCAAGCACGAGCGGTGCTGGAGCGGGATGCTCCGTAGAAATGTACGGTCAATGCGGTGGCTCTGGGTTTACCGGGTGCGGTACTTGCGGTGTAAGTAGCTTCTCGGTGTATCTTTTAATTCCTATCAATTGTGCTGACCATTTATTTTAGAGCGGAACCTGTAAGAAGTTGAACGAGTACTATTCGCAATGTAGTTAGTACGACCATAAGAGCAATCAACAGGATCGTATAGGGGTGGTGAACTATTCAGGATCGCGTCGAGTTAGGCTATCGGCCTGTCGCATTACACCTGGCGTAATGGTTTTTGATATAGCTTTTTAATATGACTTGCTCGCTAGAGCTTCTATTGGGTATAAATTTTGGAGCTATCTCATATGACGATCATCACTATCATCCGTCTCGGGTATCACAACAAAGCAGCACCGGACAATAGGGCAAGGCATGAGATCAACCTAGTAGTTGATGGGATACACACCCCCACGCGAAAATCTAAGCCGTCGGGGGACCAACGTAATTTGCGCGTCCCCAAGCAAGGTACCATGCAATCGAGATCACTGTAAATCCTACGAAAACAACCGAGGCATAGTTCATAAGCGTCGGGTCAAGGACGGGAACAGCAGTAGGCATGCAGAAAAGAGGAATAACCAAAACGGACCAGCCTATTTGTTGTTAGCCTAGGAGACAATGGCCAGGTGGGATGCCTGGCACGATTAAGGAGGGTAGACTTACAAACAGCGACGATATTGCAAAACCAGCCAAAATGCCCTAGGGAGAAGTTTGCTGTGCGGACTGTTTCGCGACCGCTGAGCATGCTGACCACAATTGGAGCTGCGTAGGCGGCTGTCAGGGCAATGACGCCAACACCGGAGAAGGCGTTGAAAGCGGCGGATGAGCCGAAGTAGATGACACCAAGGACGATTTGGACAACCATGCTCAACATCATAGCGTTCAATGGTACGTCGTCGAGCTTGTGGTTGATAGTCTTCCACCATTTTGAGCCGGGAATGGCACCGTCGCGGGCGAAAGCGTACACGCACCGAGAAGTTGCAGTCGTGCAGCCAATTCCACATAAAAGCGCTAGGACCAAAAGTGGGATGAGTAAACCAAACGCGCCTCCTGAATTACCAATAGCACTCTTAATAATAGCCGGGACGGGTTGAGCGAGGAGAATAAGCTCCTGGATATCGGGAAGGACAAAAACCAATGGGATCATGAACATCAACCCAGCAACGGTGTTAATGCAGATTGTCAAGATCATGGCTTTGGGGACTTGGGTCGCAGGCGCTCGGACCTCTTCACACATCCTGTAAGTTGCGGGTAAGAATGCGAATACCATAGACAGTCGGGTCGAATTATACTTACGAAATAATCATTCCTGTGCTTGAGGTAGCATAGGCGGCATGAAGCAATCCGACCATAAAAGACCAACCAGGAGTCCAGCCAGAATTAGCTTCGAAATGTGTGAAAACCCATGTCGCATCATGACGACCGTTCTTAGCTATAACCAAAACGCAAATCATGATTGCGATAACTCCTGCGAAAGTCCAAAAGATCGCAAACGTATCGAGTATAGGGAGCCATCGGTTTCCAAGGGAAGAAATCGCATTGCATAGTAACGTGATACCTAGGAAGATAAGGAAGACTTGATAGGGTTCGCCTGCTAAGACTCCTTCACCATCCGCAGTTTCGAAAACGTTGATGCAGCCAACTAAGAATGTCGTAGAGCCGAAGTTAACCGCTAACGTAATCGTGATGTTGCCAACGACATATAACCAACCACACGTCCAGGCAGCAAGGCGACGCCAATTGGGCGGTGCCAGCATGAATGTCTGGTAATACACACCACCCGCAGTCGGATACACGCTCGTAATTTCACCGAGAGACGCAGCGACACAGATGACGATGGCCGATACAGCAACCCAACCCCAAATAATGTTGACCGGGCCGCCTCCGATCAGAGGGTAATACAAAGTCGTAGCCAATCCGTAGGGAATCGATGCCAAAACGAATGACATAAATGCGACTTGAAGGGTGGACCGGTTCCGTGATAATTCCGGAGTGTATCCAAGGGATACCAGCAATTCGTCTGCCGACCCGGCATCGATGTCGCCAGTTTCGGGGCGGATTGCCTCACCGGACATGCTTACAGGTCTCTTCGCCATCGTTTGTTAGAAGTTGGCACGCGACCAATTAAAGCGAGGGACGCTTTAGCAAGATAAGAAGAAAAAGAGAGAAAATGAAGTCTAAACCGTTATTCTAATCCATGCGACAATCTTAACATTCAAATAGTAGCGTTAAATAGGGAAGTATATCTAAACTTAAAAGACCAGTTCTGATAGAGAAGCGCGACAAACAGAGAAAACGAAGTGGGAATGAATCGCAAAAGTAATCGCAGCTAATTAAAAGAGGAGGATTAAAAAATAAAATAAAAAAAAATCCCGTTCTTACCTGGGTACTAGCACTGCTGTGGGTTGACATCACACCTAAGAAATCACCCACGCCTTCAGCAAGCTGAATCGAGTTGGGCTTGCCAATTAACCCCTGTAAAATTCCCTTAGATAGCCGGACTTTGCCTTCCTTTTCATGTTAGCGTCCCACGTGCAGTATACCGGGGACTCCGTGTACCTGATAAGATCCTTGTCTATTCTGTATTACCTAGAGATAAGAAGTAGCAAGGAATTATAAATAGCAGTCTTTGGAGGTGAATGGAAGCAGATCAGACACAATATTAACTAGATATACGATAGGTTTGTTGTCGCCAAGATTCCCAAAATTTTACTTATAATTCCAAAATCCCAATTGATATTCAGAAGAAACTTATCAACCGAATTGATCCTAGGCTTAAAAGATTTCAAGTTAAATGTGTCGGCCCGTCTCGAATTAAAATTCGACCAATCATATGTAACTATCGGTCCCGCCTCCGTTTTAAAGGGTCGACGGTGCCGGGACCGTTACCGTTAAGTCCCCGATTTTTCTTCGGTGTCGATGTACCTAAGTATCTGGATCAACGGAGAAATTTTACAAAAGGCGTCCCTCTAAGCCACCTACGTCTTAGTGGTGTTACTTAATTACCTGATCTTATTATTGATATGAATTGAAACCCTTTTCATTCCCCATTCTCTACTCCTAGGACGCGTAACACTTAGAGGTAGTAGTTCACTTCAATTCGGGATTGACAACAACCTCGGTTTAATATCTCTAACTATGGCTAATGGATATTGAAACTCGGAACTGAATACGAAGATATAACTACCTGAGCCAAGTTGAACCACTGCCATATTTTGGACGAAGAACGTGGTCAAATCGAGACGTTATTATTGCAGTGTACTAAAAGGGAGAACCACTAGATTAAGATTGTACATGTCGCCTCTAATATCTCACGCATTTCTCTGCGCATCATACTGTCTAAAGACCTCATCCAACTCCTTCATTCTCTCGACAGCATCATGAAGACGCGGCCAATTTTGCTCATCAGGAATATCACCAGCCGGTTTACCATTCTCCCACCAATGGGCGAACCTCTCATATAATTCGGCCACGATTCTAGATCGGTATGGAAGCTCCAACTGCCATTCTTCCCAATCCCAAGCCACATCGACTACCTCTTCCGTAGCAAAATCATGGATTTTAATATCAATCGGGTCTTTGTACGAATCCGAATGGACATATGCGCCGCTTGCTGTTACCATGATTTCGCCTAAGTCACCATTGATGATCCACACGAAACCCGGTGTTCCCTTAAACTCTTGGCCACTCCTGTAGGTAGCGGTCAATATGGCATTTTCCGCGAGATCTGCCTTGCCTTTGGCCAGTTCACCATGAACTGCTAGATAATCCGGTACATCGTTCGGCGCTTCGCCGATTTGAGAGCCGTCTTTTCCGGTGATCTTGACAATTGGCCGCTGGACCTGCATCTGGCTCTGAAACGAAGCGAACTCCCCAAGTACTTCGTGTACGTAGTCGATAGTATGCGCATAACCAATAGTGACGCCATTTCCTCCTACTTTACGATCCAAGAAGTAGGCAAGGTCCTCCGACATAAAATCTCTGCGCCGAAGATTGCCATAGGCACGAACTTCACTACTCAAGACTCGCCCTATTCGTCCGGATTTGAGGATTTCCTTGAGCTTGATGACGATTGGCGAGACTCTTCCTTGAAGCCCGATGATGCTATTATCCAAGCGTCTGTTCCCCGTCACAGCGACAGCTTCCTCGTAGTTTTCAGTGAGAGGCCATTCGATATACACGGCCTTTCCTGCTCGTATAGATGGCCCTGTTGTCGGACTATGAGTATCGACTCGAGTACAGCATACGACGAGATCAACATCCGGATCTGAAGCTAGTTTGTTCGGATCACCATAAGCTTTCACACCCGAAGGGAGTGCAAAATAGGCTCGTGCTAACTCCGCCGCTGAGACACTCGAGTTGAGTAGAGCGACTATCTCATAATGAGACTTTCCTCGCGATGATAGAAGGTATGGTAGGTGAGCTTGGGCAGCCCAAGACGTCTTCGCGGACGACGATAGGCCGACGAGGGCGACGCGAATGGGAGCCATGTTGATATAATATCACAAACGAAATATGACACACTCCTTTACGAACAATCCAATTACAGACATGAATATGGCTGCTCTTTTATAATCGCTTTGGTTACTACTTCTATTAGAAATCATGACTTACAAATGCTACAAATACGTACAGTATATAAACTGTAGGTCTGTTATGGAGCACAGCATTCTACGGCGGTATGGGTAACAGCTGAACAGTGTTAGTATCGACGATCACTATACGCCATTTCCTCTATTCCGTTTTAGGCAAATGGTCCTCAAATTCATTACCTAACCTCTGAATAGCATCATCGCGCACCCAACTCCAGGCATTAAAATAATGATAGAAACCTTCATCCATAAGGGAGCGCGAATTAATAACCAACCAAAAATCAACAAAGCAAGGCCATAAATAAAGCTCACGCGCAAATACCTCCAGCGACGAAGTCCTCCTGGAGAATACTTCTAGCAATCTCTGCCCCAGCCTAACTGGCGATTTACTTCGTTCATAGCACCCACAGAAGCCCTGAACAAGCCAAGCGCGCCATCAACGACGGCGTGACCAGTCTCAAAAGCCGGTTCAGCCTCTTGCGCTCGTCTGAGGTCGTTCTGATCCAACACTCCTTGTCGCTTCTCCAGCACAGCCTTGCAAATAGCTCGCCCCCATAAGTTGTACCATTGATCCTCACTAATGCTGACGTATTCCTTGGTACCACCTTCAGCCATTCTGGAGAACGGCCACTCCGCAACAGCGACTTCCCAACGCTTCGTCCGCAGCCACAGATACGGCCAGCTAAAGATGAATAGGAGGGTGAATGTGAATAACATCTGTATCCACGATGTCAAACGCCACTTATTTGTCTTAGCCTCGTTGTAGCACTCAACCAAACTATCTTTAGTTATGATCTCTACCTTTAGATGCCCGCGGTAGTTCGTATCGTTAACCATAGTGCGCAATCGATATTTGATGCCTTCCTCATCAAACCCAACCATCCTCCGAGAAAGCGCAAAGACCTTCAACCCAGCATGGCTAGCAGCATACCGATGACACCATTCTTCCAACGTCGGCTTTGGATCACCGCCAACCTCGATACTCTGGTTTGATCCCGGAGCGCGTTTCTTAAGTATTGTACCTCGCTTTGTCTTCTCCCCATTCTCCACGGTTCGTAAGTGAGACCACGATCGGCGGTATTGGGCGTCGGAGTACAGGTACGGTGTCAATTCGACCGAGACGTCGAAATCGGTAATTGTATTTTTCTCCGTTTTGCCCTTGCTATCCCTCGTCGTTTCGGTATGGGTTCCGACAAGCTTAATATACGGTCGAGGGGGGATAGCGGCGAGATGCTCGATATGCGATTTGAGATTCTTCGGGTTCTCTAAACTTCTTGCCATCCAGTATTGTGCGCCTGTATTCACATCCTCGGAGAACGTGGCATCTTCGACCCAAGGCCGTGTGGCATAGACTGGGGCGCTATTTGATGGAGCCATGGTCGATGGGAGGAGGGATGCGTCTTCGGATGACTCTAGGGCGTCGTGGTAGGTAGGTGGCAAGTCGTCAATCGCGGTCTCGGGCACATCAAGGTCATCGTTTCCATGATTGTCTCTAGAACTCTCGCCGGGATTGGTGTGCAACGAAACAGCATCGGCTGCCTTGCCACCTTTTGGGCTCGAAGGTTTTCCCATCGCTCAGGTTTGTAGGGGACTTTGGAGATAAAACTAATTAATTGAGAAATAAAAACTTGTCAAGTCAATTCGACGCCTAGTTTATCAATTAAGGTAACAAGGAAATATGTTGTGAGTTGGCAGCTGAGGCTGAATGAGGCCCTTCCAACATGAATGCGTAGGTGGTGCCATTTTATGAATCGATAAGGCAAAAGTCCTACCTAACAGCCCTGGAGCGCGCTGGAGCCTAACAAACAGCCTAGGGAGAGATACGAGACCCTGAAATCTGAAATCTGAAAAGCTAAATTTTAATTGGGTAATAGAAGCGAGTTTGGCTAGAGAAACAGGGGACCCCTGTTATTCCACATGCCTAAAATGGTAGTAGAAGCATATCTCGTACCTTTAATTTTCTATCTTCTTATACCATCGTAGAAGAAAGCCTTGTGTACAATTTATAGCGTTACAGAAGCCTATAGTATATACAGTAAGGAAGTGTACTTTTCATATTAGAATCCAAGCCATTGTTACACGCAGGTGAATTCTATCTCATCCGGGCTTACCCCACTACAAACTCCGTCAAGCCACTCGCCGCATTTAATAAAAAATAAAAATATCTTTAATGCCCAGGGATTTGGAGGCTTCCAAACATTATACAGCAAAGTAAAAGGTTTCGGGACGATCTATTAGGGTACATTACCCACACATTCTCAATCCTATTCTTCAACGATAAAAGAAAAACAGCAAAAAGAAAGAATCATGACAAGAGTGGGACTTGAACCCACGCGGATTGCTCCATGAGGAATTAGATGCTAAGGTGACCTTAACCTCACGCCATAACCAACTCGGCCATCTTGCCCTCATACGAGCTGAAGCTCAGCGACTTGGGATGACATCGAACCCTCATATTTTCTATTAAGTAAGTGCAACAGCTGGTGGATCCATCCCACCTTTCTAGGGATCGGATGAAAAATTTTATACAGATTTAGGATTGTTCTCAAATGAAGCCATGGGGCTCCTTATGGGGGCATTCCGTTCTAGAACTATATACTAGTCACCCGTATCCATCGTCAATTTCACGCTCACGAAGTCTACCAACCTAGCAAGAATGAAAGGACAAAAAATCCATGCATGACTTTGCTACCACGAGGGACATCGGGGACTTGAGATCGCCGGTCGAGACCACTCTATGCGAAAGTAAAATGAGAAGCAAAGAGATTGATGTGTGCTTGTTCCATCGTCGGCGACGCATGGATTATTTGACAGCTCTCGATTGAAGCCTTTTACAATCGAGTCATATCATAAATGGAAAGAGCCAAAAATAATACAACAAAAAGTATGCCCAACACAGGAATCGAACCTGTTGCCTCCTCATTTTCAAGCCAAACTTCGTGAGAAGATATACTAGTGAGGCGCTCTACCGATGAGCTAGTCGGGCCTGCTTGCGGGCTTGATCCACCAAAGCAAGTGGATCGGGGGGAATGGGGGACGAAGGCTTTCGTGTTTCCACAGCTATTTATTTTGTTCAGTGCGTATTTCGAAACGCCTACTTATATAACTGTGAGTGTATGAAGGCAGCACCCATCTAAGCCATCTTCCCACTTAATAACATATGACAACTTTTTTGTCCATTTCAACGATTATCATTGCTAAGTAAATATAGATAAATCGTCAGAAATTAATCTCAATAATAAGGGGGATGAATACCTAGGTAACACCCACTCACTATTCAAAATTTGGGATTGACACAATATTGAGAGGGTGACGATAAACTAGAAACATCCGGGCAATTATTCGCAAATTTCACATTCGTCTCCAACAAGTCTAGGCGTGGGAGGTATAATCCACCTTGGAATCGTTCTAGCCCCCATAGTAAGTCTATAGACACGCTCGCCTCATTGTAATACCTTCAGGAGGATCGAGTTCACTGCCCAGTGTAACGTACCTAGTGTAGGTAGGTAAAGACACGAATCATTATTCCAACTAGATGATGTAGCTAACATCAATAGGATGTGCTAGCAAGATAGCCGCGATCCTTTACATACCGAGTTTTCTCCTAAATGAACGTATAAAATATGTATGTGCTCAGACGAAAAAGGCATGCTTGCATAGTCTCTACCTTGCTGGGTTGCCTACTAAGGAAAGCCCATGATATATAGACCAATAACCCAGTGTGACATGCATCCAACCCTGCTTTCATGGGTCGGAATCGGATTCAAACGAAGTGTAACGGCAGTTGCATAGACATCTAGGACATTATGTCACCATACAGCCTAGCTGTACCGTGAATTTAACCCGAAGTTGTACATGCACACCATCTTATCGAGATGTGTTGGGGATGCAACGAGTTACCAGCAGAAAGGGAGGAAGAAATGTTTGACCTACTTCCTCGCCAATGGGGTCTAGACGGCTGACGGACACTGGTATAATCATCGAGCATCTAGAAGCATGACCAATGGATATATCTCGTGTGAACTTGAGACACGAATAAAACCGCCGTCGTAGTCGTCAGAGTCGTACGCAATGTGTATAAGTTCAGCTTTGCGTGGGGGTCAACAATTCTATAGTACACTTATTGGTTGATTCGTACTGCAAGCAACGCTCCTTTCTTTTTCCCCGTGGGACTCCATATTCAGTGTCTGTTCTAGGGATCAAATGGCGATCTCATAATAGGTATGAATCTGACTTCCTACCTGAATTGGGGAATAAAAATCGAGGACCAACCGTAATGGGAGTGTTATTCGTGTCTCGTGTGCAATATTCACTCATCTAACCTTATGGAATTTTCCGAGTAGAGTAAGGGGGCGAAGGGCTAAGTGAAGAACTAGCTGAAGTGACCCGATGTGTTCATCACGACGATCTTAAGCTTAAGTAACGGAATAGGCGCCAATCATTCCGCACTGCCCTCCTACTCTCATAGGTTCGCTATATGGTCCCCGTCAAAGCGTTTAATGGGTGTGTAACTTTACCTGTACCTCGATATTGGTTCTTGAGCCTGAATGGTGGAGGGCACATGATTTGAATTGGCCGGGAAGAAAAATATACGGGTTATTTGTTGCAGTACGAGATGTCAGTTTCTCCAATTTCCCCTCGTTGTATGCAGCTGTTGAATGCAACGAGAAGATAATTCTGCATTTCAGGTAGTACACATGGGATCGACCAGTGGTAGTTTTGTCGGCAGTTCAACGTTATGATATTTAAGATGTCCAACTCCGCGTTGCCGGCTGACTATTTCTTGATCAGGAAAAGGGAGCCCCCTCATCGGCTTTTACGGCTCGGGGTAGATCCTTAGAATTTCAACACTAAAGATCGATTCTCCAGTTTCAGGTCTCAACTAATGCACTGTGGACTCTGGGGTAACCAAAATAACTCTTGGAGCTGATGAATATCTTGAAAAGTCCTAACCATCTAAGTTAAGACGGTCAAGCTAGAGACGCGGACCAACACGAGCTATTCTGGCCAGGAGAAGTCTAAACCCCCGAACGCTAAGGTACGGCATGGGGACTATTGGTGCAAGCTACGTATGCGGGATGCTGCTCTAGGATGGAGAGAGACCCAACGAAATAGACGAACCATAATATATTCAACCCCTAAGACTGCGGGGAAGCATGGGCCACATGCGTCTTGACGGGTATTTGACCTCACGGTAGCTTCCACCCCGCATTCTGATGTTCCTCTTGCATAGGAGCTGCATCTTCTAGTGACCAATGGGCTTACAGGTATACGCAATGTTACCCTGTATAGGAAACCGACAGGGGTAGAGGACCACAAGGCTATAAACACTAACTTCCCGAGCCTCACCGAGATGTTGCCGTTGCTAGGCGACATCACTCTTACATTCTCTTACAGCTTGGCTATGCCTTGGAAGCTCGTACCGGTTACAATGGTTGAGCCAATGTCGATGACGTGGATGAACTAGATTGAATACATATTTATTATATGTATAGGGCGGCTTATGGGAATAGAAAGAGAGCCGAACTGGGTTGATCCAGGTTTGGTTGGACAAGAGTTTCACTGTGCCGCAGCTCTTTCCTGGGATCGTGCTTCATCTTATCCGACCAACTCGTCTCGGCTCCTGGCATGCATGCAGAAATGTTGCATTAATAGATATCAGATGACCTCGACCGTGAGTTGGCGGAATCAAGTTGAGTACTTACTTTAGATAGATAGGTAAGTAGCTATCGGTCGAGGGGGAGTTGGAGGATTTGGTTAGTATTCGAGCTTGAATGCAGGGCCTAAGCAATTGAAAGCTATCATTGGCGGCTTCATACGGAAAATCGAAGAGGAGAGGCATCTTAGGGTCTAGGTTCGTAGGTTCCCCTCTTCTTAGATATTTGTAGATCCGGCCTACCCATCTTTCCTGTAAAGCATAAGTACGCTATTGGTATCCCCCAGAGTTGTTTCACAACATCTTCCCCAAACCTTTCAGTCGGGATTAAAAGAAATTGCAATAGGAAAACATGAGCCCCTTACCAGATGAATTCGATATCATCGTGTGTGGTGGTGGAAGTTGTGGTTGTGTTGTAGCTGGTCGGTACGTCCATCATCCACAACCCAGAGTATCTATTGGCATTGAATACCTGTGCTCATACTGCTTAGCCTGGCCAACTTGGACCACAACTTGAAGGTACTCCTCATCGAAAGTGGCGAGTCGAACCTCAACAATCCATGGGTTTTCAGGCCAGGGGTTTACCCCCGTAACATGAAGCTGGACTCAAAGACAGCATCCTTCTATGAGGCCCGCCCTTCTAAATGGCTTTCCGGCAGGAAGGCGGTAGTTCCCTGTGCTCACATCTTGGGTGGTGGTTCTAGCATCAACTTCTTGGTGAGTGAATGAATCCGAAGGGTCCAATTACCTCGAGCTAACGCCCCATAGATGTACACACGTGCTTCGGCTTCGGACTACGATGACTTCCAGGCCAAGGGATGGTCCACTAAGGAGCTTCTTCCACTTATGAGGAAGCATGAAACCTATCAACGGGCTTGCCATAACAAGTTAGTTTACTAGAGTAAATATCAGGAGAAGGACTAACCAGTAAAGGGAACTCCACGGATCCGAGGGACCGATCAAGGTTTCGTTCGGAAACTAGTAAGTTCAACATTAGGTTTCTTCTAAAGTTCGAGGATACTGACTGTTATAAGCACATATCCGATCAAGGATGATTTCTTAAGGGCCGCGGAATCCCAAGATATCCCCGTCGTCGATGACCTACAAGACTTAACTACTGGTCATGGTGCTGAACACTGGTTGAAATGGATCAACCGTGACGTATGTCTCGTCCTTATACATGTGACTTCGGTTCATAACTAACACTACGGATTATAGACCGGCCGACGTAGCGATAGTGCCCATGCTTACGTTCACTCGACCCGTGCCGTCTATGACAACCTATACCTTGCTTGCAACACCAAGGTTGACAAGGTCATCATCGAAAATGGCCGAGCCGTAGCCGTTCAGACCGTGTAAGGTCAATCCAGTTGTCGAATTATAGGGAAAGACTAATTTGGTTCAAGGCCGACCAAGCCTCTCCACCCCAACCAGCTTAAGCCTCGCACCTTCAGAGCACGAAAGCAGATTGTTGTATCTGGAGGCACCCTTTCTTCCCCACTAATTCTTCAGCGATCTGGCATTGGTTTGTGTATCATGCTGAAAAGTCAAGTTTCCAATGCTGACATATCACAGGTGACCCCCAGAAGCTCAGAGCCGCCGGTGTTAAGCCGGTTGTTGACCTCCCCGGTGTCGGTCTTAACTTCCAGGACCACTACCTAACCTTCTCTGTTTATCGCGCGAAGCCTGGCACAGAAAGTTTCGATGACTTCGTTCGGGGCGTACCAGAAGTGCAGAAGCGTACGTACTACCCCATCAACATCTCTGCTTAACCATAATCCTAACTTGATCTTAAGAGGTATTCGATGAATGGGCCCTCAAGGGAACTGGCCCCCTCTCCACTAATGGTATCGATGCTGGTGTAAAGATCCGCCCAACTGAGAAGGAATTGAAAGAGTTCGAATCGTGGCCCACGCCCCACTTCAACGATGGATGGAAGTCATACTTCGAGAATAAGCCCGACAAGCCCGTGATGCATTACTCCGTCATTTCTGGTTGGTTTGGTGACCACATGCTTATGTAAGTGATGCTTCACTTCGACACGACCAATACTTTGCTGACAACGTAGGCCACCTGGAAACTTCTTCACCATGTTCCACTTCTTGGAATACCCCTTCTCCCGAGGATTCACACATATCAAGTCGGCCGACCCCTATGAGAACCCCGACTTCGACCCGGGCTTCATGAATGACGAGCGTGACATGGCACCCATGGTATGGGGTTACATCAAGTCGCGAGAGACCGCCCGCCGCATGGGTGCGTATGCTGGCGAGGTCCAGGCGATGCATCCATTCTTCGATTATGACTCGCCGGCCCGTGCTAATGACATGGACCTTGAGACTACTCAAAAATATGCCCTCCCCGGCAACCTAAGTGCTGGTCTACAGCACGGTAGCTGGAGCGTATTCAACCCGGAGCCATCCAAGAGGCCAGAAGCCAATATCTTGAACAGTAATAAGGCGGATGTTCGTGACGAGCTTAAGTACAGCAAGAAGGATATCGAGGCGGTCGAGGAATGGGTAAGGAGGCATGTTGAGAGTACCTGGCACTGTCTAGGAGTAAGTACTCGTCTACTTTTTAATCGTCAAGAGCGGAGGAATACTAACGTTGATTTTTAGACCTGCTCCATGGCTCCCAAGGAAGGAAACAGCATCGTCAAACACGGTGTTTTGGACGAGCGCCTAAACGTCCACGGCGTCAAAGGACTCAAGGTTGCTGATCTCAGTATTTGCCCCGACAACGTTGGTTGCAACACGTAAGCGAACAACCATTGCTCGTATCTTGTTAATCTTCTAACGCATTATACAGGTACTCTACTGCTCTTCTTATCGGCGAGAAGGCTGCCACGTTAGTCGCCGAAGATCTCGGATACTCGGGTGCTGCTCTCGATATGAAGGTCCCGACATACGAGGCTCCCGGAGAACTGAAGCTATCATACCGCTTGTAGACCTCTAAAGTATATCCTAGTGTTAATATTTCCAACGTTTGATTTTATGTTTGTTTCGGTACGATCGGGCATGATTTTCGAACCAGATTGGAATATCTCTTGGGCGATTGCCTTGATTACCCGATTCTGTTTTCAAGTAGCATTTTAATGAATGTAAGATACCTACGACACGATGTTTGAACTGAGTGATTATGCGTGCTTTTGCGACGACGATATTATTTTCGGCCTCAAAACAACGATGATGACTTGTAAAGTACCTACCTACTCACTAAAGAGCCGACTCGGACACTGTGTACACTATAAGCCAACACTGTGAGTTCGCGGATTGTGGCTGTATCGGGATTGGCACACCGCATTTATGGTCAGAATACTGTGTAGTATACACTGTGTGCCTCATTATGCATCGTGCATTACGTGCTTATCATGAACATAAGCACAAGCAACAGTCTCAACCCTGCCGCGTCATAAAATGCGATAGCCTTGTCGTGAAGATCTACAGACTTGTTTTATTCCTAACTTTCTCTTCTCCCATCTCGAGCAAGGCGATTTGCGAGGTCCAAGAAGGTAGCTCCGGGTTACCCGTATACACTTACGGAGTCAAGATTGACACAAGTTAACCCAGTTGGTGTATCGAGCTCGCTGAAGTTTTTGAGAATTGTGCGAACGAGGCTGGTGTGACACAATCAGCATCCGATAATTTACGAAGGACGAATAGATTTTTCTTTTTTTGAAAAGAAATTTCATCGGAGTTTCATTTCCTTGGAAAAGGTGCATAACGCTGTGCGCCACCAAAAAATGGCGTTCACCAACTCATCAAACGATAACAATAAGACCAGCAATGATGAGCGAGTTTCCATCGAAGCCGCCAATGAAACAACACCGCTTCTAGCCGCCTCTCCCGTAGCAGTAGCAAGCGATTCAGTCGTCGCTGAAGCTATCATCGAGGAAAATGAATCGCATCGGCCTTTGCTACAGAAGCCTGAAGATAAGCCATTGCCCAAGCTGCAAATTTTCTTGCTCTGCTATGCGCGACTCATTGAGCCTATTGCGTTCTTCTCTATTTTCCCGTACATCAATCAAATGGTACAGGAAAATGGACACTGTAAGTTCTCTTGGCATAAAATATACCGTCAATAGGCAATAGCTAACAAAATGATGCAGTGGAAGAAGCAGACGTAGGCTTCTATGCCGGACTTATCGAGTCCCTTTTCTCCCTCACCCAAATGCTTGTGATGCTGGCTTGGGGCCGTGCGGCCGACCGCTGGGGACGCAAACCAGTCCTCGTGTCATCATTGGTCGGCATCGCCATTTCCACCTCACTTTTCGGACTTGCGCACTCCATATGGCAGATGATAGTCCTGCGATGCCTTGCCGGTATATTCGCAGGCACCGTCGTCACCATTCGTACTATGCTCGCCGAGCATAGTACCCCACACACTCAGGCCCGCGCTTTTAGCTGGTTCGCATTCAGCGGCAATATGGGCCTGTTTTTGGGACCTTTAGTCGGTGGCGCTCTAGCTGATCCCGCGCATCAATACTCCGGGACATTCGGGGGTATACCGTTCTTTGAGAAATACCCCTACGCTCTATCTTCCATCGTGGTCGGATGTATAGGTTTAACAGCCGTAGCCAGCAGCGCGCTCTTCCTGGAAGAAACGCTGCACAAGAGTAAAGTCCCCAAACCAAACACTACTAACCCCGACAGCGAAGTAGAAGCCGGCGCACCCACCGAACCAGCGTTATCTTCCACCCTAGACCTCCTCAAAGCTCCAGGCGTCGGCATCGTACTATACAACTACGGCCACGCCATGCTCTTGGGTTTCGCCTACACAGCCATCGTCAACGTATTCTGGTTCACGAACCCCAAACTCGGCGGCTTCGGTTTTAGCTCCCTTCAAATCTCACTCTTCATGGGTCTAACCGGTCTCTCGCAAGCGATCTGGCTCCTCGTCCTCTTCCCGCCACTTCAACACCGTTTCGGCACCAACGGCGTCCTACGTGCCTGCGGTATCGCATACCCATTCTTCATGGTCATCATGCCTTTCCTGAATCTAATCTTATACCAAGGAACCCGCGCAACAGAAATTGTATTCTTCATTCTCGCCCCAATTCTCGTGATCCTCGGCTCAGGCGTTAGCATGGCGTTTACCGGTGTTCAACTCGCGCTTAACGATGTATCGCCATCACCTATGACACTCGGTACTCTTAATGCCCTGGCACTTACCATTACAAGTGGCCTGCGTGCTTTTTGCCCCGTATTGTTTGCGAGTCTTTTCGCCGTTAGTGTAAAGAAGCAGCTACTTTTCGGTTATCTCATCTGGCTTGTCTTGGCTATTATTGCTGTTGGTTTCACTGTCTCGACACGGTTTTTACCTGCTGCTAGCGAGAAGGATTACGATCGCGTGGTTGAAGAAGACGACGATGAGAATTAACAGGAGGCAAACGAGAATATTTGAATGAAGCAATTTTGGAGGGTTGAAAAATAGTTATGTAAATTTTGCTGTAGCACATAAATCATTGAACCGAAATATGTGACAGCTACCTGGGTAGTCTTGTTTTGATTGTAGGTTGGATACGAGATGACTAAGTGGCAGCGACCGACGAATGTTATGCGACGACTACAATGGAAGAGTAGATTTTGGTTAGGATATATATCACGCCTCAAATATGGGTAAATTACTGGATAAGCTATAGGCAGATCATTCATGTTCAAGAGCTGGTATTAGAATTCAACACGTCTATCATCATTGAGCACGTCTAATCATATCAAGCCATGTATCTAGATCAGCCCGAACGCCACCCAATGCAATACCGCCTAATGCATTTCATTAAACGGCCACTTAATCTCTATTCCGATTGCTTAACCATCTTCTAACAATAAATTCCCTGACTCTATATCGCTTAAAGATCTCTGTAGCGCCAAGCTCGTCATCAAATGGAGGTGGTATATCAACGTAAGCGAGGACTAGAGTCTTCAATGCCGTGGCTTGCACACGATTTATAGTATGAAGCCAATGCCAAGACTTCCGAGGTGGTTGACGACCTTCAGTCTTCCACCAAGGGCCTGTGTAAGCAGGTAACACAATCACTGCGAATTCGGCGTGGGAAAAGACGGGACCTCGGTTGTACAACATCCAATCCACGCCAAACTTGATACCAGGCCGTGTTACCCAGCCAAGAGAACGAAAGTGGTGGTAGGCAGCATAATGAATAAGAAAGGGGTCGTCCGGTTGAAGATTCTTCATTCTCGGAGGAATATATGATGTCTGACGGCAGAGTGTGAATAAATCTGATGTAGTAAACGGCTTGCCAGTCACTGGATTTAAGACAGTTAGAGCCCCAAGAGCGAATACGAGATAGAAAACTTCTTCAAGGCATAATTGGAGATGCTCCTTGTCTACGATCTCAGAATTCAACTCAGAACTGGTCGGACCCGACGTGGAAGTAGTGGAACTTTCCGAGATAGACTCAAACGGGCCTGATTTGGCCGACTGAGACGATGGAGAACTTCCATTTGTCAAATTTCCATTAACTACACCTCCATTTGATTGTGTACCATGGTTGGGATTCGGTGGATCAGATAGCTGAAAAGTCGTTGAGTCAACCTTGGGCGAAAATCGTACGGATTTGCGTCTCTTGATAGGACTTGTCGGCGTATGCGGGGGTGAAGCATAGCCATTCATATCGGGTAATGCTGGGACTGCATCTTTCCCATCGGCGATAGCATCAGTAGCATCCACCGCAGTGGCATTTGCTAGTGTAGCATCCCCATTCGGCGTCGCATAACCAGAGCTTAAACCCAAACCCTCGGTGCTATTTGTAATGATACTCTGAGTAGGTGTTCCATTTAGTGAATCGTTAGGGTATCCAGGTTTCAAATCGTGTTCCGAGTTGGGAAGAGCTAACAATTCCATAGGCCCGACGGGGGCTACCCAGGCTTCTTGAAGTCTGGTTCGCTGGATAGCTTCTTGCTCTTTTCTAGCACGATCCCATTTCATCATCTTACGCTCTTCCCGCCTCTGAGCAGTCACGTCTTCGGCGATATGATTTCCATTATTGCCTTTCCGAGCTTGTTCTCGCTTGAGCCAATTTGGCTCACTTCGGCTGTAGTTACCTTTACCAAAGAATCCCTGCTCCCATAATGCCCTTATTGACTTAGGATCCTTGATATGAACAGATCGAGTCTCAGGTGACCAGATACCTTGGTAGATAATAGCAGGTTCAGCTGGTGGCGGAGAGATGAGTTGGCCAACCCATGCGTAAATGACATGGAAAAGAGATATTGGGTTATTTGGATAGAAGCTGGGTAGCGGAAAGGTACGAATCGGGACGGGAAGGGCATATAATTGATGTAGCGGAGGTCCTTTGGGGGTAGAAGGACGAGATTTGGGTTTCACTTGAGTAGATGAGGTGGTATTTACAGAAGCCGAAGGGGCATCATGTAGGTTCGAGGTGGCGGACACGATATTGGGTGTGTCTGCCATTGTTGTTTCTCATCATGCCGACCTACTTTGAAAGATGTTAGTCGAGTTGAATCGAGTCTTATAGCGTACTGAGGGAAATGATCGAGATTTATGTGTGGTGTGATGGTGGTAGGGTATATCAATAATAAATGGCATGATTAAAATCGCTCAGATACCGTTGTAGTCTATAATTTTGGGCACTCATCGAGACTTTTACATCTCTAAGCTCCGTATTAAAGGTGTCATCACCGCGATTAGGTATAAATGAGTTATATACAAGATTGGGATTTCAAGACAAACATCTGGGGTAGATTTGCTGTAACGACGATTGTGACGGAATGTTGGAGAAACTTACATAATTGGAATATTTCTATTTCGGTTCAGTAAGCCATTTACCGCTCGTCAAGTAGATTAACTTGACTGAGCTTCGCCTTCGTTATTGAAGACGAATAATTGTGTCTTTCTTGTTTGGTGATACTAAAGATGTGGGAGGTGAAGAAATCTTTTTGTTAGCGGAATTGAAGAAAAGAATGGACAAAATAAAATAAAAATAAAAATGGAGCTCATTCTATTGGATTGTTCGGCTCGGAATTATCCGGATTCCACCACTTTTCTAGCTGAGGTGGGGCAATTTGAAGATACTTTGGTACTTAATAAAATGGATACATGTACCCAATCTTTGTGGCTTCGGGGCCTTGTACGCAAGGCCGAAAAAAAAGTGATTAGAGTCAGATAATACCAGAGGGAAACAACGATCCTCTCTCCGGATGTCATGGGATCACCTGCAAAAATTGGATATAATTTTTTATTAGCGGGTCCCTCTCGCGGACCGCTCAAATACCGATGTGGGACTCTCCCGCATTTCGCATTTGATCGTATCTCGCTTCAATAATAGAATGACAACAATCCCATGTTCAAAGATTTGATCGTCATTATTCAAGTGGCACGGATCTAATCGTCTCTCTTTTTTCTTACTACGTATACTATCACTACTAGTCGCAACAATTAATGATGAAGATTGTTATTATTCCATTTCACAGCTGTCATCTCCTTATGTTGTATTAAGTCCTTTTCCATCTTGCTTAGAAGTGTCTTCCTCTCGAATAACAACAACTCTCACCGATTTCATCTTCTCGAATCTCTCTCATGGCTAGATTTGTTATGTTGTAAAGACGATCCATCTCACCTTGATAGGTTCCAATGCTCTCTTCTATTGTCGAATTTCTCGGCTGTGCCGGTATCGTATGGGGTTCATTCGTCATCTTAGTACAGGGGATAGGAATCTATAAGATGTAAGCATTTTGTGTTTTGTGCATTCCCAACCTTTCGCAAAGAGATACCATTCTAATCATACAACTTCCAACAGCGTTCGATATTACTCATCCATACCTACCAACCCCGTATCCCCATCCTTACCGAAGAATGAAGTACCCCATGTAACCATCATCCGACCTGCCAAGGGTCTAGAGCCCGGTTTATACGAATGCCTCGCTTCCGTTTTCCATCAGTCCTACCCGAAGGACAAATTGACTATTTACTTCTGTGTCTCGTCCAAAAAAGATGCCGCGTATCCAGTAATTCGAAAGTTGCTCGATGATTACCCTAATTTCGATGCGAAGGTCTTTGTTGAGACCGAAGACCCTTACCTCCATGGGGACGATGGGCACGAGGATAATGTTGGTCCCAACCCAAAAATACGCAACTTGAGTAGGGCATATAGAGAAGCGAAGGGAGATATTATATGGCCACTAGATTGTAATGTGTGGATCGCGAGGGATGTGACTGGTCGTATGGTTGACAAGCTTTGTGGGTATCAACCTAATGGTGAGAGAGCAACACCTTTCAAGTTCGTACATCAGCTCCCCTTGGTGGTAGATACGGTCACTTCCATGAGTAGCTCGAACTCCGAAGGTCAAACTCTCCTATCTGGGTCTTCCGTAACAGGCGGCTCCGATGCGCAATCGAATATTGATGTCCCTTCCTCCGTTTTCTCTCGGTCCTGGGCCCACGGAGGTGGAAGACTGGAGGAAATGTTTATGGCCACTACTCATGCTAAATTCTATGGCGCCATTAATACCGTTGGCATCGCGCCATGTATCGTGGGAAAGAGTAATATGTTTCGCAAGTCGCATCTCGATCAAGTTACCGATCCGGATCGGAACCCGATTCTTACGGGCAGAGCCGCTACTCTGCCCAAAGGTCTAGACCATTTCTCTCTATTCATGTGCGAGGACCACGTCATTGGCGACCTTTTGTGGCGGTCCGATCTACCGGGCTACGCCAACCACGGGCTTGTTTGGGGGGATTTGGCGATTCAACCCATGGCAGGAATGTCGGTACCTGCATATGTCGCACGCAGAGTGAGGTGGTTACGTGCTAGGAAGTGGACTGTGTTATCGGCAACATTAGTCGAGCATGGTGTAGAGAGCCTGGTCTGCTGTTTTTACCTATCCTTTGGATTCACCACCGTGCCATGGTTTCACCAGACTCTTGGCGTGCCACAAACTTGGAAAACTCTGTGGTATTGCTGGCTAGCTGGTGTCACTCTCTGGATGGGTGTCGACCGACTCGTATTCAGGAAATTGCATGCCGGCCAAAGTATCCACGTGGATGAACATACGCCACTCTTCGCCCGCGGGACTAGTCGCGGCGGAGCGGAGAAGCGCCGATTCGGTGAATGGTTTTTAGCATGGCTAGGACGGGAAATCCTAGCCCTCCCTATTTGGACTTGGGCCGTCTTCCTCGGGACTACGGTAAATTGGAGGGGTAAGCAATTCCGTGTCCGGTCGGATATGACTGTTGTCGCCATAGACCCCGAGGGTGAGGGGCGGAGTTCTAATATGCAAGAGAACGGAGATGGCGGACGTGGTGGCGGCCACATATCAAGGCCCGATATGAGAGGAAAGATAGATTAAGAACCAAGATACCCAAGCATATTATTAATACATAATTCGTCACATGCATCACGTCACCAAGGAGTATTCATTGGTTACATATGTGAGCTTCTCCTGCCAAGACTTTCTTGACCTACACGATCGAGCCCAACAAAAGTTCCCAGCAATAAGGTAACCCGTCGTGATATACTTTCCACCACTTGGATTCTTCCCTTCCTTTTTAGGTGGCTGGTCCTTTATGAATCTTCCTCTCGCCCGAGTCGCAGCATACCTTTAGTAAGTATCGCCACGCAAAGACCGTCCAAAGACCGAATGCATATCTAGATAGTAACACAAGCCCTACCTCACCATTCCGTATTTGTCTTTTATAGCATTGGCAAGGCAGCCTTACCTACGCTATATAACCAACAGCAAGTAATTGCTGTCCTGTTTAGTCTCTTTTCAAATACCAACTTCACTTTCTCTTTCTGTCTCATGCATTGTTCACCATTCACATACCTAGATATAAAAAGCTGAGCTTTGCCAAGGAATTCCGGATGCATATTATCCTCTATTGAAAATAAGAATTAAGATAAAAATAAAAATAGCCCTGTTTGGTATATCCATCTCGTATGCTGCCGTAACCTGTCTATATGAGTTAACTAAAGTAGATAAATAAGAAAGGAGGTAAGTAATGGTGTGAGTATAAAGAACCCATTCGTATAGCGTCTCGTCATCTTACCTACCTACATTAGGTAGGTGTATCTGACGACGCGGCGAAGATCGATTTGAATAATGCGACGCATACATAAACAACAAAAGTAATATTCGTACAGCCTGCCGATTTCCACTCCAAGGGTAATATTCCCACCCAGCGAAATACGGGTTATGTGTGGTGTGTATATTCCCAAATTCCAACATATTCCATCCCATCATCATCATCGTCATCATGCCCTACTCTTTTATCCTGATATCCCTAAGCCCGAAACATGATTTGAAAGGCCGGATGGTAGTTGGGTATCGATCTTTTTATAACTCTGAACAAGACGGAAAAGCAGCACTGAGGTGATATGAAAATGAAAATTCAAGGGGGTATCCAACTGATGACCGCAAAAGATGTTAAACATGTGAACCTGTATCTCGCTTCCTTAGCCAGAATAACGCTTGACAAATAATCCGTAGGTGCAAACAGATGATAAATAACGTAAGACGGGCAGCAGGGTGTAGCAACAAACGTCAGCGTAACATTCATCAGAGCCCCATCATCTCGTTTTGGCCGAGGAACGTCCTGGCCAACTCGTCCCCGCCACGTTCGGCTTCCTTCATCCAGTGAATAGCAACACACATGAGAGTCGGGTCGCTCCTCACGTCATCCGTATCCTGCATGCCTGAAGAGGCCGGTCCCGCCGCACTTAGGCTGCTTCGGCTCCGGTCAGCGGAAGGACGCATGCTTCCAGATCGGGGCCCGAATTTCTCCATGACGGCTTGTTTAAATACGTCGCGTGGTTTCGACAATGGTAGTGTGCTTCTCTCTACGAGCTCGGGGTTGCTAAGGTTGAAAAGCCCCAACTCCCGCTGCGCCGTCGCGTTGCCCTCCTTCGCCGCGATCGTCCACATCTTTGCTGCATCACGAAGAGAATGGATCGGCGGTTGACGCAACATTTCCGGTGAATCGTCGCTACCCCCGGAACGTTTCCTTGAAGGAGTATAGAAGTTCAAGATCTCATCCGCGACCTCAACCATTGTCATGATTACGTCTTGCTTCAACGACAATGCTACGACTACCACATCCCAGAAGGCCTTATTGCGATCCGTATCAAGGGTGGCGGGAGAAACAAACGAATTAATAAACTGGAGATCACGGAAAAGCGTTTTCGGCCGAATACCCGCGTCTTTGAAGAGCGATCGCAATATTTTAGCGATTGCGTCCGTGTTTGCAGCTTCTTTCACGGAAACGATAGACCGCGCGTCGGCACTTTTAGCGGGGCGAGGCTGAAGAGAAAGCATATGTGATTGGAATGGCTGCGATCGCCGTTCCCTAAGGCTATCGGTACCAGACTCGTTGGACTCGGCTTTGCCTAGTGTGTTACTGTCTTCATCGATATTTACGGACTGGTGCCGTAATGCTCGAGACCGACGTCCACCGTTGGACAAAGAGGCAGCTATGAGACGCTCTAATTCGAGGAGAGCACTGAGTTTGGTGTATGGGTTGGGATGAACAGCAAACATCCCTAACAGCCTCTGGTAGGCTTTGGTATAGGGGAAGTCTGGTGTGTCTTTCTTCTTGGAGGACTTTCCGCGAGCTGAGACTGTGTCGCTTGTAGCGGAACTATCATTGCTCGGGCCAGAAGCGCTATCAGGCCTATCGGTATTCAAATCCGCTCTGGAGTTCTCCCCAGCTTGTCGAAGGTTGCCAAAACTCTTCCTCTTCTCGATTACTCTCTGCTTGGCAGAGCTCTTGCTTGTGCGTTCTCTCCTTCCAGAAGGTCGCCGCGCTTTCCGTTCCTCGGTGTCTCGACGTTCAATACATTCTTGTCCCAGATTTCCAAACCAACCATCAGTTTCGGAACCGGATGCAAACACAAGGTTACCAAGTTCAGACAGCAGAAGACTAGTAAGAGTCTGGCGGAGATCAGCAAGGAATCGTTGCTTCCCTTCTGAAAGACGACGAAGATGGACGGTCTCATTCGAAGACACAGACGCGCCAGACCGTGAAGCAGAATGATGAGATGGTAACGGCTGGTGGTTCGGATGAGAATAAGTGGTGCTCGATAAATTGGTGACGCTTGTTGTCGGTGATTGTGCACGCGATGTTGCTGAGCTGACAGTAGACATTGTGGATTGAAAAGGAGACCAGAACGTCGATGTTGAATCGATAGCATGAATAGGAGAGGAAGCTCCGAAATAATCATGCGTATCGAAGGTATCAGACATTGCAGTGCTGGCTCTCGAGAAGCTATACCGACGGTGTGAATCGATGGAGACCTGGCTCGTGTTATATGCAGACATGTTTCTCAGGTCCCGAGCCACCGAAGGAGGACGACGAGTCGGAGAAGCGTATCGCCGGTCATGTTCGCTGCTAATGACACTAGCAGCATCGTCACCCCACACGCTCTCCCTATCTCCTCGACCGACTCGGGAACCTTCAAACGCCTTGCGATCCCTAGAGTACAATTCACTGGACCAAAGCACAGGGCCGTCCACGATGTTTTCGCCGACCAGTTTTTGTACACAACTGTCGACCTCGCAACAAAACCGATGTATACGCTCTTCTCCTGAACACATATTTTGGATGCCGAGTGATTCTAGCCACTTACTAGTTATCTCGGCTTGAGCGTCGCTGAGCTTGTTCGGTCCTCCTTGGTCTTCGCTAGCAGCCAATAGGTCCAACATCTGAGATTCGTTTCGGTATATATAAGCAGCAGCAGGCCCTCGAGCCAATTGAGCTCTGTTCCGTTGAAATGTGCCCCATTTCCTCGGTACGCCCATTATCTTCAGTGCGCTGCATATGTTCCGAGTCTGTTCATAAGGAGCTGAGTTATGAACATCCGTCACATACCACATCTTATCCCTCAACGCTTTCAGACGTTTCATCATGGTCTCGATGAGGCCTTCGTGGCGTTCTTGGCTCTGTTTCAGCCAAACAAGCCAGGCGTCGTACTCCTCGATTGCCGAAGCCGAGCGTCTAATCGAATCACGAGGACCGCGAGAGAAAATATTGAGGAGAGTTGCAAAACCATTCTTACGTAGTGATGGGGAAGAGAGAGCATTCAGTTGCTGAAGAGTTTTCCAGTAGAGGTGTGCGGATACAAAGTCGGACTGGATGCGTGATTGTGACGAGGCAGCGGCAAGCATTGTGATCAAAACCGACGAAGATCCAGATTCGCTTGCTTGGTCTTTACCTTCAGAATTGCGGGCAGTTTCCTCGGCGTTCCGCTTCGACTTCTGCTCTTCCTCATATTTACTACGAAAAGGATTGCGGCTGCCCATCGACGTCCCTGGCGTTATGATCTTATTCTTGGATCGATACTTCTTTAAACCAGAAGCTCGGTTACTGAACGTCGTCTTGGTACCATGATCCTCAAGGCCTTGAGGGATCTCGAAATCTTCGACGAGTTTCAAAACTGAGTCGCGAAGCTGGTGATAATCCTTATCAAGTTCGGGTTTCTCATCAGGCTCCTCATCCTCAGTGTCGCTAGTGGTAGATGAATTTTCCTCCTCGGCGTCATCATCGGGATCATATGTCATCTGCAAAGAAAGGCTACTTCCATCAGCGGAAATAAACACGATAGCCCAGCGTTCGGCACAGGGGTGACATGAACCAGAGATGACTTCGGGGCCTAAGATCTGATTCATCTCATGCATCGCCAATCGGAGACGGTACCCATCCTCTTCGTAATTGTTGGTATGTTTCTGTCTCGAGCCATCCGGGACAGGCGGCGAGCGCCTCTGGGGTGTACCGGCTACTTGATCTTCAAGCAGAGGTTCACCTGATGTGGTTCCATCGCTGAAAACGGACGAAGTGCTCATACTAAGGACAGAGGCAGTTTCAAAGTTACTCCTTGACGTGCCGATAGATATAGGCTGAGAAATAGCAGAAAAGCCAGATATCGACGGCGCGCCGGACCGGATACTACTTGAGTGAGCAGATTGGGGCCTGCGCTCGGGGTAAAGGGCATTGATCAGAGTAACAATGTCGGCTGGGCTGACCACCAAATATGGGTGGACCTCAACAGTCTCCCTCAGGGATGTGATAGACCTAGCTGGGAGGAGTCTGCCGGTTCTCTGGCTTCCTGATGGTTTGAAACGAGCCATAATGTTTTCAACATGACCTTTGATCTTCAGAGGTGTAGAAACAGGCTTTTGGGGGTTCCCACTTGCGAGCATCTCAACGACATAATGCTGAGCAAGCGTAGCGACCTGCTTGAGAATCTTTTGGCGTCCGTATTCGGTAATATGATACTCAGCCATCATTCCATAACTTTCTGGGTGGATCACAACAGCAAGTAACCAACTAGAAAAAAGCCATTTGTATACAAACCATCTCCTTGTGGTATCAACAAGGTTGCGTGTGCTGTCTTTCATTTCCAACCGACGGAGAATCTCGTTCCCAAGTTCGATGACGCCTTCCGGGATGCCGGTTGCATCCTCGTCATCAATAATGGCAAAGAGATCGTTCACGGCACGTTCATAGAACTCCTCGGCAGCAATGCTATCCTTGGTAGTCCAGTCGGAAAGATTAAACCGCGTTCCATTCTGGTCCTCAGCTCGGTCGAGCAGGAACGCGCCGTCCTCGAGTATTTTCATCAAGTACCATTCCATATTGGCTCGTCCAGACCAATCACGCATAGCAGACCAAGCATTGAGGATGGAGATCAAGACCGGCTCACTGGTGGACTTGGTGGAGATCAAACGAGCAAAAGCAGTGGCCCAAATACCTGTTCTGCGTTTGTCTTCCGCACTGTCTGGGCCGGCCGAGTTAGCAAAGCAGGTGTATATGAGAGCAGAAAGAGGATCGTGGCGTTGGAAAGAAAGAAGCCGCTCAACGGCATTGGGAGTTTGTCCTGATTGTCTACTCGGACCGCTAGAATGTCCACGTCCACCAGCACGGCCGTGGTACGGTAAAACGGATTCTATCGGTTCCAATCCTTGATGAAATGTAGTAAGAGCTTGGAGTTCTGAGGTATTCAGGGCGCAGAGCCGCGTAGCTAGATAATCCGGATTGGTCCGGATTTGGGTCAGAAAACTCAGGAAGGCTTCCCTGGCGGAAGCAGAAATATCATTGAGGAAAGGAGTCACAGAAGTACCAGGACCAATGCTTCCTGTAGTGCTTGGAGGAGGTACCAAGGTTTCGGCCGAGGCAAGTCCTGAAGATTGCAAGGACTCCATCTCTGGCTCCAAAAGGGCATAGCGACGGGTGGCGTCGCAACTATTCCGAACATCATGAATGGCACCAAAAAGATTAGCAAAGGCTCTCTTGTCGTCGTTTCGGAAACTATCAGCCAGGTTGCGCAATGAGGTTTCTCCACAACGAGTTAACCGCGCCGAGAGCGCAGTAGAAATCAAACTTCTCTGAAGACGAATGCGAGTGTTGGCGCACTTGCGCTCTTGGTACTTAGACAGCCGTACCAAATGAGCGAGCTCTTCCAGAGTAGTACCTTCATTCTCGACAGTCAGATGGGGATTGGTATATAGGGATACATCGGCTAGTAGTTGTCGCGGAAAGGGACCGGAATCATCCTGGTCCTTCAAAATAGGTTGTAATGGGCTAGACGGAACGGGAGGACTTGAGGCCGGGGACGGAGACGGAGGGGGCTTCGGCGGGCCTACGGCTTGGTCTATCACCGGCTTCTTAAGCGCACTCGCGCCGGCGCTCGTATTGGCGCTGGACTGCTGCTTTGAAGCTGCATCACGAGATGATTCATCGCCACCGATTTTGCGGACGGAGCCTGACGACTCTCGCCGTCGGTGACCACTCGAAAGTTTAGAAGGGCTTCGCGATCGAAATCGCCGCGGGCGCGAGGGTTCCGGTCGGGTTTCGGGAGAAGGAGTCGGGGACCGCGAAGGGGGACGGGTAGCGGTCGGGGACACAGCTAGAGTCGAATTCGGCAAGTCAGCAACCTGGCCTACGGAGGTCGACAATTCGATCCTGGCACGTCTCATCGTGCAGCTTATCTACTCGACTCACGTGGAGAAGAATGTATACAAACGGGCGACGAGAGTGATCGCTGCATGGACAAGGACGTCATAATGGGTGCATATGAAGATATTCGCAAATGCGCCGCCTCTTTTTTTTATCACCCCAGCACGACTAGCAGCACCCCCCACGAAGAAGTTGCTTGCTAGGTAGCCACGGTGGATATAGTAATGAATTATTCGATTGTCGTCGACGTTGTCGTGATATTTCCGTAAGATGTCATCTAGACATGAAGCACGGAAAAGGATTGTGTCGCCTAGTATTGAGTGAACGTTGAATGTCTGTGGAATGTCTGTCGCCTTTGCGTTGGGTTGCGCGGGGAGCTCAAGTGGGTAAAGCGTAAGTCAGATAAAAGATTAGGAAGGGTATGGTGTATGTATGTATATGTAAGTACGTATGTAGATATGTATGTATGTAAGTAGTAGTCGTAGTAGTAGCAGCGGTAGGTAGGGTTGGTGTCAAGGTAGGGTAGAGGTTGGGCCTCAAGTAGTAGGGAATATAATTAGATATGTATCCATATGATAGAGACGGAGGGACTCTAGAGCTCTGGGGGTGGGAGGGTCTACTAGTCCCGTCGCGGTCGCGGTTCGGTTGATCCCAGATCAACAGGTCATAAGAAAATGAAAGTAATTATTGGGCAGCGTGAGCTGTATGAGCAAGCATCCTCGGTAGATATTATCAGCAGGGAGAGATAATAGTACGGAATTATGCTAAGTATTCTTTTTTGTTTCTTTCTCAGCTCATCCCAGCCACTTTTTCGCGACCCTATGTTGAAACGTTTGGTTCGTCCGTTCGTTTGGTAACGTTCGTTTCGTTTGTGCCTTGTCGGCTCCGGCAGCCCGGTATATAAGTATATAATGGAAAATGGGTATATATATAAGTTACGTAGATATAGGTAAGTAAGATAAAGTAGATAATAGATGGCCTATTCCCACTGGACGGATAGAGGGAGTAGGGAAGCGGATGATAATGACGATGACGGAAGATGTAAGCAGTAGAAAAGACAAGCAGGAAAGGGAAAAAGAAAAAATGCAGACAACAGAAGCAGCGGCAGCAGCAAAACAGCGGCGGCAGCAGCAGATGCGAGGCAGAAGCAACAGTGCAGGAAAGAGACAGATGATGTGTCTTGCCCTCTTGCCCCGGACCTTCCTTCATTTGACTGTTCTACTGTCTACCTTGGGAACCCTGTCCAGCTGTCGAAGCATCCAGTTACACAACAGCATTTAGTTGTCGCACTGTCGTTGGCCGACGTGGGGTAAATTGAGAGACCGCTTAGCACCGCTTAGTACCCTTTTTACTGTGTGGTACATGTAGGTATGATTACGCAGAAGCGGGAGCGGCATTGGAAGGGACAAGGGAGAAGCAACATCCACCAAAATCTGAAGATTGCATGGGTACAAGGGTGTTGCCACGAGCTTAATTCGCGCGGGTTCACATCTTCTTGGTACGCAGGTACACCAACGCGCCTGAAGAGTTGTACCTATTGCAGCTAAGTAAGCCTTGTACCTCCACTATCGTGGCGTCGATGTCGATGTGTGTACATGTAGCTGGCACGTTGGCATACACTAGTATTTTAGTACTAAATCTTTGCCGTAATCCGTAAAACTGTCGGACTGTTCAAGGTTATGCACATTGAATTATAGGTACCTAGGTATCTTCGTATCAATTCCTTCCCGCCGTTTTGTCATGTACTTTTGTACAGTATCCTGGGGTTTCTTCTCCACACGGAGCGGGCACCCCTCCTTTTCTTCTTTCTCTTCTTTTCCCCCTGCCCACCGCCTTGGCCCCCTCCGAGGGTTTGCCAAACATACATACATAACACACATGCGTACGAATTGATCCAATCCAATTGAGTCAACCAACCACCTTACAAGTAATTCTAGTCCCTCATTTGGCGGGTGTACAACACACAAGGCGGCCATAATGATGACGATGCTACAACACATGCACACCCCATCCAAGAGGCAAAGTTCGAGGCCTATGACTGGATACACGGAAATAACTCGTTCCTTAGCAAGCCGAGTCCTTGTTTTTTTCGCTCATTTTATTGTTATACCACCTCATATCTTAATTCCCCCCTAGGTTATACATACCTAGGTACGATACTTGAACACATATTATGGCAAGGTACTTAGTTATGATGGCTCGAAGTCGAGTCCCAGGTCCTTTGCCGCCCCCGCGGCTACACACCGATAGCTCAGTCGAACACAGTATGACAAAGACAACTTCCACTATGTCTTTGCCATCTCTAAATTTAACAGACATTGTACCCTTGATTGTCAGTCATGCTTCGGCTTTTCACATTTGACAACTATACAACTCTACACAAACGGCGCAAGAAAAGGAGGGTCTCGGTAACCAATGATCCAAACAAGTCTCGACAAGCAAGCAAGCCGACCATGAAAAGGAAAAAAACTAGAGATTACCGATATCTCAAAGTGAGAGGGACGGAGGGAGTCATAGACGAAGAATGATTCCCTTTTCTCGTTAGGTACCATCCTGAAAAGGTACACTTCGCATTACGGGATGCAAGAATCCATCATCTCACTCAGCCAGACAACGTATCTGCGTATACAAACTACTCCCGCTATTTTGCCCAATAATTCATTTCACCAATGATAGAGAAATACTTCTCGGCTGGGCGAAGGGGACGATGAGTTGGCCCTGCATATTGCATTGCTAAGCTTCTTCGCCTTCCATGCCTTAGACCTTTCCATCTTAGCCAAATCGTCGCTTTGCCCTGGCAAGTTTGGCAAGTCTAAGGCTGCATTGCCCGAGACGGCGGTCAACAGTGTAGATCCCCGTCCAGTCCGTCCATACCGTCCCTGTCCGTCTTAGCCTTTTGGAATATTTCCCGCCCGCGGCTCGCTAATTAAAAAAGAAAAAAAAATCCAGGACGGTTGCTAACCTACACTGGCGCACTGGTCGAGGGGGGTGCGCTTGGAGACCTGCAGCTCGCCCAATCGCTGTCGTCCACGCGAGAGAGATGCCTGTCGATTCCTGCCAACACATCCAATTGCCTCCTGCATGCCCACATATTCCATTTAACGCGTCCACGACTCTCGCTCTCTCTTTTTTCTTTCTTTCGTCTATCTTTATTTCTTCTCTTCTTCCTTTCCCCTGAACCAATCGCCTCCGTCCTACTTTTTTAAACCCTCAACGACGGTTGGCTAGGAAATACATATAGCCCGCCGTGACCTACTCATACTCTTCCATCCATTGGGCGCGATGCTGCAATGCATGATGACCAGCTGCTGATTAACTTGACATCGGGCAACCATCAACACGGTTTTAGGCATAGTTAGTCGTGTTGAAGGTTCCCCCGATGTAGCCCAACTAAATCCCACCCGCGATCATTCCCGGCTTGGAAAACACGCGACGCCAAATCTATTCAGGTATCCGATTCCCCCTTTCAGCCTTGTACAGATCTCATTGCTGCACGTCAGTCGTAACATCCTAGTACCCGGTGGAGCCTCATGAGAACGCGTTCGTCTGAACTCGAGATCCTACTACGGGGAGTTTCAGGAGAAATGGTGATACGGTGGATATATACCCCAGCAGCCAACCATCATTTGAGAAAGCTAGTCTATATACCCCGAAACAGTAACGGGATTCCTTGATCCATTCAGTCGCATAGGTGGAGTATACTAGAATGCTAGAAAGTTGGTTATACTATAGTCTTTTCTCAACAGCTCGAACCTCGGCTTCTTAACAACGTCGACTTAAAAAGCAAGAAGCTATCAATCCATTGAGACCAGTCATCATTGTACAACATAGCAGGCCTTTCTTATGGGCCAGGACAGACGTGTTCAGGGGCAATTGTAGCCATTGACGTTTTAAGAGTCATCCCTCCGAAGACCTCAAAGTGGGACTACCTACTTTCCCTAATTGAGAGTTCATCCCTCATTTTTGACCCTTTGAGCTTTTGAGCCCACAGGATCCCCGAATCTATAGAATCTATAGATCCAGAAAGCCCCCACTGTTCCATCAATTACACGAGGACCCTGAAGCCAAACCAGCAGAATGGTTTATGTGTTCCAGCGAACAACATAGATGTACGCCCTAGTCCCGTTAACTGATTCACATATGGTCCAGCATAGCAAGGTGGCCTTTGTAGGCCTATACAACTGGACCAAGAAGCTCCCCAGCATAAGAATACGATTATACACCCACCCCATGGACAACCCCTGACGGGTATCAGCTTGAGTTACGCGTATCCAATTATCTATTCGGTATACTCGTAAGAGTCATCGTTTCCTCATAACAAGCATGCATTGTTTGTTTTATCCGTTGGCTCCGATGGGTCAATTGGTGACACTGCAAGCTTCTCTCCCATCTAGAACATGTTAACAGCATCACCAACATGAGGCTGTGTCACGTTTGTGAATTTTGAAGTATAGTTACGGCATTAAAGTTGGCTTTGACCGTTTCCACATACGTCCTGCATATAAGCTCCTCGCTCTTAGAGCCTAGTACTATAGAAAATCCACTATAACGAGTTACATAATAGTATAGTTACAGACTATCATTTATAATCGAAATTCAGGTCGGCGTCAGCAAATCCAAGGTAGCCAGCGACAATATTGATTAACTATCCTCGGTAATAACTAGCGAACTGAAGACCTACCTGCCTACTTCCGAAGGTATGCCTAGGGAACGAAATATCAACCCTCCAGATTCTGCGACTCCTTCAACCACTAGGTTAGTTACCATGGACAAGTCTTCTCTGACACCTATGAGTTGTATTTAGTAAGCAATTAAAGCCACATATAGGAATCGCCTCATACAAGGCCATGTGTGAGAAAATACATCACAAGACCTTGAAATATCGGCTGAGCTATATAGTTGTCAGAGCAAGCCAGGCATCTAAAGCCACTTACGCCGGGGAACCAAAACCCATCATGTTTATTGGAGCCACATCTCAACTCAGGAGAGGCGTATTTCCCAGTGTATCGGCCTACATAAGCGACCGAGGCTGACGGACTCATAGTCTGTGTCATAGATACCAGTCGTAGGGCTATTGTATCTCTCAGCCTACCTAAGTATCTAAATTAAAAGGAAACGTGGGGGTGTACAGATGAGGCTAACGGCTTCGCAGCCGTATAGTTATAGTATAGCCTCACTATAAAGCACATGGTTAAGTCTTGCGGGGAGTAGCCTCATACCCGCCAAACCGGTTATAACGCGGGTTAGTTCATCGGGTTTAAAATAGATACACGCCCTCCATTAAACAGTAAGGCTACAGACTTACCTAGGAAATCATAGGACAATCCCTTCTGTTCAGACATCAAATACTAAGGCTACATTGAAGGTATATTAAACACTATATTGCGGCACCGCGTGGCTTGGGGTTGGCACTTGCAATCTGTGTATATTCGGTGAGAGCCAAGCCCCTGTTACGTCTAGATCATTCTTTGATCATGGATCAGGCCACAATACTCCAGCAGGCAGCTAAAGGTTTTGTCGAGATATAGATGGAGAAGAAAATACTGGTCATAACTATATCGCCTCTATAGTAATACTACCCACCTTACTTATGTTGCTGCTTATATTTTCTTTCTAACTTCGCATGATGGGTATGACTTGATCATCGCAGGCGCCTCGTACGAGTAGCTTTAAGTATTTGTTGTTGATGTTAATCGAACCAAATGAGGAGTCATCATATCATTGAATCCAGGAAGCCAGGTACATGCGGATTCTCCCGTTAGAAAATAAAGTATACTGAGCCGTTTGTGACAGATTCTATTACAACGAGCTAACACTGTGTTGGTATTGTTATTCTTGTGATTGTTTGTCTCAACGCCAACCTTCATAATCCAACAACAACCAGTCTAACTAATTCGGCCAAGGCAGCCTACCTACATAGGTACCTTTTTGCTGGCAGTGGACGACCCTCCTTTACGAACATACTGGCGTAAGCTGATCTCACAGTTCAAAGAAAACAACAAACCCTCATAATCAACACAACCCAATAATAACAGCTAGTTTGGAAGTTGAGCATTGAATGAGGCATTTTCTGTAAGTGACGTGGTTCAACTCAACTCAGCGTTGTTATTCGGACCCCAAGAAAAAGAAAGAAGATTCTAGATAACCTCAGGGGTGATCTGTTTGTTTGTCCTAGAAAATGGGTTATTAGTTGATTTATTTAGAACTTGGGCTGAATTATAATGCTACATTACTCGTGATTCGTTTTTTAGGGAAACAAAATGTTGGAATCAGGAACATGAGAGACTGCTGTATAATACAAGATCCTCATAATTTCCATATAAGGTAAGTACTAGCGGTATTAAGATCATGATCATGATCAACATGAAAATTCGAGTAATCCTGGTTGACGGTACTGCTCCTATTGATCTGAAGAAAAGCATTCGAGCTCGTAATGTGGCTTGTCTCGTAACGATATGTTTAGGCACAAATGTGGCAGCCATGTTTTAACTGAGTCTATTAGCAAGAACTTTTTGTATTATCCTCCAATTGTTAAGATCCCTTCAGGTCTCACGTAACATTTTATCTATTTGTTTTTACCAGTGGGAATACAGAACAAGACAACCTTCTTGTCGTCATCATCATTGTATCCTTTGTCTACACGGTAGTACCCTCTTCGTTCAAGCTGGATGATGTCGTCCTTCTTGAGTTTGGTTACACCCTCATCACAAAACGCTTCCTCCAACGTGGCCGTTACAGGGTTTAGGAATTTCTCCAAGTCATCCTCCTCCTCGAGTTTATCCTTGGTGATTAGGTAGTCGAAGTCCCAAAGTTCCGCGTCAACAAGCGTTTGTCCTTGCGTCGAGAGCCAAGTAACTTTCTTGTCTGTAGAACGGACATCTCCTTTCACGTTCAACTCGCAAGTGATGCTAGTGATAGGGTCACCGCTTGCAACAGCTCTCACAAAAGCATTGCCCCATTGCATCAGAGTAATCTCCTCACCATCCTTGAATGACTTGGCATCGGCCTGATCTAATATTAGTTCCTTACTGAAAGCCACTTTCTTCGTTCCAATGGAGGGATTCTTGGGGTGGAGGGGCTTCTCCTCGGTACGTGGCTCTGACGGTGCCTCATCTCCCATGATGGCTACTTTGACGTGGTCTTTCTTAAGAATGGCGGTGTGTCGTGGTGCAACTGGGTCAATTTCCTTCTTGTTCGTGGCCCAGAAACTAGCCCAATCCATAGATACAACATTTCTGGATGGACCCTGCTTTAAAATGAAATCACGAAGCGCGGGAATAGTCATGCCTCGTCTTCTGATACCCCGGATTGTAGGCATCCGTGGGTCATCCCAACCCCAAACTCGACCGGTATCAACGAGTTTTGCTAGCTTACGCTTAGACAGGAATGTTCGAATGAAGTTCATACGAGCAAAATCCCACATGTAAACTTGACGCAGTTTGAGTGTGTCAAGGAACCATTGGAATTGAGGGTTACGATCGGTATACTCAGTTGACCTCAGAGCATGTGTAACACCCTCTAAGCTATCGACGACAGGGCATGCAAGGTCATAGGTCGGGTACATTTTCCATTTAGTGCCGGTTCGGTGGTGAGGGTCATTAGGGTTGCATCGGTAGATGACGGGATCGCGCATGGCCTTGTTTGGGTTGTCGACGGAAATCTTGGCACGAATGCAGTTCTTCAACCCCTCCTCGGTACCATTCTTCATCTCGTCGAATATTCGCAAATTCTCCTCAACAGTACGATCTCGTCTCTTGGATGCAATTCCTTTTCCTCTCTCATCGCGCATTGTTTCTACGTCCGTGTCATCGGCATATGCGTTGGCACTCTTGATGAGAGAAAGGCAGGTATCGTAAAGGTGGTCGAAGTAGTCGGAGGTATACGTAACAACGTCGGGTTTGATTCCCATAAGAGCAAGATCCTCAATGATGGCATCCTGGTATTCCTCTTTCTCCTTGCTAGGGTTGGTATCGTCGAGTCGAAGTCGAAGCTTACCGTCGTAGGCTTGGTGGGCAAAGTAATCGCTGAGTAGGGCGGCTTTGGCGTGTCCAATATGAAGGTATCCCCTATTCAAGTTAGAAATATGCTCACGTTCATATCCTCTAGACTACGATATTCTTACGATGGCTCTGGTAGGAAACGAGTAACAACACCCTTGTCGGTCTCCTGTAGGGCTAAGTTGTAACTTGCTCCGGCTCGACTAGCTGCTTGGACCTTGGCCTTACGCGCCGAGTCGGCAGCCTTGACTTCAGTTTGAATCTCCGGGTGAGCTTGTTCGATATATGTAAACCATCGGTAGAGGTTTGCGTAAGATCCTTTGCGAACGAAAGATACGGCAACACGATTGCTCTTTATGGCGATCCAAATCTTGGAATCAATCTCGCTTAGTGTGTATCCGGCGAGATATGTTCGTAAGGTAAGATGTTTCTCAAGTCGGACGAGGTGGGGTTCGATGGACTTGAAATCCCCTCCTAGGGAGGTTGAGACGGCGACGAGCTCGTCAACCTTCATTTTGGGAATTGTATTGTGACTTGATGTTTATGTGAAATTCCCTAATGAATTAAATTTGGGGAAAATTTTAAGTAAAGATGGATAGTTACACTTGAGTGAGTCGACGGAGAGAGAGCGACCTCGTCCGTTTTGAGTCAACGAGCAGGCGACTGCTTTTTTTGTGGCGGGGTCACCCCACTGACGGCATTGTATTGAAATTGGGAAGCTGGCTGGTGGCGGGGTGCTGCCCGAAATACACTGATTAGATAAGAAGATAAGATAGGTGATTAATGTGGCCCATTATAGCTCAAATGTGGCTGGTTAATTGGAGATTTGAGGCTGAAAATATTAATCCATGTCCAAATTTATTCATTTCTCAAGTTTCGTCGTAGTCCATCGCAAAGCCACCACTATCGACGACTACTGAGAATCGCAATGGCTTCAGCAAACCAGTGTATTGCTTCGCTGGCGAGGCTAAGTCTATCAGTATCTAAGAGACCAGTCCAATCAACACTTCCTAGATTTCTAGCTCCCTCGATAGTCCAAACACGATGCAAGAGCGCCGGATCTACGGCTATGCAAAAGCGAGAACGAGACAAGGCCAAACTCAAGAAGAAGAAGAAACAGAATCGTCATAAGGAATATAAATATGCTACACCAAGCCAGGAGGAACGATATTCGATATGCGATGCCATGCGGTAAGTAATCCACTTGAAGATTGGGTCCTCTGTTCGTTTCGGCTATTTCTAACAGAAGGATGAATGAATATAGATATTTGCGAGCTTTCGAAGTTGGCCGCCCTCCATCCTCTGCAACCTATGAAGTCGCTTTAAAAATTAGAACACCTAAGAACAGTTTGGTTCTTCGAGATCGGATACGTCTACCCTACCCAATCAAGAACGACACTCGCATTGCTGTTATTTGCAAGGAAGGCAGTGGTTCTATGCACGATGCCCGTGCGATGGGTGCTGTTGCCTTTGGAGAAGAATCTCTATTCGAACTTATCAAGGCCAATCCGAACAAGCTGCCTTTTAACCGTCTGATTTGTCATGTCGACTGCGAACCTGCCCTCAAGAAAGCTGGTCTTGGTCGAATACTCGGTCCCAAAGGTTTGATGCCCAGTTTAAAGACCAATACCATAACAAAAAGTGTGGGGGCTATGATGCGTGACATGGCTGGTGCTGAGTCCTACAGGGAGAGGATTGGAGCTATCCGTATGCCTATTGGTAACATCCAATTTACTCCTAAGATGTTATCCGAGAATATCAAGGCGCTCGTGACGGCGGTGAGGGAAGGTACTATGAGGATGGAAGACAAAGTTAAGAAGGATTTGATCGAAGTTGTACTGAGCTCTACGAGTGGACCGGGTTTCAGCTTGAATGGTGCCTTCAATTCTACAGATGAGAAGGTCAAACCGGAGTATTTAAGCACGGCTATGTAAACATTCATATACCCGGGAAGCAAAGCAGTGTAAAAATTGTATCATATTTTATATAAGCAATACATATGTATATGCTTGGGTATCTTTACAAACACACTTCCACAACACGACGATCTATACCAAATGCCGAATAATATCCGTGTCAGGTTAATTGCTCTTCAACGTTTTGACCGCATCAGCATGAGCATCCAGTAGAGAATATATACTCATCAGTTTGAGTAATTTCGTTTGCCCTCTCACGCCCACTCTCTTAGCTTCCTTCAACGCCGCACCAAGGTCTAGGAGGATAGTATTTCGACATCTCGTCAACCTCTCCTCAGTTTTTCGTATGAAAGAAGTCTCTCTTCCGATGTCGTCAGCTAATTCGTCTATTATGACGTATTCGTTTGCCAGTTGGGTTAATTTTGCTGAACTGCTTCCCACAGCTCCATCCAGTTCGTCTTCATCTTTTTCATCTTCGTCACTATCATCGCTGTCTGGCCCTGTACTTCCAATCGCCAATCTTCCTTCGAGCGCAGATATTCTTTCGTCAAGTTCTAGCATCTTCCTCCCAGTCTCGATCTCCCCCCTCACGTCAACTAGGTCCTGATTGAGGCCGGAAACCCCAGATCCTCTTTCTTTTACCCGACCCTTAATCTCTTCTACAGCTCGTCGGAAGCCTAATAGTGCTACGCGAACATCCTCGACTTTTTCCTCGCCACCTTTTAACTCATCACCCAAGCTTAAAAAGCTAGTATAGTTCGAGTTTACTAGTTCTAGCAATTCGGTACTAATAGCAGCGCTGCGTTCTCTGAGGTCGGATCGCAGGTCTTCTAGAGTTTGATGACGATTCGCGAGGGATGAGAGATACTCGGCTGGATCAAAGTCGGGCGCAAGGAAGTCGGAGCGTGGAAGTGCGGTAGGAAATGGAAGCGGGACATCATCTTCGCCGTCCGAGGAAGAGGAAGAGGAGACAAGAGCAAAGCTGCGGGAACTTAATGGCCTAGTCGGCGATAATGCTGCTGAGAGGTGGGCCATTCCAGCTTTAGTTCCAAATGTCGCCGAATTGTTGGGTATGATTTGTTATTTGGTCTTGGCCCATCCGAATCGAAATGGTGTCGATTGGTTTCCCTAGTAGAGGTATAAGGTAACTAATATCCCTCGAATTACTGTATATGATGAATTGATTATCGTTCTTAAAGTGGAATCGCGAGAAGCAGTTAAGACGCTCTAAAGTCGGCGGCGTCAGATATGATGTACATGGCAGTACGTACACAGTTGACAGTTGACAGTTGAAAGTGCACATGTGTTTAACCTTAATACCTTAGATTAAAAAAGATTACGACACGGCGTTACACCGATGTTCACCTTACCCTGCTGACATAATTGGGTCCATCCCCACATTCACATACCAAGCAGCCATTGGAAGTGCTAAGTTAAGGTACTTATTTTAGTTTCTGGTGTTACACGCACGCGCAAGTAACGCTCCGGTACCGGTGTTTTAGAGGGGGGCTTTGAACTAGCGTACTAGCGCAGTGCAGAACAGAGCAAATTATTTCCCGGTCATACCCGAGTGACCAATTCAATTCTTAATGTTCTCACCAATTTTCAACCTAGCAGCTGTCTAGTGTATACACATCTCTCCCAAACCAACGATCTTTTAGTAACTGCCTACTAATTACTAACTACATATACATATATCTCCGTATGGATGTATGGATGTATGAATACTGAACGAGGGGGCAATTACAAACAAGGGGCGTTAAACCAAACAAAAGAACCGAATAAGTTCGGAATCCGACAGGTCCGAGCATGCAGAAGTGGATCGATACTTTGATTTTTTTTCCGCCGAGCCTATCCTATCTGGGGATCCATGTGATATTGTCGGCTCATCTGGGCGATGGGACTGCGGGCTACAGGGCCCTGGCATAATCTTATCAATCTGATCAGTGGGATCTCGAACCATCACCGTTCGTCGTCTTTTCCCTTCTTACCATACCAACCAACCCATACCCATCATTACGACCATTCACACTCATTCCTGTCCCTCCACTCCCCTACCTCCTACCTACCTACCTAGTACCTATTCACAGTACTCAACGAAGGTGGTACGTATTCTAATTGTCTGCATGACCCCCCAAAGTTTTTTCTTCAAACCCCCCACCACCCATACTCATTCAACACCAATCCGGAACAAGGAGGACAACTTGGAAGAGGGAATCGTCAATACTACATTAATCCTGGGTTGTGTAAATTGATTGACGAAGCCTACGTCTATTGATTGACCTTGTTCCATCTACCTAATTCGTTCATCCTTTAGTCACACTTTTCAATCGCTAGAACAAGAACAATTATAGTCGTTGGTTGTTCCGTTCTGATTGAAGCGAATAAACAGACACATTACACGACAAATCCCAACTCACCCCAAGACATAAGAGGCAATAAAATACATATCTACATCTACACAAAAAGCCCTAATTCGGACCCTGATGAACAAGCTCGGCCCGTTCCCACTTCAAGTTGATTTTCCTCTACCTACATACCTGCCACCCCCAAGTTTGCTTGGTTTAATCGGAGGGGAGGACCCTGAGCAATTCTCGTAATTGTTTTCCTTTTTTAATTTTCTTTTCTTTCTTCCCTTTGAACTGAGGGAAGAAAATCCCACACCAAAAAAAAGAAAATCAACTCATACATCATATCAAGGAGAAAAGAGAAGAGAGACAAATAATTTTCAACGGTCAAGAAGATCCTCTCCTGATAAACAAAACTACCTTACCTTCTTGGATTTCGTCACACGATTTCAGTATCGAGTTGCAGGTCTGCGGATCCCAAACCCGCGGAAAACCCAAGTCATCAACGCACACTGATGTCCGAGGTGCATTGCATCGCCGAGCTACACAGCGAATAGGATTCCTTGAATGGTTCTCCCACCTCTTTGCTCCAGAATCGGATCGTTATGGCTGCCCCTACTACCACCACAATTGCCACTACTATTCCTCTTCCTAATTTGAACGGCCACTCCAAACCGCAACCAACCAAACTCGCCATAACCCCTATCTCAGCTGCATCCTCCCCCGCCTCGGCTGCTTCGCCCATTTCCAGCGTATCTACACCCACATCAGCTCATCAACTTGCTATCAAACCTGTAGCCGCATTTCAGCAGGCTACCAATATGGCGTCTGCCGCCATCGGAAAAAATTCAATTACCAGCAAGGAATGGGTTGTACCTCCGAGGCCTAAGCCCGGTCGGAAGCCTGCCACAGACACTCCACCTACTAAGCGCAAGGCTCAAAACAGGGCTGCCCAGCGTGCATTCCGCGAACGAAGAGCCGCTCGGGTTGGCGAATTGGAGGAACAGCTAGATGATCAGAAGGAAGAGTACGAGCGGACACAGCAACAGTTACGAGATGAAGTATCGGGTTTAGATGCTGAGGTGCAGAATCTACGAAGCAGATGTGTTCACCTTGAGGAGTTACTAGAGAAGGAACGTGCCGAGCGCGCCAAAACAACAAACGAACTCGACGATTTACGACGACGATGGAGAGCCGAAGGCTCGAATACTTCTTCGAGGCATGGAAGTCTCACAGCTTATCAAGGACGAACCAACTTAACAAATCACTCTCAACATCCAACCCCTCGAGGAAGCGTCGCGAGCAATGCACCAGATCATCGTAACTCGACTACCGCCTTTTCGATCTCGCAGATTATTTCTCCTCCCGATTCATCAAATCTATCCGGAGGGCCCCGGGAGCCATCGACGGATCTCGCAGGATGCGGCAATTGTGAATCTACCGGACCATGTGCCTGTGTCGACGAGGTCCTTGCCAATACACCTGTTGGATGCGGTAAATGCACGATCGGAACCAAATGTGAGTGTCTCGAAGCTGTACTCAAAGCACCAGCTCCGAGTTCGGAATCCGAGCTGAAGCGAAAGCCATCATCAATATCCGTCATGGCACCTGAAGAGAAGAGGCAGAAGATACCCAACCCCTATCCTCACGAAGTCGACTTCACCGACATGTTTTCTAAGAAGAAAGTCGTGGCGCCGGCTCCGGAGCCAGCCTTGTATCAACCTGTTGCTCAGACCGCTATTGCTCCCCGAGATTCTTGTGGATTCTGTAAGGAGGGTACGTATTGTATGTGTGCCGAAGCCGCTGCACAAAGCCTTGCCCCAGTGTCCCAACAAGTACAGACTCCTCCCCCTTCAGAGAATGATGTGGGTCCCCTTTCCATGGAAGTCACATCGACCGGAGCCATCAAGTTGCCGAGTATCAACACGTTCAGTCGTACTGCAATTCCGACTGGCCGTCCCTCTGCTGGATGTGGCCCTAACGGACCTGGCACATGTGCTCAATGTCTGAAAGACCCTAAGTCAGGTCTTTTCTGTCGCAGTCTTGCAGCAAGCTTTGATCGTAACTCGGATAGGCCTGGCGGTGGCTGCTGCGGTGGATCTGGCGGCTCTGGATGTTGCAAATCCATGGAGGATGCAGCGGGACCAAGCAAGTCATCGAAGGATGTTAGTGTGTCATGTGCAGAAGCATACAAGACACTATCTAGCCATCGAAACTTTGACAAGGCATCGAGTGAGATAGGCACATGGCTTCCAAAGCTTAGAGCTACTCCCCAACAACATAATTCCCCGGCTAGACTCCCTATAGAGGTCGAGGCGGCTAGTATCATGGGCGTGTTGAGGGAATTTGATGTTCGGTTTGGAAGAGATGCTTGAATTTTCTACGAAAAATACCCAAAGAACGAGACAGGACCTAATCATGGTCTGAGCGGACGAAACGAGTATATAATGAGGCATGGCGTTGACGGATCACTGCATCCTATGGTGTTCAAGAAGGAGGGTGGCTACTATCTGATTCGATCAGTCATACAGGGAGTGGTCATTTGCATTGTTGCTGAGTAGCCATCGACAACTTCATAATAGTCGATGAAGAGGAGTTGTGGGGATCTGGTTCATCGCAATGATTTATTGATTAAGAGATGCCTTGATGGTTTTGCAAGGCTTTTCCAGACTCACATGTATTTATGTAAAGGGCACACCTAAAAGTAAGGTCATATCGAACTCTTTCGAGTTCCGAATACACCACTCGACCGGCGTTTTCTACCGGCTTGTTGTTTTATACCTAGGTAGTTTATTATACAGTATTTCCTAATGGTGATATACCTTAGGTGATTACTTGCAATAGCTACTATTCCCCACATTCACCAGCGTCTCTCCTGGTTCGTTCTTCGATGGTGAGTACTTTTATCATCCACTATTCATTCGTCCCTCTCGTCGCATCGCTACAGTCACTTCATCGCCGATCTTAATGTTATAAGTTGAATGTCAAATTTTATTGGAAACAGATGCAAAACGATGTAGGACAATCCTGTGTCCATTTCCCAACGAAGCCATCATTAGAGAAGGAGAGGTCTCTTTTCTCTTCTCTTTCCCAGAAATGCAAATGCAAATGCTAAACTCAAAGATGTAGCCGATGAAAATGACCGACCGATTCCATCACATGCGATCCGTGTCGCTCACTCGCTCGTTCGATGTCCATTTAATATATACATCCTTCCGATCGTGTCGCCACATAGCCTTAATTAAGGGCGGATATTGTCGTCGTCGATTATGGCGTGATTTAGTTGGAGCCGGTGCTGTTTGACGCGGCCTGGGCGGCACCACCGTCACCGAAGCCACAGCCTGCCTTGCCGGCTTGGTTCTGAGCGCCGAGGCCGGAGCACACACCGAAGTTCTGGCCGGTGACTACGGCGCAGCATGTTGATGCGCAGTCTGCTGAGCTGAGGCATTGGCCGCCGATGAATTGGACACCCTGGCCGTTACCGACGTTCTTGTCGCCGGCGGGGTCGGGGGTGATGGCTAGAGCTGGGATGGCAACTATGTACTGTCAGTGATATGTGATAGAGGGATAGGAGACGGCACTTGGGACTTACTAGCGAGGATAGCGGCAAAGGTGATGCGAACCATTTTGATTGATTGGTTTGATGAAGACTAAAGTCTAAAGCTGAAATGTTTCTTGCGAAGATGGGATGATAAAGTGGAAAGCTGAATTGTTGTTTGTTTGTCTGGGTTGTGAATCGCACTGACTGGAGATCATTCCGAGCGATCATGGAGAAGCTTAAGTACTTAAACAAACAGCAGCACATAGAAACAGGAATAATTCTGCCTCGCCTCATCATGTCCCTATTCTCGAAATATTCCTAGCCCCTGACATCGGGCCGTGAGGCTGAGCGCGGTGGTTTCTGGAACGCCTGCGGCCTCAGCTACCGGAACCCCCTTGTTTTGATACGTCGCATGTTCGTCCACGGGCCAATTCAAGATAACATGGGGAAGGTCGAATAAAATCAGACCCCGGAATTATTGATATTGTACCTTTACAGTATCAGGTGGTTGTTGCATCTTCAGAATTGTGTTTATAGTATCTAGCTGCTAATTCGAGATATCCCTATGATAGGGGGCGTTATTCTGAGGTTGAATTTGTGTTGGCTTGGCGCCGACAAGAATAGTGTACAGCAACACCCTTCGTAAGGAGAGCCATTTCAATTCGTAGGTGGCCATTATTAGAGCCTCCCTTCTATAGGGTAGTTGTTAACATCATAGAGATATTTCGGGCATTCTTCCTATTCTAGTTGAGGCTCGAGACCTGGAAACAACGCGCAAATGATGATCATCAGCCAACACCCCACAACTATCCTAAGCGACAATTCAAGGTCGTCGCAAACACAAGGAACATGTTATTGTAAAGGACCATCATACTAGATATCTAGATCCGAGATCCTATACTCCAATTATTGAGTAGATTTGAAGCGCCAAGCTACTCGCAGGAAGGTCTCAAGGCAATATTGTTGCCTTCCTTTCTTGAGGGGGATCTCGGTCCAGTAAGATACCGAAATGATTCCTTTGCAGGAGAGTTAATTTACGATAAACATTACCAACATCAGATGAAAGATGCGATGCTTCGATCGATTTTACCTGTTCATCTTATGAGCGTGTGGCGAAACGTTTGGAGCGAGGTTTCGGGAATGACAGAAAATCAATGCAAGTGATGATAGGATCATCACCGAGATCTTCATTACACCATCCTCTTGTCGATCATATATGTGGAAAATATTACAGACATCGTAGAAAAGAAGATTCACCTCAGGTTAGTAAATAAATAGGAAGGAGAATAATACGACGTCGGAAACTTGGATTGTTTAGAAGTTGTATCATCTACGATACCTTCAGGGGATCAACTTGAAACCGTTACGTTTTTGTATGGGGTTATTGAATTTGAACCAATCACATGTCTTAATATCCCCCCTTTTAGTACCCCATTAACTTATTTCTCAGCAGCGATATCCTTTACATCTCATGGCATTAGAGGTATAATAACTAGATGCAGACCCTGAATTCTGCCTTGGGGCTACATAAAGAGATTTCGTGTCTACGATATTTGGAGGTAATTTCTAAATTTCATGTTCAGGGATTTGTTCAGTTAACCCCACAATATCCATCGGGTTTCTTACAAGATACCGTTATTAGCCGGGTTTGCCGAATTCTTAGGGGAGCCGACATGGAATATCGATACATCCGTCATCATCAATAGGTAGTTCGTCGGAACACCTAAACAAACACGGATGAAGAATTACTTGAGCACGTACCACGCTAAAAACCCGAATACGCTCACTGAAGTTTTGGGTAGGGAATTAGACAACCGGATATTGGAGAACTTCACTTGTGCTACACTCCATCTCGCAGCCTCCGAATTCCTTTTATCTATCCGAATGTAAGGGATATGTGATCGAATGATTATATCAAAAAGGAGTGATATCTTCCGGCGGATGATTCTTATAAATTACGTCATTCTAAATAAAACTTACCAAGTCTTATTGTGTTAGGATCAAATGTGTCGGAAGAGAGCTCTCTTAGACATATGCAGCGTACGAGTCTCAAAGCAGAAGATAGCCAATGATAATGGAAGGATGCATATACTCAAGTCGCTATTGTTTTTGAGTGTGGCATATCTCTAGCAATATTCCAATATTTCTTTTTCTTGAGCACCCTTCCTATTGATGTATCATATGTTATTGTCTCTTTATGTACCTACAGGAGTTTCAAAAAGTCCGAGTTGCCAAGACGAGTCTTACTTCCCCATTAAGCTTGCCACATGCCGACACGTGGGCGTGAGGATCGTTTCTGACCACGGATACAATCAAGGCTACATCTGTGTGTATACAATCATCTTTGGGCATAACTAAGTACGAGAAAATTAGAATAACGAGATCTAGTAGCTTATTTCACGAGAAGATGATACCGGTACTAGGGCGAGGAAAGTCTACCTCGGTAGACCAGGAAAAGAAAAACGTTGTCGTAAGACATTGAGCTCTGTCTCAGTGTCCTGGTTGGAGCTAATAAAGCACGCCACAATCTTACTTATGCAGGATCCATCTTCCTTTGCCCGCGTCGGCACTGGGGATTTTGCTTGAAAGACAAGATCTACCGTACGCCACGTTGAATCCTTTTCCGAGGGTACCCTCATATTATAGGCCCCGAATCCATAATACCTGCCCTTCACGTATCCTCGCCGGCGAGTTTCGTATGGAACAATACTAAGGGCTGAGACTGTCTAGCTTCTCTTTGTCAGAATATTTAAACATCTTATCCGTAAGAATGCATCCCCCGCACGCAGGATCTCAGTGTAAGCCTTAGGTACGCTTCGCATAGGCTAGAAGTCTGTCGCGGGATATTCAATACCGATAAAGTCCTAAAGAAACAGGCAGCTCAGAAGAACAATATCCCGATTCCTTCATGATGTAGACCATGCTTTTACAACTTTCTCGCAAACGCCTCTACCACACCCGATGACAATGCTGACAGCATATTTACTCTTAGCCGCGTATCCTTTCCATATATAGCTGAAGGCTTGATAATAGACCTGCGGGCGTTCTTAGCGTACCTAGGATGGGCGGTGTACAGCCGTGACCTTCCAGCTCTCAGGGGGTAAGCCATGGATTAGGGTCCGGCGCCAGCAGAATAGGTGAGTTCCTGGCTGTATTTCTGCCTATGTAAGTAAATTTAATCATTTGTATTACTTACGCAGAGAACCATGAACGTGGGGGGAAATGAGGCCTCGTTCTTCCATGGAAGCAAGGGGAAAGGCAAGTCAGATAAGAACTCAATCTCATTATTGTTAGTCTTATAATCGCTAGATATCTATTAAATGTACCCTGTCCTTCTCTATGTGATTATATATGGCTGCATGTTTGTACAACTTCAATGGTCTCATTCACCCGGTGCAGATCAACGGATCGGGATGTCGAAATAATTCATATTCTCCGAAGAGAATTGGTATCATGCTAAGAAAGCCGCCCTGACATGTATTCCTCGTAGCTGAGCTAGCCTATTTCCAACTCCTCGAAATTAACCTTCTAGACAACACTGCAAGTGACAAAGGCCGGTAATACACGGCCATAATGAATAATTCCCATCCCCCCTATATCACAATTAATTCATAAATGCATCTCATCCCGTGTTCATTATAATGCATGATGCATGTCAGACAAAAAGCAAAGCCGGGGAAGTCCCGCGCTCAAGCCTCGCCATGATACAGCATATGTTTACACATATCTAAACGAGTACATGCTTCCTTGAGTAATTCAGAAGGTGATTCAGATGTAAGGGCGCCAATAGCATCCAGTAAGTTTGGTAATCCGTCTTGAAGATTTGCAGTAACGTCAAGCTCCGATAATTTCGTGACTCTGGAAAGGTAATCGAAGAATCCGGTTGTGCTGCGCTGTATCTGTTGCGGTAATGGCCGAAGTGTATTGGTTTGATCTCTTGATTGAGTAAGTGCGCGTACAAAGGACCAAATACTCAAAGTGGCGTAGTACATAATCCATGGCCGATGAGGATCGGGATCTCGCCGGCATGAATATTGTAACCCATACGTGTCAATGACGTTATTCGTATAGCCATTGCTTTTCTTTTGTCGAGGGTCTACTAGTATACGGTCAAGGAGTCTGAAGGCGTGAAGAATTGCATGTCGTGTAGTAAGTTGAGTTGACCATAGAGACATTCGTGTTACCACATTGGTATAATCGCGTGTAGAAACCTTGCGACCAAGTAATCGTTTCGCTCCTGAGTAGACTTGACAGTCGACAATATCAATGTACAGGCTAATATGAGCGAGGTGGTATAGCACAGATGCACTCTGAATGAGACCATTAGAATGTGATTGTGGTCCAGATCCATCTGTGTCTGCATCGCTTGAACCGATTGCTGAGTCAAAGCTGGTCTTCCAGTCGTCAAATGCTTTTAGTAGCATATTGCACCATTTATCTCGAGTATCAGACGAGTTGGTTCCCAGCTCCAGCCATTTCAGATGTGTATCTCGATGCCTCAAATGCCATCCAACACTTAAAAGTCCACACATGATGATCATGCGCCCGAATGCATGTGTTTGTACCTCTTGCCCATGGATAGCACGTTTTAGTCCATCCAAAAATGAAACAGGCTTAACTCCGTATAATCTGAAATTCGAATCGTGATGCCGAACTATCTCAGGACTCGAAGCGGACCATAAAGATTCGTCGCATGGTAGAGGTAGTCGAACTTCGTGAGGGGCCATATCGGCTGCGTGTCCAAACATTGCGGCATGAATAATATCCATCATAAATGCTGCAAAGACAACTCTGTGCATTGATTCCGTCCTGGCCCATTTTACCCACCACGTTCTTGCATCTGATGTTGCTGGATGCTCTGATCCGTTTTGTTCGTCGGAAGGTGATTCGGCCCCAGCGCCCCCAATTAAGGGACTGCCTCGTCTAAGGAGGGTCAGTGTTACGGAGTGGTAGACATGCGCTCTCTCGTGAAGGTTCCTAGATGAGTACATCTTTTCGTAAAATTCCAGCAATAGAAGGGCTTGAGCAACCCAAAGATCCACGGGAGGGGATGCTTCATCAGCAGTCAGAATTTCAAAACGGACATTCGAGATGATTAAGTCGGCAAATGCTTTGTACTCAAGTAGCTCTCCTGTAGCTTCGCGGCTGTAAATCTGAGCAGCACCTAATGCGATCATAACCATGAGAAGGAAGATTGAGCACTGAGCAGAAGAGAACGTCGGTTGGTGAACGATGGGCAACCTTGGCGATACAAAATCCCAGTAGTGTCGCATACAGTCTCGTAAAAATTCGAGGCTCAGTCCGGGTGTATCTTCGCCATTATCGTGCATAAGGTTGGCCAATTTCGAGTCGAATCTATTCTGTTTCTGATGGAATAACTGTACGTATCGCAAGACTTCTTGGCGACGATACTCGGAAATAAGCTCGTCAGGCATATCGGGATGTCGTGGAGGCGTAAGGTCAAGCTGAGATCGACTAGTGAGAGATTCGTGATCGTAGTGAATGTTATTATTGAAGGGTGACTCAAGACCACCTTCAAGGAAAGGAATACTCGTGAAGCTGAAGTCTCGGTAGGTATGTTGAGGGTCAAAGAGCCAAACACTAAAGTTCTCGTGAACCTCTAATCCGTCGGTATTAGCTGCGACGGGGACATTGTGGTAAGGTACGAAGGTGGAGTGTTCGTGCATAGATGGCTGCTCACGGCCATAGAAGCTAGGCTTTTGGCGGATGATATTAACGCCATCCATGGAAGATGTCCACGGCACAGTATGCGCAAGTGGGCTTTGTTGTGTCGCCATTGGAGGTGGCAACGGCGGAGGTTGAGGTTGAACCGGGGAATCAGAAGACAACAGTACAGCGGCGTTACGAGGCGCACTCGCGGGCTGCTGTGGAAATGTTGCTGACCGTGGAGGACCAGTGGCGTTGGTAGCGATGCTTGGCGAAGGCATCACGGGAATTTCTTGAGCCGTCTCCTTGGTAGGGATACTGAAGCTACTTGTCCGGTTCCTCGGGATATATGAGGCGGAATGGCGTTTTTTGTGGCGTGCTAAGAGGTCGGGCCTCACAAACGTCTGGTTACAATCCGGTACATCACAAGTATAGATGGTCTTGGGATCATCTTAGATCTAGGTTAGCATCATAGCAATTGTTCCCGTCCCATATAGACCCACAAGGAGAAGATGATGATCCCGGTGAATCGGTGAATCGGTGAATGGGGGTACTAGTTAATGAAAGAATGGGGGAACAACCAGGGGAGGGGAAACGGTAAAGAATGAAGATGATCTACGTTTCCGATTATAGGTAGTATAGAGTATAGATAGTATAGGTCGTATAGGTAGTACATAGAAGGGATAATAGAAGAAAGGGAAGAATAGAAAATAGAAAATAGAAAATAGAAAAGTCTTAGCCTTACGATTTAATTGATGCCTTTGAAGATGTTCAGCCCTTGAGTAAATCTTGTCACAACCAGGCCATTCGCACGTAAATCTCCGTGGCGCACCTTTTCGACTTGCGCGTTTGTAGGAACCGGCAGCGCCACCGACACCGACACCGACACCGCTACCACCATTACTACCATTTCCATTACTTGCCCCTCCATTTACTCCTCCTGCTCCTAGTGATTGTTGCTGAGACGCCATTTAACCGCGACATCGCTCGTTCAAATCAGTCCATAGTAGTAATGTACCGTATCAAATACGTATACGCATATACAAAAAGGGAACAGAGGTCATTGAAAGCGAACATTCAATCAAGGTATGACTTGCATACGCGCCGAGCCGTGTTCCCGCGATCCCGAATAAGGGGTGGTGAATTAAAAGGGACAATCCAGAATCCAGACTTGGATAGACAATAACACTAAAAACTAAAAAGAAAGGGAAAAGGAAACCGGCGAAGCGGAGTCGAATAAAAATAAACCGATTAACTTTTTCGATTAGTCTAAAAGTGTTGATGGGGGTCCCGGTTGTCCTTTCTCAATAGATGTAGGGGAACTGCTTTAGGTAGATGCAAGTACAGGTATAGGTAGCCGGAGGAATATGATTAGGGGAAAAGAACAAAGAACGAGAACTGCGCGACATTCTTTTTTCTTTCACTCAGCTCGGGACGGCCCGGACGGCCGAGATGGGAATATTCGCCAAGACTTTCTCAACGTGGGGGTTAACCTTGCGGAGTTTAGCGTGGGGGGATTTCTTTCTTTTTCCCTGCTAATTATCCGGGGTAACTCACCACTACACTACAAAACCACCTATAAGATTTCTCCCCTATGTAAGACGTGGGGGCTTAATTCCTCGAGTCTTCCTCCGTCGCCCTACCTAGTAGTTGGAGTATACATACATAACCGAACATACCATCGTTATAATCTCAACAAAAGCGAGTCGATATCTTCCTCTTTGTCCTTGTCTTTGCTATTGAGCACATGCGTATGAAATAAAGAAGTACTCGTGAGTACGAGATCCGGGATGTCGCGAGATAGTCCCCAGGTAGGGCTACTTTAATACTTGCAACCCCAGAATCTTAGTATGCGATATAGTATGTTATATACAAAGAACACTTTCAACTCTTGGCGTAAAAGCGTCGCTTTCAAGCCTTCTATTAAAATTAAAAACTGGACTGATCTCATCAATTTGAAAATATGTAGACAATGCTCGATTTTCGAGTCGTATAAAAAGCTTGTACAAACCAGAAAGAATCACCGCAACATCAAACAAATATCGTTCTAGCTCAACTATCTATCAAGTATCTAATGATATTGTACTACGGCTCAGTCGTCTTGCTGATCCTAGCCATAATTGCGTACAACTTTAAGACATCATTATTGGCCTACATCCAAAACACACCAGTTCAAAATTTAGAAAATAGACGTACCGGCTTGGCACTCAAGGAATGCGTAAACGACAATGACAGCCTAGCAAAACTATGGCGGGAGTCTAACGGGACTGCTGTTATCTTTGCTTCAATCGATGTACATACTTGGGATGTAGATCAAAGGAGGATTACTGATATAAGAGTTTCGACTTGGTGTCCTAGTACTAATCACGAATCCGATATAGACAGTTACCATTGGCAAATCGAAGACAACATGGCCCTCAAGAACCGAAACACAGTAAATAATCCCAATATATTTGCTTTTCGCGCCACTGAGGTGATTAGGCAAACACAGATATCGCCGACTATGGATAGTGTTTTCAAGCCACTAACTACTCGATTTACGAAAACCATTATCGTTGGACATAATATTTACCGCACTGTCGCATTGCTTGAAAATCATTGGAAGCCTCCGGCTGCTGCAGAGTTTCTTGATACCCAGAGGATATGGCAGTTCCAGCATCGGCGACTGGACGCTGTCACGCTTGAAAAGGCCCTCCAAACGTCCCCCGAAGCTAGTTATGATAAAGCTCTATTTAACAATGCTGGGAATGACGCACAGTTCATACTCCGCCTGCTTCAAGCACAAAGTTGTTTTCCTCGATGACCCGGTAAATTGAATGAATTGATGTCGAAAATTTGGTATTAGCTATATAAGTAATCTTTAGCTGGAAAATCAAATACCTACATACCTAGGTAGTTATCAATTTATATAAGAATTGGGGAAGAATTTGTATCTGCTGAAGTACGGTATTGGCTGAGAAACGGCGTTATGTAGACTCTGGTTTACCTTTGAGGATAATATCAACTACAAGTTCCTGTCGTCCAAATAAATCCTTCAAAGGATGGCTCTCAAATAAGAGAGCTAGGCTGTCTTTGTACTTATAGCATGGGTTAAGGGATGCCCCATGAGCTCGTTCCAATTTTTCGTGAAGTGAATGCAGATTTGCAACGTTATTGCAACATTGGGACTGTTGCGAATGACCATGCTCCTCAAAAAAGCAATTCCACTCAACACTAGAAGCCATCTGGCAAGTCACTTTTAGTTGTGGATTTAAGATTATTGTATGCAACCATGTTCGCGGTGACTCATTCTTGTCCCACAATACCGAAATAATTATGGAAAGATTGCCGCACGATATGAGCTGGTGCGAGGCTGTGCCAGGCCCCCGACGCTTCAATTGAACAATGAAAATGTCGCCTAAAGGATATACTTCCGTTAAAGCGTGTCTATTGGGCGCCGTATTTCCTGCCGCAATAGCGATGTGCAACCCAGATGGCGAATCCGATGAACGATCTCGCATAATCTGGGTAGAGGGTTGGAGAGGTTGGGCGTTGCGGGCTTGGGTTGAATCCATAGTTAGAAATAATCCAGTGGGTATCGGCCGTTCCAAAGTTATATACGACCTTCCAAAGAACACTTTCGAGGACGGATAATGAGCCCGAGCATAAGTATGATGATTAAGAAGATAGAGGGGTATCCAAATTCGGAAGGGTCTATGAAGTTTGATTTTACCTGGTGGTTTGGGATGGGGAGCTTCGCGGTATAGTTGTTTTGTGCAATTCAACCCCACTAAGACCAGCCTCCTAACGAGTGTTTGGACTAGAGCAAGGTTCATCGATAACCCTAAGTTTGTGACGGAGTAGGGATTGTGATCGTATTTGTGGTCCTTGACGATTGAGCCACAGAAACGGAATTCAGCAGGAGATGGTGCGAATGCACTCGTCCAAGGATGGGGGTCTGAGCATGGTAAATCCCATGCGAGGATGCTTTGGTCATTAGAAACCTCGATAATTTCTCGCTGCAATCTGGTGAACGCTTTCTGGCCTTCACCATATAGTAGAGGCATATTAATATCGAAGATACCGAGTAGACAGTACGCAATATCCTCCGAGCGTGTCGTCCGGCGATCCGCGGCCCATGACATCTGTTGCGCGATTGAATAATCATAAATTGTGGAACGGTTATTCAAAACCCCAAGGTGAATCCTAGTGTTGCCCGAGATCATTTCCGCCAACCCGGCGCGATCCCCAAGCACCGTCCACCTGTAGTCATAGAACATAACCGTCTTCGGCGCAAGCAACTCCTGCAACGTCCACCCCCTCGTGAACCAACGGCTCTTCGCAAACGTCCCCGTCTTCGCCTCGACATCTGCAAGATACGCGTAGCATACATGCGAATCTCGGTACCAAGCGAACATGCTATTGATAGCCTCACTCAGCTCAGCCTCGCTACGCTTATCAATGCAGTTGGTATCACACCAAAGGTACTGTAAACCATCGGCTCGGGCGCGACGACAAGCCCCGATGATCTTGGCGTAGCCCTCTTTGCGCTGGATAGCTTTATCGGTGGTGCGGCGCTCCCATTCTTGGAATGTGACTTCCTTGTTGCCGTCCCATGTGTGGGAGAGGATGGCATAGCTTGGTGTGGATTCGCCGAAGAACTCCTTGAGCTCGAGAGTGTTGACGTCGATGAGGCGCATGGTGATTGTTGGAAGTGCAGAAATGAACAGAGAGGTGGTGATGACTATAGCGACTGTAATGACTGTAGTCTGATATTGAAGATGTGTCTGATGATAGTTGCTAGAATGAAGAAGCATAGAACTCGAACGAACGGAACAGCGAGAAGCAAACGAGATATTTGAAGAATTACTCTGCGATGCTATGACATGATCGGCGCGATCACTTACCTGGATAACATGGTTTTCCCATGAGATGAAAATGAGAGGATGTCATCTTCTGTTGATAGACCGTCAACTCAATCAAAGAAATTGGAAGGTATTTCTTATAAGTGATAACCCAAGCTTCAAAAACTGGTATTGACTGAATGACATCTGATGAGTTTCCTGATGAGTCTAACATATTAGTTTAGAGGCACGTTGATTCTGGGATGCGGTTGTATGATAGAAGCATATCCCTTGACGCACGTAATTAAAACCGGGACGGATGAAAGAAATAGAATCAATAGTCTCGTTTGATATTCATGCTCCACGTTACCACTGTCCAGTTGTGATATATCATAGCTGAAACCTTTCTCTAGACCTGTCGGAAAGTAACATTTTCCTTGAACATTATAGATCAAGATTGATTGACCTTTTATACAGCATCTGGTAGTCGCACTGCTATGTCTCCGGATTGAGTGATGTATCGAACCCAAGGCAATGAGGGATATTGTAGCTAGAAAGGGGATCAGCACGGATATACTGGATACGTTCGACGGAAACAACATACCTTGGGCTCTGTAATCTTTAGGTATCGCACTTGAATACCACTCGTTGTGAAATAGGGAATCTCAAATTTGACCTGAATAGGTCTCTTGGCGCCCTTGCCTGCAGTGACACCACCCATACTTCCACCAAATCCACCAGTCATTCCTCCTCCATGCTCATCATCACCTCTCACACTAGGAAGTCCAAGCTCAGCTCGCATGAGAAATTCCTTGCCACCACCAAATTGCTTAATCTTCCATACTATGGCGCTTTGTTCGGGGGCATAGTGAACACTTCCAATATTAGTTCGGAATCGCGGCGAGTCGGCATCATCTGGTACTGGTACGATGATTTCCACGTTATTAGCTGTACTCCTTCTCTTGAATTGTGCCTTTGCCTTAAGCATATACTCGATTCGTGACCCCGAATGACTCTCAACTACACATTCAACCCAAATCAAAGGTTTGACCTGGGTGTTCAATCGGTAGCTCATTAACTCGAATTCACCATCGGGTGGAATAAATGAGATAGTTCGGTCGTTCTCGAAACGTGATAATCGGACACACTGGTGGAATTTGACGTCTTCCATTTCGATAGCCTTGCCTCGTGTTGTTCTCCCTGTCGTTTCAAACATGACTTTGTCGTTTAGACCGAGTCGTAGTTCTGGCATTCCGGATAGATAACACTTCATCTTAATCGCTCCTAAGATCTCGGACCTTAATACGTTTCCGTTCGCTGATACTAACAAGTTCAAGCTCTCGACAACATCCAAAAACACTTCGTTCTTTCTGTATCTTATTCCCTCGGATCGCCATGATACAGCGTTTGTGACGGCGATAGGTGGTCGTGCTTGTACTTCCAACTTGTGCGATTCTTGCGTAATGTATTCTTGTAGAATCTTGGACTCGGTTGTTTGAGGGTAGCCAAAATCCATCATCTCGTCCAACAGTTCGTATATAATGACAAAGTTGTCGCGAATAGACTCTTCTTCCAGCGCCTTGAAATATTCGGTGAAGACTTCAACGACCTTGTGTAAGAATAATAGGATCTCGGCGGCATTTGTGTTTCGTTTCGTCAAGGCAAGGAGGTAGAGGTTGTTGTGTCGGATATATAAGTACTGATAGCGGTTAGTATCAACGAAGGGGATGTATGATTCTTAGAGTACGCACGTTGATGCCTTCGTGAGAAAAACATGGCGGTACGGCAGAGGATTCTTCTTCGGCTTCGCTAAGGAGGATAGGGAATTTCTCGACAGCTGACATAGGAATATCACCTCGATAATTTCGAGCAAGTAGGGTCTATTGCAATCATTTATTAGTAAATCTACAACATCAAGAGGCCCTTGACTGTATTAGCCATACCTTGCCCTTCAAATCGAGGAAGAAAACTGCTGATGCCATAGTGTCGGTCAGGTACTGGTATTGTATTCAGGGGTGCGCAGGTAGAAAGGGAATGTCAATTGGCACCTAGGCCAGACAACAAATCTAAGAATTGCTCGGTCATGCGATGAAATATTTAGACAAGTTTAATAATGCGCATGTAAGGTCTATAGAAATTTGTCGATTAAGTGAAATATGTTTTGTTCTATAAATCACACGCGCACACGAAATTGATAGGGATTGATTGATTGATTAGGATTTGATAGGCAGCCTAGGACAGCTTGTCGAAAGAGACCCCACGTCGTCGAGTTACTCTTAGAAGCTGCGATTTAGTTTTCAAGCCACATTCACTTACTTAAGCACAGACCATACATGTATTAGAGGCTGGAGTGCGCCCGACTTTTGTAAAGCCACGTGATGTAGCGGGGCCTGCACCAGCTGGACCCACTGTCAATTTTCTTCCTAGATAATTTTCTAAATCTCGTCTCTCGTTTTTCCTCTCTTCCTTTCTTCTTCAACGCGTCCAATAGACAGTGCAGCTCATTATTATTTTTACCACACAACCGGTGCCGGCATTCTGTTGGTTTTCCTATAGTGTAGTCGTTGATGTAGCATGCGATTTCGAGACGCGGAGAAGGATTCAATTTAGATATGGTACCATAAGAGCTGCCCGAGTATTATCTGCCGTATTGGTAGCATACTGTTGCTTGGGCGGCGTCAGAGGGACCGAACATTTTTATTTGTCTATTCGACCTGTGAAATGTTTTTTCGAATCACTCACGCGAGTATGTTGGTGTGACATCTGTTCCAAGCCAGCATTCATTATCCTGCTTTGTTGACCGAGAAATTCGGAAACTTGGACACTTCTATCTGTGACTTTCGACGGTTGCTAGTTGCTAAATGATCATCGAGCTCAAATACCCGCATGGAGAACAAAACCCAGTTCAGTTTCTATTATCCTAGATCAATTACTGGCTCTAATGTTCATTGATATGGATAGCTTGTATTCTTCCAACCGATCAATCGGTTAACTAGGGCGCTTAGCTGCAAAATTTGATCTCATGAGGAATATTTTCCGCATTCTTTATTGCTACTAAACCCATCTCAAGGGATACGCCGTCGCATCTAAAGTTCCGCTTTCGAAATACTGGGAACTCGGGTTGAAATAAAGTCTTATCCACTTAGTCGGCAACTTGTCATCATCGCCTGAAATTTGCTTATGTTTACGTGGAATACTTTTAGAAGCTTGAGGTCTATGGTTGCGTTTGTGACGTTAAGATCAGCTTCAAGTAGAACTTAGCATATAACCAGCGCAACTCCTAGCTACAACATGTCACGAGGTCATCAGAAGACTACCTAGGTAGAGACGTAACTTCAATCTATCTATCATCTGTAAAATGTCGGAATACATATTAGGAAGGGAGTTTCAAACAGGCTGAGGAAATGAAAATAGGATCGAGAGGATTTCCACATAGGAGAAATGATTTACCTATTCGTACCATCTTTTCATTTCTTCATAAGACATTCTTTTTTCGGATCCCGGGAGGGAGTAGAATCATATGCTTTTTTTGCTTCTTCGTCTCCCTCACAGTGCCAAAAGCAATACAATCGACTCTTCTCTTACTGGTCAAGCTGGCCAAGGCGATATATTAGTTGCATGTGATCACCCAGGTACTTTAGACCAACATATGTTAGGCTGACTGACACGTGCTTGTACCTTCTTATTCCCATCGGTTAACACATTGTATGTTGATCTTTTGCTTTTCTGGTTTCATCATTACAGCATATGATTGTATTAAATTTCACTTCTGATTCTTTTGATCATCTTGTGAAAAGGCTATGGGGAAGAAGTACTGTCTTCTTACGAGCATATGCCGTTGCATCGTGTAGTCAAGTACTTACATATGCAGGTAGTTATATTTACATAAAGTAAATATCTCAACACTTAAGACTTCCCGAGTTTATCATTTGTATGGATGGATACCCTTAACGTCGTATGCGCGAAGTGATTCCATCTCGATCGGCTAAGTGTCTCGTGTGGCATTGGAAAATCGGTACGGGTGAGGCTTTCACAAGCCGATTTATAAGATGTAAGAAAGGTACATGCTTTTTAGTAGCTGGTATCGTACGACATACTGTAAAGTACACTGTATTTCTCAGGGAAAGCTTCCTATGGGTCGGTTACGATATTCTAACCAATTGTATTTTAGCTTATCCCCAGATTGGCCATTCACAATGCAAGATCCTCTATGTTCCACTAAGACCCTGTCAGCTGCCGCGTGCGCTTCTTCTTTCCCCTGCGGGACAGCGCCTGACCAGTCCGCCAGTTAAGAAAATACCACTAGCCCAGGTAATGACTGCCTCGCTTTGGTCGCTTTGGAACGAATTGTAGCATCTCCGATAGGGAGGTTTTTTAGTTTCTTAGGTAGTTTTTTCAGCAGCCTAGACCTTCCAAGGTTCCCCGAGGCATCATTTACATCGTTGACCATCCCCAGTGCGTAATTTTCCACCATTCCCACATTTCTTCCCAATCTCTTGTCTCTTATTCTTTTTCAACACACCCCCAAAAAGTCGCCGCGGTTCATCTAAAACCAAAGCACCTGCATATTGGATGAGCCGGGGCCCCATAATGGTTATGGCGGGACCATGTATGTCTCTCTGACATCTGCTACCTCTTGAATCCTTCTACACTATCATCTCTTACATAGTACACCGAAATCTGATCAGGCCTAACTGACCTTCAAACCAATCTATTCACTCTATTCACTCTATTCACTCTATTCAACACACTGTACTAACCCAAAGATCCCGTTATTCGTCTCACACTCTTCTCTGTGTCTTTTCTATCACTTACTGTTATCCTATTACACTCTTTTTACGGCTTATACGATATTCTATATTTTATTTATTCTATCTTTTATTTCTTCCTTCGTCAGCCGTGTACTTATGTTTTATCTACTTCGTATGAATAATCGGGTAATTAAAATCTGACAAGTTCGACAATCCTTTGACGTCGACCTAACTCTTACGGCACGCATATCATAATCCATCTACGAATTATTAGGTGTATAGTACAGCAACAACTTTCTCGATTTCCGATGCGCTCGCAATATTTATGACAACCGATGCTTTTTAAAATCAACCCGTCGCAAATGCGCTAATGATCGATATTCGTTTTCTTTCCCTTGCGACTTATCATTAGTCACCTAAAGAGTGTGCCTTCAACTCGAGGCGCTCGCTCTTGGGTTGTCCGAACAAAAGAGAACGAAATGGAGCAGCAACAAAATCACATGTCTCTTCCTCCACCAACTCACGATCAAAAACATGGTCTACTTCAGCAACCAGAACAACATCGACACATTTCACCATCGTCTGACCCAACAGTGCGTATGTTCGATAGACTTGACCGGACCTTTAAACTTCCATTATATCCTCCACCCTCGTATGCGCAAGCTCACGACCCTGCCGGCTTAAGGTTTCCCGATCCACCAAAGGCCGAGCTCGCTCCCATTAAAACGATCAGTGCGCCGAACCATGACGAGAAAACGGCCTCCACCAACAATAATAACCATCTTCCTTCTCTATCCACTCTAACAGCTTCATCCGCTCCTCTATATACTCCACCACGACCTCCGGAACCATCTTATTCTCCTCCTGCGCCACCACCTCTTACTCACTGGCCTTGTCTTAATCCACTTACTGCCTATTACAACCCGAGCCATGTACAGAATGCCGAGTCACCTATGCGAATGGACGTAGACACAAGCAGCAGTAGTGGCGTAAGCGCTCCATCGCCAGATCGCTTTCAAGATGGAAGAGCTAGTAGTGTTAGTCTGGATGATCCAGATGTACGGATGGCTGCCGAAGCTTTAGGTGATTTGAGAGCAGGTTAGTTTTTCTTACTGGTCGCATAGTACGGGCGACAACTACCGAAATGCCTGCCTGATTAGCTATATAAGTCATCATACTAACCATCCACCATTTCCTAGATTTCGTCTCTTCTCCCTCGAATAAGCATGTACCAATACCCGGATCACCACACTCTCAAACAAATGGAATTAATTCGGAGCCGTTAATCTCCCTGTTGACCACATCGCATCCCCTACTTGCCACTACCATCGAAGGCGCTACCTCCGCATACGTGAACTCGAAGAACTATTCTCCTAGATTCAAGTCAAGCGCCGAATATGTAGAAGGCTACGTAATTCCTATCGCGCATACAGTAGGTTCAGTCGGCCGAGTAACTGGTGTTGAAGGCGGTGTCCGATGGTTTTTGGGAGGTGGAAGAAGACATAAGTCGCAAAGCTCTGATATTGAGGCCGCCGATCAAGGTTCCAACAAGCGTCGGAGAGTCGATGGAACCGGGTCTTTCAAAGAAACCACTCCAGAACCTATTTCCGGTATAGAAACGCCAAGGGCATCCTTCGATAATTCACATGACCGTCGACTCTCCGTCGCAAGTACGGTGGATACCCTGCCTGCATATGACGAATTTCGATCCCCGCCATACGCCGAACACTTTGTGCCACCTGAAACTCGACCAAACAGCGCAGCATGGCAATCTCGTCTGATCATGTCAACATCTGGATTGAGTATTGCTATGAGCGAGGAAAGCCTACGTAGCCTTAAATACTGTCTTAGCTGGCTTCGATGGGCTAACGTTCGCATTGGAAATGTCATCAACTCTTTAAAATCCACTATGGAGAAATATGAGAGGACCGATCCTAGACGAGCGGATGGCGACCAACCAATGAGTGGTACATCATATGCTAGCGAACCAGCTGATAGAAATCAACTCGCGGCCAAGATAGCAGAGCTTAGAATGGACGTTCTCAGAACGTTGCAGGATGTTATCAACACAGTCAGCAGATATGCGGGTGGCGCACTACCGGAAAATGCGCGCGACCTCGTTAGACGGCATTTAACAAGCCTACCTCAACGATTCAGAGTTGCAAGCATGGTCGGTGATGGTCCGCAAGAAGGTCGTCGCACTGAGGTTGATGGAGAAGAATGTCGTGAGGCGCAGGAGAAAGAAACGCGCGAAAGTGCCCAAAAGGTGTTGGTCCTTGCCAAAGAGGGTCTTGACATGATGTCCCAAGTATCAGGAGTCCTTGATGGTACGATTATTAGTGCTGAGGAATGGTGCGATCGATTGGGTAGGCGAAAGCGTGAGCAAAGGGAAAGCCTTCTAGGAGCTCCGCCCGTCCCTCAAGCATCATTAGATGAGGTGAAAATCGGTTGAATGATATGAAGGTAAATAGTATGAAAACGTATGGCGTTTCGTGGTGAAGGGAAATTAAAAATAAAATAAAACACAATACACTAAAAAATCGGAGGACCAAAAGGGGGGCGACGGAAAATGCCCGGGGGAAGACTCGGGAGATTCGGTTTATCGGTAAAGGATCTTTGACCTTGGACGATCACGGACGAAATGATTTATCTACCTTATACCTTAGGTACTTTTACCTACTTAGGTGCCTTCTCAGCTCATCAAGTTGCTGACAGACTTGGTCTAACTCGACCGACTACGACATACTCTTCTTGCTGTCATGAATCTTTCTAGAGATGCAGCTTTATACCTTTACAGCGGATATTCGAAGCGCCTCTTCATCAGACGCTATAGTCTCCGCTATCGCTGTCTCTACTGCAACCTTTCTATTCCATTTCAAGTCATACTATTTACTAGGTTGATTCTGGTTTAGCAACTCTGACGATATTTATTTTTCCAACGTGGATTGGTTATTCGGAACCCCAAAGAATTTTCTTTGGTTTATGTATTTTCCTCTCGGGCAAACGGTTGGGAGTTTGTGTCAAAAATCTTACTACTTGCACATACATTCATATATGTCATCATATCATTGCATCGCCGCAAAGGCTGAATAGATTACTTCAGCGTTCAAATCTACTTCATGTGACTTGTCATAAACGGTTTACGTTTTCAATGTGGCTGTATTTTTTGCACTATACCTATAGGTATTAACAATGATATTGGATCAACTATTGTACAATCTTGCAGCTTCAACAATTCACATGAAATGATAGATGGTATAGTGTAACTCGGCAATAACCACAAATTACCTGTCTGGACGAATATACCAAGACAATAGCTATTGTGGTTGCAATCATTAACAATAGAACTAAACGCATTCTTTGTTTCGTTGAATATGATGTGATAATAACCACAAAGCTTCTGAATACTTGGCTTTTGAGTGTTCTTGCAAATCAAGCCTTTGATTATCTCATAACTTCCGTACGATGGCATTCAGAACCATGGTCTATATGATGAAAGCCAATATTCCTTTCCTCTCATCGAAGGCTGTTTGTTTTTGCAGTCAGGTTGTGGGGAGAAGTAGCATTATGCCGCATCGGACACAGGAAATTCTTGGGCGCTATCGATCGGGGAAGTGTACTATTTGCAGAATAGTACTTGATCGTGGAGGGAGGAGATTTGGGGTTGCCGAACTTCCAGAGCGTTTGGTCTCTGTTGTAGACGCTCATAAACGTTTCTCGCATGTGAGGGGATACCTTGACGGCGACATACCATGTCGTCTCTTAATCCTCCGCACCGTTGCCAAATTCACCCTCGGGTTGACCCACGAGGAAGAAGTCAAGTTGGCTGCGAGGGCTTATACCCAGTTCGCGCTGGAGAACGATATCCTAGTAGATGACCCCGGCTGGATCAAGAGCCTTTATAGAGTCCCTTGCTTGGTGGTTGAGTATCTTGTGGTCATCATGAAGAACCAGCTGGGTCCGTCGTACGTGTCCCATATGACTAGCGAGATGCAGAAGTTGTGTCTTCCGGAGTTGTCGGGTTTCATTTTAAAAAAAAAAAAAAAACGAGCAAACTGTAGTATGACTTATGAAATATGATACCCATATCTAAGCGAGGCGTTAAACAGGGCGTAGGCCTATCTACTTAGATACCCCCGGCTGATTAATTCTATCGCCGCCATTCATACCTATATCTATGTAGCAAATAAACGTACACAGATGCTGCCATTCTAAAATTTTCTCACGAATGATGTCAGTATTGTAATTGAATCTAAGATGTTGTGATCGGCCGCCTCATAAAACTCTCCAGACGAGTCCCATTACCTACAAGAGCCGTCTGTAGAGTTTCGAATCCATATTTCGCATAAAGAGGCGCCCCAGCCGGACTAGAAACCACAAATGCCTCGATTTTCTCATCATCTGCTTTTTCAACACCCCATCGTAATAGCTGCTTTCCTGCACCTTTCCCTTGATATTCACTTAATACACCAAGGATATCCAAATACCAATGCGGACGGTCTCCCATAATCTCTTTGTGCTTCTTCTCTATCGTCCCGAAACATTCCTCCACACATGCTTGATCAGCATCTTCCGGCCAGCTTGGCGGTGGGCTCGGATTTCCCGCTGGTTTGGGCCGCTCAAACCATTTACAAAATGCGAAAGGTTTGTCTGGGTCTGCGGCGTTGGGATCGGTTAAGACTAAGAAGTGCGTGCTTGGATCTGGCTTGTCCTCTGGGGAGCCCACGAAGAATTTTTGAACGTCTTCCCGCCGCGATCTGAAAACTAGCTGGGTGACTGGGTGATCACCAAATGTATCAAAAAATACATCTATGATGGTTGGGATGTCTGAGGGGGTCGCATTTCGTAATTTGAATGACATTTCAATCTGTTATAAATTTTGTATGTGGTGTTTGGAGCTTGAAAATGAGGATCGTGACAACTAAGGAAAGGTCTACAGAGTGGATTAGAAAGGGAGACTTCATAGTCAATGCTGCGAATGACCGGTATGGTCGGATGTGATTCCGATTCTCGGCTTTAGGTATCTAAGTCCTAGCTCCAAGAGTTTCGAATACGAAACTGAACCATTACCTTTCATAAAAAGGGACGAAGTAAACCTCTTCATACGATATATGTATGGCGTAGATATCTAGGTAGCTAAAGACTCAATTCGAGCTCGAGACTCGTGTACCAAATTAAGCTCTCTGTTACAACCTTTGGTGCCATGGTATTGAACTGAATTCTGAGGTACTGGTTGTGAAATAATTCGTACATAATTGGGAAGACCAGATCCGCTCAGGATTTGACTAGCAGAGTAGTAGACATTCTAGGATCGGCGTTTATCTGTTTCTGAATAGATACCCCTCAGATCCAACAAAGATTAAATACCGATCCCCACAACCTGCAGCTAGATTCCCTAATACCTAATGAGGAGTGATGGGCGGAATGTTCCGCGTAGTCCAATGTTGCGGGGGTGGATTTGGGAAACGCATGTAATGTATACCCCATACTTTAGGTACGTGTGCCCTATACCGGCACTTTGGTAACGGAGCAATTATCCTGATGTTTCTGATTAGAAGGATTTCCTATCGCTTGAATGGGGGTGATGGTAGACTAGGCAGTTTAAGAGAATGTGATTGTCTTGTCGCTATTTAAGATCCAGGATAGATATAGTAGTACATATAACGGCTACTTACTGAAACAGTGTTTTGAATAAGATACATGTTGTTTCTCTCCTCTCGTTAGGTGTTTCTCTCGCCGATAGTGACAATGGCTGTGTCATGGTTCTCTGCAGTGTCTAATTTTTCTAGTATCATTGGCGGAGGTGAGTCTTCGGTACCACCTCTTGTTGATCGAACGTGGAATGGTAGCAATTACGGTTGTAAATGCTATCCAGGCGATGAATGCTGGCCGAGCCAGAGCTTGTGGACAAAGTTGAACTCCATGGTGGATGGAAATCTTTTAGTCAACATCCCGCCTGGGGCACCTTGCCATGATGTATGTAAACGTTAAAAGTAGTCTATCGCTGTAGAATTAATTTGGAGTGATGCTAACTTCGATGATCTTAGACATTCGAAGGCCCCTTTGGTACAGTTTCGACTTATGATGCTGCTGCTTGCGCGGATGCGATAGCAATGTGGCCCGACGAATCTTGGGGGTGAGCTATTCCTGGCTGCCGTGTGAAATGAAATGCTAATGTGCTATCATAGCGTTGAGAAACCCGCCGCAGCATTATGGACTTACTTCACAAATGACACCTGTCGACCAACGAATAACCCCGCTGACCCTTGCACGCTTGGTTTTTATGGCGTGTACGTGATCCAGGCACATACAAGAGATCATGTTAAAGCAGGTGTGGATTTCGCTCGTGAAAATAATCTGCGTCTAATCATCCGAAATACTGGACATGATTTCATTGGACGTAGTACCGGATGGGGTTCGCTGGTGGTCAATACACATAGCTTCCAGGATATCCAATTTACGGACAGGTACAGTGGTCCGGGTCAGTATAATGGTGGCGCTGTGACTATAGGTGCAGGAGTCCAGGGACTTACTTTACTCGCGCAAGCGAACGCTCAGAACCCGCCTGTTACAGTTATGACTGGAGAATGCCCGGTGAGTAGGATAAAATTCAGACGAGGAGAATAACAGCTAATGGACAAGTAGACTGTCGGAGTGGCTGGAGGACTTGTACAAGGTGGTGGACATGGTCCTCTTACTCCAAAATATGGACTAGTTGCGGATAATGCACTGTCTTTTGATGTGATTACAGCAGACGGAAGATACCTTACCGCGAATTCGGAAGAAAATCCTGACCTTTTCTGGGCATTGAAGGGAGGTGGCCCATCAGCATTTGCTGTTGTACTCTCTGTCACGTTTAAAACGTTCCCAGAGGAGAAGACGACCGGAGTTATCGTCAATATCAATTCAACACATACGAATGATACAAATCTGTTCTGGGATGGTGTTAAATCGTTCCATAAATATTCGAATGACTTTGTCGATGCTGGTCTTTACGGTTACTTTGAACTTATGCCACAAAGATTGCATATAAAACCTTTTGTGGGAATTGGGAAGACCGCCAAGGAAACGAACGCTATTCTTCAAACTATGTTCGATGAATTTAAAGCCAAAGGTATCCCCTATGATGCGGAGAGTAAGGAATACGATACGTGGTTTGACCTATACGTTGACTTATTCGATGACGAGACTGCTGGTACGTCAGCTCTCACTGGTGGGTGGATGTTTACCCATCAAGATGTTGAAGAGAACAACGACGGAATTATTGAAGCTTTCAAGACTGTGTTGTCACCACGTGGTGATTTAAAAGATCAAGGGGTTATTATTGGTCATCTTTGGAATGCTGGCTTAGGTACACCAGTTTCGAACAGTGCGACAAATCCAAAGCTGAGAAAGTCCACGGACTTTATAATTGTCATACTCCCGATCCCTGATGGTGCAACATGGGCTCAGAAGGAGGACTTTCAATATGTACTCACTAATATTCAAGATGCCGCGTTGAGGGAGGCTGGACCGAATGGGTGTTCTTATGTGAGCGAGGTAAGTTCGCAATCAATACGTATGAGTGAGGTCCATTGAACTGATTGCTGGTTTAGAATGATCCATACCAATCCAATTGGCAAGTCCATTTTTGGGGAGAAGAGTATCCGAAATTAATTGAGATTCGAAAGAAGTGGGATCCTAGTGGTGTATTTTACGCCGTCTCAACACCTGGGACTGAAGATTGGGAGGTTATCGAATATGGTACAAGACTATGTCGCAAATACTAGAGTTGAACTTGAGATAGTTCACAACTACATGTGCTATTTCTGAGGTTGTTAAAGTTAGGATTCTGGTGAGAACCGACGGAATGGTTAACAATATTAATGTGGAGACACTTCAAATGGTGCATAGCTTTAGAGATGTATGCGTTTATATAGCACGTGACGTCAGAGTGTTCAGATTGTGAAATCTTATCTCGTTTACTAGGAAGATCCTTACCGATAGCTCCATTTCCATTGAGCTCTAATCTTTCTATCCACTACAACTCTGCAACTCTCCTACAACTTTCGATACCCCACTAATAAACCCCGAAGAACCAAAGTCCCAACATTCTACGCAAACGCTGATCGATCCGATACCTTTTCAATTGAATCGCGACGAATAAATTAACCAAGAGAATAGTGGCATAAGTTCTGGAAGTTAGATGACACCAGTCATCCCCTTGGTCTCTAGTCTTGAGAGATCATGCGTAAGCCGAACTGAACCGACTCTTCAACGGCGCGTCGTAATAAACTACGACGGATTTCCACGATACGAACATACCTACCTTATTCCGCCTACCCCATGATATAGTTACGGTATCGTCTACTGTATCATGGCGGATCTAGACGCCTCGGCGCCCAATTTGGGCTTGGGGAGCGATATCCGAAACGAAGTAAAAAAGCCCAAGAAGAAAAAGGTCTTGCTGATGGGCAAGAGTGGTTCTGGAAAATCGAGTATGAGGAGTATTATATTTAGCAACTATATCGCCAAGGATACTCGACGCCTGTGAGTCTTACATTCTAGTATGATCTTTTACATACTAGACACGATCAATACCAGCGCGGGATAACTAATATGGTTGCTTGCTCGTCGTGAAAGTGGTGCCACCATTGATGTCGATCTTTCACACGTCAAATTTCTAGGCAACTTGACCTTGAATCTATGGGATTGTGGTGGCCAAGAAGCCTTCATGGAGAATTATCTCTCCCAGCAACGAGTTCACGTCTTCTCTAACGTCGGTGTCCTGATATACGTCTTTGACATAGAATCTCGAGATGTTGATCGGGATATGGCTACCTATGTTTCTATCATTTCCGCCTTGACACAGTATTCTCCTACCGCCAAGGTCTATGTTCTCATTCACAAGATGGATTTGATTACCCCACACGCCCGCGAGGCTGTCTTCGTTGATCGTGTAAGACTAGTTCGACAAAAGACCTCGGAATACATTCAAGGTGCTGGTTATACGGGCGAATTAGACCTTATACCCTTTGCGACCTCAATATGGGATCAATCGTTATATAAGGCATGGGCGAGCATTATACATGACCTTGTACCGAACCTTTCCGTCATCGAGTCGCAATTAGGGTCTCTAGGGATATTGATCGAAGCCGAGGAGCTACTCCTGTTTGAACGAACTAGTTTCCTAGTCGTGTCGAATTGGACGTCTGAAGAGGGTCAGAATAATCCGACTGGGGACCGACAAGAGCGCATTTCGAATATCCTCAAACATTTCAAGCAAAGTATCAGTCGATTCACTGGCACTCCTCGTAATGCGGAGCAGTTCACCTTGATGGTAAGAAGATCGTGTGATAGCGCATCAGCTTCCCGCAAATTTGAATCGCATGCTATTTGACATTTCTGCTAACAAGATCGTCCACAGGAACACAAGGCTGGTTCCAGATTCTCCATGTTTGCTTGCAAATTTACGACCAACACATATCTCATGGCAATTCTTCCGCCAGGGGAGGCGAGATTCAATTCGGCAAAACTGAATTGCCAAATTGCCAGAGAGAGCTTCAAGTTCTTAGACGGACCAGCCGCCGTCACAGGCGCAGGACAGTACAACTAGTTCGCGATCAAAATTTTTGCTTTTTTTCCCGCGTTAGATCGATATCGGATACCCATTTATTGAACCCGGAGTCTTCGGTATTCATTCCAGTGCATCGCGATACCAAATGGGAAATTTGATTTCCCTTGATGGCCTTACTATATGCTAGGATTCTCCGGTGACGATTTTTCTAGTCGCTCGATTCACTAGAGCCCTTTAAAAGTGCAGTTCAGGCTGGCTGAGGTCCTGATTGATAGCTGGGTTATTTTTACGGAATGCGAATTGCCGATATTCATATTTCAATGTTACAACCTCATGAGCTTCAGATCCTTCGAGACTATACTCGAATTTGGAGCGTGGTGCTTCAATATGGCGTCACTATGGTTTTAAGGCGCCATGGCCAACGCATCAGTGATGATGGCGGGGATATTTAAATGATATTAAGCTAGAACACGTTTATATACTGTGTAGCTTCATTGGCTTTATTTACGTCAAAATGAAGAATGATGATTCCTGGGCGTGGCGTTCTGGTGGTCCCTGAAGATCGGACTACCTCCTAAATTAGGAAGGTTGGTTGTGATGAGCAGTCAACCAATTACAAGCGTTTATCGTGTGGTATGCCATGCATGATTTTGATGAAAGCGTACTTGATATCCATGGTTATAGTTGAATACATCTTATCTGAATAACATGATGGTTTTATTTATAAAGATTTCGTGTCTTTTATTAATAAATATCATAACTCGGCATGCAATCTACACTTAGTAACAATGGTTAGGCTTGGATATATTGTCACCCTAAGTGAACATATGTCTCGCGAGCTGCTGACGATCGTCGCCCTGTCTAGATCTCAGCGCAACTCCGATACGACCCACAACCTATTCGATTTGGCAGGTCAAGCTCAGCTTCACGCCATGTAACGCTAGGTAAAGGTATAATTGAGCTCGCTATTCCGGTGCAGTCCGTCCCGCTATTGACTTTCACATCATATTACCTCCTATAGAAGTTGGATTTTCTGGGACCTGCTAAAATGCTTACGCTAATTGGTTCATGTGCCGTCCCTTCTTCGGGGAGTTGGCGCTTGTGGTTGGATATGTGTACCTACTTTATAGATAACCTAGGAGAGATCGACAGGCACTTATATGTAGATCTAGCCTCCGTGTGAGACCTCAGATAGTTTATCTTTAAGTGTTACCGATCTTGTATACTTAAGTGTCTACCTAGGTATTCACACATTTGGTAACACCTCTTGACTTTCCTAGACCGTCGAACAACCTCATTCCTTCCACAATGAGGTTCTCTTACGCCATCAGCGGACTGCTATCTGCTAACGCGGTTCTTGCTGCGCCGGCTCCCATGCCTATGCCAACACCTGTTAGTCTTTCATACAAGAAAAACATCAGTAACTTTCAACATGAATATGCGCTAATAGTCAGACCTAGCCTGGCATCCCATCCGCTTCATCTGCTAAATCGCAACTCGCTGCCCTCACCGTTAAAGCGGCTGTCGATGACGGTGGTTACAAGCGAGACCTATTCCCCACATGGGATACCATTACGGGAACCTGCAACACGCGCGAGTACGTGTTAAAGCGGGACGGTACCAACGTAGAGGTTGGCTCAGACTGTTATCCCACGAGTGGTACTTGGACTAGTCCCTACGATGGTGGCAAATGGACGGCTCCGTCCGATGTCGATATTGATCACATGGTGCCGTTGAAGAATGCTTGGATCGTACGTTCTCACAAATCATTGTTGTTTCATTCTTGAAGCTATTGCCTACTTCATAACTAACATCTCATAGTCCGGTGCCAATGCATGGACGACAGACAAACGTGAGCAATTCGCAAACGACGTCGATCGACCGCAACTTTGGGCTGTAACGGATAATGTCAACTCAGCTAAGGGTGACAAGTCTCCTGATACGTGGAAGCCACCTCTATCTAGCTTCTACTGCACTTACGCGAGCGCCTACGTCGCCGTTAAGAGCCACTGGGCTTTAACCATTACTTCGGCTGAGAAGTCAGCTCTGAGTGACATGCTGGGTACTTGTTAAATAGATTATGAAAGATTAGCCTTAGCATATGAAAGAAGATGGCCCGAGAGGAACTGGGGGAAATAAGCCTCATCTTACGAATAGCAAGGTGAACAATATGGTACATTTTATATCATTCATAAGTCATGGATTGTGTATCAGGGAATATTTTCCTCATATTATCGTGATAATGGTGACGCCCTTTCAACGTATTCGCGTATCTGCTCCTGATTTCGCAGCTACGCGAGCCTTAGTGATAGCAACTCTAACATGTAATCATCGCCGAAGTATCCCACGATCCTCATGCTCATGCTCATTTGTTCCTCTTCACCATAGCAGTGCCTCCCTTCTTGAATTCAGCCATTTCACCTAGGGCCAACGATTTGTTAGTGTGATCTTTATTGGGGAAGGTCGTAGCCAGCACCCATCCACCGGTTCTTAGATCCGGGGAAGCTTGAGAGATGAAGTCATATACATCGTTAACAGTCTGCGTGGTGTTAAATCGAGCCGGTAATCGAGTGCCATCCGGCATCTGGATGCGAATCATGACCGTAGGTTGAGACTCATCTACAGAGCTAGCGGGAGCCGCCGACGAGGACGAGGACGACGCGGCGGCGGGGGCACTAGGCGTCGCCAAGGTAGGTAGTGTCGTGGTAGAGGACTCGCCCGGTACGGGACTCCCAAGACGGCGACCCTCGCCACTGAATGGCTTATAGACCTTCGGAAGAGGACGGTAATTTTCTTCGTGCTGCTGGAGCTTGACATCAAGAGGTTCATCGTACCTAACGTTCATTAAATGAATAGGAGCACGACCTTGTTGTATCATGCGCATAGCCTGGGCATTCTCGGGATCGTCGAATCTTCGTAGCTCTCCGTCATCAATGCTAAAACCATCGCGCCAAAGATGTAAGGTTCGTTCCTGAACCTCGCCGGTTTGTGAGGGTCCGCGGCTGCTAGAAGCTGCGGGTGCGTGAGGATCGGGGATTGTACGGCTAGGAGCACCCTCGCCTCCTAGGGTCTGGCCGGCGCCACGGAAGGAAGCTGAACTAGAGGGACCAGCAGGAGTTGATGCCTCGGGACGTTGCGCATTGCTAGAGTAACTTTGGTTAGTATTCGGGAGGACTAAGCAGATCGAGGCGGTAGCTTACCTCTGCGCTTTGGCGAGTAGCTCATCAACGATTCGTCTAGCATCAGAGCGTTGGCTTGGATCTTGTACGGCAAGACCACTTTTCTCGCCTCCAGCATAGGTATCTCTATGTGCATCCTCGTCATTGCCATCATCATCATTATCACCATGATTATGACCATGTCCACTTTCGCCTCCGATAGAGCTTAGGGTAGCGAGTCCCTTTTTCTTGGGAGGTTTCTTGGATGAACTAGACGCGCTGGGGATATAATCTGGAGCGGGTCGGCCATCGAGAGTACGTGGTCCTGTGTAAGTTTGGGATGTCATGGCAGGAGTTTCTTCTGTCGCATCATTTTCGTCCTCATCGGCGAAGTAGGCACCTACAGCGGCAACGAGGTCCCAATTGTTGGCAGAGAGATATTGGGCAGCCTAAAGAAGAAGTGTTAGCTAGGGTAGATCTAGAAAGGTAGGACATGGTTTGTCTCGATGAAAGCATTATATATACGCGTACCTGTTCTGCTGAACTTGCTGTTGTAGTCATGAACTCGCTAGTAAGAGCATCGTGATCGATGCTGTCCGCCATGGTGGTCAAAGAATGGAGAACGATGTATTGATGTGTTGATGTATTGGGAATGAATCAATTGTGTATCGAGTTAAGAGAGCCGCTAGTAAAATAGAATTTCTTAGATTGACAAGTAAGAAAATGATTTGCGTGAAGTTTGTTGAGAAGAGAAAGTACAATCCAAAGGCTCTTAGGCACCTTCAGTGACGACGTCAAGCAACCTAGAAAGAAACAAGCTCTCCACAGTGGTAGTGGCCTAATCAGTACCTAGGAATATGGTAGGTACTTACGCGGGGCTTAGTGGGGAGAACTTTCCATCAAATTATTAAGACCCCTCCAAGCAGAGATGACGAGCAGCTAATGATTAATTGGGCCTATGAGGGGTGTTGATTTAAGTAACACAGCGTCTACTAACTCATTTGGGGAATTAAAGCTAGACCTCTTACTGAGATAGGTTTAGATACAGTCATAGCACACTTCTACCTTACCGATGCTAACTCCGACCTTCAATGTTACGCCTTCTCCAACCAATTTCAACTTTCAGAGCATCAATCATCGCCAACATAGTACGTCAGTTGCTCCCATCGCCGACGAAACAACCCACGAAATGAAAACGAGAAGTCGAAGTAGATGATTTCGAAAGCATAATACTTCACCCTCGTTCTTATCCCTTCCCTTTCCCTTCCCTTGGGTTCTTCAGCAACTCCGACATGTCCTCCGAAGAACTGAACCCTCTCGCCGAATCCGGTGTCACGATGCACTCCGACAGCGAACAATATTCGGCTGGCGAGGACATATCTACGTCGCCGCCTTCTTCTTCATCCCCGCCTATTGTTCTGTATAAACCTCCAACCGTTTGGTCTATGCTCCGAGGTGCGGCTATTAATTTATTACTACCGTTCATTAACGGTATGATGTTGGGATTTGGCGAGTTGTTCGCACACGAAGCTGCTTTTAGGTTAGGATGGGGAGGTACAAGAGTAAGTCACACCATGAAATATGACCCATTCATCACATACCTGGGTATTATAGAATGAGCAATGCTGATGATGGTCGTGTTCCTCAGGTCTTCCCTATTTCCCGACAGGGAGCTCACCCGATCGGCCCGGGTATCGAGATTCGTGACCGACCGAAACCACGAAGAGAATTACAAGATCTTACAAGTTTGGAGTGATGTAGTTCGGATCATCTTGATATCTGTACGTTTACTTTATGGTAGAACCAAAACAATGAAGGCATACTAGGGGCGGCGCACGTACTCTACTTTCAACATGGGGATACCTATGGGATTAGATCGGTTGGTGGTGAGGAAGAGTCAAGGGAAGCCAAATAAAAAGGAAATGGTACTTGTTGCATATTGCTTGTGGTTTTGTATAAATCCTCAGTTCTATGAGAGTAACCCGTAACTACAAGAGGCTATAAGCCCTGAATGAGAAAATGCAACGCGGATTTTGTTACGAGTTTTTCTTAGATGTCGATATCATAAGGTGTACCTCTTAAGTATAACTTGGCATGTAATCTTCAGGGCTGTTTGATTTTACATTAATTATCTCGACTATCATAGTATGGCATACATAATTGCTTCATAATAGTATAAATTAAGCTATGTAGATTAAAGTAACAAATCGGAGAACAGAGGTCCACTATCCGCACTCCTTATCGATAACCGAGAGTACCATGTACCCAGCGTGGTAAAAAATAATTCGACTGACGGAATTTGTCTTGAATGTATTTTCGTCGCTTCAGCTTTTGCAGCATCCCGCCAAATACCATCATGCTGCCGAGTAGGGGACTCTCAAGATCAGGTACAGCCTCTGCGCTGCGAAATGCCTGGTCAACTCGGACACAGGTATAATAATACCAATTGCTAATAACTACTATTTCTTGTCTCAATTGCTAATTCCCATTCGTCTTATTCTAGTCGGCTCGATCTATACAAGTCCCTACGCGACACTTCTCTCAGTCGCAACTCCGATCTACAATACCTACCCGACTTCGTGGCGCATATTCCACACCGATATCTTCAATTGGTACCCGTGCCACCTTAGGAGCTACTGCTTGTGGTGTATTTGCCCAACGTTCTGGAGCATCGCGAAATCTATCGCTTTGGCCATTCTCTTCGAAACCACAATCTACACCCGAGACGCAGCCTAGTATAGAGCAGCCTGCTTCCACTACGTACGACCAAAAAGCACCAGAAGCTACTGTTGTAGAAAACAATGCCGCTTCCGCACCTCCGGAGGCTTCATCTTCGATCCCGACAAATCCTGTCGACCTAAACCCGGCGCACCATTCCACAGGCTCTTTCAGTGATTTAGATATAACATCCATACTCGATATACCTGAACAAATAGGATACCTTAAGAGCCTTGGCTTGGATTTTGGATGGGGTCCAACAAGCTGCTGTGAATGGATTGTCGAACATATCTACATCTACACGGGTTTGCCCTGGTGGGCTACTATTGCCGCTGTTGCTGTTGCATGGCGTGTCGCATTATTCAAACCCACCTTAACAGCAAGTAAACACCAAGCCTTGTTACAGGCAATCACAAAATCTCCCGAATATATCCAGGCCAATGCAGAGTACCAGGAAGCTGCGTTTAGGACGGGTGATCGTGTTGCGCAAGTGCGAGCACAAGAAAAAATGATGCGCGTCAGGAAACAGTCCGGCGCGAGCGTAATGCGGTCTTTTGTCGTCTTATGGACCGTCCCTTTGAGTTACGGCATGTTTCGATTATTCCGTGGCATGTCTGCTCTACCCGTTCCTAGCTTGGAGACGGGAGGTTTGGCTTGGTTTACCGATCTTACCGTACATGATCCCTATTATATCTTGCCCATGACGTCCATATTACTCACGGTCCTTATGTTCTCAGTAAGTATTTTGCGATTCCCAACCACCCCTTGAGTTTTCTCTTTTCTCTTCAACTTGGGTATTGTAGAATATGGCGCTAAACAGACTCTTAGCAAACACGAGCGGCCGCCTTATCATCCAACCCAACAGCCGAATCCGTCCAAAAAGGAATGAAATATATAATGCCTCCTGTCATGTTTTTGTGTACCGCCTGGCTACCAGCTAGTGTACAGTTGTTTTTCGTGCTGATATCAGCTGGTTCGGTCCTACAAACAACAGCCACTCTAAACCCAGCCATTCGCCGTTGGGCTGACCTTCCTCCCCTCCCAACCAGGCCCGCTACAACAGCTAGTACGACGGGTCTAAAATGGCAATTGCCTACCAGTCGACCATCCACAGACGATGGGGAGAAGAGCAGCGCAAGTGAATCAATAAAAGGAATGTTTGGAGTTGACAAGCAGAAGGAGGAGTGGAAGAAGGCGCAAGCGTATGAAGAGCGTCGAGCTCGAGAAGAGAGAGAAAAGGAATTCCAACGAATGGAGGAAATACGCCGAAGACGGGCTGGGAAGAAGGGGCTGTAGGAGTATTAGCTCATTGGTTGGTACATAGTGCCAAATCCTATTGGTCCTATTCTATGTATCATAGGTATTAACGGGGTCATTCTAACCTCCTTTTAATGGGGTGTTATCTGCTATGCTGCTTGAAAAGAAAAAGGGGCATTGCAGTTGAATGGATCACCCGTAATTGTAGCCACTTACATTGTACATATGTCATACAATACCAAACTCCAAATATAGTTAAGAAGAAGCCGGGGCCTATTTGCATGAAGTGGTTGAAGATGCCTGTTACTACAGCAGGTTTCTCACAAGAGCTCGTTGGACCCATTTCGCAGGACCAGTTTCGTAACTCGGGGGACAAATCCTCATACGAGTGATATATTAGGTTCATCGGCAACATTATATTAATCGAAACAGCTGATTGATGTTCCGTGGCTTTTCCAACACGCAAATATGAACGTATGAAGAATTACCAATAATAGTTACCTAGGTAGGTGCCTGATGGGAATAAAGTCGTCATTGACGTCGCGTTACCGTACCGAGTCCGCACTATAGACCCTTGAGGTCCCGGCTGGCCTATTCCCCTAGGCCTCATCTTTTCTTTTCTTTTTTTTCTCTAATTAGGATAGCCCTACCTAACCTACCAAGGCAGGTTATGCAGACAGGCAGGTAGTATGTTTTGCTTCTACCGGCTTTTAAAAATGATCGCATCCTTGCTTCAAATGCTACTTTAAAAGGGGAACGAGGGTTTTATAGCTCCCAACTCTATGTAATAAAATGACCTTCTGCTCTGCTGTGAAGCTAAGGAGGGTTAATAATAACAGAAGAGAAGACAAACATGGCGCAATAGAGGTATCTTGGTGTTAGAATACGGTCCCATCCGAATCAATTAAGATTGGTGGTTCTTTTGTATTCGGCCTGCTGACCTCTGCGATTTCACGACCTCCCTATACACGTATGATTAGCTTCTTCCTCTCTATAATGGCCGTTGATATATGAAAGTAGCAAGATCGACTTACCTTCCAGCTTCCTGCCTCGAGTAATTGTGCTAACGTGAGCTCACCACCATTGAGTTCCCTCTTAAGGGCCTTATTAACCTCGACTAGAAGCTTGTCAAGGAATCCTACAGTGACACCTCGCCATTCGACAATTACATCGTCGCTCGGTTCGAACATGGGCGCTACCTCGACGCCCTTGGTACTCGTCCGTCGGCAGTAGTCATTGTAGTTTTGTAAACCGCGCTCGAGGTCGTCATGCTTAAGCGTTAATACGCCAAGGTCAATAAACAAGCCTCCGTTTCTGTACTCGGGCAATCCCGTCAACAACTCCGTACCGGCAAAGTGAATCTTCAAGAGATTTTGCATGGGTTGCATTACTGAATACGTGAGCCATTGTGTTAGCTTGTGGAATGGTAGTATGGATTCCCAAGCTGCAGCACCTGACCCAGCTTGTGAATTAGGGAAAGGGGAGAGGCCAGGAGAAGTTGGAGGGGCCTGCTGTGGCATCGAGGAGCAAGGCCATGCGTCGCCGAGGGAGATGCCGTCAATAGCCGTTCGCGATGGTGGCCAAATAGGGCCAAGCCCAGACATGAGTACGTTCCATAGTACCGGTAGAACCACGATAGGAGTTGAAGAAGCTTGTGTCGTCGGATGCGCGAGGAGGTAATCTGCACGTTCACATTGAGTTAGCCAAGATCAATTGCTGCACAGGCGGTACCTATAGAAAAGGGGCGGCGCATTGCACCAGAGTTGAACGAAATAAAACCATGTACATACCAATCATGTTTCCTGGTCTGCCATCATCGCCAAAGAACTCTGGTTTGCTTTCTAAAGCATCTCCTAGTCGAATTAAGAGTTGGGCTCTGCCTTCCAGACCGGCGACTTCGTTCCCAGGATGCGACTGCATGCCTTTTGCTAATTGCTCGACGGTAAGTTTCCGTAATCCGTCCTTGTCTACCTGGAATTTGTTGCTTGGATTTCCAGAGAAAAGTCCCTATTCGTTAGTAATGCAAGAATTAGCACGATTCTCCTAAGCCTAGACGGAAGGATTCACGCATCCACCCTCCTGCGTAAACCGGCCCCCTTTTGAGCTGCACACGTACCGTTTTGAACATCTCTAAGCTCGCAATGGCTAATCCTTCAGACCTCCTGTAGACGCGACCATTTTCGGCGCTCTTGAAACTCCAACTGGTACCTGCGCCAGCGTCGAGTAAGACGCTGACAAGGAACAAGTCCACTAGACTTCGACATTTCTCGGAACTATCGACATTTTGTGGGAAGGTGGCGAGTAGGTTGGCGATGCGATCCCGTCCACCAACACAAAAATGTTGATATCGGCCGTGGGGCGGAATCGATGAAAACGGCGGGTCATAATCTCGCTGTCGTTGTAAGTTAGCATGTCTGTGTCCACGTGCATGGTATACAAGCACCTATAGGTAGGCTCTTGCATGAGATTGGAAATATTTTGGTGGCTTCGGACCTTGATTATACCGCATACGAATGTAACAACGTCGGGAAACTTAGCTAGGTCAACATCGAAATGGTTCAAGCCATTGCGCAAGGCCTTATCGGTCACCACTTTGGATCGCTCGCGGACGGAGCCCAAACTCCTCAGGTAACCGGCGGCATCGAGAGATGGGTCGGGAGGTTTTGGTAGGTTAACTTTGGGCATGAGATGCGGCGTCATGGGTGTAAGAGGTGTTTGAGGTACGCTGCCAGCTGAAGTACGGTTGATATTGTGAATATGAATTCGTGAGTTGCCTGCCGATGAGCTTCTGATGTTGGAACCTTCCGAGTTCAAACTCGCTGTGTCATTCCCAGCTCCTCCTCCTGGTGCTATAGGCTTGGGTGTCTTAGGTTTTCGGGAGAAGAGACCCATATTGATCGTGTATACTTTTGTATGGTTGGCTGTATGTATGTAGGACTGAATGTATGTGTATGGATGTACGTATGTATGTATACCCAATTGCTTTTCGTTTTTTTCTTCTTCTGTCTTTGATTTTCTTTTTACTTTTTATTTTTTATTTTCCCTCCAGTCCTAGGTAGGTTGTATTTGGTTGGCTGGTTGGTCGGCCTGTAACAGAATAAAGTGATTTAGGTGTAAGTACAGGTCGGATAAGTCACCCAGATTAAGCAATTAGATCGATCAGATCAGCACTGAGAAAGAAAAAAAAGTGAATGGGGAGGGGTAGGTGCCCGAAGCTACCTAAGCAACTAAGTACCTAGGCAAGCTAAGGTACCGAGCTAGCTATTACCTAGGTATACATGTACCTAAGGATAACTAGAAAGGGGGAAAGGAGGGGGGCCCTTATTCACTTTGGGCAGGTCTACCCAGCTAACATAGCTTATAGGTACCGGTACCTTATCTGGATAGTACAATGGGACAGCTTCCAGGTGTACGGAGTGGAGAAAATAATGGTGGTGAATGTGGGGGAAAGGGGAGAAGTGTTGAATAAAATAAAATAAAATAAAAAAATGAAAGGGAAAAATCAAGACGAAGGCATAAAAAGTTCAGGGGGTAGATATTTGCCTGAATTAGAGAATAAAAAAATTAAGAATAATGTTGTCAATGTCTCCCGTAAGCTTATCAACCGTATTCCTTTTCGAGATGGTGAGATTTTAAAGACATCCTAAGAAATAAGAAATAAGAAAATAAGATGAATCCAGGATAATACAATGGGAGGTGAGTGTATCATCAAGTCAAGTTGTATTCATGAGTCTAGTCAAGTCCAGATTGTGACAAGCCCTGTATGCAGGTATATTATGTAAGTCTAGCGATACATGTATGCCCACATGTACAGCTACCTACTCATATGTAAGTTTTCCTGTAGGTAGCTTAAAGGGTAGACCGATGAGCTTGATGAGTAGCACAAGGTACGTGCCTCGGTAGAGGTAATGTACAAGTTAGGTGGTCACACAGGGGTTATTAAAGTTGACGATGATCCAGAACGAGAGGGGTATGTATTCTTTTTTTCACCCTCTCATCTTCTAATCCTCTTGTCGTATTCTTCAATACATACCTAGCTGCCCACGTCGGAATAATCAACTACTTATTCCCAATAGACAACTTTCAAACGATAAAAAGTGGTATGATTATTTGTTAGCTACATATGGAACCTTCACTTACATATTTTAGATGAGGAAACGATATTTTAGTATAAATATACCTACTATAAAGTGGACTTTGGTGTAACGGGAAACACGAGTGCCTGAGACTTAACCATTTATGGTGATTTTACTGCATCGTTTTAACCTATTCGGGAGATCGATCCAACGATGGAACTACGTAGGTACATTCAACCTACTGGAACTTAACTGGAACTGGAACTGGGATTCATCAGGATCAGCAGGAACCGCCGAACTGGGGACGGGGAAAAAGGACCAGGATTCTTACATAGGGGTGCCAAGGGGCCAACTAGGGGCCCCGACCGAACTATGTAGCTCTCTAATTTGTCCTTTTCCCTTCAATTCTCATGTATGGTACTCTTACACTAATATCTTCTCAAGGATGTCTTCTCAAGGATATCTGTTTGGTACGGTACGGAAAGGTTAATATACCCAGGTGCAATAGTACGTATCCTAATGTAGATTATCAAGGGGAAGCGGATATCAAGGATGTACGAGATAGGCTGGCTTGACTGGGCATACGGAAAAGAATTCTTCATCGGTATTGATCCAGTCGGATGATCTTTTCAACACTGTTTGATATTCATTCCAAGTTGATAGCCAAGACTGGTTACCATTCTATGCGTTAAGGGTTCATTTTTCTTTTCCTCCCTGATACCACCTAGGTACGTATGCTGGGTACACTGCAATAGCCTACATTTTATACGTGGAATATATGTACTTATGAATCTGGGTAGTATTTTATACGTGGTAATAGAGCAACGGGATGACATGCAGAGAGCGACACAATGTACTCTGTACTCAAGTACTTAGACACCTCAAAGGAATTAGCTTAACCGACGCAGCTAACCTAAATTCTATACTTTAAAATGTCACATCACTGTATATCTATATTATCAACGCATCGTATACCTAGGTAAGTCCTCTTATTTATTCGAGAAAAAGACAAGAAATTTCATATCGTAAACTTACCTAGTTATGTTGTAGATAAAGCCCCAAGCAAACAAACATTACTACCCTGCAGCATAGCATAATTCGACGATCCAATCACGGTACCCCTGTGCCGCCGCCTCGCTTAATTACCTAGGTACCTAGCCAAGTGTTAGTAAAATGATACCTGTAGCTCTACAATAACAGAAGGAAAACGGGTAGAATAATTCCCGCGACGTCATACGAAGGAGAAATTTTGATAAGATGGACTTTTACATCTCCGTCGGGGAGGGCCGAAAAAAAAAGCAAAAACCCTTACTCGTCAGGTACCACACCAATGCTGCTCGTACGTACCGTACCTAGGCTTTGCTTCAGCAACCTCTAAAGTCAGAGTTTATTGACAAATGACAGGATACAAACTTGTCAAATCTAGAGCTCTGTAATCGTATGATGGTTGACAGCCAACCCTACAAGTTACATTGTAGACTAGTTCGCGCAGTGACCGGCGTCCTTCATCGCTAGCACAACAACCATGGCGCGAACCGGATCGTATATCCGTCACCTCCCATAGGCCCCAATTCGAAGTCGAAAGTCAGTGGCGTCTAAGCTGCGGGGTGCGATAAGTTAGAGGACTTGCACTAGATCTCGGACCCGTCGCTTTCGGGCAATTCTATCTAGTTTTATCTAGGTATTCTAGTAGTTAGTTCCAAGTAAACGGTTCTCTTCTGAAGAGAGCTTAGATTAAATTCTTAGTTCCCAAATTAGTTCGACGCGAACGCTTCCCGAAGGACCATAGGTCCGAGTCATCGGCCACAAGTCGCCCAGTGCTGATAATGTCCGTGCAAACAAGCAAGGCATCTGACGAACTTGAAGTCTGTTCTCGAGATGGAACTTATCCATGTCTTTTATATCTCGATTCAACAATGGATGAGAGACCGAGCGCTCAATTGCTTACATAGCTGCATAGTAAATTAGGTAAATCCATATGTGAAGGATTTTATCATATTTCGATCCAGGAGACCAGGTAGGATTTACATGGGGAACTGCGTAATTTGAGCACGTACCGTCTGCAATGGTAACGCCACCAAGTTATCATAGGCTCGATCATAGCGCCTGTAAATGACAAAATAAAGCAAAGAGGGTCATATTGCAGTACTGGTCATATTGTGGTAATTATCGTCATTAACCTGCCTATGAACGGGAACGACTAAGTCGTAAATACAATGCCCTGTTCTTCTACCTAGGTACTCACCATACAATCAAGGAACATCACCAGCTCTGCCACTAAATATCTCAAAGCACTCAACTGTCTTCAGTTCGCGGTCCTTCCTTTCCTACCGCATGAAGGGCCGATCGAGCCGTAAAAGCATCAAGGGCCTTCAAACCGTTTTCAAGGATAACCAACTTTCTCGTTGTCTCGTTACGTTCCTTAATGGTGCCATCATCTTCAGAACCCAATTGTTCAACTTCCTCGTCTGTAAGATCCCATACAACATCGGGACAGAATCTGTAATTGGATTGTCAGTATATCGTCGTCGCTTTTTATCATTTGAAATAGTCATGTACTTACACATCTGGTAGGCGTTGGATAAGACAAGTCTCGATGGCATTAACACTGACATCATCAATGAACTTTTTTAGGGCGACCTATAATTCATTAGCACCACGTATGAGGACTCTACTAGTTTGTGATTGTTATAAGTATCAATAGAATACCTGATAATAAGCTTCGGCAACATCTGCTGCGAGTGAGGCAGAATATTCCTCAACGTTTGGTCGCGTTCCCAACTTCAACTCGGAAAGAAGATTTTGAGAGTTGAATGTGACATTCGAAGACGTGGTCTCCGATGTTAACCCGTAGATCTTCGTGGACAATGCATCGAATTTGCGGTCGTGGCGTTCGGTCTGAATCTTTTGCACCGTAATCGTCAAATAGTCGTTGTATGTGATTGGATGGATCGATAAATGAGGCTCTAATAATTCGTCGACTTTATCCTTCAGATCTTGTCGCAGACGATGTAATGCCGGTTGGATATGCTCTTTCATGAGGCGGGTCTTAGTATTACTGTCGCAAATCTCAAACACGATTTTATTGAAGTTACTTGCTGCGGCCTCATGGATCTGCTCGACTAATTTTTGCGTGATTGGCTCCCAAGGCTTGCATTGTCTGCTGAATAGATCCCCGACAACAAGAGGGTTGTATGTTCCAGGCAGCTCACGGCCGCGGCATTCGACCATGAGATCCTTTACAACCTCTAGATAATCCTCCCTCATGACATACCGCCTAGGGGACAATCTAGTCGGCTTTAAATCGTCTTCCACGACCTCTAGAGTGTGACCATCAACACGCATATTCTCGGAGTATTCGCTAAGGATCTTTTGGACATGAGCGCGTAATCTCCTCTCAAAAGCATCATGTCGACCAGGTATGGACTCAAAGAAGATATCAGCATATACGCCATCAATAGCTGCTCGGACCAGCTTAGAAAGCCGACTGCTGATTCGTTGGAGGTAGGTATGTTTCTCCCTACTCGTACTGCGCGCTTTGCCTAGTTGTGCTAATTTGAGTCGACAATCTTTTATGCCAGATTGCACCTCAGCTTTCACGCCCGGTAGTCCTCTCTGGATTTGTTTCCATAACACAAGGCGCAAACGGGATCTCAGCGGCTCTACACCCCGTCGTGACTCATCGAGGGTGTTCCAGATGGAATCAGCAAAGAATTTTGCCTCTCTCTCATCCCTTTCCTCGATCGTATCGTCAGAGGTAGCGTGGCCTCTGTTGCGCAGGACGTGCCATCCAAGAGACAGCTTCACGTTTTGATTCTGCGCTAATTCCAGATAGTAACGTTCGCTGTCCGAGCCCCTGTCGATTTTGTCGGGTTTCGTAATGAGTCCAAGGGTTCTGAGGCCGGAAGGGTCGATCTCTCGAGCAAATTTGGTTACAGGTTGGTTGGCGAAAGGGTTGTCTGCTGCAACAACAGCAAGAATGATGCTGCGACGCTGGCGCATATAAGACAATACTAGTTCTTGAACCAAGGTTGCGTCGTCATCGGATTGATTCTTATCAGAGGCACCGAATATGCCTGGTAAGTCGACTAAGGTTAGGTTAGGTGCAGTGGGCGATGTGCTCTCGATGCGCAATACATCAGTGCTGAATATCTTGGCACCCTCGCTGCCGGTGAGTCCCATCGCACTTTTGGCGGCTTCGATGATCTTGGGAAAATCATCCTGATCCTTTGTCTCCCTAGCAAAAGCAAATAGGCGTTTTCTCTCATTCTTGCTCCTATCGCTGCTCGGTTGGATGTGTACTTTGATCTCAGGCTTGTCACCTCGCCGGAGGATCAATTCGGTAGCGAAACGAGTGCAAAGTCCTTCTGCAGTCGGGAAGGATATACCAGAAAGGGATTCGAGTGTGGAGCTTTTGCCTGATGACTGGCTACCGCACACGATGATTTGTGGTAGATCAATATATTGACTGACGCCATGTGATCTAAGTGAATCGACAATATCAAGAAGATCCCTGTGGTTGCTAGATTGTATAAATCCGGCGGTTTTCTGGGAGATATCTTCAGCAAGGTCCATCTTCATTTTGGCGTGTTCACTCGTTTGTTTGTGTTCTCAGGTTGGTAGTAAATTACTACGAGGGATGGAAGAGAAATGCCTTTAAATGCTTCAAATGCTAGGATGGTGGAATGAAGGACGCGAGACTAGATGGCCTTGGGAACTCTAGGGAGACAAAGCTAAATGTAAGAGTAGAGAGGCCGATTGAGATTGAATACTTGAAGAAAATAAAGGGTGCCAAACGTCGTTGTTGGGCAGGAGCGCCCCGTTATCTGTGCATACAACCTTGCAGCCTGCAGCAACTTCTGCCTTAAGACCTAAATACTTGGGAGGTACCGAGAATACGCACCAAGGACAGGATGCAATTGCCTAGTAGCTCTTTGATTAACAATTATACCTGCCTAGATTTAACAGCATTGAGAGTGCTCGTGGAAGGAAGCATCGTGAATGAAAGCCCGATTTAATGGCTGAACCATGATTTTAGATTACTTCTAGAACACTTCCAGAATACCTTCAACCTTCTAAGTCCACTTCAATAAAAATTATTAGAGCTTTATTGAAGCTTGGATATTGACATGCGTCGAATTATCATAATGTTTTCTATGTAATTCTTGCTTAGAAAGAATATTTCATCCCTGATTTACCGAGACTAATTATTTTAGGCTCTGTAAATTCGTACACTCCTGCGATCCCACCGAAGCGGCCATATCCAGAACTACCCCCGACACCACCATTAGGTAGAGTCGCCTCGATATAGACTGTAGGACCATTGATATGACAGCTTCCTGCCTTTACTCGCCGTGCCACCTCAAGTGCCCTCATTATATCCTGCGAAAAAACGGCAGCGCACAGGCTGAAGTCGGTACCGTTAGCAAGTCCTATTGCCTCCTCATCGGTTTCGAATGAACATAGGCAAATGAGTGGTCCAAAGCTCTCCTTGTGAAATATTTCCATGTCAGGCGTTATACCATCTATGATATGAGGTCCCATTATTGTACTATTTGGCCCCGATACTGATGTATCACCGTATAGCAATTTAGCACCCGATTTGATGGCTTCGTTCAGTAAAGTCTGCACGCGATCGGCTGAGGCGGGGCAAAATAGGCCGGACATCGATACCGTCGAGTCTTCTTCATGATTTCCAACCTTGATACCCTCAATTCGTCGAAGGAGAATATTCTTGAACGATTTTGCTATAGAGCTATGAAGGAGTACCCGCTCGGTGGACATGCATATTTGACCTGCATTAGCTAGGGCTCCGAATATAACGGCTTCCACAGCATCCTCGAGATTTGCATCTTCGAGAACAATTACAGGAGCTTTCCCTCCCAGTTCAAGGACACATCGCTTCAGGCAAGTTGCAGCCCACCCTGCAATGATCCTACCGACTCGGTCACTTCCGGTGAAGTTTACATGACGGATACTAGGGTGCTTCACAGCATATTCAGTGACGACTGGGGTCTGGCTCGGTGATACTGGTAAAAAGTTCAAACAGCCTGGTGGGAGCCCTGCAGCGTGAAGGGCACGTACAAGAAGATGTTGACTTTTTGGCGAGAATTCCGATGGTTTGAGTATAACAGTGTTGCCACATATGAGTGGAGTAGCGACGGCACGCGCAGTGAGGTTGACCTTTGCATTCGTTAGTCTGCTGCGAAGAATCATGACTTATAGTGTAAAAGCTAGCTTACAGGTGCATTCCAAGGACTGATCGCGAATACCACACCCAGGGGCTCCCTTTCGATTAGAATTGTTGTTCCTGGTCGGTCGGCTGGCACAATTTCACCTTTGATATGTGTTACTAAGCCTGCTGTTTCACGGAGTATGCCCACAGTGGCTAGAATGTTCACCCTAACCCAGCTCGTCGTTGCTGAGACTTCTGCAGATAGAATTGCTGGTGCGTCTCCGTCAAGGTAAGCTTCTAGGATGTCTGCAGCTTTCAAGAATATAAGACGACGACTGGAAGGACTTGATCTTGACCATGAGTTAAATGCAATTGAAGCGCATTGAATTGCCCGGGCATAATCATCCGTACTCGCTGATGCGCATTCATATAAGTGCTTCCCTGTCATAGGATTCGTAACAGAAAATGTTGCGCCATCCAAGCTGGAACAATATGAGCCATCTATAAAAAGTGCCTGGGGATCACCCATGCCTTCTTTCGAGTCCGGTTTTTGCTTCCCATCAACTCCTATTTCTAAAGCTTTGGCGTCCATTCTGTATTGCTTGAACTGTCACAATTTTTAGATCATGGCAGCGAGACCAACAAAGGTAAAGCTACTAATAATGCCGCGCAATATGAAAGGCCGCTGAGGGTAGTTTATTTCATGTAGCGTATGATGCTTCGTAAGATATCGATCGGAATGGGGCAATATGTTGTCTCCACATCTCCAACTCAGCTCATTCACATTGATATGCGTCGGAATCATGACTCCGCCCCTCCTCTCGACTTTCGCTAGTTCGAATAGTTACGATTTAGTTGACATCGCTTAGTTGGTTGACCGGGATAGTCTACGCTCTGGAATTTCAAGTATACGGCGGAATAGAAGTAGGTGCTTGAAGAAGACGTACTTTATCTTAATGGCGTAGCTACTCGTCGATGCCTAGAGCTAAGAGAATGAGCAATTATCCAATTCTCGTTGACAAAAAAATTCGAAATCAACTAAAAATATCATCCATGTCTCAAGCTACAATGCCCCCTCAAAGGCATCTCACAGGCGCTGCTGCCATCCTTAATGCGCTGAGGTCCGCGGGAATATCACATCTGTTCGTGAATTTGGGATCTGATCACCCAGCTTTCCTGTCCGAGTTCGCATCGAGGTCACATAATGAACTTCAAATATTTACATCTCCAAATGAGATGAATGCTCTCTCAGCTGCATCTGGATTTGCTCAAATTACGGGACGACCGGCTGCCGTGCTTGTTCATGTCGAATGTGGTACTCAAGGGCTAGCTGGCGCAATCCACAATGTCTCTAAAGGGCGTATCCCAGTAGTGATACTTGCGGGTACCGTTCCTGTCACTATGGCGGGGGAGATTCCCGGAAGCAGAAACGAATATATCCATTGGATTCAGGATGTACCAGACCAGAGAGCGATCGTTCGTCAATATATGCGTTATGAGCATGAAATTCGCAGACCACATAATGCTGCTCAGATTGTATTGCGTGCGCTGCAATTTGCTATGAGCCAGCCACAAGGGCCCGTATATCTCATCGCGAGCAGAGAGACATTGTGTGAGGAGTTTGAGGAAGTAAATACGCAAGTGGACTCAGTGCGCGACTACAAAAAGAACAGTGCTGTTGAGCCTATCGGGCTATCTCCCTCTGCCTTGGATGAATTAGCTGGTGTCCTTCTAAAAGCGAGGAGGCCTTTGATTGTCACTAGCTATTGTGGTCGCTCATCGGATGGCTTCGAAGCGCTAAAAGCTCTTGCGGAACTATTATCCATACCGGTTCATGAAAATGCGCCCATATATAACAATTTTTCAACAACATCTTTCCTTCATCAAGGCCATCAATGGAATGGTGGTGGCCAATTGCCCGCTTTAGCTGAAGCCGATGTGGTACTTGTCGTTGATGCTGATGTTCCTTGGATACCAGCGCAGAGCAAACCATCGTCACAAGCGAGAATATTCCATATTGATAGCGATCCATTGAAAGAGGAGACGACTTTATGGTCTTTACCATGCGAGCGAAGATGGAAATGCGATTCTGCGTTGGCGCTGAGCCAGTTATGCGCATCAATACGAGCAAACGATGAATTTAGTCAGTCTCGGTCGAAAGAGCGTATCGAGGAACGAAAGAGGTATTTGCAAGAACGTTTCGATCGAAGGACTAGTAAATTACGGAAAGCCGAAGAGTGTCGAGGAGATGGTAGAGTAACTGTGCCATATTTCATGTCGCGACTTCGGGATGCTACCGCGGGAATACGTATGGTAGGCCTTAATGAGAGCACAACCAATCTGGGAAACGTCGCAGATCATCTACATCATGATCTTCCGCTTTCGCTAATTGGTAGTGGTGGAGGTTCATTAGGTTGGTATTCTGGTGCTGCGGTTGGTGCTTCTCTTGCTTTGAGGGAATTAGGAAGATCCGATGATCTAATTGTGGCCTTCACTGGCGATGGGACTTGGCTATTCGGTGTACCTAGTTGTGCATATTGGATGGCGAAGAAGTATGATACACCTTTTCTCACGATCATATGGAATAATGGTGGATGGGCAAGTCCTAAGAACGCATTTTTAAGACTTAACCCGGAAATGGCAGGAAACAAACAAATTGAAGGCAGATTAAGTGATCGGGTAATGACTTCTATAACTCCGTCACCAGAGTTTGGGAAGATTGCCGAAGGAGCCGGAAATGCATGGTGGAAAAAGGTAACTTCAGTCGACGAGGTTGACGAAGCGTGTAAGAAGGCAATCAAAATCGTGAGAGAGGAGAGACGATGTGCCTTGATAGAAGTCGTCCTTGATAGCGTCTAATGTATGAATAGAGCTTCCATTCCGTAATTACTTGGTGGTATGTGCACCCGGGGTAATATTATGCCGATTAAGAAGCCTCCTCGTCATCGAGTCGAGTTAGCAATAATTCTGAGTCGTAAATTGTCATCACTCAACCTCAATTGGTATAATTAAATGCGATTTTTTAATCCAACTTTGGTTGGTTGAAGCGCCGTCAATTCTTGACTTGGGCAGTCCCAATATTGATGGGTATAATACACCTTAGCACAATGATTTGTATATCCGTTCATACTCTGTATTTCCGGAGTCATGGATCCTGTAACTACAAAATTATAAAATGTATTGGCACCCGAATCAACAACTCACATTTGTTTCTGTTTTGCTTGGGTTTGACTAGTTTACGGTATTGAGAACAATTGCGGGTATTTCATTTGGGTCTATTACGTGGGTTATTGTAGGGTTCGATACCCAGTTAATATACAATGGCGAGGAAACAGGATGTTTATTTGATTGATGATCTCGAACGGCATGCCTCGGTAGTCCTGCCGAAAATGGTTCGGGATTACTTCAACGGCGGTGCACTAGACGGGTGTTCACTTCGGGCAAATCGTACCGCCTATCAACGATATCATATTCGGCCACGCGCGTTGCGTAACGTCAAAGACCTACAAACGCAGATCAAGGTGTTTCCCGATGGTAATAGCATTCCGTTTCCATGCGCCGTTGCTCCAGCTGCGATGCAGAAGATGGCCCACCCGGATGGAGAGGAAGCCACTGCACGTGCTTGCGGTGGTTATGGAACTGTGATGGGATTAAGTACCTATAGTACAACAAGTCTGGACGAAGTGAAAAAAGCTGCAGATGCTGCCAGGCATACCACAGGATTGAAAGGCCCTTCCGAACTTGTCCTTCAGGTGTATGTTTTTGAAGACCGCTCTGTGACGGAACAACTTATCCACAGAGCCGAGGGTACGTCGCTGGATAGACCAGATTATATGTGGCGTTCTAACTATAAACAGCTTGTGGATATAAAGCCATCGTGTTAACAGTTGATACACCCCAATTTGGACGTCGATTGACAGAGATTAGGAATGGGTTCAAGTTACCACCTCACTTGAAGATGGCTAATTTCCCCGATGAACTGGGTGTGAAGACGGGATCAGAATTACGAACTGGAGACTTGGAAGCAGGGAAACGCCGTACCTTGAGCGCAAGTGGTTCAACAGCGAATAAACTTGGTTTGTTAACTTCTACCTAACGTCAGGAACATCGTGCACTCAACTAATTATTCAGATCCATCTCTCACATGGGATATACTTCCGTGGTTGAAGTCATTAACGAGACTTCCGATTTGGTTGAAAGGCATTATGGGGGCAGAGGATGCCATTCTTTCCGTCCAACACGGTGCGGACGCCATATTTGTGTCTAATCATGGTGGACGCCAACTTGATCAAGCACCACCGACGCTCGACGTCTTACCGGGAATTGTAAAGGCCGTGGGTGGAAAAGTTCCGATTGTAAGTTGACGCCCTCCCCCCACCTTTTTGCTTGACTATATTGCTCCTTGGGTAGATGTCTAGGTACTCTTGGGATTTAGACTGACATAGTATTATTGAATAGCACTTTGATGGTGGTGTTAGAAGAGGATCCGATATTTTCAAGGCTCTCTGTCTGGGAGCTGATATGGTTTGGATAGGTAGACCGGTATTATGGGGACTAGCATATGATGGAGAGTATGGAGTAATTAATGCCTTGAGGATTCTGGAAGATGAATTCAAGGAGTGCATGATGTTATCTGGTTGTTCTCAATTGGACGAATTGGGACCACATCTCCTAGTTGAAGCGAATCACAAATTTAGCAAGATTTGAATTTATTTAATTGTACTACTAATTATTATTAAAACGAAATAACAGCGCTCGTATCATCGTTAACCTTCATCTCAAACCAATACCGTACCATCAAGGCCAACGATTACCCTTGCTTGAGAAATTGTGTGGTGATGGCGATGAACTCGTCAAAACCATCAACGTAACATACGTGGCCAGCATTTTTAATGACATGGAAGTCCACATGAGAAACGATTCCCTTGCTTTGTAGTCCCTGCTCAACGCCTTTCCGTAGTTCTTGCATGGATTCTGGTAGATTCGCGTCTTTATCGCCTACGATGAACAGGGCTTCGTCAACACTCTGACCAGCCTTTACCGTCAATGGTCGCAAATCGTACGATTTGCTCTGGAGGGCAGCGCAACACGTCTCAAATCCATCAATGCTCGTCGTCAACATGATTTGTCGCACGCGATTTGCTTCTTCTGGATTGGCATCAACCCAAGCGCGACCAAACCATCGATCCATGGTTCCTTCAACTAGGTCATCCATCTTGCCCGCTTTGCGAGCAGCCGCAATTCTTGGTGCGAAAACATCATCGGTTCCGGCGTTGACTGGAGAGGAGGAAATCGTATCACATATGACTAGCTTCTGGATGATGCTGGGATATTTTGCGGCGAATACAATCCCAGTAGAAGCACCCATGCTAACACCAATCCAGGCATGCAGCCGTTCAATAGAAAGATGATTTAGAAGGGCCTGAACATCATCGGCAAGTGACTCAAAATTTGTAGAAGAAAGATCTTCTGGGGTCGTAGAACCACCATGGCCTGGGAAGCTATAAGCTATGACTGTAAAACCCCTAGATGTATATTCCGGGACTACGCGTTCCCAGGTAGGATATGGGGCGCATAAAGAGTTGGAAAGAAGAATAACAGGGGCGTTAGGATTGGATGATTCTGACCATAGGGCGTAATCAATTATGCGGGAGGATGGTAGAGAAAATTGCTGACGAGAAATAGTCGCCATTTTCTTTCGACCGAATTGATAGAATCGATTCCGAATATGTTGATTTTAGTAGCTGATTTCAGTAGCTAAAGTTGGGCTGATGAAACCGATGTCTTCCAAGGTTGTTTGATAGATGATCGAAGGTCGAAGGTCGAAGGTAGAAAATAGAAGAGGCAAGAGGGGCAGGGATGGAGATGGAGGGGTACGTAATTGTTGCTTAAAAGCGTTGCGTTTATCTTGTAACAAAGTACCTGGTTTTACCGAGCAGATCTCAACTTATTGGTGAATTCTATGCTTAATACTTATAGCCAATTAGACTGAAATGAACGAATATTAAGATACAATACAATTTCTATGTCCCTGATAAATTAAAACGTAATGGTACAAAGCTATACAGTTCTGTAAAGGAATTGTTCGATTGCTGAGATATCTAGGTACTTTCCTATTAAGGATTAGTGCACAGTTAGTAGATAATGACGCTAGGCTTTGTGTTACCGAGAACCTGGTGCCAAGAATTAGTTACCCATATTTCTCCTTGTCTACCCCACATATCTCCGCATTTCTCCAATTTGGGTGACACAGACCCGGAATCATACAAAAGGGGGTCTTGACCCTTTATTCAAAACAAGACCAGGAATATACGATCCGACGTTTCCAAGGAATTATTCATCCGGGAAATATGAGAGCCTCTGGTGGTACACTAAGAGCCGCTGAAGCTAAACGACGCGCACGTCGTGTACCAGAGGATCAACGAAAACGTGGTATCCAATCTTGTGATCTTTGTCGGAAGGTATGTGTTGAAGAAGGGCCTGGATCTGATGGTGGATCCCAATCGGTACAAATTTGATATCCGGTCATCAAACTGACCAATTACCAAAATAGAAACGCTGCAGATGTGTCCCGGCATCCGAGGACACGAATCGCTGTACAACATGTCTAGGGCAAGGCGTAGACTGTACATTCACGCTCCCTCGCAAGACCCGTTTTTATGGGAATATCGAAGATCTTAGTGATCGGTAGGTCATACTAATGGGATAAGAAAGACCCTCAAATGACTAACTCATTTCTGTAACGTCGTACGCTAAGATGTAGATAGGTTTCGTTGTCTAGAAGCTATCGTCAAAGGGGCGTTTCCAAATGAACCTACAGACTCGGTGGAGAACCTAATGCGACTTGGCAAATCCAAAGGATATAGTATGCCAGATCTATCTCAGGATGGTTCAGAAGTACCGATAAGGATAGATGAAGCTTTAAGGATATGTCAACAATCGGAATCTTCTAGTGATGGGGGGACATCCATACTTACTAGTGCTAATCGGTCAGCAAATTTAGGAGCGAGACTTGAAGTAAATGGTATCACATCACAGGAGAACATTAAGCCCGTTGAAGGGACTGCATCTCTTGTGAGTGATACTTCTGGTAAAGAGCATTACATTGGGCCTTCCGGAGGTCTTCAATTTCTTGGTCAACTTCGAAGGCTTCTTATCTCAAGAGAGCAAAAGCCTGGTATACATTATCTCGCCCCTCCGAATGCCGCTTCACGATTCACCGAAGATGATGGAGCTCAAGCACTCGAAGTGGAGGAAGCCCATGATAATCCTGTAGATTCAAGACATCTTGCTGATGATGCTTCTATCGCTGCCACGCGCGACCAACGTTCGCCTGGTAGCATTGTCTCCCTAGAGAGCGACTTCATACGGAAGTCAACGGTCGGGATAGACGATCTTTGGAAGAGGTTACCCGAACAAGGCATACTTGAAAAATTGCTGCAATCTTTCTTCCAATACGTCCACGAAGACTTTGTCCTTTTTCACCGTGGGACATTTGAAGGCGACTACGAAATTCAAACACAGAAGATGCGCCAAAATAGTAGTCACCCATATGACGAGAAAGAACCTAACATAGGTTTGCTCGCTTGTATCTACATGATGATCGCATTTGGAAGTATGTGCGATTCGACTATAGGCGGAAATAGCTTCGATCATGTCGGATTGAGGAAACATTGTGTATCATCTGCGAGATCCCTTCTTCCGCATCTTATAAGTAAATGCACACTTTATAACCTAAGGGCTCTACTCCTTTTAGGATTGTTTCTACATAATAACAACGAACGGAATGCGACTTGGAACCTTGTTGGAACAGCAACGAGATTGGCTTTTGCATTAGGTCTCCATCGAAAAGATACCGGGTTTGCATTCAACCCTATTGAGAGGGAAATTAGAAAGCGCATTTTCTGTACGCTTTATGGATTCGAACAATTTCTGGCTACTAGCCTTGGTCGGCCTAGTGGTATGAATGATTCCGATGTTGAAGTTATTCCACCACGTGCAGGTATTTGTGAGTAATCCCATTTATTATACCCATAATATTTCCTTGTACGGTCTATTATGAACTCGGATGAAGTGGAGTAGATGTGCCGATGGATTAGAAGAGCCCTGAAGGTTCCATTATAGTTTCTAGTGGAATCCGATCCAAGTTACTCGGAGCAAAACTAAGGCATACTAATATGAGAATATTCTAGTGGACGGCAATGGTGGCGGAGGCGATGCTGCGTTAGTAACATATACCTTGCGACTACATCGGATATTGGGTAGAAGCAGAATCATCCAAGGAGGCATAGACACGGAATTGAGAGTGGCTGGTACCTCAAAACCTTTAAGCCCTGAAGCTACCTTGTTGGATCTCGATGAGTGGAAATTAGACCTATCGAAGCAGGATTGGTTAAATTTACCACCCATAAAAACCGGGCAGAGTATTTTTGATGATAAGGAACCCAGCGCTATAGCGATTGATGATCTTAAGTCGCTGTTGCGATGGCAGAGTCGATCATCACTGAGGGCTGCGTTAATGTTACATCTGCAATACCATTATATCGCACTATTCACAACTCGTCCATTCCTTCTTCAGGAATTATCCGTAGGACAAGCATCAAGCCAAGGACAGAACCACGCGACGAGTCGGCAAATCCTTCTTGCTGGTACTTGTCTTCGCCATGCTGGACAAATGGCCATGATAATTCTTTTATTGGACTCTTTCGATCTAATAAATGGTGTATCGGGATTGGATATCTTTTACGTTTATTGGGCCTCAATGGTTTTATCATTAGGCATGTTGCGGCGTCAAACAACCTCGGAGGATGAAAGAGTACTTGTAACTCTTGGCGACCTTGTCGCGCAGCTCAGGGCTGTGGCTGTTAGAGCTGAGAAGAGTGGTACTATGAAACGTTTTACAAGGCTGATAGGTGCCTTTGCCGACTACGTTACTTATCGTTGCAAACCACCCAAGGCGATGAATACGAATGATGGCTTAGAGACTGGTGGAATAGGAGTAGATGGAGGTATGGAGCCGAGCCGTATGCTGCCGGATTCATCGCAATTGGCAACAGGAGCTTTCGCAGGTTCTGAGGTATTGGACTCTTTCTACTGGTCAAATGCTATGATGCCTTTAGGCAATACGATCGAAGGTGGGGCTGGACCTGATGGCTTTGGTAACTGGGCTGGTGATGTTGGAGGAACTGCAAATGGCGTTGATTGGATTAGCTCCTTGGTAGGTACTGATATTGAGATGCCTCTCGATTATGGGGGTATTATGCGACATGAATAGCAAGGATATTTATTTACGCATTGCGCGTTGATCCTTTACCTAGGTATGCTGATGGAATGATTGATTGTGATACGAGATCTTGAATATTGCGTGTTTGCATCCTACACAGGGACACTTTCCAATATCGCTCCTCGTGGGATATAGATATAAGGTCAAAGGGGTAAGATGTAGAAATTGATGGCTATGGTCTTTAACAATGTTGTCGGTGCCATCAATTTATTTGTGCAAGATATAACCATTGAATTGGGAAGATAAATAGATAGCTTGATAAGATCGAGCATATGAAACATGTAAGCTGCTAGACAGTGTACCTAAAGTCAGGATGTTTCTCCCCGAGTTGGTCTTGTTCTTCTTGGGAAAGTTCCCGTAAATGATCACGCTTTCCTGCTTCTCGTTGTCTATTCTCATAAGACAAACAAACCCATAGGTTAATGGCAGCAATAACTCCTGCTATTTGAAAAGCGACACAGGTCATGATTCCAGGAAGGTATTGAGGTCCATCCTTAGATGGAAATACTAGAGCTGAGATAATTCCACCGAATTGTCCTAGAGTACCAGCGAAGGCGGTGATGGTTCCCCTCTTGGCAGAACTTGTCACTTGGTTCGCACTATTTATTACTTGTTAGAAGGCCTGACCATTTTGGCGCATTCCAGGGGAGTGTACTTACCACCAGGCGATACATAAAGGTTGTACTATGTAAATCCCAATAGCAGCAAAATAGATACCCATGTATCTAAGGCTACCTTTTAAAAATGCGATGAGAAATAGACCTAGCATACTTAAGGAGAAACCACCAAGACAAAACACGCCTCTTCGTTGAATTCGATCTGACCAGATGCCAATCAGAACAGAAACGATGCCGGATGCGAGTCGTGGTGGTGCGCTTAGAAGATTTGACTTGAGATCATCCCAGCCAAAGGTACGTAGAATAGTAGGTTGGAAAACAGATATGGCATAGGCTGTAGTGCAGACAGCGAGGTAGAGTACGCCAGAGGTAAGGACCTTCCAGTCCTTGAGTGAATCTGCGACTTTTCGGATGGTCATCTTTTCATGGGACATGCCTTTGTTGTCGGATTTTAGTCGATTAAGTAGCCATTTCTTCTCAGCTGGCGTTAAGAAATTGCTGTTCTCCGGAAATGGAGGAACGTAAAACCAGGCAAGGACCGCTGCGATGCATGTTACAGCACCTTCAATAAAGAAAATCCAGCGCCATCCAGAATATCCACGTGCCCCATCAAGGGATCCTAAACCGGCGCCAAGTAATCCTGATATTGTACCCGCAATGTCGTTGGCGACGAAGAAGAAAGCCATACGTGTTACAAGTTCGTGCCGTCGATACCACCTAAAATTTAGTTAGTTTGAATGAAAGAAAATGTCAGATAACCATCGGATAGATGATTTCTAGTGAGAGTACCAAGGCCGTTGTGACATGTTCAGTCCCTACCTAGGTATGTATTGAACGCGCGCGGGGATGGATGGGATACCTGGGTATAATTCTTCACACCTAGGGGGAGATCACTTACCCAGATATCAAGTACATACATCCTGGAAACATTCCTGCCTCGAAAATACCAATAAATATTCGACCAACGAGGAGGCCACCAAAACTAGTAGAAAAACCAGAAAAAGTAACCGTCACTGAATGATATTGGTTAGCTCTCAAGTCCAAGAATGTCTGGAGGGGGTTCTTGTGTCGGGAATAGGTAACTTACATCCCCATCCCATAACGATAACTCCCATAAATTTCCTTGGCTCGATTCGATTAAAGAAGTAATTTGATGGAAGTTCGAGAATTATGTATGGGACATAAAAAACTTCGCAAGGTTAGTGAGGTCAGCGAGTGACAAAAGGGGCAAGGTAGGGGCATCAACTAACTCAGTACCACAACATTATAATCATAACCGGACATTTTCAGGTCGCGTTCCAAATTCCAAAGCCTCGCATTTCCAATGTTAACGCGATCAAGAAACGTTAACATATAGAGGAATTGAAGCAATGGAATGATACGCCAATCGACCTTTCGTAGCACCTTTTTTGCCTCGACAGGATCCGTAATATCTTCCTCGTCTGTTGGAGTCTCTATATGAGCCATGTCGTGTTTTTCAAGCTCGGAGGGCTCTCGTGAGAGATGGCGAGGCCTGTCTAAACTTGTGGTCATCGTGAAATGTACCTGGATTAACTGACGATATGATGTGGGTCTGTGGCTCTGAACCTAACAAGCTGAATGATAGACCAAGTCTCATTATTCTGCCTGGGTGACCATATTTTCCAGGTAGATATTATGAGGAGTTATATTCCCGGTCTTATACAAAGTTTGCATTCAATTAGAGACCTTAGACTTGCTCGGCGACGCGTTGCAAGCTATTGAGACTAGCTCTAGAGCCAAGATTCTTCATATCTGGGGTTGCGGAGAAGATCCGGGGCTCGACCAAGCAATTGGGTACGGAGTCATCATTCCGGCCTCCACTTGAGCAAGGGTAGCATGGGGTAACGCATGAGGTAATAACTTGCTGAAAGATATTACTCGCTTCCTAAATACCTACCTAGGTATGGAAAAGGGTGGGGTGGGTACAGGAATCATGACACCGTCCGGTTAGTTCCCGTACGGTCGGGTCGAGACTATCGATTAACATCTGACGGCGAGATCCAGAAGAGGCTATACGGCGGCATAGGATAGCTTCCATAATGGTTATATAAAGAAAGAGCTGCATTATCAGATAGCATAGACATAGTAATGCGACATAGCTTCACATCTCCTCTACAACTTCTTTGATAGCTTTCAGTACGTGTTCTTTAAGATGCCTCAAGCAAAGAGATCTCTCAATGTCCTTGTCGTCGGTGCGGGGTTAGGTGGTCTTGCAACTGGTCTCGCCCTTCAAACTGATGGCCATAAAGTTCGCATAATTGATGCGGCGCCAGAATTCGCCGAGGTGAGAGGCCATTATCTACCATCAAATGGTAGCGATAACGGAAATTGTAGTACCTAGACTAATTATGGAGATAGGCTGGTGCAGGCATTCGGGTACCCCCTAATTCAAGCAGACTTCTGCTTCGCTGGGGTGTTGATCTGGAGAAAATGAAGAAATCGGTATCAAGGCGGTACCATTTTGTTCGATGGCAAGATGGATCTACTATGGTTAAGCTACCATTTGATAATATCGTTGAGACACATGGTGCTCCGTATTACCTCGTACATCGCGCAGACCTTCACGAAGCTCTCCTAACAGCGGCACGGAGAGCTGGTGTCGAGGTACTCAATCAGAAGCGAGTTGTTTCGTATGACTTCGAAGCCCCGAGCGCTACAACACAGAACGGCGAAGTATTTACGGCGGATTTGGTAATTGGCGCCGACGGGATTAAATCCATTGCAAGACCTTTACTTACAGGTCAACCCGACATTCCCCGCGATACGGGAGATGTGGCATATAGGATACTCATCCCAGGAGAGAAGTTGCTTGCGGATCCCGAACTGGCAGACTTAATCACGGACCCTTGTACCACTTCTTGGTGCGGACCGGACGCGCATCTTGTTGGTTATCCTATCCGCAATGGCGAGTTATATAATATCGTCGTGTGCGCGACGTCGTATAACGAGACTACCGATGAAGTATGGGTGATTAAGGGAGACAATCGCGAACTCTGCAACCGATTTGGTCAGTGGGAGTCTCGCGTGCAAAAGCTATGCGCCCTTACAGGCGACTTTATGAAATGGAGGCTTTGCGACTTACCTGATTTATCGCGTTGGGTACACACCTCTGGTAAAGCTGTGCTTCTTGGTGACAGCTGCCATCCCATGCTTCCATATCTTGCTCAGGGTGCCGCCCAATCGTTTGAGGATGCTGCTGCGCTTCGACAATGTTTGGCAATGGATATAGATCTTAAAAGCGCACTAGAGCGTTATGAAGCAGCTCGTAAGCCACGAGCGACTCTCGTCCAGGCTAAGACGCGGGAACACCAATACATTTTGCACATTGACGACGGCGAAGAGCAAAAGTTACGCGACCAGAAACTGCAAATTAATGGCGACGAGAATCCTGTATTCTGGGGATATGATGAGAGACGAAAATGGTTATTTAGTCATGATGCTGAAGTGTTGGCGAAGGAGGGTGCAAATTGGCAAATGTCCGCCTCGGGAGCTGGGGTTACCGCTCATTGAAATCTGGTATGTCGGATATTAATCGGATATCAAAATAAGAAATAGTTTTCAGATTGCGAATTCTTGACGATGACAATTCTCAACGAGCTCGTTATGCCCAATATCTTTGATGAAATTTGAAACTTTGTGATGCGAGAGTTGAGTAATTGCCCAGGTGTTAATTAGGGGACTAGGTATGTGTACCGTGCCCCGGGGAATTGTTGTCCCGGTAAAGGAGATACTTCGAAAAAGAAACACGCTTACGTCATCATAACCCCTCCTTATATTAATTCAGGGGTCGTGGTTCGTACTGGAGTTACCTAAACGGACTTTGAGTATCGCCGCCCGTAACTCAAGAGTACTTGGGCATTTATCCAGCCTCGTTTCCATCGTGGGGGACCGTGGAGGGTGTATCGACTCAGACACTGATAATCCGCCTTGAGAAATTTCCTTTGCAGATCATGTAGAGCGTATCAAGGCCGGGGACCGCCACCTCCCCAGACCGGTCGGGTTCTACGTGTACACCAGGGCGTTGTTGTGCTTCTGTCTCATAATTAACGACATGCTGGATATAGATTTTATTATTATTATCTGAAACTAACATACATAGTGGTTGGAGAAGGATCCCAGGGTTAAGGTTAGGATTAGGGTTAGGATTAAGGTTAGGATTAAGATTAAGGTTAGGATTAAGGTTAGGATTAAGGTTAGGATTAGGGTTAAGATTAGGGTTAATTAACTAAAAAAAGGAAAAACTAAAATTATAAATTAGAAAAACTAAAAAGCTTAAAGATCATTATACCGACATTTCCACTCAAAAAGAGATGAAAAAGTGTTTCGTTATATTTGTAATTCTTTAGGATAAAAATATATTAAAAATAATAGACAGGGATTTTGGATTTATATTCTAGTATAGAGAATAAGAACGAGAAGATAATTCCCCCAACACTTAGAAATGCCAAAAATTATTAAAAGGTTGAAAGGCTAAAAACCTATTTTTCCTTACAAACCTCAAACACCAAATGACATTTAGAATTTAAATCTGATAAATTAGGTAAAAGTTCTAAACGTAAAGGCTGAGGTGCTGGAATGCAAAATAGCCGAAAGGCTGAGATGGAATAAAATTCCTTCAACAGGGAAATGTTCTTCTAAAGAAAAACTCCGGAATGCTGGTGTCACAAACCACACAGGCCTACAGGGGTGTAAGACCCTGGAGGAAACCTTTTTCCTTGCCGAAGTGGGGCAGGAGTGCATAGCACGTGATATGGATGAATGTGGATAAGGGTATCCAGTCTTATCTAATGAATGTGATATGGATGAATATGGATAAGTGTATCTAATTTCATCTAGTAAATATAACATGGATGAATATGGATAAATATATCCAGTCTTATCTAACAAATGTAATAAAGAATGAATATGGATAAAGGGATCTAATCTCATCCATAAAGAAAATAATAATAAGGAATATCTATATAATTACTACAATTTTCTTATATATTTAATCATTCTTTTATAATTTTTTAATTATTAATTTAAGATTATTCTTTTAAATATAATAAAAAGATTCTAAGTCTTTTTAATAAATAAACCTAATTTAATTATTTAATCTATTATTAATATTATTATTTTTAAATTAAGAAATCCTAGATTAATCAATCTAATAATGATTATATTTTTTTAAAAAATAGGTTTATTATATTTTAATAATTTTTTAATTAATATTAATATTAAATTAAGAAATAATATAAATTATTTATAAGATATTCTTTTATTATTATTAATTAAATTTTTTTTTTATTTTATTAATTTTTAAAAATAAAATAAAAAACTTTTATATTTTTTAAGAATTATCTTTTAAGATATATTATAATTAAATATAGAATAAATTAATAGATCTTAACCTAGAAAATAAAGAAAAGTTAAATAAAAAAAATTTCAAAATAAAGACCTAAATAATTTATAATAATTTAGTTTATTATTATCTAGAATATTTATATTTATTTATATTATTTAGGATCTATTATTAATAGAGAAAATATTTTAACTTATTAACAGGATAATACCTCCTAAAATATGTTTATAAGTTCTAAAAATAGAAATATAGGAAAAAATCAATGTCAAAATAGGAAAAGATAATTAAAAAAAAAAAGAAACCCTTAATTAACAAATTAGAATAATGATTACCTTAAAGGAGATTAAAAGGTTTAAAAAAGAATTGACCTTAAAGGAAACCAGATTTAAAAAGGTTCTTAAAAGGTTCCCATTAGGAACCTCTTACCAACCAACATCTTCTTAATCTTTAGTACCTTCTAGACCTCTAAATAATAACAATAATAATGATGGAAAAGATAAGAAGGAAAAAGGAAGTAAAAATCTCTAATTAAAGAAAGAAAAAATAATAATCCCTTTTTTGTTTATTAAAAGATATAAATTAATAGATTTATTAACCTATAATAAAATTTTAAATATTAAAGATTAATTTATATATATAAAATTTTATTTATTTTTTTATAAGGAAAATCTATTATAAAAGGAATAATAAATATTTATTATTATTTAATTCTTAAATAAAATTATTTTTATATGATTTTAATCTATTTTAGAAAATTATTTTAATATTATTAAAAAAAAATTAAAAGAATTTTAATATATTTTCAAATTATTTAAAAAAGAAGAAACATAGAAGGCCATTTATTACCTTAGATAGAAAAGATAAATTATATTTTATATGGCAAAATTTAAATAATTTATGGTTATAAGATAATTATTTAAAGATATATAATTTAATTATTTTTATAAAGAAATAATTATTTAGATAAAAGATGAATTCTTTAAAGAAAAATAACCTATCATTATTAATAAATATATAACCAAAATAATTCTTTATAATAATAGATTATATAAATGATGGTTACATAGATGAAGGACACGTGATCTACTTAATCATTAGGATTCCCTTTAAGTAGGTTACCCTTCTTGTCTATTCATGTAGATAAATCTTTATCCTTAGATAACTTAATATATATTATCTCATCCCTATTATTTTATTCTTTTCCTTACTTTTACTTTGCTTCATTTACGTACATATTTACCAACATTGATCAATATTACTAAACAATTAGCAATATAAATTAGCAAGGTTAGAAGAATCATTGTTACAATAATTTGAAAGATTTCATTATAATAATATAAATAATACTAACATATCTACTTCTATCTAAATTATTCTTATATTATTCCATTTATAATGGAATATTACTTTACCTTATCATATAATCTTTTTGAATCTCTATCCGTACACCACGACTTAGACTTCTTATCCTCTATACTTTTAGATTTACCATCCTTAGTTTCTATATATATTATAATATTATAAAGGGAAAGCTTAACATAGGTGTAAACATATGCCATAGAAATCAACCCAGTTGAATTAGAGAATATGGATAAGCTACAAAAATTAATAAATTATTTTCTTAATTAAATAATAATTTTTATACAACATTTTGACCATATGACAATAAAATAAGAAATCATTAATCCTTAGAGAACTACCTTAGAACAGAAGGCAATTTAGGCATTACTCATACTGGTAGACTTCAAAATTACCAATAAAAATATATCATATGCTTGTATAATTAAAGAGACAATAGATAAATATTAGGAATGATTTTAAAATTTTATAATAATGGACTTCATTAATATACCAAAATAATTATAATTGATACTAAGAACTATACTGATATAACAGGATATTTATATAAGGTAATATAATGTCAATCATATAAAAATGCTTACCAATCTCATATCATTATATAAACTACCAATATGGAATTCCAACAAATTAAAAGTAATAAAATAGAGATAACCTAATACATTAATATAAAAGATATTAATATATAATATTAAAAAGGGATTGATCCATCTTGAAGCCTATATATCCATGTGTATATATATTATGTCACAATAACAATTAGTAATCTCTAACCTATAGATATTAATATATATAATAGGATATGTAAATCAGGATCTGGTTTTATTAATAACCCCTATTAAACTATCATCTATTTACCTACTTTATACAGCATATAATCTATAGGGAATACCGTTTCTTATCTATAATAATCCATTATCATAGAGACCTATTATTTAACCCCTTTTTTAATAAATGTCCAATTCTTATCTAACCTTTCCTTTTCTACTTTTGTAAGGTAACCAAGTTAATCTTTAATTACCAATAATCTCTTTTTTCCCTCCTCTATTCTAATAAGGAATAACTACATTTCTCTAGACTATTTCAGGTAATAATTATCCCAATATTCCGGCATTTACAGCCCAATAAGGATATAACCCTTAATACCCCTATAATAGTAACTATATATAAGAAGAATAACCTAACCTATCAATACCAGGAAATGTATCTAGACCCCCTAGACCACCACCGGATGGTCCATATATGATACCAACAATTCTACCCAATATTGGACCAGAAAGAGAAGGCCATCTTACCAGAAACTTTGGTTCTTCCTCCTAGATAATTCCATTATCTATATCAATAAATAATCAATAAGAACAGGTACCCATACCCATTAATAACTAACAAGATAATATATATTATAATGTTCCCCCAGCATAAATTCCAAATAAAATATATCTATTAATAATTATTGATTATTTTAAAAAAGCCTAGAATAATAAGAATAATTATATAGATAAAATATATAATATCCTTAAAGATAAATTCCAATTCTTTTTAGATATATATTATATGGTTGGAATATATTAAATATAATTCCATGCCATATTTTCTACCATTTTTATAAAAAAGATAACAATCTATTTCCTATATAACATATTATGATATTAGGGCTTTACAGATATATATCTCGCCATAAAATAATATTTTAATATAGAATAAAATAAGATTTAATATTATTATAATTAGATTATTATTATCTTCTTTAGTAATAAGGTTAACAAGAAAAATGAAGGAAGGTCTGATATAAAGATATTTAAAATCATATTGGATAAATTATTATTTTATTAAT